TTAAATTTAATTTTTTATAGGTAAGATAGTAATTTGTATGTAAATACCTTTATACCATTTTATTGAGGCTTAATCAAATATTTAAATTGGGAGTGCAAATAGGCACTATTGACGTTAAGCCATAGCGCCCTGAATAGATAAATATCATAAATTAATTTTTTATCAAAAATTTTTATAAAAATATATAGTGAAAAATTTAATATCATGTTTTAATCTTCATAAAGGGGGAAGCTAGACATGCATGGCTTAATCTTTGAGACAAGCATATGACTACTGGCAGGATCAACCAGATTACTATCAATGAAAACGTCAATTCTGACACCTTCACCTCACTCACTCTATCTAATTGAGACTGGCTATACGAGTATAGCTAGGTCAACTACAGAGCAGCCCTAAGTTACTGCACTTTCTTTCAAAAGTGATACCCAGGCAATTGGCACAATAACCCTCAGGCAAACAGCTGCATCCCTTATCGCGAAACAGCTGGAGGTCAAAACTCGTTTGTGGATAATAGGGGTTATAGCAGTAAAACCCTCATAATAAGGCTAATACTGCGGTAGAATATGGAAATTTTCGCAGTACGTTCCACACTAGAGTACTTGCACTCTTACTCTATTTCCATTTTTCTTTTCGACCCCTCTTATATATACAAAAAAAAAATTTCTTTACTTTTTTGCTATGGAGCCATTTTGGAAAAATGACTAACATCTATCTTTATATAAAAAAAAAAAAAATTATAAATTAAATTAAATTCATTATAATTCATTTTTATTCCATCATTTTGATATGTATAATTATTAACGTAAAAATCAGTATAATAGTCTTTATAAATTGAGTAAGTCAAAATGGCAAAATAATTAAAGATGGCGGAGGAAGAAAGACATAAAAAGGGATGATGCTGGAGAGTCAATTGAGAAATCAAAATAGACAGCTTTATTGCTATATTGAAGAAATTGAAAGATTATGCTTAAAAGTGGCTTAATTTGATTGATTTATTTGTAATTAATATTCGTTATTGAAATTATCTCATCGTGAATAAATCGGCTTTAAATCTTAGAATTATAAGCTTGGCTATTAAAAAAAAGAATTCAATAAACAGCAGCTAAGGTTTTGGTTATTTTAATTATATTTGGAATAAACCTTATTATATAAAAACCAAAACGAATCTTTCTCCTCAGCTTTAAGAATATAAAGTAAGTTTTTGCAAAATTAATAGCTAAATCAGTAATTTAGATACCGCTATGCGCATTCGATATAAATTCCACATATAATGCTTATATTTAAAGTATTTTTCCAAATTTTTTCATTGGCTTTGCTATTTGCAAATAATAGAGATTAGAGGAAATAAAAGGATAATATCCCATGAAAATAACTTTCGAAAAAAATATTTTTTATAAAATTTATATATAAATGTTTTTTAAAAAAAAAAATTAACCCCCCTCCGTGAGTGAACAAAATTTTTTTGTTCGCTCACGGAGGGGGGGGGGGGGTAACTAAGGCAAATAAATAGACGTTATTATTAAAAATAAAACTAGAGATATAAAAACAATTAGAGAAAATAATTAAATTACTAAATGACAAGTTTTAAGCAGTTTTATAATTCATAAAATGAAAAGAAGATTCACACTGAGAAAACGTCCGCAAAGTATGGAATTTTTCACAAATGATACCTCGCCACTCAAAAGTTCATCAAGATTTAAACTCGTCACAATTTTAAGAAAATTAAACCGCAAAAACACTCCACCCCCTGGCTCTTTAGAAGAAGATTTCATGCTAGAAAACCAAAACGACAATGCAAATTTTTTGCAGCCAAACGTCCCTATGGATATCAAAATTGGCCCTAAATTCGACGAAAGAGGTGAGCCAATTCGCCATTCATTTGTAGGCCCTCCTCAGCTTTTTGCCTCATCACAAAGGCATAAATGGAAAAAGCATTTATCTATCAAAGATACTTACAATTCTCCAGAACAAATAAAGAAGATCAGGACTAAAGTAAAAATTGACCCAGAGGACAAAATTCGTAATCAAATAAAAATGATTAATGAAGGAAAACGAAAGGAAGAAGAAATTGAGAAAAAAATGCTTAAAAGCATGAGTGTTGGGGAAAGGCTGCTTACTCCCCCCCCCCCTCCGTGAGTGAACAAAACCATTAGAAAAATCCTATTTTTTGCCCAAAAACCCACCTTCCGTGAGTGAACAAAAATTTTTTATGGAAAAAATTTTTATATATAAATGATAATTAGTATAATGAAATCTAGAGCTAATTCTGTTTAATTTTAAACGAATTGCTTTTTTAAAACATAAATTTTATAAATTAAATTAATATTTGCTTTCAAAATTTTGCGAATTAGGGTTTTTTTAAATTTTCGAAAAAAAACAATTTTTTATAAAATTTATATATAAATTTTTTAAAAAAAAAAAATTAACCCCCCTCCGTGAGTGAACAAAATTTTTTTGTTCACTCACGGAGGGGGGGGAGTTAGCGAAAGGGAAACAAAAATAATGAAAACCTATGACTCAACAATTAGCTCTTGGAATAAAATTGAAAATGGGCTGATAAAAAAGACTAATAAAAATTATGAAAGTTTGCTGACAAATCGAGCTATGGAATTTAGAGAAAAGAGAGAAAAATACAGTTTAGTCGAAAATTTAGTGAATGCAGGTGAAAATTCAAATAATTACGCATGGGTGATGTCCCTAAGACAAAGCTCGCTTGATAAATATCCTAGTACATTTTTAAAAGTTGGAGTAGATTTATATACATGAGTTTGCATGAGAACTAACTCAAGCGAGCCAATAATCAGAAATCCACAAGGCCGAAGGAGTTCTTCAAAAACCTTCAGAGATTACCCATACTGCCAAAGCAAAGTTGAAGAAGCACACAAAATTCTCGGTGACAAAAGCCCAACAGAAATTGACCAACTTCAAGTTATAGGGACCTCAAAATTCCCTATAGAGCTTGAAGCCGCCAAAACCGCTGGATTTTCCAACGTCATTATAAACGACCCCGACACTCATCTCCCTGACGAGGTTATAGAAGAATTTTATGATAAAAAATTCAAATTAAGGAAATATTAACACTAGGAAGTTGCATATAAGTTTGGCACTAATTGGTGTTCTTCTGGAGGAGCAATAAAGCTTTTATTCTGCTCTTTTTCTTTTAAATCAATATCATCTTTATCTTCGTTAATCATTGGCAGTTGGGAAATCCATTTATTTCCTTGATTTGTAGTATTGTTAAAAGTTGCGTAAGGAGAATCAGAATATCGCTTAACCGTCACGTTGGGGTCGACGTCTGTTACTACAAGTGGCTGGGCTTTGCAATGTGGGCAAGCAATTTCAAAATTTACATGCTTTGTCTGAAGCTCTGAGATACAAAGATGACAAATATAATTTTTACAGCATTGTGTAACCAAGATATTAGAGAGATATTTGAAGCAAATTGGACAGTTATAAGGGAATAAGCCTTTTTGAGTAGATACTGGAGTAAAGTCACTTGCTTTTACCTGGTCGGGAGTTAATTTAGACTCAACTTTTATTTTGGCAGGTTCTTGAGATTCAGGTTTTGGAATCTGTGGGTGAGGAGGGGCTACTGGAGGTCGTGATGGTTGTGCCTGTGGGGCAGATTGATTTGAAGTGTTTTGAACAACTTTTGGCTGATTTGAGGATTTGGTATTGAAGCAGCCCATTTTGGGTTCAAATTAAATTACTTTACAAAAGGATAAATTATTTTGAAATTAATTGAAGTTTTATGTAATTAGTTTCTATTTTAGAAATGTAAATATAAAAAGCTTCCTTTATAGGGATAATAAAGCTGCTAAATATTTCTATTTTGAATATATAGTTTAATGTATATGTAATTTATTAAAATCATTTATATTCTATATAAACTTCTTACTCCCCCCCCCCTCCGTGAGCGAACAAAAAATTTTTGTTCGCTCACGGAGGGGGGTTAATTTTTATTTTTTAAAAAAAAATTATATATAAATTTTTAATTGTAAAATAATATTTTTTTATAAGTTGAAAATTATTTTAAAAATATTATGGGGGGAGAGTAAAGGAATTTTCCCAAAAAAAAAAGAATACCATTTGATTAAAGGTAAAACACAGCTTAATTTTTCAATAATTTAATAATCAATAAACCTATTAGTAATAAATATATGCATTCAGTTAAAATATTTTATATATTTTCTTATTTAATATAATAAGCAAATTCTCTATAAATCATAATAAAAATGTACAAAGGGAAAAGAAAGTACATTGAAAATTTGGCAGAAAGTTGAAATTGCTGAATTTTACATTCAACACCAAAATGAGATGAGCATGAGAGATGTTGCTGCAAAGTTTCATGTCAACTCCTTTAGCTCGATTTCCGAATGGGTGAATAAGCTTGATGAGTTGAAGAAATCAGTAAAATCTGATAAAAAATTAAAATTAGAAAGCTTCACTCAATTTCCAGAGCTAGAGAAAGAACTAGTTCATTGGTTTACTGCAATCCGTGAGCAAGGTATTCAGGTTCTCAGATCAACGATTGAGGAGAAAGCAAAAAGTTTGGCGGCAGAAATGGGATTGGCGCGATTCGGCTGTGGAGATAAATGGTGGCAAGGATTTAGGACCAGAAATAATTTATCTTTCAGAAAAATCAATGCCTCAAGCATTAAGCCAATCGAAAAAGAGGCAGAACTTGTCAGGCAATACCTAGATGATTTAGCGTCATTGCTTCCTCAATTCGTTCCATCTAACATTTACAATTTCGATGAAACGAGATTTGATTGAGATGTAAAAAGCAAGTTCACTTATGATTTCAAGGGAACTCAACGAATTCTAGGCGTTCAATCAGCTAAAATGAACCATTTTATCACTGTTATGCTTATGATTAGAGCTGATGGAGAAAAAATGCCTGCTTTGCTCATTTTTCAAGAGAAAAATGGCCAGATCCCGAACCTTGTAAGAGAAAGACTGAATATTCCAGAAAATGTCATCATAAAATCAAATAAATCTGGCTACATTTCTGACCAGATTCTTAATGACTACCTCAGAACAATATTGAGAGGAGAAAACCAACTGCTGATTTATGATCAGGCTGGAAGTCATAAAACTATCATGATTTCTAATGCAATTTCAGATTTAGATGCAACCAAAATTGTGATCCCTGGAGGGTGCACAAAGTATTTGCAACCACTTGACGCACTGGTAATTGCAAATTTCAAATCAAAAACAACAGATTTCAGAATCAAATTCCAAACAGAGCAGATTGAAAGAAGATCGAAAAGAACTGGAAACCTCAAAGCTCTTGATCGCCAGCAACTGATAAACATTGCTTCAAAGGCGTGAGATGCTGTAAGCCCTCAACTTGTCAGAAAATCATTTGAGTTGACGGGTTCTTATGGCGTTAATCATCCAAAGATTTTCAGCCATCAAGTTAATATGAAGAAGTTAATTATCTAATCGATTTCTTCTATTCATTTTTTTGTCTTAAATTTAAAATTGTTAAATTCAACCTTTTCACTTATGGTATTCTTTTTTTTAACCCTTTGAATAATATATCAAACAAACTTAATAATTATTTTTCAATATTATCCTCTTTATTTGTATTAAATATAGATATAATAAACTATATATAAAATTATATGTAAAAAAATTTTTTGTTCGCTCACGGAGGGTGGGTTTTTGACCAAAAAATAGGGATTTTTCTAATGGTTTTGTTCGCTTACGGAGGGGGGGGGGGGAGTTAGTAATATTCAATCTATACTATCGTTAAATAAAATTAAAAACATTATAATTAATAAAAAATTATATAAATTGTATAAGACTATTCTAATGTTTATCTTTCTTATTAAAAGTAAGAGACATATCAGTTTCATTAGGTTTGTTCATAAATATCTGAACACTTAAATCCTCATTTTCACTCCTAATAATCTTCAATAAATTTTCCACGTCTTCTAGCTTAACTTTCTTGATTTCCTCAGACAAATTTCGATAATACCCAAACTGTCTTCTTCCTGTCAAAATTTCAAGTCATAAGTCTCCATGCTCTGCTTCCATTGATTCATATTTCCATAGTAAGCTTTCTGCCACTCTGTTTGCTAAGCTCATATCATCAGGTAAAAATTCGAAATTGTCCCAAAAACGATCAATAATTTCATTCATCTCAGGAGGACTTTTATATGACCCTTGCACAATTAAATACATTGAATTAGTCCCAAATCTTTCAATTACATCAGAAAAAACAATATAGCCAAGCTGGTAATTGCTTCTCAGGACTTTAAAAGCTTCATCAGATGACTTAGCAACGAGGACTCTTAAAGCTGCAGTTGTGGGTAAATCAAAGTAGCCAAAATCATATCAATTAAAAATACAGTGATTTGAGATGCTTGTATCTGTAGATATTCCAGCTTTCGAAATTGATTTTGCTTTTGGATATTTTCTTATGTCTTTTACTGAACTTTTTATATATTTTTGTATAATTTTTTTGTATATATCTACGTTACTTTGCAAAGCATTCCCATAAACAAAAAAATCGATATTTGTTTTTTCAAAAATCTTAACTCCCCCCCCCCATCCTTGATCGAACGATTGACTGCAAAAATTCCTAAAAATTTGGGGAAATTAACCCCCATCCTTTGATCGAACGATTTTCATATCATGCAACTTTTATATATATACAAATATATTAGTTATCAGAAGCTTGGGAAGATGCACCCAATGAAGTTGTTTTCAGGGACTTTGAGACGACAGAAAGCTTCGAAATCAACTATCCGAAGTTATTTAGTCGTCTATCTAGGCTTAAAAAATTAATAATCTAATAAAATAGAGATCTTTAAAATTTAAAAAAAAAGAATTAATTTAATAAGGAACAAATTAAAATTTATACAGTTTAAAGGGGTAACTAATAAATCAAAAATATTAAAAATTGGTATTTTTATGAAATTAATTAAATTTTTTGCTCTAAAAATAATTATTAAATACCCTTAACCCTCTTATTTAAAAGTAAAAAAAAAAAAATATATATATATATTTTTATATTTTATATATAAAATTTTTTTTAACCCCCATCCTTGATCGAACGATGGCGAGTCGTTCGATCAAGGATGGGGGGGAAGTAAGAAATTCTGTATAGTCTTTTTGGCTAAACGCATTAAGTAAGCTGAGTCTTTCAGAATTTGTATAATAGTCTTCAAGAATAATATTTCCTAATTTTTCATAAGCAATTTGATATGGCTGAGAATTAATCGCAGACACATATTTTTCGTTTAAAGATTCTAGCACAGAGCTTAATTTATTGAGACTTGGATTTTTATTTGTTTTCATTATTTCTTCTAAAAATAGGTCCATTTTATCTCTCCATCCAGTTAATGTAATAGAAATCCCAGAATATTCAGATTTTATGTCAGCATAGAACCCTGAGGTGATAAACATAGAAAGCTCTTCTTGGATTATTCTAGAAACTAGATCAGCGTGAATATCACTTAGCATTGAATTAGAATCTGTAAAAATCATAACACTAATAATAACTTTCGGCTGCTCAAAATATTGGTCAAATTTATACCACACATTTAATTGAGTGCTTGAGCTAAGCTCAATTACTTCAGTTTTGCAGGAATCACAGTCTAATACATATAAATCTGATGGTATAAATTCATTTATACTGATAATCGCGAAGTGGTTTCCATTAGGAATAAGATTAAATTTCAAGATATCGTAATAAAAGTTGTAATAAGGATCATAGCTGGTAAATTCTAATATAGATCCATCAAAATTAGCTCCTTTGTCAAATGCATCTGACATAAAAACAGCGAACATTTTTTCAGAAGTAATCATACTCAAAATATCACTAGCTCCTCTTTATATTAGAACAAAATGATAAAATTTCGATTCCGATGCTTTAAATCGATAAATATTAAATAAAACATTTGATATAATTTTTTCACAAAAAAGATTAGCCCCCCTTTAAAAGTGAAAAATACTTTTTTTTCATGTAAAGGGGTAAAAATTTCACTATTAAAAGCTCGCTTTATTTCAAATCCTGCAATATAATGTCTTTCAGGAAAGTTTTGCATATTACTTGATATTACAGAAACAAGCTCTCCAGGGGTAGAAAACTTAAAATAATTATAGTTAACTCTGGCAATTGCGCTATAGTCATTTCATAACAATTCAAGCTCTTCTGAAGATAATTGCTTTAAGTCTTCAATATAGGCTAAAACAGATTCAGCCACGTATTTTCATTTTTCAAAGCCTTTGTCAGTTAATGTTATTTCTATTTGAATTAATGAAAAATCTGGATAAGTCATTGAAATATAAGATTCCATATGACCAATTAAGTCTGGCAGTGAGGCGCTGATACTATTTTTCCCTGAATAGTTCAATAAATACGATAAAAAGTGGCTTGGCTGAGACCGAAAAAAGCGAAATTCTGATGGGACTGCCCAGAATAAAATCAAGCTTGACCCATTATTGATTTTAGGTGCCAAAATTATTTTTCCTGAATTCAGAAAAGGAGGGTCATATATAAATTCAGACTGGCCTATAGGAATATCAGAGTAATAGTCAACTGCATATTTCAATAAGGTTTCTATAGGATATTGCCCATATATAACTAATTTCATATTCCCAGCAGTATAGTAATCTTCATAAAATTTTTGAACTATCCCCACCAAGCCTTCAACATTCAAAGTTTGTGTATTTCCCGTCGCAAAATGGCTTATAGGGTGCTTTTCCCCTGCTAAGGTCTCTATTAGCCTATACATTCTTCAGGCATCACTAAATCTATTTTTATCATGCTCAGAATTAACTACTTTCACAATTAAAAATGGAGCGCATGAATTAGGGACCTTGCTCCCTAAGGTCATCCTAGTGAGGGAAGTTCAGACTTTCTGAAGGATATTGGCGCAGGAACTGCTTCGGCAGTTCCATGTGAACTTGAATCAACTTCAAGAAGTGAAGAGAGACTCGTCTAGGTCATAGGCTACTGTAACGGTTCGACGGTTAGGCCGATTCCACCTACCGTTGTTCAGAGCTGTTAGCCAGTGATGGAATTCAGGAGGGATGGGCTTGTATTGTTAGATCCTAAGCTAAGTGGGGTCGACAAAGTGTTATCGTAATCTTAAATCTTAAATCTTAAACTGCTTTTACTTCCCGATTGACAGCGCTTTCAAGGAAAACAGGCTCAATAAAGGCTTTTGAGAATATTTTCAAGGACTCTTCAAGAGCATCATTGCTAACTGTGAAAAAGAAATTGGTTTCTTGCTTATCGGTGTAAGCATTTGTGTAGCCTGAATGGTTGTTTAGGAAGGATCTTAAATAGTCTTCTTCTGGGTAGCTTTTTGAGCTGAAAAATAGCATATGCTCTACGAAATGGGCTAGACCTGGTATTGTGTCTTGGTTTGAGCCAACATTAATGGATAAAGAAGCTGCAGCTTGTGGGCAGTCTAAGCAGGAGACAACTAGGCATTTGAGGCCGTTGTCAAGCTCTATATAGTCATAAGCATTTTTGTCGTTTATTGGAGTCTCTATTTCAAGTGCCTGAGCAATAGAAAGAAATAGGACAATTCCTACAATCAGCATATTTATATAAAATTAATATTTTTCTATTATTCTATATCAGTTAAACTATTATATTTATATAAAAAAGGCTTATTTTACCTAAATTTATAATAGTAATTAACAATTAACTCTCTTGAAAAAACTCTGCTGCACTTTCCCACAAGTACCTTGGAAATCGGTTAGTAAATACAAGCTTCAAAGACGCTGCAGCAAGAATGGATTTCGACGAAGAATTCGAGCTTGAAATTGACAATGATTTTTTAGACCTTATCACATCTTTTTTCTCCTCTTCAATAGGTGGATCATGAATTGGATAATATTGGCACTGCTGAGTAATATAAGTTGACAGCATATCCACGCTCATTTCTTGCTGCAAAATTGATAAATTATGGCTGTGTTTATAACATATTGAAATTAAAGTAGGGAAAAGCACATTTGTGTATTTCTTATCAGTAAAATATGCAAAAGGCAGCCCACACAATCTTTGCAAAATAGAAGTTTCCCCTAAATTCATCATGTCCTGGTTTTTTGTGTTTTGGGTTACAAAGTACCCAATTAGCAGTATAACTTCATGTAATAGTTCTCGGACATCTTCTAGCCCAGAATCTATATGTTCTGTGCAGTATCTTAATATGTAATTAAACAAATGATACATCTGGTCGGGTGCATGATATTTGAGTAGAACATGACTTTTTTCTGGATATTTGGTCAAATGAGATGCTCTCTTAGAAAATTTTAATTAAATGTCTTATTAGGAAAAAAATCAACCAAGAAAATTGTTAGACTGCCAATCTGGTCATAATATTCTTCACTTGACAACATTTCTTGAAGCAGAGGCAGATGAAGCCTTGCTAAATTATTCAAAAATCGCATTGATAATATTGAAACTGCCAAAGAAGTCTGAGGAATCACCCTTGGAGCTTGCTGCTTTGGAGGACCATCATTAAGCAGTAAACATAAAAGCAAATACGGAATCCCAGCCAGCTCAGACTCTTTGAAAATATAAATAAAATTATCTGTTAAAAATGTAGAAACCTCATAGGCAGGTTTATTTCCAAGACCCCAGCCGTGAAAAGTGTTCAAGGACTCTAAAAATCCTACACATTTTAAAAGCAGTAAGGAAAAATTATTGGACGTCAAATCTAATGGTCTCTGCAAAAGATGAAGCTTTTGCCGAAGTAAGGAAAGCAAGCCACAGTTTAATAAATAATCAATATATAGCTCTCTAAGCTCTCTATATTCAGCTTGGAGCCTATGCTTAAGGTGGATTGTGAGTATGTGGAAAAGCTGGGACAGGTAGGTTAATTCCATAATTGCTTTAGGAGGTTTTTCTAAAATTCAGCAGACTAAGTCTACAAGAGGGATCAGCCGATTTGTGATGATCATATATGTGCGGTTTTCACTAAGCCCAGAAAAGATTGCTAAAAATTTGGAGCCAACTTCCAACAGGCCTAAAATGTATTTCATTTCGTGCTTTGGGCAATTTTTAACTTTTTTATTAATCTTTTGCAATTTTATCAATATTTTTTTGGTAGCTGCTATTGTATTTTTTACCATTTTTTATAGAAAATAGGACTACTCTTATATGAGTAGCTATATTAATTAGCAAATTATTTTGCCTTCAATTATAATGATTTCCATTAAACAAGGAATAAATTTCAGCTGCCTTATCACATGCAAATCAGCCTCTTTTCTCTGATCAAGTATTTTTATTGTATCTTTCAATATACTATCAATTTGTCCATAATCAATAACATTATTCGCAATGCACTTCTCAAAATCGATCCCCAGCTTTTGTATTCTATTTTTATTCACCCCAGACGTTTCTCTCCCCATAATGCACACTTTTTCATGTTTTTGGCATCTATTCGTCAACATCTGCTTGACTTTTTTCATTCTTTTTTTTACATAAAGGTCTCTTTGCTGCTCTAAATCTTGAGAGCTTGTCAGCATAATGACAGGGTCTGATAAGTTTCCTTGGACGAGAAATCTACGCAGCTCATCTTGATGTCTGTCTGAATTTATGTGCTCTTCTGGGCTGGAGTCTGTGGGGATTTCAAAATTGCAAACAGAGCATCATAAATATCTCTGCTGAAATATTTTTTGTTTTTGGATTTTGCCTTTTTTCATGTTGAAAGTCATTTTTACGTTGGGGTCTTTGTGTGTGCTTCAGACTCTGTAGGCTCAGAGTTTTGGAACGTCGTCGACTGAAGAGGTAGAGCTGCTGTCTCAGCTTTCGTTTTCTTTTTCTTCAACTATTTCAGTTTCGTCGCGGGACTTTATACTTATGCTGCTTCTATAGGTTCTTTCGCCGCCGCGTTTGCCGAGTTCTTCTGCTTTTGTTTTCTTTTCTTCTAAAAATTTATAATCATTTTAATTTTAATTCTATTGGTAAGCATATAAAAATGCTAATTTAGTCTTAATATAATAATTTATTATTCGAATCAGCCAAATACTGTATAATTCTACGATTTTCAGCTTCTTCTAGCTTCGTTTTCGCTGACATCCACTTATTTCCCCTTTCCGACTGCAGCGCAAGTCTTCTTTTCTCTGCAGCTTCTTCTTTCTGTATTCTTTCTGCCTGTTTTTGTTTAATACTCTGCAAGGCTTTCGTTCTTCTTTCCCTTGTATCTTCTATTTTCTGGTCAATCGTCATCTTTTTATCCTCTGCTTGCAGCTCTAGTATAAACGCAACCTCATTCGGCTTCGAATTTTCGGTTTTAGCCCTATTCCTGATCTGGCTTAAGTGTGCTTCATACCTTTCATCAGCCTTGCTTTGTTTTAACAAAATTTGCAGCTCAATTGCTCTTTTTTTATCCTCATTAATCTTTTTCGGCTCCATGTCAAATGACAGTGGATTTTTGACAGTGTGCATTTCATCGAAATGCATTTGGTCGAAAATTTTAATAATGCGGCATTTGGCTGAAAATTAAAGGGTTTTTTCGGTCAAATGTCTGGGTGAAATGGACACTATCAAAAAGGCAATGTCATTTGACCTGCACCTATCTTTTCGATTTCCTCTTTTATTTTTCTCATTTTCCTCTGCTTTTGTAAAGCGACGTCTTGCCTTTTCATGTCAATAAGGCTACGTTTTCATTCAGCGCGCTTTTGTTTGTCGTCAATTTTCTGCTTGACCTCTACAGGGCTTGGTTTTTCTCTGAATAGTTTTTCTTCAAGCTTTCTGATCCGGTCTACTCTTCCAGGAGAAAGTGATTTGCAGCGTTTGTCGGAATCAAAAGAAATGACGGAGAGTTCTTCTCAGCTTTCTTCTTCAATTTCGTCACTTTCTTCAGCAGCTCTTTCTCGGATCAGAAGGACTAAGGCTTGGACAGGACTTAAGCCATCGTCTAAATACTGTCTTAAAAGCTCACCGTCGACACTTCCGGAAGGATCAGAAATATCAACGCTTGTGTTCCCGCTTTGCTTTTGTCGCAAATTTCTAAATTCTTCTAACTCCCCCCCCCTCCGTGAGTGAACAAAAAAATTTTGTTCACTCACGGAGGGGTTTAATTTTTTTTTTAAAAAAATTTATATATAAATTTTATAAAAAATATTTTTTTTTCGAAATTTTAAAAAAAACCCTAATTCGTAAAAATTGGAAAGCAAATGTTAATTTAATTTATAAAGTTTATGTTTTAAAAAGCGATTCGTTTAAAATTAAACAGAATTAGCTCTAGATTTCATTATACTAATTATCATTTATATATCAAATTTTTTTTTCCATAAAAAATTTTTGTTATCTCACGGAGGGTGGGTTTTTGTGCAAAAAATAGCGATTTTTCTAATGGTTTTGTTCACTCACAGAGGGGGGGAGTAAGGAATGTTCGAGGGTTTCTATAGCGCCATCAGTAAATGCTGAGAAATTTTCGTTAGTGCACATTGTGAAGAGATCTTCAATAGCATTGTTAAGATGCCGAAAAAGGTGAATTCAGTTTTCGACTTGATTACTGTAATCTTGAATTGGCTTTTTGGGGGCAGAACCGGTCTTTTTAGGAGGGTTTGAGCATGATGGAATCTTGCTGGAATTGATCTGAGGGGTTGAAGGAGGTGTTTTTTTGGGAAGTTTAGGTGATTTTTTCTTGTCCATTTTAGAAATGATTTACTAATAGATGCTTATGCGATTTAATGAATTTTTGTGATTTGTAATAATATCATAATATATGAGATACTATTTATAAAAGAGAAATTATTTAAAACATCGTATTAATTTAGATAAATTTATTGTATATAAGCTAACATGTATTATTAGCGTTTTTTATTATATAAATACCTTTTCTTGCATATAAAATCAAAATTTCTTATTGATATGATTTATTATGCGTTTTTGTATAAAAATGACTGTCTGAAGACTTTTATTTCTCATCTTCCACATAGTATCCTCAGATGACATTGATATCCCAATAAACGACAAAAACGTTTACGATTACATTGAGCTTGAAAATGGTCTTAAATGTGTCGTTATCTCTTGTGCTGAATGCCCTGAAGCTGCAGCATCTTTATCAGTCGGTGTAGGCTCAAACCAAGACCGAATCCCAGGTCTCGCTCACTTTGTAGAGCATATGCTATTTTACAGCTCAAAATCTTACCCAACAGAAGACTATTTACGTACCTTTGTGAATTCCCATTCAGGTGACACAAATGCGTATACTGATAAAGAAGAAACTAATTATTATTTAACTATCAGCAATGACGCATTAGAAGAGTGCCTAAAAATATTTTCCAAAGCCTTTGTCGAGCCTATTTTTGTTGAAAATGCAGTTAATAGAGAAATAAAAGCTGTCAATTCTGAACATGATAAAAATCGTTATGACGACACTTGAAGAATGGCAAGATTAACAGAAATTTTAGCTGGAGAAAATCATCCAATAAGCCATTTTGCGACTGGGACTAATAAAACTTTGAAAGGTGAAGGAATTGTAAGAGAAGTCCAAAAATTTTTTGATGATTACTATTTGGCAGAAAATATGAATTTGGTTATTTATGGGAAATACTCAGTTGAAAAACTTCTGGAGCTTGCTGTGGAGTATTTCTCTGATATTCCAAGTGGCAGAAATGAGTTTTTTTATGAAAAACCATATTTAGAAGCAGGGAAAATAGTAGTTGCACCATTAATGGCAGAAGGGTCAGTTATGAATATTTTTTGGGCATTTCCTTCGGAATTTAAAAATTATCAGTATCAGCCATGCCATTTTATTTCGTATTTGTTAAGTTATAATGGGAAGAATAGTGTTCCTTCAACACTTTCAGACTATATAACGTATTTAGAGTCTTATGCAGCCATGACTTATTCAGATTTTTCATTAATTGAAGTCAAAATTACACTAACTGAAAAAGGCCTTGACCAATGGAAATATATTGCTGAGTGTGTTATTGCATATGTGGAACAGCTTAAGCAACTATCGTTTGATGAGCTAAAAATGCTTTGAAATGACTACAGCCAAATTTCTCAATTAAACTTTGATTATTCGGAGTTTTCCTCACCAGATGATAATTAATATAGTTGTAGCGACGAAATGTGTCCATGATAACCTCACCAATTTGGGGTGTCAAAAATTTTTTATAGCCTAAACCAAGGCTAATCCTAACCCTTAGCTTCCTAAGAGCGGCTATATGGGGTGGGTAAGTCTTGGGAGAAATCCGAGTCAAGGTATTAGTTATCCGATGAGTTTTGGGCCACGGATTCTTTCTCTGCCGGTTCTGGAGGGTTGTAGTTCTTTTTTCCTGGGTGTAACCTCCATCAAGGTGGCCAGCAGGAAGCATTAGGCTGATCTTTGTCTCCATAGCACCCAAATGGCGCAGAGCAAGAAGAGTCTTTCTAACCCGTCGAGACTCAGGGATATCGGTGCGAGCTCCAGGCCCAGGAGTAGACTGCTGTTGAGACAAGATTCAGTCAACTGAAATTTCTCTGGCAAGCAGGTTTTAGTGTTCGCATGCGCATGGAGGCATCATAACTTAAAACTTTAAACCCTTTAATCTTAACCTCACCAGATGACGAAATAACTTTAATTTCTTCTAGCATGCATAATTTCCCAAAAAAGCATTATGTTTCTGGTTTTACTATAAAAGAAAAATTTGATTATAAGCTGATTACTCAAACACTAAAAATGATGACTTCTGATAATATTTTTATCGTATTTATGTCAAGTACTTTTGAAAAAGGGGCCATTTTTGATGGCTCTGCCTTGGAGTTTTCATCTCATGAGCCATATTATGATTTTGACTATGATATTTTACAAATCCACTTGACTAAAAGTGACAATAAATTTAGCGTTATTGAAATAAATAAAAGCATTCCTTCTGATTTAAGCATTTTATCGTGCAAAGATTGCTCCTTATCTGTGGTCCAGCTTAAAAAGTCAGATAATAGCTTGCAGATGTGGTATAAATTTGATGATTCTTTTAGCCAGCCAAAAGTAATAATCAGCTTTATCCTTTTTTCAAGTTCAGATTCTGTGCTAACTCATACTATTAATAAGCAAATTCTTGCTTATTCGTGGCAGGTTTTGGCACAAAAATTTTCAAATAATGAATAAATCGAAATTTGCTTTTGGGTAAATGCATTTTTTCACGTTTTATCTAAAAAGCCCCAAATATCGATCTATTACATAAAATTTACTATTTGAATTTTTTTTGCAAAAATCAAGAATTTGCTTATTACTGTGTAAGAGATATCCATTCTGAATTAACTGAAAGAATCATTTCTGAAGAGCTTGCAATGTTTTTAGCATCTGGATTTGTTGCTAATATTAAATCAGAGTATTCAGGAATAAGTGTGACTTTGATAGGCTGGCGTGACAAAATGCAGGAATTTTTAGAGGAAGTCATAAAAATCCTTTCTAAGCCAAATCTCTCCAAAATTAATGCAATTGCTGAATATTTAAATGACCAATATAACTCAGCTAGTAACGAGCAAGCATATATGCTTGCTTAATCCCTCCTCCAAGAGCGAACAAAACCACTCGAAAAATCCCTATATTTTTGCCCAAAAGCCTCTCCATGAGCGAACAAAAAATTTTGATATATAAGTGATAATTAGTGTAATGAAATCTCTTGCTAATTCTAAATAATTTTAAACAGCTTAAATTTTTTAAAATAAATTTTACAAATTGAATTAATATTTGCTTTGGATTTTTTTTAAATTTTGAAAAAAATTAACCCTTCCATGAGCGAAAAAAATTGTTTTGTTCACTCATCGAGGGAGTTATGAAAAATTAGCTAACATTATTTTAGAAGACTATTACACATATCCAGAAAAGCTTGAAATTTTGGAAAATTTTGAGCTCAAAGATTTCATTAACTATCTCGAAGAAATTCAAAACGCAAATATTGACCTTTTTGTTTATGGAAACGTTTTGCAGAGCCATGCTCAAAATTACAAAGAAATAATATGCAGTTATTTTGAGCCATCAGAAAAAAATACAAGAAAATACCCTCAAGCTGTCTCTGTGTCTGGAGGTGCAATTTCAATAGATACTTCCATTTCTAATCATTGTATTTTTAATTGGTATGATTTTGGGTATTATGATCCTACAACTTTTGCAATATTAAAAGTCCTTACTCCCTCCCCCTCCGTGAGTGAACAAAACCATTAGAAAAATCGCTAATTTTTGCCCAAAAACCCACCCTCCATGAGTGAACAAAAATTTTTTTAAATAGAAAAATTTTTTATGGAAAAAAATTTTGATATATAAGCGATAATTAGTATAATGAAATATAGAGCTAATTCTGTTTAATTTTAAACAAATTGCTTTTTTAAAAACATAAATTTTATAAATTAAATTAATATTTGCTTTCCAATTTTTGCAAATTAGGATTTTTTTTAAATTTCGAAAAAAAAAAATTCTATAAAATTTATAACAAAAAAATTTTGTTCACTCACGGAGGGGGGAGTTAGCGCAAAATCATCTGATGAAGCTTTTAAAGTTTTAAGGACAAATTACCAGCTTGGATATGCAGTAATTTCTGATGTCATTGATAAATTTGGGGTAAATATATTATACGTTGCAGTCCAAGGGACATATAAAAATCCTCCTGATATGGACGAAATTATAGAAATTTTTTGAGATGATTTTGAGTTTTTGCCTGAAGATATGTGCCTTGTTGATATGGTGGCTGAAAATTTGCTGTGAAAATATGAGTCGATGGAAGCTGAACATGAATTTTTGTGGACAGAAATTTCAAATGGAAGAAGGGAATTTGAGCACAATAAGAGTTTAGCAGAAAAAGTAAGACAAGTGACATATGAAGATATAAATAAAGTTTTGGAAATTATTAGAAGTGATGGAGCGGATTTAAGCATTCAAATATATTTACAAGGATCTGAGCCAAGCAATATTAATGTTGGCCTGAATTATAATAAATCAAAATTGTAAATATAATTTTTAATTATTCTAATGAAGATTCAAATGAATAGAAATTATTACATTTATCGGCCTAGAAATATAATTAATAAACCAAATCTTATCTATTCCTTAAAATCCCATCCCCATTCCTGGCATCCCACCCATCATTTGTGGAGGAAAGACTCTTGCCATTACAGCGTTAAGTCTATCTCTGATATCAGCCCATTCAGCTTCTGTATCAATTCCATACTTGACTAATCCCTGTGCTATTTCATTTTCGTCATATCCGTATTTCTTCATTATTTCATCACCTTCTCTGATCTTAAATAAAATGAAATCTTCCCCACTTCTTGGTGGATGGCTATTTAAATAATCATCAAGGTATGAACAAATATATTCCATAACTTCTCTCATCTTTTCTTTAGTTAAACTTTCAGGAATTTCCACATTACCTTGAAGGGTCTTTACAGCCATTTCTTCTAGTGCTCTTCCAACCTCAGGCACTGTTGCGTGCTTTCTGCAAGAATTTTGGAAAATCTCAGGGTTGAGTCCGTAGCTATGGCACACTTCTCCCGTGATTCTCATTAAAATTCCTTCCTGCTCTTGCAGCTGCTGATAAACCACCGCTTTCCACTTATTTTCATCTGTTTCATAAAACTGCTGTCTTAGCGCCATGAAATTTTTGTTGCTTTCCACGAGTTTTCTCTGTGCTACATTGGTCATTTCATCAATAACTCTGATTAAATCAGCTTGCTCAATGGTGCCATTAGTCACTGTGACTTTTTGTGCTGGCCCTGAGCTTTTTAAGTGTTGTGACACATTGTCTACAGCGCTTCCAAGGTATCCAGTTGATTGAAGATTTTCATCAACCAAAAATTCAATCGAGTCTTCTTTATTTTCCAGGTAAGCTGTGAACAAATCAGAGTCGTTCTTGATGACAACATCGCGGAACTTCACCGTGAATTGGACAGCACCAGTCGTCCTGTAGACAGCGCTGAGGAGCTCTTCGAAGCTGATAGGAACTTCTTTAAGAGTGTTTGGCTCCTCGTCTTCCAATCTGATTCTAATGGTGACTTGTGGCTCCATGATGAGACCTGATTTTTATTAGGAAATTATGGGGATAAGAATGCTTATTAGAAGCTAGAAAACATGCAATAGCCCGAGATAGGCTAAAAATTGTGATTTATTAAATATTTATTTTTAAGAATTCTTAATATTTTACTTAATATGTCTGTGACACACTGCGCTTTATCAGGGCAGCCTCTTATTGACCCAGTGGTATCAGTAAAAACAGGCCATGTTTATGAAAGATCAGCAATTACCAAATATATCCAAAGCACAGGAAGGTGTCCAATTACAAATGTAGAGCTTTCATTACCAGATATCATATCATTACAAGCAAATCCATCAGCTAAGCCAAGGCCTTTAAGCCAAAACTCTATTCCTGGACTAATAGACGCTTTCAAAAACGAATGAGATGCCGTTGTTATCGAAACCCACGAATTAAAAAAGTACATCGATGTGCTGAGACAAGAACTTTCGCATTCCCTATACCAATATGATGCTGCTTGCAGGGTAATTGCACGATTAGTTAAAGAAAAAGATGAGCTCGTGCATGCCCTTCAAGAGTTAAATAAAGAAGATAAAGAATAAAGTTTGAAAATTAGATAAATTAATACACATTATATGAATTTTCTATTAGAATAAGAATTGTCTTCAATTATTGTGCCAATCTTTAGAAATTAAAAAATTTCTTATGCAATGGGATTTCTGGTTTTCCTAAATCTTTTATATGTAACAGTAATTTTTCAATGTCAAAACTAATTCCTTTAAACTCCTCCGCTCTTTCTCCTATAGGATCGACGATTTTTGCATTAATAGACCTTACTTGAAAAGTCCTGAATTTTTCAATTTGGTCTTTAATTTCCATTTTTCCAAGATCTTCTATATATTTTAGCTCTGCTTTATTGAACTTCAAAGCTGCTTGGAATTCTGCAGAAATTCCTTCAAGTTTTGACGTGATTGGCCTTATCATGCATTCTAGCTCTTCTAATAGTTCTAATTCTTTTTGGTCTAGTGCCTCTCTTACCTCTTGAATTTTTTCTTTGATGTTTATTACATATTCCTCTTTTTCTATATTTATTTTGTTATGTAATAAACCTATTCTATTCAGTGTGTCTTGAATTAATTTATTGGAATCTTTTAATTTCTTGCTTGCAGATTCCAATTTTTCTTTAGTGACTGGCGATATTGAACTGTCAGAAAGAGGGAGCACCCCATGCAAATTATGATACACTACACATTCTAAACATAAAGCATAACTGCAGAGAGGGCAATAAAGATACCTAGGAGAGTGAGAACAGGGCTTTGAGGGTGCTGAATTTACTTGGAAAACTAAAAGATTCGTGGCTGCACTTGTTGAAGTTTTTCGGCATAAAGGACATTTAGATATTTGGGAAACACAGATTTTGCAAAATGTGTGGCCGCATGAGAGGATTAGTGGGAGATGGTCATTGTGGGTGTATCTTGAATAACAAACAGGGCAGGTTGTTAATGTTTCCATTTCTAATATGCAGTATCTGCTTTGCAATCACAAAATTTTAGTTTATTTTTAAAAATAATTTAGAATTAGCGATCTTTATGCTAGAAATTTATAAAAAAATTAGCCTACTTGGGAGTCTTATTTTATGCTATAATGAGCCATTTTGGCATTAAAGCTAATTATGGTCTTATAAATGTCTAGCAAAGGGAGCAACCACAAATCACACTTAAAGCAGGAAAATAAACCATTCAAACACCACGGAAAAACACAACCAAAGAAAAAAATCCAAGGCAGGACTGCTATTGCTCCCCACGTCGTGACAGATTGGGTAAAGGTCAATAAATCTGACCGATTAAATGCAGCCTTACAAAAACGAAAAAACAAGCGAGAAGAGCTCAGCATGAAAAGACGTGGCATTAGCTCATCAAAAGGTGACGAAATGGATATTGAAGGCCGCTTTGAATTTATTCCAAAAATTATTGGAATCTTAGATATGAATGGCAGAGCAGATATCGACAGACTGAAAAACAGCTTATTAGCTGGCTGTGAACAGAATGAAAATTCATATATTCTTCCTAAATACGCAGCAAAAAATATGCCGATCTCCTTTGTACACATAATGCGAGACGATCTGCATGTGATCAACTGGTGCAAAGTAGTCGACATGCTCATTGTAGTTCTCAGCTGCAATGGAATTGATGTTGCACAAGTAAAAACTGACCCAGATAAGTGTGATGCTTTTGATGCCAAAGGCTACGATTTCTTGTCAGCCATGAAATCGCAAGGGCTGCCACCTGTACTTGGTGTATTGCAACATCTAGAGACAGTCCCAGCCAAAAAGCAAAAAGATGTAAAAAAATTATTTTCCAGGTACTATGAGAGCGAATTTCCTGAGACTCAGAAGCTAATCCCTGAAGAAAAACAAGAAAATATATTAAGAGGGATTGGGAATACTTTATTTTACACAAATGAAATGATGTGGAAAGAGTTTCGCAGCTATTTATTAGCAGAAAAAATAGATGTGAGGGGAAATGATTTAGAAGTAAGTGGGTATATTAAAGGAAGTGGCTTCTTAAATGTGAACCAAATTGTACATGTGACTGGGTTTGGAGATTTTGTGTTGAGCTCAATGACTATTGGCTCAGGGGTGATTGTTAATGAAAACCCACAGTCCTTGCAAGCTGAAAATGAGCCTGATACTTTTGTAGCAGAGCAGACTTGGCCGACTGAGCAAGAGCTTGCAGAAGCGTTTTCTAAGCTAGATGTAGTCCCTACAGATCATCTTCCTAATGAGCTAATAGATGAAGACGAAGATGAAGGGGCTGCCTTAGAGCTAGATCAGCCTTCTCAAGCTTTTGAATTTCAAGAACGAAAGCCAGAAGAGCTTGACTTCCCTGACGAGGTTGAAACACCTTCAGATCAGCCTGCAAGAGTCCGATTTCAGAAATATCGAGGCCTCGCCAGCTTCAGGACTTCTAAATGGGATCCTTATGAAAATCTGCCCAGAGAATACGCCAAGCTTTTCGAATTCAAAGAGCCGAACCACATCATCAAAAAATACACAGTCGACGAAACCAAAGAAAATTCCCAAACAAAATACGGAGAATATATATTTTTGCTAATCAAAGATTTCCCTATCAATGCTTTGAAAAATTCCCCACAAACTCTCCCATTGATAATTTCCTCAGTTTTGCCTCATGAGAGAAAATTGACTGTTTTGAACTTCAAGCTTGAAAGATGGGGAAACCCAGACATCCCGCTAAAATCTAAAGAGCCATTGATTTTTCACTGTGGGTTCAGAAGGTTTGTATGCAGACCTATATACTCAGAAGACACAACTGCTGACAAGTTTAAATATTTGAAAGAGTTTAAAGACGAAGGCAGCATAATAGCAACGATTTTTGCACCAGCCATGTTTGGTCCTGCGAATGTACTTGTATATAAAGAAACCAGTAATTTTTATTTAGTGGATGGAGTTGAACAAGTCGCTGTCGGGGCTTTGCATAGTTTTGATCCTAAAAGGGTGGTAATTAAGAGGATATTGTTGACTGGGTATCCTTTAAAAATACACAAAAGGAAGGCTGTGGTGAGATATATGTTTTTGGATCCGAAAGATATTAATTATTTTAAGCCTGTGGAATTGTTTACTAAGGCGGGGCTAAGAGGGAATATTAGAGAAAGCTTAGGGACACATGGGTATATGAAATGTGTTTTTAATGACTTCATAAAGCATGGAGATATTATATGTCTACCTCTATATAGAAGAGTGTTTCCAGTCTGGGATGCAAGCATTTGGGCACCAGTTTCTAATTAAGAATTTTACTCTCTTTATGCGACTTAAAGTTTTTGAAAAAATTCTTTGATTCAAATTAAACCTATAAATGCTACTTATTTAATCCAGAGACATAAAAATAAGCACATTTATTATAAAAATAATAATAGGAGGAGAGATAGTCATAATTTCGATATATTAAATAACTTTTAAGTTCACCTCATATAGAATCAGCCAGCTATCTGTTTTCTGCTACCCAGAGGATCAGAATTAGTTTGAATTTTCATGTTTGATAGATATATTGGATCATCTCTTTAAAATCAAAATTATTATTTTCTTAATTAAGTTAATCATTGAAGTAAATCATTATAAGCTATATATAATACTTTTCCACTAATAAATAGTGTTAAATCAGCATTGCAAAGAGACCTTGATCATTTTTAATTACATTTCTTTTTATGGGCAGTTACAACGATCATGTCTAATATATAATTGCTAAAAAATAATAGCAAAATGATAGGCAAATCGATGGTTTCTCCAAGCACTATTACAATTGATGACGTAAAAGTTGCATTAGAACGGTTTTTGATTCCAGGAATTATTGTTAAAATCCCAGTTGAGTGTTTTACATCCAGCAACGAATTACTGTTTATTGGCACAAAAACTGGCGAAATTAGGATCATTCAGCTGGAAACCCAGCTAGAAGGAAGGCTTGAGGGCCACGTACTCCCCCCCTCCATGACTGAACAAAACCTTTAGAAAAATCGCTATTTTTTGCACAAAAACCCACCCTCTTAAGCGAATAAAAATTTGATATATAAGTGATAATTAACATAATGAAATCTCGAACTAATTCTGTTTAATTTTAACAATTTGCGTTTTTAAAACATAAATTCTACAAGTTAAATTAATATTTGCTTTAAAATTTTTGCGAAGTGGGATTTTTTTAAAATTTCGAAAAAAATTCTATAAAATTTATATTAAAAAAAAAATTAACCCCTTTCGTAAGCTAACAGAATTTTTTTGTTCGATCACGGAAGGGGGAGTTAGAAAAAGTCAGCTGCTTAAAATTAATTAAGCAAAATAATTACCTTATATCAGGATCTTATGATGGCTCTGTCAGAGTTTGGCTAATTGAAGAGCGAAAACATGTCTCTATCACCCAATTTCACAGTCAAGTTTCATGTATAGAAATTACTCCAGATAATTACTACATCGGAATTGGTACAAATGAAGGCATAATGCATATTTGGAACTATGAAAAAAATCAATTATGAGATTTAGAAGGGCACATTGGCAGAATAAAATCAATAAAAGCGACTCCTGATAATAAAACCTTTATTTCTTGTTCTGAAGATGGGTCTATCAGGCTCTGAAGCATTGAAGATAAGTCTTTATAATAAAATTAATATTTATTTTATAGGAACAGCTCTATATTTCTATATAAAAATTAATATACAATTGAAGCTTCATATGCTAATTTCTTTATAAAAAGAATAAAAATCAAATAAAATTGATAGAAGACATTGAATTTCCTTCAAAATTCAAACTAACTCATAGCGGAAAAATTATTGTAGCAGTAGCTGCTGATGTAGATTTAAGCTTTTGGAGCATCGAAGAAAGCAAGCAGCTTGAGAAAACTGAAGCTCATTCGCAATTAATAAATTGTTTAGAAATCACCAATGATGATAAAAGAGTTATCACTGCATCAAATGATGCTTCAATAAAAGTGTTCTTAATTGAAACAAAAAAACTTGAATTTACTCTTGAAGGCCACTTAGGAGAAGTTCAATCACTTGCAATCAGTAGCAATGACAGATATGTAATTTCTGGCTCATCTGATTTTACTGTAAGGGTATGAGATTTAAATAAAAAAGAACAAATCCATGCTTTAGATGGGGTTGAAGCTATTTCCTGACGATTAATGATGACTGAAGATAGAAATTACATTATATCTGCTCTTACTGACGAGTCACTAAGAGTTTGGCATTTAGATGAAAGAAAACCGAGTAGCATTTTAAAAGGCCACGAATCCGAAATAAAGCAACTGAAAATTACCAGAGATAGTAAATATATAATTTCAGGCTCAGGCGATAAAACTATCAGAATATGGAACGTGGAAGAGCAAAAAGAAGTAAACAGCCTTAGAGGCCATGGAGAAGAAATTAGTTGTATGCAGCTTTCATGTGACGATCAGTATATTATTTCTGGCTCCAAAGATGAGTCTGTAAGAGTGTGAAATATGGGTGGAAAATTCAAAGAAAATGTTATATACCTTTTTATATAAAAATAATTAATTTCTTTATGGGTTTTCAAAAAAATTCATTCTCTCTAATAGGTATAAAAAGAGAAGGGGTTAAATTTTTACACCTGCAAATTACGCTGGATAATTATTATATAGTGACTGCTGACTCTGAACATAAAGTTAGAATTTGGTCTCTAGATGAAGACTCTGGCTTTGAATATGTCCTTGAAGGCCATACTGACCTTATAAACGACTTGCAAGTTACCACTGATAGCCAATACATTGTAACTGGATCAAGAGACAACACGTTAAGAATTTGAAGCATTGAAGAAAAAAGATGCAGAGCCATTTTAGATAGCCACACAGACCATGTATTCTGTTTACAAATTACTAAAGACAATAAATACATTGTTTCTGGTGCCAATGACACAAATATAATTATTTGGAATATAAATAGTGGAGAAAATCTTGCAGTCCTGGAAGGGCATAAAAATGAATTAAGGTGTCTTGCTATTACAAGTGACAATAAAATCATAGTTTCTGGCTCAAATGACAAAACAATTAGACTCTGAAGCTTTGTAGATAAAAGGCAAATTTCAGTACTCAGAGGTCATGAGGATAGAATTTCTTGTCTAGAAATATCGAAAGACAATAATTACATTTATTCTGGCGCTTTTGACTCTACAGTGAGAATTTGGAATATAAAAGAAAGAAGACAAGAAGCTGTCCTCAAAGGGCACAATTATCCAATAAATTGTCTAAAAATTTCCTATGATGGGTCATATTTGGCATCTGGGTCGAAAGATAAAACAATTAGAATTTGGACCTTAAATGAAGTATTAATAACTACTAACGAGCTAAGGCAAACAAAGCAAATCAAATTTTATGGAGTTGGGACTGGAATAGACAATCAAATTTATTGCAAAAAGCTAACTAATGGTGAGCACCCTGATGAAACAATGATGAATACTTTGATTTATCCTTTGAAAATAAATATTTTGCATTATTATTGCTATTATGATTTAGTTGATGACTTATCAAAAGCTTTGCAGCTGAACTGTGCTATTTTTAAAGACATATATGGAAAAAGCCCACTACGGTACGCCATTGAGAGGAAATCCAGGAGAAGTTTAAATTTGATTCTTAGGTATATCATAGGGATTAGAAATGATATTATATTAGAACAATTTATGCACGGAATTAGGGATGATATTGTACCGTTATTCGGGTCATATTCAGAACTTTTACTTCCATTTCTATTTGCCTTGTTTAAAAAAAGTGAAGACAAAGATTTAATCGCGTTTGCAAGACCTAAAAGTAAGCTTCCTATTACTATTTTTTCTCCGTCAATTGTCCCATATTATCCAGACTTTGTGTATGGTCCAAAAGAAAATAACCTTGTGCCAGAAGTCTTGGTACAGTATTGGGCTAGTCCATTAAGCTGAAATTTCAGCAATGGCTCTAAAGACAGCTTAAAATTTTTAATAGGTGTTCATCAGTGCCCAAATATAGGTGTTTTCCCTATATAGCCCGATAAGGGCCGTGGGTTCTCCGTGGAATCCCTCTGCTGGTTGAACTGAATTGGTTAAACCAACGCACTGAGCTGGCTTGACCAACAGAGGGATTCCACGGAGAGAACCCACAGCCCTTATCGGGCCATATAGGGAAAACCCCTATATAGATATAGAGGTTTCCTCTATATAGCGCTAAAAGCGCAGACATTTTCCCAGGAGCTTTCCAAGTTCGTCGGACCAAATCGCTTTTTGGTCCGACCAAGGCATTGATTTGGTGCAACCTACCGATAAATTCCGATCAGAATTTATCGGCCTTATAGCGCCAAACATAGGAAACTTCTATATATATAGGACTCCTCTAATTAGATGGCTTATAAGGCTGAAATGAGAAGAAATGAAATATTTTACAGTATCATTTACCATTCTTTTCTACCTCAATCTTGTTGCAATGGCTGTTATAATGGACACTCCATCAATCCCTATTTATATCGTTTTTTGGGTTATAAATTTCCTGCTATTTTCCTATGAAATATTCCAGTTGTATTCTTTAAGGCTAGTTTACTTCGAAGATGTCTGAAATTATCATGATATTGTTAGGCTTGCGTTATGCTTTACATGAAGTATTCTTGATATACAAGGTTATAGATATGATGTGCTTACATTTTTAACAGTAATATCCAATTTCTTAAGAGGAATTCACTATACCATTTATAGAAAATAAAAGCATTTGCATTTTTTACTAGTTAATATAAAAAATAGAATAATATTAAATAAAAAGACTTACTCCCTCATTTAATAAGGAACACTTTTTTTGTTCGATATTAAATGGGGTCTAACTTATAAAATTTTTTGGGAAAAAAAATATATAAAATTTATATTAAATATTAAATATTCATGATTTTTTTATATAAAAATTTCAATTAAAGGGTTAATAATAAAAGGAGTCAAATGATGGCAACAGAAAGAGAAAGCTCCTAAATGCATGTGAAAAGATAATTATTGCTAACTCCCTCCCCCTCCCTGAGCGAAAAAAAAAGCATTAAAAAATCCCTCACCCTCTGTGAGCGAACAAAAATGTTTTTAATAGAAAAAATATTTTACGGAAAAAATTTTGATATATAAGCGATAATTATTATAATGAAATCTCGAGCTAATTCTGTTTAATTTTAAACAAATTGCGTTTTAAAACATAAATTTTACAAATTCAATTAATATTTGCTTTCCAATTTTTGCGAATTAGGATTTTTTTAAATTTCGTAAAAAAAAATTTTCTATACAATTTTTATATAATTTGTTTTACAAAAAAAAATTAACCCCCTCCATGACTGAACGAGAGATTTTTTTGTTCGCTCACGGAGGGGAAGTAAAGCACCAGATTAAGATTAAGCCACTAGTAACTTATTAGCTCTTTATTTATTATTCTTTGCTCGATTATGCTTGTCCTTATCTTACTCTAACTACTTAAAATTAGTAAACTGTAAAGACCAAATTAGCTTATATAAATTCTATAGTAAATTTTGTTCGTTATTAAATGGGGTCTAAGAAAAAATTTTTAGAAAAGCAAATGACGGTTTTGTTCCTTATTAAATGGGGGGTGGAGTTAGTGTCTATAGCAAGGCATATTTCAGAGCTTTCGATAAAACACGTTTCTATGTGAGATTAGTCTTCAGAGCTGCCTATGACACTGTTTACTTTTTGTTTATTCTATTATATTCTACCTTTGCTTTTGGTGTTTTATATGCTTCAGCTAAAAGCGATGATGTTGAAATAGAGAAAAGCTGGAAAATTTCTTATGAATTAGATATGGGCTATTTCAATAATGAAGGCTATAATGGTCTGCAATACCTCTGCTTTTCTTTGGCTAGCATCCTCAACGTCATTTTAATAGGCAACCTTCTGATTTCAGTACTAGGAGATTCCTTCAAAAAATTTCAGCGGAGCGCAGAAGCTCTAGATTTCAAAGAAATGCTTGACGTCGTCATTGAATTCGAGTCTCTTATGTTCTGAAAGCGAAAATCAGGTCAGCGGACTTATCTTCAAATGTGTGATTTTTATCAACAAAACGAAAAGCCAGATGCTGCTGGTAAGTTTACCCAGCAGCAAGGCAATAAAATAGAAATTTTCAAAAACGACGTGATTGAAAGCTTCAAAGATAAAACCTCTTCATTAGAAGAAAAGCTGACCGATAAAATAAATGAAAAAATAAACGCTCTTGATATGAAATTTTATTCTTTAGAAACAAAAATCAAAGAAAATGAAGAAAAAATGGCAGCTCAGGAAGAAAGGCTGAATAAAAAATTGGACTCAATTTTAGAACTTTTAAATAAAAAATAATTTAAAATTTATTGCTATATCCTGCCGTCTTAAAGATCAATTATTTATTCTCTGCTAAAGTGGTTTTTTAATTACAAAATTATTTTTTTAACAAATTTCATTGGTTTCTTTATACCAAGAAGATTTAATACTTCATCTGGAATTTCAAAATTCTTCAAAGCTGTTTCATGGAAATTTAGCTTCATTAGAATATCAGAATCCTCAAAACAGTAATATTTTTTCTGAAGCTTTATTGAAACTTCTGTGTTGCCTTTACTACAGTCTATATGAATCTATATAAAGTTTACATTTTTTGCTTTTTCTTCTTCTGTAGCTACTATAATGAATGGGAAGCGAATTATTTCACGACTCATTATAAATTTTTTGTTTCTGTTTATAAGTGATTTTATTGAAAGATATTTGTATGAGAGCTGTTTAAGTGATTTTTTCTTACTCTTATAATATTGCCTAAATTCTAATATTTTGCTAAAATTTTTGAAAAATGGAAATTATTTTACAATACTATTTTTTGCTGTATGCAATAAGAGTGCATAATATATGTTAAACTCATATTTTATTTTTCTATTTCTCTCCATTAAGAAGGAAATCTAGTTTCAATTCTTTTTTTAGCTTCATCCAAGCTGTTTTTAATTTTAAAATTTTCATTTGGAATAACAACACTTTTCATACCTTTCCAAAAGTACCTTTTTCCTTCTTTACGCAATACGTCAGATGCTATTAAAACATTAAGTGCATCATACACTCTTCTTAAAATATTTTTTCCATCCTTATCTGAATTAAAACCTTCTGCTCTGTTAAGCTCTAAAATCAGCTCATCTGCAACTTCTTTGTAAGAACTAAATCCATTCCGAGATATTATATCCTTTACTCTTACACTTAACATTTTTAAGCCTTTCCCCATTCTAGGGGTGCTTTGTTCTGAATAAGGCACTTTTGGAGAAAGTGGGGTGCTAGCTATAGTAGGCTTATAAACTGGGACTGGGGTCATACAAGGAGTGCTTGTCCACATAGAACTTAAAGAATTGTCTTCAAAGTCAAGAGGATCACTTTCATCGTAATTTCTCAGCCCTAAATCATATGCTTCAGATATGTCATAGATACGATTTTCATAAAAAGTTTTTAAAAATTCCTCTCTAACCCCTCGTGAAATGTCCCACGGTTTCGGTGAATATTGGCTACTGCTAGGAGTTATAGATCCAAGCTCATCCTGCATTGGATCTTGGTATTCTGATGTGATTTGGGCTATCACATCGATCACAGTCAAAGGTTTATTAAAGGCACCTTGATGAGGCAAATAACCCAAATTGAGGAAAATATAATATAATGATGTATCTGAAGAGAGATGAGGAATATAACTCTTAAGGACATCAGATGTATCATGCGAATTCTGTAAATCTTTGATTAATGATTTGATGTGGGCAGGATATAAATAAAATGGCATTCGGGTCGAGAGGAATTAGCTCATTCCCTCATGGAATTTTATTTATGGGGTTGGGTTTTCTCGAGAACTTCTGCACAGCAATAGCTGTTTAACTTTGGGGATAACCAAAGGAACAACTCCTCAGTGCATTCAAGAGGCTCAGGGTTTTACCTCTCAGCACATCTCCACGGGAAGATGACCCTTAGGCGGAACACGCGCAGGAGCTGAGTCAGGGCGAGTGACAGCAACGCGCAGGGTGAGACGTGCAGGCGGCTGGAGACTAGCGTTGATAGAAGACTTGGCCGGTTGGGCTGACCACCGCGATTCCAAGATGGCTCCGTGACGTCACCAATTTAGCCATATTTCCCCACGTGGGATTGCGGCACTAGACACCTTAGATACCAGATAATAAGTTAAGTTAAGATGTGGGCAGGATAATATTTAGATTGGTCCATTACCAATATAAAGGTTATGATTTAATAACTAAATGCATTCTCAATATGGAGTTATATCATTTTTAAGCTATTTAAGTTTCAGCTATGTTAGTTTTTAAAAAATTTCTTGAAGAAAACAATTTATGATTAATAAATTATTTAATATGAAATTATCCTTACTCCCCCCCCCTCCGTGAGTGAACAAAAAAATTTTGTTCACTCACGGAGGGGGATTAATTTTTTTGTTTTAAAAAAATTTATATATAAATTTTATAAAAAATATTTTTTTTCGAAATTTAAAAAAATCTAATTCGCAAAAATTGGAAAGCAAATATTAATTTAATTTATAAAATTTATGTTTTAAAAAGCAATTTGTTTAAAATTAAACAGAATTAGCTCTAGAGATTTCATTATACTAATTATCATTTGTATATCTAAATTTTTTTCAATAAAAATTTTTTCTATTAAAAAAAATTTTTGTTCACTCATGGAGGGTGGGTTTTTGGGGGCAAAAAATAGCGATTTTTCTAATGGTTTTGTTCACTAACGGAGGGGGGGGAGTTAATGAGAATTTTTATAAGGATAATGCAATAAATGAGAAAATCATTGATTTCGCAGATAACTAGTTCTCTGCAATGAGCACATAATGAAAAAATTTGAAAGATAAACACATAATGGATATTAATTTGATATAAAGGTGGAATTAGCATATAGTCTTAGAAAAATAATTACAAATAAATGGAAGCATTTATCAAAAAAAATTATGCATGAATCCTAAAGAATTAATTAAAACTATAGATAAATTCATAATTTCAAAAATGAACAGAAAGGCCATTGCATTACACCTTAAGGTAAAAGTACAGGATTTCTCTAGCCAAAAAACTAATTTTATTAACTATTAGTCTGCCTAAATTTATTATCAAAAAATTCTAGACATACAAGTTCCCAATTTTCATAATGCGATATCACAAGCTTCTCACAAATTTCGCTATCCAAGATTATATAATCTTGTTTTTTAGTTTCTGGATCATAAATATCAACAGTAGGCATGATGAACTGGCAATTATAAGTAGTCCCATCAATCATGACGTCTGCTTTGCAAGGCTCAAGTTTATTATCATTATTCCCTAAAAACTCAAAGCTATCTATTACGAGCTTCAGTTTCCAAACTTTTTTCTTCCTTACCTCTAAGCTTGAAATTTTACACCCAATCACTAAATTTTCTAACTCCACCCTCCGTGAGCGAACAAAAAAATTTTACTCGCTCATGGAGTGGGCTAATAATTTTTTTTAAAAATTTATATATAAATTTTATAGAATTTTTTTTTTCAAAATTTAAAAATTGAGAAGCAAAAATTAATTTATTTTTGCGAAATTTATATTTTAAAGCACTAGCTGTTTAAATTTAATAATCAGAGATTTCGTTATAATAATTATCATTTATATATCAAATTTTTTTTCGTTTTTGTTCGCTCACGGAGGATGGGTTTTTGGGAAGAAAAATAGGGATTTTTCTCATGGTTTTGTTCAATCACGGAGGGAGAGTAAAAATTTTTCTCTATTTTTCTCAAAAAGTGCAAGAAGTGAAGCGATATCTTCAATTTTGTATGAATATTTAGCTTCAATTTCATTATTTTTCAATATAACTTCAGGCGCATTTAATGATAAAATCACTGTTTTTTCGTTTTGAACTGTATTAGCTTTAAGGGAGCTTGTATCCGTCCCTGATCTTCTTGCGCGAAGAGATTTTTCTTCTAATTCATGTAGCTTGAAATAATTCAATCATTTTTCGTTTCATTCGTTAAAATTGGCTTCAATCATTTGCTTTAAAAGACCAAGAGGGATTGGACGAATAGCACTGACGCCAACTGCATATACTTCAACAGTTGGTAGGCTTATTTTCCAAATGTGGCCTGTTTGCTTTGTTTTTATTATTACTGGGGTTTTATGATAATCCCAACTGTTTCTCTCTTCCTCAGAAAATCACAGATTTAGCTGTTTTTCAGTATCTTTTGTATTTTCTGGATAATAAATGCTTGATTTCACAGGGGAATCAGGAGATAGCTTATCATCTATAGATTTTATTATTTTTTTGCACGCCGCTAATGCATTTGATCCTTCCCAACACATAATAACAGCTGGGCCTTCAATTAACTCTTCAACTATTTTTTTATAATTTTCGTTTTGGCTTAAATCTTTATAAAACTCTTCTACAAGTTCTTTGCTCGGTTTTATTATTTTATTCGCTTTTATACTTAGTCCAGCAGATTCTAGCTTTTTAATTGTCTGTCCTATAACTCTCCTTTTAACAGCATTTGGCTTTAATAGTAGAAATGCTCTTTGAAAGTCTGAGTGAAACAGAATTTGTGAATATTTCTCAGAAATTTCTGCGAATGATGTGGAGTAATTTTCTTTTTTCATAAAAGTTAGCTGATTATTTCCTATAAAAACACTAATTGTGACGTTGGTGATGATATCAAGATCGGTTCCAAAGACTACATGCTTCAGTAAAGAAAGAGGGAGTTTTAAATCAAAATCAACCCCCTCAACATTAATTATAGCTGAATTCAGCTTTAATATTATTCCTGGTATTTCATAAGTCAGACAAGAATTTTCTGCTATGTTATGCGCTTCTATTTGTTCCTCAAAAATCTGAATATTTGGTATCGATATAGGAGTTCTCCTTGCTGAGTCTTCACTTTCCAGATAATTCGTTTCAGTAGGAATATTAAGCTTTGGAATCACAACTTCTTCTACTTTATTTTTTTCCTGATCATCTTCAAGCTTTTTGTCTTCTTGTTTTGTATTTTCCAGATTTTTTAATGCTTTGAACTCTTCTTCAATTTCTTTATCTTCATTTTCCCTAAGCTGGTTGAGGTTGTTAACAGCATATATATAAAATGACGATGACGTCTGACGGCCCTCTTGTGTGACGGTAACCCATGTATATCCGGGAATGGTTTTTAGAGTCGGGAGTTTGTCCAAAATATCTGCTGTCCTGTAGTGAGGGACTTAAGCACAAATCTGCTGGATTGTGGCCTGATCAAATAGGCAGTTACTCATAATTTTTTTTGCTATAGCATCTGAGCCAGCGGACATGCTCGAAATGGAGTAAAGTGGATTGCCTTATCAAGCTGAAAGAGTGGTCTGCCCCGAATCGCAGGAGCGGTTGAATTTTCTTCAGGATTGACTTTGAAAAAGGAAGGCAGGCATGACAACAAGGCAGCCTCTCCGGCTCAAAGAGAGTGATACCGGCCAAGGGTGATAGGCTAGTCAAAGGGACTAAGTTGGAAATTCTTTAATCCAATAGGGCAATAGCACTATCGATAAGCCAGGGATTCCAACCTGGGCTTAGAGTTGCCAACCCAATTCGACTGTGCGGCCAGGCAGCTAGTGCCGCGCAGAATGCCACCAAAGAGAAGTGGACTCTAAATACCCATCGAATAATCTAATCTAAGTTCATTAACAGCAATTTCTTTATTTTTAAATTTTTCTACTGTCGTTATAACTGGGTGAAAGTTTTCTGGCTTCTCAATCACCAGTTCAGATTCTTGATTTTCTGCAATTTCTTCAATTAGATGTGCATCTTTATAGAACTCTATTGGGTTTTCACTTTTTGTTGTATCCGCTCCAATAGATTTATAGTCAACGATATCAGACCTATTGCTGTATCCTGACAATTCAAGCGAAAATGCTTGCTTTTCTTTTTCTTGAATTTCAGTTGTTTTCGAAAGTCTGCTGGTATAGTGTTTCCGAGTTAACGGAGGCAAGTTTTTTGGCTTGCGGATTCTTCCTAATATTTGCCGCTCATGAAGAGAAGTAAAAATAACTGCAGGCTGACTGTAAAGCCTAGTAAAACTCATTACATTATCTCCTCGATTTTGGTTTTTATTGGTATTATCATTCGAAGTTTTAAAAGATTTAGCTCTTAGCCTTTCTTGATCTCTTGAAATCAATCTGCGGAAAGGAGCTGTTGATTGAAATGGCGAATACAGTTGTAATGGGACTAATCGTGTTGGTTTCGAGTATTGCTCCATTTATATATAAGATTTAACATGATTTATTTTTATTTTTTCCTTTTCAATATAGGTAAAAAGTTATAGGACACTGATTACTCAATTTTAAGCTGTATTTTATTATCAGTTTTATTACAAATACAGTTTATTTTGAAAAATAAGTTAATAAAATTGGGTTTTAGTTGGAAGAATAAGTGGCTTCACCTGCATGTCCTCCTGCTCCATTACAGAGGAACTTTGAAAATGCTGCACAAGGTTTTGTCTTCCTTGAATTCGCGCATAAGCTAATGCGCAGATCTTTTCACTATTGAATCTTTCCCATCTTTTCCCATTAAATTGATTACAAACCAGCGGAATGATTTGTGGATTCAAGAAATTAATGAAAGCATAGCCCACATTGCAGTTATTCTAAATATAATTTACCTTGAAATCAATTGGAAGGTAAAAAAAGTCATACGAGCATGGGAAATGTCGATCAATGGTATCAAGCAACATTTGCTGAGTGTACTTATTAGGGATGTTTTTAATCATAATTGTCGTTCTTATATCTTCCCCTCTCTCAATGCTCTCTACATTTATTGTATAATATTCATTGTTTCTTTAATTTCTATCACATTTATAATTTAATTTCTATATAAAATAATGCTAATTTATAAGATAAATTTACTTTAAAACAGCCTACATCTTTTCATCTTCGTCCATCATTTTTTTCCTCTGTTTTCTTCTCTCATCAAATGGACTTTCCTTATTTGACCCTTCAGAGCTATAGGACGAAAAGTACATATAAGGGCTTGGCTCTGTTGACTCTGAGCTTACACTGCTATCGAAATCCTGCTTGTAGTTTAAAGGGTTGTCATGAAACTCGTTTTCAAAAAACTTTTCAGGCTCAGTTTCGATTGGATTTGTAAGTTCAGAATAGGCTCTTCTGGCACATCTGACGTCAAAATAGTGGAGAAGTACATAAGTGCCGACAATTTGGGTGTACATGATATCTCCAAACGATTGAAACAGGTAAAGCCTTTCAAGATAAGTAGGATGAGGGATAACCAAATAGTCAGCATTAGTTGGGTCTGAATTAGGTGCAACGAATTTGACTTCACATTTAGGCTGGAGGGCAAATTTAGCTTTGCAAGCGTCTCGGATATCAAAATACGACACTGAGAGAATCCCGTGCTTCTTCTTACCTAAGTCTATAGATTGGAGATCTCCAAATGCTTGGAGGTCGGGCAATAGTGCTTCTGGGGAGTCAAGTCCGACAATTTCCAAGACCCGTGATGGGGTTTCAGGCTCAAGCTCACATGTAGTAATTTTCTCAAAGATCCTGAGCCTGCGCCTTTTAGTTAGACATGTGTGATTGGACATATATAAGGAAAGAATTATGAAAATGTTGAGCGGTTTGAGAACTGATTAAATTTATTTTATGGTGATTTATATGAATGATTGTAGTTATATTTAAAATTTTATAGTGATTATCTTACTCCCCCCTATCCTTGATCGAACGATTGACTGTAAAAATTCCTAAAAATTGGGAAAATTAACCCCCATCCTTGATCGAACGATTTTCATATCATGCAAATTTATATATATATATAAAAATATATTAGTTATCAGAAGCTTGGGAAGATGTACATAATGAAGTTGTTTTCAGAGACTTTGAGACGACAAAAAGCTATGAAATCAACCATTCGAAGTGATTTAGTCATCAACCTAGGCTTGAAAAACTTAATAATCTAAAAAAATAGAGATTCTTTAAAATTAAAAAAAAAAAAATTTTTAATTCAATAAGGAACAAATTAAAATTTATAAAGTTTGAAGGGGTAACTAATAAATCAAAATATTAAAAATTGGTATTTTTATGAAATTAATTCAAATTTTTGCTGTAAAAATAATTATTAAATACTCTTAACCCTCTTATTTAAAAGTAAATAAAAAAATATATATATTTTATTTTTTATATATAAAATTTTTTTTTTCCCATCCTTGATCGAACGATGGTGAGCCGTTCGATCAAGGATGGGGGATTTAGGTAAAATGGTATAGAGAATAATAAAGAACAGAATATCTTTTTTAAACGCAAAAAATTACCGCTTTATATTTCAATTTGGGGTATTACTTAAAAGTGATTTGAATTAGGGACAGTAATAATTTTTATTAGTAAAATAATTTCTTATATCAGATTTGATATTTTTAAATAAATTTCATTATAGAAAAGGTTAAAGCTTTAATTTTCCAATATTTCTAGAACTGGTCATTGAATTTTGAATTTTTATTAAAATGGCTTGACAGAAATCATATTTATTTTTACATAATCACTTATGTTACGCCTCTTTCGGCAGATCTATCATTTGTGCTAAATTTTCCATTTGTTTATACATTCTGTTCATTCTTTGTTCTAGGTTTTTTACTGACGTATTGATGTCCAAAATTGCTTGCTCTCTATATGTATTCAGCTCAGTTAATTTTTCTTTTTTTCGTTTAAATGCAAGTAATTGCTGCCTGAGATGAAGATAAGCAATAATTGTGTGTGGGTGGTCTGGGCCTCTTTTTCTTTTAGATACATAATAGTTCATGCCTTTTTGGATTGTTTTTGCAGCTGCAGTCGTCTTTAAAATGCTTAAAAACGCTTTACTTTGGTTATTATTGAGTGTGATTTGCCCATCAACTGCTACAATAATGGTTGAAAAAATTAAGGCGCCGAGTAAAAATCCAAGCACACAGATCATTCTGCCAAAGAAACTTATAGGATAAAAATCACCATAGCCTATAGTTGCCATTGTTGTAAACATAAGCCACAGCGCATTTAAAGGATTTTGGTAATCTTGTCCTGATAAATCAATTAATGGTCTTTCAAAAATTCTGACTAAGCTTCCTAATATAAAAATTGTTGGAATTCCTATCACATATGCAACCATATAAAGTGGATGCTGCTTCAATATGCACTTGAAGGAAAACCTGACATTTGCTTTTACATTATTTCTTTCACAATATCGTCTTGCTAAATGATCTTCATATGGGGCAAAATTAGCTAAGGCTCTTAATAAGAAGATAAACCTGCCAAACATAATCACATAAAATATCTCGGATAAAGTATAATATTTTCTATAAATAATAAGGCTAGCTTTAGTTTGTAGACGGATAGGCTATTTTAAGAAAATTAGTATATAGCAAACGGTCAAAGTTTCATATTGCCACCTGAATGGCATTGGAATTCCTGCATGCATAAAAGGATAAGGAAAAACCAAAAGCATAATAATTTCTAAAATCCTGACAATATTAAACGTACTTTTTTTCTTCAGTGGCTTCCTTCTCTTAATCACATTTAAACTAGCCTCAGCTTCATGCAAATATTTATCCCACAACGCCTTTTTTTGGTCTCTTAGTATAAGAAAGAACAGAGACATCGCTGTAGTAGTTGTAGTAATATAACGGAAAAGCTCATCGTCTGTTCCCTCAGCACAATTTCAATGGTTTCGGTCTAGAGAATAGTTAAACTCATAATCCAGTGTTGCAGAAACAATTCCTGCAATTGCGAAAACAGCTGACAAAAATTCACATAAGCTCCAATTATCAAAAAGCTGCTCAGAGCGGGTGATTTTGTTTATTTTTCGCCTAGAAATAGCGTTTTCTGCCAAATCAGTCATATTACTGGAAAAATAATTAATATAGAAATTAGAGACTTTTGGTATAAAAAACAATTCCTTTGCAGTAGCAAAGCTAGTAGAAAAAATATCAAAAAAGTTCATCTTATTTATGTCCAATCCAGTAATTAAATAAAGCTTCATATCATGGGGAATTGTTTCAAAAAAGAGAAACCTGTTAAGACTGACACAACTCCAAGGAAAAGAAGTAGAAGAATGACACCTATGCTAGATACAATAATCCACAAAAGCTCAATCCACCCCAGCATTATTACAATGAATGTCAAAGATTTCTGAAAGATTCATGAAATTATTGGAAAAGGGCATTTCGGTGCTGTTTATAGGGGAACACCTGTGGACAATTTATACAAAAACTATGCAATAAAATCGATCCCTAAAAAAATGTTCAGAAAAGATAATAGAATACGATACCTAAAAGGGGAGCTTGAGACTTTACAAATGTTAGACCACCCTAATATCATTAAACTTTACCAAAGCTATGAGGATTCTAGTTCATTATACTTAGCCCTTCCTTTTAAAAAATTATATTAATTTTATATGCCTTTCAATAAAAAAATTGCTATTATTTTTTGTAAAAAAAAGATAGTAACAGAATATTGCTCAGGAGGCAAACTTTTAGACAAAATAATAACCCGCCGGGTATTTTCAGAAAAAGAAGCTGCATCTATTATTTTAAAAATTTTAAAGACAATTTTTTATCTCCACGCAAATAACATATCTCACAGGGACATAAAGCCGGATAATTTCCTATTTGAGAATAATAGTGAAAAAGCTGAACTGAAACTGATTGACTTCGGACTGTCTAAAATTTGCGGATCTGAAGCTAGGATTAGTTCTGTGGTTGGAACACCACAATATGTTGCACCTGAAGTGCTAGAAGGAAATTATGACAGTAAATGCGATTTATGAAGCTTAGGTGCAATAATGTATCTTATGCTGACAGGCAAAATGGCAATGGACGTCAGAAGTCCTGCTGAGGCATTCGTCGCATTGAAAACTAAAGAAGTCAGAACACAAGGGCCTGATATTGACATGATCAGTGCGTCTGGAAAAGATCTGCTTTGAAAGTTGTTGAAAAAAAATCCTAGGGAAAGAATTGATGCAAGGGATGCCCTTGAGCACAAGTGGTTTACAGAGCAGAAAGAGAAAAAATCAATTGGCATTGACCCAGAAATATTTCATTGTTTGAAAAAGTATAAGTACACTAGTTTATTAAAAAAAGATGCAATGGATATCATTGTGAAAGATTTGACTTATGCAGAAATCTGCGATTTAACTCGTTCCTCCGTTATGAACAAAAAAAATCTTGTTCGCTTACGGAGGGATTAATTTTTTAAAAAAAAAAATATATTTATACATTTTATAGAATTTTTTTTCGAAATTTAAAAAAAATCCCATTTCGCAAAAATTTGAAAGTAAATATTAATTAAATTTGTAAAATTTATGTTTTAAAAAACAATTTGTTTAAAATTAAACAGAATTACCTCGACATTTCATTATAGTAATTATCACACTTATATATCAAAATTTTTTCTATTAAAAAAATTTTTGTTCGCTCACGGAGGGCAGGTTTTTTTGGGCAAAAAAATAGGGATTTTTCCAATGATTTTGTTCGCTCACGAAGGGGGAATAAGAAAAGCTTTTGTGCAGATTGATAAATCAAATCTGGGAGTAATAAATATTGATGACCTATCCACAGCTGCAAAAAAGGCAAAATATAAGCTTAAAGATAACGATATCATGAGCATATTTGCCAATGTAGGCTCAGAAACTAATTTAACTATCAAATATTCAGAATTTTTGGCAGCCACTTTAAGCTATAAGAATGTAATTTTAAGTTTAAGTTTAACGAATTACTCTCGCATATCACCATCAGTCTTCTTTTACTTGAGGGTCCAAGCTACATTAATAGCTCTGAGCAACAATATGTGGACAGGCCTAACCGTCGAACCGTTAAAATTTTATAAACCCATTAAGACTTCTCTAGTCATTGCTAGCCTCAGCACTGACCTCTTCTCTTTAAGCCGAGACTCTCAAGAAGCTTGACTTCTCTCACTAAGCTCGGTGGTAGAACTATTACCTAGTTAACAGGAGTTAGGACCTATCCCTAACTAATATTTTTAATATTGTGAAGAATGCAATAAACGAGAAGCTGCTTCGGGAAACTTTTAGTGCTTTTGATATCAATGAATGTGGATTTATCAATGAAGCAAATTTTATTGAAGCTTTAAAGAGGAGAGGCAATAATGTAGACCCAGAAAAAGTAAAATCCATGATAAAAGATCTTGGGAAAACAAATCCTGGGTTTATCACTTTTGAAGAATTTAAAGCAGAAATCGTTGACAAAGATGAGTAATCTGAAGAGCTAGCAGATTGAAGCATATTTTAAATATAAAATTTATAATAAATAGAGTTTCTAATATAAAAAATTTAACTATTTCTTATGTAAGTAGCTGTTTTTAGAGAAGTTTTTATTGGTTATAATGAGATTATGTTAGTTTTTTTGTATAATATTAGCTTCCAAAAAATGTTTATTAAGAATCAACTATACCCACTTCCATGGGATGAACCGAAAAAGAAAATCCGAATAAAAACTTCGAAATATTTTCATGAAAAAGACCAACTATGAGGATCTTTGGAACATACATCACCAAAAATGTGAAAGTTTTATTTGAAGCAAAATTCTCCACAGAACATTGCAGAACCAAAAAGGCCAAATACAGCATCTTTTATTCCACAAAAATCGTTATCAGGTGATGATTTATTTCAAAAAATAAAAGAAAAAGAGACTTCTTTATCTTCTAAAAGGACATGTTCTACTTCTCAAACACCAAAAAGCAGTTATCTTGCAAATGGAAAAGCATTGACTTACAAAAATCCGAATTCTAAAGTTTTGCATAAGAACTTGCAAGCTTTTGACCAATACAACGATTTACCATCAAATAAGCTAAAAATACTTTTAGATCCACGAATAGTTAAATTAGACGAAAAAGGAGTTAGATCAATTCAGAAAAAATTAGAAGAAGAACAAAAAGAAGAAGAAAAAAAAGAAAACTGGATCAAAGAAAACAGATACAAAACCATAGCTACTTTTTTAAAAAAACAGCAGTATTCTAAAGATCTCCAAGAAAGATCAGGCTTACGATACATAAGATGTGGCCCAGAAAAATGCTCACCTACTATAACAGACAGACTAGCTATCCTTTCAACCCCAAAATCTAAAAAACAAATAAAACCTGAAGATCTACTTGACGCTCGAGGGTTACTTACAATAGACTACGAAGACGCCATCCGGGAGGTTTCAGGGTTTCCAAGAGCCTCAAAAACTTCCCAATTAGCTCTCCGAAAATCAGAAATTTTCCCAATCCCTCTCTCTTTACAACAAACTGACAGAATCTCCAGCAAAACCCCAAAATCAAAATCCACAACCCGCTCGTTTTCTGTGCATTCTAAAAAATGTGCCTTATCTCAAACAGAAATCAAAGAAGGCTTAAAAGACATCAACGACTTCCACAAAAAATTCGGCGAACTCAAAGGACGTGTCGGATTTCCACAAATCGACCTAGAAAAATATAAATCGTGTAATAATCCCTAAGCTTATTTAAGCGCATTTAAAAAGAATGGATTGAGAATGGTGTGGTAAGCCCTAAATGGCTCTGGTTTAGGAGTTTTGCGATGGAATTTCAACTCTTTAGGCTGTCTAGGTAGAATTCTTGCTCCCCACTCTCTTGCAGGCTTCAGCTCATTTCTGATATTAAATAGCTGGAATGGCATTTCGTCATATTCAGGGTTGCCAAACTCCGGCACAGGTGTGACAGTTTTTTTCAATGGTATAAACCCTTTTGCAGCAATCAGCTCTTTTTTGCTTCTTACTCTTTTAGGCAAGTTTTTAATGTCTTGTACATCAGCTTTTGTAAACGGCACTGCAATACTTTCATAAGTCGCAATAATTTTTTCAGCAACATCTACAGTGACCCCAATTTGTTCAGCAAGGTCTTTTGCATCGACCCTGGCGTTTTCGTCGTCACCTTCTTCTAATCCTGTAACAAAATTCATTAAAGCAGCTTTTTGGTCTGTGGTGCCGCTTGGATACGCTCTTTGGATTGCTTCTAAATAATTAGAGAACTTGTTAATGGCCTGTGTGAGATCTTTTTTAGCTTCTTCTGCTGCTTCAGAGTTTCCAAAAACAGCTCTGGCGTTGTCTTGTTGCATTTTTTTTGCTTCATCGATTTTTCGTTCTCTTTCTTCGATTTCGTCTATATATTGTATGTATCTGGGTCCAAATTCATGAGCACGAGGATGCATTTGCGGTGAGGTATAAGTTTTCTCTGGCTTTGGGTAAAGGGTGGAAATGCCCATTGGTGGAGGTCTTGGAGGGATAAATTCTGCCTTTGCCAAAAAGGCGATGACACCTTTGGTAGGCTGAGCTCCTATACTAAGCCAATATTTGATTCTGGGACGATTAATGAGAATTCTTCTTTCTAGCTCTCTGCGTCTTTCAGGAAACCAATAGCCTAAGCGCTCAATAGCAAAACCTTTAGGATTCCTTCTGTTTGAAGAAGCAATTAGCATTCAGTAGGGATTATTTCTCGTGCCTTTTCGTTGAAGTCTAATGCGAGCAGGCATATTTTATATTTAGTGATAAAAATGAAGGCTTTTTTAACTTTAAAAGCTTTCATATTTCATAATTTATGGAAATACCTCTTGGGTCTCTTGGAGAGTTTCTTGATTTATCTTTTACCACAACAAAAACACGTGCACAAACTGCAAAAACAGAGCCTTTTTCAAACTCTTATCGCCAGGCACACGGAAGGCAGTATTCAGGAGCAGCAACTACCCCAACAGCCAAGCCAAGCGCAAAGCAGTATTTCTCTACAAATAGCCGGTCATTCCACAATATAAAAGCAGATAACTCTAATGAGGGCTACTGTTTCACAAATTCAATTAAGCTTGCTCATGAAAGAGTTAGGCTGCAATCTCAGCAGCAGCCTCGTCCTATGACTCGGGGTGTTACGCTCAAAGCTCGACCCAAAACGACAGAGTCTAAAAATTCAAAAAAAACTACAGTTACAAAAAAAGTAGAAGAAGACGCTACCAAGCCTTTAGAAGAGCTAGAAAACAACGTTAGAAGTGAATTACAGTAAAATTCATATAGAATGCGGGCTAATCATTTTTTGATTAGGACGATGAAAAGAGAACAAGCGCTTATAAACCAGGCAGGCGTCGTTAAACAGTCTACATCTGATAACTTGTTTTATGAACTTGCAGGGCATGTGATGAATATTCATAAAGAAGAAACAAGGGCAAAAACCCCAGATAATAATCATTATAAGCCGACTTTAAATAATCTGAGCTTTGAATCTGCCCAACAAAAGCTTGCACAGAGCTCTATTGATTTTTGACTGAAAAAGAGAGGGATTGGGAAAGAGACGAAATATGATTTAAACCATTTTTCTACAGCTCTTTTTGAGCAGCTTGATATAAATGGAGTCGGGTATTTAGAAGGAGAAGCCGTTTTACAGTCTTTATTAAGACTAGGAATTGCTACTGATCCTACCATACTGAGAAAAACGCTTGGGCTTAGTTTCCGCACGAATTCTTTAAAAACGCTAAAAATCCATCTGCATGATTTTAAAACACTTTTTAAGTCAGACGGGAGAACTAATTCTATATTGACAAGAATGAATGAGCTTTCCCTTGAAGAAAGAGAAAATAAATCAAGAAGAACCTCAAAAACTGAAAGGAATTCTGACTATGAAGACGATAGCTCAATAATAAGCAGCAAAGGAAATAAAAAAGAAAGCTGATTTAAGCTGTTTAAAATTGGATTTGGAAGGCAGCTCACTGGCAGTGATTTTGGGAAGAAAAAATTAGACTCTATTGTCACCATAAACGAGCACGAAGATTTAATTAAAAAATGATGAAAAGAAATAGACCCTAATGAGAAAAACCAGGTCACCATAAATGAAGTTGCATTAAAATTAGCTGAGCTAAAATTCGCACCTAATCGGAATGAGTCTAAAAGGATAATTTATGGAATAATCGGTATAAAATCACATGTGAGCAACACTCAATTTCATCAAATTTTCGCAAAAAGTATGCTGATAGGTTCTTTATTAAATTTATCAAATAGGCTATTTGAAGAAAATTCAAACCCTTCTACCGCAAATTCTCTTAAAATTTCTTCATATCAGAGATCATTAATAATGTCTGGGATAAGATGCCCGAATTCTGATATTTCAATTGAAGAAGGCTCCAACACCATAAAAGCAGTCGAAAAATATCAAATTCAAGCAGAAGGACAAATTATTAAAGTTGACCCTGATGAGCTCCGTTCCAAAATGCTAAAACTCGCTGGAATTTCAGAAATTGAAGCAAATCAGCGTTCTTCTTCAATGAAACATTACAGAAAATTATCTGGTGAAATAAAAGGAATTTCTGAAAATTTTTTCCATCAAAAATCAAGCACTTTGCAATCTCCTAAGGATCCCCCCCCCTTCATTTGTCCAATTTTCTAGTTTTTTTTTTTCTAAACTCCCCCCCCCCTTTAAATTGGAACAAAATATAGGTAAAATTTCCACTTTTTTGCTAAATTAACCCCCCTTTAAATTGGAACAAAATTTAATTTTATAATAAAAAATTATATATAATTTTTATCTAAAAAGTTTTGATATAAGTTAAATGTTTTTTCTTAACTAAAATTAAATATTTAGTTATATCTTGCTCTTTTTTAAAGAAAAAAGTATAAAAGAACATCTTATTTAAATAAAAATATTATCCTTAATTGCTAAATTTTAAAAAAAAATTAATTTTTTGTTTTTAAAAATTTTCAAAAAAAAATTTTTTTTTTTTTTTTTTTGATAAAAATGATATTTTTTATTTGGATAGTTTTGATATAAATTCAATAGGAATTCTTTATAAAATTTCAAAATTTACTTATTTCTTGCTTTATTTTAAAGAATAGAGTATAAATAATATCTTATTTAAAAACAAAATTAGCACTTTGATCGATAAATTTTCTAAAATTTTTTTTTTTTTAATTTTTTTTATGAATAAAAATAATAATTTTTGTGTAAATAATTTTGATACCAATTAATAGTGGCGTATTAACTAATAATGAAAATTTAGTTATATCTTGCTTTGTTTTAAAGGATAAAGAGTAAATAGCATTTTATTAAACAAATTTATAGATCTAATTCGATAAGTTTTTGAAATTTTTTTTGTTGAAATTTTTATATTTTTTATAAAAAATTTTATATTGATATTTTTTTTAAAAAAAAAAAATTAACCCCCCTTTAAATTGGAACAAAATTTTTAGCTCCAATTTAAAGGGGGGGGGAGTAAGAAAAAAAAAAATTTTCAGGACCTCATTTGTCCCAAAATCTAGTCAAAAATGATTTGTCCAATTTTCTAGTCATTTTTGGATTTTTCGAGTGTCCTAAATTTTGTGTTTTACTGTAAAAAAACTAGAAAATGAGACAATTTGGTCCTGAAAAATTTTTTTTTTCTATCAAAATTTTGACTAGAAAATTGGACAAATGAGGTCCTAAAAAATTTTTTTTTCCTATAAAAAACACCTAGAAAAATGGACAAATGATAAAAGACTAGAAAATTGAACAAATGAGGGGGGGATCCTTATAAAAATTGAAAATTCTCAATCAATAATTGAAGAGCCTAAAGATATATAGGGGTTTCCCCTAGATGGCCCTTACAGGGCTGTTGATTCTGTCCGGAATCCTTTGGTTGGTCGGACCAACTCACTTGATGGTTCGACAAACAAAAGGATTCCGAACAGAATCCACAGCCCTTTAAGGGCCATCTAGGGGAAACCCCTATACAAGAAATTTCAGATGAGGAGTTAAGGACTGATAAAGAATCTGAAGAAGGAATTTTTACTCACAAGTCCTCAATGAGGAGGTCTAGCGCAATGTCAAGCAAAAGGTCTAACCATTCGCGTCAAGAAGTGGAAATAAGGATTGGAAAAGAAGACCATATTGAAATGGAAACCACAACGGAAAAGGCAAAATTTTATAAATCGCATATAAAACCAAAACAAATTGTGGAGGCTAATATAACACCTAGCAATCATGGGTCAAGATTGTCTAAAGTTTTTGATAAAATACGTTGGGGTGCTAAAGTATATAGAAGATTTTCTAGTAGATTGCCTCCTTCTGAAGAGCCAGCAGTTTCTAAAAGCATTTCTCCTATATTAAAAGATATTAAAGAGACGAGAAGGGAAAAAAGGTCACAGAGCTTTACAAAGACTGAGGCTGGTATGGTCGGCATAACGTATAATTTTGCAAGTTTAATAAGTAAAATTGCTTCACAACCGAAACAAGAGATAAAAGAGACAGAAATTCTGAGACCAGTAGAGAAAGATGAAGAGATAAAGGAAAAACCAAAAGAAAGTGCAAGTGAAATTCATTGGAAGGATAGCTCTTTTCTGATAGTTGAAGAGGCTCCGAAAGAAAAAAGACTATTTCTACCAAGCAGAGAAGAGTATTTTAGGAGGCTTAAGGCAAAAGAAGATTCGAAAAAAAGATCTGAGGCTCAGTCTGATCTTTTGAAAAATTATCAAAACATGGTATTTCATGTTCCTGAAAATAAAAATTTTGTAAATTAATTATTTATATGGCTATATACCCATGTAAAAGAAATAGTTTTTTAATTTTTGAAATATAACTCTCCCCCTTCCATGAGAGAACAAAATCATTGGAAAAATCCTTATTTTTAGCCTAAAGCCCACTCCGTGAGTGAACAAAAATTTTTATAATATAACATTTTTATGATAAAAAATATTTTGGTATTAAGTAATAATTAGTATAATGAAATCTCTAGCTAATTCTGTTTAATTTTTAGCAGCTCTAATTTTAAAACAAGCATTTTACAATTAAATTATTTTTACTTCTCAATTGTTGCGAATGTGGTCTTTATAAATTTTGAAGAAAAAAAATTACTATATAAAATTTATTGTACGGAAAAATTATGCATCAATTTATACTTGAGAAAATTCGAAACTGGCCATCAGTATGGGCAGCACATTCGTGCCCAGAAATGCACAAGTGATGCACACAATCTATCTGGACAATATATATAAATTTTTAAAAAAAACTGAGCAAACAATTTTTTTTTCTCATGGATTAGGGGGGAGTAAGTACTTCTTCATTTAAACATATGTTTATTTATTTTAAAATTCTTTATTTATGCTATCTATAAAATTGACCAAATCTAATTTGAATTACAAAATATAACGAATTAATTTATGTATTTTATATTCTATTTTTTTAAAATTTAAATAGCAATAAATGAAGAATATATCTTACTCCCTTGGCTAGAAAGCAAAACCATTGAGAATGTCAATTTTTGAGGAAATTAAACTCTTCGGCTAGAGATTAAAATGTTTTAATATAATTTTTTGAAAGACTATGATTAAATAGTGAAATCTCAATTAAAACATTATTCTTTTTAGACTGTTAGCATTCAAAACAAAAATTTTATAAATTTAAGTAGATATTTTATTTCAAATATTTACAAATTAGATATTTTTAAGTTTGAAAAAATTAACCCTTGCTACAATATAAGATTTTTTACTTGCGAAAAATGTGGAAGTTAACTTTTTATTAATAAGAGAAATTACTAAATCATAATTTACTTTAATTTTTAGAAGATGACGAGCGATGAATAGTTCCGGAGTGACTCGTAAGTTGATCCCAGCCTCAGGTAAGCAGATCCCATTCTTTTACAGACGATAAACAGAAGGCGCAAAGCTCGCTCATACTTCTTGGAAGTAATTTTTACGCTTGATAAGGCACGTTAGCCCAGAATGAGGCAGTGGGCACTTCCCCCATGCCCGAGCACTAGCATTGCTAAGAGAGTGTTTTGTCACAGAGTTGACCCGCTGATATATAGTGAACTACACTGACTGGCACAGGGTGCTTTTGGCTCAGTTTCGAGCCAAAAGTACCCGTGCCAGTCAGTGTGTAGTTAACTATAATAATTGTTTTGGTGGCACGAACAAGAAAAAGTGTAATGTGAAACCAGGGGACTAGTATCACTAGAGCTCTAAGCTGCAGTAAGATAAATAGGGCTAAAATAATCTCCAATGACTTGCTATAATTTAATCTAATCTAATTTTATCTCTATTTTATTAATTGCCGATGCTATTTTAGTTTTAATTTTTTAAAGAGGGCTATAATTAATGTTAAAAGAGTAATATTTTTCTCATATAAAAATAATGGATTGCGCTGATTTACTATAATTAACATATAAAATCCTTATGGACGTTGAAGAAAGCATAAACTCTCATATGCCATATGAGCTTGATGATGAAGGGCTGTGGATGGTCCCTTGTAAAATAAATAGAGTATTCCGAAAATACTATCCTCTTTGTCGTCCTTATATTAATGATGGAAATAACAGCATCGGCATCCCTGAACACAAAGGGAAGACGAAATCTTAATAGAGCTTATCAACCAAAAAGGCCCAAAGCGTTGAAAATCAATTGCTCAAAGCTTAAATGAAAAATTACATAGAGGTAAAGAATTTCGACTCGGTAAACAATGCAGAGAGCGCTGATACAACCATCTTAATCCTAACCTAAAAAAAGGCGAATGGTCCTTAGAAGAAGACATCAAAATTCTTGCACTTCAAAAGAAGTTCGGAAACAGATGAAGCCTTATTTCAAGAGAATTAAAAGGAAGGACAGAAAATAGCGTTAAAAATAGATGAAAAAGTATTTTTAAAAAATCCAAAAAAGGAGACGCCAGTGTCGAAGAGATTGTTGGAGATATCAAAGAAGAAAAAGGAGGGGAAATTGGAGAGGGAAGTGGTGAGTTTAATAGTGGCTGGGAAAATGATGAGATAAATAATGTGGAAGAATCATACGGGTATGAGCTAGATAATCGGATGAAATATGAAGAAAATTCTGAAGAAAACTCCGAGCACTCTCCTACCTCATTTTTATATATGTAAACCCTTAAATTTATGAAAATAAAAGGGGGATATATAAATAATAATGGCTCGATCCAAAACATCAACGAGAAAGCTTCCAACTAGAAAAACTCCAAGGAAGCATTTAGCTACAAGAGTTGCAGTGAAAAAGACATTTGAAGCAACTGTTATAGACAAGGGAAAAAAAACGAAAAAAAGAGTTAAAAAGGATTCTGGCTCAGAACAAGAAGAAGAAGAGAAAGAATCAGATTTAGAAGCAGAAGAAGACTAATTGATATATAACTTTAATATATTCAGATTTTTAAATTAAGCAAAATCTATTATAATAACTAAAAGTCTCATAATTTGTATTATTTTATAAAATGATATTTATTAAAGCTTCATTGAATTATTTATAAATATCCTAAATGAGCTTTTTGAAAAGGATACTTTCCAAAATTTACCAACAAGCCAGTAAGATATATTCAGAGTACCCCGATGAAGGCTTCTCACGCAACTCTATAAAGGTCCTATTCGCATTTACTATGCTCCCTATAATCTACTCACTAAAAGGCACAGACAAAAACACAAAATACGTCCTCTCATTATCAAGAAGCTGCTCTCGAATCTACGGCGCGGCTTTCAGAATCCCAATCCCTCAGAATTGGCGTGCGTCCATTTATGGAGGATTTTCCTCAATTTTTGGAGTCAATTTATCTGAAATTAAAAAGCCTATTACTGAATTTGAGACACTGAATGAATTTTTCGTAAGGGAAATAAAAGAAGACGCCAGGGTCATTGGCAAAGGAGATTTGGTGTCCCCTTGTGACGGAAGAGTTATGAGCATGGGAATTGTGGAAAATAATAAAATTGACAGCGTTAAAGGGAGAGATTACTTAATGACAAGGCTGCTTATAGGGACTGATGGGGTTAATTTTGATTGGTATGTGGACAGTGTTAAGAAAAATAAAGAAAATCAGCTTTATTATGTCAACCTCTATTTGGCTCCTGGCGATTATCATAGATTCCATTCACCTACAGAGTGAAGAGTCTCTTTTAGAAGGCATATTTATGGGTATTTACTTGGTGTCTTTCCTTTGAACATATGGAGGAAAGGTGATGTGTTTACAATTAATGAAAGAGTAGCTTATTTTGGGGAATGAAAGCATGGGCTTTTCAATTATGTCGCTGTCGGAGCTTTTAATGTGGGATCAATTGAGGTGAATTTTGATATAAATAAAATGGCATTCGGTACAAGAGAAATTAGCTCTGCTAATTTTCTCTCCCTCAAGCAATTTTATTTATGGGGTTAGGTTTTCTTCTGAGAACTTCTCTACAACAATAGCAGTTTAACTCTGGCAGATAAACCGAGGCACTGATCCAAGTACATCAAGAGGCTCGAAGTTTTACCTCTTAGCACACACGAGGAAGGTGGCCCTTAGGCAAAACACACGCAGGAGCTGATTAAAGGAAGGAAAGGCAGTGCAGCCCGTCGAAGCCGGAACGTTGCATTTGTCCCTTTTTCTGGTGCAAGAAAATAGATCGATCCAGAGGTCTATGGGGCTTGGCATGTGAACAAATATGGTGGCAGCTCTGGAAACGGCTACCCCATAGTGGACGTTACACGTTATAAACTTAATAAGATGAGATAAGAGGTGAATTTTGATAAAGAGCTAAAAACAAATTTGAAAAAATTTGAAAATCTTGAAAAAACTAATGATGAAATCAATATTGAAGGAGAATTCAAAAAAGGAGAAGAGTTTGGAAGGTTTAATACAGGATCGACCATTATTATGATTTTTGAAGCTCCTAAAGGGTTAGAGTGGACAATACAAAGAGGAGACAGAGTTTTATTAGGGCAGAATCTACTAAAATAAATTACTTATCATATCAAAGTTAAATAATTTCTTTGAATAAACTCAGAGTTATAATGAAAGAAGTAATAATATTAAAAATCTAATTTTGAATACTTAATCCATAAGGCGTAACTTTTAAAATTAAGTGGGAGAAAAGGGTCTTGGATTATTTTGAAATTTTTTTAAAAATAATTTATAATGAGAAAATATATATATATATATATATATTGACATTTGGTAAAACCACCTTTTTTTAGGATTTCCTCACAAAAAGTGGTGTTTACTGATTATAAAAAAACTGTATATTAGGCATTTTGCTTTACTAGAAGAAGTTAGAATATACTTTTATTTATTGTATTTGAGACTTCTCGCAGTGTATGGATCAATAAGATGATGAAGCAGATCCATAGTAAGCAGTGTAATAACTACATGTGGAGCTAACTTCATTACGAACAACGGAAATCCTGTGTATAATCTCCAAAAACCTTCTGATTTCAAGCTTTTCCTTACACAATCAATAAACCCTTTATATTTAAAAGTTCCATCAGGGCCTATTTCCATTCTCTGGTACTTTACTTTAATATTATCAAACGGCATTGCAACAATGCACGACAAAGTTGCAGCCAAAACTGAGCTGAAAAATCTATGTGACGGATTTTCCTCAAAACTGGTCATAAAATGCTCATTAGATTCATCATATGTTGCAAGCATTGTAAAATTAATTATCATTGCCCTCAAGATTGTGGGCACTGAGCCTTTCCAAAACGTAAAAATCCCTTCTTCTTTAATCATTTTTCTCTGGGCATCAAAAATGCCGGAATACTGTTTATGGTCGTAGCGGAGCCTTACCATAGTAAGATCGAGAGGATTTACAAGAAAAGAAGCTAAACCACCTGAAAAAATAGAATAAAACGCTTTTTTAACAAATGGGATTGTAGGCTGGCCTGAGTGCTCTTTGTCGTGGTCACTCAGAGTTTTATATAATCCAATACGGGTTGTGGAATAAATGGCTTGCCGATGGATTGCTGGATGAATGCCTGAGTAAAACTTTTTGATTCCTTTCTCTTTTAATATACGTTGGGCGAAATGTAATGGCTTCTCGTAGTCACCTCTGTGTCCTTCTGCTAATCCTTGAATTTTAACTTTTACGTAGTCGACTGGTAGAATAACGATTGTTCCGATTACTCCTGCGAATCCACCAATAAGGAAGTTATTTACGTGATTGGCATATCTTAGGTGGTCAAGTTCTGGATTATAAGCTTTCATTATAGTATAAACTACAGTATTTTTTAAATAGAGAATTAGAGAATTACGTTAAAAATTTATACCCCTTCTAAAAACAGTCTAAATTTTTTCAAATTTTTTAAATAGCTTAAAATCAATTTTCTATAAATTATTTTTTTTATAATTTTTGGGCATATTTTAAATAATTATTTAAAAAATTATTGAGTGTTTAATATATATGCTGTATATATTAACCAGCTCCATTACGATCTGAAAAGATATGGTATTATTGGTATTATTCAAAAAATTATGTAAAATTAATATCCAAGTTAAAGAAATTTAACAAATATTTAGAAAGGCAGACCGAGGCAGCAATATTTAAACCGAAAATGATATAAGTTGCATTTTAAAAAATTGAGCTTCATAAAAAAATTTTAGTTTATGACGTCATCAATCATAGAAGTCAGAGAAATAATTCGCAGGCACTTTTTAATACAAGAACTCTTCATAAAGCTAATTTTGAGAGTCCTTTATTTTAATATTAAATTTGATGGCATTGCAATAAACTTATTCGAATCTTCCAGCATTTTAATTAATTAAATTATATTGAATTCATTTAAATTGGTAAGTAAAATTAATATTATTTAAATTTAAAATTCGATAAACTAATATATAAACATCAGCATAAATTTCATAAAATTAATATATTGATAAGGAATATCTTTTTAAGTTATTATGCAATACATGCAACTAAAGGCAATTATTGAATTACGAAAGATTTTCATTTACAAGATCTTAGGAAGAAACAAAGAGCTGTATTATAAAAGACAAGTAAAAATTATTTCCTAATAATTAAAAGAAAATTTTCGAAATTAAATCTGATTCCTAACAAATTATTATTAAATTTTTGAGGTTGCCTGCTTGCTCATTGATACTAATTTCATCAAAATTATCATCCTTTATTTCTTAAACATTTTTTTAGCTTCATATACACTATCTTCATTAAGCTCTTTTAAATCTCTATAAAGACTGTATAGAAAAATAAAAGCGACTCATAACATCTATAATACAGTTTTTTATTAATTTGTGAGAGAGAGGCGTCTAACTGATACTTGAAAACATCTAATATAATTTCATTAAAATTATAAACTAAATTTTCAATCAAAAATGATAAGGCCATTAATGCTGCTGAAGAGAGAGTTTAAAGCTAGTTTTGCCATTCTTAATGGTGAAGAGTATAAGTTAAGTGCTTATCTCCCGAATATTGGTAACAAATCTTTCACAATTTCTAGATCTCACACAATCAATGATTTTTTGAACGAAATTCAATTGCAAAGTCCAGACATTCAAATAAAGCATTCATATAGCTCAGACTCTTCTTTTAAAGCTACTATTGAGCAAGAGCCCATAAAAGTTGAAATTAATGATGAAGAGTACGAATTCTCAAAAAACGATTCACAAGCACAGTCCAAGCCTGAGTACGCTGAAGCCTATTTTAATAAAGGAAACCTTTTATTTGAATTAAAACGCATGGAAGAAGCAATAGAAGCATACAGCCAAGCTATCAAAATTGACCCTGATTTTATTAAATCTCATTACAATAAAGGAGTTATTCTCTCTGGATTAGGCTTACATAAGGACTCAGTTCACTCTTTCGATGAAGTGATTCGAATAAACCCGAATTATATTTCAGCCTATTACCAAAAAATAAATTCTTTAATTTTATCAGGAAAAAAGAAAGAAGCAATTTCTGTGTGTGATGATGTAATTTCAATAAATCCATATGACTCAAGCACTTATTATCAGAAAGGTATTTTATTAGACAATATAGGAAACTTTGATGAAGCAATTGAATGCTTTGACGCAAGTATTGAAATTGAGCCAAACAACCCTATATTTCAGCATGCAAAACTAAGAGCTCAAGAAAATAAAAAAACAGAAAATTCCACAGAAAATAGCAAAGCATAATTAATCTAGTTATTAGGATTTTCATATAATTTTATTTTATTTTCATTAGGATTTTATATTGATTTGCATAAAAAAACTTATAAGTTATATTTTGTCAGCGAGTAAAAAGACCATTAATAAAATAAAATACTCTTATAATGCTCAAAATATTGAGAAGAGGACTAAAAACATCCTTTGCAATCCCTTTAGGAACTGATTACAAGTTCAAAATTCTTCTACCAAATGGAAGTGAATGCTGGTTTACAGTAGATAATTCTCAAACCATTGAAGATGTCTTAAATGAAATTCAAACTGAAGATCCATCAATTGTCCAAAAAGACGCTGAAAACCCTAAAGTAACATTTAAAACTGCAATAGAAAAAGGTCCAGTAAAGACTAAAATTAATGGGGAAGAGTATGAGTTCAGAAAAAGTGAATTCCGAGAACTCAAGCCAAGCCAGCGAGAAATAGAAAATTTTGCGAATATCCTGGTTATGCACAAGCCTACAAATAAGGCTGATTTAATAGAAGCTGCTAAGAAAAGTTTAAATTCAATTGGAAAGCAAACTTCATCGCAGCTTGCTTACTTGAAGAGCCAACTGAAAGATATTGAAAAAGAAATCGCTCTATTAAATGATGAAAAGGCTAAAATTGATAAAAAAGTGAATTCGAGAGCCAACTTGATGATAAATTTAGGGTTTTTAATGTTTCTGTCTCAGTATTCCTTTTTTGTATACACTATTTATGGAGTTGAGTGGCTTGGCTGGGATCTTATGGAACCTATAACGTATACTGTCCAACAAGGGTTATTTATGTTTGGTGTTTTATATTTTTTAAAAACCAAAGAAAGCTGCAATTTAGACAATTTATTAGCACGATTCCAAAGCAAAAAAACTGAATATTATACCAGAGCTTACGGATTTGACGCCAACCGATTGAAGTTTTTAGAAGAGGAGAAGCTGAAACTGCTTTCTTCAATAACCCTGCTTGAAAAGCGCTTATTTTATGATTTTAAATAATCTTTATTAATCGTTAAATGCTTTTGGAATTGTTTTATTCCATAGCGAAATTTTCTCATTTCTTTTTTGCTCGTCCCAAGTGAAATCTACGATTTTTTCAATATTTTTATTAAGTTTTTGGATGTCGTCAAGGCTTCTATAGACTCCACAGCCTAGTCCAGCTGCAAAAGCGGCTCCAAGAGCAGTTAAATCTTTCTCAAAAGGAAGCTCAAGCTGCACTCCGAGAATATTTGCTTGGATTTCTAAAAATAAAACATTTTTAGTCATTCCGCCATCAACACAAAGTTTATTAAGCTTGTAAGGTGTATCAGAAAGCAAGGCATCTATAACTTCTTTAGTTCTAAAACAAATCCCTTCAAGCAATGCTCTCAAAATATGGGCTCGGGTTGTATGCTGTGTCAAGCCAATTATTACACCTCTTGCATCTGGCCTCCAATGAGGAGCGAACAAGCGAGACTAGTGACGTCACCAAGCCATCTTGGAATATGTGGTCAGCCCCACCCATGCCTTCTATAAGGCTTCGTCGCCAGAAAGTCGACGCACCTCTCACCCGGGAGTTGCCGTCGTTCTCCTGACTCAGCTCCTGCGTGTTCCGCCTAAGGGTCATCCTCCCGTGGGGATGTGCTGAGAGGTAAAACTCTGAGCCTCTTGAATGCACTGTGGAGCCGTACCTTTGGTTATCCCCAAAGTTAAACGGCTGTTGCTGTGCAGAAGCTCTCCAACCCCATAATGAGGGAGAGAAAATCGGCAGAGCCAATTTCTCTCGAACCGAATGCCATTTTATTTATCCAATGAGGAGCGAACAAGCGCTAAGTGCAGAGACACATACAACGCCATCAGAGTCCGCAACAGTACGGGCCTGTGCTTCTAGCTCTGCAAATGTCGAAAAAAGCCTCAATTTATTGAGTGCCCATTTAATTGCACTTCCAGCATTTTCCACAGATCCTTCCAGTGCATAATAAATCGGTCCATCTGGTCCAAACTTTCCATATACAGTAGTCAATAGTCCAGTCGAGCTTTGAATTATATCATTTCCAGTGCTCATTAACAAGAAGGCTCCAGTCCCATATGTATTTTTTGCTGATCCTGCTTCGACACATTGGTGTCCTAATAAAGCTGACTGTTGATCTCCAAGACTTCCACAGATAGGGATTCCTTCAAGATATCCTGATTTCATATACCCATACACCTCAGCAGAACTTACAATTTCTGGCAAAGCAGTAATTGGAATATCAAGTGCAGCCAATATCTCTTCATCCCAGAATCCTCGCAAATTCATTAGTAATGTTCTTGAGGCATTGCTTATGTCTGAAACATATCTTTTGCCTTTAGTTAAATTATAAATCATCCAGGTTTCTACTGTTCCGAATAAACAAGTGTTTTCAGACAAACTTTTTCTGACTGCTGAGTTATTTCGGATAAGCCACAAAATTTTTGAAGCAGAAAAGTAGGTGGAAATAGGAAGCCCTGTTTTTGATCTAAAATCAATTTTTAGGTTTTGAAGCTCGTGACAGATTTCAGCCGTGCGGGCATCATCCCAAATTATTGCATTGTGGAAAGGTTTACCGGTTTCTTTATTTCATGCAATAATTGTTTCTCTTTGATTGCTAATGCCGATTCCTTTAAATAGAGTTTTAGGAATCCCTGCTTTTTGACAGGCTGTTTCTATGCATTTTAATGAAGCTTCAACATACTCTAATCCACCCTTTTAGAGAGATTTCTCTCCTTGCGTTTTGAAGGGTTTATTTTTTCAATTTTATATTAAATTGGAAAATTATTTTTTAAATTTTGGAAAAATAAATTTAAAATAATTTCTAATTTATGTTTAAAATTGCAAAATATCTTAAATTAATATAATTAGCTAGGTTTCTCGTTAAATAATAATAATAATATATAAAAACATCCATTAGCTTGCTTTTAAGCGGGCTAAAAATAGGCTTTCACTCCTAAATGAGGCTAAAGAGGAGGAGTAAAAGGGTTTTGCTCATGCTCTTCATGAGATGGGAAGTATTGGGTCAAGTCAATGCTATGTGAAGCTATTTGTACACCTTTGGAGTTAAAAATCAGAAATCTTGTGGATCCTGTGCCGACATCAATAGCGCCAAGATAAGACTCTGATCCATCATAAGCAGGAGGGAGAGGCTTGCTAGTGCGTAATTTATATAAAAAGAAACCAATGGCAGCTGCAGCTGCACCACCTATCAGAATGGTATTTTTGTCCATATTACAATGAAATCTACAACAAATTTTCTATATTAAAAATTTATCAATTTTATTTTAATTTTCCTGGTTTTTTTAATACATCATAAGAACTGATTTTGGGTCCGATTTCGACTTTTGGAATTAATGGGTCTTTACCAGGATTTGCTATTCGAGCTCTGCTTTTAGGCGATTGTGGCCTTTTGCTTGGAGCTGTAATTGGCCTTTTTATTTTGGAACTTGAGCTTTTATCGGCTGTTTTTTCTTTTATTTTTAGTCCGAAATTATTGGTCAGCTTTCCTGCCGGCGTTATTTGGACTTTTTTAGGAATCGGTTGATTATTAGGCATGTCAAAATATTCCCTTTTAGTTAGCTTCGTTTCTTCAGGAGCATACACTTGAGACAATTTAGCTCCTTTTGGTGCAAGATTGTCCTCGTTGTTCAAGGTTTGAGAATTGTATGAACTTGGATTATTTTCTCCTTTTTTTCCTTTTCGTTTAGGCTTTTCAGCGGCTTGGGATACTAAAGGTGCTCTAGCTTCTTTAGTGCTTCCTTTAATGCACGATTTCAAAATAACATAGCCATTCTCTATCGGATTTTTAACATTTGGCTGGATATCTACAGCTTTCCCAGACCAATTAATTCTCGGATCTCTTGGCCCTCCATCTCCGCTTGGCCTTGCCTCAACTGCAGCCCCTACTTGTGAGTTCAAGAAAGTATTTCTCAATATCAATTCTTCCACATCTTCAATTTCTTTTTCATTATCATTCCAATTTCTCGATCTTGGCCCTTCACCCTGTCTGACAAGTCTATTTTCAAATGCAGCTAATTGATTAACAAAATTTGGCTTTATATCTAAGTCTGGTCTCCTCGAGTAAAGAAATTCCAGCGCTTTATTTAAGCCTCACTTGTATCGTTTTATTAAATAAGCTGAAACAATGGCTGCGGATCTCGAAACTCCTCTGACAGAATGAACAAGTGTGCTTTCGCCTTCTTTTAAAGCTTGCTCTATAAAGTTGTAAATCGCAGAAATATTTTTGTCGTTGGAGTCTAATAAGACTTGAGAGTCATGGTCAAGTCAAGAAAAAGAAATATATCGTACACCGATCGGCTCCCAATGATTTGGAACCTGTCGTGCCGCGCAGTTTATGATGTGAGTAACCTTGTTGGCTACAACGAATTCTAAGTCTTGAGCTGCAAATTCATCACCGATAAAAAGACCGTCTTTGACTTTAATAGCACCTATTAGTGTTGTTTCCATATTAAATGTAAAAAACCATAAAATTTGAAAATAGGTGAAGTTAAGTAGGAAGTTAGCAGATTTGTGCTGAAGAGATATAGGATTTAAAGTAATTAAAAGAAAAAAGTAAAAGATAAATAGAATTATAAAGAAGATAAAGAAATTTTATATAATTTAAGCTAATTTTAAAAAAGTTAACAGATTTTGTTATGGTAGAAAAATTGAATTTTTGGCTCATATTAGCTTATAAGCAAAATATTGGGGTAAAGTGCAATCCGAGATAGTATAGTGGTCAAGTATCCCTGCCTGTCACGCAGGGGACCCGGGTTCAATTCCCGGTCTCGGAGTTTTTTTTTGAAAATGTCAGAGTTCTTTTACCAGCCATCTCCAAATCTTCCCAACATTATGACAATCAATTTTCGACCTCCAAAGCCAAAAAAGATCCTAAAGCCTGCACTTTTGCCAATTGATCGCTCTGAGTCCAGCTTTAAAAATATTCAAAAAACAATTATTAAAAGAAATCAATCAGAATCATTTCTTCGAAAACCTATAAAAATCGTGCACTTAGAGTCCATCTCAATAGACGAGTCTTCTCCTCTACAAGAACCCAAAAAACTATCACAAAGTTTCGCTTATCCAAGCTATAAAACTAAAGAAATAAATACTTCTTTTCAAGAATCCAATAGTCATGAGCCAAAACAAATGCTACTTGACTTGGTCGCCCAAGAAAAAGAAACATTAAAAGTCCTTGAAAATCGATGCCATATCCTAGGGGAAATACAAAAAATTGTGGAAACAAGTTCTGTGTTTACAGAGCGTGACGGTGAAAAAATCATGAAATTAATTCAAGAAATCAGTGTAACTATTCTAGATGCATCAAACAGAGAAATCGAGCTAGGGCTAAAAAACCGTGAATTGGAACAGAAGAAGCTACAGCTTTCTTTAATTTCTCAAAAATACGAAGTTTTGCAGAAAAGGGCTCTAAATTCTGAAAGCGAGTTAAAAGATCTGAGAGGGAAAATCAAAAATTTAAATAAAGAAAATGCAAAGCAAGCAAAAGTGATTATGACAGAAAAACAAAAATTTTATCGTAAATTTTAAATAGAAATTGCAGGGAAATTGCAAACATTAGAAGAAGGATTTTGGGCTATGACTGGAGATGTGAAAATACAAAGCGAAGATGCGTGTGGAAAGCTAAAATCTGCTATAAATGCACTGATAAAAGATGGCCACGAGCATAGGAAAGAAATAGGTGAGCTGTAAGATTTATTTAGAAAAAAAGAAAAAGAAATGCTTGAACAAACTATTAAAAGACTGTCAAGGAAAATTTCAAGGCTTACTGCCAAAATAAATGAAAATAAAATCAGAAATTCCGAATATGAAAAACTCAATGAAGCAGGGGCTAAGTATTATTCTGGGTCGTATTCAAGAGAAATAAATCAGCCAAGAACTTTACCATTTAGAATAAACTCTTTAACAGGCGACAATTATAGTTTCATGAATGAAATAATCGAGCATGGCATACAAGCTCTGCCTCAATTCATCAAAGATCCTGCTTCTTTGCCTTATTTAGAAATTTTGGTAGAAAAATTGTTAAATCTAAACGAATTTGTTGAACAATTTGGACTCTTGAAGAAAACTTTATCAGTACTTATTTCTAATGAAAGCTTGCCAGCTTTAATAGAAACCGCTGGAAAAGAAACTGCAGAGCTGCTTAACTCAGAAAGGTGCCACTACTGGCTTTATGAAAAAAACACCCACGAAATCTGGACAATTGACTCTCACAGTAAAGAATATCGCTTTTCTGCTGACACTGATTTATTTACTTTATTTAAAGAAAATAAAAATTTTGTAAATTCTTATTCAAAAGAATTTGAAACAAATTATTCTCCCGAAATTCAAAAAGAAATGGGCTACAAAACAAACTCATTACTAGCTTATCCTATATTTAAAGATAAAGAAAACCTGATAGGAATATTAGAAATAGTTAACCACCATCAACGAGTATTTGAGCATGATGACGAATATTTAGCTGAAATGATCATCCCTATTTTATCTGCTTTAACTTTACAAATATGCTCAATGCAGCTAGAAACAATGATAAACAAAATTAAAAATAATCTCATCAAATGTGGGGTCGAGCTGATTAAAAGTAAAAATTTATGCGATTTTTTAGAAGTCTCACTCCCCCCCTCCGTGAGTGAAAAAAACCATTAGAAAAATCGCTATTTTTTGCCCAAAAATCCACCCTCCGTGAGTTAACAAAAAATTTTTTAATAGAAAAATGTTTTATGGAAAAAAATTTTGATATATAAATGATAATTAGTATAATGAAATCTAGAGCTAATTCTGTTTAATTTTAAACGAATTGCTTTTTAAAACATAAATTTTATAAATTAAATTAATAATTTGCTTTCCAATTTTTTGCGAATTAGATTTTTTTAAATTTCGAAAAAAAATATTTTTTATAAAATTTATATTTAAATTTTTTTAAAAAAAAAAAAATTAACCCCCCTCCGTGAGTGAACAAAATTTTTTTGTTCACTCACGGAGGGGGGGGGGAGTCAGAAAAGTGGCTATGCAAAATTTTTTCTGTGTCGACTGCAAGGGTTTGTATTAGATTGGAAAATTGCATTGTGAGGTCTGATAATGGAGAAAGAATTACTATGAGCTTAAATACTGGTATTTGTGGATGTGTTTTTGAAAAAAAAGTAAAGGAATACGTGGTGAACCCTTATAATGATTTAAGGTTTAATATACTCTCGGATATTCATGCTTCGTTTCCTATGAATTTTATACCAATATTAGGAGATGTTAATACAATTGCTGTATTTCAAATCCCAGAAAAGATAAAAGTATCAAGGCTCGACAGTTTGATGGAATTTGATTCAGAATTGAGTTCTCCTTTATCTTTATTTTCACAGCTATTCACTGAGGCACTTACAGATATTCTTCATAAGGAAAATAGTTAAGGAATTATAAAATTTTTCAAAATTAAAATAATCATCAGAATTTAGCTATTTATTAATTATAATTAATTGAAAATATTTTCTCTATATCATATTATAACTGTTCAGAGTATTTAGTTAATTGCAAGAGAAGCTGAAGAGTCTCCTGTTGCAGTCCTCACATGTGCCATTGAGAAAAAATGTAGCTTCTTTTTATTCAGCTGTATTCACTCTAATCCTCCTAAATTCATTCTCCTCACAACGTCTAAACAAAAAAATCCATGAAAGACCATACATAATGATATAGCTGGACTCACAATAGAAACACTATCCCACAGCCCTAAATCAAAATTTGTTAAAATCTGCAGAATTGCCATTGGCAAGCTTTCAAATATTGATTGAATAATCAGAAATGTTATGAAATCTTGCTTGATTCGGTCCCCAAAAACTTCTGTTTCCTTACAAAGAGTTATTTTATGGAGAAATGTTAGCATAAGTTTAAACTCAGCAATAATCATGTATATAGGAGCTCTAAATATAAAAGAAAAATATATGCTTATTTACCAAGAATAGCCCATTAAGGAGCATTTTTTGGTTGGCCGGACAAAGCTGGCTGCCAAATTCGTTGGCATGCCATATTTTCTGGCTAAACAAATTTAAGAATGGCGAACCAAAAAATATCCCTTAGTAGGCTATTCTTGGTGAACAGGTATAAAATTCAGTAAACCTAGATCTAAGTCTCCAAAAATCTGAGAAACTATTAAATAAAGCCAAAAATAGAATAAGTAAGATAAAGGCTGAATTACAATAAATGCAACCAAAGCATCGTAAGTTGTGGGGTCTTCAATTTTCCTTGTGTAGATTATATCTGAAATTATATCAGCCCAGGATAAAGAAATCGAGAATAGAATGAAAATCAGGCGCTTGGAGTTGAAGTTCATGTATTTTCAATTTACAAATTCATATTGCTATATAATTAAAGTGTAATAATTTTTGCGTATTAATAAAATAGATAGTCAGAATGAATTCGCTCATCTATATGCTCATGCAATTTTATAATTGGATTCAGTTTTTACTACCCCTAAGTAATAAGCAAATCTTGCTTATTCGTGGGGTTCTAGCACAAAATGTCAAATATAGCTAGGGAGGATGACTAGCACGGGGCTTTTTTGGCTTGAAGGCAAGCCAAAAAAGCCCCGTGCTAGACATCCTCCCTAGCTATAATAAATTTTATATGAATAGATTGAATTTGCTTATTACTGTGGGGATAAGTGGGCTTTTGGCTATTGGATTTTAGGAGCAACTTGATGCTCCCAAAAAGAAAGATCGTTAGGCACGACTCATGCAGAAGTCAGATACAGAGTGAGGCAATGCATTCCACAAGGTTTGGGTTTCCAAGCAAAGAAAGGTAAATTTGTTAGAGTACTCTATTACACCTAAATAAATGTAGAGGTCAGGGTGCAATTATACCGTCCTGCGGAATCAAACTATACATTAAGTGCTATTAAACTAAATGCGTAATAATATTAAAAAGAAAGTTACTAAATGAATTAATAATCCCAAGAAAGTGTTTCAATATCCTATTTTCATTATAGAGACCTCTAGAATACCCCAATTCTTATTTCCATTAAATAATAAAATAGCCAAATCTTGAAATTTTTCATTGAGTTAGATACATGAGATTTTGTTTTCAAGACTATAATAATCTTACTGCATGGAGTATAATATTAATTTTAACCACATTTATTTTTATAATACCCATATAGTTTGAGAATTCTTTTAGCTTGCCCCCAAAGCAGCTTTATCACTTTAAAGTGTAAAAATTACATTTTAATTTGTTTAAAATTGAATTTTGGGCTTTAGCACAGCGAAATAAGTCCTACTAGAATCAAACTCATTATCTAATATATATAAAATATTATTTCTTTTGATGCTTTTTCGGAATCATATCAGGAAGATCATTTATTATAGATCGATCATCAGTTTTAAATTGAGATTTTTCATTCTTTTTAGGAATTTGATTATATTTCTGTTCCTCTCTATCAGGTTTAGGTCTTTTCATTGGAATATTATTACCATTTATGATTTCATGACTCCCCTCATATATAAGCGGACATAAAAACTAATATTTTTTAAAAATATTTAAACTTAAAATATTTAATTCAAAAATATTTTAATGCAAAATACTAATTTAATTGTAAAATTTATGTTTTAAAATGCAATCTGTTGAAGATTATACAGAGTTAGATTGAGATTTCTTTATAGTAATTACTATGCCTTGGCATAATTTTTGGATAGATTTGGTACGCGGGGCATTTTCCCGCGTATGAAAAACTATCCAAAAAAATTTCAATAGATAATATCACTTATATATCAAAAATATTTTTTCATAAAAACATTTTTGCTCGCTCATGGAGAGTGGGTTTTTACTAAAATATTTGATTTTTCCAATTTTTTTGTTCGCTCAGGGAGGGAGTGAACTTTTTTTGCTTGCATCTCTGAGTCTGCGTCTTTCTTATTTTCTTTATTTTTTTCAAATTTCTGTTTTAAATTCTTATTTTCTATAACTTGATGGCTTAATGCTTTATTAAACATTCTTTCAATTTTTGCCATCAAATCTCCATGATTATTTTTTCTATTTACGAGTTCTATTAGCTCATCCTTGATAATAGCCAGCTCACTTTTATATTCTTCATCCTTTTTTCTGTTTATTTCACTGTTCTCTTCAAATATTTCTTCATTTGTTCTTTCTAAGTCCCCTTTTGCTATTTGCAGATCTTCTATTATTTTATCTTTTTCTTTAATTGCTTCATCTTTTTTCTTAATTTCATTCATATAAGTCGATTCCATAAATTGAAGCCTATTTATCTGATGCCAATACTCTTCTTTTAGCTTTTCATATTTAGTTGCTATGCCTTTACCTGCAGTTTCTTCAGGGTTTAATCTAGCAGGAGAATTAGGCTCTGCCTTTAATTTTGTTTTTCATTTTTCTTCAAATTGTGATGCCATTGTGTTTATGGAGTAGTAATGAAAAATTGTATTTTTACTTAAATAGTTTTCTATATCAGGAACTTTAAACATGCTTTGTAAGTTTGAAGATAAATTTACATTACCCTGTCCTAAGGAATAGTCTACCAGCTTTTTGTAAAGATTTCTGTTGACTGTTTTAATTTCTGAACTGCGGTCGATAATTAATGATAAATCAGCTTTTACTTGATTGATGACTTCTAAAGTTGTCTTAAGTGCACTATCTATAGTAAGTTTTAGTTCTTTTTCAGAGATTGAGAAAAATTTCTCAATAACGCGAGCTTTTTCTTCTGATACTTTAGGGGAAACTAGAACTTTTTCTTCTGATACTATAGGGGAAACTCGAGCTTTTTCTTCTGATACTTTAGGGGATAAGCGAATAATTTTGTGACTTCCCACATTACTCGTCATGCAGTGCCATTGTATATGCCCTTCGCAAATATAAATTGGAGGCTGTTCAATGTGTTCGCACTTAATTTCTGCGTCCTTTTGGCAATTTGGATAAGTACAGTAATATGATTCCATAAATTAAAATATTACTATTTGCAAGTATTATTAGCAATATATTAAAATAATTTTTTACATATAATTTAAGACCAAATCATTAATGATTTTAGATATATATTTTCTTTTAAAATAAAGATAAATGAGAGAAATGATTTAAAACAAATATGAGTATATTATATTTAGACTATTTCTTTTGCAATGGCGACATTTGCAAATTTCTATATTTATAGAAAGCCAATCTACATAAATAATAATTTAAAAATTGCCACTGTTTTTTATAAATAATTCCAATAGGAATTGATAAGCATTTTAGTATTTCTCTCTAATTATGTGGCGATTATTGATTTTTTTTTAATAAATTTTTATGAAAAGTCTTTTATTATATTTTAATTATTTTTACTTAAGTAATCTGTATTTTTTGAGTAATCACTTTCAAGTTTTTTAATTTTTGAATCTAATCCTTTTACATCTCTTTCAACTGATACCAGAGCTTCAAATAAGTTATTTAGAATATTTTCAACATCATCGCTTAATCCATAATCTTCAGATTCCTGAGACTTATTAATAAATTCAACTATCTCCAAGAATTTAGTTTCACTTTCTTTCATTTCATTACAAATTTCAGCTGTTTTTATATACACATTATCTTTATCTTCTCCACTAAATCTTGGATACATATAGCTTCCAGGTCCGCTCATAACGCTATCTAACTGTTTCTCAATTGTATCTAGCGCTGAATTCAAATCTGCTTGCTCAGAAATAATTAAATCAATATTTTCATTGATACCCTGATGTGAGCTATTTAAACTTTTCACAATGTCATTTAATGTAATTATCCCTTCTTGTGAGCTATACATTTTAGTTTCACAGTCAACCAACTTTTGTGTGAGGATTTTGAATTTTTTGTATTGGTTTTCTATTTCATTGTTTCATTCTTTAAATATATCGTCAATTCTTCGTCTGTTTAAGAGAGCTTTTTTGCTTTCGTCAAGAGTTCTTGTAGGAGCTTGTTGGAGAGGAGCTCCTGGAGGGTGGGAAACTGATGGCTGAGGTGTGGATAAGATAGGAGCATTTGAGACTGAAGGCTGAAAGAGAGAGGGAGAAGTGGAAGCTGGCTGTGAGGACTGGGGAAATAGGCTTGGCTGAGCAGGCTGTGGCTGAGTAGCTTGAGGAAATAGACTTTTAGCTGGCTGAGATGTTTGAGGGAGGGTTGATGCTGGAAAAAGACCAGGCTGAGATGTCTGAGGCTGAGTTGAAGGAGTAAATAAGCTAGGTCCAGCCTGAGAAGTAGCAGGGAATATGCTATAGAAATTGCCCGAGAATGGCGCTATCTTGCGCCATCCTCGGGCAATTTAAAAAATGGCTCCACACCGGGAATTGAACCCACGTGTGGGGCAATTTTTGGTTCGTGGAAGTCGATGTTCTACACACACCAAAAATGGCCCCACACGTGGGTTCAATTCCCGGTGTGGGACCATTTTTGAATTGCCCGAGGATGGCGCAAGATAGCGCCATCCTCGGGCAATTATTATATCTGTGTGCACCTTTTTCTGAGGCTGGTCATCAGTTTTAGGTCCAAATAAAGAAGGAGCAGTCTGTGGTGCTGTCTGTGTTGGCTGTGGGTTAACAGTAGTCGGAAATAGAGAAGGAGTAGATGTTTGGGTTGCTGGCTGAGTAGGGAATAAAGGTTGAGATGAAGCTGGCTGAAATAGTGATGAAGCACCAGGAGGATTTATAAGTGAAGGAGCAGGAGCTGGCTGAGAAACTTGAGGAGTAAAAAGAGATTGAGTATTTGGCTGAGGCTGAGACATTGGTGGTACAATTGGGTTAGCTTGTTGAGGAAAAACAGTTTGTGGGAATAATGATGCAGGTTGTGGCTGTGGCTGCGTTACTGCTGTTGTTGGCTGAGGGAATCCAGGTGATGGCTGAGGAAATCCAGACTGAGCTTGAGGGAATATCCCTGTTTGGCTTGGAAATAGAGAATTTGTTGCTTGAGGTTGTGTCGATTGAGGTAGAACTGTGTTTTGAAAAGGACTTGGAGCAGGAAATCCTCCACCAGACTGAGGAAATGCCCCTCCTGGTTGTGGAAAGGCTGCTTTTTGTTGTGTTGGAAATAGCGGATTATTAATCTGAGGCTGTGCATTCATTCCTGGAGTTGGATTGGCTTGAAAGCCAGTCTGCATCTGCGCTTGCTGCATAAATCCTGACTGTTGTGGCTGTTGGGTTTGAGGCCACTGAGAAGCTCCAGGCTGTCCTGTTTGCATAAAACCAGACTGAGCCGGGGTCTGATTAAACATACCTGGCTGCTGGGCAGATGGAAATCCTCCTGTTTGTTGCGGAAACATCGTCTGGGGCTGTCCAGGCTGAAATATGCTTGCTGTCTGGATTGGATTTGGAGCTGGCTGTTGAAAGCTTGGAGTTTGGGGCTGATTAAATCCTGTCTGAGGTTGAGGAAAGCCTCCAGTCGGCTGAAATCCACCTGTTTGCTGAGGATTCTGAAATGAAGATTGTTGGGGAAATCCACTTACAGCTTGACTAAAGCCTCCAGGCGTTTGGGTAAAACCAGTAAATCCTTGCTGAGGGTTGCTAAATCCTGGGTTCATTCCTGCTTGAGTTTGTTGGAATAATGGCTGGCCTCCTTGAGTTGTTCTTTGAAACATTTCTTTTCTCGTAAATTATAAAAAACTATTTCCTATTTTTTCTATTTTGGCCTAAAAATTATTCAAAAATTACCTTTAAAGCCTAAATAGTCATTCTTCCTCCCCAACAATTGTTATCAATAAATATGTTTACTCCCCCCCTTCGTGAGTGAGCAAAAAAATTTTGTTCACTCACCGAGGGGGGTTAATTTTTTTTTATAAAATTTATAAATAAAAAATTTTTTTTCGAAATTTTAAAAAAATCCTAAATTTGTAAAAATTGGGAAGCAAATATTAATTTAATTTATGTAATTTATGTTTTAAAACGCAATTTGTTTAAAAATTAAACAGAATTAGCTCGAGATTTCATTATACTAATTATCATTTATATATCAATTTTTTTTTTCATAAAACATTTTTTTATTAAACAAATTTTTGTTGGTTTTTTTGGGCAAAAAATAGTGATTTTTCTAATAGTTTTGTTCACTCACAGAGTGGGGAGTTAGGAGATTTGGCACATTAGCTGACCTTTCAAGCAGGCACGTTGGAAAAGCTGTGGACTATTTCAGATCACTCTCATTAGAAGAAAAACTAAAAGCTGAAGAAGATTTGCCTGCATATGCGACTCAGCTAATCATGTACGGTGGCACCACCCAGCCATTAGAAGAATTAAAGAACTTTTCAACAAACCACCTTAAAAAACCTATAATTCTCTACAAACCTGCCAAAGAGCCTTTAAATACCATGCTTGAAAATGCTCTGAGTCACAAAAGCATGGTCGATTTAGACATAGCAATCCATTTTCTCTGGCACAATTTCCAAGAAGTAAAATTCCCATACAAGAAAGTAATAATTACCTAGATCCTCAAGAAGCTTTTGCCGCTTCAACCTATAGGTTCAACTGAAAACAAAGAGTTATGGAGAAAGCTGACTTCAGAAATGTTCTACTATGCATGTCCAGACTACATTAATGAAGAAGACACAAGTAACTTTACTTTAAATTACTCAGACCAGCCTTACGCATATCCAGCCCTTGCTAAAATGGCACACAAATTCGAAGACGTGAGAGCTACCAAGCTTAGACAAGAGGTGAGTAATCTGCGTAAACATTATTTAAATTCTCTTGAAAAGACTTTTATTGACAAAAAGAACTACGAGCTTGCAAAAGGCTACATAAAAAATTTATTTGAAATGAAAGAGCCAGCAAGAGTTGAAATCGGGTTTTTGTCGTCGCTTTTCTATTGGGCTACTTATTATCAAGACTCAGAATTCATCTTCCAAGCATACGAAAAGCAATCTTTGATAAACCGAGGAAACCAAATCACTGAATTGTATGCCCATACAATGTACCAAATAAGTTTATTGGATCTTGAAGGAGAATATATCCCTGTGATGGACAAAATTATTAGCAGGCTGAAATTCGAAAACCCAAATTATTATAAAGAATTTGTGTTCGCGAATAAATTTGCAAGTGAGGCTATGGTGAGAAGCTACATAAAGGATGGAAGATATGAAGACGCAGTTGTGTTTATGTATGACTTGAACAGACTTGGCTGTAAATTGCCAGATTAGATTAGATTAACGCTAGGTATTTAAGGTCCCCACTACGTCCGAGGAAGCATTCTACGGTTTCCCGTATGGTGGCAGAGCGTTCACCAAGCCCTGGCCGAAACCCCGGTTTCTCGGTAGAGGCATTGTCAAGGGCCGTCTCATACCGGCTTTGCTGACCGCCTCCATTTCCAACTTGGATCGTCGCCTAAGTTTACGCCAGCACTGCTGCGTCGTCCGCCAGATCTGCTCATTGAAGGGCACCTTTTCAACTGGAGAGACCCCGTTTAGTTGTCTAACTCGCCTTCCCCTCTTTTCGGTCATCCCGAGAAAAAACTCAACAGCTTTCGCCATTCGGGGCGAGCGACAAAAGCAGCTTAGGCAGGTAAGTCGCCCTGCCTCATTTCGGGCACTCACTGGGCTGAGCGCTGCTGGTAAAAAGAAGTCACGAGTAACTGCCCATGGGTCTGGTCACAAAAACAGCGGCTTTGCGCTTAGGGCCTCTCGCTTCGAGGTCCCAGACGTTGTTGGGCTAACTCCTGGCTCCAAAAACCATGCCCGGATATGCATGGGTAACCACCACTGAGAGAGGGTGGGTCGGTCGCCCGTCCGCCATTTTATGTATATTAAATTGCCATATAATTGCACTTCTGAGCTTGCACAGCTTGCTTTTAAAGATAAAAAAGCTAGGGTCATTCAAATGATCCAGTCTTTTGACCACACTTTAAGCTACATCGAAATGAACTCTATGATTATGACACTGAGAGAAGAAATGGATAAGAATGGAGAGCTTTTGGAGAAAAGATTTGCAGAGGATAAGTATTATACGCAGTCCTCAAAGTATTTAATCCCTATGCTATTATGCAGAAAAATGCCTGTGAAAGGAGTGATTGGAGAGGAGGATAATTTTGTGCCTTATTTTAGAGAAAAATGAGCACCTATAGATTCGGAAGAAGACGATTCGGATATGGAAGAAAAAAATGAAAGACAAGAAAGGAGGAGAAGGGATGAAGAAAGTGAGGATGAGAGATTTAACCCGGAAAATTTTGTTAATTTAAGAGATGAGGCTGATGGAGAAAGGAAAGAGAAAAAAGGGAAAAGGGTGGCAAATGATATAGATATGAGGTCTAAAAAGAGATATGCAAGCCAAAGAAGTGAAATAGATGAATTTGAAGACAAGTCTGAGGTTGAAGACCCAGATATTGTCCCAGATATAAAAAAGCATGAAGATGAAGCAGAAGAAATACCAATAGAATTAAAGGATTAATTTTAAGAATCTTTAATAAAAGCTTATATTTTCATATTGATAAATCAATTTATCGAGTATTTGTCAAATGTTTTTTAGAGAAATTTGTAAAAAATAAAAACAAGTTTTTATTTTCATATACTTGGATATTCTCGTAAACAATTCTTTAAAAGGCTATACGGGAATAATGTTATGAGCTAATATAAAAACATAAATTGCTTTAATTTGTATCACTTTTTCAAAGTAGTGTCAATAATTCAATGCCATTTATTGACTTTTGAAAATAGCTACAGATAATGGCTGGCAAAAAGCTCAACATCCCTCGCAACGTAATAGACTGGGACGTAGGCCCTAACTACCAAATTATCAAGCAGCTTGGCTCAGGCAGTTATGGAATGGTCTGTGAAGCAAGACATGTACCTACAGGCAACGAGTGGCAATCAAACAAATGACCAAAATTTTTGATGACTTAATAGATTGCAAGAGGCTGCTACGAGAAGTAAGCATCTTAAAGCATCTCAATCATCCAAATATAGTCAAAATGAGAGAAATTCTGCTACCTAAAAACCTTCAAAATTTCAATGAGCTTTATGTTGTTATAGAACATGCCCAGTCAGACCTCAAAAAACTGATAAAAAGCCCAGTCCACTTGCAAGGACACCATATTCAGCTAATCACTTATAATATTATCTGTGGACTTAAATATATTCACAGTGCTAATATTTTGCATAGGGATCTAAAACCTGCAAATATTTTACTTACTCCCCCCCCTCCGTGAGTGAACAAAAAAATTTTGTTCACTCACGGAGGGGAGTTAATTTTTGTTTTTTAAAACAATTATAAAAAATTTTTTTTTCGAAATTTAAAAAAAATCTAATTCACAAAAATTGGAAAGCAAATATTAATTTAATTTATAAAATTTATGTTTTAAAAAGCAATTCGTTTAAAATTAACACAGAATTAGCTCTAGATTTCATTATACTAATTATCACTTATATATCAAAATTTTTTTCCATAAAAAATTTTTCTATTAAACAAATTTTTGTTCACTCACAGAGGGTGGTTTTTTGGGCAAAAAATAGCGATTTTTCTAATGGTTTTGTTCACTCACGGAGGGGGGGGGGGAGTTAATGAAGATTGTGAAGTGAAAATTTGTGATTTTGGGCTAGCGAGAAGTGTGACAGAGGAGAATAAAGAGAATGCTGATATGGAGGTGGAGCAAGAAGAAGTGCATCCTACGACACAACATGTGAAGCAAGAAAAACCTCAAGGGAAACCGAAATTGGTGAGAAGCAAGCCAGGACTTCAGACGAAAACTGAATTAACTGGGCATGTTGTTACAAGATGGTATAGAGCACCGGAGCTGATTTTACTAGAAAGAGAGTATACTAACCCCCCCCTCCCGTGAGTGAACAAAACCATTAGAAAAATCGCCATTTTTTGTCCAAAAACCCACCCTCCGTGAGTGAACAAAAATTTTTTATGGAAAATATTTTGATATACTAATTGACCAAGAATAGCCCACTATGGAGCCATTCTTGGTCTGCCAGAAAAAATTTTGACAAAAAGATCCTAATCTGCCATTACCACTGAGTTTTGGTGTTTCCAAAATTTTTGGGCAAGCCAAATGCAATAAAAAAAAATTGTTCTTTTTGCGATGATGCATTTGGCTTGTCAAAAAAATTTGGAAACACCAAAACTCAGTGGTAATGGCAGATTAGGATCTTTTCTGCCATTACCACTGAGTTTTGATGTTGCCAAATTTTTTTGACAAGCCAAATGCATCATCGCAAAAGAACAATTTTTTTTATTGCATTTGGCTTGCCCAAAAAAATTTGGAAACACCAAAACTCAGTGGTAATGGCAGTTTAGGATCTTTTGTCAAAATTTTTTCTGGCAGACCAAGAATGGCTCCTTAGTGGGCTATTCTTGGTCAATTAGTATATATAAGTGATAATTAGTATAATGAAATCTAGAGCTAATTCTGTTTAATTTAAACGAATTGCTTTTTAAAACATAAATTTTATAAATTAAATTAATATTTGCTTTCCAATTTTCGCGAATTAGGATTTTTTTTAAATTTCGAAAAAAAATATTTTTTATAAAATTTAAATATAAATTGTTTTAAAAAAAAAAAATTAACCCCTCCGTGAGTTAACAAAATTTTTTTGTTCACTCACGGAGGGGGGGGAGTAAGGCAATTGATGTTTGGAGTCTTGGTTGTGTTATTGCAGAACTCTGTGGGATGCTAACTCTATAATAACAAAATAGTTACAATTTTTTTAAATATATTATTGCAATACACAATCCTAAACTCCCCCCCCCCCCCCTCCGTGAGCGAACAAAACCATTAGAAAAATCGCCATTTTTTGACCAAAAACCCACCCTCCGTGAGTGAACAAAAATTTTTTTAATAGAAAAAATTTTAATGGAAAAAAATTTTGATATATAAGTGATAATTAGTATAATGAAATCTAGAGCTAATTCTGTTTAAATTTTAAACAAATTGCGTTTTAAAACATAAATTTTGCAAATTAAATTAATATTTGCTTCCCAATTTTTGCAAATTAGGATTTTTTTAAATTTCGAAAAAAATATTTTTTATAAGATTTATATATAAATATTTTTAAAAAAAAAAAATTAACCCCCTCCGTGAGCGAACAAAATTTTTTTGTTCGCTCACGGAGGGGGGGGGGGGGAGTAAGGATAAATTCCAAAATTATTTAATTTATTCAAAATAAACACCTTTTTGATATCAGCTTAATTGTCAGTCAATTTTTTCCAACAGAAAAATAAATATTTTTTGTTTTAATTTAAAGGGGTGCGAGTAAGGGAAAATACTCCAACTTTTATGGATAGAAGCCCATTATTCCCAGGAAACTCATGCTTTCCGCTATCCCCAGACCACCACACCAAGATGAGAAGTGCAGGTTTTCCTTCAAGCAACAGTGACCAATTAAATGTAATTTTTGAAGTCATCGGGACTCCTGATGACTCCGACAAGCAGTTCATTACTGATGATAAAGCGTTAATTTACTTGAATTCCTTCGGCGAAAGAGAAAGAAAAAGCCTCGCTTTAATTTATCCACATTCTGACAGAGCTTTAATCGAGTTGATGGAAAACATGATCTTATTTAACCCCAGAAAGCGAACTTCATGCATCGAAGCTTTGCGGCACCCTTACTTTGACTCTGTCCGAGATGTTCAGAAAGAAATTGACGCAGAAGTGCCTGCTGATTTTGAATTTGAGCATATTGAAAATATTACGGCTCAGCAATTGAGAGAGTATAGGAGTTTTCCCTATATGGCCCGATAAGGGCCGTGAGTTCTCCGTGGAATTCCTCTGTTGGTCAAACCAACTCAGTGCGTTGGTTAGACCAATTCACTGGTTGGCTCAACCAGCAGAGGGATTTCTCGGAGAATCCACGGCCCTTATCGGGCCATATAGGGAAAACTCCTATACTTTATCCAAGAAATTATGCGGTATCATCAATCCTAATCTAAAAATCCCTAACTCATATATCCTATCTATAAAAAATATTTATCTCATATTTTTTATCACTTTATAAGCCTTATTCTATATAAGCAGAATATAAAACCTGATAATCAGTTTCATACTTTATAATTAAAATGGAAATTGAAGAGCTTATTCTGCATAGAAAACAAACATCGCATTCTGAAGATACCGAACTGATTGAAACAATAGAAGAAACCGCTTTTTCGCTTCTTGACAAAGGAAACTGAAAGAAAGCTCTCGAACTGACAGAAAAAGCAACCCATATAAATGGTCCTGTAAAAGGTCAAAACGACCCAAAAACTGAAGAATTCGTATCCACCATGCTTAAAAAAATCTGCGGAATCGCAATCGAAAGGATCGAAAAAAACGACGCAGCATCTGCCTTGACTCTTTTGGAAAGGCTTGAAACAATAACACTGAAATTTCACAGCTCGCAACTCACAGCTGATAAATGTGAAATTTTTAATAATATAGCTTGTGCCTATCGAAAAATCAATAAACTGCATACAGCTAAGCGGTACCTAGAGAAGGCTTTACTGCTTACCATGAATGATCATGAGGACAGAATTGACAAATCCACGACCTATTTGAATATGTGCGCTGTATTATCCAATTTGCATAAGCATAGCCAAGCTATTCGGTATGCGAGACAGGCAATGCAGTTCGCTCAAGAAGAGCTGCTAAATGCGAAACTTGATGAAAAGCAAGAAGTGATGAACCATAAAATTGCTGTGCTGGGAATTGCTTATAACAATTTAGGGGTTGAAGAAGAGTTTTTGGGGAATAAACAAAATGCTATTGAGGGTGAAGGTCAAAATGATAGTGCATTTTTGTAGTGTGCATTTCACCCAAGTAATTTTGGTCGAAAATTGGTTGAAACATTTTAATAGTGGGACATTTGACTGACAAAAACCGTTAAAATTTCGACCAAATGTCATGCTATTTAAAAATTTTCGACCAAATGCATTTCGATGAAATGGACACTGTCAAAAATCTACTGTCATTTGATATGAGCCGCTATTGAATGGTATAGAAAAGCTGTGAATTTTATGATGAAAAATTCGAATGCACAGCAGGAACATTTGTTGGAAAATTTCAGACAGTGCTATGAAGAAGCTGTTAAAAAAGGAGAAGGGAAAAAGACTGTGAAACTTAAAAGACCAATGTCAGCTATTATAAATAAACAAAGCCAATTAAGTATTTCAAGCAAAAGCAATAGTTCGAAGGTGAATTCAAGACCAAACGGGAATAAAAGAAAATATGAGAGCACGCCAATGTCACCTTCCTTGGAAGGAGGATTTAATACAAGGTATCCTTTGGAAGGGAAGCCTATCACTTTTGACGATATTAGGGTAAAAACAAGGAAAATAGCATCTGCTAACTCCCCCCCTCCGTGGGTGAACAAAAAAATTTTGTTCACTCACGGAGGGGGGTTAATTTTTGTTTTTTAAAACAATTTATATTTAAATTTTATAAAAAATATTTTTTTTCGAAATTTAAAAAAATCCTAATTCACAAAAATTGGAAAGCAAATATTAATTTAATTTATAAAATTTATGTTTTAAAAAGCAATTCGTTTAAAATTAAACAGAATTAGCTCTAGATTTCATTATACTAATTATCATTTATATATCAAAATTTTTTTCCATAAAAAATTTTTCTATTTAAAAAATTTTTGTTCACTCACAGAGGGTGGGTTTTTGGGCAAAAAATAGCGATTTTTCTAATGGTTTTGTTCACTCACGGAGGGGGGGGTGTAAGCAAAAAATGCATTATAAGCTTTATGCAGGGTCAGAGGCAAGCAGAGATAGTGATACAGAAGAAGATATCAAAGATTTAGATGATCTTGGACTTCTTACTCCCTTTATTTTGCTAGAAACCAAAATTATTGGAAAAATATTTTTACAAGAATTTTTTATCGTGATATATATTAATGATTATAATAATACCATCCTAAATTATATAACTAGATTTTCAATTCAAGACTTTACAAGTTTGGATTTTAGAACTAAAATTATATAGAGAATCTTGTGTAAATTTTAAAAAACTAAACCTTAAAGTTTGCTCGCTACCCAAGGGGGTGAGCTAGTGATTTAGAAGAATCTGAGAAAATTGACAAAACATCTAATAAAAGGGTTGCTTGAAGTGCTGCAAAAGATAGACCTCCAATTCATCCAAATATCAATTCTAAACCAATATTTTCTATCAGATCAATAGCTTCAGCACGCAGGCAGCCAAAAAATTTAAGCAGTACTGATAAAAAATCCTCAACTTCCAAACTTCTTCCTCTTGAAATTATGGAAACCCCAAATAAAGGTACAGAAATCGTGAGTCAGCCAATTTTTCATTTTATCGACTACAATGACCCTAAAACCTTAATAATCCCTAAAAAAAAAGAAGAAATCAAAGTCGAACCCGAACCAAAAATTGAGGAAATCCCAGAAACACCTAAAAGCAAACCCCAAACCCCAGAAATAATCACAATTATAAAAGAAGAAAAAATAGTTGAAAAACCAATGCCTGAAATTAAGCTAACAAAAAATGAAGAAAAAAAACCCTCGAAAAATCTTATTGAAAAAATCGACAAAAACGTGACAAAGAAAAAAAATGAAATTGACATGTCAAAGGCGCTTCCTTTTATAATAAAGCTACAAGCTAGAGTAAGAGCCATGCAAGCTAGAGAAAAATTTAAACTAATGAAAAATAAACCAAATGTTGTGTATAGAGCAGTAAAGTTTATAAACCAGCAAGAATTCAAAATAATTGTGTCAAAAATGGGCTCGAAAACTTATGTTACAGCTTATAATGGTGAAAATACCTATAAAATGGAAACAAATTCAGATATTGACCCTAAAGATGTGCTGAATTTATTGAATTTTGATAGCAAAAAAGGATTAAACTTAAAGCCAGTTTCAGTTGAGGAAGATAAGAAAATATTGGTGAGGACAAGAATTATAAATCTTGCAGGCGAGGAATGCGAGGTTAAATATTTCACTGACCCAGATGTGGATACTTTACAAATTAAGCTTAGAAAATTATCAAATAACAGGATTTACACTTATTTTATTAAGAATCTTGCATTACACTCTCAGTCTTTGCTTATTCAGCAGATAAACGAGGTCATTCAGCCGAATCTTGCAATTATTGACCAATATTTGACTGTTTTGGGGGCTGAAAATCTTATTGCGAATCCAAAAGTTTTGGAATCTCCTCATGTGGTTCAAAAACCTGAGCCTAAACCTATCATTTCAGCTTATCATGGAAGAGAAAGCAATAGAAAAGATTCTGCAAGCTCTAGCAATGAGCCTAATTTAGAAGAATCCAGCAAAAATACCAGCCAAATATCAAGCTCTTCAAATAACCAGTCTATAGAGCGAGCTACTGCAGGACTTTCAATAAAGATTATTGAATCCAAAGGACCAGCAGTTCCAATAGAGCCTGAAAACCAAAATTCTTCATCATTGGAAATAAATCCTGCCCAGAAATTAAAATTTATACTAGAAAGCAATAAATCCCAAATAAAAAGTATGAAAAACCCTTTCCAAACAGAAACAGTCAAAAATGTCCCAAAACTTTCAAAAGTACCAGAAGAAGTGAAACCTCCAAAGCCAGCCTCTACAACTGAAAACCCAAAATCAAAGAGATACACACAGAAAGAAATCCGTGCAGTAATAGTAATACAAAAAGTTTTCAGAGGGCATAGAATAAGGGATAAGTTTAATTTTAATGAAATTCTCTCGTATATTAAGTACCTTCTAAGTCTTCTTTACTTGAGGTTCAGCTACGATAGCAGCTCTGAGCAACTGTAGGAGAACCTTCCTAACCGTCGAACTGCTCAACGAATGCGAGCTATACGCGGAAATAAGGAGAAAGGCCCGGCGAAGGCTAAGGGATGTAATAGGGGAGGCCTCGGAAAGGCTAACGATGCACACATGGCTGATTGCGGACGCCTCTGAGCTCAAGGGACTCGTATGCGAGAAGGATCTGGATACTGTCGATAGGGAGACAAAAAGGGCTCTGATGGAATTTGATGATCTCCTGCGAGGGAGCAGGCCGGACAGCAAACACAGAAGACTGGAGAGGGAAGAGCAGCTGGAGGACCTTGAAAAGGCCGGGATTACGGAAGAGATCGTGCAGGAAATCGAGTGGCAAATTGCTGAGAAGGAAAGGAAGGAACTTCTTATGGAGGAGGAGGCTTGGCGCACGACAGCAATGGTCATTGAGTCGTCCGGTTGCTAAAGGACAGCTGGTCTCCCGGTGTAGCGACCGGCGAAAAGGCCGCCTCGAGGAGACGGGCTTGGTGCCCGAGGAAAACTGCCAGTGCTGGCTTTTTGGGGGGGTTCTAAAGTGACTGTCATTAATCTGGGGTCGCTACAGCAGGAGGTTTCAGCCATTAATCTGGGGTCGCTACAGCAGGAGGTTTCAGCCATTTTTTGGGAGTTAGGGAGTTAGGGAGTTTCTGAGTTTTCTGGAGTTTCTGGAGTTTTGGGAGTTTTTGGAGTTTTAGGGGCTTTAGAAGTTCTGGACTTGTGCTGCTATTGTGATGTGGAGTTGCGCAGTGATGCGGAATGTGCTGATGGTACGGTGGTGTTTGTGCTGATGGTACGGTGGCGTTTGAGTGTTGGTGGTGTTTGTGTGGGTGGTGTTGTGTGCTGGTGCTCATCTTTCTGAGCAAATCTAATAGGATAGGGATAGGTAAACGCTTTTTCTTCTTCTAACCGTCGAACCGTTAAAATTATCAAGCCCTTTCAGACTTCTCTGGTCAGTGCCAGCCTCAGCATCAACTTCTTCTTTTAAAGTCGATACTGCTCGGTATATGGGTTCAGCCTGGTGGATCAGGACAAAGGACCCATCCCTAACTGCCATTTTAAATATTGTAAATAAGAGAGATAAGTTAAAATTTGAAAATCCTAAACATTCTTTACTTGCTCAGATAAAAAAAAGATTGGGAAAAAATAAATATACCATTTCTATATATAAACTGTCTGATGGAGTTTTGATTGATGTTCAAAATGTAGGCGGGAATGAAAGGTATTGAAAAGCCATTAGAAATCCGAAAGAATATGTCAATAATTTTAATAGGTTTTCAGATATCAGACTGCTGATGAATAGATTGGTAGATATTGAAGGAAAAATCGCAATTTTGAGAGCGCATACTTCAAAAAGCCAGATAAGAATGCAGGATTGTTCTTTTTTTGGGGAGGGAACTCAACAAGATACTTTTATTTCTCCTCGAGATACGTCAAATTGGCCTGCTTATTTAACTCTTTCATCGTAAAAAATTCTCATAATATTATTGAGATTTTTTTGAACATGTATTTTAAAGTAAATTAATATTTAAATATAAAAATAATTATTGAACAAGATTTAATCGAAAATAAATAGAGAGACTAAGAAAAACTATTAATGGGAAAGAATATGCCATCCAAGCTGATATAAACAAGCAAAGAGGCTTAGATATTTCTTTTATTCCTTTATTTTCTGAAGGCAAGACTATTTCAAAGACATTTTCTGAAGTTGATATTATTGAAGAACTTGGGGTAAATGAGCCAAAGCAACTCATTGATTTGCTTACTTTAAGAAATGGAAAAATCGAAATAAAAAGAAAAGAATTCAGCCAGGCTAGCTCACCTAGCAAGTTAAGCAGCCTTTCTGCTGAAACAGGCAAATATCCTCTTTTATACCAAACATGCAGATTTTATGACTCGAAAAATTATTTAATCTAATTAGCATATAGGCTAGCCGGAGTTGTTACGCAGTCACAAAGGATCCCTAGGCGTTCATTTCTTTGTCGGGCACTTGAACGGCTGAGATGAGATTGCCTTGAACACCACTTGCTCTTTATCAAAAGTGTTGTACGCTGATGACCTCCTTCAGTGATGAGTGGGCGGACTATGGGCTTTGGGCGATCTTCATCGGGCTATTGGACTAGCTGCAATTCCTGGTATCGAGGCAAAGCTAGCCTTAAGTCCCGAATTTCTTCTTTCTACCACTGGAACTAATTCAAAGCCTACTTAGATATACATAATCACATATCAGACCTGAATCTCAGCTAGCCATAAGATTGAGAAAATGCTCCAAGATGTCGGGTACGCTTAGCCTCCATTTTATGTATATACTCGAAAAACTATCAAATAAAAATAATTTTGGTGCCAAAAAACCCAGGAAGACTGTCTAACGATGATGTCCTTTTCGTTAATATCAAATCTGTTGCATCTAAAGAAAGCGTTGCAAAACTACCAATAGAAGCCAGCAAGGCTTGTGCTCTGACCGGTCTATCCTTAAGATCTCTTGACTTAGCCGCCGTAAACATCTCAAAACACATTATCTACGACAACGGAAAATTCAGCATTGATTTTTCTGCCAGACAGCGTGACCCAATCCAATCATTAATCACAATTCAAGCCCTTGTTCGAGGCTTTTTAACAAGAAGGCTGCTAAAAAAACAAAACCTTTCATCAATAAGAAGTCCAAAAAATGCTTCAAGTAAGCTGAAAAACCTTGATTTATCAAGCTTAAGTGTAGACAGTGAAGACTCAGAAACTGAAAAAGAAAACAGTTTTGTAAGAAATTTTGGTGGAAAGAACTGGTATTGGAGAGCAAGTCGTCCAATTAGCAATGAGGAATGTATCATAACTATTTATGAATCAAAAGATAAAATGGGAATTGAAGCAGTGGTCTGTTCGACCTCAAAACGATTAATTTTGACAGTTGAAAAATCAGTGGTTAATGATATTGACCAATTTGTCAGCCATCTTGAGCTTTCGCCTGATAAAAAGAGGCTGCTTCATAGCTTAGAAAAAGCAGCTAAAGTGATTTATTCTGATACTCGATTTATTTCGAATAAGCTTGGGAATCTTGAAATTTATGTAACAGAAAAAGGATATTTTGCGTCATTTTTCTTGATTAAAGAAGGGAAGTCTCTTACATTATTCTTACGCCACTCTAGCTAGCAAAGGAAATCAGTTTTAAATATCAGAACTCATGAGCATTGAAAAAAAATTAATTAGGTTTTAGAAATTCAGCCTTTTAAAAATTAATAGTGTAAATATTTATTATAAATCGCTAATTTCCAATGGTTTTGCTGATAATCAAGGATAAGTTAGGGGAAAATGTGAGTCCTGATGAGTCTGTTCGCAAATTAAGAATTGAAGATAAAACGGGACAGGATATATTAGTGATTAGCAGTTAAAGTTCGTGATCTAACCCTTGTGGAGTATTTATTAAGCCTTGTAGACGAGTAATTTTTTAGTTTTTCTAATATTTCTTTATAATTAGATGGCATCTCCCCTAGCGAAGAGTGTCTCATATGAGGTTTTCTTTGAATTGCACAATTGATTTGTTCTTGTGCCCTTGCACTCGCCAAAGGAAAAATTTTCTGAGTGACAGATAGCGATTTTTGTGATTTTGATGAATTATCAAAGTGCATCAGCCGGCTTCTTGCGTTTTCTCTGACCATATAAGCTTCTTTTAACAGCTGAATGGTAACAGACGGGAAAAGCTGCTTAACATCTGCATTTTTTATTCTTGCCACCTTCAAGGTATCTGAGCTTACAATTATAGAATATGGCGATGGTTTGTCAAATAACGGTGACTCATCTCCTATAAATGACCCTTTTGATACTGAAAAAAGAATTCTTCTGTGGAAGCCTTGCAATATATAGATATTGCACTCACCTTCAAGAATTATTATTGTTTTGTCAGAGTAAGCTCCTTGTTTTGCCAAAATATTACCTTTTAAGTAAATGTCAATTTCTAAAGAATATGCAAGTCTTTCTTTTAAGGTCGCTGAATACTGGGTAAGGCCAGGAAAATATTGCTCAATTATTTTTCTTTTGACTTCTAAGTTTGAATACACTTCTTTTCCAAGCAAAGATTTAAAAATTTGAGCATCTAAGACTAAAAAGCACGAATATTCGCGCGCTACAGCCGTCAAACTGCGAGGCAGATTTTTCAAGATACCCCTTTCGCCTAAAATTTTCCCTTTTACCATAATATTTTCTGGGATAAGTTCACTTGAAGATGAGGAGGATAGGTGATTATAGAGCTGCAAGGAGCCTTCCATTATGACATACATACAATCGCTTATGTCGCCTTTTGTAAATAGCCTTTCGCCTTCGTTTATTTCTTTGAATGTGAAATTTGAAAGAAGCTGCATCTTATGGACGTAGCTAAGGTTACTCATAATCAGTTGTAATGGTCTAAGATCATAAAGAAAAGCATTCAGTTCTTCAAGATCTTCACGAGTTTTTTTATTTTTTTGTATAATCTTAATTGCATTTCTCAGTTGTGTTTGGTGGTCCATTTATATAAAATTTAAAGAAATATTAATTTGGCTATAACAAATTTATTCCCTCATGATTTTTATCATTTTTGTTAAGTCTTAAAATTAATTATGCTAGAATATACAAATATATAAATCTTTTAAGCTAATAATAATTGATTTATTGGTCGCTATTTGGCTTTATAAAGTATAATTTTTATTATCTAAAAATCTTCTTCAATTTTTTCATCAATATTTGAGCTTATTTGCAGTTTTTCTTCAATGTTAGAACTTAGTTGGATCTGAGCTTCATCAGGAATATCAATGCTATTTGAGTCACCTGTGGTATAAGTTTTGTGAGTTTCTTGAGTAGTTCTGCTGCTTTCTATATCTGGATGCTTTTCTTCCTCAGATAAAATCGGCTCTAGCTGAGAATAAATGTATTCTTTATTTTCTTCAAATGGAGAATTTTCTTCTTCTATGTAGCTCTCAGGCGGCTCCGTTGTTGAAACATTTTTCACATAAACCCTGCTTACCAAATTATATATGTCTTCGAGAGCCTGCAAATATGGCACTTTATCCATCGATTTTTCATATGCAAAAAATTGAGCTCTACAAAAAATAGCTTGCTCAGGAGTGTTAATAAAGCCATGGATTTTCATTTCATCTACTAAAATTCGGACAGGAGCCATCTCATCTGTAAATTTTACTCTTATTCTTGCTAATAAATCATCATAACCTTCTAATAAATTTACTCTCACTCTTCTAATAGCGTTATCCACTTCGCCAGGAGTTAAAGGTTTTCAGTTCGCATTTTCATTGAGAATCCCTTTAATCAGCTCATCTTTTTCTATGCTTTTTTTATTGCAAAGCAGGTATTTAATGATTTCTTTTCTCTCTTCTTCTTTTGCTATTGCTAGCTTCCTCTTTGCTTAGCAAGCAAAATCATTAGATATCCTAATAAGCTTCTTTTAGTCCATTGTCCATAGGTCAACTTTTTAATATTAAATTTTGACTATTAATTTATGATGATATATTTCCAATTCTATTAAGCTTCTCTATAAAACATAAATTTTTTATTTCTATTTGAATTTTAAAATCTCCGTAAAAAATTACCAAGCCAAGCGTAAGTATCTATCATTAAAAATTTCCATTAAATCTGAAAACGTAAATGACTCATTTCCGAGGTCATTTTCTAGAACTCCTTTTAAATTTTTTACATCTTGAAGAGTCAATCTACATTGAATTTCTTCAAATATGCGCTGGGCGTCTTTTCTTGAAATGGTTTCAGAGTTGTCTTCTTCTGGCTTTATTACGATTGAAGGAGTTGAAGACAACCCTGGTTTATTTGAATTCATCGAACTAAGCTCATCTATTAAGACTGAACACAAAATTTGATTATCATTTTCTCCAAACTGCCTCATTAAAATTTGAAGCTCTTCGTTGTTTACAGGGATGCTTGCCATTACCAGGGCTTTTTTAAGCTCTTCTAATGAGAGAATTCCTTGAATAGCTCTGGTAAGTGAGCTAACCCATTCTTTAGGCTGAAATTTATTTACCTTTAAAAATATTTGCATTTTTTTCAGTACTAGCTTTGCCTGAACAGCGGTTTCACTTCCTTTATCTTCTTTTACCTCCCCTTCGTGAGCGAACCAAAAAAATTGTTCGCTCATGGAGGTGGGGTTTTTTACCCAAAAATAGGGATTTTTCTAATGGTTTTGTTCGCTCACGGGGTGAGGAGTTAGAAACTTCTTCTTTCTTCGGCAAAGGCAGCGGATTTTCTCTTTCCTTCACTTTCCCCGCTTTTTGCCCACCTATTCCTTTATTCTTCTGCACATTTTTTTCTTTATTGCTATGAGATCTTTTCGAAATAGGCTCTTCATCAATTATCAAAACTCCATGATCCCCCTGACTAATGATCTTTTTCAGCTCCTCAATCTGCTCAGTCTTCACCCTATCTGACTCTTGATAAAATTTCAAATTTTTTTCCAACTGTTCTTTCTCATTCCTCAACCTTTCATATGCACTTAATGCATTCATGCCTCCAGGGTTATCATGTACATTATTTTTATCCTGCAGTAATTCATCCATAAGTCTTTTCAGTCTCATGCATTCATTGGTATATTGCTTTAATTCTTCAGAAATTTCGTTCATTTTTGTGATCCTTGCTGATCGTTTCAGCTCTTCATACTCTGTGTTGCGTATCTGCAGCTCATTTCGCAGCTCTTTTACGCTATTTTTCAAATTTTCAATTAAATGAAATTGAGATTTTGGCTTAGGATTATTAAGTGGCACATAGGAATAAGGCAAAGCTTCAATTCGGCTGAAATTTTTTTCTTGCATATCATGCTCCATTTGAGAGATTTTGGTCTTTAGCTTTGTGTTTTCTTCGCTCAAGGAGTTTATCATATGCTTATAAACGAGATTTTCTTCATATAGCTTTTCTTTATCAATTTGTATATGCTTTGGCCTTATTTTTGCAAGGTATGTTTGGTCAGGCTGAGGATTAGTATATTTGAATTTATAAAGGTTTGAGGTAGTAGCTGGGAATAGCTTTGGCTCAGAAACAACGCGGTTTATTTTAGGTGTTTTTGCATCTCTTGAAGCTGGGGCGACTACCTGAGTGCTATTTTTTCTTGAATCTTTTAGGTAACTTGGAAGTCTATATTGATCCTGCATTTTTTATAAAAGCTGATTAATAATATGCTCGCTGGTCAATATAAATCTCAATTTATTAGCTTTATGCTTGAAAAATAATAAAACTGATAAAAAGATTATTAATAAAATAAACTCAAATGGTTTTTCAAATTTTTACTTTGATTCAAATTTCATTGATTTCCTGCTGCATGGGATTTTACACATATCCATCAAATAATTCAGATACGTCAATAAGCACAGAAAATTCAATTCAAGACCCTGAAGCTGAAAATTATTCAGATTTGCCTTCTATTCCTGATACACCTTCAAGCTCAGCTTCAATTGTGAGTTTGGTACTTGGAATTCTTATTCTTACAATTGGAGCTGCGATTTGGGGATATTTTGAGTGGAGTTTTCAACTGACTCCCCCCCCCTTTAAATTGGAACTAAAAAATTTTGTTCCAATTTAAAGGGGGGTTAATTTTTTTTTTTAAAAAAAAATATCAATATAAAATTTTTTATAAAAAAAAAAATTTATATAAAAATTAAAAACAAAAAAATTCAAAAACTTATCGAATTAGATCAATAAATTTGTTTAATAAAATACCATTTACTCTTTATCCTTTAAAACAAAGCAAGATATAACTAAATTTTCATTATTAGTTAATACGCCACTATTAATAGGTATCAAAATTATTTACACAAAAAAAATTATTATTTTTATTGATAAAAAAAAAATTTAGAAAATTTATCGATCAAAGTGCTAATTTTGTTTAAATATGATGCTATTTATACTCTATTCTTTAAAATAAACAATAAATAAGTAAATTTTATAAAGAATTCCTATTGAATTTATATCAAAACTATTTAAATAAAAAATATCGTTTTTATCAAAAAAATATAAAAATTTTTTGAAAAATTTTTAAAAACAAAAATTGATTTTTTTTTTAAAATTTAGCAATTAAGGATAATAAATTTATCTAAATAAGATGCTCTTTATACTCTCTTCTTTAAGCAGGAGCAAGATATAACTAAAATTTGAATTTTAGTTAAGAAGAAACATTTAACTTATATCAAAACTTTTTACATAAAAATTATATATAATTTTTTATTATAAAATTAAATTTTGTTCCAATTTAAAGGGGGTTAATTTACCAAAAAAGTGGAATTTTTACCTATATTTTGTTCCAATTTAAAGGGGGGTTAATTTACCAAAAAAGTGGAAATTTTACCTATATTTTGTTCCAATTTAAAGGGGAGGGAGTGAGAAAAAGATTTCTGAACAAGTGTCTGAGCGTCGTGATAGATGCTCCACCTGTAATAGACTCAGAAAATAACGGAAAATTGCTATTTGTTGCTGGAAATTTGCAGGTCGGTATGCCTTTTTATCTTCAAGACCCGTTTCTCCCTATAGTTACAGTTTCAGAAGCCCTTTTGCTTAAAAGGCAAGCCGAGATGTACCAATGGCAAGAAGAAACAGTAAAGGACGGCCTTAAAGCAATAGACTACAAAAAGGTTTGGGCCAGATCCCAAATCAGCTCATCTCACTTCAAGTATCACGAAGACCACCATAACCCCGATTGAGACCCAAAGCTCCAAAATGCGACTTTTTCATGCCAGCCTGAAGCTTTTATCGGCCCTTATAGAATGTCAAGAGAAATTCTTAAAAAAATCCCCATAAGAGAAAAACTGAGATTAGTCCACCCTACTCCAACTTATGAGTCTTTAAATAAATATATTATTTACTTTGACGATACTTATTATTATCTGACTACACAAGAATCAGCTGATGGAGAGTATAAGCCAGAAATTGGGGACTATAGAATTAAATACTCAGTCCTCCATATAGGCACAGCTGTGAGCATTTTAGGGGCACAAGATGGGGATACATTGACAAAATATGAAGGGAAACTATTGACTGTGGAAAGCGGCATAATTTCGGCTGATAAGCTTTTAGAAAGGAAGCTGAGCAACAAGAGGACGAAACAATATATTTTCAGAATATTTTCAACCCTTTTATTACTTACTCCCCCCCCCCTCCGTGAGCGAACAAAACCATTAGAAAAATCGCCATTTTTTGACCAAAAACCCACCCTCTGTGAGTGAACAAAAATTTTTTTAATAGAAAAAATTTTAAATGGAAAAAAATTTTGATATATAAGGTGATAATTAGTATAATGAAATCTAGAGCTAATTCTGTTTAATTTTAAACAAATTGCGTTTTAAAACATAAATTTTGCAAATTAAATTAATATTTGCTTCCCAATTTTTGCAAATTAGGATTTTTTTAAATTTCGAAAAAAAATATTTTTTTATAAAATTTATATATAAATTTTTTTTAAAAAAAAAAATTAAACCCCCCTCCGTGAGCGAACAAAAATTTTTTTGTTCGCTCACGGAAGGGGGGGGGAGTTATAGGATTTATTCTTGTTACTTAATTATGTGTAATTAGTAAATTTACTTATAATATAAGAATTTTAAATTTTTTAATCCATATTTTGTTCAATTGAAGGTGTTTATAATGAGCAACTGAAATGAGCATAAATATGAATTATGCGAAGATACTGTAAGAAGTTATATAGGCTCGAAATAAGTTTTTGGATTGCTATTACAACTGGGCTAGGCTTAATGATTTTTGACTGAAAAAATCTAATGTAATTTCAACTCAGGTGCAAGTATCCTTTGCAATCGTGATTATTGGGGTCTTTGGCATTCTTTCCACAGGAAGAATCTTAATTTATTTCTCTTTTTATTTATCACCTGGATTTAGAATTATTTTGAGATTGATGTATGCTTATTTAAGAGACTTGGATCCTTCAAGATTGGAGGCATAGTAATACTTTTTGGCTTTTGCAGAAAAAATATTTAATATATTGTATCTCACTAATAAATAATGCGTTTTACTGCCTCCATTTTTCATGCAGAGTGCTAGAAATTAATTATGAATATTCTGTATAAAAAAGTTTCTTATATTTGATAATTTTCCAATAAATCATTCAATTAAAAAATATCAACTTTAAATTTTACTTAATTTAATTTTCATAAAAAAACGCTGATCAGAACAAACAATATTAAAGTTTTTTTAGCATCAAATGTTCTAAAGCAGTATATTTCATCCTTTCAACTTTATGGGCTGCATTTGGAACAGTCTATTTTTCTAAATCAATTTCCACAGATCAAAGTTGTGTAATCTTTTAATCAGCTTCCAAATGCATGATATTATGTTGGATTAATATCATGCACAATCATATGCTATACAATTACTTTTAAGTTGAGACATACTTCTATAAGAGCTTTATATTCTAGTGAAGACCAAGATCCATTTTTAAGAAGCAGGGCATTAAGACAGCATATAAAAAGAACAGTAAAGCCATGAGAAAAATATTATGAAAATACAAGTGAGGGGATATCATGTGTAATATGTTTTGAAGAGTTCCAAAATCGAAAAAAAATCGCAAAGCTTCCAATCTGCAAACATTTATTTCACATAAAGTGCTTAAGAAAATGGTTAAAAATCAAGCCAGAGTGCCCTTGCTGTAAATTTGACTTAAGTAGATACTTCAGTCAAGAATAATTATAAAACTTTAAACCATTAGCCTTATTCACCATTTTTCATATCTATAAGCATAGCTAGCTCTTATCTTGATGCCATTATGATTTATAATAAATAAAATATGGCAGAAGTCAAAAACGACGACACTTGCAAGATCTGCGGTAAACGAGGTGATCTTATATGCTGCGATCACTGCCCCTCATCCTACCACTTTAACGTACGCTAACCAGTGTTTAGGAATCCAACGAGATTTTGATGAAGAAATTTGGTTTTGTCCTCCTTGCCAAAAAGAGACCAAGCTCCGAGAAAAAGCCAAAGCTGAAGGCTGGACCAAAGAAAAGCTTAAAGAAGCCCTCCACATCCTAAGCGAGCAAAAAGAGCATTTTGCGCTTCCAAAAAGAGAGTATATCGACCCAGTGCCCCAGCTTCGTCAAATAACAGACTTTATGAACCCAAGCAGCGAGGAGGAAGAAGAAGATCCAGAATCAGGGTCGATTACCCGAATAGGGACTCAATTCCAGTCTTCTCTCCCTCCTTTTGGACAATTTTCTATTCCTCATAGAGAATGTCGAAAGGTGTGGGATTCTCATAGACTCCCTATCAGCACAGTTGATGACTATTTGAAGGAAGCCGAACAGCTTTGGAATGTCTCGTATCTTAAGTCTCTGGTGCCTTTCAATGAACAAGACGCTTGTAAGATTTTACATGCTAAAGGCTACAGTGTGCAAAATGCTTTGCAAGCCATTGCAAGGGAAAGACTTCCGTATATTGTTTGTAAGGCGTATGTAGTGACTGAGAATGATAAAGACAAAAAAGAACAAGATTTGATGGCGCTGAGGAATGGAGAAGCTCTTTCTATGTAGTAGGATAAGTAATATGGTTAGTCTTTATCAAAATGGATCCCGCCAATAAACTGACTGATAAATACTTCTTGTGATGAGCTGAAAAATTATATTTAATTAAATAATTTTTGCAAGAAAAGCCCTTTTTATAGAAAAGCATAAGAAAATTATAAATTTTTATAACAAAATTTATCTGAATTTATATAATCAATAAATAAGTTTCTAATTTACAAAATTTCATCTGATAGTATCTAACCATATTTTCTATGAGTCTAAGGTCCAAATTAGAGCAGCTCATTCGTGACGCCAAAGATTATGACCCAGACAAGCGCTTTATGGCAGCTAATGATCTTTGCACCGAGCTTCTGAAGTCGCAAGACGAAATTGACGCCAATCTTGAAAAGCAGATCTGTGCAATCTTTTTAACCCAATTAGATGACACCTCAATCGAAGTCCAAGGCAATGCCGTCAGGTGCATCAAAAGAACAGTCGGGAAAATCCAAGAATCACAAGTCTCTGACGTCATTGAAAAGCTTGGCGTCTGCCTTGTGCAAGGAAAAGTCGAATTCAGGGATATTTACTCAACATGTCTTAAAGGACTTATAAGTGACGTCCCAGACTCATATTCTAGAACTGTGACAAGCACGATGCTGCCAATGCTGATGAACTGCATTAAGTTAAATGACCCACAGGTGAAAGAAGAAGCCACTGATATTTTGACTGAGCTTCTGAGAAGATTTTCTGCACAGCTGTATGGGTCTAACGATAGGTCAGACTTGATAAATGCAGTTTCAGCTTTATTGAACAGTGATAGACCTTCTATTAGGAAAAAAGCTACACAGTGTATTGGCGCTGCAGCTGTAATCCTCCCTCAAAGCCAGCTACAAAATTTAGTTGGCTGGCTTATGCAAAGCATCACCAGGGCTCATGACAGAAAAGACGTATACACCTTTATCCAAGCCATCAGTGCTATCAGCAGAACAGTTGGCTATAAGTTAAACAATTTCTTAAAAGACCTTTTGCCTCTTTTATTCCAATTTTGCAGCACCAGAGGACTGAGCATTGATTCTCCAGAAATCGATATGCAGCACGAATTAATAGAAATTTGTTTAGCATCAATAGAAAGCTTTATCAGAAAATGCCCAAGAGAAATTGTAGACCACATTGAAAATATTTTTGGTCTGGTATTTGACTTAATCAGCTATGACCCAAATTACTCTTATAATGAAGACCAAATGGAAGAAGACGAGGACTGGGGCTCAGATTTTGAAGATGAAGAATTCAGTGACGCAGCTGGAGACGATTCTTCATGGAAAGTCAGAAGAGCCGCTGTACATGTGCTTGAAGCTATCATTAAAAGCAGGCCTGAAGTGCTATCTCCTTATTATTCCAGACTTGTAGAAAAATTGGTAGATAGGTTTAAAGAAAGAGAAGAAAATGTGAAGCTTGATATTTTTAAAGCATTTTCTTCACTTATTAAAAGTATCTTGGTCGGAGATGTAGAAGCAGCTCACAGTGATGATTTAGCGCTGCCAACATTGGTGAGAACGAGGTCTTCAGCTGTTGTGCTAAATGACGAAGTCCCTATGATCATTCAAGGCGTTCTTAAAGAGCTCAGTTCAAAAAACTCAAGAACCCGTCAAGGAGTGACCACGTTTTTAATGGACATGTCATTATCATTACCAGCAAAGCTAAATGAAAATCTTGGGCTTATTTTGAATGAAATCACTAAAAACCTTGAAGACATCAATAACTCAAATTTGAGAATGGACACCTTAATCATGCTGAAGAGACTGTTTAGAAGTGGGGCAAGTGAGAACTTGCAAGATATTTTTGGAGTTTTGCTGCCACATATACAAAAAGCTATAAGTGACGAATATTTCAAAATTGCAGCTGAAGGGCTAAGAGTTGCAGGAAGCATGGTAAAAGCACTGCCAGGTGTCGCTCAAGTTGTGAGATCGCTTTATCCTTTGGTGCTGAACAGATTGACGATGACAGATATTGACCAAGAAGTAAAACAAGCTTCGATTTACAGTGCAGCTATCATTTTATCAGTCTCTGCCTCTTCAATTGATACCAGAGATGTGAGAAGAACTCTTGAACTAATCAATGACAGGCTTAAAAACGAAGTCACAAGAATGAACTGTTTGAAAGCTTGGACCAAGATTTCGCTTGGACAAGCTGATTTGCCAATCCATGACACCCCTGAAATTACTTCTGGATTAGAAGAAATGAGAACTCTGTTGAAAAAGAGCTCAAGAGCCCTTAAGCTTTCAACATTAGAGACAATTCTTGCTATAGTGAAAAAATACCACATTAAAAGTGACACTGTAGAAGAGCTAGCTACTGAGTTGCCTGTTTTTATTAATGACTCTGATTTACATCTTGCCCAAAATGCGCTTGAAATCTTATCAGTGCTGCTAGAAAAGTATCATAGAATATCAAGGCATACGATGGACGCTATTTTGGCTAATATGAATACACTGTCAAAATCGTCACTTGTACAAGGAGGTGCCCTTGCTAAGTTATGCCAAGCTTACTCTAGCTTAGTTAAGGATGCTGGAATAGGCCAAAGAGAGCTCTGTGCAAGCTTGCAAGCAAATATGCAGGATGTGCATAGGCATGGCTATGAGTCTACTGCTCAGTGCATTGCATCTGTATGTCTTGCTCAGCAAACTGACTATTTGAATGGATTCTTAGAAGAATGCGTCAAAAAACTAGGAGGAAATAACTCTCAAAAGCAGCTTTCAGCACTTTGCATTGGTGAGATTGGAAAACACATTGACTTAAGCGGGAAACGTCAAATTGATCAAGCTTTAATCGCTCTTTTTGACACTCCAGACGAAGACACTAAAATTTGTGCAAGTGTTGCTCTTGGCAAGCTTGCTGTCGGCAATCTGACCAACTATCTACCACACATTTTTGCACAGTTCCACGTTGAAGCTCACCGTTATCTTCTTCTAATCGCTCTTAAAGAAGTCATCAGTCACCATTTCGACCGAATGGTCCCATATCTTGATACAATTCTGCCTTTGCTTTTTGACCACAGTGACTCCTCAGAAGAAAGTGTCCGTAGTCTTGTTGCTGAATGTTTAGGAAAACTATTTTCAGTATCTCCTGATAGAATATGCCCACAAATTGAGCACAGAATTACCACAGGGAATAACCTTTCAAGAGCTACCATTGTAAACTCAATTAAATTTGCAGCAACGAGCAAGATAAGTGCAGTTTCTGCGTTAGAAGGAATAATCCAAGCATTGATGACTTGTTTTAGTAACCCTGATGTGAATTTGAGAAGGTCGTGCATGCTTTCGTTAAATGCAGTTGCTTATAATGTTCCTCAGGCTATCAAACATAATGTTAATGCTATTCTTGACCAAGTTTATCCAGAGACAGTTGTTAAACAAGAACTTATTAAAAAGGTGGATTTGGGACCATTTACGCATATTGTTGATGATGGGCTGCCATTGAGAAAAGCTGCTTATGGACTTTTGGAGACTTTGCTAGATACTGTGCCTGAAAAAGTGGAGCCAAATACATTGGTGGAGCATTTGATAGTAGGGTTAGATGACCCATCAGAAGAAGTACAGATGCTTTGCCATCAGGTGTTGTCAAAACTTTCTACATGGGGAGGTGGAGCTGTGCTTGGAGCTCTTGACGCAATTGTGCTTCCTTTAAGAAAGAATGTTGAGAAGCAGCTCAAATTGATTAATAATAAACAAGAAGTTGAGCGTGCAACTGATGTCCTCAGAAGCTGCTTTAGATGTGTTGATACTATCACTCATCACTTGGAAGCAGACTCAAATATGAACTTCAGAGAATTCATCACCTATATTTCATCGGTAGGAGATCTTTCTAGTATTATGCAGGCTATCAAATCTCAAAGAGAAACTCTATACTTCGCTTAATTAAGAATAACTTAGCCAATTAATTCATTAAATAACTTCTTAGAGAGTTAAAATTGCAGCGGGTACATATTTTAATATGATATAGAAATTAAAATTTAATTGATTTAGCGCATTTTATACTTTAAATAGCAAATCAAAGACTTAAATGGGGTCACAAATGTCATGCTGAAGAGAGTTCTCTCCAGAAGCTGAAGATAGCATAGAAGCTTTTCATCCTAAGAGAATAATAAAAACTGAATCCACTTTTAAAGGGTTAATCAAGATTCAAGCAGTATGAAGAGGCTATTCTGTGCGCAAGCCAGGTAGTTTTGTCAAGCTGCCAAAGTTTGAGAGCAACCAATGCAGCAAAATTGAACTCAAACTTGGCCCATTTAAGTTTCCTAACTCTTCAATATAATAAAGCACAATTTTTTTTGCAGTATTTTTAAAGCATATTATATATTTTGATGTCTAAATATTTCAATATATTAATATAGTCTCCAATACTCTTTGTGTCTTCTAATATATTTTACAAGTGAAGCATTTTATGAAAAGCATATAATTGAAAGATACATAAAATAAAAATTTTCGAGGATTAAGATTCCTCCAATACAAGGTACTTATAATCCGAAACCGATAAAATTCAATGATGAATCTATCTATTTAGGAGAATGAAAAAACCATTTACGCCAGGGCAAAGGAGTTCAGGTATGAAAGAATGGCTCTAAGTATGTAGGATACTGGATAAACGATAAGCAGCACTTTTTAGGAAGAATGATTCATGCATTAAAATGGTGTGGTGAGGTGAACCAGCCCACCTTCTTAACTCCTGCAGCTGGCATCCCAAAGGGTGCTAGGAATCTCGAGGAAGGGAGGATGGCATTCGGGAATGTGCATCTGGCCAGATTTTTCTTGGTTTGGTGAAGTGCAATGTCGGGTTTGCCAACTGCAAGCTTTACTCCAATGCCAAATTTTTACCTTAGAAGGAAATGGGTCCGGAAGCTGGAAAGGAGTCTCCCAGCAAAGTCAATGACTTTGGTTAGATCAATAGGGACTATTCCCCAGTGTGAAACCAGGAGTTATGCCCCCCGGGCTACGGATTTCCATTTTGAGCGATAGTCGACCAGAATATTCAACCCTTTTGAACCTTGTTGGCGTACAGCAGATGAAGGAGCAACTTTTGTAAGGTCGTGTACAAACTAACAAGCAAGCGAAAGGAGCGTTAAGGGTGGGGATAGTCCTTCAGGAATTACAGCGAGCTTTTCTATAATTTAAGTTAATACTAATATTAGGAAGAATGATTCACTCTAATGGAGACTGCTATGAAGGCGAATGGAAAGATGGAAAAGCACATGGAGCAGGGAAATTCATGCATTATGAAGGTGCAATGTATGAAGGCTCCTGAAATAATGATACTCAGCAAGGACAAGGAAAAGAACTCTGGCCAGATGGAGCAAGATATGAAGGAGAGTATTTTGAAGGAAAAAAGCATGGCTATGGTGAATTTTTTTGGTCTGATGGATCATACTATAAAGGCTTTTTCACTAACAATAATATTGAAGGAAAGGGGGCTTATTATTGAGCTGATGGGAAGGTATACACAGGATCTTGGGTTAATAATCAAATGCAAGGCTCAGGCAACTTTGAGTGGCCTGATGGGAGGCGATATTCAGGCCAATACTTTAAAGACAAAATGCACGGAGAAGGGATTTTGACATTTCCAGATGGAAGAAGGGTTATTGGGACATGGATAAATGGGGAACTTCAAAAGAACTCCTCAATTAAACCTGAACAAAAATCATAAATGTAATTTATTATTCAAATAATAAATCACCATGATCTTTTTGCTCAATTACACACAAATAAAAATTGATTGATATTACCTTCTTTTTTTATTTATCAAAATAAATTAAATGAAATTTCATATTTCTTGCATGTAAATAAACCAATATTTTCAGATATATAGAAATATCAAAATATCAACCATTATACTTTAATGCTAAGTATTAGAAATTCAAAAGAAAAGCCTTGCCTAAATTCTGAAAATCTTTCGAAACTGTTTTTCTTTTTAAAATAATAGAAAGAATAATATTGAACTTATGATTATGCAATTAAATTATGTCATCATTAGAAACTGTAAAGGTTGTTGTAAGGGTGAGGCCACTCCTACAAATTGAACTTAATAAGTCATGCCAAATAGTAGTCGATTCTGACAGAGCTCAAAGCCAAATTATTATAAAAAATCCAAAAACCTCTGCAACTAAAATTTTCGCTTATGACAACATATATCCTCAAGACTCCTCACAAGAGCTCATATATGACGAAACAGCCTTTCCTTTAATCGAGCAAGTAATTGAAGGTTATAACGGCACTATTTTTGCATATGGACAAACAGGCTGTGGGAAAACCTATACCATGGTTGGAAATCCCCAAAAAGAAGAACAAGGGATCCTGCCTAATTCTTTTCATCATATTTTTGGCTGTGTCGGCGAATCATCCCAGAATAAAAAATTCCTTATCAGATGTTCTTATTGTGAGATATATAATGAAGAAATAAGGGATTTACTAAATTATGATGAAAAGAATAAACTTGAGCTTTTGGAGTCAAAAGAAAAAGGAATCCATGTGAAAGGACTCAATCTGCAAATTGTGAAAAGTGCTGACTCACCCCCTATAAAAATACTGTTCCAATTTAAGGAAATTAAAAATTTTTCTATTAAAAAAATTTTGTTTTAATTCAAAAGGGGTTAAAGTGCCTCAAAAAAAAATAAAATTTTATCTATGTTTTGTTCCAATTTAAAGGGGAGGAGTGAAGACGTCGCAAACGCAATGGAGATGGGGAATGCACATCGAGTTACCAAGCAAACACAAATGAACGAACGATCGTCAAGAAGCCATGCAATTTTTACGATTTATATAGAAACAAGCCAGGAGATCTCAGGAAGAGAAACTATCAGAGCTGGAAAAATTAATTTTGTGGATTTGGCTGGGTCTGAAAGACAAAAAAAGACAGGAGTTGTTGGGGATAGGCTGAAGGAAGCCATTGAGATTAATTTATCACTGAGTGCGCTTGGAAATGTGATCAATGCTCTAGTTGATGGAAATGTAACTCATATCCCATATAGAGATTCAAAACTAACACGTCTTCTTCAAGATTCATTAGGAGGAAACACAAAAACAGTTATGATTGCTGTGGTTTCCCCAGCTGATTATAACTATGAAGAATCTCTCAGTACACTTCGTTATGCATCTCGAGCAAAATTTATAAAAAACAAGCCAATAATAAATGAAGACCCAAAAGACGCATTACTTAGATCTTATGCTGAAGAAATTGAAAGACTAAAAAGACTTTTATATGAAAAAAACCCAAACGCGACTGGAAGTTTCATTGAGTATACAAGGGAATCCAAAACTAGAGCAGAGTCAGAATTTGATGATACAGAATCACGCTCAAGCCTTGACCAATCTAAAATTCTTAAGCGGGAAAGAGACTCAAGTCTCAGGACGGTAAGAAGTAAATCAAGAAATTCAGACCCAAAAAAAAAGCATTCATCAGTCACCCCAATGCTTATGTCTAATGCTTCTTCTTTTAGTGAAGAACAAGAAGTTAACACAGAAAGAGAAAACCTTGAAATGATGGTCAAAAAATTAGAAGAACAATTAGTAGTTGGCGGGGAGGCTCTTTTTAATGCAGAACAAGAAAGACTTAACGCCAAAAGAGAATTTCTGAAAAAATTGAAAAAACAAAGAGAAAAAGAAAAAAAACTAGCTGAAAAAAATAAGCAGCATGAAGAAGAACTAATGAAAAAAGAAAAAAACTATGCCAGCCTGCAAGAAGAAGTCGATGCTTTAAGAGAGTCCAATAAATTATTGCAGACAAAGTATGATGCAGCTTTAAGCGAAATTGATGATATAAATAAAGAAAAAACAAGAGAGCAGGAAGAAGTTTTTAACGCTTATAGAGCTTCAGAAAGAGAAATTGAATTTTTGAATCAAGTCATCATGAATTTTGTAGATTTAAATGAGTTGATGAAGATCAAGATGAAGTCACAGTATGATGAGGACAATCATACGTGAAAAGTACCTGCATTTGTTGTGCAGAAGAAACAGACTTTGTTTCCGAAGCTCCCGAGAGCACAACTTAGAGAAGTTGTGCAAAGGGAGCTTAAACAAAGGCATTTGGTTTTTAAAGGGAGGGGATCTCCTAGTCCAGATGTGTGGAACCCAATATCTGAAGAATCTGATGAAGATAAAGATTTATCTCCTGGGCCACATATTGTGAAGTGTCAGTTGGATTATTTAGGAAATCATTTTTCGAACAGCCCTCAGGAACATGATGCGAGACCGACAACTTCTGGGACGAAAAGTAGGAATCAGAAATATAGGAATAGGGTGCAGAGACCAATGGAGCCAATAGAATCGGGGATGGGTTCTGAAAAATCTGATTCCCCTTTAATTGAAACAAAATATCAGTAAAATTTCAAATTTTTGTTTAGCCATTTAATTGGAACAATTTTAATTTTTAACAGTAATTTTATAGGTAAAAATACTATTTATGTAATAATTTTAGACCTTATTTAATGAAAAAGTGCAAGTAGAATATTATTAAAACAGTTAACACTTTGAATTGATAATAAAATTTTTAAAGTAATTTTTCATAAAATTAATTAAAATTTAAAAATATTGCGTTCAATTTATATAATATAAATTAATATATACTTTTTTTTAAAAAATAAATCCACTTTAAATTGAAAAGGCTTTTTGTTCAAATTTAAAGTGAGGGGAGTGATTGGAATAATCAGTGTATCAAGAAAAAAATGCTATCACCGATTCAAAGAAAGCCATCAAGGCCATATCAAGAAGAGCATGCTGCTTTTAGTAGAAGTGGGCTGAAAATTTTGTAATTGTTTAAAATTCTTTTGTCGAGATATTTATACTTTAAACCTAATTATGTCAAATTATGTGCAACATTTATTTCACATAATATTGAGCGAATTAAACTAAATTAAATTTAATAAAGCGCGTAATAGTATAAAATCTGAAAATCACCAAGAAATAAAACGAACTTTGATTATTTAAAGGTATTTAATTCAGTATAGTTTGGCTATATTGTCTGCCAATCTTTCTGCAAGATCATTATTTTGTGTAAAAAAATAATAAATAATAGCAAGTGATTTGACTGCTATGAGCTTTTCAACATCTTAATGCCTTTTATAAGAGGATGATCGCTTTGAAATATGAAAAAACACCTTTCTTTAAAATATTTTAAATTTGTACCTAGAATTAGACAGAGTTCTATATTTTGATATCCCTGGCTTCCAGGACAATCGTGGCTCTGACATAAATATAATAAATGCTTCAGTTATCAAAACAGTAATTGAAAATGCAAATTCAGTAAAAATAGTGTTTGTATGCGGTGAAGACGAGCTTAGCTTTTCAAGAGGTCAGGTATTCAAAGATCTAGTAGCGCGCTCTAAAGAGTTATTCCCAAATAGCCCAGCCATTCAAGAATCAAGCATGCTGGTTATTACTAAGGCTGGAGAATGGACTAGCAATAACCCTTATAATTATATTGTCCATAAAACAGATTTAACCGATGCCAAAGATTTTTTAACTCCTGATAAAATTTCTTCAATGTCAAGCAGCTTGGCAGATTTTGAAAGGTCAGACATATTTGAAAAAATTAATAAGTTATTTCCAACAGCTGTTAGATAAGTCAACATTGGCGTTTTTTTTGAAGGAGACTTAAAACAAACTCTTAGTGAAATTTATGAAATCGAATTGTCTCTTGCACTTGAAAAAGCATGCAGTCAGATTCATCGATGCAGTACCCTAAATGAAATAACAAATGCAATAAATTCCCTCAACAATATCTTTGGGCAAGGAGTTTCAAATGCAATTGCTTCATCAGAATTGATTAACCTTTTAAAGCCTTTATCATCGAGTATCTATGCTTCAGTCGAGCAAAATTTTAAAGAAAAAATAATTCAGACGAGGTCTACCTACTTCGCAATGTTAAATCAAAAAAAGGATGAAATTGTAACTCAAAATACCAAATCAGAAATAGCTCAATGTCAAAGTAATATAATAGAAAGAGACAGAAAGATTGAAGAAATAAGACAAGAATTAATGAAACCTGTGGAAGTGATAGTTAAAGTCATCCATCACGAATCAGACTGCTTCTTATTCTAAAAAGATAAATTTATTTTAGAAAATTTGCTTAAATTCTATTTTAGTAAACAATTTTATTATTAATCTTTAATCAATTGATACTCTTGCTCACTTGGCTGATTAATTTTTTCAACTATCTTTGCTCGCAACTTAAATACAACGTTTGGGATTTCGATTTCTATATTTGAGTTCATATTATTTACTTCATTTATTGCTAAAATTAAACTCTGCATTGATTTTTGCAAGAAGAAAGACTTTAATTCTTTAGATCTTGCGATAGCAATTCATGACCCTAAAAATATGATAGTAAAGATAATTGTTCCTGCTAAATTTGGAAGCTGATAAAAATAAAAGCCAAGTGAAAACCCTAAAAATAAAAGACAATAAATTCCTGAAACAACTGAAAGATATATAAGATATTGCCTTTTCAAGGCTAGGTTCAAGGAATTTAAAATTGTTACAATAGAGTCTTGGTGCATTCATTGAGAAAACTTTTCATCTATTCGATATTTTGGCCACAGCTTTCAATTTAATTTGGCAAAAGGCTCACTCGATGACTCACTGGATTTTTCATCAAAATCTTCCTCTGAATTGGTATAAACTTCTACTTCGTCCATTTTCTTTAATTACATAGAGTTTATAGCGTGCTAAATTAATATTTATTTATTTGAAGAGTGAGCTTGGATTCTTTGCGTAAAAATAGTAATTTTATTTGAGACCTGAAAATCTAGACATTTCTTCAATATAATCAATATTTGACCTTAAGCTTGTAAAGTCCATTCGCCTATCATTTGATGTTTTTAAGCTTTTAAACTGAGGCTTAATAAACTCTATTGTTTCCCTTCTTGAAGACTCATCTTGAATTTTTATAGCGATTTTAGCAAATCTTCTGTAAAGTTTTAAAGCTTCACCTCGGAATATGAAGTCTTGCAAGTTTAGCTTCATAATTTTCTAAAATGGATTTATATTGACTCCCCCCCCTCCCTCCGTGAGAGTGAACAAAAATTTTTTTAATAGAAAAATATTTTATGGAAAAAATTTTTGATATATAAGTGATAATTAGTATAATGAAATCTCGAGCTAATTCTGTTTAATTTTAAAATAAATTGCTTTTTAAACATAAATTTTGCAAATTAAATTAATATTTGCTTTCCAATTTTTGCAAATTAGGATTTTTTTTAAAATTTCGAAAAAATATTTTCTATAAAAATTTATGTATAGATTTTTTTTAAAAAAAAAATTAACCCCCCTCCGTGAGTGAACAAAATTTTTTTGTTCACTCACAGAGGGGGGGGAGTGAGTAAATTTATTTAAAATTACATAATTTAATTTTACAGATTTAATTTCTTTTAGTTTAAAAGATTAAAAATCATGATTCCTTAAAAACCTGTTGCCTTGAAATTGGCAAGATTTTTAAATATTTATATCTATTCTATCTATAATTGGGATTTTTAAATTTTATGATTTATTGACTATTCCATAAAACAGCGAATTTTATTGTTGATTTAACTGATTTTTACATAGCATTTTTAGTATTTTACCTCATCAAAATATTAATCATGGAAATAAAAGACTTTCACTTTCCTCCTATAGGCTCGCTATCAAACTATAATGACTCAGCAAGTCGATTTGAAACACACAGAAGGGTTTCGAATTTTTCTGAAATGAAAGTGGAATTAACTGAGAGAGAATGTAGATTGAAAAGAAGCCAAAGTAGATTAAATGCAAGCCACTCTGTAGAAAGAGTAGATTTTCACGCTAAAAAGCCAATTTATGATGAAATCAAGCAAGCTCTTTTAAGAAATAGAGAAATCAGCCTTTCAATAAAAAATAACGATAGCAGCCGTAAAGAAGATTATTTGAGAAAAAGTCTTGAAAGAGCGAAAAATGATGCAATGGTAAATGTTGCAGCAGCATATAATGAAGCTGGAAAAGATTTATCTGTTAAGGTCTTAAACCAAGTGCTAAAATCAGTTGAAATATTATTGAAAGACCAAGCAAAATTTCAAAACGAAGCAGATATAATTCATAAAGTGTTAAAAAAATCAATTTTCATTGAAAAAGAAGAAATAAATGCTGAGATTATGGATCACCTTTATGATGATAATAAAAACCTCATATTTAGCAGCGACAGAACAATCCCTTATTTCATTCTTTTAAAATCTTTATCAGAGAATTTTTTGAAGATGAAAGCTAAGTACGAAAAGAATAAGGAAATAATTTGTAATAGAACGGAAGAATTAGTGAAAGAAATTGAAGGAAAAGAAATAATAATCAAATATGGCGCCATTAGAATATTTTGTTACCCAAACGAATATCTTCCTTTGGCCAATTTTGATTATATGGCTTTGCTTCACCATCAAATTTATTCCAGCAATGATGACATAGACACCCATCCTTATGGAATTGAATTTTCTGGAAGTGTGTCCATCAACCCAGGCGGTGGAGATTGGGACCTTGGCTTTGCCTAAGAATTGGAAGCAGCCATCGAAATTCGAATGCCCGAAGATGAGGGACCATTCATAAAGGCAAAGTTATTGGACGACGTGTGTTCAGAGGGAACCCCTAAGCAGGGACAGGAGCCCGTCTAGGTGATGTGGTATTAGACGTAAACGAAAGTAGAGTAATTAATTTAAGGAAAAGAAATAAAATAAAAGAGTTAAATGAAAATATTGAAGATTTAAAAGAATCAAAAGAAAAATCTGATCAAGAAAAAGCTGATTTAATGAATAAATACAAAAGGCTAGAGGAAGACTTAAAATTTTACATCAAAGTGTCCTCTGATAGAGAAAATATGGTACAAAAAGTGCAGAGGAATAATAATGATGGAAAAGAAATTATAAAAGACTTGGAATGGCAGATAAAAAAGTCTGAGCTAGATTATGATTATTTTTATTCCGAATATCGGAAATTGGACAAAGAGCATAATGAGCTGAAGCTAAAATATAACAATATGATGCTATCGTATCCAAATATGATTGTAAAGTTAAAGCAATTGCATGAAGGGAATGAAGAATTAGAGAAAAGAATTTCTGGTCTAGAAGCAGAAAATTGGTTTCAAAATGAAAAAGTCTGAGATTAATATATTTTAATTCCTTAAATACAATAAATATCTGATTTGAAGCTGCTTTCTCTTTAGATTGAACAAAAAAATTGGGAAAATTTTCATTTTTTGGTTAAATTATCGCCCTTAAATAGGAAAATTTTTTACTTTTTAATTTAATTTTATAGGTGAAAATAATAATTTTTTTATATAAATAGCTTTGACCAACTTTAACGAAGGGAATACAAGTAGAATGCTATTTTAAACAGTCAGCACCTTGATTTGATTAGTTTTATTCAAGAAATCATTATAAAAATAAATTAAAACTCAAAAATACTGCATAAACTGTATTATTTTTTTTTATTTTTTATAATGCTTTTTATTATCATAATTTTTTTAAAAAAAATTTTTTGTTCACAATTTAAAGGGGGAAAACATCGAAGTTGCTTCTGCAACCCAGAAAATTCTGAACTACACTTTAAAACTAGTGTCATCGATGACTTAACTCCAAGGCCAGATCTCGACAAGATAATTTCACTCTTACATATTAAAAATCCTCCAGAAAGAACCATTTCCAAAGCAAATACAATTACTATAGAGCTTCGCAAAGCAAAAAATAAAAAACTATCTCCCTCTCTTCTTAACTGAAAACTCCCCAACAATTGATTAAGGTAATGATAAAAATATTTTGATACTTATTTTTATCGTCATTTTTTTTACTATTTAATAAATTTACACTTTAGATATAAGAAATAGACCATGTAATATATTAGCAAATATGCTAGAATTCACATTATATTAGCTTTAAGCGATTATACTGAATATTCTTAAATATTTATTACTATCAAAATATAGTTAATTGATTTGAAGCGGAGTATTGAGATGACGACCATATAAAATCGCTCGATCAATATATTGAAAGTAAGAGAAAAAATAATGCAGGAAAATATTGAAACTTCATTAAATCCAAATCAATCTGAAACATCTTCGCCTGATGCATCACCTCTGGTATACAGTCTTACATGAATATTCCTTTCCATTTTCATAAAATTCTTTAACAATCAATTTCCTCTTTCATGCAAAATATTTTATAATACAAAATTGTAAGATTATTTAAATTAATTCATAAGGTAAAAATGGGTTTTGACATAGATTATTACCTTGAAAAAGCAAAGGCAGGAGAACTTCTTGACGAATATGTAATCAAGTTAATAACGCTCGAGCTTAGAAATATGCTTGAGAATCAGCCAAACGTCGTCTCTGTCCCTACACCAGTAATCTGTATTGGAGATATACATGGCCAATTTTTTGATTTATTAGAAATCTTCAAAATAGGTGGCTCTCCACCAGACGTTTCTTATTTATTCCTCGGCGACTTCGTAGATCGTGGGCCTTGCTGTATTGAAACAATTACATTATTATCACTGCTAAAACTAAGATACCCCCAGCGAATAACATTATTAAGAGGAAACCACGAGACCAGAAGCATTACTCAGGTTTACGGTTTTTTCGCAGAGTGTCAACGAAAATTCGGGAATCCTTCAGTCTGGCAATATTTTACAGACGCTTTTGACTTTTTGCCTATTTCAGCAGTAATTCAACAAACCTTATTTTGTGTCCATGGAGGTCTTTCTCCTTCAATATCAAGAGTTGACGAAATCAGAAGAATTGAAAGAACTCAAGAAATCCCTCATGAAGGCGGATTTTCTGACTTAATGTGATCAGACCCTGATGAAAATAATTTAGGATTTAGCACCAGTAGCAGAGGTGCAGGGTATATGTTTGGGAAGGATATTGTTGATAAATTTTTGCATATGAATGATATATCACATATAATTAGAGCACATCAGCTGTGCAATGATGGGTATCAGGTTTTATTTGATGATACTTTTTCAACTGTTTGAAGTGCACCGAATTATTGTTTTAGGTTTAAAAATATGGCAAGCATTTTATTAGTTGATGAGAGGCTTAATAGACAGTTTGTAGTGTTCTCGGAAGCTCCTGAAAATTCAAGATATGAGGTTAATAAAATTTTTGAAGCGCAGCCTGATAATTTTTTAATTTAAATAAATAATTAATTAATTGATACATAAAATAGCAATTTTATATAAAAGTGATGGAATCTAACCAAATCCAATAGTGTTAATCAAAAATAAGAGATTTTTAATTAAATATATCAATTGAGAGCTCTTGGTTAAAATAAAGTATATTGCACTGTCTCTGATCCACATTTTGTGATTGATGTAATAGGGTGAAGCATATCAAAGCAAAACAAAGGTGTATAAACAAAGTACTGCATAATAATAAAGAGTGCCAAATTTGCTAGCACGTGTAATCATAATATCCACCTTGGCTTTCTCAATCCTTCAGACCATTCTAAAAACACTCGATCATAAACCATAAAGTTGACTTTCCCTTCATCTTCTCTATTTCTTAATACATCTTTCGTTGTTGGAGGAAACTGAAAAGATTCCAAATCCTGAGGTTTCACAGAAAAATAAAGATAGTGGCCTGACCCTGATTTGCAGAGAGCTTCGTCAAAAATCATGTTTTCGAACATATTTGGGACCTTTTTTAAGTTGGATCTATACACTTGCATTGCATTTTCATGAATTATTACTGTGTAAAGAGAAATGCAAAGGGTAATAAAAGTCAAATAAGGAGCCAAGTACAAAATAAGCAGCAAAAAGAATAAGCGAGTCGACATATAATATCAGAATCGGTACATCTTATCTGTGTAAGCATAATCCAAAAGAATTGAATTTTTATTGTTGATTCTGTCGTTATAGTGGAATACTATATGATTATAGCGACTGATTGGGTTTTGGTGCACTGTTGGCTTGTCGCTGAGATTTAAAGGCTCTCTCGTAGTTATTCTTTTCACCATTATAAACTTCTCTGCAATAAAAATGTCATAACCATTCCAAACAGAGTTTTAAAGAATCTTTCGAAATTATTCGCCAAATCTAGTTGTTCGGTTTGAGAAGAATTCATATTGATAAAATGGAGTGTGAAAATCTCAAATCAGAAAAGATCAGAAAATGTTAACTCCTCCCCCTCCCTCCGTGAGTGAACAAAAAAATTTTGTTCACTCACGGAGGGGGGTTAATATTTTTTTATAAAAAATTTTTTTTTTCGAAATTTAAAAAAACCCTAATTCGCAAAATTTTGAAAGCAAATATTAATTTAATTTATAAAAATTTATGTTTTAAAAAGCAATTCGTTTAAAATTAAACAGAATTAGCTCTAGATTTCATTATACTAATTATTCATTTATATATAAAAATTTTTTCCATAAAAAATTTTTCTATTAAAAAAAATTTTTGTTCACTCACGGAAGGTGGTTTTTGGGCAAAAAATAGGGATTTTTCTAATGGTTTTTGTTCACTCACGGAGGGGGGGGGATTAAGTAAGCTGCACTAAGCCAATAAGAGCAGCCAATTTTTACTTACTCCTCATTTAAAAAAGAACAAAAACTTATTGAAGGAGGATTTTTTTTCGATGAAATTTAAATTTTTCTTATAAATTTATGGAATTAAAGCGCTAGATTTGTTTTAATAACACTTCTTATTTTAAACTAATACACCAAAATGGCGATACGTGTCAACCTGCCCTCTTGGCGCAACTGTCCAGACCTTATGGCTACGGCGAACTGGGACGGACTCCTAGCCGAGAATCAAGTGCAGGCTCAAGAGATGTGTATCTGGATATGCTTTGGCTGCTTCCTGTGGTTGGAAATGGAGGTGCTCAACAGCGTCCTTTTGGTCCGAGACGCATGGACATTCCTCTACGGAGAAACTGAGTTTTTGGCACAGCACATAAGGGAGTAGTCTTTTTCCTGTAGCTGTCTAAGGAAGGCACTCTATGGAATCAAGCTACTCCATTTGCCCGCAGTAGGGCCGCAGAAATCCTTAAGCACTCAAGACTGAAGTCGCAAGGCAAGGAGAACAGAAGTCACCGGAGGGTGGCCCACTTTCGGGGGAAAGATTCTCTGGGCTGGATCAAAAAGCGCATGAACCTCCCGTACGGAAGGTCTTTGGTGACTGCATCACCAATATGGCTAACGCCTGACTTTTAAAACCTATAACCCTATTGAAACTAGAAAATACTATAGCCGCATTTAAGACTGAAGCGGCATTAAATTAACTATTAAAACTATTTATATAAAAATTATTATTTCTACAAATAAAATATAAATTTTGTCCAATTTAAGGGGTTTAATTTATCCAAAAATGGAAGATTACTTAATTTAAAGGGGATTTAGTTATTTATTATATTCTTTTTAATGCATACCCTAGAACCTGAAAAACTCTTCAAACCCCCTTTAGTATAGTTTATAAATTTTAAAATGGACTTTGATGCAGATCAAGAAGATGTATTTATAGGCGGTGACGAAGAAGAAGCCGGCCAAAGAGATTTCACCCCCCAAAAAGATGAAGTTATTTTCTTAGTTGACTGCAACCCTACTATGTTTGCAAAAAACCAAGAAGGGCAGTCTCCATTTTACATGGTCATGGACGCGGCATACAGCTACTTCAAAGACAAAATCCTTGCTTCTGAGTCTGACAACTTGGCTTTAATATTTTACAATACCGGCCACTCCAAAAACCATATGGACTTCAAAGGGCTTTATGTGTTTCAAGAGCTCGGACCTCCAGATGCTCCCAGAATCAAAGCCCTCCAACAGCTTCGGACTAATGAAGACTACAAGTTTGGGCATTCAGACGCTTTACTTGTAGAAGCTTTATGGCTCTGCCACGACCTTCTAACCCAAAAACATATGACTGCATCCCGGCGCATATTCTTGTTCACTAACCAAGACAGGCCTAATCAAAACAAGCCCAATGATATGCAAAGAGCCCTTCAAAGGGCAAAAGATTTGGCTGAACAAGATATCATGCTTGAGCTGTTCCCATTCAACCAGGGAGCTCACAAGTTTGACTTTGAAGCCTTTTTTGCTGGGGCAATTGCACTGGAAGAAGATGAAGCTAAAGAGCCGATTCTTGGAGCAGAAAAATTAGAAGACTTAATAGCAGTTATGCATAAAAAAGAATACAAAAAAAGAACACTTGGGACACTTAATTTCATGCTGTCTCCAACAATGAAGGTAGCAGTCAATTATTATTGTATGTTTAGAGCGACTAAAAAGCCAAGTCCAGTGAAGCTGCATGCAAAAGATAATAAAAAACTGAAAACTATTACAACTTGGGTTTGTGAAGAAACAGGAAAACAGCTTTGGGACCATGAGCTTGGATTTCATTATGAATTAGGAGGAATCAAAATACCATTTACAAAAGAAGAAGTCAAGCAGATTAAGGACTTCGATACTCCAGGACTGAAACTTATGGGATTTAAAAGCAGAAATAAGATAAAAGCTTATATGAATGTAAGGCCAAGTTATTTTATTTATCCTGAAGATAATAGGATTAGAGGATCATCACAAGTTATAAACTCTTTGATAAATGCAATGATAAAGCTTAATAAAGTTGGCATGGTGAGGATAATTCCGAGGCAGGGCGCTTTGGTCCGATTTGGAGCTTTATTACCCAGTTTAGAACCTCCAGGCTTCAATCTTGTATTTTTACCTTTTGCAGATGATATGAGAAATCCAGAAAATATCAAAGGGCCAGGCCAAGCTAATCTTGCTCCTGACGATCTTGTGAAATCAGCAGCAAACATGATCCAGCATATCCAAATTGCTGAATATAATATCCACAACTACTTTAACCCAACAATTCAGCACTTTTACACCCGTCTTGAAGCTTTAGCATTAGATGCCCCAGAGCCACAGCCAATAATTGATGCCTTAGAGCCTGACGAAGAAGGTATCCAAAAAAACAGACAATTCATTGAAGGATTCTTTGACCATGCCCCTGAAGGAAACAGAAAAAGACAACGTGAGCCAGCTTCAGCCCCAGCTAAAAAGGTCAAAAACGACTCAGGAAAAAGCCAATATTCTGAAGCAGAGCTCAAAAAAATGAAAGTCAATGAGCTTAAAGATATATGTGATAGCTTAGGTTTGCCTAAAACAGGAAGAAAAGATGAACTTATTGAAAGAATTTTAAGCAAGTAATTAAAAACTTCAATAATATATAAAGGACAGCTTTTAAAAAATAATTATAATTATACCTTTTTAACTTTATTACAAGAAGAAACAGTGCTTTTCATGAAATTTTCAGTCCTCGATTTCGATACAGAGCGTGTAGGACTTTTTGAAGGAGTGTTTTTTACCTTACTCCAGGAGTCCATAGAAGCTCTAAACCTATCAGGCGCTCTTGGTGTAAAATAGCTGATTCTTCCTACTCCAGGGCTGCTTCCATAAACGTCATCAGAAGATATCAAATCTGGCCTTTGCACTCTTGGCGTCGCATACTTATCAATAATCCTTTTTTCTTCACTTTTCAAGAAATTGTCTAAAAATCTTCTTGTTGAGAGTTCTGCATAATTATTTTTTTTGCCAACTTCTTTTTTAGATGCTGATAAATTCAGACCTTTCTCTATGCAATTCAATTGTAGGTTTTCAATGGATTTATACTGAGGCTGGTATCGGACTGATAAGATTGCTGACCCAGCACATTCTCCGGTTATATTGTTGTATTTTGGGGTTATATTTACTACATGAACGCCTTTACAAAGATCACGAATAGCCCTTTCATCTGTATTTGGGGTTAGTCCAGATATCTCAAAATCTTCGAGGCGGCTTTCATCTTTTATGTATTCTATATTTGTAAGATTCAGCTCTCTTTTTTTAAGCTCTTTTGCGCTTATGTTTACTACTGGAAAATTGTGGCTTTGGGATTTTGGAATTGGCTTGATTTCTTCTTTTGGCTCTTCAAGGTTTTCTTTAGTTACTTTTGGCACGATTTCTCTTTCCGCGCTTTTTTCAACATCTTTTGATTTTTTGATTAATCGGATTCTAGATGATGAGCTTAGAGATTCTTCAAATTTAGCTGATCTTTTCAGTTTTGGAGTCACTGAATTATGCTCTCTGGATTTTTTAAAAATTTTTTCGTCGTCTTCATTAACATTACATTACATTATGTAGACGGGCTCATGCCCTTAATTTTAACGCAATCACTGAGGATCCCTTGAACCGCTTTGCGACCTTCCTTCCGTCGGGTCTCCTCCTTGCCTCTTGTAAAAGACTCCAGTGTTGAGTGGGCAGTCTACGGGTTTGTGCGGCCTCCTAAGGCTGAGAGATTACGAAGTTGGCATTACGAAATTCCAAAAAATGGAATTTCTGGTAGCCTATCGGCAAAGGTTGAAGTTCAGATCCTGGGACGTAACGCTCAGTTTCACGCTAGGTAGTTGCTCGATTGGTCTAGGGATTGCCTGTAGACCTTGCTGGGCTTGCCCTTTCCAAATCTGAACCCTCCTTTCCTTCGAGGTAAAAACCAGTCTCGAGGTTGGACTTGGGCTAGGCTCCGCCACCTGCAGAATTGGTTACCATAGCATTGCTGTCCATCTTAAAGCTAGAAAAAACCTTGCCGGATATAATTAAAATATGAGTCGAGGATGTATGGCCGTGAGACGCCATATTTAAATTATTCGTCTTCATTAACAAGTTTGATGCTATTCTCTGGTTTTTCTGGAATTTTGACTATATTTTGTTGCTCATTTTCCTTTCCTTTTACAGATTTAGGGAAAATTTGAGAAACTGTATCAAAGGATTTTCTTATTGAAGGGCTCATATCTCGATCAGTTGGGTGCCGATTCACATAAACATCTTTTGCAGTCAAATTTGAAGGGAGAATTTCTTCCAATTCGCCTTTTGGAATACAAAAATCTGAAGCTTTTCCATACATATCTTGATTTTTGGTGCTTGATGGGTTGATTTCTTTATATTTCGGCTGGAAATTTGGCTCATAGCTACGAATTGTGTTCTTTTTGCAGAACCAGTCTGTTTCTTCATTTCCAAATAAATCATGAACGCTGTGATCTTTAGGCTTGTATGGACTTACCGTTAAGCCGGCTGGCTCAGGAGGTAAAAATACAGTTGACGCAAAAGTTCTTGTTTCTCTTAGCCTTGTGGGAGATCTGCTTAAATTTGTTCTTATATGAGATGGGGTTACACGACCTTGGTCAATTGATGATTGCTCAAATGTGGAATCAAAAACTGTGCTTCTTTGATGGTATTTTTCTGAAGCAAATGTCATTCTGGAGGGAGTTTCAGATCTAGGATTTAAAATTGAAAAACTTTCAGATTGTCGAATCTTGGATTGTGGAGTTGTGGATCTTCTTATAATTCTCTCTGGGTTTTCTGTTATTTTGGTTTTTAGCATTAACAATTAATTCGTTAATCTAAAAGAAAAAATGTCATATAAAATAAAATTTTAAGTTGATCCTATATAGAGATGCTTTAAGTTGTTATATTCTAGATGCTTTTAAGCTAGGCTACTTACGAAAGTTCGTTGCTTTGCTCAGTTTGTTTTAAAACTAATGTTTTTTAAGCGAATAAAGAAAAGAAATATTTGAGAATTTTTATGATTTCAATTTTAGTCTATGCTCTTCTAAAAGTTAATGACTTTTTATATAAGCTAATATATTGTGAATATTAATAAGTAGAAAAATTTATGCTAAATTCAGGGAGCCATAATAAGTAACTAAAAATTTATTATATCTTAAGCTCACTCATCAACTTTAGTTTTTATGTTCTTTAATCAAATTAATAAAATATTGTAAAGACTTTAGTTATATATAATTGCAGTGCCATTCATATAAACAAATTCATTATGCAACTGAAAATTAATTTATAAATAAAATGTTCTTTCATAAGAACTATTTTTTTCGCTTATATTTTGCTTTACCAGTCATAATTGTTCATTGCCTCATCTGAAGTGTAGTGTATTGCTTTAACGTTGGCTTTATTTCTGAAGTCGAGCTGGACACAAGCTACATGGTCCTTTTTACGTTTTACTATACAGTTTTAATTCTTCTTGTATGAAGCTATACAATGAGCACAATCACCGACCCAGGCTCAATCCCAGAAAACTACAAGATTGAGGAAACTGAAGTAAACCCAGACCTTGAAGATTCTGACATGGCCAAGCTCTCAAAAGCAAAAAGGTTTTGTGAAAAATGTGATCGACATCGGCCACCAAGAACTCATCACTGCTCACTCTGTAATCGCTGCATTCTAAAGATGGACCACCATTGCCCTTGGATAGGGAACTGCGTAGGTTTCCATAATCATCGATATTTTGTTCAGTTTTTGATTTATGCGACAATAGATTGCACGCTGGTTGGAATTTGCTGTACTTCTGAATTTGTGAAGAATAACGGAGATACAAACTATTATATTTACTATGGAATGGTGGCTGGGTTAGGGTTAGGAATTATGATATCGGCTCTTGGAGGGTTTCATAGCTGGCTTTTATTATCAAATTGGACTTCATTGGAGTTAAGGCCGATGGACACTTATAATGTGTTTGACCAAGGAAATTGGCTAAAGAATTTACAACAGCTATGTGGAAAGAGGTTAATTGGGTATATTCTGCCAATTCCTACCAATAAAGTAGGAGATGGAATTACTTATCCGATTAACACAGTTCAAAGACCAGTGAAATCTGAAAATTCTGAGGCTGAGCCGCTTTATTAATTCTAAAAAATTTAAAAATAGCCAAAGTCATTGATTAATTAATTATTAATATTATTTCACCTAATACTAAAAGATTTAACTACAGGGTTATCTAATTAATCAAGCATATAAATGAAACAAAATAACATCCCAGCATTAGTTAGACATCACAAAGAAAGGGCACAAAGCTCTTTTATCAAAACTCCTAGAAAAAGAGAAACATTAAAGCTAATCAATAAATGACAACAAATTCATAACTGCGATCTCGCTATATTAGCATCACCTATTTTTAAAGCCTTTCCTAAACGAGTCTCAACTCCTTCTTTTGTTCATTCATACAGAACTAATTCCCCAATAAATAATCCCCGACTATTGCGTTCTTCAGTAAAAGACCAAGGATATAGTGAAATAAAATCAGCGTTTCTTCAAGCACCGAATAATTCTGAAATTAAAAGAATTCAGTCTGAAGAAGTCAAAATTGTGTCTTCAGGAAGGGTATTTGACACAAACATAACTTATTGTGCGTTGTAAATATTTGAAAAATTGTCTTATTGGTCGAAACTAGTCTGCTGCTCAACAGTTAAATAGTAGACTGATTGCAGCCAAGCTCTGATAGCATCCGAAGGTGCATTTCTCCACCTTGTGCCACTCAACCGATCAAGCCATCTCTCCTGAATACTGCTCCTCTCCCTATGGCTTGCGTTAAGTTGGAGAGTTAGTGGGCTGGGTTGCCATGCCGTATGTCTGACTTGGGTTGTCTTCCATAAAAATTCGAAAAATGAATTTTCTAGAACTTGCAGACAGGGTGCAATTCCCGCTATCTTGTTAGGAAATTGAACGATTGGTCCTAAGGCCTTCCCTTTTTCTTTAAGCATCCTTCTTCCCCAAAAGTTAAAACCTTGACCTGGAACGAGCTGCGGTCAGTCTAATCAGCCTTGCGCTCCAATAAACAAAATAAAACCTAGCCGAATGCACATCACTGAACACCATCCTCCTTTCAAAAGTTCTGGGGCACCGCAGCTGCAGGTGTTAAGAGGGTGGGTTAGTAGTTCACCATTTTAATATGTGTAGGTATTTGACACCAAAAAGGACTTCTAGAGATATGAGCGATTCTTTAATAAGCAGTACTCCATCACCAAGTGATAATTCGAAGAGTATTGCTTATTACTCATTTCGAGTTTTTGGAAATGACGAAAATTTTAAAGAAGGGCTTGACAAAATTCTTCTTAAGGTGAAGCCTTCAAAGCTTTACTTCAAAAGATATAGTAACAGAGAATAAAGCTTGTTTAAATAATAGTCAATATTTCCATTAAACAGCATCAGTTAGCTAATTTGAAGCCAAACTGCAATATATAAAATTATATCTAAGCTAACATTTTTGCTTTTTTTATTTTCTGAATGAGAAAAAATATTTATAGGCCATTTCCTTCTAAAATTCGGTGAATTCATTCCTTTTTAAATTTTTAGTATTTCTTAAATATTATTAAATGGGAAATTGCAGAGCTTTACTTTTCAATTGCGACTCTAAGCCTGATGAAGAACCTCCTAAGGCCTCAGAAAGAAAAGTGTCTGAACCAGCAATTGATGAAATAGAAATAAATGTTACAGCAAAGCCCATTCAGCATGCTGCACCACCTCCTGAAAAATCTCCTCGAATTATACAGTCAGCAGCCCGAGGGTACCTTGCAAGAAAAAAGCTCAGCACTTTAAAACCCGAAACTAATGAAAATCCTAAAGTACTGAAAATCCGCGGAGCAACTATACTTCCATTAGATGATCCAGATGTTGAATGGGTTGAAGAATTCATTATTGGAGACTCCAAATACTCTGGCCAAATGAAAAATGGGAAACGCCACGGACTTGGAACTCAAATAAGCCCTGATAATACCACATATGAAGGACTATGGGTTAACGATCAAGCAAGCGGGCTAGGGAGATTAACACATATAGAGCAAGATGTGTATGAAGGAGAGTGAAAAAATGACAAAATTAATGGGTTTGGAGAATATACCAATAAAAACGGTGCTAAATATATTGGAGAGTGAAAAGATGATAAACAAGATGGAAATGGCATTGAAATATGGCCCGATGGTGCGAGATATGAAGGCTGCTATTCAAATGGCAAAAAAAATGGGAAAGGGAAACTAAAATTTGCTGATAGTGCACGATATGAAGGAAATTTTAAAAATAATGAAATCTCAGGGTCTGGAATATATTATTGGCCTGATGGAAGGATTTATGATGGCCAGTGGGAAGCTAATAAAATGCATGGACAAGGAGAATTAAGGTGAACTGATGGAAGAAAATACATAGGAGCTTATATAAATGATAAAAAAGAAGGGACTGGCACTTTTTATTGGCCAGATGGTAAAGTGTATGTGGGCGAGTGGAAAAATGGAAAACAGAATGGAATAGGAGAGCTAGGACACATAGATGGGCCTAAGAGAAAAGCTGAATTTAAGGACGGAAAAAGAATAAAGTGGTGTGATTAGTAAATTATTATTTTTGATTTTATATTAGATATGACTATTTAATTTTTTTCCAAGACTTATCAATTTATTTAAGTTCTATATCTTCAAATAAAAAATAAAACTATTAAAATTTATGGAACGAAACTAACCGCTGCTGCAGCTCTTTCACTGTCAATTTTTTCAATAAGGTCTCCTACATATCTTTTAGAAAACGCCAGGATTTCTCCCATAGTAACAGAGTCAATGCTCTCTCTACTATTCACTTTAGAAAGCCTGCTTGAGCCAATTCTTGACGATGAGCTTCTAGATGCAGAACTTTTTGGAGCTTGATATTGGTCAATGAAATTTAAATCTTCTCTGTCACTATCACTTTCATAGTCTAGCATTTCACTTGTAAACGTTCTCCTATCCACAAAAGTTTGATTTGGGAATATTTGGTTGAATAAAGCCATTCGGTCTTCAAGATCCAGGCCATATAGATTTTCTGCTTTTATTTTTTCTTCAGCAGTTACATGCTCATTGTCAAGCGACCTTAGTTGTGGCAATTTATAAGCCACTCTAAGCCGATACATTTGCTTTTCTACGACTGGGTTCTCTGTTAAGTCAATATCACTTAGAAGTGCTAAATCAACGATTGGACTAAGGCTATTTACTTTTCTGATCCCATTTCCTCTGAGCAGCAAAGTCATTAAGCTTTCTGATTCTTCTAAACCTCTTAAGCTTGAGATTTGGTTATATGAGAGATCAAGAATCCTCAAATTAACCAAGCCTTGAAGCCCAGTTCCGATTTTTGAAATCTGATTATGAGCTAAGTACAATTGCTGAATGCTCAAAGGCAAACCTGAAATATAGGTGATTTTGTTTTCATTGAGCGATAAAAACTGAAGATTTGGCAGCTCGTCAATGCCAGTTATTTCTGAAATTGAATTTTGGTCTAATTTCAATATTTGTATATATTTATGTCGCTTTAAATTGCCCATACTCGTCAATAAATTCGTTGAATAGTCTACATACAAAAGATTTTGTGGGGCATCAAAATCTAATAGCTTCGTGAGTTTATTATTGGCTGCTCCAAGAGTTAGTAGATGCTTAATTGACGAGAGCGGTCTGAGGCTTGTAATTCGGTTTTTTGATAGATCAATGTGCTGTAAATGAATAAATTTTTCTACTCCCTGTATTAAATGTTACATAAATGAAATGGCTTTCGCTTCAAGTGAAATTAGCTCCGCTAATTTTCTCTCTCTCAAGCAATTTTATTTATGGGGTTGGGGTTTTATCTTGAGAACTTCTGCACAGCAACAGCGGTTTAACTTTGGAGATAACCAAAGGAACTGCTCCTCAGTGCGATCAAGAGGCTCAGGTCTTTTACCCCTCAGTACACCCGAAGGAGGTGGACCCTCAGGCGGAACACGTGCAGGAGCTGAGTCGGAATAAAGCCGTGGTGGCAGCGAAGCCCGTTGAAGCCGGAACGCCGTACTTATCCGTGCCTTGGCGATCGAAGTGGGTCGGTCCAGAGATCCATGGGCCCGACACGTGGATAAATATGGTGGCAGCTCTGGAAACGGCTACCCCGTAGTGGACGTAAAGTGTTATAGATAATTAAGACTAAGATTAAGAATTAAATGTTACAGCAATAGATGTCAAGTTTTGATCTTTCAAACTTAAATGCAAATAAGCATATTCTCCAGTCTCACATGGGCCTAAGTGGCTTAACCCACTTTTAATAGCGTCTTCTTCTACAACTTGCTTTGCAGATTTGGTGCTTCTCATAGAATTTCTCAAGTTAGTAGCAGTTTTCATTAATATGAAATTTTTATGTTAAATAGAAAAATAATAATCATCAAGCAAATAAATCAATAAAAATTTGTTTATTTAAATAAATTATAGTCCTTATTCATAGTATAATAGCTGTACATTATTAAAATTAAAATTGACAACTCCAGCTTGATTTACTTCGAAAAAGAGGCATAATGCACGCTTTGAACTCTTTAAAATTGACCTGCCCCGCAATCCAAGGGTGAGCATCCTCAATAAGTTTTTCTACATCACTTTTATTTTTTGATTTCCCAAATCTCGAAAAACTTTTTATCAAGCTTTCTGCAGTTAGAAATCCATTTTTTTCTGTGTCAAGAATTTTGAAAATTTGCTTAAGCCTTTTATCTGTAAGAATAGTTTTGGAGCAAATTACTGACGCTAAGAAATCTGAATATTTCAATTTTCCTTCTTTAAATTTGAGCTTTTTCACAATATCGATCCGTTTTACATCTAATAGTCTTGAATCCACTTTTTCCAGAGAGCTCGATAATTCTTCAAATGTAATGAGCCCAGTGCAAGATGCATTTATTTGGAAGAAAATTTGATTCAGATCTGAAATCTCATCAGATTTCAAATATCGGGCAAGCAAACTTAATATTTCTTTTTTAAAGGTGCATGCTGAGTTATACTCTTTCAGAGATATAGTTTGAGTGCCGTTATGGCTTGGGATTTACAATATCTCTGGGAAAGAGGGAGTGGTTTCACAAAGTAATGGTGGTTTGACCAACTCCTCAAATGGCAGAAGCAATGCAGCAAGTGGCTTTTTCACTTTGGGAGTTGGCCAGAAAGCATTAAATTGGTGAAACCAACTCCTTTCTTTCCAGTAGGGAAAAAATTGGGAGCCCGAGCCATAAAGGTGCTCGGCTATAACAAGAATTTTGAATTTATTACATATTTAGGCACTTGTTGAAGCCATGGGTGGTTAAGTGCCTGAAATGCAGATAAACGTTTTTTAGGCTTGACAACTAAAAGTTGTCTAATGAAATTTTTGGCGCAAGAACTTAATCCAATTAAGAAGCCTTAAATTATTTATTTTCCTAAAAATCACCATATTTCCAAATAAAACAGCATTTTTTCCTTATCTTCAGCATAACCTTTCTCTATACACTATACATTATGCCAAGGAGATTCGGCAAATCGATAGTCCCCTGTGATTATTTTAGAAAAAATTTCTTTATTATTCCTTCCATAAAAAGGAAAATTCCCCGAAAGCATAACATAAGTAATCACACCAATTGCCCAGATATCACATTTGAGATCGTATTTGCTTTTCAAAACTTCTGGTGAGACATAGTTTGGCGATCCGACCATAGCTTTCATCGTCCCACTTGTATAAAAAGTAGACAGCCCAAAATCAATAAGCTTGAGTTGATCCGCTTCATATAAAAAATTTTCTGGTTTTAGGTCTCTGTGAATTATTCCGTTGAAATGCAAGTGATTTACTGCTAGAAGGATCTGCCTTATTAGGCGCTTGGTCTCTAATTCATCGAGATTTCCTTGAGCAGAAATTTTGTCATAAAGTTCGCCACCTGAACAATATTCCATTACTAAATGGTAACAGCTTGGCTCTTCTATAACATCATAAAGCTTCACTATATTTGGGTGATCCAGCTTCTTGATGATGTCGATTTCTTGGAATAAATAGTTTGGATGGGCTCTTATCTTGGATTTTTGAAGAGTTTTTATGGCAAAAGACTGGGACGGATCGTTTAATAATGAGGCTTGTCGCACAATTCCAAAATTGCCGGTACTGATTTGCTTTCCAATCTTGTAAGTGTAGGCTAATCCTGAGTCTACAGGCATATCGATAATATGACTGCTTGATGCGCTTCCCATCTTAATCAGATTATTATTATCTTTTATATTTGACTGTTTATATTATATACTCATGATAATTAATTTGGTGCCTCAATATTTAAAAAATATTTAATTTATTGAAAAAATAAAATATTATGCTGTGCTGATTTTAAGACAAGTACAGTATAGGTTTATTTTTCATCTTTGGGAAAATGTGGCTGAGGTAATTACTGACGTTTTACTCAAAAATCATAAAGAAATTTATATGAATAGATTTAGTATTTTAAATAGAACTTAATTAAATGATATCGAAAAACTGTTTCAATTAAAAATGATTAAATGGAATAGGTCAGATATTTCGCTATTTGCATAGAAAAATAGGAAATGCAGTAAGCTGTTGTGATTCGATAAAATGAAGAAATAAAAGTTAAAATAAAAATTCTTAATTAATTTCCATATGGTTAGATTAATTAAAGGGATTTTTAAATTGATTAAAAAAAAATTAAATGCCATCTAATTTAGCGCATATTAAGAGAAAATTGAAAAATAAAAAGACGAAAGACTAGCCTATACATAATTTGATTGTTTTATGTTAAAATTCATTTCCTTTAGTTGTTAATAAATATTAACTGTAGGAATAAATTAAATAATGGCCAGCTATCTGCAAAGTATCTCATGGTAGAATTTTCAGTTTGGCTTGCATTTCATATTCAAATTATGATTAATACTTTTTAAAATAGAAGCAATCAATTAATCATTCCTCCAGCTTTCAGAGATTAAGATTGGTAAATTTTACAAATAATAGCTTCTTGATAAATTATCTTTGTAGCTATCGCTTTTCATATATCATATTTATTTAAAACAAAAGCTTGATTTATTTGACCAATCTTTAAATTTGAGATAAGAATAGAAATCAGAAGTTATAGAATTAGTGCATGCTTTCCAAGGGAAATGATTCTATAAACTGTCTTGAAGAGATAATTAAAAATAAAGACAAGCAAAAAGCAGAACCTTCGTGCTAAAATAATAATCAAAAGTGGAAGCATCAATATCTATAGCTCTCAAATTTTTAAATAATTGATATTAAATAATGATAGAAACAAATTTTAATTTTTAACTTGTGATATTAATGCCAATGTTTTATTTTAATTGATTATAATAAAATATTTTTAAATCAAATTAAATATTTCCTTGAACCTTATAAACTTTGAGACTGGGAATTGCTTTAGTATGGCTAAAAACAATTATAAACATGCTGATTGAGCGTAATTTTAATCGTGTTTTACTTTAAAGTTTAATCCTCGTAAAGGCTCAATTATGAGTTGTCTAACTCTGTTCTAATATTTCCAAACTTCTTCTTTAGCAGGAATCTTCTATAATTGCTGCCTCCTTTTGTCATTGTATACATTTTTGGTCTTAATTCTGTGAAACTTTTAACAAAATGCTCTTTTTCTTTATTTGTCAATAAAGGCTCCTCTTTACCTTTAAGCAGAAATAAAATGGTGGCATTGATGAAAGAAGGACTTCAAGGCACACTTCCTATGGAGCAGGTCGGACTATCCTGATGAAGCTCAATTAGCGCCCCTGTCACTTTTGAAGTACGCCATTGGGTCTGGGGATGCCTTCCAGAGAGGGAAGCTCTATTTTTCCCCCTAAGTTTTCCAGTTCCCGCTGAGGCTAGGCAAGTTTTGCCTACCACATAGTCTCTCCTCACTGTGCCTATCAAGGTACCTTCCAGAAGATGGCTCTGCCCCAGAGAGCTAACCTTTGGGACAATAGAGGTTCAGATCGGAAATCCAAAATTGCAGCCTTCCATTTCACCATTTGAACTCCGAGATCTATAGAGATTGGCTTCTTGGAGCCAAGACTATACAAGGGTTAGTGATCAATCTCGCTTATGTCCGGCTTAAGATGTTAAGAAATTATTAAGCGGCTGTGATTCCAACTCTTCCTCCTTGCTCTTCGCCTGGCTAGGTTCCGACAACCGCTTATTCCGGGTAGAGAGGTCTTTGCTTCGACCGACAAAGATCTACTCTAGGAACAAGCCCGAAGGGCTTTTCCGACCTTCAATCTGTTGGACAAAACCCATGCATAGAAAAACCGGACTCATCGATCTCGCTTCTCTTCCTCCTCCCACGGATAATGATAGTGGCATGAACTCTACCGACCCAAATTTCGCCCGTGCCCAGGGAGGTTTTATCTTCTCACCCTGTTGAGGCCATAATTCTCTAGACTAGACCATATTTTCTTCCCCAAGTTTATTTTTTAACTTATCCTACCCTTAAGCTCTCTTAAGCCTTTATTAATGATTTTTTTAAAACCACTCACTTCTCGTTCAAAGCTTTCATTGAACTCTTTCTCATAATTATAATTATAAATTTCAGGTCTTGTCATATTTAACTTACGGTCAGCGCTTTTCGCCCTAATAGGTGAATCATCTGGCAATGGGCAAGTTCTATTGTATGCTCTAAAAGTAATAAGCTTTTCCTTATTCCTTGTTGGCGAGCCCTCATATAATGAGTCAAATTTTAAAGGAGATCGTTCAAAATTATTTCTCAGTTTAATAGTTTCTGAACGCTGGGGCACTACGGCTCGGTGAGATTTCAATCTTCTCTTATTTTTGAGAAATATTTTACTGATATTCTTTGCAGAAAAATAAAATGGCATTTTAAGGGTCTTCTTCCGTGAGCAAAAAAAAATTGGTTCGCAAAAATGGGGAGTTAATAATTTTATTAATGAGTTAATATTTTAAAGGATATTAAAAAATAAAAAACTGAAACATAAGATTAGAGGAGAATAGCTGGGTAAAATCCAATGATCGTGCATTTTTTGATAATGCGCATTTCATCGGAATATTAATATGTACAATTTCATCGAAATTTAACGGTTTTTTAGATGAAATGCCTCACTATTAAAAATTTCAACTAAATTTTCCAGAGTGAATTTCGCACTATCAAAAATACATAATCATTTGGCATAGCTAGGATAGCTAATTTGGGCTATATATTCTTTGGCACAATTTTTTCTCATTGAGGAAGTGGAACCGATAAACGACTTTTGGATAAGGTTCTAATCATATATAATATAATTCATTAATTGGATTTATATTTGTGTCAAAGTTAATAAAAGTATTTAAACTAAGCAATTGCTATAAAATATAAACAAAAAACATTATTAAGGAATTAGATGTCCCTCTCTTCAGGAGTTTTATACGGCATCCCAAACAATTGGAAAATGTCTTCTTCTGTATAACACACTACACTGCTAGATCCTATAACTGTTTCCCCATTGCTTCTAATAGCAGGGAATATACCTTCATCTGAAAGTCTGAAACCCTTTGATTTCGCAAACCATCTCAAGCTTCTATTAAATTGTGCCGAACCAGTAAAATGCATTAATGCTCATGCATAAAATTTTCTTGGATATATTTTGATATCTAGCCTTCTATGCAGCCCTCCTGGGAGCATAGCAACTCCTTCAAACGACGAATTATCATGCTTTCTTACAACTTCTTCATCAGATATTACAAGTTGATGAGTGATTAAGCCAATTTCGAACAGTTTCTGAATAAGCTTTGTCAAAAAGCCTTGATGAGGCTCCATATCTTCAAAAGTCATTAAAATGTCGACGTCTCCACACGTTTCTTTTCCTCTTCTATATGAGCCGCATGAAATTGCTGTCAGTTCTCTTCCTTTTGCAAGCTCTTTTGCAAGCTCTTTTGCTACTCCTTCGACGATTTCTGTTATTCTTTGGACTTCAGCTCTTGGAATCCTATTTAAAAATTCTTCATAAAATTCAAGGCCAATTCTTTGGTTTTCATTCAAAAATGATGGGGGATTTTGCTTGATTTGGGCTACTGATTTATAGCCTAAACCAATTAATTTGTCAGAAGCAGAAGGCCCTACCCCCCATATTTTCCCAAATTCGTCTAATAATTTTAATCTTCCTTGCTCTTTCATTGCTTCTACTCGCCTTAAAGTCCCAGTTTCCAAAATTTCAATGATTTTTTTTTGGATTTTTGCCCCAATTTTGTTTATCCCTTTCACTTGTTCTGGTTCTGTTATTTTTTGAGGATAATCTTTTATTTTAGCTACAGCATAACGATAAGCAAACATCCTGCCTTTATCATGCATTTGCATGTCATTTTGAATTTGGTATGTGGAAATCAAATATATATGTTTCAAAAAGCAGATTTTAGTGCGGTAAATTCATAATTTGAAATTTCATATGAAAATGGCGCGTATAACGGCCATAGAAAATTTAGCCAAGGAATTTTAGTAACTCATAATAGTTCATAAGTTGTTCTAAAATGCTTGTAATATGCTCATTATGATTAATTCCATAAGATTTGGCCTTAAAATAGGTATATTGTTTTAAACTTGAATATCTTTCATTCATTTTTTTGTTTTGGTCATTAATAAACTTCGCTAACTCTTCTGCCTGCTCTTCTTCTTTGATTGCATTTACCATTTCTTCAAAGCTAGGCTTTTGAGGCTCTTTTTGCTCATTATTTGCCGCTGTATTTTCATCATCAAAAATAGGTTGATTTGAAATACTGTGAAAGGTCATATCGTTTTTCTTTGGAATTTTTGTTACTGGAACATCAATAAATTGAGGTGGCTCTTTATTTTTAACTGGAAGAGTGATATCTGTTGAAGATGTAGGCTTATTGGTTTCGTTATATGGCTGCCATTTGAATTGATCTTCTGAGCATAAAGCTTTATGTTTTAATGACTCCGTTGCCCAGTCTTGAATTACTATATGGCATTGTGGAAGTTCTTTAGTTTTCAATTTCTCTAATATTTTTAAAATTGGAGCATCTCTTGGTATAGCTTAAGCAAGAATTTGGATTGTACTGATAAATATCTATCAAGAATAATTTTTTATTGATTCAAAGGTATTGATCGAAACTCTAAATAAGTGCTGAAGCTATACAATTAAATGTGTAATAGATGATAAAATTTCACCTGAGGACTTTAATATGACTCCACCATTCTTTTCTATATTTTTTGATATAATATCTCTACTAATGTTAGTAAAGCCTCCAAATCCTGAAAGTATAAGTGCTCTAACTCCTTGAAAAATGCTTTCATTCATTCTCTATCCTATTTTTTGTATTCCATATTCAGAAATGGACAGGCTCAATAAAAAAATTGCTGAGGTTTATAGTTTTTGCGCAATAAAGAAAAAATTCCTTACCCCCTCCTACGTGAGAGAAAAAATTTTTTTTATTTGCTAGCAGATAGGTTTTAATTTTTTTGTTTTAAAACATTTATAGGAAATTCCCGATGATGGCGCTCAGTGTGTCATCATCGGGCAACTTGTATACATATAAATTTTATAGTAAATTTTTTTTTCAAAATTTAAAAATATTCCAATTGCAAAGCAAATATTAATTTAATTTGTAAAATTTATGTTTTAAAATGCAAGTTGTCTAAAATCAAGCAGAATTAGCTAGAGATTCTGTTATAATAATGATTACTTATATATCAAAATTTTCTTTTCATAAACAATATTTTTGTTTGCTCACGGATGGTGGGTTTTTGGGTGAAACATAGAAATTTTCCAATGGTTTTGTTCGCTCACGGAGGGGGGAGTAAAGGCTCTTTCAAGCATTCTTGGAAGAATAAAAAATCAGATAGCTTTTTGATAAATTGCAGAATTGAGTTTTAGATGATAGTTAATGCTTTCTTAACTAAATATCTTCTACTTCTGCTTAAATTTAAGCAAGAATCTAGTCAAAATTACATAAGCTGACACCAAATATAATATTGAATCCCATCATTCTCATTAGCATTGATCATGCACTTTCTAAGTATTCACATTTATAATTTAACAGCTAATAAGATGAATAAATTTCATTTAAGAACCCAAGAGCCAATTTCAACTCATTTTCTTTTAATTTTAATACTAAAATATAAAATGATAGATTACAAATCAAAAATAGAAGACTCAGAAATTCGCATGAGTAGCCCAGACGAAGAAAAGAAACGAATCTACGCAAAAGACTCTCTTGATTTAACAGGAGATTACTCACCAAGAGGGTCTATTTCTTTTAGGACAGATATTTTATGTCCAGATTCTCCAGGCTGCCTTCCCTATATAAAAATTGAGTTACCATTACAGCAATCTCATGCAAGCATTCTAAATCTTTTAACAAAAATATCCTCAAAAAAAGGCTTTGAGGTGACTGAAAGAAGCCCAAGTGCTATTACAGCAATTCACACTCCGAATAATAGATTTCAAAAATTTTTATGCTGCTGATGGTTCAAAGAGAGTTCTAACGAAGAAACATCTATAGTAAGAATATTAATTTGTATGGATGAAAGAAGAAATAAAAGAATTTTAGTCGCAAAAGGAATGTCAGGTGAAGAGAAGCCAGTTTCCAGACTCTTGAATTCTATTGAAAAATCAATTGACAAATTTTTAAGAACTCCTCAAAAGCAAAATGAGACATATAATAAAATTGAATTTGATGAAGAAGAGGAAAGCACGATGACTTGCAAAAATGAAAGTTCGTCCTATTGCTTATTCCATAAAATCTTATCATCAGAATCTTATACTCTTGGAAAATCTCTAATTCCCCATTTAAATTTGAAAAAAATTGAAGAATTAATTGTTTAAATAATATTCTATTTGAAATAAATTAATTTATACAATTTGTATTTTTATCTATGAAATTTTCCTATTGAAAAAAAATATTTTGTTCCAATTTAAAGAGTTGCTAAAGTCCCCAAAAAAAATAAAAATTTTCGCCAATTCAAATGAGAGAGTAAGTCAATTTATTGATTCCTTCAAAAGCCAATATAGGAACCCCAATGAGTCAGCTTTACTATTACCTCAACCAATTGAATCAATAAAATTGCAGGTAGAAGAAACAGTTGATTCTCTTTTTTCTCATTACAATTACGGAAGAAGCAGCACCGAAAAAATCATGATATACTGCAGGCCATCAGTAGAAAAATATATCTATTCCAAGCTAATGCCTCACTTATTGGATATTTATAATGTAAAAACAGAAGAGTTTGAGTCCAAGCTACAAAACACAAGGAGAGAATGTGAAGGAGTAAGTGACAGCTCAATAATGGAAAGGTTAGATATCCCTACCAAGCTGCGAATGGAAGACGAAAAAGAGCCTTATTCTGAAGCAATTTTACTATTAAATAAGTTGCATCACTTTGGCACTCCTATTGAAAAATTGAACTGTCTTCTAAGTATCATTGAATCAATGAAAACTGAAGTAGTTGACTATTGAAAAGGTGAAGTAGAAATGGAATATACTGACGAAATAAAAGTACTAAAGTTTCTAGCAATCAAGAGCGATTCCATCGATTTAATGGGCCAAATCCATATGCTGATTGACTATGTAGGCACTCGATTTGACAATGAGAAACGCATTTTATTGAATTTTGAAGAAGCACTTCGATTTTAAATTACAAACTAGGTCATGTGTAAATCATAGTAAAAAATAAAGTTTTTATAATTATTGGCTTATAAATGGAGATTCTCAAAGCTAACACCCGAAATGTTTTAAAAGACCATTCACTTAACTATGAAATAAAAGAATACTCTTTGAATTATTACACTGTAGACGGGCACAAATTTAAATTATTCACGTTTATTTTGCAGGTAAAAATTGAAATTCGAGAATATACTTGGAAAATTAATAAAAGCTACAGTGATTTTTTAAGGATGTCTAAAAGCCTTGAAACTGAGCACGGGGTTAAAAAATTAGAAATCACAACCCCACTGCTGAAGCCTCGAAAGTTCAATAAATTGCGAAACTTGGATCAACTAGAAATCTGCTATAGTTTTTTAAAGCAAATCATCTCTGATCAGAATTATAAAGACAGCAGAAGTGCTACAGAATTTCTTGAAGTTTCGCTTAAGTCTTTCTCTTCTGATGAAAAATGCAAAGAAGGATATGTCTTGAAGATGGGGAGTGGGAGGGTAAGCAACCAGCACAAATTCTTTACTTGCTATAATTCTGGAACAAGGGTGACAAAAAGATGATTTCGGGTATGCGAGTTAGGGGTTGAGACTTATAATGATAATTTCGAACAAGGTATAGCTGATGCTATTTATTTTAGTAGCGATTTCCAGGTGAGGGTAGGGAAAAAAGAAACTGGCTATGATGACGCTGTAAGAATTTCGACACCTCAGCACAATATTGTGTTCAGAACTGGAAATATGCAAAAACGCGATGAGTGAGCAGAAGCAATTAATAATGGCTATGACAGTTCAGAATATAAAAATGCAAAAATGAGGTATGATTCTTCGTTTTTAGTGAGAAATTATATACAGGCTAAATGATATATTGATGGGGCTGAGTATTTTAGCGATATCTGCAATGCGATAGACCAAGCACAGGAGTCTGTTTTTATTACTGATTGGTGGATGAGCCCTGATGTATTTTTAAAACGGCCTGCAGATCTAAACCCTGAGTCAAAGCTTGTTGATGTTCTGGGGGCTGCAGCTGATCGAGGTGTAATAGTATACGTTCATTTATACAAAGAAATATCTTTCTCGCTTACATTGAACTCTCTTTACACAAAAAACTCTTTATCTGACAGATCTCCAAATATCAAAGTTATGAGACACCCCAATGTCTCCCTAAAAGGTGGGACTTTTTTATGGTCTCACCATGAAAAACTTGTGTGCATTGACTCTAATATAGCATTTATGGGAGGATTAGATCTCTGCCATGGAAGATGGGATACAGGAGTCCATAGTTTAACTGATTTAGGAGAGCATCAGTACTGGAATGGGATTGAATACTCAAATGTAAGAATAGAAGATTTCACAAAAGTAGAAGACTGGGAAAGAGACACAATTGATAGGGAAACCACTCCTAGGATGCCCTGACATGATATTGCGATTTGTGTGACTGGAATGGTTGTAGATGATATTACCAGACATTTTAGAGAACTGTGGAACCATTCTGTAAAAGATGTCACAGGGTCGAGAGAAAGTGGAGAAATAATGACCTTCGTAGAAGATAATAAAGCTACTGCAAAAGTTTCTCCAAAAATAGAAACCATTTTAAGTAAAAATACATTTGAGACACAGCCAGAGCAAGAAGAGTCGAAAGATAAAAATAAATTCTCAAAGCTATTTTCAGGGCTGATTTCTAAAGCAATAAAAAATGATGGAGAAGATGAAGAAAGCGCCTCAAGTGCCAATGAAATGCACCATAGATTTTTAGAGCGAGCAAGCATGGAACCTGAAAAAGATGTTGAAAAAATTGAAGAAAATAAAGAAGAAGATGAAGAAAACAAAGAAAATGGGGAAAATAAAGAGGGATCAAGTAAAAGTTACCTCACACTTTTTTCAGAATTAATTAAGAGAAATTTAAATCCACACCCAAATGCAAAGCGCTTAAGTGAAGTGAGTTTAGAAGAAGAGAAAGATGAAATAAAAAAGCGAGAGGAAGATGAAGAAAGAAAAAAAGCAGAAGAAAATAATTATAAAGGAGATTTGGCAAAAACTATTTTTTCAAGCTTGCTGATTTCACCTAAAAAGCCACCTACAAAAGAAGTATATGAATTTGGGACTTGCAGATGCCAATTAACAAGGAGTGGAGGACTATGGTCTTTGGGAATAAAACCTACTGAAGTCTCAATTCACTCAGCATATATGCATCTTATCAATTCTGCAGAAAATTTTATTTATATTGAAAATCAATTTTTTATCTCAAGTCCAGCTGGTGACACTGTTTTAAATCTTATCGGTGAAGCATTAATATCTAGAATCCTAAACGCAATCAAGAAAGGGACACCTTTTAAAGTGATAGTAGTAATTCCACTATTGCCTGCATTTGAAGGATCTGTTGATGACCCAGCTGCATCAGTTTTAAGAGTCCAGCTATATTGAGAATACCAAACAATATGCAGAGGAGCCAATAGCATCTACACACAGCTTAAAGAAAAAGTGCCGAACCCAGAAGACTACATAAGTTTTTATTCCTTGAGAACTCATGCTGTTCTAAATGATTGGCCAGTCACAGAAATGATCTACATCCATTCAAAGCTAATGATTGTAGACGACCAACATATGATTGTAGGAAGTGCAAATCTAAATGACAGAAGCCTAAATGGGAATCGAGACTCAGAAATTGCCATGGTTATAACTGACAATAAAAAAGTTAGCAGCAGAATGGCAGGAGAAAATGTAGAAGTTAGTGAGTTTTGCCATAGCTTGAGAATGAATATTTTTAAAGAGCATTCTGGATGTGATGATTTTGAAATTCTAAAAGATCCGTTTACAGAAGAGTTTGAAGAAATATGGAAAAATAATGCGAAAAAAAATACTGAATGGTATAGAAGAGTATTTAGATGCTATCCTGATGATAATATTAGCAAAATAAAAGATGTGGAAGAGTTTGCGAAAGAAAGTGATTTTGATTCTTATCCGCAGTTGGCAGAAGAGGTTAGTGGCCACTTAGTTGAATTCCCACTTAACTTTTTATCAGAGGAGTATTTGAAAATTAAAGTTGCAAATAAAGAATATTTACTACCTGAAAAGGCTTTTCTTTAGAGCTGATAGAAGAATTTGGTGTTAATTGGTATAAATTATAATTAAGACTATATAAGGTTATGACTTAGCAAGATTATTTTTCATAGTATGTAATTAGCGGGATCCGATATTTTAAACAATTTAGAAATTTATGTCTTCAGCTCTTTAGATTTGGATAATCATATTATATTGCCTTCTTTATATCAAAATTTATCACTGAATTCTAATCGAAATTCTCAACCAATTGCTAACATTTTTTACATTAATTTTTTGATATAATGCTTTGGCATTATTGCTCGAGTATCTTCACATGTCGGGACATTTTTCACGTGTGGAGTCCAAATCCTACATATGGACATTCCATACTTCAGTGGCCCCGTATGTGGAAAATATCTCAACGTGTTGAGACCCTACCACAATAATCCCACAACATTATATAATAATAAATATTATTTCTCGAATGAAGAAATCGAACAAGAAAGACAGTAAAGACACTCCAGATGATGAGAACGCACTCATGTTTAAGCCAGGCACACTGGTGCTTGCACAAAATAAAAGTAATCTCTAAGTAGACAAGGAATGGAGGGATGCCAAAATAGTTGAGACAAGAAAAACTAAAAATTATTCCTCTAACCCTATCGAGAGCAATTTAGAATTTTACGTCCATTACGAAGCACTTAACAGGCGATGAGATGAATGGGTCACTTATGACAGACTAAAGCTATGAGACGAGACTATGTCCAAAAGAGAATCCACAAATGATCCCCTAATTGAGCATGATGAGCACGAAGGATTAGACGAGAAAAGTCTGGCTATGCATGAAGAGCTTACTAGATTCAAAACTATAAGCTTCATTGAAATTGGAAAACATAGGTGCGAGACTTGGTATTTTTCACCTCTCCCAGACTACTTCCAAAACATTGACACTCTTTATATATGTGAGTTCTGTTTAAGCTTCTTTAAATATAAATCAGAGCTTATCAGGCATGCATGCAGATGCACTTTGCAACACCCAATGGGGAATGAGATCTATAGGGAAGGGAATATCTCAGTTTTTGAAGTTGATGGGGCAAGGAATACGCCTTATTGTGAAAATTTGTGCTATATATCTAAGCTGTTTTTAGATCATAAAAACTTGAGCTATGATGTTCTGCCATTCTTGTTTTATATTCTGACAGAAGTTGATGATTATGGCTGCCATATAGCTGGATATTTCTCAAAAGAAAAACCTGGCCCTCAGTATATTCCAGGGAATAATTTATCATGCATTTTGGTGATGCCGTTTATGCAAAGAAAAGGATATGGGAAGTTTTTGATCAGCTTTTCTTATGAATTGTCAAAAAAAGAGCAAAGAATGGGGACCCCAGAACGACCGATTTCTGATTTGGGGTATGCTTCTTACTTCAGCTGGTGGAGTGCAGAGGTTATTAACTCCCCCCTTTGGTTAGTTAGCAAAAAAAACTTTAATATAAGTATTTTCACAAAATAATTCTATATATAATTGATGAGAAAGAGATCTTTAGGTAAATATATTAAATTTTAAAGAGCTTGAATTTTAAAACATAAATTAAATTAATTAGATTATTGATTTTAAATATTTACAAAATAGATTTAGAAATTTGCTTTTATTTATATTTTTAATTAAAAAATCATCCTTTAATTATATTAATTATTGCTCAAGAAATCAAGAAATTATATTTAATTTTAGGCAGCTAGCTTTTAAAAAATGATTATAATTAAATTAGATTTCATTTCAAATCTTTACAATTTTTGATTTTAATATTTTTCTGTATAATTTTTTTAACAGCGAGCAAGAAATTCTTGCTTAGCAGGAGTAAGTGCCTTGAAGAAAATCAAGGAGAGATGCTGTCAATAAATGATATTTCACAGAAGACTTATATTTTGCCAGCGGATATTATGGAAGTTTTAGAGAAGCTTAAAATTTTGAGGTATAATCAAGGAAATTATGTCTTCTATAGCTAATGAACCTTTATGGATCGACTTCATTGAAAATGTAACTGCTCTAATGGACTTCTCTTCTTTTGCATCTTAGACCAGATTCAGATTATAATAAAAAGGTCCCTAGTTCAATATAGTTTTATATAATTATGTTTTTAAAATTAGTATGAAGCTCGGCAAAATAAAGCCAGACATATTTTACATTCAAAATGTTTCTTCTCTCTTTATGCTTGAAAAATAGTTATTTAGCGGCAAAATGGCTTATATGGAATTAAAATGACTAGTCAAAACATTTTTGACAAGTGTGAACTATTTTTACAATTAAACTAGCTAAATTTTAAAATGGGTTTAATATAAAACTAATTTTAATTTAAGTTACCCTTTTAAACTAAAAATTATCAGTATCTTATCTATTTTCCTATTTTCAATAGAATATAGATTCGACAATTAAGGAAATAAAATTCTTAATGCGTAATCACAATAATATGAAGTTCCAGATAAGACTGCATAAGGTGAAAATAAAAATTTTACGGCTTAAGAAAATCAAAATGAGAAAGTGACGAACAAAAAAAATAAAAAATTCTATGTGCACTTGTCCAGAAAGCAGAAAATAAAGCTACAAATGATTGCTATTCTCAGTTAGAATATGAAGTTTGAGATAGTGCCGAGTAAGGTGAAATAAGAATTTTAAATTTTGTCAAAGAACCATTTTTAAATGTAAAATATGCCTGACTTTATTTTGCCTAGCTTCATACTAATTATTAGAAATATTTTCAAAATATTAAAATAGCAATTATATAAAACTAGATTGAACAGGAACATTTTTATATTTTCTAAACAGTTAAGGGTCTGGTCTAAGATGTACAAGATGAGAAGCCCATTCGAGCAGTTACATTTTCAATGAGGTCAATCCATAAAGATTCATGTTCTATATACAAACCCAGAATTTTTAACAAGGCTTAAAAAGACAACTGGAAACCCAGGAAGATTAGTTTACCCAGAAAATCTGCACTGGACGCCATTAAAGATTAGTTAGGATTCTAGATTTAATTAACTATTACAAGGTTGTTTTAATTTTTATAGCAGAGTATAATCGCTTTATTATTTAGCGTAAAAAATTAAATATTTACCTAATTATATATAAATTATTTTCTGATTGATTATTCTTATGATATAAATTTAAACAAAATTATTAAATTTAGACTAAACTTTCATTAGCAGTAGCATAAATTTTAGCGAATCCTCTTAAAATATTTTATTTTTTCATTTCATTTTTTAATTTACCTAAATCTAATTTTAAGAATATTTAACAAAAAGAAAATGCCTAATTTCAGAAAAGTTCAGAACATTCCACTCTAGCATCCCAAAATTCCATGACGCAACAATTGCATAATTAAAAGCTCAATGAATAAAAATTTCTTAAGTTTTAGCATTTAAATAATATGGAAGTCGGCGATCTTGAAAGATCATTCTTCGTTTCTTGTGCTCCAAACTTCTTTCGAAGTCAAATCTCAAAAATTCTTTCAAAATGGAATGAGCAGGCTACACAGGTTACTCTTTTGGATTTTTTATCAACAGTTGACACTTTCATATCAATCCTCCTCACGCACAACGTGCCGCTCGTTTCAGTGCTCCCAGAAACCCTTAAAGAATTCTTACAAGATGACTTCCAGGGATTGAGCTCGGTAACTTTTACTCAGATCCAGCTAAAACTTCAATTTTTGCTCCACTTTGAGCTTCTACGTATAGATTCCTTCAATAAAGATCCCAATTTCTTGGATAAAATTGGGAAAATAGGAAGAGCGCTGTGTATGGTTTTATCGTTAGAAGAAGATTCATGTACTTTTTACAAATATTACATTTCTGATATAGGGGTTTTCCCTATATGGCCCGATAAGGGCTGTGGGTTCTCCGTGGAATCCCTCTGTTGGTCAAACCAACTAAGTGCGTTGGTTTTGACCAATTCACTGGTTGGTTCAACCAGCAGAGGGATTCCACGGAGAACCCACGGCCCTTATTGTCTATATAGGGAAAACACCTATATCTTGCCTCGCTATTGCTCACATATTGAGCACCATGCGCTACTTGCAGTTTCTCTTTACTTTGAATTTGAGGATGAAACTCAAAAATTTTTAAATGACATCATTATGGTCAAGCCAGCTCCTAAAAAGAGAAAACCACAGCGATGCCTTTCAAGTAAATCCCTTAAATCTCCAATTCGAAGAAGTCCAAGACTGAATCCAAGCCATGTTTTGAAAATAAAAGATTCAAAAAAACAAATTGTTGCGAGGAATCTAACTCCCCCTCCCCTCCGTGAGTGAACAAAACCATTAGAAAAAATGCTATTTTTTGCCAAAAACCCACCCTCCGTGAGTGAACAAAAATTTTTTTAATAGAAAAATTTTTTATTGAAAAAAAATTTGATATATAAGTGATAACTAGTATAATGAAATCTAAAAGCTGATTCTGTTTAATTTTTAACAAATTGCTTCTTAAAACATAAATTTTACAAATTAGATTAATATTGCTTTCCCAATTTTTGCGAATTAGGATTTTTTTAAATTTCGAAAAAAAAATATATAAACTTTTTAACCCACCTCCGGGAGTAAGTGGAAGCAGTGCAGCACTTAAAAAGGAAATTAAGATGAAATCGACCAAAGTGGAGTACTTGTGGACGCCAGAACAAAAGCGAGCAGAAATTTCAAAGGAGGCGAAGAGGCTGAAAGAAATTAATAAAAAATATTTTTATGAAAAAAGAGAAGGATCAGATAAGAAAAAGCAGAAAAGAGATGATAAGGAAGAGGTGGAGACTGATGAGAATAGACGAATTTTAGTGCTCGACACTCCTACAAAGGCCCCAAATGAGGCGCTTTATGAAATCAAAGCTCATAAGAACATTTTTAATTCATAATGTTGAAATAATTTTGGGTGTAATTACTTATTTTAAGTAAATTCGAGGGATTTTTTCAATTCAATTCGTAATAATTCATTTCAGTGGGTACTTGCATAGCAATTTGATGATTTTTTAAGTTTTTAAAAACCTGTCGTTAAATTTTATATGGCTAATCTCTTTAAAATTAAAAGACTGAGATTTTCATAATTATAATGAGAGAGAGTTAGATTAGAGGGGATTAACAGGGATTATTTCAGCCCCTAGCCAGTCGAGCTTCAGCTTCACGCTTCATCTGGCGCTAATCACTAAAGCCACCTAACGCCCTTTTCTGTCGACGTCATCAAAAATGGTGACGTCGACATCTTTCGGGGAGACTCACCCGAACCTGCTGGACCAAAAATTTCGTCAGTGGACTCTCTTAACCCCTGGTAGTGTTCAGGGTACGAAGGGATCGTCCACAGTCTCCTTCTGGAACTACCTTCGCCATTTACAGGCAGCAAAATGCTCCTCCAGAAGTGCCTGCTTGGTATTGCGCCGTCGGTCTTTCGTCTGTGGGTCGAGGGGAGGCCCGGCCAGCCCAAGCCCACACCCCACCCCACCCGCAAAATCTGCCATCGCAACTCCGTGGCCCTTCGGGGCCACCGTTTTTTTATTTTTCGGTGACCCAGAATTCTGGTTTTTTCTTTTCCTCTGTTGCCCCAAATGCCCGGTAATGGTTTCCGGCCATGATGGCCCTATTTTAAATATTAATTATAATGAAGCAATAAATTTTTAATAGGTATGCATATCATTAAATTTGCACGCTTTTTTGAATTATTCTCGTCTATATTGCAAATTTGAATCCAAAAAAAATTTTTGTTATAAAAGATAGAAAAGATTTAAATTAAAGTAGCAGGCGTTGCCAATGGCTCGCCATACTTTAAAAAGAAGTAAAGCTATATATATTTTCTAGCACACATAGCAAAATGAAATGCTTAATAAGAATTCAGAACCTTAATTGCAATTATAATCTTATTAAATTAATAACTCCCTCCCCTTTAAATTGGAGTAAAATAGGATAAAGTTTCCATTTTTTGGTTAAATTAGGCTCTCTTTAAACTTGTGCGAGCTTTTAATTTTTCAATGTAAAAATTTTATAGGTGAAATATAATTTTATTAAATAGCCTTGACCCGCTATAACGGAGAGAGTGCAGGTAGAATGATATTTAACAGTTGGAACCTTGAATCGATTAATTTTATTAATGAATTCTTCATCAAAACAATTAAAGTTCAATAAATATAGTTAATTATTTTTGCTAAAAAAATTTTCCATTTTTTTAATCAGAAATAATTTAGAATAATATTTTCATAATGAATGCCTTGGGGTAGTAAGAGTTTGATTTCAATATTCAAGTTAATAAATATCAGAGTACTTATTTTCATAGTAACGTGTATTTGTCTTACAAATATAACAGCATAATGCATCCTAAGCTAATCTACAATAATATAAATAAAATGTCTTATTAGACTCTATATACTTAAAACTCATCAGAGACAGAGGCTTGAGTAATAAGAGATGACATATCAGAGCTCTCACATTTTAGGTGCACCATATGTTCTTCAGCTTTCTCATCAACAACAAATGGCAAAATTACAATGCCTTGCTCAATTGTCGGGAATCCAGTGCATCTAAAGAGTTTGTAATCTGTATGCATTTTAATTCTTGCAATGTACTGGCACTTAATTAGATATGACTTCATAGTATATGTACGCTCATGCTTAAGTATTTCTGCAACTGGAATACTAAATTTCCTATTTTGTGTGCCAGATCTCGCTAAAATTTCAGTCCTAAAAGTATCTTTCCATATACTTTTTGACTGTGTTTTGGTGACACAATTCTTCCTATTTGCGCTAATTGTAGTGATTTTGAGTATTTCTACCTCTATTTTCCTAATATCTGATGAAAAGTTTTTTAGATCAGCTTCCACAAAGAGATTTATCAGCTCATTTGACCCGAAAGCTGGCTTTTCAATTCATGCTTTAACTGATGCTTTTTCTTTATTGACGCACCAGATTGTGTTATTGTAACCTGAAACCTCATGCGATAACTGCTGAGGATAAAGTTCTGGGAGGACTGGAAAACTGTTAGACAAAACAGTAAAAGGCTTTTTAAATTTCATGTACTTTACTCCTTGAGTTTCCAGCAATGCACCAATTTTATACTCAAGCTTAGCAGAGCCCTTGTTGAAAACTGTAGCATTGAAAGAAGGAAGGAGGTCTGGGTATAGTCGGAATTTGAAAGGAACACAGTAGTTCCCTGGGTTTACAGTCATGTCTGGCTTGTTAAAGATAATGGCTCTACCTTTTTTGATAAGCTCTTTTCCACTGTGATTTATTTGATAAGTGATCATGCCATGATCTCCATTAGATTCTTGGCGTTCTGTGCAGAATTCAACAATCTCATGTCCTCTGAAGAAGATAAAAAGCTTGGGGCTGGAAACAGAGTCTTTAAGATGGACGTGAACATTGCCACGAACGTATTCTCCAACGATTGCATTGGCATCGTCAAGAGAAACATACATATCTCCTTTCATTTGAGAAGGTTTAGACGAGTCTGATCCCATTTATTTTCAACTTACTAAAAATCTTACTGTCATTAATTTTAGCCATTATGGTTATTTCAACAGACCATTTAACGAAAAAACAATTAATTATTCCAGAAAAAGCACAAAATTCATGAAAATGTTTGGATCTTTCGTTTAATGCTGCCATTCTCAATAACTTTTTAATCTATAAAAATATGTCTCAAATGTTCTGTTTATTTATAATATTCCTTTCAGATTATAAAATAACTACACTACATCTTTATATTTAGTTAAAATCTTCAGAGGAGTAAATCAAGTAATTATATCATACCATATTTTAAATCGAATAAATAAAACTTACTAATTTATTATTCATTTTGCTTTCCATACCTAACCCTATAAATGATTTAGACAAAAAATTATTTCTGATTCAGTCTCAATTAAAAGCTTTATTTATATAATAAAAATAGAACTTATTATTTTCCGCATGATAGCTATATAGATATCTAATATTACTTTTAAAATAATTATTTACGCATCTGTGATGTTTTTCTTTAAAATTCTACGAACAATTATAAATAAAAGCACAAAAAATAAAAAAGTTGAAGCGTTTATGACCAATACTCCGTCGTTCTCTTCATAAAATGGTTCATTCAAGTTTTCAAAATCAGAATTTAGACTATTCTCCCATTCATTTATAAAGTTGTCTTCATCACAAGGCTCAGAAATTTTGCACATGTCTATATCTGGCTTAACGACTGGCCACTTAAAATTGAGAGGATGTAAGTCTTCTAGAATTTTTGCTGCTTGCTGCTTTTTTATTTCCGCAAAACATTTTGAGTAAAATATCAATAAGACAAATAGCCAAACCCTATTCATGAATTTTTAGTTTATATTTAATCTTAACTATATTAATGTGATTGAAGGAAAAGCATAAAATTAAGATTTTAGAATTCCTTAACGTTTTAGGAACTAATTATTCAATTATAAAATCATATTTTAATTACTAAATCTTATAATAGAAACTTATGTTATTTATTTATAAGTTAGTTTGATGTGTCAAAATAGTTGAATTTCCTGTTAAAATCAACCTTGGATAAAACAAAATCATGAGTTAATAATGCAAATTCGTAAAATATAAAATGCGGATATCAGGCTTCAAATTATATTAATCTTCAGATTAAATTTAAAAAGGGCCGTTCCGGGAATTGAACCCGGGACCTCTCGCACCCTAAGCGAGAATCATACCACTAGACCAAACGGCCTCACTTTATTTGCCTAGTTTTTGATACTAAATACTATACTCCATTTCTTTTTATTTAACCCCCCTCCGTAAATGAACAAACAATTGGAAAAATCCCTTTGTTTTGGGAAGAACCCACCTCTGTGAGCGGACAAAAATGTTTTATGAAAAATATTTTGATAATTATTATAATGAAATCTATTTAATTTTAAACATTTGTGCATTTAAAGCATAAATTTTAAAATTAAATTAATATTCGCTCTAAAATATTTCGAATTAAATAATATTTTTAAATTTTTAAAAAAAAATTATTACTATAAAATTAGAATAAATTTTTTTAAACCGATTTGGGGTGAATGAGGAAGCATATTTCCAAGAAAAAAGGACAATACTTAGCATGAAGTTTAATTATAATTTTATAGGAGATCGAGAAGAACTTCAATTAGCTCTTCTCCTTTAAATTGGAACAAAAACTCTATTTCCATTTAAAAGGGAGGTATTTTTTTTTGAAATTATATTAAATTTTCCCTATAAAAAATTATAAATTGAAAGCACTAATTTAGTTTTATGAAAATTGCATAAAATTAAATAGACTCAGCGTGAAAGCTATTTAAATAACATTTTACTTGCACTTTTCCAATAAATTAAGTCAAAAATAATTTTATATATTTTTTCATCTATAAAATAATTATTCCAATTTAAGAGTGTTAAAAATAAATAGAAATTTTATCGATGTTTTGTTCCATTTTAAAGTGGGAGAGTAAGGGCAACAGGAACTGAATTTAAGCCAGCTTTTAGATTAAAGCCATCAAAAAGAGGTGGCCTCTGCCTCAAAAACTGAAGTCAGCCTCCGATCATATTACTTCAAAAGGTGCAATTAATTCCACCTCTCAATTTAGCACACAATATTGATTTTAATCCAGTTCGCAAAATCTTAAGAAGCTCGGAACTGAAGGATAGTCATTGAGAGAAATCTAGGTCTGCAACCTATTAAATTCATTTTAGCAAAAAATTCAGTTTTATTATATTAAAATAGAAAGGGACAAATTTGCTGGAATTAATATCAATTCATATTAAAAAATTAATCAGGAAGCATTAGAAGGTTTACACTATTTACTACATATTTCAATAAGACGCCGCCGAATATTTTTGATCCTTTAATTTTATTATCTCAAGTTTTCCAATCTTTGATACGCCATCATCATTTATTTACAATTTTTCTTCATCTTAACGAATGGCTTCACTATTTTTTAGATTTTTCAATACATAAAAATGTTTTAATCAAGCCCATATTATACAATGATGTCTCCAGCGTTTTACGAGAATTCAAAACAAAATGCCCATGAGATTTCTTCTCTTCACAACGAAGTGCAAGCTTCACAGATTTTAAACAGTATGTTTACTGATAATATGCTTGAAAACTTCGATTCTTCTTTACAATTAGAAGACCGACGGCGCAATACCAATCGAGGACTTCTGGAGGAGCATTATGATGCCTGCAAATGGCAGAGGTAGTTCCAGAAGGAGGCATCGGACGGTCCCCTCATACCCTGAGCACTACCAGGGGTTAAGAGAGTCCTTTGCTGAAGCATTTGGTCCAAGCAGGTTTGGGTGAGTCTCCCCGAAAGATGCTGACGTCACCATTTTTGATGACGTCATCAGGAAAGGGCGGCAGGTGGCTTTAGTGACTAGCGCCACACACGAACGTGAAGCTGAAGCTCGACTGGATCAGGGGCTGAAATAATCCCCGCTTTAACCCTCTCTAATCTAAAAATCTCAAATCTCTTTACAATTAGGGAAACTCTCTTCATGCATCTCTTCAAACTCCTTTGAAGGATCTTTATTTTCAGACACATATGATGCCAAAGACGAAGTAATAATTGAAGCTATACGAAGTAAAGAAAATTCAATATTAGATAAAGAGTTCAGTGCGAATCACTCGGTTATTAATATTGATGATTCTAAAGATAATATAGATGATTTCCGAGAACCAAGCCAGATTATGAAAGAAATTATGAACTTCGAAAAAGATAGTGAAAAGCGATTCCCAGAGATTTTACCGAACCTGTTGATAGAAAAAGAAGAAATCAAACATAGATGGCTGTGCAACGCTTGTTTTTTAGATCCTCAGGATAAAAATCGTTGCATAGCGTTTTAATTGTAAATAGTTAGTATTTGAAAATAGTTAATAAAATAGAGTATTAGAGCTTATAAATCTTATTTCTTAAATGAAAGTTAAAACTAAAAGCTACCCACTAGCTGTCGCCTATCCTAGCTCCAAAAGGTCGCCCTTTTGTGTTTCTTACCTGAAATATCTGTGCAAGGGATTAGCTTCTAGGACAGAACCAGATGCCCAATTGCCCTGATGAGGAGAAACCATATTTAGCCTATCTGACAGGGGCAGAAAAACCTTCAGGGGAGAAATTATACTTCCTTCTCCTGCAAGGCATCACCAGACCTGAAGGCCGACTTCAAAAGACAGATATCCTGTTTTCAGCTTCATCAGGATAGGTCGTACATTTTCCATAGGGAGTTCGCCTCTGAGTCTAATTTCTGTAACGTTATCATTTTATTTCTCTATTTCTTTAAATGATTTTTTTCATTCTGGAGCCTTATGCAAATTATTGAAATTGAATATTGCACTAAAAAATATAAAATCCTGCATTCTCTTATAACCTTTCTATTATGCTGTCTATCTGTTTTAGATTAAATTGCCAACACTGAAAATAAAAAAATTATAAATATTTTTTAGAAAATTAATAATATCCAACTTTTTATAATAAATTTTATATTATTCACTAACTTCCCCTTGATTAAAGAGCAAATATATTAGAAAAGTCTCTATTTTTTGAAAATAAACTCCTTCGCATGCAAAAAGCTTGCTCGTTAACCAATAGGAGTAAGGCTTTTTGGCTTGTCTTGGTGATCTTCTTGTTTGGCTTGTTGGAGTGGAAGGAGTTTTTGAAGCATCCTTTGCTACAAATTCTTGTATATAATCTTCATAAAATGTCCTAAGTCTAAAAGTTTGTCTATTAACTTCTCTGACATCACTTGAATTGGCTAGCACATTCATATAATCAATTAAATTAAAAAGTTCTTTATCATTTTTGTCATCATGCCATGAAATAATAGGTATCCCATTGTCAATTTGAAACCCAAATGAATACGCAGCATTATCTACGATAACTAAATCCTGCAGCCTTCTATTAGTAAAAACTCTTACTCCGCCCCTCTCCGTGAGTGAACAAAAAAATTTTGTTCACTCACGGAGGGGGGTTAATTTTTTTTTTTTAAAATAATTTATATATAAATTATAGAACAAATTTTTTTTTTTCGAAATTTTAAAAAAATCCTAATTTGCAAAAATTGGGAAACAAATATTAATTTAATTTATAAAATTTATGCTTTAAAACGCAATTTGTTTAAAATTAAACAGAATTAGCTCGAGATTTCACTATACTAATTATCACTTATATATCAATTTTTTTCCATAAAAAATTTTTCCTATTAAAAAAATTTTTGTTCACTCACGGGGTTTTGGGGATTTTTCTAATGGTTTTGTTCGCTCACGGAGGGGGAGAATTAGATCTTTAACATAAATTCCTTCACACATTAGGCAGGACTCCCTATATAATCTATGATGAATTAATTCTCTATAAGGATCAATATAATCAAGCACTACGTCTGCATAGCATTTATGACTGGCAGTAAATACGATTACCTCAAATAATTTATTCGCTTCACTTAAGCATTCTCTTACAAAAGGTCTGATATTGACCCCAGCATTTATCACATCTCCAGTAGGGAAGGTTACTGGCAAAATAACATCTGCGGAGTTCAAATCTTCAGTGCAGTGGACCAAAGTTTCATCCAAATCGAACACAATGGTTTTTTTCGTTTCCCACCCTGGCCGCTTGGGCAAGCTAACCCTTTTATTTCTTAATTGGACTGGGTCTGGATTGCTCAGTGTCTTGACGAATTTCATTGCTTGGAAGGTCTGAAATAAGTGTTCTCTATACAACAGTTCCGATTTATTTTTTTGCTCCTCATGAGTGTCTTGCTTAGGCAAACTTTGGCGCTTTACTTTGGTGACCACGTTTGATAAGTCATAGTCATTTTTAGGCGATTCAGGGACTTCTACTGATTTGCTTGTCTGTCTTGGGAGGACTTTTGTGCTCTTGCTTTTTCCTTTTGTCGCTAACGAGTTCGGGTGCGGTTGGAACTGATAACTCATAGGGTTCTTGTGGGTGTCTTTTGATTCTCCTTTTGGAGTCAGAGATGTTGGCGTGGAGGTTGGGGTTTCTTTTGTTTTTATAGTCTCAGCAGCGCTCCGAGGACGAGTGGTAGGAGGCTGAATTCTTGAAGGTTTACTTGGAGTGCCTGGCGTTAATATGCTTTGGAAGTTCTTGAGGCCTTTTGGAGAGTTCTTTTCGAATTTTTGCGTTGGCTCTTGTCTGACTTCTTTCGGAGCTTCTGACACTTCAATTGTCAGCTTTTGTGGCTTGGATAGAGACTTTGAGGAAAAATATTTGGGGTTTTTAGCAGACGATGACATTTACAAAATGTTTCAAATTTATTCGAATTAGAAAGAACATTTAATTTAACAGTGATAAGAGGTCTTGTAAATGGGAGGAAATCGGGTTGGTGACGAATTCTTCGGTTCTGTTAGCGCTGGAGAGCGATATCGTGAGAGATTAAATTGCTCATTTTCTGTTTTCTTCTTCGCTGTAAGAGATTTATATATAAAATTTTGTTTTGCTTTTAAGTAAGTTTCTATAGATCGTTTCTGTTTGTAAGGAGAAACTAATATTTCAAGCTTCGAATCTGTGGGGACAATTGGAATGGATGTTGCATGCTCCAGGCTTATTCCATGCTGCTTATTTCTGCATTCGCGCTGATTTTTGATAGGGTCAGGGCTCATAGCATTTTTTTGAATTCTGTGTCTTTGCTTCTTTTTATAATTTTCCTGCACTTTCCATAAATACTCAATCACAGACTGCAAAAATTCAATTTCCTCTAAGCTTTTGCTTTGCTCTTGCTTTTCTTTGCATAAATCTAAAGCAGTTTGACCTTTTTTATTGCGCAAAGAATAATGAACTCTCAACTCCTCAATAAAGTACTTAACTAAATGAATGTGAGCGTTTGCAGCTGCTATATGTAAAATAGTGTTACCATAATAGTCTCTAGCTGCAAGATTTGACCTGTGAGCTACTAGGAGTTGAATAATTTCTTGATTCCCAACTGCAGATGCAACTAGAATAGGAGACCTTCCGTAAGAGTCCACAACGTTGGATTGGACGCCAGCTATTAGCAGTCAGCGAATCACTTCTACCAACTCTAGTTCGATTGCAATTGTGAGCGGATATGTGTGTTCAGGAAGGTAATTACCGTTTGTGTCTCTCAAGCGAATCATGTAATTAGGAGGAAACCCGGATTTTAGCATGTCAATTACTCCGCTCTCATTTTTGGCTTCGAGCGCAGCTGTAAATTCAGCTTCCCAAGAGTTCATTGATTATGGAGTTACGTAGCACAAAATGGACTTTTACTCAAAAATCTATTTGAAATCGAATTTTTCTATTATTTTACTTTAAGTAAAATCATTTGCTAAGCAAATGTATTTAGTCTAAATAATTAAGATAACTCCTTTTAATTTAAATTGCATTCATTGTAATAAATGTCTCGCATTTTCATCAATAACATTAACTCCTATGTGGGCCGCGAATTGTTTCAAGAAATCAGAGGTGATCCTGAAGAAGAAAGCTCTAATGTGTTTATTGCCACCTTAGATCCAAACGATAACTCTCCAAGGCCTGCTGGAGTCAAAAAAATTCTTACTCCCCCCCTCCGTGAGTGAACAAAAAAATTTTGTTCACTCACGGAGGGGAGTTAATTTTTGTTTTTTAAAAAAAATTTCTATATAATTTTTATAAAAAATATTTTTTTTCGAAATTTAAAAAAATCCTAATTCGCAAAATTGGAAAGCAAATATTAATTTAATTTATAAAATTTATGTTTTAAAAAGCAATTCGTTTAAAATTAAATAGAATTAGCTCTCTAGATTTCATTATACTAATTATCATTTATATATCAAAATTTTTTTCCATAAAAAATTTTTCTATTAAAAAAATTTTTGTTCACTCATGGAGGGTGGGTTTTTGGGCAAAAAATAGCGATTTTTCTAATGGTTTTGTTCACTCACGGAGGGGGGGGAGGGAGTTAGAGTAATTTTCATTTAGCGCGATAAGCCAAGACTTTTCAAGAAATACTTGCTTGAATGTGATTTAATTATTTATGATCTCCACACAGGAAATTTAGCTGAAGTTGAAGAAAAATTGAAACTCTTTAAAACAACCAAATTTGAAGAGGCGAAAACAATTGTTTTGATTTCAAGTGCGTTGGTATGGGGAAACACTCCACCAAAAATGGCTCAAGTTCTTACTGAAGAAGAAAAATCTAAACTTATCGATCCTGACGATCCTGAAGCATCAATTGAAAAAGACAAAGTAACTGAAAAATCAATTATTGAACCTCAGCCTTCTGAGAGATCACAAATAATAGAAAAAGGAGAAGGAGTGGCAGAAGGAGAAGAGCTAAAAGTAGAAGAACCTAAAGAGCCTGAATTTGTCACAGTTCAATTTGAAGAAAGTGACTATTTACAAAGAAAGCCAAGCCAAAAATATGAACAATGGAAAATCTTAACTTAACTTATTAACCATGACGTTTAACGTCTCCTACGGGGTTGCTCTTCCAGGACTACCACCACGCTCTCGTCGCTCGGGGCCCACTAGTTGCTGGGACAGCTAGCTTTGATCTCCAACGCGCACCTCCTGCGCGATGTTCCGGCTTCGACGGCTCATGATTGAGCTACTTACTTTCTCTGTAACGAGGGTTGTCTGCTAGGGAAATTCCAAAAAATGGTATTTCTGGCCGACTTTCGGCAAAAGAGGAAAACTTGTAGCCCCGGGGCGAAACTCCCGGTTTCTCGCTAGAGATTTGCCCGAATGGCCTAGGGATTACCTGTAGGCGCTGCTGGGCTTCTCCTTTCCAACTCCAAGCCTCCTCTTCCCTCGAGGTAAAATCCTAAACCCGAGAACGGACTGGGATCAGGCTCTGTACACTGCCAGAATTGCTTACCTGATATTGCTGTCCATCTCTAGCTAGGCAAAACCTTGCCGGATATAATTAAATAGGGCTCGAAACTGTCTGGCCGAGAGGCCAGACCCAAGTTGAGACGCCATATTTAATTATGAACAATGGAAAATCATTGAAGATTTAGTTTTAAACTTAGGAACCAAAGAAAACGTGAATATATATATTATTTGCTCAGGAATTTTATACGGAAATGGTGAAAAAGTATTCAACTACCACTTTAGATCAGCCTGACTTGAGAATCCAAGAGCTCTGCCATACATTTTTCCAGGAGATAATTACATTCCTACTATCCACATAAAAGATTTAGCAAAAGTTGTGAAATTCGTAATTGAGACCAAACCAGAAACAAAATATATTTTTGGAATTGATAAAACCCTAGAGCCATTGCAGAAATCAATTATTCAAGCTATATCTAAAGGAATAGGCACAGGAGAAATAGAGCCAGTCGAGAAGTTTTCAGAAGAATACCAAGAATGGTATGAAGAATTAGGAATAAATGTCTGGATGAAGCCTTCACGCTTATTAATTCCAGAACCTGAAGGAGAAGAAGAAGCAGTTTTGCCATTCACCTGAAACTATATTGGAGGAATTGCTGAAAACATTAGGAGGCTAAACGAAGAATACAACAAAATGAGAGGCCTCAAACCTATTAAAGTGTTTATTACTGGCCCACCAGCAGCTGGAAAAAGCCATTATGGAGCATTACTAGCTGAACACTATAATGTACCTCATATTCATATTTCAGACTTGCTAAAAGAAATTGCAGGGTCAGAGACTGATATAGGTAGAATGATAGCTGAGTCTGAAGGAAGAGTTGACGATAAACTTGTAGCTGAAGCCTTTAAGTTGAAACTTAAGTCAGGACCCTGCATGAATCGTGGTTATATTTTAGACGGGTGGCCTCGCACATATGAAGACGCTAAAAACTTATTCATGAGAGAAGTGATTTCAACTGAGCCTGTTGAAGATGGAGAAAGAAATGTGGAAGCTGAGGAGGAAGAAGAAGGAGCCCATTTAGCTCCAAAAGTATATGAAAATGAGACAGAAATTATCCCCAACAATGTCATAATTCTTAGAGCAGGCGATGACTTTTTGATAGACAGAGTCAGAAAGCTTCCTGCTGGAAAAGTCAAAGGGACTCATTATTCTGATGAAGGAATGAAGCGCCGCTTACAGTTTTACAGAGAGAAAAATGACAGTGATAAAGAAACTCCAGTTCAAGCATTTTTCAGCGATTTAAATATAGCTTTTTGCCTTGAGTGGCGCGGTATTGCGCCACTTCGGCAAGCTCCTTCTTCCAGTTGGCCGAGCCAACTCAGGTTGGTTCGACCAACTGGAGAATTGACAAGTGAGGCCTTTTGGGGAGACTTGTCAATTCTAGTTGGCCGAACCAACCTGAGTTGGCTCGGCCAACTGGAAGAAGGAGCTTACCGAAGTGGCGCCCGTACCGCGCCACTCAAGGCAAAAAAGCATACTGAAATCTATGAATGTGAAAGCAACATTGAAGCAATGGAATTGCTCTATAACATGAGGGTTTATATTGAAAGAGAAGGAAGACCATTTAACTTTTTAGCTTCAATTGAAGAACTGGAATGGCAAAGAATCAATCTTATTGAAATGAGAGAAAAGGAAAAAATGAGGAAATTGATTGAAAATGAAGAACAAGTCAAAAAGTTAGCTGAAGAAGAAAAGAGGAAAAAAGACGATAAAGCGAGAAAATTATTTGAGCAGCTGAAAGGAAAAGATTTAAACTTAAAAGGAGTCAAGGAAATGCCGCTTAGATCATATTTAATGGAAAATGTGATTCCATTTTTGTCAGAAGGGTTGTTACAAGTTTGCAAAATAGTTCCTGAAGATCCAGTGGATTATCTAGCTGAATTTATGTTTACTCAAAGTAATCAGCTTAGAAAGCATAACTAAATTCCTATTAACTTTTAGAGAATAAATTATAATTTTCTCATTATTTTTATGAATGAAGATCATTTTAATTTTTCTATCTGAAGATTATGCTTGATGAAGGTTGGTCTTTTATATTTAATTTACTATTTATGCAGCTTAAGGTTTTAATATATATGCATTGAATAATAGATGTAGGCCTTTGATGGCTTTAAAAAATCGTAAAAATCATATTTTAAAGCTACCAAATGAAGATTAAATAAAGGATAAAGTAATAGAAATCTGTCAAATCCTTAATTTTTGTATTTATGAGCCTAGATTGATATTTAAAAATTATTCAGAAATTATAAAAAAAAAAACAAAAGGAAATATGGAATTTTTTAGTAGCAATTATAACAGTTATTTTACTATATTGGAGATTCTTGAAAATAATCCATAGTTGCTGAAGAATATGATATGTTACTATCATTTATTGAATGATTTACTGTAATTGGGCATTCTTCACCAAAAATATTGTATCTTTTTATTATATTTTCAATTCCATATCCGCGAGCTCTCAACTCTTGAAGCATCATTATAATTTTTGTTTCGCGCGACCTATAAAGATTTATGTCACATTTTATTTCTTTTATTAACTGGTTTTTTTCATTCACATCTTTGTACAGTTTATACTGACTCCCCCCATCCTTGATCGAACGACTCGCCATCGTTCGATCAAGGATGGGGGTTTAAAAAAAAATATATATATAAAATAAAATATATATATATATATATTTTTTTTATTTACTTTTAAATAAGAGGGTTAAGAGTATTTAATAGTTATTTTTACAGCAAAAAATTGAATTAATTTCATAAAATATCAATTTTTAATATTTTAATTTATTAGTTACCTTTTTAAACTGTATAAATTTTAATTTGTTCCTTATTGAATTAATTTTTTTTTTTAAATTTTAAAGAATCTCTATTTTAGATTATTGAGTTTTTAGCCTAGGTTGATAACTAAATCACTTCGGATGGTTGATTCCGTAGCTTTCTGTCGTCTCAAAGCTCTGAAAACAACTTCATTAGGTGCATCTTCCCAAGCTTTTGATAACTAATATATTTTTATATATATATATAAATTTGCATGATATGAAAATTGTTCGATCAAGGATGGGGGTTGATTTCCTAATTTTTAGGAATTTTTAAAGTCAATCGTTCGATCAAGGATGGCGGGGGGGAGTGAGAACTTTCTTTGCATTTTCCAAAGGCTTCAATTGTTTTTATATTTTTTAGCCTAAGCTCATCAAGCCTATTCTTTAGCTCTGCGTTTTGACTCAGCAAATGTTCTATCTTCTCATTTAAAATCATTTTTTCAGAGATGAGCGCAGTGACTTTCTTTGATTTATCTTCATATTTTTTTCTCCATTTATTTGATTCTAGCTCTGTAAGTATGTCTCTTAAAGTTAATTGAATAAATTTGAGAAAATCAGAGATCCCAGAAGGCAATTTAATCATTTCTTCTAAAATGTCTATTTGGAACCTGATTTTGTTGTTGACAAGCTTACTGCTTTCAGAGCTGCAAAAGTTTCTAACTTTGTCATCAATTAGAGAAAATTCTTTAAATCAGCTGTTCTGGTCTGACTCAGAGTTATCATTAAAGAATGCTTTGGGTTTAGGAGCAAGCACTTTCAGTGATAACTTTTTTTGCAGATTTTTCATAGTTGGCAGCTTAGTTAAGCTTGCTTGCTTCTTGCCTGCTGCAATTGAGAAGTTTTGTGAAAATGATGGGTTTTTTACAGGTGTTACTGAGCCAGAAGCTTGAGGAAAATCAAAATCAGAGCTCTTTGTAAGTTTTCTCCTTATTGACATTTTAAATTTTTTATTACGATTTTATGGAATTAATGGCATATTATTAATGCTATTATCTTTTGAAAAGAGATTCTTTCAATTCTAGCATTTTTAAAAGAATTAGCAATCAAATAGTTCCTTATCTCTAAAATCTAAAAAATAGTTAAGATGAAGAAAAAAAAATAGTTTACTATTGAGTAAAATTTTTTCAAACTCATAATAAGCAGACTATTCTTTTGCTATTTTTGTTTATTCTAAATAATTTCACTCTATTTTTTTATGCACAATCTTATTCATTTTGTCGCTTCTTTGAAATCTCCTATTGGGACCAAAGTTCATTTTCTTTTTATTTATTTTACTTTAAAACTGTTCAAATCCAAATTAACCTTTCGCTAATAGCCCACTTAAGGCAGAAAAACCGAAAAATATTACATTTATTCTTATTAAATAGGTTGGCTGCGATTCTAAAATATATTTAATCGTTCCCGTTAAAATCTTAAAACTTCAATCAAGAGCTTCTTTACTATATATAAATTCGATGGATATCCTAATGAATTATAATTGTAAACTCTTCAATTTAAATATAAACGAAGCTGCTCAATAAGCTTTTATAGCTCTTCATGTTCAGAATTAAGATTTTCTTCTAAAATTTCTTTATTGAATCGGTTTTAAGGCCACTTTTAATAATAATGAAATGTTAAGATAGAATTAAGAGAAATCTCTTCCACTGCATATTTTAGGAGCAAGTAAACTCCATATATATAGCAGAACTGTGAACCACAAAGCCGAAAAATTAACCCACATGCTTCCTTCGTTGCTATATAAAAAATTACTGATCATAAGAGGCTCCACCTGTATGAGCTGCTCCCCAATTAGTCAAAAGCATAGCAAAGTAGATTGAGGTCAAAATCATCAAAAGATGGAAAAACACCATTTTAGAAGGGCTTTCATTATCGTCTTCCTCTTTATAAGGAGCTGCCTCGTTTCCATCATCTTCTTCTGCTAAGACTGCCTCAGCAACTCCTCTTATAGGCGCTTGCTCATCTTTTGCTTCTCTTTTCCTAAAAGTTACATATAAAAGCATTATCAATGCTGCAAACAGACCTAGAACAATCGTTATAGCAGTCGATGCTTTATCATTCCACGAATTACAGCTGGAGCTTGAGCTAGCCATCCCAATTAAGCATAAATAAACACAATATAAGTTCACTGCTGAACTTGTAAGCAAAGCTACATAAAAATTACATCCATGCTCTACCATCCCAGTCAAAGATAATCCTGTGAAAATGATCCCAAGTGCCAAAGTTAATGAAATCAGGAAAATATTTAACTCACAGCCGCTATCTGTTGTAAACCAATAATAGCTTACTCTCCCATTTAAATTGGAACAAAAATCCTGTTCATATAACTTAAAGGGGGCTAATTTTGTTTTTAAAAATAATTTATAATATTAGAAAAATATAAAATGAATGCAATATTTTTCGTCAATTTATTTTATGAAGAATTAATTCAAAATATTAATTGATTTAGTGTTAAAACTGCTTAAATAATATTCGACTTGCACTTTTTCCAATAAATTTCCTATTAAAAAATTATTCCAATTTAAAGAGGGTTAAAATACAAAAAATTAATTTTACCTATATTTTGTTTCAATCTAAAGGGGGCAGCTAGCACAATTGTTGTTAGCGCAACTATCCACATCAGACCTGAAAAGAAAAACAAGCAAAACGACCAGTAGCCTGACTCACTAGAATTTTCATAGTTTTCCAGTCACGTCTCATTCCAGGTATATGCGAAATCTATAATAACAATGATCTGCATTACCAAGAATGCCACTGATACATATCTTGATATTTCTCTATAAATATCGAAGAAAGCATTATCAATGAAAAACGTGATAATGAACAGAACAGTAATGATTAATCCTTTCATAAGCCAGCACCCTTGATTTATAATTGCCGACATTCTACCTCCTGGAATGCTTAGTCCAAGCATGATGATGTAAAAAAGCACCAAAGTAAAGCTTTCACGGTAAATTGTTTGAACCCCTAAACAAATGCTTTTATCAGTCCCTGAGCAATCCGCAAATCCAAATTTGGTTCATGGTGTCATCATTTCGTCTCCAAAGTATAAGAAAATCATCCCAAAAAATGCAGCTAAGATCATGATGACCAAATAACCTAACCTCATATGCTGCTTATGAGAAGTACTGCAGCACCGCATACAACAGCCACATAAACAAGAACAACAGGCTTCACCAGCACAGCACAATGCACCCATTTATATCTTTGTTGAACAAAAATAGAACTTATAGTTATTTAAATAGGCCAATAAAGCATGTGGAAAGAATCATAAACCTCCACAGTTTATTTTAATCTTGAATTGGATTAGAAATGATTTTCTCAGGCGAAGGCTTAACATCTTTGGGCTTTTGTAACCACTTATCAAGAGTGGCTTGCTTATAACGTTCTTTGGGGAATATTCCCATTTATTTAAATTAGAAACTCATCTTTATGGGCTCTCTTTTATGTTAATTATAAGAAGAGGGGTTTCCATTTGCTATATTGGGTATATATACTCTTGAGTTAATTCAGCCTTTTTTTGGTTGAATTTGGTTTGTCTGCAATTTTCGATAATAGTGTCGCGAAAGCAAGTGCCGCAAATGCAAGGACAATTCACTTCAGAGTCGCAGCATAGTGCTGCACCACCCATATTTATAACAAGTTTAAACAGATTCCAAATTATAGCCTAAAATAATGCAATTAAGCAAATTATTTTGTGGACAACAAGTGAATTAATATGATAAGCACCCTTATATTTTATTTGGGCTGATCTTTCATTTTCTCAAATGGTTGGATTCATTTATCCAATGTTAATTGCTTAAATCGAGCAAGAGGGTTATCAGTTTTTTCAGCACTATCTTCACTTAAAAGAGCTTCATGATAATTTTTAATTATATTGTCTCTCATGCAGATTCCACATATGCATGTGCAGCATACATCTCCACTGCAACACACTGCAATTCCACCCATATTATTATCTTTATATATTATGCCTGCTTCATTAAATAATTCTTCTATCAATTCAATCCAAACTTTTTTTAATATTTTAATAAATGGGGGTATTTTAAAATTAGTACCACAGCCGTGATATCATCAATCGCCTGCTTCTTCATCCATTTTTGCGATGCTTCAGCTACCAGCGTTTCTGCAGCATTTGTAGATCTTCCTAGAGCAATTTCTCTAGATACAATCTCGACCGCTTCATAATCTTTGATGACATCCCAAAATCCATCGCTGCCTAATATCACGAACTTGTAACTATAATCAATATTTACTTTATTTACATCAGGTGCTGCAATGACACCTAACTGAGATGCAATCCGATGTCCGAACACTCTGGACATGGCAAGTCCAGGCGTTCGGTCATATTTACATCATACTCTCAAGGGTCCATTCACTTCGTCTCTGTCATAGTCAACTCTTCCACCTTTACTCACAATTCTTTCCTTTTCTTCAACAATATCCAAACTATGGACTTTATTTAACGGAATTGCTAACAATGAACCATTTTCTTCTTTTGCTATAACTGCTCTGGAATCACCCACATTAGCAATTGTTATTTGAGTCCCATCAGCTATCAGCAAAACAGCGGTGCTTCCTGATAGCGAAATATTGAAATTTGTTTGTGAAAATAATTGATTGTTTATGCTTGAAAAAATTTTGTGTATATATTCTTGAGTAATTTTTTCTGATTTGGAAAAACCACTCAAAAATTGTTGCTTGATGAAATCGGATACTAAATGGCCATTAGTGCCGTTTCCATCAAAAACGCCAAGAATTGTGTATGCTTGATTCTGATAAGCCAGAAACGAGTCTTGGTTATGGGTATTTTGGATTCTGTGTGAAGAGCCACAAGCTGAAAAAGCGCTATATTTATATGTCTCACTAGAATTTGCAAGACGCTGGGGATTTAAGGTTTTGTGTCTCTGTTGGCTATTTATTGTGGTGTAATTATTGCAAAACTGCTTTGAGGACTCAAGTTTAGGCTTATAAAGAGATCGGAAAGGTGGAGATGTGTTGAATCGGAAATTTTGACGACGGAATGGAATAAATGAGGATGATTCGATATCGTCCTGCATTTGTAAAACCATTCCTGAGTCAATCATATTTTATGTGATAGCTTACCCTTTTTTGAACGAATTTAAACCAAAGAAATTATCAAGTATAATAATTTAAAATTGATAATGAAATTGTAAACTCTGTAATCAAACTTATTTTGAGATTTAATTACGTCAAATTGCTAACTTGCATTATGAAAAGTATGCAACTTAAGCGTCAAAAAAGAAGATTCTTACTCCCCGCTTGTTTCGCAAAGTTGGTTGATGCTCTTTTTTATAGTGAAGGAGGATATCTAGCACGGGCTTTTTTGGCTTGAAAGCAAGCCAAAAAAGCCCCGTGCTAGCTATATCCTTCCTAGCTATAATGTTTTATTAAAATTATATAAAAAACAAAAATTTTAAAAATTTGAATTAAAAATAACGCATTAAAACGCAAGCATCTAAAATTTAATAGAATTAGAAGCAAACTTCATTATAACCGTAATTAATTATATATCAAATTATTATTCTTAAAAAATTATATTAAAACATTTTTCGCTCACTAATAAGTTAGTTAGTTTTAAAAGGCCATACGTGGGCGAAACCAGCAGACCTCAACACCTCAGCTCGAAAGACGACTCCCGGTCGGGTTCTGATGTGGCCATACTCCCAGACCAGACGCCATCTTGATTTCTGGTCAAAACCACCTGTCCAAAGGATCAGCTCCTTTGGACAGAGCCATTTCTGTCTGAGTGTCCCGATGGTCCCGATGAAGGAAGACCATGTGGTAGGAAAAACCTGTCTAGCCCATCTGGCAGGGGCAGGGAAAACCTTCGGGGGAGAAATAAAACTTCCTCTTCGGCACGGCTTCCCCACAACTGAAGGCCTACTTAGGACAGGAAATGAGACTTGTATCTTCAGCTTCATCAGCAATGGGTCCTACCAGCTCCATAGGAGGTGCGCCTCGGAGTCCAATTTCCGTCAACGTCACCATTTTATTTCTTGCTCACTAATAAGGGAGGCTAATTTTCTTAAAAAATTAGGATTTTTTAATGATTTGCTCACTAACAATGTGAAGAGTTAATTAAAATAAATATAGTGAGTATTAAATTGCTTAAATTAGTCATTTTATGCGGATATTCTATTTTCCCAAAATCTCAAAAAAAATGATTTTAGGCAAGTTATTATTTGATTCTGTTTTGATTTATATAAAGAATAAAACACTTAATATTATTTTGGATTATAGATTTATTAAGTAATATGAAATACCTAATTTTATTAAAAATTCATTTTTCAAGTATGTGTGACTTAGAATTAAATGTTTATTATAACTCTATTATACAGATAGATATTAACTAAGATCTGAATGAAGCCATAAATTATTATCTCAAACATTTCATTTTAATAGAACTTCTAATTTAATTCTATTAAGACCAGAATGATCGTAGCAAGATACTTAATATGTATCCATCAAATCAAATCTCAGCCCACTTCCTCCATTCCCACCCTTTGCTTCATTAAGTCTAAAAATATTTTCAATCACTGAAATTTCAGTTGAGGTTGTGTCAACCCCACAAAAAGCGCACCAGTCATTTACGACCAGTCCTGCAGCAATAACATCACTTCCTCTGTTAATAGTCCCTGCGCACAGTGGCACTTGCAAAAGTGCGCTTAACTCGTCCAATTCCTCAATTTTAACTAAAGGATGTACTAATCCACCTAAATTTGTCAAAACACAATAGCTGCCTGATAGTACGTTTCCAGCCACCATGGTTCGAAATACTTCGACTTCTAATGTATTTTCTATAACTTCTTCAGTTTCTTTATCTAAATCTGGATGAATTAAAGCTACATAGTCATTGCACGCTATAACATTCCCCAATGCAGATAACCTGTCTTCAATTTTCTTGATTTTTACCTTTTCAGGTAGGGAATCTTTTAATGCTTGTAGTTCCTTGTCACTAATTATATTTGGCACTAAAAGACCATTTGAATTTCCACATGTGATTCTGCCAATTATCCTTGTCCCAGCAATCGAGGTACGGATTACTGGGATATGATTATAAAGCTCGCTTTCAAAAACGCTGTAGAAGTTGTCAGGGCCATTGTCAGCAACTAGGCAATAAGCATTTGTCAGCTTGGTAAATACGCCTATTTCATTTGAGTTTTCGAATTGTGTCCTAGTTGCCATTGCAAAATTATTTAATTATCTATTTCTTTTTAATAAATATAATAGACTGAATTATTTGAAAATCTGTATGTAATTTAAATAGCATGAAACTGTTGAATTCTCTTTTTTTCTTTTTTTATTCATGTTCTTCAAAAGATTTTTAATTTTTTATGAGCTTCTATCAAAATCTACTGTTCTTAGACCAGGTATTATAATAATTTTGCTCATAAATAGCTTATATAATAAAGATTTTTTATGTAACTTCTATGAAATTGGCACCTAAATTTTGATTTAATAATATGCCCTATGGAAATGTTTTTTTATTCAAAATAACGAATTTCTGATATATATTTTAGATTTTAAGTAAATGCTAAACGATTTTTAAAAACTGTATTACTATACTGAGAATGTATAATTCTTGACGTAAACTACCTGAGCAGGTTAAAGTTAAACTGCCCAGTGGTATTGTATAATTGATTAATGGATTGTAAATTTACGTAATTTGCCCAGAGCATCCTCTGATAATTGTAGTAATTTTGCTGAGGATAGCTCATGTATTGCATATTGGGCACATTAGGCATGCTTGTACTTAAGTTGTTCGGTTTCTGGTACGTATGGAAACTCCCTGAATGACCAATTTGGGTGCTGCTTGGCACGATGATTTTCCATTTTTCCTCACTTTCTTCGCTTTTTTCTTCTTGGATTTCAATTTTTATATCTTTTGTATATGAATAATCAGCACCTTATTACCTCAAATAATACTTAGCCATTCCAGAAATATCAAAACTCCCATTTAATAATATAAAGGATAGGCGAGTCTGCTCCACACATGGAGGACTTTGGCGAATTATTTCCAGTGGTTGTTTCGGCATCAGATTCACCAAAGTCCGCGGCAAAGCAAATAACTTGCTCTGCTCCATGGTTTAAAAGGGTTTCCACCGTATAAGGATCCTTCAGAATGGTTTTTATCGAGGCTGTGATCTTTGTCCCCTTCGGTCGGTTTTTATTGTAGCTCCTGAGACACTTTCTGAGCTTACTGTAAAATCTGTTTTTAATCGCGTTCTCAGTTCTTCCAGGAAGGACTTTGGCCATTTCTGACCAGCAATTTCCATACTTCTTCTGGAAATCTACCATGATTTCTTCTTCTTTTTCCGACCAAGGTTCTTTGCTGATGGCTGGGTCCAGGTGGTTATTCCATCTTTCCCTGCATTGTTTGCCGGTCTTATTTTGAATACTGTACTTTGACTGTAGCATAGCAGACACTTGGCTTCACTTTTTGATGCCCATATCGATCACAAGCTCACGAATAGCGTTGTCTTCTTCGGGAGTCCACGGCTTTCTATCTATGGTTGACATTTTTATTGTTATTACTGAAGGAAATGGCTAATAAAGTGTTTTCAATGCGTCAACTTCTGAAATTTAATTATTTATTTTTAAGCTAAAATTAGCCACTTACTCCCCCCTTTAAATTGGAATAGTAAGTAGTGAAAATTTCCCATTTTTTGGATGCTTTAACCCATCTTTAAATTGGATAAAAAATTTTTCAATAAGGAAAATTTTATAGGTAAATACTTATAACCTAATTTAATGGAGAAGCCCAAGTCAAATAAATAAAAATTAAAAATATTACATTAAATTTAATAATTAAAAAATCAACGATGCCTTAATTTTGAACAAGATTTTTTTTTCAATTTCAAGGGGAAGGTAGAAAGTGGGATTTTGGAAGAAATAAAAAAAGAGACATTTTGGGGAGTTTAACTTATTTCAAAATTTAAATTTGGGGAAGGGAATTGAAGAAAAAATGCAAGGAAATTGTTCATCTAATCAAAAGGTATTGAACTTGCCATAAATTGTCGAGTTAGGACGGGCTTAGACCAAGTATTTATTGTCTTTTTTGATTATTTTACTATAGAACTATAATTCGGAATAAATATGGCACATTCTCCAAGATTTATGTGACTTTTATATTCAACTATCAACTTTTAAAATATTTCTTATAAACTTAGATTCTTTTCTGTTGTATGTATATTTTATTTGGAACATCAAAGATTAAATTCTTATATATTTATATTATTATAGTAAATTAATTATTTTTGAATTTTTTGCACTTGAAATAATTCAGCTTTCATTTTAAAATTTAAGGAAACAGTTTCACTGGCCTTTTAAAGGTTTTTTATATGCTTCTTTGTCAAAAACTGTGCTTTTATAATAAAAATATAATAATTTTAGTCTGCAGAAGTGTCAGTCACAAATATAATAATTTATTATAGTCAAAACCATAAGATTGATTATAGTGCATAAACCAAAAATTTTAATAAAATTTGCACTAGGATAGATAAGATTGTTATTTTACTAGTAAATGATTTTTTGATCTATTTTATAATTAATCAACATAGCCATTACAGGAATAATAACATACTCGCATTTTATCATTCTAACATTTTGTATTAATTTAATTAAATCACCATTTTAATATCATATTATATATAGAAATTAGCAAAAAAGTTCTGGATGCAAGTATACTAGGCTATCCATGAACTTATTATTTTCTAACTATCCCACTAGCTAGCGAGAAAGTTGCTTTTATTTGCTAATAGAGGGTTCTTCTTATCAAAAACTTTTATGCATTTCTTCGGATTTAAAAATAAAAATTAATTTAAAAGATGCGAGCTGTTTAAAATGCAATATAATCCATTGCTTGGGATTTCTCTATTATAATTATATATTATATTATCAATTTATTATTCATTTTTAATTGATAAAATTTTTGTTTACAATTTTCCAAAAAGAGATTATTAGAGTAAATCTGTTCGCTGGCCAAAAAGCATTAAGCATTCTATATGAGCAGCTCTTCCAATCCATTGATCAAAGCTTCTGATTTCTTCTCTATTAAGATTAAAATAAGGATTCGCCTTCCAGTAAGGTCCGGGATTTGCACTCCTACATGCTCAACGCCCCTCGAAGTGGCCTGCAGATGTCCTTTGTACGATCAGACTGGACTTTCTGGCTCCGAAGTCCTTACTCCCCCCCTCCGTGAGTGAACAAAAAAATTTTGTTCACTCACGGAGGGGGGTTAATTTTTTTTTTTTAAAAACATTTATATATAAGTTTTATAAAAAATATTGTTTTTTCGAAATTTAAAAAAATCCTAATTCGCAAAAATTGGAAAGCAAATATTAATTTAATTTATAAAATTTATGTTTTAAAAAGTAATGTGTGTTAAAATTAAACAGAATTAGCACTAGATTTCATTATGCTAATTATCACTTATATATCAATTTTTTTTTCCATAAACAATTTTTCTATTAAAAAAATTTTTGTTCACTCACGGAGGGTGGGCTTTTGGGCAAAAAATAGCGATTTTTCTAATAGTTTTGTTCACTCACGGAGGGGGGGAGTTAGAGCTCGGCTTCTCTTGGCACAACTCCGAATATCGTGCTAGGTATATACAGTCTTTCAGTCCTGTGAGGAATCCAAGAGTCAACCCTCCAGCCTTCTTGCTGATTATGCCTTTTCCAAGAATCACTGATGGCCCTCAGGTTCGAGAAAGACACTCATTCGATATGCATTAAGGACGCCGTGCCTTCATCCTAGCTTCCTCCACCAGGGTTTTCCCTACAGATGTTGAGAAAATTGCGCCAAGAGGTCGGGTGGCTGTCTCAATAATATTATGTATATATATCTCTTCTTTATAATGGACATCAATTCTATGAATTCTTTCTCTTTTACTCAACAACTTTTTAGCCATTTCTCTTAATACACTTGAATGAGATAAATTTGATGGAGCTTCAATTCTTGCTGAATAATGCGGAATATAATGATCTTGTGGCGAACTTATCAAGATCATATGACTAAACCAGTCTAATCCGAACCCATCAGAGAGCTTATAAATCAAGCCATTTATCGGATTTTCATTGTCTGCGAATGTCAGCTCTTTAAAGCTAATGCATTTTTTGAATTTTTTTAACACTCACATTCCAGCCTTTAAGATATTACTAGCTCCTTCCATAACACCAAGATGAGGACAAGATAGAGTCAGAAATAAGTGCATATGGCTTGAGTAGCTTGACAAATGAGGTAAAGCTGCTCTAATTATTAAACCACCTAGCGAATGCCCAATAAAACTAAGCTTACCTATAGGCCTATAGGTAGCGAATTCCTCCATATAAGCAATAACTTCATCAGCTAATTTTTTCCCTAATTCTGCTATTGAAAGATCTGTATTTTCTTCATTATAGCCCGAACCTCCTTTTGGCTTGGGCTATCCGGTATCTCTCGACGCTGGAAGAAGAAGAAGAAATTTATATTACCCTACCCTACGCGACTCCAATTAGCAAAAGCAAAAGCAAAAGCAAAAACAAAAAAACAAAAAGCAGAAACGCTGGAAGAGGAAAAGGTTTTACCAGCGTTTGTTGGTGAAACAACTCCCAGATGACAAATCCACTCTATATTGGAGATTTTCATTCCATCATTTGAAGAAGTCGGTATAGCCTAAGCCAAAAAGGAGGCTCGGGCTATAGTAGTAGAAGAAAATAAGAATGTGCTTGGAAAAACAAGGCTAATTCTATTCTTTAGTATCCTCATATCATTAGAATTTCCTTGATACCCGTGCGCAAATACAATGATATGAGACGAAAGACCTGAAGTTTTCCTATTTCTTGAAAGCATTGAGGAATCAATACCTGCAAGCTCAATAGTTCCATTAGGAATAGTCGTATCTAATAAGCAAAATTCTTCAACCATTATTGGGCAATTTTGATAGTTAAAGAATGCTACCTCATCATAAATATGAGGGAGCTTCATTTTACTATTCAGCATTTCGTATTTCTTTTCACGGACGCTCCTAACTCTCCCCAAAAAATAGCAAATAAAACAGGAATTTAATTTTCCGAATCTTTTGCATTCACCATTTAATAAGAACAAATTTACTATAAGTTGTTTTACAATAAAAATTAAAATTGATTTTAACTACAATTATAATATCTTCGATAGCTTCTAAATAAAATATATATGCTTTCCTCAATGCTTTTAAATTTAACTTCATTTAAAATCCTAATAATCTATCAAAATGTTTTGAAAAATAATTTTTTTTTAAAACAATTAAAAATTATGCACCCATTAACTAAGTTTTTATTCCCATTTTTTAATGTTTTTATTAAAATATTTGATATAAATCTTTGATTATTTTGTCTATTTAAAATGTTTTTAAATTTACTATATTTGATGAAATAAACATTAAATAACGACAAAAAAAATTGTTTGCGATTTATTCAGGTGTAAGTGTTTGTTCAATTTTAGAGTCATCAACAATCATCCCGAGATCTTTTGACCTCATAACTCTTCTTATTAAGAAAGTGCTGAGTCTTTGCCTAATTAAAATTTGATTTTTCTCAACTAGCACCATTGAAACGGATTTTGATTTTTGCAGGACTTCTAAAAACCGATGCCAGAGTTGGAAAATTTGGCCTGCAACCATATTGAATTCCATAAGCATAGCAGTTGCAATTGTTCTAGTATCATGAGAAGCAATTCTGCAACTAAAAGGGATTTCCCCTTTAACTTGTTCCTCTCCTACATCGTCTTCAGGCTCATTATCTTCAGTAGAAGCTGCTGTCCTTTGCAGTGTATCTTTAATTTCTTTTAAGCTTGGATACGGAGCTTGTATTGCACTCCCAGGTAAAGTAAGAGTTTGCGGAATCGTCAAAAATCCATATTTATTTCTTTCTTTTTCGTTCAGACATTTTCCGACTACTTGCATATAATGTTCCCTCAATTTTTCAAAATTTTTAATAAGTGGCTTCATGAAATTATTATAGATAACGTCAGTTTCGACATTCCCTGCATATGCCTTGGATGACCCATTTTTACTTTTGAATAAAAATTCACTGACGCTTTGGCTAAGGTCACTTTTCTTTTTCTTTTCGTTTAAATTTCCTCTGAAATGGTAGTCAAGGAGCACATAATGCAGAGTTGCTTTTAAGATTGAGCTGTGATCATCATCAAAGATTAAGATTAAGATTAAGTTAAGCCGTTTGCCTTGCAGGGCCGGGGATTCGCACCCCTACACGCTCATCGCCCCTGAGGAGCCTCGGCGGACACCCTCCTTGCTGCCTCAAAACAGGGATTCGCGCGACCAGTCTTGACTTCCATGGCTTCTGGAGTCTAAGGGCCAACCACCTGGGTCGAAACTCCCAGTTTCTCGTTGGGCAAATACCGTCTGCAGGGTCTGAGGGTCATATTGACCTCAAACATTGGCCGACCTTGCCCTTTCCAATGGTTGTCCTGGAGGAAAAACTTCAAGTCCGAGAATTAGCTCCTCGGGCCCAAGAAAACCCAGCCCGACCATACATAAAGGATTACCGGCCCCTTTCCACCTAAATCTCCAACACTGGGCCGTTGCCTGCTGCTTTTGAAGAAATAGGGTCGAGAGGTCGGGTGGTTCATCGTCACCATTTTTATGTGTATATATCATCAAAGATAATTGGGACATAACTTGACTTGAAACTTCTAGGAAATGATAGAACATAGATGACTTCAGATAAAGTGATCATTTCTAGCCCATCACCTGCTGCTTGGAAAGCATCTTCTGGGGCTAGCTTTCCTTTTAAGTCTGCATATAGGAGCTCTGTGAGCAGCTTGAAATGTGGCTGCTTAAAATCTTCTTTTATTTCCATATCGGCACGGAAATAAATTGTTTCGTTGAAATCAACGACTTCATCACAATATCGAAGTAAGAACTTGCGAGATTCGACTGAAAAATCTTTTACGTGCATTTGTTGTATAAAGTGAGGATCAAGATTTGATTTTGGGGTTGTGTTTATTATGACATTGTAAGGGTATGCAAAATTTTTTTCTTCGTCTGACATGTAGTATAGCGAGAAACGAAGACCGTAAACTCCTTGATGAAACAAATCAACGTTTCGAAAAGACTCTAAGCGAAGTGCAAATTCTATTACACCTTGAACGGACATTTATATGCTATTAACGAAACCCTTAACTCCCCCCCTCTGTGAGTAAACAAAAAAATTTTTGTTCACTCACTGAGGAGGTTAATTTTTTTTTTTTAAAAATATTTATATATAAATGTTATAGCAAATTTTTTTTGTTGGAAATTTTAAAAAATCCTAATTTGCAAAAATTGGGAAGCAAATATAAATTTAATTTATAAAATTTATGTTTTAAAGCACAATTTGTTTAAATTTAACAGAATTAGCTTAAGAGTTCGTTGTACTAATTATCATTTATATATCAAATTTTTTTTTCATAAAAAAATTTTTTTCTTTTAAAACATTTTTGTTAACTCACGGAGGGTGGGTTTTTGGGATTTTTCCAATAGTTTTGTTCACTCACGGAGGGGGGGAGTAAGAATTAAATGAAAATCGAATCTTATAGATTTAACAAGTCTAATAATAAGTTCACACAACCCAATATTTCAAAATTCTGTTAATATTTGCAATCAATTTCAAATCTTATTATTCCTCCCTTATTAATAATCAGTCCAAAATCATCTCAATCTCCTATCAATCTCTTTCAATTTTCATCCCTCTTTCAAAAGCACAATCGTTTGTCCTTATTTCCATATATTTCAAATTTATATCTCCTTTCTGTTCTTTAATACCCTGAATCAGCTTCAATAATTTATCTGCTCTAAAATGGACAAAAAACCTGCTCGCATGCAACCTCGCAAAAGCATCACTGGCGAAGAAGAAAAGAAAATCCCAGTCCGTTCCTCTATGCCGCGCAACCCCGTTAAGAAGAACAAACCAGTTGTGGATACGCGAAAAGTGTCTTCAGTATCGTTAGATGCACCCAACGCTTTAGTAGTCGATAAGCCCAAATCATCTCGTGACAAAGAATTGATCAACACAGCCCTGAACAAGCATTTTATCTTCACCAGCTTAGCTGACGAAAATAGAGGACTCCTAATTGACCATATGAAGCATTATACTTTGGGCCCGCTTGAAGTCGTTTTTGAGCAAGACCAGCCAGGAAACACTTTTTTCATTGTGGCTTCTGGCAAATTAGAAGTTTATGTCAATGGCAAGAAGGTAAAAACTTTAGGCGCAGGCGACAGTTTTGGGGAACTCGCATTGCTGCACGACTCCCCAAGGTCTGCGACAATTCAAACTGCAGAAAGAACCACATTGTGGGGACTTGATAGGAAAACGTTTCGCCATGCAGTTGAGACTGTTAATGCACAGAATTACCAAGAAAATAAGCAGTTTATTGAAAGTGTACCGCTTTTTAGGATTTTGACACCTGTACAGAGAGACGCGCTTGTGGGGTCATTGTCGACGCTGAAATTTAGACCACAGGAAAGGATTGTGAGTGAAGGAGACCCTGGGGACCTCTTTTATGTGATAAAAGAAGGTAGTGTAAGCTGCACCCAAGAAGGAAGGGAAATCAGACAAATGTTTAGAGGAGACTTCTTTGGTGAGCAAGCCCTGCTTTATAACTGTGTTAGAACGGCAAGCATAACAGCTATTGATGATATTAAATGTGTGGCAATTGGCAGGGAAAGGCTCACAAAAGCCTTGGGGAACCAGCTGCAGCATATCATCTATCAAAATACTAAAAGGATGGCAATTGATGCTTCAACTACTCTGAGCCGCCTCACAAAGGACCAAACTGACAGAGTTATCAACGTGCTAAAAGTTATCACTTATACAAACGGCCAAGTTGTGGTCAGACAAGGAACTCCAAAAGGCAGGCATTTGTGAATGGTAATGAAAGGGAGCCTCACATATAGAAACGGAAATGAGTGTGCTGGCGTATTTCAATGCATTGGCGACCAAGACATCACTAATAGTCCTTCAGGAGACTACAATGAAGATATCCTGGCTCATGGTGAAGCAATCGTTGCAGAATGCACTCGAGAGGAGTTTGAAGAGTGCATTGGTGGAGTTTTCAGCCAAGTTACCACCAATAATGAAGCTCATTCAGTGCTCAAAAGAGTCCAACTGCTAAGAGGGCTCAGTTCTGACAGATTCCAGGCACTTATTCGTGCGCTCCAAATCCGTGAGTATTCTAACCAAGAAGTAATCGTCCAACAAAATAACCCAGGCGACTGCTTTTTTATCATAAAAACTGGAAAAGTGGATGTAATAAAAGATGGAATCAACGTAAGGACAATAACTAAACATGATTATTTCGGAGAAAGAAGCGTCCTTTTCAATCATTTTAGGAGTGCCACAATTGTAGCAAATGGCCCAGTTTCTTGCTGGGTGCTGCACCAGCAAGATTTTTTAAATATCATTGATGAAAATATTAGGCAGCATTTACAAAAACGAATTGAACTGCAAGATGATAACATCACTCTCCAAGACCTAGCAATTGTAAAAGTTCTTGGAAAAGGCATGTTTGGGAACGTCTTTTTAGCTGTCCACAAAGAAAAAGGCCACCTCTATGCACTTAAAACAGTTGGTCAAGCACAGATGCCAACCCCCCCACCCCCCCTACCCCCCCACCCCCCCAGTTTGGATGTATACATCACACCCCACCCTACCCCTGTATGGACCACACCCCCACCCCCTGTATGGATCACACCCCCACCCCCTGTATGGATCACACCCCCACCCCCTGTATGGATCACACCCCCACCCCCCTTGCATCTATGGATCCCACCCACACCCCCATTGATGGCGCGGTTTGCCCTTGATTTGCCCACTGAAAAAAATTTTTGGTTCGACCAGTACCATATGGTTTGGTCAAACCAAAAAATTTTTTAAGTGGGCAAATCAAGGGCAAACAGTGCCATCTATATCAAACTGTTTTCCATAAAAAATTTTTCTATTAAAAAAATTTTTGTTTGCTCACGAAGAGTGAGGGACTTTTCTAATGGTTTTGTTCGCTCACGGAGGAGTTAGCAATAGTTATTTTTTCGCATATTTAGGCATTTTCTCTTTATGTTGCCATCATTTGACTTTTTTATTATTAACCCTTTTTTGAAATTTTTATAGTTAGTTAGACTAACTATAGAGGTTTCCTCTATATAGCGCTAAAAGCGCAGACATTTTCCCAGGAGCTTTCCAAGTTCGTCGGACCAAATCGCTTTTTGGTCCGACCAAGGCATTGATTTGGTGCAACCTACCGATAAATTCCGATCAGAATTTATCGGCCTTACAGCGCCAAACATAGGAAACTTCTATAGGCCCCATAAGGGCTTTTTTTGGCTCAGCCAAAAGCACTTTTTCCATCACCAATAACCCTCAGGTGAAATTCATCAATATTTATGATTTCAGCATCTGTTTCAAGTAGTGCAAGAAGTTTGCAGATGTAACTTTTTCGTTGGTTTATGTTTATTAGGAAATTTCTATGCATAGGCTGATATTTACATTTTTATAATTAAAACTATTTTATGTAAAAGACATGCCACATTTTTTTTATTGCCTGGCCCATTTTTTGCTTTATAAATGTTTAGAGCATTTGCTTTTCCAGAACATGTCAGTGTGCATCCACTATCTTTCACCATGCGCTTTCAAAATTAAAACTTGTGATGGATTTAGTATAATAAAAAATCGGCTTTTTATTAAAATAAATAAAGATGGGTTTAACTATTTAAATACTAGTTAATTGATTTTAATGACTGTATTTGATCAGGATTATCTACAAAAAGTCCTATTTATTTGAATAAATAAATGACGCTTAGTGCATCAACTATTTCAGAGCATGCTAGTGTGCACATGGTGCAATATGTGCACACTACCATGCTCTGAAACGGCTGATGCACTAAACTGCACTAAACATCAGTTGCTTGCTCATATAAATATCGCTTTTTTCTAGCAGGATGAAGCTTAAATTTTTTAGAAAGGGTTTATCATGAAGAAGCATATGTTCTTTCTATAAGCTTTGCTCTTTTTTGAAGCAAGATGTGTCAGCTTAAAGAAATGGTAAACTTAGATTTTTATCAGAATTTCCCATTTTTGGATCGGAAATCCTGAAAAAAATTCTGGTTCATTGAAATTATCCAAACCAAAAATTAATTACTAGAACCAAAAATGAACATAGAAAAAGATGAGCTTAGAAATATATTGCTCAAAAATCTAATTCCTCTATTTTAATGTTGGTTCGACTAAGATTTTTTGGTTCGACTCATATTTTTTACGGAAGAAATTTTATAATTTCTGATGTCAGCCTAGATAATCCAGGTCAATTTACAGCCATTAAATTATTTTGCCATTATTTTAAATCGTTTAAAAAACAACTTTAATTTTTCACATAGTACTGATTTTTCACCATCATGCTGCTCGATGCGTTTGCATCCTTAAAGAACAAAAAATCTCTGGGTCTGAATTTAGGCTATTGCATTTCAATCAATCACCATACACAACATTTTTGATAGAAAAAACATATTTGAATTCTGATATTTATATGGAGTATTCTGATCAAACTCCACTTGTGCTGCCTTTCACTGAAGTAGCGCCAATGCTACAAAGAATTCAAAATTTTTCCTTTATTAGCTGAATTAGATGTTGCTGATACAAATTACACTGGAATATGGTTACCTTCATCTTCATGAAAAGCAGAAACATATGATGATTTGCCGCATTTTAAAAGACGGCTTACATCATTAATACAGAATTACAATTATGCATGCAGAAGTCACTTGGTAGAAGCAGAAACTGATGAAGCATCTCCTGCACAAAACTTCCATATCAGGCGAAATCGCAAATACGGAAAAATAAAATTTGAAGATAAGAAAAGAATATTGGACTACATGACAGATTAAAATTTCCTAATAAACATAAACCAACGAAAAAGTTACATCTGCAAACTTCTTGCACTACTTGAAACAGATGCTGAAATCATAAATATTGATGAATTTCACCTGAGGGTTATTGGTGATGGAAAAGTGCTTTTGGCTGAGCCAAAAAAACGCCCTTATGGGCCCAATCAGTCTAACTGACTATATATAAAAAATCATAGATATTTAATATAAATTTTATATATTTTTTTTCCCAAAAATTTTATAAGTTAGACCCATTTAATAACGAACTAAAAAAGTGTTCGTTATTAAATGGGGGGAGTAAAAGACTTTATAGAGATATCAAAATATTTTTTGAGTCATTTATTGATTCCTTTCTATGTAACAAGTTTTTTTGCAATTATTTTATTTTAAATGTACTACTAATATATTGGCTATATCAGTCTATGCTAAATATACTTATGATCATTAATATTTATTTATGAATCTATTTATGAATCCATTTATGAATTAACTAAAATTTTATTGTATGTCTTATTTGTAAGATTTTATACTTATATGTTTACCTATATGATAGAGGGGGTGGGGGGGTGGAGGGGGTGGGATCTATTAACATAGGGGGGGGTGGGGGTGGGATCCATATATACTAGGGGGGTGGGGGGGGGGTTGGCATCTGTGCTTGACCAAACAGTCGATCGGCAAAAAATCGAGAGATACGAAATCCAAGAAAACTTGGTATTAGAAAGGAAAATTTTGCTTCAGCTAGACCATACTTTGATACTAAAATTGGTCAGAACTTTCAAAGACCCCCGCCGTGTATACTTTTTAACTGAGTTTGTAAGAGGAATGGACCTATTTGATGTGCTCCGACAGCTTAATCTGGTAACAGACAAAGACGCGAAATTCTACACATCAAGCTTAGTAGCCATTCTAGAGCATCTTCATGAGCGCGACATCATCTATCGTGACTTAAAGCCAGAAAATGTTATGATAGATGACGAAGGTTATACAAAATTGATTGATTTTGGAACAGCAAAAATAGTGAGCGGCCGCACATACACAATTGTTGGGACTCCTCACTATATGGCTCCAGAAGTTATAGTAGGGAAAGGATATAGCGTAGCTGTAGATTATTGAAGTGTAGGTATCATGCTTTATGAGTTCATGTGCGGAGGTGTGCCGTTTGGAGAAGAAGAGGAGGACCCGTTTGCGATCTATGAAAAAGTCCTGGAACGACGACTGATATATCCAGCTTTTGTGGATCCAAGAATGCCTTCAAAACCGATTATTGAGCAGCTGCTTTCAAAGAACCCAGCAATGAGGACAGGAGGAAGTATTGAGAATTTGAAAGCGCACCCTTGGTTTAATGGCTTTAATTGGGATCAATTGTTGTCTCGGCAATTAGAACCTCCTTATAGGCCTAGGGTTTCTGATCTTTCTAGAGAAGTGCAAGCTTCCTTGAAAAACAAACGTAGTATTAGTGACATTATTTCTATAGAGGAAGCCAGCGAAGATATACCACAAACTAAGTCAAGAAAGCCAAAGAGCGTCTTCAATAACTGGGATGAAGAGTTTTAAGCCTAATTATAATTAAAATGGACCAAAGCTGTTTGGATGAGCAATTTGGTGAAAAACTGAAATGCCCAGTTTGCTTGAAGATATATACACCTCCAGTTTATTTATGCAGATTAAGACATAGCATGTGCTCACTCTGTGCAGCAAATATAAAAAATTGCCCATCCTGCAAAGAGAAATTTGTAGCAAATTCAAGGAATATAGAGATTGAAAATATGCTAGAACAAATTTTGGTGCATTGCAGGTTCCAAGGCTGCACAGAAATAGTTTCTTTGTTCAATATGCCCGAGCATAATAAAATCCATCAAACTAGTACACTATCAAGGTGCCTAGAATGTAAAAGCAATGAGGAAGATTTGATTACACATTTACTGCTAGGGCATGATTATCCAGATATAGCTATGGATGAGGAAGGAGGGTTAAGATCATTTTCAGGGCCAATTAGATCATGAAATAAAAATACTGATTGGCCGAAAGGGATTTGAAGAATTGGAAACGATCCTTTGATCGTCTATGCTAAAACTTATTTAGGAGTATTCCACATCTATTTATATAAAGTAACAAGAAACCCCATAAGCATTAGTCTCAGAGTCGAAACTCCTCGATGTGCAACAATTTCCAAGTGGAAAGTCCCACATGTATCTGAATATGAAATTAACAGTCAAAAGCCTCATTTTAATTGTGATGTTAACGTTTTATTGAACTTCGTGAAAATTCAGGAGGGAGGCGAAGATATTTTAAAGCTCTGGATTAGAGTTATAAAAAAGCTCGATCACAATAATGCTGCCTAATTTGATAGATATGCCTAATTATGCAGACCAAATTTTGTCTTGTTTTTCAAAATGTTCTCGAAGTTTTTCAGCATTAATTTTCATGTGCCAATTATCCATTAATAAAAATTTCTTTAAATTGATCTAATAATCAAATTAAGTCTTCATGCTTAATTTCATGGTTTTTAACATAAATAGGCTTTTGAAGCTACTTTTGATTTGTGCTGGTAATCTATAGTAAAATCAAAAAAAATTATTATTTTAATATATTTATTATATATTTTAGTTGAAACTGCCTGCTGAAATAAACTAATCATGTACATGACATTAAAGTCAAGGCAAAGTATCACACACAGCACTATCAAAAATGGCCCAGAGATGGGTGACTCAAGTTTAGCACTTGAAATTAAAGCTAACCAAATTCACAAGCCTCTCTTCTCATTTGTTGCAAAATCAATCAAGCCAGCCAAATCTAAAAAAGATCTATCACTCAATGATTCTTTCTCCAAAACTTCTCAATTATATAGCAAAATTTCATCATCAACCCATGATCTTGAACCGAAATATTTTCGCTTGCTTGATCTTTCGCAATCTTATAATAGTCGCGACGAAGCTGAGGGCATTCTTGATGAACCCTCTTTAAGCCAAACTGGCATAAAGCAGCACAGAATAATGCAGCAATATGTTGAACTTTTTCGAGCTCACATAAAAAGCAACTTGAATATCTCGGTTTCTAATAAAATCCGATATTCAAGCAAAGAAAAATATATAAAAGAGCTTCGAAAACTTGAAAAAAATACGGGAAGCTTATTAAATCAATCAATGATTGATTTTCAAGGGAAAGAAAGAAGGCGTGCAAGTAAATCAATGATTGCTCAGTCTAGACAATCAATCAATGAGTCCAGGCTGAAAGCACAAGCTCCATCTAAAAATTTCTTAAATCCTATATACTTCTCTGATGATCAATCAACCAATTCCAGCCAAAAATCATTAATTCCTCCAGTACGAAGGCCAAATCGAGACTTGTCTCTTTGCTCTTGGGCAACTGATCATAGTGAATCTCGACCTAAATTTCCTAATATTCATGTATCAAATAATCATTTGTGCCCTTAAATTATATCGATTTAAACACATTATATAAATGTAAATTTGTCTGAAATTAAATAAATATCTATTTGTATCTTATCCTCATCTTGCAATCAAATCAACAAAACCCTCAATTATTTGATAAAGCCTTTCTTGGATGCTTTAATTTTTTATTGCAAAAATATTTAATACACTTCAGCATTGCCTATAATTTATTATATTTTTTCTCGCTCAATTTATCATAATTTTTTTCAATGAAAAATTAAATAATTATAAGTCATTCAATGGTAAACAAAAGAAATTTGTATAAAGCAGGTTAATCAAATCTTATAATAATGATTTGATTTCAACGTAAATTTGAGACATAATACCTAGGAGTTATTTAATGTCTAGTGATGGAGACTCACTTTTCAGGCTAAATGTTCAGCATATTACCAAGCCTTCATCATTCTATAAGCAACGACAGCTTGAATGCTACCAACCTCAAGGCTCTCCCACAAAAGTGGAGAATAAATATAAAAATTTAGTCCCATGTCGATGGAATCCATCCGGATGAAGATACTCTGAAAATTCCTCCCCAGTCCCCAAATCTAATCAACCTCTTAGAAAAAGTGCAAACTTGAGTGTAAATGATTCCTATTTTACAACAAGCTACGATAATAGTTTTTCAGCTATAAGCACCAAAGACAACAAGAAATGAAATCCTCGAGTTTTCGATCCAAGCATTTCCCGATACAAAATCAAGCCAAGGAACTATGTTTCGCCAATTCCTCAAGATTATGCTGTATTAAATGAATGCCTGCAGAATACTAAAGCTAAAAAATCATTATCTCAACGACCAAAAGCCTCGAAAATTAAAAATAAAGAGCTAGATCGATCCATACGCTGGGCAGGAGTTCTAATACACAACAACCCTAATATGTTTAACAAGAAAAAAGGGGAAGTCAGGAAAAAAAAACTCAGATGCTTTTATCCTGGTGCCTTTTTTTCCAATCAAAAATCACTGTAAATTAAGGAAAAACCACTAAACCCTTGAAAGTATTTTATCTAAATTTAATTATAATGAATGAGGATAAGCCTTCACAAACGTATAGATAAATAGCACTAACATTAGTAAACTTAAAGTCTAATAATCAATGCTAATTGAGTAAATGAGCAAATGTATGCTAATAACAACCGAAAAAAAATATCCCCATCCGATGGAAAAAAATCCCTAATAAAAATTTAAAAATTAATATGTTCGCTCAAAAAAGATTAATCAAAACAACTCTAAATGCATAAATAAGACGTTTCTGACCAATTTGAGTCACAATTTATAGCCAAAAGACTTAAAACTTATAATAAATCATTATGTTTATATGAATAAAAATATTGCCAAAATTGACAAGAAAAAATTCTTGAATGAAATTTTTTAGGGTTTTTACGGAATAAGCATATAAAAATTTTATTGAAAAAATAAATCCAGGAAAAAACCTAACTCCTCACCCCATCCTTGATCTAACGACTCGCCATCGTTCGATCAAGGATGGGGGTTTAAAAAAATGTTTTTGGGAAAAAATTGGTATATAAAATAAAATATATATATATTTTTTTATTTACTTTTAAATAAGAGGTTTAAGAGCATTTAATAATTAAATTTACAGCAAAAAATCGAATTAATTTCATAAAATACCAATTTTAATATTTTGATTTATTAGTTACCCTTTTAAACTGCATTGAATTAAATATTTGTTTTTAAATTTAAAGAATCTCTATTTTTTAGATTATTGAGCTTTTAAGCCTCGGCTGATGACTAAATCACTTCGGATGGTTGGTTTCGTAGCTTTCTGTCGTCTCAAAGCTCTGAAAACAACTTATTAGGTACATCTCCCCAATCTTTTGATAACTAATATATTTTTATATATTTAAAAATTTGGGGTGAGGCTGAAAAAACCCCGCTGGGGTTTTTTTCCGCCAACTTTTTCACCGTTAAATTTATAGGAAAATTTTGAATTTTCTCCAGATGGCGGAAAAAACCCCATAATAAAAAAAAAAAGTAGTGGCGGAAAAAATCCCAGCGAAAACAAAAACCGTCAAAGTCAGAGGAAAAAACCCCCAAACGGTGCTAAAAACGGAGGAAAAAAACCCCAATATACAATATAATTAAATGCTTAAAATGACAGGTAAATATTAGAGAAAATACAAATAAATATTTATAATTTAGTTGCAATAAAGCAATTAAAACAATATTAATATATAGATGTATAGATTTATTCTCAAAGTAACTATAAAGCTATGATTAACAAAAATAATGGAAAAATATAAAAATCAACTATAAAAAAATTTACATTCAAAAACCTGGCGGAAAAAAAAACCCCGAGTATGGGGTGAAAATTGGCGGAAAAAAACCCCAATGTTTTTTATTTATAATAATTTTTTTTCAAATAATTATTAGCATGGATAGATTTTTATATACCGATGACGCCCCTCAATCTTCATGTCTATTGAAACAAAAATGCAATTTTTTAATATAAAATTTTATATAGAAAAAATAAATTTCATGTCTCTTGCAACAAATTTTCGATGCGCGTCTTAAATTTTTCCGTTCTTTAATAAAATGGCGAGTGATTACAATAGCCGTCCAAATCTCGATGAGAAGGTCATTTACACGCCTACAGCAGCGCTGTTTTATGGTGTTTTTGAGAAACTCGCCTAGAGAAAAATGCATTTAATGTTTTTTATAAAAATGTTGTGTTACAGTAGGCATGAAGATTCTTTCGAAAAAATTTTGTTGCAATAGACATGAAGATTGAGGGGGTCATCTTTATGTTTTTGAATTTATAAATATCCAATAAAATGGGCGAAGCGGATACAATTCAGCATATTAGCTACAGCCTCATCAATCAGGTTAAGACTAAGTTATATGCTTCCTTTATTATGAGCTTTTCAGGACATGCCGAGGATGAATAAAAGGTGAGCTAGTAATATGCGTTGCAGGTGGATACGCGTTTTGCTAGTACAGGATTTGTCGTAGTGGATACAAGGTGAATTGGCATAGTCCCTATATGTTATTTTGATCTTTGTAGAACAATATCTAAAGATCAAAAGTAGTTATTGTAATTGCCCGAGGATGGCGCTATCTTGCGCCATCCTCGGGCAATTACAATATCTAAAAATTCTTCTAACAATGGCAAAGACTAAAAATAACGATTGTCATTGTCATTTTTACTTGTAAGATCGCTACTTTACCTCTTAAGGTATTCTTTCATAGCGATCTATATAGGATATATCGCAGTTGGATGCAGGATGATCTCTACAGGATGTGTCGCAGGCGAATACAAAATAAGAAAGAGGAGGATGTGCCACAAGTTGACACAAGATGAGTTAGTGCAGTTTGTGTCGCAGGTGAATACAAGATGAGCTAGTACATGATGCATCGAAAGTAAATTTATGGCTTAAGTATTTGATAGTATTAAAGTAAATTTTTCACCTTCTTGTTTATTATTCATAACTTTTTATAATTAGAACGCTGAATGATTTAGCAATATATATATAGCCCATAGATTGACAAACTAGAATGAAATAGTTATTAATTAATTAATTAATTAGCAGGTAATAAGCATTAAAAATCTATCCATGCTAATAATTATTTGAAAAAAAATTATTATAAATAAAAAACATTGGGGTTTTTTCCGCCAATTTTCACCCCATACTCGGGGTTTTTTCCGCCAGGTTTTGAATGTAAATTTTTTTATAGTTGATTTTTATATTTTTCCATTATTTTTGTTAATCATAGCTTTATAGTTACTTTGAGAATAAATCTATACATCTATACATTAATATTGTTTTTAATTGCTTTATTGTAACTAAATTATAAATATTTATTTGTATTTTCTCTAATATTTACCTGTCATTTTAAGCATTTAATTATATTGTATATTGGGGTTTTTTCCTCCGTTTTTAGCACCGTTTGGGGTTTTTTCCTCTGACTTTGACGGTTTTTGTTTTCGCTGGGGTTTTTTCCGCCACTACTTTTTTTTATTATGGGGTTTTTTCCGCCATCTGGAGAAAATTCAAAATTTCCTATAAATTTAACGGTGAAAAAGTTGGCGGGAAAAAAAACCCCCGCTGGGGTTTTTTCCGCCTCACCCAAAATTGCATGATATATGAAAATTGCTCGATCAAGGATGGGGGTTAATTTCCCAATTTTTAGGAATTTTTACAGTCAATCGTTCGATCAAGGATGGGGGGGGAGTAATAGTAAATTTATTCTAGGAAAACAAAACTTTTCAATTTGCATGCTTATCTAAGCAAATTGCATTATAATACAAAAAGAATGGAATATGATAATTTCTAGCATTCTCACTCGAAAATAAGAGTTAAAATCTTTATTATTTATGAATGGAAGCTAATATATTAGCTCTCCCGCGCACGGAGGGGGAGATAGGGTTTTTTCAGAACAACCGAAAAAAGCCGAATTTACAGAATTCGTTGACAATATAAGTAAATTTATTATGAATTAATGGAAGTTAATAGTAAGTGTAACATCTTCCAAATAATTAAAAATTATGCACAAGATTAAACTTAGAAATGCACCTCCAAAAGCCGCATACTTATACTGGCCAGATGGAGAACAAGCACTAATTGAGGCCGAAACCTATGTGGAAAGGCTTATTTTTGATAAACAAGAATACAAAGAATGAGAGTTATCCCACCTTGGCCAGCTTGAGAAGCTTCTCCATAATTGCACAGAATTGGCCAAAAGTGAGCTACTGAGATTTTTATATGGGCAAGGCTGGGATTTGAAAAAAACTGTTGAAGCAATTAAAGCTCACTATCAGTGGAAATCCGAGTGGCCGAACTATATGAGTGTATATCCATTGGTGCAGAATATCTTGAACTCAGGTGGCGTCTATATACATGGTCGAGATATTTATTATCGACCCTTAATTATACTTAAACTGTCCAAACTTGCTCAATTTCCTTATCAAGAGCACATAGCGTGTGCTTATTTTTTGCTGGAATTTATAATGGACTCAATGTTTTTACCTGGGCAAATAGAAAACTGGGTAATGATTGTAGATTTTGAAGATTTCAATGAAGTAAATCAAAATCATGTAAGAAAATTAATTATGGAATTATATACACATTATCAATGCCGACTTGCGAAGGCATATGTTATCAACCCATCTCGGTTGTGGAAATTACTTATTAATTTATTACCAAATAATACACTTAAGAAGTTTGTGGTTGATGACGTAGAAAAACAATTGTTAAAGGATTTTGGCCCAAGCCAGCTTGAAATTAAGTACGGAGGGACCGCAAGCAATTTAAAACGTTTTTGGCCGCCTAGAAGGCTGAAATACAATCCTTGCGAAGACGTTTTTTCAAGCTGCTCAAGTATTCCAGACTCTCCTCTCAAGCAAAACCGAAATTCATTCGAAACCTCAATAAGGCTCGAAGGATGCAGCAGTTTCTTATCTAGCAACATGGACTTTAAAGAAGAAATCTGGGAACAATGTGAACAAGAGTCCAACACTTTCAGCTTTCTCCAAGAAAATGAGAAAAATATCGAAGAAGAGCACCAAGATGTGATCAATTTCGAAAACTTCGCCCAAAGCAATAAAGAAGTAAAGAGCCCTTCAGAAGAGATGACTAGAGCATCATTGAAAGTCCCAATACCTCCGCGAACTTTTTCTATCGAAAACTATGAAATAGAGCCAGTTTGGTTCTGCAATGCATGTGTGGGAGATAAAAATTCTTCATGCTGCATCATGTAAGCAGATATAATTATAACAATTTTTAGAAATAACGATTAGCTAATTGCTTTTTGAGTGCTATATTTTCAAGCACGAGTTTGGAATTTTCCAAACTCAACTCTTTTAATTTTTCTTGAAAATCAAGCTGTGAGGAAGGAGATTTATCATTTAGCAATTCATTCATAATTTGCTTATGTGAGTTAAGCAGACCTGAAATCTATTTAGAACTTACTTTATCTTTAAGAATATATGAATACATATTTTCTTCAACTGAACTCATTGATCTCTTATGCGCTATTTTAGAGCTTTTTTCGCCCGTTCCATGAAGGTACTGGAAAAATTCTTGTTCAGAGTCAGGGGAATTTATTGGATTTTTCTTAATGGGGCTTGGAGTTTTATAGTCTAAATTCAACAGGTCAGCATTATCATTAATTTTTGTTTTTACTGGTGAAAGTGTAGAACGCCTCATGATCATATTTTCCATTGTTAAATTATATCTAATTTATTTTTATGCTCCATTTAATAAAAATAGTCTGACCATATGAAGATGATGTTATAATAAGATTTATTTTTAAATGGGAGGATTTTTCAAGCCTTTCCAATAACTGCCAAAATAATTCTTCTTCATTTATAAAGAAAGATAAAGGACATATCTTATATATTGCAATTTAGTCAACATTTTTGTAAAAAATTATTGGACACTGATTTTTGAATTTCGACTTAGGGGTGGTGATACCACCTAAATTAAGTTTTAGTTAAAGGTTTCATGGTAAACCTCGGCTTGAAACAATTGGTGCTTAGAAAGTTGTCGATGGTGGAATCCAGAACTATCATTGGAGTCTTCTTCTGGAAAGTGGAAAGCTCTTGTCACTGCTTGGGGAGATAAGGTATTAAAGACCCTATTGAGCAGTCTTGGAGAACTAAGCTTGGTTGGGCTTTCAAAATCTGATTGTCGGTAAGCTGGTGAAGCTGGCATACTCTGCGTGTTACTTGGATTTCTTATTGGAGAGTCATATTGGGTCTTTATAGCCAGATCTGTTGACTTCTGTAGGGAGTTGTGTTCATTTCCGTATGAGTATTGGTTTGAAAAATTACTTGTTTTGTTTCCCATTCCTTAAAGATATGGATTTATTTTTATTGATCATTGCAAATATAATAATATAACAGCGTTTGAAATAGCTTAGGTTGTTCGCTTATTCCCCTCCCTCGGTGAGCGAACAAAACTATTGGAAAATCCCCTATTTTTTGCCCAAAATGAGCGAACAAAATTTTTTTATGAAAAATAATTTGATATATAAGTGATAATTATTATGATGAAATCTCTAGCTAATTCTGTTTAATTTTAAACAGCTTGCATTTTAAAACATAAATTTTGCAATTTAAATTTATAAAAAAATTAACCTCCTTAGTTAGCGAACAAAATTATTTTGTTCACTTACGGGGGGGTTAGACTAGGATTATTAAAGTCAGGCGTTAGCAATATTGGTGATGCAATCACCAAAAACCTCCCTTACGGGAGCTTCAACTCTTTTCGACTCCAGCTTAGAGGATCTCCTGAAGGTGAATGCCACTTCCGGCACCTTCTGTCTCCTCCTTCCGGCTTCAGTCTTGAGTGGGCGGCTTATGGATTTATGCGGCCCTGCTACGGGCGATTGGAGTACCTTGATTCCATGAATCAGCTCCTTGATATCTATCGGGTGCTGAGCTGCCTTCCTTCGACAGCTGCAGGAAAAAGACATAACCCTGCTGCCTGAGCAGAAAACCCCTTTTTTTTGGTTAGGCTAGGTTATTAAACAGGAGGGGGGGAGTTAGCTATTTGCGTCAATAGGCTAGGAATCCAAAGCACTAAAGATTTGCATCCTGCCTTCAGGCTCAGCTTATTCTGCAAATAGCATTATATAAAGACCTCGCATTTTGTGCAATAATAAATAAATATCAACGATCATTGTAAAATCGGTTGATAACTTAAATCTAATATTGAATATTTTAATTTTAAACAGGCAAATTGCTAATTTTTTAAATTCTCTTAAAAAGAGCATTTACAAAAATTAACCATGGTCTCAAGCGTAGCCACGACTGATTTCTCATCTGAAATTGGCTTCAACAAATTCCCTTATTTGGTGGTGAAAATTCCTGAAGCTAGAAACCTAGCATATTTCTCAGAAAACTGCTCACAATTTACTCCTTATGTCAAAGTCTCAGTTGGTTCTCGATCTTATTCTACAAGTGCCCAAGTCGTCTCAGACGCTGTCTATTGAGATGAAACTTTTGAAATTTCTGGAGACAGCCAGAAACCTCTTATTTGTTGCCTTATGGATAGGGATGAATTCGATGGCGATATAATGCTCGCTGGCTTGGCGATCCCCAGAGAGTTGATAAAGCAATTCATAGAAGAAACAACTCTGTGAATCAGGCTGCGGAATTTTACACAAGGCCTGAACACTACAGCTTCTTTTGAAGAGTCCCAAGCAATCAGACCTTTTTGTGACGAGTTAAAAGTTGCGAACCCTGAAGAGTGCATTGAGCCAATTATTTGTTTAAAATTGACTTATTACGGGCTTGATTGCCTGAAGGAGTATAATGCTGAAATCACAGACTATGAATCGGCAGTGAAAAGTGGTGAATTATTCACTCAATACACATTGACTATTACCAGAAGGGACGGATATGCTTGGAAAATTAAATTTAGATACAGTCAGCTAGACAATATTAGGAAGAGCCTGATTTTGCAGTTTCCTGAGCTTAAAAAACTGTGCTTCCCTCGGAAGACTTTTTCATTGCTCAGCATCGTTTCGTTGAAGAGTCAGTTTGATGAAGGACTTCTTGAGAAAAGGAAATCAGAGATGGAAAAGTTTTTGAATTATGTTTTGAAGTGCAGATACCATGAAAGAAGCCAGGAGTTTAGTGAGTTCCTTCAAATGCCAGCAGGAGTAAATTAAATTAATGCTGATTTTATAGATAAGTGATAGTTAATAAGCTAATAAGACAGATGAAAGCAGACATATTTGTTATTGAGTTGTTCTAATTTATCATCCAATAATAGTAAATATGTATTTGCTTGTGTTTCACTTTCCCAAGCCAGAAGAAAAGGATAAGACCACAATTGTTGAAAATGTTGAGGAAATCCTTATGGATGTCTTTCGGAAAAGTGATATCGGGCTGTTTGAGTTTCCTGAAAAAGTCCCTTCATTGCATAGTTTATATAGCAGAAAAAATTGCACAAGATATGAAGTATTAGAATTAATCCGCATTGGTGTAGTAGAGATACTACACCATTACTGTGGTATGGGCACTTATATGTTCCAGAGCAGAGATGACGATGAAATATTTTGCAAAATTGAGTGCACAGATGATATTTTATATGAAGAAGCAGATTTAAGCTGCTATAAACTTCAAATGAACAGCGATTTGGAAGAAATCCCCAAAGTCAAAGAAATGATGCCTTACATATCATTCTGAAATAAAATAGATATATCAACTAAAGATGGACTCTGAGACACATTCCCTATGGAGCAGGTAGACCCATTTCAATTAAGCTGAAAATAGTTCTCTGTAACTTTTTTAAGTAGGCCTTCGGTTTTGGATGCCTACCGAAGATGGAAATTTAGTTTCTCCCCCGAAGGCTTTCCCTGTTCTTGCCAGATTTGCTAGATAAATTTTGCCTCCCACTTAAGTCTTTGCTTATTGGGACAACGGGGTATCCGAAAGAGGTTGCTCTAATCTAGAGAGCTAATCCTTAGTTTAGGCAGGTCTACGACATAGACAGGCTAGTAGTCTATCCGTTTATTACCTTATGACCTTATAGCATTTAACTTTAACTTTATATACCATTCAGCAAAGAAAAATATTCGAAAAATCATAATCTCTATGCTAGATTTGGTGATGGACTGCTAAGAAATGTGGACAAAATCAGACTTATGGAAAGAATTATAAGATCTCATTTAAACGTCGAAATGATGATTAAGCATCAGCTTATCATAGATTTCTTCCCACTGCACGAGGAAAGTGAGATCACGTTTTTTAAGTCAACTCTGCTGAAGTATACAGAATTATCAATTGATGTGCCTATTCAAAGGATCAGAGACTATTTTGGGGAAAAAGTGGCATTTTATTATCTTTGGCTGCAGTTTTACACAAATAAGCTGTTCGTTTTAAGCTTTTTAGGCCTTATTTTATGAATAGTAGGGTTTTTGAGATTTGGAACTAAAGATTCAAATTCTATATCGGTATATGAGTGGGGAGAATTGCTTTTTGCAGTTATTGTCTGCTTGTGGGCAGCATTTTTCCAAATTTTCTGGGAGAGGCTATCAAAATTTTATGCATGCAAATTCGGAACGCAAGATTCTAACTTTTACCCTTATCTAGCAGGCAAAAAATCTTACTTAATATAGCTAAGGGTTTTAAAAATTTTATATATAAAAATTTTCCTTAATTAAAAATCCTAAAATAATAAAACTATTAATAATAGAATTTTTCCAATAGTTTTGCTCAATAACCAACACATGGGAGTAAGGAACAAGAACAAGAAAGAGAAGATTTTTCAGGAACTTTAGTAAAGAATCAAATCACTGGGATGGTTGAAAAAGTTTTTCCTAAAAAACAAAGGTTATTAAGATCATAAAATTTATAATTATTTATTTCTAAAAAAAAGATATAGCAAACTTATTATAATTTTTTAAAAAATGAAGTAAGACAAGCAAGCAATTTCCTATTGCTCTACATTATTTATGATCGGATTTGTTATTGCTCTAACAATGTCCCTCTTTATCTATAGAGCAATTCTTTTAGAAGGTGGATCAAGAGGATACGGACCTATGATTTTAGCAATTGCCAATACCCTTCAAATCGTAATCATGAACAAGATATACGACTGGATGGCCGAAAAGCTTAATGACTGGGAAAACCATAAGACCCAATCAGACTACGAAAATGCATTTATTGTCAAAAAAGTCGGCTACCAATTTGTCAATTACTATATTTCTCTCTTTTACATAGCTTTTATCAAAGAACACTTCGAAGGATGCGACAATAAGAATTGCATGGCAGAGCTCAACTATAACTTGTGGGTCATGTTTATCATAAACCTCGTATTTAATGTAATCGAAATCACGTCACCTATACTTTCAGCTCAAGCTAAGCTTGGCGAAGAAGAAAAAAAAGTGCAGTTAATGCATGCCCAAGGAAAAGTCGCTAGAATTGAAATGAGTTACGCAGAAGCCCAAGGGAAATTCGAAAAAATTGAGCTGCTAGGCGAATATTTGGAATTGGCTATGAATTATGGATATATCATTTTCTTTTGTGTCGCATTTCCATTGGGGCCTTTTATTTATTGGCTTTACAATATCCTAGAATTGAGATCAGACTCATATAAGTTTTTGACTCTGAGTAAAAGACCATTCCCTCAGGAAGCCTCAGACATTGGAGTTTGGTCAGACGTCATGAAATTCTTGTCATTTGTTGCAGTTATTACCAATATTGGACTGATGATTTTCACCAAGAACCTATTCTTATTGCCAGCTGCTGATAGATGGTGGGTGTTTATTATAATCGAGCATACAATTTTGCTGCTTATGATAATGCTTATTAACCATTATCCAAGTGTCAGCGAATTTTTAAAGAATTTAGAAATAAGACATGATATCTTAACAAAACTCCACTTCTACCAAAATCTAACCAAAGAAGGAAGCAAAAAAGCGTTTGAGGTCAAGTTTACAGTTGATCCACAAGTTAACTTTAAGGATAATGAAAAGTAATTAACTAGGATTTTAATAAGAAATTGAACTCTATAGTCCGAAAAAACCTAAAACTCATTAATCTCATTAATTAGATATTAATGGTACCTCATTATTTCTTGTATGAAGAACTCTCTCAACTGTTGGGCTGTGATGTTTTCTATATGTTCGAATTCAAAATCAGCTGGAACTTCTGCGTCAATTTCTTTATTTTGATCTCTGATGTCATCAAAGTAAGGATTCCTCAAAGCTTCAATACATGATATCCTTCTTCTTGGGTTGAACAAAATCATTTGCTCCATTAGATCGATAAGGTTTCTATTAGAATGCGGGTAAATCATTTGCAGGCTTTTCTTTTCTCTTTCTCCAAAAGAGTTTAAGTATAATAAAGCTTTGTCATCAGTAATAAAAGAAATGTCTTCAGCAGTTGGGGTTCCAATGACTTCGAATATCACATTTAGCTGATCGCTATTGCTGCTTGGAAAGCCTGCCCTTCTGTTTTTGGTTTTATGATCAGGACTTAGAGGGAAGCATGAATTTCCTGGGAATAATGGGCTCCTGTCCATGAAGGTCGGAGCATTTTCTCTTACTCTCTTGAGCGAGCAAAACTATTAGAAAATCTTAGTTTTTTTGGGATAAAAAATTCTTTAGAAAACACAAAAATTTTATTACAAGAACTGAATATTTATATTCAGGAAAAAAAATTAATTATAAATCCGTTAGTGAGCAAATTTTGCCTTCTTTCAGAGGGAGGAGCTAGCATTCCACACAGTTCAGCAATAACGCAACCTAAACTCCAGACATCAATTGCTTTAGTGTATTCTCTTTCTAGTAAAATTAATTCTGGCGCTCTATACCATCTCGTTACTACATGTCCAGTTAATTCAGTTTTGGCTTGCAAGCCTCCTTTACTTCTTGCTAGCTTTGGCTTTCCTCCAGCCGGTTTTGGGGGCTCAGGCTGTTTTACATGAATCGGTTCATCAAATTCATCTTCCATATTCCCCGCTTCTTTTGTTTCCTCAGTCACACTTCTCGCTAGCCCGAAGTCACAGATTTTTACCTCGCAATCTTCATTGAGTAAAATATTGGCTGGTTTCAGATCTCTATGGAGGATGTTTGCGCTGTGGATGTACTTTAGGCCACAGATAGTGTTGTAAACAATAAGCTGGATATGGTCTTCTTCAAGATTTACTGGGCTTTTCACCAGTTTTTTTAAATCTGACTGTGCATGCTCCATCACAATATAAAGTTCATTGAAATGGTTCAAGTCTTTTGGAAGGAGGATTTCCCTGAGCTTGACAACATTAGGATGGTTCAGATATTTCAAAATAGCGACTTCTCGGAGCAGGCGTTTGCAATCTATCAAGTCATCAAAAATCTTAGTCATTTGTTTGATTGCTACCTTTTCACCTGTCGGTACATGTCTTCCCTCACATACCATGCCATAAGAGCCTGAGCCTATTTGCTTGATTATTTGATAGTTTGGCCCTACATCCCAATCTACTGCTTGTTTGGGGATATTGAGCTTTTTTCCAGCCATAATTAAGTGAAACCTATAATTTAAAAGAAAGCTTATATCTCAGTTTTTTATTTAAATTACCGTTTTGGCTTCTTTATTGGCTCAATGTAATCGAACTCTTCGGCACGGCTTCCCCACAACTGAAGGCCTACTTAGGACAGGAGTGAGACCTGTATCTTCAGCTTCATCAGCAATGGGTCCTACCAGCTCCATAGGAGGTGAGCCTCGGAGTCCAATTTCCGTCGACATCACCATTTTATTTCTTATCTTCAAAGCTAAGGAATTCACGCTTTGGTCATAGCCCAATGATGATGTTCCACCAGACTCGACAAGTTCGTCATGCTTATAATCTTCAATTGATTCTCTGGATTCGATATTTTCTTCTATTGAAGATCCTGATTCAAGATGATGGTCTTGGTACATTCGCTGGGATCTTGGAGACATATGGCCTGGAGGCTTTTGCTGGTTTTTATTTGAGACATTTGGAAGCTCTGGCTCTTCTTCTTCCTCTTCAGAGTCCTCAGTTGTCCCTTCAATTTCTTCATCACCTGGAGGGAAAAGGCCTTCAACAATTGCTAGTAAAATTGGCCTATTCGGCGCTGATTTTACACCAAAAATACGCTCAAGCTGCTGAACGCTTTCATTTCCTGCTGGAATTTGGCTTTCTTGTAAAAATATATCCAAAGTATGCTTAATTTTAAAGCACTCTAAAAAATTTCGTGCAAGCTCAGAACATATTTGTCCGATTTCTGTTTCTAAAATCTTTTTGGTTTCTGGGCGTTTGAAGCCTGCTTTGCTTTCATGCATATCCACAGCTTGGAAAATTTTGGCTCTTAATGCAGCTCTTATATATAGTAATTGCCCGAGGATGGCGCTATCTTGCGCCATCCTCGGGCAATTCAAAAAAATGGCCCACACCGGAATTGAACCCACGTGTGGGGCCATTTTTGGTATGTGGAGAACATCGACTTCCAGGTACCAAAAATGGCCCCACACGTGGGTTCAATTCCCGGTGTGGGGCCATTTTTGAATTGCCCGAGGATGGCGCAAGATAGTGCCATCCTCGGGCAATTACAATAGTCAAGAACTCCTGTTTGTTCAAGTTCTTGATAAATTGAATTTTGCAATTCTTCCATTTATTCAAAATGATACCTTTTGAATTGAATAAATGCAATAAAAACATTCAGATTGTACAGGAAATTATTATTTTCAAAATAATTTAATTAGCTTTCAATTATATTTGTAGTCATTATTAAGAATTACGTCTTTTTTATATTTAAATGATGAGAATTAACAAGCAAATAAAAATCAAATATGAAATCGAATATAATGATAAATAGAGGAGAAAGATGTTTGACTTAAAAAAGATCACGATTTTATCCTCAAATTTTTTAACATTTGTGGCCTATGGAGTTCTTGGTCCATTCTTCCCAAAAGTAGCTGACAGCAAAGGTGTTTCTCAATGAACAATTGGAATTATATTTAGTATAGTCCCAATTGTATCAATCCCTACCATGGCATTTGTCAATGCTTACATGTACAAAATGGGCCGACGATTCACATATTTAATCTCCTTATTTTTACAAGGGGTCTCAATGATTCTTTTATGTTTCCTGGAGAGCTTAGATGAAACTGATTTAGTTATTGTAAGCGTAATTTCTCGACTGATACTAGGAGTTGCAACAGGATTTATATGAGTCTCTACATTTGCAATAGTGACAACAGAATTTAAAGATCACATTACAGAAGCAATAGGGCATATGGAATCAGCTGTAGGGTTAGGGTTAGTTGGAGGTCCGCTAATTGGAACAGCTTTGTACGTTATTGGAGGATTTTCTACTATTTTTATTACAATTGGGACTGTCTTTATGGTATTTGTACCAATCGCCTTCTTTAGTCTCAACCACTTGGAACAATATTTACCAAGTCAAGAAAAAGTTGGCGCAATTAAACTGTTTTGAAAGCCTGTAAAATTTATATAGCAAATCCGGTTGACTTCTTATATACCTTTTATTGTGACAATCACAATGGGATTCATGATCAGCTCAATGGCTCTACACTTAAAAGATTTTGGGGTTGGGCAAGAGATGATTGGAGTCCTTTTTGCTGTTGATGCAATTAGCTACGGCATAGGAGGAATTATTTTTTCGAAATTATCAGTAAAGATTGACAAAAGAATTATGATGATCGTAGGATTACTTGGAATGACCATAACTATGATATGTATGGGGCCTGCTCCATTTTTGCCTAGCAAGCTTGGAATCGTTATTGCCTCTTTACCTCTCTTGGGATCAACAAATTCATTGACTTATGGTAAACTATAATTAGTTCCATCGCTTCCTTATATGATTGAGAAATCAATTACAAAATATAATTATGAAGAAACCCCTCACTTGAGCGATGCATTATCATCCATAGTTAATATATCGTTTTCTGTAGGCGAAGCTTTGGGCAACATAGGTGCTGGAATTATGGTTGATTTTATTGGCTTCGAATATAGTACATTCATTATTTCTATTTTGATCTTCGTTCTAGCTATAATATTTTTGCTATCATCAGAAATCCTTGTTTCACCACAGAAGACTATAAAAGTAAATGAAGATGATGACTTAATGAAACCGTTGGACTCTATTGGATAATTTGGCCTAATTCTTATTAGATTGTGCATATATTTATACAAAATATAACTTAATCACAATTCGATAGCATATGTTGTTTTAATCTATCGCAAATTCATTTTTATAAATATTAGAGCCTAGGAAATTTTATTTGGTAAATAGTAAAATTACATAAAGGTTATAATTACCAAAATTATAACTCCTTTTCGTTTTTTCGAACTTTCAAATAAATCTAATGACTTTATATGTAAATATTAAATTTTCTACCAAAATCACAAATTAATTAAATTTAAAAATAAGCAAGTTTAAGTTTGCTTCTTTTTATTCGATTTTTCTCTGTTTTTGCTTAGCCTCCTTTTTTTCCTGGTTTTTACTTTCGGATTTATATTTGTTTTATTATTTGCATCTGTGCTATTTTCTTTTGATTTGATTACTTCTTTCTTTTTCTCAGCTTTCCTATCATCAACTGTTTTAGCTTTTATAACTTTTTCATTTATCTCATCTACCCCAGGTGTATCAGGATCCTCAAGATTCTCGGTTTTATCAGTTTTTTCAATAATTTCCCCTATTTTTGTATCATCAATACTGGGTGATATTGATGGAGTTTCAACAATAGTTGAAACTTCAACATCATTCTTAGGCTTAAAACTTGTCTGTATTTTCAGAGAGCCAAACGATGATCTAGTAAGTATTTTTTTTACATCTGCTAAATATTTTCTAACATTTAAGAGAGTAAAAAACATCTTTCCTAAATATCATATTAAAAGCAGCCCAAAAACTAATAAATTCCTATATTCAGGATAATTAGTAGAAGAGATTCCAATGATGGAGCATAAAATAGATAATCTTAAAAGCCTTTGAAAAATTTCTTCCAAGTTAAAGAGCTTTGAACTATAAGGTAGGTAAATTATTGTATATGATGTTATAAATATACTTACTGCTATTATAGCGAACAGCTGTATACTTTTATAAGATGAGATAAAACATATCACACACGCTATTATAGCTAATTCTAACTGCAAAACCAATATATGAAATTCCCTTGCGCATGGTTTATAAACCCTATAGTCAGACCCACATTTTATTCTAATATTTGGTTCATCAAGCCTATCACGAAACTTACACCGCAGTAGAATGATTTTTCCAAACGGATAGCAGATAAATACAAAAAACGATACAATAACACATAATGCGCTGTTTCAATCAGGTTTTGCTCCATCGGTTATAAATTTTAATTCAACAAACAAATTAAAGGCAAGTTTGAAGTAAATAACTTTTAGCAACTGCTGTCCGATCTCAAATTCTAAAATTTCTTTGAGAAAAAAATTTTTAAATTTCATTAGGCAGGTTCCAATTTTTACAAATAAATATACGGTAATATAAAGAATCGCTGCTATAAAGCAAGTAAAAGAGTTATTGAAATAGTATGGAGTCCATTCTCCACTTGCGGTAAAATCTGAAGTAAAGTTCCTCGGTGTTTGAGTAATAAACTGTTCTGCTTTTGAATCTAAATAATTGAAATAGATCCAGCATTTATTCGCACCGAGCATATTGTAGCTACCAGTTGGGAAATCCATACTTAAATAAGCAATAGAATCCAAAGCTTGTAGTTGAATTATAGTATAAACGATGTGATCGCATAACTCTTCAATATTACTCCTAATTTTTGGAGTTCGAACCATATACAGAAAAATCAAATTTCATAAATAGATTGAAATGATCAATATTCCGAAAGCTAAAAAGCACATCTCTGCCTTGTCTTCATCCAAATTTATAGTTGCTGCAGACATTCTTCGAATATTCTCCATTTACAGAATAAGTGTTAATTTTTAATATAATTTTAATGCGACAAGATATATATGCAGGAGAAGAACTAAATGCTAATTATATATATCAATTTATTTTTAATTATTAAACTGTAAAAGAAACTTATAATGCATATTTAATTATTTTTGTTCGCCCCAACTGCATATCATCATAGATCAATCCTGATTCCATTTTTATCGCTCTGGGTGCTCAAAATATCTCTAATCCAATTAATCTCGATCGATCTGTTCAATAATTTTTATTAAAACTGGCAGAGCTAACATATATTTTATTTCAAATTCTATAAAAATACAATTTAGGACCTGTTAATTATTTTTATTTGAATAACGAAATGGAAATAAATTTATTTGGAATTTTTATGAGCAATATCGTTTATAAAATAAAAGAGAAAACTATTTTAGTATTGTTATTAAATCTCAAGAAACTTATAAAGTTTAAATTTGTATATTTTCGAGTCAAAATTTGAAGAAAAAGAATTATGGCTATAATGAAGGATAAACTAAGGCCTAAAGAATCAGACAAAAATTTTTCTCTTCTGACCAAGTCTTTCTCAAAACATCTAATTGCAGGTGCAGGGGATAAGCCAAAAGACGCAATCGTCCAACCTTTGGCAAGCAAAATTACTGAGACCTTGCCAGTCGAGCAAAAAGCAACCAAAACAGAATCTACCTGCTCCGCATCTAATGACTTAAAGCCTCATCCACAAATCACTCCGCCCCTTGAAAATGAAAAATCGCCACTTGCCATCTCACAGCTTATTCGTGAAGGCTGATCAAAATTTCAAGATTCTCAATTTTCCCAAGGTGCAGAAATTCTTGATATAGCATTGAAAAAATCGGAGCCTGGGAGCCTGATATATTTCGACATTTTATATTTGATTGGGCGGTGCCATATGAATTTTAATTTAGAATCGGCATCAAATATTTTCCAGCAGCTCCTTGAGAGAAACACTGAGGAGCCAATTTATTGAAATGGGTTTGGGGACATATTAGGCAAATTAAAAAAGTATTATGAAGCATTTCAATGCTTTTTGAAAGTAATAACTTTGGATAAACACTTTATTGAAGCATGAATTAACATTGGAATCATTTATGATTTGTGCCAGAAGCCACAAAATGCTGATACATCATATCAGGTAGCTTTTAAAATTAAGTCAAAAAATCAGAAAATCAGATTAAATGTGGAGAAAATGATGAAATCTCGACATCTTCAGCTTGAATTTGTGCAACCTGATATTATTGATCCTACAAAAAGTCCATTTACCAAGTCCCCAACTGCTCCTGCTCATAATACTCTATTAGCAGAAGTCGATCCAAAGATAGAAAGTAACTCCCCCTTTAAATTGGATAAAATTCTGTTCCAATTTAAAAAAGGGGTTAATTTGGTTTTTTAAATAAATTTTATATCAATAAAACAAATTTAAAAATAAAAAATATAATTGAATGCAATATATTTTTGAGTTTTATCTATTTTTATGATAATTAATTTAAAAAAATGTTTAAATAATAATCTATTTGCATTTATTTCATTAGTTAGTAAATTTTCCTATTGATTATTTTTTCCGATTTAAAGGGGTTTAAAGTACAATAAATGGGGATTTGCCTATAATTTGTTTTAATTTAAAGGGAGTAAGCAGAAAAGAATTAAAACCGATAGGCCAAATGAGCTAGTTAAACCTGAAGAAATAATCCAAAGCACTCCACAAGAGTCAATTAAAATGGAAGATTCTATAAATATTATAAGACCTCAATTATTGGTCCCAGCTGGAACTTCAATTGAAAATATGAGCCCAATCCCAATAACAGCCGCACCCTTAGGTTCCAGAATTCAGATGCCTTCAATTGCCCAATTTCACGCAGGCTTTCTTTCATTCTTGAACTGGTACTCATCCGAAATTCAACGTAGGAAGCAACATCCAAAAAATTCTCCAAAACAATCAGAAGAAACAATCAAAAATGAAGAGCCTGCAAACATGCTTCTTAATCTTACTCCAGCAAAAAGGCAAAAGACCACCAAAGGCAATGGCAAAAAGAAACGAAAAATATAATAGCTTGTTAATTTAAAATATGGAGTCAAAACTCAAAAAAATAGCTCCAGCTGTTGGGGCATTTTCTGTGTTTATTTACATATACCCAGAGAAGCTCTATACTATTTTTTGGTTTTGTGGCGGGGTTTGATTCACGATTTTATTACAACTGGCAGTTTATTATTTATTTTTATTGAAAGAGCCTAGAGAAAAGTTAGAAGAGCCGAAAACTGATAGGAAAATTAATTTGAGAAAAGATTCAGCAGAAAGAATTGAAATGAGAAGGGAGCAGCACGATGCAACTCCAAGGTTGGATTATAGCAGTTGCCCGATGATGGCGCTCAATGCGCCATCATCGGGCAACACCAACAAGGGTCCACACGTGAAATGGGTTCCACGTGTGGAGCCCTTTTTGGCTCGTGGAAATGAGGATTCTCCACGTGTAAAAAAGGGCTCCCACATGTGGAATCCATTTCCACTGTGGACCCTTTCTGGTGTTGCCCGATGATGGCGCATTGAGCGCCATCATCGGGGCAACTGCTATAGATTAGAATGAGTCTTTGGGGGTTATTTCAACCTCTATTCTCATTCTCCGACTTCAGACTCCTCGTTCTAAGTGTCTGTTTGCGTTAACTCCCTTTTCTGTCAGCGTCTCTGGGAGGCGCATCCAGGAAATTCCTTAGACAACTCCTAGCGGTCGGCATAATCTATCTGAGGATGGTGGGTAAGAGACTGGTCCCCATTACCTATCCAGAAGTGTGGGATTATCACATGGAATCTGGTTTCCTTGCCTATGGTGCGGGATAAAAAACTGTCAAGATGTACCGACCAGGAAGAAAAAACCCACCACAGACACAAAGTTCCAGGCACGGTTTTCTTAGAGCCAAAAACCCTAAAGTATGCTAGAAGTACGTATCAGATAAGTCACCATTTTATTTTGCGCATGAAACTCCAAGAAGAAGCTTAAAAAGAAGAGAAACAATGGTACCTTGCCTATGCAAAGGATCTGAATTTAATTCTCTTGCAAGTGGGTCTGATTCTACTATTACTGAGCTTGTTCAGTATATGAAAGATTTAGTCCAAATCGAAAAAGCATATGGGCAAGCTCTATCAAAAATCGGCGAAATTTCATTCCTCACCAAAGTTATCAGCAAACAAAATAAATCACAACTGTTTGGAAATTTAAAAGTCACTTTAAATCAAATTGGAATCAACCATACAGATGAAGCTAAATATCTATCAGATAGCTTGATTGAACATTTATTAGTTGTCGAGAAAGAAATGAAATCTAAGCATAAGGAGCTTGCGCAAAAACTCAAAAATTTCTATGGGAATGTTGAAGCTGCCGCAAATGATCTCCAAAAAGTTCAAACAAAGCTTACTGAAACTCAAAATGCCCAACAAAAAGCACAAAATGAATATAAAGATATCAAAAACATAGGATTTGAAGTCATAGCCAAAAGAGAAATGAAATTAAAACTGATAAGCAGCGAGCTATCTACTCTTCAGCACACACTCCAACAAATGAAAGACAAACTAAATGAAGAAATCTATAAATATCTCCCCAAAGCAAAAGAAGTTTTTGAAGAGTTCAAAGTTCTTCGACATCAAAAAGCATCTCAATATATTTCATGTGTAAAAAGCTGAATAAATAGCCTAGAAAGCTGCATGAGCAATAATCTGCAGGTTTGGCATAAAAATAATGATGAGTCAATGTATACAGAAGGGGATGAAATCCTTGATATCGATGAAGAAGTCAAAGCTAATGAAAGCTCTCTCAATTGGAATAAAAGGCAGAGGTCATTAGAAATGAAAGAGGAAAAATTCGGGATAAAAGACATCAAAGACATCTGGGCTAAAGCTGTAAATAGAATTACAGCAGTTAATCAGCAGGAAATTGAAGATTTAGATAAGAAAGCAAAAGAAGTCAAAAACTACTTTGAAGATATAACCGCCTTTATCAAAAACTTGATAAGTGCAGAAAGAAATTACGCCAGTGAGTTAAATCTCATTATTGAGGCCTGGCATAATTTAGATGAGCTAGGAATTGGCGATGAATGAAGGAGCACTGCGAAGGACTTTGAGTTTGTTACAGAAGCCATTGAAAGGCATTCAGAAGAAGTTGAAGGGGTTAGGGAAGAGCTTAATAACTTTGAAGTCTATTTGTCTGATTTTTATGAGCTATTAGATAAAGCAAAAGGAACTCCAGAACTTTTGCAGAAGGTTAAGGGAAAAATTAGTTAATCTTAATTACAAATGGTGGAGGCCTTATTGGCTACGAATGAGATGATAATTCGCCTTGCGAAAGCCTTACTCCTCTAGAAGCTGCCTAATCAATGGCAGAATGAGTGAGCAGAAGGGTGCTCTCCTCCTTGCCTTAATAGGGTTCCAGTCTTGAGAGGGTGACTACGGATTCCTGTGACCCTGCTTCAGGCACATTGGAGAGGCAGCTTGATCGGGAAAAAGCCCGAAGCCTGATGGGTGCAAGGTGCCTGCCCTTAGCAGCTACAGGAAAAATGCTTAATCCCTGGGCGTAGGTCGTAACCCCTGAAATCACAGTGAAGTTCACCTTCATGGTCCCGAAGGACATCCAGGCTACTTCTTTCCAGTCACAGGAACTAAGCGAAAACGTACCCGGATATAAATAAGCACATATCAGATCTGCATCTCGGCTGGCTCCTCGCCCAACTCGCATTGGCAAGAAGTTTGAGAAAATTGAGTCAAGAGGTCGGCTGAGCTTAGGTCGCCATTTTATATATAAGGAAAAATTATCAGAGCTGATAATACTAAAAGACAGGCTAGATGAAACTTGCAAAGCCAAGCTTACTATTGCACTTGGCAATAAGCTAAAAGAATGCCACAAATTTTTATCTTCTTTGCATCACATGGACGATGCTGAAGATATTGAAGTGTTCGGACAATTTTCTGATAAGGCAAAAAACCATAGAGAGCAATGCCCATATTTTATTCATTCTCTCCTACGTGAGCGAGCAAAACCGTAGGATAAATCCTTTCTTTTAGAGTAAAAAACTCGCCTTCCGTAAGCAAACAAACAATTTTTTAATATAAGAAATTTTTATGAAAAACATTTAAGATATAAATGATAGTTATTATAACGAAATCTCTTGCTAATTCTTTTTAATTTAAAATAACCTGCATTTTAATCATAAATATTATAAATTAAATTAATATTTGCTTTCAATTTTTGCGAATTTGAATTTTTTTAAATTTTAAAAAAATATATTTGCTATATATATAATTTTTTTAAATAAAATTAACCCCGCGAGCGAGCAATATTTTTTGTTCGCTCACGGAGGGGAGTCAGGAAATTGTCCCAGAGTCTGGAAGTGAAAATACAACAGTAACTCGGATCCAAACTGGCTCAGCAGAATCTTCGGTGTGGCTTAACGAGTTGCTTTCTACTTATATATCTGAGTGAATTGATGCTCCCAGATTCCAAAAGTGGATTTGTCGAAGGCTTAAAAAGGTCTACAACAAAGACAGGCCTGAAATTATTAGTGAAATCAACGTCAGAAATGTTGAATTAGGTGGTCAATCACCTATTGTCAGTGAGTTTACTCCACTGTCAAAGGACTCTGAGCTAGACTTTTACTATGAGTTTGATCTGGTCTTTGAAGGCCAAGTTATTATTAACATAGATTTTCAAGTTCTTTTGGGTCCCGCCAAAATCCCAATTTATGTACGAATAATTTTGCACTCATTCAATGGAAGGGTGATGCTATTTTATACTCCTTCAGACAAGGGAATGTCATGGTACTCTTTGACTGCAAAACCTGATCTTAGAATTACTTTGGAGCCAGTGCTTGGAAAAGCAAATAAAGTGGAACTGAAAAAATTCCCACAATTAATTGCATTTTTGATGAAAGGAGTTGATAAAAAGCTTGAAAAGTTTATTTTCCCCAATACAAGGTCTATTAAAATTCCTAAAGGGAAAAAACCTATATTTAGACTATAAATTAAGATATGTTAGAATTAGAGCTGAAAAATTAAAACCAGTTAAATCAAGCTGGTCTTAAAGAATTTTAATCATAATTTATGCTCGATCCTTGGATTTTACTGAAATTGAAGTGAGCTAGTTTCCATATAAATATTGATTTTTTGGGCATTTTCTAAACTCATAACAAATATCTAATATGGAAAATAGACAAACTCTTAGGATCAACATAAAGACTATTTCTGGCCAAGTCAAAGATTTGGAAGTCACTAACGATGTATTTTCTAACTCCCCTCCCCCCCCCCCCCTCCGTGAGCGAACAAAACCATTAGAAAAATCGCCATTTTTTGACCAAAAACCCACCCTCCGTGAGTGAACAAAAATTTTTTTTTAATAGAAAAAAATTTTAATGGAAAAAAATTTTGATATATAAGTGATAATTAGTATAATGAAATCTAGAGCTAATTCTGTTTAATTTTAAACAAATTGCGTTTTAAAACATAAATTTTGCAAATTAAATTAATATTTGCTTCCCAATTTTTGCAAATTAGGATTTTTTTAAATTTCGAAAAAAATATTTTTTTATAAAATTTATATATAAATTTTTTTTAAAAAAAAAAATTAACCCCCCTCCGTGAGCGAACAAAAATTTTTTGTTCGCTCACGGAGGGGGGGGGGGGGAGTAAGTAGATCTTAGTCTCAGACTTAAAAGTAGAAATATCCAAGCATTTTGAAGCTCCCGTCCCCAGACAAAGATTGATATATCAAGCCAGACTTTTAAAAGATACCCAAAGTCTTAGTCACTATGTAAAAGAAAGTGGCATTACAATTCATATGCTCCTTCAATCTCTTGAAGGCTCAAGCTCACAAGATACTTCTTCCCAGGCTCCTCAACCTAATCCCAATCAGTCTAATGAAAATCAATTTAGGTCTTCTAATCCTTTTGAATCACTTGGAGATGCTTCAAATTTTATTCCAAACTTCCACTATTCTAATCCCATGGTACTTGGCTTCTTAAACTTAAACATTCCAAACTTAGTAAATAGGGCAAGAGAAAATGGCATTAACCCGCCTGAAGAAAACACTGCCTTGCTTACAGAAATTCTTCAGTATTACAATTTATTGCTTTTCCATATTTCAGCTTTAAGTAGGATTGTCCCAGTATTACAGAATTTGATCACTTATCAATACTCCATCACCTTTCTAGGCGCAGCGCAGTTAAGCACTATAAATCCTCCAGCAATATTTACGAATCTGGCACATTCAGCACTAATGATGATAGAGGGACTCAGAGCTATATTATGCAGAATTGAAAACAGAGAAGCTGGCTCTTTTCTAGACTCATTCAATGGATTTCAAATATTTGCAAATTCATTATCAATTCTTTTGTCTACAATCGAGAATTTTTCTATAGCCCCTGAAATATTTTAGATCATTATTGGCCATCCATTTTAATTTCCAAAGTTAATTTGTACTTGTCAGTTTTTTTAAAAAGCAAAAAACGAAAATGGCAAGTCTCTGTTTATTGTTTTAAGGTACCTAATCAGGCTTATACTGTATAAAGCAGATGCCCTGCACCGTGTTTTTTCTGGTCGGTATTCTGTTGGAATATAGAGATCTATTAAGGTGTATGAGCTATAATCCAGATAACATGCATGAAATACTTGGCCCGAACTATGATATTAAATTAGATTCTATCATATCGATTTTTGAAGGATTTACTGGAGAAAGCAGACCCGAGTGACTACGGACTCTTTCAAATCTAAGTATTGGTGAAGCTTTTGAGAGCTTTTTTAGTAATTGGAGTGCTTTTAATTGCATATTTCCAGTGCTGAAGTCTTGGCTATCTAGTATGGTTTCAACAGGCGAGATAAATCTTAATCTCCTATCCTTGATTGTGCAATTCCATTTTAAATTACCTAAAAATTGAGAAAATTAACGCTTGGCTTGAGTGATTTTCATATGGTCAAGCATTAAACTACTCTCTTCTTAGTCTCAAATCTTTGATGCTAATGAATATTGGAAATATATTACAAAATAATCGCTTCTGCACAATGATTGTACAACTTTTAGTATATTCCCTAATATAAACATACTTTATCTCTAATCTCTAGTATGTATAATATTTTATGTGGAAAAAGGTTAATAAAAATTTATGTATAATTTTTTCCATATATTCTTTTGATCAAGCGATGCAGTCGTTCGATCAAGAATCGGTGTGTGAATTAATGAAGAATTTTTTGAAGAAAATGATCATTTTCCTCCTATCCCTGAAAGATTTAATCCTAAAATGAAATCAGGGATTAATTTGGACCAAGAATTAAAGAATTCTACTAACTTTTGGGTTAAAAAGACATCGAATCACATTCTTAATTACCAAGGAACAAATGGAATGGCTGAATTGAAAAGAAATATATGCTGTTACTGTGGTAACTTACTCCCATCCTTCGCTAGAAAGTAAATTTTTTTTCATTGTGGGTGAAGTCAACATTTATAAAAAAAATTTAATATTATTTATATAGTCTTTCTTTCTTTATTTTTTAATTAAATAGGCTTTTTTTAATAGATTTTGCTGACTAACAAAGGAGAGCTAGTGGATATAGCAGTTGAAGCTCTGCATGGAAATGTATCAGATGGTAAAGACTTGATGGTAAGCACACTATTGGAAATCATCGTGGATATATTTCCAGGAACTCTCACAAGCCAAGTAAGAAATTCATTGACAAACACACTGAATATTTCATTTACAAACTTTCATGATTGCTATTTGAAATATAAAAATGAAAATAGGGGAAGAATAAAAGTGCCAGATGGGCAATATATATCTAAAAGTTGGTTTGGCAACGAGCTATGACAAAATTAGCTAGAATAAGAAAATTATCTCAGCGCACTCAAGAGATATTTCAAAAAGTTTGCAAGCCTTCCAGCCTTATGGCAACAGATTCATCCATAATCGATTTAGAGGAAAAATAGTCTTATTCAGTATTTATTGATGAAGTCTACAAAGTGAGAATTTAAAGCATTTTTACGATGGGAAGCTGACAGCTTAGGAACGATAATTCCTCGGGAATACTGGAAAAACTCAATTTTTGCTCTATTCAAAAATAACTATTAGCATTTTCATGCTTTTTTTCCTTTAAAAGCATATGTTGGCTTTTTATGCGATTTTTTATTTTATTTTATTTTTATGATTTTTATATAACGGCAGTCTGTTTTTGCATCTGCTTGCATTTTTATGCAAATATATATTTAAATTGACAAATGTAATCTATACTTCATTGCTTCGAGGTTTAAATGCTCTCTTTTTATCATTTATATAGCACATTGAAATTTTCTTGGTTTTTTCCTGCAATATGGAAAAGTGATCAAGATATAGTTTCTGCATCTACTCTTGACATCAATTGAAAGAGGAGATCATCTAATCTTTTTAACATACTTCTATTTTACTTTTGCTCTATTATACTATTCAGCTTTAATATCATAATTTTTATCACCATTGGTATTTTATGCTGGGTTATATGTGAGGTTTTACTCTTTGATATTTTCACGCACTATTTTTTTCTGAAAACAAAATCCATTTCACTTTTTCAAATTCTGAAAATTTACAGTCATTTTTATAGGGCACAGAAATGTCATAAAAATACCACCATAAGGTACTTTCATGTCTACCCGAAAATAGTAGTAATATCAATAGTATGATATCAGTTCCAGAAAACTTTTCTATAGGTAGTGAAATTTCTGATGAAGAGTAAATGGTAATTAATAATTTCAATCTGTTCAATTAAAAATAGATTTTATATTTTTCCTTAATACATTAAATATTAAAGTGCATTCCAGCAATTTTAAATATTGAATTCAATTTACTCAAATTTATTAAGATTAGGCACCACTAAGGAATAGCAGCACCATCCATTTAATTGAAACAATCAGATTTCTCTAAAAGGGCTATTTCATTTAAAATTTTAAATTTAAGACAAAGATAGCCTTAATTTTAGCTATAGGCACAATAATGAGAGCTTAGCTCACGTTTTTGATATGAATTTATTAAAACTTTGAAGGAGGAGCTTTTGACTGGAAACAAGATTTAGGCATTCTTCCTTGATTGAAGGAACTTCCAACTTGAGTTCTAGGGTCTGCAGTTCCAGAAAAGCATTTTTCGTGATACATAAGTCTTATTTTTCGTCCATCTCGATAGATGATTCTTTCACCTTTATCGATTGCACGATGGCATTCTCTGCAATTGTGTCCGTATCTAGAAGCAACCATATGGCCGATGGTTCAATAATCCATTTAATTATATTTATTATAGATCTTTTAAAAATAATTATTGATATAAATATCGATATTTTAGTTAAAGAAAAATGCATGCAATAATTATGATATAAATATTCTAAATATTATACCCTGATTAAAATTTCATAACTAATGAATGAAAATGCCACAGAGCTAGAAGCTACAGTTCTTAACTGTAACAGACTTGCAATGGACTATCTGAAACTTGAAGATTTCAAGCAAAGCCTGACTCTTCTGAAGCGTGCAGAAACAATTTTAAACAACGAAGAAGACACCTTCAGCTCAATACCAAATAGACTAAAGCTGATGGGAATAACTCTCAACAACCTAGGCTGTTACTATAAAAAGCGAAAACAAATCAAAGTCGCCCTCAACTACTTACGCCAAGCTCTACAAGTCGAGCTTCAAACACAATCAGATAACGTAAATATAGCAGGAACTCATTTAAACATCTGTGCAATTCTATCATCACTCTCAAAACACGAGCAGTCCTTCCAGCATGCCAGACAAGCTATGGCTCTGCTTGAAGAAGCAAGATCTCAAGAAGCTTTATCCCAAGAAAAAGGCCTAAATTTGGCAACAAGTCTAGTGATTTCTTATCATAATGCTGGAGCTGAATTGGAGCATATGAGCAAGATGTCTGAAGCTTTGCAGTATTATGAAAGTGCGTGAAAAATTTCAAAAAAAGAACTAGGAGGGAAAAACCCACTCACAGTCAACATGCTGGAAGCTTTTAATAATTTATCGATGAAATTCAACAACAGCTTTTCTGTGCTGAGGTCAGAAAGAAATAGAATTACTCCATTGAGGACCAGAGGGAGCGCTTCTGATGTGCCGAATACAGTTAGAGAAAAGCTACCATCGATTACTCCTCCAAGGATGAGAAATGGGAGAAACACTGGGAATTCGATTTCTCCTGGAAGAGATTTTAGAGTTCCTGAAACGATTGAGAAAATTAGGTCTATGGTGTCAAGGGCTCATTAATGAAATATTATATATGTTTAACTATTTCTTGTGTTAATTTGGAGAACTCTTCTTTGTCTGTCAGCTTCCTTCTATTGAAATTGGTAACCAAATGGCTCTTTAGATCTTCATGCTGCTCGAGGATATTTAGCCTGCATAAACTCCATAGCGAATGCACAACAGAAATATCTGAAAGTCTTTCTCCTTCATTTATATAGGCTTTTATCATTCCAATTGTCCACTCCACAAATTCACGTCTTTTTGCATTACCTTTTACTGCCAGTGGTAAATATCTTGCATATGCAAATAATAGTCCAACTGCATCTCCAATTTCCATTTGTTTCCCATGCGGATTTTCAATGATTTCTTTTTCAACATCATCGTACAAATCAACAGTCCCTTGTCCAACCTTTATAAAGCTTGCTAAACAATGTGCTAAGCTTCTTGTATCCATTATACGCTTATTTTCTCTTATTTGTTTATTAAACAATGCAAAAAGTTCTTCATTTCCTAGGTTTTTAAGTCCAAACATATAGATGATAATACTCAAATCTTCACCATACAGGTCTTTCGATATTCTAAACACTTGTCCTTCTAAGGCAACTAGAAATTTATCGTCAATTAAATTCTTGCTTCCATAAACTTTTACAATAGTAGCCACGCACTTCGCATTCATTTTGTTTTCTTTGCAGATTTTATTTTTTATGATATCTCTCAGGTTTATCCAAAATTCCTCTGAACCTTTATCGGCTTGGTCAAATGACCTGACAATGCATTGTATGTTTTCATAGTTGATAGAGTCAGCAAGGCCTTTTATTAAACGCTTTTCGATGCTTGACCACATGATATCATCATCAATATTTAAATTGATGAGATGAATCAGCAAAGTTTGAATTGTGTTCATTCCATATACCATTTACATTAAAATGACGGCAAATGCGAATTTGAATTCTTGATACAACAGTCAAGACTTTATGACACGGCGAACTGGGAGCAACTCGGAGTCGAAAATCAAGTGCAGCCTTAGGAAATGTATCCGGGTTAGATTTTGACTGCTTCCTGTGGTTGAAATGGAGCACGCAGCAAAGTCCTTTTGGATCCAAGGAAGGATGGGCCTGTGCACAAGTAATAGTCATCGGTAAGCAGGGGGATTTCTTTAATTGCTTTTTGTACGGCAGGTAGTTTTGTCCAAGTTATGGATTCTATGTTAACAAGTCTTTGGGCTGCTCTGTATAGTGCAGCTAAGGCTTTAACTGGCTTTTCTCGAATTCAAGGCTTGTAGTTATTAGAGTTGTTTAAACAATCAAGATGTGTTTGCAGCTCATTTGGAAGTTTTCCAATTTCATCAAAACTAGCAAATCTATTGAGATTTCTCAGACACCGAAAAATTATCATTTTATTGATAAATATTTACCATTTTTTAAAGCATTTCCATAGAGACGACAACGCTTTAAAATTTAATTGGCATCATTTAGGCTGTTTATGCAGCTTTAATACATAATTTATCTCCTAAACTCAATAATTTTAGAAATTGCCGATGTGGATTTTTAATTTCTGATAAAAAAATTGATATAATTTTTGGATTTTCTTTCTTTATTCATGGCTTTGAAGAAAAATAGATCGAATTTTATCTATTTGAAACTCTAATTAATTCCTATTTCTGAATTTTTATTTGACGAAAACCCATTTTGGTTCACCATTCAAAAAATGGTGCAAGGCCAGGATCTGAACCAGCATCAAAATGCCTGAGGACAGGAAACAAAGACGACCGAAAATCCTTGACCACTGCCTTTGAAGCACATGGGCTGACTTCTGGTTCTTCTAATTTTCTATAATTAAGCTAAAAAATTGAGATAAGCTATATATAGTTTCTATGTAAGACCATACATATATTAATATGGCAAAACAAGGAGGTAAGGCTAAAGCTGCAAAGAAGCAAAAAAGAGTGAAGAAAGATAAGTCTGGACCAAAAAAACCTAAGTCAGCTTTCATGTTCTTCTCTCAAGATAGAAGACAGACACTTAAAACTGAGCAGCCTGATCTCAAAATTACCGAACAATCGAAAGTAATTGGTAAGGAATGGGGCGAATTAACTGATGCCGAAAAAGCCCCTTATCAAGAAAAAGCTAATCAAGATAGAGAAAGATACAATAAGGAGAAGGCCTCAAGTCCTAAGGAAGAAGAAAAGAAGGAAGAGCCTGAAGGTGACGAAGAGGATGAGGAGTCAGAAGATTAATTATTTTCTAATAAAATAAATCAAAAAATTCAAAATCATTTTAAATATTTTTTGACTGTTTATATCATTTTGAGCTCATTGTCGAGGAATTAGCCTCAGCTTTGTAAGAGCGGAATAAATAAGCAATCGGAAGGAATTGAATAAATTTATTGGCGAGATATATTTTCTTAAAAATAGATGGCAATAGGAGTGAATCGGCTATAACTCCATTTACTGATGAAGGATTAATTTTCTATCGAAAAATCAGCGGCAAAGACAATTCTCCAACCTTTTTTTCATTACTCTTAAAATATCCTTATATATGCCATATAAATAATTTCCAAAAATAATTAAAAATAAAGCATTTATTTGGGGCTTTTTTCTCTCTTGAAAAGTATTAGAAGAAAAATATTTAGATGTAAACAAGCATCAAGGATATTGATGTCTAAAATCAAAAATTCGGTTTTTTATTTCTATAGCTGCGTGCATCAAATAATATTATATCTTACAACTATAATCAACTTAGACTTATTCAAATTTTAGCTTCCTTTTTTGAAAATAACTGTAAATTAGATAGCAAAACAAAATAACGCCAAACAATCCTAGACAAATTCATGCTATAAAAAGAAAGGAAAAAGGATGGCTCATAGGTGGATTGGTTCAACTGGCATCATCAATTACACTTCTAATGGTGCTGCTTTGAATTGGCTTATCAATAAAAATTTCATAATATCACCTTCCGTTTACTTTAGAATGTGTAGGAATTGTATCTATATTTACAGAAAAATTTACTTGGATTCCTTCGAAATTATATTCGTTTATATAATATTTGAAATAACCATATTGGCTAGATGGTCGATTATAATCTATAAAATTCAATATTAAATATCCTTTCATTATATTCGAAGTAATAAAACTTCCATCATTATAAACATATATGAATTCAGTATTATCAAGGATGGTGATGCTATTTGTATCATTGAAGTCTTGCAAATAATATTCATCGATATATGTTCCATTTGTAATAGTTTTGCATTGTGGCTTTACTGTCCATAACAAATTTGTTTGGTTTGATACCCTTAAGCAGTTTGAAAATCCAGGTATGGATGGGTTATATTTAGAATTGAAAATGCAAGAATCCATGATAGGAAATATCAAGGTTAAATCACAGTTTATTTTCCGCTTTTTCTCACAATATAGCCCATAATAGTCCTCAGGGCATAAGCAAGCATCTGAAATAAAGGTAGATTGCTCACACTGATTGCTGCTCACATTTAAGTAATACTCATCCCGAGACACTTGGATTCCATTGCAATAATAATTATCACCCATTATACGGACCAGATGACCATATTCAGAGCAGGATAGAGTGTCCACAGTAATTATGAGAATATAAATTAATATCATCTTTTAATTAAATTTGGATTTATTTATAAATATGGATCAGATAAGATACAAATTTATTTTATGATCAAAAAATATGTTTAGATTTTCGTAATTATTCAGGGTATTTAAAGAAAAATTGCTCTTGTTGATTAATCCGAGATAGTATAGTGGTCAAGTATCCCTGCCTGTCACGCAGGGGACCCGGGTTCAATTCCCGGTCTCGGAGTTTTTTATCTCATAATTCTTTATTTTTATATGATAAATGCAGCATGATTTTGCTTATTTTATTTACGTGGAAAATTGATTAATAATTTTGCTATAGTGAATTATTAAGTTACTATTTATAATTAAAAAGCTGGCAGGAGCTGAGATTCCAATGAAAATAATGAATTCATTTGAAGCACTCTCAAATGATAATAAGTTAATCAAGCAGAAATAAATTATTAAAGCTAAAAATTGGATAAATAATTTGCTTTAGTAAAATGATCAAAAGTCCAATAATGTTATTAGCAACTATGCAATAATAAATGTTTGCCATACTGAATTTATTTTATTTTCAATCAGCTCTAAACGAAATCAAATTGAAAGAAAATCTTTTTGAAAATTTTATTAAAAGCTTAACTTTTCGCTCTATTCTTAAAATGTGTGTCCAATCTATCTAACAAAGAAACTGTAAGACAAGCATCAATAATATACTGCACAATTCTAAACTGCCATCCAGAGCACACAATCCTTATTTTTCCAATATTACTTTTCTCATTATCTATAAATTTCTTCAAAACTCCCCATGTAGATTTCCCTTCCATTTCTCCATATTTTTGCAGCTGAGTTTTTGCAAAATCTAAAGGCATGACCGCTGCTGTATTAATAACTCCAACTATAGCTCCTATAATTAAAAGTTCTGAATACAGTAGCTCTTCTTTATGTGTATATTTTTTTGTTATTTCTTTAAAAAACGAAGTGCAGCCTAAAAACGTAACTCAAGAAATAGTCTGCTTGAATAATAATGGCTGAATCCCTCTGAAAGCTTCATGCTTTAAGTTCTTTTCTCGAAAAAATTGTCTAATCGTTGCTTTCGGTGATGTCATAATCCAAGTCTTAAGTCTTTCTAAAGGGCAGATTATATAGCCTTCTATCGCAGCAATAGAAAGTCCAGTCAGTGTTTGCACAGCATTTTCGTTCCTTATAAAAGTTCTAAAAATTCTTGGAAAGTGAACCATCATTGGAAATCTATATGCCTGCTTAAAAGAATTTCTAATGGCATTAGGGATTAGTCCTGTGTATAGTTTTAGAATCCCATTACTTTTGATATCGTTTATCACAAATTTATAAGGATCAACATGCGGATTTGCTTGGACTTGTGTTTTTATATATTCAAAAGGATGCTCAAAAGGTAAAGCAGCTATAGTTCTTGAAATTCCTATTAAGCTGGCATAAAAAATGTCCATTTTATCATTAACTTAAAAAGAAAAATTTTAATAATCGAAAGGAGGTGGGGATAAATCTCCCTTTTGAGAATTGAGAGATAAGCAACTTGGCTTTCTAAATCGACTATGCAGCGGGGAATTTTCCAAACTCAGTTTTGATGGTCTAACAATAGCCATCTGAGTATCTTTCCACAGCTTTTCAAGCTTAATAATGAATTCCTTTGTCAACTCTAAATTCTGAGTTTTCATTTGTGGAATCGCCACATTTTCTTGGATTTCCATATATTTTTTAATCCACTCCCCTAATACCTCATGCAGTTTATTGATTTCTAGTTGCTTTCTCATTAATTCTTTTTCGCATATATTTTTGAGTCCTTCCAAATATATTTTCCATCTTGATTTTTCTTTCATATAAATTTCAAGATTTTGCTTCTGGTAAGTTTCAAGGAGGGATTTAAAAACGTTGCATTCATTTTTTACTTGCTCATACCCATTCTTCATATTATGGCTGAACATTGTTTGAAGCTGTAGGTTGGTTTCTAAACTCCGGAACTTGAACCCATCTTCGTGTTCTGTAAATGAAGATTTTTGATGCGAAAAGTCTTCAAAATGGTGCTTGATGACTGATATTGATGTTTTCATTCTTGAGCCTTTCCTCACGATAGCTGGAGTTTCCAAAGTGGTATGAGGAATTTGCTTAATAGGCCTTATAATCTTTCCTTTGAAATTGTTGCTGCTTTCGATCACATGCTCTTTATTTCAGTGCTCAGTTTCAAGTTTTTCTATAATACTTATCAGTTTATTATAAGATTCATTTAAATGATTTATCATTTGTTCGTATTCAGAAATTCTTTTTTCTTGATTTCTCACAAGCAACACTTTCAAGTTAAATTTTTCTTTTAGTAAGTTATATTTCCATTGAGTATCATAATAGCATCTCAAGAGTTCACTATTGGCAACCCCAGATTGTATTATTTGCTTTTTTAATTGAAAAATGATAATTTCGTTACTCAGCTTAGTATCGTTTTCTAATGCTGAGCACAGTTCTTGAGTGTATTGGTCTTGAGACTGTATATATTCTTCGTCTAGAGGAATATCAATTCCTATTTCTGACTGCTTATAAGCTTTCAAGTAGGATTCTTCAGTGTAAACTCTTTGCTCAGTTGTTAGGAGCATATCTGTTTTTGGGTCTACGAATTCCCACTCTGCCACATTTTCTCCTGCGTTTAATTTTCCTAAGGTGATACTAAACCTCTCACTCATTTGACTGAGATGGTGTTTTAAAATTTCAACTTGGCGATGCAAGATTTCATTTTCCTTTACCAGCAGCCTAACAGAATCTTCGTCGCTTGATTTAATTATAGATACTTTTTTGTACATTTCAAAATATTCCAGCGCTGAAGCTTCAGCTTTCAGTCTTTTTTTCCTTTCACTATTCAATTCTTTTTCGAGCTCTGCAATTCTTTCATTTGAGGCTTCTTTTTCTTGCTTCAAATTAGCTAATTCTTCAGCATATTGGTCGTAATGAAGTAAATCTTCAAGACCTTTGGATTTGTCTTGGTTAAAAGAAGGTCCAAAATCTTCAATAGAGGTTGGAGAAAAAAGGTCATCTGTAGGAGCTGTAGATATATTTGTCAAACTTCGAGCTATCATTATAGGAGATGTGATTTCACTTGAGTAGTGTCCTCTTAATCTGGAAATTTCATCTTTTGCCTCAGTTAGCTGCTGCTTCAGCTGATTGATCATTCGAATGTATTCTTCTGGAGACCTTTTAATATTCATTTTCGCTTGGTTTTTTATTGTTTTTGCTCTTTGAGCAAATTTTAAAGTATTTAGTGTGTCGTCAAAGTTCCTAGGATGTGGCGAGCAGCAGACGATTAAAGTGGTTTTATAGTTTCCACCTAATGATTCCTGCAATAACCTTGTTAGTTTTGAATCTCTGTATGGAATATGATCAGACCCATTTGTGAGTGCATGAATAACGTTTCCAAGAGCACTTAATGACAAATTAATTTTTTTAGCTTCTTCTAGCTTATTTCCCGTAACGCCAGTTTGGTTGATTTTTTCACATCCAGCTAAATCGACTAAATTTAATATCCCTCGCTTTTCAGAGTCATTGGAGAGCTTCTGGTTTATTTCTAACATAAATAATTGGTGGCTTCTTGAGCTTACGCTATTCATTTTTGTAGACGCCACTGTGCGATTGCTTTCTCCTAACGACAAAACATCCATTATTTCTTCTTCACATACCACATACATTTCAGTCAGCCCATGCACATAAATTCCTTTTCTTGGGTCTTCTTTAATTTTTAAATTCGCACTGTTATTTCCTAGTAAGTCCTTAAGTTTTTCTTTATAAATTTCTAGCATAGAGCATTTTAATGTGATTTCTGCTTCATTCTTAATGTTTGCTAGTGACTCAAAAACTAATCCACTAGCTCTTGGAATGATACCTTGAGATTCTTTGTCGTAAATATCAAGACCCATCATTGTAAAAGATTTTCCAGAGCCAGTTTGGCCATAAGCAAAGACTGTACCATTATACCCAGTCAGGACATCTTCAATAATTGGCTTGCCAATGAATTCAAAAATATCGCTTTGAGAAGTGTCTGGTGAAAAAACTTTATCATAAACGAATGGATCTGAGTCCAATCCTTGCTTTACTACTACACTGGTTTCGTTAGGGAAAGAATACAGATCGAGTTTTGTTTCTGGAAGCTGTAGCTCTATATCAATCAAGGGTCTGAACCTTGCAATAACTTTTATATTTTTACCAGTTTCCTCCCTTTCTCTAATAGAAGTTTTGCTTCTTCTCATATTATTTTGAGAAGGGATATATCGTAGATAGAAATAGATCTCAAAATCTTTTAGATAGAAATTTTTAAAAAATTAGTTTTTGAGGTATTTCATTGGGTCAGCATAAGCCTAAAATTTAAGAAATTACATAGATAATTTTTAAAATAGATAGTATTATATTAATCCTTTAACCTTGATGCTTTGAGAGTTTTTATACTTATTGAAGTTAAATTATTGACAATTCATTACTAAAGTTCTGTTTATGTTATACCAAAGTTGAAATCAATTTTTTTTTAATTGAAGCGTTAAAAGCAACACTTATGTCTATTAATCTTATTTAATAACTTTTGGGCAGGAACAAGCTCTTGATTGAGCCAATTTAATCCAGTAGTAGTTTTGTATGCAACTATAAAATTGTTAAAATTAATGAGAAAATAGGAAAGCTTAAATAATCATTTTTTAATCTTCAGTTAAATTTCTCCTTATTATATATTATTCCTTATAACTGAAAAACTCTCTGACTTTAAAAAAAATTATTTAACTAATCAAAATATTAATGATTCTTTGAAAGCTTTTGGCAATTTTTTAATATCAAATTTATTAGATTGACCCATATAATCTCCTGAAAAGCTTTTTGATTTTCTTACTCCCCCCTCTGTGATTGAACAAAACCATTAGAAAAATCCCTATTTTTTTGCCCAAAAAAACCACCCTCCGTGAGTGAACAAAAATTGTTTTAATAGAAAAATTTTTTATGGGAAAAAATTTTGTATATAAGTGAGAACTATTATAATGAAATCTCGAGCTAATTCTGTTTAATTTTAATAAATTGCGTTTTTAAACATAAATTTTACAAATTAAATTAATATTTGCCTTCCAATTTTCGAGAAGTGGGATTTTTTTAAAATTTCGAAAAAAAAATTTTCTATAAAATTTATCTTATATATAAATTTTTGTGTTCGTCCACGGAGGGGTTAGTTTTCTTTTACTAATTAAAATAAAAATATTTTAATCCATTTCCTTACACCATTTTCAAAGAGTAAGCAATCACTTTTTAGGCGTTTCCAGATGATATTTACACAAACCTATCATACAATGTTTTATTTTGAAAGAAAATCAAATACTGAATTAGTTAATAATATTACTGCTTAGATGATTAAAATAGCAAAATTGATGGAATTTAAATTAGGTGCAATAATTGTGTCAAAGCCCTATATATATAAAGAGCTATTTATATTAAAAAAATTTGGAAAGAATTAATTTGGATATTCTATAATTGTTCTTGGGATGGGAAGTCAGTAAACTTAGTCCATGAAATTCATATAATTTTAAAATGTAACCCGCCCATATTTATCTTATAGCTTTCTTAGTCTTAGTCTTATTCTTAACTATACTTATCCAAAAGTACTGTAATTCTCGGAGTACTAGCTCTTTCCCTAATGCTTCCCCGCTACTCACCAGTTCACTTTCACAGCTTCGCAAAGGTTAATACTGCCGAATAAGTGCCTGCACTCGTTGTCAGCAGTTGGAAGATTTGTTTCACCATGCCGCACGTTTAAATAAGTTACCTGCCATTGCAAATTGGAAATTTTTTGATTGACTTTTGGCAAATTGGAAATCCATAATTTCTTGTTTCAAAGTAAAGACCATTCCTGACTGGCCAAGAAACTCACTTCTGGTAATGTGGAGATCTCTTTTCAACTCTTGGCTCATTTTCCCCATGAGGAAAACCCTGTTAAAAGATTGAGCTTGGGCTGATCAACTAAAGTCTGTTCCACTTGATTCCAGGAAGCACCTACCAGATACTCATTCTTGAGCGCCATCATCCTTTCCTCAAGATCCCGCACACCTGTGGGATGTCGACTACAGGAGTTAAGAGGTTGGGCTGATTCACCACACCCCATTTTAATATATATCTTTACGCTTTCTATATAGCTTGCATATTGACTTTAGCAAGATAAATATATTTCAGCTTCCCAATACTTGGTTAATACAATTTTAGAAAGCTAAATCAATTATGATTCGACAAAGCAAATAAATTATTTATGCAATAGATTATAACTAAATTAAAGTTCAAACCTTTGCTATATGGAAACATTTCATCCTTTAGATCAGCATTGCTTCAATGGTAGGCCGGATTACCGCTTTGAAAAACTTATAGGTTCTGGGAGTTTTGGATCAGTGTACAAAGCTTACAGCATTCAGAACAATCTCGCAGTCGCTATAAAAAGATCTGCTAAATCTGGAAGTCTAGTTTCCCGAGAATATAAGATTCTGAAAGAGACCGCTTCATCAGAAAACTGCGTCAGGCTCCTCGATATATTTTATTCGATAACAGAAGATGGCAAATACATACAACACCTCGTATTTGAATATTTGCCTGAAAATCTCTCACGATTTATAAGGAATCGTAAAAGAGCACACCACCCTTTAGATCATGCTGAAATCTGCTCAATTTTCAAGCAAATTTTGCAAGGGCTGCAGTTCATTCATGGCAAAAACATCCTTCATAGAGATCTCAAGCCTGAAAATGTTTTAATTGATCCTATTACAATGAAAGTAAAATTATTCTAATTTCCCATGGATGGCGCTATTTTTAGCTTTGATTTTCCCACTGGGAAAATTTTTTGGTTTGACCAAACCATATGGTACTGGTCGAACTAAAAAATTTTTCCAGTGGGAAAATCAAGGCCAAAACAGCGCTATCCATAGGAAATTGCAATATGCGATTTTGGCAGCGCAAAAATTCAAACTGATAAAAACACGCCTTTTATTGTTTCAAGGTATTATAGAGCTCCAGAGCTAATATTTTGTAATTGTAAATACGGAAGTGAAATCGATATATGAGCAGCAGGATGCATTTTTCTTGAACTGTTTTTGGGCTCACCTGTCTTTTTAGGAAAAAATGAAGGAAATCAATTTATACAGCAAGCTAATATTCTCGGACCCCCATCATTAAGTGACATAATAAGACTCACTGAAAACACACAAATAAAGCCAAAAATTGCAGCAAAGGCAATAAAAATCGGCAAAAAACAAAACATTTTGGAGTTCTTAAGAAGGAGTCCAAAAGCTAATGAAGCCTTGGATCTTATTCAAAATATGCTATCATGAGATCCCACTAAGCGCCCAAGTGCCACAGAGTGCTTAAATCATCCTTTTTTCGATGTGTGCTAATAATCTTAACTGCAAAAATAATTAAAAAGTATTACGAATTAATAAAAAATGAGCGGGACTGAAGTTTCAGATGATCTAAGCGCTACATCAACACCGATCATGTTTATGAGCCCAGAAAGCTCGGTTAAAAAAATAAAAATTGTGGTAGGAACTATTTAGTCTGCTGAACTTCTTAAAAGATTAGGGATCGAAGGTAAAAAGCGATTTACAAAGACTCCAATACGATGCGATTCGACCCGAAAACGATTTATTAGGATTCCTCGAATACTAAGCCCGAGAAAACCTGCAACTCCAAGCATTTTCAGAGCTATGAGAGGGCCACCAAAATTAATTGTTACTTATAAAGAGAGCACAAATAAATAATTGATATTATATATGCAGAATTGGCTGCTGTTTTAATTGCAGAGATTTAATAATTTTAAAGAAATGGTGAGAACAACTGAAGGGACCTTTATTTCTTGGTATTATTTATGATAGTGATGAGCCAATTAAACAGTTTTTGAGGAATTTGGACCAGACTCATAAATTCATACTGAGAGATTTGGGAGAAGGCCAGCTGTTTATAAAATCGGATAAGAGAAATTTCGTAAAAGAAGAAGTTGAAAAATTTTTAGATCAGCATACTTTTAAAAGACCAGAGCTTGCTTAGATTTTAATATATTAGTAATAAATTATAGTTCATGAGTTTGCACATGTCAAGCTCTTTTGAATGGGCTGAAATAATTTTATTTCTATGATTTAAGAGTGAATTGAAAAGATTTCTAATAATAAAGATTGATAAATGTAAAAAATATTAATTTTGAATTTAAAAATTTGTGATTAAAATAATTTATTTATGATAACACTATTTCCACAATTATTTATATAAAATTAATAGGCTCAAGAGAATTATGGCATTAATTTAATATTTAAAATCGCTTTATATAGATTTATTGCAATGAAATTTCAGTTAATTTATATTATATTTGGATGTTTATATAATAAATTTTGATAAGTATCTCATTTTGAACTTTATTGATATTAATCCTTTAGGTATTCCTCATAATGGCCGACATCACTTACAGTGACATTATTCAATTCATCCACCTTTCACTTATCCCACAAGTTGGCCAAACTAAATCAGAAATTCTCAATAAGCTGATAACTTACAACTACACCTTGAGTTTAAAAGACTTGCAGGAAATGGAACAAGAAATTACTAATCTTTTTTCTACAAATACCCAGATCGCTCAGGCTGCCCAAAACCTTTACTATGCTTGTTATTTTCAAGCGGTTTTGGACACCCATCCATTTGATACAACGTATTTATCCTTTACAATCGATGTCATTTCCTACCTCCGTGAGCATTGCCCAGAATTAGATATAAAAGAGTCTGTTTACTCAATCCTCTGCAAAGTTGTCATAGCCCTAATTTCATGCAAAGACATAAACGACGTTTTTAATTGGGCTGATAAAATAAAGCAAATTAAAGAGCAACTACAGTATAATGAGACAGAAGTTGAAGAAGCCTGGGTGACCACAAAAATCAAGACGATTTTGCTAGAAAGGGTGTGTGATCCTAACAAAGAAACAATAAAATGGTGCATTCAAGCCATAAAGATGATTGAAAGCTCAGGATTCAATATAACTTATATAAAACAAGTTGCTAAAAAAAAATGCATAATTAAAATATGGCGTCTTCGTCTGGGCATGGCCTCCCGGCCATGCAGCCTCGACTCATATTTTAATTATATCCGGCAAGGTTTTGCCATTCAGAGAGAGACTGCAATGCTAGGTAAGCAATTCTGGCTGCGTACAGAGCCTAGCCCTAGTCTATTCTCAGGGTGGTTTTTTCCTCATGGGAAAGGAGGGCACGGAAGTGGAAAGGGGAAGCCCAGCAAAGTCCTTAGGACCAATCGGGCAACTCCCTAGCGTGAAACTGGGCGTTACGTCCCAGGCTACGTGTTTTTCCTTTTTGCCGATAGCCTACCAGAAAATCCATTTTTTGGGTTTTCGGAATTGCAACCCATGTCACAAGCAAGTAGCTCATCCATGAGCCGTCGAAGTCGGCAACACTTGCCAGGAGGCGCACCTTGGTGAAACGAAGCGGACCTGCCCAGAGGTCTGTGGGCCCGATGCGGCGAGAGGCGAGCGGAAGGCCTGGGATTTGCTAACCCCGTGAGTGGACGTTTATTTATTTATTTATTTTTACGGTTTTCGTCCAGCATTTGGACCAACTTTTTCCTCCAAAGTGTTTTCTAATTTTAAAAATTTCTCCAATAAACCTCCTTATTTCTTCATTAACCTTCCAAATATGTTCACTATGTTTCAAACGCATAATTTTGTCAAACCTCCAACCATACAGAATTATTTCAGTAAGACTCAGTAAATAAAAATCATCCTTTAGGAATTTTTCCATTTCTTTTATTAGTTTCACCCTGCTACTCTCATATATGTAGCAATTTTCAATGACATGTTCTTCATCTTCAACTTGTCCCCCGTGAGTGGACGTTAAGCGTGTGTATACGTATTAAGTAAGTAAGTAAGCTATAAAAAATGCACTGGATTGGATTGAGACTACCAACGATATCTTAAATATAGCAGAAATCACTGGAGACCCAGTTCAAAAAGATGAAGATGGGGCCAGAGAAATTCTGGAGCTTTTAAAAGAACTGCAGATTGGCGATGAAGAAGTCACTTCTGCAATAAATGCTTTAAGTGATAAATTTGGAGTAAAGCTAAGTCCTGAAGCTCAGACTAAAACAGTAATAGCAAAAGAAAGGATCAAGTTTTTGTATCCTCCGTTATACTCAAATACAAATGAGCTTACCAAGCTGAATATCACGGTGTGGAAAGGAGTTCTTGACGGCTCAAAAGAAATTGCTATAAAATCTTATAGCCACTGGAAAGCAGAATTACTGAACCAATATCAAAAAGAAAGAGAAATTCTTGAAGGGATTTCAGGTCAGCACTCCACATTTTTAGAGTTTTACGGGTCATATACAGAAGAAGTGATTGAAAGGGGAAACAGAATGTATTCGTTTGCAATGGCAATGGAACTGTGCGAGACCACTTTAATTGTTGATATCACAAGAAGGGCCCGAGAAATAAGGCCTTACAATATATCAGAATATCAAACTTTAGTTTCAAGCCTTTTGGAAGGTTTCAGCTACCTTGAAGCAAGAAAAATTTACCACCAAGATATCAAGCCTCACAATATATTTATAACAAGAGACGGAAAACCAAAAATTGCTGATTTCAGTGTTTCCATGACAACAGAAGTGAGACTGACTTCTTTTATGACAACTGGAATGAATTTGATTCAAGGAACAGAAGGATATATGTCTCCTGAACTCCATAAAGCTTACAAAGAACTTAAAGCTAGCCCTAATGCCCCTAAGAAGATCAAGTACAAGCCAAGCAAATCTGATGTCTACTCTTTAGGTTTGGTGTTTTTACAAATGTATACCTTATCTCCTGTAGATGGATACAATGAAGAAGAATTTCAGCCTCATTTGCAGGAATATGTGGCACAATTCCAGCCAGAATGGGTGGCTAATATGCTAAAAAAGATGCTAAATCCAGATGCAAGGAAAAGAATAAGCTTTGTAAAAATGTACTCGCAAATCAATAGCGATCCAACTTATGTAGCTTCTTATCAGACACCTCAATAATTAAATAAATTAATTATTATAATAAAAAACGAAAATTCTTAAATTTTTCAATTATATATTTGCTCTATATATTATTGCAAATTCTTATAAACAATATATTATGTAAAGTTTTTTTTTCTAGCTGTTACCCACAAAAAACGTAATAAAAATTATCACCATAACTGGTAATGATAAAATTAAACCAATTTTCGTTCCAAAAGCTTGGAATTTACTTAATTTGACAAACTTCAATATAAGCAAGCTTAAAAAGCTTAGAACAAGCCCAGTAAGAATCCCTAAAATAAAGTTCAATCCATCCCCTTTTTCATGCAATTTGCTGAGCATGATTCTGCTTCGTTCATCTGGATTAGCATTAATTATTGGAAGTTTTCCTTCAAGCCATTTTTCTTCCAAAACAATTTTTTCTTCTTCGCTGTCTTTGTTGATCCCACTATAAACACACATAGCATGGAAATGAAACTTCATTCCATGAATATCATCAGCACTATATCCAGACTCTTCTAGCTTATCCAAGCCTCGAGCTTGTGATCTTCTCAACATTGTTCTTGACGATCCGGGCTGCTCATCAACCGGATCAGTAACAAAGCCGTGAATCACGCACTTATCATGCAGTTTATAAACCGAAATAAGATGAGAATCCACTAAGACTCTGCCTCCATAAATAAGCCTTATGCATTTGCTTTCTTCGATTTCTTTAGCGAAGAGCCGAGTCTTTATATTTCCAACTAGTTCTGTGAGTGGGTCAAGAGAAATAGTACGGACATCAGTATCAGTGACTTTTACGAAAATTGTGATGTGGTTTGGGTTGGCAGTGGGGTCGCTTGACTCTTCGGGCCCTGAAAACAAGTGCATAGGCTGCTGGCTCTCAAGTGACTCTTCCACGATTTCATCATATTTGCCCATTTGATTATTTAAATACCATTTATATGATGGTTGTTACTAACTATCTTAAAGCTTGCTGTGCATAGTACTTGACGTCTTTGTCAGGGTCTCTTGATAGGTCTTGCAGGAGGTTTCTGAACTGAGAGACGTCGATTTTGGTGGAAAGTTTTTTGATCGTTTTGCACAGGACTAATCTGACATTGGCTACCTTATCCCTTGCTGCTTCGTTGAAGATGGGCACGTATTGGTCTGAGTTCACATAGATGCTTCCCATTGCTTTAATGATAGTGACTCTTGCTATGCAGTTGGCTTGGTTATGATAAATTTCTTCTAGCTTCGTTAAAAACTCAGCGACTGTCCATTCAGGGGTCATGATGGTTGTTAAAGTATTCAGCTCTTCAATTCCTGCTTCTCTCACGTCGTTTACAGGGTCTGTCAAAAATGCTACATAAATTTGCTGCAGATGTCTTATAAATGCTTCTTCTCCCAGATGTCTTGTGATATCAACACAACTTTTGATGACTGCTTGTCTTAATCTCCACTGAGGTGACTCTCTAACTAAAGTCGTCATTTGGTTAACAATAGGTGGTGAAAGCAATTCAATTCCTATAGCTGCAGCTAAATTTCCTAAGCCTTCTACCATCTTCATTTTGACCTCAAAACTTTCATCATTCAGCAGCACAAGCACAATAGGAGTGATTTTAGCAGAAGCAAACTCTCTGCCTACGTATTGGACCATTTCTGAAATCACTTCAGCACAATTTTTCCTGACTTTTGGGTTTAAAGATAAATCTGAAGATATAGCTTCGACTGTCGGAAACACCAAATTTTGTATTTTTTCTCTGTTGATAGAGTTCATTGTGCCTTTCAGTGAATGTAAAGCTATCGATTTCACATCTGCTTCTACGTCTCTCAAAAGCTGCACAAAGGTTTGGATCAGTGAGTTTTCTGTGATTTCTTTTCCTAGCGACTCAGCCAATTGTGGGAATTTCTGGGCAAAATGATACCTTACTCTCCAGGATTTGTCTTCTCCTACAAGAAGGATGATTGGGAGTGCATGCAATTTATTTTCTTCTTTACTTAAAAGCTTTGCGACCTCAATCATTGAATCAACGCACAAAGTTCTGACCTGATCTTGCTCATCCTGGGCTAGCTGTCTCAAGTCAGGAATTAATTCAGAAATCAAAAAAGGTTTTTCAATGACTTTTGCAAAAATTCCCATTTCAATAACTGCCGCTCTTCTTACCATTGGAGTATCTTCGTGGCTCAGTTCTAAAAATTTTTGCCTCAGTTTTTCTTTGAAATTTCCACTTCTTGGATAAGCTGCCCCAAAAAGAGTGACAGCAGAAATCCTTGATGAGAAGTTCTCAGCAGCTGAAAGTTTTAGCACAGAAGGAACAAGTAAATTGATTATACCGCTCTGTGTATTAAAATGGTGCGCTAATAGATTCAAACTCTTAATTGTGCAGCTGGGCTTTACTGAGGTTGGGGATTTTGAAGAAGAGAGGCGTCCAATGAGTGCATTCAGATAGGTTTACTGGCGCAGATGGAGCCTTATGCTGACCTGATCAGCCAAAGTTCGCTATTCCTCATGGCAAAATAGACTCAAAATTTTTGAAGGATTCTTTTAGCAGCATCAGAAGATGTCTCTTGGCCAATAGGACACTTATCCAGAGTGATGCCACCTCACCCAGAAGGAGTAGCACAACGTAAGGCCGTGTGTGGATGACAAGTAAGTATTGGATCGTTATGGAAGGGAATAAATGGCTTTCAAGCACCTGACAGTAGGCTTCTTTTATAAGTATAATTAAAGATTATATCGCTGTCTGGGAGGACTTCAGCTATTGTTTTTATCGATCTCACAGCTTGTTCTCTCACAACAGTCTCATCCATCATAGCAAGTGTTTCTAGCAACGGGAGCAAGACACTCGGGTTGGGCAAAAATGATGACAAATTACCGAGTTCTTGAGCTAAGGCAAAGAGGACTTCGTCTTCTTCGTTTGTCAAAGCTGAGTAAAGTATTACTTGATAAATAAGGCAGTAATTGGCTCTGAACTTTTTCTGGGCCTAAAATAGTCGCGATAATTTGTATGCGATGAATTGCATTGACTTTGACGTATACTTCATCAGTGCTCATTTCTTCGCGAAGCAAGTCTAACTCCTTAGAATTAGCAAGATTTTATTGTTCTCTCTTAAAGGATGTTGAATTTTTTAATTGCTTTATATCAAAATTGTATATAATTATTTTTTCCTGCTTTAAAAAATCCCGAAAAGAAAAATCTAATTTAATTTATAAATTAATGAATGGAATCTATGTAAATTTAATAGAGGTAGAAAGAGATCTCCTTATGAAATTTTTAATTATATAAACATTTATAAAATAATTTATATTAAAAACATCATTTTTGCTCACTCTAAAAGGGGTAAATTTTCCCAAACGAGGAATTTTTCCCAACCTTTTGCTTGCTCTTAATAGGGGGGTAAGGGGTTCGGCTCTACATTAGAAAATACCCATTGCGCTCTTTTATATAATATTAAATTAATTATGGTTAAATGTTTCAGAAAGCTTATGCAGATGAAGCCTTGGGACTTCTGTTGGGATTTGACTGACTCCCCCCCCCTTTAAATTGAAACAAAATTTTTTGTTTCAATTTAAAGGGGGGTTAAGAAAATTTTTTTTATAAAAAAATTTATATATAAAAATTTTTTCAGAGATAAAATTTTATAGAAAATAAATTATATAAATTTAAAGAATTTCATGAAAAATTAATTCATAAATTTCTCAATCTCAAAGTGTAAACTTGCTGAAATGGTATTCTTCTAACTCTCCCCATAACAATTGGACAAAATAGAGTTTAATTTCTAAATCTTATATGTTTGAAGTATATTAAATAGGGTATTAACGTATTTACATATAAAATAATGATTTTTACCTATAAAATTTTCTATTATAATAAAATTTTGTTTCAATTTAAAGGGGGGGTAATTTCCCAAAAAAGTAGGAATTTTACCTATATTTTGTTTCAATTTAAAGGGGGGGGAGTGAGATATTGCTCTTTTAATGTGACATTTTGGAGGTTTAGCAGAATTTCACTGTATTCTATAAGCCCATTCTGATTTATATCTGCAAATCCGCTTAACTTGAGAGCTAAGGCATGGTCAATAGGCAGTTCAAGCCAGAGCAGCATGTTTTCGAATTCTTGAAAAGTAAGAGAAGTATCCTGGTCTGCATCCATCTTCTCAAATAGCTCATTTACCGAAGTTTTCTTTTCAATCAGCTTTTCTTTCATCATGGCTCAATATTTCTCAGCTTCTTCTCTGAAATCTTCTCTAAATTTTTGAGTTGAAAATTTATTAATTTTTTTTGGATTGCTTGTAAATGATTTATTTTTGAAGTCTTTTTTCAATTCATTATAGTAATTTTCCAGCTCGTCTTTTGTATATATATTTTCAGTCAGATTTGTTTCTCCTTTTAAAAGCCTGATGACAACCTTTTCATAAATTAAGTCCATCATATCAATCGCTATATCTAAAGCAGTTTTTCCAGAGGCAGTCAAAAGAGAAATATTGGCGCCCATTTGAATTAGCGTTCGAATCGCCATAAGTTGCCGATTTTCCACAGCCACATGCAATGCAGATAGTTTCTTCTTCGGAGTTTGATCATTTACAGAGTATTTTTTGGACTCAATACATTGTCTTATTTTTTCAGCACTCCCATCTTTTGCATGATCCCAAATGTGATAGAATGAATCTGTAAGCTTACTTGAGGAATCTAAGTCTTTTGGTTTTCGCTGTCTGATATCACTTTGCCCTCGCAAAATATTTTTATCACTGTCTAGCTTTATGAGAAATTCAATCATTTCTGCATGAGACTGAAGCGTAGAGATATGCAAGGCATTCTGTAATTTTTCATTTTTAGCATATATGCTTGAACCATGCTCTATTAATAGCTGAGCAAGATCTAGGCGCTTATTCTGGACTGCTAGCAAAAATGGAGTAGCTTTTCGAGAGCAAGGAATTTCTAGAACTTTTGATAGAGAGGAAATTCCTGCTCTTTGAAGCTCAATAGGGGCTTCTGGATCTATACAAATGGTTTCTCTAATTTTGAATATTTTTAAAAGATACTGTACAATATTTATTGGAGCAAAAATGCAAGCAATATGCAAAGCGTTTCAGCCTTCTTGAGTTTGCTCATCTGAAGCTTTTCAGCTTTGAGAAACTCATGATTTCACCCCAAAGTGCATATCTGGTCAAGCATGAAATCTCTCATCTTCCTCAATGCCAAACTACCTAGTCTTTATAATAAGAAATTTAGAGATATTGCAGCATTTTCAATCCTAAGCTATTAAAATGCGATTTATAGCATGTGTAAACGTATATTTAATACTTTATTTTACATCCCTACTATATACAGAATTTTATATGGCTAGTAATTTAGCTTATATTTTTCAATTTAAATTTAAATGAGATATATCATGCTTTATATGTAAAATAAGTTATCCAAGCATATTAAATCTGTTAAAACGTATTAATTTAGCTCTATCAATTCCGGATATTGCATGCATCTATGATACTTAATTAAATTTGAATTAGTTTCCACTTTAAGCAGAATTCGATGGATTTACACTTAAAATGCTATAGTTCCAGCCTATTTTTCTACTATTTATTAGTGTCGAAATTTTACCATATAAAAATTCTATATATAGTATTATGCGTTGCATAAACTTCTTATGGGCGTTATACGCACCATTTTCATTTGAAATGTCAAATTATGAATTTGCCGTACTAGAATCTGCGTTTTGAAACGCATATTTGGTTTTCATATATTAAATTCAAATTGACATGCATATGCATGATAAGACATTATTGCAATACATAATAGGATATAAAATAAAGTATTAAATATATGTGTAGACATGCTATAAATCACATTTTATTTAGGGTAGAGCGGAAATGCTGCAATATCTTTTATATTTCTTATTATCAATACTAGATAGCTTGACATTGAGGGAGAGTTATTGCTTTACCACATATCAACATCTCCATCAACAGATCCTTCAAGTAGAAGTTTCAGAGTTTTTAAATATCCCGCAGCAACAGCAAAATGCAAAGCGTTTCATCCTCGTTTATTAGCATGCAATGGACTTGCTTTTTTTTCTAATAAAATGCTTACGGCTTCTATATTTTTTTTCTTGATGGCTGAAATAAGATAATTTTCACTCAAATCTCCGTGGATATGCTGCAAGACTTCTTTTTCATCCAGAGCTTGCAAATCTCTATTGTCGAGTCTAAATCTACCCTTACATTTCAGAAGGTTTGAGAATTTTAATTTTTCCAACTGAAACTGAATGTCTGATCATGCTAACAAGCAAGGATGTGATTTTTTTGTCGTTTGAGAGCTCAATTGGTCTTTTTTGAAGGAGATCTTCTTGCCTTGGATTTGCGCCTCCTTCAAGCAAAAACCTTACAATTTGGTACTTATTATTCATAACTGCAAAATGAAGAGCTGATCTGCCACACTCATCAACCCAATTGATATATTTTTGTTTTTCAATTTTATTCTGAGAAACTGAAATTTCTTCTGATTGATCCATTTTCCGTATCATTTGTTGGATTCCTTCATGGAAGCAGGATAGATCTAAATTCTGGAAAAATCGTTCTCTGGACTTTTCATGACTTATTGGCAAGGATTCAGACTTTTCACTTACAATTGGCTTGTATTTCCTGTATTTTATAAGCCTTGCAATTGTGAAATGGTTTTCTTTTGTTTTCATCAAGTTAATAGTTTTACAAGCGTTTTTAGCACCTCTTACTTCCCCCCCCCCCCCCCTCCGTGAGCGAACAAAACCATTAGAAAAAATCGCCATTTTTTTGACCAAAAACCCACCCTCCGTGAGTGAACAAAAATTTTTTTAATAGAAAAAATTTTAATGGAAAAAAATTTTGATATATAAGTGATAATTAGTATAATGAAATCTAGAGCTAATTCTGTTTAAATTTTAAACAAATTGCGTTTTAAAACATAAATTTTGCAAATTAAATTAATATTTGCTTCCCAATTTTTGCAAATTAGGATTTTTTTAAATTTCGAAAAAAATATTTTTTATAAAATTTATATATAAATTTTTTTTAAAAAAAAAAATTAACCCCCCTCCGTGAGCGAACAAAATTTTTTTGTTCGCTCACGGAGGGGGGGGGGAGTTAGCAAATATTCAACTAATTTGACATTATCTTGAAAAGATGAGTAGTGTAGAGGAGTTCTGCCTTTTTCATCTATAAGTCTCGGATCTGCTCCAACTTCTAATAGCATTACCAAGGCTTTTTCAAACCCCATCGCAGCCGCATAATGAAGCGGAGTCCTATTATATTGATCTCTCACATTTGCTCTAAGCATTCTTTCATAATCATCATTTGCAGAGTCTAAAGTTGCTTCAACAGCCCTTAAATTTTCACTTAAAACAGCATGCAAAGTCGACAAAACGAAGCTTTGATTATATTTCAACCCTTTTTTAACAATAGTTTTACTTGCCTTTATTCTTTTTTCAACTTTAATTTCGTATTGATCATTAAGATCACGAGAAATTTTTTTCTTTCTTCTTTCCTCTGCTCTTTCCAGAACATTTTCTATGCTAGCTCCTTCCCCCTTTAAATTTGAACAAAATATTGGTACTTTAACCCCTTTAAATACTATAATTAGTTTTTTCCTAATCTTATTGAAAAAGTGCGAATAGAATGTTATTTAAAAAGTTTTGGCATGAATCAATTTTATTTTTAATTCAATTTATATATTTTTACTATTAAAAAAAATAAATTTCAGGGTTTTTTGTTCCAATTTAAAAAGGGGAATGAGTTCTCTATTAATTGTTTTAACGTCAGCTACAGTAAATGAGTGATTCATTTTTGGCTGAATTTGCTCCTTTATGATTCTTTCTTTAAGTTTTTGCTTGATCATGTTGAATCTAAGTTCTTTGAGCTTTAAAATCTTTTCCGAGTTTTTAAGTTCTTCGTTAGAATAGTCGAAAAATCTTCTAGGTTTGAATTTATCTTTTTTTAATGTTTCAGATTTTTTGAGATTGTCGCTAATATTGATCGGAGGTAAAGTTAGAGTTTCTCCTAAGTTTGGTGATTTTTCTTCTATTGCTGAAACATTTAAATCTGGTACAAAATTAGGTCTGATGTGCATTGTATTATTTAACTGATGTAAGGTAATGTTATCAAGATCACCGAAATAGTCTAAATCGTTTTCTTCCATTTTAAACATTTTATTAAAGATATCCAATTTTCTGAGATTATTATAAAATTTGAGTGAAATAATTTTACTTATTTTTTATTGTTTGAGCTGGATGGCGAACTCTTTTTTCTTTTGAACGTAGAAACATTCAAAATTCTTGGATTTTTATTTAATTCAATTTGAGGTGCCTTTACGCTTTGGCTAGATTTAATTGCTGGTGCTGAGCTTGACCTCTTAATCTGTGACAGGCTTTCTGATTTTTTGATATTATGATTTGATTTTGGTGCTGGTTTTTCAGTCAATTTTGTTTTATCATGCATTGATTTCGGTCTTTCTTCACGCTTTGCTTGACTTTGCATTGGTTTTTTATTTTCATCTGTATGCTTTTTATTCTGAGTTGCTCTTGGAGCTGATTTAGGCCTTTCAGCAGATTTTATTTTGTCTTGAGTTGCATTTTGTGCTGATTTTGATCTTCCATGTGCAGACTTTTTATTTTTACTTGCATCATTCTCATTTTTATTGCGTCCCTCATGTTTTTTGCCTTTGTGTTTTAATTTTTCAACTTGGAGTTTATGCAAAACGTTGGCTTCATTTCCTCGCATACGTTTCTTTTTTTGAGGTTTTATCGATTCTCTAATTTCATTTATGCTGCTTCTAAAAGCTGAAGTTTCCCATTTATACATTTTTTGTCCTTGCTTATCCTTTTCAGTAGGTCTATATTCATGCTTCCCTTTAGAATTTGGGTTTTCTTTTGTTTTAGTTTTTTTCTCATCCTCTGCATATTTTTGCAATTTGGCTGGGATTTCGAGTTTACTCTCTTTAAATATGTTAATCATAAATTCAGCACGAACTTTATCTTCAGGCGTAAAAAAAGAAATAGCAGACCCTTGCAGCCCAGCTCTTGCCGTCCTTCCAACTCTGTGGACATAGTCTCTAGCACTTTCTGGCATATCGAAATTTATAACTGTCTTTATATCTTTTACATCAAGCCCTCTAGCAGCTAGATCTGTTGCTATTAAAATTCTGCTAAAGCCTAATGCGAACTGCTGTAGAGCAGTTGTCCTTTCTGACTGTGTTTTATCGCTATGAATTGAAGAAACCTTGTAGCCTTCAAAAGACAAATGTGCAGCCAACCTATCACAAGCTTTTTTTGTTTCAACAAATATTAGGACCCTTGATTTAATAGGATTTAGCTTCAGAATTTCTAAAAGCTTTTTGAGCTTTTCGCCTTCTTCAATCATCTCAATTTTGTGAGAAATATCAGAATTAATGGTTAACTCCCCTGATCCAATTCTAACTTCCTCTGGGTCTTTCATGAACTCCTTTGATATTTTTTGGATAGAGTCTGGGAAAGTTGCAGAAAACATCAAAGTCTGCCGATTACTTCCGATTTCTTGGACAATTTTTTTAATAGAGTTTTCAAATCCCATATCAAGCATTTTGTCGACTTCATCAATAACAAAATAGCTTACTTTGCTAAGTTTAGCAGCTCCTTCTATGATGTAGTCTATAAGCCTCCCTGGAGTTGCAATAAGCATAGGCTTCCCTTTGAATAAATTTGATCTCTGATCTTCTTTGTCAACTCCTCCAAACACGCATGAGCTTTTAATGTCAAGAGGATGCCCATAGTGATTAAATTCCTTACTTCCCTGTCCGTGAGCTAACAAACTCTTGGAAAATTCCCTATTTTTTGCCCAAAAACCCACCCTTCTTGAGAGATAAAAAATAATTTTTTTTCAAAAAATTTTGATATGTAAGCGATAATTATTACAATGAAATCTCTGTTTAATTTAAAGCAGCTTGCATTTTAAAACATAATTTGCAAATTAAATTAATATTTGCTCTCCGATTTTTTGCGAATTGGGATTATTGTAAATTTTGAAAAAAGATTACTATAAAATTTATAAAAAAAATTTAACCCCCTCTGGAAGCAAACAGATTTTTTTTAACCACGGACGGAGAGTTAGAAGTTTGCAAAGCAAGCTCTCTTGTGGGAGAAATCACAAGCGCTATTGGACCATCACCTCTCTATATAGATTTTACTTCTATTTTTTCCCTGCTATTTATGTGTACTATTGCAGGTGCAACAAATGCAAGAGTCTTTCCTGATCCTGTTTTCGCGATGCCAATCAAGTCTTTCCCTTTCAAAATCGGTCCCCAGCATTTATCTTGAATCTCTGTTGGCTTTGTAAACCCTGCCTCTGAGAAGCTTTTAAGAATTTCTGACGGAAAGTTGAATTTTTCAAATGCTCCAACAGCAGTTGTTGGCTTGGAAAATCTTGCAAAAAGACGATGGGCTCTAAAAAGCATTGTAAAAATCCATATTTTAAAGATGTGATAAAAATAAACAATTTATAGTTTAAGCGCTCTGATCTTCATTGGCTTTCAGCAAATACGTTTTGATAACTCGATTCACTGAGGGTATATCTACTTCTTGATGAAATCTGAACTTAAATGCCCCAGGCTTGTAATTATCAATCACCATCATGCTATCTTCACTTATGCAGATAGCCCCAGGAACTCCATTGCTCTCCATCTTATTCGCTATCAGGACATCAGATCCAAAAATATCATACCTTATAATATTAGCTCCTGCAATCCCTCCAATTATACTGCCTGTATGGATCCCAACCCTCATTTTTAAATTCAAAATTAAGCCATCATTTACAATATCAATTGTCTGGAGAAGCGCTTGTGCAAAATTTATTATGTTAAGGCACTCTTGTGAAGGATTTCTTTCATAATCAGTGCCATTGAGCCCCATTGCAACATAGCAATCGCCAATTGTGTGGACTTTATATACATTGAACTCAACACATAATTTGTCAAATCTCGTGAAAAATTCAGAAAGCATGCCAACCACCTCTTTTGCTTCTTTATTGGAAGATCATAATGTAAATCCTGCTATATCTGCATATAGCATTGTAACGTTGGAAAAGGTATCAGCGATTGCTATTTCTTCTCTTAAATTGCGAAATACATGTGGAGGCATCATTTGAGTTAATAAAGCTTCTATTTTCTCAATTTCTCTATTTGAGGCATTTTCGATAGCAAGAAATCTTCTGAGGTTTTTTTCTCTATAGAATGTGACGAACTGTACAATTGTAGTATAGCCCAGAACCATTATTGCTTCCTGGACTGCAAACATATGGTTTGAGAAAAACAATGAAATAATCCAAAAAATAGCTAATGATAAAGATACCACAAATAAATTTTTGAAAAATAACCCTGTGCATTGGAGAAGAATGAAATACATAAGAAATATGCTTGTAATCGCTGAAAACTCTTCAGATGTTTCAGTTTGCCAGAATTCGATAATAATTTTAGCAATTATTGACAGTGCATAAAATATTTCAAGAGTAATAGAAAAGAGCTTTTTTGTGTGCATTCGTTTTATGACGGTAACAGTCACTGCATAAATGATAGTTTCAATACTGAAAAAGCAAAGGTCGGCTATTTTATACGATTTTGGTTCTTCGTTAATTGCATCTGCTAAATTTGTCAACACCAAAATAAAACAGCTTACAAGCCCAACATAGTTGCCAAAAATTAGAGCTGAAGAATAGTTTCTCACTCCCCCCTCCATGAGTAACAAAAAATTTTGTTCGCTCACGGAGGAGGTTAATTTTTATTTTTAAAAAATTTATATATAAATTTTATAGAAAATACATTTTTCGAAATTTAAAAAAATCCTAATTCGCAAAAAATTGGAAAGCAAATATTAATTTAATTTATAAATTTATTTTTTAAAACACAATTTGTTTAAAATTAAAAGAATTAGCTTGAGATTTCATTATAATAATTATCACTTATATATCAAAATTTTTTTCTATTAAAAAATTTTTGTTCGCTCACGAAGGGGTGGTTTTTTTAGGGATTTTTTCTAATGGATTTGTTCACTCACGGAGGAGGCGAATCAGCATTTGATGCCTGACTATTCTATCTTCATGAGTTTCATTTATATTAAACGGACAAAAATCTTCTAACGATGACCCCCCTCAATCTTCATGTCTATTGCAACAAAAATGCAATTTTTTAATATAAATTTTATATAAAAAAAAAAAAATTTTCATGTCTCTTGCAACAAATTATATACATTAAAATGGCGACACGTGTCAACCTGCCCTCTTGGCGCAGCAGTCCAGACCTTATGGCTACAGCGAGCTGGGACGGACTCCGAGCCGAGAATCAGATGCAGGCTCAAGAAGTGTGTATCCGGTAGGTTTTGGCTGCTTTCCTGTGGTTGGAAATGGAGGTGCTCAACAACGTCCTTGGATCCGAGGACCCATTGGTATTCCTCTAACACCCCCCCCCCCCTCCGCGAGTGAACAAAACCATTAGAAAAATCCCTATTTTTTGCCCAAAAACCACCCTCCGTGAGTGAACAAAATTTTTTTAATAGAAAAATTTTTTATGGAAAAAAATTTTGATATATAAATAATAATTATTATAATGAAATCTAGAGCTAATTCTGTTTAATTTTAAACAAATTGCTTTTTAAAACATAAATTTTATAAATTAAATTAATATTTGCTTTCCAATTTTGCGAATTAGGATTTTTTAAATTTCGAAAAAAAATATTGTTTATAAGATTTATATATAAATTTGTTTTTAAAAAAAAATTAACCCCCCTCCGTGAGTGAACAAAATTTTTTTGTTCACTCACGGAGGGGGGGAGTAACGAGAAACTGGGAGTTTCAGCCCAGGTCACAGGGGAACAGTCTTTTTCCTTTAGCTGTCGAAGAAAGGCACTTTGATACCCAATAGACTCAAAGAGCTGATCCTTGGAATAAGCTACTCCAATCGCCCGTAGCAGGGCCGCAGAAATCCATAAGCCGCCCACTCAAGACTGAACTCCCAAGGCAAGGAGGAGACAGAAGGTACCGAAAGGGCACTCGCAAGAGGGATAGATCCTCTGGGCTGGAGTCGAAAAGCGGTAGAACCTTCCGTACTGGAGGTCTTTAATGACTGCGTCATCAATATGGCTAGCGCCTGTCTGTAATAATCTTAATCCTAATCCCTCTTGCAACAAATTTTCGATGCGCATCTTAAATTTTTCCGTACTTTTTTAGCTAGATAAAGTTTAATAAAATGGCGAGCGATGGCAATAGCCGTCCAAATCTCGATAAAAGGTCATTGACATATCTACAGTAGCGCTGGTTTATGTTTTTTTTTTAGAAACTCACCTAGAGAAAAATGGATTAATTTTTTTTATAAAAATGTTGTGTTGCAGTAGGCATGAAGATTTTTTCAAAAAATTTTTGTTGCAGTAGACATGAAGATTGAGGGGGGGGTCATCGTTATATTAAAATCTTCTTTAGGGATTTTTATGTTTGACGTTGATAAATCAGACGATTTGCGGTCAGACAAGATAGTTGAATGGTTGCTAAAAGGAATTGAATCAAGCCTTATGCTGCTTTGCAAGCTAGCCCTCATTATTGGACTATTATTTCCTCATTGGACTTGGACTGTTGGCAATAGAGGCACCATATCTTTAAAGTCATCTTCAGGCGACTGGTTTAGACTTACCAAGACTGTATTCATTTGTCCTTTTCCTTTTACACTAATCGATTTTTTGATAAATGAAAGTCCTGTATAATCTCCTAGATGGCTATAAGTATTTTCTGAAATTTGAATTTTTGAAGAGTCAGTAAGGGTAGAAGCCATCCTACTTGCAGTATTTACAGTATCACCAACCAGTGAAAATTGCGGTTTATGATATCCTACAACTCCTGCAGTTACTGGTCCTGTGTGAATCCCAATTTTTACTTTCAAAGGCTCTCCTTTACTTAAAAAAATTTTCTCAACTGTGCTCAATATTTTTAAGCCCATCTCAACACATCTTCTTGAATGAGGAATTGATCTGAAATAAGGTGATAATTCTATTTCACTGTCTTTAAGGGTTCCTTCACACGACGACTATTTCATAACGACTATTTTTTTTTTGGCCTATTTTTTTTTGGCCTATTTTTTTTCACCTATTGTTTTTTTGGCCTATTTTTTTTTGGCCTATTTTTTTTTTGGCCTATTTTTTTTTGGCCTATTTTTTTGTGGCCTATTTTTTTGGGCCTATTTTTTTTGGCCTATTTTTTTGTGGCCTATTTTTTTGGCCTATTTTTTTTTGGCCTATTTTTTTTGGCCTATTTTTTTTGGCCTTTTTTTTGTTGCCTAGCCTCATTAATGAAGCTACTGAGAAGACTAAAACCTTATTGAGAAACAGAGACTTTTCCTTACGCGATTAATATTGAGGAAATTAAGTGAAAAACTCCTAATTAAATCTAAAATTCTCGAAATTTTAAAAGCAATGAATTAGTATTAATTGAGTAAGAAATCTGCTAAGGGTGCATTTTTTGTTGGTTAAATCGTTTAAAAACACATTAAAAATTATATTAAAACAATTAGTATGGAATTATGCCCAAATATTAGTAAAAAATAGCTAAAAAATTGTCAAAAAAATAGGCCAAAAAAAAAATAGTCGTTATGAAATAGTCGTCGTGTGAAGATACGGTCTTTAAGACCTGCACATGCCATATATACATTCCCAACAGTTTCTATTTTAGTGACTCCTGTGTTGTCACAAATATTATCAAATTTCCTATAAATTTCATCTAAAAACTGAGTAATCTCGCTGCTGGGGTAATTTGAGATAATGTCCTCAAAATCATCTATATCACAGAAAAGGATAGAAACAACCCCCTGATCTTCTGCGATATATCTTATTCCATCTTTTACTCTTTTCCTCACAAACGCAGGCAACACAAAATTCAGCACCTGCTCTGATTTTTCCATCTCACTATCTACTTTCTTCAAGAAAGTTCATCTTATTCGTTTTGTTTTAGAAGCAATATATACTCTTGCTGAAGAAATTGAAGAAACAGCTATATAAAGAGTTATCACTTCTATTACATAAACTGGGTCAATTTGTGAATGCATAATAATACATCCACCATATAGGAAAATTGTAATAAATGTTACGAAGTTCATTTCAATTCATATGCCGCTGACTCCTAAAAGGAAAAGAGGGGACCAATATAAATAAAGCTGCGTTGCTATAATTTTATACTGAAAAATATTGATACAATAAATGATCATGTTAAAACTCACTGCTAAGATCACCATCTCTTTATGATATATTTGAAATAAAGATGTCAGTGAGAGTACTAATAGTACGAAATAAATAAAGAAAGTGACAATAATGAAGATGCCAAAGGATTCAGGAGTGTCTGAATTGCTTATTTCATAAATTTCAAGTCCTAAAAATGATAAATAAGAACACCATAAAAATATTCGAAAATTATTGGAATTGTGGTTTGAATAAATTTGAAAATCGCTCTCAACCATTTTTGATCTGAATTTCAAGGTCCATGGATTTATTGCATAGGAATCGTGGTTGTGCTTGAATGAGGTCGATTTTTTGTAGACAGACTCCATTTTATCTTTAAATTCTTCTAATCTTGAAGACACTTTTAGAGAGAAGATGTTTTTGCCTTTGACTTTTATCAAATCTACAAGTCTTGGATGGAAAAGTATTAAATAGAATTTGAAGAAAAAACTAATTGTCAAGCACATTAAAGGAAAAATAATGAAATAAATTCACAGGAGCGGACTTTCATATAAAACATCTAAAATTCCAAACTCTTCTTCTTTGTAATCATTAGATTTTACATTCAAAAATATTATTAAGCTTATGATAGAGACTAGATATGAGCATATTGTTCACATATTGAAAGCATTGACTTCAACTATAATATAGGCCATTGAAGCCCCATATAGTGTAAGAAATATTATTATTTCCATTGTGTAAATATCTAGAGTAAACCCTTTATCATTTATCAGATTTTGTATAAGATAAATTGGCCAGTATACCTTCAGAATAGGCTCGACCTGAAACTTCCTCTCCCCTCGCCTCCAACCTCTGAAGGTTTCAGTTTAAACGAAATTGTAATTCAAAATGACAAGTCCCTCACTAAGAATTTGACAAGTCAAATTCAATTTGTAGCTGAAAACCGTCAGGGATAGGGGAGGGGGGTTCTCGGGTCGATCTAAAACCGTGTTCACGGTATATATAATTACTGCATATAAAGCGGCTGCAACAATTAGCATTATAAACTTTTTGGTCCCAAGTAAAACATAGTGATTGCATGTAGTGTAGACTTGAGGGAATTTATAAATTTGGCGACTGCTCAAATCTTCATCAAAAAGCTCACTTCCGACAATAGGAATTAATATCAAGAAAAATAGATAAAAATCGAGCAAGTCTTGGTCAAGCATTGAGTCGCAATTGGAATATGAAGAATTGCAGTAAAATAGCATAATAAAAGTTATCAAATAATTCACAAAAAATGACAGCATAATAACTTTTGATAATATAATAAACTTGGTATGGCCATGATACAAAAGTAGCTCTTTTAGCTGAGAAAATCTTTGTATTGCAGCATGCCCAACATGCTCAGTGCTTGATCTTACAATTCCAACACCTAGATGGGCAGTTTTTATCATTTCGATGTCGCTTGATTCATCTCCAATCGCAAGCGTTGTTGGGTCATAAGAAAACCCAGTTCTTAAAAATCTTACAATTGTTGCTTTATCGCTAGGAAGTAAAGAATGAAAACATACACTTTCTGCTGAACACAGTAATGCGGCTAAATATTTTCTATTTTCTTCAGACTTTAAGCCATATTCAACAACACTCCTATCGATTGATAGCACAAAGCTAACACCACTTGGATCAACTGAGTCAGCAAGAGGAGATCTTAGCCTACCTCCTTTAGAGATATTTGATATTAAAAATGGATTTACTGATCTTCTGCGCACCTTACTTTTGCGTCGAACTCTATAAGGTGTACTAGATACATAACGGCTTGAAGAATATGCTGGGTGTTGAATGCTATTTTGATAAAGCATTTCAAAATTTGACATAACTCGATGAGGATTATTATCAAATGATGATTCATCCTTTAATAGTGTCGAAACACCCGTATTAGTATTTGAGGTAAGGTGAAAAAGATTGATTTTTATCTGATCGATTAATTCCACAGTACAGTCTCAGAGAGAAATTACAGGGGTTATTTTTGAAATATTTGCACTTGATTTGAGCAAGCCTGATGTAACTCCAACACTTAAGGTATTTTCTTCATTATCTCCACTTAGAATCCAGATTTTTATTCCCGCTTTTGTCAAAGTCTCAATAGTTTCTTTTGTTTCATCTAAGACTGTTTCTTCAAGGCCGACTGCTCCCAAGAATTTCGCTTCTTTTTCAAGCTTTGTGAATAAATCTTCAATTTTTTTATCACAGATTGCAGGAAGAAGCTTAAAGTTATGATAATCAATTTCAAACTCCTCTGTTTCCTTTTTACTTAATTTCCTAAGCCCGAAGACAATAATTTTTTTATCTGCCATTTCAGAATGAGTTAATAAATCATCAATATATGCTACATCTTCAGAAGTTTCATAAAATAGCTTCATCATCGCTTCATTAGATCCACTTATATATAAAATTGATGTTTCAGTTTTCGGGTTGCTAATGATAATTCGCGATTTTTTTACACTGTGAGATTTTCTTTGATGACCAATTATTTTTAATTTGAGTTCTTCATCTAATATGGTAATATCACAATCAAAGGTTGATTTTTTTTTAAGCTTTATTCCCAAATCTTTACTTGCCTCAATCATAGCTTTTTCCTCATTTGAAATTGGGCTCGAAGTTTTGTCGGATCTCATAAATGTGCTATTGCATACAGCCATACATATGAGGAAATGATAAAAAACTGAATCTGATTCAGAATTCATAAAATCTGTCTTTAAATCAGCAAACGACTTGAAGTTTTTAGAATTAGTCCTAAGTAGCTCAGGAATAATAAGTGGAACCCTTGTATCTGATTTATCATGATGATAATAGCTTTCACAAGGAGATTGACAAAAATCAGAGCTATCTCTTATATAAATATCACCAGCTACTATGCATGTTTGCAATTTAATATCACCATTGGTTAAAGTCCCAGTCTTGTCTGCTAAAATATATTCAACTTGTCCTGCATCTTGCAAAGAGGATAGAGAATTGATGTGAATGTCATGAAACTTTCTGAGGCTAAACGAAAAAATTAGCTTTACAGTTCTGAATGTAATAAATAAAGATATAGGGATAAGATAGCTGTATAAAATTATAATGCTTGCAATAAAATGTGCGGTATCTTCATCTTTTCAATAATTACTGTTGAAGATGTTATAAATGACAGTTATTAATATCAAAATTGCTGCAAAACACATCATCACAAAAACTATTTTATTCATCCTTTTGTTGAAGGCTGAAAACTGTTCTCTAAATTTCAGTTTATTACCAGTGTTTTCGTATGTGTATATTACAACTCCTAAAATTCACTCTGAATCTATTAGCTTAGCTCCTTGTGGGATATAGTTCGACGCAGAAAGCGCGCTGGATTTTGGGTTAGATTCAAGTCTTATTGATCCCTTAAATTCTCCAGAAGTCTTATTGACTGGGATTTTTATGATTGCTTTTATGCGGCTAATTAAAGCTATGACTTCAAATTCGTTTGCCTCCACTGCAAACTCCATTGTTTCTTTGATAGGTTTTTTTGATTCAAAGCTTGATTCACCAATAACTCCTAGCATATCCACGTAAATTTCAGATTCTCCGCTTTTTACACATAACAATAAAATATGCCAATTTGATTAACTACTTTAAAAGAATTTTAATTCCCAATAATACAATATTCAAAGGAATTAATTATATAGTGAAATATGATGAATGGTCGATGTTTAGATTTTATAAAGCAAGAGGATTTTAACATTTTAATTATTGGCTCCATAATCATTAAGTATATCTGCTGGACACGCTTCTTTTTCTCTAATTTGAATAACATCCCCAATCTTGATGTCTTTGCTCTTTTTCGAGACAAAATTAAATCCATCACAAACTAGATATTCTTTATTGTTTATGTAGTTGTCATGAATATGATTTGGTATGTCATGATAAGCATCTGAAATTAAAGTGATGAAAAGCAAAACCATAAAGGGAATAATAACAGCTGAATTGTATATGTTTGTAGTTGATAAGTGTAGCTGCAAAATAGATATAAAAAGAAATCAAAAATATCATAAATCAGAAAATTGAATAAAGATATTTTTTGGAATAAGGTTCCATAATGTGTACTTGGCTGATTTAACTTCATTGCTGATTGACTTAAAAACATTTTCGCTGTGACTTAATAGGTAAATTACTCGCCAATTGTCAGGTTTTAGTTTGTCTTTTGGTTGCTGAAAAGGAAAATTCATTGCTTTCATTATAATAGAAGTTATTTGTGTTACTTTGGATTTATTTATAACCAATTTTTGCAAATAGGAAAGAAACTTATTAATTTTGTATATAAAAAATTTAAATCCACTTAATAATAGAGCATATAAAAGTATTTATTAACTTTCACAAACGATAAATAAGGACAAGGCAGAAATAATTTGATATAGTACAAATATAAAATTCAAAATTTTAGAAATTTTTTTACTTCACTATAACTGATGAAATGGATGGAATTATGTCATTTGGAGTTGGAGCCCCAGGGACTTCAGGCTCACTGAAGCTTCATAAAGTTTGAACTGATTGATCTCCACTTTTTGGCTTTTGATCTAGCTTTTCAGCTAATTCTAACACTCTTGATATGCTTTGAAGAGTAGATATCTGCTTGAGCTGCTCGATTTCACTTTCTGAAATATAATTATTGAGCCCTTTAAGCATTTTTTTCATAGAATTAATTGTTTTTCCTTTGCTTTCAAACTCAATAAGTTCAGTCAGCTGAATTTCTTTTTCTATTAAAGCGTTATCAACTCTGGCATAGTCTTGGTGCAGTTTATTAAGCTGCCCAGTCAAAGTTTTTATTTCATCTTTCAGTTTTTCTTCTCTTTCTTCTCATTTTCTTTCCAGCTTTTTCATTTCTTCTCTCTGAGTATCAATTTCTTGTCTTATTTTCATTTTTATCCCTTCAGCAGCATCATTGATTGTATAATCATGAGCAATCATTGCTTGGTCAAAGAGTTTGGTTACAAGTCTTCACATCATTTCAATCATTATTGCTTCATTATCATTCCCCTTTTGTTTTTCGCTTCGTATCAGCTCTCTTATGAGTGTTGTATATGCTGCTAATTTTTCTTGAAAATCAGTTCTTGTTATTTTCAGTAAATCCTTCGGATGGTCATTTATAGAGCTTTTTAAGGCTTCTTCAAGCTGATAAAAGAGCCCAATCCCAGGGGCAGGAGACATGATTTCTTCGCTCCTAGCAACTTGATAATTCATCTGCAAGTCCATTTTCAAATTTTGGAGAAATCGAAATGAATCTAAAAAAGAGTCTAAATCTTTTCGCTCCTGAGCTACAGAGGCTGATTTTATTACTTTAAACTTTTCTTCATCTTCAAGGTGCTCGATTCTATATATAGGATTTTTGTTACTGCGATGCTTTCTGTCGGCTCTTGCTCCTCGATAAAGTCGTTCACTGCTGAACTCTTGGACTACTGTACGATCTCGTAGAGAGTCTGGCTGCTTCAGTTCATTTTCTCTTGCTGAATAAAGGAAATTTAAGGTTTTTGTTTTAACAGGGCTTATTAAAGGTTGGCTTTCAAATACATCTATTTGTGGATTTGTGATTTGGGAGCTAGAAATATGACTAGTTCTTACAGGAATTGGAGATGAAAATATATTTGCAGAGGATTTTGAAAGATTGATCAATCTCTTATTCATCATTCTGTAATCAGACAAAATATCAGATCTATCTTGTGAGTCTGGAATTGGGATTGGAGATGTATTATAGACAATCCTATCGACATTCTTCATGAAGTTTTTTTGTTTTTGGCGAACTCTGAAATTTGTGCTCATTTTTTTAGACTGCAGTTATATATTAATATTATAGTTTTCTTTTTAAATTTGATGGGTTGCCTTTGGAATTTTAAAAAGATAATTATTTTAACTTTTATAATTTTAATCATGAATAATTATTAAGCTTGACATGCTTTTCTTAACTAAATCAAATCAATAAATCAAATAATCTGATTACTTTCTTTAAAAATTATCAGAAGTAATATTAAATTAATAATTTCGGTCTCTTAGTCTGAATCAATCTTTCCTCATCTAAAAAGATTTCTGCTAATATATATTAACAATTTATCATATCAATCATATAATTATAATGGAATTCAAAAAACCACACTCTGTCAGATCCCACAAGAATTCTCATTCCAGAAGTCCCCGAAGGCATTCCTCATCTTCAACTTCGTTTTCCAACTCCCGTAATGCAAGACTAGGCTCAACTCCTTTATATTTTAAAGGCACCCCAGGAGTAAAACTAGGAGATCGAACTCCTACAAGAGAAACTCCAAGACGAGACGAGCCTCACTCCGACTATGGTCCTGAATACCGTGCTTTAGAATGGGAAAGTCGTCAAGTCGTAGACTATGAATGATACGACTGTGACGAAGGCGGATTTTTGATGAAAGGCGAAGACGAATTCGCATATCGTGAAGACTTTTATCAAGCTCCTACTAAAAAAGGGATGAATTTAGGATCGCTAAAAAAGCTTGAAAGAAGCCAAGATAACGACAAATGGGAACTTAACAGAATGGTTAGCTCTGGAACTATTCGATTGAACCACGCAGAAGAAGATAATGAAGATGAAGAAGAAAATCGCGTGATCCTTATGGTCCACAACACCAAACCGCCTTTTCTTGACGGCAGAATTGTGTTTACAACTCAAATGGAGCCAATCCAAGTCGTAAAAAATCCTCAATCTGATATCGCAATTTTGGCAAGGAAAGGATCCACTGTTGTAAAAGTTGTCAGAGAAAGAAATGAAAGGAACAAAATGAGAGACAAATTTTGGGACATTTCTGGGACAAGCCTTGGAAATTTGTTGGGAGTCCAAAAAGAAGAAGAAATTGACACAACTCGGTATGATGATGAAGGGAATTTCGACTACAAAGCAGACTCACAGTATGCAAAATCAATGAAAAACTTTGAAGCGATCAGCGATTTTGCAAGAAGCAAAACTGTTAAGCAGCAGAGAGAATATTTACCCATTTTTTCTGTAAGAGATGAGCTGCTTAATGTGATTAGAGAAAATAGAATTGTTATTATCGTTGGGGAAACTGGATCAGGGAAAACCACGCAGCTTACACAGTATTTGTATGAAGAAGGATACACAAAATATGGAGTCATTGGCTGCACACAGCCAAGAAGAGTAGCAGCTGTATCAGTAGCTAAAAGAGTAAGTGAAGAAATGTCATGCAAGCTTGGTGAAATTGTAGGATATGCTATTAGATTTGAAGACTGCACAAGTGAAAATACAGTGCTTAAGTATATGACTGATGGAGTGCTGCTGAGAGAGTCTCTCAATGAAGCTGATCTTGATCAGTATTCGGCAATCATTATGGATGAAGCCCATGAAAGGTCACTTCATACTGATGTTCTCTTTGGAATATTAAAAAAAATCGTAGCAAGAAGACGTGATTTAAGACTTATCATTACTTCCGCGACTATGAATGCTCAGAAGTTTTCTGAATTCTTTGGAGGAGCGCCAATCTACTCAATCCCTGGTAGGACTTTCCCAGTTGATACTATTTTTTCGAAAACCCCTGTTGACGACTATGTAGATATGGCAGTCAAGCAAGCTATCGCAATCCACTTGCAGCAGCCTCCAGGCGATATTTTAATTTTTATGACTGGGCAAGAAGATATCATGGCAACTTGTGTTCTTCTCAATGAAAGAATTGCTGAACTAGGCACTGCAGCTCCAAAAATCAAAGTTCTTCCGATTTATTCACAACTTCCATCTGAAAACCAAGCAAAAATTTTTGAAAAATCAGACATAAGGAAATGTGTGGTAGCAACAAATATAGCAGAGACCTCACTTACAGTAGATGGGGTGAAGTATGTCATTGATACAGGATTTTGCAAGCTCAAAGTATTTAATCCAAAAATTGGTATGGATGCCCTACAGATTACACCAATTTCTCAAGCTAATGCTAATCAGAGGCAAGGCAGAGCTGGAAGAACTGGACCAGGAATTTGTTATAGGCTTTATACTGATACTATTTATAGAGAAGACTTGCTAGAAAATAACATCCCAGAAATCCAAAGAACAAATTTAGCAAATGTCGTGCTTCTGTTGAAGAGTCTGAATATTGATAACTTGTTGCAGTTTGATTTTATGGATCCTCCTCCACAAGACAATATTTTGAACTCTATGTATCAACTGTGAATATTAGGAGCTTTAAATGATACAGGAGGCCTCACTGATCTGGGCAAGAAAATGGTTGAATTTCCTTTGGATCCACCCCTTTCGAAAATGCTTTTGGAATCAGAAAAGTATCGCTGCACGTCAGAATTGCTAACAATTGTGTCTATGCTTTCTGTCCCAAGTGTATTTTATAGGCCATAATTAAAATATGGCGTCTTCGTCTGGGTATGGCCTCCGGCCATACATACTCGACCATATTTTAATTATATCCGGCAAGGTTTTGCCATTCAGGAAATGGGCAACAATGCAGGGTAAGCAATTCTGCAGAGCAGAGCCTGGCCCGTGCTCAACGACCAGAATGGATTTTTTCCCCGAGAGGAAAGGGAGTCTAGGTTTGGAAAGGGTAAGCCCAGCAGAGTCTACAGGCGATGCCTAGACCATTCGGGCAACTACCTAGCGTGAAACTGGGCGTTACGTCCCAGGACTTGGAATTTCCCTTTTTGCCGAAAGGTGATCAGAAATCCATTTTTTGGAATTTCGGAAAGCCATTTTTCGTTAACTCAAGCAGCAGCCGCAGGAGTCCATAGCCCGCCCACTCAACACTAAAGCAGCGGGTCCAGGCCCTAGGGAAGGAGGAGGTATATGTCTTCATGGCTGGCCTTTATGGCCAGCTTAGACTATATCGCAAAGCAGGTGAACCCTAATATTGGGTCCTTGGTGTCTGCGTTAACAGCAAGGCAGTCGCCTATAAATATTAAGTAAGTAAGTATTTTATAGGCCGAAAGACAGAGAAACAGATGCTGATTCAGCTAGAGAAAAGTTTTTTGTCCCTGAAAGTGACCATTTAACACTTCTAAATGTTTATAATCAATGAAAAAATAATGGCTATCGATCTGATTGGGCAAATGAGCATTTTATTCATGTGAAAGCACTAAGAAAGGTAAGAGAAGTTCGGGCTCAGCTATTAGATATAATGAACTCATTAAGGATTGAAGAAATGTCGTGTGGGAATAACTGAGATATGGTAAGAAAAGTAATTGCTTCAGGATACTTCCATAACTCAGCCAAAATCAAAGGAATTGGAGAATACGTCAACATGAGGACAGGGATTCCTTGCATTTTGCACCCATCAAGCGCTTTATTTAGTCTTGGATACACTCCAGATTACATAGTTTACCATGAGCTGACAATGACAAGCAGAGAATACATGCAATACGTCACTGCAGTCGATCCATACTGGCTTGCTGAGCTTGGGCCAATGTTTTTCAGCACCAAAGATACTTTCAGAGAAATCGACAGAAAGAGAAGAAATGAAAAGAAAATGCAGGCTGAAGAAGATATGAAAAGGATCCAATCCACTCTCCTCAATCAAACTCAAAGTGTTGAACCACAAAGGAGAATCCATTCAGAAATTATCATGCCAGGTCGCGAAAAGACTCCAAAGCGCACACCAAGAATCCACCCTGGGATTTAAATAATGGTATTTTAAAAATAATGCATAAATTCGCTAAAACAATTTTTGTGTTAGGAGGGCCGGCATGTGGCAAGGGCACAGCCTGCAAATCTGCTGAAAAAACTGGCAAGTATTATCACATTTCAGCAGGAGAATTGTTAATTCCCCTCCTTAAATGAATAAAACTATGGGAAAAATCCCTTTTTGGGTAAGAACCCACCTCCGTGAGCAAAAAATTTTTTTATGAAAAAGATTTTGATATAAATGATAATTATTATAATGAAATCTCTAGATAATTCTGTTTAATTTTAAACAGCTTGCATTTTAAAACATAAATTTTGCAAATAAAAGTCATTTTTTTACTACTCAATTTTTGCGTACTGGGATTTTTTAAATTTCAAAAAACAAATTATTATAAAATTTATATAAAAAATTAAACCCTTATGTGATCAAACAATTTTTTTTTCTCATGGAGAGGGCGAGTAAGAGAGCAACTAAATCCCGAGTTATCAGCAATAATAAACCAGCACTTATTAGAAGGAAAAATCGTGCCAGCCAAAATTACAGTTAAATTGCTAGAGCTTAAGATGAAAACTTTAGGCTGGAATCAAAGGACATTCTTGATTGATGGATTTCCAAGAAACAGAGACAATTACGAGACTTGGGTCAGTGAAATGAAAGAAGCAGAAATAGAGAAAGTGATTTATATGAATTGTGATTACAAAACAACGATGGAAAGAATGATAAGCAGGAACGAAGGAAGAGAAGATGACAGTTTTCAAATTTTAGAAAAGAGATACAACACCTTCCTCACCCAGACCTTACCACTTATTGAAGAATTTAGGACGAAGAGAATATTAAGAGAAATTGATTGCTCAAAAACTAAAGAAGAGACATATAATAACTTTATTAATGCTCTTAATAACTAAGTTCTCATGAGAATTCTTAAGTAGTCTTAACTGGCTAGAGCTTTCCCTGTTTCTCTTGCTAGGTGCCTTTCATATCTAAAATAAGCTTGCTGAGCTCGGATATACTAATTGACCAAGAATAGCCCACTAAGGAGCCATTCTTGGTCTGCCAGAAAAAATTTTGACAAAAGATCCTAATCTGCCATTACCACTGAGTTTTGGTATTTCCAAATTTTTTGGGCAAGCCAAATGCAATAAAAAAATTGTTCTTTTGCAATGATGCATTTGGCTTGTCAAAAAAATTTGGCAACATCAAAACTCAGTGGTAATGGCAGATTAGGATCGTTTGTCATTACCACTGAGTTTTGGTGTTGCCAAATTTTTTTGACAAGCCAAATGCATCATTGCAAAAGAACAATTTTTTTTATTGCATTTGGCTTGCCCAAAAAATTTGGAAACACCAAAACTCAGTGGTAATGGCAGATTAGGATCTTTTGTCAAAATTTTTTCTGGCAGACCAAGAATGGCTCCTTAGTGGGCTATTCTTGGTCAATTAGTATATCTGATGGGCACCATCTTCTATAGGCTTGCAAAGTATCAGGACAGAGGTAATCATTTTTACTTTTCATCTCGGAGAGGCATTGCTGATGGAGATTGTCTGCAATTATGCATTGCTTGTGACTAATTGAGCCAAATGGACTCCCTGAAAAACTAACATGTGCCATGATGATAACTATTATAATTTATTTAAAATCCCTTGCATGTCTTCAATTGGAGCAGCATCTTAAAGAAATTGGCCACCCCTTTGGCTAAAATAAATTTATCAAATAAGTGTTTTGATATAAAATTTTTATTTATCAGTGACCAAATGTACAAAATCTTCGACTGATATAAGTATTAACAATTTTGTGCCAAGCCTTATGAATCTTCACTATAGCATCATCATTTCTATAAACTGTAACTATTTCACTAAATTTTACTTATATAATCCTTAGCATTACTATTAGCAAGTTGAGTAGAATGAGTAGTTAGCACTAAAATTATTCTATCTTTCTGGTGGTTTTATTGCTTTCAAACTCTGCATAAGCCTTTTCAAAAGTTGCTGCTTTGTTCAAGACGATGATGATTTTCGCTCTGCTTCTGCTGACACCACCATGATCTTCTTCTGACACACTTACAGTCTCAAACTTGGCCAAAGTGGCATATCCTAATGAGCATAGCATTTCAGCAGCCCTCACAGTGTTCGCAGTGGCCTCGCCTAAGCCATGGAGCTCAACTTGTTCATGCTCTTTCAAGATTTCCTTGGCTTGGTACACGAAAGATGTATATTTCCTCTTGAGGCTGACTTTGATCAACTTGTCTTCCATCTTCCTAATTTATGCCATTCACTTAAATTCCACCTTAAATTTAACTATGGTTTTCTATTCCATTCAGGCAAAAAACTTACAAATAATCCATTTAAATGAACATCATATCTCCGCAGCCTGAGTATGTTCGTTCACAGCATAAAGACATTGCATTAAGATTTATAAGTTTAGCCTCCTTTGCGGAGTTGCCCAAACCCGAAGCTTTCCGCGGCATCTTAACACACCGGTCCCACAGGCCGCTGGACCAACTGCTTTGCTGCACCAGGGTGTGACTCCACGCAATGTTGCTGACTAAGACGGTCACAGCATAAAGACACAGAAATTATGAGCTATTTCAAAACATCGATGCTGGAGATAGTTGATGCTTGATTCGGATCGAGGATTAACTTGAAATATGCAGCTGAAATATCAGTGCTTATAGAAATTTTATATTATGCGTCTGGGCTGATTTTTTCAAATACAGATGTGAAGCAGACAATGGGGCAAGAGTATGTGAGTAGCTCAATAGCTGATTTAGGGAAAGTTGCTAAAATTAAAAGAGTATTGGTAAGCACGAATTACCCAAAAGCTGCACAATTTTTCAGGCCTGGATTGGTAAAGATGTGCTTGTACATTTTAGTAAAGACTGTTTTCCCATATGCAATTAAGAAATGAAGCAGGAGAAGTGAGGCAAAGTCAAGGAATACTGAAAATAAATCGTGATATGACTGTCTGCCAAGTGCTGAAGAGATTTGAGATGAAATTCTATCAAAAGCACATTTAGCTTTGTTTTTATTGACTGGAGTATATGATGAAATTGCTAAAAGAATCCTCAATTTAGTTTTTGTAAAGACTATTAGAGCGAGAAATCCTTACTTCTTGTATAAAAGATTGGGATATCTCGTTTTAATACAGATTTTTATAAGCACATATAAGCTTACAAAAAGATTTTTGCTAAAAATGAGAGCAATGAATGTCACAGAAGCCCAGCAGCTGGAAGAGATATATGATAGCAAGGAATGCCCTTTGTGTATGTCGCCGTTAAGAAATCCTTCAGCAACTCCATGCGGACACATCTTTTGCTGGAGCTGCATAATGAGGGCTTCTCAAATAAACCCGATTTGCCCAAATTGCAGGCAGCAATGCTTACCCCAATCAATATTGCAGCTGAGAAACCTTTAACTATTCTAATGTATTTCAATTGATTTATTAATGAGAAAATTAAAAATTAATTTATGATGAAAGAAGAGAAAAAATATCAATTGGATACTAATGATAAAGAAATTGTTGAGTTTTCAGGAATCACTGATTCAAGCCAAATCTATGAAGAGAGACGTTCAAAGGTTAACTTTGAAACAAAAATTGTAAAGGAATTGGATGAAATTCAAAAAGAGGAGAAAAGCGAAGAAATTAAACTTGATGAAAAAGCTCTAGATGAAATTGAAAATATTATTGCAAAAGCAGAAAAAGGGCTCGAAAAAAGCTTAGAACAAAAAAAAGTCAACGAGCGAGGAGTTTATATCTCAGTTATTGCTTCAACTATTTTTGTAGTCATGTGTATGTTTGTTAACCGAGCTGAGAAAACAGCAGATCTTACTGAGCTAATAGAAAATATTTTATTAAAAAAACCATGGCAAGTTGGACCAGATCTATATTTTAAGGACATTGAGAAAATTCATGATATTGATAAATATTTGAGGATGGTATTTTTGCCGGGGATTTTGGGGGATGGCTTTGTGGAAAATTATAATTATGCTGTGGGAATCAGGCTTTCAATAAAATTGGCAAGGATGGAAGATAATCCATTCAGCGAGTATGAAGAAGCGGTTTGGAAAGTAAGATCGAATCCTGAAATGAGTCCATCTCTTTCAAACTCAGATGAAATTACTCGTCCTCTTTTTGGGTTTACTTATGATCACGGAGGAGGATTTAGGCATTCGGGAGGGTATGTTCTCTGTTTCTTCAATGATAACTTACAGGAGGCTCTTTTAAAATGAAGGAAGTATAGGGATCTAATGATTTATTACGAATTTGAAAGCTTGGCGATAGAAACAATACTACACAATTCAAATATGGCTGCTACTTTATACTACTATCAAACAATAGTCCTTGAAAGCACTGGGAAAATGAGTAAGAAAATTGGAAATTCTGGAATTTTCCCTGAAACATTTGAAACTTATAGTTCTATTGACACAATTTTACTTACTTGTGGCTCAATTTATCTAATAGGATTTTTAATACAAGTCTATAATATCTTTCAAACTATTATCCAAACTTTCAAAACGCTATGAGCAAAACTCAAATTTGAATTTGCATGGCATGAATGGCTGGAGCTGATATCAATAATTTTTGTTTTGGCATCATTTGGACTATTTGGGAGTGTAATCTTAGGAAATATTGGAAAATATAAACTGCCAATCACAGAGGAAAAAGATTTCACTGGATTAGCAGATTACGCAGAATCATTTCGGATATTAGTGAGATTAACAGCTCTAGCTGCTCTCATGACTTCATTTAAGATAATTGTTATGCTGAAAAATAAATTTCCTTCATTTGGAGTACTATTTGATACAATTGCTCTTTCAAAAATTTATATCATCAACTTTACCTTAATAATAATGTTTATCTTTATTTCTTTTACCCTATTCGGGACTTTGGGGTTTGGGCTAACATATAGCAAATATTCGAATTTTGGAGAATCTTTGCTTTCTATAACAAGGGTTGCTTATGGAGATTTTGACTTAAAGAAGTTGGAAATTGCTAATGTCACGCTAGCACAAATTTTTCTTGTTGTTTTTGATATGTGGGTGTTTTTTATTCTCAAGAGTACTCTAATTGCCATTGTTATTGGCAGCTATATTGAAGTAAAAAATCGTGATGAACTGCTGCTTCAAGCGAAGGCTGATATGATTAAAGAGAAAAGTAACAATATTTTTAGAGCTATTATAAACTTTATATTTTGCAGAGCAAAAACAACGTTAAATGAAGATGCATTAGAATATCAACAACTATCAGCACTTGAAACAATGTCCCCTAGAAAGCAAAATGAAATTAATGAAAGGCTTAGAAAGCTTGAAATATCCATCCGGAATCAGAATCGTCTAACTTTAGAAGATTATTTATAAAAATTTTTTAAATATTAATTTAACCAAAACTGTAAGTGCTTTATAGCGCATACCCTATAAAAATTTCTTTATCGAACAATATTTAATGGGACAGTTGAACGACTAAGGCAGATTCTCTCAAAGGAACGAGCTGGATCTTATACCAGAAAGCGTTAAAAGAGTGTGAAAAATAGTTGGCGAGCAAAAATGCCGATTTTTAAAATGGCTTTATTATAAAATTTATTTTAAATTTAAGATGCCTTTTTAGACAAGAGATGAAAATATAAAACATTGTTATGAGTCATTGAGAACTTTATAATGAATGGCCAGAGTTTAATACAAACTTTTGATTTAATAGAGCATTTGATCGTAATCAAATTGGCATTGTTTATTTAATAATTTATCCTTACGCAAAAGAGAAATTCGATTGATAAGTTTTAATTTTTAAATTCATTTAAATTTGTTAAAGAACATCATATATTTAAAAATCTATTTTACTTTTGAAGCTAATTCTTCAGAAAAGAGAAAAAAGGAAGTAAGATATTAATCAATCCCACTCTAAACGGATATCTTAAATTTAAAATTAATTTAATAATAAAGCCATTTTAAAATTGGCGCGTCTGCTTGTAACTATTGTCTCACTTGCCAACCATTTTTTGGCATGCCACTTCTTAAAACTTCCTGGTATAAGATCCAGCTTACCCCTTTGAGAAAGTCTGCCTTGTTCGCTCAACTGTCCTAACATTTTTTCGATAAATAAATTTTTATAGGGTATAGCATTTCAAAGAAAAAAATTAATTGTATTGAGTAAGTATTTTCGATGCAGTGAAATATAATCTTGGACAGATATCTCAGCTTATGAAGTTTGGTGGAGGGATGATTACTCGTGAACAATTTTTACAGAAAATCAAAGACTGCATTAGAAAAATACTAGCTCGCTCTTAGTTAGCCAACAAAACCATTACTTTTTGAGGAAATTAGTAGCCTTCATTAGCAATCAAATTATTTTTTTAATAACTATTTTGCTTAAATTATATATATAATTAATAACTACTATAATAATGATACTTCCATCTAATTATATCTTGGCCTTTTTGGCGCCAGCCTAATCTTATTTCAGAGTCTGAGATACAAAGCTGGCCTTCAGTAAGGCTGCATGTCCCTATATAAATTATCATAAACATAAATTTATAAATGAAATAAGATTTTCTCTTTCAAATATTTACAAAATTTGGATTTTCAAAAAAAAAATCGAAATTATAGATTATTTTTTCAATTTAAAAAAACTTCTCCATTAGCAGTTAAAAAGCCTTTTCTCTCTAGCCAAGAGAGGGAAAGGAGTAAAGAAAAGAAAAATAGCAGAAATCTTAAGGAAGCAAAGAGGAAATGATGTTGATTATAATTTTACAGTTCTTGCAGATTTACTCATTTTTATTATTTTTTGATCCTTATTCATTACTCTTGTAGTAACCAGACTTGAAATTTCTTATGTTTATACTATTTCTACTCAAACAAAAGACTCAATAATTGTTCCAAAATTCTATAGCAATTGGCACAATATAACTTTCCAAGAAATCACCACAAGTAAAGATGCGTACAGCTTTATGAACGAAATTTTCAAAAACTATATGCAAAAGGTAACTGTTAATACCCAAAATAATTGAATAAGCCAAATTAAAGCAAGAATTACATTTACAAGATATCGGATGAGCAAAAATAAAAGCTCATTTTCTAATGAAGTCATTCAATATGTTATTCCAGATACAGAAACCCAAAATACAACTGATTTCCATGGAGTAGCAACTTTTAAGAAATATATTTATAGCCCATCAGGATCATTGAAAACTTACAAGAGTAAAGGAGGATATGTAATAGAGCTAAATAACAAACAAAACATATCCGATATAATCCAGCAAATTGAGCTTGATGATATTTTCAGTCGCAATCTTAAAGATTTTTATATAGAATGAGTCCTTTACAATCCCAATGTAAATATGTTTTCTTACAGTGTCATACATTTCAACAAGCTCGTTTCAGGCAATATTGACCCTTCAATTTATTCTGGAGTTATAGATCTTGATATATATAGTTCAGGCTCTCCAATGATTGTTATAAGTATCTTGTTCTTTATGTTCACTATTTTATATTTAATCAAATTTTGCTATTCATGATATTTGGTTTGGAAAAAAGTCTATAAACAAAGGAAGGAGAAAACCCTTATTTGAAAAATTGCAAGACATGTAATTGATAAAATTGAAGAGAATGAGATCAGCGCAAGAGATCATTGCTTTAGATTTACTAAAAAAGCCTTAACCTGATACTGCTACACCATAATAGATCTATTATATTCAGCATGATTATTAATTAAAGGGGACATTTTTCAATTGTTCAGCATCGTTTCAACAATCATGTCGCTAATGATGATTTATTATGAAATAATGCTTGTTCAGAGTAATTTTTATCAAAACTTTAAATTAGATTCTCCTTTTGTGGCTTGAAAGAACTGCATAGGTGAATTTTCGGAAATAAATGATCTTTTGTATATATCCGGGACATTAGCTATGTTTACGTGCCTAATTTTATTTTTGAGACTTATTCAATATTTTGAATTCAGTGACTATTTATCAAATCTTACAGATGTTATTAAATCTGCATCATTTGACTTACTCCCTTCCGTGAGCGAACAAAACCATTAGAAAATCCTATTTTTTCCCAAAACCCACCCTCCCGAGCGAACAAAAATTTTGATATATAAATGATAAATAATTAGCATAATAAAATTTCTAGTTAATTTTAAAGCAGCTTGCATTTTAAAACATAATTTTACAAATTAAATTAATATTTGCTTTCCAATTTTTACGAATTGAGATTTTCGTTAATTTTCGAAAAAAAAAACCTTTTTACTATACAATTTTTTATTCGCTCATGGAAGGGGGAGTTAGCATTCTTTACAATTGTTTTTATTATTATTTTAGCTGCCTATGCAATTTCTAATTATCTAGTTTTAGGACATCATGATATAAGTTTCAAATTCATGGAAAGCTCTTTCTTGTCAACTTATTCAATGCTATTGTGCTATTATGACATCGGCTCAATTTTGCAAGCCGATAATTTGTTAGGGGCAATACTTTTTATAAGCTACATGGTGATCTTCAATTTTATGATGCTGAACTTATTTATAGCTATCATTTTTGCTCATTACACAGCACTTAAATCAACCCGTCCTAAGAAAAGACTTGGATTTTTTGAAAAATTTTGAAAAGTCATTAAATATAAATTTCAAAACAGAAAATTAATTATCGACCCAAATAAAATCAAAAAAATCGAAGACATCGCTGATGAAAATTTGTTTGTAAATTATAGCCCAACAGTCCTTGAAGATGCATTCATAATTGATGATAAAGCCCATATAAATTCCTCCTCAAATAAATGGCTCAAGTCTTTAGAAGATGGAGTTTCCGACCATTCAGGGAATGAAATAACTTTTGCTAAATTAAAGGCAGATTTTAGTAAATATTGTGGCATGATAAACACTGATTTAATTCAGCCAATTCAATTAAATGAAATTTGCTTTATGAATCCAGAAATATGAAAAGACGAGAATGTTGAGCAAAAAATAAAGATTTGAAAAACATTAACAAATTTATATGCACAAGAGTATAGGCTGGAAATAGAAAAATCTGTAAGTGAAGGAAAAGACATAAAAGAGCATGGATTATCTCCTTTGCAGAAGCAGCTATGGGAAGCTACGCCTATGAACGAAAAACTTGAAATGTGGAGTGGAAAATTGCATTTTTCTGAGGAAGAAAGAATCAAAATATGAAACTCAACCAACTATAGCAAAGAGTTTATGGAAAAAGATGCAAATATAGAAGAGCAGAAGAATTATTGACTTTCATTGACTATTGCGCAAAAAAATGATTTGGTTTCGAAAATTTTAGGCCCTTTTAAAGGAATCAAGAAAAAAATGAAAATCGAGGAATCTTTCCTTGATTTTTATATCAAAAATGAAGCACTGTTTACTAATGATACCAAGATGCTCTTATGAGCCAGCTTATATGAACATGAAATTAGTAAATTCTTGCTTTTTATGAATCAAAATGATAAAGTTGAGGCCGAAATTATTGCTTATATGATTATGGATGACAAAAAACACAACCTATTTGCTATGGATCATGCTGATCTTAACATGGAAGCAATTTTAGATGCCAAAATATTTGATAAATATACAGAAATGGCTACTTTTCAAGCAGAAAATGATGGTAAAATATCATGTGAAGAGAGAATCTTTGAAACAAACAATGAGCACCGAAATTTGATAAATTATAAGCACAACCTTCAAGAGGAACAAAAAACATTCATTAAAAAGAATAAGAAGCTACAAAAGCGAGTTAAAGAACTTAGGTCCAAACTTGAAAATAGATAGGTATTTTCAGTCTATTATAAAACTAAACAATAATTAGCGAAAATATTTATAATTTTATTAAAATCAGCCATATCTCTAAGCTTAAAACTGAGGAATTATTAAAAAAATTTGAAAATCATAAAAGTGTTATCTTGAGAGGGAAAAAAAAATTAATTGAATATTTTACTTATCATGACTTAATATGCTCAGAAGGCAGAGAATAAGTTTAATAAGATATCTATAAACTTAAGAAATTGTGTAATACTATTCATATTTTAATGATTCTTATTAATCAATATGTGTTTGCTATTTTCTAATAGTTCGCCCTGCCCGCATCCAGAATGCTACCTTTACAATACTTGGCAGTCTCTAAATTACACCTCATCTATCGATTTGCAACTTTCAGAGGCCATCTTAAATCAGAGTAATGCCTTCCTCACCCAATTGCTTTGAAATTACCAAAAGGTCCAGAAGGACATTGACTCAGTTTCTGCGCTGGCGAAGACAATTTCAACCAACGATAAGAACCAATACCTCTCAGACGACGATAAGAGCTTAGTTTTCGAGTCCTTGAACAGGACCTGGAAAGCTGAGCCTTTTCCATTCAGCTTGCAAATGGAAAAGCCCTTCCCAGCGCGAGTTTACAAAGAGAGAGGGTTTCAGCTGAAGTTTTCTATCAAAACCATTGAAGGCTGCACAGCCAAACTGGAAGGAAATCAAGTTTTTAGAATCATTTTGACCAGCACTGACGATACACCAAACATATTATACTCAAACATTTCAGGCAAAAAGATCATCAGAGGCACAACAGAATCAAGGCAAAATGAAGAAGGGATCATAGAGTTTAACAACGTGGTGATCAATGAGGTTTCCTCGCATTACACGAATGGCTGCTTTTCATTGATCGTAATGTGTTTAGAAAATTTAGACATCAAGCCATTTGTGAGGGATAAAATATATGTAAGAGCTAGAAAAGCTTTAAAGCACCGGAAAGTGATATCTAAATAATTTTATGATTTTATATGAAGTATCGGGATGACTAAAAAAAAAACATTAAAAATTTTATATTTTTTATTTATAAAAAGCTTAATTTAATAAGTTGGGATATCATTGGGTTAATATGGAAGTGCTTTAAGACAGAGATAATAAAAAAGCAATAAATAAATGAAATTGTAATAAAATCAAGACTTATTTATTGGGATAAACTATAGCTAGGGCACGATAAATGCGTGCCTTCAGACATTTTGGGATCACGAGCAAGTCCGTTCGCTTTTCTGCCTCATTCTAATGAGTAAACTCGATTTGACAATAGCTTGGCTTTGCCAAATTGAGTTTAGTTCATCAGAATATAGCAGAAAGGGCCAATAAGAATGGTTTCTGCTGCCAATAAGTTCTGAGGGAGTGCTAAAAGTTGTCAGAGCTATAACTGAAAGCCAAGTTGTATTCTCCTTGATTTTATTTTGTTTTATTTTTTAATCTATAAAAATAATCAATAATTTTAAATAAATATCTTTAAGGGAACAATTTCAGCATTTTTAAATGTAAATAACTACATCTCGTTTCACAAAATAACTAATTTAAAAGTAAAATTTCATCCTTACATTTGAATCTTAAATTCAATAATTTTAAAATAAATTATTTACTTTAATTTTCAAAATGAAATTTTATTTTATAAAGTTTATTAGATCGTCAAAATATAATTTATGCACCATAATAGATCGCATATCCCAGTAGAATACCGATCAGAAAAAAAAATATGGCCCAGGGCACCTGCCTTGAACAGACTAAGTCTCATTAGGCATCTAAAGCCATAAACGAAAATTTATCAGTTTCGTTTTTACTCTCAAAAAAGCTGACAGTGCAAATTAATTTTGAAAATTAAAATGGATGGTCAATAATGATCTAAAATATTTCAGATGCTATAAATATTTTTATCAAGAATTAATTTAATTCTTATGTATTGATATTAATACATTTTTATAATTAGATAAACATTGTTGACAATAAAATGGAGGCCACCAAGGTTCGTGCAGTTCTCTTAAAAAATGAGCAGCATCCAAGTGATGGAAAGCAAATTCTCATCAGTCCTCACATATCTAAAGAAGAACTATTATCATTAGCTTCTCAAGAGCTTGGGATCTCTGCAAAGAAAATATTTTCAGATACAGGCCTACTTTTAAACAATTTATCAACAATTGCAGATGGTGTGACATTCTATGTTTCACAGGGGGAAAATTTCCAAGTAAAATCAAGTGGCGCTCCACAAAAAACCAGCAAAAAATACGTAATTGCTGTGCTTGGGGCACACAAATAAAATGATGACGCTACTCATTCTCTCCCGACTTATTTCGAATTTGAGGACCTTGCTGAAGCCAGAAGCCAAGTCAAGTAGGAAACTGAGTCTACAGGTACTGGACATTTTATTCCGTTGGGTTATTACCTCCTACCTCCGGGAATGAAAAATTTGTGTCTTCCCAATGGATATTTGTGAAAAAGGCTTTTTACCCCTAGAGACACTAATGCCGACGGTGAATGCATAGTTGGCACCAATACTAGTAGGGAGTTTATCCCTAGCTGGAACTCTAGTCACTCAAGCGCAGCCGTCAAGACCCAAACCTGCGTACTCCAAGGTTTCGAGATCACATTAAGAGCCAGGCAGAAAGCTGGAGAGCTATCTCTGGTAGAAATATTGACATACCCAGGGAGGTTTCTTAGCAGCTGAATGAGTCTTCTACTAAGACTTATCTAGGATGAGACGTAAAAAGAGGAAGAGAGCCGTACTATAATTAAATTTTAATGCCGTGCTTGGAGCTGCTGCCGTAGGAAAATCTGCAATAACTTTAAGATATGTCAATAACAAATTTATTAGAGACTATGATCCAACTATTGAAGATTATTATACAAAAAACGCGATTATTGATGGTGAGCCTACAGTTTTATCAATTTTAGACACAGCTGGAATGGAGGACTACTTCCCATTAATTGATGATTGGATTGACAATAAAGATGGGTTCATTTTAGTCTTCTCAGTGGAGCTCCCTGATTCTTTACAAAGATTGAGATACTTCCAAGACAAAATATTGCATAGATACAGTCAGCAAGGGAATAAAGGGCCAGTAACGATTATGGCTGCTAATAAAGTCGATTTACCTAATAGAAATGTATCAAGTGAAGAAGGGAGGAAGGCGGCTGAAAGTATGGGTTTAAAGTATATGGAAGTCTCAGCTGCTACAGCTTCTGGAGTTGATGATCTCTTTGCTGAAATTATTAGAGTTCTAAGATCTAGAAGGGCAACAAATAAACCTGCAAGCAAGGAGCCATGGTACAAAAAAATGTGCTCTCTTCTATAAACTGATTTAGATATAAATGGTGCAAGCTTTTCTTTTAATATCATTGCATATTCTTATTTTTATATGAATAGCAGAGTTATATCAGCTATATTGTTAAAATTTGTTGATATTTTACCTTAATGTATATAGGGATTTCCTAGCAAATCTTCTTTTAAGAGATTTATTTAGATTATGTTTAATTTTAGATAATTAATTAATAAATCAAGAAAGTAAATTATTAAGGTGCAATTGAATGCCAATAATTATTATGATTGTCACCAGATATTAAGCTAATTGCTTGAGATTAGAAATTTATTTTTGTGAGGATATTCATTATTTTAATTGCTATTAGATAGAAAATAGCTATATGATTGCCACTATTAAAGAATTTTATCTAAACTGAAGACTTTCAAGTAATAAAAGTTTTTTATTAGAAACCCTTTTGGTAATCTCAATGCTTTAAAATTATAATTAAAAAGAGGAGAAAAGCCAATTCAATTATGATATCGAACACTTATTAAAAATAAATTAGTCTTTGGACGCTTTATGTCTCACTTACTTAATTATATGAGAAAAGTCTTTTTTTAAAAGCTTAAAAACTAGGAATAAAAATTGTTAATTATTTTGCTCTATGATGCTTCATATTATACATATAATGTTTTTATTCTTTTTGTATGATAATTTTAGTTGGAGAGCTTTAGCTCACTATCAGCAGAGATTTTGGTTTCAAGATTTTCTATTGTTTTATTTATTATAGCACATATTCTGCTGTTTATGCTTCATTTATGAATATTCAATTGCTACTTGGTGTTTGAAAATACTTAACAAATGTTCATTAATTCCTTTAAAAAAGCATAATGACGTAATCATCCATTTTCATCGTTTTGTCTAATTTTGTCAATAAAATGGTCGAATAAAATAAAATGGCCTTCTTTTCTAATTTTAGCCTAGAAATCGACGTTACAGTTTTACCATATAAATTTCCAAAATCATTAACCTTTAAGCAAATCCTTCAAAACAAAATTATAATGTTGGGCCCACATTAAATTCTAAAAAATCTCAAACAAAAAAATACTTTACTCCCCCCCTCCGTGAGTGAACAAAACCATTAGAAAAATCCCTATTTTTTGCCCAAAAACCACCCTCCATGAGTGAACAAAAAATTTTTTGTAAAAAAAAATTTGATTTATAAGTGATAATTAGTATAATGAAATCTCGAGCTAATTCTGTTTAATTTTAAACAAATTGCGTTTTAAAGCATAAATTTTATAAATTAAATTAATATTTGCTTTCCAATTTTTGCAAATTATGATTTTTTTTTTAAAATTTTGAAAAAATTTGTTTTCTATAAAATTTATATATAAATTTTTTCAAAAAAAAATAAAACCCCCTCGAAGGGAGGAGTTAGAAGATTATATAAAAATCACACCAAATCAGCTTTTTGAAGAAAATAAACTCAAATCTGTCCTGAATTCTCATAAAAAATCTATTAGTTGTAAATAGATTTTATTCTTTATTCTACTTTAAGCTGACTTTTATCATTATTAGAAACTAGTAAGCCTAAATGACTTCTTTTAACTCTAAGATATTAGCTTTTGCTCCTTTTCTCTTATCAAGCACTTTATAGCGATAAAAGCCTCGTAACTTCTGAAATCACTATATGTTTAGCTTATGGTTAAGTTTTAATATGGCATAATAGTTAGTGACATCATGTCAAATTTACGTCGATTAGACCTCTTAAAAACTCATCTTCTGTCCAAATTTCCAACTTCTTCTTTAGACCGCTCTCTTGACGAATACAGAGGGCGTGGAGAAAAGATCAATAGTTCACTTTTATCTCAGCTCTATTTCGAGGATGGTTACGATACTTTGATGAAAATGCGCAAAGCCATGACTAAAAATCCACTTTTTAATCATTATGAAGAAGCAGAAATGCCCCGTGAGAAATTACGGGAAAGAGTTGTCCAGCAAATTGCTTCACTTTATTTTTCTTTCAATCTAAGTTATGAAGTCGACAAAAAATGGCCGCTTGGGAAGTGCCATTTTTGCTTTGGGCTAGCTGAGCATGATTTAGGACTTACCACAAGGTTTTGCGTACATATCATTTTGTATATCGATACTTTGCAAAATATAGGAACAAAAAAACATTTAGAGTTAATTAATAGGGCTTATCAGCTACTTGATTATGGATCTTTTGGAATGACTGAACTTGGCCATGGATCAAATGTTGCAAAAGTTGAAACCACAGCTACTTATGACCATAATGCAAGGGAATTTATTATTAATTCCCCTACTCCGACATCAGCAAAATGGTGGATTGGTGCTGCAGGAAAAACAGCGAATATGTCTGTAGTTTTTGCCCAACTGATTGTGGATGGGGTTGGAAGAGGAGTCCATGCTTTTGTAGTTCCAGTGCGAGATTATGCAACCCATGAAACTTTGCCTGGTGTAATTTTAGGTGATTGCGGAAAAAAACTTAGTAATGATGGGATTGATAATGGCTTTATGCTCTTTAAAAACTACAGGGTGCCCTATGATGCTTTACTAGATAAGTATAGTTGGATTTCCCCAGATGGAAAATTTAAAACAAGCTTCAAAAACCAAGATAAACGACTTGCTGTCATGCTTGGAGGATTAATTAGAGGAAGAACAGCTGTAGTTATTGGAAGCGAACAAAATATGAGGCATGCTTTAACTATTGCTTTAAGATTTTCAGCAATACGAAAACAATTTGGACTTCAAAATGGACCTGAAGTACCTATACTTGACTACCAAACACAGAGATATCGCTTAATCCCTCACCTAGCAAGGGCATTTGCAATCAGAACAGGAGGTCTCTTTTTATGCAGCAATTATATAAGGATCAGACCAAAAATAGATAACGAGCCTGAAAGCGATGATATCAATGAGCATCATGCATTTTTAAGCGCCTTTAAAGTTGTTGCAAGCTCCTATGGAGTTGCATGCACTCAGGACTGCAGAGAAGCAGTTGGAGGTTTAGGATATTCATCATATTCAGCGCTAGGAAGATTGCGAGCAAACCAAGACACTCATCTAACTTGGGAAGGCGACAACACTGTCTTAATACAACAAGCAGGGAAATTCATTTTCAAACAAATCCAAAGGACTTTCAAAGGCTACAAAATCAATGCACCCACACTGTCTATCCTAAAAACTGACTATGAGGAGTGCAAAGCTTTAAAGCAGAGCTTTGAAAATTCTCAACAATTAGAAAATGAGAAAATGCTAATGGAATTAATTGAATTCAAGTTCAACCATTTACTGCATAAAGCTTTATTAAAAGTACAGGAAAATGCTCAGGTGTCAACGGATATGCTAGAGGTCTGGAATAACTCCCAAGTTTTTCATATTCAAGATTTAGGCAAAGTTTATGGAGAATATGTCATGGCGAGAGAATTTTTGAAATTTGTTCATGATATTGAAGCAAAATGTGAAGTCACTGGAAGGGTCATAAGAAAGCTCTTTTATTTGTATGTGGTGGATACTGTTGATAGGAGTATAGGACTATTCTTAGAAAATGCATTGAATAGTCAGCAGGCCAAAATTGTAAAAGATAGTGTGATTAGGTTATGTAATGAAATTGCGCCTTCAAGTGTTAGCATTGTTGACGCTCTTGCTGCGCCTGATAATGTGCTTGGATCAGCTATTGGGAATTCTGATGGCCAAATGTATACTCATATGATAGAAAGTGTAGAAAATGGGCCGAATGTTTATGAAAAACCGGAGTGGCTTCCTCTTATCCATCAAATCAGAGAAGCAAGCAAGTCGAAGCAGTAAAACCAACATAATTATAGTTAGTTTAGTTTATTTTTTTAGCCTTGCTAATGCACGAAGTGCATTAGATGTGGTCTTGAATGTTTTTCTAGCATAAATACAAAATTTGTGGCTTTCAAATTTGATTTCATGAGCTTTTTCATAGCAATCTTTGCAATATCTCAAATTTTGGCATCCAATGCAAAACCCTTGAGATGACTGATTACACATTGAACACTGAAATTGTTCTAAAATTTGGTTGGCATTTTCAATACTGCGTGTAGATTCAGATGTGCTTTCTCCAATAAGCTTATAATTGCTTTCAGGAGATTCAATCACCAACTCATTTTCAGGATTTAACTGTTGAGTAATTCTTATAAGGCTATCTTCAGGACCGTCAAAATATTTTGATTGTCGGTAAAAGAGGTTACCAATAATTTTTTCGCTGCTTTCACTTTCAATGTCTAGTTTACTAATTTCATAGCAATCCCTTGAATTTATAGTATAATTTTCTTTTTTTGCATCCCTTCTAGTGCAACAAGAAGGTAATATAACATTAAGGAATGCACTCATTTTTATAAAATTAATAAATTCAAAATTAGATATAATTAAAAAACATATATAACGAATGAGCAAAAAAATCTTCACAATTCTAGATCCAGAGATGGAAATTGTAAACAAAATATAGGGTTTTCGAGAAAATCGGTTTACTCTCCATCCCATTTAAGACCAGCAAAGTCATTGGGAAAATTTTTATTAAACCCCTTTAAGAATCAATAAATTTAACAAAATTTCTTTTAATATAATTAATAATAGTTTATAACGAGATCTATTAAATTTTACTTTAAAAAAATTGGCTCGTTCTTAAAGGGGATAGAATTAGGAAAAAGATGTATCCAGAAAGAAATGTGCATTATATAACTTCTTTGAGTCCCAGCACAAATTTTAGCCCCAATAAATCAAAGCATGATTATCTTTATGATGAAGTGCATCTATTTCCACAATATCCAGGGAAAGAAAAAGGAAATCAAACACCTAACTCATATCTGAAAAGTAAAGGAGAATACGATAAATTAGAAAATCAACTGAAAGATGTCCAGCAGAACATTGACTCAATAAAGACCAAATTAAAGCCTATTAATCAAATTAGAATAATCAAAAGCCACCAAAATATGCCAACGATAAATAATAAAAAATTATCAAGAGATAATCATAGTTCAAGTCCTAGAGTAATTGCCAATAATCACTTATTGACTGAAAAAAGTTACCAAGATATAATTGTTAAAGAGGAGATTAAAACACATACTAGTGAATTTGAGATGAAAAGAGCTGAAGGTTTGTCTTTGAGCCCTTCTCGTCTCAGATATGTTGCTCCAAAGCAGCTTGTAAAAAGTCCAGAAATTCATGCATATGGCATTAATTTGCCAAATCCTAAGTTTTCAGATTTTGATCCTATCATTGGCATAAATAAAATGGCATTCGGATCGAGTGAAGTTAGCTCTGCTAATTTTCTCTCCCTCAAGCAATTTATTTATGGGTTTGGGTTTTACCTCGAGAACTTCTGCACAGGAATAGTGGTTTAACTCTGGGGATAACTAGAGGAACTGCTTCTCAGTGCGCTCAAGAGAGGCTCAGACTTTTATCCCTCAGCACACCAGAGGAAGGTAGCCCCTAGGCGGAACACGCGCAGGAGCTGAGTCGAATAAGTGCGTGGCAGCAGCGAAGCCAATCGAAGCAGGAACACCATATTTTCCTGTGCCCTGGCGAATCAAAGTGGATCGATCCAGAGGTCCATGGGCCCGGCACGTGGATGAGCTACCCCGTAGTGGACGTTAAACGTTATAAATAACTTAAGATTAAGATTAATATCCTATCACTGGCTTAAATAAGCGAGATAAATCGCCTTTCCAGAGTGCAGCAAAGAATCTTATTTCAAAAGAGGCGTCAAGATTAAGATTAAGACCCAGTTTTTAACAATTTTCCAATCAATGATTCTGAAATATATACAATAAAATCTAAATGAATAAATTTAGGCAATTAAACTTGATTTTGGGTAAAGCACTCTTCTAAAAGATGTTCTTAAAATTACAAATTCAAATAAGATGTACGATTATGACTACAATATTTCCACTCAAAAAATTCGGTCTAGTAATGACTATCCAACAGATTCATATAGGCAATTCAACGTAAAAGATCTTTCAACTAAAGAGTTGGAAGACATTGTTAGAGGTCAATTACCTTCTAAAGACTCGCCCCGGTTTTCTTCTCATCGATCGATAAGTCCGCTCTCTAGACTCAATAAGTCCCCTCCACGAGATGCTTCTTCAAAATCCTTAGCTGGCGCTATGAGAGCTTTACAAGACAAAATTCATCTGTTAGAAACTGAAAATTCTGATTTAAAAGAAAGACTAATTGCGGCAGAAAGCAAAGGACAAAAAGACAGAGAACAATGGCAAGCCAGATGCATGGAAGAATTAAAGCAAGCCAGTACGAAAGACAAAAGCATGCAAAGCAGAATCCTTGAACTAGAAGAAGAGCTTAGAAAGCATCTGCAAAGGGTTTTGATTTTAGAAGAACAATTGAAAATAAAAGAGACACAAATCAGGCATTGTGAAAACGAAATTAAAAGAAATATTGATCAATATGTGATTGATAAAGAAAATACTTCACTTCAGCTGGAACATCTTCAAAAGCAGCTTGTGGCGAAGTCAAAAGAAGAAAAAAATCTGAAATTAGCAGCTGAAAAATCTGAAAGAGAAAAAAACCTAGCCAATGAAGAACTAGCTCAGGAAAAACGCATTTCCAGCGGCTTAAAAGCTGAAGTGCAATATCTTCGGGAGAACGCCAGCTCTCAAAGATCAAGTCTGCAAAAGGTGAATATTAATTAGAATTTTGAAATTATTGAAGCTGAATTAACCAAGCAAAACCAAGATTTTTCACAAAAAATAAGAGAGCTTGAGATTAAGTTAAGAAGCTTAAAAGAGCTTAATAATAATCAGTCTCAGCAAATCGATTTCTTAAAAAAGGAAAATCAGCAATTGCAAACAGCAAATAAAGTTTCTGAAGATTCCAGAGTAGAAGTATTAAGAAATAAAACCAACGATGACTCTATGCTTTCTCAAAAAAAAGTTCCCAGAAAGCCATCTAGAAGTGGAAAATTATCTGTGACTATAAAATCAAAATCTCCAACTCCTCATTCAAGCACGAAATCACTATTATCTGAGCCAAATAGAACAGCAAGGCATCCTTATGGAACTCAAAAGAAGTCGCTGGGCGAGAGAAGCTTATCACAGTTAATGCCAAATAAAGCTGAAAGAGATGAGGATTGCCAAACAGACATAGAAAAAGTTGAGCAAGAAATCAGCAGTCTAAATATAAAATATAAACGATTATTGCAGCATTCTCAAGAAGCAACAGGAGATCTTGGGGGTCTCAGGAGAGAATTAAGCTCACTTGCTGCTGATATGGAAAAGAAAAATGAAGAGCTGTATGAGCTAAAAAGAAGACAGCAAAGTATTCTTAAGCAGCGCTTATTTTAAATATAAAATTATAGATGATTTTTTATTTTTATATTAATACACATAAAAGAAATTTCCTTAAAATCATGTATTAATGAAAGACTATAAGATTAGACTTTTCTCTATAACTTTAGATTTCAAATGTTTTTATCAACATCAGGTTTTTATACCCGCTTGTGCCTTTTTGGGCGCGAGTATACTGCCCATGCTGATCGCCAGTTTTGTATTTTCCAAGGTCTGGGAAACGAAGCTGGCTCAGTATAATTGTTCCCTAAAAGGCACAAGGGAGTATATTTTAAGTCTTGTAAAGATTAGGTGTGCTAAAAGCCAAGAATTATGTAGCTTCTTAAAAGATATGACAAATTTTTTAGTTAAAGCATTAATGATGCAAATAATAAAAGACGAAGCAACAAGAGATGAATTATATAAAATTTCATTTCTAAATAATTTTAATGCAGCAATAATAATATTTTACAAAAACTTTATTAATTAAGAATTTTAATTTATAAATTATTAGCTTTTATTAATCAAGAAGCAGCAACCCTCCATAATTAGTTCCAATAAAAATTTGGTTCGTGCTTTCATTTATTCCAATAGCAGAGACTTTAATAGAGCGGGGAACATCAATGCAAGCGAGTATTTTTACTGGCGATTTGCTTATCACGAAAATTTTGCTAGTTTCACTCGAAAAAGCAACAACCAACTCTTTTGTATCACTCAATACTGGATACTTCTCTTTGAAGTTCAAAACCGCTCCATAGTTAGTAATTAATTGTGAAAAAGTTAAAATTTCTTATGCACTAGTCTTTATTGTCTCGAATTGAAAAAAAAAAGCTTTCCCATACCTCAGAGTTCAAAAGAATAAAATGAATGGTTGTCCTGGATTTGCAGCTTGAGTCACCTGCCAAGGTATTAACTACCAATATAGAACCACCGGAGAGTGCCCCTATAGTCCATACAAAGGAGAATATGGAGTAGACAATTTTATATAGCCCATCTCACAGAGAAAGAAAATCCCTAGGAGAAGATCAAACAACCTGATTGGGTAGCCTTCTCTTTTAGATATTCTGTTTTGCTCGCTAGCCCAAGTCAACTTATTCTATCAGAGGAGCACATATTGAAGTCCTTATTCCGTCTACGTCACAATTTTAAATCTACAGTTAGTAATTAAATTAAGAACCACTAGCATCGCCGGTCTTGGCTCTAGAGCAGCCCCAGAGCGAGATTCTGATGCTACCATAATTCGCCAAAATCCATCTTGAATTTCAAATTTGAACCACCTGTCCAAAGGATCAGCTCCATGGGCAAAGCCACCATCTGCTGTGCCCCGATGGTCCCGATGAGGAAAGACGATGAGGTCTCCAAAACCTGTCTAGCCTATCCGGCAGGATTAGGATTATTAAAGTCAGGTGTTGCCATATTGGTGACGCAATCATCAAAGACCTCATGTACGGGATGTTCAACCGCTTTTTAACTTCAGCCCCGGATGGTCTGTGCCGTTTCTGAATCTTGCCTTGAGGCTTCAGTATTGAGTTGGCAGCTTATGGATTTCTGCGACCCTGCTACGGGCAATTGGAGTAGTTTAATTGCATGGATCAACTACTTCGAGTCTATCAGGTGCTGGAGTGCCTTCCTTCTCCTGTGGCCTGGGCTGGAACCCCAGTTTCTAGGTAGAGGGAATCTTCATAGGTCCTCGGATCCAACAGACTTTGCTGAGCACCTCAATTTTCCAACCACAAGAAAGCCGCCAAAGCCTACACGGATAAGCGTCTCTTGAGTCTAGACTTGATTCTAGGTTTTAAGTCCGTCCCAGTTTCAGTAACCATATGATATGGACTGCTGCGCCAAGAACGAAGTTAGCACGTGTCTCAATTTTAATGTGTCCGCCTATCCGGCTGGAACAGATAAACCTTCGAGGAAGAAACAAAAACTTCCCTTTTCGGCAAGGCTCCCCAAGCCTGAAGGCTGACTTTAATAGGGACAGAGGCCCTTACTTTCGGTGTCATCAGATGGATCCTACCTGCTACATAGGGAGTGCCAATTTCTGTCAACGTCACCATTTTATTTCACAGTCAGTAAGGAAAATCATGGTTTCGCCAGTGTTTAAAATGATACCGTCATTTGAGTCCGGAACATATATTTGAGAAATCGAGTGTATTTGAACTTCAAATACATTTCCGTTCCTCAAATCAATAAAAATTGTTTTATTAAGTCCTGCAATAAAAATTGAATTGTCTATTCTCCAAATGAAATTGATTTTGCTTATATCTCTTACAAAAAAATGGTGCTCAGTATTAGGATTAAAAATGTTAATATGCAAATCTACGCCATTTTGGTTTGTCTTCCAATGCAAAATGCTAGAATTTGAGTATTGAAATTCATAATCACTAGGGACTTCAATTTGGAACTGCAGTGCTTCTGTTAAGATGCTTCATATAGAAACTGTCTTGTTCTTTTTGAGAACAACAAAAAATTTATCAATGTCGAATTGATCCAAATGGCTTATATTAATGTTTGAGCTTTGCATAATTTCTCTTCTGCAGTCACTTCCTTGAACAAGATTTATATAGTTATAACTATAAAACCTTAATAAGCTGCCTTGTGCTCTCTTTAATACAACAATGAGGCACTCTGATGTAAAAAAAGCTTTATACGCAATCTCATTCCTTTTGGTTAAAATTATCCACGATGACGACAGCAAAATTGTACCGAAAATTGCTTTTCCTCTTTTGTCGATAGAGACAATGAAATTGTCTCTGCTTCTAATTCAAATCGATCCTGAGCCTATTTTTTCAGCATTGATTGTTGAATTTTTTGGATAAAAACACTATATAATTTTTACTGTTAGGGATGCATTATTTCAAACTAAGGCTTGCTCTAAATAACTAGCTGAAGAACTTTGACCGATCTCTCTTTTAAAGATGAACTCTTCGATTGAATCCATTATATATAATCGCTTTATTATAATATTAATAGCTGCTTTATATATTTAATATTAAAATAGAAAAACTAAAAGAAACTGAATTATTAAGTGATGAAATTAGCAAATGATCTCTAGGTCAATAAATTAAAGCCATTTTACAGAATAATTGCAATTTTATATATGTATAAAAATGCCATTCAAATCACAGATTATTTATTGATAATTTTTTTGTAAGATTTTCATCGAAATTAAGGGATTAAACGTCCAGAAAATGATTTTGAATCAAACTTTATCCTTTGAAATGTATTATCTTCTCTGTGTAATTCTGAAGGCTAAAACCTATAAAAGAGGAGAAGTGAAGAAATCTTTCTGTAATCGACACGGAAAGCTAACTACTCAAAAAAGGTGATAAAAGCGTTTATATGCAATTACTAATTAAATTGGTGCATTAGTGGCTATATGGAGGCAGAATGAAGTTTTCAAAGGTTATAAAAATAATAATAGCAAAATTAACATTCTTGTGGAATCAAGCTTTTATATAAACAGAATGATCAAAAAATATTGATTAGCATGACTTAAAGTTTAATTTAGTTGAGCTAGAATGTTATTTGTGGAATAATTATTCAATAGATATTTTAGAATTATAAACGTAAATATGCTTTAAAATTATTTATTAGTTTCTCCAGGATAATTCAAAAAGATTGAATTAATGGCTTAACTCTTCATCAACGACAGATTTAGGCTATTTTAAGAATTAATCTTTTTATTCTCCTGAGCTGTGAAAGAGACGATGGCAAAGTTTATTTTATTGAAATTAATGCTTTAGCATAAAAGCGGATTCATAGCCTTATTGAAGTATGTAAAATTGTGTTGCAAGTCAATACAATATTAAATTCGAAAATTTTAAAATTTTCTATAAGCGCTTTTAAGTTATTTTATGACTCCTCTTGGTACTTACTAACTCAACATAAAATAGAGCAAATAAATAAAAGAGCATATTAATTAATTCTAATAGAATTTGTAAATAAGCCCTCATCATCGAATTTAGTGCAAATAGCATGAAAATCATAATATATTTTGAATATAACTAATCAAACTGGCAGCTAATTATCAAAATTTCAAAAAGATAAGTATGAGAGAATACTCACTCACCTGATTTGAAATAGAAATTGAGCTATCAAGATGGGAATCAGAACAAAGTATGAGCAGATTATGTTTTAATGGCTAATACAAAAAAGTAAAACGATGATTATAGTAATAATTCATAATAAAAATTATTAGAAAATAATGGAATCAAATGTCAAAAATGCTTAAAAATAGTATCTTTTATTATTATAAGTAGATTATAATTTAAATTATTAATTCTTTGATCTTATGGAATTTAGTGTGTACTCTATTTGCAGATTTCTAATAAATTTGATTGTTTAGCAACTTTGCAAGAAACTTCATAGCATTGAGAAATATCGATATATGATTTTGTCAAGCATTTTGGAAAATGAAGGTGAGATTGATTTAGTGGGAATACAGCACATATTAGCAAGCGTCTTCATTATAATAATTGATAAATTTATTTAAGCAAAGATCTAAAAGGGTTCCACAAAGAAATTTGATAGTGCATATTTTTAGCTAATTTTATGTTCGAAATATCAAGAATGAAAAGACTTTGAGCACCCTTAGCTAAGCAAAGCTCTCATAAATTTATTAATTAAAATTTTTTGGATTTAAAAAGATTAGCTCTATTAATCAAGAAGCAGCAGCTCTCCAAAATTAGTTCCAATAAAAATTTGGTTCGTACTTTCATTTATTCCAATTGCAGAGACTTTAATAGAGCGGGGAATATCAACGCAGGCAAGTATTTTTACTGGTGATTTACTTATGACGAAAATTTTGCTAGTTTCACTCGAAAAAGCAACAACCAACTCTTTTGTATCACTTATTAATGGATATTTCTCTTTGAAACTCAAAACCGTTCCATAGTCAGTAAGGAATATCATGGTTTCGCCAGTGTTTAAAATGATACCGTCATTTGAGTCCGGAGCATATATTTGAGAAATCGAGTATATTTGAATTTCAAAGACACTTCCGTTCCTCAAATCAATAAAAATTATTTTATTGAGTCCGGCAATAAAAATTGAATTTTTAATTCTTGAAATAAAATTGACTTTATTGATGTTTCTCACAAAAAAATGGTGTTCAGTAATCGCGTTAAAAATTTTAATACGCAAATCTAAGCCATTTTGGTTTGCTTTTCAACACAAAATGCTAGAATTTGAGTACTGAGCTTCATAATCATTTGGGACTTCCATTTGGAATTGCAGTGCTTCTGTTAAGATGTTTCATATAGAAACTATTTTGTTCTTTTTTAGAACAACAAAAAAATTTTCAATGTCGAACTGATCCAAATGGCTTATATTAATGCTTGAGTTTTGCATTATTTCTCTTCTGCAGTCGCTTCCTTGAACAAGATTTATATAGGCATGGCTATAAAATCTTAATAAGCTGTCTTGTGCTCTCTTTAAAACAACAATGAGGCACTCTGATGTAAAAAAAGCTTTATATGCAATCTCATTCCTTTTGCTTAAAATTATTCACGATGACGACGGCAAAATTGTACCTAAAATTGCTTTTCCTTTTTTGTCGATAGAGACAATGAAATTGTCTCTGCTTCTAATTCAAATCGATTCTGAGCCTATTTTTTCGACACCAATTCTTGATCCCTCTGGATAAAAACTCTGCATAATAATTACAGTTAGAAATAAATTATTTCAAACTAAGGCTTGCTCTAGATAATCGCTTGATGAGCTTTGACCTAATTCTCTCTTATAAATGAATTCTTCAATTGAACCCATTATAGCGAATCGTTATAATTTGGAATTAATGGATATTTTTTTACTTTAATTTAATTACAGAATATGTAGAGGTAAAGTAAACTTAATTATTAAGCCATAAAGTCAAGTAGCTCTAAGTGATTTAATATAAAAATTGTTTTGCAGGAAATTTTAATATGCAAATGCTATAAAAATGTCATTTTAAGTCATAAAATTTTAATAAGATTTCAATAAGAATAGGCTAATCAGAGCATTTTCAACCAAGTGATTTATCATTCAAAAACCTCTATTTATCCTCCCGAAAAAATAGAGCTTGAAATCCTTTAAAATAAGGGTAAGTGAAGAAACTATTTTTACAAATTCAAATAAACTCTTGCTGCTCTAAGGAGGCTTTTAAGGCTATTATTATTATTATTAATTTTTTGTGTTTGCAACTCTATCAAGGTTGTCTAAATTTTTCAACAATCACATTACAACAAAGTTGATTGCAATGATATTGTATATAGCTTTAAGCAAGAAAATTATCAAAAAAATTACCATCAAATGCCGTATTTCTTTAGATTGAGCTAGAGACATAACGCGAAAGAATTATTTAATCGATGTGTTGAAGAAATTTATAAATATGCAACCCTTAGAAATTTTTATAGATTTTTATGGTCACTAATATAAGGGAGTAATTCAATGATTTCCTGCCCTTTAGAACCAGAGTTAGGGATATTTAAGAAAATTAGTTCTAATTGTTAATTAAATTATTTGGACATGGTTATTGAAAGATAATTATCAAAAGATAGCAAAATCGTTTTCAATTGAAATTTATTTATTCAGAATAAAAATTTAGTCTCATAGCAATCCGGTTTCATTCAAACATTGCCATAAATCAATATAAAATGAAAATTGAAGCAAATAAAAAATAACTTTTTAAGCCTTAAAATTATTTTCATAAGGTCATTGAATAATAACTAAACCATAATGAAGTGTTTAATCTATGCGCAGGCTATATTTTTGTCTTAGGAAATTTCCAGCAAAATTCCTGAGGCACAGTGAGTTTTAAGATGAACAGAACGAGAACTTGATAATCAATTTTGAATATATTTTAAAGAATTAATATACATTTCTAGAACCAGGAGGACTATAAGTATTAGAGAATCTCATACAATGATTTCAAGCTGGATTTTGCAAATCAAAATGAAAATTAAAAGAGACATGATCCCAGATAAATATCTAAGTGGGCCTGAACAAATAAGAAAATAATGATTATGATACCAATATGTAATGGGAGAGCTTGCTATTGAGGAGTCATTCATTCATTAATTAAGCGCTGATTGTATAATAAATGCTCAAAGCAATTATAATTGTCAAACACGGGAATAAACGAAAATTTATCATATAAAATAAAAAAGACTTCATTATAGTAGAAGTAGGATCATTTTTAATTAAATTGATTTCTAATTAATGAGTTTTCTTTTTCTGAATCCCTCTGAGCTATCTACAGTCTGCTTCTGAAATAAGGGATTTTTATGTCAGTGAGCTTTATACCATTCAAGAAATAAATTGCTGCTCCAAATGGCAAATGTTTGTGCTGCTTCCCATAAATAATTGCCTCAAAACTTTAGAAAATGAACAAGACCAGATGGAAGAGTATTATCAATGAAAAACACTATTTCATACTAATTCTGTATAAATTATTACTATTAAAAATTCGGAAAAATTCCAGATATCAATCATTCTAATATAAGTAAAATATAACTTTTTATACTTAAATATCTACTTATTCCTCTAAATTTATTAAGAATCTACAAATCTTCATCAACATTATTCTTATTCTATAAATTTAAATAAATTTCCATCTAATAATGAACTTAGGAACAAGAATCAATATAGAAGAAACAAAATTTGACGATTTCAATAGTAAATTCCTACAAGTCAGAACCATTCCAAGAAGTATAGAAGTCTATGGAATAATCCTTGCCTATATGGAATTTTGCGCACTCTATTTACAGATTCCTAATAAGTTTGGTTTATTTGACAATTTTGTAAAAGACTCTCTATCCCTTGATCAAGATCAATATGAGTATTTATTATGGTTCTATCGCAACTTTTTTGGAAAAGAAGGTGGTATGGATTTTATTGACAATGCTGCACAAACAAATGATTTCATAATTTTTGTCCATAAAGTTATAGAAGCAATGACATTAAAAGGCTGTACAAACCAAATCCTCAGTGCTTATAGCTTTTTGACTAAAAACTTGAAGTTTTCAATAACAAGAGCTGAAAATGAGAAGACTTTGAGCGCTATAAGCCAAGAACAGTCTCTCTTTACTATCAATTTACTTTATAGAGGTGACACATGCAACATATTTTACCCTAGAATTGGGTTAGAAAATGAAAAGATTAGATATGAAATACGAGTAGAAAGAAATAAAACACTTTTACACTGTGGGTGCTTAGTTGATAATCGCGAAATAAGAGATGCACAGCTTTGCCAATGTGGAACTAAATTATATTCAGTTGAAGCTCAAATATTGCAAGCTGAAGTTAATAATAGTAAATCTCAAAATCATTCCTTGCCTAAGAGTGATGAACCTATAGTTCCACTACAAGTGCCAATAATAAATCCCCAGCCTCTCCATCCTCTTCAGCCTCTTCAACCTCTTCAGCCTCTTCAGCCTCTTCAGCCTCTTCAGCCTCTTCAGCCTCTTCAGCCTCTTCAGCCTCTTCAGCCTCTTCAGCCTCTCCAACCTTATTCAGCTATTCCTCCTTGGTTCACTTATTTACTCTCAATATTAATTATCGCTTTTGTGATTTGTGCGACTCTCTATAGTTTTGGCCTGCCTAACTTTTTCAGCACAACAAACCCACTAGAATATAAGTTTAATAAAGAACGATTATACAGACAAAAGCCCAGCACGCCTTTAGATAATTTTATGATTAAAGAATTCATAATTTTACAGGATCATATATTTGCTACAAATGATAAAAAATATAAAATGAAAACAGATAAAATCGCTTCTCGAAGCTTTGATTTGATTCAAGATTATTCATTCAAAATTGCTACTCGGCACTATCTCCTAGAAGAAAACAAATTCGAGAAAAATAAATTAGAATGCAAAGAGTTCAGCGATTTAGAACATGAGAACTTCTTCAAAGATAATTACGATTATTACTCCAAAAAAGTAAAATCATGGTTTGGATATCCCTAACAGCTACTAATATAATAAATAAAGCAAGCTAATTTGATATAAATCTTGTACTGGCAGTCATACATATAGACTTCTTCTATCAGGATTGCGTTCACTTACTCCCCCCCTCCATGAGCGAACAAAACCATTAGAAAAATCACTATTTTTTGCCCAAAAGCCCACCCTCCATGAGCGAACAAAAATTTTTTATGAAAAAAAAAATTTATATATAAGTGATAACCAGCACCACGAAATCCCTAGCCAATTTGTTTAATTTTAAACAATTACATTTTAAAGCATAAATTTTACAAATTAAATTAATATTTGCTTTCAATTTTTGAGTAGTGGGAGTTTTTTAAATTTTGAAAAAACATTTTTTTTCTATATATATTTTAAAAAAAAAGAATTAACCCCCTTCGTGAGCGAATAAGATTTTTTTGTTCGTTCGCGGAGAGGGGGAGTTAGCGAACACATGAGAAATCATTTTTCTGAATCTTGATAAAATAAATTATTCTGCTCTTTATTAGTAGGATTAGTAGCCACAACATTTTTTGAGAGTTTCTATCATACTCCCATCATAGCCAGTTCCGTTGAGCTATATTCTTGCCTGCGTTTAGAACAGGTCGCCAGTTTTCGAAACATTGGCCACCCTGCAGTTTGAGTAGATATTAATTCCTGTGTCAATAATGGTTATGCATTTACGGAAGAATTATATAAATATTTAAAAACTAAGCCTTAAAGCCAGCTTTAAATGCTGGAACTCCAGTAGCAGCTCTTCCAGCAACCAATACATTCACGTCATAAGTTCCCTCATAAGTATATGCAACTTCCATGTCAACTAAGGCTTTCATTGCGAAATTATCAATAAGTATACCATTCCCACCCATAATCTCACGGCCAAGCCTAGTTGCTTCTCTACCCATATATGATGACCAACCTTTAACTAATGATGCCTGAGCGATATTTCCTTGCCCTTTTACTAATAAGGTTGTTGCTCTCCAAGCTAAAAGAAAAACAGCTTGATATATTGCAAGAATTCTTACTAACTTTTCTTGATTAAGCTGAAAAGCAGCTAAAGGAGCTCTAAATTGGGTTCTTTCCCTCAAATACTTAACAGAGTGCTCATAAGTCCCTCCTACAAGCCCAGCAACTAGCCAGGCCAAAGTCATCCTGGAGTGATCCAAAACAACATTTGCCCCAGTCGCAAAAGTGTGGCCTTTTTCTAGTCTTTCATTTTCTGGGACAAATACATCTTTCATAAATACATTGCCATTTTGGACAATCCTTAATGCGAGTTTTCTATTGATATTCGTGACGGAAACTCCTTGAGCTCTGCTATCCATTATAAAGCCTTCAACATTTTTGGTGATTGTATTTCTGGCAAAGATGACCATGATATCTGATATGATTGCGTTTCCAAGCCATCTCTTGACTCCATTAAGAATATACCCACCTTTTACTGGAGTTGCAGTAGTTTCAAGAGATGAAGCATCTGAGCCATAATCTGGCTCTGTTAAACCCCAGCTTGCGATAATGTCAAGGTTGCAGAGTTTTGGCAAATATTTAGCTTTTTGCTCTTCACTACCAAGCTTTTCGATTGTAAATACTACTAGGCTTAAAGTCAGCCCATAGAATGTTGCAAGTGAAGCGTCAATTCTTGCAAGCTCATAAATTATGAGTGATTTTTCAAGAGGACATACTTTTCTGCATCCATACTTTTCTTCAGAAATACCGAAAATTTTGAGAGGCCTAAGCTTTTCAGCAATGTCTAATGGGAACTGAGCCTTGTCATACCACTCAGCTACATATGGGGCTAAATTTGCTTCTAAGGCTTCTCTTAACTGCTTTCTCTTGTTGTTAAGGTCAGGAGGTAGCAAATCATCAAGGTAAAGAAAATCGATTGGATCTTGTATGTAAGGGGTTTTTAAATTGGATTTAGAGAAATGCTCAGTAAGGTTTTGCCCGAGGTGGTTTGAGATAAGATTCAATCTTTTCGACATTTATTTATATGGCTCTAAAGAGTCACAATCTGAAGCTCAGCCCAAATTGTTATTGAGAATCTATTTATTTAATTTTATAGATATGAAAGAAAATTGATAATCCGCCTGTCCAAGGAATAAAATACTAAATTAATTGCCTTTTCAACTATATAGTAGCAATTGAAGCTACTGCCCCATTCAAGATATTTTAACCACATAACGAAATGATGTCATCAATTTGTACGTCATCTTAAAATTTGAACTCAAGCTTAGATATAGAAATTTCCCATAGATGGCGCTGTTTGTCCTTGAGTTGCCCATGAGGAAAATTTTTTTGGTTTGACCAAACCATATGGGACTGGTCGAACCAAAAAAATTTCCCCAGTGGGCAAATCAAGGGCAAACAGCGCCATCTATGGAAATTTCTATAATTTTTTTAAACTTTTTTATATAAATCAAAAGCTAAATCGCACAGCATTAGCATTATTGATTTCTTATGACACTTAAATTTATAGATTTCGTACTAATTTACATTATTTAAATATTAAATTTTATGGGACTCTAAAAAATATCCCATCGTTTAATCTGAATAACTCATCAGAGGCTTTATATCTTCCAACCGATGTGCTTCTTTCACTTTTCGTGGAATATTTTTCAGTCATTTTTAAATATTTCCCAATCACTTTATCATAATATGAATTTGTAGTTTTAGGGATTGGAGTTTTACTTGGAGATCTTGAGGTATATTCGTAAGGCTTAAAATTTACGTCTCTTATTGGCTTTCTTTCAGTTCTTACACGATATTTCCTTTTAAATTTTCTCGAAGTGCCTGGCTCTTCTTCAATTAAATCTAGTTGATATGAGAGTTTTGATTTGTTGTCTTTTCATGTAGAAATAGAAGGCTCACTTGATTTTGGAGAAGGGAGACTGTAAGAATACTCAGATCTGTCTAATGAATATGAAGAATCTGTTGAACTGCTTCGTGATAAAGGATGAGAAGAAGCACAGTAATTAATTAGGTCACTGCAGCAAGTAGAAAACTTTGGGGGAAGATGCTTGTTTGCTTCGAGTTTAGCCATCCTTTGGTATGTTTTGATCAAATTTCTTGAGAGGATTTCTTCGTCTATTTTTTCACCTTTGAGCATATAGAGAACACAATTTGATAAAGTGGTGATCAGCATTTCGCACAGCCTCCCATATGAAGTTTCTTGTAATCTTGTGCTGAAACCACTATAAACAGACATTTAAAATTTATAAAATAATTTTTTGAGAGTGAGCAGAATGAGGCATCTCTAATTTAGAAATATGTTTGAATATAATATTTGATAAATGATTTAATAGATATATAAGCAATATAGTGCTTAAATCTCTCAAAATGAATTATAAATGCCAATAAATTTACAGTGTTTTCTAAAATATCTATAAAAGAATATATAGTATAGCCAATTATTAAAAAACACACTCAGAATAATGTTATGCTTGGATAGATAGATCCTTTATCTAATTTACTTGGCTTAGCAAAAAATTCTAAATTGCTGAATGTTATAATAAATTAAGTAAGCAATATTATTTATGATAATCGATGAAAAATTGCAGTCCTATTCAGCATCTTCAATGGTTTCAAATAGCGATAATTCACTTGCTAGCATCAGATTGCTTCTTAACACACCTCCTTATCAAAGAACACACAAACAAATTGAAACGCTGCTTACGTTAACACAGAATATCAAATTTTTTAAAGAGCAAGTCAAGGAGAATGGTGAAGAAATTCATTATCAAGCCTGCCAATTCATGAGCTATGAGCTCATTCAAGCAGATCAGGTATCAAATTATTTAGTATGTTTTCAAATTTGGGGAGTTTGGCGACAAATTCTACATAATCCTTCAAGGAAGGGCCAAAATTTTTGTGCCTTTTGTATCTGATGTTGACAAGAAAGAGAAAAAAACTGAAATGGTCGAAGTAGGTGAGTATGGACCTGGATCAGCATTTGGAGAGTTATCATTAATTAAAGACATGCCCAGGTCCGCTTCAATCTTGTGTATTGCTGACACAGAATTTGCTGTTTTATATAAGGATGATTATTTGAGAATTCTTGGAAAATCAGAGACAATAAGATTAGATGAAATGATTGGATTTTTTCAGACGATGCCTATGTTTAAAAATTGAGGGAAAAAAGCTATTGGAAGATTAACTTATTTTTTCAAGGATAAAAGTCTTGTAAGGAATGATATACTTTATAAACAAGGAGATGAGTCGGAATATGTATATATTGTAAAGCAAGGAACCCTTGAGCTAATAAAAGAAATCAGCTTAATTCATCAAGAAAAATCTCCTTCTTACCATGAATCTGGACATTTGAGAATTGAGCCTAGTTTTTCTCCAAGGAGACATAGAGCGAGAGTTGCTCTATTAGAAGTTGGTGAAATGATAGGTGATGAAGAAGCTTTAACTGACTCTGCAATGCACTTTACTTGCAAATGCTTTTCTTCAGTCGCTGAAATACTTTGCATCCCGAAAAAAGAATTCATCGCTAGGATCCGACATGAAGACACTTTGAATTTTTTATATGAAAAACACAGAATGAAAGAAGATTTCAGAAATTTCACCCTCGAAACTGTCACCTCAATAAATAGCTCTAAAATGACTCCTCCTCCTATTCAATGTGAAAGCTTCAGCAAAACTCCTCCACCCTCAGTAAAGTATTTAAGTACCCCAACGCTCATTAAATTCACACCTAAAACAACGAAAACAAAACTTTGCACAAGTCCATTAAAATGCAGACTAGCACCTATCAGCCCAAAAAAATTCAGAGCCATTAAAAAGGCAGCAATTGGAGATTGTGATGAAACAAAAAATACCCAAGAATCTTCGCTTGAATCACCAAAAACTAATTATCATACACTAGGACTGTTTAAGGGATCTAAAGTCAAGCATTCTCTTAAAGTATTAACTAGTTCGAAAATATTTGATGTATCAAAAGCAGATTTAAATTTGTCATTAGGACCATTGAAAAGAAAAAGTGCAGTTAGTCTTAAAAAAATCGTTGCACCTGTTCCAATTAGTTTGATTAGATTCAATAACAGCAATTTTAATTAATAAATTATATTATGAGAGATTGATAGCAATTAAATAAAATCTTTTCACTGTGGGAGTACAGCAACTATTATAGAGTAAGAATAAGCAAAGATTAGGAATAATAATTATATGATCATCAAATAATTAAATTACGATTTGCAGATAAAAATATATCTAAACTTTCTTTAAAATAAATTCTTTACATCAAAAACAAATGCAATTATTATAGATAAGTCATATCAAGGTTATTTTACCATATTATTATTAAAAAATTTGTAGAGATGAGTTTATCACGAACATCTATGGAAAGGCTGAATTCAATATTTTTATTTTTGGTAAGCAGCCCAATATCGGATAATTTCATTTCAATAACCGAAAATCCAAGAAAAAACAAGTTCCCTTTGAATATTTTTGTTGATCAGTTGAATGGGTATAAGAATTCTGGACAATACTCTGTATCAACTTTATATAAAGCATTGGCTAAGATATGCAAAGAGAAGGACATCTTTTATACTTTAATGAACATTCTGCATGATCATAGCGCTAAGCCCCTTGAAAAAAGCCATGAAAATTGCTTCCCTTGCCTCTCCTTCAAAATTAAAGGAAGTAAAATAATTTCATGCTTATGTAAAGAACCAGTAGCAGAAGAATTTCTAGAGAATTTTGGAATAAAAATCAATATTTTGGAAGTGTATCAGCCTATTGAAGAAGATTTATGATATAAAAGGTTAATAGAAATATATATAGGGCAGTCATCTAACTTAATAAAGAGCTTAAAGCAGAGGTGCAAGGGTGAAAATTGCGCAAGAAAAGCAATTATTTCATACAATTTTGCTGAAAACCCAAATTATTTATTTTTCCATTTAAAATGAAGCCATTCCCCGAACATTTCAGAAATTATAAAAGTTTTATGTTCATTTTCAGTAAATTTCGATATCTCATTATTTACTGGCTCTAAGGACCAAAATAATTATGGTCTTGCTGGAATTTTACTAGAAAACAGCAGGATATCTGGATGTCTTGTATATAATCGAACACCAAATAACTGAAGCCTTTACATGGCAGACTTTAAAAAGGAAAACATATCTCTCTTCTATGCATTTCAATATATTATTCACAATATCTTAATACCAACATCCTACTGCTACTATAAAGAGCCAAATAATTCTAGATTTTTAAGCATATCAGCATGACTTACTTTTGAGAGTAAATATATTTTAAAAGAAAATCGTAATTTCCAAACTAGGATTGCCAGATTCTAGTGATCTGGAAAAGATTGCGGATGGAGCAGAAGAGCATGACTTAGAAAAACAGGAAGAAAGCAAATCAATCATTCTCGATAATAAAATTGATGAAGTAAATATTGGCCCAATGATAAGCCAAGATCATGAATCGTTCAGTAATTCTGAGGAAGAAGAAGAAGAAGAAGAAACAGAAGAAATAGAAGAAACTGAAGAAGTAGAAGAAATAGAAGAAGATAAGATGGAAGATAAGCTGCAGAGACAAGTAAAATATACCGAAAACCAAGAATATTTTGCATATAATAATGAAAAACCTATAGGATGAGCATGCAAAAGCTGTTTCGTTTATAATTACGGGCAAGAGAAATGCTTAAGATGCGAATGGAGTATGGAAGTTGAAGGAGCTGGATGACTTTGCAGATGCGGAGGCGAAAACTTTGATATTGCTTGCGCAAATTGCAATGAGGAAATCCCTAAGTGCTCAAACTGTGGGATATGCTATTCGAATTTCCCAGTTGCTTGCCCAAAGTGTAGCAAATCAATGATCATTGGAAGAAAATGTAACTGCGGTTTTAAATATCTATCAGCTGCATGCCGTCTGTGCTTACAGTGCTTTAATGAAGTTTCATGGATCTGTAGGGCTTGTGAAATAAGAAACCCATTTTGTAATACTACATGCTTCAGATGTTTGAATCCAAGAATTTAGCTTAATTAATTTGGAGGTTTATCTTTAATATCATATAGCTAGCTATTTTTATTAATGGCTTGTTAATAATATCCTATATTGTGGATTTCTATTTAATAATCATGGATTTTATTCATCAAGATTTCTTAAATTTACACTCTAATCTCTTTGACCAAAACGAGATTTGGGGTTTGAGACCAAAAATAAAGGATTAGGCCTTACAATATTTGCTGCATCTATCCCTTAATTATTTGCAGCACATATATCAAATGATTATAATATTTTGCTGACTCAATACCCTCTTCAGCATGTGAGGCTTAGTATGGCCTAATGGAATTTGGCACAATTCGCATGCGGAAAATGGAATAATAAAATATAATTATTAGTTTTATATGCTATTTAAATTATTAATCACATTAAAGACTGAAATTTATTTGATTATCAATAGTTGAATAATTATAAGATGGATTATCAAGAACCTTTTTGTGGCTGCTTTTCAGATCTTTATAGCTGTCTAATTCAAGATGCAGTGCCTTGCGGAGGTTGCATTGTAAATGCTATGGCAACTGTGAATGCTACAGGGGAGAAATTTTGGGGACTTTGTGCTATCAATGCTTTAACTTGCTGCATCGGCATGGCAAATAATAGACAAAAGATAAGAAATAAGTTTGGAATGAACGAAGATTGGACAACTGACTGCGTTTCATATCTTTTCTGCAATTTATGCACAGTGACTCAAGATTATAGAGAAGTTGAAAATCGAAATCTGATGAGTCCTAACTAATCTGTTTACTTCGGTATTATTAAAGATAATCTTCTTTATATTTTAAGAACAAATATAGCATCATATCAAGCTATGAAATAGTAATCAAAAAATTAAATATTTTAGTTCTAAGATAATGATATATATCTATAAAGAATTCAAAATAGCTTTTAATTAAATTAATTAATGATTGTTTAGGCAGGATCGTAGGCCTTTATCTTTATGGTACAGAGCATTTTCTCCAGATCATGTGAAATTAAAATTCAAGGATAATATGATTTATGTATAACTTCTAAAGGAAACATAATTAGACTAAATTTATTCCGAGGAGTAAAGGATTTTATTAGTTTACATCACAACAGAGATGAAAATATAAATTTTTTCATTTTATAAAATGAAAGATATTCCCAAAGAAGACCCTGAAGAAGTTGAGCGCAAGAAAAAACGACAAGAACGATTTGGAGTTCAGTCAGAAAAAGAAAAAAAGGTTGAAAGAGCTCAAAGGTTTGGATTGCAAAATTCAGAGCTAGACAAGATCAAAAAATCTGAGCGCAAAAAAAGATTTGGAGGCATCACTGGGAATACTGAAGAAGAATCGAAGAAAATTGAGGAAAGAGCAGCAAGATTTGGGCTATATAACGAGAATCAAGAACATCAGAAGCAAAAAGAAAGAAAAGAAAGATTTGGAGTTGTTGATCCAGAAACAGAAAAAGAAAAGAAGATGGCAAGACAAGATAGATTTGGTGCCAAATAAATAATATTAATCCACTCTAAACACTCATTTACACACATCAAATAAATTTGTGCTTTTGCAAAGACAACCTTCGAACTGAACATGAGTTGGCAGGTCAGATCATTCATAATTTGAGAGAGAAATTAAATCAAATAAATAGATTATTGTATTGGCCAGATATAATGAAATTAATTATAATTATCCAAAAATAATAAAATTTACTAGTTTTCCTTAGATAATCACTTAATTTTAATTAATAAAAGCATTGAAAATTATGAGATGTTTACTGATGCTCAATCATTTTGCAATAAATTTATTATTAATAGCCTCACAATATTCTTAAATTTTAATTAATTAATTAATTAATCCCCAAACAACACCTGAAACTCTGCTGAGACATCTCCTGGCTTTTTCCATACATGAGTTGCATAAGAAAACTCAATTCTTCCAAAGGCTCCTACCCATCCAAGCCCAATTCCAACTGACCCTCTAGCCTTTTCCCTAAAATACGTCTTTAAATTTGTTACTTTATGTGGTTCTTCACATATCATATTTGCATACAAATAAGGAACGAGCCCAACACCACTTATCACTGGCGTATTATAGAAATGAAGCTTAGTTTCCAAATTGAGAACAGAGAGTTTCCCTAAATCATCCCCTTCAACCGCAAACTTTCCTCTCATAGTTGGATCTGCTGGCTGTTCACGAGTTCCTATAGCTTGAAATCCCTTAATATATCTTGACCTATATCTATCATTAATCTTTGTTGTCGTATTCTTCCAAGGAATAAATGCTCCTAAGCCAAATGTAGATTGAAATACAACATTTGATAAAATAGGGAAATAGTGGTTAAATTTCAAATCTACTTTATGGAAATTCACGTCTCCTCCTAGTGCGAATTCATTGGTGATTGATGTGAGAGATCCAGTCCTGGGCTCGGATGTGTCATCTCTTAAATCACGAGTGTAAGTATGAGATATATAATTTTTCACAGAAACAGGCAACTCTTCTTTTAATAGCTTTAATGAAGCATATTCGACTGCAACGTCATTAGTCCTTATAAATCTTCCAGCTTCTAGTTTATGCTTTCCATTTGCAGACTTAATAGCGAAGCTTCCTCCGTAAGCATTTTCTTTTACATTTTGATCAAGCTCATCGCTGTACTTTTTGACTGAATACATCATTTCCCACTTCCCTGGCATATAAAGTTTATCATGATGAAAGACTTCATATCCCCAAGTCCCTGTATTGAGTTTATACTCCAGATTAATATTCGTTAAATCTGCCTTCCCCCTTAGATTTCTCAAATGAGCTGAAAGTACGCTTTTTCCACCCTCACTATCTGCATTTGCTCCAAAGCTAAGATTCCACCATCTCTTATCTTTCAGCACAAACTGAACCAAAGCTGCATCAATCGTTTTCCCTGGCAATACAATAGCATCGCAGCTTCGATACATATCCAGAGCATTAAGCTTATAAACTGTTTCCTTGATCTTTGCATGAAGCTCTTCTACAGATCTTGATTTTGTCAGAGGCCTGACATATCTTTTTAAAAGCTCAGGGTTTGTAGAAGTGTTTCTGAAATCAAGCTCTACGCTGACGATTGGATTCTTTGCGTGGTCTCGGAGTTCTTTGAGTTCCTCCATATTATTTGCTAGTGATAACAAATTTATGTCAAGTGAGCCAGGGAAAAAGAATGCAAGGAGCAAAGCAAAAAGGACAGAAAATAAAGAAAAAAAAGAAAGTTCCATACAAGAAAATATTCATTGATCACTAGGATTTCCAAACGCTAAAGATGCGCAGGAAATTATGCAAGAAAAAGCAAAGCATCAGGCTAAGCTTTTAGAATTACATGAAGAGGTAAGGAATAGTTTTTTTAATGACGGAGTATCGCATCAGAGCCAAGTGATATTAAGAAGGATCGTCCAAAATCCTGCTGTTCCACAGAAATATGAGTTTTTCAATCTGCTTGATGCTTTAAATACAGCCCATCAAGAAATGCTTATGAATGAGCTAGAACTTGCTGTATGAGAAATTTATCTTGAAAAATTTGTATGAAAAGACAAAGAAACTCCTTTGCTCCTACTATTAATGCTCTCTGCATTTGCGGTAAAAAGCTATTTTAATGAAGATGTCAGCACTTATCAGGCCTATTTATCCGTAAAGTATCCTGGATTTTTGGAGGCTTATGAAAAGTGGTATAATGTATATAAAAATGATATGAATATTAGCCCGATCGAATTGAATGATAAATTTAGAGATTTAAATAAATTTGTAACTACTCCAGGAGATACAAAAGTTGTAGACTATAATTACTACGTTGATGAAATTTTGCAGAATTCGGCGAGCTATACGGTGAAAAGTAAAGATTCCTTGCAGAGACTAACTAATGATCAGGAAATCATGGATATATATTCAGCTTATATAAAAAGAGAACCAATTATCATTAATAATCAGCAGATTTTGGACACTGAAATGCTTGCACCAACTTTGTCTAAACTGGATTCAGTGCTAAGCGGAATTGAAACAGAAGGGCTGAATAATTTCGAAAGTAATAAAGCTTCAGGAGTTCCGATCATAGCAAGCAATATGGTGCTTGAAAGAATAGATTCAATTTGTACTGAAATTTTACTATCGCAAGAAAATAGCCATAACAAATCATAAATTATTTAAGCAGTATCAAATCAAAAGGAGCTACTAAAAATTTTTATTATCTAGCTATTCCTTATTTTTATAAAAAATTGATATTTATTTTTGTTTTATTATAAACTCTGTGCTTATTTATCTAAAATTGGATATTCAAAGCAGAATAATAATCCTAATGCTTACTCCGCCCCCTCCGTGAGTGAACAAAACCATTAGAAAAATCGCTATTTTTTGCCCAAAAACCCACTCTCCGTGAGTGAACAAAAATTTTTTTGATAGAAAAATTTTTTATGGAAAAAAAAATTTGATATATAAATGATAATTACTATAATGAAATATAGAGCTAATTCTGTTTAATTTTGAACGAATTGCTTTTTAAAACATAAATTTTATAAATTAAATTAATATTTGCTTTCCAATTTTTGCGAATTAGGATTTTTTTAAATTTCGAAAAAAAATATTTTTTATAAAATTTATAAATAAATTTTTTTGTTCCCTCACGGAGGGGGGGGGAGTTAATATTTTTTCAAATTCCTTTTATATTATTGGAATTATTCTTTCTTTTTACTTTTTTCTTTGAGCCACTCCGTCCTGTTTCCATTTTTCCAAATCCCTCTTCGAGTTTCAAATGTTTTTGTCTTTTTATTTTCAAAGGTTTGAGTCCCTTCTCCATCTTGCTTTCCTTCTTTAAATTCTCCATCATAAACTTGGCCATTTGGCCAAGTAAGAACGCCATGCCCATGCATTAAACTATCTTTCCACTCGCCTTCATATTTTTTCCCTTCTGCCCATGTAAAAACTCCATAGCCTTCTATAATGTCATTTTTGAACTCCCCTTCAAAAACATTTCCATTTTCCCATCTAATTATCCCCGTTCCATTTTTTTGCCCATTTTTAAACTCTCCTTCAAAAATAGATCCGTCCTCAAGCTTTTCTTTACCTTTACCATATGGAGTTCCATTTCTAAAGCTCCCTTCATATCTTGATCCATCTGGTTTTTGAAGAACTCCATTCCCAGAAGGTTGCCCTCTTTTGAATTCTCCTTCATAAAGTTCTCCATCTGCACTAATAAATCTTCCATTGCCGGCCTTTTTGTTATTTTTAAAGTACCCTACATATTTCGAGCCGTCTTGACCGATTTCAACGCCAAGCCCATGCTTTTCTCCGAGCTCGTTCCATTCCCCCTCATAAATAGACCCATCTTCAAGTTCAACAGCTGCAAAATGAGCTACATTTTCGTGGTCATCTTCTGGAGCTTGAGGTTTGTATTTACCTAATTCTTTTTCCAGCTTTCTAACAGTTTTAGCTATTTTTGAAGATAAAGAATCAGTGAAAGGAGTGTATATTTTTGTTGGATCAAGTCTTTTAACATTTTTGGAAGCAGCAATTTCTTTTCTTACTAAATAGCCTCTTGCTGCGCTTTGTATGCAGACGTCATCTCTGCTTACTTTTTGCTTGGCATCTGGCTGTTGTTGCAGCTCATCATTTGATACTTCTAAGTTCTCTTCTTTTGCATTTATTTGAGGATGAACCTTGATTATGCTATCTTCTTCTTCTTCTTCCTTAACGTCTTCCTTCAAATTTCTATTGTTGTCTTGAATGATGATTGCTGCTTTTTCATCATAATTTCCGGTTTCCTGCTTCAATGGAGCTTTAGTCCTTCTGCTCATGTCCATTTCTTCATTTGAAAGGCCACCTTCCTTTAAGCAAGAACAATCAACACCCATTTTATTTATTCTATAATACCATAAATAAGATAAGGAAATTAAAAACGTTTTCATATTATATATTTTTAATATAGTTTAATCAATAACAAAAAAGACATTAAAAATTAAAATATATTAAGAAATAAAACAACCTTTTATCTTGTAAATATCTTCGTATAATTAATAAATTCTATGCTTAATGATGAATAAGTCTTAATTTTGTCTATTTCTAAAGATTAATAATAGCTATTTACTATAGGTAGCTATGCCTCAGATAATGAAAGTTTAATTGTTATTTATTCGTTAAAGTCCTTCAGACTATTATGGAAAAAGATTTAATTATAAATATTTTTTGATATTTGTACTTACGAAAAATAATTCAAGAATACTCATTTCATTAGTCAGTTTTTATAAAACTTAATATTTAGCAGAGTAATCCAGTATCTGCTAATAAGATATCTTAAGCATAATTAAAATAAACTGTTTGATTGTTTAATGGGCTGCAGTTCTTGCTCCTCCTGCTTTGGGAAGAACCAAGATTCAAAATCAGATCAAGACGTCGAAGTTATTGAAATCGAAGAGAGCCAGCAGAAAAATAAAAAACTTTTGCTCACTTCCCCTGAAAACCCTCTTAAAAACGCTTTGCCAGATCATCAAAATTATCCAAGTGTCTTATCGCCATCTGAGCACGTTCGTATCGCAGAAGGCCGCCTTCCTCATTTTCAATTTGACCGCGATGATGGTTATCCAGAGCTATTTGACCCTCCTGAGCACCCTGTTATTGGCTGCACTTACATTGGGCAAAAAAATCAATTCAATCAAAAACACGGGCGAGGTATGATTATATGGGAAGATGGATCTAAATATATCGGATATTGGAAAAACGATAAAGCAAACGGCCGAGGCCGTTTAATTCATTCTGATGGAGACGTCTATGAAGGATATTGATATGAGGATAAAGCTCATGGAAAAGGAAAATACACACATTTCAACGGATCAACTTATGAAGGCGATTGAAATGAAGACCAACAAGAAGGACTAGGATTAGAAAGATGAACCGATGGCGCATACTACAGAGGGCACTACAAAGCAGGCAAAAAGAATGGGTATGGAGAATTCCACTGAGCCGATAGCTCTGTATATAAAGGTCAGTTCATTGATAACCGAATTGAAGGGTTTGGAGTCTACACATGAAAAGATGGCCGAAAATATGAAGGATGATGAAAAGATAATCAAATGCATGGAAAAGGAGTTTTCAATTGACCTGATGGCAGGCTGTATCAAGGTGACTATATAAGTGATCAAAAGCAAGGCTACGGAGAATTTTTTTGGCCAAGCCGAAAAGTCTATAAAGGCTTTTGGCTTGATGGGAAGCAGCATGGGCGAGGATCTTTAATTAATCCTCAAGGCATAAAAACTGGGGAATGGGAAAATGGGAGGTTTGTAAATTAGTTTTTATTTAATCTATAATGGGAATATTGTGATGCTGTCTCCAGAGGTCCATGGAAGAATATTCGGAGTCTGTGCGATTTTGTTTCTTCGAATGCTTTCACGATTTTTTAGAAATGTGATGTCAGGAGATTCCATATCAACAAGTCCATACGATTCAGCAAGTTTTAAGCCATGCTCTAAGTTTCCGCTTCTAATTGAATTTATTGACTCTGAAAAGGTACTTGTCATGTGCTGAAGATCATCTAATTTTACTGAAAATTCTGGGGTATTTAATAAACCTTCTTGGAGCGTTGTTGGCTCTGGGTCTTCAGGTTTAGGATCGCTAAAGATCAAGCCAAGCCTGTAGTTGTTTTCTGCATAGTTGTCTAGAGCAAGCTTTTTGGAGTCTTCTTTTAAATCGGATTGCGAAAATTTAACTTCAACTGTAGTATATTCCATAATTTTTATTATATACTTAATTCTTATACTAGTCACTTGTGCTTTCTCGGGAATCTGACTGCGATTTTTGGTAATTTTCGATCCACTCTTGAAATTCATCCTCATCCCAGCTGCCGATTTTTTTATATCCTCCAGGGTGAATGAAGATAACTTTTTCATCAACCACTGCAATCCCGCCCTTTACAGCAGTTTTATCTGGATATAGCATCGTTCCAATTCCAGTTAGACCGTCAAAAATCCCTTCAAATGTGCATCCGTCGTCAAAAGTCCATTTCCCTTCTCCCTTAAGCTTGTTGTCTTCAAAGTAGCCTTCATATATTCATTTCAAATGGGGCCATGTGAACACTCCTTTTCCATGCTTTTTTCAATTTTGAAATTCCCCCTTATAGATGCATTTATTAGGATATGCAGCAAGTCCCCAGATAATTGTGTTGTTTTTGAAGGTTCCTTCATAAACGTGGCCATCAGATGTACTAACTCCCCCCCCCCTCCGTGAGTGAACAAAAAAATTTTGTTCACTCACGGAGGGGGGTTTAATTTTTTTTTTTAAAAAAAATTATATATAAATTTTATAAAAAAATATTTTTTTTCGAAATTTAAAAAAATCCTAGTTCACAAAAATTGGAAAGCAAATATTAATTAATTTATAAAATTTATGTTTTAAAACGCAATTCGTTTAAAATTAAACAGAATTAGCTCTAGATTTCATTATACTAATTATCATTTATATATATCAAATTTTTTTTCCATAAAAAATTTTTCTATTAAAAAAAATTTTTGTTCACTCACGGAGGGTGGGTTTTTGGGCAAAAAATAGCGATTTTTCTAATGGTTTTGTTCACTCACGGAGGGGGGGGAGTAAGCATGCCTTCTCCATTATATTTATCATTTTCCCACATTCCTTCATATCAGCTGCCTTCAAAGTTTATAAATCGTCCTTTACCCATTCTTTCTCCAAACTGTCAATAGCCTTCGTATAAAGAGCCATCTGAGTAGTACATGATTCCGACTCCATGAGGCTTATTATCAGCCCATTGACCTCTATACATATTTGAGTTCTCCATAATTCTCAGCTGCTCTTCTTGAACCTTAATATCATCATTAGGCTCATAATCATACTTAAACGATGGCAATTCGCCAAGCAATTTTGCAACTATAGGTGACTCAGCATTAATCATTTTGAAAAGAATTATAGGGCCCTTCCTATAGATGGCGCGCAATGCGCGATCATCGTGCCATGTCGGGAGAGGGTTCTCCACGAGGAATAGTTTCACGTGTGGAACTCTCTTTTTCCACGAGCCAAAAAAGAGGTTCCACACGTGGAACCATTCCTCGTGGAGAACCCTCTCCCGACATGGCCCGATGATCGCGCATTGCGCGCCATCTATAGGAAGGGCGTATAGTCCTTGCTTGCTTTTAATTTGGGAGTTTTCCAGATCTGCTTCACTCTTTAAAGAAAATTCATTTTTAAATGGGTCAGAGTCAATTCTAAGTAAAACAATATCTGATGAAGGAATTTCTTTAGCTCTCTTTAGCGCATGCTCATATTTGCTCATACTTACTATATCACTGATATTTGCTTTAAAAAGATTTTCTTGAGAAGCTATTTGTGAAATCGCCAACCATTTTCTCACATTTGTGATTTTGTTATAATACCGCCTTATATCTAGACCACAGATTTGTTTACCTTTGAATATGAATTGGTCAGCTTGGATATCTCCTAGTGGCTTCAAAGAAAAATTAGAGAGCAAATACAAGATTCCTCTATTTTCTAATTCAAAAAGCAGCATTTTAGCAATTTCTCCTCCAAAAATATCAAAGGCACAAGTTGGCTTCGTATCTCTTGCAGCATTTCTTAACTTTTCTCCAAAACTATTTTTATCGGTTCTTAAAATATAATTCACTCGAAGTTTTTTTAATTCTGATTTCTCATTTTTATTATTGACAACACAAATAATAGATAATCCTGCTTGAAAACAATATTTTACCATAATTTTCCCTATTGCTGAAGCAGCTCCGGTTAAAATAATAGAATAATGTTTTCCAATGGTAATTTGCTCGATTAACATAAAAGAAAAAATTGGATTATACATCAATAAAGTGCCTTGGAAAAAGTCGAAATTTTTTGTGACTGGCACCACGCTTCGAGCATCGCAGACAACATATTCAGCCCAAGAGCCTGAAAGATTTGGATTGAGTTGCATAAAGCTTACTTTTTTACCAATCAAATATCAGCCTTTAAGAGTTTTGTTACTTGAAACAACAGTTCCGCTTCCTTCAATTCCTGGTATTGAATTTATAGAGCAGGCTTGTGGACTTTGCTCAGAAGAGAATTTGGCATCGCATGGATGAATTGGGGCAAAGTCAACTTTTATTAAAACTTGGCCATTCTTTGGCGTTGGGATGGGCACTTTTTTTAGACTCAAAGATGCAGAATCGCCTGATCTATCAACTGTAATTGCAAGCATTTGGTTTTTATTTTGGTTTTCATCCCATAATAATCTGTTTGGATCCATTTATTTGCTTATCAGAATAAAAAGAACAATTGGCTATATATATAGGTATCAAATTGATGATGTCATTGATCATTTTCATTAAAAAGTCTTTGACAATTAAATTTTGTAGGTTTTAAAAAATCAATGCTTTCTTATCCTTTATACATTTTAAGAAACAATATATAGGGCTATTCAAGGGAAAGCCCTACAGGTATCTTATATATCTTTACAGAAAATATATAGAGTTTAGCAATATTTTTTCCATTTAACTTTGCATATATTGTAAGTGGGAGTTATAATATTTAAAAATTTATTTATAGCTGACCAAATTCCTCATGCGCCAAATTTAAAAAAATTCGAAAAATAATATATTAGGTTGCATTTTACTTTTAAACTTATTCAATAAAGCTAAACTCAACTTTCAAGGGTAAATGATCTGATGGAAACTCTCTATTAGGGATCGCTATTTCTCTTGCTATTTCCTCTTCACTTGGCAACATTAAAATTCTTTTAGGTTTAATCTCATAAGTATGAAATACAAAATCTATACACCCTTTAAAATTATCAGTAAAATTTGTGAATTTTGGATGCTCTTTTCCTTCATATCTCTCATATGCAGACCTAAATTGAATTTGCGGTTTTATTCCTAATGATTCCAACTCTTGGTCTATTTCTTGATTCCCAGTAGCTTTCCACAGCTTTCCGTAAAATAGATTTACAACATTGGAGGAAGGCGTTGAATTGCAATCCCCACAAACTACTGCAGGACAATCATATTGGTGTTTTAATTTAATAAGTTCATCAATTAGGATCCCAGCTTGAGCATATTGCACATATTCAAACTCCGGATCCCAATAAAAATGTGTGCATGCAATTGCTAGCTCTCTTCATCCAGCGGGCAATAAAAACTATTTCAAAAATCCCATTTTTTTCTAAAAAACGCCCTAGATGAGTGAGCAAATATTATTTTGATATAAAAATTTTTATAAATATATTTTGACATATAACGGATAATTATAATAGGAGATCTCTAGCTAGTTCTCCTAAATTTTAACAGCTTAAATTATAAAACATATGCTTTTAAAGTATTTAATTTTCCAAAATTAATATAAACTTTTAAAAAAAAACTTCATGAATAAGCAAAAAATTTTTCTTGATGGAATTAAGTGTCTTTTGCTTAATTTTTCTTTAAAAACTGCAATAAACCCAATCCCATCTCTTTTATAGCTACGATTTGTTTGACATTTTCAATGATTATTATAGTCAATCCTCTTGGATTCTATTTGAAGATACTTATTTGCTTTTCATGCAAGAACTAAACCATCTCTAAACTTTGCTGAGCCTCTTTCAATAAAAACGCTCCTATATCCAATTGAGGAAAAATAAGATTTGAATTCTGGATACTTATCTACCTCTTGAAGAGCAAAAAAGTCTGAGTTTAAAGGGTTGCTCGGAAAAACCCTCACTGTAGACCACTCTGAGATAAGGCCAGGCCTTATCTCAGAGTGGTCTACTGTTTATAAGAGAAATTAATATTTTAATAAGAAAATGCCATATTTATTACTAAAATTCTGGGTGGCCTTATCTCAGGGTGGTTAATATAGTCTTTTGGCGTTATTTCTGATCGGCTCCCATGAGCCAAAAATGGGTTTCCACGTGGAATTTCTGGATTTTCACGCGTGAAATCCATCATTGGCTCGTGGAGCCGATCAGAAATTTAAGCAACTAATAATATATAAAAAAATATACCACTCTGAGTAAAGGCCAGGGACATTTTTATTAATAAATAATAAATGGAAGAAATTCCGGCAAATTTAAAGAGAAGAAGAGAGATCAGCTTAGGCAACCATAAGAGACGGAGATACCCTGCAGAACAAAAGAAAGAGCTAGTAATCGAATTAATGAATCTGGATAGCTGGAGAATTTTGCAAAGATAAGCCATTATCTTTTGATACTTTTAGAAAATGGATAAGGAAAATTCAGCAAGAACAAATCATGAACAGCGCAGAAAGGACAGCGAAAAGAAAGCTTTAGTTGCTTTCTTCTTGCTCTAGATATTTTTATTCCTGTGTATGTTCAATCATTAGATGTAAGCATTTTAGAGGATTTAAAAGCAAGACTTGACGAAATGAAGAACAATACATTGAAGAATATATTGACAGAAGAACCGATAAAACTCCAGACAGATTTTGTGCTATTGAATGGGCAAAAAGCTGCTTTTAAGGGTCTAGAGCCAGAGATAATCGCAAAAAGCTTCAAATTATCCAACCTAGCAAAGGCAAGAAGAAGGAGAAAACATTGCATTGATCATCGTCCAAAATTTAAAGATGCAAATTTATAAAAATTTTTTACTTTTAATTTGATTTTTTTAAACCACTCTGAGATAAGACAGGGTGGCCTTATCTCAGAGTGGTCTACAGTGAGTTTTTTTTAAGATTGTCCGAGTTTAGTTCATTAAAAATACTTTTGAAAAGAGATAATCTATAAGAAAAATCTCGATATTTAGGTTTTGCATAACTATGAAATTGAGTATACATATCAGCCAAGGTATTATAAGTTGTAATAGAAAAATTTACAGGCTCTTCAATATTATCAAAAGATTTATACGAAAAGTTTTGGATCTTGTAGACTCGCTGTGCTAGAATCCTTTTAGAAAATATTCAATAGAGTAGTGCAACTGTTAAAAGTCCTATTATGACATAAAGCCACATTTTCTTAAACTATATTATCAAATAAAATAATTGTTTTAGTCTTACCGACGCTTATAAAAGAGTTTTTCTTAATATAAAAGATGTGCCTGAATTAATTAAAATCAATTAGATTCTATTAAATCATAAAAAGAAGTAAACTATTATTCGAATCCATATCAGTTCAAATCTGATAAAATGGAAATGAAATTTTGTTCTAATTGGTAAGCTTTATTTAGCCAAAAGCAAATCCCAGAGTCATCATTTTTGCTCCACCAAATTCACTGTGAAAAAAATATATCCCGATGTGTATGTGGAATCTCGATTCCGAAATCTGAAAAATATTCTCATGATATTCAGTATCATACATTAGTGGAGTGCCAATATTGCTCATAATAATAAAGGGAATCATTGGAAAGGCTCTCTCCGAGAAATCTTTATCCTCTGATAAGTTTATTGTTACGGGTTTCAGTTTCTAAGCGACCTTTACCCAGCTATGTCAGAAACGCCCACCACACAGTGTAGGAGATATTGACTATTTGATTTTTTTTAGTAGGCATAGGGTTGCACTTATTAATGTTTCCGAGGAGTGAGACACTTATAAGACAAACTACAGAAGTATTAAAGATCAATAAAACGTATTTCTTAAGACTTAGTGGATCAAGTGTTCCGCGTCATAGTTTCGAAAGCTCTCTAGCCATAGATATAAAAAGGATAGGACTAGAGATGTCTCATGGACGCCATGAGAACAGAGTCAAAAGGGAGATTGCAATTACTGGCTTAATTAATACGAACGCTAAATACTAATTAATTAATAGGCCAATATTGCTCAGTATCAATGGAATCTTTCATCTCCTCGTTTCACCAATGTGAGAAACAGCCCAAAGTTTGCAAATTTTGCGAAGGGCATTTTCCAATCGATATATATTCTGATCACATCTTTCAATGTGGAAGTCGAACTGAATTATGCAAAGTATGCTATAAATATATTCCCCTCCGTGATTATAACTATCATACACAAGAAATTGATTGTAGGCAATATCAGATGATACAAAATAAAATATGTCATTTAGAAAGAGAAGACCAAGACAAAGAGCTGGCTTTTGCGCTAGCTCAAATCAAAGAAGCAGAAGAAGCTGAAACAAACTACAAGCTTCGCAGTGCAGCGCTAAAACAGACGAATTCAGCAAGAACTTCACAGGCTAAAGGTGGCGACTATGCAGAATTCCTTAAAAAAATAAGAGAAGAGCCAAGAACTATGAACGAAGAGTCAAAAGAAAATATAAACTCTGATGATATTTTATAGCAATAATTTTAAATGCAAATGTAATAATAAACTTTCCTTTCTCTCAATTAAAGCTACATTAATTAATAGTTCTATATCTAATTCAAAATATAAAAAGTAATCCATGAGAACTATTTACCAAGATAAGCAGCCTTGCCTCACTATAAACAATTTTGAATTTCCTAATTTGCCTACTGATTTATGTTCCAAGCCACTTTGAGAGCTATGGCCTGGCAAAAATCGATTTTTTTGCAAAGGCAAAATCATGATAGGTCCTTCGAAGGATAATTTTCACCTGATATTTTCGGCATTAATCTTGATAGTGATACCTATAAGTTTTTTCCTATTCATAGCAGATTACCTTTGGTGCAATGTAACTATCGCATTACCCCTCCTGTCAGCTATATTTTATATTGCCAGCATAGTTTTCTATCTATTGACCTCACTATCAGACCCTGGGATTATTCCAAGAAAAAAAGTCTTTCAAGCTTTAGGAGATGTTCCAAAGGAATTTACAGCAGAAGTATTTTTTACTGAATTTGGCCATTTACATAAATTCTGCACAACTTGCGAAATATATCGCCCGCCAAGAGCCCATCATTGTGCAAGATGCGATAACTGTGTGGAGGATTTTGACCATCATTGCCCTTATGTAAATAATTGCATTGGTTTGCGAAATTATGTCTATTTTGTGTTATTTGTGCTGAACTTACTTTTCTTAGGATTGATCGATATGTCAGGATTCATGATATTTTTGTTTTATAAAGCTGGAGATAATGATTATAATAAAAGATCATGTAAGAATTAAACAGTTATCGAGCAGAAAGAAGTCATTGCAGCCATCATAGCCATCTTGACAGTCGCTTCGCTAGTATTCACAATTTTGGTCACAATTTTATGCTTGTTTCATTTTTCTCTTTGCATTTCAGGAGAAACCACAGTTGAGAGACTTAAGGGCAGAGTCTCTCAAAAAAGATGTGCCTTTTGTAAGTATCATAAAAGCTGATTTGATAGAAGAGCCAAGCTGAAATATGAACAAATTAAGATTCTCACCACAAATTCAGCTCAGTTTGAGATTGAGTTGAATGATAGTGGCCATACACCTGGAGAAATAAATTAATTTAAATCTGTAGCGATAAAGAAAATTATTCAAAATGGATTTGGAAGTGGATTTTCATGAAGAGCTGCGAAATACCTATGAGAAGACGCTTCAGCTAGCTGTTAACATTTCAAATAACAAAGTAGAAATTTTCAATGCAAATTTGAGGGGAACAGACATCAAGTTTATCAAATCAATCGCTAAAGAATATAACGATTTCAAAGATATCCACGACAAGTATATGAAGCTTCGTCCAAAAACGATCGAAAGAAGCCGCTTTTCTCGTCCGAAAACACCTGAAATTGCATCAGAAACTGATTCTGGGTCTCTTCTGCCAAGGCATGCAGGAAAATCAAGGCTGAATGTTTCTCTTGATGAAGCCCAAGCTATGGTAAACCAAACGAAGGCTGGGAAGCCAATTTCTTTAAATGGCAGCTCAGATGATACAAAACCTTCGCTCATGCTCAAAAAGTTCCAGCAAAGTAACTCAGTCAGCTTTGATACTGCAGATGAAGAAACCAAAAAACTGCCATATGTCTCTATTTTAAGTGGAAAAGTGGAGCCTCCTCTTGAACTGCCTTCTTATAAGGACTATATCAAATCCCACCAAGGCTACTCTAAAAAAGAGCCTATGAAAGAAACATCCATTCAACGAATTGATAGATGCCAGCAAGTATTAGCGGATCTCAGCAAAGAAATGGCTGGGCTGGAAATGTTTTGCAAATCAAATCCTGGAGTTCCGTGAAATAATGACAAAAAGATATTATTGAAGCTAAGCACAAATCCTTCAAAAAGGCTGGCAATAATCAGAGCTTATAATGAGAGATTTCAGTCTTCAGCAGTTTCTAAGGACCTAAAATCATCAGGTGGAAGAGGCCGCAGAAACTCGAAGCCTTTAAGAGCACCTTCATTTACTCCTGGAAGAGTATATACACAAGAAAGTGCTTATGAATCGCCTTCAAATAAGCGAGTGCTATCTCAAACACCTGTTTTTATTAGTGAAATGCCAATAATTGAAGAACTGAGACCAAAAAGCTCTATGAGGGAGCAACCTCTAGGAGAAGACCCTGAAGTTCTTGTGCAAAGATGCTCATCAAGATTTAAAAAGACCCAGGACTCTGAAAATAAGAAGCTTATACAGATTATTGAAAAACTTAAAAATGATCGCCCTGGAATCAGAAAACAAAAGGCAGCAATAATTATTAAATCCCCACCTTGGTTTGAGTTAAGAACTATTTTGGGAAATTAGCCCTTGATGAGTGAGTAAATTTTTTAATGGAAATGTTTTTGGAAGTAAACATATTTTTAATATATAATTAATTATTATAATAATAAATCCATTTATATTAAAATTTAGATAGCTAACGTTCTAAAGGAATAAATTTATAATTAATTAGATTTTTCATTTAAAATTTCGATTTTTTTTAAAATCACAAAAAATTTTTTTTCTAAAAATTTAAAAAAAATGACCCGTCACAACAAAGGATTTTATTCGTTAATTAAGGGAGTAAGGAAAATGAGAAATATAAAGATAAAATGCATTCTTTGAATATTTTTGATGGAATTAAAAGGAAAATTGAGTCAGAAAGATCGTCTATAATGAAAAAAAATCGATCACAGGTATCTGTGTATGGCGCAATGCTTACTTATTTAAAGAAAAGAGAGACAAATCCTACACCACTGGAGCTTTCGTTCATGGAAGCCATTAAAGAATATTTAGAGAACGGAGCAGTCATAACACTAAATACTTTAAAAGACTTGCTTCAAAGCTTAGAATCAGATGAGAAAAATGAATTACTGCCTATTTTGATGATTGCAAAACCACATTTAGAGTTTTCGGACTCGGAGTTTAGATCTATTTTCGCTTAATAAATAATTTTGTGTATAACTTATTAATGATAGTATAATACTTAGCTTGAAAAAAGTAAATTATTTAAAATTGTTAAATAAAACCTTATTCAATTGCTTTTGCTTTTAGTTAAGGTAAAAATTTTTGACGAGAAAAATAAAATTAGTTATATCGTTGCTATAAATTGCAATGAATAATCTTCTTGGGTGGGCTTTCATAATTTATTTGCAACTTCTAGTTCTCATACCATTTATAGAGACCATTTTTTCGTCGCTTTTATTTAGCATAACTTATAAAAATTTTATATCAAAAGTATTTTTAATTTTTATTTAAAAAGGAATATGAAACATTTAAATAAATGCACCAAACATCTTAAATTACATTCCAAAGCGTGGCAATCATTAATGCAATAAATAAAAATATTAAAGCAATTGGTATTAAAGGCATAGATTTAGTCCTTATTATATGAGGAGTAAGAAAACCTTGGCATCGTTAAGAGAGCTCATGATAAAGCAAAAATTGGTGTTGTCAGCTAAAAAAAACTTGACAAGACTCTTTATTTTTTTTGAAATTTTTATCTTTATGACTTTTTCAAAAGAAATTTCTTTGGTTATTTTTGGGGTATCAAATAAATCATCATACTCGTTAGTTTCAAACACAAAGGTGTTTTCATTTATAGATAAATTACTTTTATTTTCAAACAAGCTAAAATCTTCAGAATCAAAAAGTGTGCACTGGAAGCTTCTAACTTCACCATTATTATTTGAATCCAACAAGAAATCTTTCATCGAGAATACTTGCTTAACTTTATCCATCACTTTTCTTCTTATTATTCTTAATGGGCTGCTATCATTTCGACAAATTTTGCATGAACCTGCATCATGACTTTCAATTTCAAGGCCTTTTTCTATAGCTAGATTATGGCATTTCAAGAATCCGCCATCCACTAAGCTTGGATGCAGGCCCAAGATCGTATAATTTTAATAGTTTTCATTTCATCGAAGAAAATTTGGTTAAATTGATACCATTTGGCCTAAATTTAACGCAAATGTTTCACTATCGAAAATGTTTATAGCAAATTTTCGCCTAAGAAATATTGCACTACCAAAAGGTAATTTGGCATGGGGCGACTAAGCTTATATATGAAAATCCTTTCATTAAAAACGCTTGTAGTAAATTTTCTGTCATGTTTTGAACGATATCTTGCTCTTCATCTAAATTTGCTTCTTGTAGGTCAAAACTTGAAGCTTTAAATTCTTTACTTCCTAATAAGCAAATATGAACAAGCCCTCTCATCTCAATGAACTGATCAGGAAAATCCATCATTACTTCGGTATTTTCATAAGCTTCAGGATCTAAAAGCATCGAATTAGGGAAAACTCCTTGATTATGCTCTTTTTCGGTTCTGATATCAATTACAATCAGCGTTAATGGAGCTCTTTTTCGGCATCAATCACAAACTTTTCCTTCACATTCACAAAACTTTGCTTCAGGATATGCTCGGATTAGGATTTCTTCAGGCATTACAGATAAACAAAATTGCTTGTTCAGGAGTTCGATATTAGATTCCACAATGTCTAAGTCAAATATATGGTAATTTTGCAATTTCTTGTTTATTGAAAATGGAGTATTTGATTTTATTGATTTAGCAAGGGCAATAATATCAGTTATGTCATTAATATTGTCTAAAGAAATCTGAGAAATTGTTTGAGGAACCATTGAATTTTGCTTAATTGCCCTGATTATAATAGATTTCATTCTACAAACAATTTTTTAAATAATGGCCACTTTTATCTAAGAATAGATAATGGGTTTTTTGAATATTTTAATTATTAAAAAATTCAGGGAGAATTAGACAGCAAAAGACTTTTAAAATGTTCTAAAAATCCCAATCCAATATAAACTAAATGTAAGGGGTCATCTGCTTCTAGCAATTCTTCCCATAATAAAAAAAGAGCCTTCAAGCTTATTATTTTACTTGAAAACGCCGTCAAAAATCAAGAAGTTGCAAAGAGTTCTGGTGAAAATCCGTTTGTTTGAAAAAATACACTAAGCCGTGGCTCATGGTACCTCAACAATAATCTGAAAATCGCAAAAAGATTTTGAAGAGGCCTAAAAGTCTATATTAACTTTACTGGGTCATGGAAAACATTCGGTAAAATTTTTCGCATAAATCCTTTGAAAAAGTTATAGACGATAGTCAAAGACATCCCTTGCCTCGTCATCATGATAAAAGGAGCCAGCACTTCATTCATTCCTTGCTTGTAATGTATGCTTTCTTCGTTGCAATAATACGTCAATAATAGCTCAAGTTTCTCTTTTTCTTCTCCTGTCAGCTCTGAGGAACGAGTTCTATCAACATCGTTTTTCAGAACCCTTTGGTTTGAGATTTCTACTTTTGTAAAATCATATTTGTGAGTATTTTGCAGACTAAGAAGTTTCTATATGTTGCTTACTTCCCAAGCTTCGATCTTGAAATCCATTTGGCATCCCGACATCAATTTAATACAGAAATGGATGGAAAAAAGACTTTAGGCAATAAAAACTGAAAATATCAATGTTTCTTTGTTGGAAATTGCTGATAGGATTTTTAATTTATATATCGCCATCAATACAAATAATTAGTTAATAGAAAATATGATATTAAAATAAACTCTTATTAAATTCAAACCTTAGCTTACTTCACTTAAGATTTAAGCGCTTTGCATCTACTAAAGGCTAGGTTATCAGAGCTTTCACCATTTTGCAGTACCAACTGATTTGCTTCTCTAGGCACACTTGGAAAATAATGCTACAAACTTCTAAGATCATGATGAGCTCTTTCTGCTTTCTTGGCAGTATGTGATAAATCAAGCGGATTCCGTCTAATGAAGTAATAGGCAGGCGAAGCCCTCCAATTAGCTTATAAGTATCTGTTTGAACCGAATTCCTATGTAAAATAAATCCTAATAAAAAAAACCTGCAAAACAATTTTGACGATCTGCAGATCCATAGCTTAAAGAGATGATTCTTATCAAATTCAACCAATTAAATAGCTTATTCTGCTTGCTCTTCCATCTCTTCTTCATCTTCGTCTCCTGCAATTCCATCCTTTCCAGCTCTCCCAGCAGGATATACTGCTTTTTCCAGCTTCTTTTTCTGTTCTTCTTTTGTCATCAGCGGCCTCTCCGGATACTTCAGCCTCAGCACATCTACAACCCCAGCTGCATTTCCTGACACTAGAACTGGGAATTCTTTGCAAAATCTCACCATAGTCCTTGGTGAGTCCCTGTTCTCTGGTTTTCTTGTAACAATAGGCTTTGTATTACTGTCAGATAGATCCCACAGTTCAATTCTTCCATCATCAGCAACAGAGCTAAAAATAGTTGAATCATGAGGCGACCACTCAATATCGTTAACTGCATCCCTTAAATCTTGTGCTTGGCAAGTCATGATTGAGTTTTCTTCTCTTCTCCAGTCCCATATTTGAACTGTCCAGTCAGCTGAACAGGTAAGCATAATATTTGACCAAAACGGATTGCAGCGGACTTTGTAAACTGGTCCTGCATGGCCCCAATAAGTATCAAGCTCATCATTGTAGCTTAGACTGCATTTGTGGATGGTCCCTTCTTCAGTAGATGCTAAATATAGCAAGTTTTGATCTCTTGGGAAGTCTAATGAAAATCCAACCGCATTTCTGAACACTGCAGCTTCTTTGTCATCTTTTTGGTTTGGGTTTGTAGGCTTTTTAAGGTTGAGGAGATCTCGGCATTCTAAGCCTTTTTTGATGCTCCATTCAGTGATTCTTCCATCTGAAGAAATGGAGATCAGATTTTCACCTTTTTCGCTGCCTTGATCATGCCACCTAACTTCCCAGACAGTGTCAATGTGCTTTTCAAGCATTTGGCTTGATTCTGCGACTGGTTTGTTGTCTTTTTTCCTTACATCATAGATCGCTACAACACCATCATAGCTTCCAGTAGCTATCAAGCTAGGGTTATTTTTAGAAAAATGGCAAGAAATCAGTCCTGTGGGTGCTTCAATAATTCTTTCAGGGAATTTCGGACTTTTTAGTGTCCAAAATAGCAATTTCCCAGGTTTTCTTGAATAAGGATCATGCTCTCCATATGAAACTGCGAGAAGATCAGGATTCAAAGTATTTCAATCAGCGCAGCTAACAAGCCTATTTTCCACTTCGCTGCATTGGAACTTAAAGAGGTCAATCATCTTGGTAGCTCCTTCATCCTCATCCTCCTTTTCTTCTTCTTTTTTCTCTTCTTTCTTTTCCACCATATCTTTCAGCCTTCTTATTTTCGATTTCCCTTTATCATCTTGTTTTTCTTCTTCAACAACTTTAGTAAACTCCACCTTGGGGTAATTTCTATATAAAATTTGTTGCTCTAGGTATCTATTTTGGGTTAAAATTCTTTCTACAATGTTAAATTTGGCGAGAAGACTGTCTGGAAGTATGATGTCTTCTGGAGGTCGGAATGGAGTAGGCTCATTTTCATGGGCTGCTGATGTTTGAGAACGCTTGGACTGCTCTACAGAGGAGCTGGATAGGACACTTCTGCTTGACTGATCCACTCTTCTAGACTCTCTTGCAGCTTTACTGGTTGTGCCTGTATCTTTTAGCTGGTTGCTTGGCTGGGTTTGTGAAATACTTAAGCTGTAAGTTTCTGTAAGTGAGCTTTCTGGGTCTAATAAAGTCCCACGATGCTTGAGCTGATCATTTAGGCTTGAATTCACTTCAATTGAAAACACCTTTGCCACCTGCTCATGTGCAGGCTGGATTTCTTCCAAAAAGGCGTCATGAAGCATCCATTCAGTCACTTCACAGTCGAATTCGTGCCTCTTTATAGTTTCAGTGACGACTTCTTTTACTTTTGGCATCAAATTTGTCGTCTGCGCTGGCCTCATCTGGAAATTATCACTCGCAATTTTTTCCTTCAGCAGCAATTTATACTTTTCATTATCAGCATCTGAAAGTTCTTTAGTTTCTGATTTAGCGCTCACAGCAATGCTTGGCAAATAAAAAAGAGTGAAGGTTTCAGTCTCATTCAAATTGATGTCCACAAGTTTGTCTAAATCTTCTTCTTTCAAGCCTTTATCTTCAGTTTTAGTTTCTTCAGCAGCTTTTACATCTCTGCCAGTTTCATCAGAGACTTCAGAGAAAACTTCACTTTGGTCAGCTGATCGTAATAAGGAGCTTCCTCCTATTTCTGAGTATTTATTTCATAAAATTAATATATATCATCGGAATGAGTAATCTAAGATAACTATTCATCCTCATGTAATTTTTTTATTATGGGGTTCAGTTTTATCTGGTACCATTAGCCAGCAATACCAAAAAGGTGTACCACATAGGGTGGGAGGCTTTGGTCCTTGGCATAGGCTTTGCTTCTCAGCTATACCAATGAGGGATACCCTTAGAAGATCATGAGCAGGAATCAAGCCCAGAGCGAGACAATAAGTCCTTCGAGTTTAAGCATCTGAAAGGTGGCACGAGCGTTTATGATGATTTCACCTGCATATAAAAATGGCAACGAGGAAAAATGCCCATAATGTAAAGGTCGGGCTTGTACAGCTATGCAAAACACCTGTAAATCAAACGGCAAACTCAACACTAAATAACTAAGTAAGAGTATTTTATTTCGCTTCGAGACTGAGATGCTGAAGCTTCTGATTCTTTGCGCTCTGATGAAGATGCTTTTAATGATCCAGTTTGTTCTCCGTCTTTCTTCTCACCTTTTTCTTCTTCAGCTAGGATGATAAGGGGCATAGGTGTGACGTCGACTTCAATGCCTTTGATTGTTATGATTTCGCGCTCGTCAGTTAAGTTTGTTGTGGTTGTGCTGAATTTGCCCTTGGTTCGGTTTATTTTGCCGTGGTGGGATGAAACTTTGCCAGTGACTCCTAAGTTGCGAATAGTGGGCCCAGCTTTCGGAAGCTTGCGGACACTTTCTCTGGGAAGGTTTTTGGTGCTGCTATCAATTTTGGCTCGCGACTCTGATTGCATTTTATAAAATAATTAAATGATAGGTAAAAGTTCAAAATAAGTAATAAAGAAATCAAAAAATTATTGCTTATACAGTTTCAATGAAAATAATACTATAACGCTTGTGGAGGTAGAAAGAAGCTTATTGAGTAGTTATTATGAAGTAATCAAGGGCTGCAGCTTTTAAAAGGCCTTATAGAAGGAAAACATTTATTAAAGTATTTTCGAGCTAGCCGCGCAGTGCTTTATATATAATTATATATTTGAAAGATATTTAAATCTCAGATAAGGAGCATAATGGATATTCTTACTTTAATTAATTTCAATTAATTCAGTGCAGTCGTCTAATATCCCTAGGAATTATTGCATATTTCTTTGAAATGATTTTTTATTTAAGATAAACTCTTTCTTAATTTTTATCATTCGTTTATAACCTAAAAAATAAATATATTCTTTCACAATGCCCATTTTGATTCCAAGGAGAATTTTTAATAATTTTATCATAAAAATGATTTATCCATTTTATTAGTAAATATTCCATATCTAAAAGGCCAAGAATTCTTTTAATTATATTTTTAATAAAGATGCTTCTGGATTATTTAGTTCCTGTTTTAGTGTCTATGCTTTTTTATTGCGGCGTGAACATTGTCCTTCACTATGTGGTAATTCCGCCAGCAAAGCTCTCAGAAAGAGAAAAGAAAGACTATTTCGGAGAGCATATATCTCTTATTCACTCTGTTTTTGCTGCAACCTTAGCCTTCACTGTTTATTATAAAGAAGGCGGTATAAATTATGATACACCAATCACAATGGCTCATATATTTGTAATTGGACACTCAATGGGATACTTCACATATGATGCTATATATGCTGAACTCTTTGGTCTTCATGATTGGGCCATGAGGTTTCACCATATATTTGTAATTTTAGGTGGATTTCCTGTATATTTTTCAAGCAACGGCGGCAGCCTTGGGATAAGTAATTTAAAATTAGCTTGCTGTTTTTTGACTGAAATTTCAAATCCCGCCATGCAATTAAGACTCATTCTTAAAAGCCAAGGCAAAACGGACACTTTACTATTTAAGGTATCTCAATTTTTATTTGCATCAATATTTTTATTCAATAGGTAATATTAACATAGAGGAGTATTTGGTACATTTATAAATTACAACAGCTGACAATACGATTTAAATTTTATGATTTCTATAAGTATTTCCATGCTCTATGGGCTCAGTTGCTTTTGGAATTATGTGATTATCTTAATGCTGCTTAAAGAACTCAAAGGAAAAGGTGTAACATTAAAGGAAAAATTTATAATCAAATTTATCCATTTTTTGAAAAAATATCAAAAGGCGATAATCGCAGCTATCTTTATTTGGGCAACTTTTATGCCCCATGTCTTTAAGTATATGGGATGCACCAAACATCATATAAAGATTAGAAATTTCACAATAATTTAATATTTTACATTAAAATTTTACAATTCCTTGATCCCCAGCAAGTAGGTATTTAACTTGCTTCGAAAGCCCATTTCTCGAGAGGTCAAGCTCAGTCAAATTTATATTTGACTTTACTGATCTCAGAAGGACTTTTATACTTTTAAAATCAAGCGAGTTCTCAGCTAAGCTGAGTCTTTTAAGAGTCTTAATATTGCATATTGTTTGGGATAAAACGGTTAGACCTTTTATGGATATATTATTTCCACTTAGTCTTAAGTCTTCTAGGCACCTTAAATATGATAATCCTTTGCATAGCGCAACAACTGCGTCATCTCCAAAATGGTTGTTGCTCAAATTAAGAACTTTTAAAGATTTCATCACTGTAAAAAGTTTATTCATATACTTAATCCCCTCAGTACAAATTGAATTGCCTTGGAGTTCCAAAACCTGCATCATCGGCATTGATTCTAAAGATGAGTAAAGCCGTTTGACATCTCTTGATGCAATTTGGGTGTTATTTAGTTTAATTTCACGCAAATTCAGAAAATTTTGCAAGACAAGCTGCAAATGATAAATATCTCTGATACCTAGACTCTGAAAGCTGAGGTCGACCGAAGTGACTTCCAACTCTTCTTTAGCAAAAACAGCCTCAAAAAGGACTTTTAGCCTCCCATTCATCGAAGTCTCATTTGCATAGTAAGCAAGAAGAAGTTTCCGGTTTGGAATGAAGGCTGATGTCTCAATTGATCGTTCTTGCGTAACACAAAGCGTCTCCAGTTTGGCTGGAGACTCAAATTTAGATAAAAAGGGTGGAGATCTTGTTGGAAAACAACCCATTGCGATGTTTAGTTAATATTACTGTATCAGAATTACGATGGATTCAATATGAAAGTCATAATATTTAGGCAGTAAAATATAAATATCACTGGCAAGGGTTTATAATTAGGCCAGAAATTTAAATTTTTGAGATAATAGACATATTTAATAATTAAAAAATTAAAAATATTTTTAAAACATTTGAAACTGATTTATTATTTTCATTCCTTGCATGAAGACAATTATTTAAATTCTATGTTATTCCTTTGATGGATGCTATAAATATTTAATCAAAATTAGATTAAAAAATTAACAGATAACTTGGATCAGTAACTATAACAATTATTTATGTTACTTTTTCTTTGTTTTCTTTCCTCTTCTAAGTAATTCCATTGGATCATTGAACTCTCTTTTAAGATCTGTATTAAAATGTTCAGATAAGTTCAATGATCTCTCTGGTGCTATTTCTTCAGGTTTTTTCCTAGCAAAGCTCTGCAATTTTTCATTATTTGTTTTCTTTTCCTTTATATGGACCATTCTTTTTATTTGATCAAAGTCAATTTCTTTATGCTCGACAATCCTTTGTGCTGGCTGATGAGGTCTTTTTGCTGGAACTTGCACATCCACAAATTCGTTTTCTTCTTCTTCTTCTTTCTGAATTTCTTTTAATCCTCACGAAATCAAGCACCTATCAGCAATATCTTTTTTGTTTATTTCTAAAGGCTTTTTGCTTTCAGTTGGGTTCAAGAAATCTAAAATTCTGGTTAATGACAAAATTTGGTACCTTGCAATGTTATCATTTTCCTTTTTAATATAAGTTTGGAATTCAGCATTCTTCATGACAGAATCAAAGTCCGCAATATTTTCTAAATCTTTCCCTTGCTTAAGTAGAGTTTCAAGTGTAATGCAAAGCTCCTGAATTTTAGGAAGATCCCCATTACCTTTATACCCAAGTGCAACAATAGTTCTGGTATTTCCATGAGGAACTGTTGAAAATGGCTTAATCACTGAAATTTTTTCAAACAAAGTTGCCAAATATAAAACAAGCTCAATAGAACCGCGATGGAAAATGCTTGATGTTTGAATAACTAAATTCCCTCCTCTTGCCATAAGCTTTAATGTAGCAAGAATGTTATAGGCAATATAACTCTTCATATATTTTTCGTTTAATTCAAGGTCCCTCACCTTGCATTTTATATTGCTCACAATAAGCATTGCAGAAGGCTCACCCATCTGGCTAAGCAGCTCGTCTGAAAACTCAAGGATATTTTTCGCATCAATTTCATTACTTCTAAAGCTTTTTGAATCAACGTCTTCTATCAAAAAACTGGCTTTAGGAAACAACGCATAGCCTTTAATCTCCCCAAAGCAGGATTGTTGAAAATTATGTCTAATGTACTCAGCATATCCTCCTGGATCTCCTAATGTCACAAAGTAATATGTAGGGATCAAATAGTTTTGCTGAATTAAATCTGGGTAAAGACTTGAAATATTGCTCATCCACACAGCTCCATAGTTTCTGAACTTCACATCACCCTTGACTAAACTGTAAGGGTTTGCATTAAGTTTTGCCTTTTTTACATCAGATTCTTCGAATTGAGCTAACTGTACATTTCGGGTGGAAATTGTTTCTCTTAACTTTTCCCCTTAAACTGGATCAAAAAATTCTAAAAGGGGTTAATTTTTTAAAATCTTTAAAAACATATAAATTGAGTGCAATACTTTGAGTTTATTTATTTTTATGAAGAAATAATTAAAAAAATATTCGATTTAGTTTGGAAACTGTTTCACTTTTTTTTCATTCAATTAGGTCAAACTAATTATAAAAATTAGTATTTTCATCTTTAATTTGTTTTTAAAAAAATATAAATTGAGCACAATACTTTAAATTTAATTTTATTTTTATGAATAATTAAATAAAAAAATAATCGATTTAATGTGAAAAATGTTTAAGTAGCATACTACTTGAATTTTTTCTATTAAATTAGGTCAAAACTAAATTTAAAAAATTAGTACTTTATCTATAAAATTTTCCTATTGAAGAATAAATTTTGTTCTAATTTAAAGGGGAGCAGGATAAGTGCTTGGCAGAGAAAAAGTCCATAAATTTAGCACTTTGAGGAGCATCAATTGAAACTTCAGCACTGCTGAAGTTATATAGTAATTGCAAACTTTCTGAAGTGACTGTAAATAGAGTTGCTTGCTGGGAGCTTGGAAATGTGTATTTTACAGCTCTTGGCTTTGCGCCGCCTTCTTCTTTGAGGTCTGGGCAAGGAATATCACTTGCCACCGGAGTGCATTCAAAATCTTCTGTGTCAAAAAGATCGGGCTCCATATCTAATTTATAGCCTACTCCCCACCCATTGATTTTGGAAAATTATTCTATTTATTATCAAGCAAAAATTATTTAATATAATTTTTTAAAATAATATTAATAATCATCATGATTAAAATCCAATATTTCTATTAAATTTAAGATAGTATGCTTCTAAAACATAAATTTTATAGATTTTCATTTCAAAATATGTATAAAATTTGATTTTTAAAATCCAAATATTTTCTTTAATATGCTTTTTTTATATAATATTTTTTTAAAAATTGGCATCTCAATAATTAAGAAGTTTTTTTTCTCATTAGCCAAGTAGGGAATTTATTAAAGTTGGAAGATTGAATTGATATTTTATAATTATAAATTCATTTGACTCTTTCTAGCTCATTGATGAAAACTAATGAGTTGATATTAAATCGCATTATTTTAAAGATTGGTTTAAGATTATATTTTAATATTTTAATGGCTTGATTATTAGAGAAAGTCTTCCATCTGCATTTTGATCGTATTCCTTTATTAATAGCTGGTATTCTTGCCCTGCGCAGTAAAGTCTGTATCGTTCTAAAAAATTTAAAATATCAATTAGTGATAATGTGCACAGGCCTAGTCTATCTATAGGGGATTCCTATGAATTGCTCTGTAAGGACAAGCAATTGGGGAGGAAACTCTCTAGTTGATTATGACCACTCAAGCTAGTAAACCAATTGGAGAGAGGCCCATTTGCCAGCTCTCCAGTTGATTTGACCAGCACGCGCTTGCCCAACTAAATGAAGAGTTTCCTCTTCAATTGCTTGCCTTTATAGGTCAATTCATTGGAATTCCCATAAAAAAATTTAAATGCACTATATGATTCGAATTCTCGGTTTGGCAAAAATTTTGCCTTGCGATTTCAACGTGTTTTTCTCCTTGAGATAGAATATATAATAATTGATGAGTTTCTTTTCTGTCTCTAGACTCAACATTACAAAAAATTATAGGTATAAAATGGAATATTTAATTAGAGTTGGAGGATAAATGTGCTTTCATTTTTGAAAGGATTAAGACTTATTAGATGGCTTTAGTAAGAATAATCTAATGCAAACATTTCCTAAAGCATCTAAAATTAAATTTAAATTGATAAAATATATAATTTTTTAGTTATCGGTGTTTTATTTGTTTATTTATAAGTATACATTTATTAAAAAAAGCTTATTTAATTAAAGCTATTTGAGGAAAAAAATAAATAGTAAAGATGACCCCCTTCAATCTTCATGTCTATTGCAACAAAAATTTTCCCGAAAAAAAATCTTGATGCCTACTGCAACACAAACATTTTTATAAAAAAAAATTTAATGCATTTTTCTCTAGGTGAGTTTCTCAAAAAAACCATAAAACAGCGCTGCTAGGGCGCACACAATGATCTTCTTATCGAGATTTGGACGACTATTGCCATCGCTCGCTATTTTATTAAACTTATCTAGCTAAAAAGTACGGAAAAATCTAAGATGCACATCGAAAATTTGATGCAAGAGATATGAAAAATTTTTTTATATATAAAATTTTATATTAAAAAATTGCATTTTTGGTGTAATAGACATGAAGATTGAAGGGGGGTCATCGTTATATCATTTTTATATATATACAAAATTTATTTATTATGAATATGCTATAAAATTTTACTTAAAGTTAATTAAAAAACCTCTAAAATGCCTAGCTTCTACCTTTGGAAGTCTATATAATCAAGATATAATTTATTTTGCTCATTTCTGGTCTCAGGAAATAAAAAAGGCGAAATTTTAATAATATTTCTGATCACTTAAATTTTGATTTTTTCTCTTCTTATTTCAAATTGCTGTAGGGATGTGCCTTTCTCCTGTCTCAAATATAACTGATATCTTTTCTTTAATAAAATGCTTAATTTGATGGCAAAAACTTTTCATAATTTTAATGTCAAAAAATAAACAAGTTTTTTTTTAGATATAGTTCTGTTAAATAAACTAGGATTCTCTTCAATTGAAGAAAAGAATTTTAAAAGATAGTCTTGCCTTATTGAGTGCTTATATAAAACCTCTTATTTATTCTCCAACAATCTGACTAAATGCAAAAAATTTAAATTTATATATTACCATAAGGAAAATTGCATTTCATAATTTGTATTCCTAATGGATAATGCAATTGGATGCCGATTTATTAAAGAATCTACTATTGGAGAAGGCAATTTCGGTTCAGTATACCGAGTTATTGATACAACGAATAAAAAGCGTGTCGCGTTAAAAATAGAAAAGCCAAATCTTGAGGTTTCTCAAATAGAAAATGAGATAAAAGTTATCTCAGCAATGAAAGGCCATCGAGGATTTCCTCGACTAATTGACTCAGGGACTGAAAACGGTTCCATGTACATTGCAATGCAACTCCTAGGTTCTAGCCTTGAAGATAAATTTCAAGAATCCAAACAAAATTTTGGACTTATGGCTATTTTAAATATTGCAGAACAAATTCTTATGAGAATTCAAGCTTTGCATGATAAATTCTTCATCCATAGAGACATCAAGCCTCGTCAGTTCCTGTTCAGTCCAACCCCAGGTTCTTCGACAATTTATATGATAGATTTTGGGTTATCTAAATGCTATCAGAATGGAAAAACAGGAGTCCATATCCAGTATATGGAAAGTAGGCCGTTTATAGGGACAGCTAATTATGCGTCAATTAACACTCATATAGGTATTCAGCAGAGCCGCAGGGACGATTTGGAGTCCTACATGTATATGATTTCATATTTTTTAAATGGAACTTTACCATGAATTTCGAAAGACCATACAGTCTCAGAAAGGGAAATAAGGCTAGCTAAAAATCGAGTCTCAGTCAATGAGCTGTTTCATAATGGACCGGCAGAATTTGTTCTTATGATGGCTTATATTAAAAGTATTTCTTTTGAAGACAAACCAGACTATGAGTACTTGGAAGGGCTGATAAAAAGAATGAAATCAAACACAGCTGTCGAAAAAAGAGGTGTCAGCTGATTTGAGTTTAATTCTGATGATAAAAATCCGAAAACTTTGAAAAGAAAAATAAGAAAAGCTATTACTGACCCTTTTAACGAGCAGCCAAATCTGTTTAAGGCACTTGACCAGTGCACTGAAATTGCAAACAGAAATAATACAGCGACGCTAAATTTAGAAAAAGAAGAAGAGGAGCAGGAAGGAAACGATGGAGAAGAATTAAACGATGAGCCTATGTCTGCCTGCATCACTGAAGAAAAGGAAAGTTATCCAGAGATCAAAGACAGAAATATTTTGAAAAACCGAGAGGAATTCCGAAAAAGCAAAAGTCTTGACTCTGAACTTCCAATGGAAGCGCAAAAGTGCTGTGTAATGTAAGAATTAATATATTAAATTTACATTTTACCTGCAATTTTTCGGAAATTTTGTAATTTTTCATCAGCTGTCAGAACTTTTTTCTTGTTTTTTCTGCGTTGCTGTTGAACCCATTTCTTTTGCAGATGTTCTCTTGTTTCCACCTTGGTGAAGCCCCATTCGTCAAGCTTTTCTTCAAAATTTCTCTTGTTGGTTGTCCCGAGAGGTGGCAAAGATCCTTGGCTGCTAATAGTATTTTCGCTTGTTTTAGATCTTCCCAATGGTGAAGGAGGCCTTCTCTGTGCTGGCGCTGCTTTGAGAGGAGGGAGTCTTGGGGTTTTATTTTCTTCTTTAGCTGGCTGTAAAAACTTTGAAAGATCAAGGCCCTTGGGAATAATTAAATCATCCCCAAAATTAATATTTGTATTAATATCATCAATGTTGACTTCTTGAAATTCGTCCAAATCAATGTCATTTATTTTTGCATTGCTAAGAGCAATTTTTATTTTTTTACGAAGGTTATATCCTCGGTATGCTGCTTGAATTTTCGTTATTTTTTTAAGGTCATACCTTGAATTTCCAGGGTTTTTCCTTACCAAGTGTCCTCTATAGCATGACTGAATTTTTATAATTTGAGAGATATGGTTTTGATGCTTCATTAGCATCATTTTCCGCTTAAGAAATCTTGTTTTCCATCATGTTTGAATAACTAAACAAGCCAAGCTATCTTTATGAAGCAGCACTCTAGCATTATACCAATAATATTCAATATCTCTACCACAAAATTCCAGTTTAGGCTCACACCCCATGTAATTATAAAGCCTTGCAGGGAGTTGAAACAACCACATTTTCATTTCTTCACTTATGTACTTTGCAATAGGAGCCTCTCTTTTCTCTTTTTGTACTAATAATTCGCATTGTTTTAGCTCAAAAGCTTGCCTTGCCAAAATTCCTGATAGTCTGTTTACAACTTTTGAGTTCGAAGTCCTTGGGGTGTTATTTAAATCCTGCAAATTTGGTAGAGCCTTGACCAATAATTCATTATAAAGTGGCACAACTTCAGGCCGTGAGTTCATAAAAGGGTTATCATTATAAGAAAGATGAGTCAAATTGGGTGCTCCTTTTATACAAATTAGCAGCTGATGGAATCTCGGCAAGTTATTGAATGACAAATTACAGAATTTCAGCATTTTGCAATTGAATTCAGAAATTGATGCTATTGCATTGTCTTCAAGCCTTAAAACTTCCAATAGTGGGACATGTGAGAGAAAATCAAGGGATTTCAAGGAATTTCCATTTAATCATAGCTCTTGAAGCAACGGAAGCTGAAGAGGCTGAATATCACTTATTTTATTCTGATACAAAATCATTGATGTCAACAGCTTCAAAGGATTCAAAAAGTTGACATCTCTAAGCTTATTGCGTCCTAAATCTAGATATTTTAAATATAAATTGGTATTAAAAGCATGATCAGGGATGCTTTTAATAAAATTTCTATACATCAACAATCTTTCCAACAACAAATTTTTTTCCAATCCTTCAAGCTTTACAATCTTATTGTTATTTATAGACAAGCACCGCAAATTTGTACAATTTTTTAGCCCAGATAAAACTGATATTTGGTTTAAGTCTAAGTTCAAAGATTCGAGCAATGGAAGATTCAGATCGGGGATATTTTGTATCAGGTTTTGCGATAAATCAAGTTGGACTAAAGAAGGTGGCAGGTTTTGGATTTTTGAAATCTTATTGAGACTTAGAGCAAGGGTTTGGAGATTTGTAAACGATTCTAGGCCAGATATTGATTTAATTCCTTCGTATTTCAATTCAAAGGAAGGAGACTTGGAATTTAAGGGATAAGGAAGGAAGCTTGCTAATGTTGGCTCTTCTAGCTTTGAAGTTTCAGGCTTGAATGGAGGGAGTTTTGTAAGGAGTGTAGGCCTTGGTAAAGGAATGGGGTCAACAATATAAGCCTTTTCTGTAATTGTTTTTGATGGGATTGGCTTAGGAAGCTCAACAGTGGTATAGGCATATCCCTAAGATAGCCTGATATGGGGCTCGGGATAGAGGCCAAAACTTCCCGCTTGGTTCGGCCAAAATGAGCTTGCCGAACCAAGTGGAAAGTGGCAAATAAGCCTCCTTCCACTTTGCTCGACCAATCCATTTTGGCCAAACCAAGTGGGAAGTTTTGGCCTCTATCCTGAGCCCATATCGGCTATCTTAGGGATATGCCTATAGCTTTTGCAAATGGTTTGAATTGTATTTTGGGTAATTCCAAATATTCATCAATTATTTTTCTCTTCTGCAAAACGCCAGGTAGTTTTCTGAAGAGTCTTCCAAAATCGTCTTCATATTTCATGCTTCGGTTTTCTCTTAATAAGTTATCATTTTCTTCTTTCTTTTTTAAAAAACTTCTTAACATTCCTGAGAACTCATCTTCTGCTTTCATAGCTGAAGCCTCTCATTTTTGCTGTCTTGCTTCTTCTCGTTTTCGTGATTCTTCGATTTTTTTTTCTTTTTCAATTCTTTTTTGTTCTTCTTCTATTCTTTTTTCCTCCTTTATTTTTTCTTGTCTTTCTTTTTCTTCTCTATTCTTCTTTATTTGTTCATATTCTTGCTTTTTTTGCTCCCTAACTTTTATTTCTTCTTTTTTCTTTTCTGCTTCAACTTTTTTCTTTATTTCTTCTTGCTTTTTAATTTCCTTTTCTTTTTTAATCCAATTTTCAATCATTTTCGCTAGCATATCCTCTTCTATCATTTGTTCAATTTCAGCTTCTCTTTTTAAATTTTCTTCTGCTTTTAATTTCTCTATTAAAATGCTTTCATTTTCGCTTTCAAAGTCTTTTTCTAACTGGTTTAAAATTTCTTTTTCATTTGATTCTTCTCAAATAGCAAGATTCTGCACTTTTTCGATTTTCTCTTCTTCAATAACTTCTTCAATCTTTTCAGCAACCTGGATTGAAGCTGTTAAATCTACATTTTTTGTGGCTTCTCTGAGCCCATATAGTGCTTTAGCAGCTTTTTTTTGGATTTTTTCCTGCTCCTCTTCGACTTTTCTCTGGCTTTGCAGAAATAATTTCCAATTTTCCGAATCAATAATCGACTCTTTGACTTGAAAACTTTCAACCACTTTAAAAGACTCTTCAGGCTCACTTTCTGTCTCTGAAACATCAAAATCTTTCAAGCTTTCATCTAATTTTGCAGCTATTTCTGCATACTCTTCTTCAGTCATTTTCCCATATTCCATTTTGAATTAAAATTATTAAGGACAGCTTAAAGACGAAGGAATTATGTGTTTAAAGTGTCTCAGCGGCCTTAGGCTCAATGATTTCAATGTGGTCAGGAAGTGGCCTCTTAGGTCCAGTAACTCCTTCAGGATCTTGTGAGAGCATAATTTGCACCTTAACTCCAAGGGCTCCTTGCTTAAGCAAGACGTGTCTGACTGCTTCATCAACAAAAATCTTTCTTGGCTCTCCAGTGCTGATCATGTACCCATCTCTGAACTTCATGGTCTTGGCTCTTTGGGCTCTTAATTTACCAGAGACTGCAATTTCAATACCCTTGGCTCCGCTCTTCATAGCGAACCTGATAACTCCATTGGCTGCCATTCTGACTGGGAAACCAGCAAGGAGCTTGTATTTCATGCTTTCAGCCTGGACAGAAGCGCTAAGACCTCTGTTAGGGACTTTTCTAGCGTAGAGTTCTAAGCTGTCCTTAGGGTAGTTGAACCTCTTTCTGATCAAGGAGCTCAGTTCTCTGATTCTGGTGCTGTTTTCACCTACGACTTCATCAGTCTTGGTGGCATAGATGCTGACTGAAGTCTGGGTGTTGGTGGCCATAACGTCGATGCCAGCGAACCCTTCTTGAGCAAGAGTCCTTGCAAGGAAGCCGTAAAGCTCAGCTTTGACAAGGCCATCGTGGACGAACTTCTTTTTCTTGTTCATGTTCCTTGCTCTATCACCTTCCATTTTTAGCCGATTATTACAAAGAAATGCAATAGGGAATATAAATTTCTATATGGCAGCAGACACTAAACAGTGGGTCAGCATATATTTGCCCTATATTGATTCTGCAAGGACAGTTGCTCAAGGAAGAAGAGTTAGCAAAGCGATTGCTGTTGAAAATCCAGCATTGCCTGAAATATCAGAAGTTCTGCAGTTCTTGAAGCTTCATCACTCAATTGAAAACAAAGCATATCCGAGAGACATCCTTTCAAGAGGAAGAATAAAAGTGCAGCTGAAACTTGATGGAAACCTTATGAATCCTGAAATTTCGACCAAAAAACAATTATTAGTGAAATTGTGCGAATTTATTCCTAGACTGAAATCAAGGCTTAATAAAGAAGAAGCGAAAGAAACATCTACGAGCAATAAAAAGAATAAAAAGAAGAAAAAGAAATAAATAATAGATATATTAAAATTATTTTCTCCTGACTGATAGGTCAATAAGGTCGTCAGCAATGAAGGAATCGATTTCATCTCTTGAGAACTCATAAGGGTTGTTGCAAAATGAGCAATTTATAAGCTGATAAGGGTCCTGCTTTAGTTTGATGAGGGAATCTTTGTCCATTGACTCCAGGAATTTTTGAACTAGCTCTTTGGTGCAGTCGCATTTAAAAGTGAATTCCTTTGTGCTATATGTGATATCATCATTTACATCTTCAAATAGTTTTTTTATGGATTTTTCATCTATATCTGTGTTGTGAATTTCTTTAAAAAATGATTTTTGAGAAATTTTTTCGTAAATTTCGTCAATATATTCTTTTTCAGTCCCTGGAAGAATCTGGATCAAGAGTCCTAGAGTCGAGTAATTTCCTGATTTATCTTCGAAATTTTTGCCAGAAATATACACTTTAGAAGGAATTTGTTCGCTTGAGTCGCAATATTGCTGGACATCCTCATCAAAGAGTCCTTTATTGAAATCCCCTAGCTCTCTTGCAGAAACAAATGGTTCACCTGATCCAAAAATTCTTCTTTCAACGCAAAAATTGCCTTGCTCGTTAGTAGAATCTACTTCTGTTTTTCTCGCAAATCCTCTTATGAAATGATCCCCTCATGACTCAGCTAAGACATCAACATTAAAAGCTTGACCAAATGTGACACTATCGTGCCCAGAATACACTTTGATTCTTTCTCCGCTATTTAAAAATGATGCTAATAGTATAGACGAGGAATATGCACAGTGTATTTCTCGGATTAAATTCAAATCTTCGATCTCATTTCGTTCTTTTACTTCTTGAGTAATTTTTTTGGCTTGTGTGAAGCTTGCACGAAATTTAGGAGAAAATAAGTGGACTAATAGATCAGTTGGGTTTTTGGTGAAGGGCTGAAAATTTCTTTTGATAAATTTAATCATAATATTGATATTTTTAAAGATGGTTGGTCAAGCACAGATGCCAACCCCCCCACCCACCCCTACCCTACCCCTACCCCCACCCCCCACCCCCCCCCCCCCCCCACCCCCACCCCCACCCCACCCCCCCCACCCCCACCCCCACCCCCACCCCCACCCCCACCCCCCTAGTATATATGTATCACACCCCCACCCCCTATGTTAATAGATCCCACCCCACCCCCCCACCCCTCCACCCCCCAGCCCCTCTATCATATAGGTAAACATATAAGTAGCAAATCTTAGAAATAAGAGATACAAGAAAATTTTAGTTAATTCATAAATGGATTCATAAATAGATTCATAAATAAATATTAATGATCATAAGTATATTTAGCATAGACTGATATAGCCAATATATTAGTAATACATTTAAAATAAAATAATTGCAAAAAACTTATTACATAGAAAGGAATCAATAAATGACTCAAAAAATATTTTGATATCTCTATAAAGTCTTTTACTTCCCCCATTTAATAACGAACACACTTTTTTAGTTCGTTATTAAATGGGTCTAACTTATAAAATTTTTGGGAAAAAAAATATATAAAAATTATATTAAATATCTATGATTTTTTATATAAAAATTTCAATAAAGGGTTAATAATAAAAAAGTAAATGATGGCAACATAAAGAGAAAGCGCCTAAATTCATGCGAAAAAATAATTATTGCTAACTCCTCCCTCCGTGAGTGAACAAAACCATTAGAAAAGTCCCTCACTCTTCGTGAGCAAACAAAAATTTTTTTAATAAAAAATTTTTTTTATGGAAAAAAAAATGACTGTTTTGTTCGTTATTAAATGGCGGGAGCTAGCCTGCATTCTTTGGAAATTTTTTGACCTTTATATGATTTAAAACACGAGGTATGTGCTTGAAGGTTCATTGAAAATATGCTTCCTCGTTAGCAAACTGCATCCGATTTTTTTTTATCATCCCTATGACTTTGAATTTTTTATGCTGTGAGCAATTAATACGTTTTATTTGCCTTTAATACAGTTTACATTATATAGGGGAGCGGGGGGTGGGGGTGGCATCTATTAATGTATTAATGGAATGGGGTGTGGGTGAGATCCATAGATGCAAGGGGGGTGGGGTGTGATCCATACAGGGGGTGGGGGTGTGATCCATACAGGGGGTGGGGGTGTGATCCATACAGGGGTGGGGGTGTGATGCATACATCCAAACTGGGGGGGTGTGGGTAGGGGGGGTGGGGGTGGGGGGGTTGGCATCTGTGCTTGACCAGATGGTCTAGAAAATACTATAATGATAATTTTAAATTTTATTGATAAAGATAGGAAATTGATGAGAATATCGAAGGTGTTGATGATTAAAAAGTTGAAGGGTTGATACCTCTGAGTCCAATGTTAACACTTTGAAGAGGTGCATTGCTTATTTAATTATATCTAATCTCCTGATGCAATTTTTTATTTCTGTAGCTTCAAAATCCGAATTTAATTTTTATTTTACCTAAATTTCTACTCAATCATTTTTGCACCCCTGTCCTCATAATTATCATAAATTACTATAAGTTCTTACTCATATATTAATTACTATTTTATATATGCTTTAATGCTTCAATATACGATTTATTTCATAACTTAATTAAATTCTCCTCATCCCCTTCCCTTTCTGCATTTTTTGAAAGATCATAAGAAACTATTTATTGGTTTGCCAAGCTAATTGATAAGATATTATTTATTTTAAAAAGTCCAGTGACATGCTTTATTGAAAAAATTCTGATTCCAATCAATGTCTTTAAGCACGTGCGTACAAAGTGATAGATGGCTTTCCAATAGCATCAATGAAAGTTACGAAAGCATGCCAATTAAAGAATATGAGCAAACTGATCCTGAACTAGCTGAGCTAGAAAATTTATCACGAAATTTGGCTAGCAAGCTAGAAAGAATAAATGACGACATAAATGTGCTGAAGAAAAGAAAAGATAAGTGCCAAGACAAAACTGAGAAGTAAAATTAATATAGACTTGAAGAAGAGAATTGCTTATTAGAAAAAGAAAATGAAGAGCTAGAAGAAGAAATAAAGCAATTAGAAAGGACGCTGTATTTGTGACAGCACCAAGAGCAAATGAAGTCTCCAAAGCATAAACCTAAGCAAAGTTCTGCAATTAACAGAGTCCCTGCGCTTGTATCAACTTCTTTTTTAAATAAATCTTTATCAATGAAAAGTGAAGAAGATCCAGAAGACGATCTTGGCATTGTAGAAGCCATACATAAGCAAATTATTGAAATGAGAAATACTTTTCAAGACCAAGCTATTGTCTTGTACCAGTTACAAGATTTTGTGAATGAAACTTATAACGATCGCATTGAATTTCAGAAAATAGTGATGGAAGTAGAAAATGATAAGAAAAAAGCTTCAAAGTTAATTGAAGATTATTATGTTAAGAAAGCGACAACTTTTGAGTCTATGAAACAAGAAAGATCTTCGCTTTTCGGCGGAAGCATAGTTAAAAGTGAAGAAGACATGACTTTTGGCATGCATGAAAATTCTACCCCCTCCATGAGCGAACAAAAAAAAATTGTTTGGGTTATTTTTTTTTAAAAAAAATTTCTAAATAAATTTTATCGTAAATTTATTTTAGATTTACAAATCCCAGAGATTTCATTGTGCTGGTTATCATCTATTTATCAAAATATTTTTCATGAAAAGTTATATTTAAAAACAGTTTGCTCGTTGACAGAGATGGTTTTTGGGCAAAAAACAGTGATCTTTCCTTGGTTTTGTTCGCTCAAGGAGAGGAAGTAAGGATTTTTGTAAATATATTATCAAAATTAGTCCAAAAGAACGAAAAGTTAAGAAAAATTTGTTTTGCCAGTATATTAATTCGAAGAAGCACAATATTAAAAATGCCAGTTAGGGATAGGTCCTAGCTCCTGCTCAAACAGGATGGACCTATAAACCGAGTTTAGTGAGAGAAGTCAATCTTCTTGAGAGTCTCGGCTTGAAGAGAAGGGTTGGTGCTGAGGCTGGCATTGACTAGAGAAGTCTTAACGGGCTTATTAACTTTAACGGTGTTCACCTACCGTTGTTCAGAGCTGCTAATTTAGCTGAACCTCAAGTAAAGGGGACTTTATAGGCATTTAAAATGCTAGAGTAATTCAATAAACTTAAACTTAAACTTAAATTCGAAGAAAAAAAAAGCGTTAATGAAAAACTCTGCACTTTATAGAACACATATTCTGATGCTGCATATGGACTGCTAAATTCAAGTAATTTATGTATTCACGTATTTAAATAATCATTTAATATGGAAACTGGGTGTTTTTCTTTTCACCATAGTCTGACGAAGATTAATGAGATCGCAATTATCAATAACCCTGCAGTTTATTTCATTATAGGCTTATTTGTGCTATATATAATATGCCTTATATTAGGAAATAAAGCTGATAACAAAAAGCCTCTCTCTAATGTAAAAAGGCCTGCATCAACCTCAAGAAGTGACTTTTATGTGGCTCCATCTGAATTTAAAAATTTTGAAGAGGAATCAAGCGAGATTAGCAGAGTAGAGAACTAATTATTTAATTTGAGGGAAAATAATGGAAAAATTGACGTAAAATAAAAATCAACTAATGAATTTCACTTGATATGAGATATAATCTGCGATTTTTATAAGAGAAAAAATTTAAGCATAAATTTAACCTTAACTACTAAGATGCCATTGATTCGAGTTATGATTACTGATGACATAGTCAGTGCTATTGATACCATTAATATAATCACTAGCTAGTCTATCATTTGATTATTGAATTATATTTATTAATTTTTATAAAAGCAAAGATTTGCCTTTGTGAATTTATTTACAAATTTTATTTCAATTGCCTCATGAGGACTATAAATATCATGATATGTTTCATCAGATAAAATATAAATTTTGATTAGATAAAATTCAGCTAAAAGGTTCTTTTTATCGACTTATCACAAACTCCTATCTCAAAAAGTTAGCCGGAAAAATTGTTAAAGTATCAAATTTATTATTTCAAAATTTTATATAGACCTTTCTAATGGAAAACTCAAACTTGAAAAAGGTGAACAAATTCAATCCTATTTACTACACACACAATATCAGAGACTGATGAAATTATATGACTTCAACATTTGGGTTTAACTCACTTTTTATTCTGGCCATGGTCTATTGATCCCAAGGATTACGCCAATTCGGGGTTTTAGCTTCAACCTTATATTACATGGACGACTTAAAGCTTGACCCCGCAACTGCACAAATCATAAGAACTTTTACTTTTACAGCTTGGTACATTAAGCCAGTATATGGGATGCTCAGTGACATATACATTAAATGGCGACGGCGAATCACCCCTTTTTCTCAACACCTGCAGCCGTAGTTCCCACAGGGCTACGCCACTTTGTGGAAGGGAATATGCGCTCGGGTGTATATCCGGCCAGATTTTGCTTGGTTTGGCGGAGTGCAATGATAAATTTGGTCAACTGCAGTTCATTCCAGGTCAAGGTTTTTACCTCAGGGGAAATGGAATTCAGAATTGGAAAGGGTGACCCAGCAACACCAAGGAGTACTACTTGATCCCTCGGGCTCTTCTCCAGCGTGATACTGGGCGTTCCTTCCAGGCTTTGGATTTCCATTTTGGTCGACAGCCTGACCAGAAAAATTTGTTTTTCAAATTTTCGGAAAAGGCGAACTCTGTTGACGTACGGCATGGTGACACAACTCATCCAAATACAGGCAGCGAGTGCAGGCCCTCATCTGTAAGAGCGAGACACTGAAGGTCGTGCACGATTGGTGGTGAGCAATCGAGTGGAACGTTTAATGGGTGAAGGTAGTCAAGGTAGTCCTTCGGGAATTACAGTGCACTTCTGATATAAGTAATTGATGTTAATGTTAATGGGATGTTCAGTGATAATATACCAATTTTTGGGTACCGAAGGATAGCTTATATGATTTTGGCAAGCCTTTTAGGGATTTCAGCATATTTGAGCATTTTATTTACTGCCAACCTTTATTGGGTTGTTTTTGCACTGATTTTAGGAGAGTTTGGGCAAGCTATTTCTGATGTAATCGCAGATGCCATTATGGTGGAAGAGTCAAGAAAAGACCCAGTCGGAGGCTCCGGGTCTTTACAATCATTTTGCTGGATTACTCTTTCATTTGGAGGTTTTTTAGGATCTATATTAGGAGGACTATGCCTCAGCTATTTAAACCCGAAATATGTAATTGCTTCACAAGCGATTTGTCCATTTTTATGCTTGCTAGTATCAGTGAGGCTAGATGAGGAACCTGTTTCAGACCCAATTTCTTTCCAAGCGATTTCTTCAAGAATGTGTATACTATGAGATGCTTGCAGAAAGCCTTCAATTTATAAACCTCTTATTTTTATATTTTTATCAAACGCGCTTTCTCCATCATTCTATGAGCTGATGCTGTATTTTATGAAAAATGAGTTAGGTTTTAGCCCTATGCTACTATCTACACTAAATATTGTAGGGTATATAACCTTAGGATTTGGCGGATTTGCATACAACAGATTTTTCAAATTATGAAGTTTTCCGAAAATTTTGGGTACTGGACAAGTGCTCAGCTGTATTTGTGGGATTTTTGATATTTTATTTGTGCTGAAAGCTTATGAATATATACACTTTTCAGCTGTAGCTTTTGCTGTCAGTGGAGATACTCTTAGTGGGATTATAAGCTTTACCTTTAAATCAATGCCTTTAATGGTTTTAAGTGGAAAGCTATGCCCAGAAGGTGTTGAAGCCACTCTCTTCGCACTTTTTGCATCAATCAGCAATTTTAGCTATGCAGTGTCAATATTTTTTGGAGGAATGCTTACACAATGGTTTAGGATTAGTGCAACAAATTTTGATTTAATTTGGATTCTTATGGCCATTCGAGCCCTTACCAAACTGCTTCCGTTGCCTTTCTTAGGGCTGCTACCTCAGGAAGAAACAAAAAATGAGGATGAAATTATAGAGTTAGAAGTATTAGATGAGCCATTTACTGTGTAATTAAATTATCAACTCTAAATGGAATTTTTTGTCTAGAAGTTAATTATTAACTCCCCCCCCCCCCTCCGTGAGCGAACAAAACCATTAGAAAAATCGCCATTTTTTGACCAAAAACCCACCCTCCGTGAGTGAACAAAAACCCACCCTCCGTGAGTGAACAAAAATTTTTTTAATAGAAAAAATTTTAATGAAAAAAATTTTGATATATAAGTGATAATTAGTATAAATGAAATCTAGAGCTAATTCTGTTTAATTTTAAACAAATTGCGTTTTAAAACATAAATTTTGCAAATTAAATTAATATTTGCTTCCCAATTTTTGCAAATTAGGATTTTTTTTAAATTTCGAAAAAAATATTTTTTATAAAATTTATATATAAATTTTTTTTTAAAAAAAAAAATTAACCCCCCTCCGTGAGCGAACAAATTTTTTTTTGTTCGCTCACGGGGGGGGGGGGGGGGGGAGTAAGTAAAAATTTCTATATCAGAATTTTCAGTAATTTGGGTTTAAATTCAACCCTCGTCTCTATAAAAAATGTCTATTCTGACAAGACCAGTCGTTGAGCTTGCAAGCTATATTTTGACTAAGCTCCATGGTGGTTTTCTATTAGACCAATTTGATCACAAGCAATTAAAAACAAATCTTGTCGATGGCGTTTACATGTTAAAAGATTTGCGGTTAAATCCGGCAACATGTTAAATGACTGTGGAAATTTAAAATACGACATCTCCTAAGGGAAAATTTGTTCGAATCATTTTTGATAGTGAGACATTTGACCGGAAAAAACGTTAAATTTGGCCAAAATTTGTACACTATTTTAAAAATTCTCGACTAAAAGTACTTCGTGAAATGCACACTATCAAAAATACACTATCATTCTACCTGCACCCGTTAAATCCAGAACAAATAAACAAAAATTTAAAAGATAGCCCTCTGCATATATCAAAAGGATCAATAAGCCAATGCACTCTTAAATTCCCTTCATTACTAAGACTTGCGAGTGACCCGACTTCTATAAATATTCAAGGTGCAATCATCGAATTTTGCAGCGCTAAGGAATCTGGGTTTCCTGTTTTGAGAGGCCAGCTTTTTGCTTCTCTGAATGAAAGTGAAGAAGATTTACAAGGTGTAACCCTCCTTACCAAAGCAATAGGAAATTTTCTATCCAGCACAAGCCTGAGAATCAATGTTTTGATAATCAGGATCCGAAATAAGCCAGCGGATAAGGAATTTATTCAGATCTCAATTCCTTCATTGCAACTAATAGATTTAGATTCTGAAGAAACAGACGGAAAACACAAATTAATGACGATTCAAGGTCTCTGTGCCAGCATTCTGCATGAAGAAGTAGAAGTGCCAGTGTCTTCTGATTATTCAAATATTTGCTCGTTTGAAAATGATATAAGTTTTCGCATAAAAATTTCAAGGGAATTGCTGAAAATTGACAGTGAGATTGATGTTAATGTTAATGTTAAGACGATGTGTATTTAAGGTCCCTACTTCCATGCGTGGCATTCCTCCGCGCTCCTTAAGGAGCCGTGCCGGCACGAGCGAAAAGGATGGACTTCCATCACTGGTTCTCTGAGCCCAGGCCGAAACCCCTGGTTTCTCGGTAGTGGGTTGCCCTATTGGGTCGTCAGCCGACCTTTGCCGGGCACCACCATTTCCAACTCAGCCTTCCGCCCCGAATTACGCCAGTCTTTGCCTCCGGTTGGCCAGATCGCCCCATTTTATTGGGACCCTTTTGTACTGGAGAGACCGCCTTCTTGGTTGTCTAGTCTGCCTTCCCCTTTTCCCAGCTTATCCGCTTGAGAAAATACTCAACCGCTTCCGCGATTCGGGCAGACCACTATAGCAGCTTGAGCAAGTAATTTCACCCTGCTCCATTTCGGGCGCCCACTGGCTAGGGCGCTGCTGGAAAAAGAAGATGCTCCTAACTGCCCTGGGATCTGGACAAGATCAGCGGGTCCGTGTTTGTCCCTGGTCGCCACCAGGGTCCAGATACTGCTGGGCTAAGTCTCTTCTTCAGAAAACCATGCCCGGATATACATGGGTTACCGTCACTGAGAGGACGGGTCGGTCGCCATACGCCATTTTATGTATATGACAGTGAGATTGATAATTTGAATTTTATCGTAGGGTTTGATCAGATGATGGCAATGCTAAGGATAGCTTTATCTATGCAGAAAAGCGATATTTTGATTGATGAAGCAGAAGTGATTGCTAATGACAACTCTGAGGACTCTGATGAAGAAATAAAGCAAGCTATTGAGAACCCTGAAAATTATATAGATATAAGGAAAAAAGAAATCAAACTGAGTTTATCAAATTTTAATTTAGCAGTTCTTGTTAACGAGCACGCAGAGTTTGTAAAAGTTTGGAATGCGAGTTTTGATAATTTGGCATCAATACCTGGGTCTTATATTCATGTAAATTTAGCAGGCTTATCTGTTTTCAGCTCTCATTCAACTAGGATAAGACTAGGAAGTTTTCAAATAGCTCACCATCACTTAGTGAACCAACCAGACCTTGATTCTTCAGAATTGTTCAAGTCTGCCAGGGAATCTTTTAACTCAGATTTTTTCAGATCTCGTGACTCCTTAAACTGGTCCATTGATACTAACTCCCAGCATTTTTGTATAAATTCTGTAGTAGCTATAAAGCCAATATTTAATTTTCAAGAAAAATATAGTGTGAATATAGAATTTAAGGATACCGAATCAAGATATGAAATTGGTGAAATTGATATAAATATTGACAATGTTTTATTAGAATGCCTCCAAGCTTTTTCTATTTATTCTAATAAGGCTCCCAGTGAAGAAAGTAGTGGAGAAGTTACACTAATTCTTGATATTCCAATGATTAAATTGGAATATAGGCACTATCATATAGAAAGCCATGCACCAAGATGCTGCTGTGAACAAAGTCAGCTGTGATCGTTAGGAGGGGAGATTCAGGAATTATTATGGCACAATTCATTGAAGTCGTCATCGCTGAAGATCAACACGGTGAGTTTCAGAAGTAAAGAAAATAATACTGAACGCGATATTTTAAAGGGTAATAAATTATTATATGAAATTGGGAAGGTTGGATTATTGGAGCCTTATCAAGAAGGGAAAAAACCACTAGAATTTTTGGATTATTATGCTGAAGGACAAGGAAATATACGAATATTCATAGGAAACAAAGCGATTGAGCCTTATTCTTCTCTTGAGGGCGAGTCGCCTAATATAAAGTACCATGAAATCGATAAAAAAAATGAATACTTAGCTATTAGCAAATGTTTTACATATAACAAGCTCCTGCTGCATTCACTAGAAATATGGCTTGATCCAAGCACACTAAAAAAGGTGATATCTCTAATCCCGCAATCTTCATCCAAATCTGAAGTAAATCTAAATACTGATTATTACTCCTACACAATTGAAAACGCAAATATCCATTTATATGAAAATATAAGCAACCAAAAAGCCACTGCATCTGCCTCATTTTCAATTTTTGAATATCTATCATTCACCAACTGCTTTCCGAACAAAATAAATTATAATAGATGTACATTTAACTCCTTTGATATTCAATACAAAGACAATATAATTGCCCACAACATCGGGCCAGCGCCATTCCTATACGTCCAAGAAGACGACGATATAAAACTTGGCTTTAAAGAAATCATTCTTTACGCTGAACAAATTCCAGATTTCGTCGGGTTTTTTGACAATTTCTCCTTTTCAGATAATTCCAAGCCTCCATCCAATGACTCTGAAAATGCCACGAAAATAAATTTTGCTTTTGAAAATATCTACTTCGACTATTTAATTGGAGAAAGTAGATTTTTCCTATGCATACAAAATTGTAACCTTTGAAGCATTCTTTCAAGTCCAAATTCATCCAATTTTCATTTTGCCCTTGATTCTGCTCAATTATTTATAAAATATCCAGTTAATTCTCGCGAGCAAGTGATTTCTATTTCTTCTTTAACATATGTGAAAACGCTACAATCTCTTCATTTTGCTTTAATTTCTACGATTACAGACCTAGAAATCTTTTATACATCGATTAAAAAGGAAAAAAATATTGATGAAGCTGATGAAATCAATGAAGCTTCGCCACCTTTTATTGAGTGCATGTTAGGATCAGCTGAGTGTAAGCCAATTTTATCAAATTTGTATGTAAGCCAAGAAGTCAGATGTCAGATCCTAAAAGAAGAATATTTAGAAATTCATGCAAACGTTGGCTGCTGGATTATTCATATGTGCAAAGATACTGTTGATGCAATATCTAGTGTTTTAGGGTCCTTCAGCAAAGGTCCCAGTCAAAAAGAACCTCAAGTCCCTCAGAGAAAAAAAGAATTCATATCGAACTCGACAAATCAGCATGAAGATATTAACTTGCAAAGCTACCTGGCAGAAAACGATAAACCACTCCTACCGCCTCCACTTATGAAAAGATCTTCCTCACTCCCCCATCCTTGATCGAACGATTGACTGTAAAAATTCCTAAAAATTGGGAAAATTAACCCCATCCTTGATTGAACGATTTTCATATCATGCAAATTTTTATATATATAAAAATATATTAGTTATCAAAAGCTTGGGAAGATGTACCTAATGAAGTTGTTATCAGAGGCTTTGAGACGATATGAAGCTACGGAATCAACCATCCGAAGTGCTTTAGTCATCAGCCTGGGCTTAAAAACTCAATAATCTAAAAAATAGAGATTCTTTTAAATTTAAAATTTTTAATTCAATAAGCAACAAATTAAAATTTATACAGTTTAAAGGGTAACCAAAAATCAAAATATTAAAAATTAGTATTTTATGAAATTAATTTAATTTTTTCTATAAAATAATTATTAAATACTCTTAACCCTCTTATTTAAAAGTATATAAAAAAAAAAATTTTTTTTTATTTTATATATAAAATTTTTTTTTTAACCCCCATCCTTGATCGAACGATGGCGAGCTGTTCGATCAAGGATGTGGGGGTCAGTAAAATCCTCACAAATTTATCATACTCATTTAAATTCTTCACAACTTCGGCAAACCAATACAATTGACTCTCAATTCCACCAACTTCAGCCCCAGCATGGGTTTCCCAAAGTAAAAATTTCTCTGAGTTTGTTCCATTTAAGAATAAACCTTTACTCAGGTAAAGATTTTAATGCTTCTCGAGCAATCACCCCTGGGCTTTCATTTATTTGTGAAAATTTAGGACTGAGCTACTCCAAATTCCCACAAACTATGAATTATTCTTGGAGACTGGCACTGTCGATTGAAGATTTTGAAGCACTCGATAGGGTAAAGCTAAGCACAGTTAAGCAGCTTATAAGCTTTGATAAGAAAACTATTAGGAATTTAGGTTCCCAAATGCTTCAATTTGAAATTTCTGGGATCTGGCTATCTCCAGCAATTTCAGATGAAATCGAGCTGATCGTCAACACAAAAATTTTGCCTCTAAAAATAAGCATCGATCAGCATTTAGTTGATTTTTGCATTGATTTTATTGACAATAATGCAAAATCTTCTCCAGAGGATCCATCATTCTCTGATATTGAAACAAAAAAGACGACTTTTATTCAGCGGCTTTCTTTTGATGATATTTTTATAAGCCTTGATTATATTCCTCATAAGATCAATAGAAATCTTTCTGGCGCAAACTTGCTGAATATTTTCCATATAGAGGATTTTAAAATTCACCTGCCGAGAATAAGCATTACAAGTGCAAGAGATTTTCAGCAAGCAATTGGCAAAGCATGGGCGTTTTGACTTAAGCACCTCAAAGAGAGAGAGTTTTTAAAATTTATAAGCGGGATTGGTCCGCTCACTACAATAAAAAATCTAGGCAGTGCTTTATATGAAATAGCAAAGTTGCCTTATAGTTCTAATTCTCAGTCAGATGGCGCAAAACAAGCTTTACTGGGGTTAGTTAAAGCTGTATTTATAGAGACGTTAAGACTTACGGAAACGGTGCTAGGAGGAGCTTACACCGTTTTGCAAACTATGGGAGTTGTGGCTGGCATTGATATGCCATCACGGCAAATCTTGATAGGGCCTTTGATAAAAGCCCAACATGCGGTGGAGAACCAGAAGTGAAGATAATAATACTGTTCTTAATAAATTATATGCACTAACATAAATATATAAATAGGAACAATTCCAATAAATTCCAAAGAGCTGGTCCTTTTTAAAAAGCGGCTATTTAAGCTCTAGAACGAAAATCAGAAATTTCAAACTGACAAAAGATTATATAAGTCATTTCAGAAATTTTATAAGATTTTATTGCTTTAAATATTATGAAATAAATCTTTATCATATTAGAGATCAATAAGAGTTATAGTTAAATTGAATCAAAATTTGCCCCTCATCAGTCCTTGCACCTATAATTTTGTGATTTTCTATGAGCAGTTATTTGCAGTAATAATTACAAAAATAAAATAACCTCAATCTCATTATTCAAGCGACAGGTCTATTGACAGAACTTAATTAGAACAAGATATAAGCAAAAGCTTTTTTAATAAACGTAAGTTAGAATAAATTTAATGGCCAAAGAGAAAAAAATCAGTCTCGGGGTGAAACTCAAGCTGATTACACTCGTCCCGTTGATTATTGGCATATTGCTTGCATCAGTGATATTCGTTTCCCTATTATTTGATAAGCATACTCAGTGGCTTTACTCCATGAGAAGTGATTTAGTAAAAAGATCAAAAAATTTACTTGAAGAAACAGCCCACTCTAGACGTTCAACTATATCAACCTACCTTTCCAATGTAAATTTAATATAGAGTGCCCTTTATGAGCAGTTTTTGCGAGGCGTTTATGATGCAATAGACGTCGGAAATATTACCCTTACAGCTGATATTACAAAGCCGTCCTATGTGAATGGGAAGGATACAAGTTCATCAGGGTCCTATCCAGACACAACTAAATCTGTATATATGAGCCCTTCAAATACTGACCCGTCCGCATCTACTTGCTATACTAAGCTAGAATTGCTGGATATTCTGATGAGAGTCATATATGCTGATTCCAATGACTCTACTCTTCATCAAATTGGATTCACCTATAGTAGTGATGGTCTCGATTATAGGTACCCTGTGCAAGATATGAGCAAATTGTCAGGGAATTTTAATTATACAAGTACATGTTCACAAGCAAGCTCTAGCTATGACGCAAGATGCACCCAAACTTATTATTACTTGAAAAACGGTGTCAATGGGAAAACTCAAAAATTGATGATTTACTATGAAAATGAGCTAGTGAACACATGAAATAACCCAAGCTATGGCACTTTTGCCTTTTATTCAACTAACCATACTTTTACTCAGTTTATTAACGAAATTGAATACGTGACGACTTTTGTTAGTGAAAAAGATGGGACATGGACATTAGCAAAGGAAGAGGAAAATATTGAAGGCTTCCAAGGCAAGGTGCTTGGAGAGGTATTGTTTCCGGACGAAAGTGATTTAGCTGATAGGGTCATAACGAACTTGCTACCACTAATGCATGACAGTGTAGATATTTTAGCTAAATTATATGGCTTGATTGCTACTGAATACGTAGCAGTCTCTCCAACCAACATTACAATGACTAATGTTAGATACACTGAATACCAAGACTCGTATACAGTTGGGCTTTATAAGACCAGAACTGCAATTTTAATTGAATGGAACAATTTTATAACTACTGTTGTTGACATTATTACAGGCCAGACTATTATATTTGCAGTTCTTTTATTTATGACTATTGTTTCTTCGATTTTACTAAACAAAGCTTTGGTCTATAAAATCACTCATCCAATCACAGTGATTATTCAAGATTTAGAAAGTGAAAGAGGAAGCAGTCGAGCTTATCATTTGTATAATAAAGAAATCAATGAAATTTTTAAGTATGTGGAGTTGACTAATCTGTCAGAAAAATTCATAGACCCATCATTCTTAAAAAATCCCAAGCCTGATGAAAGGATAGCGAATTTGAAAGAAGCCAGGAGATTTTTCAAAAGAGTGAATAATAAAAGAGGGGTTTCGATTACAAATAACTTAATTGGAAATATTCATTATAGAGACCAAGATTATGATAGAGCTGTAAAATATTATCAAAAAGCTTTGCAGGCTATGGAAGACTTAGAAAAAATTGTGCTCTTACAAGAGGAGGAAGAAGCCAAGCTAACAGAAGAAGAAAAAGAAAATTTGAGGAAAAAAACTGGGAAAATTACAGTAGGATGGGAAGAAGAAAAAGCTTTTCTAAAGGAAAATATCTGTGAAAGAATCCTCCAGCTATGCATGGGAAAGCAAATGGGACTTTTGCATGGCACACGAAATTTGATGGAGCTTAGATCTGACTGAAAAGAACTTTTAAACTTACAATCAAAAGTCGTTCAAGTCTACTACAACACCCGCACCCATTATTTGAGAATCCTAAAAATTTTAGTAGACTTAGCCTTGGCTTTTCAAAGTTTACAATATTTCCACTCAGCTCTAGAAATTTTAGAAATCGTAGAAGATGAGCTTAATAAGCTAGAAACTTTGCAACACCCTGATATAGATATTGACATTGTAAGACTTAAGAGACTTGGGGTGAATATAAATGAAGAAGAAGGAGTTATGAAGCTTCATTTCGCAGTGCCAACTCTTGATTTTGAAAAGGATATACTAAGACAAATGATTCTCTACAGAAGAGGGATGATTCTAAAAGAAACTGATAGGTTCCAAGAAGCTGGCTATGCACTCACAGAAGCAATTGAAAACGGTGGGTACTTTGATCCTTATATAAGGCAGCAATGCTTATCTGAACTTATAAAAATGATGAAAAAATTCGCAATTAAAACCGAAATCGATGAGCTTTATTCTTTGCATAAAGATTTTGCTTCACAAGGAAAAGCATTACTGTTCTTGCTAAGGTACAATTTCAATGATAATTCCAAGCTGAATAGGAAACTCGTGAATTTTATTACTAATGAGCTTAATGATCCAGGAAACTATATAGGAGCATCAACAATGTCGTTAAATTCTACAGTGAAATTGGACATTGAGAAGAGAGACATGGCTGGAATTGATTTAGAAAATATGATTATGAGAGCTAAATCAGTTTCTGCAAACGATCACCCTTACGATTTGATAATGAAATGGAATAAATTATTCCCTGATAAAAGCAGCGAAAAATATATCATCATTATATTGAAAGATTTGCCGTTTAGCATACAAATTGCGAAGGAAGATGATTTGGCAGCAGTCATTGATAAAACGATGAAATATATCGTTATACCGATTGGATTTGCTTTGCCAACGGAGTTTGAAAAATATTTGTCGGAAAACAATGGGTATATAATAGAAATTCAAGATGATAGTGCGATTGATGAAGCGTTCGAGGCGGTGAAACGTATCATGGGATAAATTTAATTTATTAAGTTTAGATTAGAGTAATAATATAACCAATTTATTATAATTGCCATATAATTATCTTTTGATTTTTTATGTTTTAAGCTATAAATTTTATAAAATTCAGAATAGAATTGCTTTCTATCAAGTAGCCAAACAAAATAGGATCATTTAATGGATATTAATTTGGTGTAAAGATGTCATTTTATAAGAAAAAATATGGAAGTTCAAAGAATTAACCAAAATATTTTTACTCTGCTTGATGAAGAGCTAGCGACTGCTCCTCCAAACTACCCTGAAATCATTCATATTTCTGAAGGGATTAGGCCTACAATATATTCAAAATCTCAGCCTAAAATAAAAGGATCTTTAGAAGAGCCCAGAAGCAGTCCTAAAGAAATTCATATCAGATCAAATAGAAGACCTTCCCCTCCTAATAATAGGAAATCCCGCACTGGCCTAACTCCCACCCCTTTATTTAGGAGCAAACCCATTATAAAAGCCATATTTTTCGGAAATTAACGCTCCTTAGTATTGACCAAAAATTGTTGTATAAAATTACATTTTAATACAACTAGTTTACGATAAATAGCTCAGTAGTATTAGTCTTAGTCTTAGTTAAATTTATAGACTAGCTCCCGGCCAGGACCGAAGGTCCTTTTCTTCCGAATTTTGGACGCCTCGCTTGCTTTCCTTGCCCTTCCCAGTGTGCACCTAAGTGCCACAGGCTACTACTCAGCTCCTTCCGGTCACGGGGCTTGGCCATGCTATCCGGAAGTAGGCGAATTGGGTCACCGTGCTTCACATCGCCAGACTAGGGTTAGAGCTAAGGGATTAACTCCTTAGCTCTTGTCGGCTCCTGCCATGCCCTCCAAATTGGCACTAGCGGTCCCTAGAGGAAAAACCCCTTTTTGCCCCGTGTCCTGTCGGGACGACCCTAGGATCGTAGTTGCTGGACTGGGAGGGAAACCTAGCCGGACACAAACTACCAGTACCCATTCTAGACCTTTCCCTGGGCGGATTGGCTTCAGGCCGCAGCAAGGTCCCCCAATCTCGCCACAGTTCCGGAGAGGACGGATCGGTGTCGTCGCCATTTTATTTGTGCTATGAATAGCTCAGTAAGTTGCATTTTTATGTTGACTTCTATTCAGCAAACAAAATTTGAATTTGACTTACTAAATAATGATTCTAACGTGCTGCTATCTCAAATGTGCATAAAATTAACGATTATAATAATGAATCTCAATTCTTATATAAAAAAAGAACCCTCTTCATTATAGAGAAAGACCTTTCTCAACAACTATGGGGGAGCAAGCAATGAAATAAAAAGACAAGGTGCTGGACTGTATAATTGGGGAGAATACATTCCGAAAACCTTCAAAGACAAAGAAAAAGTTGATGTGCAAGGAGATGAAGCATTAATGCCTGACACCGAAATTTCTGAAGAAATCGAAACTAAGGTGAAATCTCAAGAAAACGGAGTTTTAACTATGTCGGAATATTTAGGGCTTGAAGAAAATGAGGAAGCAAAAGAAAGGAATATAATTGATAATATTGTGGATTTTACGAAAAAGACTGTTAAGAAAGCTCAAGAATTGGTAAAAAAAGTGGAAAAAGAGTTAGAAAAGGGGGAACCTCCTGGATTTAAGGAAAATGACTTCCCTGAGCTTAAATCATTTTAATTAATTTTGATAAGTTTTAAGTCGCTTAATTTCTGATCAGAATCTATTTTTGACCATGTATAATTTATAAATATAAACTAAAGTTTTCTATTTAATATTATAGGGATTTTGAAAATAGTCGTGATATAAATTTAAGAGATGTAATTTTATTAATGAATGCAAGGAGATTCTCACAATTTGCGTAATTCACCAAATCTATATATTTTACGATCTATAACTTCTTTATTCATCGTCTTGAATAATTGCTTCCATATTATAATTTTCTATTGCCATAAGCAGTGGACAAAATCTCAATAAGAAGCTAAAATTGTTATTATTTTATTCAATTAGATACTCCCAACTCCCTTGCAGTTTAGAGTAAAAATAGTGTGAAGTTATATAACTAGGTGCTCCAAATCTATCGCATTCAAACACTTCATCAAAAACATCACTTTGCAGTCTACAATAAATATATCTTTGGCATCTCTCATCACATTTATTTGACTCAAATGAATATTGTCCCATCCAATTGGCATAATAAGTTTGAGCAAAAACATTATCAGTTTTCATTTTTTCCACAATTTTTTCAAACGAACTTGGGGAGAGATCAGCCATATTGTACTCGTCTTTAAAGTTAAAAACTTCTTCAAAAAGTGCTGTATCATCTGGGCTTCTGTATTTATATAAAGGCAGCCTATATTGGTGAATATTTACTAAATGATGAGTTTGCCAATCGTACTCATAAAGTCTAAATGAGGGGTTGTGGTCTGTATAAGTCCCAAAAGATGGTGCAGCAAATAGAACCCCTGGCGAAGATGCACCAGGTATTAGAGAATGGACAACGAAAAATTCATCATTATGAGTGTGTCCAAAAAACTGACCTCTTATGGTATTTTGGAAGCGGTTTGCAAGGACTCTGTAGTGTCTTGACCAATGTGAGTCCATATAAGAATCTCCATTTGGAATGTGTCCTAAAATGATCACAGGCTCATTTTTTTGTTCAGCTGAATATAGCTCCTTCCGGAGCCAAGCCAACATTCCAGCAGAATCTGTATTGTTTAAAATTAGCCACGTATTTAGTAAATCCCCAAGCTCATTATTAAGCCCTAAAATTCTGAAACCCGTTTTTTTATCAAAAGCCGAATAAAATCCATTAGCACTAAATTGCTTTATTTGGTCGTCTCCAAGCCACCCTTTCCACAATTTCGATAGCTCTTTGATTAACTGTTTTTCATGATCTGGTTTAAACAAATCAATAGGAAAGCACTCATGATTCCCAATAATAGGGTACACAGGCATGGATAATTCTTTCTTAAACATTTTTACCAGCTTTTTAGTGACATCCATTTCTTTTTCTCTTTCATAAGCCCACACGTCGTGAGGGGGGTTATCCCCAGTCCAAGCCACAAATTTTATATTTTCCATTTCTTTTACTTGTTTTAAAAATATTTCTACAGTTTGTGAAGGAACATCACATTTTCCTAATGTCCCCCAGTATCCTGCATTTCCTGTCCCATTTCGGCAGCATAAAGGAGAGTTGCAGCTTGCGTCAGATCCTGGAATATAGAAAAAGTCGACGTGGATATCAGTTACTTGTAAAACCATAAAGGTTTTGTCTCCTGTTTCCGGCCATGGTTGGATTTCTGGCATATCTTTAAGAATTTCTTCCTCATAAGCAGTAAAATTTTCCATTAAATACTGAGGTGTTGGGCAGACACCAAAGCTGGAGCACACAAACTCAGGGTTTAAATATTTGCCTGTAACAGCTTCAGTATATGATTTACCAAAAATTCTGATAAGTCCTTGGCAGATGTCATGGTGTTCAAAAACAGAGCAAATATTAATAAGGAAATCTTCTCCAGATCTAATTACAAGGTTGTTATCAATACCTTCACGTAGCGCCTTAACCATTAGATGGCAAGAAGCGCATTCAATTCTTGTATGTGAGTCATATGCAGATCCAAGAAAAACTAGGAGAAAGATTGCCAAATAACCCTTCATAATTTATTTATTTTATTTACGATTCCTCTGTCAGTTTATTATTAATTATATGAAGTAATGATCAGAAAATTAATAATTATTCAATAGGGAAAATATTTAAAACTGCCAATATGTGGCTGAAAATGGGCTTTGAATAAAGAGGTCTGACAGTGCTATATATTGAATTATTTATTGTTAAAGATATAAACAAAATATATTTACTTTAATTCATATAATCATGTTTCTTTGGACGCGTAATATCTTGTGAACCGAAGATATGAAGGTGAAGGATCTTAGTAAAATGAAGTTAATTTAGCACAAGTATATTGAAAATAAAGTTTATATTCTTACATTATTGAAAAGTTCATGCACTATATAATTTATAAATTTCAACTTCTTATCAGTGATGCTGTAGGATTATTTAATATAAAGATAATCCAAATGATTTCGTATATTTTATGAATAATTTTTCTTTTATTATTCGATTATACTGGCTGGTATAAATTCATCTCAAATCCAAATTAAGATTAAAAACTAATTTATTATTCCAAAACGGTTTTAAAACCCATATAAGCTGTGCTTTAAACTGCTTCCCGAAATAAAAACGCAATAAAATTTAATCATAAACCTATAAGATTAGGTAAACAATCTTGATTATCAATAACTTTCAAATTTCTATTCTGAAACGAATATATATTAATTTATACAAATTTTTTTACAAAATTTAATAATGAAATTAATCATCTAAAAGATAATTAATTTCAATATATCGAAATTCTTAAAGTACCACCTTTAAAATTGCGCATGCAACTTATAAAATTCATTATGTGATGCTAATATAGGTTCCATAATTTAAAAATAATGACTACAAATTTCTTGAACTCAAAACCTCAAAGTACCCGAAGCAAGCTTAGCATCCCCAATCACCCTTACGAATGGAATGATCGGTTTTGGCTTGGTAGGATTAGTGATGTTTTACCTGAAATTTCTTGTAATTAATAGCTAGTAAAAAGAGCTTATTCAGGCTCTCTAACTGCTAGGACAAATATAAGATCAGCAGTGTCTCTTTCGAGTAATTCCTTACTGAAATCAAGGCCTAATACAGGAATTTCTCCAAAAATTATAAATTTGGGAAAGGAGATATTTAACTTAAAAAGCAAGCTTGATTTATCGTATGACGCCAAAAATGTCCCTGATTTTCATAAAAATCTTTTTCGCACATTTTTATCTCTTCTCAAAGACCCTAACTTACAATTAGAAGCCCTTAAAACTGAGCTTGATAATATAAAACGAAATTCCGCACCTATTATCTGTGTGATTTCTGCAATAAAAGAAAGAGAGGCTTTATTGCAAAAATTGAAAGAAAAAGTATCAGATGAAGATTTATCAAAAAAAGACTTGACAAAATCACTATTTCTGCTAGAAATTGGAGAATTAATCAAAGAAGTCAGGTTGAAAAGCCTTGAAGTTGTTGATAACGTCAAAGTCTGGAAAAGCTGCTTGCAAATGCCAGCAGCAAAATTTCTGTGAAATGATGAGGAATATTTTGAAATCATGAAAAAAGATTATCAATTTCTGCTAGAAAGTCCAATTGCTAAAGCCTTAAATTTTCCACCAAAATGCACAACATTTTTTATTCAACTTAAAACCCAAAGGTAGAGAGTAAATAGAAACGATCACTATGGGCAAGAATCCAAGAACTTTTTCAAAGTGAACCCACAGCTCCAAGCAAAAATTATAAGTGCTTATCACACTTTAGGGATTGAAATAGCAAAGGTGTCTCTTGTTAAGAAAAGAAAAGTCAGACAATCAAGGAACCCAACAATTCAGTTAAATTTTAATTTCCAAGTTTCATCATTAGAAGAAAGGCCAAGCCAATGAGATAGCACTGATAGCGAAGACGAAGTTCAAAATATCATGGCTCTTGCAACTGAGCTTCAGGAGCAATTTTTATTTGAGCACTCAGATAGACTGACTAAAGATATTGTCAGCGAAAGCTGCAGAGAAATGATATCTGCGAGTCTAGTACTTTTTTCAAGCTCAGTCCTAGATAAATACATAACTGAAGTCCTTGCCCAGCAAATACACCAGGTAGCAATGGTTGCATATCAAGAAACTACTGATAGTGAGTATATCGATTTCCAGCTTCAGATTATCCAAAATGCAATGGAAGAGATTTTATTAGAATCTTCCCAGGACACTAGTTCATGTCATTTAGCTGAATTGATTTCAAGTGTTATGAGTGATGGGCTGAACTTCACAGAAATTGCTCAAGAAGCTATAGATGAAGAAAATAACTGAAATGTGAGGATTATTGTATTGATATTTGAAGAGCTGGCTAGGGATTTACTAGAAGAGGAATGGTTTGAAATTTTTATTGAGGACACCTTGAGCTACACACGACTTGATGATATGTGAAATATACTCCCATTGCACGCTCAAAAGCAGCTGTATAAAACAGACAGAGAAAAAATACACAATAAAATGGCTGAGGACATTTATTTCGAAATTTTAAATAATGTGGTAGGTGATATATGGACTTTTTTAATTAAAATATGGCGTCTTCGTCTTGGTATGGCCTCCCGGCCATACATACTCGACTCATATTTTAATTATATCCGGCAAGGTTTTACCATTTCAGAGATGGACTGCAATGCTAGGTAAGCAATTCTGGTAGCTTTCAGAGCCTAGCCCTAGTCTGTTCTTAGGGGTGGATTTTTCCTCGTGGGGAAGGAGGGTGCAAGGTTGGAAAGGGGAAGCCCAGCAAAGTCCTCTGGACCATTCGGGCAACTCCCTAGCGTGAAACTGGGCGTTACGTCCCAGGCTTTGCATTTTTCCTTTTTGCCGATAGCCGACCAGAAAAATCCATTTTTTTTGGGTTTTTCGGAAAAGCAACCATGTACAAGCAAGTAGCTCATCCATGAGCCGTCGAAGACGTGGACATTTGCCCTAGAAGCACCTTGGAGATCAAAGCGAGTCTGTCCCCAGCGGACTGGTGGGCCCGATGCGACGAAAGGCGAGTGATAAACCTGGGGTCGTAACCCCGTAGTGGACGTTAAGCGATATAAATACCATAAGATAAGATAAGATATATGGACTTTTAGGATTGTATGAGCTGTAAAAAACAACGAAGACGACGACAGCATGGACAAAATTTTTCCTGTGAGAGAAGAAAGGTCGTCAAAGCGCCGAAATACAAGAATCAATAATTAATTTATTCCATTTTATAGTCATACACATAATATATTTTTACCTTAAATAGGTCAATAGTTTTTTCTAATGAGTTCTGCAACGATCCCATACATTGGAAGCCAAATCAGCTTGATTTCCAAGTCTGACATTCGATACGAAGGCACACTTCACTCAATTGACCCAAACGAGCACACTGTTTCTTTATCAAATGTACGATCTTTTGGCACTGAAGGCCGCCGAATCGATGGCAAGCAAATCCCTCCTTCTGCTGATCTTTATGAATTTATCATATTCAGAGGCTCAGATATCAAAGATCTTTCAGTGATACAAGCGACTCCAATTCTTAATGACTCAGCTATCATAAAAGCAAATATCAAAGAAACTCAGCCAAATCTTAAAGATCCACAGCCTGCTGCTAGAGAGTTTGAGCCTCATCAAAGATATGAAAATAGGCCAGCTTCAAGACCTTACCAAAGCCGAACAGGCCGAGGCGAGCTTCATGAAAATATCAATGAAGACTTAAAGGAACAGCTAAAAGAAGACTTCGACTTTCAAGAAGAAGCCCCACTAGAAAAGCCTGCCAAACCTGAGTCAACAAAAGGCTATGACAAGAAAAAGAGCTTTTTTGACAGCATTTCTTGCAAAAGTTCAGAAAATGAGATTCCTTTTGATAGACAAAAACAAAAAGAAATGGACGCGGAGACTTTTGGAGAGGACTATGTTACCAATGGTGAAAGAGAATTAAGAAGAGCTTCACAAAGGGGAAGAAGAAGAGGAAATAGAGGGATGAATAGAGGCGGGAGAGGCGAATACAGAGGCCAAGGTAGGTATAACCAGAATTATGATACTAAATTCTAAGTCCCTATGCTAGTAAATCATTTCTGCTAGAATTTTATAATTAAATGGATAAGTATTTTCCTGGATATGTCAAACTGATTAGTGTTAGGGTTATTAAATACAGAGCGCTAGCCATATTGGTGATGCAGCCACCAAAGACCTCCACTAAGAGAGGTTCATACACTTTGAGACAAACTGACCACTAAGTATAGCTGCAATCAGTAAAGTTGCTTCCTCTTTGCCTTGCTGCTTCAGTCTTAAGTGGATAGCCCTGCGACAAACGATTGAGAGTAGCCTGATTCCAGAGAATAACTCCTTGGAGTTTATCAGGTGTCAGAGTGCCTTTCTTTGGCAGCGACTGGAAAAAGACTGTTCCCCTATGGACCGGGCGGCGAAACCCCAGGCTTCTCTCGGTAGAGGATGTCCAAGGCTCTGAAGGGCATTGCTGGCAACTTCATTTCTAACCCAAAGTTTCAGCCAAAGTCTACACGAATACTCATCTGCTGAAGCTGCACTTGTTTCTAGGCCTGAAGTCGCTGTGGCCTTAAGTTAAAAGGAAGGTTGATACATGCCACCCATTTTAATGCATGGATATGTCAAAGGGATAAGTAGTGCGATTGCTCTAATGAAAATCGATTTCAGCCAAAAAGAACTAACAAAAATATCTGAGCAAGGACCTGAAGTTGCTGATTTCGTGAAATCTTTACAGATTTGTAAGAGGAGCCAAGATGAAAAAGAAAAAGCAAAGTGTGTAGCTGTAAACCTGGCTCAAGGGAACTGTAAAAAGGAGTTTTTTCTCGTTGGAGAGTGTATTAAGAACTTGCAGCATCCAAAATTTCCTGAAAAGGATAGGACCCAGTATTATTGTTCCAATGTAGACGCAAGTCTTGATGATTGTTTGTCAAGTCTTACTAGTAAAGTTTTGTTCGCTTTATCAGACTTGCCCATTGAGGCTTCGCCGAATATTCGAGAAATAGACTAAAACAGCAATTAATTATTTATGAAAATTTATCTAATTAATATGGAATAGATGAAGTGTAAAGTAAGGAGCATGTCATAAGAGCCAGAAATGAAGATCATTAATCAGCATAATGCAATAGCATAAATAATATGATGATGAATTAACTGAAGATTACCAAAAAAGAGCATTTATAGATTTTGTTTCACATATAGCAAGCTATCAATCCTCATCTCCTCTATTTATTTAAAATCTATCGCAAAATGGCCCAATCTTCTCTGATCCCAACTTCTTGAACTTTCAAAAATAGCCCTTTACGTATCTTTCTAACCTAATATTTTCTCCCAATTTCTTTCTTCTTATATTTATCTAACTCTATTTTAAAGTAAGAGATTATTTACTTTCTCTTTATCAACTGATCAGGGAGAGGCTCTGCTCCTTGAATTCCAAGCACACATCTATTATATGAGAGTTCAAGCCACCAAAACCCAACAGTAAAAGCAAGAGCTGGTAAAGCCCAATGAACGGCTTGTCTAAGTCCCATATTCTGCAGCATATGGGCAGCTCTTAAAATAGGGTAGTGCCCATATTTAAGTTGGAATTCTTTGAAGTAAACATATCCAGCTATGAATGGTATCAACGTTGCTGCTGATTTTTGAATGCAAGTGCGGCAATGTGCTTTCTCCAAAAAGTCACTTTCTCTGAACCCAATTCTGACCAAATCGCTTTCTGGAATGCGATTAAATGCACTATAGTTGTAGCCTGCCATTTAATGATTATAAAATTTAGATTAATTGGCTAAAAGTCATTATAGTGAGAAAGGAAATTAATTTACTAACTCCCCCCCCCCCCCCTCCGTGAGCGAACAAAAAATTTTGTTCACTCACGGAGGGGGGTTAATTTTTTTTTTTTAAACAAAATTTATATATAAAATTTATATAAAAATATTTTTTTCGAAATTTAAAAAAATCCTAATTTGCAAAAATTGGGAAGCAAATATTAATTTAATTTGCAAAATTTATGTTTTTAAAACGCAATTTGTTTAAAATTAAACAGAATTAGCTCTAGATTTCATTATACTAATTATCAAAATTTTTTTCCATTAAAATTTTTTCTATTAAAAAAAATTTTTGTTCACTCACGGAGGGTGGGTTTTTGGTCAAAAAATGGCGATTTTTCTAATGGTTTTGTTCGCTCACGGAGGGGGGGGGGGGAGTAATAAAAAATAGCTATAATAAAAATTTGTATGAGAAAGATGCAGCTTATAAAAATTTGAGTATTTTTTATATATTAGAGTTATCTTGGACTATGCAAGCCAAGCTTAGTTTGGAAATACAAGTCTAGAGTCATTTGGAGTTTTTTAGCTTTCCTATGAATATTCCAGTTGAGGAGTTCAAGAATAATGACAAGACCAAAACATGCAAAGAAAAATGAAATATAATCAGCGTAAGAGTTTTCAACTGTTGCTTTGAATTCTTCAAATTGCTCATAGACTGCTAAATAAATAACGCAAACTACTATTGCTGATGTGATGTTCAAGACACAAATCCCAAGCCATCATATATTTGTGATCTTTTTTAGCTTAAATCAGCTTTCGTGCCCGTTTACATATCCCATGGAAAAGATGCATAATAGAAAAACTCCCCAGAAGAAATTGATGATTTTGAAGGCCATGAAATCAGAGTCATCATAGTCATCGACCCACTGAAATCCAAAAATTTTATCTGACGGAACAGTATTACCTAAATGCCAAATATGCAAATAAAGCATCATGACGGTGAATAAAATGACCCTTATCATTTGATTTGCAGTAAAAGACCAATGATCATTGATATTGAAAAGGGTCGATTTTATAGGGAGCCTTTTCATTATTTGGGGATCTGCAGGAGCAGCTAAAAATGATAAACTTAAGCTCGGCGTCACAACAAGAGCTAAATATCCGCATTGAAGAGGTGATAAAATTGCAGGCAAGCCAAGAGCTAAAGCTATGCAAGTCATGAAGCTCCAGCTCACATACATCATCACTGTAAATAATAACCCGTTTTGGATATTTGACATAAACCTTCTCGCTTCTTTTATTACTTGTAAAATTAAATAAAGTGGTGATTTTAAGTTCAACCTGAAGGTGCAAGGCATTGTGATGAGCTTTTCAGCAACTTTTTCTAGTATCCCTGGGGAATGAGCATAAAATAGTCTTAGTCCATTGCAAGTACTACAATAACCACATGGCTGTGCAGCTATACCTATTGAAATATCGGCAGCCTGATATATATTCAGATTTTGAGGATGCAAACAGCCTCCTATAACTAAGACGACTTCTCCGTATTCTTGGTAAATTTTTATCATTTCATGCATACTAGCTTTGCTTGAGTCAGAAAACATGCTAACTAATAGTGGGACAGTGTCTAAATGGTCTTCCAAGACTTTTTTTATTTCTTCTATTCCTCTTGGAAGCACTTGCTGGCCGGCTTTATTTAATATTTCTTCAGGAATTGGGGCATCGCTTAAAGAAATGCAAGAATTTCAGGCTGTGTCTAATCCTAAATCATCTCCAAATGCTTTGGTTTCTAAATAGTTTTTGTCAGAAAAAATTACAAACCTGATTCCTGCGTCTTTTGTGTCTTCAATAAAATGGTTTGCTTCTGGCTTTGGGTGATTTGTTAGAGCAATCATGCCTAAAAATATATGTTTTTTCTGTGCAGACTGTAAGAGGTCTTTAGTTCTTTCATCAAGTGAGTTTAATTCATTAGGGTCGTTGATTATATTTAAAATTTCTTCATCTACAAGAGGTTTATAAGAATAAGCAATTGTATCATAATCATCAGCCGTCCATTGTAATAGCAAAGTATTGATGCGCTGCCTATCACTTTCATCTAGCAAAACTATATGGTTTCCATCCCAATAGTCGGTGCAGTTTTGCAGAATCACTCTTGGGTTTCCTTGGCTTAAAACTTGATAAGAGCCTTCTTTTTCAACGATATTGGTTAATAAATGGCATGGCAAAAGCAATTTATTTTTAATTTCATCTGCGAATTGCCGCTGTGTAAGTTGCTTATCTGTTGTGTCTTGGACAGCTGAAATAAAAGCTCTTTCCCTTCTTTTTGGAGAAATTTTATATGATACATCATGCAGAGGGTTACTTCGCACGACGCCTATTTCATAACGACTATTTTTTTTTTGGCCTATTTTTTTGGCCTATTTTTTTGGCCTATATTTTTTGTCTAGGCTCATTAATAAAGCTGCTGAGAAAACTAAAACTTTATTGCGAAGCAGAGAAATTTCCTTACGCGATTAGTATTGAGTAAATTAAGTGGAAAACTCTTAATAAAATCTAAAAATTCTCGAAATTTAAAAAGCAATGACTTAGTATTCATGGAGAAAGAGATCTGTTAAGGGTGCATTTTTTGTTGGTAAAATCGTTTAAAATACATTAAAAATTATATTAAAATATCAGTATAGAATTAGGCTCAAATAATAGCAAAAATTAGCTAAAAAATATAGCCAAAAAAAAATAGGCCAAAAAAATTTGGGCGAAAAAAAAATAGTCGTCATGAAATAGGCCAAAAAAAAATAGGCCAAAAAAAAATAGGCCCAAAAAAAATTAGGCTAAAAAAAAATAGGCCAAAAAAAATAGTCTTTATGGAGACCTCGTGTGGAGGAACCAAAAAAAAATAGGCTAAAAAAATTAGGCAAAAAAAAATAGGCCAAAAAAAAAAAAATAGGTAAAAAATATAGGCAAAAAAAAATAGTCGTTATGAAATAGTCGTCGTGTGAAGATACGCATGCAGAGAGTCTGTATTTGTAGGCCTTCAGGTGCTTCAAAAAGTGCAAACGTGTCTGTGATTCCTAATAGAAGTCTCAGTAAACCCTATTAATTTGGCTAACACGCATAAGCATTCTTCAAAAATCGCAATTTCTAAGCGTGGTTGTGAGAAAAACAGTTCCCCAGTATCATTTAAATCGGGATGGTCATCATTTAAATTCAATAAGCTTTCTCTCTTGCTATAAGGCCTTGGACTTTTGGATAGAATCGCAGAAAGCACTAGAGGTTTCAAAGACGGCAAGTATTCGACTCATTTAGCCTCAATAAATGCTATTTGGTCATAATCAGTTTCCCCACTCAATATGTCTAATGGACTTTTATGAATCACATCCAGCGGTACAAGTTTTTCTTCAGGTCCCATAACGACGACTTCATCTATATATTTAGCGTTTTCACTTATAATGCCTTCTTTATCAATAAAGCACATAAAAGTTGTTGAACTCAACATGTCAAGTATATTGAATTCCCTTTGGATCCCTCCTATTAAAAATGACCGGCATTTAGCAAAGCATGCAGAAAAGCTAAGTGGCGGGAATGAAGAAACTGATTGGTTGTATTCAAAGTCTTCTTCAGCTTGAGCAGCAAGTGCAGCCATTTCAAAAACATTGCCGCTTGTTTTATTTGCGGGAAGCTTAAGCAAGCTTGATAAAGATTCTGCTTGCTTAGCTGATCTAGATCGAGGCTTTTGCTGGGAATCTAATGATTCGCAGATATATCAGAGGACAGAGTTACCCCAGCATGTCAAAAATTTTATAGTGAACTACACTGACTGGCACGGGATGCTTTTGGCTCAGTTTCGAGCCAAAAGCACCCCGTGCCAGTCAGTGTAGTTAACTATACAAGAGAAGGTAGTAAAAGAGGGATAAATGATAAAAAAAAGACAGATGGGTTCGATAAAATATCGTCTCACTGCCTTTCACTAAAAATGATCCATAATATCCCAATAATAATATTTACAGCAGTTACTATAATAGTATAGATACTGAAAATTTTATAAGCCAGCTTCAAGCATAACATATAAAAAGTGGCTGGCCTCTTTTTATTAACTACTCTATCAGTCAATGCTTGCTCTAAAAATACATATGATGGTGATGTTTTCAATACAAAAGCAAGTCTTCTTCTAGCCTCTAAAATATCTGTGGATACGAATTCTTTGATTTCTTCAAATGGCTGCACTGTAATTCCTTTATAATGATAATCAAGCCCTTCAGCTTCAGCTGGGAGTGTGTTTCCTGGGATAGCTGATACAATATCGCCTTCTAAAAGCACAATTCCAGGCAATTTCACCCACGTTTTATCTCTATAAACATTGATTATGTTATAGTCCATTGACCTGTAAGACCGATGAGTTAGATCTTCTCCTTCTTTTAGATTTTTCAAGAGCTCTTCTATATCTTTCATCCTGTCATCAAAGCCTTCCCATTGCAATTTTGATCGATTTCTTCAATAATAAATATATCTAACTCTTCCTATAAATTGCAACAAAATATTGTTAATTTGCATTTTTGGGTTTTATAGTCAATTGGAAAAGTTTATAGATGAAAATAATAATTTTTATAAAATTAGTTTTGACTTAATTTAATAACAACAATGGAGGTAGAATGCTATTTTTATTTAATTGATTTAAATTAAAATTCAAAGTATTCAGCTCAATCTAAAAAAAAATAAGTGGAAAATACTAATTTTTATAAAATAAGTTTTGGCCTAATTAATGGAAAAAAAAAATTGGAATGCTATATAAACAGTTTTCACACTGAATTGATAAATTATTTCTTATTGAAATAAATCAAAATTCACAGCATCGTGCTTTACATCTTTTTAAAAATTTAAAAAAAAATTTAAATATAAATTTTTTTTTAAATTAAAAATTAACCCTTTTAAATTGGAGCAGGATTATTTGTACCAATTAAAAGGGTGGAGTAAGGAGCATCAATAAAACTAAAATTCCGATAATCAGCCTTTCAACTTCACTGCTTAACAAAATATAGTCCAGAATCAAAAAAATCCCATAAGCATATACAATGATTTCAAGCATCCATGATGACTTCAGGTACAAATGCACGTGCTTTACCGGCTGCTGTTTATTTAGCTCTCTAAAATGCCTAATGATCTCCAATAACTTCCTATATGATCTTTACCCTTTAGCTTGCTGTGTACTCAGTCCTTCCATTTTAAGTAATTATGGGAGCAAGCTGTTCCAATTGCTCATGCACAAATAAAGAAACAGAAACTAAAACTGAGATCGAAATTTTAGAATCCCAAGGGGTATTTCATAAAGAAGCCCTAGGAGCTGAAGCTCCCAGTGAATTAATTCAAAAAGCAAAAAAATATGCAACCCAAATTATTAAAATCCAGTCTTTATGACGAGGGCATCGGGACAGAAAGATAGTGTCACATTTGCTAAAAATGCTAAGGACTAATTCAAAATATTTTACATTAGAAGAAGCAAGAGAAACTTTATCAAGTAAAGTAACGAAGTCTACAATAAGAGAAGAAAGGCCAGCTTATAGGTTTAAAACTGGGGCAGTTTATACAGGACAGTGGGTTGGAGGGTTTAGAGATGGCCACGGAGCACAAATTTGGCCTGATGGGGCCAGGTATGAAGGACAGTGAAAAGATAATAAGGCTAATGGGTATGGAAAATTCTGGCATATTGATGGAGACATTTATGAAGGAGAGTGAAAAGATGATAAAGCCAATGGAAAAGGAGTTTATAAGCAGACGAGTGGAGCTATGTATGATGGAGAATGGAAAGATGATGTGCAGGAAGGGTATGGAAAAGAACATTGGGCTGATGGAAGCCATTATGAAGGATATTATAAGTCAGGCAAAAAGCATGGCTTTGGGAGTTATGTGTGGAAAGATGGATCCAAATATGTCGGGCAGTGAATTGATAATAAAATCAATGGAGCTGGAGTCTATACATGATATGATGGGAGAAGATATGAAGGTGAGTGACTAAATGGCTGCATGAATGGAAGAGGAATATATACATGAAAAGATGGCCGAAAATATGAAGGAGAGTATAAAAATGACAAAAAGCACGGAAAAGGAGTGTATAGTTGGGCTGATGGACGAAAATATGATGGAGAGTGGAGAGATGGGAAACAGGATGGAATAGGGATAATTGAAGATTGCAATGAAAATAAAAAAAAAGGTGAATGAAAATCAGGAAGAAGGGTTAAGTGGATTGAAGATTAAATTAAAGTGCATTGAAATTTTAATAGGATATTATAATTTATTATCTCTAATATCCTATAATTATAACCCATAGTTTATTAAAATAGATCTTCCATTCCTTTTAAAAATCAAAAAAATTTAAAAATATGGCAAATATTTTACAACACTGATTAATTCACATTTAAATTCTAAATCCTTTATGTACTTTAAAATTTCGTCTCGTAAATTTAAGATTCAGACTTTACTCAAAAAAACATTTATAAATTTATACTAAATTACTTGTGCTTTATTGGAGGCTGTCCTAATAATTTCTGACAAAAAATAGATAAGAAATTAGATATAAAAAATGCATTTAGGTATTATTCCTCAAATTAAATTAAATCCTTAAATTTCTTTGGAGAAAAAAATTATCACTCTTTTTTGAGATCAATTTTGTTTGTTTTCAGTAAATTTCTTTGTTGATTATAAAATATGGGATCATGCGTGACGAAAAACAAGTCTAATCATCAAAAATCCTTACAGCTTCCTCCAATTCCATTTTCTGATTTTTCTTATCTCAGGAGATTCAAGAGATGTATGCTTACAATCAAGAAGAAAATCGTGTATAAGGAGTATTTGGGAAACCATATCGAAATACGAAATGATGCTGGGATTGGGCTAACTTCTGCTCAACAAATAATTTTGGCAGGAGGGTCTGAAGAATCAGGCTCATTGACTAGCCAAGTTGTACTATTAGACCCTAAAAGCACTAAATATGACCATTAGCATTAGCATTAATTTAGATATAGAAAAGTTCCCTGTCAGGTCTGAAGATCCTTATTCCCTTCCATAACGCTCCACTCGCCTGCTTCGCCGACAGCCATATCACGACCCTCTAAGTCTTATTAGTACCTGCACATATCCCTGAAGTTAGAAAGTTGGATTATGATAGCGTAGACCAACGGGGTTTGGCTTCGAAAAGCGAATTTTTCTGGTCACCAGTAAGCCAAGATGAAAATTCGTAGCCCATGACGCAACGCTGGCATCGCACTGGAAAACATTCCCTATTCACCAGGAGGAACCTCTCTCTTGCTGCTGGCTAATCCCTTTCCAATCAACTTTATCTTCCCCTGAGGTAAAATTCTGACCTAGAATATGCTGCGATCTGCCTAATCTGATGTTGCGCTCTATCAAGCTAAGTAAAATTAGGCCGGATACACATTTCCTAACGCCATTCTCACTTTCAATGTGTCCCTGAACTTACCCAGCTACAGGTGTTAAGAGGGTGAGCTGGTTCACCATACCATTTTAATGTATATGCATAAATTATGACCATATACAAGATCTACCTGTCCCAACAAAGAAAGGGTTCATCCAAGAATTTGAAGGCTGTCTTTACTATATTGGAGGATTAATAAAAAATCCTAACGAAGAATCATCTCAGAGCTTTGTTCCAAGCCCTTTGATGAGATATCATTTCAATTCTTCGCAATGGGAAATATTAGAAACAACCCAAGAAACGAATCCCAAAGGAGAAGGGCCAGTTAGCTACAAAGATTTATATCAGCCTGGAAATTTCATTTTCAACAGAAAGATCTATTTAGTTGGTGGGCAAAGAATAGACAATGAAACTGGCAATTTTTCTCCTAACAGAAAAATCTATTCGATCGATCTGAATTTCCAGCCCTATACCTTGCATGATGAAGAGATCGAGCTAAAAATGTGTTCGAACCATCCAATTTGCGTTCTGAATGAATATGAAAATTCTGTTCAAGTCTTTGGAGGCAAAACTCAAGATATGAAATTATTCAGGAATAATTTTGAAATCAACCTTTCAACAAAATCTACCAACGAAATGAAGCCATTTCCATTCTTTGTTAAAGAGCATTACCCTCCAATCTACCAAAAGGAGTACATCATTATCATTTCATTCCCAAAAATTGCTGTTCAAAGATATGGAGACCATGACTGGAAAGTGTTTGATTTCAAAAGGGAAGAAAGCTCAGAGAACCACAGAAGCACACAAGTGGTTCCTAATGGAGAAGAAAGCAATTCCAATCCTGCTGATAGAAATGTTGGCCCAAATTTAGATTTGGATGAAGAAAGAAGATCAGAAAAAGAAAGCTTGGAATCAAGAAAGGATGAAAAGATTTCTGAAACTGCGGAAAAACAAACCATTGATACACAGAATAAAAGCCTAGTTTCTTAAGTCATGTTTAAGCAGGAATAAATAGTTACGAATTGTAATCCTTGCTGTCTTTTCATGTGCGGTGGTCCTGACATGTAAGCTTTAATGTCTTTTAAGATTGTGAGTAGGCTAAGAGATCACTGAGTAAGCCTAGGTGACCACGGAGACATGCTTTGTTGTTGATAAACAAGGCTTTTAATTTTCTTGAAGAAAGTAAGGGTGTCCTTTTTAATGCAACATTTATGCTCTGTTATTTTCTTTATCTGTCTTTTCTTTCAGAAATAGAGTTATTCGAAATTGTGACTTTTCTAAGATTGCTTAGTAAGAGAAGAGATGAAAAACTTAATAAATTAATGTTTTAAAATATGCTAAGATAATACTTCTTTAAAATAAGGAATTTGTTTTAGCGTAGTTTAGGATTTTATATTCTCATAAAAAAAGCAGCGAATTCTTCCAAACGATTTCAAAAATTATGAATGAATTTGACCTCTATATCATATAAATGGCAAAAAAGACTGCTTTCTATATCACCATATTTCTTTCATTTTTATCATAATTTTGATTAGGTCTTGTCCTTTCAGATATAAAAATAACTTATTTTTATAATATTCATACCTTGACTCGAATTCTTCTATTGCATCATCCTTATATTTTTAAGAACACAATTATAATTAAAATAAATTCTAAACAGAAATTATTGTTTCAGCCTCCCTTTAAATCGAAAAAGATCCTAGGATTTAATAGGAAGCCTATTTAAACTTATTTAATAATAAAAAGATAATTTAAGATATGTATGAAACAGACATAAATTTTCACTCAAGAAGCCTTCCTAAAATAAAAACCTCACGAAGGATCCTGATAGGTCCAGATACTGCTATTGGAATCCCAAAAAGTCTTGTAAACTCTCATATTTCAATTCCAGAAATTCCTATAACTCGAAACATCCAGACTTTAAAATCTTTCCATCATCCATCAGAAAGCTTTGGGGAAAACAAAAAAACTTTTGTAGATGAGCTCATTCAGCGATTTTCCGCAGGTGAAAATGCTGAATTTATTGATATTGCTACCAAAGTCCAAAGAATAAAGCCTCTTATTTTATTTTGGGAAATTAAAAGGACCGAAGGTTTCATCCCAGAAGCCAGGGTTGGAGCTACTATGGTGGTTGTAAATGGAAATATATATCTCTTTGGTGGCCAAGCTGGAGATAGACTTAATGATATAAAAATGCTTGATTATAAAACCTATCATTGAGAAAGTGTAAACCCTTCAACCATTTCTAATAAAATCCAAGAATTTCCTGAGCCAAGAGTAGGCCATACAGCAGTTTCTTATAAAAATTCATTTATTGTATATGGAGGTGGAGGGGCTTTTAACCAAACTTTGCATTTAAGAGGATGCTTTCCTTTGGTCCATGTATTTGATACAATAAACTTGCAATGACAAACTTTTAAACCTCTTGGAAGACCTCCAGATGCTAGGAGAAACCATGGAGCAGTTATAATTGGCAATACAATGATAATATATGGAGGGATTGATAGTAACAGTAGAGTTCTTTCAGACCTATGTGGGCTTAACCTTGAAGCCATGCAATGATTTGTAACCAAAATTGATAAAGGGTCTGTAAAGCCAGGACCAAGGCATTCGTTTTCATTTACATCTGCATACCATCCAGGGGTTTTTAGACAGTCAAGTAATGATATTTTTTCTTTACCAAATGTCTATGATGATATTTTTACAAGAAAAACATCAGGAATTTATCTATTTGGAGGAATGAATCACCACGGTGTAATATTCAATGATTTATATATGCTACAGCCAAAACGAAAAAGCATTAGAGACGATGAGAGCATTTTAAAATGGGTAAAACTGGAGCCTTCTGGTAAAGCTCCGCTACCGAGGTATAATCATTCATCTGCTCTTTGTGGAGGATGACTGTATACTATACTAGACTGCCCTACAATAATAGATTAAAGTTATACCTTATTTTATATTTCAATAAGGTTAGAATGTATTGTATTTTTGTGCATAAGGGATATGCAGGGCATATATCATTGGTGGGAGAAATGATACTGCTTCTTTTGAAACCATAGGGAATGAAGTCAGTGATATTGCTGCTTATAATATTGCTAGTTGCCGATGGGAGACCTTGCTAGTTAAAGGATTAAAACCTGGACCAAGATGGGGAGCTTCAGCTGTATCAATGGGAGCCAAAATTCTTTGCTTTGGAGGTATGAGTTTGGGAGGATTTTGCCAAACTTCTTTATTTTCATTAGAAACGGACCAAAGTAATGCACAAGAATTAGTTAAGTTGTGGGAAGAAGAAGAAAATCATAGAAAAGCAAAAGAAGAAATTACATTGAAGTTGATACAAAAAGGAAAATTACAATATGCAGCTAAAGCTATGCTAACCAAAATTGGACTAAAAGCTTTAAATGAGATATAAATATTTCAATAAATAAAGTTAATGTATAAGCCGAAACTTCTCACAATGTTTTCCATGTGCTAAATCTACTCTTTTTTAACAATTTCATCAATTAGACTTAAAACTAGCTTTGATTTATCGTATTTTCTAATTGACTCCATTGGGTAGATAATTTAAGTGCAAAAAATTTACAAAAATATTGTTTGTTCTTGTCATTAAAAAATAATTATTCTTCTTTAAACTGTCTTTAAGAAATTTCTTTTAATTTATTAATTAATATATTAAGTTTTGAAATTAACTATCCAAAATTTATATCCAATTTAATCATCTGATGAGTTTTTGCAACCATTTTTGTGCAATATATAAATATTAGCTAGTTATGAAGCAGAATTATTTCTCTCCTGCAAATCTTATTGTTTATATTGCCTATTGCAAAGCTTTATTGAAATTATAAATATAGATTTAAATCTATTATATAATAATCCCCTCCTAAGCGGGCAAAAACTTTATAGTAAATTATTTTTTCGAAATTTCGAAAAAATTGAAAAGTAAAAATTAATTTGTGAAATCTATATTTTAGAATGCAAGCCATTTAAAATTCAGCATGAAGACTTAAATAATTCATTATTAAATAAATTATCATTTATTTATTAAAATTTTTAAATTAAAACGATTTTTTGCTTGCTCATAGAGCAGGGCGGAATAAAGCTTTTTTTATTCAAAAAATCTATGCTATCTATTACATTGCAGTTCCCTTACACAAACATTATTTATTTATTCAACATTTTTCAATTAAATTTCATAAGCATCATAGGCGAAATCAGATTTCTGTAGGTGAATAATAAAATTATGTCATCAACTAAATGGCCTCGTCTGTTCGCACTGTTACTGTTTATTATTGGAATAGGCATATTAGTAATAGGAGTAGCAATTCCAATCCTTGTAGACAATATGATTGATAAAGGTTTAGATTCTCTTTGAATATCCCCAGGCCATCATAATACTTGAGGAGAAACACCAGGCAAAATTGGAGCCAAAGTAGTCAGAGGGTTCAAGGTTTTCAATATAACAAATTCTGATGAAATATTTCAAGGAGCAAAGCCAATGATAGTCGAGTCTCCGATAGAAACTTTTCAAGAGTATTCCAATTTTATAAACTGGGACTTTCTTAACCAAAATGAAGAGCAAGTTGGGCAAAAAAAGTCAGGAACTTATATTGTTTATTAGCAAGAGGGGTAAAAAGATCAGCTTAGCAAGGATCTTTTTTTTTTAGAAAATTAGCAGTGGGCTAGTTTATTTTTAAATAATTTTCATTATAGGTAATATAGAATATGGAAATCAGCTTAATCTGATACCAATTCCATCTAATGGAACACATATAGACTCCAATACAACTTTGGTTGGGGTAAACCTCCCTTTATACGCTTCTTTTTATGCACTTACACACGAGCCATTTCCATTTTATACGCAGCCTATTTTATATGATGTCGTGATAGCATTCCAAAATGACTTATATGACATGATTTTGGGGTATTCCATGTGGTATAGATATTTTAATGATACAAAGAGTGTTGAATATTATATGCTGAATACTGGATTTACACCTAGCAATGTAGATGTACTGCTAACAGATCCGAATTATGGATGAACTGGATGAAAACAGATGAAGACATGAATTAGGGCTGCATTTGAGTATAATTCGACGCAGAAATTTACTGATGGAGCTTTTGAAATTTTAGATAATTATTTCCAAATAGATAATTTGGAATTATTAATTATAGAAAATTCACTGCTTTGGGGTACAATTGAAGAAATTCTTGATGATATGAAAGCGAGGTATGGAACTAATCAAAGACAAGAATTAGCTAGTTTGCAGTGGGGGTCAGGAATGGTCACTAAGGACTTGCCTTTAGGTTTAGGCTCAGTTCCTTTAGATGACGGAGTCCCATGTCCATCGTTTTTGTCATTGAATAAGACTTTCAGTTTTATCCCAGAAATTGGATTTCTAAATACAAATATAAGCTTTAATTCTGTTGCAGATAAATTATTGCAGGTTTCTTATACTTACCCAATGAAAAATTACTATTCCATGCTAAATCTAAACAACGTTGGATACTTTTTTGCAGCCATTGCAGCTGGAAATTATTCTCAAGTTGCCAGCAGCTTTGGGATTTCTTCCCAGCAAGTCGGAATTCTTGCAAAATATCTAGAATATATAACAAGTCTTCCAATACAATATAAAAATCAGCTTATCAAAACTGATGGTTATTCAATGGAACTCTCCCGATGATCTAATAATATTCTAATAGAAAAAACAGTCTCTCTTCGAAATGATGCATTTTGGGCACCACCTGCTAGGTCTCTTTATTGCGAATATTTCCGACTTAATGTGTCTTGCTACACAATAATGAGAACAGGCGCAAATTCTACAACAGCATCAATTATTTGTGGGGATTCCACAGTAGGCTGAAACTATATCCTCACACAGACGTGGAAAAACTTAATGATATGAATAAAAGCAGCAGTAAAGCCTGTAGGCTCTGATGATTATGATCTTTTGCTGGCCAAAACTCAGCTTTCTTCTGCTGCTCTGAACAGGATTTTATTAGCTTGGTTTTCTGAGCAATCTCAAATTATTTTTAATAAAATTTCTAAAAACTATCAATGTTCGACTAGCGTGTGTAGGTTTGATGACATGTTTTATTTGCAGTTTGGGAGCTCTGGGATAACGAATAACCCGACACCAGATTTGTTGAAGTGTGGGATTAAGCCAGCATTATCAATGAAGGATTGGCTACCTGAGAGATATTCAGTTCCTATAGAGTGGACTTATTATTCTGACATTGAGCTGCCAGTTCCAATTGCTAAAGGAATATTTATTATTGCCTGGATATCTCTTTTATCATTTTTATTACAATAAATAAGACCATTTAGCTAATTAAGCATATTTAATTATGAAACTTTTCTAAACCCTTCAACTATCAAACTTTTTTATAACTCCTATTTCAAAGGAAACATCACTGCCACAGCTATAGAATTTGATTTTCCTACCATAGAACTTGCTGATGAGATGTACAATTATTTGATCAAAATTATCCCAGGATTTTCATTTTTTACCCCAAGACAGTTTAATGACTGAATTTACGGGACTTTAGACCCATTTCTTACTTATGTCCAGCAGACCGATATTTACCATGGAGGATATCCACTAGTTCTTCCTTATTATTCTTTATGCGCTAATACCACAGATTTACCATCTTTTCCTAAGCATGAAATGCTGACTGGCAAAGGGGACACTTCAAATACTCGTACATATACTAAATATTATGGTAGCAGTATCATGAACCAGTTTGGAAGGAAATATGACGCAAATTCGTCAAGTAGCTATAGCTTTGGGTATACTGATATATGAAATGCAGATATGCAAATTCGAGGTACAGACGGAGGCCAGTTTGGGACAAGAATAAGCAAAAATGATGAACTAGTGGCGTTTATTTCTCCGATTTTGAGAGATATTTCATTAATATACAGGTGGAAAGAAAAATATAACGGCCTAGACGTCTATTTATTTACACTAAACCAAAGCTTGGTCCAAACCTCTGCCATAGTTCCAGAAAATGCTAATTACAACCAATTCGAAAATGGTTATAACGGCTTCTTCAATATTTCCAGCCAATTTGCGGCTCCAGTGTTTGTCACATTTCCCCACTGTTTTGGGTGTGAGCCTGATGCCCAAAATATGATAGAATATTATTCCTTTACTTCAAATTCTTCATTAGGATCAAAATTACGCCTTCCATGATGGCGAAGGCCGCAGTCCGACAGAAAAACAGGAGTTCCGAAATTCGGGGTCACTTAACAAAATGGCGGCCCGAAGGGCCACGGGGTCGGATGGACGTGTGGTTTCCGGGGTGGAGCAGTTTTTGGGCTAACTGGACCTCTCCTCGACCCACAGACGAAAGACCGACGGCGCAATACCAAGCAGGTACTTCTGGAGGAGCATTATGTTGCCTGTAAAATGGCAGAGGTAGTTCCAGAAGGAGGCAACGGACGGCTCCCTCATACCCTGAGCACTACCAGGGGTTAAGAGAGTCCTTTGCTGAAGTTTTTTGGTCCAAGCAGGTTCGGGTGAGTCTCCCCGAAAGATGTCGACGTCACCATTTTTGATGACGTCATCAGAAAAGGGCGTTAGCTGGGATTAGTGCTTAACACCACTGAAGCGCGAAGCTAATCCGTGTAAGGATAGGGGCTGGAATAATCCCCTGGGACCCCCTATAATTTATCTCTCTCTAATTTATCTCTCTCATTAGGATCAAGGATTTATCCCTATGCAACCCATGATGCTCCTTTTGTGAAAGTCGAGCCATCCACTGGGGCTGCGGTCTCAGTTGTCTTGAACTTTGAAATACAAGTTGCTTTCTACAAAGACTATTTCTTTAAAAATATTCATGAATCAGTCCCTGGGAAAGGCTTGTATATTCCTGCTTATCAACTGATAAGAAGCTCAAATTTAAGCGACAGCCAGGTCGATAAATTATTTGGGACTCTGCTTATGGCAAGGTACCTTAGACAGTTGATATTTTACGTTGGGGTCACTGTTGGAGCATGCTTTGTAATAATATCAATGTTTTTGGCTGCTTATTTGTACAGGAAGAAAAAGTTCGGAGGATGGAGGTCTCCAAGAGAGACTATGCTTGCACTGTCTCCAAGGGCGACTCAGCAGGCGAAAGAAGTTAACGAAGACTAATTTAAGCTTTTATAATTGTTGATAAAAAGTTAAAATAATTATTTCACTAGTTCTTGGCGAATAATTTTAAATATGCTGAAGGATATTTGATACAAGTTTCTTATCGCTAACTTGTTTATTGTCGGCGTATTAATTTTGGTCGGTGGTATTGTTATCCCTGTAATGCTCCAAAAACTGATAGACGATGGCCTTGACAGTTTATGATGTAAGCCCAGTACCCACAAATCCTGGGACGCCACGCCAGGGAAGCAAGATTTTAAAATCGTTAGAAGCTTTAAAATGTTCAATATCACTAACCCAGATGAAATATTGCAAGGGGCAAAGTCTTGGCCTTAAACTTAATTAAGATTATGAGAGAAGCTCCCTGCATGCGATAAGTGGGTCATATAGCCTCCCATCGCTCCACTGCTTGCTAGTCCAAGAACGACCTCTCATTGCATTTCTACTCACAGACGAGATCTTGCACTCGTTACCCGCGAGTCAGAGGCACAGAGTGACCATATTGTAGGTCGACAATGCTTGGCTTCCAGAAAAATTCGAACAGTAAACTTTCTGGAACCTGCCGGCCAAGATGAAACTTTTAGCCAAATGCAACGCCTGATACGAACTGGGAAGCGTTTCCGATTGGCCTGGAGTTGCCCCACTGACACTGCTGGGAGATCCATTTCCAAATCCGAGTCCTATCTTCCTCCGTGGTAAATTTTTGAACTGAGATCAGCCTAGTCCAACGTTACTCTCCACCAAACCAACTAAACCTGGCCGGATGCACATTACCGAACACCATCCTCCCTTCCAAAGTTCCTGAATTGCCCAGCTAGAGTGTTAGAGGGTAGATTGGTTCGCCTCACCATTTAAATCTATATGCAAGGGGCAAAACCAAAACTTGTTGAGACTCCTGAATTCAGATTCCAAGAATATTCAAAGCTCAATTACTGGGAATACCTTGACGAGAACGAAACATCTCTCGGCACCGAAACCTCAGGTCCCTATATAGCTTACAATTATCAGCTGATTTTAAAAGAAATTGAAAATAAAGGAACTGTGATGCCTCTTGACACTCCTATCACAAGCCTTAATATAGCGCAATATTTCACCTTTTATTCGATGACTCATCAATCATTTCCGTTCTATTCTCTCCATTCCCTTTATGATGTAGTCATTGCTATGCAAAATGACTTATATGATATTATCATTGCATACTCCCTATATGAAAAATACTACAGCAGTGCAGCTTTGGTTGAAGACTACTTGGTAAATGTGGCTGGATTTAGTCAAGCAGATGCAAATACAATTATGACTGATACTAAATATGGGTGGAGTGGCTATAACCAAATGAAAATGTGGATACAAGCTGCCTTTGATTATAACTCAACAAAGTCGCTTAGTGATGGAGCTTTTGAAACTCTTGATAATTATTTCCAAATTGAAAATCTAACTCCCCCCCTCTGTGAGCGAACGATAATTTTGTTTGTTCGCGAAGGGGATTAATTTTAATTTTCAAAAATTTACAATTCTCAAAATTTGGAAAGCAAATATTAATTTAATTTGTAAAATTTATATTTTAAAATGAAGTTGTTTAAATTGAACAGAATTAGCTAGAGATTTCATTATAGTAATTATCGCTTATATCGAAGTATTTTTTCATAAAAATTTTTATATTAAAAAAATTTTTGTTGGCTCACGGAGGTGGGTTTATCCTTTCCAATGCACGAGGGGGGGCAAGTGATTTGATTGTCACTGAAGGAATTCTTTGGCAAAATATTACTGCGGTTTTAGAAGACATGGAAAAAAATTATGGTACAAGTAATCGAGTTGCTGTAGGAAACTTCCAATGGGCAACTGCTGAAGTCACAGTGAGCCCACCTTTAGGAGCTAAAGCCATAGCTTCTTTTCTTAGTATTAATCAAACCTTTACTTTTCCTCCTGAAATGCCTAATTTTATAGCTGCGGCTAAATTGGAAAAAGCTGATTATTCTGAGATTGCAAACACATTGCTGGAGGTTAGCCATTCAGTTCCTAAGACTAATTATATGTCTCTGGTAAGTTTAAGCAATTTGATCACATTTTTTACTGATCTTGGGACTTCTAACTTGCAAGATCTTAAAGACAGATTCAACTTACTCCCCCTTCTGTGAGCTAACAAAAAAAAATTCGTTCGCTCACTGTGAGGATGAGAAATTTTTACAGTAAAATTTTTTTTCAAAATTTAAAAAATTCCAATTCGTAATAATTGAGAAGTAAAATTAATTTAATTTTAAAGCTTATGTTTAAAAATGCAATTTGTTTAATTAGCTAAAAATTTCATTATAGTAATAACCACTTATATATCCCATAAAAAAATTAAATCAAAATACTGTTTTGTAGTGGATTTTTTCAAAATTTTTTTTTCGCTCACAGAGGTGGGAAGTTAACAACTTATAGCCAGGGCTACAACTTAGCAGCCTACTTAAAATATATTGCAACATTAAAAATAGCCTATGAAGGAACTCAAACAGATTTTGATGGCTATTCTTTATGGATTTCTCGATTAGTAACCAAAGCGATACAGACTGGCATAAATAACCTGAAAAATGACGTATATTGGGCACTCCCATCAAAGCTACTTTTTTGTAAGTATAAAGAATTTTCTACGAGCTGTCAATCAGTTATAGGAACAGGTCTAGGCACGCAATATGCAGCTCAGATCACTGCCATTTGTGCTGACCCAGATATTGGGTGGGATATAAACACTCCTACAAGCTGGGTAAATTTAGAAATCTGGGCCAAAGCAGCTATGAAACATAAGCCTTCCTATGATTACAACCTAATTTTGAATAAAAACATCGTAAATGCTGCAACACTAGACACGATTCTTACAAATAACTTTGAAGGCCCCATCAATACCTATTTACAAAATATTTCCAAAAAATACGGCTGCTCCAAAGCAATTTGTACGTTTGATGAGCTTTTATATAAGCAATGGGGAAGTTCAGAGCTAACCAATAATTTGATGGAAGATTTGACTACGTGTGGGGTTTCAGCATCAATGACTTTCCAGAGCTGGCTTCCTTCTCGCTATGCAACACCAATTGAATGGACTTATTTCTCAGAAAATTCTATCCCAGCGGCCATGGTCGGGAGTTTCCTCAACTACAATGCATTTTTAAATCCAACTCCAATAAAACTTTTCTTAAATTATTATTTTCAAGGGAATGCTGCTACAATCACAAGCAAGCTCGGAGTTCCTACAAACCTCATAGATCCGATGTACAACTACTTGTTGAAGCTCCTCCCTGGATACGGGCTTTTTGCAACAAGAACTTATAAAGAATGGATTTATGGCGTGTCAGATACCTTTTTAGCCTGGGTGAAATCTATAGACGTATATAATGGAGGGTATCCCTTAGTACCAGTTGTTTATCCTCTAAAGTCTTTCTCAAATGAAACCCAGTCGACGCCAAAGCATGTAGTTATGTCAGGAAAATCAAGCACTAGCTCCCCTCTTATGAGCGAATAAAACCATTAGAAAAATCTCTTTTTTTTCCCAACCAATCAAAAAATTTTTAATATATAATCTATGTATGCACTTGCATAGATTTCTCTTTACTCCCCCCCCCCCCTCCGTGAGCGAACAAAAAAATTTTGTTCACTCACGGAGGGGGGTTAATTTGTTTTTTTAAAAAAAATTTATATATAAATTTTATAAAAAATATTTTTTTCGAAATTTAAAAAAATCCTAATTTGCAAAAATTGGGAAGCAAATATTAATTTAATTTGCAAAATTTATGTGTTTTAAAAACGCAATTTGTTTAAAATTAAACAGAATTAGCTCTAGATTTCATTATACTAATTATCACTTATATATCAAAATTTTTTTCCATTAAAATTTTTTCTATTAAAAAAAATTTTTGTTCGCTCACGGAGGGTGGGTTTTTTGGTCAAAAAATGGCGATTTTTCTAATGGTTTTGTTCGCTCACGGAGGGGGGGGGGGAGTTAGGACTTTTACAATGGACGTTTGAAGTGCTGGAATATTCAATACCAGGGAAATGGGCTCGATAACAATATATAATAGTTATTAGTATAGGATGATATATAAGTAATAATTGTTTCTAGTCAAAAAGAAAGATATTTGTTTACGAAACAAGTTGAATTCGGGACCTTATCGGAAGAGTTTGGGTTGCTATGTAAGCGGACACTAAAAATGGAACTGGGCAAAGAGTGATCTCAAGGAGAAAGTAGCCGATATGTGAAAGAAGTGTATAAAGACAGCCTTTATTGTGGTTCCCAGCAGCTTGGGACAGTGTAATCTGAACTAATCCTTGTTCCTGAGTCGCGCGGGATTTTGTTATGTTCGATCCATTTTTATTGTAGACTTTGACAAGGCAATGTAACTTGGCGAGCCTAATTATAAATGAAAATGGAAATAACCAACGCTACAATACACACACAAAATATAATAGTGTGCACCAGACAATAGACCTTGAAATTTAATAGTCAAGCAGCAATGCTTTTAATGATACAAAACAAAATGAAAATATCAACTTATATAGGCATCTTTCAATAAACATTGTTTTTAATTCACCCATACACCTCAATTTGCATTTGCCGAAAGAGTTATAGAGATGATAAAAATAAGAAAAACAGAGTTGAAGGAAATGAGATCCTTAAAAAGTTAAATATGTGCGAGAGTTAGAAATGCAAGTTTAAATTATTTTAGACAGGATTTTTGATTATAATACACATATAAGCTCCTCTTAGTGCGTTATTTTTGCTGCCAAATCCGCTCGAATCTGCTTGAATCCACTTCAAGTAATAGCTGTTAGATGTTGACGGCAATAAATATCGCCCTTTACATATACCAGAATTGAACATGTAGATTAAAACATTTTTATACAAGATTTTCAACGATAATGCACGCATAAGCTTTATTCAATAATTACCTTTTGCTGCCTAATCCGCTTGAATCCGCTTGCAGTAATAGCTGCTACATGCTACCGGCAATATATCACCCTTTGCATATACAAGATTAAAATGTAAATTTGAAGTATTTTGTACAGGATTTCTAATTATAATGCACGCTTAAGCTTCTCTTAGTGAGTACTTTTTGCAGCCTAAATCGCACAAATCCGCTTCAAGTAATATCTGTCAAACACTAACGGCAATAAGTATCACCCTTTACATATCCGTTTGCATATACTAGATTAAAGTGTAAATTTGAAAGTATTTTGTACAAGATGTTTAATTATAATATATCTATAAGCTTCTCTTAGTGAGTACTTTTTGCTTCCTAATCCGCTCGAATCCGCATCAAGTAATATCTGTTAAACGTTAACGGCAATAAGTATCACCCCTTTACATATACCAGAATTGAACATGTAGATTAAAATATTTTATACAAGATGTTCAACGATAATCAAAAATCTTGTATAAAATATTGTAGCGTTGGTTATTTCCATTTTCATTTATAATTAGGCTCGCCAAGTTACCTTGGCTTGCCAAAGTCGGCAATAAAAATGGATCGAACATAACAAAATCCCGCGACTCAGGAACAAGGATTAGTTCAGATTACACTGTCCCAAGCTGCTGGGAACCACAATAAAGGCTGTCTTTATACACTTCTTTCACATATCGGCTACTTTCTCCTTGAGATCACTCTTTGTCAGTTCCATTTTTAGTGTCCGCTTACATAGCAACCCAAACTCTTCCGATAAGGTCCCGAATTCAACTTGTTTCGTAAAAAAATATCTTTCTTTTTGACTAGAAACAATTATTACTTATATATCATCCTATACTAATAACTATTATAAAATGTTATCGAGCCCATTTCCCTGGTATTGAATATTCCAGCACTTCAGCCGTCCATTGTAAAGGTCCTAACTCCCCCCCCCCTCCGTGAGCGAACAAAACCATTAGAAAAATCGCCATTTTTTGACCAAAAACCCACCCTCCGTGAGTGAACAAAAATTTTTTTAATAGAAAAAATTTTAATGGAAAAAAATTTTGATATATAAGTGATAATTAGTATAATGAAATCTAGAGCTAATTCTGTTTAATTTTAAACAAATTGCGTTTTAAAAACATAAATTTTGCAAATTAAATTAATATTTGCTTCCCAATTTTTGCAAATTAGGATTTTTTTAAATTTCGAAAAAAATATTTTTTATAAAATTTATATATAAATTTTTTTTAAAAAAAAAAATTAACCCCCCTCCGTGAGCGAACAAAATTTTTTTTGTTCGCTCACGGAGGGGGGGGGGGGAGTAAAGAGAAGTCTATAGAGTGCATGGATTATAAAAATTTTAAGAAAAATAATTTTGATATGCAAGTTAATTTTGATAAAATTGTATTTCAAAGCATAAATTAAATAAATATTTAGTTTCCAATTTTTGCGAATCAAGATTTTTTAAATACCGAAAGCAATAATTTATATAAAAATTATATATAAATGAAAGAAAATTGACCCCCTCTGTGAGCGAACAAAATTTTTTTGTTCGCTTCACAGAGAGGGGGACTAAGCATACAAAAGCTTACTATAAGTACTTTGGACATCGCACTATGGACATGTACTCAGCCAAATATAGCGATTGGTCTCCTTATCAAGCTGTGTATGCATATAGTCAAGTATGGGGAGAAGAAATAGAAATACAAGGCGGAGATGGAGGGAACTATGGGACGCATGTCCATAAAGATGACAGAGTACCTGTATTTATTAGCTCAATTCTCAGGTATGGGATTCTAACATACAAATTTTCTGACACTTATAATGGCTTAGATGTGTACTTTTTCCAAGTGGACCCTGACGAATTAAAAACATCAGCTACAGTCCCCGCCAACGCTAACTCTCCCCGCCTCCGTGAGTGAACAAAAAAATTTTGTTCACTCACGGAGAGGGGTTAATTTTTTGTTTTAAAAAAAATTTATATATAAAAATTTTATAAAAAAAATTTTTTTTTTTCGAAATTTAAAAAAAACCTAAATCGCAAAAATTTGGAAAGCAAATATTGATTTAATTTATAAAATTTATGTTTTAAAAGGAATTCGTTTAAAATTAAACAGAATTAGCTCTAGATTTCATTATACTAATTATCATTTATATATCAAAATTTTTTTTCCATAAAAAATTTTTCTATTAAAAAAAAATTTTTGTTCACTCACGGAGGGTGGGTTTTTGGGCAAAAAATAGCGATTTTTCTAATGGTTTTGCTCACTCACGGAGGGGGGGAGTAAGTATTTTCAGCTTCCTAATGGATTTGATGGCTTTTTCAATATTACTGCTCAATCAGGGGCACCTTGTTTTGTATCATTCCCTCACTGTCTCTACTGTGAGCCAGATGCCCAAAACATGGTTGAATATTATGAGTGGACTCCAGAAGCTCCTTTATCAAAGCGAATTTATCCATATGAGACACATGATATGCCGTGGGCAAAAATAGAGCCATATACAGGTACTGGTGTAAGTGTAGTATTGAATTTCGAAATCAGTGGCGGCATATATAGAGACTATTTCTATAGAAATCTTCATGAGCCAGTTCCTGGGAAAGGACTTTATTTTCCCTACTATCAACTTTTACGTTCCTCTAACCTCACAGATAGTCAAGTTGATGATCTATTTGGGTCGTTCATTTTGGCTCAGCAGATGAAGAGTTTGATGTTTTATGTAGGCATCACATTGGGGGCATGCATGATTCTAATTTCTATGTTCAATTTCGCTTATGTGTATAGAAAGCAGAGATTTGGAGGATGGAAGTCTCCTTTGCACAGTGCATCACCTCCAGGGTCGCCTAAAGCAACAGATTAATATAATTACTTTACCTGAAAATAATAATTCATAGGTGTAGGCTTTTTAAAAGATGATATATAATCCTATGCAATCTAAAAAGGGAAAATTGAGATCTGTAACTTTAAGCAAGAAGATGATGAAGCAATTAAAGTAAGAAATATAATTTGGCCAACAATGATAAGGATAAATAAAATTCTACAAGAGAGTAGCAATATTCATAAATACCAAAAACATTGCGTAATTAAGATTAAAAGGATGAAAAATTAGAGCTGATTTAAAATTATTAAATAAATTCACAGCAAAACATGCAAAAACTAAATTAAAAAGTCAGAATAGTTTACGATAATTAAAGATTTAAAAATAAAGCCTTGGAAGCAGTTTAAATATAAAAGACTAGAGTCTTAATTCTCATATAAACCTTAAATAAATAAAAAGTGAAAAAAATATATACATGAATTATTTTTTGTACTCTCCAAATACTCATGCAGCTTTATACAAAGCGATTAATTAGTCAAATATGCAAGTATCTTACTTACTTAATTAGCCATAACTTTTAACGTCTCCCACGGGGTAGGCATTCCGGGGCCACCACCACCACCTCTCGGCACGTAGGGACAATGCACAGCCTCCCGGTACGACCGCACCGTACACCAAGCTCCTTCAGATGATGTCACCGACTTCGACGGCTCATGAATGAGCGACTTCCTTGCTCGACGTGAGTTGCCTGCTGAGAAAATCCAAAAAATTGTTTTTCTAGCCGACTCTCGGCAAAAAGGAAAAGTTCGAAGCCTGGGACGTAACGCCCAGTTTCACGCTAGGGAGTTGCCCGAATGGTCCTAACGGACTTTGCTGAGCTCCCCTTTCCAACCTCTCCCTTTCCCTTCCCCACGAGGTAAAATCTACGCCGGTAGCTGGACATGGATCAGGCTCTGCCCTGCAGAATTGCTTACCTGATGCTGTTTCCCATTTCCAGGGTAGCAGAACCTTGCCGGATATAATTAAAAATGAGTCAAGGCTGCATGGCGGGAGGCCATGCCCAGGCGAAGACGCCATTTTTAATTATAAATATGCAAGTATTAAATATGCTGCAGAATTATCATAAATTCTCCTAGGACTTTTACAGCATTTTATTCACAATTTCTTTATCTAATCTCAAGTCCTTTTAAATAATAATAAAGCACATTATCTAGTAAAATAAAAACTTATTTAGGAGTCTCCTTAGAATTAGCGAACTCATTATAAGCTTTATCGAATCCAGCAGAACGAGTTAAAACAATGACTACTTTGTTCCTGCGTCTGTCAATATTTTTGCGGTCTGGCTCGGTGACTGAAAGTGTCTCGAATTTTTCTAAGTCAGCATAACCAAGTGAACAAAGCATTTCTGCAGCCCTCACTGTATTAGCGCTGGCATCGCCAAGGCCTTGAAGCTCTACATGACCATGTTCTTTGAGAATTTCTTTTGCATGAGCAACAAAAGCTGGATAAGCTCTGCGAAGGCTGACTTTAATGACAGTGCTGTTTTCCATACCAGAGAAGATCGAAATTATACCATGACATTTTTTTGGGAAGTCCGAGATTTTACTATTAAATCACTGTTCGATTAATTTGCACCCAGTTAAGCACAAGTATTCCTAATAACGCAGTTCTAAGGCTAGGGCTCATATATAAGCCGCGTAATTTTTTTCATCTAAATTTATTAATAAGTATACATAAAACGAATTGCAAATTGACCATTTAAGTTATTAAGAATCTAAAATACTTTGTAACTTTTCTGATACTTCTTGGTCAGTTGTATTGATTGACGAAATGTAAATGATTTTCCATTCTGTTTTAGCTTGGAAAGAAATACTAAGATCATTGTATCGCTTCAGGAATTTTGCAGGAAATGTGTAATCATGGACTTGATTAATTTTTATTAATTTCTTTGTTTGAGGTATTGCAAAATCAAAATAAAAATAATGAAAATAGTTTTTTTGAAAATCTATGTTTTTTGATAGCAAATAATTGTTTACTATATCATGAGTATGAGTTCAATTGGTAAATGATTTTCCGTTTTCTCTTATAGCTTTCCATGACTGTTCAAGTACTTCATAAATACTTTGGATTTTTTGGTGATATTCTTCGTAATAAGGAGTGCCGAGAAGATTCAAGTTAATCGCATAAAGATAATTGTAAGTAAAATCGTTATTAAAAGCTAGATGCACTTCATCAATGAATTTTTTCCAAAAACCTTCAGTGAGATCTTTAGAAGTAGAAAAAAAAGCTGCGAGTTTTAATTTGTTCATAATTTGTAATTCTGAATAGCTTTCACAGCAGATTTTTTTAAGGGTTTCTAAGAGTTCTGTATCATAATTTTCTAAAAGATTCCATAAAGAAGTCATAAGAATAATTGCTTTTTCAACCTTTTCATTTATTTTTAAACTTAAAAAAGCTTCGCCTTTTATATAATCTTTAAAAGCTTCATTTAACCTCTCATCAACATAGAATACCTCCGATCCCAAAAATCTAAAAGCATTTCTAAAGTCTTTCAATTTTAATCTATTAAGCCTTTTCAGCAGATTTTCAAATAATAATTTTTGAATTGAATTTTTTTGAAAATCATCTTCAAAATTAACATTTATAGCAGTAAAAAATGATTTCATAAAATCTTGATCTTCCAGATTGTCAATGCTTGCAGTAAGACTTTTCGACCAACTCATGATTAAATTTTTACTTGCTTTATCTATTGAATTTAATGCCGATGTGTACTCATTTATGAATTCAAAGTTTAGCCCTCCAGCTTCAATTCGAAGTAAAACTATTTTTTCAATTTCATCAAATAGATCCTCTCCTGATTTCATTTCAAAAGAAGCAGCTTTATTTAAGTAGGAATAGGCAAGAGCGAATGAGCTGAGCAATGTTGATAAATATTTGTCTTGCAGAGTCGTTAAATCAACGATTGAGATCAGCTTTGCTAACGATTGATAAACTGTTTTGTATTTATTAATGTCCTGAGGTTTTTGCACAAGATTTGTGATTGCATATATCATATAAATAGCTTTTGTAGGCTTGAAAGATTTGTTTAAATACTCCAAATACTCATTTTCAAAGTCGTGATTAGCTGGAATAAAAGCAAACTTATGCATCTTCATGATATCATTAAGACATCCATTAATTTCTTGGCTATCAGAGTTATAATTCTTTAAAGTTCCAACAACTGCTTCTTCAAAGTTTTTGATTGCATCAATTGGTATATCTTTACTAAATAGACGCACAATTGCTCTGCTTATAAAAAATGCTTCTTCTTCACAGATATTTTTGAATATTTCCTTGTCGAGATTTTTAAGGGTTTTGCTGAAATCAGCTTTGCTCAAGATTCTTTTGTCACAATAATTTATGAAATCAGGAAGAGTGAGACGTGGCTGCTCGATACTTCACGATCTTTCTATAGGAGAGGAGTTTGTGGAATAAAATCTGGATGAAAATCTTATAGTGCTGATATTTCTGCTCACGAAGAATAATTGGTGGATCGCTCTTTTGAGTGGAAATAAAAGCATAAGAAAAAATATTACATTTTTGAAAAGACATCTAATTTGTTCCTGTAATATAAACTTAGAAATAAAATATAATTTGAGCAATAAAGTTATTAATTAAACTATAAAGTTTCAACAATGTCATTTCTTAATTTTCTAACTTTTTAGTCTTATTTTCCAAAAATATCAATAAATAAATAAAGGTCTAATAAATTTTGACTTCCAATTTAAAAGGGTTAAGAGATTCCTTTCTTTTATCTTCAAGGTGATTTTCCATATCATTTATTTCATTCATCATTTCATAGTCAAGATGGGTTGTATCTTCTCCTCTACTATGCTTTTCTTCACCAAGCTTTCTATATTTTTCTTTAATTTTCTGGATATTAACCAGCTTTTTTGGGTAGCACGTATTTCCATCCACCATTGGAAGAATACGAAACCCTATACTCATAAATCCACCATCACAGATAGAAATTGAAAATCATGCTTTTTCATCAATTTTCCATTAGTGATGGATGGATTTACGAGCATAGGGTTTCTATAGTGGGTGAAAATACGCATCACCCGCTTTTCTGTAATATGAACTTCCAAAATTTTTTCTAATTCAAGCTCTAGCTCTTGGGGAGTCTTTTTTTGAGAAATTCCACCAGATATGTCACTTTCTTTATTTTTCCTGGTTGATGTTTTACTAACTCCCCCATCCGTGAGCGAACAAAACCATTAGAAAAATCCCTATTTTTGCCAAAAAACCCACCCTCCGTAACAAAAGGTTTAAAAGAAAATTTTACATGAAAAAAATTTTTGATATATAAGTGATAGTTAGTATAATGAAATCTCGAGCTAATTCTGTTTAATTTTAAACAAATTGCGTTTTAAAAAACAAAATTTTACAAATTAAATTAATATTTGCCTTCCAATTTTCGAGAAGTGGGATTTTTTTAAATTCTAAAAAAAAAATTGTTCTTTAAAATTTATATATAAACTTTTTTAAAAAAAAAATTAACCCCCCTCTGTGAGCGACCAAGATGTTTTTGTTCACTCACGGAGATGGGAATAAGTTCTATTAATTCACGAAACTGCTTTTTATATAACGGAGTTGGCGATGTGCTTAAATTTCTCGTTTTCCTTACTTGCACTCTATTCACTAAGCTATCGTTTTGGCCCTTCAAATTTAATTGGACTTGCCGAGAAGCGTTATGGGATATGAATTCGTGTTCTTTTACAGTCTTTTCAGCAGCCCTTTGTGATAATAGCTGCCCGGAATTTTGAATTTTTGGTGGCTTTGGGGCAAGAATAGCATCTTGGTTTAGCAATAAATTGTTCATTCTGACTTGATAGTCTCGATACTTGCTGTTTCTCATAGCTTCATGATATTCAATAGCTTGCTAAATAAAATATACGGAATACATTTCAAGTAGTGTCCTTAAGATCTCAATTGTCCCATTTTCATTTATTTGAATTTCAAGTTTAGATAAATTTTCTTCAAAATCGTCTGGTAAAGGCTTAATAGAAGGGCAAAATTTTGATCTCCCGGATCTGATAGTTTCTTGCTTTCCTTTATTTTTTGACATTTTGGAATTATTAATATGAAACTGGAGGATTTTATATTTAGGATTCCAGTCTTTGCCGATATGGAATTTAAGGATTTATCAATTCCACAAACATTTTAGATTCGCAGAGTGAAACATTTTTTACCTATAATAATTATTTAATATTTTAAACTTTGGGATTGATATGACTATTAAAAATAACTTAATACTGTAATTCTACTTGAAAACTGATAGTGAAATATTATTCTAAAAATGTGGAAGTTTAATTTTCATCTAGCTTTTATTTAAGCTCTGTTTTGCTCAGCTAAGAATATTAAAGAAAGCATATCTCAGCAGCTGAAAGTCTTTTTCCAGGACTATTAACAAGAAATCTTGAGTGACTGTGGTAACTTAATTTAGAAGCTAATAAAAAATATAAAGAATGATAATTAATTAGCATTCAAATTTAAGAATTTTTAAAATTAGCCGTGAACTTATTTTGACAGTCAAAATAATAATTTATAACTTTGTTTGCAGTTTTAGAATATTTAACTGCAATTATTATAAAGAATATAAATCATATCCATTGTGAAGAAATTAAAAAAAATCTAAGCTTTAAAACTCTTAAAATCATCTTCAACATGAACTATGATTTAAATCGCAGAGACAAACGTAAATACTCTAATATTTATCGAAAACTTTATATGAAAATTCATCCCATATGCTAGCCTTCTCATACAACCATTTATAATAATTTTTGACCGCAAATGAGAAGCAACGAAGAAGAGAGACTAAAGCACGTTGGAGATCTCATTGGCCATAATGGTTGGGTTACTGCCCTTGCCACAGGTAATGAAGAACATGGAAACCTTCTTGTTTCCGTCTCCCGAGACCGTTCCCTTCTCATCTGGAATCTTGACCTTTCCCAAGAGCAAGGCTTTATCCAAACAGTGACTGCAAACCCTCACAGAGCCCTCAAAGGTCACTCCCACTTCATTTCAGACGTTGTACTTTCATCAGACAACAACTTTGCCCTTACAGGTTCCTGGGATACAACCATGAGACTATGGGACTTGCGTGCAGGCCGCACCACCTACAGATTTGTTGGACACTCCAAAGACGTTTTAACAGTCGCTATGTCCCCAGACAACCGTCAAATCCTTTCAGGTTCTCGCGATAAGACAATTAAGCTTTGGAACACAATTGCTGAGATGAAGTATGAGTTCGATACTGAATCTTCACATACTGACTGGGTTTCCTCTGTAAGATTTACCCCAACAACTAAAGACCCACTTATTGTGTCAGCAGGCTGGGATAATTCAATCAAATTGTGGGAGCAACAGACCTATAAGTTGAAGCATAACCTCATTGGGCACACAGGCTGCATTAATTCGACCACGATTTCTCCAGATGGAAACTTCTGTGCTTCAGGAGGAAAAGACTGCAGCGTTATGATCTGGCACATCAAGGACCAAGTCTTGCTATACCAACTCGACACTGGATCATCAGTAAATGCCTTAGCTTTTTCCCCAACAAGGTATTGGCTTGCAGCTGCCACTGATAGTGGAATTAAGGTATGGGATTTGGACACAAAGACTTTGATCAATGAATTTGTTCCTGACAAATTTGCAAAAGATGGACAAACTAGAATTAGATCACCTGGCGCTTTATCGGTAGCTTGGTCTGGAAATGGAGATGTCTTGTACGGAGGGTTCACAGATGGAGTAATTAGAGCTTACGCCGTTACCCAAGAATAAATTTTTAAACGTCATGCCTTGAAGAATTAAAATTCTCAGGGCGACAGCCTTCTGAAAAAGAGGGAGGAAGGACATAATAAAAATTCTTAAAAATGGTGCACCTGTATAAGCTAAACGCTAGTAGCTATGAATTTAGCAATTATGATTATGACTGAATAAAATCGTGGCTATTGCATTTTTTGATAATTCATCAAACTAATTTTATACTTTTATTATGATTTTGTTAGGGTGCTTCATATTTTCAAGTTTAAAGAATATCGTATTTAATGTTTATAACTATGATTAATCCCCCTCTCTCAACAAACTATTTTTTTTTCTCGCTCTAAGAATAGAAATTTTTTATAAAAAAGATAATTAATTATAGAAATTTACGTTTTTATAAACCAAAATGTTAAAATTTAATAGAATTGCCAGAGATTTCATTGCGACAATTATTCTTATATTTTAAAATAAAAAAATTTGTTAATTTCCGAAATAGCAGGAATCTAAATGTTTTGCCTGATCACAGACGATAGTAAAGCATTTCTCATTAAAATTAGAATCATTTTACATTAAATGGCTAATTTATATTTTATTTCATTCACTAACTGAATTTTGTTCTTATTTGCTACATACAATCGCATATTTCGATTCTGTGATAAATTATAAAATGGAGGAGGACTATTTGCAAGATCTTCTGAAAAAGGAAAAAGAATTAAGGCAAGCCGAAGAAGTAAATGCTCAAGAATCCCAAAAAGTCATCTGCGAAATTGTTGAGCGTGTCCGCCAGACTGGAAACTGGGAAGCTGTAGCTGAGTGAATCCAAGCTTTAGCTAAGCGCCGAAGACAGCCCAAGCAAGCTATTACAGGAATGATTCAGCAAGCTATCGGTTATCTCGATTCGTTGCCTAAAGGTCATCCTTTATTATTAGTGCTTCGAAAGGTATCTGAAGGAAAAATTTATTTAGAAGTAGAATTTGCCCGGCTAACAAAAGTATTAGCAGAACTCAAAGAACAAGAAGGCAACTTAGAAGAATCCTCAAGTCTCCTACAAGAAGTCCAAGTTGAAACTTACGGGTCTATGGATAAAAACGAAAAACTCAATTTTTTGCTTCAGCAATTAAGACTTTTATTAGCGCTCAATGACTATATAAGATTTTTTATTATTTCCAAAAAAGTCAATAGAAAAGTATTAGACGAGCCAGGTATGGAAGCCGCGAAAGTTCAGTTTTTACAGTTCATGATTCAATATTATGACCACCAAAAGAGTTATATGGAGTCTGCATTAGCCTATCAGACGCTTTATGAAGTCCAAGGGCAAGGATTTGATGCGGCTCATGCATTGCAACAGATGGTACTAAATTTATTATTAGTTCCTTATAGTGCAGAGCAAATTGATTTATTGAGGAGAGTTGAAGATAAAGAAGAATTAGAAGCGAACTTAAGACATGTGATAAAAATTTTACTTGGAAAAGAAATAGGAAAAGTCCCAGGCGAAATCCAAGCATTGCTGACTCCAGAGAAGTGGAATTTGTTGAGGAGAAGAATAAATCAGCACAATATCAGGATTGTTCAAAGCTATTATTCAAAAATTACTTTAAATAGACTTGCTGAGCTTTTGGAGTATACAGTTGATGAAACTGAGGCTGAAATAAGGGATATGGTAAGCTATATGGGATTTTCCGCAAAAATAAACAGACCAGAAAAGTATATTTACTTCTCAAAACCTTCAGAACCACAAAATCAGTTAAATGAGTGGGGAAGTGACATTTTTGGTCTACTCAACCGTTTAGAAGAAATTACCCATTTAATCCACAGAGAGCACATTGTTGCCTCATAATTTACGAATTAGTTTTATTAAAATTATTTTTTCTAATTTTCCAAATTCTAAATGAATGCAATTCATTAACCAAGGAGACTCTATTAGAAATGCGGCTTAGGTGGTTAATAATCGATTCGTATTTTTTGGCCTTTTTTATTGTTTGAGATACTATTCCAAATGATCTTTGTCTTTTGACTGGCAATTTTTGTGACATATTTCATGTTGATGTTATTATTTTTGAAATAGATGGGGCATGCTCTTCATTTTTTTGGGGTTTGTGGATTTTTTCGTCATTTTTTGATGGGGCTTTTTCTTCATTTTTTGATACTTTTTGGTTTATCTCTACGAGCTTTGACACTTTTTGGTTTAGATCTTCATTTGCTGAAATTGATATTTTTTTGGTCTCTTCTTCATTTTTTGATAATTGTTGGATATCTTCTCCATTTGTTAATATTTTTTGGTTGACCTCATCTTGCGAAGAAGTAGCTTTAGAACTTTTTTTAATAGCGTTTTCAGTTGACTTAATAAAAGATTTACAGAATGCTGCCTTATCTGGTTTTTTTGTCTTTTCAATGTTTTCCATTGCAATTTTAACAAACGAGTCTAAATTTGGTGTGGGTGTTTCTACAGTATTTGAGCCATTTTGATTTTCAACATCATTATTTTGCTGTGGAGCTGATGAAATAACAAGCGTTTCTTCTATTTCCATTGCTTGAGTTTTTTCTTCAGGCTTGCTAATTATTGGAATTGGTTGTTTAACCTTTGCATTTGAATGTGCAAAAGCATGAGCTTTTAATAGAAGATTATGCAAAACTTTAGAACACACTTGGCACTTGTATTTTTCTGGGCCGACTTGATCAAATAAGGTCTTGTCTATTTCCATTTGTGCTGGCTTACATTGATGGGTTTCTGCTTGAGGTCTTGGAAGAAGCTTAAGACATGTACAGCATTTAAAAAATTCTGTTTCCTCTGGAAAGAGATGCTGAGTTAAGTTATTTTTCTCGATTTTTAAGAAGGAGATTCCGTTTATTTCAACTTTTGCGTCTGTCATTTTTTTCTATTTATTTAGGGGGATATCTTCAAAAAGAATTTAGATATTCATTTTTATACATAAAGTAATTAGATGCTTTATACTAAGCAAAAATATGTGCTCGCTTATTTAAAACAATAAATTGAAACACATAAAGTAATATGAATATGATACTGAATTTTAATTAATTACTTATACTATTAAATAGCTGTTGCCACCCCGATACTGTTGTAATATTAGAAGCATCAGGTACCCATACTCCATTTATCAAGTATGAAGGAGTTCCTGGCATCTTTATTGAGCATGCAAAGTCATAAGAGTTTCTCAGACTTCTATTGGCTGCATATGCATTCATTCCATTAAGTATCGTATTAAAGCTCGCACCAGTTGCTTGCATGGCATACAATGTCACTGTATTCTGCATTGTCTGAAAGTCATTTTGGTTTGCTTGCTGTATAAAAGCCTCTTGCTTCTGAAACATTATGTCAATATATGAAGTAAAATTTGTTGAAGTATAGTTCATTTGTATAAATCTTCCTGCTAATGCTACATTGAAGGATAAAAGCCTGTAGGATAAAGGAAAGATGTGAATAATTAGGCCAAGTCACTTTTGGTTTTGGTTGTAATATTGCATGACAGATGGGTAAGCCAACTTGGATTGAGGGTCCAAGTGATCCATAAACAATTCAAGAGTGTAGTTGCTTCTCAAAGGGCCAAGGAATAATCCATCGTAAGGATGAGGGATTGGAGTTACTTGAGTTGCAGCAGCGAGTACCAAAATTAGAGAGCCAATAATTATCATTATCACATTTGAAGAGAAAACGATTTTAATATTATAATTAAAGATTTATCCTTTACATAATGCTAAAAATAAATAATTTTAAATATAGGCAGCTTTAGCAGGCTTGAATTCTAGTATTTAAAGGTAAAATAATAGATTTAATTCTTTGAATTTGCTAAATTCCTATAGCTAATTTTCCAAATAAATAGGGCGTAAATAGGAATATAATCTTATGGCAGACTTCAATACTCTTGGGTTGCAATTTGCACAATTTTATTACAACGGTTTCCAATCAAACAGAGAAAGCTTAACTCACCTCCATCCTTGATCGAATAGCGAAGTTGAAATTTTTTTTAAAATTGAATCCTCGATAGTTAAATAATTAATATGGTGGTGGATATTAAATATGTCCTTACCTACGGCACATCACTGTCGGCGCCAAAATAGCTTTATAGCTTAAATCAAGGCTCAGATCCTTTGATTCTAACCCTAGCACACCATATTGAGTGGGTGGCTTTAGGGAGTCAGCTAGTGGGCATTCCAGTCCAAGTTTTAGTTATCCCGATGGTTTCTGGGCTACTGGTTCTTTTCCCTACCGGTTTCAGAGGGCCGTGGGTTTTTTTTTCTGAGTGTCACCCTTCCTTAAGATGGCCAAGAGGGGGGTTTTGGGCTAACCTTTACTTCCATAGCACCTCAGGCGCACAACACTAAGGGTCTTTAATGCACATCGAGAATTAAGAAGATTAGTGCAGGCCCTAGCTTCTGATAAAACCACTGCTGTCAGGGTTCAGGAAACCACTGCTGCTCCTTGCAGGCAGGGATCCGGTATTCGAAAGCGTGCGGAGGCATCAAACCTGTAAGACTTAAAGACACTAAACTTAACTTAACTCGATAGTCAAACGAAACAAATTCCCTTCTCACTTCAAATTTATTACCTATCTTTGATAGTAATGAATCTTAGATATTATATCACATATTAGCTCCAAACAATAATATTTTTAGTATATATACCAATATATTGAATATTCTATCTTTTGTGATAATGTATAAAATATTTATATGGGAAAAAAATTTATATAAAATTTTTTAAATTAATAAGAATTTATTTATAATTTTTTTTCTAAAAACATTTTAGCAACGATTGATGATAAATATTTGTTCGATTAAGAATTGGGAGGTAAGAGTTTTATTCAATGCAGACTCAATGCTTACTTTCGAGTCAGATCACTTTAAAGGAGCAGATGCTATTATGGTAAAATTCCATTCACTTACTGCCCAAAGCATTGTTCATCACATCCTGACTTTAGATGTACAGCCTTCTACAACCCAAGGTAGCATGATTATTCTTGTCACTGGACAGCTACAAATGGATCAAGACGCCCCACTTAAATTCTCGCAAGTTTTCCATTTGATTCCAGCTGCAGGGTCATATGTGTGCACAAATAATCTTTTCAGACTTAACCTCGGGTAAGCCTAATTAACAAGATTATAATTAAAAATGATTTGGAAAGATATAAGAGAAATATTCATCAAAATAAAACTCAGTCTGATAGAAAAAAATATAAACCATGCCCTTATATAAATAATTGTGCATTTCTAGTCAAGCATAAAGATTAAGTACTAATTATGTATTCAAATTTATTTTTGGTAGAAAATGAATATTAAATCTTAGGCATTAAAGGAAACTCATCCAGTAGCGCTCGCTTCAGATCATCATAAGAGCTAAGTGTGCTTGTCATTGACGTTTTGCGGAAATTCCCAATATGGTCTAGCAGTTCTTCCAGCTTTGCTTCATTTTTCGAGTAAGTTTCTGAAATTGTCAGAAGTTTTTCAGGGCCACTATGCTCTATGACTCCCATTTTCTCAAATGTATGAAGAGCATTTTTTAAGTTTTCTAATGAGCAAGACTCGTAAAATGCTAGACCTCTTTCCTCATACATGTTTTCTGCAAACCATTGAACGTTTTGTAAAGCTTTCTCAAATTTAGGATGCTGCCTTGTTCTTAAAGCTAAAGAAAATACTAATGTTACCCAATATGAATCAATAACAGGCCACAAAAGGGAGCATAAAAATGAGATCATCAGCTCTCCATTTTGCTTGATTTTTATTTTATCCTCAATTTCTTCTAAAACCCCTCTTTTCTTCAACACCTTCAAAGAATTCTCAATTGCTTCTTCTTTTGACGTTGAAAATCTGCTTACAAACTCTTTTTCAATTAAATTCCACAAAAATAAGGTCTCTACAATAACTCTTTCTTTTGAGACCCCAGAATTCCAGGCAAGTTTTTCTCCGAAACTATATAAAGCACATGCACAAAGGGCCTCACCAATAAAAATATGATGCAAAGCATTTCTATAATAGGAAAGCAGCAAAATATTTTTGTAGTCATCTCTCATAGAGATGCTTGGCTCGAAAACATCTTTTTTGTGCGAAATTGTGTTGCCTAGATGGCTTATTGCATTTCGTACAGAAGCCTGGGCACTGCCACTGTCAACTCCTCCGACTTTCCAGCCTCGGATTTTAATTTCGTCTCGGAGTCATTCTACTTTAGAAACAAGTTCATCGTCAGAGACACCTCTTCTATGCATAAGAAGAACTGCGGCTACTAGAGAAGTTGGCATAATCATTATATGGTCTTGGAGCCTGTAAACTATTTCATAGCCTAAAAGCTTGTTGATGTTATCTTTGGCCTGGTGGTTGACGATTTGATTAGATGGGACTTTTGAGAGCGAAAAAGCTTTGATTGAGATTGGTTCGCTTAAAGTGACATAAATCTTCCCAAAGTTCATATTCAAAATTTTTGATGATTTCACAACTCTTAATAAAGATTCCCTTACTTTTTCTTCACCAAGAAGCTCAAAAGGAAAAGTTTCGCCTTCAAGGACTCTTTCATAGTTAATTGTGACTGGGACAAAATGGATATCTTGAACTTCTCCTTCAAAAAAGGCTTCAGTGCACATTGAAAGAAGCCCAAATTTAGGGTGTAGAGTCTTTCCTGTCCGGCTTCTAGTTCCCTCAACGAAAAATTCAAGAATTTGTTGGTCTCTTAACAACTGCTTCATGTATTCAGATAAAATAGCTGCATACAAGTGGTCACCTGACACTCTTCTTTTAATAAAGAAAGCCCCAGTCGTTCTTAATAAATGATTGATTAGAGTGATACTCAAAAACTCGTCAGTGGCTGCAATGTATGGTATTTTGATATTGAATGAAAAAAATACATAAGACATAATCAAAAAATCGATATAGCTTCTATGTGTAGGCACCAGTACAATAGGACCTGTATTCTTCAGTTTTAATTCTTTAATTTTCATAAGAGCTTCCTGATTGACTTCAACTTTTTCATAAATCGTTCTCCAAATTTTCCTCAAGAACCATCCAAATACCCTAACCATTGGCATTCTAAGGTCGCAAGCCATTCTGTCGATGATGTGTTGAGCTTTTCTGTGCAAGGCGCTTTCACTGGTATTTTTATCTTCCTCTGCAAGCTTTCGGATCACTTCTTGGACCTTAGGAGCATTGATGATCATTGATTTCATTTCATGAAGTCCTCTTATGAACATTGGTTCTCCGTGGTTATAGGCCCAAGTGATATCAGAGAAATATTGGCGTTTTCGGTAATCCCAATTGATGTTAAGAGATGTGGAGTCTGCTGAAGGTGGGTCGGCTGGCTCTTTCAGCACGAATTTTTTAAGACCATAGCAGAAGTTAGAAAGGAATATTCTCCAGTCTATTTTAGTGATGTCTAGGTCGAATTTCATAGCTTCATCACGAGTTAAGCCTTTCTGTAAAGCACTTAGATTTTGGCTCGAAAAGATCCAATCGTTTAAAGTGAAATGGGAAAAGACTTGTCCAATCACTCGTTCTCTTCCTAACACTTTTTTAAACCTAAGTGCATTTTTGACAACTGCTTGGTTTCCTGTCAATTGTCCGTACTTTAAGAACAGTCAGGCTGGAAGCTGCCTCCTGACTTTATGCATTGCATCATAAGCTTTCAAGTTTTTGTAAAATGCTATACTTACAGAAGAAATAGCTTTGCTTGATGGAAACTTTTGCCAGTAGTTAGAACTTACGTCTGCACAAGTACCCAAAGTCACTGGGTTAACTGAACTTGTGCCAAGCATCAAAATTTCTACTTTGTTTGGCCTGCAAAGCTTAGCTGCTGCTACTATAATACCGTTTGCAACGATATCAACTGGGATTTGGTCCAAAATTGTTTTTCTGTTCCCAAGCCCTACTTTAAGAATTCCAAGCCCGATGGAGAAGAAAAAGGTTCCTGCTGCAGAAACGCTATCAATCCACCCTGGGACTGGCTCTCTTCAGCTGCTCCCAATAATTGAAGGTCTCATAATGCAAATGGGCATATCTTTAACTTCGTCTTTTATTAAATTCTCAGTTAGGTTTTTAGTAAATGTATAAGTATTTGGGTAAGGAGTTATAATATCTGGTGTCCTTCTTTCAATTTCTTCCACACTAAGCTGCAATAAATCTTGCAATAGCTGCCTAGGCTTCCAACTGACAGGATAGATTTTTTCTTCGACCCATCCTTTTTGTATGCAATTGACGTAAGCAGTTGAGACTTGCACAAAGGCTACTAAATTCTTGCATTGCTTTCCTAAGTCTATAACTCTTAGGGTCCCCAATGTGTTTATTTGTAAAGCTTGGTCAAGTCTTTGATTGAAATCAATTGAAGCTGCAGAGTTCATAATGATGTTTACATTGTCTATCAAATGTTGACGATCTTGAGGGGATAAGGCTAAGGCTTCTTGCTGAAGGTCACCTTCAATTGGAAATACCTTTGCTTGAATGAAATCATCAAAGGCAAGCTCTCTTGCTCTAAGTCTATCAAAAATAGGCGAATCAATTATTTCTTTTCTAAACCTTTCGCCAGCGATAGTGTTTTTTTTGTGTCGAATGAAGACGTAAATTCTGTTAATTTGTGGAAGGTTAGGTTATTAAAGTCAGGCGTTAACCATATTTGTGATGCAGTCGCCAAAGACCTCCCGTATGGGAGGTTCAGCCACTGTTCGAATCCCAGAGGGTCTTTCCCGCGAAGGTGGATGCCACTTCAGGTGCCTTCTGTCTCCTCCTTGCCTTGCGGCTTCTGCCTTGAGTGGGAGGCTTATGGATTTCTGTGGCCCTGCTCCGGGCGATTGGATTAGCTTGATTCCATGGATCAGATCTTTAGAGTCTATCGGGTGTTGAAGCACCTTCTTTCAACAGCTATATGAAAAAGACTATTCCCCTATGGCCTGGGCAGAAATCCCCAGTTTCTCGGTAGAGGAATGCCCATTGGTTCTCTGATTGAAAGGATGCTGTTGGGGCATCTCCATTTCCAACCACAGTAAAGCAGCTAAAACCTACCTGAATGCACATCTCTTGGGCCTGCACTTGATTCTTGATTCGGAGTCACCAAGATCATAAGGTGTCGACTTTTGCGCTAACTCCCCCCAAGATAGAAACATTTTTCCAAGTAAAAATGTCTCTATCTTGGGGGGAGTAAGAGAGCAGCTTGACACGTGTCGCCATTTTAATGTATTAATTTGTGGTAGGGAGTATAGAATCTTTTCTAAAAGGACTTTTCCAACAAATCCTGTACAGCCTGTCACAAGAATATTTTTACCCTCATAAAAAGCCTCAACCATTTTTTATTATAAAGTTGATGATGTCAGCATAAGAGCTATCCGCTTATCCTGAGAAAGCTTAATTGGCATTATTATAATAGGATATTATCAAAGTTACCTTTTATAATTTTTCAAAATTTCATTGCTTCTTATAAGAATTTAAGCAGATATACTTAAAATAGTTCATTTCGGAGTAATTAAAAATAGTGATCTTCTTTGGATACTATGATGGTATGTTATTATTTTGAAATTTAAAAATAATAAGGAAATCTTTTTAATGTTTATTTTCTTTTAATTTTAATTATTTGTTCAACGATAGTATCTATGATATATTTAAGCTTTTCTCAATTTTTAATTAAAAATCTTGAAATTACTGTATAATTTCTTCTAAGTAAATAAAAATTCATAATATTCACAGACTAATTAACGATTTTTATCCTAAAGTATTATTTAGAATCTAGGCCTGTCTTTCTTGGTATCATAGTCTGGGCGGATTCCACCATACTTCTTGATTCCTTCTTCTGCATACCATTTAGGATTTCCCTGGCATTTATTGAAGAGATCCATTTCAAACTCACAAGCAAGTAGATTTCCTGAGTACTTATAAAAGCATTCTCTATAATTATTCATAGGGCCTAAGCAGATTGGCTCAGTTTCTTCAACTTTTTCATAGCATTTTAGTAGGTTTAGAGATTCTTTTTGGCAGAGTTCAGGACGATGCTGACCCATATAGTCTAGCTGCCTGCAATCTTCATAATCATAAACTTGCTCTCTACATACATCAAATGCCCTTTGAGCGTGAAGAATAATTTCATCGGTGGGAGAATACATTTATTATTTATCAAAAGTCATTCAATTTTTTCAAAGAATCCATCAAATCAGATTATTTTTGCAGATTATAAGAACAATATATTTTAAAGAAACTTTATCGCCTATCATCTTTGTATAAGGTAAAATATTATTCTGCTGAGAATATAGCTATATAAGCATAAAATTAAATCCTAAACCTATCCAATTTCTTACAAAAAATTATTTTATCATTTTTCGAAGATAATTGAACCATTTAACTTTTTATGTATCCTTTGAAGCTGCAATGTTGTGTTTAAGTTGTCGTGATATATCCTTTTTATGATATATACAATTTCCTTAATAACTTCTCCTCTAGCAATTTTCTCATTTAAGCATGCAGTTCTACTGCCATTATTCCTATTTTTTTCTATACACTCTAATTCTTCTAACTTTTTGGCAAGACTAGTTGCTAAAAGTAAATGTGTTTTGTTATTACTACCATTAAGCAAAGCTCTGTTACACATTTGTTCTCATTGAGCTATCGCATTTTGAGGAAATTCCTGCTTGTACTCTCAGCATTTCAATAGCCTTTTGACTTCTTTTAATGTATCTAACTCAGAAACAGAAAAAGAGATTGCTTTAGGTATGACCTTTTGAAACGCAGCCTTTAATTCTTCATCGTTGGAATTTTTAATTATATCGTGCGCTAGGTAAAATAAAGCGAGCTTTTGATGACTTTTTTCTACAGTTTTTATTCACAAATTTACAATCAGTTGTATGTGAGTCGGAAACGTAATTAAAAATTCTTGGCATCAGCTTGATACGAATTCAACACTTTCTTTATTGGAATTCAGGTGTGTAAGAAGCTTTTTAAATTCAGAAACCATATTGGGAATTAGATTTATTTATTAGAAATTATATTAATTTATTAAAAAATATTAAGACCTTGCCTCAGCATTCTTAATTTTTTTCTTAATTTTCCCATTTTTCCATATCCCTTCATACGAATTTCCATTCTCAAAACTCATTTTTCCATTTCCATGTTTTTGCCCATTAAGCCACTCTCCTTCATATTGATCTCTATTCTTATAAAAGAAAGCTCCATACCCATTAATAATCCCGTCTTTAAATTGCCCATGATAAATATCTCCACTTGCATATCTCAAAGTTCCTAATCCATTCTTTTTATCATTTGCCCAATCGCCTTCATATTTATCTCCATTAATAAATGATTGACTTCCACAAACTTTCATCCCATTTTGCCATTTTCCTTCAAAAACCTCTCCATTGTTATAAGTAAGCTTCCCCTCTCCATCAAATTTATTTTTCTTTAAATATCCTTCATAAACACCCAACCCTATATCTTTGTAGATGCCTTTTCCTTCCATATAGCCATTTGTCCATTCCCCTTGATAAACATTTCCACTTAAATAGCGATACACTCCAGAGCCATGTTTCAAGCCATCAGCCCAGTCACCTTGATATACATCTTTGCTTGCATATGTATAAATTCCATTAGTGCCATGAAATTGGCCATCTTTTACAGGTCCTTGATACAGGTCTCCAATCCTCATATTTACTGTACAAAATCCATTTGGAAGATCTTCAAACCAATCTCCTTCATACCTTGCCCAATCTCCTTTTCTATAAATCATAGACCCTTTTCCATGCCTTTTGCCTTTTTTGAAAGCTCCTTCAAATTTATCACCATTTTCGTAATACAAAACACCAGCTCCTTTATAAAGCTGATTTTTGAAATTTCCATCATAAGTAAGCTTATATTTCTTTTTAATTTCATTGAAAACGCAGAATTTTCCAGGCCCAGTCATCACTCCATTAATTCAGATAGCGTCATATCTTCTTCCATCAGCGTAAACTAGAGTCCCTTTGCCATCTCTAGCATCTTCTGTGAAATTTCCTGTATATGTGCCATATTCATGCTGAAAAGTGCCTTGCCCATGCTTCATATCATTTTGTCACTCTCCTTCATAGATTTCTCCTGAAGCGAAAGTGAGCTTTCCTTTTCCATTTCGTTTTCCATTTTCCCAAAAACCTTCGTACTTATCTCCGTTTTCATAAATTTTGGTTCCTTCTCCTTGGAAAATATCATCTACAAATTCCCCAAAATATTTATCACCATTAGGACAACTTAAAACTCCTTTTCCATTTTTCTTGTCATTCTGAAATTCTCCTTCATAATGATCCCCATTACTCAAAGTCAATACTCCCCATCCACTTCTTACATCATTTTTATATTCTCCGTCGTAAATTTCTCCGCCTGCTGATCTAAATCTTCCTTTTCCATTTCTTTCATCATCAATATACTCCCCTTCAAATATATCTCCATTTTTCATGATTAATTTTCCATAGCCATTTCTCTTATGGTCTCTTCAGTTTCCATAAAAAACAGCGTTTTCTGAGAGTGCTGGATAGATATATTGGCAAGTTCCGCACAAAGGAGTATTAGATCTATTATAGAAATCAAATAGTTTACTACAAAGATCTTCAATTTGGCTTAAATGCACCATTGGCAGCACAGGCTTCATGAAACATCTTTCATAGTCCATCTCAAAAGCTTTCATCTCTTCCACAGTTCTCTGATGATCATACTGGATTATAGCATCTAAACCACAATAAGCATAAGTCGTTGAGCATTTTTCAATTCGGTTCACTTTACTTATAAGCTCATTGTAATGGAAATTTAATTTTCCCAAGAGTTTCATAGAAAGTTCAAGTGTTGTTGCTATTTCTGATAAGCTCTTCATAAGCTCTGTTTCTAATGATTTTTGAAAGGCACATAAGCGGTTTTTCATGTCTATAATAATTTGCAGGAGGTTTTTCTTGTCAGATTGGTCCACGACCACAAAGAAAGGAAGAAGCTTGTGCGGCTCCTCACGAAATTTATGTTCATGAATTTTGCAAGAATAGCATCCTTTGGCACATAAACAGTATGAATCAGCCTCATTTTCGCAGTTAAGGGCAGAACATTTTGGGTTCATGATTTATATTGGTGAAAGTTAATTCATTTCATTTTTAAAGGTTTGTAGATTTCTTTATAATAATTTATTATAATAATGAGATTTAAAGGAAAAACTTTAGTGGATTTTAAAAGAGAACTCTGCTGTGCTTATGCATGAAGGTTAGAAATTCGCTTTAAAGCTTAATAAAAATTCTAATAATTAAAAATGTCATATTTAGAAGACTTTGTGAATAACATAAGCTTCTTTCCAGCTGAAATTATAAGGTCTTTAGAGCTCATAAGAGAATTGGACGACAAAGCTCAAACCACTATGGATGAAGTCCACAACTGCACATCAGGCTACTTCTCCAACTTTAAAAAAGAAGGCAACTCTCCAATCGAAAACACTGAACTCCTCCAAAAAATTCGCTCAAAGCACCAAGAGTCCCTTAATTTATCAGAAGAGAAAATCTGCATCAGTAAGCAGATGCTAGATATGCTAGAAAACCAAATTCAGAAAATAAATATTGAGCTAAACTCCTTTAAAAAAGACTTAAAAGCTGATGTGAATGGCGGCGGAGAAGGAAGAGAAGACCCTTATAAGCGAAGGAAACTTGAAAAAGGAGCCTCGCTTCCTACTAACATTTATGATGACGAGTTGGCCCAACTAGACTTTGAAAGCACTTATGATGCAGTGATGGGATCTGACATGAGAGAGCCTGATAAGAAATATTGCTACTGTCAAAAGGATTCTCCTGAAGAAATGATTGGATGTGATAATCCTGGGTGCAAGCGAGAATGGTTCCACTTTTCGTGTGTAGGGCTTAGCTCAAAGCCTACTGGAACTTGGTATTGTCCTGACTGTTTAAAAGAAGAACAAAATTAATAAGTTGTAAAGGCAATATTATAATAAATTAATAAAATGGATTAAAGCAGGATAAGATGTCATTAGATTCTTTTTTGTTATAACGCCACTTACCTTCATAGCCTGAGCCTGATACATAAGTGATTTTTCCGTCTCCATGCCTTTGACCATCTTTTCATTGCCCTTTATAGACTGAGCCATTTAAATAGTGATAAGTCCCTTCTCCATCAAACATGTCATTTTTAAATTCTCCTTCATAATATTCGCCATTGAGCAGCTTAAAACCTCCACGACCGTGTTTTTTGCTATTAAGCAGTTCTCCTTTATATGAATCCCCATTAGCATAATTAATTTCTCCTCTCATCAAATCGCCAAAGTTTCATTCTCCAACAATGACCTCGTTTGTTTGATCAAAAATCATTTTTCCTTTACCATGGAATTTGTCATATTTGAAGTCTCCAATATAAGTTCCAATTGATTTTTGCATAAAAACTCCATTTCCAGATCTCTGGCCATATTCTCAGTTGCCGTCATAAGTGCTTCCATCAGAATAAGTTAGAACTCCTTTTCCATGCTTTTTACCCTCAAACCACATTCCTTTATACGCATCGCCATTAGAGTAAGTGTAGATTCCTTCTCCATGAACTTCTCCATTTTTAAAATCCCCTATATATTTTTTTCCCTTTACAGTAAGAGTGCCTTTTCCATTTGGCTGGTCATTTTGCCATTCCCCTACATAAATTTTATCAGTTGCCTTGTGTATGAATTTTCCGGTCCCAGATTTTTCCCCTTCCTTCCATCCCCCTTCATATATGTCTCCATTTTCATAGAAATAGCTGCCTTCTCCATCAAATTTTCCATTTTTAAAGCTGCCTTGATAGCAGAGAATATAACTTTCTTTAAAATATTTTCCAGGGCCATTCAGTTTATCTTGAATTCATTCTCCTTCATATCTATAGCCATTCTTTAATGTATAAATGCCTTGCCCTTCTTTCATACCATCTTTGAAGTTTCCTACAAACACTCCATCAATATACTCATATGTTCCAGACCCATTTTGTAAATTATCGTTTCATTCTCCATCATAAAATTCTCCTGATCCAAACCACATCTTGCCCTTTCCGTTTCTTTTCCCATAATGCCATCCTCCTTCATATCTATCATTATTAGCATTTTTCCATTTACCGTACCCGTGGTATGTATTTTCCTTAAAATATCCTCAATATTCTTCTCCATTAGCTAAAATAAGCTCTCCTTTCCCTTCAATTTTATCATTTTTAAATTCTCCTTTATAAGTATATCCATTTTCAGATGATAGATTACCATAGCCATGCTTCATATCATTTTTAAAATCTCCCTCATAAGTAACCCCAAATTTTGAGACTAATTTTCCCTTGCCGTGCTTTTTATGTGACTGTCAGGTTCCTTCATAATATTCTCCACCAGGACATATAAAGCTGCAAGTTCCATTCAATGGATAGCCTGATCTATCAAAAAAAAAATAAACTTGACTATAAAGGTCATCAAAGGCTTGGCTATCAAAATTAGGCAAATATTCAGGGATTTTACAACATTTATCGAAATTTATCTCTAGGGCTTTCATTTTTTCTATTGCAGCATCATAACTTGCCCTTAATGCTATATCTAAGCCGCACATATCATATAAAGTAGGAAGTTTTTCAATTCGATTGATTTCAGAAATAAGAGAATTATATAAATAATCCAGTCTTTTAGTGCTGTTCATGACTGTTTCAAGAATTATTGTCGCTTCTTCTATCGATTTTAAAATCTCATATTCAACTTTCTTCTGCCATGTGTTGAGTCTACACTTTATTTGAAGGACTGCTTTAATGAGATTATGCCTATCAGACTTATCAATTTCAGCTATAAATGGAACTCATTGGTGATTTTGATTAGAGCTTATAACTTTATGACTAGCACATGAAAAACAATTTTCTGAGCATTTGCAGTAATAGTCAACAGCCTCATCACATTTGGATGAAATGCAGCGCTTTTCCATATTATTATAAAACCATTGCAAATATAGTTAAAAAATAAAATTATTTGTTGAAGCTAAGCCTTTGTAAGAACCCTCCAACTCCTGATTTCTTATTTTTCTTCCATAGACCTTCATGAACAGCCCCTGAGGCATATGTCATTTTTCCCGTTCCTTCTTTGAGTCCCATTTTAAGCTCTCCTTCATAAATATCCCCATTGCGATATTCATATCTTCACAATATAAAATGTCGGTTAGAGATAAGGTGGAGCTCCGCACCCAAGGATGCAAAACCTTATTTTTCAAACTCAGTGAGAGAAGTGCAGTCACTTCTTGAGGGTTTGATTCAAGTGTTGAAGGTTCAAGCTGTATCTGGCTTGGACTTGAGAAGTTCGAACGGGACTTAGGGACTGAACAGTTTGACAGTTAGGTCGGTTATCCCTACTGCTATTCAGAGCTGTCTCCTGAGTGGATAACCAACAAGAAGGGAACTGTATTTGAAGTAGAATGAGATTTCATTAAACTTAAACCTAAACTTAAAAAAATCATATCTTCCAATGCCAGTGATATTATCATTTCTAAATTCTCCTTGATAAGAATCGCCTGAGCTAAATATCATAACCCCCACACCATGTTTTTTCATTCATTTCCCATAAGCCATCGTAAACGTCTCCATTCATGTATGTATATTTCCCTTTAACTCTGAATCCGTTAATCCAATCTCCTTCAAAACTTTCATTGTTGAGGAATGTTATTTTCCCTTTTCCATCAAATTTGTCGTTTTTAAAATAGCCTTCATATGATCCTACTGTTGGATTGAAAAGCTTACCGTATCCACATTTTTTATCATTAACCCATTCTCCCTCGTAACTATTTCCATTCGGCAAAGTGATTCTTCCTCTGCCATTTCGTTTTCCTTCTACCCAGTTTCCATAATAGATTTCTTGAGTTGCATAATAAAAAGTCCCATCTCCATGAAATAGCCCGTCTTTGAAGTATCCTTCGTATTTTTCTCCGGGAAGTGATAGAATTCCTCTTCCTGTCATTTGGTCTTCTTCCCAATTGCCATCATACCATTTATCTCCTGACTTGTATTGAAACTTTCCTCTCCCATTTCTTTTGCCTCCTTTTCATAGCCCTTCATATCTATCCCCATTTTCATAGAAGCACACTCCTTTTCCAGAGAATTCTGAGTCTTTGAATTCTCCTTTATAATACATAGAATTATCCTTGGTATAAACAGTGCCGCTTCCATTGAGTTTGTCATTTTCCCAGTTTCCGTCATATTTTTTGCCATTCATTGCTTTAAGTACCCCTTTTCCAGATTTCATCCCATCTCAAAACATTCCTTCATAAACTCCATCTTCATTTCTATAGACCCCTTTTCCATAATATGTATCATATTTAAACTCTCCATGGTAAAATTCGCCTGACACAAAAGTCATGTCTCCATATCCCCATCTAAGGCCATACTTCCATGTTCCTTCATACCTGCTTCCTTCTTTATCAATCCAAGTGCCTTCTCCATGAAATTGATTATCGCTAAACGAGCCTGTTAATATTTCTCCTGTGTCTAGCTCCAATGTGCCTTTTCCGTCCATCTTGTTATTTTTAAAATCTCCTTTATAGCTACAACCATTAGAAAACTCCATTTTGCCTTTTCCGTCCTTTGCATCATTTTTGAAATCCCCTTCATATTGATCTCCTTCTTTTGTGATTAATTTTCCTTGGCCATTTCTTTGGTGCTCAAACCACTCGCCATCATAGATGTCACCATTAGGATAAGTATAAGTGCAAAGCCCACAAAGTGGGGTGTTTTCTCTGTTTGAGAATTTTTTTATTTTTTTCATGATTTCTACGAATGAATTTGTATCGAAAGTTGGCATAGCTGGCTTCATGAAGTATTTTCCATACTCAAGCTCTAGAGCTTTTATTTCTTCGCTCATAGCACTGTAATCCAGCCTCAGAATTGAGTCTAATTTGCAGTAGGAATAAATTGTAGGAATGCTTTCAATTCTATAAATCTCTGATATTAAACTGTTGTAAAGATAATTGAGATCAGTTAAAATCTTCATTGAGTTTTCTAGAGTTTCGGCTATCTGGGTAATTGCACCAGTGAGCTCAGCTTTTAAGTTTTCTTTAAATAATTCCGCTCGCCTTTTCATCTGAATTACCATGTTCATCAAGTTCATTTTATCTGATTTGTCCAGCCTAATGTAAAAAGGAGTCAGCTTGTGGGGACTGCTCGCAAACTTATGCTCGTGGGAATGGCATGAATAACACTTATTAGGGCAAGAACAGAAAGCGACAGCTTCATTTTCGCAGTTTAATGCTGTGCACTTTTTATTCATTTAATTATTATTTTTAGTTGGTCTTATGGAATAGAATTAAAATGAGTTAAAATTTGTTTAAGAAATTTCCAATTGTAGACTATATGAAGAAGATTTTTCTATAATGTAAATGGAATAAAGAATTCTTAATTTTACCCATGGATTTTCTGAATTTTTATTTTGAAAAGGTTTTTCTATAGAAAAGCATTTATAAGTCCATTCTATAAATGCAAGAATCTAGCAATTAGATTTTTCTATGTGCATGGCTTTGGCTATTAAAACTATAAAATATCACCACTTTTTGCATTTAACCTTAAATTATATATAAAATGCCAAAAAACTATGAATTTATGCAAATTGTGCTTTTGCCAATCCATGCACTTTCTTATTATTTACAATATTGATTATGACTATTACAAAATGTCAAAAGTGAGTAATAACCCGGATAAAATAGCTCAAGCACTAAGGCTTACGACTCATAATAAAAGGCCAACCACAGCAAATTCTTCATCCACAGAAAAAAAATTAGGAAGTCACTCATCTCACCAAAATTTACCTCAAGTAAAAATGTTTAGAACAACTGGATTTGAAACTCAGAATTTAGATAAAACTCAAAAGCCTATATGAATTGAAAAGCCCGAGTCAGTTAAATCTAGGAAAGATATAAACGCATTCCAAATTGAGAGCTCTAAGAAAAATCCAAATATTGTAAATTATAATACAAGAAACTCGAAGCCTCCATCTCCAGCTCCAGAAATTTCAAAAAAACTAAGAGAAAATCGTTCGAAAACTACAGGAACTGTGCATGCAGCAATTAATAAGCCTGATAATATGCCTAAAAAAAGATTTACAATGGGAAATTTTGAATCTTATAAACCGATGATGCCAAGAAGTGAAGCAACAACGCCTTCCTATCTTACTCTGAATCTTTTGCAAGCTCATCATGGAGAAGCAGAACATGACCAGGATTTACACAATTTGCAAAATTGAGGAATGCTTGAAGTAGAGTCTCCGAAGCCAATTAATATAAATCCTATAACGAGGGGAAGCATAAGAGTTAGAGGGTCCCGTCGAAAAGTCGGCAGCCTTGCAAGAGAAAAAAACTTCTCAACTCCAAGTTTAGCCATGAGTGAAACCCAAAAACCTCTTCCAGGCACTATTGTTAGAAATACATGATTTAGTTCAAAAAATACAACAGATAGAGATAAGCAAATTCCTGGAAAAGCGTCATCAGAATTCGACAAAGATGAAATAATTAAAACCCTACAGAATAAAATAAAAGAATTACAAAACAATGAAAAAGCTCCTGAAAAGTTTGCATTTAAAACAGTAGAAAAAGTAAAAAATATACCACAATCTGAAGACATTAGCAGCTCATCCTCAAATGAAATTGTTAATATCACTAATACAAGGTCTGAACAAAAAATATTTGAAGAACACAAAGATAAATATGAAATTAATCCTGATAACACAACAGGAATAGACAATATTAGCAAAATTTGCCGTCAGCCTACAACATCAGATAAAAAAGAAGAATCAAAGACTTTAATTGAACTTCGCTCACAAATGATCACAAATGAGTCACTTAAAGAAAGTTATGAAACCAAAGTTGTCGTATACTTTTATGACAATTTTACTAAAACTTCATATAAGGGTATTTTTAACCCTAATGAAGTTTGCGATAATTTAAATTTGTGGGAATTTGCAGAAATAACTGACTTACTCCCCTTTGAGCGGACAAAAAAAATTATGTGCTAAGATAGGGTTAATCCTAAATTTTTTATCTTCCGAATTTAAAAAAATCCTAATTTGCAAAAATTGGAAAGCGAAAACTAATTTAATTTGTTAAATATATATTTTAAAATGCAAGCTGTTTAAAATTCAACAGAATTAGCTAGAGAACTATTATAATAATTATCACTTATATATTAAAATATTTTTCATAAAATAATTTATATTAAAAAATAATTTTTATTTGGGTTTTTAACCAAAAATTTGAAATTATTCCAATTGTTTTTTTTTCTCTTATGAAGGGTGAGAGTTAGGAAGAGAATTTGTTAAATATGTAGAGGTTAATGGGAAGCTATGCGAATTAACACCAATATATGATTTCGAACTAGAAAATGAATACTTTGTGGAGATTAATGAGTTAAATGATATGAATGATTTCATTTTCATCTCAGCTGATAATAAAAATGACACTAGCTGTGCTTGTTTACTTATTTCCAAGAAAAGTCTTGTTGAAATAATGAACATTAATTTAAATCAGCTTTACAAAAATCTCAAAGATGTCAGTAATTTTTTGAGTATAAATTCTAATAAAATTTATAGCTTTTTGCCTTGAGTGGTGTGGTATGGGCGCCACTTCGGCAAGCTCCTTCTTCCAGTTGGCCGAGCCAACTCAGGTTGGTTCGGCCAACTGGAGAATTGACAAGTGAGGCCTTTTGGGGAGACTTGTCAATTCTAGTTGGCCGAACCAGCCTGAGTTGGCTTGGCCAACTGGAAGAAGGAGCTTACCGAAGTGGCGCCCGTACCGCGCCACTCAAGGCAAAAAAGCATATTTAGGAAGCGCTACAGAGACTAGAAAAAAAATTGAAAGCAATAAGCTTGATAGAAATGTAAAAATAATCCAAAGCTGATTGAGAATGTATATATCCAAAAGCTTTGTGAAGTCAAAGCTACAAAAGGAGCATAAGAAGAATATAGAATTAATATTTGAAAAAGAAAAAATGATTAATGGGAAATTTTATCAAATTTATATATGAAAAACATTAAATGGAGTTAAAATAGAGATAAAAGAGCCTGGAAATAAGAAATCTATTATAAGATATTTTAAAGAAAGAGACTTATTAGAAATTTATGGTAAATTTACTCCAAGAATGCTATATGAAGAAATTGATGTCCTCAACAGCGAGATTGTCCTAAATAAAAATAGCTCTCTTTCTCAATCCTCGAGCCTCCTAACCAGCCGATCTCATTCTCTGGGAAGGCACGAAGAAGAAAAAACTAAGAAGCTGCAACAAGACTCATTTAAATCTCAACCAAAGCAATCTTCTATAAATTCATCAAAGAAATCTCTCCTGGATTTGGCCAAAAAACCTCCATCTAATATTTCTTCAGAAAAAGCTTCAAGAGGCAACAGTGTTGATAGTTCTATTAATCCTGAATCTCATATTTTGCTTGCTAAAACTGAAGCAGTTATTAGTTCTTTCAACATGATTGTGTTCTTCTATAAAAATTCTGAGGGAATTTTAATTGTAGCTAAAGACTACAGCAATAAAACTAAACTTCCTTTGCAGCTTGAAGTAGATTTGCCTTTAAATATCCCAAAAAAGTATATGGAAAAAATAATTGAAGATGTGCTATCAAGGATTTCAATTGAAAAGTCTGATGGGATGTTCACACTAAAATTAAATGACAAATAAAGTAATTGTAAATATTAGAAATAAGCCAGGAATAAGGTGGATTTAATTAAGTTAATTAAATTCAACTTAAATCTGTTAAATTAGCATTCTTGCTAGAAGCAAGAATAATTATTAATTTCTATAATAAGAGATTTAGCAACAACTCCAGTACTCATTTTCACACCAATTAAAAGGATAAAACGGCCTTGGTCTTGGAGGAGTTCATTCTTTAAGCTCTCTGTCACATATTGTAGATCTCCAGTTGTTAATAAATCCTTCATCAAATGGATTGAAATTTTGGGGATAAGGTTTTAGATAGTCAATTTTATACTTTCTCATTACTTCCCAAGTTGTGAGTCCTTGCGAAATCAGACGAATGTGAAATAATCCTAGCCCAGTCACTAGCATTCCAAATCCAGCACATAGAAAAAACGACAACAAATACAGCCAAAATCCCCATGCATTGTCTGAAATTCCACTTAAGCAATTATAAGCAGCTCATAAAAAGCAGATACTTTCTATTATAAGATATAAGGCAAACCTAAAATGGTTCATTTCACCTACACATGCACCAATCCAAAAGCAATGATGGTCAAATTTTGCAATGCATTCTTCACATTTATAGCAATGCCTAGTCCTATAAGGCTTCAGTATTTTGCAGTCCTCACAGTAATTTTTTGGAGGAGGCTGCCAGTCTTCTTCGCTTAAAAGCTCTATTTCTTGTTTCATCGGAGTCGTTCTGATAAACCCAGGCTTTAATCCGCATATGAAATATCCTGTTTTAAGTGATCATTTATATTCACTTTTTTATATAATAGATAGAAATTTTTAATTGATAATAAACCTATTGTAGAATATAAAAAAGTTGCTGTGATTTTCAAGACAGTAAAAAATATGCATGAAAATTCAAAATTGCCACATGAAACACTCAAATCGCTAGGAAATTCTCAAAAAATAAAAATAACTGCTAAGTGGAGGACTATATAAAATACTTTTGCAGAAATTGATGCTTGATATGCATCAGGCCTCATTTTTTGTTAATTAATTAATTATAATCATAATGAGTCTGGTAGGTGAGGACAGTCCATGCACTCCATTTTCAGATGGAATCAAGACATATGGGTCAATTTTGACTCCTTTCACAAAATATGTTGCACAAGCTGAAGTTCCTGAGGAGCCTGAAACAGGGGAAATTACTTATAATAGCGCTGACTTGGAAAGTATCCTTTCCAGCCGTGTGAGGAAGCATTCAAATTTCCCAATTGAACCAAAAGATTACCATACAAATTGATCTTGTAAGTGCTATATATTTTAAAGAGCTTATGCTCAAGATCGGTTTATTATTTAAATAAAAGAAATTTTATACAAGATACTTATCTTCTTCAGAAAATATTTTCCTTAGCTTTGTATAGTTTTTTGGCTCTATCGACATCCTCAGACCAATTTGTATTGCTTTTTTAATTTCTCTATTGCTTCTTGAGGTCAGTCGATTTTGAGGTTGAGGAACGTTGGCTTTTTCCAATTTTTTGGGATCCGTTATATTGCCATAAATATTTGAAAAATTTCGGAAAAACTGTGGCGAGTTTATCTCTCTCATTGTTTGGCTTGTGCTTTCAGAGGTTAATATTGGCCTTAAATTAATATCTGAAAGAGAATTCGTGCCAAACCGCTGCGGCTTTCCCTTTTTCAAATAATTCATAATTTTGCTTATGTTTTTTAATTTATTTTCAGGTGCAGCATGATCGTTTGCATCTTCAATATATGCTCAGCTGTCATACATTGCCTGCAAGATTTCTTTTGATGTCTTATTCATATTGATTATCTCGAAATCAGGGCTAAATTGATGCTTTCTTAGCGTTTCAGCTGTAGTTGTTTGGACATTTAGTATTTCAGGAAGGGAATGGAGACTGAGGATTGAGTCCAAAAGCTTAGATTTTTGCATTTGGTGGTTCTCATGAAAAGCAATTTCTTCAAGAAATTCACTTATATTGAGTCTAAGCCTTCCAAGTAACTGAAACAGTGTATTTGTAGATTTCAAATTAAGAGATTTTCTGTCTATTTGTCTGGCAAGCGTTTTATAAGTTGCAAATGCACCTTTGAATGAATCAATTGCGTCTAGATATAGGTTTATATTATTTTGAAAAACTGCTGGCTCAGAATTTACTTCTTGGAAATCAGGGAGGTATGGATATGGCTTGATTTGGCATTCCTCGAAACAGTCTGCATATTCTAAATAAAATGTACCAAATAAAATAATTCTTGTAATTTCTTTCAAAAGCCCTAGGGTTTCTTCTAATTTTGCATTGAAAATTTGCTGGTTTTCTACTCTGACTGTTTTGAATAATTTGTGCTTAGATTTTTCAATTAATTTTGACTTTAAATTTTTAAGCTTCTCATAAAGAAGTTTCAGTTCATCTTCTATTATATGTATTTGGAAGTAAGGGTGCTGGATCAGTCTTTTCCCATACTTTTGATAAGGCAAACCTTGCAATAAATTCAGTTTGTTTTGCATTTTGACTTTAAAAACCCTCACTCTTTTGCCCATTTTTTTAGATGGTGATCCAGTTCGTGATATTCGTTCAGTAGAACTTTGCGCTAAAGTATTTGATAATTGAGTATTTGTTGTCATCAAAAGATTGGTTGGGCTTGTAGACTTGTCGGTTGTGGTAATAAATAAATTTTGTTTTTTTCGGAAAGTCAGTATAATCGGGTCTCTGAATCCGCTTGAATGGATTTTTTTTATTATGTATTCTTCAGTAACTGACTCTGGGATTGGAGAAATAACGAATTGAGGAGAAGATTTTGAGTTTGGGTTCTCAGAAGGTTTCGACTTCATATTTATAGTTTTATAATTAATATATAAAGAATAAGGAATAATTTCGTCGGAATTAGGTTTTGCACAATAAAGTAGTAATAGACATTGGAAGCCTAAACCGCTAACTCCCCCCTCCGTGAGCGAACAAAAAATTTTGTTCGATACAAAGGTTAATTTTTTTTAAAAAAAAATTATATATAAATTTTATAGTAAAATTTTTTTTTGGAAATTTAAAAAAATCCCATTTCGCAAAAATTGGAAAGCAAATATTTATTTAATTTGTTCAAAATTAAACAGAATAGCTAGATATTTCATAATTATATTTATATATCAAAATTTTTTTCCTAAAATTGTTATATATTAAAAAATTTTTTGTTCGTTCATGGAGGGCGGTTTTTGGGCAAAAATAGGGATTTTTCCATGGTTTTTTTGTTCGCTCACGGAGGGGGAGTAAGATAATTTTTATAGAACTTTAGAGATGTTTTATTACCTTAACAGCTTTTTATCATTTATAAAATTATATCAATCACATGGCTCTTAATACCGGAATCATGCAAGATTAATAAATATTTTATGTAATTAAGTTAGAAGTTAATTTTATTATTAAAAGAAAAATCCTGTTTTTTATTGCATTGCTATATTTTTGCAGCAAGCTATAATAGTTAATTTATTTCATTAAAAAATAAATATTCTCATTTCTTAAAACTTTTACGTCAGAAATTCATTATTTATTATTAAGAATCTATTGCTTTGAGCATGATTATCTGTTTAATGTCTATAATGATCATAATATTTTATTTGGGCTGCCTAAAGTAATATTATATATTTCTTTAAGATTCAGCCATATAAAATACATTTCTAATGCTCAACAAAAAGAGTATGATCAATAAACTATGGAAACTGAAGCACCTCAAGAAGAAGTAAAGCTTAAGCGGATAAGATCCCTACCGTCACCAGAAAAGCCAATTCAAGCAAATCATTGCTTATGTCTGACTTCTGCAGAAGGAAAAACTATCCTAAATCCTCGATATGAAATTCTCAGCACAATCTATGATCAACCTGCAAGTCCTTCTAGAGTTCTGCTTGTAAAAGATACTGAAACAGACTCTTTGGTCATCTTAAAACAGCTGTTAAAATGTAAAATCTTGTCACAAGCCCAACGAGTATCTGCAGTAAGAGAAATTGAAATTCATCAATCTGTTAGCCATTTGAATATTGTGACATTTTACGATTCAGGAGAAACAGAAGAGGCTTATAATATGCTGCTAGAATATCTTCCAGGCTATACCTATTTCACAGACAAAATAGAAGTAAACAACAAGCCTTTCAATTTAAAATCCGATGGTGGTGTTCAGAAATTAAAAAGTTTTTCATATGACGTCATTCAAGGGTTAGAATATTTGCACTCACATGGGATAATCCACTTACTCCCCCTCCATCCTTGATCGAACGACTCACTGTAAAAATTCCTAAAAATTGGAAAAATTAACCCCCATCCTTTATCGAACGATTTTCATATCATGCAAATTTTTATATATATAAAAATATATTAGTTATCAAAAGCTTGGGAAGATGTGCCTGATGAAGTTGTTGTCAGAGGCTTGAGACGACAGAAAACTATGGAATCAACCATCCGAAGTGCTTTAGTAATCAGCCTGGGCTTAAAAAATCAATAATCTAAAAAAATAGAGATTCTTTAAAATTTAAAAAAAAAATTTAATTTAATAAGGAACAAATTAAAATTTATACAGTTTAAAGGGGTAACCAAAAAATCAAAATATTAAAAAATTAGTATTTTTATGAAATTAATTCAATTTTTTGCTGTAAAAATAATTATTAAATACTCTTAACCCTCTTATTTAAAATTTTATAAAACAATATATTTTTTTATTTTATTAATTTATATAAAATTTTTTAAACCCCATCCGTTCGATCAAGGATGGGAGGGGAGTTAGATTTAAAACCAGGAAACCTTTTATTATATACAGATGTAGATGAGAATGAATATCCACTCGTCAAAATATGTGACTTTGGCCTGAGCAGACGAGCAGATGCAACTGGATACGCCATTATAGAAAAGAAATGTGGGACTGATAAATACGTTCCACCCGAGGTAACTGATGGCGCTATGATTTCTGTTGCTGCTGATATGTGAAGTTTAGGCTTACTTCTGCATAATTTGGCAGTTGGATACACACCTCATGCAATGAAATGGTCACCAGGAAAACCTATTCCTTTTCATAATAGGCATTGGCGAAAGTATGAAGGGACTGGATTAAAAGAATTTATTGAAGCTTGCTTGAGGTTAAATCCAGAAGAACGAATTGCTTCAAGAGATGCACTTCTGCATCCATGGCTTAGCTTTAATCAGTAGTGTAACTCAAGATAAATAGTTGGGTTTCTCTTTTAGATGTAAAATAATTTCTATGTGATAAGGAAACATTATTTTTCTTTGTATTCCATTAATTGAAAGCGATTTTCTAGCTTCAAATGCTTTAATAAATTTTAAGACCGCCAAAGGCTTAGAATTATATTTTTGGCAAATCTTGTCAATATATAGCTGGTTTTTAAGATCAAAACTGGAATCTTTCAATTTTAGTGAATTTTGACAGCTCTAAAAGCTATAATCGCTATTTATAATTAAAATGGTCCTGATTCATATTAAGAAAACTGATCTCAACCAATTTATCTATGAAGCTTCCAGAGGTACTCCTATTGCCCAGCTCATTCAAGATATCGTAGAAAGTAAGAGACCATTAGGTTAACAACTTAAGAGTAAAAGTAGATCGAGCTGCACATTTCATTGAAGAACTTGTCAAAGCGGGGCCACTTAAACCTGAAGAAACTAGAGGTCTAGCAGAAGGCGAAAACTCCACAGAGCCAGACCTGCCTGGGCACAGATTCTGTGTTGACGAAACCCATTATCGAACTGGCTGGTGCGTTCCAGAAGACCTTGGAATCAGAATTTTCGAAACAACTCAGGCCGCCAAAAGACTAATTCACAAAACTAACGCTGAAAGGAGAATTCCACTGACAAGGAATCAGCTACTAGAAGCTTTAGACTTAATGAAAGGCGCTGTAATGATGGCCTATCCAGCTTATCATGGACTTCCACCATGGGAGCCTGCAATGTTGGTACTCGAAAGTCCTGATATTAAAGAACTTGCACAAGGGGAAGATATTTTTGAAGCAGAAAACTCATCACTTTGGTTTGCTGGGAAAGAAATGATGAGAGGAAAAGATTTAGGATTTTATGTAAAAGGAAGTGAAAATACAAAAATAATCGCGAAAATACAAAAGCAAGGGCAGGGAGCGCCAGCGAGGGAGCCTGTTGTGGATGCAGATACTCAGAAAAATATGATTGCGTTTTATCATAAAAAGCAGGAAGAAGCGAAAAAGCTGATGTCAGTAGATGAAGATGAGTATTTAAATTCTGCTTGGGCTGATCCAAAGAATTTGAAGAGACAATTGAATGGGACAGGAGATGTGAGGTGGAGGATGTAGGCTGCTCTTCAATATAATAAAATTAGAATAATTATTTCAAACAAGATTTTCGTATATATAATCTTTGAACAGTTTATTATATTGATAAACCGAATGCTTTTTTTTATGACGAAACAAAAAGCCCAAAAAGAATAAAAGCCGTAAAAATTAACTTTGCCCAAAAATCAACAAAAGCCCAAAAAGTAGAAAAAGTTAAAAGAGCAAACAAGGAAAAATGACCAAGCGAGACAAAAGAGGATAAGAAAGTAATTGGGCCATACAAGGTGAATGCAGGTGGAAATTTAGAGACTCGAGAACTTGAAAATTTTGTTGGGGTGATTTCTGCTAGATTTTATAAGATAAGACAGTCGAAATTATCAGCGGCTATATGCAGAGGGGTTTCTCCCAAGTCATTTGGGATATTTGGGTTTGCTCCAGAAAGCAAGAGAAATAATATTTTTTAAAGTTGTTTGAGATCACTGAGGAAATAAGAGGAGTGGAACCGAGACGGCTGTCACGACGGTTAATAAATTGTGGATCGGATTTAATTAGTTCTCTGAACGAGGAGAGTTCTTCGAAGGAATTGGAAATGTTGTTATCATTCTTTATGAATTCTTCATTTTCAAGAGCTTGCATTTTATCAAAGAATTGTATGGCATCATAAACACATGATGCTCATTAATCAATCAATGTTAGCAATTGAAAGGAATAAACTAAACTTATAAATTTCCAATATCCAATTAAAATATTTAAATTTATCAAGATATACCATATCTTTTTTTAAATAAATTACACTGGCCTTGAGCTGCTGGATTTTCTTCTCCTCATTTCATCTAGCTTTGCTTCATATGCTTTTCCTTGTGCTAGCCTTTGCTTTAAAAACTCTTTCCTTTCCTCTTCTTCTTTCCTTTGTTTTACTTCTGGTAGCAAATTATAATTTTTATTTGTAAGTTTTCTCATCTCAGCTTTCTCTACCTTTGTTTTTTCACCTGAAGCTAGTCTTGATATTAGCCCAGGCGATGGCTCTTTAATGCTCCTATTCAGCTTGAAATTCGGATTTATAACTAATGGCTCAGGAATCAAGGTAGGCTGGCTTCTTTGCCTCACAAATTCTTTTTCTGGTTCTCTTGAAGTTTCCATATGGTTCGAAAAATTGTCTTCAGACTTCTCAGTGCCTCTTTCTGTATATGACAGTTTAGAATTAGAAATATTTATTGTGATCTGTTTTTGTGAATCTATTGTAAATCTTGTATCTTTTTGTTTTGATTCTTGATCGGTTTTACTTCTTGAGGAGACATTTAATTGGACTGATTGAGCTTCGGTAGGCTTGGCTTCTTTTGAAGAAAAAATAGATTCAGAGTAAACTGAAGGGGTATTTCGGGCAGAGTCTGGAAGTTGGCTTATAAATTGCTCATATGTGATATTGTTTGGCTGATTTGTATTGGATTGAGGCATGTATTGTGGTTGTGCATATTGAGGCTGCATGAATTGCTGGCTTTGGGGATATTGAGGAGGCTGGATATATTGTGTAGGATTGTATTGATAAGGATAGTAGGGATAGATAGGCTGGATAAATTGAATTGGAGGGATCATCTGATAAGGCGCATAGTTAGCAGGCATCTGATATACTAATGGTGGCTGCTGGTTATAGTGACTATCACGTGGCTTCTCTTTTGGTGCTGGAAATTTCCTTGGACGATTTGTTTTGGCTCCCGTTGAAGGTTTACTTTCTCTTTTTAGTTTTGATGGTCTTGCCTTGTGAGGCCTTCTTGTAGGAGATCTTGCTTTATGATTCACTTCTACAGACTCTTCATAGGTGCTTCTCAATAACTCTTCGCTATCATCACTAGATTCATATCTATCAAATCCGCTTGAATTCTGTGCAAAAGATCCGTTAAAGCTTGTGTGGGCTTGAATACTTGGCCTTGCTACATGATGAATTGTCGTTGGATTTATTCTTCCTGAAGAGACTGGCCTATGAATAACTTCAGGAATTATAGGAGCATGATCAACAGACAGAAGATTTCCAAATTCCTCAGTATCTGATATCTCTTGATATGAAGAAATAGGCACTGGCGATCTGCAAAGTGATCTAGATATAGGAATTGGTGATTTGCATGGTGATCGAGATGATGGTATTGTAGATGGCTGCAGGCTGGAAATACTTTGCCGAGTTTGGTTGATTTTTTGTTCTCAGTCTGCTAGTTCTTGCAGCTTTTTATTTAATTTTTCGTGCTCTTTTTTCAAGAGATCTCTTGTTATTTCTCTTTCGTTTCGGTTTGGTTTTGGAGGAAACCTGTTTTGTGATATAGGCTGGTCTGAAAGATAGGATTTCTAAGTAATTTTTACGCGTCTTTCCTTTGGATATTCAGATTTAGAGTTTGAGCGGATTTCTTGGAAAATTTGAGGCCGACCTCGATTATGGTCTTGCATATATCCTTGGATTTAATAAATAATGACGTTATTAAAAATAGATAGGGTTAATAAATTAAAAATTTAGAATATGAAAGAAAGAAAGATTTTGTGGCTCTAAATTTATTGGAGATTTCATGCTTTTAATGCCATCTTATCAATCTATTAATAGCTTAATTATTTGGATAATAAGCCAAATTTTTAAAATAAGACGAGCATCAATTGAATGCAATTTTCTTTTGTGGAATTTTTAGTATTTAATAGCCTTCATCACTATTTTCATTTTTCTCGGGTCTTCGTTCTATGAAGAAGCTTCAAATTTGTATTTATGAGTGTTCTGTGATGCAGACAATTACCATCTTAAATTTCAGTCATTTATTTCAATATAATTTTAAAATTTTGTTATTAATTTACCCTTTATAGGCTCATCTCCTCAAATCATCATCTAATTCATTTAAAAGACTAATATTCAACAATAAAAATTTAAGCCATTTATAATGTAGCAATAATTTAATAAATTTTAGTAACACTTAATTTAAGATAGCCAATAAAAATTTTGATAGCATTATTCCTAAATCTGTCGATTAAAAAATGAAAAGATTTCCTCACCCCCCCCTTTAAATTGGAACAAAATATAGGTAAATTTCCACTTTTTTGGTAAATTAACCCCCTTTAAATTGGAACAAAATTTAATTTTATAATAAAAAATTATATATAATTTTTATCTAAAAAGTTTTGATATAAGTTAAATGTTTTTTCTTAACTAAATTAAAATTTTAGTTATATATTGCTCTTGTTTAAAGAAGAGAGTATAAGAGCATCTTATTTAAATAAATTTATTATCCTTAATTGCAAAATTTTTTTAAAAAATTTTTTATTTTTTTATAAAAATTTTATATTGATATGTTTTTTTAAAATTAACCCCCCCTTTAAATTGGAACAAAATTTTTTGTGCCAATTTAAAGGGGGGCAGTCAGTTTTAAAATTGTGATAATAATATGTCTAAGAACATTGAAAATATTAGTTCTTTTTGGCTACAAGAAATGGCAAGATTCTGAATTTGTTCCGTACATTCCCTATGAAGCTCTACAATATTTTCTATTTGCCTAGCAGCCAAAACTACTAAAGGCAAAGAAAAAATTTACTGCCTGATACAGTTTTTAGCAGAACTTTATCGACTCACAATGAGCAAGTGGCAAGAAGCCATGAAAATTTCTGAGTCTACAGAAGCTATTCAGCATGCCTTGCATGTTGAAAAGTATATGAAAAATGGAAGAAAGCTAATGAGGGCTGGAATGTTCTTAGATGATTTAGCTTCTATCAATAAAATATTTGGTGATCAAAAGTGAAAAGATGTGGCTAAAATCATTAAAATATTTTACCATATATGTTCCGCAATTTATTATGCACTCGATAATTTAGCATGGGTAACCGAAAACAGTCTATTAAAACTGCCATATCAAAATATTTCATCGAGACTGAAGAAACCAAAGGATTCTTTGTCCTTTGCTAGAAATATTTTTTTAATCACAGTCATCATAATTGATATGCGAAGAAACCTCGAAATTCAAAAAAGAATGAAAGCCAATAGAAACATTTATGAGCATCTATCTAAAGACCATGCATTGGATATCAAATTTGTGCACAACATGATTGAAAAAAAAAGAGAAATGAAATTTTGTATTGTTGATTTAACAATTAATAGCTTGAAAGCTGCCATGTCTTATAAAACATTAGGATTGCCTGGATCGAAATTCTTCAGTCCTATATTTATCAATCTCTGTGGAATTATTTCTGCAGCGCTAGCAATTTACTGCAATATTTTTAACAGCGATTGCAGCAAAGGACAATCATCTGAAAACGGAGAGAAAATAAATTTCAAAAAAAGAACAGAAAGTTTGTAGAAAGCTTATATTTTAAGCATTTATTATAGTTTTATATAAATAATTTTATAAATAGATTAATATTAAAGTAAGTATACGGTGAGAATTATTATAGGAATAATTATAGTCTTATTAAATTAATATGGATAAAGCTATACAAATTTTGGATTTTATTGATGCAAATGAATTAGAGTGAATTAATTTGAGAAGAGAGCTAAAAGAAGAAATGTTTGGAGGATTAAGTGAATTAGCAAACTTTAATTTAACAAGAGAAGGAGTTGGATTGGATATATCAACTTTGATTGAAGATGAAAGCACTGTCAACGTTGATTTTTCTGGGGATAGAGTCAGGATAATTGAAAATCCGCAGCCTAAATTAGCATTTCCTTATAATCAGCCTCCGATTGCCAAGGCAAAGAGAAGGTTCCAAAATGTCCTTCAAAAAGCTGCTGATTTAATATTATTACGCCAAAAACTCAACACATTAACTGCATCACTTAAAACGTTTAAGGTACCGAACGCCACACTCGAACTAAAAGGAGAGAGCCGATATAGTGACATCACGAGCATTTCCGATCCAAAAGGTCGGACCATTCAATGTGCCGCCTGCTGCCCTGACCAGAGTTACTTACTCAGCGCGATTTCGTCACCCCTTTTCTGGCTCAGCTCCTAGCGTGTTCTGCCTAAGGGTCATCTTCCTCAGGTGTGCTGAGAAGCAAAACTCTAAGCATCTTCCTTGAACTGTGAGACTGCTTCTCCTGCTATCCCTAAAGTTAAATCGCTGTTGCTGTGCAGAAGTTCTCGAGAGAGAAAAACCAACCCATAAATAAAATTCCATGAGAGAAAGAAAATTAGCAGAACTATTTTTCTCTCGAACCTAAAGCTATTTTATATTTTATACTAAAAACTCAACACAATTTTATTAGAAAATTAACTTCAATTCATTGAGAATAATTTATGATTTAAGAACTTTAATGCTTACTTAAGAATAAGTGTATTGAATAAGATACTCCTATGCATTTATTTTAATAAATTTCCCAAATAGATTACTCAAAAGAAGTTAGTGATTATGCTGTTCTAAGCTTATTAATATCTAGCAAACTTTTCCATTGCTTGGCCTATCCACTGATTGATCATTGCGACTTCTCTGGAGCGTGCATAGATAACAGACTGAGGATCTCTTGGGTTAGGAGTTCTTAAGTCCAAATGATGAGCTCCTCCTTTGATTCCAATAACTGTAGTTTGATCATTAATAGGTTCCTGTATGCACCCACCTCCCCATGGATCAAGAGTTCCATAAGAAAATACAATATTTGAAGCTGAAGCCAGAGTAACATTGACATCAAATGTCCCCATTCCATAGTTTATAGGTGCCCAATCAGGTCTCGGCTGAACTCCAAATAATCCTTGGCACATCTTAGCCCATTGCTGGTAATTCCAAGGTCTCACTGGGTACATATCATTAGGCAGCCCATATTGGCCTAATGGGAAAATAAGCTCGGTGCAAGTTTGGTAAGTCCATGGGTCTAGGCCACTTCCTTCACCTCCATAGATATCGAAACAAGTTAAGTTTCCAGTCCAGTTATAAACCAAATTATTAATCTGAGCAAAGCCCATCAAAGCTTGCCACATGTTTTCATTCTGACTCCCCCCCTCCCTTTAAATTGGAACTAAAAATTTTGTTCCAATTTAAAATGGGGATTAATTTTTAAAAAAACATATCAATATAAAATTTTTTATAAAGAATGTGAAAATTTAAAAAAAAAAATTTCAAAAACTTATCGAATTAGATCAATAAATTTGTTTAATAAAACGCTATTTACTCTTTATCCTTTAAATCAAAGCAAGATATAACTAAATTTTCATTATTAGTTAATACGCCACTATTAATGGTATCAAAAAATTATTTACACACAAAAATTATTATTTTTATTGATAAAAAAAATTAAAAAAAAAAAAATTTAGAAAATTTATCGATCAAAGTGCTAATTTTGTTTAAATAAGATGCTATTTATACTCTATTCTTTAAAATAAAGCAAGAGATAAGTAAATTTTGAAATTTTATAAAGAATTCCTATTGAATTTATATCAAAATTATCCAAATAAAAAATATCATTTTTATCAAAAAAAACAAAAATTTTTTTGAAAATTTTTTAAAAAAAAAAATTAATTTTGTTTTAAAATTTAGCAATTAAGGATAATAAATTTATTTAAAATAGATGCTCTTTATACTTTTTCTTTAAAAAAGATCAAGATATAAATAAATTTTTAATTTTAGTTAAGAAAAAACATTTAACTTATATCTTAACTTTTTAGATAAAAATTATATATAATGTTTTATTATAAAATTAAATTTGTTCCAATTTAAAGGGGGGTTAATTTACCAAAAAAGTGAAAATTTTACCTATATTTTGTTCCAATTTAAAGGGGGGGAGTGAGAAAATTGAGACATAATGGAGCATGACACATTCACAGGGAATCCTGGCAAAAGGCCTCCTACATTGGCAGGGTATGGGTAATCAAGCTGCGACATGTCTTGGAAAGCGCCTGTAATGAAATCTTCTAAAGCTAGCACGTCACCTTGCTCTTGTATTGACTGGCATGGGTTGAAAATGTTTTCAAGGGCTGTATAAGTTAAAGGCCTGTCAATAAAGTTATCTAGGATGAGGAATCCATTGTGGATGTTCCCTTCACAGTCTCTTTCTACATTGAAATAGTCGTTTGTGCTGATTCTTGCATAAGAAGTACCATTAACGTCTTGAGGCATTAAAACAGGGGCAGAGCTCGCGATGGCACCGTCCACAAATTGTGGATACTTAACGCGGAAGTAAGCTGCAAGCATCCCACCGTATGAGCCTCCAAATACAATAACTGGGGTTGAGTTGCTTGGCTTTAGCTGCTGGATGATGTCAGCGAAATCCCAAAGGACTTGGTCAGTGCTCAGGTATTTCCATGAAAATGGGCTTGGGATTGATTCACCATAGTATCGATGCTCAATAAACGCAACTGATGCATTGTATTGTGGACCAAGGGTACCAACAAGCCACCCAGTCATTTGATAAAATTGAGTGATTGGGCCTTCATTGCCAGTGTAAACAAAGAGAGGTGCGGTAGGGCTTCCCTGACTGAAAAGCACTCGGATGTTAATTGTGCCTGGATCTCTATTGATGTGATCTAGTTGCTCAGTAAACCAGAGTGTTTTATAATTCGGACCAATCTCAAGCGGCTCATCATTATTGAGTCTTGTAAGGCGTTTTGAGAAAACACCTAAGAAAAGTGTGAAAAAGAGTGGCACCATTTATTTCTCCCAGACTTTAGGAAAAGCTTTAGGTATTCATTCAGCGCAAATAAATCAACAGCTGATTTTATGTGAAATTTTGTGATGTTATTGGTGAAAAGATCAGAGTTTGGGAAAATATTAGTTAAATGTTAAAAAATGTGAAATTCTAATAAGTAAATCAATTAAATGAATAATTTTAAAATGTTGCGCAGCTAAATTTTAATCAATTTAATTCTTTTATATATTTTCATTATTTTCTTCTTGATTACAATTTTTTCACTAATGGGAAGTTTTATGTTTTATTTATTTAAATAAATTTAGTGAAGACCATAAAATGCATATTCTATGAAAAATTGTATGCATCATTTAATCTTTAGATGCGTTATTGATATTTTTCAAACAAAGAGCTTCTTTGGCTTGCATCTAAACTCTTTGAACTAAAGATTTGTCTAAGCCTGCTTAAATCATTCCATGTAGAGCTCAATATTTAGATAAAAGAAAGGCTGCATCCTAGATTTTATAATTATTACTTCTATAAATTAACACAATAATTATGATTACTCCATTTAAGTATATCTGAAAACATTAATTCTTGTAGTTGCTTAAAGTTAATTTTTAATTGTGTTTATAGTCCAATCCTTCTTAATTAAGCACTTTATAAATACTTTAATAAATAATCAATAAATTTAGATATCAAAATTCCATTTAAATATTTAATTTAAATTCATATCTGTAGAGTCAAAAACCTTTAACTCTTTTCTAAATCGTTACATTAAAGTTTCATGATTCTAATTTTATTACCTCTCTACTTATTAGAAATACAATTAATACTTCTTAATAATAAAATAATAACAAAATATGAACTGGAAGAAGAAACTCTCACTGTTTGGAGTAATTGGAGGGATACTCAGTTATGATGTGGTACTAATTTGCTACTTAGCTATGGCGAAATTCGAAGAGCCAATGATTATGCTTTTTTCTGATATCTTTTTCGCCCTCAGTTTCATAGCAAACCCTTTACTACTTGCGCTAATTACAAAATACACCTCTGAGTTTTATGGAACGAAATATATAAGCAGACTATTTCTGTTTTTCCCTTTATCTCTTTTCTTTACCAACACATTTCTCGCACTTCACCCTATAATTATGCAAAAATTATTGAGGTTTATGGGAGTCCGTGACTACAGTATAATTCTTTATTCTATCATTTTCTTATACATGGGGAAATTATGTAGCACAGGGGTTTTAGACGTATTTTGCCAAGCACTTATTATAGGGAATAATATTTCAGCGTCAGGGAATATAACTCCTTTAGATTTAATTTACATTGTTGCTGTAATTATAGCCGGACTTATATTGTTTTCGCTATCATTATTTTGTTGTGCTGATATTATAGGGGAATATCTTGAGCAATATTCGGAACAAAATTCCATAAGAGAAACATTAATTACTCCAAATTTTATTGAGTATACGAAGAACAGAAAGGAAGAAGTTTGTAATATATGCCTTGATGAATTCAAAGAAGGAGACCGAATGGGAGAAATGCCTAATTGTGAGCATGCGTTTCATCAAGAATGCCTGATGAAATGGCTTGAATATAAATCTATGTGTCCTATATGTAGAAATCAAGAATAAATTAATTTAATTTGTTTTGAGTTTTATGCTAGAATTATTGAGTTAATTAAATATTATTAATTTTTAAAAATTATAAAATATAATTGCAGGTAGATTATTAAGAATTCTTTATTAATTTTAATAATTTTTGTTTTTGAAAGCTAATGAATAAAATAGATGGCAGATAACTCAAAAAAATCAGCTGAATATCATTGGCTGAGGCAGGGATCAATGATATATTTATATATTGATATCCAATCATTAGAATTTTTCTGGAGTGTCGAATAGGTTCTATAAAAATTAGCAACCATTAATATAAACTGTGGTTTGGTAGTTATATTTAGTCATTATTTTCAGTTCAAATGCAGGGAGTTACCACAGGATTGATGATTAGCTCACTCAGTGACAATTGAAATCTTAGCTGAGATCTCCAGTCGTTGATTGTAACGGTTAAAATTAGGATACCTCCTCGGTGTTTACATCTGAGGATTTCTGAGCGATAGATATGGAAAAATGTTTTCTTTTAAGAAAAATATCATAGTTTTGATTCTCACTTCTTTCGATTGACAAATTCTAGCTATATCATGGCTTTTATATTAGCTATATTTTTCGGTTTCAGAGCTTATGGAGATCTCATAATAGCTGGCATAATATTTTTAGTTTTATCCACCAAAAATATAAATTCGCTGGAATTAGTATTGTTAATGTGGATCGAAAAAAATGAAAAGTTAATAGAAAATTATTTTCAAAATCTCCCAATGTTTCCTTTGAGGGCATCGTTTGCTTAATTTTAACACTTTTTACGATTGAGAGCTCAAAAATTAAATAAATAAAATCGAAATTCATAACAAATTAAATAATTTCTTTTAGCTTAATAATGGTAGTTATTGCTCATAATTTTTGAATCTATAGATATTTTCAATCTCTCCTTAATCCAATATATAAATTAGAGTCGCTATATGAGGATAGAAACCACAGGATATGCCTAAAATTCGAAGCTAATGAATCTATGGAAAAAGATCTCGAAAAATTATAATCAAAGGAATCAAACATTACTAGCAAATAATCAATCTAATGTATAAATCTACTATAAATTTAGTAGTAGAACTTATTTTTTTCTCATACCTAGCAATGCACATTTCTAAAATCGAAATCTGTGAGTAATTAAAAAAATCTGTTTTTTCAATAGAAAAAAACTCACTATTTCATATTAATAGAGATACAGGAGGGAGGAGTTTATTTAGGTGTGGCCGGAAATCATACCCCCTGACTCCCCCTTATAGGCGAGTTTTATTAAAATGGATAGAAATCTCAGGAAGTTCATAAAATGCAAGCCCTTATCTGATTAACAGATAAAAAGACATATACTTGTTTCATCAATTTAGAATAGCCAATATATTATTAAAATGGCTGTTCAGCTATTTTATAAAAAAACGAAATGAGTTCGTTATTTGAGTAAACAAGGATTTATTTCATTCAAAAGTTGAGAAGTATTTTTTTATTTTAAGGAATAAATAAATTCTTAAATTTTTCTAATATTAGTTTCTTATTTATACGTATATAGAACGAGAAAAAAAGAAGTATAGCGATAGCTTGAATTTGCATTATATTTTGACAATTTTGTTCCACTTTTTGCCATGCGTTTCTGCTCCATTATTGATGTCATAAAAGTGCACAAAAATATAGTTCTTGTATTTTGGCATGTAATAAACCCTTGTTTACCCAAAAACAAACTCTTTTGTTTTCTATAAAATAGCTAACTCACCCTCCTCATAAGCGAGCAAAACCATTGCTAAATCCCTATTTTTGCTCAAACACCCTTCTTGAGCGAACAAAAAAATTTTATGAAAAAAATTTTGATATAAGTGATAATTAGTATAAATGAAATTTCTAGCTAATTCTGATCAATTTTAAACAGCTTGCATTTTAAAGTATAAAATTTATAAATGAAATAAATATTCGTTTTCCAATTTTTGCGAATAAGGATTTTTTAAGTCTAGAAAAAAATTTCTATAAAATTTATATTTAATATTATTAAAAAAAAAATTAACCCATGAGCGAACAGAATATTTTTTTTTCTCTATTGAAAAACATTTTTTTTTAATAGACTCATAGATTTCTATTTAGGAATGTGCATTGCTATTGTTAGGTATAAGAAAAAAACTAAATTTTAGCTTTAAATATTATAGTAAATTTACTCATTTGATTGATTATTTGCTTTAATATTTGATTCGTTGGACTATGAATTGCTGAGATCTTATTCCATAGATTCATTAGATTCGAATTTTAGGCAAATGTTGTGGTTTCTATCATTTAAATAGGCCTAAATTAGAGCTTAATTAATGGAATTTCCAATTGAATCTAAAAATCAAGACTTATTCCTCATCATTGAAGGCGAAAAGTTTGAAATAGACAGCTGAATTTTAAGGGACATAAATGCAAAACTGCCTACTATTTTGCCTGCTTCTATAACAAAAACTCACTTTTCCCAATTTTGTGCTTTTCTTTCTTCACCAAAAACAAAAATCAAGGATCAAGAGTCATTATGCAAAATTTTTGAAATTGCAGCAATTCTTCAGCATCCACTTACTCCCTGTTTTAATGATTGCTAGTTAATTTTCAAAATTAATTATTCACTTTCATTAAGATTAAGATTACGATAACTCTTTGCAGACCCCCACTTAGCTTAGGGTCAATCTAAACAAGCTCTTCCTTCATGAATTCCATCCACTAGCTAACAGCTCTGAACAACGGTAGGTGGAATCGGCCTAACCGTCGAGCCGTTACAGTTGCCTATGGCCCGGACGAGTCTCTCTTCATGGCTTGAATGCGATTCAAGCACACTTGGGGATGCCGGAGCAGTTCCAACGCTAATTTCCTTCAGAAAGGTTGAACTTCCCTCACTAGGACGAGTATAGGGGACGAGACCCCTAACTCATACATTCCATTTTTAATTGTATTCACTCTCATTAATTTATTATCAAAAATTATTTTTTATAAATAGAGAAATAGTGAAAAAATATCACAAAATATGATAATCCCAAGACTTAACAAAAACTCTTCACTTATTTTCTTTGATGCAGCCGTTAACCAAATTAAGACACAAAACAATGATTTATGAAATGATATTTACGAGGCTTGTTTAGTTACAATTGATGATTATATTTTTGCATATACAAAAAATGATTTTTTATGTCTATCAATTGACTCTATTCAAGCCTTGCTGAATATATATTACAATCAACAAGTAGCTTCAACAATAATTCTTGCATTAAAATTAAAGAGAGAGGCTTTAGGTATTTTTGATTTATTAAACAAAGAAGAGCTAATTAATAGCAAGTCATTCTTCCTACCTGATATAGACTATAATTGGGTTTTGCCAAAAGACAAAACTACTATTTACTTCGAAAGCGAAGCATTTTTAATAGAAAATCTCAAATTTTCACTGATTTTAATTAAATTTCCAAATGAAAATAAATGTGAGCTCTACCTTCAATCGTCAAGAAACGCTGAAGAACAAAGAATCATCACTTTAAGCTACACATTAAAAATCGCAGAAAAAAAATACAAAAATGTCGAGACAATTAATATGATTTCTGGGCCAAATTCCCAGTTTCTTATTCTCTCATTCGCTATAGACTTAATTAGCCAACATCTAGAAACCAGAATAAATTTCTGCTTAAAATTAGAAAAGATTATGTCAGCAATCCTCAATTACATTGCTGAGAATCCTGATGAAAGTTTATTAATTGAAGATCTTTCTACCTTTTCACGTGCTAGGCTAAGCCTATTACTTAAATTTAAGCATTTAAAAATTGCTAATGAAGATGATGCTTTAAATTTAGTAGGGAGATTTGCCCAGGAAAATAATATTAGTCATGATGCGCTCTCTGATCTACTAGGCCCTATTAAATGGGAATTTGTTTCTTCTAGAGCCTTATTCAGGTCTGCTTTTACTTATAAAGCTTTAGGAGAGTCTCCATATTTTATCCAAAAATTTAACCAAGAGTTATTTTTTAAGACAAATTGCCAGAAGAGGAAGCATCAAGAAAGGCCTAGACTAAGCTGTTTAGACCTCAAAAATGAAGGAAAAAATGTTCTTGATGACTTTTGCAATTGTTTTTTAGATGATGAGGAGCCACCAAAAGAAACTGAAGCTGTATATTTAAATGAAATTTTATGTAGGAAAGATTTAGAACTCCAAAACTTAAAAGGCTCATTCAATTCTCTCTCTTTAACAAGATGCACAAGCACTCCTGACATTATGCAAACTAAGCCCCATGACGAAATGCTTGACATCAGTCCAGAATTCCCTCCAATGTCCCCAATAAAAAAATTCAGACGGAGTGAGTCCCCATTAAACCCAATTCCTGAGCTTATTCTCCCAGACAAAGCAGAAACCACTGATTTCGCAATTCTCTCACTTCTCAGCAAGCTTGAAAAATATTAACCTATCAATAATATAAATAGTAATCCTATTAAATCTGAAGTTTTTATATTTTAATGGAGCCGAAGATTTATATAATCGGTGGAGGTGCTGTTTTGCTTATAGGTATCATCCTTTTTGCCTTATCATTTGACTCAATAGAGCCAACTGAATGGGGATTGTGCTACAATACTTGGACCAAGACAGTTTATGAAGATGAAATCTACGCAGGAGGCAGATATGTGATAGGTTTCACTAACTCCTTTATAGCTTTCCCTAGGAATTTAAGAACTATTGAATTTTCTGATACCCCACATGCTCAAGGAGGGTCCCTTAAAACGAGAACTAAGGAAGGTCTTTCACTGGGTCTTGAACTGTCTTTCCAATATGAGCTGATTAGGAACAAAATACCTAAGCTCTATGAAATTTCTAATGTGAATTTTGAACAAACCTTTATCAGAATTGCTAGAGACACGATTTTGCAAGAAGCAGGCAACCATCAAGCCCCTGAATATTGGACCAATAGAACACAGATTGGAAATACAATGAGAGAAATCCTAGACGTTGAATTGCAGCATGCCTATGCATACTGTAGAAGCTTGCAAATAATGAAAATCATTTTACCTGATAGCTATGAGCAGAGCATTGTGGATACGCAAGTTGAAGTCCAGAAAACGACAATGAAAGGATTTGAGCAGCAAGCAGAAGTTGTGAGACAGAAAAGTTTGGTGCTTCAGTCAGAATGTGATCAAAACATTACCATTATTGAATCAAGTGCAAATGCCCAGGCTTATTTCTTGATCTAGTTAATAAAATGGAAAATATCTAGCTAGAGAGCATGCCAAAGTGAATTTTGGCAGTGAAAGGAGGAGAGCACCTAAAGGATAAGAGGGCTAATATATCAGATTAAAACTTGAGAAAGATGTTATAAGAGGCTCAGCGCTAGGGGTGGCTTATATACTTAACCAGAAGATGAATCTGATGTGGAATCACACGAGAGAAAAATGATCAGATACTGTAGGAATGAATTTGCAGAAGTAAGACTTGGAAGACGTTTAAGGGAATAGAGGAAAAGTGGGAAAAGCAGGCATGAGCAAAATACATGGAGAATTGGACGGGAGGTAGGAGGAAAAATTATAATTTATGAAATTGTGCTTTATACAGAGAAATTTTTGGGATGATTAGTAGGTGAGCATTGAGAGAGTGTCGAGTTAGATTTGCAGTAATTTATAGATAAGATATTCTTGAAAGAGCTTGCAAAATCTATCGCGAGCACTAATACATTAGAAATGCAAGCATATGTCTACTCTCAAGCTATTGATCTTTTGGGCTTTTCTCAAGAAGAATTTAGTGAGTATTTATTCTTAAGGTCAGTCAAAGATAAAGATAACGCTACCGTTGTTGTTGGAGTTGACAGCGCAATGATCCAAGTAAAAGGCTAAACTCTTTTAAGCTAAACTCTTTGACTTACTTAGGTTTCCTATAATTTTACATCTAGTTCTCTAATTTCCATAAATTTATCTATGAGTTCATCAGTAACTTCTTTTTTCTTCACCTTATGATCCTCTACCAGCTTTTGTAGCAGCCCAATTAAATCCTTCTTAACTTCCCCTGTTGTGATTTCTCCTTTTCCATATTTCTGCCTAATTTCATCTAATCTTTCATCATCTTCCATAAGGAAACTTAAATATTGAAATGGGACATCAACTTCTAAGTTCGCGCCTTTCTCCCTGTGATCTTGCAACGTTTTTCCACCTCCAGAAAAGGCAAAACTTTTTATTTTTCTTTCAATTTCTTTTTTGCTATCTGTTAAATAGATTGCAGTGTTTTCGTCGCTTGCTGACATTTTAAGGATCCCCCCCTCATTTGTCCAATTTTTAGTCTTTTATCATTTGTCCATTTTTCTAGTTTTTTTTATAGGACCTCATTTGTCCAATTTTCTAGTTAAAATTTTGATAACAAAAACAATTTTCAGGACCTCAATTGTCTCATTTTCTAGTTTTTTTACAGTAAAAAACTAAAATTTAGGACATTCAAAAAAATCCAAAAAAGACTAGAAAATGGGACAAATCATTTTTGACTAGATTTTGGGACAAATAAGGTCCTGAAAAAAAACTAAAAAAATTAGACAAATGAGGGGGGAATCCTTAGTATGAAGTCCTTGTAGAGCAGGGAAAAATTTTGCATGAAGAACTGCGGGTTTTAAATAATTTATTTTTGGGGCTATGTCTCTGGTAAGCCTAAAATATGGGTCTTGATCAATAGCTTCTGGGATTAAGCAAGGGATATCATTTTTATTTCTAAATATATGTGGAAAAGAATTCGAAAATGCTGGGACAGCTTGTAATGGAGGATAAGCGATTTTTCCTACACAGTCACTCCCATTGAAGCCGAAGCATCCAAAAATTTGATTTACTGTCAGATGTTTTTGCATTTTTAGAAAATTTGGATATAGGAAATTAATGTAAGAAGTGTCTGTAAAAATAAAGGTCTTGTTTAAGTCAAAGCCACAGGCAATTATATCTCTAATATTTTCTCTTGAAAAATGCTTTACTTGCTCTAATGATAATTCTTGTCTATACAAATATTTTTCATCATCTGTAATTTGGATTACTACAGGGACATCAAATACTTCTTGAAGCCATTTGTTCAGTATAAACGGTATCATATGCCCTAAATGCAGCGCAGCTGAGCTTGGGCCTCTTCCTGTATACAAGTAAAATGGCTTCTTCATCTTAGCTGTATTTAAAATCATCTCTAAATCTCTATGTGCAAAATAAATTCCTCTTCTTAATAAATGATGAGCTTTTTTCCCAGTTATTTCTTCAATTTCTTTAATATGAGCTGGTAGCACCTTTTGGCATCCAAATTGAGCTATAAGTTTGTCATAGTCGACTCCTTTTTCACTAGCTTGAATATTAAAAGGAGTGACTATATCTTCAATTAAATCCATTTATGTTTAAATGAATATATCTTACAAGAATTAATCAAAATTTAGACTGGATCAGTGATGCAAAGCTTTTCGGAATCGAAATATAGAAGATCTACTACTTTGGAAAGGTTATCTTGAAGCATCTCTCGCTTCCTAACGTTAAGTAGACTGAGAAGATTGGAAAAAGACATATTCAACTCTTTGCTTTCTTGAGGATTTGTAGCCAAAATTGAAATTTGTTCTTTTCCACCGAAATCAAGTTCGTAAATTCTGACGAAATAAAAATTTTCTGATTTTAGCTTGCTTCTTCCTCTATATAGTAGCCTTCTTCTTGGCTTTTCTTTTGTTTCTGCTGTTCCTAAAACCACAAATCCATACTTAATCTCAACGATTTCAATAAGTTTTGTTTGATAAATCCCTATAAGTTCATCAAATTTTCATATCCCAAGCATTTCGCATATTTCACCTTCAGAGTAGCAGCTGTATTTTGGCTTTACAACTCCTGAAACTAAAGGAATAGCGTCTACAATTACATTTGACTTTGCCAACTTTCCTCCTTGTTGACCTCCAAGGTCTTTAAAAGTTTTTTGGCTTAACCCTTCTTCTGTGACTGTGATAAAATATAAAACCCCGTTAAATTCTTTTTTGCCAAACGCGATATACTCTTTTAAAAGCTGATTTTTGATTTTTCTGCCTTTGAATCTTTTATAGTCTTTATATCTTCTTATGCAGCTTTGAATCAGTAGAAGTGCTTTGGCTATATCCTCAGACTTTGCAGCTGGAGAGCTCCAGAATTCAAAATTTTCTTCAGAAATTGGTGAAATATAGGAATTTAGGTTTGGAGGATTTCGAATACTAGTGCCAGCTGTCTGTGAAATATCAGTGCTTGATGGAAATGGATTGTTAAAACTTGGGCTATTAGGTTTATTTTCTTTTGAAATTGGTTGAAGCTCTTTTATGGATGGGGGATTAGGAAGGTTTTTTGATGAAGTTAAGCTCACTCTTTGCTGCCTGACTGTTGGATTTTCTTCTGGCTTTGTTATTTTTGGAGGAGTCGGAGAAACTCTTATAGGGAGTTCTTTTGAGGTAGCTTTATTTAAAGGAGTTTTGGCTTCAGGCTCTTGCTTTGAGCTTTTTTCGGCGATCTTATTATTTTTTGGGTTTGAGAGAGATGAAATACCTGGCTGAGGGCTTAATCTGGAGATATTCTTTACTTCTTCAGTTATTTTTGAAACTTGAAGCCTTTTAGATGAATATGATTTTTGTGTAATTTTATCTTTTTGATCTTGCTTTATATTATTAATTAATTATTAATTATACCAAACTGCCTTTTGATAAGACTTGAGATACTAGCAAAACTTATCTTTCAAATATTAAGTCTTTGAAAAATTACAAAGCTGTAGAATTTTGCTTCATGATTGACTGCATTGGCTTAGCTTTAGCTCAATCCAGCTTTTAAGAGATTTGCCTTTTCCTCATAGGTTTCTTCCTCTTTAAAAGACCCATTAGGCAATGATTTGCCCGCTGAGTGGCCATTTTAGTCGACAAGTAAATTGGTCTGACCAAAAAGGCTACCAACAGAAAATAAAGTTATCTACATTTTTTTGCCATTTAATTTCCTAGCATAGACTTTGCTTTATTAAAAGAGTAGTCTCTTTATTGTTGTGGTTATTTTTCTTCGCGCTTCCATCTGCTTCTGGTTCATGGCTTAGAAGGAGAGTATTTTTTTCATTGAAATTATGATTATCTTTTTTAGTACTTTTAGTTTCTTCCACTTCATTGTTTAAAAGGGAAGTGGTTTCCTCATTAAGATGAATAATTGATATCTGTGAAACGAACGATTTTTCAACAGGCTCACTTTCTCGTTTCCCATCTTTCTCTTCTTTAATAGCATCAGATTTTGGATAATTGTTTTCTTCATGAAGATTCCCTATAGGAAATTGTGGACTCATTGGCTCTGTGTCGATTTTTTTATCATTTTTAGAATCAGCTCTCATAATACTTTGAGTAATTATCGAATTTTTCTCATTTAAAAGATATATTTTTTCATCAAAACCTAATGTTTTTTCTATTTTGTCTTCCTTATTGCTCAGAGTTTTTTCTTTTGTGAAATCAATTTTTTCTAAAGTAAATTGATTTTCTTCAGAAATCGACTTATTTTCAATAGAGCTATCTAGGGAGCCCTCATTTTTTGGGATTGAAGTAATTGATGAATAACCATTCGCTTCAATTATTGGCGTAGTTAGTAAATCTTCTTTACTTCATATATTTGTCTTTTTTTGTGATAAAGCTATTTCATCTGAAGCTTTTGTCTCTTCTTTATTAATCATTGCGGTAGTTTCACTATCTTCTTCACTTTCTTCATCTAAGTTTCCATCTTGGCTTATTTTATTATCAGTTAATATTTCCTTGCTTTGCAGCCTATCTGTCATATGTGGGCTTGGGTCTCGAGCACGATTAATAGTTGGGTCGTTTAAATATTTCAATGCAGGATTTAATTCTTTGCCAGAGTTTAGCATAAATGCTGCAGTATTATCAATTGGAATAAGCATATTTTTTTGTTGTATTTCATGCAATTTTTTTAACTCCGCCCCCCGTGAATGACTCAATTTTTGGTCCTGCTTATATATATCGCTGTTTGATTTTAATCCTGGGAGCTTCATATTTTTCTTGTTATTTTGGGTTGCATTACTTTGTACTTTTCGACCATTTCCCTTACCAAATCTTTCTTCACTAGCCTTTATTGACGAATTTTCATTAGGAAATTGTGACCTAATATATTGTAAATATTGGCTATTTTCTTCATTAATTTCATATTTTTCTTCAAGCTGCCTAATATAATTATATCATTGTTCTGCCTGCCCATTATTATCTTGATTTATGCGAATAACACACAAGATACTAGCTGCATCGACCAAGCATTGAATAACTCCTTTATTTTCATTTGAATCTATATTTAACAGATGCTCAGCAAAGGAAACTGATTTTTTAGCCTTGCTGATCGCTTTGTCTATATTTTCATTTTCTAGATACAGTGTGCATACCCTTAAATAAATTTCAGGAATTTTCACTCTGCAGCTTGGGTTTTCTTTTGCAAGCTTTAAGGCATCTTGTTGGCATTTTTTAAGCAGCCCAAGCTTATTTTCTGATTTAGCTATTTCCCCAAGTAAGAGTTTCATTTCGATATTGATCTCCGGGACCAATAAGTTGTATTTGGTGAGAAACGCCATAAACTTTTCAGAAATTTTCAGTGCTGAGTTTAGTTCAAAATTATCAATGTAAGATTGAATTATTTCAATTGTGCGAGATGTGAAGGAAGCAATAAGACTTGTCGAGCCAGCGGTAAGATGTATGGAAAGCTCTGGAGAGCCAAGATCTGATGCGGAGATTAAGGATAATATTTTTTCTTCTATGTTAAATCTATCGATTGTTCCAGATAAGAGCTGTATTATATTAGAGGCTAGTTGAGATTCTGACATTGCTTTGGTTTGAATAAATTTATAAAAAATTAAATAAAGTTTTTGAAAAAAATATAAAAGATATAATTTTAGTGCTTTATAATTGCTTTGGTTCGTGTAAGTTATTTTTATTGATTAGAGATAGGATTTACAATTATCTTTAATAAAAATTTGTTAAAAGTTATATAAACACTGCTTTTTAGGTCAGATAAAATTTTATGAATCCATTATTTATTTAATTAAGCATGCCTTATTCTATACCCATTTAAATTAAACATTAATATTAATAAAAGTTTGTGAAAAATAAATAAGCTTATCAAAAATATTCTATACCTGACAATAAGCAAGATTTAAAATAAATTTATTAATCAAATCATGGTTTTGAGTATCGTGTATCTATTTAATTAATAAATCATTTTGTGATTTTGCTAATATGCGTCACTAGTTGCTTTTGCTTATGATATTTATAATTTAAAAATGATTTTGCATGCCGAGATCTTAACTATAAATTTTGTATGTTTTATAATGGCTCTTTTACATATGATATTAGTAAAACAGCCAATGCAGCTTATGCACAATTTTAAAATGCATCATTTTCCATAATTATTAAAACAATATTGAAAAAGATATCCTCCTGGTAATTTATCAATATTGATTAATAGTAAAAACTTTTTTTTAATTAGTAATACTGATTTGGATAAATAATTTAATAATCATGAAGCAGCATACTGAATTAGTCAGAACTTCTTCTTCAAATATGCTATTTTTTATGTTTTCTTTGTTTTTTACCTGAATACAGCAGAGCTTTAGTATAGAAATTACTGTCATATTTGACACCAGGATAAAAAGGGCTGAAACTTGGAATGAGACATCTTTTCTCGATCAACTTCAAGCTGAAAATTCAGCCGTTGAGTGGCATATCTGTCAATGAATAGTTGCAGCTAGTTGCATAGAGAATTACCCAAGCTCATTAATAGTATTAGATCTATCAGATGATATTGAAATTCAATTTTCTGTCTCCGAAATTTGCGCACGCAATAACCTAGTTCATTTAGTTTGAGAAAATAATCTCAGCTACAGCAATGACTGAACCTTCTCAATTGCTCCTCCATATAGTGCTCAATTGAAGGCATTTTTTGCCGTTTTACAATATTTTAATTGGACTCAAGGCGTTCTAATAATTGATGATATTTCACAAGGCACGCAAGATCAATTTAGGGAATATTCAAGTGATATAAAGACTTTAATTGTGGAGTCACATACAAATATAAATGACTTGGTTAACAGAATTGTAGTCCCTATGGGCTCAACTCTGTATTATATTTCTATACGTTTTACTGATACAAAAGATCTTCAAGAAGCATTAATTACAGCAAAACTCTTAACCACTGGAAATGGGATTTTACTTGCACAGAGAAGTGGCTATGAGTGCGAAATTGAAGGATCATTAATCATCTCTGAGCTAGGCTATGAAAATATCAGCTCAGAAGTAAATTATATGAAAAAATCAATAGAAAATGCTATTAATTTTATTTTAAATAGCACAACAGGAAATGATGCTGATGAAATTATTACAATGCTAAATTTGAAATGAAATCAGCAAACTAGTTTTTCGTTAATAAATATACCACTAATACTAATTATTTAGAATTTTAACGTGTGTTCTGTTAAGCAGGATAATTAAGGCATGCATGGGCCCACCTTTTTAGTTCCCTAATTGTTGACTTCAGTAGAAATTTTGTCTAGCAAGCATACTAAAAAGGGCCAGGAATCCTTCATAGGCCATGTCTGGTCTGCCCGGACCTAACTCCAGTGAACTCTTCGGCTAAGAGTCACCCTCCTTGGCTGTGTCAGGCAGTAAAAGCCATATGCCTCCTAATTACCCTATGCGGTCATTCCATATTGGCATTGCGGATATAGGTCCATGTGGAAAACTTAACCCATCATAAATATCGTGGAGGATGAAGGGTTGTCAGAAACAACCACTTCGTTAAGTAGCCATTTTATCACTATTATCGTTAATAAATATACAGAATAAAAATAGAACAGTAGTTGGGCATATTATCAATGGAAATCTTGAATTTTTTGAAAAATTAACATTTATAGGAAACTCAAGTGAAATTCCTAAATCTACAAGAAAGGCATTAAAATGAAGCATTGAAGCTGGAGGAACCAACCCAGGCTCACTTTCAACAACAGTGAGTGTTATCGGAGGTAGAGGCTCAGCTATAGCTCAGGACGAAATAAATAATAAAGGTTCGCAGCTTCTATCAAATTTTCAGCTTCAATCTTTCAATTTTGACTGTGGGGCAACATTTTACGATCAAGCATTTGCAACAGCATGCTACAAAAACGACATAGACAAATTTGGTTTGGCTCATATTTCTCCGCTTGGGTCAGCTATGGCATATTATTCTATGCTCACTTTTAAAAAACTGAATTTAACTTTCCCCAACGTTGGCTGTACAAATGCAGATGCTTCTTTAAATAACACTAAAATTTTTCCTTGGTATGCAAGGGTTCAAATATCTAGCTCCTATGCGTTTTCTCTGGTTCCAATTCTTCTGAATGCACTTGGCTGAAAAGAAATCGGAATTTTATATCAAAATGATAGTTATGGACAATCAGGATATTATTATATTAAGCAGAGTATTGAAAAGCAAGATATACGCATAGTAAATTCTGAGGACTCAAGAGTAATTCCAGCTAATCTTAACAGGACTTCTGTTAAAGATTATAAGCGCATAATACAAAGAATTATAGACTCTGAAGCCAGGCTTCTTGTGTATTTATTGCAATTTCCTTTATGCAATTATGTGATGGAAGAGCTATATGATTTGGGGATGAGAAAAGGAGATATCATTATTTTTACTTTGGTTACTGATCTATTACCGCTTTATAGCTATAATGACACTTTTCTTTACAAGAGATTAGAAATAGGTACTCCGATGTTTACTATTGTGGGTCAAAATTGGGCTGGAGATTTAGGAAAAAATGTTTTATCGAAATATACAGAAACCTATAAAAGTTCTCCAAATTCATTTACATGCTTTTATTATGATGGTCTCTATTTAATTGCTCATGCTTTGGATTATATGATAAATCGAGGATTAGATTATTATGATCCTACTAAATTGATGGCCGCTATAAGGAATCAACAGTTTATCGGTTGCACTGGGAGGGTTTCTATTGAGAAAGGAAGTAATGACAGAATAATGGACACTATTGATATACAAGGAAATTGGCTATATGACAATGGCACACTAATTGTATATAAAATCGGAGATTTTCGACCATTTAGTTTAAAAATCATAAGTATAGAGCATCCTATATTTTATCCTGACGGCACTACAAATAAACCAACTGATCTTAGAAATGCTAATCAAAAATGCCCATTCAAAGATAGGCTTATAAAAACATTTAAGCCATCCATATTTGAAATAACTGCTTTAATGATTTAAGAGGTATTATTATTATTGAATTAGAATCTAGTCTAGATTGTTTTAAATATAACAGCGCTTTCCAATCTCTAACAGTATACAAGTGGACGGCTTCTTTTATTTGGTATATGTTTTGCTGTAGCTTTAGAATCAATCATAATAACAGTTGTGATATGAAAAAAGTGGTGGGATGTGCCTATTGAGCCACTAACTCAAAGAGAAGAAATTTCTTTCCAAGATCTGATTGTTGGCTTTACAATTTGCATTGAGTTCTTTCAATTTTCAGCTATGGGTCCTGATTTTTCGCCTATAAGCGTTTTACTGTCTGATCTTAGCAATTCATTTTCTCTAGATCTTGATGATGTTTTAAAAATGGAAAGCGGAGTATTTTGGATCATTGTTGATGCTGTATTTGGAGGAATTGCATTATGGCTTCTTCTATGCATAGTTGTGCTGACACGTTTGGATGAAAGGTTTCCTTCTTTTTCTCCATTCAGATTTCTGGATTGGGTTGCTGACTATTTAATGCCTATACTTGGGAATTTATGCTTTATTCCATTTGTATCAATCTGTTTAGATATGCTTCTTATAATAAATTAACACTTTTTTATTTACCAGACAATATATTTAATATTTAAATTTTCTCACTCCCCACCCCTCCGTGAGTGAACAAAACCATTAGAAAAATCGCTATTTTTTGCCCAAAAAACCCACCCTCCGTGAGTGAACAAAAAATTTTTTTAATAGAAAAATTTTTTATGGAAAATAATTTTGATATATAAATGATAATTAGTATAATGAAATCTAGAGCTAATTCTGTTTAATTTTAAACGAATTGCCTTTTAAAACATAAATTTTATAAATTAAATTAATATTTACTTTCCAATTTTTGCGAATTAGGATTTTTTTAAATTTCGAAAATAAATAATTTTTATAAAATTTTTATATATAAATTTTTTAAAAAAAAAAAAATTAACCCCCCTCCGTGAGTGAACAAAGTTTTTTTGTTCACTCACGGAGGGGGGGGGGGAGTCAGTATTAATCAAGCATTTATATAATTTTTATATATTTTTGTATGTGATCAATCAATTGGAGACAGTTTTACAGACAGCTTTTTATCAAAAGACTGCACTTATTTTTGTTGAAAAGATGAGCATTTAGTATATGCGATTTTATCATTTTTTGCACTTCTTGCTTACGAACCGTTTGCAGTATTTTGCAGACCTCTCTGGCAAGAATTGCAGCTTTTTCTTCATGTTAAAACAGTGCCTCTTTACTTAATGGTAAAATCTATATTTCAAATTGCACTAATTGTGCTTAATAAAACAGTCAAAAGAGCAACAGGCTTAGGACACGGAGTTATTTTTATCGTTTTGATGGTAATTTATGTGGTTTTTATTTTCAGATTCAAACCATATAACTATCCAAGATTTAGTTGGTGGCAGGCATTAAGTTTAATTGGAGTGATTTGGATAGCATTTCTTTCTACAGTAATTTTAGGAGCAGGAGGAGACTCTAATATATACCTTATCCTTTTATTTGCTGGATGGGTGATTTTAATCTTATTTGGGTTTTATGTACAGACTAAAAAATATCCGAGCATGCTTTATAGGAAAAAAGCAGGAGATACAAGTACTTTGTTTAAATTTGCTTTTACTTTTGGAAAAGTTGCCAGAAGCTCATTAGCAAAAATAATTCCTTCAAGTGAAAGCAAAAGTAACAGGCTAGCTAACGAGTAGCTATATTTATCCGTAATTTTAACTACATTTGATTTTCGAATAAAAAATAACCATAATTATAAATAAAAATAAAAAATAGGAATACCATCAATTGAATTTTTTATATCTAAGAGCTACTGTGTGCATTAAGTATTAATTACATGATTTTGCTATTAAAACTTAAATATTCCTTGATTTCTAAGAGTAAATTAAAATTCTTAGATTAATAGTAAATTTATTAATTAAAAGGGGGACTTTAAATAATGATAAAAAAGTTACTAGGTGAAGATCTTGCCCAAGAATTCGCATTCTTAGATTCAGAAATCACAGCAGATAGCAGGTTAGAAAGAAATATTGAGCCACCTCTCAAGCGTAAAAGAAAGATCACATCTCCTCAAGGCCGGCATGGGATAGTGGAAGATATCTCTTCGGAATGATGCAAGCCAAATGACCCTATTATCGAAAAACCCAAAATAACAGCAATGAAGCAAGCAAAGATAGCAAAAGAAGAAATTAAGCATATTATTCAAGAAAGGGAAAATTTATCAAAGACTGATACAGCACCTCTTGAACAAAATAATCCAAGTGGTAAGTGAAATGGTCAAATAATAAAAGTTGGAGTTCCTCAAGAACTTTTAGATGCATTCCCATGGCTAGATTCCCCTAGAGAATTTGTAGAGGGCGCGGAAGAGAATGACTCTACAGAAAAACAATATGGTTTTCTAGAAAAATTTTTTATCTTCGAAGGCTAGTCAAAATTAATTAATTATTTTTATAGTAAAATATATTTTTTTTAAAAATTAAGAAGAATGGTTGTAAAATAAGGGAGTATTCATAGAAAATATTATAAACACTTACATCTCTCGCTGAGTGCGCAGAGTATTGAAAAAGATCCTAATTTTAGAAAATTTAAATACCTAAATAGACTGAGCAAAAACTTGCTAAGTCGAGTTATCTTTGTTAAAATATAATCAATGATTATTAAAATAAAAACTCTAGTCAATCCATTAAATTTTTACGAACAAAAATTTTTATTATATAATTATATGCAAAGTTTAAAAGCAAATTTGCTCAGGGGGCTAGTAAATGAATAGATGGGTTTATTAAGATAATATTGAAGTTTCAGGATCTGAAATATTTTTATTATTAATTTCTAGATTTCAAAAAAATTTATACAATTCAATAACTTAATTGCTAATGATCTAGCTAAATATGATTAGATTAAAATTTAGAAAAATAGTTGGGCTTATAAAGCTGAACGATAAAAAAAATAGCTTGGCAAATAAGGATTAGTTCTCAAGAATAAGAGCAATAATAAGAACAAGAACATAGAGTTAGTAATTGCTCTGCCTAAATTTACTTAAAATCGGTATCTTATTAGATGTTTTTATTTTTAAGGATGTTTAAATTCTTCACTCTCTTGTGGTTCCTTGACACTATGATCAACATCAGCTTCCATACCAGCTCTGACTGCAGGCTTTGGCATTCCAGTTAATACTTCAAATGACTTGCTGGCATGCAGCTCGACATGCTCTCTACATTTTGCTAACTCCCTCCAACCTTAAATTAACACAAAATTTATAGGAGGTAAAATTAAAATTTATTCTAAATTATCCCCAAAATCGAAATTTTACCATATTTTGTTTCAATTTAAAGAGGAGTAAATACAATTCATAATTATCATTATATTCAGCTGCAATATAAGCATCTAGAGGATCCATTGGTTCTGGAGTCATCAGAAGCCCATAAACACAATCCATTATATGTCTTATAGTAACTGCTGGCGAGTAAAACTGATCCAGAATAGAATGGCAAATTCTTCCAGTTGAATTTATATTGCAGTGATATATTGGTGTAACAAACCTCATTGTCGGAGGCTTAAAGGGATAATCTTGAGGGAATCTTATATATGCTTGAAATAGGCCACCTTCAAATGGAGTTTGAGTTGGCCCTTCAATATATAAATTTCAGAACATGATGTCGCTTTCAGTTGGCAGCACAATAATATTTTCATGAGGGTTCGTAGAAATATTTTCCAGCTCTTTCATTATTCGCTTAATGCATGACGCAGATCCTTTTCCTTCTAAAACAGGAGGAGATATACTATTGTTTGTTTGAAGTTTTTCACTTACATTTCTATTTTTTTTTAAAATAAAATTTAAAATTTTATATGGTATACGGAATTTGGCCATGCATAAAAAATTCCTTTCATGCTATATCCATTTTTACATTATTAAGATAATTATAGAACAATATAATTGTTTCTCGTAATTATTATAATGAGCTATAGCCACTTTCAAGGCTTCCTCAGCACTTATTACTGATTTAGAAATCTCAACTGGAGCTGCCATTGCTGGCTGTTGATCAGAGAATTCTTTTTTTCTTAACGATTCAAGATCTTGGTCTGTATTAACAACTGCCTTCTCTATTGATTTTCTATTTCTCACTGACAGCAAAGTTTCACTTTCAAATAACTTTATCCCTTCTTGCAAATCAGTAGGTAAAAATACATATCCGCCAGATGCATATGAAATGGCTTTCAAATTTTGTGAAAGGTCTCCAACAACTACGCTGTCCATAACGATATTATTTGAAATCAGCAGCTTGCCTACTTCTAACTCCCCCTCTAAATTGGTACAAAAAATCCTGTTCCAATTTAAAGGGGGTTAATTTTTTTTTTATATATATTAAATTTAAAAAATTATAAATTGAGCACGATACTTTGAATTTTAATTTATTTTATAAAGATAATTTTTAAAAAAAATTAAACGATTCAGTTGAAAATGTTTAAATAGCATTCTACAAGCACTTTTCCCATTAAATTAGTTCAAAACTAATTTTATAAAAAATGAGTATAAAAAATATTTTTAAATTTTTAAAAAAAATATAAATTGAGTAAAGATTAAATTCTAATTTATTTATATGAAGAATAATTAAATCAAATAATCAATAGATTTTGAAAACTGTTTAAGCAGTATTATAAAATTTAATATAAATGTTTTTTTTTAAATTTAAAAAATATAAAATTGATCATTATAGAGAAACTTCCTGTCAGTATCCGAAGATCATTATTCCCTTCCATAACGCTCCACATATCCGCTTTGCAGACAATCGTAATATGGCCTTTAAACCTTGTTTCTACCAGATATAGGCTTGCACATGCTTCCTGGCAGTCTGAAAGATTAGATCACCGCGGAGTATGCCAACGAGTTTTGGCTTTTAGAAAATTCGGAAAGCAATTTTCTGGTCAGCCAAGATGAAAAATTCGTTGTCTAGGACGCAACGCCTTGCATCACGCTGGGAACGTTTCCAATTGACCAGGAGGAATCTCACGGGAATTTCTTGGATGGCTCTTTCCAACTCCTCCATCTTCCTTCGAGTTAAAACCTTAACCTGGATGTGAGCTTGCGGTCCGCCACCCGGACATTACGCTTCGCCAAATCAAGTAAAACCTGGCCGGATACACATGCCGAACGCTAAAACTCCTGTCCACAAAGTCCCTGGGTCTTCCCAGCTACAGGTGCTAGGAGGTTGGGTTGGCCAGCCACACCATTTTATGTATATGTGTGTTAAAGTACCCAAAAATTAAAAAAAATTTACCTATGTTTTGCTCATATTTAAAGAGAGGGAGTAAGTGATCATGCGCAGATGAAGTATCTTCGCCATCGCTCAAGCATAAAATTCTAAGCTGAGTGTCAGGATACTGCGTTTTAAAATTTACAAGCGATTGAATTGCTTCAAAAATGGCATCCCATAGCTTCGTTCCACCTGCATGCTTAGACTGATGGGCAACTGCTGTAAAAGTTGAAATATTTTCAGTAAAAGAGCAAGCTTTTTCAAGCTTATTGTTAAACAGAATCAAAGACACAACATGATTGAGGTTATAACCCACAGTTCTATCTGCAAAAGATTCAAAAAATTGTTTAGTTGCGTCCAGTCTTGAATATTCGCCTTCAGGTCCAAATGGATACACCATAGAGCCACTTTTATCAAAAATAACTACTATGGTTTCATCTGGTGCTCTAGTGATTTTTTCAACTGCGGGATCATTTTTGCTGATCCTTTCTATGATACTTGCCATATCGTCAATGTCATGCTTTGCTACTTCTCTTGTCAAAACATTCATAAGATTTACTGTATTCGGCTCTTTAGGTGATAAGCCTCGGTTTACAACAATTTCTTTATTCTTGTCTAGGGTGATGCAGTGCAGGAATTCAGTGGATTTGAGGAATAAAGCAGGGACAATTCTTGAGAGTTTATATTTAGTTTTGGCAGCCTGAAGCTTTTTTCATGGAAGGTCTTGTGGAAATGAAGCTCTTAAAATGCTTGGAAATGGAGTTCTATTATCGAAAGTCCCTGTCCAGAGGATCACTGATGATTTTCCATTATAAATAGCTCTTTTTACAGAATAAGCAAAGTCTTTGTTTACTTTTACTTGCGATTTGTTGATTATTCCAACACCTTGAATTTCTGCACGTCTCAGGACTTTTTTCATGACTGCGTTTTCCTCATAATACGCATAAGTTCCGTCTACTTTTCTCAAGCAGACAGGATTTTTTATTTCAACATAAGAAATTGGACAGACTGTGTCATATTCTACAAAGGTTTCGTCTCTTGAAAATTCTTCAGATGGTTTACACGCTAGATCACATAATAATCCAATTATTTCTAAACAATTTTCATATAGTTTATCCTCTGGAACTGTATCAACTAGATTTAGTTCTTTTATGACAGAATTTAAAATGAATATGAATCCTTCTTCTAGAGCAATTGAGTCTAATAAGCTCATTGGCTTTCCAATACTAAGTTCATACATAGCATGCATTAGTGGTGTATTATTCTGAGAAGCCTGCCTCAAAATCCCTAAAAATGCTTCCTTAGTGGGTATTTCACTAGTTCCTATTATATTCGCAAAACAGTATAAAAATGAATGGAATAGCTTGATTCCATCACTAGTCTGCTCAATTGTCCTTTTAATGATAGATTTATAAGCTCTCTCAGTGTAATCATATTTTTCTCTTCAATAAAAGATAACTTGGCCACTATTTATAGCATATGATGTCAATGTAAACGCATCATTAGTCAAGAAAATATCATTTGATTTAAATTTGACTTCAAAAGTTGGTGCTTTCGCTAACTCCCCCCCCCCCTCTCCGTGAGCGAACAAAACCATTAGAAAAATCGCCATTTTTTGACCAAAAACCCACCCTCCGTGAGTGAACAAAAATTTTTTTAATAGAAAAAATTTTAATGGAAAAAAATTTTGATATATAAGTGATAATTAGTATAATGAAATCTAGAGCTAATTCTGTTTAATTTTAAACAAATTGCGTTTTAAAACATAAATTTTGCAAATTAAATTAATATTTGCTTCCCAATTTTTGCAAATTAGGATTTTTTTAAATTTCGAAAAAAAATATTTTTTATAAAATTTATATATAAATTTTTTTTTTAAAAAAAAAAAATTAACCCCCCTCCGTGAGCGAACAAAATTTTTTTGTTCGCTCACGGAGGGGGGGGGGGGAGTAAGGAAAATAATTTTTGTTTAAGTTCTTGGATTGTGGTCGTTGCCAAATCTACTTTTACAGAGAAATTTTTGGTTGGATCTGCATTTGACTGCAAAATTATGGTATCGTTGCCTTCATTAGGATCTTTGGCTTGAAGTGATTTCACATCAAAATTAGGAACAATTAGTACACAAAGCTTGGAAGGTTGCGAAATTAACTCATTGCATTTAATAAATGGCATCTGAGACATACTTCCAGATAGAGGGCATCCGTCTTCGCTATAAAATGCGCAAATCCAGTCCTCTGGGTTTTTATTTTTTGATTGCAAAACTAAATTTGATAAATCTTCTAAAGTGATATCTAAACCTGGAATTCTTAAGTTATGAAATTCTTCAGGACTGATACTATTTAAGTAACGATATTGAATAAGCAAGGCTTCTTCAGATTTTTCATGAGGTTGAGATAATGGCGAAAGGGTACTTGCTATAGTTTCGTTAGAAGTTTTGACTTTTGACTCTTCTGATCTATTCGGATGAGGCAAGTTATTAAATTCATTAATTAATTATGGTTCCTTGGTTGCAAATTCAGGTTTAAAATTGCTATCTTCATATTTATATTTTAGATCAGAATTATAGAACTCTCCTAAGGCTATCATCATACGAACGGCTCGGCTACTTTCGGGCTAACCGTATGGTTCTCATCCTTCGGGTTCAGAACGCAGAAGCTCTCTTCTTTTATTGTTGTAGTTAGCGCGTGAATTACAGTGCTGTTCGAGTGTGTGGATTGGAATTTGCACATCACTCTCAATCTTAGTAAAAGTTTATTCTGCTTCAGTTGCTTTATGTTTGCCCTCTGCAAGAGATCAGTCATGAATTTTCTACAGAGAAAATGTCCTTTTAAGAGGTAAAATCTGCCGCCAAGGGAGGCAGAGATAAATTAAAATAGAGCCATGCTTAATAAAAAGCTTGAGAAAGTGGTAAGAAAATGGACTACGATTAATGAATGCTTATGAAAAACTTTAGAAATTTGTTATATATAGTGGTTTGCCCGATGATGGCGCATTGAGCGCCATCATCTGGCAACCACTATATTTGTTTATTATAAAGAGTATTAAATTCAAGTTTAACACTAATTTCACTTTGACCGCTATCAAGTATTATGCTTTGCATAATTTAGCAAGCCTTTTCTACTTTTTCCTTCATTGAACTTGACATTAAATAAATTCTGCTGCCTGCAAAAATTTTATAGTGAAAAGTAAGTTTGAAAATTATATATAATAAATGATAGCAATTCATAATTCTCTTGGTTGGCGATTTTAAGCCAGCTATCACTTTGCTTGTATAGAAGAGTGAAGTTAATTTCTTGATGAGAAGAATATTGAGAAATTAATAAGTGCAATTCTTCAAGAGTGGATGGCGCCGCAATCGCCAACGGAGGTTTTCCAGGTATCTCTATAAGAAAATCAGTTGACTTACGTTCCATTTGCTAATAGATCATAACAGACTGAACTATTTTAAATAGGTCTTTGTTGGTCAGCCCTGGCCAGGTTATTGATAATCTAATATTCTTTATGAATTGTTTTTAATCCAAGCTTTCTTAAGTTTTACAAATTAATCCATTCTAGCCAATTATAAGCTGAGAATGAATAAATATCTAAGTGTAATAAATAGCATATACATATGCCAAAAATAGTTTATTATTTTTTTGATGCACTAAACTTGATATAAATGCCACTATTTTATGGCTTAGGTTTTATTATTAGTGTATATTTATAAATAAATAATATTTCATCAGTCTAGTTATCAATTAAAAATATAGAAATTGTCCGAGGATGGCGCTATTTTGCGCCATCCTCGGGCAATTTCTATATCATTTTTAAGGCAAACTTATTGTACATTTATGCTCGATGTCCTTATTGTATTAAAATAGATTATAAACAATAAGAGAGCCCCTTATAACTGTTTTTGAAACTTTTCTAATAAAATATGTCCTCAAATAACTCTCAAGAGCATGCCCATGGTTTACCCCCCGAAAATTTATTAAAGCCAAGATCTCAAGGACCTTTTGCGTGATTTGTAATAATGATTACCATTTAGAGTTTGCTCCCTATGTGCTCTCATGCGGTCATTCGTTTTGTTTCCTTGCATTGAAAAGTGTAATGTATTTTTTCTCAAAGAAGTTTCTATTCACAGGACATCTGGGAATGCCCTTTGTGTAGACAACGCACTTATCATACCCCTCACAAAAATTTTACTCTGATAGATTTGCTCTTTCCTAGCAATTCTTGCAAGCTCCATAATTCAGAGATAATATCTTATTGCTGCGATCATGATCAAACATTATGCCCTTTTTGCTTTTATGAGCATAGAAATCATGATATTTCTCTTTTAAATATTCCCAAGGTTGAAGAAATTTTGCAATCTAAACAAAGCCTACTTGATAAATATAAAGCAATTACTTTAAATCAAATTGAAAACTTTAGGGCAGCACTTGGGATTATAAACGAAATTAAAGATACAAATAGGCATTTTGATGAAAAAGTAAGGAGGATAAATGAAGTTAAAGAGCAAATGATAAAAGAAATAAACGAAAAGTCATTGACTTGTATAAATGAGCTTAGAACTTTAGGGAAAGCATTGGCCATAAATCAATTAGAAACAACTGTGAAAATAAACTTACTTCCCCCTTCCGTGAGCGAATAAAAAATTTTGTTTGAGGGGTAATTTTTTTTTAAAAAAAATTTATATATAAAAAATTATGTTTTTCAAAATATAAAAAATTGAGAAGTAAAAATTAATTTAATTTGCAAAATTCATTTAAGCTTTTTTATTAAACATAATTAGCTAGAGATTTAACTATAATAATTATAACTTATATATCAATTTTTTTTTTCATAAAACAATTTTATATTAAAATTTTGGTTCTCTCACTGAGGGTGAGTTAGAAAACTTGAAAGCTCATAATGAAAAAATTGAATCGATGATTAAACTATTTGAAAATAAAGATATTGTACCTCAATTAAATTGCAAGAATTTGCATATTGAAATAAATGTAAATGAACCTGTTTTTGAAAGGAGTGACTATTATGGAGCTCAAATTGGCGAGATTAATGAGATAAAATCAATTGAAAGCGGGCAATTAGTATATAAATAAATTTATTATTTATATAATAATGCAGTTAACTAAAGTTTCATATTTAAAGTAACTACAATTTATAGCTTTTATTTAAAGTGTATTAAAATATCATAAGACATATAAAATATTAAATACGATTTGAATTTAATAAAATAAATAAATATTTATTTAATAAAGATTATCATTCTTTAAGGAGCCAATTCTCTTCTGATTTTACAATTCACGAATTTATCGATTTATAATCCCAATATCGCTAATAAATAAAAATAATAAAAATCAGTTTCTGAAATTTGCTATCTTAAAATTCTGGTGAGTTTATTATTATCTCAAAATTTTATTTATTTTTGAATAAATTCTTAAAATAAGAGTTAATTAATATTTAGCCATGAAATGGCGAGATGGGTAGTAATAATTAGGTCCAGGACTTGCTGTCTCATTTAAATAAGAATATCTTTTACTGTTTGATGGGATTATTGCTTTAGGAGATTGGCCCTTTATTATATTTTCATCATATGCATAGGCTGCTGGTCCTGGGCTTTTTAAATCGATTTCAAGGAGTCTTCTTTTAGCAGTAGTGAAACTGCCGCAACCAGTTATATTGCTAAACTCTGAAAAATGAGAAGATAATTGCTTTGATCTTGACATACTTTATTAGATTGAATTAATTATCATATGGATATAATAATATTTTGTTTAATGAGACGAGATATAGTTAATTGACTTTTAGACTGTAAAAAATTCATATATCAAAAGAATAGCTCAATTCTACTGATTGAACTGTGCAAATTTTTACTAGTCTGGCTTTGAGACACTTCAGAAGTTGGTATGACGTTCAAAGGTGTCCTACTTTTGCTCATTCTTATTCTAACGATGACCCCCTCAATCTTAATGTCTATTGCAACAAAAATGTAATTTTTTAATATAAATTTTTATATAAAAAAAATAATAATTTTCGTGTCTCTTGCAACAAATTATATACATTAAAATGGCGACACGTGCCAACCTGCCCTCTTGGCGCAGCAGTCCAGACCTTATGGCTACAGCGAGCTGGGACGGACTCCGAGCCGAGAATCAGACGCAAGCTCAAGAAGTGTATATCCGGGTAGGTTTTGGCTGCTTTCCTGTGGTTGGAAATGGAGGTGCTCAACAACGTCCTTGGATCCGAGGACCCATGGGCATTCCTCTAACGAGAAACTGGGGGTTTCAGCACAGGCCAAAGGGGAACAGTCTTTTCCTGCAGCTGTCGAAGAAAGGCACTTTGATACCCAATAGACTCTAAGAGCTGATCCTTGGAATAAGCTACTCCAATCGCCCGTAGCAGGGCCGCAGAAATCCATAAGCCGCCCACTCAAGACTGAACTCCAAAGGCAAGGAGGAGACAGAAGGTACCGGAAGGGCACTCGTAAGAGGGATAGATCCTCTGGGCTGGAGTCGAAAAGCGATAGAACCATCCGTACTGGAGGTCTTTAATGACTACGCCATCAATATGGCTAGCGCCTGTCTGTAATAATCTTAATCCTAATCCTCTTGCAAACAAATTTTCGATGCGATCTTAAATTTTTCCGTACTTTTTAGCTAGATAAGTTTAATAAAATGGCGAGCGATGGCAATAGCCGTCCAAATCTCGATAAAAGGTCATTGACACGTCTACAGTAGCGCTGTTTTATGGGTTTTTTTTAGAAACTCACCTAGAGAAAAATGGATTAAATTTTTTTTATAAAAATGTTGTGTTGCAGTAGGCATGAAGATTTTTTCGAAAAATTTTTGTTGTAGTAGACATGAAGATTGAGGGGGGGTCATCGTTATTTTTTAAATTTTCCTTTCTTTGAGCTACCAAGCTCATCAGTGAAGCAGAATTTTCAGGAATTCGACGTGGACTTGTGACTGAGTTATCAACTGATACCCTAGTTTCTTCTGATCCATCATTTAGTGATGGCTCAGTTAGTTCGTCGATTAAACTGCAAACTAATTGCTTTAAAGGCTCTTTTAAGCTTGGTCTATTTTGTCGTAAATCGTTGCTGGCGAGCAAGCTAGCAAATAAAGACTTAATATGGTCAAGTTCTCCAGATCTGGATAAATGCTCTTTTAATTCATCTTTCGTCATGAATTGCTGAGAATCTATATATGGATTCGCCTCAGACATTTATATTATGATTTGTATATTAAAGATTGCTTTGGAAAACGCTATACTTAAAATAATCTAGAAGCGTAATGTCCCACTCAAGCTTTATTACTGGGCAGACCCTCAAGAGCTTCTGCCACTTTTGCATGCGTCGGACCATGGTCGCTAAGCCGGCCTACTTTTATCGTCAGGTCATGCTTAGAAACAGTGTTGCCGACTTAAACAACTCAAGATTAGCAGCTTCTGTCTTCTTTGACGCTGTGTAGCGACTAAAGGCTCCTTCACTGCCACAGGATGGAAGTGGAAAATCAACATGACTTTATTTTCCTTAGGGAGGAGCAAAAGGGAAGGCGTATCCCCTTCAAGTTGCTTGCCAGTCTCGGCCGGGATAGAATTCCTATGTAAAAGCAAGCCTTTAATTATGAAATGAAAAGTGAGTGGTGCTGATGGGCAGATCGGCACTTTATTAATATCACCATTTTATGATTATATAAAACAGTATTAGTTGAAATGTTTATCTTTAAATAATTTTCCCCAATCAAATATTTTTTTGCCTTATAAGTTTCTATTTCGAATAGTGTTTAATATAGCGGCTGCACTGCTATAGCGTGCCTTGACGCTGGCTTTTCCACAGCAACTTGGAGCTCTGGTAAGCCACCTAAAGGTGATAAATTAACTCCAAGCTAGCAAATTCTTGCAAAAGAATGCGTTTATGCTATCTTGGAGTTGAATTGCTACCTTTAGGTGGCTTGCCAGATCTCCAAGTTATCATAAGAAGCCAGTGTCAAGGACACTATAGCAGTGCAGGCACCATACCAATCATATTTTTAAAATATAAAATTAATTAAAATGATTTATGAGAGAAACTCTCTATAATATTCCAACTTTGTTCTCCGCAGTTTCAAGCTCTTTAGAAAATTCGTTAAATCCTGCCTCATGATGGATCAGAATATGGCTTTTTAAAGTATACTTTTCTTTAAACATTTTTTCGCAAAATGGGCATTGTTCAGTCCTCTTATCACTATGTTTTAGCATGTGCTTTTTGAGGTCTGAAGGCGAATAATTTTTTTTATCGCAAATCGGGCACACATGTTTCAGCATTTTATCTTTTTCGTTTGGATTATGGGTCTTTTTATGCTTGTTTAGTTCATATTTTCTTCTGAAACTGAGTGGACACTCATCACACTTGTAAGGTCTTTCTCCAGTATGTCCCATCTCATGCGTTTTCAGTCTGTCCTTCTGGTAAAACCCTTTCCCGCAGTGTTCACAGATAAAGGGGTAAATTCCATCGTGCCGGTATTGGTGCTCAATGAGTTTAGCTTTTTGAGCGAATGTTTTATTACAAAGGCTGCATTTTCAGATTTTGTCTTTGGAGTGGATTTGAAGATGCTGCATTAAGGCAGAAGTGCTTGATAATTTTTTGAAGCAATGCTCGCATTGGTTACGGTCTTCCATTCTCTTATTTATAAGTCAGAGCCTATCTGTAAAATTTCTTCGTTAGAAGATTGTAATTCAAACGGTTTATTCGCTCGAAGATATTTTTGGATTCATCATTTTCTTTTCAAATTTATAAAAATGGGACAGAAATGGGAAAACTGTATTTTTAGTTTATCAATTATCAAAAATACCTATTACGAAATAATTAAAATTGTCCTCTGTTTTTAAAGATAAAAAATTTATAATAATATGATTTTTATTTATTAATCAATATTGACTTAAAAGACTACAGAAAACTGTGAGGAAAGTCCAAGTTCCATTGTTGCTAACTCCCCCCCCCCCCCCTCCGTGAGCGAACAAAACCATTAGAAAAATCGGCATTTTTTGACCAAAAACCCACCCTCCGTGAGTGAAACAAAAATTTTTTAATAGAAAAAATTTTAATGGAAAAAAATTTTGGATATATAAGTGATAATTAGTATAATGAAATCTAGAGCTAATTCTGTTTAATTTTAAACAAATTGCGTTTTAAAACATAAATTTTGCAAATTAAATTAATATTTGCTTCCCAATTTTTGCAAATTAGGATTTTTTTAAATTTCGAAAAAAATATTTTTTATAAAATTTATATATAAATTTTTTTTTAAAAAAAAAAAATTAACCCCCCTCCGTGAGCGAACAAAATTTTTTTGTTCGCTCACGGAGGGGGGGGGGGGAGTAAGAAATCATCAAAATCTACTTTCCCATCTCCATTCACATCTGCTTCTCTAATAATGCTCTCCCAATATTCAGAATCAAGAGAATTATCCTTTCCCAAAATTTCTTTGAGATCACTAATGGAAATCATTCCAGTGTTATTTCTATCAAACAAATGGAAAGCATTTTCCAGCTTCTCTTGTTGCAGATATATACTTCTATCAAGTGTAGAAGCTAGAAATTCTGTATAATCAATTGTTCCATTTTTATTGACATCCATGCTCGAAATAATGCTTTCAGTCTCATCTCCAAGCTCTGTTGAGAACTGTTCCAAGCCTTCTTGAAGTTCTTTGTATGATATACAGCCTTTTCCGTCTCTATCAATTCTCATAAAAAGATCTCTAACTTTTAAATTAAAATTAATGAAAATAATATGTCATTTTGGCTATCTCATTTTTAATGACACATATATAGCCAATTTCTAATAAATATTTTACTAGAGATTTTATATGTGAGTCTTTTTTGCATGCTCCAAGGCATCTTCTTAAGATTAGCTCCCTTCTTTTGTTTCATTCTTGACCTTCAGTAAAATAAGGAATGCACAAAATTTTTAGATAAAATCTTATTTTCTCTCATTTACTTATAGGTAAAGTAAGTCTTGAAATATCTTGCTCATTGCATTGGGAGGCTACACAAAGTAAAATTGCTTTCCTGAATCTTCGAGCTTTATTAAAATTTTTTAAAGATTGTGTATTAATGTCAAGTGGGAATTCTGGAGAAGCCATCCCAGATAGTCATGGATGCTTCAAAGCTTGTTTAGCTGTAAATCTTAACTCAGGATCAGAGACAAGTAAGCTTCTAATTAAATGCTTTGCTGATGGTGAAACTCCTCTCCATTCTTTTCCTCTAAAGTTATAGCTTCCGTTCAAGATCAGTCTAAAAGTTTCATTATCAGAATTTCCATAAAACGGTGGATATCCACAGAGCATAATATATAAGATGACTCCAGCAGACCAATTATCTGTTGATAATGAGTATGAGCCTTTTAGAATTTCTGGACTTATATAAAAAGGTGTTCCGATTCTAGTGTACATTAAATCACCTTCATTAGTCACGAATTTGGCTAAACCGAAATCAATAAGTTTCAATGGAGACTCATGGTTTTTTTCAGAAAACATCAGATTTTCAGGCTTGATATCTCGATGGCAAATACCTTTAGAATGCAAGTAATTAATAGCAAGCATAAGCTGCCTGAACAGCGCAGCTGCTTCAACCTCGCTGAGTTTACTCTTTTCTGAAATATAGTCAAAGAGCTCTCCTCCTTCGCAGTTCTCGAGGACTAAATAAAGGTTTCTTCTTTCTTCAATGATTTCATATAATTTACATAAATTTGGGTGGTCTCCTTGTACCATGGCGTTTATTTCGTTATCTAAACGTTCTCGATTTTTTACACGATTTTTGTAAATATGTTTAACTGCTCTTATTTGGTTTGTCTCAAGATTTCTCCCAAGATAGACAGAGCCATAGGTACCATCACCAAGTTTTTTTGATAGTTCATAGCGATCTCCAATTTTTCCTGTGTAAAATTGGACAAAATTGGCTTTTGATAATGCTAAATTTTCCATTTTTGATTATACAAATCAAGAATGTTTGATCATTTTGTCCCCCTTGCTCAAAGGTAATTATTTGAAATTTTATTTAATTCATTAATATTTATAAAACAGACAATAATCTATTTTATCTTTACATTGCGAGTGTTTTGAGTATTTAATAAAGAAAAAAATAATAAAATTTTAAGAATTCCATAATACTGAGACTGTTATTATCAATTAAATAAACTTCTGGAATCTCAATATATAAGCTTTGCATACAAGATGATCTATTTTAGTAGTTTTTTTTACACTTTTTTATATTAATTATGCATAAAATAATTTATAATCATTATTTTTTGATAATTAAAATATTTTTGGATAATAGTCCTGTCTACTATAAACATAATACTGCAAATAAAAAAATATTTTTAATTATAATTTGAAATATTAGGCATTTACCAGGCGAATAAAAGTTTAAAAGCCTACACCTACATAGGATGCTTGAAGGCCACTATGATAACCGTCATATTATCAGACCCCTGATTTCTCACAGCTTTATGAAAACAGTGATCCAATAGGTCTTCAGCAATATTCCCTACTGGCTTCTTTCTTCTCAACTTTTTATTGACAAACTCCACAGCTTCTTGTGAAGTCACCATATCCCATATCCCATCACAGGCCAGAATTATAAAATTGTCTTCATCTTTTAGCTCCATTTCTCTGATATCAGGCACCGAAATAATCATTTGCTTTTCAGGAGGCAAGTCTTCATTGGATTTGAAATCCAGATCTCCTATAGATCTGCTCAAATTTAAATTTCCCATGACTCTTCCTTGGAGAATCATGCCCCCAGCATTTATTATTCTGCTATTTTCTTCTGGAAGTTCAGGCTTATGATCAACTGACATATCAATTGCCTGTCCTCCACGACTTAAAACACATCGGCTGTCGCCTGCATTTGCTACATATAATTTATTATCCCTGATTAAAGCTACTACAGCAGTACAGCCAGACATGATTGCCCTTTCAGTATCAACTGGGTATCCATTTGGAATCCCTTTAGAAATTCTATAAAGCTCTTTTTGCCCATCAGGAGTACGAAGTAAGTCATCCATCCTCATAAAGGTCTTTGCAAGGGCTTCTCGGATTCTACCTTTGTGATATGCCTTGGTTTGCTTGATTTCTGTGCAGAAATGCCGTGCGACATATTCAGAAACTTCTCGACCGCGATGGCCATCGAAGACCCCGAATACTGAAGTGCGTTGATCGAGTAATAAATTCATCAGACGAGAGTCCTGCATGGAATCGCGGAAGCCTTGGGTATCGGCAGCCCCAAATCTCATTCGAGGACTCTCGCCATGGTTAATGTTTTTAGCAGTTTTGGGTAGAGAATGTCCTTGTCCCATTATAATAAAGATGATTTTTCTCAATCTCAAGTGATACCGTATTAAAATTTTAAAAAACTTTTTGGCATTGAAACTAATTGGGCTCTAGGAAATTGTGAAGAAAAGATTCAATGCCTTATATTTAATTTAATAAAATAAGTTAACCATTATTCACTTAAAAGAATTTCTGAAAAGACAAAAAATTTAAATTTATATGGAAAAAACCTTTTTATTAGAATAGGTATTATTAAAATGAAAAGAAAATGCCGATTGCTATTCCTTGAAAATCTTAAAGACTTTAGCATTAATATAATGAGTTGCATGGGAAATATTATGGGTCCTTGATAATTTTGTTTAGTTTTATCCACATCTCTTAATAAAAATACTAATCGCTATTGCAGCTAAAGATATAGAATTTTTAAGGAGCGCACTTGATATATAAAGGATCGTAAAGATAAAACATCGTTGTCGGCCATACTATGCCTAACGCACCAGATCCCATCCGAACTCTGAAGTTAAGCGGCATAAGGCGAGGTTAGTACTTGGGTGGGGGACCGCCAGGGAAGCCCTCGTGCTGACAGCTAATCTTTTTTATTGGTTTCAGCTTAAATTTATTTACTTCTATTTAATTTTCAAAAAACTTCATTATTTAAATATTTAGAATTACTTAATATCCTTTTTCTTTATCTACTACACTAGTAAATGGCTTCCCACTAACTCCCCCCCCCCCCTCCGTGAGCGAACAAAAAAAAAATTTTGTTCGCTCACGGAGGGGGGTTAATTTTTTTTTTTAAAAAAAATTTATATATAAATTTTATAAAAAATTTATATATAAATTTTATAAAAAATATTTTTTTCGAAATTTAAAAAAATCCTAATTTGCAAAAATTGGAAGCAAATATTAATTCAATTTGCAAAATTTATGTTTTTAAAACGCAATTTTGTTTAAAATTAAACAGAATTAGCTCTAGATTTCATTATACTAATTATCACTTATATATCAAAATTTTTTTCCATTAAAATTTTTTCTATTAAAAAAATTTTTGTTCACTCACGGAGGGTGGGTTTTTGGTCAAAAAATGGCGATTTTTCTAATGGTTTTGTTCGCTCACGGAGGGGGGGGGGAGTAAGGAAATTTATGAGATGATTTTCAAAGCACCCAACGCACAAGTGAGCCAAATCTACAACCATATCAGCATTATGAGGAGAAATTATCAAATTTTTCGCAGTTCATAATGGAGACGTCAGAGGTAAAGGTTCTGTTTTAAACACATCTAATGCGGCTCCACCTATGATATCATTATTCAATGCATTTGCTAAATCATCTTCATTTATACTGTTTCCTCTTCCAATATAAGGGTGTCCCCTAGATAGCCCTCTAAGGGCTGTGGATTCAGGGTGGAATCCTTTGGCTGGTGGAACCAACAAGTGAGTTGGTCGAACCAACTGAAAGATTCTACCCAGAATCCACAGCCTTTACAGGGCTATCTAGGAGAAAACCTATATTCACTAAAACTGCAGTTTTTTTCATCAGTGCAAATTCTCTCATTGACATGATATTGTGAGCTGAAGGGTGATTTGGCATTGCCATTGCCAAAAAATCTGCCTGAGGAAGCACTTCATGAAGTCTTTGTGTTTCTATAATTTCGTCAGCCCCTTCATCTGGCTCTGTAGCTGTTCTTTTTACTCCAATCACCTTCATTCCTAAACTTTTCCCAACTTTTCCTATTGATTTTCCTATAGATCCATACCCCAGAATTACTAAAGTTGACCCATATAGCGTGGGCATAAGGAAAGGTTTATACTCCTTATTACTTTTTTGAGTCTCAAGAATTGAGAATTTTTTATTGAAATAAAGCATTGAGGCCAGCACATATTCCATGAGGGAATCATTATATGCACCTTTTGAATTTGTGAGAGGGATTGGGCTTGATTTAAATTCTGGGGTCATGTATGCGTCTACCCCTGAGGTAAATGAGTGAACCCATTTTAAAGGATTGCTGCGTAAAGACTCATTTAGAGTTGAGGAAGAACAGAATAGCATACAGAGAACGTCGGTGCGTCCCCAGTGATCTGAATTTTGAAACTGGTTCAAGTCATCGAATGTTTCGAGCTTTATGTCGGGGTATTTGGACTTGAATGCTTGGAGATGAGGGATGATATAAGAATACGTTTTAGAAACCAGGGCAGATATAATGTATCTTGCTCTCATCTTTATTTTTAAAATTTGTGGAAACATTAACAAAGTAATTAAAACTACATGTAAAGGATACTTAAATGAAATATTTCAGAGTAATGATAATTATTGAATGTACTTGAGTTGAAATTGTGTTAGTCTTCTCTTTTAAAAAAGCTTTTAATTGTTTAAATTATATATAAGCTATCAATAAATATAAAGTTTGTTATTCACTTAAATTATAATTAAAAATTGTAGATGGTTTAAATATGAAAAGTTTTTTCTTAGTGATAATTTCTTTTAGATGACTATAATCAATACTACACCTATCTTCTTTGGGTCATAGAGTTTCTTTTTGCTTCTACTGCCTCGCGACATTCTCCAAGATAGTGCTTTCCCTTATTACAAAAAGAACAAAAGCCTTTTTTACAGCTCATACAGTCAAGATTCTGAGCTTTATAATCTCCTATTAACACTTGAGTGCCTTGCTGAGGAGTTCTACAATGAGGGCATTGAGCAGTTGGGAATTTTTTATTCAGAACTGCTCTCTTAGACTCTTCTTCTGGGTTAAAACCAAATGGAAAACCACCTGCGAGATTCATTTTATATATTACGTTAGCCTTACCATTTTACCGATTAAACCATATAGAGCCTTCCTATAGATGGCGCGCAATGCGCCATCACCGAGCCATGTCGGGAGAGGGTTCCACACGAGGAATGGTTCTACGTGTGGAACCCTCTTTTTGACCTGTGAGAAAACTACTTTCCACGAGCCAAAAAGAGGGTTCCACACGTAGAACCATTCCTCGTGTGGAACCCTCTCCCGACATGGCCCGGTGATGGCGCATTGTGCGCCATCTATAGGAAGGCCCTATATAAATAAGAGAAGTGTAACAAAAATTTATCAATAAGATTAGGCCATTATTTAAGTATGCGAATATCCAAGCTTAAAGCCAGTAAATTTGCTAATATTCCATCATTTTATTTATTAAATTTATTAAGAAGCAAAAAAGTTTGTTATATATGGCAAAAATAATACCTAGCTATGCCCAAAGACTTGACCCTAAACTCTTTTTATCATATTTTAAGCAGCATTCACAAAAGCTTTTTGAATCCCCAACAGATGAATGTGCAAAACAAAGCCTTCAAAATCTAATTCAAAATTATAAACAGAATCATACAGCTTATTACCAAGAGCCAAATCTGCTCAATAGATTAGCTTTCTGATACAATAAAGCCAATATTCTTGATGAAGATTTCAGAAAACTAATAGAAAATCATAAAAAAACAGCTGAAGAACACAAAACGGGAACCCCTAAGGATCTTCTAGTTTCTAGGGCCAAAGCTATAGCAGAATCTCCTAAAGCACATTCAATCAAGCCAATCCAAAGAGATAAATCGAAAGCCATAGACATATCAATAAAGTGCAGAAATGAGCAAGAATTTTTAGATTCAGTCTTAGTAACTAATAATCATGAGCAATTAAGGCAAATAGAACTTCAGCTCCAAGATATAATTGATAATTCAAATAATTATCAATTACTCTTAATTCCCCATCCTTAATTGAATCGTGATTGCAGGTATGAACAAATTTTTTTAAAAAAATATATAATTTTTATAATGCTAAACAAATTTTATAGTAAATTTTTTCCATATAAAATATCTATGCTCTAATCGCAAGAGATAGTGTATGCAATGTATTAAAAATATGCTAGAAAATCGTATTAGAATTGCATAAGAGTGATTATACAGGCATATCTCTAAGTTAATAATTATTAAATATGCAATTAGATTTGAGGCAGGGTAGGGAGTGGGTTTCATATTTGTCCATATGAATTTCAATCAAGGATGGGGCTAATTTTAAATTTTTAAGTGAATCCCTTGATAAAGGGGTGGAGTAAGAGGAATATATGAAATGTGTAGAAAAGGCTTTTGGTTTGATCGGCTAACTCGTTTAAAAATATGAGAAAAAATGATGACAGCTAACACTACAGATTTAAAAGACTTAAACAGCATCTTAAAAGTTCTTAATGATCCAAATTTCTTTAATAAACCTCCAGAGCACTCATGAAAAAAATTTGAATTGATGATTTCTTTGAACTCTGGTGCATGAAACCCAGCACTGACGATGAGTGTTTTAGCTGATGGAACACTCCATAGCCCAATGCTGTTCCATAGGCTAATTGATAGATGAATCAATATGGTTGAAAGTGAAAATGACTACATCACATTTAGTAATGGATTTTATGCTTTGGCACGAACTGATTTTCTAAATCCTCAGCTGCTGGACTGGTGTAAAATTCAAATGAGAAAATTTGCTTCGAAATTTGATGCAGGTGATATTGTAATAATTTTAAGAGGACTAATATATCATGATTGCTATTGCCTACTTCCCCGATTATAAAAGAAAACATTTGGCGAGAAATAATTTAATAAATATTTGAAAAACATTTCAATTTTATGTGTTTTAACATATTTTATTCTATGAAATGTCAATAGTATTTTAAATCGAGAGATTGAAAAAAAAAAGTTTGCAAAAACGAAACGGATTAATGCTACAATTATAACAATATTTTAAATGGTTTAAGTAAACTTTATAGATAATTTTTGTTTATAATTTGATTAACAGTATGGGAATTAGAAACTTGAAATATTCTTATTAATGAAATATTTAGTCACTTGTATAGAAATCTCTCTGCAAGCAGCAAAAGGGATTTATCTCATATTTACAAGTCAATTGAAATTGATAAACCAAATGGCTATGAAGAGCTTTTAGGGCGGTTCGAGCCTTATAAAGAAAATTTATTCAGCATTTTTAAGTACAAAAGAGCATCAACAGTGTCTCACACAGAAAAATTGCTTGCTAACTCCCCCTTGTGAGCGAACAAAATCATTGGAAAAATCCTTATTTTTTGCCCAAATCTCCCTATGTGAGCGAGCAAAACAATTTGATATGTAAATGATAATTAATTTAATGAAATATCTATCTAATTCTTTTAATTTTAAACATCAACATAAATTTTACAAATTAAGTTAATATTTGCTTTCCAAATTTTTTTGCCAAATGGGATTTTTTTAAATCTCGAAAAAAAAATTTTCCCCTTCAATGAGCGAAAAAAATTTTTTTTTCTTCACGAAGTGGGGGTAAGGAATTGGAATCTCTTGAACTTGAATTTACTTGTTCAGAAGATATCGATGATTTTTATGAAGCTGATTTTATTTTGAAGGACAAACGTATTGTAATCGAAGTTTTCGGGCTCCCATTTCACACAAACCAATATAATTTAGGTATAGACATGAAAACACGTTTAAAATTAAGACATTTGAGGCGCTTAAACTGGAAAGTCATTGCAGTTTTTAGCTCAAAAGACATAAAAATGAGACTCCGAGAAATAATTCCAATGATGGAAAATATTAAGGAGGCAAAGTGTGCGTATATTTTTGACTCAGAGTTTAAAATAATATAGCGATTAGGCAAATAATTATAAAGTGCACGTGCTATAACTTTTTTAATTAAATTTATTACTCCTTCTCTGTGAAAGAATAAAATTTCAAAGGAAAAATCCAAATTTTTGAAAAATTCGTGTCTTCACACGAGGTCTACTCCATAACGACTATTTTTTTTTAGCCTATTTTTTTTTGGCCTATTTTTTTTTTGGCCTATTTTTTTTTGGTCTATTTTTTCTGTCGAGGATAATTCATAATAATTATTGGGTAACGGATGTATTTTCCTTACACGATTAATATTGAGTAAATTAAGTGGAAAAATCCTAATTAAATTTAAAATTCTCGAAATTTAAAAAACAATGAATTAGCATTTATGGAGTAAGAGATCTGTTAGAGGTGTATTTTATGTTAATAAAATCGTTTAAAATACATTAAAAATTATATTAAAATTATTAGTATAAAATTAGGCCCAAATATTAGTAAAAAATAGCTAAAAAATGGCCAAAAAAAATAGGTCAAAAAAAATAGGTCAAAAAAAAATAGGCCAAAAAAAAATAGGCCAAAAAAAAATAGGTCAAAAAAATAGGCCAAAAAAAAATAGGCCAAAAAAAAATAGACCAAAAAAATATAGGCCAAAAAAATTAGGTCAAAAAAAAATAGGATAATAGGCAAAAAAAAAATAGGCCAAAAAAAATAGGCCAAAAAAAATTAGGCCAAAAAAAAATAGGCCAAAAAAAAATAGTCGTCATGAAATAGGCCAAAAAAAATAGGCCAAAAAAAAATAGGCCAAAAAAAAAAAACAGGCCCAAAAAAAAAATAGGCCAAAAAAAATAGGCCAAAAAAAAATAGTCTTTATGGAGTAGACCTCGTCTGAAGGAACTACCTCTGAGAGTATGCAAAAAAATTTTAAATTTTTTTTTATAAATAGCATTTTAATAAATAAGCGATAATTATTGTAACGAAATCATTGCTAGCCCTGTTTATTTTTATAGCCCGAACCAAAACAGTGCTTAGCTATAAATAGTTTGCAGAATTTTACAAATGAATTAATTTTTACTTCTCAAATTTTTTTGAATTTTTTCAGTCACGGACAGGATTTTAGATATTTAATAACAAAAGAAATTGACGTTAAAGAAGTTTTTTATTACATAGCAGAAGCTCTATCTCTATAGATATATCATAATTGAATTTACATATGCGATTTAAATTCAACCATCCAAAATTGCCTCAAATTGAATAAAAATATTTATATTTTCCATAAATAAATTTTGTGGTATTGAAATTTCTCCTCAAATGCATATTGTAAAAGCAAATAATCTAAAATAAAATGAAACGAATAGCCCTTCCAATAGTTTCAAAAAAATCTTCCTCGAATCCTCTTGAATATGATTCATCTTCTACAGATCGTCATGATATAACAGCTACAACATCAACATCTTCAGTAAACCATAGCCGCATTAAAGACCTCCCATCAAAGAAACACTCATCAAGGTCAATAATAAATTGCCAAAGTTTAAGTAATTTTTCAGATCTCAGAAGAGCTGAATTCAACCCTTCAGAGTTCGAAATTGCTCCAATTAAAGAAAATAATCAAGAAACTTCTTATGAGGAAGAAGACTCTTTGATACTGGAACTAGCTGAGTTCCTCAACAAATCTGATAAGGTGAGTGCTCAGCCAAAGCTTAGCAAGCCTATAATTCCTAACTTATATGCTATACATTATAAAATTTTGTATCATGATCAGTTTCTATATCATTGTAAAATAATTATTTATGAAGGAGAAGTAAACGAAATCTGAGTAAAAAGCTTTCCCAGCCGACATTTAGGATTAAAATAGATAGCAACAATATGAAGACAGCCCGTAAAAGAACAACGAATATTGGTAATGAAGGGTTTACACAGCTTTTTAATAAAAGTGAGAGATCTAGACGAGGAGCTATGTAATGAATTAACCATTAAATCCCACTGTGTAATAATAAACTAGATTTATTTCGATACTTGTAATCTTATAGTCAAACTTCTTAATGCATTCTTCCTTAGGACAATTAATAGCATAAATTTCCTATTTATACATAATAGTATAATAATATCATTTCTTAATTCTGAAACAGAATAAGAATAATATATTGGTACCATATCAGATTTATGGCAGCTCTTTAAAACCCTAGAAATTAATAATTAGTCTAGTTGAAAGGAACTATTTATGGTTAAAAGTGAGTTCTAAACTGCGACATCATCATTGCTGGATCCATGAACCCTCCTCCCATTGTTCCGAAGCCTGTCATCGGCATACTAGGCATGATTGCAGGCACAGACCCAAGCCCTGGCATAACCATTTGCATGGCATCCATAGCTTCTAGCGGTGCCCTCATCTGTGCCTCTGCCTTTTCTTCTTCTTTCTTCTCTTTCGCGACCGACTTCTTTTCCAAATTGGTAATCCTATTATTCATATCTTTCATAGTCTGTATGAAGTACGGCATGGCAAAGTCAAAGTACCCAGCCCTCCATGATAATTCTAGAACAACATCAGCCGGGATAAATGAATAGCACACATAAGTGCATGCGCAGAAGGCTTCTTTGTCCCTGATCCCTATGAAGTATTTCAAAAGTTCTTCTGCAAGCTCTGGCGACTTGCTTTCCTGGACAGTTTCCATGGCATCTCCAAAGACTTGGTCATTTTTGCTGATAGCTAAAGACTGTGGGTATCTTTGGTTGATTCTGTATAAGTAAGCAGAAATTCTTCTCATTTCTACAAGTGGGTGGCGTTCTAAGGTTTTGGCTAATCCTAACTGATCGAAACTGTCAAAGCTGGTTACGGACTGTCTGAGAGTTTCGTAGTCTTCTTGCTCAATTAAAAGTTCGTTCACTGCGTCATTTACTTGAGCGACGTTGTACATCTGTACTGATTGAAGCCAAGGCAGACACAAGGCAAGATGTCCAGCTCTTCTTAAAACTTGGACTGCTTTAGCGTGATCAATTTTGGCTGAAATGTTCCTTAAGAGGTCGTTAATAAGCATAGGCTGCTCTTCGAGATAGAAAATCATGGCCCTGAAGAACAAGTCCTGGTTTGATGCTTTTTGGATCACATCAGTGAAGATTTCGTGGGTCCATGCCTTAGGAGAATGGTCAATCATTGTGACGAGTGCATTATCAAATTCGTCATATTTGACATATAAGAAAACAGCTTCTGACCACCTTCTGAATCTTTCACAAGCTCTGAGTAGCTTAGGAATATTAAGCCTTTGGTAGTAGTTCTTGCAGTGCTCCATAAGTTTCTTTGGTCTGTACTTGGCATACAAGATTCCGAGCTCTGTGAAGATGCCTTGGTGGGCTCTTTCACTGGCCATCCCACTTTCTAAGAGGGCAATAAGTTCATCTGGGTATCCATAGTGCTCATAATGTCTGATGATATCTTCTAAATGGTCTGGATGAGTAATGATATTCAGCCCAGCCATCATAGCGAGCTTGAATTCCTTGTTAGCTACACATGCGAAGTTCACTTCTTTCCAGACTTTAGGGTTATTAGCGCTCTTTGCAGCTTCCATTGCTTCCATAAATCTCTTAAGTTTCACCAAACAGCTAGCTAATCTAGCATAATTGTTGATGCTGGCAAATAGAATTCTGGCAGCTTCATAGAGTTTTTCATCAAAGCATCTGTCTCCTACCTTTCCAACGTCAGCTTGGTTGCTGTTTGAAATAAATTCTTCTAATTCGTTTAACATGTCGCATTTTGCTAATGCAAATAGGAGCTCGGTATCAATAATAGGGTCTTTTTGGTTTAACTGTTGGCTTCTAGCAAGCATTAAGAACTTAATGAGCTTGACGAAGGACTGGTTTCTTTCTGCAGCAGCGATCACGAGTTGGTAGCTACTTGCGTCCTTTGCTTTAATATAGGATTCAATTGCGTCGTCAACTTTGTCAGCATCTAATTGTGCACGGCCAAGCCTTGACCAGACTTCAGGACTAGCAACTCTTTCAGCGAATTCTGAAGCTCTTTCTAAGTTTCCGATGTGCCCGAGAAGCACTTCAATAGCTTCTGCGTTCATGCCAGCCTTTCTATAAATCAAAAAGGCTTCTTCAGCTAGTCCATGTTGTGAAAGAGCGTATTGAGCAATTTCAAGGGCATCATAGTTGTCAAGTCTATTAATATAGTCAACTACACGAGTTGGCTCAGCTTTGATGGCAGTTACAAGGAGCATATTTTGAAGATTCTTGTTCTTACTCTTCCTATTTAATAGTAAGAAAAACATATAGTTTTTTTTTTAAATTTTCTATAAACATTTTTTTAATATTTTTTGGAAAGCCAACTTGCTTTTTATTAAAATTTTTTTATTATACTTCATTGGTAGTCACAAAAAAGTTTCTTCATTAAATGTGTAAGAGTTAGAGAAATCTGACTTGTGAAGGACAATTTTTTCAAGCAACTCCATAAGTTCTTTCTGTAGCTCAGCTTTAAGGAACGATTTTACGGTGATAGAGACTTCTTCAGCATCTTTGCTATCAGGCAAAGCTGATGCAATGACTTGGTCAATAACGCTTCTTCTATGTTGGTTTTCAGTTGACAACACTTTAGCCCAGAGTTCCAAGTTCTTTCTTTCTACAAGATATCTGGCTTGTGCTCTGTACATTGAGTTTCTATTTGTCAAATCAATAAGTTCGTCATCACATTCTCCCCAAGCTCTTGTATAAGCCTTAACAGCGAGGTCTGCGTTTCTTTCTTCGCAGTATTTTCCTACTATTTTTGAGTCATAGAATTGATTTCTTATCAAAAAGTCTTCAGGATCTCTATTGATGTCAATATAAATCTTAGCCAAGGCTGTGTGGATTGCTGACTCTTGGTTTCCTTCTCTGTCTCTATCTTCAAGCCACGACTGAATGATCCTAAGTCTGTTTCTTTTTTCCATTTCTTCTATAAGTGGCTGTGAAGGACAGCTTGCTCTTAAGGTGTTCAATATTTGTTTTATATATGATTCATCAGCGTCAAGATCTGCTAATGTTCCAAGCACAACTGGGGCAGCTTTAGGGTTCAGCTTAATCAAATAGACGTCAATATATTTGGTCAACGCGTTCTTATACAGATACCTAGTAAGTTCTTCACCGAATCCATGTATATCGCACAAATAAATAAGTGGTCTTGGGTCTGGCAATTTGATATCCTTTAAGAAGTCTTTAACCTTGACTGGGTCATAGAATTTGGTTTCTCTGATAACTCTTTCCACTTCTTTGCTTTGGTTCAGCTTGGCTGCAGCTTCAATATACTTGAAATAAACATCAGGATCTTCAGTAAAGTTCAGAACGGAGCCTAAAAAGAAGAAAAGCCCATCATAGCTTCCAAAGCTTTCAAACATTTGAATTAGTGCAGGAATCGTGACTTCTGCGTGGTATTTAATTGCAGTTTGAACCACAATTTGTAAGTTGGCAGCCCTGTTGCTTTTCATCATATCATATAAGCATTGTAAAGCATTATTTGGAGTCATATGGCCAAAGAAGGCGACTAAGAAATCTTGGTTAATTCCAGCTGAGTTCACGAGGACTCTTCTAATATCGTTGATATCGCGGTAGTTCTCTAAAGCTCTCTGGGCAAGACCTGCTTGTTCACAGAGTTGGGCGATTCTTATTTTATCGTAATTGGAGAACATGTCAGTTTGGAAGATGGTTTCAGCCACCTGAGGAGCTTGGATAATGTTCATTTCTAAAAGTTTAGTCTGGAGGTGTCCTTGCTCTGGTAAATCCTCTTTAAGAACTTCTAACAAATAAGAAGTGGCTCCTTGCAAGTTGTGCTGAGCCAAAAACAGGTCACTGATAGCATTGATGTCGACATTTTTTCCTGCTTGTTTAGCTACATTTAAAGCAGCTTCTGGATTAGTCATCATAAGAGATCTAATGATTGACGTATAGTCAGGAGCAATATTATTCGCTTGACAGAATGCTCTAACTTTATCGTATTGTCCAGTTTCAACTAAGCTAACTAAAACTTTTTGAGGGTTTCCTACACGAGTGTTGACTTCATATGCCAAATTAACGTCGAATTCTCTTACCAAGTCACCAAGCTCTTCACTGCATTCAATTTTATCTTGTTGAATCCAAGTCTGCAGGATTTGTTTTCTGCCTTGTTGAAGCAAAGGTCTTGCAATTTCTAATGCTTCGTATTTATTTAATTTCCCCATTTCTAAAAGAGTGCTGAAATAAGTCAGCATTGGATGAGGCTGGCCTGGAACTTGTGGAAGAGTCCTCAATCTGCTAATAGTTTCTTGGTTTCTCAATAAATTTCCAGGTGCGCCTGCAGCCATTTTTGCAGCTCCTTTAATATCTCCTTGTGCCATAAGCCTGCCAAACTGCTGGACAAACAAATCTTCACAGCCCGCAAGCTTGAACCTTTGAGCCAAAGTAAAGCTAATAGACGGGGCATCTGCAATATGCCTACACACATTGATAATGAAAGGCACCAAATTTGCTTCTTCTATAGCAATTCCTAACACTTGTCCTCTTCTGTTTACTCCAAAAACAGCATCTTGTCTAGAGCTTCTGCAGGTGACAAAGATGGTGTCTTCACAAAGTCTTGTTCTGTATATTAAATTAGCGCTGACTGTTTCGAATAAATAAAGGTACCCAAACTTGGTGATCATTGCAATGACTCCATATTTTGATAACAAATGCATAGCAACTGGGAAGTCATTAGGAGCTTCTGGTGGGTATGATAATTCCATAGTGGCTTTGAATTTCTGTCCTGAAGCTGGTCTGTTGATTTCCATCACATGTACTCTGGAAATTGCTTCAGTTGCCTTTTTCTCCACAAACGAGAAGCAAGTGACTGCTGGACCGTCTTTTAGAGGGATTTCTCCAAAGCAGCCAGCGTGGCCTTCTAATATTTGCTGTTGCTGGCCACTAGTGAAATAAAGCTGCATGTGCCCATTGATTGTTTTTCCTCCATCTGGGGTTGAGATAGCAGTCAGCAGACACCAGGATTCTGACTGGTCAGTTGTATAGTTGATAATTTGGGCATTTCCTTCTAATGGACCATTCCTATCGAAAATTCTGACTGGGGTTTCGGCACCTTCCATTGACCAATGATAAACTGTTCTGGTGGTAACGATTGCAAGCTTAGAAGCAGTGAGCCAGCGCCAGTAGACGATTTGTTCTGGGAAATCATGAACTTTTAGCTTTTGCTTCACATCAAGATTGTAAACTTGGACGAAATGTCCGCCTGAGCCTTCGTTTTTGGCTTTGAGAGCAATTATATTATGCTGAGGATTCATGATGGCTGCTTCTGCTTTCATAGGACGCCTTACAACGTTGTTGTTGTTTTGAAGCTCGACCACGACGACCTGAGCAGAGCCATCTTGCCCTTCATCTCTGATGCAGATGTACTTTTCTGATTCAAGGGTAAGGAATCCGAAACGAAATGAGGAAGGATTGAGACCAAGTGATTGAAGATCAGCTACCGGGTAAACCCTGACTGGCAATTGCCCTTGCGCCATAATAATTATACACCATATTTCAAAGCTTTGAATTGTTCAGAGTACAATAGGAAAGAAGGTATTAAAAGATGTATTTAAGAGGTATTTTTAAGAGGCTGAAGTATTTAGATCTACTTTAAATTATTTTATTTATATTTTATTTAGGTAAGTTATTAGGCTTCACGAATTAAATTTGAGTGCCTACATATTAGAATTCTAAAATAGTTACTTATAATTTAAGTAGATTATATGATAAGACAAAATAGATTTTGGCTTCATATTTGTTTAAGTAATTATTATCTTTATAAATCTGTTATCTATGATCTGTTCCTAAAAATTTTAATATACCTAAATAAATGTCAAAAATTATTTCGAATAATTAAATGCAAAAGACAGTTTCAAAATAGGATATAAGGCTTCTATTTCAAAAATATTTAAAATCCAATTTAAAATTATATTTATATATCTAGATAATAAATATATTTCTCAGCAATAAAGAGATATTAATAAATCTGATACAAAATATTTGCTGGGGTCGCTACTTTTAATAAAATTAAATGTCACCATTAGTCTTTCTCTTGATGCTGGCTCAAAGTTTTGCTTACATAATAAGCAGTGTCAGCATTGGTACGGCATCGGTAATATTAATTTAGATTTCAGCAGGAGGAACAACTACATTTACAATAACTTTAACAGATGATTCAGGAACCACGTGCAGCTCGGTGTCAAGTATTAATTTGTATGCTTATCTAACATCAGGAAGCTCAAGTATTGGTGCTTTTAAAGGGACAACATCATCATCTTGCTCAGCGACCATCACAACAGCAGCAATATTAACGCCAGGAACATATGATGTTACTACTTGATGTGACACCTGTACAAGCTCGGGATCTTCTTCAACTTCATCCTCTGCCTTAACAGTAAGTGCAGCTCTTTCGAAAATGAAGATTTCATTGAGCACTTCAAGTACTACTGCACAAACAGCTTTTGGATTGTCTTCCATAAACCTTTATAATCCTGATGGAAGTGCTTATGGATCATCTGCAACAATTACATTTTCATTGCTTGACTCTAGCGCAACTCTTACTAACTCAGCAGGATCAACATCAACACTAAGTAATGGAGGGAACCTCTCAAATGTTTTTAAAATTGATAAAGCAGGGACTTATACAATCCAAGCTACAGATGGAACTATATATGCTTATTCTGATCCAATAACTATAACTGTTGGCTCAGTTAACAGCATTACGATTGATACAATTTCTAGTCAAATCGTCAACAAGGCTTTTACAATTACTTATTCATTATACGATGCAGGTGGGAATAAAGTAACATCAGATCCTACAACAACTTTATCAGGGTCTGGAGTAACTCAAATTTCGCATCCTAGTTTTTCGTTCTCAGCATATTGCACTTCAACTGGATCGATAACGATAACTCTTACAAGCAATTCTAAAACCCAGACCTCAACTTTTACAGTGAATAATGCAGAAGCTCAAATTACTTTGCCAAACTCTATCGTAGTTGAAGGAGAAACCAATTTTCAATACAAAATTCACCTTATTTATCAGCCTTATAACGACATGGTAATAACTATTGCTCCAAGTGATTCGACTCAATTCACTCTTTCAGCAACTTCGCTTACATTTACATCAAGTAATTATGCAACAGATCAAACTGTTACTGTGTCTGTATTAAGGACTTCAAATAGTAATTCTCAATGAACTAGCAAGATTACCCACTCTGTTACCACTTACTCAACAGACTTTGTATCTTCTTTTTCTGCTGTTTCATCATCAGGAGACCTAACTCTTACAGTTTTTCATGAAATCACTACAGCAGTTATAATAGATTCAGTTCCTGTTATGGTTGAAGGAGGTACCAGCGTAACCTATCATGTTTATCTTTCTCAAGCTCCTACAGCCGATGTTAGAATAGCTATTTCAACCAGCGGTGGAGATTTAACGATTTCCCCGACAAATTTTTTCTTCACATCATCTACTTGGGATCAATCAAATCAGAAAACAGTGACTGTCACTGCTCCTTATTCTAGCTATAACACTGGAGGCATCAATTCATATACTCTTACTCATGCTATCTCAGCAGATGACCCATATTTCACCAACGCTGTAATTCTTCCAACTCCTTGCAACGCCTATGTCATCAAAAAAGACACGTCAGCTGTCCTTATATCTGAATCAGTGGTCTTTCAAGAAGGCTTAACCGGATCATACAGCATCGTCCTTACAACTGAGCCACAAGACTCCGTCACAATTTCTCTTAGTTCTACTTCAACCATGATTTCATTTTCACCTACTTCTCTAGTGTTTACTAAAAGCGATTATGATATTCCTCAATCAATTTCTCTGAGTTCAGTTGAAGGAAGCTCACCAAGAGGCTTACAATATTCAATAACAATCACTCATACAGTTACCTCACTCCCCCCCCTTTAAATTGAAACAAAAAATTTTGTTTCAATTTAAAGGGGGGGTTAAGAAAATTTTTTATAAAAAAAATTTATATATAAAAATTTTTTCAGAGATAAAATTTTATAGAAAATAAATTATATAAATTTAAAGAGACAATAAATTGAACAATTGGATAAAATAGAGTTTAATTTCTAAATCTTATATGTTTGAAGCATATTAAATAGGGTATTAACGTATTTACATATAAAATAATGATTTTTTACCTATAAAATTTTCTATTATAATAAAATTTTGTTTCAATTAAAAGGGGGGGTAATTTCCCAAAAAAGTAGGAATTTTACTATATTTTTGTTTCAATTTAAAGGGGGGGGGGAGTCAGGAGACTCAAGCTATAACGGCATCACTCCTATTCCAGGAAATGATATCAAAGTCACTGCTGTCAACCCATGCAGAGGAGGCTTGTGGGCTTGGCCGCCTGGTACTGGAAAATGCAACTTATGTCCTCAAGGCTACAAATGCCCTACTTTATATGGAGATAAAGTTGCCTGCAGCTCTAACCAGTATTCGCCACTTGGAGTATGGAACTGTATTGACTGCCCTCCTGGGCATTCTTGTGATGGAACTAATATGCCTAAACCTTGTGATATTGGGTATACTGCTGCTTGGGGTTCTGGAGTATGTACAGCTTGCACTGGGGTCTCTTGTGACTTGCATGGACATGGTAATGTAGCTGTTCCTGATGGAATGTATATAAGAGGAGATGGACACAGCTTATACCAATGTCCGCCTGGGTCAAAATGCACTGGAGGCTCTTACAGCACTTGTTCAAGTGGACAATATTCTCCGCCTGGTTCTTCTACATGCATTAGCTGTCCTTCAGGTGCATATTGTCCTAATACCAGCAGCTCTCTTCCAGTTCTATGTGATCCTTACAGTTACTCTACAGGAGGTACCGATACTTGTCATTACTGCCCAGTTGGCTACTCATGTACTTCATCAGGCAAAACGGCATGCGCAAGCGGGAAAATTTCTTTGGAAGGCTGGATGGAATGCTTGACTTGTGATGTTTTGTGCCATGGAGGAGGGTCCTCAAGCAAATGTAGCTGGGGCCAGTATCTGGATTCTTCAAATATATGTCAGACATGTGATGCGGGCTACGAGTGCGACGGAACATATAAAAAGCCATGCCCATTAGGGTACTATTCTTCATCAGGAGCTTCAGGATGTATCAGATGTGCTATTGGAACTTATAGTAACACTATTGCTTCTACAGCTTGCACCAGCCTTTCAACAACTAAAGCTACAATAGCGAATATGGTTCACTTCGGAGAAATCGGATGCTATAGAGGTTCTGTTAAAAATTCTGGAGGCTATGCATGCACTTCTTGCCCTCCTGGAAAGAATTGTGACAATCCGTTCACAACAGTGACTTGCCCTGTAGGATATTTTTGTCCATCTGTGCCTCTTTATCAAAGCTCAGCAGCAACCCAAACTCCATGCCCAAGCGGCTATTATACAGGGAGCACGGGTGGGACCAGTCTTAGTTCATGCAGCTCATGTGCGGCAGGATACTATTGCACAATAGCAAGCTCAGCAGAAACTACATGCCCAGCAGGCCATTATTGTCTTGCTTATACATCTATTCCTGACATGTTTCCTTGTCCTGAAGGATACTACAGAGCCTCAACTGGTGGAGCTGCTTCATCAGACTGCTCAGCTTGCACCCAAGGATATTTCTGCCCAGAAGGAACGAGTGTCCAATATCCATGCCCAGCTGGCACATGATGTGCAGCTCAATCTGCTTATGTCAACTATTGTGCTGCAGGCACTACATCAGCAATGTCTGCAGCTTATACCAGCGGAAGTTGTTCGGGTGCAACTTGCACTGCAGGATATTATTGCACCCCTGGATCTGCTCCTCTTCCATGCCCAATTGGTACTTATAACACAAACACTGGAAAGGGATTTGTATGGGATGCCTGCACTTTTTGTGACGCAGGCTATGCTTGCAAACAAATGGGTCAATCTGCTACAGCAACTACAAGTTGTGATGCAGGCCACTATTGCCCTGAAGGGACTGAATTTGCCCGCCAATTTCCATGCCCTGCAGGCTACTATTCAGACTCAACTTCCTTGAATGAAGCAAGCGGATGCTTTGCTACAAATACTAGTCCTGATATTGGCTCATGTACAGCTGGCAAGTATTGCCCTCCAGGCACTGTTTCAACAACCCAAATTTCTTGTCCTAGAGGTTACTATTGCTCTCTTGGGACTGTTTTTAGTCACACAACCCCATGCAGCGCAGGCTATTATTCTTGGTCACGAGGAAATGCTGGTGACTCAGACTGTACAATTTGTCCTAGTGGCAGATATTGTATTAGAGGGGCATCTCAAGTCTCTGGCTGGTAATACATAAACCCTCCTACTCCCCTCAATACCAAATTACCTAGTCATGATAATAAAAAATATAAGAAATATTGCAGTATTATTTATCCACGCGATTAAAACGCGATTTATAGCATGTTTCCAAATATATGAATACTTTATTTCACATCCCTACTATATACAAATTTTTACATAGTAAAATTATTTAGACTAATAAAGAAATACGCTGAATATTGCTAATTATCGCTTTTTAAGTATAAATATAGTTGAATTCTGCTTTAAAATGGATAGACACAGATAAATAGATTCAAGCATAATTATGTATCATAGGCACATACAATAGCATCGATTTTGCTAAATTAATGCGTTTAAAAAATTTTATATGGTTAAATAGCTTATTTTATATATTAAGCATGATATATCTCATTTAAGTTTAATACAAAATTTTAGCAAATTTGCTAGTCATATACAATTTTGTATATAGTAGAATATGATAAAAGTATGAATATGTGTGTAAACATGCTATAAATCGCGTTTTAATAGCTTAGGAGCGAAAATGTTGAATGCCTCTATATTTCTTATTATCAAGACTAGGTAGAAGGTAGGAAGAGGGTGGGTTTAGGCTTGACCATCTGGCTATTGTTCTCAAGGATATTACTGCGCCTCAGGCTCCACTCTTCCTGATAATAAAAACAAACAGTGCGGCGATGGAAAATATCAACCTTACTATAATGCAACATCATCTAGTGACTGTAAGACTTGTCCAGCTGGCAGTTTTTGTTGGGCTGGTTCTGCTTTCCCTATCCTTTGCCCAGCAGGAACTTATTCTAGTGCTTCTACTGGAAGTGATTCCAGCTGTTCTTCCTGCACTGCAGGCCAATATTGTCCTCAAGGAACAGCATCTGGGTCTCTACTTGATTGCCCAGCTGGTTATTATTCAAATGCAGGTGCTTCTACATGCACAATTTGCCCTAATGGATATTATTGTGAGGGAGCTACATCAGGAACAACTTGTCCTTCAGGAAAATTCTGTCCAATAGGAACCAGTGTGGATCCAACATCAGATTCAGATTATGATTGCCCAGCTGGATACTATTGCGCTTCAGGCACAACAAGTCCTACTCCTTGTTCTGTAGGAAAATATAATCCTGATACCGGGAAATCTAGCTCTAGCGACTGCACAAGTGCCGATGCAGGCTATTATTCTCTTCTTGGATCATCTTCTAATATTGGTTACTGCGAACCTGGATATTATTGCCCAGAAGGGTCAACTGGTCCATATCAATATCCTTGTCCTGCAGGATATTATCGATTCACGATTGGTGCCACTGATTCAGATGACTGCTCTTCATGTACCGCTGGATATTATTGCCCGTTAGGGACTGCTTCGCCTATAATCTGTCCAATTGGCTACTATTGTGAATCCTCAAGCTCCACGCCTGCTTTTTGTCCGTCTGGAACTGTTGGGTTGTCTGAAGGATTAACATCAAGTTCTGCCTGCACAGATTGCCCTACAGGGTCTTATTGTTCAACTCCAGGGCTCTTAGTTCCAGATGGTTCTTGCACTCAAGGCTATTCATGTGACTCAGGTAGCTCTTCATCTACTCCAACAGGTAGTGATTGCACTGCAGGAGGATACTGTGAGCCAGGGTTTCCAGCAAAAAGAAATTGTCCTCCGGGCAGTTACAATCCCAATGAAGGTGCCAAAGATGTAAGTTGGTGTTTGCCATGCACAGCTGGATACTACTGTTTAGGAAGTGAATCAGATATTTCTACAAATTTATGTGCTGCTGGCTATTATTGTCCTACAGGCTCATTTTGGTCTAACTCTCCCCCCCCTCCGTGAGTGAGCAAAAACATTTTGTTCACTCACGGAGGGGGGTTAATTTTATTTTTTTAAAAAAAATTTATATATAAAATTTTATAAAAATCATTTTTTTTTCGAAATTTAAAAAAATCCTAATTCGCAAAAATTAGAAAGCAAATATTAATTTAATTTATAAAATTTATGTTTTAAAAAGCAATTCGTTTAAAATTAAACAGAATTAGTTCTAGATTTCATTATACTAATTATCATTTATATATCAAAATTTTTTTTCCATAAAAAATTTTTGTATTAAAAAAATTTTTGTTAACTCACGGAGGGTGGGTTTTTGGGCAAAAAATAGGGATTTTTCTAATGGTTTTGTTCACTCAAGGAGGGGGGGGAGTAAGCAAAACATTACTCCCTCAGGAAGTTATACGACATCTGGGCAATACACTTACACTCAATGCGCTCTTCCTCAGTATAACCCTATCTATGCTCAGTCAACTTGTATTGACTGCCCTCAAGGATTTTATTGCAATGCGAACGGCATGACTGATCCAATTGTATGTCCTGTTGGTAGCTATTGTATTACAAATCAAAGCTATTATACTCAATGTCCCATTGGAACTTTTAACCCTAGACTAGCTTTAACGCAGCAGTCTGACTGCTTATACTGTCTGCAAGGCTATTTTTGTCCAACCACAGGCCTTTCTTCTCTTTCCTCACGCAAATGTGATCCTGGATACTACTGTTATAGAGGAGCAACAGTTAATAAGCCTAGTGATGCAAATACTGCTAGTGGATACTACGGAATCTGTCCAGCCGGAGCTTACTGTCCTCAAGGCAGTGCAGGCCCGATTGCATGCCCATCTGGGTATATGAGATCCTCTCAGCTTGGCACTCAATCATCTGACTGTACACAATGCACTCAAGGTTACTATTGCACAAATGTGAATTCAACGACTACTACTGATCAATGCGATGCTGGATATTACTGCTTTGCAGGGTCTAGATGACAAAGACCTTACATTATTGATTCAACCCATACACAATATTGCGCTGCAGGAGAATACTGCTTAAAAGGCTCATATGAACCTACAGATTGTCCTTCGGGAACTTACCAAGACTTAGATTATCAGTCTACCTGCAACACATGTCCAGCAGGGTACTACTGCCCACAAGGGACAAGTGACTATTCAGTCCTTCCATGTCCTGCTGGCTATTACTGTCCTTCAGGAACTCAATATAACAATCAGTATCCTTGTCCATCAGGGACCTATAATCCGAGAACAGGAATCTTATCTTATATTATCTATAACGTTTAACGTCCACTACGGGGTCGCCAGCTCCAGAGCTGCCACCATATTTTTCCACGTGTCGGGCCCAGAGACCGCTGGGTCGATCCCCTTTTGATCACCAAAAGACACAGGTGAATATGATGTTCCGGCTTCGACGGGCTTCGCTGCCGCCACGGCTTTATTTCGACTCAGCTCCTGCGCGTGTTCCGCCTGAGGGTCCATCTCCCTTGGGATGTGCTGAGGGGGTAAAAACTCCAGATCTTGATCGCACTGAGGAGCAGTTCCTCTGGTTATCTCCAAAGTTAAGCCGCTATTGCTGTGCAGAAGTTCTTGAGGTGAAAACCCAACCCTATAAATAAAATTGCTTGAGTGAGAGAAAGTTAGCGGAGCTGACTTCGCTTGAGCGAAAGCCATTTTATTTATCCGAGAACAGGAATCACTGATTCTTCTATGTGTCTACAATGCCCTCCAGGTAAATATTGCCAGGACATAGGCCAAAGTACTTATGCAGGCACATGCACTGGCGGGTATTTCTGTAAAAAAGGCTCAAAATCTGCTACCCCCCAGGTTTCATACCCTGGAGATTCAAATGGTGGAAAGTGTATTGCAGGGTATTACTGCCCTGCTGGAGCTGCATATGCATTTGAATGCGATGGAGGTTATTATTGTGCTACTGGGACACTTAATGCTCCAACTGGTCAATGCAGTGCAGGCTACTATTGCATTGGTGGGTCAACTACTGATAAACCTACTGATGGAACTCATGGTAATATTTGTCCAGCAGGCTATTACTGCCCCATAGGATCCATTTCTCCAATTGCATGCCCTAAAGGAACATACCTGGGCTCTAAAGGAAATGATGACGTATCTGACTGTATTAATTGTCCCGCCGGAGAATACTGTGGAGATTCAGGACTTTCGGCCCCAACAGGATCATGTGCAGCAGGATTTTATTGTTCTGGATCAAATTACGAATACATGCCGCTTTCAGGAAAATGTACTGCCGGTAATTATTGTCCAGCTGGAAGTGGCAGCCAAACATCAGTTTCTCCAGGGTATTACCAAGACCAGACAATGCAATCAACTTACAAGAAGTGCCCTCAAGGCTACTATTGTCCTAGCTCTGGAATGACAACTCCTACCGCATGCGAGGCTGGCTATTATTGCCCTCAAGGATCTATAAACCATTTAGAATGCCCAGCAGGAACTTATAATGAGAAAACGCAGCGTTGGCAGCTCAGCGACTGCTTGTCTTGCCCACCAGGCAAATACTGTGAAGGAACAAGTAACGTCAGTTGGGATGGAGACTGCCAAGAAGGTTACTATTGCAGAGGTGGCGCTGTCCAAAAAAATCCAAATAACGATGCTCAAGGAGGCAAATGTCCAAAAGGCTATTACTGCCCAGCTGGTAGTGTTTTGCCTACTAAATGCACTCCTGGCTCTTATTGCGCTACTACTACTTTAGACGTCGTTTCTGGAAGCTGCACTCAGGGCTACTATTGCTTGGAAGGAGCTACTTCTCCAACTCCAAGAGATGGAGTTACTGGTGCTGTTTGTCCTGTAGGCTACTATTGCCCATCAGGCTCTGCAATGCCAACTCCTTGCGATCCTGGATACTATCAATCATCTCACTCCAGTCCTCATCAGTAATTAAATAAAAATACTTTGTTTGCTCACACAAGAAATTGATTTTTTTTTTTTAAAATTTCCATTAGGTCAGAATTTGCAAATTTATAAATTCTAGTATTAAAATGTAAGTTATTTTAAATTAAATAAAATCAGCTCGGTACTTTTTATTTTAATAAGTATCACTTGCATATCAAAATGATTTTTATATTAAAAATAAAATTTGCTCATTCACAGAGGTTATTTTTCCTAAAATTCATGATTACCATTTCTCGCTCACAGAGGGAGAGCTAGCAAAAATATCAGTCTTCAGATTGTATTATCTGCCCAGCAGGGTATTATTGTGCCCATAGAGCTTCATCAGTTATCACAGGAATTTGCACTGCTGGTTATTATTGTCCTCAAGGCCAAATTACGCCAACTCCAATTGCTTATATATGTCCATATCAATTTTTGGTGTTATTAGCCAATAGAGAATACGGGAAATCTATAAAATGCGAGCTAGATATTTCTATATGACAAATAATTTGAATAGTCTCATTAATAAGAGCTATTTATTATTAGCAAATGCTGATCTATATATAGAGTAAAAATTTTATACTAAATTTGACTGTAAAAAATTATAAATCGAAATTGTTCTGATCTTAGAATCAAGAATTCACCCTTTCATATAAACAATTGATCCATATATGATCTCCAATAAGTCTGTAGACCAAAAATGATAAATGCTTGTTTCAAGGGATTAGATTATCTTATATATTATTAAAAAAGGAAATCGCATGTTTCATTGAAAGAGGAACAATTCCGTTTTTTAATGAGAGAATGGTTTATTAGACTCAAAAAAATGGCTACAAAAAAACATGCAAAGGGTACTTCTGCGCGTATTTGGATATCAAATATACTTGCGTAAATACACGCTAAATCATGCAGCAAGATACCAAAATATGATGTAGATTTGAACTATATTTGCTATAATTTGCATTTTATCGATATATAAATACGAAACATATATAATAGAAAAATACGAAATCATTCTCTCTATATCGCCATTTTTTATTTAAAAAGAAACAATTTTTTAATATAAATTTTTGCACACAAAATTCAAGATTTACTGTAGACACTTTGAATAAACTGACTTTGTGATTGTTTGCATAGAAAAACTTATTTTAAAAAATATATTTAACAAATTTATTGTATTTCCTAGACTTTAGAGAGATTTGTCAATTAAAATACAGTAATCTTAACTAACTTTTGCTAAAAATAATACTAATGGTAATATTTTATCTAACACCCTTTTATTAGTTGAGGAACTTTAAATTTCTGTATTAAATAAATTTACGCACTTTATGCGCTTTTCTTTCAAGCATATTTGCGCCTTTCATAAAATGGCGCAAACATACAATATATGCTCTATAAATAGAATTTTAAGCTATATTGTATTTATTAAGATAATGTTGATTATATTTAATTAATTTTAAATTTTATTAGTTGGAATGAATAGCAAAGATTACTGTATTTGCATTAACTATTTGGGACTTTTAAAGAGATTTTTGAAAGCGAACTATCAATAGCATGGTGCAGAAGTGTAAAAATACTTAATATAAGTAATTCCTTTAATTATTGATCAGTTACAGTAAATCTTGAATTTTGTGTGCAAAAATTTTTATATTAAAATTGTTTCTTTTTAAATAAAAAATGGCGATATAGAGAGAATGATTTCGTATTTTTCTATTATATTTGTTTCGTATTTATATATCGATAAAATGCAAATTATAGCAAATATAGTTCAAATCTACATCATATTTTGGTATCTTGCTGCATGATTTAGCGTGTATTTACGCAAGTATATTTGATATCCAAATACGCGCAGAAGTACCCTTTGCATGTTTTTTTGTAGCCATTTTTTGAGTCTAATAAACCATTCTCTCATTAAAAAACGGAATTGTTCCTCTTTCAATGAAACATGCGATTTCCTTTTTTAATAATGTATAGGATAATCTAATTCCTTGAAACAAGCATTTATCATTTTTGGTCTACAGACTTATTGGAGATCATATATGGATCAATTGTTTATATGAAAGGGTGAATTCTTGATTCTAAGATCAGAACAATTTCGATTTATAAAGAATTAACTATTTTATGTTTTAGGGACCAGCGGCAGATACAATTGCAAAGAGTAAAACAATTTTTTTACAATCAAATTTAGTATAAAATTTTACTCTATATATAGATCAGCATTTGCTAATAATAACTAACTCTTATTAATGAGACTGTTCGAATTATTTGTCATATAGAAATATCTAGCTCGCATTTTATAGATTTCCCATATTCTCTATTTTTTTTAATGTGCGCAATTTTTTCCCATTTATTTTTCATATAATTTAAAAAAATCAAGTAAGCATTAGTGTGCAAATCACTTTAATATTTGTCAAAATGAGTGCATATGCTTTATTATCCCTACTTATATGTCCTATTGGAAATTACTGCCCTTCTCGTTCTGCAACTCAAACAAGCTGTGCAGCTGGTACTTATCAAGATCAAAAAGGGCAGTCAAGTTGCAAAAACTGTCCTGCAGGATTTTATTGTGACGCTGGCGCTACAACTCCTACAAAATGCACTGCAGGCTACATGTGTCCACTCGGCACTTCAAGTAGCACACGTGTCCCATGTGGTAATGGAGAATATCAACCATTTGAAGGCCAAAGCAGCTGTTTAACTTGTCCAATGGGCTACGAATGTGGAGCAGGCCCTCTTACCAGCCCAACCACTTGCCCAATTTATAGTTACTGCGTAGCAGGTACAAACTCTCCGGCCCCATCTTGTCCATCTGGAACATATACTGATGAAACAGGTCTCCAATCTAAATCTCAATGCAAACAGTGCCCTGCTGGAAAATATTGCACTAATGGCAAGATACAAGCAGATTGTGATGCTGGCTACTATTGCATTTCTGGTTGCAATACTCCAACTCCAGATTCTTATACAAATACAGGATATGGGCAGCCTTGTCCTGAAGGTCACTATTGCTTGGCTGGAGCTACATTGCCAACACCATGTCTGGCCAAGCATAGGTAGCAACCCCACACCCCCACCCCCATCCCCCCAATAAGGGGAACCCCCACCCCCCCACCCCCCTCTCGGGTTTATTCTATAGAAGTAATTGATAGGAAATAAGCAAAATAAATTAAATATAACCCAATTAAAACACTATATTGATAAATTAAGTCCACAAATTACTTTATATTTATAAATTTAAATTAATTAGCAATTAATTAGAAAATATATTAAATTTGCTTTTTATATTTATAAATATAATGCCAAAGATATAGATAATGGCATTAATTATTAAATGAGCCAAGCACAACACAATAACTTGCATTAATTTATTGATTCATACATTAAAGCTAATCTAATGTCCATTGTACAAGGATTGCAGGACTGAATTGGTAACAGGATTCAATAGTGGTAGTAAAACTAGTATTTGCTATTGTCAATTTTACTTTTGGATCTCTAATTCGACTTTTAGCCATTGTTCCACAAAGTTCATAAATATATGCAGGATATATTGCTAATTAATACCAAAGATCATTATTATGCTCGCTAACAAATTTTCATATGTGGTGTGCTTAGTAGTTATAGGAAATTCTCACCTCATTCCGCCTACTCATTAATCGATTGTGCTACGCTATGTAGATATTGTATAAATCAGTAATTTTGAATATTTAAAATAATAATTTATTTATTACGTCTGCTCTAAATTGGCATTTGTCATATATTTATGCTATATTAAGGGGGGGTGGGGGTGCCATCTGTGAAAGGGGGGTGGGGGTGCCATTTTTTAGGGGGGGTGGGGGTACCACTTTTAGGGGGGTGGGGGTGTGGGGGTGTGGGGTTGCGACCCTATGCTTGACCACCATGTCCATCAGGGAAGTTTAGAACTCAAACAGGAGGAGCCCAATCATCAGATTGCACAGATTGCGATGCAGGTTATTACTGTATAGCCAATGACCCAGTTCCAAAAGAATGTCCAGCAGGTGCCTATTGTCCAGCTGGTTCAAATACCCCTACTTATTGCAATGCTGGCTACTATTCTCTTTATCCTCAGCAAAGCTCTTCAACTACCTGCACAATCTGTCCATCAGGCTACTTATGTCTTTATCAAGGTACAGCTGATTATTCTAACTACCCTTGCTCTCCTGGCTACTATTGTACAACAGGGACACTCTCTTTGACATCATCTCCTGCAGGAGTTTATTCCCCAGGCTATAAAGCTGGCTCTGTTTCCGATTTAGTTGACTGTCCTTCAGGATATTACTGTGTGGAGCAATCAACTGGCTATAATTACTGTGTAGTTGGGGAGTATTGCCCTACAAAGTCTTCAACTCCTTCTACTTGTTCATCAGGAAACTACTGTGACAATGTAAGTTCAAGCCCTACAGCATGTCCAGCTGGCTGGTATTGCCCCGGCTATACTAGTGAAATGTCTGAATATCCACCTTTGATATGTCCTGATCGAAAAGTTTGCAAGCAAAGCTGCTCATCTCCAGTCACTTGTGATGCTGGGTATTATGTGATAACTGCCACAACTATTGTCAATGTAGTAACACCTTCATGTAATGGCTGTCCTCCTGGGAAATATTCAACTGATACAACTGAAAAGTGCTATGACTGCTCTGCAGGCTATATGTGTACTGGAGAAACTCCGACCCCAACCCCTGTAAATCTAGATACTGGCTACCAATGTGCTAAAGGGTATTATTGCCCTGTTGGAGCTTTAAAAGAATACGCATGTCCAGAAGGCACATATAGCATTGATGAAGCTCTGACTAGTTTAAGTGCTTGCACTAACTGTCCAGTTGGAAAATACAACGACCTCCCAGGCCAAACTTCTTGCAAAACTTGCGGAACTTATGCAACAAGCAAAGAAGGGGCTTCACAATGCACTTGTATTGGAAATTACCGTGTCTATCTCCAAGCCACTGGCTATTGTGTATGCCAAACTGGCTATGAATACATTGACAGCTCAGGAAATGACTTGAGCGATAAAAATGGCAAAGATGACTGTGTGCAAAAGATAATTAAAATATGGCGTCTTCGTCTAGGCATGGCCTCCCGGCCATGCAGCCTCGACTCATATTTTAATTATATCCGGCAAGGTTTTACCATTTCAGAGATGGACAGCAATGCTAGGTAAGCAATTCTGGTAGCTTTCAGAGCCTAGCCCTAGTCTATTCTCAGGGGTGGATTTTTCCTCGTGGGGAAGGAAGGTGCAGGGTTGGAAAGGGGAAGCCCAGCAAAGTCCTCTGGACCATTCGGGCAACTCCCTAGCGTGAAACTGGGCGTTACGTCCCAGGCTTTGCATTTTTCCCTTTTGCCGATAGCCGACCAGAAAAATCCATTTTTTGGGTTTTTCGGAAAAGCAACCCATGTACAAGCAAGTAGCTCATCCATGAGCCGTCGAAGACGTGGACATTTGCCCTAGAAGCACCTTGGCGATCGAAGCGAGTTTGTCTCCAGCAGGCTGGTGGGCCCGATGCGACGAAAGGCGAGTGATAAACCTGGAGTTGTAACCCCGTAGTGGACGTTAAGCGATATAAATTCTATAAAATAAGATAAGATAAGACTGTGTGCAAAAGGTTTATACAAGGTGCAACTCTGGAGATGTCAGAGATCAGTTAGGTAAATGCAGAAGCACGTCTGATTGCTCTAGTGAGTGCAATGGAGGGAGCGGAGAAAGATCTCCATCTACTGGGCTATGTGAATGTACAGAAGTTGATGACGTTAATAATATTTGCAATGAAAATTGCAGAGATACAAGTAATACGATGACTTATAATAGTGGAGGACAGTTTGTGATTTATAATCCTACGACTGGAAAATCAGAAGCAGTTGCTTCTACAGATGTAGATGGACTTCAAGGCAGCGCCGCTTGCTATCCAGGCAAATCTTGCAAAGTCCATAGCGTTGAAATGACCTCTAGTGGAAAAATTAATGGCCTTTTTGGTGTCACTAGTTCAGTTAAAAGCTCTAAGTCCTCTTCAAGAATTCTAGCCACAACTGACAGCTCGAAATATATCCAAAACCCTGTTATTTGCTTAAACATTGGTGAGACAATGGCATTTTCTGTTATCAAGCCTGACCATTATCCTGTCTACATGAAAAAATCTTTGATAAACTCCAACCCTACTTTTGACTATAGCGAATTCACTGCTCTTGCTGATAGTATGAAAAATGGAGAAAACATCACAGTATTTGTATTCACTTTTAACCAAGGCGGTGTTTATCTATTTGCAGATGCTGCAGATACAAGCCAGCAAATGATTGTAGGTGTGATGACAGACAGTTCAGAATGTCCATACTCTGATTCGCAACTTCAGCCACGAACTGCTGCTTCGATCCACCTTATAAGAACTAATCTTAAGGGCGATATCATCCAAAGTGTCGATTGGAAAGTTGTAGTTGGCCTCATGATTTCTTTACTCCCCCACTTAAAAAATTAGCAAAATTTTTAGTTTTTGGGTAATTTAACTCTCTTTAAACAGAAACAGCATTTAATGATTATAAAAATAAATAATAATTTTATACAAATAATTTTTATACACAATTTAAGAATATAATTAATTTATTTTAAATAGGGCTCTATATTTAAGCAAAATTAAAATTTCCAATCAAAATTTTTATATTTCTTTTCATAAATTTAAAATTTTTATATATAAAAAAATATTCAAAGTTTGAACAATTTTTTCCCCAACTAATGTGTAGTTAGTAGTGGCAGTACTTATATTTACAGCTCTATTCTATTACTATACCAAGTTCACCTGGGAAATAAGACTTATGAAAAGAGTGCCATACAGAGAACAAAATAAACATCTTAAAATCATAGGTGATGAAGGGACCCGAACAACAATGCAGCTAGTTATAGATGGAAAAGAAGCGGGAAGTGATTCATCAGAGGTAGAAGAAATAAGAGAAATGATCTTTGAAAAAGTCCCAGAAGTAGCTAGCTTTGAACCTACCAACTACTTAGACGAGCATAACCAAGTTGACAATTCTTTGATTCAAGCTATCAAGGAAAAAATCAGAAACAACAATAAGCTTGTGATGAAATTCTTAGAAGACAGTGCTGCAGACTCTCAAGATAGACTACAAAGACTTGCTAACGAAACTGAAGAACTACGAAATCTGCTCTATGACTTATTAAACCCTCTTAGCAAACTAGTCGGAAAGCCAGCGAAAAAAACTCTTGACGACAAACTATCAGCTAGAGACGAAAGTATCATAGGATCTGCCCCAACTACGCTCATCCCTGACATTGAATATCAAGAAGCACTCAACGAAATTGCTGAAAACGGTGCTTTAATTGACCAAGACAAAAACAAGCTTATGAGTGAGCTTAATTCTGAGCTGCAGAAGCTCGAAGAAAACATCAAAGCAGATAAATCAAAGCATGATGATGAACTTGCAATGAGACTCGCTCTAAGAGCCAAGCGGCGAAAGGAGCTGGAAAGAGAGAAAAAGGAACTTGAAAGAGAAGAAAAAAATCTTGCAAAAGCTCAGCAAAACGAAATTTGGGAAGCCAAAATGGTCTTTGATGAAGAAGAAAAAGCCTTACAAGAAGACTTTAATAGAGAAAAAGAAGAAATCAGGAGGACTGTTCTTGGCAGTCAAGTCGCAGAACTGCAAGATAAGCTTCAAAAGATGATAGAAGACCACCCAGAAAAGACACAAGAATATATCAGGCAATATGAGCAACATGTAGAAGCTTTAGAGAACAATTTGACTATAAACCAAATGAGGCAGCACCAAGAATTAGTCAAAAGACTTGAAGAAAAGAAAAACCAAAGAAGGGCTCAGCTTAAAGAAAAGCAAGCCAAAATGGAAGCAGAAATCAAAAACAAGCAAGCCATGGAAAGAGAAGAAATTGAGCAGAAGAAAAAAGACCTCGAAATTGAAGAAGCCATCGCAGAAGCTTTACCAATCGTGACCAAAGACCAAACAAATAAAGAACTCGAAGACCTCGAGAAAAAGCATAAAGATGAACTAATTGAGTATGAAAAAGAGCTGAAAACACAAGAAAACCAAGAAGTCACTGCACTACAGAAGCAAGCAACCATGAAAGAAAGCAAACTGACTCAGCTAAAGGCAGACCTAGAAAAACAAAAGAAAAAACTTATGGAGTCTGTTGCTACAGCTACTGATGAAGAAAAAGATATTTTGTACCAAGATTTAGCTATGAATGAAATGAAACTTAAAGAACTTGCTGAAAAAGTCTCTCAGGAACAGAAGAAAAATTTAGATGACAGGCTGGAATTTAGGAGAAAGAAGAGAGATGAAAGGCTTAAAGCGCTTAAACAAAAGCAAGAAGAAGAAAGAAAAGCAGTAGAACTCCAAGCTAAAAATAAAGCCAATGAAAATAAAGCAATAGAATTAGAGCAAGCAATTAAGCAAGCACTTTCTAAACTTCCTGTTGATAAACAAAATGACGCACACATAAAAATGGCATGGCGAGCCAGCCTGCCCTCTTGAAGCCTATAGCCAGACAGGAGTCTAGGGACTTTTATGGAAGGAGAGCAGCGAACGGCGAGTGTCTCAAGCCATGTTTTTTTTGGTCTGATGGAGCGCAGTGTCGGGCTGACCTAACGAAGGCTCGCATCCAGTGCAAGGCTTTACCCCGAGGGAGGATGGAATTTGGAAAGGGATACCCCAGCAGCAAGGACAAGTTTATTCTCGATAGATAGCCTGACAAGAAAATTTGCTTTTCTAATTTTCGGAAAAGGATGTACGGCACGGTGACCTAGCGTCTTTACCAGCAGATTGCGAGTGCAAGCCCTCGACCTTAGGGAGCAACACATGCCTTTAAGCCGTGGAATTGGATTGGCAAGCAGCAGGGTGTCGCGAAGCAAGGGACGTGAAAGCCGATATGGCCGCCCAGGAGCTACTCGATAATAATCTAAGTTTAAGACAAACAAAATGACGCCATAAAAGCTCTTCTTGAAGAAAAGCACGAGCAAGAAAGACTCAAACTCAAGAAAAAACTGCGGAAAAAGCTGAGAGACTGCCAAAAGGATGCTATCAGAGAAGTCATGAGGATGAAAGCAAGCGATCTAGAAATCTTAAGAAACGAATTCAAAGAAAAGGTCAAAGCTGCAGGCAGAGACTCTGAAGCTCTCTCACAAATCCAGCAAGAAGAAACTGAAGCACTAAATAGAATTGATTATCACTATATGAAGCAGCTAGAAAGCTCTCAAGAAGACGCTTGGAGAAAACAATCAGAAAAAAATCAGCAAGAGCTGTTATCTCTTATAGACCATCAGCTTGGAGAAATGAGAAAATATGCAAACAGCCAAGGACCAAACCAAGGATCTGAAGATTTAGAACTGAAACTCCAACAAGAACGGCAAAGGGTCGAAGATGAAGGCCAGAGAAAATTGAACGAGCTTAATAAGAGAAAAGAAGAATTAGAAGCTTTAAGAGCACAAAAACAAAAAGAACTAGAAGAAATGATCATGAGAGAAAAAAGACATGAAGAAATGGAAAACAGAAGACAACTTCTGATTGAGAAGAAAAGAGCACTGATGGAAAAACAGCGCAAAATCAGAGAAGAACTGCAAAAAAGAGGCCAGCTAACCTCTGAACAAATGGAAAGACTAATCAGTGAGCATCAAAGAGAACTTTCTGCATTAGAAAGCGCCATTGCAAGAGAAAGAGATAGACAAATGGCTTTGATGAGCCAAAAACTTGCAGAGAGAATGCAAAGGAAGAATGAATATGAAATGACTGTACAAAGAATGAAAGAAGAGCAAAGCAGATGGCAAAAAGAAATGGAAGAGTTGCCAGGGATCACAAATAAACAAGCCACTACATTATTACTTAAATGGAGAAGGTACCCGAAGAGAGGCATCAAAGATATTGAAAAGACACTGAGAACTGTTGAGCCAGCTGAAAGGCAACTGCCTGTTGTGGCTAAGATGGAAGATGCCCCTGTGGTAGATTCAAATGATCCAAGGCTGGATGAGCTAGTAGCGAAGGTGGACAGGATTGAAAAGATCGTCAAAAATGTGGACTCAACACAGTTTGAGAACGCGATTAAAGCGCTTGAAGAATTGGAAAGGACAATTAAGTCGGTTAAGTCTCTATAAACTAACTATAGATTTCAAAATGAATTAATTTTAATATAAAAATGGCAAAAGCTTTATTTATCATTTTTGCATGAGCTATAGGGATAAGTTTTCTTATTTTTTATTTATTCTTTGAAATTGATAAATACAAGCCAAGTTTGAACGGATCTGTACTCATAATTTAGAGTTACTTACTCCCTTGGCTAGTAAGCAAATATTTGCTCTCTAGCAAAGGGGGTTTATTATTTTTTTATGATCTAATTAATTTATAATCTATATATCAAATAACTTCTTATCTAAAACTTAATATAAAATATTGGATATTCATTATTATAGTCATTAATTATATAATAAATTAGAGCTTCTGCCAAAACTATATTTGCTCATTAATCAAATGAAATTATTTTACCAATATTTGTAATGGTTTCGCACGCTGAACAATGGTGGGTTAATTTATTTGGAAGATTATGGCTTTATCAAACCCTATGAAAAAGTATCATCTCAAAACACATATCCATCAGAGCCCAGCAATTATACAGGAAATACTTTATCTGAAAATTCTGATTTAGAAATATATAAATATCAAGGCTATCAAGCATGCATCCCTGAATCATTTGGGTATACACATTCAGATGCATCAATAAATTTTCGACATATAAAATACCCAACATGCACAGAAAAACTAAACACACAAAGAAAAATCATTGAAATTGATATAGAGAATAATCAGCTTATTATGAACTGTCCAAAAGGAAAAGGATGGTATTATCTTGGTTTAAATCAAGATAGGGAGCTTATTGGAAAAGATGTTTATGAAGAAAAAATTAAAAAGTATCCTGGACACCCAGTCAAGCTTGAAAATAATGAAGAGTGGGCTTATGGGACTTGTGAGGAAAATACCTTTCCGTTAGAAGGAGCTGCCTATGCTAACAGACCAAAGCTGGCTTCTAAAAAAAGAGCCAAAAAAATAATGGAAAATTTGCAAGGTGAAGCTTATCGAGACTTTAAAGAAAACCAAACCCGCCCTTTAACTGTCTTGGTGCTGACTTTTGATTCTATATCTCGTAGGCATTTTTATAGAAATCTTCCAAAGACAAAGACTTTTTTAAGTTCTTTATCCCCTGAAAAATTTCGAGTTTTTGATTATAAAATTCACAACATTATAGGCGATAACTCTTTACCTAATGTTTATTCCCTTTTGACAGGAAAAAGCTATGATGGCGTTATAGAGTGAGAAAAGGACGATAATGCTAAAGCGAAAGAAGATTTATTAGGATCAAATTCAATATGAAATTATATGCAAGATAAAGTAAAAATCATTTAGGGATGAGTAACTCTTTTTAATGCAGAATTTTGTGATGATTATTTTTCTGTTAAATTTGGAAGAAAATTAAACGTTGACCATATAATGACCAAATTTTGATGTGCTGCTGAAAAGTTTTCGGATTACAAGTAATTTCTACCTAGTGATCTTGGCCAATTTCAAAGATGTATAGGAAACGAAAATTCTCATTTTTATACCTTAAATTATACTTATCAATTTGTATTGAATTATCAAGGGATTAATAAATGAGCTCACATTATGAGTTTGCCAGGGCACGAAGATTCTGGAACTGTTGTGCAAACGCTTGATGATGATTTATCGATCTTTTTAAAAAATATCTTGAATACTAAAGATGAAGTATTTATTTTTTTATTGGCTGACCATGGAATGAGGTATGGTGGATGGTATAAATATATTGAAGGCTATATGGAACACAAGCTTCCAATGCTATTTTTAATAGCTTCAACATCATTATTAAATGACATTCCAGGCAGTATTGAGAACTTATCATATAACTCAAATCGTCTTGTTTCTAAAACAGATATTCATAGAACATTAAAGCATTTAGCTCATATTCCTTATTATCGAAATTATGAAGCGAAGTCTCTAGAGTACAGAAGATGGCATGCAGTTGGCCATTCTGTAAGCTTAATGATGGAAAAAGTCCCATTGTGAAGAGAATGCAGTGATATTGGTATTGATCAAGTCTGATGCTCTTGTCCTATACTTGAGAGGGTTGATAAGAATGCTTATGCTAATTATTCTAATACATATAGTGAAGCAGAGTATGAAGTTAAAAAATTTATAGAAGATATTGCAGATGCCATGGTTTTCGAAATAAATCAAGAAACTCATGGCTCTCATAACTATGAGGGATGGCACATTTGCCAAAAAATCAGTTTAAAACAAATAGAAAATGTTGAATGGTTTAGGTACACAAACGGAAAGCATCTATTTAAATTATTAATTAGCGTAAATGAAGATGAAGAGGTTAGGTATGAAAGCCTTGCGATGATTTCAGCATATTTCTTGTATCCAAAAAGCCCAAGAGCTGGATTTCCTTTATATTCTGTTATGAATAATGGAAAAAAGCTACTCAAACTTTTATATGTTTCACGAAAGACGCCACAATCAAGTCTATGCAAAGAAATTTGTAAAGAAAAATCAATTATTGGAAATCTTTGCCTATGCAATATAGCCCATATCCCTATATAGATTTCTTTATTGAACAGCATCTAATGGACGGTTGAAAGACCAAGCTAGACTCTATCAAAGGGATCAGCTGTATCTCTATAATACCAGGAAGGGTTAAAACGTGGCTAACCAAAAATGGTTGACAAGTGTGAACAAAGTTGGCAAACAAGCGCGCCAATTTTTAAAATGGCTTTATTATAAAAAATTAATTTCAAATTAAAGATGCCTTTTAGACTAGCACTGATAAGTATCTTATCTATTTTTTCCTATTTTATATCTAATTACTGACCGCGGGTCGATTGCACCATATTGTGTGCATATTTTTTTGATTAAATTTTTTATATGTCATATTAGCTTAGTAAGACATTTATCAGCGAAAATTCAGCAATCATCGTTAGAATATTATATTCCTTGTAAAGGGTTTTCAATAGATGAATCCATGATTGGATTTATTGGAAGACATGATCTAAAACAATATATGTCAATGAAACCAACAAAATGAGGTTTCAAAGCTTTTCTATTATGCGAGTCAACTGCAGGATGCTTCAAGCATAAAATCTTACAGGTTCTGGGTAGGAAGAGTTCAAAACGAAAATCTATGCAATTGAATAATTGAAGGCTTTGAGAGCAACAACTATCACGTCTTTATGGATACTTTTTATTCCTTGCTTCCAATATTATAGGATTTTTGCAATAAAAGAATTTAATCAACTGAAACTATTAGAAAAAATTAAGAAAGGGCTACCTAATCTAAGTAAACATAATGAAAGATCAAAAAACAGATGCAATAATTAGATTTTTGCAGAGCTAATATATGCATTGCGCTTCTATAGGAATAAAAAAACTCGTTACGTTGCTGCCAACTTTTCCTAAACAGAGTAATTCAAAAACGGAAGTTAATCAAATGGGCGATCTGAAGTAAAGGAAATTCCCATTTCAATATCCAAATGCAATCTTTGCATGAGAGGTGTTGATATTTTTGATGAGCAATTGTCTTACTATGGATATCTCATCGTTTTAAGAAATGATAAAAATATTTATTTATTTATCTTCTCGAAATAGTAGTATTCAATGCATTTATTATTCATCAAGGAATTGAAGAATGAAAACACTTCAAAGCAAACGTATTTTCAATTTCGAATAAATTTAGCAGAAGCCTAACCGGCTTCACTTGAGAAAATCTTCAAGGCGAGAATCAACATTGCAAAACTAGCAAGTTTAAGAGACGCAGCATTTGCTATAGAACGGCAAGCAATTAAATGCAAGCTATTACTGCTCTTTTTGCAATGCTTATATGCATGAAAGATACTTTGAAGACCATCTAAATTAGCCTAATATTAACTTAAAAAGTCGACCCTGAATCAGTTAAATATTATGGATTATAGAAAATTAGATATACGTATAATTAGAGATAGCTAATAGAAAGATACTTATGTTTCAATTATGATTGAAAACTATCTATTAAAATATTGATTTTTGAAGTACAATACAAAAGCCATATAAAGATGGTATTGCATCGCAAGAAGTTTTATGTAAATAAGCTAAGAGTGGCTACAACCTTTAAAGGCAGTAAAGAGAAAAATAGATTAATGCTTATGTTGTAATTATTATCGAAAATTGTCTATTTAAAATTTGATTTTTTTAATTTAATATTAAATCCATATTTAAAGATGGATTACCTTATATAAGAAATTTTATGTCAATGAAAATTAAGAGTAGCTACGACCTATAAAGGAAATTAAGAGAACTAGCAGAGCGATGCTTATGCTGCAATTCTTATCGACAACCTTCTATTTAAAAATTTGAATTTTTGAATTCAATTATAAGCTATATAAAGATGGAATAAATTTTCCAAATTAATTTTTAAATTAAATGACTCTTTAAACTCTTAGAATGCACTATCAGCGTAGTAATTATGTTTCTAAAGAGTTTGATTTTTTAAAGTTCCATATAGGAAAGTAATATTAAAGTTGGAGTTATATGCTATATTAAGGAAGAGGTTATAATTTATTTTAGTGTCTTAAAAAAGAAGGGAAAAAATAGGTAAGATACTTATCAGTGTCAGTCTAAAGGTATCTTTAATTAAAAAATTAATTTTTATAGTAAAGTCATTTTTAATTTGTTTAAACTATTTCGTATTTGTCCACAATTTTTTGACATATCACTTTCAACCCTTTCTGGTATAGATATACAGCTCGATCCTTTGATAGAGTCTAACTTGGTCGTTCAACCATCCATTACTTTTTGTTCGATAAAGAAATCTATATAGGGGTATGGACTATAAGCGTGATATAATTCAATATTACTCCCCAAAAACTATAACTAAAATTGCACACAACTACGAATTCAAAATAGCAAAAGGCAAAGAAAATTGTAAAGATTTATGCAAATCAGTAAATAAGACATGTGACTCAGTCGGAATGGAAATTTTAAATAGTTGTCAAACTTTGATGGAAGTAACTGGCTGCAAATTTTGCCAGCAAGATTCTAATGCATATATGCCAGGCCTAAACAAGGATGTATGCATTTTATCAACGAAAAAAGAATTTTTGTGCGAAAATAACTCAGATAAATACAAGAGGGTTTGTGCATGCAAAAGCATTAAAACAACTTATTTAATTTAGACTTAAATTTCTCATATAAAATTAAGTAGAAATTTCTACTTGTTTTAGAAAAATCAGTTAATAACTGCTATTTACTAAATTTATTTCAATTTAATATACAGCACAAAGGCCAAGGCAACTATAAGCAAGATAATAATAGCATATAGTATCAATTTCATTCCAATTCTCCTCTTATCCATCACTCCAATAGTCCTATTTGCTGCATTCAAATTAGTCCCTACATCATCTACCTTATCCTTGATATCCAAAATTTTTTGTCTCTGCTCAAGAAGATTTCGTTTTGTCCCATAAGCCATTTCTTCAGCCTCAAGGCCTTTTTGTAGAGTCCTATCCAAAGCATTTCCACTATCAATAATTACTTCAGTCGTAGAGACTACCTTTTCTCTTTCCCCTTTTATTGGAGATCTGCCCATTAGGTCTCCCTTGTTTTTTCTAGTGATTTCATTATTGATCAGCTGCTTGACTTTTTGGTAGCTATCAGAGTGCCTGATAAAATTTTTTTGATAAATCGCTGAAAGGCTTGGGGGCATTTTTTGAACTTCGCTCTCCATGAGTTTTAATGTATTTTCAGCTTCTTCTATATCGTGCTTTGAATCGGATAAAAGAGCTTCGCTATTTTGAGAAGACGAAAGTGTGGAGAGTTTTTTATTGGCACTTGATAGGTGTTTGGAAAAATCTTTTTCGTAGGCTTTGAAAAGTTCTGCCATTGATTAGAAATTAATAGTAAGAAGCATAGGATTAGATAAAAATAAATTACTGATTCTCGACTTATAAAAGAATTATAAGTAGGAAATTGTTAGTAATAATAAGGATTTTATGAAAATAGTGAAAAATAAGTTATTTATAAATTTACCTGAAATATCTCATGAGCCCTCCAGGGCGACTGATGACTTGTTCTTCATCTTTGAATTTTCCTTTAATAGCTTTTTTGAATTCTTTTTTTGTGCTTTCATCTAGTTTAGCAGATGATTTTACAGTAGAAGGTGTCATTCTCATAGATTTGCTCGAATTCGAAGACGGGGTCATCTGAACTCTTGAATTTGGAGATGGCGTCATCTGACTCCTTGTGTTGTTTACACTAAAAGGGTTATCTGAAGTCCTTCTTGATTTTATCATTGCATTTTGGATTCCTCTCTCCCTAAAGATCAAAAATGCTGAAACTAAATTCCTCCGATGAATTCTTCTCCACTGAATTAAAAACCCTGAAATTTTTTCTCTCAATGTATTTGGCTTTCTTTGTTTCTGTTTTCTAAGAACAATATTGCATTTTCATTTTCTTAAATTGGTACGTAAAATCATCCTGTATCCAGCAAATACAAGGGGTTTGAATTTCATTATTGCGTAAATGATATTCATGCACATGATTTTCTTATTCCGGATTAAAGCTCGTTTTAGCTGTTCAAACATCTGAATATAGCGAATTTCAGAAATTGCAAGAAGTTTTTCGTATTCAAAACTTGTCGGGTTTTTGAAAAGATAGTTCTTTTTCGGGCTTCGAATTTGGACTTGTTTTCTCTCTTGGAAACGCTTTGCAGCGGATTTTTTAGAAAAACTGAAAGAATCGTATATTGTAAAATCGGGTTGATCGATGCTGTGTTCTTGCTCAAAAGTGTCGAGCCTGCTGAGGTTTAGAGAGCGATCGGTAGCGACTGTCTCTTGCTTGGGAATGTACCTCTTCATTATTTAAATTGGAAATAAAATGAAAATCATTAAAATTGATGTTTTAGTCTACATATATACAACTCTACCTCAAATTATTGCAAGATTTTACTATTTCTAGAGTGCAAATTAATTTTTTAATAACGAATCAAAATAAAAATTCATTTAAATAGGCACTTATGAATGGGATTTTTAGCCTATATTCTCTTGATTTCAAAGAATTATAATTAATATAAAGGTATTAAACATGTTTAAACAAAACAAGATCTTAACATTATAAATTAACATTTTATTAAAACTCGTAGGAATTTTCATACAAAAACAAGCCATCATTTAAAAATGCGCCTTCTTTAATCAATTATTTAGTGTTTAATATTGCCAGTGCTTTCCATATTGTTCCGCCTCAAGCCTAACTGCACTTCTAACGTAATGTTTTACTATCGCGCTAACTCAGCTACAGCGTGTTCCACCTAAAGGTCACCCTCCTGAGGTGTGCTAAGCTGATTAAACTCTCAGCCTTCCAAACATCAAAAGTATCAGACCAGGAGGCAGTGCACCCCTCAAGTTACTTACCTGATATAGCTGGATTTGGACTTTCAGGGAAAACTAACCTCATAATCATAAAATGGGCAAAGGAGGAGAAAGAAATTTCGCATATGTCGCCATTTTATGATTAATAAAATGCACCATCAAAATTTATTTCTTGTTGCTTCTCAATGCAAACAGGCTTTTCATCGCTTTCTATATCCTTACAGCCGAGCTTAATATATTTTTCAGTCTCATAGCTCAATTCCAAAATAAATTTCTGGCTTCCAATCGTCTCTTCCTTCTCTTTGCCAATCTGCGCAAGATGGTGTATAATTAAGCACTCCCACAGTTTTTTTCGAATCGGCTCTTTAAACCTTTTATCCAATTTGCAATTAAAAGCCCTCTCAAACTGTTTTTCGTTATAGTTTTCCATTAGCTCTTTTGCATAGCTATCAACCATATCATTAAATAAATTTTTGTAGATTTTTCTTAAAGCCTGACTCAAGGCAACATTGAAATAAGACTTTTCTTTATTCTTGAAAACCTCTCTTTCATCTTTATTTAAAAAAGACTCAGGCCAAAATTTACTAGAATAGAGATCAAATGATTCTTCTTTTAAGTTTAACTTTAGAGTGCCATAAAAATTACGGTAAAAAGAATTGGTAAGCTTTTGGTTTAAAGACCGCGATTCTTTCTTTTTTGGGTTCTTGAAATATTGAAGAACTGATCCGATAGGGTTACATGGTCGTCCTCGGGTCTTGTCACTTTTTACCATATTTTTTATATTTAAATGCTGTTATAAGTTGTCATTTTTGTGGCATTAGACATATTTAATGTTAGCAAAGATAAATGAAGCATATTTAAAGTTGCTATTGACATAATATAAAATATGATATAGCTGCTAACGTTTAAATACTGAAAATAAAAAAAATTATCTAATTCAAAACTAAATGATCATAAATATTTTTCTTACTTGAAAATAAACCTTATTTGATAGATTCTCTGAATAATTTTTAAAATTGAAGCAAAATATCTTATGAAGCATCAGTTCAAATATACTATAAAAAATGAAAAATTCGAAATCTCCATCATATCTTCCTCTTATAACTAGAACTTCGTGAACTAAGCAAAAAACAGTTTCTACCACTTTAAATTCTAGCTCACCACCTCGAGATATTGAAGTCCCTCTCTTTGGGGATAAAGAAAGGCTAAAAGAGTTCCATACTGATCGTAAAAAGCTTACAAAGTATGCAACCTCCGAAAGTTGCAAAAGCTTAGTTGTAAGATCCGATACAGTCTCAGATGATGCTAATGCGAGGCTTAATTTCTTTAGTTCTTATCAGAACCTGCCTAAGGAAAGTGAAAGAGTCGCTTTTAGAAAAATAAAGCAATCACCGGAATTGGCTTTCTTACTCTCCCTCTGAAATAGGAACAAAAAATTCTCTTCAAGCTTAAATGGGGGTTAATTGCTTCAGCATGGCAGCTGTTTAAAATTATATTTGCATTCTTCTATTAAATCAGGTCAAAACTAATTATACAAAATTTTTTTACATATAAAAAAATTAAATTTTTGTTTCTAATTTAAAGGTGTTCAATTTACCCAAAAATTAGAAAATTTTACCGATATTTTGTTCCAATTTTAAGGAGTAGTGTTAAAAGAAATTTATAAAGAAGGTCTAAGCCCAAGGCCACTTGGAATATTTCAATCAAACAACCCAAGTTCAAGAAGTAGAGAAAACAGCTATTATGATTTAAGAAGCATTGCTTTAGGAGATACCTATGCAAAAGCTTTATCCAAAGGTATTAAACATACTCCACATATAAAAGAATTGAACTTAAAAGAAAATAGATTAACGGAAAAAGGGGTTTTGAAAATTTTAACAGAGCTGGTAGAAAAGGAAGCAAGATATCTTGTTTTGGCTGGAAACCACTTAGGTGAACATTCTATGCTAAAATTAGTTAAACTTTTAGATGATTCTATATCTTCACTAAAACGTCTAAACCTAGAAAATACAAAATTAAGCGAATCTGCCGTTATTCAACTCTGTAGTTGCTTAAAGCAAAATGCTACGTTGAAAAGATTGAATTTAGCCAAAAATGAAATAAAAAATAGTGCAATAAAGGCGATAGGAGAGATGCTAATTACCAATGAAGGGTTAAAGTACTTAGATCTTCATTGAAATTTAATCAGAGGAGAATCAATCATCGATTTATTTGATGGGATAAATCAAAACAAATATTTAAAATACTTAGATTTATCATGAAATGCTCTCGGAAGTCTTAAAAACCCAGAAATAATAAAATCGATCGGAAAAGCATTCAAAGAAAACACTACTCTAATCCATGTAGATTTATCATATAATAGTCTAAATACCCAAGCATGCGAGATAATTGGGAGCTATTTATGTGAAAATCACACTCTAATAGGATTGCATATGCTCGGAAATGATTGTAAATTAAACGCCAAGGGTTTTATTATTCCTGCGGAATGCACAAAAGAAAAAGATGCTCACAACTTTCAAAGAGTTATTAATGAGCCTACTTTTATGATTCATAGTGAAGATAGTTCCAATTGCTGAATATGTGAAAGATGGGTTGAAGTAGATTTCTCATTAAAATCTAACGAAAATAAAGTTTATGTGCATTTAGAATGTGATGGGTTCATTGGAGACTTGATGGAAAAAAGTGAGGAAAACTTTCAGATAAAAAGAGTAGTCCCGCCTGGGATTTTAAAATTTTTTTATAGTGGAGACTCTGATGTAATAGCATTGGAGGATATCCCTACTCAACAATATGATAAACCTATAGAAATTATGAAAAATGATAAAAAAACTGTTAAAAATGTCAATGTAAGCTATGCTGAAGGCATTTCATGCAACCCTAAAAAACTTTTTAAAACCCAAATTAGAATCCCTGGAACTACCTTTGACCCTAAAAGGCCTGAAGACGAAAGGATCAAATGAGAAATTTCAATTAGCTCATTCAAAGACTACAAATTTGATAATGAACAGATACTTAAAGCAAACTTTGAATTTGATTTTAAGAATTCCCGTATACATCAATTTGTCAAAGATTCACTTGATGTGTTCAATACAAAAGAATATCTAGAAAGAGTCTATCTTTTATTCAAAGAAACTTACAGGCACTTAGCAGCATTAAGTGGGAATGGCTTATATTACTTCGGCCCAAATATTTTTACCGACTTTTTATCACAATGCAATATTTTTGATGAAAACTTCGGGATAAATGACTTAGTCCCCCCCCCCCTCCGTGAGTGAACAATAAAATTTTGTTCACTCACGGAGGGGGGTTTTTTTTTTTTTAAAAAATTTATCTATAAATTTTATAAAAAATGTTTGTTTTCGAAATTTAAAAAAATCCTAATTCGCAAAAATTGGAAAGCAAATATTAATACAATTTGCAAAATTTATGTTTTAAAAAGCAATTCGTTTAAAATTAAATAGAATTAGCTCTAGATTTCATTATGCTAATTATCATTTATATATCAAAATTTTTTTCCATAAAAAATTTTTGTTCACTCACGGAGGGTGGGTTTTTTGGCAAAAAATAGGGATTTTTCTAATGGTTTTGTTCACTCACGGTGGGGGGGGAGTTAGGAGTTTGCTGAAATGCCACAAAAGGCCAAAGGTCAAAAAACGAAGTGATATTGGGGAATCGCCTTTCCAAGTCTGAATTTATGGAAATTATCACGAGGATTGCTAATGATAAATACGTAAGAAATAATTTATGCAAAACCACAGCTGAAGCATTGCAAAAATTATTTGAAGACAGTTTGATTCCTGTTATGATTCATTTTGATACTAATAAATGGAGAATGGAAAAATATTGCTGCGAAGATGTGGACTTAGAACTTAAGGTTTACAAACCGATTTTTGATGAAATATTCAGATTATACACTGGTAAAGCGTTCTTTCAATTGAAAGGACAGATGACATTGGAAGAATTTAGAAGCTTATGTGTGGAGTCTGGGCTGTGTATTGATGCTAGAGAAATCGAATTTTGTGCTTATAGAGCGATTATGTGTCATAAAGAAGAAATTTTGGAGAAAAAGAGAATCGGATTAAGCTATGTGGAATTTTTAGAAGCTATTTGTCGCGTTTTTGATCAAGGAGGATGTATAAATGATACTCTGAGAGACAAAATCAGAGCAAAGATCCATTTGCTAATAAATTTATGCCCAGAATCGGTTAGAGAGTCATTTATCATGCCTACTGAAGAGTCATATTTTAAGCTTATGTATAAGCAAAATTCTTAAATAATCATTAGTTTCATCTATAATTTCAAATTCTTTTATTAGGCTGAGAATAAATTAAAAATTAATTAAAAAGTGTTTATTATTAGAAGTATTCATTTATTTAAAGCGGCTTTCAGCTACGATGCTCTTGCTTAACCTAAAATAATATTATTCAAAACTTTTTGATATAAAACAATTATCTGATTTTATGAATTAAAAAATCCAACAAATAAGCACTTTTTTAAGTATAGCGCTTTCCCGAGGATGGCGCCATTCCGCGCCATCCTCGGGAAAGCGCTATAAAGTAATATTTAAACTTCTAAAATCTTCCTGTACTTTGACTTCGAAAAAATCCTAATTGATCTTGAAATGGAGTCTTCAAGAAATATTTAGGCTTCTTCCTCAGATTAGAGTAAGAGTTTTTATGCTTTGAAAGGGCATCATAAGTGGCTCTCAAGAAGTGTAGGCATACTTTTTTTCAGCTGCTGAAGTTTGTTAACGCAAATAATTATAGATACTCCCGGCATCCTCTTTTGACTGAAACAATATTAACTTGGTTAGCTAAGAGACTCCTTTGATAGCAATTGGGGCATATTTAGCGACTTTCACTGTCGAACCAAAAAATTTTTCAGTAGGAAAATCAAGGCCAAAGCAGCGCCATCCACAGGAAATTGCAATATATATATATAATTAAATTTAAATATTTTAATTAGAAACTATTCCTGTTACTTTAACACTACAAGCTATAAGTTTTCGTATTTGGTAAAGTCAACTCTTAACTTAGAAATTAGAAGGCGTCTGCCGTTTTGATTACGCAGTCACCACGGATCCCCAATGCGGTATTCACCTGCTTTGCGCCGTCTTCGGTTCCACCTTGTTCGAATTGGGGCAATGGGTTCGCTGGCCCAAGAGAATCAGCTCGAACACTGCCTTTCTTCTTCTTCTTCAGCTCCTGATGGGCCTGATATTCTGAAGTGAGATTTCGCCTGGACGTCTACTCCTCTCCTTGCGGCTTGAGTGTTGAGTGGGCGGGCTATGGACTTCTGCGGCTAGCTGCTTGAGTGAACGAAGTTGACCACACAGAAATTCCAAACAATGGAATTTCTGGTGACCTCTCGGCAAAAAGGAAAAATTCAAGTCCTGGGGCGTAACTCCCAGTTTCACGCTAGGCACTTGCCCGATTGGTCTAGGTATTCCCTGTAGACTTAGCTGGGCTTGCCCTTTCCAAACCTGAACCCCTCCTTCCCTTCGAGGTAAAACCTAATCCTGAATTTGGACTGAGGGCTAGGCTCTGTACAGTACCAGAATTGCTTACCTAGCATTGCTGTCCATTTCTGGGTTAGTAAAACCTTGCCGGATATAATTAAAATATATGCTCGGAAGCTGCATGGCCGGAAGGCCATGCTAGGTAGAGACGCCATATTTTAATTATGGTAAAGTCAACTCAATATTTTCATGACTTACGTTGTTTTGATTCTTATTAAAAAAAGTTCTTTTCCTAATAGCTAAGCGTTGCAATGAAAGTCTTCTATGAGGGCTCCCATCAAAAGCGAAATCACTTTCTGTATTCACTTCTGTATACTCTTCAGAAAAGCCTGAATAATTCTTACACATCATAATTTCTCTAACTCCCCCCCCCCCTCCGTGAGCGAACAAAACCATTAGAAAAATCGCCATTTTTTGACCAAAAACCCACCCTCCGTGAGTGAACAAAAATATTTTTAATAGAAAAAATTTTAATAGAAAAAAATTTTGCTATATAAGTGATAATTAGTATAATGAAATCTAGAGCTAATTCTGTTTAATTTTAAACAAATTGCGTTTTAAAACACAAATTTTGCAAATTAAATTAGTATTTGCTTCCCAATTTTTGCAAATTAGGATTTTTTTTTAAATTTCGAAAAAAATATTTTTATAAAAATTTATATATATAAATTGTTTTTAAAAAAAAAAAATTAACCCCCCCTCCGTGAGTGAACAAAATTTTTTTGTTCGCTCACGGAGGGGGGGGGGGGGGAGTAAGCTTTTCATAATCCATCCCATCCTCTCCCCTTAATTTGAATTCTTCAATAATTTCATTAATTTCTTCATTGGAAGTAAAACATCCAGCTTTTTCTAGTGTAAATTTCAAGTCCTCAACTTTTATTTTTCCATTACCAGTCTATATATAGTTTACAATATCAAAATGCTTAAAAATACTTCATACGCATTCGTCATCGATCAGCTGCTTCCTATCAACAGCTGCAATTAAAAATTGTGTATAGTTTAATCTGCCATTTCCTAACTTCCCCTATCCTTAATCTAACCAATGGCCTATTTGATAAAGGATGAGAGTTAAATTATTTTCTATTAATCTAAAAATTTTTATATTAAAAATATTCTATATAAAATATTTTTACACTAGCTACAAGAGATAGAGCTACAATATATCAGCAAATATGCCAAAAATAGTATTATAATTGTTGATGAGTGATTGAATGCAATATTTTTAAGATTCAGTATCATATGGAGATGGCTATATATGAGGCTTGATGGGCTGTTTTTGACCATAAAAATTATAGGACTTAATTTTTTCAACTTATAGAAATTGTTAATGAATATTCGATCAAGGATGGGAGAGTAAGTAATCAATTTTTTCTATCAAATTCGAAATTTCGTCGCTCAAGATTTTATAGCCACATCTTCTCATAGCGTTAGCAATATCTTGAGCTGTTACAAATCCTACTTTGTTTACATCAATATCTTGAAAAGCCAATTTTAAATTCTCCGTATTTTCTTGTGAAATATTTCTAACAAAAATTGTCATTAATTCTTGCCATAGCTTACTTGGCGCTTTAAACCTTTTTATTGATTTAAATATGTCTTGACTAATCAAAATCCCAGAGGGCTGATTTTTTATTTTAAATCATGGATGGCTCAAAGCTGCTTTGATAGAAATTCTTTTCTTTGGATCAACTGTAAGCATTCTCCTAATTAAATGTTTGGCTTCAGGTGAGATTGTTTTCCATTTTATGTCAGAGAAGCTGTAAATTCCTCTATTAATTCTTTCATGTAATTCCGATATATTTGCAGATTTAAATGGCTGCTTGCCTGATAATAAAAAATATAATATTACGCCTAGCGACCAAACATCGCATTCATCACCATAAATTCCTTTGAATATATCTGGGGCTTGATAATAAGGAGTTCCTACAAGTGAATACATCAAATCTTCTCCATACTTGATAGACATCCCAAAATCGATCAGCCTGAGCTCTGCATGCTCATCATGACTCTCTAATAAAAAATTTTCAGGTTTTAAATCTCTATGACATATATACCGTGAGCACGGTTTTAGATTGACCTGAGAACCCCCCTCCCATCCCCCCTTGACCGTTTCAGCTTTATTAAAATCTACAAATTGAATTTGACTTGTCAAATCCTTAGTGAGGGACTTGCCATCTTGAATTAAAAATTTCGTTCAAACTGAAACCGTAGGGGGGGGGGGAGGAGAGTGGGAGTTTCAGGTCGAGCCATATCTGCTCTGAAGGTATATGCAAACTATGCAGATGGTTAACTGCGGCCAGCATTTTATGCATGATTTTTGCTATTTCCTCTTCACTTAAAGACCCTTTAGCCAGTAGGAACTCTAGGATATCCCCGCCTGTGCACATTTCCATGACCAAGTGAATATATTTAGTATCTTCATAGGCTTCATATAGTTTAATTATATTAGGGTGGTCAACAAGCATCAGGATTTCAATTTCATTCCTTAAGCAAGAGATAAGTCTTACTACTCTGCCTTTACAAATTGATTTTATGGCGAAGATTTTTTCACATTCTTGACTTCCGTTATGAATTTTTAAACGAGCTTCTCTAGCTCCCCCCCTCCGTGAGTGAACAAAAAAATTTTGTTCACTCACGAAGGGAGTTAATTTTTTTTTTCGAAATTTTAAAAAAATCCTAATTTGCAAAAATTGGGAAGTAAATATTCATTTAATTTGAATTAGCTCGAGATTTCATTATACTAATTATCACTTATATATCAATTTTTTTTCATAAAAAATTTTTTCTATTTAAAAAATTTTTGTTCACTCACGGAGGGTGGGGGTTTTGGGCAAAAAATAGCGATTTTTCTAATGGTTTTGTTTACTAACGGAGAGGGGGGAGTAACTGTACCGAATTGACCATACCCGACAACTTTAATAAACTCGTATTTATCTCTAATATCTAAATAGCTGTTACTTTCTGTGCGAGCACTTTTTGATAGACTAGAGCTGGCTATTATCCCAGCATTCATTGGAGCTCTCATGTTGTGTTCTTTTCGAAAACATATACCCATTAAGGGTTATATATTAAAATATAAATTAATATAAATTTCATTGAAACAATAAATTTTATTGAGATTACGGATGGGAATAATTTTGAAGATGCTCAAGCTTTGGAAAGGTCAGTGTGCTTATTCCGCTTGGAAAAGCTTGAATTTTTGAATTAAGCTTTAATGATTTCATATGATCAAATTAAAGACATTTTTTTTTAAAGATAATACAATAGGATCAGATAAAAGCCAAAAGAGTATGTTTATAGATTTTGGAAAAGAGAGTGAAATTTTATTCCAAAAAGATATCTTTAAATATCAGACTTTGGATTTTTTTAGACATTGCTATAGACACAATTGCTCAGAATTAATAAATTAAAAAAATCCATATTCAGTTAGCTGCTAGATTGCTATACAGCAAATGCTTACTTATAATGCATAAAGATTATAAGCAGGCGAGATCAATAACAATTTTTGCTTAATTATTCAGGTGCCTTATTAGACTATTTTAGCAAATAGATGGGATTCTGATTCTTAATTGTCCTAAAAATGCATATGCATCACTTGAAATTGATTTTCAGACTCTTGAGCTTCTTTCAAATTTTTTTTTCACTCCCTTAACTCAAAAAAAGTTGTTTTAAATAATCAAGAATTTTGAAATGAAAATCTTGGATTTAGAAAGACTCAGATTTCGCATTTTAATGTAGAATTTGCTAAGATCTTAGCTTTTGATTAGAAAATAATTAATTAAACTTGCATAAGTTAAAATGAGGCTTAAAGTGAAAGCTATTTTAAAATATAGGTATTAGATGATTTTCTGACAGTCCCATTTTAGATTGCTAATTAATTACAAAAAATTACTAATTCTCTTGTATATTGGCTTATAATCTCTACTTAGTTAGTTTATGAAGCAAACACATAGAATAAAAATCAATCATAATGTTTTTTTCAAAATCAATGAAATTGATTTTTAATTAGCATAAATAAGCAGTTTCAGAGTTTTTATTTATAAATTTAATATGATATATTTATACTTAAATTTATCAGAAAGTGAGCATTTTGAATTCAAATATTAAAAATATTTCTAATATAATTAATTAAATTTAAAATTTTTTAGATAATGCTGTAAATATGGGTAACTATTTCAAATGGAAAAATACTTTACTATATACAATTTTTTAATTATCTAAAAACTTTAATAATTATAAGTTTAACTTAAATGTCTTCATATTGCTTAATAACTGGCAATTCAAATTTCTTCTCCCTTATTATTTGCTCCCTACTCTCGATTGTATTCAAAAATCTTGATATAGCTAAATATGGGAATTCTGACTCTTGTTGATGAAACTTAGATAATGCAATATAGCCTAAGCATTTCAGAAACTCTTCATAAGTGACGCAATCTTCAAATATTTCTAATTAATGCCATCATGGCATGCCTAGTAGCGACAGATGAACTCAGAATTTTTGCCAGAAAATAAAAAAGCTGGCGGAAAGGCTACGAGGTCGCAGGTGGCTTAATTCCGGGGTGGGTGCGGTCTGGGCTAACTGGGCCTCCCCTCGACCCACAGACGAGAAGACCGACGGCGCAATACCAATCGAGGACTTCTGGAGGAGCATTATGTTGCCTGCAAATGGCAGAGGTAGTTCCAGAAGGAGGCATCGGACGGTTCCCTCATACCCTGAGCACTACCAGGGGTTAAGAGAGTCCTTTGCTGAAGCATTTTGGTCCAAGCAGGTTCGGGTGAATCTCCCCGAAAGATGCTGACGTCACCATTTTTGATGACGTCATCAGAAAAAAGGGCGGCAGGTGGCTTTAGTGACTAGCGCCACACGAGCGTGAAGCTGAAGCTCGACTGGATCAGGGGCTGAAATAATCCCCGCTTTAACCCTCTCTAATCTAAAAATCTCAATCTCAAATATTTCTGGATTTATTACGCTTCTAAAAATTCTGCTTGCTTCCCAGCATGACATGATCCCCGGAATTAGCTCTAAATCCATGCATAATCCCAAAAACTCTTTCAAGCACAAAACTTTATATATTTTTTGTGAATAAACATTGAAAATTTCTTGAAGTAGCTTTTTATGGCTTTCAAAAAGATCTTTTGCCATTGGAAATTCAAGCTGCTCATCCCATAACTCATGATTTCTATCAATATTATCTTCTCTTTGTGCTGGAAAGCATAATTCAAGTCCTACAATTTCCAATGCTTCTGTTTCAGTGTGATCTTGATGAATAAAGTTCGAGAGCATTTTCATGACTTTTATGAATTTCCAAAAATTCAGCAACCCTCTTTGATTTACATAATGGTATACCACCTCTGCATCAGAAATGGCCAATTGAGAGCTTAATCCAATTTCATTGCAAAACAGCCTGAACTGTGTTAAATCTATATACCCACTTCTATCAAAATTAAAAACTGTTGCATACCTTGTAAACAAATTTCTCAGTTTATCTAGCTACCACTTACCATAGCATTCTTTCCCAATTTCTTTAATTAATTTTCTTGCTTTTATTGTTTCTTCAGTAAAATATGCTAAATTTGCTAAGCTTTCCTGCTCTTTTTTTGCTAATTCTTTCAATCTTTCCTTTTCCAATGCTTCTCTATATGCAGTTTCTAAGCTTGCTAACTCTGATCTTGCTTTAATCAGTTCTTCTTTTTTGGTTTTGATATAGTCTTTTTTCTCAACGTTGGCATGCTTAGCTATTTTAGTCCATTTCATTTTAAATTTAATATTTTACCTATCTACTCATTTAACTCAAAGAAATGCGTACAGCAAAACAGGATCATTTGGATAAGCGGCTCGTTTTCCAGCATCAAAATATGTGCAGCTCTTCCTATCATGGTGTCAATTGATTTTCCTTTTATTTTGAAATTTACATCTAATCGATATAACTTTTTGAGGGTAATTTTTGATAAAATATTGTTAGCCATTTCTATATAAAAGGCTCCTTTGCTTTGGTCATTTGCAGCCTTAGGACCCACTTCAATTCTTGCTGATTCAAATGGCGCATAAGAGTCTTGAAAAGAGCTTACCAATGCAATGTGCTTAAACCACTCTAGTCCAGGCTCAAGCGAGAGCTTATATATAAAAGAATCCCTTGGATTTTGTGCATCAGTCATTGACAGCTGCATAAGGCATTGCGATTTTCTTCATTTTTTAAGAATTCAAAGTCCAGCATCTACGAGCTTAGAAGAGTTATACATATATCCAAGATGTGGAGAGGACAAAGTCAAGAAAAACTGCATTTTTTCAGAAATTGACTCTAGATGAGGCAAAGCTGCACGAATGATAACTCCTCCTAAAGAATGGCCTATAAAGGACACTTTATGGAGGCTTTTCCCAGGGCATCATTCTTCTATATAGCTCAGGACTTCTCGAGCTAGACGTTGTCCCATGTCAAATATGTCCCCTTCAGTTTCACCTTCGTTCATATGAGAGCACATTAATACACAGTCAGGCCTGAGCAATGCAATTTGGTTTCTTATTGTTCGGACATCAAAAGAGTTCCCTTGGAATCCATGGCATAGCACTATTAAATGCAGCCCTTTTCTTTGGATTCTTGGGTCATTCATAGGGGTTATCCAAGTAGGATCCCATGGATCTTGCATGTCAGTCTGCTCATCTTCAGTGATCTTGGTATATATATCTTGAAATACAATTGGATGCCACTCAGGTGGAGGGAAAAAATTGGTTTTCATCACAGGGATCTGCTCTAAATTCTTGTAATATGGAGTTTTTCTTAGTGTTCTTGACAAAGCTCTGTGGCTTTCTCCTATTTTTTGGTCTGTTGTTAACGCAAACTCTTCAACCTTCTTGACTTCCCTAAAAATGCTTTCTCCCCATCTATCTTTAAGTTTCTGGTTAAACTGATATTGTAGCATTGCGCATATAGGCTTTGGAGAGGCCTTTATTAGATCAATAAATTGTATACCAAGATAGTACATTTGCCCTGCGAATTCTTGGATTTCCATAAGAATTTTTTCAGCGACTGCTTCAGGATCCCGAGACTCTTCTCGTTCACTGAAAGGAAGTCTTCATAAAGAATTCATAGATGCGTTTGTACCTATAGTAGAATCCCCATCACTGTTTTCTTCCCTTTGTGATAAAGGGTTTGGGATCTTTGGGATTGAATTTTTAATTTTTGACGGGATATGAAAATTAATCCATTCTTCCATCAATTTTCTATTTTTTTCATGAGCCATGATTAATTGATTTATGTAAATATCATGGACTTGATCAATTAATTCTGGCGTGATCTCTGTAGCGTTTTTAAACATATACTGAGATAAAGTTTTTGGCAAATTAATTTCTACATCAGTTAAGATTTCGCCTTTTCTCTTTAGGGCTTCTTCTTCTGGACTTAACAAAGGATTTGGCCTGAATCTGAAATCAATGAGCACTACATGAAATGCTGTATTTGCAACACAGCAGTGATTTTCGTCAAACACAATAGGATAAAATGCATTAATTCCTTGCAGGGATCCAGTCACATTCAATTGAATTGTGCAAGCTGTGGTAAACTCTGGAGGGTTTCTAATGGTTGCTTTAATTTTGTCTTCATCTATTCTTCCTTCCAAGTCATAAAACATTAAATCCACTTCAAAAATCATATTAAGCTCTTGATAATCTTTGGACAGCTCAATTTCAGTTCTAAATACTCCTATAGCTTTGTATAAAATAAAATTTAAAATAAATAGGTAATGGATTATTTCTTCTTAAAAAATATACCAGTGGGTTTCAAAAATTATTGTATTAGTCAATGCAGGTATTTATATATCATTAATGTCAACTTCTTCATCACTATATTTGATCAGAAAGCAACGTGATCTGAAACTTGTGTCTTCTATCTGAGCTGGAAAAACTCTATAAAGGTCTTTCAGTACTGATGATTCTTCATATGTATGAAAATTGTATGGAGAGGCCGGCAGCTTGTAGCCGCGAGAGATGTGATATAAACGAAAGTTTAAATAATAAAGACCTTGCTGGTAAAGATCAATGTTGCGAAAACTTTCAAGCTGGACTATGACTTCGATGATTGCTCTCAGTGACATTTATTAATAGGTTTTTTTGTATTTGAATTGAGAGAATTAAAAATTTTACGAAAACTGAATGGACGATTATAGACACTTTTATTAGTTTAATCTTTAATTAAATTTTTAAAATAGCTTTTAGAATTAAATTTAAATGCTTATTTTATATGCTGCTGTTTCACTTTAAATTTATATGAATTTAACTTAAAAATGTATATACCTAGATAAAAGAAAATTTGCAAAAAACAAAATATTCGTACTTTGACCAGCTTTTATTCAGAATTTAGCATAATAGAACTTATAACTCCTAGTTGAATAAATATGAAGGTCATCTTAATTTGCTGTCTTTTCTTATTTGCAGCGAGCCATGAAAGTGACTATCAGCATCTGCTTCATGGCATCTTACAAGGTGCAGAGCTCATCAGCCCATCATTTCAGTTAAATTGCAAAATATCAATTCCTCGCTTTCTCGAAGCCTACCAATTTGATGAAACTTGGGAATCAATCATTTCTGATGCAATTTTATATTCAGAATACTGCAAGTTCACCTCAGCAAAAGAAACCTTGCTGCAATTTAAATCTTCGGACTCACTCATGACAAAGTCATTTTCCAAGCTCAGCGAGGCCATTGCAAGTGACAGAGTTGTCCCATCAAGCAATCTTAATCAATATGGTGTCTCAATCGGAGCTTTTCTTAAGCCTTATTTTGCCTTACCCCCCCCCCCCTCCGTGAGCGAACAAAAAAAATTTTGTTCACTCACGGAGGGGGGTTAATTTTTTTTTTTAAAAAAAATTTATATATAAATTTTATAAAAAAATATTTTTTTCGAAATTTAAAAAAATCCTAATTTGCAAAAATTGGGAAGCAAATATTAATTTAATTTGCAAAATTTATGTTTTTAAAACGCAATTTGTTTAAAATTAAACAGAATTAGCTCTAGATTTCATTATACTAATTATCAAAATTTTTTCCATTAAAATTTTTTCTATTAAAAAAAAATTTTTGTTCACTCACGGAGGGTGGGTTTTTGGTCAAAAAATGGCGATTTTTCTAATGGTTTTGTTCGCTCACGGAGGGGGGGGGGGGAGTTAGCATCTCCCACTGTCCTTGACTTCGAGTTCTCTGGAGATATTTCAGCTCTGACATCAGGAAAATATCCAACAGCGATTTTCCATGGTCTGGGAGACTGTTGCTACTACCCTGGGGATATTGAGTTCACTGATTACATTCGTAAAAACGTTGGAACTTATACACGATGTGTCGAAATTGGTGACGGGTCTGCTACCAGTTGGCTTGAAGCCTTCCAATCTCAAGCTAATGAAGGATGCGAAAAGATCAGAGCTGACCCAGAATTTGCCAATGGACTAAATGTGATTGGGCTATCTCAAGGAGGGTTAATAGCAAGATCTATTGCTGAAGAATGTGGAATGCCTGTGCATGTCCTCGTTACTATGGGCGGGCCACATATGGGAGTTGCAGCAATGCCGAACTGTTTTAATGGATTTTACTGCGACATTGTCAACGCTGCCATTGATAAAGACGTATATAGCAGCTTCTGCCAAAACCACCTCGGCCCTCCTGGCTACTTCAAAGATCCATATAGATACGACGCTTATCTTAAAAACAGCAACTTTTTAGCAACCCTTAACAATGAAAAATCACTCAACACCACCTATGTAACAGGGATGCAGAATTTAGATAATTTAGTCCTTGTTAAATTTACAGAAGATACTATTGTAGACCCACCAGACAGCGAATGGTTCGGATACTTTGAAAATGATAGTCATCATCTTGTACCAATGAACCAAACTACTGATTTTCACCAAAATTTAATTGGCTTACAACAACTTTACGCTCAAGAAAAGATGCATTTTATCCCTATCCAAGGTAACCATTTACAATTTACTGAAGCCGAGTTCACTCAGCTGGTGTTGCCTTATCTTTTACAATAATTTAATGGCAATAACCTTAAATTGGAAAAATAAATTAGCATAAATTAAACTGCAGTGGCTTCGACCACGAAAAGTCTTTTCACAGGCTGGTAGTTTGTGATTCTGAACCCGCTTCTATCAAAAATTTGTTCAAGTTCTTGCCTTGTTCTTATTCTCCCTTCACTTACGATCAGATCATAAATGTCTAACTGAGACACAAGTTTGTAGGTGCTTTGGTCATGTCTGTCAAGAATATGGTCAGTTAAAAATAATTTATTGCCGTGTTCTATTGCCCTTCTGCAGTTCTTTAGGATATTTTCTAGCTGCTGGTTATTATACTCAGAAATCGCGCATTTAAGGATCACAGTGTCAAACCCTTCAGGTACTGCATCCACGAAGTTTCCTGATGCAACTTTAATCCTTTCCCCATGTCCATAATCAGAAATATTTTTTTCTACAAAATTCCTGAATACCGTCTGCTCATAAATTGTCCCAGTAAAATCTCTATAAACTTTAGCCAATTCATTTAGCAAAGTCCCGTCTCTTCCTCCAACTTCAATGACTTTTCTGGAATTTCTTAAATCTATATGTGGAGCTATGTCATTTGCAACTATTTTTATAAACATCTTATAGGTTGCTATATACTCTTCTAATAATTCTGGTCTTTGGCTTATGAAATCGTTGAATGTTTGGTTAAATTTAAGTTCTGGTGCTGTTTTTTCAGATTTTAAAACTTCAGGAAATACACTGTAAAATTCATAACGATATGGATTTAATGATAATTTTACGAATTTAGCAAATTGTTCGTTCAGGAGGCACTCTGTGATGCTTGTATTGGAAAATTGACGGGTTTGTTCATTATAAGCGAAGAGCTTTTCAGTTTCAAGGGCAAGAAGGACACGCTCCAATTTATCTGGGACTGATGATGATTCTGATGCAAGCTCTTCTGCTGTTTTAGGACCTGAAGCTAAAAGTCTGGGAATGTTTAAATCGACGACAGAGTATAAAAGAATACCAAGCTGAGGACCAAATAGCATTTTTTGAATCTTTGCTTCTCTATCGGAATATTCTTGCATATTATTTATTATTTACCATTAAAAATGCTAATTTATTATCTTTGATTATTGTCCATTATGGAATATAAATTCGACAGAATAAAATTAGGAGTCAGAATAGGAGAATATACTGAAAATTCAAAAAATTGTATTATTAGATAGAAGGAAAAACACCTTTTTTGAAAATATAGTATAAAATACACAAATACCCTTTTATTTGAAATTTAGGAGTCTTAGATGTGGATTAAATTTATCGTGAGGTAAATAATTGATTCCTAATTAATTTCAAGTGTAATTAAATATAAATATTTTAGAAATAGTGCTTTTATTATCGTATTTAGGAGTGTTTATAGCGTGCATTAGCGTTTTAATATTTATTATTAGCATAATACATAGATTATAAATGTTGAAATCGTATAAATTATTTCTTCAGGAATAATAAATAGTTTGCAATCAAATTATTGATATGATATGTATAATAAAGTGTCATTAAAATAACTATATAAAATCTCAATAAAAATCATAACAAACTTTATCATGAAACTTGGAAACCAAGCAACGCTTTCTCCTTCTTCTACTAATAGCTCACGAACTAAATTTTCACTATCCGCTTCCCCATATTCAAGAAACAACAAGTATCTCTCAACAATTAAAAAACGCCTGGAATCCTTTAAGGATTCTTATCTAATGCATTTAGACAGCAAATCGATTTCTCGAAGTCCACTTTCTAAAAGAGGAGCTCTGATTATTAGAAAAGATTTAAAATTGCCTGAAGAAATCATTACATTGCATTAAGATTTATATCTTGCGTTTAACATCTACTACCACATGACCTGCACGGGCTTCTATCCCTGATTGGGGTTACTCTATTCACTGCAGCGTCGTGCACTACATAGCTTCACCTCTGAATATTCCCTCAGCTTTGAACGTTCGGATTTTGACGGCTATCCCTCAAGCTCTTGGGTTGCACAAAATCCCAAAAAATGGAATTTTTGGCTCTGCCACAAAAAGGTCTAAATCAGAGTCCAAGGCGTAACTCCTGATTTCCCATTGGAGAGTTATCCGAATGGTCAAAAGGCATTGCTGGGCTCCCCTTTCCAAACAAAACCCTTTTCTTTCCCTCTAGGTAAAATCCAATTCTGAAAAAGGACTTGAGCTAGGCTTCAAACTTTACCGGAATTGCTTACCTAGCATTGCTGTCCATTTTTGGTTGGCAAACCTTGCCGGATATAATTAAATATGTACTCGAGGCTGCATTGCCAGAGCCCATGCCCGCCATATTTAATTGCTGAAGAAACCCAAAAAAATATTTTCTGAGAAAAGAAATTCCCCTGAATCACGAAATTTAGCTCAAATTGCAGGGATAAAAAACAAAAAGCCGCTAAAAATTCATTTAAGAAGTCCACAAACTCCGTTTAAAGATGAAAGCATTCAAAAGCAATACGAAGAAATAGAGTTGCTATTTAGGAAGCACCACCAGAACCTGACTCCTGCCAATTAATAGCTATTTATTTAATTATCCAAATTTAAGATAAAGCCCAAGTACAATAATAAGGAAAAGTGCAATAAACGGCCCATACTTTCGGATCCACATCATCATGTTTAGTGTTTTTGATTTATCAGCGAACTTTTTAGAGTCGTCTCTGAGCTTGTGGGCCATGCTCTGTATATTCACAAGTGTGATATCCCTTTCGAGTAAAGTGTCAATATTTTGCCTCATAATTGTTTTGACATCCTCAAGTTCTTTTTGCACATCAATCATGTCACTATTTGGGCTTAAGTATTGCTGCCTTTTTTTCTTAATGAACCTATCAAATTTCAAGAAAAAATACGGCCTTTCAATCGTCTCAATTTTGGACCTAAAATCGACACTTTCACCAGTTCCCCATTGCTTTTTCAATTCTTCATGAAATCCTCCAATAATTTCATCTAAGAACGCTAGAGCTAGTTTTCTAGGGTATTTTCCTTCTGCGCAAGTCAAAAAGCACACCCCGTCGACGATTTTATAATAAAATGTGTGATTGAGTTCAGTTTCTAGGATGCAAGCATCTGGAGCTCGATTTAATTTCTTCATGACTTTTTTTGCAAGCCCTTTAAGCTCGAAAGATTCTTTTTGCATATCTTCATATGTTTCACATAGCATCATGCCATCAGAGACCCTTCCAATAAATGTCAGCTTTGGCATTTCTGAATAGGAAAATTATTATGGAAATTATCAAAATATTTACATGTGGGAAGTTTATACATTGAGTGCAGAGATTTTAAAAGAAGTGATAATTTTTGGACTCTATAATAAGTATAAAAGGATTTTAGTGCTATACAACTATGAAAAAAAATTTAATTATCTTAAGCAAATATTTAGCTTATTTCTTATTTACTGTATGAAAATGATAGATTAAATGGCGGATGCATCAAACTGCCCTCTTGGAGTAGCAGTTCAGACCTTATGCCCAGACAAATTGGGATGGACTCTGAGTCAAGAATCAAGTGCAGCCTCACTTACTTACTTACTTAATGAAATTACGGCCATAAGACTTTTCAGTCTGGCCATTTCTGATTAAAAAACCAATTCTGATCTGAAATTCAAATTCTGATATAACGGTCTGAATCTGATCATAATTAAATATTTGTGACTAAATAAAATTAGATCAATTCTGATCTGAATAGAAAAAATTCTGACACGAGCTTCTTGCATCTCCAACAACTTCTTCATGTCTTTCACCTCCAGCTTCATCTACAACAGGAAACAAATAGCAATTGCTGCAATAAGCCGCACACACTCACACAGCACAGTTGGTATTCTTGGAAAAAACACCAACTGGATAATTTCTTCTAGCCTGGCACATTGTGCCATTATGCAATTAGAAAATTATGTGAAGCCTCAGGAATGTGTATCAGGGTAGGTTTCGGCTGCCTTTCTGTGGTTGGAAAAGAAGGCAACTGGCAGCATCCTTTGAATCTGAGGAGCCATGGGCATTCCTCTATAGCTTTTTTCCACATTTGCTTTGAAAAGAAGAGATTTAAAATAGAGGGGGAAGCCTATTCTAATTTCGAGCTGCTTGAAAGAAGCAAGGAGCAATGAATTCAGTATATTAATTGTAGCAGGCTAGTAAATTTAATTTTAATGAAAGATTGCTTGCTGAGTTATGCTAAGACTGCTTTGGTTTGAAGGAACTGCTTTCTTATCTACATCTTCCATCGAAACTTAAGAGAACAGGAAAGTAACTCCTTCAGCATAACCCAGCAAGCAATCTTTCACATTTATGGTTTTAAATGCTAATTTACTAGTCTCTCCCAATTAATATACTTAATCATCGTTCCTTTATTCTTTCAAGCATCTCTGTTATAGAAATAGCCTCGCGCTCTATTTCAACTCTCATTGTTTTAAAGCAAATGCTTAAAAAACTATACCAAGAAGCTGTGGTTTCGGCCCAGGTAAATTGGCAAGTAATCTTTTCCTGTAGCTGCAGAAGGAAGTTACTTCAACACTCGACAGACTCCAATGAGCTGATTCTTGGAATTAAGCTATTTCACTAGCCCGTCGCAGGGCCACAGAATAGCACAAACCGCCCACTCAAGACTGGAGCCGCAAGGCAAGGAGAGACAGAAGATGCAAGAAGTGCCACCTTTCGGAGGATAGACCTTCTGAAAGTGGTTGAGCCTTCTGTTTGGGAGGTCTTTGATGACTGTACCATAAATATGGCTAGCGCCTGACTTTAGTTAGCATAACCTAATCTGCATGAATATGATTTATGATTGCAAATATAGCAAGATATTAATTATTTTTATAATTAGTAATAAGCTTCTTCAATTATTATTTTTAGTAATCTTCCTGATTTCAAATTTCTTTGCTATCTATTATTCTAATTTTTAGGTGTTAAATTTTAAATTTAATCATATCGATAAGATTTCTAATTTTTAAAACTTTTATTACTAATTATGATGAATAAAATATATTTACTGATATCCTTATCCTATTTTCAAATATATAATAGAATAAAGGCTAAATATTATATTATGTATTGCAATAATTTCTTATCATGCATATGCATGTCATTTGAATTTGGTATGTGAAAACCAAATAGCGTTTCAAAACGCGGATTTTAATGCGGCAAATTCATAATTTGAAATTTCATATGAAAATGGTGCGTATAACGTCCATAAGAAATTTTACCAACGGATTATAAATGCTTTTATGCATTGTAATTAGCAATATTTTACTACAATGCTCTATCAATTATATAAATGCCATTTTAAAAATCTTACAAACACTTCATTGTCGAATTTAAAATTTTCTTAAATAATTAATATAATCTTTAATTTTATAGTGCCTGAAAAATTTTCTATTTTATTATTCAGCCAAAATTTAATTTAATTTTTACCACTAAAATATAAATAATAATGACTTCAGTCAAAGAAGAAACATCAGTTTTGGGCACCGATGAAGACGAGTCGCCAAATAGCTCAAAAAGCAGGCGCCGTTCTAAACGTGATCTTCAAGGTCGTACCTTTAAATGCGGGTGCGAAAAAATGTATTTGAGCTACCCAGCATTATATACTCATATAAAAACTAAACATGATGGGATTTCTCCTCCGGGCACTGAAAATCCTCATCCTATGACTAACAGAGGTAGAGGAAGGCCACGAAAAACTCAAATAGGAAAAGAAGAAAAAGAAGAAACAAAAGAGACACCAGAAGAAAATCCTTTACTTTCCTATCCTTGATAGAACGATCCTATTGAAAAATTCCTAAAAACTTGAAAATTTAACCCCCATTATTGATCGAACGATTTTCATATATTGCAAATTTTATTATTTTAATAGTTTTATTAGCAAATTAAGATTAATTTACGTGTTTTCTTAATAATTTGAAGGAATTAATCATCTGAATTGCTTTAGCCATCAGCCTGGCCTTAAAAGCTTAATAATCTAAAAAATTTAGAATTATTATAAATTAAAAATAATTAATAAGGAACAGAAATATTTATAGAATGGAAAGGAGTAACTAAAATTTTAAATTAGTACAATTTTTTTTATTTTAATAATATTAATATTTACTATCTTAACCCTCTTATTTATAAGTACACCAAAATAATTTATGCATTATCCCAACAATTTTTTAAACCCTGCCTTGATCGAACGACAGGAGTCGTTCGATCATGATGGGGGAGTTAGAAGAACTACAAATTAATGGCGGTCAAACAGACCCAATTATTGGCTTTGAAGATTCTAATTCAGAACTTCTAAATAAAATAAAAGAATGAAAAGATAAACTTATTGATGACTTCTTTGACAAAGAAAATTTATCTTGCGATGATGTGTTTGCTATCTATTTGATAGAAATTGCCAGAATTATAGAAGAAGATGCATATAAAAATTTTGTATTATTTTTTGAAAATTTAAGAATCTGCCTAAATTTAAGAGGATACCAGATGCACTCTGAAGAGAAATTAGAGAAAATTAATAATTATTGCGTGTTAAAAGGCCCAGAAAAGGTTCCTGGAATATTTAATTATTATATCCAACAATTTATGCCGCTGAATTTTCCATCGTTTAATAAAGACTTCGCGATTAGAATTTCTATTCATTTCGATAAGTGGCTATTGAAAAATAATTTGACTGATATGAAGATAATTTTGACAGAAGATTAAAATAATAAACTATAACGAAGTATTAAAATTGGTATTTTCTTGCATTAATTATTAACTAATATATTATAAAATATTTGTAAATCTCATAAATGTAACCACAATATTGTTTATAGCGCTATTTTTTTAAATAATTTCTTTTAAATTGTATTATCCTTAAAAATAAATTGACTAAAATTAGAGCGCATTGTGGTATTAGTAAATAGATTTTCTAAAACATACCGTAAATTTAGCATATAATGAAAGCATTAGCAAGAGGTTAATATTTTTTATTAAATTTTAAATATAGCTAAGGAAATGATAATAATTTAGAATAAAATATATTTGTTTTAGGGTAAAATAAACTTAAATAAAAAAGCATATAAAATATTGATAACAGCTTTTGAGATAAGCACCAAAAATAGAAATTTGATAAAGTAAAATAATAAAAACGTATATATACAGCTAGATAATTAAATAATGGCTTTCTACCTCAATTCAAATGATGAATGCGCTGATATACCTATTGATGATATTAATAAATTTACTTTGCTAGAAAAAATTGCTGAAGAAGAATTTGGAAATAGCTGAGAAGCAGAAAACAAATTTTCTCAAAATGAATATCTCATCAAGCAAATCTATAAAGAAAAAATCAATGAAGCCCTAAAAGAAATACTGACTGGGATTAGCTTCTTGCATAGAATTAATAACTCAAATATTTTGAGGCTAATATCTTGCTCAGAAGATGAGACATCTATTTATTTAATATTAGAGAAGCCACCCAGATTGAAACCTATGACAGTTGATTTATGTGATTTTGAGCTAAAACAAATATTTTTAGGACTCATTATTTTATCTCAGGTAATTCAATCATCGAAGTTAATAAAAAAATTTAGGCTATTATCCACAAATATGCTATGATTTGATAATTCTGGAATTATGAAAATTGATATATGACAGAATTTTATTAAGGACAGCAAAATATCTAATGATTTCAGTCCAATAAAGAATTTAGGCATAATTTTCTATGAACTTTTGGCACATAAAATGCCTCAAGGAGAATTAGAAAAAAATAAGCTAAAATTTCCTTTGAGTATATCTTATGCTGCAAAGATGCTGGTGAAAACTGCCTTGTTTAATGATGAGATTAGTTTAGAAGATTTGCTTGATTTTGAGTGGCTCAATGATATTTCTATTGATAATATATCCAGGCTTTCAAATATTAGTGGCAAAAGAAAATCAAAAAATACCCCTAGAAATAGCTTTTTGTTTACTAACCGATTTAGGATTTTTCCAATACTTTTCTTCATTCATAGAGGGCTGGGACCTCTGTAATCGAACAAATTCTTAAAAAAAAATATTTTGTTATAAAGTGATAATTAATATAATGAAATCTCTATTAATTCTGTTGAATTTTAAAACATAAAATTTACAAATTAAAGTATTTTCGCTTTCCAATTTTTGCAGTATTTTTTTTAAATTTTGAAAAAATGATATATAAATATATTTTTTAAAATAAAATTAAACCCTTTTTGAGATTGAGCAAAGGTTTTACTAGCTCACAGAGGGGAGTAAGCCTTCTTTCGCACAGGAAAAAAGCCCGAGAAATGAAGATAACAATGATGATCTTTCATATTCTGATAGTGAAAATGAGAGGGATTCGATGCTATTAAATAGTGATTTTATTGAAGAAATTGCTGCTAGAGAAAGTATAAAGCAGTTTAAAGATAGAATTGACATGAATTTTTCTAACTCTAATTTAATGAAAGCTAAAATTCTTGAAGCGAATATCCAGTTGATTAGTTTAAACACAACATTACTTAGCTTAGAAGCAGAAGTTGACAAAAGAACAGAAATTGCAGATAGAAAAAATCAAGAAGAAAACTCAAAGTTGCTGCTTTCCTTTAAGCTCACATGCCACCAACCCGTTTTCTCCCTGACCTGTTTTGATTTTGGGGACCTTGCTGTGGCCTGAAGCCAAACGAGCAGGTAACAGAGTCTATTGGTACTGGGCATTTGTGTTCCGATTGGGTTTTACTTCCCTTATCCAGCAATGAAGACTTTGTGTATATCGATGGATATTTGGGAAAAAAGGCGTTTCTCCCCTAGAGACCACTAGAACCGACGACGAAGACATAGTTGGCACCGATAATAGCTAGGAAGTTTATCCCTAGATGAAACACTAGTCATTCAAGCAGCAGCCGTCAAGTCCCAAATCTACGTACTCCAAGGTTCCGAGACAGTATTAAGAGCCAGGCCGGATGAAACGTAAAGGAGGAGGGGCCCTAATCTATAATTAATGTTTAGGCTGCTTTCCTTAAAGAAAAACCGAAAAATTACCGAAAGTATTTTAGAACTCCAAGAAGAATATAATTTCCGCTTAGACGACCTCGAACATCTAAAAGCAAAAAAAAGCCAAGTTCAGGCTTTACTTAAATCCCAAGAAACCCGTTTAACTTCATCTCAGTTCAAATTATCAACTCTTAAGCTTGAACTATCCAAAATAAGTTCTAACTCCCGAGCGAACAAAAAGATTTTATTCGCTCACGGAGGGATTTAATTTTTTTTTATATATAATTTTTATAAATTTATTTTTTTCAAAATTTAGAAAAATTCCAATTTTTAAAAATTGAAGCAAAATTAATTTAATTTGCGAAATTTAAGTTTTTAAAATGCAAGCTTCTTAAAATTAATTAGAATTAGATAGAGATTTCATTATAAAAATTATCATTTAATATCAATTTTTTTTTTTAAAAAAAAAATTCAATTAATAAAATTTTTATCACGAGGGTGGGTTTATGCAAAAAATAGGGATTTTTTCCAATGGTTTTGTTCGCTCACAGAGGGGGAGTAAGGCAAAAAAGTTTTCAATATATAAAAAAATTTTTTCTCCAGTTTGAGAAGAGTCAAAATCATTCCTAAACTACAGAATAGAAAAAGTTTCTCAGACTTTACTTAAACCTAAAGACCTTGAAGATGCAAAAAGCTATATTTCTTCGCTTTTCGATCAAGAAGATTCTTCTATTTCAGAGCATGGAGAAATTACTATTGATTTAGAGCAACTTAAAAGCAAAATAAAAAAGAAAAATAAACTTTACTCAAATAAAGAAGAAGATATTTTGCTTGCGCAGAAGGACTATAAGCTTGCTAAATTGAAAATTCTGAATGATTTAAAAGAAGAAAGGCAAAATATTATGAAAAAGGCGAAAGAAATATGGGAATTAGAAGAAAAAAATAGAACTGAAAGTGCAAATATTAAAGCTCAAATCGAAGGAATCCCAGATTGTGGGCTACATTCAAATAACTGCAATGATATTGACAGTTTATTTGAAAGAATAAAGGTAAATTTTATGTAGATTTTACAAAGAAAAAGGAACGAAACTTATAATAAAATAGATATTTTAGAGCACGAACATAAAAAAAATATAGAAATTATCGGGAAAAATAAAACAGTTTTGCAAAGAATTGAATATGAGCTTGCTGATGCTAAAATTCCTTATTTAATTACACAGCTGGAGATGCCTTTATTAAGGTCGAAAACAGAAAAATATGTGATAGAGCCACCAAATATTGAGCAGAAAATAAGATACGCCAGGTTTCTCTAAATCAAAAAATCTTATAAGTTATTATATGCTAACATTAAAGTTATTATATTGTAAAATTGATAAGACCAGTCCATTATATTTAAAAACTTTCAATTATAATTTGGCTGTCAATCTATAACTGCTTAATACTTTGATAGGTTGTAGTTGCTATTAATTAATTCAAAAAATTAATTTTACTTAAAAATCAGCCTATATATATAATTAATCAAATAGCTCGCCCCAATGCCTAAAAGTGCGGCAAAAATAAAAGTCACGAAATAATTCATTTTCGAAGGATTTTTTCTAATTTCTGCTAGCTGAACTCTAGAGGATACTTCTTTCAATAATAATCCAGTGCTTAAATGGTGAAACTTGCTAGGAATCTGCAATTCATAATTAATCTCTTCATGAGATTTTTTTTCAACTTCAAGGAACTTTATTAATGTATTTAAATTTGCTCTTGCTTCTATGGTGTTCTCATCTTTTGCTAGCGCTTCATCAATTTTTCCAAGAAGAGCCAAAGATCTGTCAATTTTCAATTTCACAGGAACTGAATCAGAAAAAGTGATGTGCTTTAGTTTTGGACTCAAATATAAAGAAATTTCTGCATTGATTCTGTCTATAATATTTCTGTTCTCGATTATTTCTTCTCCGAGATTGTTTAGTTTATCTTCTATCTCTTGAACAGTCTCCATTATAAATTTAATTAAGCTAAAATTTACTTTCTTATAAAAAATATTAAAAAATTATTGATGATAAATCAATAAACTTATGATGTTTTTATCCTGTTTGTGCAAAAATTGCCTCATGCATAATTAATTGAAATTGAGGGTATTTATTTACTTACAAAATTGTTTATGATTAAGAGAATTATTTAGCAAATTGCATAAAGATTGCATTTGTAAGAAAAGTTTTTCAGACTATCGCAAATATTTTAAATATTCTTGGAGAGAAAAAATGTTTGTTTAAATCTTGAAATACATTCATATTAATGATAGCATAATTGATCCTCAAAATATATGGTGCTTGTTTATAAATAATATGGGAAATAGCCCAGCAAATGCTACAGTTACTCTTTCAAATAGTCCATCAAATGAAGATCCCTTAAGTCTTAACCAAAAAAAATCCTCGATATCAGAAGTTCTTGGAACTAAACCTCTCCAAAGAGCTGAGCTTAAATTAACTAGTCCGAGAACTCCATTTAAATCACCAAAAAATCAAATTCAGCCTGATTTTGCTAAACGAAAAATACAAAGATCTAAAACCAATATAGAGCCGGGGTCTATAAAAATATGTTCTAAATGCTTATCAAAAATTCCATGTTATCATACAAGTGATGGAAAGTTCCAAAAAGCATCACTCAGCCCTGAAATAAATGTAGATGCGTCACCTAGTACTTATAGACGGTCTTATACAAATCGAGCTTCATTTAAAGCATTAACATATGCAACATTAGAACATGAAGAAACTAATATAGCAAAACTCGAAATTAAGCTCCCAGAAATAGTATCCCCTAAAGGAATAAAAAAATCAATAGGAGGCTCGCCTTCAATAGTTGATGAACTAAGGGATCAAGAAATCAAATGCCAAAGACGGCAAGAAATTTTAATTGAGAAAAAAGAACAAGAATATGAAAAAATCGTAGAAGAAAGAAAACATGAAGAAATAATTAGAAAAGATACTATAAGAAGACTTGAAACCTTAAATCTGAATAAAGAAAAACAATTAAGAGAATTGGAAGGAAAAATTAAAAAAAGTAAAGATTATTTAAAAAATTCAATAAAGGGTGAAGGGAAATATGCCAAAGGAATGTGGGCACTGATTTAAAATTAATTAAAATAAATGCTGAAGTTAAAAACTGTTTAAGCCAAATTTCACAATTTTGGTTCTTGCATTTATATTATTATATTATATAAGTATAGTCTGACTATTTACCTCTTTAAAGGAACTATGAAAACCGTCGATAATGAAATTAATCCTCCATATTAATTTTCTCAACAACTATTATCAGTGAGTTTCATTTAATTATCACTTTTGTTTTCCTATAATTACCAAAAAATGGGCTGCTGCTTCAGCTGCTTTAAAAGTGACTCCAGAGATCCTACAAAAGCTGCATTAATTGACTCAGAAGGGAAAAAAATTGAAGAAATGGACACTGCTACTGAAAATACAACTTCAGTTCAACCTCATCCTATTTGTCTCGAGGATTTTAAAATTGAGCGAGTTTTAGGCAAAGGCGCATTTGGCAAAGTGTTCTTGGTTACCAAAAAAGACAATGGTAAATTTTTTGCTATGAAATGCTTAAGGAAAGACATGATCAAGCAAAGAAACCAAAAAGAGCATACAACTACAGAGCGAGAAATATTAGGAGATGTAGATAGTCCCTTCATAGTTCAATTGAGATACGCATTTCAGACTCCAGAAAGGCTATACATGGTTATGGACTTTATTAATGGTGGTGAGCTATTTTTCCATTTAAGAAGCTCATCAAGGTTTTCAGAACAAAGGGCAAGGTTTTACGCAGCCGAAGTTCTCCTTGCCTTAGAATATATTCATGGTTTGGGGATTATATATAGAGATTTAAAGCCTGAAAATATTTTATTAGACTCTGAAGGACATATAAAATTAACTGATTTTGGTTTAAGCAAACAGTTTTTTGACGAAGAACCTAATGGTGAAAATAAAACATTTTCTGTATGTGGGACTCCTGAGTATTTAGCTCCAGAAATTTTAAGACAGACAGGGCACGATAAAGCTGTGGATTTTTGGAGTTTTGGAGCTTTGCTATATGAAATGCTATCGGGTGCTCCACCTTTTTATTCAAAAAATAGAGACCAGATGTTTAGAAATATTTTAACGAGGCCTGTAGAAATGAAATCTCATTTTTCATGGCAAGTTGTTGATTTATTAAAAAAGTTGCTACAAGTAGATGTAAGATTAATTTAGCCTCGAAAAAGATTATCATCAATTGACGCTTTAAAACAGCATCAATTTTTTGAAGGCATGGACTGGGTAAAACTAGCTAATAAAGAAATTCCAGTTCCATTCAAGCCGAAAGTGACAGGCCCTAGGGATTTAAGGAATTTTGATAGAGTGTTTACAGATGAAACTCCAGAAGAAAGTCCAATTTCTTCAAATTTCAATTCTCGAAGGACTTCGTCTAACCGATATGATGGATTTACTTATCATGATTCTGGCAACATATAATAATCTAATAATAAAGATCTTGATTTTAATTTCTAATTAAAGTAGAAAAGATTAAAAAAAATAATTACAAAATGGTTGACTCAAACAAGTCAAATTCCAAAAAAGGGGTCCTTGATATATGAGATGATTATGATCAGAACCACCCAGAAAATGCTCAGCTTAGAGGCGATGCAGAATTCGATGGCCCAGTGAAAGATCGCAAATGTACAGATATTTTTTACTTGATCTTTTTTATTTTGACAAATTTCGGGCTTGTTTTTGTATGTTACTTTATTATTCCTGAAGGAGATTTGCATAGGTTGACGCACGGGTTTGATTTTCGTGCAGAAATATGTGGATACGGTGGTTTAGCGGACCGTCCGTATATGTATTGGCCAGATCCTTATAATCTTGATTTTTCTTTGTGTGTTCAGAGATGCCCTGAGTATTATATTACTGATTATATATGTTTATATGACACTGATCACAAAACCCTACTACTTGACTGGGGATGTTGGGATACAGTGGTTACAACTTATTATGGGTATTATTGCGTTCCTGTTACAGATCAAGCAAGGCGAAAAGTGATGGATTATTTATACCAGCCCATGATTCTAGTGAAAAGAAGTGTAGGTGATCTAGCGCTTGCATGAGATACAGTCGTAATGGGATTGATACTTTCGATTGGAATTGGCCTCATATATTTAGTTTGCTTTAGAATTCCCTGTAATTTTTATATAGATGTGATGCACGCGCTTATGATTGTAAGTATTTTTACTCCAGAATTGCTATTCTTATATTTTATTTATCTATTCCGTGAAGCTCAACTCAGCACTCACCAGCAATTATGTGGAGAATCCGATGCAGGGGCAGAACCTGAATATTGCTATGAGGCTCCTTCTCAGGGTTTTTATTACCTTATGTTCGTTGCATTAGGATTTGCAATTGCATATGCTGTTTGAATAATCATGAAATGAAGACTTTTGAAACTTGGAGTAAGCATCATTATGCTTTCATGCAGACCTCTGCACACTCTAAAGCAGTTTTTCTTATACCCATTTATGCTTATGCTATCAGGGATTGGTATTATTGGCTTATTAACTCTATTGGTCTTATATACAATGAGTACAGGTACAGAAACTACAGTTAAAGCTTCTGAAATACCTGGAGGATATTCCAAAAAAATAGAGGACTACGAAACAGAAAAATATATGATGATTTATAATGTATTTATCACCTTATGGTGGCTTGTATATTTGATAGCTTTTGGGGAGTTTGTATTATCTTCATCGGTCGCAGTTTGGTATTTTACTAGAGAAAGGTCGTCATTGTATTACCCATTGTGGAAAGGCTTCAAGTCAATTCTTAGATATCATTTAGGCTCTACAGTCAGAGGATCTCTTTTTAATTCAGTTTTGGCAATACCGAATAAAATAATGACAAGCTATACAAGAATGCTTTATAAGCTGAAAAAGAACCACAATGGGCTAGCTAATTGCTTAGGAAAATGTTGTGCTTGCTTAGCATGTCACCAAAAATACTTGAGGTTTTTCACTGATTATGCATTTATATTTTTAGCCCTCTTTGGACATCCGTTTTTTGAATGCGCTAAAAAATCTTACTGCCCCATCCGTAAGCGAATAAAAAGATTTTGTTCGCTCATGGTTTATTTTCTTTCAAAATTTTAAAAATTCTCAATTCATAATAATTTTAAATAAAAATTAATTTTAATTTGTTAAATTTATGTTCTAAAATGCAAGCTGTTTAAAAATAAACAGAATTAGCTAGAGATTTTATTATATTATCAATTATATATCAAAATCGTTTTAAGAAACAAAATTTATATTAAAAAAAATTTTGGTTCGCTTTCAGAGGGTGGGTTTTTGCCCAAAAAATAAGGATTTTTACAAAGATTTTATTCACTCACATAGGGCGAAGTCACTATTTACTAAAAAGGAACAAACAAAGAGTTAATTTACCTTCAAAAGCAGGACAATTCGTTATTTTTATTATGAAAGCTACGATTTGCTTATCAGGGACTGCATTAACGTACTCTTTGCTGCTCTTGCAACCTTATACTCCACGTGGCCAAGATACAGACTTACTAGTGGCTCCTTCTTGGCTTGCATTTTATTCTTTAATTGTTGGCTGGTTCACAGCTCAAGTATTTGGTGGTTCCATGGCTGCATGCATGAATACTGTTGTATTATGTGGTGCGTGCGATGAAGAAATGTTTACCCGTGAACAGCGTTTTATGGATCATCAGTTGCAAGCATTTTTAGATAGCGTTTTTGAAGAGCAGACTGAACAACAGCGAGAATCAAAAGAAAGAGCTGTAATGCAGAATCCGAAAAAAGTGTATCAAAAAGCAAGCTTGCTTGAAAATATGGATGAAGAAGGAGCTATTTTATTGAAACCAATAAAAAATAATTATACAGGAAGCCAAAAAGGATCAGATACTTTAATGGGCGATGAGACTGTAATAGCTGCCCAAAGGCCAAATGTGGCTTATAATAATAATGATCAAAGCAATTTCCATTGGATGGAGGAAGATACTGCTGAAGATAAAAGGCCGCAATTCAGTAGATAATAGTAATTTTGTTAATAAGCGTAATTAATAAAAATGTTTAATAAATACTTTGAAATAAAAAAGAAGCCTCCATCCGGGTTTGAACCGGAGACCTTTTGCTTACTAAGCAAATGCTCTGCCGACTGAGCTATAGAGGCGCTCGATTGTCTGCTGGAGGTGGGATATATATAGAAGGAGATCAATCTATATTGCAGAATATTAAAACAAAAAAATAAAATCTATGCATTTTTAAGTTTAATAAGCTTGAATTCTATTTTAATTTGGGTCTTTTGCAATTTGGATAGCTATCAGAAATATTCTATTGCTAATTTATATAAAATAAATTAAGCTTGCTAAATTAACTGTTTAGTTTTAAAGTTTTCTTAAGTATAAAAATTTAAATATAATATTTCCCATTTTTTGTGCTTTTTCTTATTGCTAATATTAGAATATTTTCCAGTAAATTAATCTAATTGACCAAATTCACGCTAAAGTTAATTGGGTTGCTCATTGTCAATAAAAATTATGAGTATTTTAATAAAGGAGTGATTATAAATAAAAATTACTCTATCAAACTAGAAAAAAAAATTTATAATGATAACTTTTATTCTGAAATAACTAGCCATTTTTTATTTTGTATTCAGTATTTCCAATTAAATACTTTCATGTCAGAATTTAAAAAACTGGTGTGCCTATTAAGAAAACTTTGGCAGAAAATTTCTTATTTATAATAAATAATTATTGTACTTACGAAATCTTTTTCTTTAATGAGCATTATTTGAATTTGACATTTTGATACTTCCGGCTTATCTTGTTGCACGTTTTCATATGGGTACTCAATGCGTATTTAATTTTAAACTTTTTGCCACAATAGTCACAGGCATATGGCTTCTTGCTCATATCATGCATTTTGCCAGTGTGTTGCTTAAGACCTCTCATAGAAATAAATCCTCGCTCGCAGTCTTCACATATATACTTAAAATCTCCTGAAAGCTCATTTTCTGATTCTTCACAGCTTGAGTTTGTATCATCCACGATTTTTGTCTCTTCAACATTTGCCCCGTTGTCATAATTTTCATGTAGGTGAAGTTTGAGCTCTTTTTCTGTCGCAAAAGCAAATGGGCAGTAGGGGCATGGATATATAGATGATGTTTCTTTATTTAGAGCATTCAGCGAAAGGACTTCAGGAAGCTTTTTGGGAGATTCAATGCTAGGGACACTAAATTCATGTTCCATTTTAGTAGTTATTCACTTTATCTTTTTCTATTTTATAGTTTTTAAATGCATTCGATTGTCAGAAAGCTTAATAACTACTCTGCAAGTGGTTTTTATCATAAATTATTTATCTTACAGTAAAAGAAAATATGCAATTTTTATAATGGAGTACTGGCGATTTATCCTTCTTAAATCAGAAAGTTCAAATGTCAACAATGGAGAAACTGGCTTTATCAGGCTTGATCTGATAAATCGTGTAGAATTCATAAACAGAATGGTCAATAATTATATATAGCAAAAATCGGCCAAAATGTTTCTTTTTTTTTGATCCCTTTTTGGGTTGATGAATAAGACTATGATGCTAACTTCCCCCTCTTCATGAGCGAACAAAATCATTGGAAAAACCCCTTTGACCATAAACCCATCCTCCGCCAAACAAAAATATTTTTGAATATGAAAATTTTGATATATAATTGATAATTAGTATAATGAAATCTTTAGTTAATTCTATTTAATTTTAAATAACTCGCATTTTAAAGCATAAATTTTAAGTGGGTGTTTGCTTGAATTGGGATTTTTTTAAATTTCGGAAAAAAAAGTTACATATATTTAATTAAATTTTTTAAAACAAAAATTAACTCCGTGAGTGAATAAATTTTTTTTTTGGCTCAATGAGGGGGGAAGTAAGCAGATATCTTTTTTTTTAGATATTTCTTGAGTTGTAAATCCTAATTGCAAACTAAAGAAATATTTACACACATTTGATGAACAATTCCAAGAAAGTTGATTTTCAAGCAAATCCATAATAGTAATCATCAAATTAAATGATAGATCCCCTGCATTGTAAATGAAAAGATATTGATTAAAATTTAAATAATTATATTTAAAAAAGTCTTTTCAGAAGAATGCCCAAGATTTAAATTTAAAGTTTAAAAATTTATTTTTTTTGCAAGGAAATTAAATTCTAAATTTTTTATCATATAAAATGCTATTAATGCTCATATATTTAATTAGCATAAACTCTCATTAAATTTTATTTTGATATTAAAGTCCGGATGCTTGACCAAAATATATGGAATGGAAAAATCTATGCTAAATTTTATTAACAGAAATGTAAAAGAAAGCCGATAAAAAGGCATAGAAATTAGTTTATTTGAGTTTTTACTCCCAATAAATAATTAAAGTAGGAATGAAAGTGATCTATTTATTATTTATTTCATTTTTTTAAAATCTGGTCATTGAATTTTAAATTTAAACAGAGCACCAGAAATAGAGATTAATAATTTATTTGAATTGCATATATTTTTAAAAGTTAAGCTAGGTTATTAAAGACAGGGGCTAGCCATATTGGTGATGCAGTCGCCAAAGACCTCCCATACGAGACGTTCATATACTTTTCGACTCCAGCCCAGAGGGTCTATCCCCATTTAATGGGTGCCCACTTCCAATACTCTCTTCTCCTCCTTGGAGTTTGTCTGATGCCGAAGTGCCTTCCTACAACGGCTACAGGAAAAGACTATTCTCTGTGGTCTGTGCTGAAACCTCCAGTTTCTCGGTAGAGGAATACCCATAGGTCTTTGGATTCGAAGGACTTTGTTGGGCACTCCATTTCCAACCACAGGAAAACAGCCAAACCTACAGATACATATTTCTTGAGCCTGCACTTGATTCTCAGCTCTGAGTCCGCCCCAGTTTGTCACGGCCATATAAGGTCTGGACTGTTATGCCAAGAGGGCAGATGGCACGTGCCCCATTTTGATCTATATTTATTTAAACTGTCATGCAATGATTTTTCCTAAAGCTAGAAGAAATAAAAATTAATTATTTTTTAATTCAAAAGAAAAGACCGCATTTGGTTTGGAATATAATATAACTACTCCATTTCCCTTACTCCCTTTAAATCGGAACAAAATATTAATAAAATTTCAATTTTTTGGGTGCTTTATCATTTATATTGAACAAATTTTTTTTCAATAGGAAAATCTTATAGTTGAATATATAATTTTTATAAAATTAATTTGGACCTAATTTAGTAGAAAAAGTAATTATTTAAACAGTTTTCACACTGAATCAATTAATTCTTCATAAAATAAATTAAAATTCAAAAAAAATATGACTAAGAAGGAAAAACTATTTTATTGCAAAATTAATAAATAATTTGTCGCATGAAGCATCTTAAGTCTTCCTAGAAGAGAATCTTAAAAAATATAAATTAAGAAATATTCATCTATAAATCTTCATCAAACATTTTCAAATTAATTATTTAGCCTTAATATTTCATCAAGTACATAAAGTGTGATCCTCTTATTCCTATCCACAATATCTTTGTGAATATCAAATATATATGGACATTGTGGATTTTTCTGCACCAGATTTTTCGCATTCTCACTTACCACTATCTTCCCAGCAATTCCATTACTTTCGCATTTATTCGCAATCAGCACATCTCTACCATAAATGTCATATCTTACTATTTTCGTCCCAGCAACACCTCCTATGACGTTTCCTGAGTGGATCCCAATTCTCATATACAAGCTAGTGAAATATTCTGAATTAATATCCTGAATCACTTTTAGCATGGATTGGGCAAATTTCATGATATTCAAACATTCTACTGCAGGATTCCTATTGCTGTCTTCTGTAAAACCAATAGCTACATAGCAATCCCCAATGGTATGAACTTTATAGACATGGTGCTCTACACAGATTCTATCAAAGCGGGTAAAAAATTCGTGAAGCATACCTACAATTTGTTCAGGGGTTTTCGAAGCAGATCAGGCTGTGTATCCTACGATGTCTGCATACAAAATAGTGACGTCTGATAAAGAATCTGTGGTTGTGTTTTCTTCTTTTAGATTGAAGTATACGTGGGAAGGCATCATTTCAGTAAGCAGGCTTTCAGTTTTTTTTCCTTCTCTGCGTGCAGCTTTTCTTAAAGCGTAGGAAATCCTAAGTTTCTTTTCCCGGTAATAGATTGAATATGTCATAATAGAAAACAAGCATAAAGATAAAATCGCAACTGATGAAGTATCAAATCTCATTAAAACTAGAACTATTAGCACTCATGTGATAGAAACTACTGAAATTGTGATAGTAATGTGCTTTAAAAATGACTCTGAGCAGTGTGTAAGGTATAAAGCATGCAAAACCATTTTCCCGAACTCTATATAGTTGTTATAAGACGAATCCTCACTTGTAGTTAGATATATTAGAACTCCCATACCAGCTGCAAAAGTCCATTGTAAAAACCACCCAGTCATAATATTCCTTTTCTCTTTCTGTATAATTTTAATCATCAGCAAAAATAGAAAAAATTCGAAAAATAAACTGAAAAAAGAAATGTACCTATAGGCACTTCTATCATTACTTATAATCAGTCTTGTTAAGCTTAATACAGCAGATATCGCAAAAAAACCAGCTCCAATAACTAATCCATAATAGACAATTGAAAAATTGGAATCAATGAAATATTTTCTAAATTTCTGGTCTTTGCAGCTTTCTTGGCATTTAAAAGATATAAATTTGACTTTCTCGATTTTGGGGGTGTTTGTCCGCTTGAAAACTTCTTCTTCGTTTGCTAGGTCAAGAGTTTCTAATAAAAACGATTTTCTTCGTTCATTTGTGTTTGTGTGGTGACTCGAATCGAAAAAACTAGATCTAGAAAAAGAAAGGGAAGAATGGATTCCATCCATACTTAATTGGTTCTTTTTGACACTCATCAAATCTTTGTCACCAAGCACAGCTTCTTTTACGAGCTTGGTATCCATCATTCCTTTACCTTTGGCTTCAACCGTTCTGTTTTCGAATGTCAAACCTTCTCTAGAGTCAATTAATTCAAAGTTGTCATAAGAATAAAATGGTGTTATTCGAATTTTTTGGTCTTCTGACCGAAAAACTCTCTTTTTGCATTTCATGATTATGAGATGGCTTTCTAGCGAATTTATCCCGCGATGACAGGGCTTCAAGTGCCTGCGTTGGGCAATGCAGGTCTCCTGTCCCGAATTTTCTAGAAGAATCCCACAACCCCAGCTGTGAGGCTGTTCTAAATGGAAGGACTGCCGTCGAAATCCGAACCCCCGAAGCCGAAGTCTTGGGTGACGGTAGACAAGGGAGCCCAGAAGTAGGGAAGGAGCCCAGGCAGGTAATGTGGCAATGGAATTTACACGAGAGGATGACTAATTTTAATGCAATTCAAAAGTTTCGATTGAAATCTGAATGCTACCTGTTTCTTGTAAAGTTGATGCCATTCGGCTCGCAGTATTTACAGTATCTCCTACTAATGAAAATTGAGGCTTATGAAATCCTACAACTCCAGCAGTGACTGGGCCACTATTGATCCCGACTTTTAATTTCAACTGAGTGTCATCATTAATATAAATTTCTTCAGCCGCTTTTAGCATTCCTAATCCAAGCTCTATTGCTCTTCTAGCATGAGAAACGCTTGCAAACGCTGGATCAGACTCAGGCTCAGAGTCTTTGAGCCCAGCACAAGCCATATAAGTTTTCCCTACCGTTTCTATTTTTGTAACCCCAAATTCATCGCATAACTGATCAAATTTTCTAAAAACACCATCAAGAAACTCTATAAGCTCTTGTGGGGTAAATCTTGCTATAATTCCTTCAAAATCACAGATGTCACAAAATAGCACTGAAACTGTGCCTTGGCTTTCAGCTATATATCTGACGCCGTTCTTTACTCTTTTCCTTACAAAGGCTGGAAGCAAAAAGTTTAGGACGTTCATTGATTTTTCTATTTCATGCTTGTCATACTGAGTTGTAGCAAATTCTTCTCTTCGTGATTTTTCTATTACGTAGCTTATAAGTGCGGAGACAGAAATCACTGATATATATATAAGAATGTATTCAATTATATATAAAATCTGATCGTTGGAGTCTAAATGGTCGTTCATTAATATTCTTTGAATGATCATTGCTATAGCTAACTTCCCCCTACGTGAGCGAACAAAACCATTGGAAAAATCCCTATTTTTTGCCAAAAAAACCCATGAACGAACAAAAATTTTTTATGGAAAAAATTTTGATATATAAGTGATAATTATTATAATGAAATCTCGAGTTAATTCTGTTTATTTTAAACAAATCGCGCTTTGAAACATAAAATTTTTACAAATTAAATCAATATTTATTTTTGCGAATTAGGATTTTTTAAAAAAATTAACCCCCTCTGTGAGCGAACAAGATTTTTTTGTTCGCTCACGGAGGGGGAGTAAGCCAAAATCAATTATTGTTAAAGCTACAAGATAAAATCACAAGGTACATAATACGAGTAAAATTACCACAGGTAATGATATGAGGAAACTGATAGTAAAAGTGTCAAATGCATAATATGCTATCACGATTGATATTAAATTAATAATGTACATTGAAAGTAATAGTTGTTTTTGGTATTTTGGAAACAAATATCTCCACGTCAAAACTAGCAGAACGACGTGATATAGACCTAAAATTGCATAGTAAATCAATTTTCCATAGTTTCTGCTGGAAGATAAATATGATATAAAGAGTGAAAAATATCCAGAAATAAAGAGAAGCATTAAAACTCGATATAGCAAAATATTTTCTCTAACTCTTCCACTTGGCCTGCGTTCAGCTTTTGTCTCACTATTGAAAGGCTTTATTTTTTTTAAAGTTCTATATAAAATTCTCTATAAATAAAAATTTCGAACTAAATCATAAATTAAATTAGATTGTTTCTCTTATAAAAATTGATTGATTATATATATTCTAAATATTTTTATAAATATAGAATTTATATTAAGTTTATTTTCTTGCTTTGGAAAGGGTTTAATTTTCCAAAAAATATCTCAAACCAAATTTTTTGCGTCTAGTAAAAAGGAGTAAGCTGCTCCCCTTGATATTCCAGCTCTCTAACAGGCGAGACAAATTGCAATGTTCATTTATTCAAGTCATATCTGTCTAATCTTTTTTGTTCTTTCCATTTATTTGTAACTCTATATATTTCTCCTATCCTATCTTTATACTTTTCCAGTCTAGAAAGCACAGTGACTTGATAGATTTTATTTTTCAGCACCCTCATCAAGTTGATGGTATTTGGGTGAAAATTAAAACTAACTACCCTTATTGAATAGCTGAACACAAAGCATACACATGGTATCAATAATATGTGAATATAACTTCTTGATGCATCATTAATCATATCTGCAGCTGAAAAACTTTCATTTGTGACTGAGTCAGAAACGCCTTGAATGTAGCCAAAGGTTATCAAAACTGAAATAAAAATGGAAGCCATTGTGTATTTGTTAAAAGAGTTCATCTGCAGTGAAATGGTTATCATTGATACTATATACCAATCTATAAAAGCTAAAACTCCTATATAAGTAAAATTTTCTGTGTATCCTGATGAATTAATAGTAGAATTCAGCCCTAGGAATAAAAATAAAAAAATGATAAAAGCATGCATGAGACCTTCTATAGCAAAAGATGTCAGCTTTTTAAAGGTAAATAATTCTCTTTTTATTCCTAAATCATACGACTCAGGGTGCAACGTAATTTCTCTTTGGGAAATATCATCGTCAAAAAGTCCTATTGCTATAATTGTTAAGCTAAGTTAAATTATAAGGTTATAAGCGGATAGACCACTAAGTTGCCTATATCGCGTAAACCCACCTAACATAAGGATTAGCTGCCTATCTTAGAGCAACCTCTTGCGGATGCCTCATTAGTCCGGATGAGCAAAGACTAGGTGGGAGGCAAAACATGCCTAGCCCTTCTGGCAGAGATAGGGAAAATCTTTAGGTAGAAACAAAACTTCCCTCTTGGCAGGCACCCCAAACTGAAGGTTTACTTCAAAAAGTGACAGAGCACTATTTTCAGCTTCATCAAGGCAGTCCTACCTGCACCATAGGGAGTATTTCTCGGAGTCATCTTCCGTCAAAGTCACCATTCTTTCTTATTTCTATAATAGGAATCAGTGTGACAAGAAAATCTAAAATAATAATGTATTGGCTGTCAATTAAGCTAACATAATTAAAATATGGCGTCTTCGTCTGGGCATGGCCTCCCGGCCATGCAGCCTCGACTCATATTTTAATTATATCCGGCAAGGTTTTACCATTTCAGAGATGGACAGCAATGCTAGGTAAGCAATTCTGGTAGCTTTCAGAGACTAGCCCAAGTCTATTCTCAGGGGTGGATTTTTCCTCGTGGGGAAGGAGGGTGCAAGGTTGGAAAGGGGAAGCCCAGCAAAGTCCTCTGGACCATTCGGGCAACTCCCTAGCGTGAAACTGGGCGTACGTCCCAGGCTTTGCATTTTTCCTTTTTGCCGATAGCCGACCAGAAAAATCCATTTTTTGGGTTTTTCGGAAAAGCAACCCATGTACAAGCAAGTAGCTCATCCATGAGCCGTCGAAGACGTGGACATTTGCCCTGGAAGCACCCTGGTGATCAAAGCGCGTTTGTCTCCAGCAGACTGGTGGGCCCGATGCGACGAAAGGCGAGTGATAAACCTGGAGTTGTAACCCCGTAGTGGACGTTAAGCGATATAAATTCTAATGTAATGTAATGTCAATTAAGCTAACCCCGAAAATCCGACGCTCGAACTGTAAAAAAATAGCAAGCATACTAGCAAGATGTCTCTATAAATGATTAATACAACAACCGATGCTATTCTTGTATAGCTATAATGTCCTTCAAAAAGTAATAAATTCTTCAACTGTGAAAAATCTCTCAGCCATATGCATCCACATAAAGAAGCTTCTGGGCCTTCATTTCCACTAATTCCAACCCCTATATGTGACTCCTGGATCATTCCAGTGTCACTTGATCCATCTCCAATAGCCATAATAACAGGCTTAAACTCAAAATTTCCTTTCAGCAGTTTAATTATTTTTATTTTTTGGTCAGTCGTAATTGAGCTAAAAATGACACTTTTTGCCGCGAAAAGTAAAGCTACTAAATACCTTCTGTTTTCTTCAGAACTTAATGCAAATTGCAGCCCAGTTCTATCAATAGATAAGCTATAAAATACAGTGTCAGGATCAAAAGAGTTTTTTAAAGCGTCTTCTAATACAACAGCATCAGCAAATTCTGACATTAATGGATGTATTGACCTTCTTTGAAATGGGATATTAAAGCTCCTTTTTCTAGGTGAATCTATAAATGGTGAAGAGATCATCAATTCATCCCTCATCATGATTTGTTCACTTCTATTTGAGATATTGTTATACTCACCTGTGAATTGCCTTTTCGGCGACCCTAATGATTTATTGGGATTTTCTGGAGATTCCCCTATATGATAAATTAGTTGTTTTATATGATGTCTCATTGTCCTATTGCACTCCATCTCTGACGTGATATTCATAATTCTTGCAATCTGCATGTGCTCTTCAATTAACCCAGAAGAAATCCCAGCACATAAGGTGCTTTCTTCAGAGTCTCCGCTGGCGATCCATACCTTAATTCCAGCCCTACTCAATAATGCCATAGTTTCCTTTGTTTCTTCACTAACCAAGTCTTCAATTCCTATAATCCCCAAAAACTTCATCCCTTTCTCATAAAATTCAAACACCCTATTCATTCTTCCATCAGAATTTACAGGTGACAGCTTAGCATTCCCATAAGCAAATTTAAACTCATTAAGTTCTCTTGAGCTCAACATACGATAGCCTAATAAAACTTGTTTTTTTCCTGATAAGCACTTTAGGCAGGTAATAGTTTCTATACTACTAAAAGTATTAGACTCCAATGATAAATGCTTTATCATAGGGTCTCGGTATCCGCGGACGTATAAAATTGCTTGATCACTGTCTGGACATCTGACTAAAATTCTTGTCCTTTTAGTTTCTGGACTATGAGGCTGAAATGCAACCACACTTATGTCCAACTGTTTGTCAATGTACATTACTGATACTTTTCTATTAGACCTTTTAATTAATTGCATACCTGCCCTCTCACATGTTTTAGCTAAAAGCTTTTCTTCGTCTGATAGAGCGAAATAGTCCCCATTTGCCCTTGTTACAGTTTGGTTGCAAATAGCTAAATTTAGCATAAAGTGAAAAATTGGAGAGTAAATATCTGCAGACCTTAAGTCGTGCCGCAAGTTAATGAAATGATTGTAGTCTGTTGAGATTTTTTTAAAAAAACCTGGGGCATAGTCGCTTTCTTTAGGTGTGTCATGAGGGGTGGTAGGATAAGGGCAGGAATCTATGGTTTCTTCGCAGTCGTTTACATAGATTTCATCACCAATTATGCAAACATTCGCAGTTAGGACGTCTTTGGTCAAAGTTCCTGATTTATCAGCTAAATATCCTATTTAAATTAGATTAAAAAGAGGTATTTTAGATTTTAGGAAATTAAACCTATTTTTGTTGAAACAGATTTATATATTCTAAGGCTAGAATAGTAAGTTCTATGTAAATTGCTTTAATATCTTAAATTTATATATATAAAAATAATAAAACATTGCTTATTTTTTAACTTTTCATATGTTTTTATTATGAAAATATTCATATTAATTATTTAAAATAACTTAACCGTTATGACTATATTACATCACAGTAATTCTCGAAGGGCTAACTTCACCTTAGTACCCCTGTCGCCTACTCGCCAGTTCGTGCACGATATTACAAAGGATACTCCTGCCCGGACATTGGCCTTCACTCACTACCCCGGTATTTGGATGAGTTGTGCACCATGCCATACGTCAGCAAAAAGTTGCTCCGTGGAAAATTCAAAATCTCGAATTTTCTGGTCGACTCTCAGACAAAATGGTAAATCCGAAGCCCAGGGCATAACTCCTGTTTCACGATTAAAAACAGTCGTGAATGTCCTCTGGCACTGCTAGGAGATCCCTTTTCAGCTCTCGATTCCATTCCCCTCTGAGGCAAAAACCTTGATCTGGAAAAATCACACAATCAGTTATCCAGTCATTGCGCTTCACCAAACAAAATAAAACTCAGCTGCATACACATTCCCGAACGTCAGACTCCTTTCCCATAGTCCTTTGCCCGATTACCTACGAAACCAGATATTCCAAGAAGGAGGGTTGTCTTGTCACACCATTTTAATGTATATTAAAATAACTTAACCCCTTTAAATTGGAAATGATTTTCTATTCCAATTAAATTGGAGAGTAAGATATATTCAACCTGGCCTAAGTCTTCATTAATACTTCAAGTATGAAAGCCTATATCTTTATTGCTGTACTGGATTTTGTATACTTGAAAACACCTAATTATAATCAAGCTGATAAATAAAGAAATTGGCATAATATTGCTAAACAGGATGATAAAATTGCCGATAAGCTCTATTGTGGTATCTTGGTGCTTTAAGTCATAATAAACAGTTCCCATTAAACTAGAAAATAAAACTAGACAAAAAGCAAAAAATCATAAATATCTGATCCATTTCCCTAGCAACTTTTGACTGACCGAAATTCGTCTAAGTCTATTTCTTTTGTGTGCCCAAGTCGTGCAGTCAATTCCTGTATAAATTATCATCCCAAGGATCCAGCTTGTATTCACTAGCTTAGAATCGCTTTGCAATAGGTTATTTATCGTTATTTGTGAAGCTTTTGGGTTAGAAGTGAGTTTAAGTGACCCAGAAAAATTTTGGTTTTCATTAGCCAGTGAGACTTTTACAGTTGCATTGAGTTTAGTGAGCATAGATACTGCAATATTAATATCTGTTTTATCAAGGATTTCTTGAGAATCCTTCATTGATCGCTTGATCCTTAAACTTTTTTCACCATTTATTTTTGAAATATCAGCATAACAGATATGTTTTTTAGATCCTATACTCAAGATCAGCATATCTGCAGGAACAGTTTCATTTTCGGTGATACATAATATATCTCCTACCCCGATGTCTCGGCTTTTCTTTTCTGCTATCATATCTCCATTTCAGACCTTATAAAGCCTATTGTTTACTTGCTCATCATTTTTGTATTTCCAATAATCATTTAAAGCATCTTTTATAAGGTTAAACAAAATCATGGCAAGAAAAACGCTAAAAATAAATCATTTATAAAGCAAATCAAAATTCAGAGGGGTAAGAAGGATAATAAAGATCATAAGAAACCATAAATTGTATGAGTATTGAAGCTGCTCAAATAAATTTTTCGGAAAGAAATCTCATTTGGTGTATATAGAAGTCCTCGTAGAGTTTGTGTTATATAAATTGCTTGTGCAAGATAAGCCTTCGTTTAGCTGAATTATTCGTCAGATTTCTTTTTCTTTTATTTCGGACTTGTGCTTCGATAAGTTTTCCATAGTGTGATTATAAACGATACAAATTAAGAATGATTATCTCAAAACTATTTTGAATTATTAGCTAGTTAAGAGGAAAACTGGAAAAAATTGGCTCCATGTCAAATGACAGTGGATTTTTGACAGTGTACATTCCATCGAAATACATTTGATCGAAAATTTTTAATAGTGCGGCATTTGGCCGAAAATTAATGGTTTTTTCGGTCAATTGTCTCATTTCAAAAATTTTCAACCAATTTTATGCCAAAAATTTTTCGGTGAAATGGACACTATCAAAAAGGCAATGCCATTTGACCTGCATCCGAAAAATTATTTGAGAATAAGATTGAGGAGAAGTAGAAACAGTAAAAATATTTTGGAAAATCTTTATAAAATGGAAGAAAGATAAGAAGCAACAGTGAATTAATTAACTATTTAAAGGGAATTTATGAAAAATAATCAAAGCAGCCTTAGATCATAATTTGATACTTTAATCAGATTTTTGAAGAAATCAACAATTATTATTTTTGAAATTTTTTCAACTGATAGAAAGACCCAATTTAAAAGATTTTTATGAAGAAAATTTAATTGACAAGCAGCTTGCTATTTTGATTAGATTATGATGGGCATATAAAGTCTTCAATGCAGTATGAGTCCAGGCCAAAACTCTTGGTTTCTTGGTAGAGGCATTTTTGCCTAATGGCCGCTCTCCTTGGGTTTTAAAGCGGTAAAACTCCTATACGTCTTAAAATCCTGGGCCAAGTGAATTACCTTATATGATAAGCCATGCTTGCCATTTGGATGAATTACACCAGATAAACCGAACCCCATAATAATAAAATTCATGAGGAGGAAAAGTTTACGGAGTAAACCATTTCCGTGCATAATCATTTTATTATTTGTAAAAGCATGCAAAAAACCTCAATCCAAGCCTGGACACTAATCAGTGAAAATAGTGCTGGACCTCTCACTTTGAGGCTAGCCAAACCTTGGGCAGCTCTTTGGACCAAAAAGCTACGTCTGTATATACATAATGACACTCGCAAAGGGAGAAGGGTCGCTCATCATCAGCCATTTTATGATTCCTGCTATTTTGATAAAAATACTTTCTTCTTATATATTAAACGCCTGATATCCAGGAATTTACTCCTCTGTAAACATATCATCCATTCTATCCACAACAATCGAACCTCTCCTCGGATCTTTCACTGCAACATCTTTCATAGTTGGCGCTCTTCTAAATTCATGAAAAACTTCAGCACTCGGTACCACTTCAGGAATTTTCCCAGGATCTTTGTGGCTAACTTTGATTGTAGATTGATTAAGTTCCAAAATTAAGCACGAAATATCATCGATCATCACATCTTCTTCTTCAATGATCGTTTGCCATCGAATTCTAGCTTCTTCACATAGTAGCTGAGCTATACACGAATTTTCAGGCTTTACAACGTCAAATGTTCTTTCCTCTGAGCCTCTTGCACATCGGTTTCTGTAAAATTCAATAAAATGAACGACATCTTCATTTTCAAGAACATCCCAAACCCCATCTGATGCGGCAACTATAAAATAGTCTTCCCCTCCTGATAGTTCATAATTGGTGCATACAGGAGTTGAGATTACTCCGACCCTTTTGCCTCGAGTATCGCCAATAGATCTGCTCATTGCAAGTCCTGGGCCATTTGAGTATAATTCTCATACTCTATAAGGCCCAATCCTATTCCCAAATTCATCAGTCAATTGTTGAACTCTTCCACCATTTTTCATAATTCTAGACAGCTCTTCAGGATCTTCAGGTTTTTGGTCTCTTGTGAGCTGTACAGCATGAATTGCTGGGTTTGGCACACTGTTTCTCCTTTTCTTTACATCCTCAAGCACTTTTCTGTCTTCTCCTATAATTGCAGGGGGAGCCGGCAATATCGCTGGAATGCAAGAAGTAGCTAAAACTGCCCTAGAGTCTCCTACACTAGCACAATATAGTGAATTTCCATAATAATACACCAAAACCCCAGTGCTGCTTATATTTTACCTTCCAGAGTTTGTTGCATTAATACCATTTATTGGGTTTCGCACCTCATCATCACACTTTTTAATTATTGAATTGAGCAACTCCAATGGGTTTTCCTATTTAAAAAATACTGTAAATTCTACCTTATGGGATTTAAAAAATTCATCCACAGTTCTTGCACACAGCTCTACAACTTTTTCGCCTTCAGACCCATGCCCATCAAAAAGTGCCATTAAGACACTGTCTGAATCGCTACAAAATAAACATAAATCTTGACACTTTTTTGGGATTTCTCCATGTGGATCAAGTCCTGGGAGAACACAAGCAGATGATCAAAAACTGTGACTCCCAAATTCAATTTTTTTTGATGAGCATAATATAGGTTCTGTATGGTTATAAGTTAAACTATTTGTCCCAACGATCTTTCCTGTGTTGGTTCGTTGCTTAATATGGACTGTTGCTTTGCGGTGATAATTTCGAATATCATTATTTTCTGGATTTTTTGAATTGATATCTCTTTTGCTTTTATTAGTCCCGTTGATACATCCCATTTTGTTTATGGATGATTCAGTGAATATTTTTATGGATTTTTTATTTATAGCTATAGTGAGCGAAAAAAATAAGAATTTTATATGAGTAGTAAGGAAAAAAAGCATGTTAAGAATTATTCTCTAAAGAATAAAAGATATTTATGAAAAATGGCTTTAATTGAAACTGACACTTCTTTAGAATATATTTTTTATATCCTTGATGTTGGCTATTAAAGACAGTTAAATTAGCATTATAACTTAATATTATTCTTGAATAAGCAAGGAATAATTTAGCCACTAAAAAGAAAAGTACTTAAAAAATTATTGAATTATAATATTGATTTCTAATTCAATTGAAGTATATATTATAGTGAATAAATTGCAATTCTATAATAATTTTTTAATTCATGCATTCTATTAAAAATTAAAATAATCTCTACTCCCCTCCGTGAGCGAACAAAAATTTTTTTATGGGAAAAAATTTTTATATATATAGTGATAACTAGTATCATGAAATCTCCAGCTAATTCTGTTTAATTTTAAACAAATTGCGTTTTTAAAATATAAATTTTGCAAAATTAAATTAATATTTGCCTCCCAATTTTCGAGAAATGAGATTTTTTATAATAACCAAAAAAAATTTTTCTTTTTCATTTATATATAAAAAAAAAAAAATTAACCCCTTCCGTGAGCGAACAAGATTTTTTTTATTCGCTCACAGAGGGTGACTAAGAATGTGCTTATTATTTAAATACTTATTTTTCTGCCTTTTCCAATTGCCGATAATGCATTTTGAAAAAGATTTGAAACTTCATTATAAATCATACATGTAAAATGTCTATTCCTCAAGTTTTTTTCTTGCTTTATAAAATTAGATTAAGTATCGTCTTATTAACTCCATTTAACTCATAAAAGTACTGATCGATTATAATATATAAATATGTATTGCAATCAATGAAATAATTTTGCTCCTTTAGAACCAGCAAAATCTTATAATGAAATAGCAGACGAGGAATTTTGTAAAACAGAAATATTAGCTTGTCTTTCACATTCAAGCACGAATGATGATATATCTTCCCCGATTCCCTCATTAGAGAGTAATGATGCCGAATCTACTTGTTGTATAAATTGAAAAGTTTCCAAAAATTCAGAATATTATGTATATAAACTAAAAATGATCTAGCCTTTAGGCTAAAGAATAATCAAAAAATTCACAAAAATGCAATTAATTTCTGACTTTATTATGACCTGTAAAAATAACTGAAATTTTAAACTCATTTTTTTACTTTGTAGACTTAAGATTAGTAGTCACCTTTATATAAAGAAAGAAGAAGCTATCCAAGATAAGCAGCTTATATTGAAAATTAGAGAAAATAGTGTGGATCAACTTAAAAATTATATTAAATCTCATCTATCAGACTTAAAATTTCTGGATCAGAAACTTTCACCTGATTGCTATAATTTGAACGATTTCCTTTCACAGAAGATGATTTTCGCTTAAAATAATTTTTACACTCCATTGCCTTAAACCTTCTTTGTTTCGCTTCTAATATATTTTGTTTATACCTTAAATGATTTTGATAATCTTTTTCATAGCTTGTAAAGTCTACAGAGAGGGTTGCATTCTTCAATCGATAAGAGATATTTACATTTTCCTCTAAAATTTTCACTTGTTTTCATAACCGAATGTGAAAATTTGAGACATTGTATTTTTTAGGAGACCGAGTTTGGGGTGAAGCTGAAGAAATATTTACAAGATTTCTAAGAATTCTTAAATTTTCTTTTGCTATTCTTTGGTTTTCTATATAAGTACATACCTCTCGATGCAGACACTTTGTCTAATTTTATTAGATTTGTATTAGAAAAAATCTTTGGAGATGGAAAATCAATTGATGACTTAAGAACTCGAATTTCATTCAAATTTTTATGACAATTGCTGGTTTTATTTCTCCAATCTTTTAAATCAGGTCTCACGGCTAATGTAAGGCGTTTTGATTTCATTTTTTCTTTTTATATTAAATAAGCTTATTTTATCAGATAATTTATATCTCCTAAATATTTTCTTTTCATTATTAAGCCAAAAATGTCACAAATATATTCCATAGTTAAGATATACCTTCTATATTTATAAAGAAAATGTCGTACAATTGTGAACTTTGCAATTACTTGAATATAGCTACTTTAATATGCACATCAGATAATGAAAAATTTTGCGAAAACTGCATTGAAATTCATTTGAGATCGAGCAATGCTGAGGAGCACAAGTTTCAGTCTATTGAGCTATATCAAGAAGAAAAAATCAAAGAAGAGCAGCGAAACTTGGAAAATTCACAAAAGATATCTGAAGCATTAAGACTAAAGATTGCTAAGGAAAATGAGTCCATTGATAAATATACTGAAGATATTTACAATTTATTGCAAAGTAAAAGAGAAATATTGCATCGTATAATTGATGACATAATCGAAGATCAGATTGATGTCTGCTATGATGTGAGAGATAAAGCTAAGATGGAAATGAATTTATTGCTAAGGGAACTATCATCAGACTATTCTCATAATCCAGAGCTTTCTAGTTTAGTTAATCGATTTCAGTCAATTGAGGATACCAACAACTTGACTTTCTTAGAAATCAGAAATCCAACACATACCGAGCATTTATCTAAAGCCCTAAAGCAAGAGCTTAATTATACTTTACAGTATTATCCTTATGGAAAGCCTATACCTTTAGTACATTTCAAGCCAGTATCTCACGAGTTACTTATTTATAGCGGAATTTCCAATACTTTCAGCAAAATAGAAATTCCATCACAAACATTCAAAGACTATCCAGCCTATTGCACATTGCCTGATAACACAATACTGTACTCTGGAGGGTGAAAAAATAATGCATCTAGCTCTGAAGTAATTTTAATAGACCCTAAATTTAAAGAAGTTGAGCTGAAACCATCATTAAAAACACCTAGGCATCAGCACTCAATGATTTTTCATAACGGTATTGCTTATGTTTTTGGCGGGGCAACAGCTACTGGTATAACAAATTCATCAGAAAAATGGGCTTTTGGAGAAAATCAGTGGAAATCTAATGGATTTATGAATAAACCGAAGGCTCAAATGGGGATTTGTGTGTTAAATGAAATTATTTATATTTCTGGAGAAAATGATATAGAGAGCTTTAATACAGAAGCAAATGAATATAGAGTTCTCCCTATTATATTGGAGGGGAAGCTGCTTTCTGTACTTATACCGAGACAAAACTCATTCTTGATGTTTAGAGGAGGAGAATTAAGGGAAATAGAAGTTTCTCCTAGACTGATTGATTTTGTGGTGTCTCCTATTAAAAGGACTGAATGGTGGTGTCCTACTCAACCAATTTGGCTAGGCAGCCAAATTTTTATATTCACAGATTACAGCAAAACTATATATTGCTATGACATGAGAGAGAAAGCACTTTATCTTGCTAATAGCTTTAGACAGTAAATAATAAAAAGTTACCAATGGCTCTATTTATAGGGGAAATTAAATTATTATTTTATGTTTTCTAAAATAAACTTGGCCTCAATTATCATTATATATTTCTTTCCTTTATCATAGCAAATAATTTATATTTAATAAATATATCAATATGATCAAATTTTACGAATTATTATATTGTTAATGTCGGTATATGGCGGATTTTCATCACTATGTTCAGAGTCATCATATATCAACTGCCTAAGCCACATTCTTGAATTACTTCAATATCACGTATTATCTTCAATAAGAGATTGTAATTTCTACACAGCACATATTGACTTTAACATATGAAGCAACGATTTTCATAAATCTTTTGAAAGATTGTATATACTAGAACAACAAAGATTTTCAATACCAAAATTTTCCGATTCTTGCAAAGAAGTATACAGATATATTGAAGGAATCAAGCATAATCAGTCATCACAAGAGTTAAAAAGTGAAAAACAGTTAAAAAAAAGAAAAAATAAGCACAAAGAAGAAGGAGATGCGTCAGCAATAATTCTGGAAAAAGCAAATGAGTCATTAAGAGATTTACTCAGAGAAAGTCCAGTAAGTATGAAATATAAGACTACTGAGAGAAACGAAAGAAAAAGATGCATAAGCACTAGGCCAACTACAAGCAAGCATAGAAGATTTACAAGTGAGGGAAATTCATTCATGCTAAGACTTCCATCAGCTTCTTCCAATCGAAAGAAAAACCAAATTGAAACAGGAGCATTACAGCGCCGCTCTTTAAAGCGATTATTGCAAGATCTTGGTACCTCTGCTTCAAAATCTGTAATATGGATCCCAGACAAATCTTAAATTGTTTTCATTGTTGCAATTTTCAAATTATTTCTCATAAAAGAGTGTGAATCATTAATAATTTTTTTATAAATTTATCGATAATAAGAATTAATTAGTACTTTGCTGTTGGGTCTGGGTCATATTCTTAATCACCATATTCGTGCCTTGTTTAATAGCTTCCTCTTTAGCTACTGCAGCCACCTTTGCCCCGATATCGACAGCACGGTCAATGCCTTCATCAATATCTTTCATGTGCTTCTGGAGAATTGGCCTTATAGCAGTTTCATATATTTTCAAAGCTCCACGTGTCTGTGGTGCAAACAAGAAAACTAAGAAGGCAAGCTTAATAGGGTAATAAAAGGGTAGCCAGGAAAACAGAATTTCAGACCAGTCATCGATAACTTTGAAAAGGGCAAACACAACCCAATAGGTCAGCCACTGTTTGTCGTCGTCAGTTTCAGCTGATTCTATTGCTTTAAATGACATATATGCTGGATAAAGGATGGCGATTGCATCTGTTATTAGAGCTGCCCCTAATCCAAAAAGCATGCAAAGGAGTAAAAGAACTCCAGCACCAGCAGCTATTTGCCCTGTTTCTAAGCCAGTCTTGGCAGAAATGTCTTTGAGAACTGGCATATTTTTGGTGCGATGAGTGAGATCCTGTAAAATTTTGTTTACTTGTTCCATATTATAATAGGTGGAAATTTTAGGAGGCTTTTAGGATTTTAATAGAGGGTTATTTATAATAGAAAAATTCTAGAAAATATATGCATTTTGACATATATAAATTAGTTAAAAATAATTCAAAAATTTATAAGTTTCATCATTAGTCTGCTGCTTTTATGTTAATAATTTTGATATTACTAAAATAAGGCTCCATGTCAAATAACAGTGGATTTTTGACAGTGCACATTTCATCGAAATCCATTAGGTCGAAAATTTTTGATAGTGGGACATTTGGCCGAAAATAACAAATGTCTCACTATCAAAAATTTTTCGGTGGAATGGACACTATCAAAAAGGCAAAGTCATTTGGCCTGCACCCCTAAAATAATTGATTATTATTACTCTTTGCAAATTCTAAAATTCTTTCTAATCTGTTGGAAAACTCACTCATATTTTCCTCTTCTTCCTCAATTCTTTTGATTGCTGAATCACATAAAATTTGGTTGCTTTGGTTGATTTTGTCGATGCTTTTTTCGAGCGCTCTTAGCTTTCCTTCCCATTCGTCTCTGTCTTCATTTACCGTTTCATGGCAAGATTGGACATATTTGTTTTCATTGAAAAGCCTCTTGTGAAACATCATATACTCAACTTCTATTATCATGTTAATTAATTCCTTTAAATCAGCAGCAACACGATCACTCAGCACTCTTTCATAAGTATCTGAAATAATAGAAATCAGCAAATTAAACATAATAATTGGTCCTATTATCAGTGAAGTAGTCACCATTATAAACTCAATAAAATTAAAATCACCTTCAGGGTAATTTCCAAGTGCTAAATTATAAGAGTCTTTTAAAGATATGAGAATTTCTATCAGACTGTCGTTAAATGCAAGCACCATGAAAAGGAAACTAAAAGCAAGCGTGGAATATAAAAATAAAATAAGAAATCCTGAAATGTCTGCTGCAGTTTCAAATAGTAAATTTATATAAGGCCTTGTAGAATCTATAAGGCGAAAATAAGTTAAACCTCTTAGCCAGCTCATAAGTGTGGCTACAGAAAAGACGGAATACAAGTATCTATCCATCCCTCCTGTCCATTCTCCAATAATATAAATAAATATGAAAATCCCTCTGCTTCAGTCCACATAATTCATCCCATCAGAAAAATATGATCAGCCTCCAACACATATTTGGAAAACCTCATATCCTAATAGCAAAATATTAAAGACAAAAAGACTGATAAGATATGAGAGATTACCCATGAAAAAAAGAGTGTAAACACAAAGGCACAGCATATATGTAAGAAAGATGGAGCCTTGATAAATCATGATGTATTTAGCTGTTTGCCACTTATATTCAATAATATCTTTGACAAGCTGGCTTTTGATGACATCAGAGTTGGAGCAGGCTTCAAGGGATTCTAAAAATTCAATGCTTTCTCTACTGCCAATTGCCATATTGACTTTTACGTAGCTTTCAAAAAAAGTAACTCCAACTCCATGAGAAGTTAGCTTGCCTTCATCAAGAAATTCTCCTGCCTTTACTCTAAAGCTGTCTTTTAGCTGTATATTTGGCAAAACCACGTCTTTTGCACAGAATTTCGGTAAGCCTTTTCTGTAAATATCTTTATATATCACATTATATAAATCTCCAAGGAGCGAAAATCCCATTCTGTTCATCGCTGTTAAATCAGACTCGACCATCTGCAATAAATAAGTATTGGTTTCTCCTTGTTCACAAAAAGCTCTAATGACATCATCTCTTAATTGACCTAGGCCTCTTAATAAGCAGACAGACAAAGGATTAAACCCATTCTTTGAGGTAAAAAATGGAGGACTCTCTTGAGATAGTGATAAGGCGAGGTAATCTCTTTGATTGAAATAAGCATATATGTGGAGAGAATTGAAAAACTCAGGCAAAATCAAGAATTGGTCCATTTCTGGATCTGGAGTTCGCTCGAGTTCGGTGAGAAGGGATTTCATATAAGTTAAGAACTTCTGGATCGAGTCTTCTGGGCCGAGAATTCTGAAATCGTTTGAGATTAATGGGTTTTCTTGTAACCCCCTTGAATAAAACATAGTAAAATTTGGATTTTTTGGGCACTTTAACTGCGTTTAAATTCAACAAAATTTGTTTTTTCAATAGGGAAAAATTTTATCGATGAAAATATTAATTTTTATAAATTAGTTTTTGGACTAATTTAATAAACAAAAGTGCATGTAGAATGCTATTTAAGCAGTTTTCACACTGAATCGTTAAGTATGATGCTCAGTTTACATTTTTTTTATAAAAATACCCAATTTTTATAAAATGAGTTTTAACCTAATTTAATGGAAAAAATGCAAGTGAAATGGCTATTTAAACAGCTTTCACACTGAATCGATTAAATTATTTTTAATTATTTCTTCATAAAAATAAATTAAAATATCAAAGTATTGTCCTCAATGTATATTTTAAAATTTAAATATAGTTTTTTTTTTTTAAAAAACAATATAAACCCCTTTTGCTACAACTTAAAGGGGGAAGTAAGTAAATCAATTCGTGTTCGCCTGTTATTATATATTTTTCATCTGATGACAATCCCATGCAAAAAATGGCTTGTTTTCTGGCCATATAAGTTAACGGTGTCCTATATTTTAAAGAATAAATCTGAAGAGTTTTATCAAGCGACGAACTAAAAAATATTTCATTGTCAAGTGTTACATAAAGCGACGTCACAGCATCAGTGTGTTTATTAAACGTTGATTCATGGTAAAACTCAAACACGCTCCATATTTTTACTTGCCCAGAAGTGCATCCAGCTATGATGTAGCTATAGAGGTTTTCTCTATATAGCGCTGAAAGCGCAGACATTTTCCCAGGAGCTTTCCAAGTCCGTCGACCAAATCGCTTTTTGGTCCGACCAAGGCATTGATTTGGTGCAACCAACCGATAAATTCCGATCAGAATTTATCGGCCTTACAGCGCCAACATAGGAAACTTCTATATCAGTTCTATCAAAAGCTACACATGTAACTTGGTCCAGTGCAAGTATCACTGATTTTTCATTTCCATCTTGATCCCAGACTCTTAATGATTTATCACTGCTCCCTGACACAAGAATCTCTCCATTTGAACTTATAGAAATGGATCATATTGACTGCTGGTGGCCTTTTAGTGAAATTGCTTCTAAAGTTTCAATATTCCATATATTAATTTTTGAGTCTCCTCCACCTGTGAATATTTTTAGATTATTAGGGGTAAAGCATAGATCCCTAATCGGCCCCATATGAGCATGCACCTGCTTTTCTATACTTTTTCCAGCAAGGTTTACAATGTATAAATACCCAATTTCGTCACCAATCGCTACATATCTTTCATCTGAAGAAACAGCAGCTTTTAGACATGGGCCTTGTGCAGTAAGCAGCAAAAATCCTTCATCTTCATAAGGATTTCATAGCCTGACACATTTATCAGACCCACATAAAATGATTGATTTTGTGATAGGGGTAAAAGTGACACATAAAATATCATTTTGAAGTGACCGGTATATCTTATCATCAAGAAATATAGGAAAACTTCATATTTTCAAGCTCATATCTTCTGATGAAGAAGCTATAAAATCTTGATTTGGGGATATTAATAAGCTGGTAACTGGACCTGTGTGGGCATTTAATGCGATTTCTCGACGCTCTTTGTCGATATCTCATACTTTTATATTAGAATCCCTGCTACCAGAAATAAGAAAGCTTGAGTCATCGTTAAATGCTAAAGCAGATATAGACGATGAGTGCTCAGAAATTACTTTAATCGGTGTGAATTCTTGAATACTCCAAATAATAACTAGATTATCATCTCCACCTGAAGCTAAAAATGAAGATTCTTTATTCACGACTAAGCATCTCACACAATCACTATGGGACTTCAAGTTTAAAATTTCTCTTTTAAAAGTCATATCGTAAACCTTAATTAGTCTTCCTTCTCCTGAAGAAAAAAAATATTTTCCATCATAAGTTATAGCAATGCATTTTACCGGAAAATTATGCTGTAATATGATTTCTTCGAAGGATTTTTTCGCTAAACTTCATTTTCTTACTGTTTTATCATCACTTGCTGAGTATAAAAATAATCTTCTTGGGTCTAATAAAATTTGGCACACTTGTTCAGAATGGCCTAAAAATTCAAATTCTAGCTCAAAAAGCGGCAATCTGTATCACCTGATTTTTGAGCTTTCTCCACAAATGAAGGCTCTTTGGCTTATCTCATCTAATAGAAGGCTGTGGATTTTTTCGCTTCCTAAAGGTACATCATATGTAACTTTTTTTTCGATGGTATTGTATTTTGAGACAGAGCCATTTTCACTGCCAAAAAAGATAGAAACTCCGTCAATTGAAAGAGAGAGGCAAGATATAGGATGAGGAGTTGCTAAGGTTGACTCAGCGTTCGATAAAATATTATTTGTGATTTCATCCATTTTAGAGATGAGCAGCATTTGGCGTGGGGTTAATTGCTTCTTTTTTCTGCCTGTAATTTTCTTTTGAATCGGTTTTTCTATTGTTTCTAGAGGAATTAGCTGTGTTAGCTCAATTTCTTGCTGGGTTTCTTGCTGAGTTTCTTGATAATTTTCTTGAGTTTCTTCTTGATTGGTAGTAAGCAGAGGTTCTGAAATATCTCCCATATTAAATTTGTGCCAGACTAAATTTCATTATTTTTTTCAGTATTTATGAGAATCAAGTATTTCAATTACATATTTTAGCAAGAATGCAAATTAATATTTTGGCTGTAAAATTGTGATTGTGGAAAACTGCTACAAAATATTAGAAAAGTAAATTTATGAATATAATCTTAGCTAGCTTGAAGTCGTTGATTTAAATAAATGGTTAGTAGTCTACCTATTGAATATTTATACCTTAGATGAGACTTGAGAATATGCAATAAAAAAAGAAGTTAGCTATTAGTTTCAAGCTAAAATTTTTATTAAGCACTACAAAGGTCCATTTTTCAATATGTGAATAAAAATTATCAAACTTATGCTTTAAGCATTTGGCTGTAATTTCAAAATCTCAAAATATTAATAAATAAGAAATTGCTTAACATAAATAATTTAATTGTTTATTAAAAAGAGTTTCCATACTCTTTATTAAAAACTCATCTAAAACTGAATTAAAATCAACATATTAGTATAAACATTTATTACTAATCTTTTCATATGATTCTTGAGCTCTTAATTTGCTATTTCATTTGAATTTTATTCTTAATTTACTATTAAAATTACTCTAAATAGGGGGCTTATATGGAATTTGCCTATGACCAGATTTTAGCATTGAATGCTAAAATGCCTCGGTTATTTAAAATAGACAGAAAAATAAGCACTAATACTCGCCATGTAATTTTTATACAGCGAAAAACCGAAGCCGAGAAATTACAAATAGGCACCCCACCTAAGGAGCCTACACCTCCCAAAAAAGGAAAAATCAAAAAAGCGAAAAAGATCGTTGAATTTGATGGAGATACTTTAATATACAACGATTTACCCCAAGAGCAAGCTCCAAACACTCGAAAAAAGTCTTTAAGATCAAAAAAGTCCCATGGATCAGAAGAAGATTCTTCATCAGTCAGCAATGAACCTATTGAGCCAGCCCCAACTAAAAAAGCAAAGCTACCAAAAACTCCACCCACCAAGTCTCCACCCACAGGCAGAAAAACAGCTGCTTTCAATAAAATTAAGTCAATCCTCCAGCAAGTCATCAGGCATCCGATGGCCGAGCCATTCCGAAATCCACTTAATATCAATGAATCCCCAGACTATTTCAAAAAAGTCAAAGAGCCCATCGACCTGTCTACCATTGAGGCAAAATTAAACGAAAATAAATATGAAACAGGATATCAGTTTGCTATTGATATGAGGCTGCTATGAAGCAACTCATTTTTATATTATGCCAAAGGCTCTGATACTTATCACATGACAGTCGAACTTAGTTCTCTATTTGAAAAACTCATAAAAGGTAACGAAAGCCTCGTTCTAACAGGGAAAAAAGACATTGTCAAAGATCTCTATCATCAAGTGGAAACATTAACAAAAGAAATCCAAGGCTCAAAAATCAAAATCGAAGAAAACCCACCAAAGCCAAAACAAAAAGCAAAACCAGCTAATGAAAAACCTATGACTTTAATAGAGAAAAAGAAGCTCTGCCTCAATATCAAAAGCTTGAACCCTAAATATTTAAGAGGAGTCTTAGACATAGTAAAAAAATGTATGGACGTCAATGGAAAAGAATTCCAATTCGACGTAGAAAACCTTCCCACTGCGATTTGTAGGGAGCTCGAAAAGTATGTAAAAGCTTGCTTGAAAAATGAATCTCCGAATAAATCCAAAGCAAATGGAATGAATAGGGAAGATATAGAAAGGGTGCAAAGGATCGCAGAAGAAAAGCTGAAACATGTGGACATGAAAATTGAAGAATTGACTAGGGTGCCACAACAGGTAGAAAATATAATGAAAAAAGAAACAGAGGATGAGATCGTAGAAAGCTCAAGCACTAGTGAAAGTGAAAGTGAAGATGAAATTGTACCACCCATGCAAGATATAGGACTTATACCGCCTAACAAAGAAGATAGTGAAAGCTTGCCGAGGGCTTCAGATGTGTGGAATTCTTTGAGTAATGATTTAGCAGATAAAAAGCCTCAGAACTCAGCTAGCGATATAGTAGAAATTAACTAAATACCTAATTATATTTTGTTTGAGTAATTAGCTTTATTTCTAAGCAGATATCTGGTCAAAATATATAAATTTGGGAAGTATAATAAGTAATTTCTAAAGCCTTGGCTTGGGCGAGCAAGTAATGAGAATTTTCTTTTCATTTATCAAGAAAATTACATTAATTTATAGCTCCCACATAAGATTCAAGTAATTATTGTCTACATAATTATATTTAAGCTCAATTAATCATTATTCTTTTGTTGTTAAATTGCCCATATTTCATCCTTAAGAATTCCTACTATGAACATCTTGTCAATAGAATCAAAATTCCAAGAATTAGACAAAAAAGATAAGCATGCAAGACTATATTACAACCCAAAGGCAGCAAAAGGCTTTAAACATCAATATATCAGTGATATCCGTGCTGATTTCCAGCATGACACTCTTCTCTATGGTTTAGGGCTGTTTTGAAATCAAGAATTCGATAATGAAGGCCCAGCTACCGAAGAAAATATCCCTGAAGCTCCTCAAGAAGAGCCTTCAAAGCAAGTAAAAAAAGATTCTGAGCCAAAGCCAGACATTATCGCAAAGCGAAAAAATCAAAAATTGCTCGACATCCAAAAACCTTTAGCTAAAGATGACTACCAAGGCATTTTTTCTAATACAAAAGTATTAAATCACGATTATCTTTACAAAAGGCCTCAACTAGAAAACAGAACAGCTGGCTGAAAAACTACTGGTGACCAAGACATAACAGTTGTAAACAAAGCAGCCCAAGGAAGTATCAATAATCCTAACTCCCCCCCCCCCTCCGTGAGCGAACAAAACCATTAGAAAAATCGCCATTTTTTGACCAAAAACCCACCCTCCGTGAGTGAACAAAAATTTTTTTAATAGAAAAAATTTTAATGGAAAAAAATTTTGATATATAAGTGATAATTAGTATAATGAAATCTAGAGCTAATTCTGTTTAATTTAAACAAATTGCGTTTTAAAACATAAATTTTGCAAATTAAATTAATATTTGCTTCCCAATTTTTGCAAATTAGGATTTTTTTAAATTTCGAAAAAAAAATTTTTTTATAAAATTTATATATAAATTTTTTTTAAAAAAAAAAATTAACCCCCCTCCGTGAGCGAACAAAATTTTTTTGTTCGCTCACGGAGGGGGGGGGGGGAGTAAGAAAACCAGCATTGAAGATTTAAAATCAAAAATAGACAAATATCGATCAGATTACAAAGGTAAACCAAACAAAAAAATGCAAGAAGGGCTTACCCAAGACGAATTTAAAACAATGATGGACGACCATCAGCGTTTTTTGAAAGAAAATAAAGGAGCTGATAGAAATTTCCAGCTATCTCCTACCACATTAAGAAAACTAAATACTTCGAACAGCTTTATACAATCCAGAACTCCTGAGCCTGCATTTGAGCTAAAACTTTCTGCGATCGACTCTTATGAAGGTATCAGTGATCGAAATCTGTCTTTTATTGAGGGAAGCGAAAATAAAAGCTTTGAAAAGCCTTCAAGCTCTAATAACACTGATAGGCCATATAGAATTCAATCAATGAAGCCAATTACTATGGAAAGATTGAGTGAAAAAAGCCCAAAAAAAGGAAAAATTCAAATTCAGCTGCCACCAATAATAAAGAACCAAAAGCCAAGCAAAGCAAATTCTAATAAGCCAATTGCAAATCCTTTAACTCATGCGCTATATGCTTACAAGCAAAATTTAGATGCTTTCCATCCACATGCGTATCCAGCTAATTTAAGTATTTTTGAGACTCATGATTTTATAGAACAGCGATATTTCAGGTCTTATTTAAAAAATAAAAAAGCTGTAGAAGAGCCTGAAGTCTTATTAGGAGTTCACGGGAAGCCTGTGCTGATGTAGTTTTTATATAATTTACGTAATAATCATTATTATTTAAATTTCCCTACTGATTCATATACGTAATCTGGCGAATAATCGTATTTTGTATATGAATCCAAGGTCTCCACCCCTGTCAAGACTAAAACTGATTTTATTCCTGCATTTTTTGCTAATAAAATATCAGTCACCATTGTATCGCCAAAGAAAATAGATCTTTCCTTATTGATTCTATCCCTTTCAAATATATAATTTAATAAATAAGGGTCTGGCTTTCCAATGTTCACAAAATTTTTTGTCCCAGATGATGCTAAAACTGCATCAACAGTGCAAGCAGCACATGGCAATAGAAATTTTCCAAACTTATATTGAGTATCATAATTAGGGGAAGCCAGAACTGCTCCATTCTGTACATGAATTGAGGCGTAATAAATCATTTGATGGGTTAATGAGTCAGAATGTGAGACTATAGCAGCTTTTATTTCTGGGTCAATATTAAGCATTAGATTTTCATAATTTGGAGGATTCAATGACCTTGTATTGGTTACTCTGAATCCGAATTCTGTAAGTTCTTCATCGGGTGAGATCCGTAGCCCTGGGGTTACCGCTAGCTCGCGCGAGGATTGTCAGGCTGACCTCCATTTTGGTGGCGTGACCAGTGACGTCACCAGTTGGCTTAGTCCCTATTTATTAGGGAGCGGACACTAGAGACACCTTAAACACTAAGTAAATAAGTAAGTAGATAAGTAATTAAGTAAGTAAGTTCTTCATCTACACCATCTTCACCTATTGTCAAAACTTTGGAATTTCTTGGACAATAATTAGTTGCCCATTGCGCACTTGCATAAGCACCGTTTAAGATGTTTTCCTTTTTAGCTGTGATACCGTATTTTGCAAAAAATTCTATAATGTACTAAATATATTTTTAATTATTTTTTATCTGCCTGATATGTATATAAATAATTATATACAGCGGTAATGGCATACTTGTTTTTCTCTTGTTCTTCAAGAATTATTTGAGACAAAATAAATTTCTTTGCCTAAGTCACACAGCTTGTTGATAAATTCCACTGCTCCACGCAATGCTCGATGTCCATGAAAAAGTACTCCATCTACATCAAAGAAAAAGTAATCAAAATCATTTATCATCAAGAAAAATTTCTATTATATAACAAAAATTAATTAGCATTTTTACCACTCTACATTTATTAATACGGACATAATGTCAGAATAAATATAATCCAAAGTAGCTAAATTTTAGTAAGAAAATTCTTCAATATTTATTAAAAAGATTACCTTCGATAATCAGGCACAAAATTTGCCCTTCCATTGAGGACTTCTTTTTGCTCTTGTTTAAGCTCATTTAATCCATCATGGGCTGCAGATCTCGATTGTGCATATGTGAGCCCAAAAATATTATCAGCAGCTACCCTTCTGGAAACTCCTGTATATCCTGGAATAGGCTCTCCATGCTTTATAGGCTCTTCCTGCCGTTCTTTCCCAAAGAAAATTTCTGTATGAGTCTGAAAATCGTCTCCTTTATTTTCTTGCTGAAAATTATGCTTTTTTCCTTATATTGCTCAAAAAAAATACTTATATTCTTTATAAAGTAGCCCAAGGGGAAAGCTCTATAGCTTTACTGTCCCCAAAAAACGCATTTGTGGCTGCTTTGAATTCCCTGTCTCCATCTTCAATAGCCCAAAACTTGTTTTGGGTTTCGATAGGAATTACAACTGGCTCTTTGCCCTTTTTAGGCTGAACTCCTAATATTTCTGTTGCTGTTTTTTCTTTCACAGTATTTAAGTTTATAAATTGCTCTCTGTGAACTGACTTGTACTTGTCTTTTGGCTCTACGTCCAAACCTTTTGGAAATTCCCCTGCTAAGGACTTATGAGTGGTTTTCCCATAGGTTTCACCGAATAGATTTTCTGATTTTACGCTAGGGATGTAGCCTTGATAACCTGGGATGTGGCTTTGGTTCGCATTTCTACCGATGCCTTCTTCTTCATCTAATCCAGATGGGATATGTCCTGTATAGCCTGGTAAATGTTTGAACTGAGTCGTCATTTATATATAACTGTCGTTAAGCTAACTCCCCCCCCCCCCCTCCGTGAGCGAACAAAACCATTAGAAAAATCGCCATTTTTTGACCAAAAACCCACCCTCCGTGAGTGAACAAAAATTTTTTTAATAGAAAAAATTTTAATGGAAAAAAATTTTGATATATAAGTGATAATTAGTATAATGAAATCTAGAGCTAATTCTGTTTAATTTTAAACAAATTGCGTTTTTAAAACATAAATTTTGCAAATTAAATTAATATTTACTTCCCAATTTTTGCAAATTAGGATTTTTTTTAAATTTTCGAAAAAAAATATTTTTTTATAAAATTTATATATAAATTTTTTTTTTTTAAAAAAAAAAATTAACCCCCCTCCGTGAGCGAACAAAATTTTTTTGTTCGCTCACGGGAGGGGGGGGGGGAGTAAGGTAATTTTTGAGAAAATCATGAGGACTTTCTCAATAAAAACTAACAAATATAAGAATAAATTGAATTATATTAATAGCCTCTTTCACGGTCTGTCAAGAAAATAGAGCCAATGACTGAAGAAAACCACCCTCCCTGCTGCTCAGACTCCACTATAGGTTCTTCTAGAGCTTTTTCTTCAGTCTTATGCTTTATTCCAGTCGCCATTTCTTGTATGAGGTTTTGGAATTGTTCTTTGATTACTGCAATTTCTTCGTCTTTTTCTTTCAATCTTTTCTCAAGATCATATGATTTTGTTTCCAATAACAATTTTTCATAATAGGATTTTTGGTTTTCGAGGTTTGTGCGATTATCATTTTGGTTTTCTCTTATTTTATCGAATAAAGCTTCAATTTCTGCGTTGAGATTTGCTATTTTTTCATGTAAAATTTCTTTATCTTCTTCGAGTTCTTTAATCTTAGCTTCAAGCTCATATTTTTCGCTCTGCAGTGTGTCATTTTCTTCTTTGTTTATTTGTTTTTCAGAAAGATTGTTGATTTCTTCATAAGATTTTGAGAGTTCGTAGTCTTTTTGTTGAATTTGATATTGGAGATCTTCTATTTTTCCTTCTAATTCGTTTACTTTGTTATTTATTTCTCTTTTATGAGCTTTCTTCAGGGCTAATTTTTGTTCTAAGAGTGACATTTCTTGTTTCAATTTAGACTTTTCCTCAGACAAAGCTAATAAGTTTTGCTTGATTTCTTTATTTTCAGCTATTGATTTTCCGATTTCATTTTCTAATCGTTGCAATTGGCTTTTAAGCTGCACATTTTCATTGATTAAATGGTCATCATTTTTTTCTTTTTTATCTGAAAATTCTTGAATTTCTTGCTGTAGATTCATCTTATATCTCCTCTTTATTATTGAAGCATTTTAGTTGAAAAGATTTAATTTTTTTTTTAAAAATAAAAATTTGTAAATATTTAAAATGAAAAATTAGGAATAAAATTATGTTTAAGAATGCTAATATTTAAATATAATATATTTAGCTAGAGATTTCATTATTATAATGATTAAGTCATAAATAGAGATTTTACCAATGGTTTATCTCGCTAATTAGGGAGAGGAGTTAGCAATTTTTTCATTTTTAAGTTCTTGCTCTAACATAAGAATTCTTTGATTTTTGTCAAGCAAAATGTTTTTTATTTCATCTATTTCTGATTCCTTTTCTGATATACTGTTCTGCAGCTCTAATAAATAGTCTTCTTGGCTTGCAGTGTTTTCTTTATGTTCTTCAAACGCAGTGACTGTGTCTTCATAGTATTGCTTATTTTCAGATGCTTCAGTTTTATATATTTCAATTTCTATCTCAAATTTTTTTCTTTCATTTATAAGGATTTGTTCATAGTGGGCTTTAATATCTTCTAACTCCTTCCTATCAGAATTAATTTGGTTTGTTAATTTTTCTATTTCCCCTTCGTATTTTGATTGTATGCTAGCTAACTCTGCTTGATTATTTTCATTATTTCTTTGTATATAATCAGCTAAATTTTCATTTTTCAGCTGCAGATCAGAGTTTTCTTCAATTTTTGCATCAAGTTCACTTTCGAGGCCTTTTAATTCATCATGTAGCTCATCTTTTTCTTTTTGGATATTTTGTTTAAGAGTTTCAAGGTCTTTTTGATAATTTTCTATTTCAGTTTCATAAGAGATTATTTGACTTTGATAATTTCTTACTGTATCTGATTGGTTTTCTTGCAAATTCTTTAAGTTTTCTTCTTGTGTGCTATTTTGCGCTTCAAGAATATCTACTTTTTCTTCAAAAAGCTTTATTTCTGACTGCAATAATAGAATTCTTTCATCTCTATCTACTATACTTTGCTGGATTTCAATATAATCGACATTAATTTTTTGGTAATTTTGATTGAGTTTTTCATAATCTTCTTTTATATTTTTTAGCTCAAAAATTTCTTTATTTTTATCGTTAATTTGTGTCACAAGAATCTTGTTTTCTGAGGTTAATTTTTCTAGTTTTTCTGATAGATTATTTATTTTGTTTTCTAACTCATTTTTAGAGCTTTCAATGATTTCTAACTTCTCTCTCCCATTAGCTAGAGAGCAAAACCATTAGAAAAATCCTATTTCTGGAAAAATGAACTAATTCAAATGCATAATCTATATTTTTAACGATTTTGTTAATGATATCTCTAGCTAATTATAATAATTTTTATTTCTTAAAAAAATAAATTTTATAAATTAAATCTGATAATTTAAAATACATTATAATCTTAATATAATCCTTTGAATAAATTCTTTTTGCTTTCATAAGTGAAATGATTTTTAAAATGTCAAAAAAAAAATTTAAGATGTCATAACTCAATTTATATGCAATGACATGCTAAATTTTTTTTTGACATTCTAATAAAATTTTGAAAAAATTAACCTTCCTTGTTTAGCAAGCAGAAAAATTTAGTCTGCTAACCAAGGAAAGGAGTAAATTCAAATCTTTTTCATTTAGCTCTTTATCTTTTTGTGAAATTATTGAAATATAATTTTTATTTTCTTCATCTGATTTGCGTAATAAATCTGAAATTTGTTTATCTTTTAAGCTAATTTCACTTTCTAGCTCTGCCCTTTCTCTTTCTAATGAATTTATAGCATCTTTGAAATTTTTATTTTTCTTTTCACTTTCTTCAAATTTCTTTGAAATCTCATCAACTGCTTTTTGTAATTTTGTTTCCTTAATATTTGCCTCTGTCAGCTCTGCTGAATATTTTTTCTCTATAATTTTTGCTTCTTCTAAATTTTTTGAAACCTCATCAATGGTTTTTTGTAATTTATTTTCTCTCACACCTGCTTCAGCCAAATCAGCTAAATTTTTTTTCTCCATTATTTTTGCTTCTTCTAATTTTCTATTAACAATTTCATTTTCTTCCTTATAGCTAGCAATTTTATTTATATAATTTTTGATTTCTTCATGATAATTTTTTGTTGTGTTTTCAAATTCTGCCTTTTCTCTTTCTGCTTTTTCACTATTTTCATGTTCGATTAAGTGAATTTCGTTTTTAATGTTCTCAATATGCTCATTTGCTTCTCTTAACTCAATCTGCAGTTTATAAATCTGTTCCTTTTGTTTATGCCCTTCTCTCTTTTCTTCAATAAGATAGGTATGAAGCCTAAGTTTTTCCGTTTCTGCTTGCTGCAGTTGAGCTTGAAGTTCTATCATAGCATCCTCTTTAGGCTCACTCAGCATTTGCATTTTCAAGTTATGAATTTCGTCCTCTAGTGCTCTTCTATTAGCTTCTAAATTTTTAATTTGCGATAAGGCGTGCTCATAATCTTCTTCTGCTTGTCTCTGCTCAAAAATCGATTTTTTTAAGTCGACATCAGCCTTGCTTTTGGCTTTACTTAAAATTCCGATTTTCATTTCTTGCTCCTCTACAATCCCCTTTAGCCTTTCTAACTCTTCATTGTTTTCTCGGCATTGGTCTTTGAACTGTTTTATTTGATTTCTATTAGAAGAAATAGTTTGCTGCAGTCTTTGTCTCTCTTCGTTAAAATACTGCTTATCAAGCTCTTGCTCATGCCTAAATCTGTCAAGTTGTTTTAATAATGCTGATTTTTGAATATCAAGTTCTTGTATTGTTTCTCTAAATTCTGCTAATTCTAAGTCTTTTGTGCCAATATAAGATTGCAAAGAAAGTTTTTCATTTTCTAACTTTGCTGCTTGAAGCTGAAGATCACATGTATCAGCTTCTGATGGATTTCCTACGCTAGCTGACCTCAAAATTGTATTTTCATGGTTAACTGAAATTAATGCTTTCTGCATATTTATTATTTCTTCTTTTAAAGCAGCTCTGCTTTCTGCTTCAATTTTAAGGTCCCATTCCAGTTCTTGAATTTTTAATTCATTTTTAGCTCTCAGGTCATTTAAATAAGAAACCTGCTTATAAAGCTCTTCGTTTACTTCTTTCAGCTCTTCAATTTGATCTTCGCTTTGCTGGGTAAGCTGTCTTAAGGCTGCTTTAAGTTCTGTATTCGTTTCATTAGCTTTAATCTCTTCAAGTTTACTATTTTTTTGAGTTTCCTCTGGTTGAGGAATCTCAAAGCTTTCGGCTTCTTTATATTCAACTGGATTATTTTCATTTTTATTTTCATTAAAAGCTGCTTCTACATGAATTAGCTCTTCTTCACCAATAGATACTGCTTCTTTAATTGGCTCTATCATAGAATCATCTTTTATTGGCTCAATTTTGTCTTCTTCTTCTTCTAGATTTTCATAATTTTCATTAAAAGCGATTGCTGAGCTTTCTTCGTCTTTTTTTCTGAATTCTTCTATAGGCTCTTCAATATTAGCTGGCTTATAATTCATTTCACTATATGAAGATTGTCCTAGAGTGTCGACATAATTAGACCTTTTCCTTGGCTCTGCTGGTTTTGTGAATTCTTTGGGTGGGAGCAATATTTCTTCCTCTTTTGCGTCCTCTTGGCCTTCTATTACCCACTTTTTTTTAACTTTATCATAGTAAAATCCACCAGAATTCCCCAATTTCATTTCTTTGGGTGGAGGATCGGTAGATGCAGATTTTGATGAAAAAATTCCTTTGATTTTGGCTCCAAAAGATTTGGGTTGATTCTCAGGGGGAGGAGGAGGAGTTTTTTTGATTGCTCTGATGGTTTGATGAAGCGCATTTCGGCGCTCAATCTTTGGTAGGTGAAAACTTGCGAAGTTTGGGATATACTCAAATTCTTGATCAGATTCTAAAGAGCGTGCGGTTGACCGACAAGAACTCATAGCTGGTGACACTAGTGGCATAGCAAGATTTAATTGCGACTCTTCGACAATTTCTTCTTTTTCTGGTGTTTCTAAGTCTTTTCTTATTCTTACAGATCTGAGTTTTTGCTGTGGTTTTGAATTCATATTTTTATTGATCTTTATTGAAGGTTTATTACTTTCTAATGCTTCTGTCAAAATTTCGATGCTTTTTGGCTTGAAATTTGCTACTTCTGCTGTTGCAAACTCTTTTAACTGATCAAACTGCTCTTTGACTAATTCTGAGATTTTTTTCTGGTCATCTTTCAACTCTTCGATTTTCCCTTCTAAAACCCTTTTCATATTCATCTTTTTATTAAGAAATTCATATTTGCTATTATTTCCTTGGCATCCCAGCTGTGATTGTCTATGAATTTCATTATGAACGATAACTTGTGAAGATTTTTCTGCAGATTCTATTTTTGTTTGAATTTCTGCTTCAGATTTTGGTGTTTGAATTTGAGTATTTTTATCAGTTAAAATTTTTATCTCAGTTTGGCTAAAATTTTCTTTATTTGAAATTATTGAAGCTGCTTGAATTTCTTTTTCAGCCTGAAGTTTTATGAATTTTTGATGACTAAGAGCTTCCATTTTTAGCTCTTCTATACATTGAGTGCCTTTTTCAGTGGCTTTTGGACGCACTTGGATGGACTTTTCTTTCAGGTTGAAAATAGAAAAGTCTGTTTGTGACTTAGATTTTGAGCTGGAAACTTCTGTTTGGGTAAAACTCGATTCTGAGGGGCTACAATTTTGGGTAGATGAATCAACTCCTTTTACACGAATTTGGGATGCTACACTCGCTTGGGATACTTGTGTTTGGATTTCTTCATCTAATAGCTTTTTATATGCAATTTCTATTGTTTGGATTTCTTTGCTTACTAAGTCTTCCACATTGAATCCTCTTCTACTGGCGACTCTCAAATACATTTTTTCCAGCTTTGAAATCTTGAAGCCTCTTTGCTCATATTTTTCCGTCATTAATTCAAGCTCATTGAGTAGTGAATTTTTCTCTTCCATCAGCTTAGCAACCACAGTGTTTGGGTCTATCTCTAATTCCATTCGATATTAATCAATAATAAAGATTAAATATTTCTTCTAAATTTTAAATAATTCATATAAAAGCATTGACAAAATACATAGAAAAAATATTTTTTATAAATGTCTTGCATAAGAAGACTATCGACAATAGGGAAAAGATATTTCTCTAAAAACTGGAATTATAATCAATTTGTCGATGAAGTCTTCAAAAATGATCTTTTTTTACAAGTAATTTTCCCTCAAAGAGATGAGTATGCGGAGGAAATTAGCATAAAAAATTTCACAGACAAAATCATTGACTCAGCATTTATAAGACCACCAAAATTGGAGCATGAGCTTGAAAGAATTGTCAGGACTGAAGGAATATATAAATCTGAAGAATTTGCCAAGCTTAATAATGACGATTTCATACAAAAAATTCTTAAACCTTCTCCCGAAGCTGTGGCCAGATTTCAAGCTTATCGTCCTCCATCTCAAGATGATTTTCTTCTGCAAAAAGGAAAAGAAGCAGGGGTTAAATTTATCACAGGCTCCTCCAGTATAACTTCAGCAATGCAGCAGATTTACTATACAATCTCCAATTTCAAGTCTCCAGATGTGACTGGCTTAGCAAAAAATTACGATAACCAGAATATGAACTATATGTCTGCCTATAGGAAGCCTACAACTTTAATGCTAAGAAAAGTGGATCAAAATTTATATGCCATTGATGGAGATCATGGACCTTTACCCACTTCCAATGAAGCTTTGACCACAATGGGGATTGTGTTGGAGACTATGTTTACTACTGAAAAAGAATTATTTAAAAGAGTTATGGACCCAACCGTAGAAATCTCAAAAGAAGACATGGAAATTTTACATTCATCCAGCAGGTCTTACAGATATAGGCAGCTAGGGAATATTTTAGTACGTTCACAGATTGATTGTGAGTCAGTCTCAGAAACTGGCGAATATTTTGTATTTGAAATAAAGACCCGAGCATGTGCTCCTATCAGATATGATGTCAAAAATTGGGAAAATTATTTAGACTATAAAATTGAAACACGAACAGGAGTCCATTCTTCATATGAAAGAGAATATTTTGATTTATGCAGAAGCATTCTATTAAAATACTTTTTCCAAATAAAAATGGGGAGAATGGACGGAGCGTTTGTAGCGTATCATAACTTGCAAGAGCTGTTTGGATATGAGTATATGAGGCTTGAAGAAATGGAAAAAAGGCTTTTTGGGGGGAGTGATTTTGCTGACCAAATATTGAAAAGCTGTGCATGCATTCTTCAAGATGCACTGCAAGATGCTATTGCTTTGTTTCCAAATGATCCAATGCTTAAAATCGGTTTTTATGCTATGTATAGGTCAGATGAACTTTTTATTACTATTGAAAGATTTGATGAAATGGAGCAATGGAATGACCATACTAAACAAATTGAAGGAATCGAAGATGAGCTTGACTATTATGAAGCCTTTCACCCAGGAAAAACTGCTTATACGCTTGGCCGACGATTTTACCCTCACATTAATGGAATACTCCAAAAAGAGCCGCTTTTCTTGGAGCCTGGTGACAAATTTTCCATAAAGCAAATAAAATACACCAAAGGCACCATGGCCTATAATGAATATATGTACTTCTTGCATTCAGCATATAAAATTGATACTCTAGCCCATCATAAAGACTTTGCTGGGTTGTGGAAGAAATTTAACGATTTTCACATCTACAGGAAACCTTTATATAGGGAATCAAGCTAAATATTAATAATAGACAAATTATGTTTTAGGAGAAAATAGGGAGTTTGAAAAAGATCTTCGGCTTGGCCCAAGGATGTTGCACCTTAATAATTTCGCTTTAATTGCACTCATTTCTTCAGGAGGCTTTGAAGCTTTTATTTTTTCTGTTTTTTGAGGCTTGTCAAAATGGATAAAGCCTTGTAGCGATGAGTTAGGAGATAATGCTTTTGCATATGAGTAGCCACTTAAGTCAAAAGATGAAAATCTGTGTCTTGTTTCTTGTCGTGAAATCTGTAAATTATCTTCGAATTTTGAGAGTTGATCACTCATTAAAGAATTTAGTGATGATTTTCTACGCAGAAAAGAGCTCGCTGGCTTCGGGGAAATCATATAGCTGCCATCCTCTGTATTTTCGTAGTAAATTGTAGCTGTTGAGCTTTTAAATGGTTTTAAAAAGCAATTAGATCTATGGACTGTTGGTTTAACATCATCGTCTTCAGAAAGAGATGGCTGGTTGTTTTTTCTTATTGACAATAATAGAGTAGAATTGCTTTGAATGTCTTTTAAGTCCTTAACGATTTTTTCTCTATGAAGTTCTTTTATTTTATTATAGTCCATAAATTGGTTTAATGCGTCTTCTGATCGTATCCTGCGCTTGAATTCTAGCTTAGATATAGAGAGCATTTCCACAGTTTCTGAATAGCACTTACAGCTAGTAAGTCTATTTGTGCCTTTAATAATTTCTTCGTGGCCAACAAACTCTCCTTTGCTTTTTATTGCAAGTCTTGCTTGCTGGAACTTGCTTTTTTTCTTTATAAATTTAGGTCTTCCATATTGATTTGATTTTGTGTCCATTATAGGCAACTCTATGCTTACTTTTCTATAGAGTTCTACTTCTCCTTTTGTAATTATATACACATCTTTTGGCGAATCATTTTCTCTATAAATCACTTGGTTTCTCTTAAAAGAAATCGGAGTAAAATAATAACTTAGCTTTACAAGCTCTCTTTTTGCCCATTTTGAAAACACCGGCAAAGAGCCTAAAAACTCAATTAAATCATCCAGCTTTGTAGTGGAATTTTCTCCTAAAATACGTAAATAGTCATGTTTTTCTAAAATCGCAAAATGAGTATTTGTATCACAAATAATAGTAGCTGCACGCGGTTGACTTTTTAGTAACGCAAGCTCTCCAAAAGAGCAGCCAGCTTCTAGTGTAGAGACTTGCATTAGCTGAGTCTCTTCTTCAGAAATAACAGTTGGGACGAGAACTTTTACAGTTCCATTAAGAATAACATAAAATAAGTCGCCTTGGTCGCCAACATTGAAAACAACATCATTCTTGTTTTTAAATAAATAATGCATGTATTGACAGCATGATCTGTGAGCACTTTCATTTATTTCGTTTCTTATTCTAATAAAGAAAGGGACGTCTTGAGTTATTGTTACAAGAGTTTTCAAAAAATTCGAGGACCTGCTTGTGGGAGAAGTATTTAGAATTGTTATAACTTTCATCAGTGAAGGAGAAATTCCAAGGGCAGTTTTAGAGAATGATGCGAAAAGAGGGGTGATTGGGGTTAATTGATCTTTTATGTTAGGTGTATTTTGAGATGATGATCTGCTATGAGACATTTTTTAATAAATTTTAAGGATGATTAAATTTAAACGCCATACGAAAATCTGTAATTCTTTACAAATTTTAAATTATTAATTAAAAAAGTATTTATCAAGTAAGAGAGTTTTTTAAAAGTTCTTGGATGCCGAACAATATTGCAGGTCTGTTTGCTACTGTGGAGAAATACCCAAAATCTGTATAAGTTATCGAAGTAGCGTCGCTGCTAGCGAATATAAAAGTAGTTTGCTATTATGGAATGATACCACCACATGCAATAAAGTATAAATAAAATTCAATTATTATTTAGTGCAATTATGCAATTTTATTTGATTGAAAGCTATATGTGAGGAGAAATCTATGAAAGCGAAATCGGAAGTTACATGAATTGGAGACTAGCAGGAAGAGAACCAACAATATATTGCTGAGATTCACAAGTGTATTATTCATATACAGAATTAACTTCATGTTTAAATTGAAATAAAATATTATACTAATCTAGTTTCATGCTACGTTAAAGAACTTTTAAATCAATTTTTATTTATATTATTAATAAATTATTTGCCATTTATAATGATCAAATAACATATAGAAATTTATATTTTAACTATAGCTTCAGTAATTTGATTTTATTTCGGAATTTCTACTGGCTCATCATAAATATTTAATTTTTTTCTTGCTATTGCTGGGCCTCCTCCATATATTGTATAATAAGCTTGCCATACTTTTTCATTAACTCCTCGATAATGAGCTACTGGCTTCAGCTTCAACTTAAGTTGTTGCATTGTAGCAGGGTCTAAAAATAACGAATCATTCGAAATTTTTCCTGGTGGGAGCGTCCCTATCTCTTTATTGGGTGAATTTTGTGCCATATTCGGTGATGGTTTATTAAAAATAAAACTTTTCCATTCAGCTATTCACTCCGCATTAATTATATACCAAACTCCTGTATTTCCCGACTCATTGTCCAGCTCGCTTATCATCTCTAATTCAGTATTCCTCCTCAATTGAATTTCGTTTAATTCTTTCTCAGTCACATTATTTGGATTTTTCAAAAAATTAGGATAAGTCTCAATTTTTCTGAAGCTTTTACAGTTGAAACACTGAATTTCTCCATCGATATTTTTGCTATTGCAGGAGTGACAATCCCAATTTTCGCTTTGTTTTTCTTCTACATGGATTTCATATGACTGTGCTATTACATCTTTTAGGGATTCATAACAAGCTCTGTTGATACTTAGTGTCAAAATGTTTATATCTGGAGATATTTCTGGGCTTGGGATAGAAATTTCAGCTAAAATTTTTGGGATTTCTTCAGCCCAGCTCACTATTTGTTCATCTTTTAAAGATTCTAAATCTAGTAAACGAGCTTCAAATTCTCTTAAACTTCCTTGGATGGTTTCCAATGAAGTTAGTTTAAATTCTGCTTCTTCTTGCTGTTGCTGTAGCATTTGATTTAAGTTGGTTTTGGCGTCATTATAAATTTTCTGAAGGCTTTTTTTGAGCATCTGGAAGTGCTCTTCTAGTTTTTCTATAGATTTTTGGCTTTCATCACTCCCAAGCCTGCCTAAATTCATCTTCATCCTATTTAAATCACTCTTTTTCTTTGTTATATTAGTCAATGCTTCTTCTAAAGAATCTCTCATAAAATTCACTATTTCAGGAAGAGGCTTAATTATTAAACCGAGGTCGGCAATTTCCTCTAAACCCTCTCCGTGAGAGAATAAGACATTGAAATAATCATTATTTTTTGAGTTAAAACCCGCCATTCTTGAGGGGAATAACAAATTTTTTATGTAGATGATAATTAGTATAATGAATATCTAGCTAATTCTGTTGAATTTTAAATATTTTGCATTTTTAAGTATAAATTTTACAATTAAATTAATTTTAGCTTTTTCGCAAATTGGATTTTTTTAATAATTTCGGAAAAAAAAATTACTATAAAATTATATATAAAAAAAACCCGGTGAGTAAGCATTCATCACATAGCAAGCTATACGGTTTTTCTGTATAGGAATGGATAGGCAGATCATGCTCTTCGCAATGTTGACCAAATGTGATCTCATGAGCAAAGGTTTTTACTTTTCTAGCAGGGCTAAATCCTGGATTAATTGAAGGTCTAGAGCAGACCAAGCTTAGAAGAGAAAAGTTTTTAGGCATAGTGTTTATACATTTGTTTGCATACGAAATATCTGTATCATTGTATTGCCTTTCAATTGTAAACACATTGGGACTATTGCAGGTCGGACAAATTAGTTGAGATATTGAAAATAATCGATGAGCGCAAGGATCGCAAAGAGAATGTCCACAATTAAGAATTCTAGGAATAATTTCTTCTGAATTCCAGGTATTTAAGCATTCAGGGCACTCCATATTAAATCTTTAGATATATCTGATTAAAGATTAATTGAATTTTCTTTGATTTGCACATTTCATGTAATTGAATTTTTGCATTGAATTAGGAGATATTTAAGTTAACTTTTTTAGAAAAATTATATTGAAATTTTTCAGGATTTAAACTTTATTTCTTTATAGCTGTCTATTTTGATAGAAAATAATTTTTTCAGGTAATTTAAACTATCTAGAATCAATATAGTTCAATTAACCATTTAGATGGTCCTGGGCTGGGAGAATCTAGGCAGCTACCCAAGTTGGTTCTCCAACTCAAGTTGACAAATGAACTCTGGAAGTCGACAAATAAGCCCAATACAAAGATATTTGTCAGCTCTCCAAGTTGGTTCTTCAGCCTAATTTGGAGAGCCAACTCGGGTGCTCAGCATTTTCCCAGCCCAAAACCATCTAAATGGATTCCAGGGCTATATAACTTACCAAAATTGTTTAAGGTTTTTTCATATTTTACGTCATTACCACTAATTATTGAATTTATGGAAAATATAAGGCTTCCCAAAGCATTATAATATGGATCACAAAAAAGGGGTTTATTTGCTTACCCTATGCGTTTTCATCCTTTCTTACGATGCTCTCCTTATTGCTTATCTCTTTTATACTAAATTCAACGAAACAATTATCCAGATTTTTGGATTTTTATTTTTCCTGTTAAGCCTCCTGATAAACCCTATAATCCTAGTAATCTTTGCCAAGCAAACAACACAGCTTTCAGTATGTCGCTTTAACGCAAGGCTCATTATTTTTGTCCCAGCAGCAATTTTTTTGGCAAACACATTTTTAGTCTTCATCCCTGCAATTCTAAAAAAATTAATGCGTGTTGTGGGTGTTACTGATACCAGAATAATTGCTTATACAGCAGCTGTTATATTTATTGGAAAAATAGCTACTACTGGATTATTAGATTATTCTTTTCCAATATGTCTTGCTCATATTGTATATATATTATAGTTAGATTTGTGAGACTTAACTAAGACGAAAATTTTATTTTGTCAAACTCTTATTATTGGGAACAACATTGCTTCAGCTGATTCATTAGAATATTTTGATTTTGCATTTATAGCTGGAGATATATTGGTCACTCTCCTTCTCTGCATTTTTGTATGCTGCTTTGGCAAGGATTCCATAAAATCTTGTATGGGACGCTATTTCTCATCTCTAGACTTAGAACAATCACTATTATACTTATTTACAAAGGATAGCACACTAAGGAGCATTTTTTGGTTGGCCGGACAATAGCTGGCTTGCCAAATTCATTGGCATGACATATTTTCTGGCTAACCAAATTTAAGAATGGAGAACCAAAAAATGCTCCTTGGGCTCTTGGCAAATAGGTATAGAACCTATTGAAGTTCAGTTTTCTGATAAAATCAAGCAGGAATCTTGTGCTATTTGCTTAGAACGCTTCACTTATGGTGAAATTCTCTCAAATCTACCCACTTGTGAGCATTCTTTTCACAAAAATTGCTTAAATCGGTGGATGGAATATAAGAAGGCATGTCCTCTTTGCAGAAGTGAAGGGTAACTGCAATGATAAATTAATTAACAAATTTTAATTTATTTTGTTGATAAAAGCTTGCTTAATTTTTTATAATATCTTGAAATTAATATCTTGTGCTGCTGAGATTCGCTGTTTTCTATTTTATTTTCAGTTAGTTTTGGAGATAGTCCATGATATTTCCTGGCACTGATAGACTTTGGACTAGTTCTATGCATCATTTTTGGAAAATAAAAATTTGACTAGATAGGTTTTACCACATAAGGAGCTAGTGATGGATTTGCTTTTGGACTTTGAGTATCAGAATTAAATGCAAAACAAGAGCTTGATTTGCTGGCAATAGATCCTTTAGGAGAGCAGTTCGCAGATGCAGGCTTTATTGGGTTTTTATTTGAATTCCTTGGGGTTACTAAACAACTATTTGGATTTTTAGCAGTTATCTTAGACTTTTGTACTAATTTTCCTTCTTCAATTTCGTTGGGCTCTTTTTCATTCCATGTGATGTCAATAATTTCTTCAAGAATAGTTTTTAAGGAGGATTTAACAGATTCTGATGAATTGATTTTTTTCATTTTCCTCAAAATTGCCTGAATTTCTACGAAGTGTGCTTCATATTCTTGGTTTTCTATTATTTTTTCAACATTTTCATGCAAGTTCAGCTCTTGTACAACTTGTTCATTTCAGCTTGACATTTTATATTAAATCATTATATGCTTGCTTGCTACTTATACTCTAAAACGCAATAATTTATAAAGGATTTGGCATATAATCTCATATATCTTATCTATTAACTCTAATTATCTAATGAGTAAAAAAGTTCCCCAAATCGTTTCGTGCAAAGCCTGGGTTGGTCTCTCTTATATGATAATCATTCATAACAAATGGGAGTCTTCTGCTCTGATGGGAAACTAGTCTTGGGTATGATTCATCGCTTCTGAGCTTTGTTGTCTTTGCCAAGCCTATCAGTTCTTGTTTTTTTCTTGGGTCAATATTAGAAAATTTGCTTGCCATGGTCGATAGCATAAGCTCTTGCCTTGACTGTCGTCTTCTTAAAAAGCCAGTCGTTTGAGCTCTGGCTGGTGGCTTGATTGGTGTCTCATCTCTATTAGGGCTGCATTGATACCTGAAAACATTGAAATGGGTTGTATTGTAGAGAACTTTATCATTTGTGGTCCCTATGTCATCATAGAAAATTTCCTTGGAGCGGGAATAGTTGACATAAGGCTGCTTTTTAAAATAAGAGTAAGCTTTTAAGTCGTCGAGGCTTTTTTGGCTATTCATTTTATATAAAATTTTGAAGACTATATGTAACTGTTTAAAATTATTATAATTTACTTGACTGAAAATAGACAGGAGGGTAAATTCCCTCATATTTTAGGCTAAATCAAGATTTATTTATTAGAAAACGATTAAATCCTCTAAAAAGAGTTAATTAGGCTCTGTGACAGTTAAAGCAAACTCTTTTTCTTCTATAATAGGTTTCCATGGTGAGACTTCTTGGAATTTCCAATTAATTACAAAAGAAACACCTGACAAGCAGGTTAAAATCCAAAACATTGCTTGATAGCCTAAAGAAGGCACGATATAAAGTTGAGTTAAAAATATCACAATCGTCGCAAAGCCAAAACTGAAAAAAAATATTCCAAAAATTTTGGCTCCCATACTAAATATCCATTACTTTCTACCAAAAAGCTTCGCCATAACAGTAGGGAATAAGGAAAAATGGCCGCCTTCACACATCATAATTACACAAATTCAGATAAAAAACAATGCTTCAACTGAGCTTATATATTCTATATTTTATTAAGCACAATCAATTATATAGTTTTCTTTAATTTAAATTAGCATAATGGTCTTATACTATTAAGGTTTAAACCAATCATATGCCGAATAATATAGTGTTGCCATCATAATGATTTGGATTACTAACAAAATTCCATATGCTAACCTAAAGTTTGATCTGTCCATCAAATATGCTCATATATATCGAAAACTTCCATTGAATACTGAACTAACTGACCCTACAATTGACAAAAAATCGTCATCACCGATTTTTTCATTTCCAAAACTTTTATATGATCCCGCTACATAATATCCCGAAGCTAGATCTAAAATTACCGGTAGAGCATATGCTTGCTATAAAAAGCATTATAAATTTGTGTGACTTTATTCCTTCTTTTACATTTGGACATGAATAATCGTCCTTTTCAGCCTTATTTTGTTTTATTATAGGTGCAAGCAATAAAATTCCAACGACGCTCATAATTAAATAGCAAAGAGAAAGTCACCTGAGCATAGCAGGAACTCCATCAGCAATGCTGCTATCAAAATAATGGTTTGTTGTTCCATCATCTTTAACTTTTATATTAGCTTTTTCGTTGTTTGGGTTTACTATTTTCGTAGCAATTTGATTATAAATTGCTGCTCCCAACCCAAAACCTCCAACTATGACTCCACTTACCTTTCCTTTTGAATTAGGGAAGTGACTCCAGCCTATAATTAGAGGAGTTGTATATGACAACCCGCAGCCTAGGCCAAACATAAACCCATATGTAATGCTGAAGCTTACTAAGTCTTTGCAAAATGAGCTTGCAAATATCCCGAGTACCAAAAGAGAATTTCCAATTATTATAGATCTGAATAATATTTACATATAAGGAGAATATTGTTGGGCAATTCAGGAGCCAAGGAAATTTGTCATAGTGCTTGCAGTCACTTGTAAAGTAAATAAAATATTGATGTCCTGGATGGTAACAGAATGTTCGTGCTCCCTTAAATAAGATGCTATGTATCCACTAATATTCCCAGTAATATATAAAGTCCCTAACACCTACCTAGCATCTACCAAGTGAATAAGAAAAGACCCTAGTAATAATAATAAATTTAGTTTACAGCTGCTTAAAAGCTCAAATTTTTCTTGAAATAATTAAAAGACCCTAGTAAAGATAATATTTTCCTTTTTCTATCCATCTTTTTAATATATAAAAAATCATACTTATTTATTCAACAGTGAAATTTATTTTTAGAATCCTGGATGCACTCTTAAAAATATAGGGAATCTTGGCTTTCCTTTATTGCTGACTTCTTGGTATTTATAAGTAACTCTTGATCCGATTTTTGGAGGCCTTCTTCTTTGTTCATCAGTAAACCCTGATCCGATTTTGAAATTTACCCCATTGTCTCCTACAACTTCTAAGGCTCCCATAAGATTAGCCAGTCTTCCTGTGCCTTTTTGATGGCCTGTAACAGTGGCTTCTGCATCAAAAAATGTTTTTACTTTGAGTAGTGTATCAGATCTTCTATGCTCATACATGCTACCAGGTTTTCTGAGCATTAAACCTTCACCTCCAAGGTCTTGGACTCGTTGTAGCTCTCTTTCCATATGTTCTTTGCTTTCACACCTATAATGCTCATGTGCTCTCACATATGGTGATTGCAATTTCGCAGCTAAGTTGTGAAGATAGTTCAATCTGTCTTCGAATGGTGCTTTTAAAGATGGGGCATCAAACAGGACATATACAATTTTTGCCCACTCATTCATATCATATTTTTGAGCATCTTGCCTTTTAATTATTCCGACACATTCTGAAAACTGCTTTCGGCCCATTCACAGCTCTCCATCTAAGCTGACAGTTTTTGGTAATTTTTCAATAAAAAACTTGGGTGCAAAAAATGGGTTTCCGTTTCTTGACTGAAGACGGCTACCATTCCAATAGCATCTAACACCATCTAGTTTTTCACTCATAATTCAGCCTGTTGGATCTATACTATCATCCCAGGTTTGGGCTAATAAAACTTGAATTTTATCTGCAGGCTTTCCTTTTCCTCTTTCTATTACATATCTTGGATCTATTCTTATAAGGTCGTTTCCTTCGATTTTTCTCTGTTTTACTTTTTCTTCTTCATCATATGGCAGAATAGCACTTCCTGTAAGCGCTGGGACTCACTCACCATTTTGAATACTCCCAAGGATTTTTTGACGTATTTTTTTAGGAATTCCTAATTCTTGGAGATCATTCTCGTTCATCGTCAAAACTTGATCAGGATGAATCCCTCTTGTTTCAAAATTCAGCACATACCTTCCTAAATTAATAGAATCCATCATGCTTTGTATGGTTGTATAGGGGTTAATTTTTTCTCTGCTCCTTTTCACTGGGAGATTTTCTAACATTTGTGTCTGATTTAAGTCCATTTCATTTTCCTCGTCAGTTTTTTCTAAAATTTCTTCTTCAGTTTCTGCTAACACCTCGGTATGCTGACTTGTATTGAGGTCTTCGTCTTTTATATCAGGTTTTTCAAAGATAAAACTGGTTAAAACACCGTTTTCTTCGTCTTCTACTATTTGATGCTGATGCATAGAAGATAAAAGAAGGGCTTGTGAGACAGGAAAGGCATGATCGTCTATTTCTACTGCTCCACTTCTACGTAAAAAGCCAGGCTGCGATTTAGGAGCGTCAAGGCTATGGGTTTCTTCTTCATCTTCACTGATTTCTAGTGTGCATTGCTTATCTAATTCGCTTAAAAATCCTCCTTCTTTTTTATTGCCTTCCTCTGAGCAGATAGACATGGTTTTAATTAAATCGCTTTTGTTGAAATCAAAGGTAAACTTTGGAGAGTTTCTCTTGTACCCAGTTGCAAGCATTTTTCTAATCATTTCTTTTGCTTTAGCAAGAGCAGTTTGGTGGTCTTTATAAGTGTAAATTGAAGTTTCAGGTGGGCCGGCTCTTGACCCTTTTTCAGTTTTTACTCTTTCTTCGTGCACTTGGATTTTTATAAACTCAGGTCCTTTTTCTAACCTTTTTATGCGTAAAAAAAAAAAAAAGAAAACTATTTATCAATATTTTTGAATTTCTTTTAAAAAGATTAAGTAATCACCAAGAAATTCATCAACCACAGCAATTTCTGGGGCTTGCTTGAATGCATATCCTTTCGATCTTTTTGAAGTTATCATATCTTTACCTTTTAGCAATGCTTTATCTATTGAATTAAATCGTTTTCATGATGTTTCTATATCTTCCTCTTTTCCACCTGATATTTTTCCAGTTCTAATATGATTTGTTTGATTTTCATTTCTAATTTCCCAAAATTTCCCATCAGAGTTTTGCATGTAAATTTTTGAGTTAATTCCGAAATCAATAGAATCCATTTTATAAACGATTTAGGTGAGGGAAAACTTGCATATCTATATTAATTAGTCTAGACATAGATTACTTAATTTAATTTTCTTCCAGTTAAGCCTCTAGATATGCAGGACCATAAGGTCCCTTTTTCTTAGGCTTGATCGCTCCCTTGATTGTATGCACGACCTACCGACAAAGTTCGCCTCTTATAGCCTCCATGAAATCATTTGAAGGCCCAGAAGTACTGGGACCATTGCGACTTGGCGATTCGCCTCACTCTATCTGACTTTCCTCCAGTGCCTGTTCGGCCTAAGGGTTCTGTCTTTATTGGAATGAGGTAAAACACTTTCTTGTAAGATAAAAATCTTTGTCATTTCTTCCCTATCAGACAGAAGTGCTCATGTACCATAATAAAAGTTGGCTGAGTGAGAGGAAATTTGCGGAGTGTAATCTCCTCTCATCTGAAACCATTTTATTATAATGCATATCTATATTCACAAATTTAAAGTTTTGAATACTTAAGAAGATAATAAAGTTTTATGATATAATCTAGGATTTATATATATAAAAAAGACGATTGTCAATAAAAGTAATATGCATTAAAATGGAGTGGAGAATCACCCCACCCTCTTAGCACCTGTAGCTGGGGAGACCCAAGGACCTTGAGTAAGGAGGATGACGCTCTGTCTGTATGTGTATCCGGCAAGGTTTTACTTGGTTTGATGGAAGCAATGTCCGATTTGCGGACCGTAAGCTCAGGTCAAGATTTTAAATAGGAGGGAAGATGGAGTTCGGAGTTGGAAAGGGACCACAGTACTAGTGAGGTTCCTCTTGATCGATCGGGAACGCTCCCCAGCGCGATAACAGGCGTTGCGTCCTGGGCTATGAATTTCTATCTTTGCCGACAGATGACCCAGAAATTCGTTTTTTCGAATTTTCTGGAAACCATCCAGCTGATGTATGGCATAGTGACCCAGAGCCTCTAACTCACGGGTAGCAAGTGCAAGCCCCCATTCGTGAGGAGTCACACAGTGAGAGGCGTTCTCGAACTGTCAAGCAAGCAGTAGAGCGTACAGAGGTGAAATTGGTTTGATTTTGAGTCTACCCATAGGCTTTCAATAATCTTAATTAAGTTTAAATTTAAGTCTATAAAAAGTAGAGAGAATATATGACACTGTCCTATCTGTTTAGCTGAGTAGGCTGATATCATAAGGCTCACTATATTTAGTTAAAATAATTGAGCTAAATTATCTTTAAATTAAGCTGAAAGTCTGCACAACTGGGTATGATGAATTCTTTTCTTCTTTCTCCATGCTCAACAGCTCAATACTTGCAAGGTTTACTTTTATATCAAATACAAAATTCCTCGCCAATACATCAGAAATATCCATTTTCTGGTTGTTTTCAGACTTTGCCAAAGTCAAATGTTGAGCTTTCTGCACGCTTCCTCCTACTAATTTAGCGTTCTGTTTTTTTAGGTCTTCTTGGCTGATAATTCCTCCATCCATAAGGGTTTTCACAAGCGCAGTGTTCATTTGATTCATCTTATCTGTTTCTGCATCTTGTTTAAGTTCTAAAGTAAGCACATTCGCAGCAGTTGGCTTTCCAAAGAAGCCAACTTTATCAAATGTAAGGCTAAGTGGAGATCCTTGAAGGCTTCGTTTTATAGAGTCTAAATTATTGTTAACAAGGCTTACTGTTTGGTCAGTTGATTCTAAATTCATCAATGCAAGCGTCAAGTGGAATTTGTTAGGGGTGTTTATTCAATCGTTCTTAAAGTTACCAATTCGGCATGTGAGGATTTCTTGTTGTGCTTTAGCTATGTTTGGATCGTTCTCCATGCTCAAAGCGAAGAAATGGGTGAATTTCTTCTGTTTTTTGCCAGATCCCCACGATTTCATAGCTTTTTGGTCAGTTTTTACTAATTTAATAAAATTCGCATACCCTTCCTTGACTTGATCCTTCGTATATCCAATAATTTCTAAAACTTTTGTGTTTTTATTGATCAAAAACTCGACGTTATTTCTCATTTTTGATTTTAAATTTTTTATATTTTGCCCTTTATTTGCTAACAAAAGAGTGATGCATGGCTGAGGCAGATCTTTTACATTGGTTTTATAGCCTTGCCACTTATTATCCCAGTTCATCTGTAATTCAGGGTATTCTTCAATTTCAATGGTTTCTTTTTCTTCTTCTTTTTTTTCTTCCTCTTCTTTTTCATCAGCTTCTATTTGTATTGGGTTTAGATCTGATGGCTTTAGTATCATGATTAGCTTTCTCGTTTTTTGGTTAATGACGTTGTATTCTGATGGTTTTGATGCCTGTGTTTTATTGAGAAAATTAAGTATCATTTCATTAGCATTCATTACAAACTCTGGGCTATTTCCTCTGATTTCTACAGTTAAATCTTTTATGTTCCCTTTTAAGACTGTGTGAGTTTCTGATTCAACTCTTTTTTGGTATTCAGTTCTGTCTAAGCTGCAAGCCCCAATCACAATTGTGAAATGCTGCCTATTGTTAAGCTTGTTATATAATGTGTAAGAATTCATCTGTGAATCATAAAAAATTGTCTCAATGATTGAACTTTCGATTTTTGGTTCTTCAACTACATATTTTTTAGTTAAGTCTTGCATGAGGTCTTCATAATCTTTGACGTCTAGGTTCACAATTTCTTCTTCGCCTTCTCCATCATCTTCTTCTAAAAGCATCAAATTATTTTCTTGGAATTTTGACTGTACAGGCTCCTGCAGCACAATTGGATATTTCCTATAAACTCTTTTTCCTACTGAAATCAGAACTGCAGATTCCTCAGCCATGAATAGATAAATTAATATTAAAATTTAGAAATTATTATCAGGGTTCAGCCTCCTTTCATATTCTTGCTTCATTGCTGACTTTTTTAAATTATTCATGGTTTCTTTCATTCTCTGTTTTTCTTCATTTTCTGATTTCAGCTTAAAAATTTCTTCTCTTGCTTGCCTTATATAGTCTACTTTGGCTTCTTGCTTCATAGCTTTTATTTGTTTGTCTTCTAGAGATAGGGTCATTGGAGTCATTCGTTTAGAATATAAACGGTCATTTTCAGACATAAACATACCAGATGAGGGATTGGGGACCATGTTGACAAAAGTGTCTTTATGAGGTGGAGAAGCTCCATATCGAGTTTTAGGGAGTAAAGTGCTGTCAGGTATAAAAGAATTTCTCATAGTTTCATGAGCCTTACTAAAGGAGTTTATAGTACTTTGCTGGTTTTTTAAAAATTCTTTAGTTGGCTGGTTAGTGTTTAGATGCTTTTCTTTGGAGTCTGAAAATACTTCATAATGATTTGCAACGATGTTTGGCTGGATATGCTTGGAAAATTCTCCAAAATTGATATAGCCTTTTTTATTTTCATCTAAAAATGCCATTAATAAATTAGAATCTTCGTTTTCCAAAGCAATTTTATTTCGCTTTAAGCCTACTTGCAAATCTTCTATAGTAATATATCCTAATTATCTTTTACCATCTCCATCCTTATCAAATGTCCTAAAAATCGAAAATAAATTTGTAGGTCCTTGGCTGAATAATTTATTATCTAAATCATTCAGGATTTTTCTAAGTCTAGGCTTGTCTTCTTCTGTATAGCTTTTTGTTTCTCTATTAGGCGGCAATGATCTATATCTCTTCTGAGCCTCATCAGCAAAAATCTGGTCATTTACAAATACAGCATTTGCTACAGTATCTGCACCTATTTCTTTATCTTTATTATATATAAATGATGATAAAAAGCCTTCCAAATCTTTTTGTGTAATTTTAGCCGAGCTTTGATCATCCAAAGTTCCAATAACTAGCTCATTTAATTTTTCTATTGAAATTCTTGAATTATTTCCTATTTCATTTATAGAAATTTCTCATAGATAGTGCTGTTTTGCCCTTGATTTGCCATGAGGAAAAATTTTTTTGGTTTGACCCAAACCATATGGTACTGGTCGAACCAAAAAATTTACCCAGTGGGCAAATCAAGGACAAACAGCGCCATCTATGGGAAATTTCTATAATAATTTATTTTTGAAATTTTCTTGAGAAACAAATGAAACTTTTAAAAAATCTCGGACGATCTTAGCCCGATTAATTATTTTTTCAAGCTGGTTTGGAGGCACAGTTTGCCTATCATGAATTTTAAATTCATTATTGTAAAAGTTTTCATAACTCTGTGCATAAGTTTGAGGATTAGACTGGTATTCATTAGGAATTTCATTTATTTCTACTTCTTCTAACTTTTTTAACGCTTCTTTATAATTAATTCCATCTGCAGCTCCTCCAAGTTCCTCATATAATTTTTTAATACTATTTTGATTGCAGCGTGGCAATCTCATATTAGATAAAACATCAGCAAAATTTTCATAAGAAATTTTATCAGTTTTTGATTTGTCAATTCATAAGAATTGAGAATTTAACTTCTTTTTAACGCCATGCAATTGAGTTTTCATTTTATTAACTTGAGCGGCAGTAACATCAATATCTTTTACTTCTTTTACGTTTTGGAATTCTTCAGATAAAAATTTTTTAAATCCATTGAAATCCATTGTTTTGTTATTTCCATTAGCAGCATAGTCCATCAAAGCTTCAGCTTCTTGAAAACTTATAGAAAACCCAAGTTTATTTACCATTTTATGCAAGTCCTCTACACCAATAATTCCTGAAGCTTTTTCATCTCATTGATTAAAAATTTTCATAAAATCTTTCCTATTTGTGTATACAGATTTGCCTAATATTGTCAATTTTCAAACAAGTCTGCCTTAAAACGATATATTAGGTAAATCTCTATATCTTTCACTTAATTTTTTTCTTAAAATTTCCAACTCTCTGTTCCCATCGGGTGCAGGTCAAATGGCTTTGCCTTTTTGATAGTGCTCATTTCGCCGAAAAATTTTTGGCCGAAACTTGATCGAAAATTTTTGATTTTGAGACATTTGACCGAAAAAAGCTGTTAATTTTCGGCCAAATGTCCGGACTATCAAAAATTTTCGACCAAATGGATTTCGATGAAATGCACACTGTCAAAAATCAACGGTCATTTGACATGGAGCCGTTCCCATCATTACTTGTATAAGCTAATTTTGCTAAATTCGATAATTTCGTGTGAGCGTTATTTACAAAACTAGGTTCAAGCCTGGAATAAAACGATTTTGCTTCAAGGACTGTAGTTTTTGGCCTAGTTTGTATAAAATTTGTTTTTAACTGTTTCTGGTTCGTAGCATAAAAAGACATTTGAGATTTAATTGGATCTTCGAACGGCTGCTCTTTTATGGTTTTCTTACTCCCCCCCCCCCTCCGTGAGCGAACAAAAAAATTTTGTTCGCTCACGGAGGGGGGTTAATTTTTTTTTTTTTAAAAAAATTTATATATAAATTTTATAAAAAATATTTTTTCGAAATTTAAAAAAATCCTAATTTGCAAAAATTGGGAAGCAAATATTAATTCAATTTGCAAAATTTATGTTTTAAAACGCAATTTGTTTAAAATTAAACAGAATTAGCTCTAGATTTCATTATACTAATTATCACTTATATATATCAAAATTTTTTTCCATAAAAATTTTTTCTATTAAAAAAATTTTTGTTCACTCACGGAGGGTGGGTTTTTGGTCAAAAAATGGCGATTTTTCTAATGGTTTTGTTCGCTCACGGGGGGGGGGGGGGGGAGTTAGGAATGAACTCTTCATGATAATTATATTTGCTTTCGTGCAGGGCTGCTCTTATTTTTGCAGGGCTTGCTGAAGCAAATCGTCTGTCTATGTTTGATTTTCCTGTTAAATGCACTCTAGGTTTTCTTACTGCCATTTATTATAACGAAAATTGAATGTGGAATTGATAATAAAGATATGGATGAAGAGGAAGCCAAAGCAAATGAAGGCCCTGAAATATTGCTACCTCCTGATTTAGAGCTTGAAATGAAATCGCTTAGTTTAGAAGAAGAAACCTTAGATGAATTTTTTAGAGAAAATCAACCTCAATTGAGCAGGTGTCCTGTGTGCATTATCATAATGACAGTATTTTTCACAATCATCAATATCGCATTGATAATTGTAGGGTTTTGGCTTGCTTCAGATAAACTTTCTAAAGCTCTACCTTGTTGAATAATTGCCTCCTTATTAATGCTTCCAACTGGATATTGCTACGGCCTACTAATTAAAGCTTATTATGCAGATCCTGAAGAAAGAGCAAGCATTTTATTTGAAATTCCTGATATCTAGATGTTTTACTTATTTTGATAACTCCTAGTTAATTAATCCATTTCATGCTGGAGATTTCTAAAGCTTAGGATTCAATAATTTTACTGTATGCTTGCAAATCGCTATTATGTCTTTTTTGGGCACATCTTTATGGATTGGAAGATATAAAAGGTTTTTAAACATTTCATAAGATTTTTCTGGTTTAGGAATATTTGACCCTTCAGGAACAGGGACTGCATATAGCTGAGAAATACCTGAATAAGTATCAATTCCAGCATTATTCAGGACATCATATGCTTTTTTTGAGTCTTGAGCTACTATTGGATAGAGCCAAAAAGTACGATCTTTAGGGTTTAATCCAGGAACTGTGACCCCACCTTTTATCAAAATATCTGTACCTTCCTGCATGTTTTTCATACCTTCCATGAACTTTTTCTCATCAAAGTGACTGATTCTTCTTCACAGAAACGAAAGCATGGCTGTGCATGGCCTGAATCTGTAGACTTCTAACTCCCCCCCCCATCCTTGATCGAACGACTCGCCATCGTTCGATCAAGGATGGGGGTTAAAAAAAAATTTTTTTGGGACAAAAATTTTATATATATAAAATGAAAAAAGATATATAGATTTTTTTTATTTATTTAAATAAGAGGGTAAGAGTATTTAATAATTATTTTTACAGCAAAAAATTGAATTAATTTCATAAAATACCAATTTTAATATTTTGATTTATTAGTTACCCTTTTAAACTGTATAAATTTTAATTTAAATTAAAATTTTTTTAAAAATTTTTAAGAATCTCTATTTTATTAGATTATTGAGTTTTTAAGCCTAGGTTGATGTCAAATCACTTCGGATTGTTGATTTCGCAGCTTTCTGTCGTCTCAAAGCTCTGAAAACAACTTCATTAGGCACATCTTCCAAAGCATTTGATAACTAATATTTTTTATATATATAAAAATTGGCATGATATGAAAATCGTTCGATCAAGGATGGGGGTTAATTTCCCCAATTTTTAGGAATTTTTACAGTCAATCGTTCGATCAAGGATGGGAGTGGGAGTAAGCCTTGCCCAGGTGCAAACCCTCTGAGAAGTGACACGACCCTTTTTTTATAATCGAATTTCGCTTTTAATAAAAAGGGCCTGAGTATGTAATTAAGCCATCTTATATTTAGTAAGACTATTCCGCCTGAATATTTAATGATCTTTTTGAGATAGATCTTTCCTGATTGAATTGGATAAGTATCGTGGATTAATTTTGCCTGCTGCAGTATAAAAGGATTTTTTCGAATAATCATCACGGCACCTTGGAACGTAGTCGCATGCTTAATCGGCCCAAAGCTAAAAACAGTGACATCTGCGTTTGGGTCTCCTTTGTAGCTTTGCCCAATATATCCTTGAGCACAGTCTTCTAAAATTGGCAAGTTGTGCTTTTTCGCGACTTTAGCAATTTCAGTTAAATCATATCTGACTCCATAGGTAAATGTGGCAATTATCAGTTTGGTCTTATCTGTGATCGCTGCTTCCAGCTTGTCTGGGGTTACAGCTAAAGTGTCAACTTCTACGTCTACAGGAACTGGGACAAATCCATGAAGTTTTATTATTCTAACCATCTCTGGGATGTTAATGGCAGTCATTAATATTTCAGAACCTTTCGGCATGTTTAATGCTCTTAAATAAACATCAAAGGCAGTGCGTACACTGATTGAGACTATGACATTATCCTCATCTGAAAAAGCTTTAGTGAGATTTTTTAATAATACTGAGCGCTTTTCTCCTGTATAAATAGCTCTTCTTAAAGCTCGAAACCAATCAAACCATGAACAATCAATACTCAAGCATGCATAAGGATAAACCGGGAATCAAAACATATTTATTTATTCAACTGTTGCTAATATAGAGAAATGTTCACAGATTTTATTAATAAAATATTCTTCAATCTATTTGATATTCAATTTACTGAGGTGATTTTAAAGTCTGCATCTTCATTTCTCACTTTGTAATAGCAAAATTTCATTGTGTTAAAATAAAAATTTGTCAAATTATTCCTTAGGCTTTTTATGCTAATAGAGTAATTTAGCCAAATTAGGATTTTGAATTATTTAAAGCTTGTGCTAGTTTATATCTCCAAAAAATAATTAATTACTATACCGATTTCTTCTGGCCATTTTAATAGGCTTTAGAATTGATTTATGTTATAGTATAGCATTAATGGCATTAATTCTAGGATACACCAATTTATTTTATTCAAAATTTGGCAATAGCTTAATATCAAAACATTTTTATTATCTAAAAATACGGTAATGAGAATGAAAGACCAATGCTGTTGATTTCTAACTAATTAATAATTAACTTTAATTTTCTTTAAGTCTAAGCATATAAGCAATCATAAATTGCAATTTTTGCAATCTTCTTTGTAATTGATGCTAATATTATCATCAAGTACTTATGCAGTTTATTTTCAGTCAGTAATTAAATCTTATTATAAATCAAAATTATAAACTCTAAGCATATTTCCAAAAACTCCTACAATTTTGACTTCATCAATAAAGGCTTGCACACATCCAGTCTTGCTAGTATTCGCTACAAATGATTTTGGCACCAATCTTGGATTAGCACTTCCGCCCAATAGCACATATCTTTTTTTCCCTGTGGTGGAGTCATAAACATAAATAGAGTTTTCATTCGATGCGGCTATAAAATTGAAGTTATTGCAGGAAACTGAGTTGAAATGCTTGCCCTTCTCTTCGACCTTCGATACTAAGACAATTTGATTATTTTTGTCAATCTTTAATAATGAAACCGTGCTGTTATTACCAACTGATATATATGTAGTTCCATTAATGTTTGCAACTGTGGATAAGTAATTATCTCCAAAATTTTGCGGGTAAAAAATATATCGGTTTTGAGCCGGCTGGTTTATAGGGTAATAGTTGATGATCATTAAGGTCAATGTCATCAGATATACCCCTTCATTGGTATTTACTATGATTTTATTATTTTCTAATGATAATTTTAGCACGCTTTGTTGGCCAAGATGAGTTTCTATCTATATTTTACCTCTTCTAATATTTGTTTTTAGATCCAGCTGATAAACAGTATTTCTTATCCCAAAATATATAAAATTGCCTGATTTTACTATGTTTGCAGTCAATGGAGCACCTGGGAGGAATAATTCAAACCCAATTTCTGCTAAAGTTACTTGATTAAAAGCGTCAATTCCAATGATTTTCCCATTTCCATAGCGATTTCCACCAGCAAAGATTCTATATTAAAAATACTGATTGTTATCAAATAAGCCTATAGAAGTCATTTGTTCAAGCTTCAGTCTCCCTCTTGTTATTTCTCTAGGCAACTCTGATCCCAAGCTCCAAACACTAAACTCCCCTGTGTTGGTACCAGCAAGCAACAGCTGATCATTATGCGTCAAAAATGTTATTGAAGCCTCCAATCGACCAATATTATTCAGTTTATAAGTCTGTGGGTTTTCAGGTGACCATAAGATAATTTCCCCATCTACGGATCTACATTAAAAATACCCAGATACAATAAAATCACCTAGAATTATAGTTGACGTTATATACCCAATATGGCCCCTGCATGGAGCCATTGCATAGTCCTGAGGAGTCCCTCTTAGCATGCCTTCATCAGTTGTTATCCGGCGGATAAAAAGAGCTCGCCATGAGTTAAGTGATTTAGAGATTCGGCAAAATGACCATTTTCTTAGACAGAGTTCTCTTCAGATCAGTTCCATCATTGAGCCTCTGTAAGCATTTTTGCAGGATAAGCTAGCTCTAGCGATGTCTTTATGATCAAGAAAACTAAAGATCACAGAATAAACATTAGGAGATAGGTTATTCATTTTTATAAGAAAGCCATAGTTGCCTATAAACTTTATATATTTATTATCAACATAAATTTTCATGGAAAATCTTGGCTTGATAATACAAGGTTAATGTATGTCTGTTATTCTTCTTATGCGGTCTTTCAGGTTTCTAGGAGAAATTGGAGAAACATCATCAAAGGCGGTTCTTCTTCTATTGGTAAGTCTCCTTTGGGATAGTCTTTTTGTGCCTTTTCTTTGCTTGTCTTCATCTTCTTCTAGCTCAGTGCCCACTTCTGAATTTTCACTTGAAAAGCACATCATAATCTGCTTAAACTCGTCAAAACTCATAAAATCACCGACTTTTAGCTGGAATTCCTTTATGATTTCTTCGAAATCTTCTTGTGAAATATAGCATCCAGCTTTTTCAAGAGCAAATTTTAGCTCGTCTACACAGATTCGGCCGTCATTATTCTATATGATGGTTACCATGTCAAAATGTTTGAAGACTATCCACATTCCTTCTTCATCAATTAGCCTTTTTCTATCCATCGCCGCTATTAAAAACTGCGTATAATTCAATTTTCCCTTCCCAATATAATCAACATTCTGCATTAATTTTGTAAATTCCCCTCCTAAAATTGTATATCCATTTCCTTTCATCGCTACAGCAATATCCTCAACTGTAATAAACCCTGTATTACTTCTATCAATTAATTTAAAGGCTCCTTGAAGCTCATTAAGCTCCTCTTCAGACAGATTCCTAACAAAGACCTTCATTGCTTCTTGCCACAGCTTGCTTGGAGCTCGGAATTTTTTAAGCGAATTAAATATTTCAAGGCCGACCATTCTTTCCTGTGGGGTTTGGTATAAGATAGAAAATCATTTGTGCTGAAGAGCATTGGCTATAGTAATCCTGGTACTTGGGTTGATATCAAGAAGCTTTGATATTAACTCTTTGGCATCATCAGAAATCATGCTTCAAGCTGTAGAAGAAAATGAGTAGTCTCCTCGCGTTATTTTTTGGAACAGCTCATTCATACTGTGGGCTAAAAAAGGCTGCCGGCCTGATAATAATAAATACATCACGACGCCCAGCGATCAGACGTCGCACTCTTTTCCATAAATTCCTCGTAAAATTTCTGGAGCTACATAATAAGGAGTTCCAACCTTAGTTAGCATATCTTCTTCTCCAAATTTCACTGACATGCCGAAATCAGCTAATTTCACTTCAGCGTTAGGCTCTGAGTTCATAAGGTTTTGACTAAATAAGTTCTTAGTCCTCGGCAGGGCTAGGGATTTCCACCTCTAAATGCTCATCGTCCCCTAAGGGATCAGCAGACACCTTCCTCGCTGCCACAGACAAAGGATTCGCACAACTGATCTTTACTTCCATGACTCCTGGAACCTAAGGACCCATCACCTGATCGAAATCCCAGTTTCTCTTAGCAGATGTCACCTCTAGAGCCCTGTTTGAGAGATTTATTGTTCGCTCGGGGCTTTTGCTGGTCCTAATCTTTCTAATAATCATAGAGCCCGAGAAAAACCTAGCCCGATATGCAAAAAGGATTACCAGCCTCTTTCTACCCTTCCCATTCACACTGAGCCGTTGCTTATAGTGTTGGAAGGAGGTCGGGTGTCTGCCATCACATTTTTATGTATATGCTCTGTGCTCATAAATAAAAAATTTTCTGGCTTTAAATCCCTATGGCAGATTTTCAAGCTATGCAAGTGGTTCAATGCTGAAAGCATTTTTTGCATTATTCGGGCGACTTCAGATTCCACTATAGATCCTTTCTTAATCAAATAATCAAAAATGTCTCCTCCAGAGCAATATTCTAAAACCATATGAATATACTTGCTATCTTCGTATGTTTCATACAGCTTTATTATATTAGGATGGTCCACTGTTTGAAGAATTTCAAGTTCCCGCTTAAGCATCACCATGCTCCGCTTAATTCGGTCTTTATTCAAAGACTTAATAGCAAATTTTTTCCGCTTTGGACTTTCTGGATTTTCAGATGTTTCAATTTTATAAGCTTTTCTTACCACTCCAAATTGTCCGTAACCTAAAATTTTGACAAATTTATATTTGTTATGTATACTCTCTAATCTGACAGCTGTAGAAATGTCGGATTTAAGAATTGGCTTCCCAGTTCCAGGCTCTCTCATGTAAATTTCTCTGTGAAAACAGATTAATAATAAAAATGGCATCGTGGGAATAAACCATTTCCAGAGCATTCCCATCCTCAAAATTTTATTATTGTGGGTTTATAGTAGCTTTAATTTAGCTATATGGGAAAACCTTAGAGCATAGGCTAAGATTCTTGACCCTTGGCTAAAAGGGACACTGCTTTGCTCTTGATACTCCTAAAGAGGGATACCATTAGGTGAAATGCATTCTGGAGTCAATTGAGGAGCAAGCGCAACGCACTTAAGGTCTAGTATTGAACATGGTCAAAATCATGATGTGAGCTTCGTGGCGCCTGATATAAACAGCAAATAAGATACACTTGACACCAATAGTTCGGATTTAAAGAGGAGTAGGCTTATGCATGCCTAAATCATCCTACAAAATCAACTATCTCGCTAAAAATAATATCAAAGTTAGAAGAAAACAGATTCCCATTTACAAATTTTATAAAAAACAAGGAATTAGTGTGGGCTATGCACTATAGCTGAAACTTAAAAGGAGGAAATTTTAATATTTTAATAAGATCATAATGGCCACGAAAAAGCGCAATGATAGTATCTTGAAATTAATAAATGATTTGCTTATCCTTTTATGAGTATAATCAATTTAAATTACAGTAAAGTTAGCTGACTTTTTTAGCTGCCAGCTGATTTCGGTATTCCCTAGCATTGCAGAGGTCTTTTATTTGTGTACTCAGAGTATCATTAGGAGATAAAGAGCTTAAAATATAATTGCTCTTTTTACCCCAAGCCTTATGCTTTTCTTCCAAACTCTTTCTGAATTCCTCAAATTGGTCTTCTATAGGGATTTCCGATTCTCTTTGTTTCTTTTCCTTTCTGTCTTTTAGCTCCTTATGCTTATATGCCCGAATCATCCCATAATTCGAGTACTCTCTATCGCAGCTTAACGGTGCATCCATTTTAAATTGATAATTACGCATTTAACTTACCTCTTAATTGTTACTCTTTTGAGTGAGTCAAGCTTTCCATGCTCATCATCACCTCAGCAAAATTCATTAAGTTCTGCCTCTTATTACTCTGCTCATTTTTCATGATATTTTTGGCAGCTTCTACAACTTGTCCTATAACTTCCAAAATTTCGGCTTTTTCTGACTCTATTTTTTCAATTTTTTCGTCTTTTTCTCTGATTTGTTGGCTTAGCTGTTCTAATAATGCGTTATTACTTTGGATTCTTTTAAGGAGCTCTTGGTTGTCTGCGTTTAGCTTTTCTAGCACTTGAGAGGCATTTTCTTGTTTTTTTGAATTAATTCCTGCTATTATTTCTTGGTTTTTTAGCCTTTCTGCATCTAGAAATTTTTTAGTATCGATTAATTCTCGTTCACTTTTTGTGATAGCATTTTTAAGCACAGAAACCTGCTCTTCAAGCTCTGCCTGCTTTCTTTTATAATTTTTGTTTGAATTTTTTTCTTCTTCATTGAACTTGGAGTTTATATCTTTCAAAGCTCCCATGGTTTGGAAAATTACATCCATAAAGCTCTGCATTTGTGCATGACACTTGGCTATGTCATTTTGCAGCTCTGCAATTTTGCTTTCTTTTTCTTGCAAAAGCAAAGCATTTTGATAGTTTGGAGGCCTTTGAGTTCGCTCTTGATCTATATCGGCTTTTATCAGTCCTATGAATTCCACAAGTCCTCTGACACTGTCTGGCTTTACGTGCATTTGGCTAAGGACCTCAGCTATTAGATTGTCTGTGACACGGATTTCTTCTTTAATTTCAGTTTTGCCCTGTGTAGCTATCTCAATGATGTCTTTGGCGCTGACTCGAATGTCTTCTAAACTTTCTCTTGCCTGGACTTTTCTTCTCACCCCTCCATTAAATTAGAAAAAAAATTTTTTCAATAGGAAAATTTTATAGGTTGAAATACTAATTTTATAAAACTAGCTTTTTGATATTTAATTGAAAAAGTGCAATCTAATATTATAGAAATTGCCCGAGGATGGCGCTATTTTGCGCCATCCTCGGGCAATTTCTATATTATTTCAATAGTTTTAACATTAAATCGATTAATCTTTGAATAATTCCTAAAATAAATAAATAAATTAAAATTCAATTATAAAATTTTTAAAAAAATAGGTTTTTTTGTTACAATTTTAAAGGGGATTCAGAAATTCATTTGAGTCTGTTGGCTTTGCATCAGGATAGATCGCATCTAAATCATCACCTGGCTGTTTTATTGCTAAACTTTCCCTTAGATTGACCATGCTTTGTTTCAGCTCTTCTATGTTGCCTATCCTATTACTTATTGCCAAACTTGAAAGAACTTGACTTACAAAAGGAGATGCTAAACTGTTCAAAATTGACTGATTCCATTGCCTTCATGAAGGGACATTCGGAAGGTCGTCCTCTCTGCTATTTCTTAGCTCATCCACAAGCAATAATTCAGGCTTTTGAGATTCTTGAGAACTTTTGCTTAATTCAAACGTTGATGACATTTTTGAGTTCATTTGAAATCCCTCTTTATTGAATTAAGCTATAATATGGAGGAAAATAAAGGCTCAGTTTTAAAAGTCACCAAGGACGGTTCAATTACTTGCCAAATCCAAGAATATTTGCTAACATATTATACCTGAAAAAACAAAAAATTCAAAATATTCGCTTTTATATTAAAAAGTTCAATAAATTCTAAAGAATACATATGAAAAATTAACAAAAGCTATAGTGATTTCTCTCAAACTATCAACGAGCTTCAAACTGAAAAAGGCACTCGCAACTTGAATTTACCTCATTGGCCCAAGCAAAGACACTTTCAACGTAAAAATGACGAGGAAAAATTGAATATTTGTTTTGAAATGCTCAAAGCTTTTTTAGCTCCTGAATTCAGTTCTTCTAAGATCATCATGGAATTTATTGAAGTTTCGTCAAAATCTTTTGAGCATGATAAAAAACTCAAAGAAGGCTTCGTCCTAAAGATGGGAGGAGGAAGAGTGAGCAACCAAAAAAAACTTTTTAATTGCTATAACTGTGGTACAAGGATTTCGAAAAGGTGGCTTAGAATAAATGAAGATGGCCTAGAATATGTCCACGATCCTTTTCTCAGCAATTTATCTGACGTGATTCCTTTTGGAAAAGATTTTGCAATCAAAAGTGGAAGAAAAGAAACAGATTATATAGATGGTTTAAGAATTATGACACCTCAACATAATGTAGTATTTAGAACAGGCAGCGTTTTTAAACGTGATGAATGGGTTGAAGCCATTGCTGTAGCATATAGTCAATCAGAGTATAAAATATCGCAAATCCCCAACGATTCTTCATTTTTAGTACGAAATCATAACCATGTGAAATGGTACATTGATGGTGAAAATTACTATTCTGATGTATATGAAGCATTAATCAATGCAAAGAATTTTGTTTTTATTACTGACTGGTGACTCAGTCCTGATATGTATTTGAAAAGGCCAGCATCAAAATATCCTGAGTCTCAAATTGTAGAAGTCCTTGGAAGTCTTGCAGATCGAGGAGTGCTAGTATATATCCACATTTATAAAGAAATCACCTTTACTTTGACTCTAAACTCTTTGTATACTAAAACAAGGCTCACACAAAGGAACCAAAATATCAGAATAATGCGCCACCCAAACGTTTCTATCAAAGGAGGGTCTTTTCTTTGGTCTCATCACGAAAAAATGGTAATAGTTGACTACAAGCTTGCCTTTATGGGAGGGCTTGACCTTTGCTATGGGCGTTGGGACAATAATCTGCATTATCTTGCAGATAATGGAGAAGAAAAAATATGGAATGGGATTGACTATTCTAACGTCAGAATAGCTGACTTCACTAAGGTTGAAAATTGGGAAAGGGACACTATAGATAGATCGACAGCTCCTCGAATGCCATGGCATGATATAGCGATTTCAGTCAGAGGAAGGGTTGTAGGCGATATAGCATCTCATTTTAGAGATCTATGAAACCATTCAGTCAGGGATATCACTGGGTCTAAAGAAAATTCTGAACTGATTTCACTTATGGATACGACAAAGCTGCAAAGGATTCAGACAAAGATGGACATTGTGATAAGCAAAACAACAGAAAGCCAAATTGTAGATAACGAAGAAGAGCAAGCCAAGCAGACTCCATCGAAAGGAAAACTGACAATATTTAAAGGACTGGTAAGTCAGCTGTTTTCTGGAGAATCTGATAATCCAGTAGACAATGCTGCTTTCAATGCGAATATCTTGCATCAGCAGTTTTATTAACTCACTCCTCCGCAGCGAGCAAAAAATTTTATTCACTCATAAAGGGGACTAATTTTTATAGTAATTTTATTTAAAAAATTAAAAATATCCTGTTTTGGAAAACAAAATTTATTTAATTTGTCAAATTTATGTTTAAAATGCAAGCTATTTTTAATTCAGTAGAATTAGCTAGAGATTTCATGATAGTAATTATCACTTATATAAAAATAATTTTTATAAAAATGTTTTTGGTCGGTTGTGGTAAGTTTTTTGGCCAAAAAATCGGGATTTTTCCAATAATTCTGTTTCCTCATAGAGTGAGGATTAAGCAGAGAGAGAGAATTAATAGCACACCTGAAAGAATGCAGCTCGTAACTTCAATGAACAGTCCAGTTTCAAGAAAACCAGGATTAATTGAGCATCTTGGGCTTCAAAATGTTTCAATTTTTTCAAAACTAATCCAATCCAACTTATTAACCCCACATCCAAGAGCACAAAGATTTTTCAGCGAGCAAGATAAGGACGAGCGAGAAGAAAGAGAAAGAAAGGAAGAGTTGGATTATGAAGAAACCATAGTCAGGCTTAGAACAGAGATTACAAGAGGTTCCAAAGCTTTTATTGATGTTACCCCAAAAATCTCCCCTCAAAGCACTGAAACCATTGGTAGCTGCGAATGCCAGCTTGTAAGAAGTGCAGGACTGTGATCGATAGGAATGCTTCCTGCAGAAAGCTCGATACATTCTGCGTATATTCATGCTATTTATGACGCTCAATATTTTATATATATAGAAAATCAGTTTTTCATCTCAAGTACTGCAGGATCACCTGTCATAAACTGCATTGCTGAAAGCTTAACTTATCGTATAGTCAAAGCCATAAACCTGAATCAGCCTTTCAAAGTAATAGTAGCTATTCCTTTGCTTCCAGCCTTTGAAGGATCAGTTGACGACCCTTCAGCTTCAGTGCTCCGTGTCCAGCTTCACTGGGAATATCAAACTATCTGTAGAGGGGCCAATAGTATCTATGAGCATCTTAAAAAGTATACAAAAAGACCTAAAGATTACATAAGGTTTTACTCCCTTAGAACCCATTCAATGCTTGACGACACCCCAGTCACTGAAATGGTTTATATCCATTCAAAACTTATGATTGTAGATGACCAAGTAATGATCTGTGGAAGCGCCAATATAAATGACCGCAGTATGAATGGCGACAGAGACAGCGAGATAGCTTTAGTAATAAGAGACAGCAATAAAGTCATGAGTGTTATGGATGGGAAAGAGTTTGAAGTAGGAGAACTCCCTCATAGCTTACGCATAAACATTTTTAAGGAGCATTCAGGATGTGATGACCCTAGAGTATTAAGGGATCCTTTTTCTGATGAATTTAGAGAGGTCTGAAAGTATAGGGCTAAGCTAAACACCTCGTATTACAGGAATGTGTTTAGGTGCTATCCTGATGATAGGATTAAAAAAATCAAAAAAATAAAAAGCTATGAAAATAGAGCTAATTTAGAAGATTATCACCATTTAGTAGAAAATGTAAAAGGGAATTTAGTAGAGTTTCCGCTCAAGTTTTTAGAAAGAGAAGACTTGCAGATTAAAGTGTCGAATAAGGAGTATTTCTTGCCGGATATCACATTTGTTTAGGAATAAATAAAAATTCTTAAAAAGGGCGCATAATTAATAATATTTAGATACAATAAAAAGATATTTGCTAAGTTAATAGATCAAAATTTAAGTTTAAGTTTAATGAATTTCTCTTGCACTTTTAGTATCTTCTAAATTTTCCTTGCTTTGAGTTCAGCTAATAACAACTCTGAACAACAGTAGGTGAACCGGCCTAACTGTCGAACTGTTAAAGCTATCTAGCCCTTTCAGACTCCTCTAGTCTGTGCCAGCCTCAGCACAGACCACTTCTCTTCAAGCCGAAATTCTCAAGAAGCTTGACTTCTCTCACTGAGTTCGGTTTATGGGTCAGGCCTGGTGGATCAGGACTAAAGACCCATCCCTAACTGCCATTTTAAATATTGTGTAGATCAAAATTTAAAATTTGCAGTGAATTATGCTTTGAAATTATTCAATATAAATTATGGATCTCTTCTTTGATAAAACAAAATATAAGCTGCAGGTGTCACTAAGTTTTCTTGCTTGATCGGAAAATAATAAGAGTCATCCATATCGATTCAAGAGTTTCCTCTAGGACTCTTTACATAAGCTGTATAATGTCCTCCTACCATTGAACCATAATGATTTGATATTGCATATAAATCATAAACTGCTTCATTATTTTCTCCTACAAATTCATTAAGACTTAATCCTTCAATAGGAAAATTTACCGTTGAATTTATTTTTTCACTCCATGAAGACCTCGATTTAAACCTTATCAAATGTATTATCAATATTTTTGGTGCCTTATGAATATGAAAAGACTTAGTAGCCTGCACAGATTTTTGGCATTTTGGACACAGTCATCTATTTTTATCATCCAATTTCTCTGATTCTGAAGAAAATTTTCAGCAGTCATATAAAGAAATCTCAGAGGCTTGCTTTAGATTTGGCTCTTGTATAATATTTGGAAATTCCTTAGAAGTATTAAGCTTTTCTAGTCCTAAAACTATGCTATTTCATTCTATTTCTAATATAAAATGATTTTTAGAATTTCTTCTATGATTTAGCATTTCTCTTAAAGTAATTTCATTATTTTGCGGTAATACACAATTTTTGCAATTTTTTGTGCCGCAGAACTCACAGTTAGTTTTTTCTGGATTTGAAGATTGGTTTACAATTTTAATCAAATATATAGGATCTGTCATTTCATTAAATTTATTTAAAGCATCAATTCCATCATCTAATTTCTTACCAGTATTTTCTTCTATGATTGACTTAAAATAATAAGCTAAGATTATATGGATTTCAAGAGCTGTATATGATCTTGATAAAAATATAAGTCTCATAAAGGTTTGTAAAGATTTTGTTGAAAAAGGCTTATTTTCTGGAGTTTTTGTAATAACTAGTGGAATGGTTTCGACATCACTCATATTTTCTGGCATTTCAAAAGCTATTATATTTTTATCACCAATATCAAAGATTGTGGCGGTATCTGAGACAAAGCCTTTTAATGTAAAATTCGTATATGCTGCAAGCATTATATGTGATATGTCAAAAAATTGTTTTATAAGAGATTTCAGCACATTTATTTTTGAGTCAATATTGACTGCAAAATTTTGCACAATTGGTATTTTATCAGGGTTCGAAAAAACAATCACAACTCTGATTTTTTTTACCTCAAAATTTGGTATTGACAAAGAAAACGTTAAAAATGGGTCATATCTAATAGACTGAAAATTGCATTCTGGGCATATTAGCATTGATTTACTTTGTCCATAAAAATTATCAACGATGAAACTTTGATTTTTTAATAAAAATCTTTCCCAGGATTTTAATGCAAGCTCTTCTTCAGTTTTTGCTGTTTCTATAATTTCATTTTGTTCGTTACTTATGGCTGCTTTATTCAGATCTTCATGTAGACCATTTAATATATAAGTAATTAACTCATGAGAATCGTGCTGCTGATAGCCCATAAATTGGGGAGCCAGTCTTGAGATGGTTCCTTTAAATTGCCATGGAGACACAATAGCTGATGTGCCTATTCATAAATCTTTCAATAGCCCAGCATAAGAAAAGACTAAATGGATTCGTTTATTAGAGGCCTGATTGATGCTTTGCATAAAATCTCCATTTAAAAAATAGCTTGTTAAAGAGATTGTATGTGATAAACACTGTATAGCAGAGTTCATGTAACAAGTATTGCCCAAGTTCTGTAATCCGGTCATTCCTAGTCGAATTGGCTCGGCAGACTGATTTGATGACTTTATTTGATCACACAAGTCTTTATGCCACTGATAATTTTCTTCTTGGCACTGGATACTGCAATATTTTACTACTAAACATCCAGGACAAGCAGTGAGATTTCCAGTTTTTTTGCAATTTATACAAACTTCACTGGGTGTATTTGTAAGTGTTCATTTTCCACTTACTCCCCCCCCATCCTTGATCGAACGACTCGCCATCGTTCGATCAAGGATGGGGGCTAAAAAAAATTTTTTGGGAAAAAAAAAAATTTATATATAAAATAATATATATATTATTTACTTTTAAATAAGAGGGTTAAGAGTATATAATAATTATTTTTACAACAAAAAATTGAATTAATTTCATAAAATACCAATTTTTAATATTTTGATTTATTAGTTACCCTTTTAAACTGTATAAATTTTAATTTATTCCTTATTGAATTAAATTTTTTTTTTTTTAATTTTAAAAATCTCTATTTTTAGATTATTGAGTTTTTAAGCCTAGGTTGATGACTAAATCACTTCGTATAGTTGATTCCGCAGCTTTCTGTCGTTTCAAAGTCTCTGAAAACAACTTCATTAGGTGCATCTTCCCAAGCTTTTGATAACTAAATATATTTTTATATATAAAAATTTGCATGATATGAAAATCGTTCGATCAAGGATGGGGATTTATTTCCCCAATTTTTAGGAATTTTTACAGTCAATCGTTCGATCAAGGATGGGGGGGGAGCTAAAGTTAAAAATTCAATGATTACAACGTCTCTAGCATCAATGTCAGAGAACTCCAGCTCGGTCTGGTCATTCAGAAGAACAGAGTCTTTTATATAAATTTCGTCTGTATTGGTAGGAAATTCCTTATCAGTTATTTCAATTCTAGGAACTTTTCATAGTCTACTGATTTCAAAACACAAGCATTCTGACAATAGCAAGTCTCTTAAAACTCGATGGAGTTTTATTCTTAAATCATTTACAGTGGCTCTTCTACTAATACAAATGGTTTTTATTGGAATTTCTTTGCTAGTGATTTTTGGTAAAATTAAAATATCAATTTCTTTAAGGTAAACTTCGACTTCTGTTATAAAGTCATCAGAAATTCCTATAGAGTATCTAGGAATCTCATTATCTGCTATATTTCATGTGGAACTCAATATAAAATATGCGTCTTTTGGAATAGCAACGTATTCTTGGTCTTCATATAAAGCATTTTTAATGCAAATATTGGTGTAATAGGAATTAGGGTCAGTGTCATAATAAAACTTATCAGGATCTGGAAGAGAAATTATGCTTGCATTTGATATTGGTCCTGGAGGATCTATGGATTTATGTGTAGAAAAATCAGTTCATTTATCAAATCAATCTTTAGAAATTAGATAGGAGAGGTTTCCTGGTTTTTCTATGTAATTTTTTATGATAAAATTTAAAGTTTTGTATTCTTCTAATGAATTTTTTTCTATATTAAGTCTTAGGATTTTTTCTTGGACTAGCAGATTAGATAAAGAGATATATTGAGTAATTTCAGCTAAAGCACAATAAGCTTCTTCTAACTCCCCCTCTCTGTGAGCGAATAAAACAATAGGAAAAATCCCTATTTTTTGCCCAAAAACCCACTCCATAATTACTATAATGAAATCTCTAGCAAATTCTGTTTAATTTTAAACAATTTGCGTTTTAAAACATAAATTTTGCAAGTGTATCTAATATTTGCTTTCCAATTTTTTGGAAATTGGGCATTTTTAAACCTCGAAAAAAAATTTTTTTATAATAAAATATAGAAATTGCCTTTGAGTAGCGCGCTAAGCGCCCGAGACTTCCCGATGAAGTCTGGGCGGTGGTTTGACCAGCTGATGTTGGTCAAACCAGCATCCAATTTGACAAATCTTCTATATGAGAAGAATTTGTCATTTTGGATGTTGGTTTGACCAACATCAGCTGGTCAAACCACTGCCCAGACTTCGTTGGGAAGTCTCGGGCGCTTAGCGCGCTACTCAAAGGCAATTTTTATAATTTATATATAAATTTTTAAAGAAGGTGAATTAACCCCTCTGTGAGCGAACAAAATTTTTTTTGCTCGTTCACAGAGGGGGGAGTAAGTTTCCCAGCCTTTCCAATGCTTTTCCCATGCACAAAGCGATTTTTTCATAATATTTGTCCTTCACCTGCTGATCAGATAGATTTTTTACTAAATCTAGGGATTCCTTTGCTGAAAGAAATATAGAAATAAAATGGTGATATTGATGGAAATTAGTCGCCGAGGCGCACCCTATAGAACAGGTATGACCCGTCTTGACGAAGCTGAAAACAGGGCCGATGTAACCTTTTGAAGTAAACCTTCAGGTTTGGAGATATCTTGCCAAAGAGGGAAGTTTTGCTTCTCTCCCAAACGTTTTCCTGTCCCTGTTGGATGGGCTACCGGACTATAGGGCACCCGAAAGAGAGTGGGAGCGAATCTTTAGGTAAGATGTGCTCAACCAGAAATTCAAGAGGGAGGAATTTAGTTAGGCTTTACACCCATTTACACTCTGATGTATACGCACCCAGCGTAGACCACCTTTCCTAGAGCCAAGGTAGTCCGGCTTGTGGGATGCCCATTTATGGTCGTGCAACATCTTAATCTTTGCTGAGAGAATGGCATTGGGATAATTTTTCATGTTATAGTAGCATATCATAACCCCATACTTTGCTTTGATATTTGCATGCACTCTAAAGCTCTGTGTAAATCTAGAAATTGCTTCTTGGTATTCGCCAGCAATCAATCTCTCTTCTGCTTGTGCTAAGAGGGCTTGAGCTACAATTTGCTTTTCCATTTATTTAGTAATTTCATTTAATTACAAAGTATTTTAAATTAATATTTATAATAGTGATTAACAAACAAACGACTTAATCTGATGTAACTATCATTTAAATACTGAAAAAATTCCAAAATATGAAGATGCCACTTCAGTTTATAACATGCTTTAAGAAAAGGGCTATAAATTGTCTATCTACTTTCCGGAGGTTTACTCTTTAGATCATTCTACAGTTAATTGAACGAGCGCTGCTAGATCTGCAACCTTTAGACAAAGCCAAGAAGTTTTAGATTTAAATTTATTACTAAAATTGCATATGCCTTTTAAGCCCAAGAAGCCACCAACGAACTCTTTCCATTTTTATTCAAAATAGGCTACTAATTAAAAATATTAACAATTTCTTCTTAATTCGTATATAATTAACTACACTGGCTGGCACGGGGTGCTTTTGGCTCGAAACTGAGCCAAAAGCGCCCCGTGCCAGTCAGTGTAGTTCACTATATCATTTAATAATTTTCATTATCTCTAATGGAAGTAGAAGATCATAAAGAAGAACATTTTACAGTTGCTGTAAGAGTTAGGCCTTTTATTACAAGAGAAATAGAAAGTGCAGCAAAAGTTGGGTGGGAACTCCCAGGTCCAACTTCAATCAAGGAAACTAATGGAGAAAGAATGTTCATTTATGATAACGTCTTCGACCAAAGCACCAGCACTCAAATCCTTTATGAAGAAATTTGTGAAAAACTCGTATGAAAATCACTAGAAGGCTACAATGGTTGCATATTTTGCTACGGACAAACAGGCAGTGGAAAAACCTTTACAATGCAAGGGTCCCGTAAAGACAGTCCAGGGATCGTCCCTTTATCGATTGATTCAATTTTTACTTATATTCAGCAAACCCCTGACAAGAGCTTTTTGCTCAGATGTTCATACTTAGAAGTATACAATGAATGTGTCAATGATTTACTAAATCCTTCTCTCCTTAACCTCCAAATCCAAGAAGACAAGCAGGTATCATTTAACTAGAGCGGTGTTAAAGTAGTAGGAGCCACTGAAACTGTATGTACATCAATCAGCCAAGTGAACTCACTGCTCTACCTTGGGGAGACCCACAAGCAAATCGCAAGCACAAATTTTAATATGAGAAGTTCAAGGTCTCATACGATTTTTAGAATGATAATAGAATCAAAAAGCAGAAGTGAAGCAGATAATTGTTTAAATGTCGCTACACTGAATTTGATTGATTTAGCTGGAAGTGAAGGGGCCAATGTCCATGGCCCTACTGCATCAGCTCACAGGACAAGAGAGATGAGCTTTATTAACAAGGTAAATTTTATATAGAGTCTGCTTACTTTATCAACAGTAATCATGAGGCTGAGCGATAGAACTAGCAACACGCCTATCCCATATAGAGACAGCAAACTTACTAGACTTTTGCAGCCATCGTTACAGGGTGAGTCTAAAGTTGTGATTATTTGCAATATTTCACCAAGCCTTGACTCTTATGAAGAGTCTTTGTCAACTCTTAAATTCGCCCAGAGAGCCAAAAAAATAAAGCAAATAATTGTAAAAAATGAAATACATGACAGCAAAGCACTGATAGTGAAATATGAACATGAAATAAAAACACTTCAAGAAAAGCTGAGAGATATGGAAACCAAGCTGTTTGAAGAATCAGAGAGTCAAGATTACAATGATACAGTCGTAAAAATGGAATTAAAACTCTCCACAATCCAAGAAGAAAAAGACCAACTTGATACCAAGATGGAAAGTCTCATGCAGGACAAGCTAGAAATGCAAAGTGAATTAGAAAGGCTGAGATCAATGATTTTGGTATCTGAAAATGTTAAAATTAACCCAGAAAGTAACGATGCTGAGCAATTCACTGAAAATAATTCAAAACTTAATGATAGAAGAAGAGTAAGGCTAAGTGTTATGAGAGAAAGTGTATCAGGGTCAAGCCAGTCTATAGCAAGAGTTTCCTATAGACCTTCAGAAATTTTATTAAAATCTGGCAGTGACATAGAAAGCCGTTTTAGAAAATTCCCAACAATCGATGAAAGCAAAGTTCCTGATATTTCTGATTCAGGTGAGTTTCGTGAAACCATGCTGCTTGATAAACTAGATAACTTAAAAGAGCTGCTTGAAAGTGAAGAACCATTAGAAAGGATGTCAATGATGCTAACACCTCAAGACATTCAAGAAGCTAGGGAGTTTATTAGGCATTCAGACGCTCATGAGAAAAAAGAAGAGCCACAAATAGACTTTATTGCAATCATACAAGAGCAGGATGGAATCATACAAAGCCTGCAAGGTGTTATTGAAGAAAAAGATGAACAAGTGGCGCTGCTTAAAGACGAACTAGAACTGTGTAGAGCAAATCTGGCAAGAATCCAAAAGCAACTAAAAGAAATGAAAAATAAATAGGCAATATCTAATTATATAAATTATTATTAATGGAAAATTTCAAGAATTATGATGAAAGTCTGCCTTACTCGCTAAAAACGGTGTTTTTAGCTGGTAACTTGCCACAAATAAGCCCTAATAAGCCTAAAACCCAGAAAGAAATAAGAAGAAATAACCCTTACTATATAAGTTTTGATAATTCTCAGGCTAAAAGAATTAAGGATTATAGTGTTTATCAGTGAAACGATGGGATTTTTGAGCTAAAAGACCAAGAATCGTCTTTTACAGAAAAAATCAATTACAGTGGCTGCATTCCGAAGATTTCTCCGATAGAGCAGAGAATAGCGTTTCAGCAAGCACGACTGTTGAAAGTGCCATCAAAAGACAATAACAATGACAGTCTCCAGCACTTCAAAAAACTCATTGAAAAATCTTTAAACAAGTCAAGAAAACCTGCAAAAATAACTGAAAATACACAATGTACCCCAGACATTGAAAAAATTGATATCAGTAAATTTTTAGATATGAATAAGCCCAAACCCAAGTCCAAAAAGCTGCATTTATTAAAAAATGAAAAGAATAGTGCTATAAGTCCTTATAAACGATTTTTAAATAGAATCCCAACTTTAAATAACCCATATAAACGGGCATGTAAATCTCGATCGGGATCACTTATGAATGAAAGTTTAACTGTAAGGCAAATAAATTCTCATAGAGAAAATTCCTTCAGGGATCAAACTAAGGAACAAATCTTGAACGGAATTAGAGACAGTCTCCTATATCTTCCATATACTCATAAAAGAACAGCTAAGCATAGAAAGTCCAAAGATAGTGTCTATACAGAATCTTCTGGTGAAGAACTACTGTTGGATAGCAAATTAAACTCATAGCATGCTAATTAAAATTTTATGAAAAAATTATATTTATTTACTCCCCCCCCTCCGTGAGTGAACAAAACCATTAGAAAAATCCCTATTTTTTGCCCAAAAACCCACCCTCCGTGAGTGAACAAAAATTTTTTGAATAGAAAAATATTTTATGGACAAAAAAAATTGATATATAAATGATAATTAATATAATGAAATCTAGAGCTAATTCTGTTTAATTTTGAACGAATTGCATTTTAAAACATAAATTTTATAAATTAAATTTATATTTGTTTTCAAATTTTTGCAAATTAGGGATTTTTTTTAAATTTTGAAAAAAAAAAATATTTTTTATAAAATTTATATATAAATTTTTTAAAAAAAAAAAATTAACCCCCTCCGTGAGTGAACAAAATTTGTTTGTTCACTCACGGAGGGGGGGGGAGTTAGTAACTTAAAAACATGTTCGAAGCTCTTTACAAAATCCCAGAAATCAAAGAGTTTTTAGCATGTTTTCCAAAGGAGCAATGAAAAGGTTGCATTGAGGCAAGTATAGTGCTTGGCATAAGATGGACTATTAGTAGATTTCCTAATGGGTGTACTTATAGTCAACTTAAGGCAGAGGCAAAATCAAATTTTCAATGAACACAAAAAAAAGCTTCTGCAAGCTGAGAAGAACACTATAAGCCTAACAGAAACTCTTTCAGCACTGCAAAAGTTTCTGAGAGCCAGTTACAAAAAGAAAACAGAAAATACTCGAAAACGATGAATCAACAAAAAATTCCAAATCGCCTTAAATGTGTTAGCTCCAAAATCAAAGACCAGGTCCACCGTGACATTGCTTTATACAAATTCAAAATGAACTCTTCAAGAAACTCCTTAATCGAAAAAAGCGCCGAAATTGAAAAAATAAACAGTGGTGTACAAACAGAGAGAGTCTCACTTCCAATAAATGCATTACATTAAGATTTATAAGTTTTACGTCCTTTATGGGGTTGCCCAAACCCAGAGCTTCCCGCTGCATCTTCACCACACCGAGCCCACAGGCCGCTGGGCCGATCTGCCTTGTTACACCAAGGCGTGACTCCGCGCACTTTTGTCGACCAAGACGCACTTTCAATAAATGCAGTTGACGATTTTATCCCTCATATAAACTATGAGGATTTTTCTAGCCCTAACTATAGTGAATCTTTCAGAACGAAAAACAAGAGAAAGCAAAAAAAATTTTCAATTACTGAAGAAATCAAAGAGCCAAATACCCTCTCTATAGAAGATGCTCACTCCCCCCCCTCCGTGAGTGAACAAAAAAATTTTGTTCACTCACGGAGGGGGTTAATTTTTTTTTTTTAAAAAAATTTATATATAAATTTTATAAAAAATATTTTTTTTCTAAATTTAAAAAAATCCTAATTCGCAAAAAATTGGAAAGCAAATATTAATTTAATTTAGAAAATTTATGTTTTAAAAAGCAATTCGTTTAAAATTAAACAGAATTAGCTCTAGATTTCATTATACTAATTATCATTTATATATCAAAAATTTTTTCCATAAAAAATTTTTCTATTAAAAAATTTTTTGTTCACTCACGGAGGGTGGTTTTTTGGGCAAAAAATAGGGATTTTTCTAATGGGTTTGTTCACTCACGGAGGGGGGGAGTCAGGATATTTTCACTCACATAACCAATGGAAAAGATAGCCCTTTAAAAGCGAGGACTAATGGGATTAGGCTACTTGATATTGAGAAAAATGATAAAAGTGTAGTTGGGATAGCAGACAGATTTTTAAATAATCCTATGGCTTCTTATTTATCTAAAGAAAAAGGGTCAATTTCTGGCTTGCATTCTCCTAAGTTTATAGAGCGGCTTTTAATCCCTAGCAGTAACCCTACATCCAGACCTGAGACAACAAGTCCTTCCTATTTAATCAATTTTTAATAATTAATTAATTCATATTTATTTTACTATCATTACTTGCTGTTGACTAATATAAATGCATTTCACATTATTCCTTTCTTAATCTTAATTAATTTTATAACGTTTTGCGTCCACTACGGGGAGCCTTGTTCAGAGCTGCCACTATATTTATCCACGTGCCGGGTCCATGGACCTCTGGATCTACCCACTTCGATTTGCCAAAGGCACGCGTAAATACGGCATTCCGGCCTCGACGGGCTTTGCTGCCGCCACGGCTTTATTCGACTCAGCTCCTGCGCATGTTCCGCCTAAGGGTCACCTTCATTGGATGTGCTGAGGGTTAAAGACCTGAGTCTCTTGAGCGCACTGAGGAGCATATCCCAGAGTTAAAATGCTATTGCTGTGCAGAAGTTTTCAAGGTAAAACCCAACCCATAAATAAAATTGTTTGAAGGAGAGAAAATTAGTGAGATAATTTCACTCGAACCGAATGCCATTTTATTTATCACATTATTCCTTTCACTAATCATTACCTTGGTGTATGCAAACTTTTACAACCCTAAACTGAAGCAAGGCACGCTGACTTGCAATTCTTACGGGTGTCCTCCGACAAATTCAACAATACCTAGTGATCATTGCATAGTCGCAAACGGCGCAAACTATTATGTTTCGCCTTGCACAAAGGCTTCAACTCCTTATTGCAACACAACTACAGGATTATGCACAGCAAATCCAGCTATATCAGCTCTTTCATACCCAGGCGAAGCTTGCATAAGCAGTTCTAATTGCTACAATGGTGCTTCTTGTAATAAAGGTATCTGCTCTGGGAATTCTTACCTTCAAGAGTGCTCGTCTCACGAAGACTGCAGTCCAGGCTTAATGTGTGGACAAACAAATAAATGTATTGGACAGATTGCTATCGGAGTTAGCGGCTGCAGAGATTATCATGACTGTGTCAATTATGCTTCTTGCAATTTAACTTATAGCTCATTGAACGGCGTTTGTGTTCAATATGCAACTTTAAAAAACGGAGCTGTCGTCACAGACTGTGAAAATGGGTTTTCCCATATGTGTGCTTCAGCAACATGCTCGAAAACTGGGGAAGATTTTTATTCAACTATTGGAGTCTGCACTGATGCACCTATGTCTACTAGCGCTTTACCTACCAGCTGTGCCGCTGATACAGACTGCCAAGGCACAAATTCAGATGGACTATTCTTAACCACCTGCGAATGTGGCTACACAAATCCAGGAAAAGCCTTCTGCAAGCCTTTTATTGGAGATGTGCCAGGCCAGAATTTTATTAAAGCTTGGGTAAGTGCGATGAAAGCAACTAATAAAGTCTGCAATACAGCCAGAAGAGCGGCCAACGCATGCTTAACTGTTGCAGGAGCTTATGAATCAGCATTAATGGCAACCTGGGAGTTTGATTATTATACAGCCCTTCAAGGAAATGATGCATGCGTTAAAGCTGTTATTACTGATGATTACTGGCAGCCTTCTGGAAGCATTTTCTTAATGCTCTCCTGCATTTCTGCTTTATTCTTATAAGAGCTAATTTATTCTTATGATAATTTATACCTTACTCGCCCACGTAGGGAGGTTAATTTTTTTTAGCAAATTTATATAAATTTTATAGTAAATTTTTTTTTCTTCGAAATTTAAAAATCCTAATTCGCAGAAATTGAGAAGTAAAAATATATTTAATTTGCAAAATTTATGTTTTAAAGTGCAAGCTGTTTAAAATTAAACAGAATTAGCCTGAGATTTCATTATAATAATTATCGAAATATTGTTTTAAAAAGAAAAACTTATATAAAAAAAATTTTGTTCGCTCGCGGGGATGGGTTTTTACCCCAAAAAATATGGTTTTTTTCAGTTTTTTTTTTCTCTCACATTGGGGAGTTAGCTTCTTCTTGTGTACTTGGCTTTGGGAGTCTTGCTTTTAATTTTTCGAAAATTGCAAGAAGTTCTTTGTCTACTTGCTCTGCACGAATGAAAATATCAATATAAACCAACGCTTTGTTTACATCATATTTTTCATAAGCTAGCTTAAATGCTTCTCTCAGTTCCCAGAAAAAGTCGCTTTTTGGATAAATTCTGCATGCCGTTATAAGTTTCCATAATGCTTTCGAGCTTAATTCTCCTAGCTCCATAACCCTTCCAGAAGCACAATTGAAAATTTCTTCATCAAATTTGCCTACTTTGTAAAATCCAAAAGCAAAAAGACTGATGACATGACTGTCAGCATTTTTGTAATAAAGCTTGAATTTCTGCTTGCAGACTTCTCATAAATCATCTGTTTTTACTTCAGCAATCCCTAGTATATATACTATAAGACCAAGCTCTTTTGGCTGAAAATCATTTATAGACGCTAAAATTCCAGGAAGAAGATCGCTTACAACTGCTTTTGAGTCGTCCAGTTCATGATAAGAATTGAGAATAAGCATTATATCCTTTGGGTTTCTTAATTGTGATCTATTTTTTACGATACACTCCGTTAAGGCAGGCTTGAGATATTCAGATAGCCATCTATAATGCCCCATTATATCACATAAATTTGCAATCTCCCTAGAGTCTGCTGAAACAATATCATCGCAGATCGATACTATTAAAGGCTTTAATGATTCATAATCTGGCTCTTTTCCTAAATATCTCAGCAATCTTGATCGATGAATAAGGCTTAGCGAGCTTAATCTTCTATTGATTTCACCTTTTGATTTTTCAATAAAATTAGTCAGCTGGCCTAGAGGTATAAAAGCTTGAACCAAGCTAACCAACTGTGAGTCTGTAGCTTTCCCTAAATTTGATAAAGCTTTTTTGGCCATAGCTTGATAGAGATTTGGCTTTGAATAATTCGCAGTTCATAATATCCTTACAAGCCAATAAATGTTTTCTAGGTGCAGCTCATTTTTAAGCTTAAATGTTCTATTAGCAACAGTATTATAAAAATCTGAGCCACCTTTGAATCGCTTTCAGAAGATTTTGGCATAATTTACAAATAAATCTTGGTCACATGATTCTAATTGTTGAAGAACATAAGGCTCAGCAATTAGATAGAGCTTATCTCCATAATTTGTTTGAGAAAAAGCTTGAAGAGTGTCTAGAGAAGACCAAGGACTGTTCTTTATAAGATCTTCTCCTAGAGAAGCTAAAGATTGCCACGTTTGAGGATCATGAATTTGAGGTTTATCCCAATAAAGCTTTACAAGATTAGGAAATTCTTTGATTTCTAAGTCGCTACCATCTAAGGATTCTGGGAGTTTATGATCTTTGTGTGTACCTTGTATCAATGCTTGTCTATATTGTACTAGTTCGCTAGCCCTGCAAATTCATCTCTTGATAATCATTTGCATTTTGTATCAATAAAATGAATCTTAAATTTCAGGAAAGCATTGATAATTGCCAAATTTTAATAATAAAGCTGCTTAATAAAACAAATTTACGCTATTTTCTAATATATACATTAATTCTCAACTGCTTTCAGGTATTCGTTTTCAATTCTTTTAAGCTCGACTTTATAAATTGACCATGCTAGCATCGAAAGCTCGAAATCTTTTGCATTCATACCTAGCTCACAAGCCCTTAGCCGCTCTTCCCACTCCTCTTCTGGCAGACTTTTCCACTTTTTATTTTCTTTATTTTTCATAACTGAGATAATGTTCAATAGATTTTCTTTTTCAACTAATATTTTTTCTCTCGCATTATCATATGTAAAGCCAGGTGGGCTGCTGTAAAATAGCCTTACATCTTGCAGTGAAAATAAATTATTATCAATGCATTTCAATACAAGCTCTTCTAACATTACTGTTTCGTTCTGTAATAGAGCTGCAAGATCTTTTAGTTTTGAGCTTTCATAATCAATCTCTTCATCTTTGGCAGGTATAGGGATTTTTTGTTTAAGAATGTGTCTAATCAAAATAAATAGCATCGATTTAGAAATGGATCCATCCATGCCATATCCAACTGCCTTTACCAGCATCTCAATCCCGTCTTCTATTTTTTTCTGAAAATCTTCATAGTGATCAACAATTATTTGCAAAAATATTTCAAGATCAATTAGCCCACACGCATTTATGCGTTTAGGATCTGGCTTATTTTTAGAGTCTACCTCAGCTTGGATTTTTTGAATCGCACTTCTTTCGAAAAAATCAAGTTTTTCCTTGATGCATTCATAAGCCCTATTTATCGGGAACATATTGTGTTCAGCGCTTTCTTCATACCAGGTCATAATCCCAACTTTAGAAGTCAGCATGTGATGTAAGCAATTCAGATATAAGGAAAGGCTGACTCGGCTGTAGTTTCCTTTCTTTATGTAGTCACCACATTCTAAAAATCGTAAAAATACTTCAGATCTAGCTTGCTCAGCATACACAAACAGCGATGCCATAAAATCCAAAAATTTTTTATCGCAAACAGTCTTCAACTTATACCGTTGGTCAAACTCATCATATGCTAACTCCAAAAGTTCAAATGTTTCATCAGCTTTAAACTTTTGAAAAGCCACTTGATATATCGATGCTAACAATTTATTAACTAGCCTGAAACTCATTGATGACCTTTTTTTGACCTTTTCAAGGCTTTTTGACATCATTTTTCCAAAAAGACTAAAAACATAATGGGACTTTTTGTGAGCTGCTGCGTGGCTGACTGGATGATGGAAATTAAATTCATCGAATTTTGTGGTTTCTTTATAAAATTTTTTGTCTCTGCTGCCGTTAAATGATTTCTGGGATTTCCATATAGAGCTAGACGATCTGCGGGAAAAATCTTCAGACCTTCTGCTTCTGCCTTCTGGGATTTCTATTGGAGGGATTTCTTTGGTTATATTTGATTCTTCGTCTTCTGAGTACTCAGACTCTGACGAAAAGTATGATTCTGATATGGTTTTCTCGTTGAGAGCTTTGACGTAGCCTTCGATTTGTCCTTCTTCTTTGCCAAGGTTTTCTCCAACTGTAAACCCTTGGGACTTCCCAAATTCGATGCCAGACAGAAACCCATCTTTCCAAGAGTTTTTGTTTCCATCATCAGGGATCAGAGTTCTTATAGTTTCAAGGTCAAGATCAGCAAAACTTTGAATAGAAATATTAGATAGGCTTTCAGGGATTTTTGGAATGACTGAAATAGATCTTCTTTTTACTTCTTTTAGAGGAGATAAAAGTGACTGCACAACGTTTTGTTTCTTCATTTCTATATCTTTGTTCATTTTCTCGAGGAATTGCTTTCTCAGCTCAATTTCTTTATCAAGTTTCCCAAGCTCTTCCATTTTGGATTGATAGAGTTTTTCATTATCAAACATTTCAAGGTCCTCAGAAGCCATCGTCTGATATCTTACTCCGAATGACCCAACTCTATGGTGAGGTGTTCCTAGCCCGCTTTGAAAAATATTATGCTCAGTGATAATAGAAATATTTGACACCATGCTTTGGTCAACTATGCTTTCAGCGTCATGCTCTGCATTTTTTTCACTGGGGATATTATTGTTTTCTAAGGTATTATCAAGCTCTTCGATAGTTTTTGCTTCCTTGATCATTACGACTTGGTTTGTGAACTGCTTTTTTAGCTCTGTTGGGCCAGATGCATGGCTGTCAGTAAAAGAAATTTCAGAGGAAACTTCGCTTTGTTGAGGGAGAGGGTTTTCCCCAACCATTGTAGAAGACCTAGCCATTATTTTTTCAGTAGGGTCTAATAGCGGCTCAATACTGTTCCGAAACGACATTTCATGGGCTAGAACGTGTATTTTTATATTTGAGCTATAAAAGATTTCTTTATCAGTTTCCTCCATAATGGCAGACTGATCATTCATGATTTCATAAAGAAGTTCCTCGAACTCTACTTGTGTTTCTTTATCATTTATGTTATTTCCAGCCACATTTTGCTCTTGTGGTGTTTCTTTATTTTCTAGATTTTCATGTTTTACGGGTTGTTCTCCATCAAATGCTTTTTCTGAGACTGTAGGGTCTTTTTTTGGACTATTGTCTTTGGCCATATTCATTAAAGTTTTTCTAATATTAGTCCTTCTCCTTGCATTTTGCCTCCAATTCACAACAGAAATTGGTGTATTTTGGTCTTTCCCGGCAGTTTTCATGCTATGCTTTTTACTGAATTTTGCCATTTCATTGAATTTTTTATTCCACAACTCTTGTTGTTCATTAAAAGATCTAATTGAATCTTTCCATCGTAGCTTGTACACTCTTATATCACCTTTGAGCTTATTAATAATGTCATCTTTAATTTTAAGGCTGCTTTTTCATTCCAAGCTTTCCTTATTATGATCTTCAGCTGCTTTCTGCTGTAAATTTTGCATTTCTTCTATTTCTTTGTTGTGCTTTTCTTCAATTTCTTTCACATAATTAAGCATTTTTTCTTCTTTTTTCATATAAACGCCTGGTTCTTTTGAGAGCAGCTCTTTTAAGAGGTCGCCTCTTTCTTTGCATTGAACAGTTACTTGCCGGATCATTTCTTTGCAGCACATAGAAAAAACCATTTCTACTTGGTCAGGGTCATCATAGGTTTTATTCATTTTTTCATATCAGTCTCTGAGCATTAGGACTTCTTGTCGGCCTGAGGGATTTCCCAAGTCAAACCATTCTGGAGTTTCTGGTATATTTGAATTTAATTGTGAATTAAAGTCAAAGTTTACCATTGAATTTGAGCCTCTTGATTTTAGAGGATGCCTAAGCTTTTTCTCAATTACAAAATCCAGGCAGTTTTCTCTAATGCAATGATTAGGAGAATTCACTTCGTGAGGAGACAGAATAGGCGAAGCCATGAAATCAGTTGATTCCATTAATTTTTTTAAATGATCAATATCTGACGGAAGTGCTGGCAAAGTAGTTGAAGAATTTCTTTTTAACTTGTCTTTCAGGTGCGAAACATCTCTCGTATTCAGAAAAATATTGGATTTTTCGCTTTCTTTAAATTTTACATTTTCCTGCCTTAGCAATTCTCTGATTTCTTCTGCTCCCATTGTTCTTAGGGCGTCTAAATCGACTTTGCTTTTATTTCGCCTTTGGGTTGTCTTCAAAATCAGCCTGTTGGGATATACAGGGCTCCTAACATCATCTCTTAAATCTCCTAATAATTTACTACGATACATTTTATTAATAAGCACCTGCAGTAAGCTGTTCCAAGAAAGCTTGAAAATGTTCTTTCCTCACCTCTATATAAGTGTCTTCAAAGAAATCCCTCCTAAAATCAGCTTCAACTGCTTGGGCTGCTTCGTGGAATCTCCACCCAAAGTCGTTTCTCTGCTGCACTGCACTTGTAACTCCTGTGACTAGAAAAGTGTTTCTTGATGTGTTTAAAACACACAAAACCATCGGCTTCGGCCTGATATTGCTTCGGAGCTCTCTATAAGCTTCCATAATAAAAGTAGTCAGCTTTTTAAGTGACAGAGGATGATGGAAATATTTTGTTTGATTTAAACTGTCACTTGAAATAATGGCATATCTAAAATCTGCGGCTGGGTTTACAGCTTTTTTCTCTATTAAAATAGTTCCTTGTTGGACTATGGCTTTTTGCTGGTCTTGAGCTATTTTAATCCCTTGCTCAAGATAGTTTACATCTAATAGGGCATCATGAGCAACCCAAAAATTGTTCAGCCATTTTTCACGGTCATTTGATTCTTCTTGGTCTCCTAACAAGGTAGGTGACTCTAATAGTGCAGTAACACTATAAACTACATCAGAGGCTGAAAATTGTTTTTTTCTGTTATACTGCCTTACACAGGTGGTTAAGAATAAATCTTCTATCTCATAAGTAGCGCCTATTTGCTGCAGTTTGTCCTTGAGAGTTTTTTTATACATCGGCTTCATGAAGCAAAAATCTTGTCTGCACTCTTGTAAAGGGATTCCTAGCTGCGCGATTATTTCGTTTAGCCTTCGTTTTCCAGGCTCTCGCCATATCCCTAACTTGCAGGCTACATAATCAGAATAATATAAAGAATCATATAAACTCCAGTGCCTATATAGCATAAGTTTCAGGTCTTTATGCTCAATATGGATATTTCCAGGAGTTTTCTTTTCTGTGTCAAAGTCCTTGGGCTCAATAATTCCATTGACTGTCCTTTGTTCGGAGTCCTGGTCCATTTCTTCAGCCTCTTCTCCACGCTGCTGATATGGGTGCTCATTAAGCCTCAAGACTTCTGTTAAGCACTCATTGATCCTTTGCTCATACTCAGACCTGTCGATTTTTCTGTGTAAATATTGGTCTGTCAGTCCTACAATCCACATCCAAAGCATATCGTTTGTAGCACGATTCATCTGCTGGGCCAGCCTATAAATAATCCCAGCAGTGCTGATACCGAAATAAACCCCAGTTGGGTCTGGGTCATTTTTGAATCGCTTGCGCGGCTTGTCTTCTCTACCTTCCCGCCTTCTTTTTTGGCCTGGTTCGTTTTCAATTTCGCTTTCCTCTTCTTCTTGGTCTTCAGGTTCTTCAACAAAAGTATCGTCTATGAGTTTTACGTAGGCACTTTTTATATTATCAGCCCAAAAAGGCCTCTCACTGTCAAATACGTAAGAAATTAAATTCTTTTCTGGGCCTAATTGAGTCAAATCACAAGATCCTCCACAATTAAGGAAAACTAAGCATCTCAGCTCTGGGTCTGTAAATGAAGCAAGTTTCTCTTCAAGCTCTGTATAATTTGCAACAGGAATTACTCTATATTGGACGGTGTCTTTATGCAGCATTTGTGTCAGGATTTTGCATGCAGCTAAGGCATCACAGTCACCTGAGACAAGAATTGCTAAAGAGCATCCTCTTGAAAACGAAGTTTGGCGAATTTCATCATAAATTTCGTTAAGTTGGCTAAGCGGGATCAGCATTTTATTAGTAAAAATAAATTAAAATCATATTTTAGCTTATAATTATTTTTAAGTCAGATAATTTTTCTTTTTTTATAGACCCAAATAACGCTATTCGCCTTCTCTGCACCAAATTAATTTTATAGAGCTTTTTATGACTACTTATTTGAGCAATTTGTATTAAAATCTTAATTATTTAATCCCTCTTAGTTACAAAAATATTTTTGTTCTTTTTTGATATTCTTCCTCTATTATTCGCCAGCTCATCCCCTTTGCAAAACTTAAAAATCCAGCTACTTAGATGAGCCTGCTGAATCCCAAACTTTTTAGCTATTGCGTTCAGGTCTCTGTTAGCCAAATACTCAGTGACCACTTTTATTTTAAATTCGCGTGAATAAAGTCTTCTTCCTTCAGGAGAAAATTGAAGATCAGACTCTGAAAGAGCGTTGCCTTGGGCTAGTGAATCTGAGGATGGATAATATACAAAATTGTTGTCAGAAGCTTCAAGAATTGTATCTAAAATGTAGCTAGATACTCCCAAACGTATCCCTGAAGCCCTAGTTCCGAATTTTTGAACGTATGTTATAAGAGAATCACGTATAAATATAAAAAATTTGTGCAGTTCAGGCTTGAGATTGCCTAATAAAGCGTGAATTGCATCATGCGAAGTTTGGGACAGTTGAGATGTGCGGTCAACACCAATTGTAAGAGCTAGGACTTCTAAATCGATATTCATGGCATCAGCCATTAAGAATGGGGCTTTTGACATATTTATTTTTTAATAAGAAAAAATGTATAATTAATTTGTTATTTTAAATAATTTAATTAATCTTACCCACTAGCTTAACTTTACCTTGATATAAAATTTCAAACTTCCCTGTATCACATATTGGGCTATCTTTTCTATCAACTACCACTTTAACTAAATCTGCTAGCACTTGCTTAACAAGTAACTCAGTCACAGGAGTGCTATAATCCATTGCTGGGCTTGAATTTATTTCTATTAGCCATGGTTTTAAATTTTCATCTATCATAAAATCATAGCCAAGGATTTCAAACGATTTTCTTCTCCCAAAATTTCCAACGGACAAAATCGTGGCTTTCACTATTTCTTTTATTTTTAAAAATATTTCACTCCACATGTCTCTTCCGTAAATAGAGAATAACTGTTCTTTAAATCGATCAATATGCCACATGCAGCCATCTTCAATTCCATCAAACGCTTCAGAGTTTTTAGAAATGCTGTTATTTGTTAAATGGACAAATAAGTTGTTAAGATTCTCAGCATTGTATTTTTCCACGCTGAATCTGAGGTAGCATTCGTTGTAAATCCAAATTATAAGTGGGTCTGAAGAAGAAATTAGCACCCATTGTCGGATGTCAAATTTTCTTTGGTCGAGCAATAGAGGATTTTCAATATATTTTTGAATTACCCACTTTTCAGAGTTATTTACGTAATTCCTTATATTATAATAGAAATAAATGCTGACTTCGACGGGAGATGGACTAAGAGGCTCACTTCTTATAGAGCAGGTAGGCCCGATGAAGCAGAAAATAATGTCTCTGTCACTTTTTGAAGTAGGCTTTCGGGTTTAGGGATGCAGGCCGAAGAGGGAAGTTTTGTTTCTCCCAAAAACTTTTCCCGGTCTTGCCAGAAGGGCTTGACAGGTTTTGTTTCCCACTTAGTCTTTGCCTATCCTGATTGAGGGGGATCCGCAAGAGGTGGCTCTAACCTAAGGAGATAAGCAGGCTAGTGGTCTATCTGCTTATGGCATTATAATTTTAAATGAGCTTACCTTATATCATTAAGTTCTGAAAATATAGCAATATCCCTTCCTCTTGATTTCCCCCCTGGTTTTACTATCCATATCTTGCCAGTCCCATTAATGAAAAACTGAGGGTCAGCCTCTGAAAGTCTTTCAAGACAAGATTTCGCTAAGTTCATCAGCTTATCTGTTTCTTCCAACGAGTCAATTTTGAGCTCTTTCAAATAGCTTGAAACATCAAACGGAGTATTTGAAATCAGATTCCTTCATTCCACATTAGACATCAAAGTCATCTGCTCACCACCTGTATTTCTCCTATTAAAATCAATCCACCTTTCTAAAATTACTATACACAGCACCAATTTTTCCATCAAAAACTCATCATTTTTTTCCAAAAATTGTTTATACTTCTTTGCTATAATTTCTTATAGCCTTCCATGTGTAGGTTTCTGTTTCACACGTTGAAAAATCTTTTGCATGTGGAAGCAAGCCAATAAGCAGGCTTCACATGCTAAAAAAAATTTTCCGCGTGTGGAGCAGAATTCCACACGTGGAAGGCTATAAGTAATTATAGCAAGAAATTATAACTCTTCCTGTAATCCTTAAAATCTTATAGTGCTCTAAAAACTCATTCATTTCATCCTTAAGTTTAAAACACCTTGGGAAAAATTGGGAAGAGCCTGATTTAGGAGCATTCAGTCGTTTTAAGTTAGAACAAAGCCTTCATTTAGTAACAAGTTCTTGGTTTTTAGGGAAATGGTTGCAAACTTGCCAATCTTTTATTAAGATTGGCACTTTCCCTTTTCTTGATCACAAAAAATCATAAAATGTGCTGTTTACATCTGTATTTTCAGCCCAGCCTCTTTCAAGAAGTGCTGCTCGAATATCAGGGTATTCTCCGTTTATGATGAAAACTTTGCAGTCTTTTGAAAATCCATGAGCGGCTTTTCATGAATCTAGGCTAGTTAGTTTTCTCTGAATAGCATTTGAAGTAGAAATTGGCTTAATTTTTTCAGCTGCCTTAGGATTTAAATGACTAGACTTTAATTTAACTTGCGCCATGCTATTAGATCGAGACATTGGCGGTTCTTCAGCTGCTGAATTTTTTGATTTTTTAATAGAATTATCATCTTTAGATTTGGTAGGGGCTTTTATTTCTTCCTCATTTGAGTCCATAGTAGGCTTTTTAGGCTTTATGGTGTTTTCTTCAACAAGAGGTTTCCTTTCTGAAAGCATATTAATAAAAGTTACAAAATAAAATTCTTTTTAATAAGATAATCAATTTAATTATTTCTATAATCTATCTGATGCCCAAAAAATAATACATATCCTGCATCGATATTAGGGTACTGATGGTTATCATTCATTTCTGTCATTCGTGATTCTGGGTTAATTAGCTTCACATACACAAATTTGCCTGAGAAAATTTCTATCAAGCTTATCCGGATTTTATTGCAGCTCCTCTTTGTGAATTTTCCCCAAATCATTGGTTTCAATGCATTTTGGGTCCAATTGAATATCATGCACTGATATCCTTCTTCTTTTTCTTCAATAAAAGAATACTGCTTCGGGATTTTTATATCATTTTCTTGCAAATTTTGTATATCGTCTACAGTAAATAAATTGTCATAAGCCTTTAACTCTTCACTTTCTATATCAATGCTACTATCACTTATGAAAGCCATAAAAGTTTCCACTGGACATGTGAAATTCCCTTCACGGCTGAATTCGAGAGCCCTTATTGAAGCTACAATGCTGCTGTTTTCTACAGCTGTGTAGTCTATAGGCTGGATTAAGACGTAAGGGTCTTTTTCATTTCTCCTGTACTTCTCAATTTTAGGCTCATGCTTCACTAAGACTTTGTAAATTCTTTCATATTCTTTCATTGCATCGCGCTTAGCTTTTGTGCTTCTAATATTATCAGTAAAAATGCGTCCAGCTTCCCTCCAAGCCTGCTTATAGATTTGTTCCTCATAATAGCTAGGCTCATCCCCTTCATCTAAAACATGATGTGGATAAATTTCTTTCTTAACTTAACTTAGTATTGGTATTTAAGGTGTCTAATGCTGCACCCTAATAAATAGGGCTATAGCTAAACTAGTGACGTCTCGAGCCATCTTGGAATCGCGATGGTCAGCCCACCGGCCAAGCCTTCTATCGACGCTTCGCCTCAGTCGCTGCACATCTCACCCGGCGGCGCGTTGCCGATGCCTTGCCTTGACTCAGCTCCTGCGCGTGTTCCACCTAAAGGTCATCCTCCCGTGGGGATGTGCTGAGAGGTAAAACTCTGAGCCTCTTGAATGCACTGAGGAGCTGTTTCTTTGGTTATCCCCAAAGTTAAACAGCTATTGCTTCGCTGAAGTTCTCGAGAGAAAACTCAAACCTCATAAATAAAATTCCATGAGGGAGAGAAAATTAGCAGAGCTAATTTCTCTCGAACCGAATGCCATTTTATTTATGGATAAATTTCTTTCAAGATCCTATTTTTCCTTACCAGTGATACAGCTTCATGACGAATTCTTTCATAATCTTGAAAATCCAATGTAGAAGAAAGTACGCCAGCTATATTCAGATTGAGTTTATTATCTCTCGTACAATAGCCAGGACCATTCTCATGGAACAATGAGTCAACCCACCAAATCACTTCGTCTTCGTCAACACCGCCAGTTGTGGCAAAGCCTGTAAATTTCAATTTTTCTATACTTGATCTATGAAGCGCTTTGCTCAAAAGATCTTCTGTTTTTACTTTTGATAGACAGAGAGATTTTGATAGATGGAAAACATTGGATAGATATCGAGAAAGATTGTAGGGGTGTCGGGAAATTGAAAGAAAGTCTCGATTCAACAAGCTAAAGCTGAGAAAAACTTCAGGGATAGAAAGATACTGCATAATTTCACCTAAAAGTGCATCTGGGAGGATTTCCATGATTTTATTATTAATTATTGTGTTTCTTTAATTTTTATCCCCAAAAACTCAAAATTTAAACCTAAATGTGTTTAGATAGATAAAATGCAATATAATTTTTCTAAAATTTTGGTATAATTTTTAAAAGTTATGAATTAATAAAGCCTTAAGCTTTAAAAACACGTACCAAAATTATGATATTTTTCTCATTAAAATTCTTCAATGGGCTATATTTTGTGATCTCATTCTTGACATTACTTTCCTTTGCCATATCCCAAGATGACACTCGTGAAGAAACACAAAATAAAATTGGATTGTGCTTTTTTTTCTGGTAAAAACAAAGATAAATATTGAGCAAATAGAATTTAAACATTTTTGCAGTCTTTTTTAAAAGATATGCTAATTTCTGCAAAATAAAAAGCATGATTTTGCAGTGCGTACAGACAGTAACGACTGAAGATGCACTTAATTCTGTGGAAAACTCTTATTACATAAGAAAAAGAGGCTCATTCGCTAACAATCATTTTTTATAAATAAATTATTTTTAATAGAGATGATAACGGTTCAAAGAATTTCAATAATTTTAAGCATGCATAACTGCCCTTATTAAATTAGAATAGTTGTTCACACAAGAAATTATTGCCTCTTGGGAAATTTTTTCTTTCCAAGAGACTTCTTCTATGATAAATTTTCCTGTTCCATATGGCGCTACTTTTGAAAAAATACTATATTGCTCACTATTATCATTATTTTGAGCCAAAAATTGACTTAACAAATCTCTTGGGATTGGCTCATTTAAAGAATATAGAACTTTCTCTTCAATAGCGCGATAAGGCGCATTCCTAGGTTTTACCGATGAGTCTTGGACCTATGAAAAACTGTTATTCCTTATTCATGGGGGAGACAAACAGCCTAAATAAAGAATTCTGCCTGATCAATCTCGAGAACTTGAAGAGAGGCTGTGTGGAAAAATTACATTTTGGTTCGTCAAATAGATCTGACGAGCCAATTCTGGCCAGTACTTGAAATAAAAAATGAATTTTATTAATTTTCTGATGAAGAGTATGATCAGAAATTTAATATAGAACTTTCACTTCAATAGCACGATAAGGCGTGTTTCCTGGTTTGACTAAAAGTTCTTTGGCAGCTGAAAGTCTGCTTTTTCTTCTTTGTAGGAGAGGCAAACAGTGAAAATGAAGAGTTCTACCTGATCCAGTTTCGAGAACTTGAAGGAAGGGTTCTTTGCCTGACTAAAGACTTTTAAAGAAGATTAAATTTAAGAGTTTTTAACTTAAGAGCCCAGACTTTAGCGAAATGCTCTGTTTGGGTTAAATGGAAATTCTTGAAGTTTAAATTCAGCAGACCTGCAATGTGGGCAACTAATTACAGTGCTCAGCCGACATTCCTGATGCATTGGCTGAGAGCAGCAAGATGTGTAGGAAAGTTGACCCCTGTTTGAAAAGCAGATGATGCAAGGATTAAGTCTGGAATCCTCAGCCACTTCCATTTCATCTGATTCGAGAGACAGTCTAGAAAGGAGCTTATCAATATTTGCATTGATATATCTCTTAACTGTGCCTCTTCTTTTGATTTTAGGCAATTGAGCTGTCAGTCCAGCACTCATGTGTGCATTGAGCATTTTAATGGCAACTTCCGAGCCATCTTGCCCAAGTCTATTGTTGCTTGCTGATCTTCTTTCTGGGTGAAACAGCAGGTTGCTTGGCTCGTAGTAGTATCCAATAATGATTAGTAAAACATGTAATTCATTTTTCAATGATTTGATTACATTTTTGCATTCGAGATCTGAAAACTTTAGAGAAAGAACTTATTTTCTATTAGATATCTCGCAGATTCATTGCTCATTATTAAGTTTAAATCTTTATCATCATCAGCTATGTGCATCAATTATTTTTAATGCTCCATATACTCCACAATTTGCTTTTGTAGAAAGAGTTATTAGTTTTATTAAGCGAAAATTTAAGAGTATTCAAGAAGGACTTATTTTAAACAAATTAGAAATATCAATTAATTATGCTGCTGGAATGATAAATATGAAAGCATTAATGAAAAGCATTGTTGAAAAATATTCTATATTAGCTTTAAGGGGTCAAGATCTAGGAGATTAAAATGAAAATAGTGTGTCAATAACTTTTTGATTATTTTAAGATAGTAAAATATTAAAGTTAAAAAAAGAAATGGCTTAAGTGAACTATACAAAAAGTTACCCCTCATGGAGCGAGCTCCTATAAGAAATCAGGTTCTGTATTAATTGCAGATCTTAATGATTTTAAATGAAGTTTTATTCAACTAATGAAATTTTCTTGAATTCACCTGCATCCTATCGATCTCAACTTCGCTTCTCGTTTTGACTTATTAAATTAAAAATTTAAAAAAAATGGCTTAAGTGAACTATACAAAAAGTTACCCCTCATGGAGCGAGCTCCTATGAGAAATCAGGTTCTGAATTAATTGCAGATCTTAATGATTTTAAATGAAGTTTTATTCAACTAATGAAATTTTCTTGAATTCACCTGCATCCTATCGATCTGAACTTCACTTCTCTTTTTTCCATTTAAATCTTCTATTAAAAGTTTGAATTTTAAATTTTAAAACAAATTTAAGATGGTTAAGTCACCATGAAAAAATCAAATTATAAAAATCATTACTGGCATCGTCTCCCTAAGGCAGTAAAGAGTATTGATTACGTTATTTTTTATGCTTAAATTATCTCTTTAAATCTTCTATTAAAAGTTTGAATTTTGAATTTTTAAAAAAATTATTAAGATGGTTAAGTCACTATGAAAAAAGTCAAATTTTAAAAATCATTACTGGCATCGTCTCCCTAAGGCAGTAAAGAGTATTCATTATATTATCATAACGATTTAATTATCTCTTTAAATCTTCTATTAAAAGTATGAATTTTGAATTTTATTGTCAAAAGGAATTATTAAAATTCTGATCATACTCTTCATCAGAAAATTAATAAAATTCATTTTTTATTTCAAGTACTGGCCAGAATTGGCTCGTCAGATCCATTTGACGAACCAAAATGTAATTTTTCCACACAGCCTCTCTTCATGTTCTCGAGATTAATCAGGCAGAATTCTTTATTTAGGCTGTTTGTCTCCCCCATGAATAAGGAATAGCAGGTTTTCATATGTCCAAGACCGTCCGGTAAAACCTAGGAATGCGCCTTATCGCGCTATTGAAGAGAAAGTTCTATAATATTTTTTTGTCTCTTTCGGCAAATTTTTAGGAAAAAGATAAAGAAAATAATGATAATCTTCAATAATATTTTTTCTAAGAAGCCATGTTAAAACAGTGATCAATTTTTTGCCTTTAATTTTGTTAACCTCTAAATCCCTCAACATTATTGGAGACTGAAGCTTATTCAATAAGTCTGCAAAACTGCCAACTTTCCCTTGAAAAACTCTATCAAACTCTCCGTTAAGCACTTGCGTGTATTTTCAATTAGGCCCAACAGCAATTATGCTGTTTAAGCCTAGTGCTGGAATTATTTTTGCCTTTTTTCAAAACACTAGGTGCTGAGCTGCAGGGAAAAGGGAACTGTATGGAATTTCAAGTTCGTTGTTTATATCTTCAAAGCTTTTTATAGGGTTTCTGAAATGCTTTACCATTAATGACAAAATAGAAGACGTAAAAGGCCCAAGCTGCTCTTGGATTCTGAGTTAAAATTACTTATCGTAGAAGTCCAGCAATAAAAGGGAATGGTATGGCTTGATCTCAGGAATGTTATATTCGGGGGAAATTTGGAGATTGCATACAAGCCAGTTGTTTATGAATAGTCGGCATTCCCTATTAGATGAAACTGAAGAATAGATTTCTTGCAAATGCTTCGCTAGAAGACTTTCCTGCAAGGCACTAACTCTCTTCCCTCTTTAAAGGGGAGTTAATTTTTTTAAAAAAATTTAAAATTAAAAATAATTGAATTTTAAATTATTTTTACGAAGAATTGATTCAAAATTTATGAATTTGTTTAAATAATATTCTAATTGAGCTTTCCATTAAATTAGGTCAAACTATTTGTATTTTCACATATATAAAAAAATCGTTCCAAATTAAAAGCTTTAAATTACCCAAAAATGTAAAATTTTACCTACATTTTGTTCCAACAAAGGGGAGTAAGGACAAAAGACTCTTCATCATCAGTTGTGCTACTTATAGATTTCAATTTCGAAATTTCTGTGCTCAAAAAATTAGTCCTCTGATGTTCAAATTTCAAGGTTGTGTCTAATTATAAGATACTAAACCTAATTATGGCATCACGAATTCCTTGATGATATGCAAGCAGTGGAGAATCCATATCAAACACCATAATCACATTGAATGCAGAAATCTGTTCTTTTGTTTCTTTAATATCTTGCTCTATAAGTCTTAAGGACTTCGATCTTAAAATCCTTGATTTTTTCTTTAGCTTTGAGCCTAGAGAAATTGGGTATCCAATGAATCTTATTGATTCTATTGAGATATCCATAACTATATCTCATAGCTCTCGTTTTGGACATAATAAATCAGCAAGAACTGAGCATGGAAATCCAAGGACACTTTTGTTTCGGTCTAGCTAGATTTGCATTACCTTCTGAAGAAATCGCACTAAGACTGCTATTGAAGTGGACACTGTCGAAGTATGTGCAATGCTCTTTATAGATTGTATGAGGGTAACCGAAAATTATTTCTCTACCACTATGTACACCTTTGCAGGCAAAAAGGATTCCTTGCATCATTTTTTGTATTTAATTTAAATAATGCATAAAAGTTATATTTCAAACTTATGTCTATTTTATTTAAATTATGATTTAGAATTCTGTCAAAATATTTTATTTAAATCTCAAGATAAAGAACATATAAATTTAGCTGAAATTAAAATTTTCTTTAATCCAGAAATTATAAGCATATAATGGAAGGGGAGAGGAAAACTCGTATGCCAAGCAACAACCCTATCAAGCAGCAAAGGCTAAAAGGATATCAGCCAGTCCATACACTCCAGTCAACAATCTTGATTCTACTAGTCATTGGAGTTCTTTTCTTTATTTTTGGCGTTGCTCTATACCTTGAAGCTGATAAAGCAATAGAAATCACCCAAAGATATGATGATTTGCCTGAATGCCAAGTGTCATTAGATAATTCCACTACTTGCCGAGTAGCGCTTGACATAAAATTCGATATGAAAAAGCCTGTTTTTCTTTATTACCAGATGAGGTATTTTTATCAAAATTATCGAACTTATGTTAAATCTAAATCTTGGACACAGCTCCGAGGAGATGATATTGACTCAACAAAACTTGCAGACTGTGACCCAGTTGAGTATGTCAAAGATCTGAATGTCAAAAGCAGCCTGAACGGAGAAATATTGGATTCTGAATCTGTAGCCAACCCATGCGGCTTAGTTGCAAAGAGCTTTTTCAATGATACTTATGCATTTTATAATGCTAGTAATGACCAAATACCTATTAGAGAAACAGGGATTGCATTAGAATCTGATTTCGAAACATTTATCAATTCTGACAATTACAAAACGATTCAATGGATTGATAAAGAAGACGAGCATTTTATTAATTGGATGAAAATAGCTGCTATGAGAAAATTCTGGAAACTTTGGGGAGTTGTTGACCAAGATATCAAGGCTGGACAATACTTTGTCGATATTACTAATAATTATGATGTCTCAAAATGGGGAGGAGAAAAAGCGGTTGTCCTAACTACTGTAAATGCATTAGGGGCGAAGAACTTTTTCTTAGGATCAGTGTTCCTTTGTGCAGGCATCCTCTGCTGTATAGCTACTGTATTCTTTTGCAGTATGGGAGTTATGTCAGAGAAGAGAATTATTGAAGGCGACCATCTTAAATGGAAATAACCATAAAATTAAATCTCAGTTATTTTGCTTTATACAAACGATTCCTTAAACCCCCCTAGTGAGCGAACAAAACCAATGGAAAAAATCACTATTTTTGCTTAAAAACCCACCCTCCATGAGCAAACAAAAAATTTTTTTATAAAAAGTTTGATATATAAGTGATAATTAGTATAATGAGATCTCTAGCTAATTTTGCTTAATTTTAAACAGCTTGCATTTTAAAACATAAATTTTACAAATAAAATTAATGTTTGCTTTCCAATTTTCGCGAAATGGGATTTTTTGGGGAAAAAAAATTACTATAAAATTATATACAAAAAAAAATAGCCCCCCTCGTGAGCGAACGAAATTTTTTTGTTCGCTCACGGAGGTGGGGAGTTAGAGGAATCTCTAGATTTGGCTTGCAGCTTTCAAGAGTACTACTTGGAGATTTTGGAACTGTATATGGTGTCTGTATATTCGATTTGTGCCCTAATCTGTTTATTTTGACTGAAGTCAATGGTTTTGGCCTTATGAGCTTTTTACCAATATTTACTGGAGACTGAAATCCTTTTTCGTGGTCAGAATTCTCAGTTTCTTTCAGTAGAAATTCATCCATGGTTGTTTCTGTCGTGATTTTTCTTTCAGCATTTTCAAGTTTTTTATCTATAGAAAAGTACTCGTTTGGGTTATTTAATGAGCACGCAGATTTCAAACTCCGACTGGGTGGAGTTGATAAGATTCTTTTGCCACTTTCCATTGTATTGAAAATCTGCTCATTGAGAATAGCGATCCTATCATTATGAGAATCAAATTGCTGGTCCATAGTTAACTTATCAGTGTCTTTGGCAAGAAGTGAAAACTCTGACAGCGGAGAGTTAGGCGATTGTCTGTATATTGGGCTTACTGGGCTGCTAGAAATGACACTTTTATAGGCTTGAAGATTGTTTTGGGCTAATATTATATCAAAATGTGTCGGCTTTTGTCCTAGCTCTGTATCAAACAGTTTAGGGGCTTTGCTTTTATTCTGGACTATCTCTTCAGCAAATTTCAAAATTATTAGCAAAGCTTCATCCCACTGCCCAGTCAATAGAAACTCTTTGTATTTATTTATATGCTTTGCATGTTGTTTAAAAGCAATGAGAAAATCTTGATTTTTTTGCAGGTTTTCTAGGAATAAAAGTCCATGAAATACAATGTCGCTAGCTAGAGGGCTATTTTCTAAATCTTTCGTAGAAGTCTGGTTTCTGCTCGTTTCTAGCTCTTCTTTCAGTACTTCATTAGCCTGTCACAGCTGTTTTCACATATTGTCATCAGTTTGGCTATTTCTTAAATTTTCATAATAGTCACATTTTAATTGCAGATCTTTTATTTTCTCATCTTTGCACTGAGAAACTTTTACAGCGTCTTGATATTTAGAGAAAGCAAAATCTAGCTGCTTTGCCTTGGTTTCAAGAACCTTATTTTGGCTTGCAAGCGCAGTAAGCGTCTTTTGCAGTTCTTTGTATTTATCTTTAAGGGTGTTATAAGACTCAATTGTAGAGTCAAGAGTAAGCTGGAGGCTTTTTTTTTCTTTTTTCAGCTTGGATATGACGGTACTTGCTTTGGTCAGATCTGTGTGCATTGCTTGGAGATATTCATTATTCATTGCTGGGATCTTTTGAGGAGTTGTTATTGATCCAGGATCAAATGAACTGGAATATGACTTATGATGCACTATGTTGGACATGGAGCGTTCTGAGTTAGCAAAATCTTGCTCTCTATACATTATTTCTTATCGTTATTTTAAATTTATTAGTTCGAAATGATTTTCTAAGCCAGCATCTTTCCAAGTAGCGATATATAATAATTTACCTACTCCTCCTATGTGAGCGAACAAAACCATTGGAAAAATCTCTATTTTTTGGCCTAAAAACCCGACCTCAGTAAGTTTATTTTAAACAAATTATATTTAAAAACATAAATTTTACAAATTTTTAAAAAAAATTTGATCCCACTATGTGCGAAAACAATTTTTTTTTGCTAACTCACAGAGGGGGAGTTAATAAAATGTTTCGACTCAAGGCAAAAAGACTCACAAAAATCATTGGAACTCTTGACGAAGACGCCCTGATGTACGAAGAAAACATCATAAGCGAAATGATCGAGTCCGGCATGGACATTGCACGCATTGAGCTGCTTCATCACAACTACAAAGCCTATTCTACACTTATAGAGAGGCTTTACAAAGTCGCTTCAAGCATGAATGCAATTATAGCGATCCTTCTTGAAATCCCTGCAAATAATAGAACTGTTTTCGTACCTTCTGACTATACTGTGGAAAAGGATAGAGAGCTCACTATTGCAGTTGGTAAAAGAAGCAATCAAGAATTCAAAGAAAACGAAGACGAAGACGACAAAATGTTTATCAGCATAAACGTCCTTGGCTCAGAAGTAAATGAAGGCCAAACCATCATATTTGGAGACGAAGTTAGTGGGGAAATTATATCTGTAAATCCTGAAGAAATCAGAGTTCTAATTAAAAACGATGGGATCATTTATAACAGATCAAGAGTTTACATTAATGGCTCATGCAAATATGCAGTCAATTTCTCTGAAATACAGCAGAAACATTTAGATTTTATCGCGACCACAAATGTGGATTTTATCACTTTTGTGTTTTCAAAAGAACATTTTAGCGATGAGCTTGCATTTATACAAGAGAAACTTGTGGGGAAAGAGATCAAGCTTCTGTGCAAGATTGAGAAACAGCTAGAAAATGAGTATCTGTATGAGTTTATTGAAAAAACTAATGGAATTGTAATTGCAAGGTATCCGATGGGCTCAGAGATGCCGATTGAACGAATTTGCACGTATCAAAAAGAAGTAATTGCAGCATGTCGACAAAGAGCTAAGCCAGTCCTTGTAAGTGGGCATGTGCTAGGAAGCTTAAGAAGCCTCCCATACCCGTTAAGAGCTGATGCCTGTGATGTCTATAACGGGGTAATTGATGGAATTGATGGCTTTATATTATCCTCAGAAATACTGCAGGAAGATAACTGAAGGAATACCTTAGAAATGCTCACAAACATACTGGCAACTGCAGAGTCCTCAATTGAGTACCGTTCTTCTTTCCAAAAGATATGGATTGCAAGCATGAAGCCAAGTATTGCAGAGTCAATTGCATCAAGTGCCATTAAAACTTGTATTGAGCTTGAAGCAAATTATATATTATGCTTACTCCCCCCCCCCCCCTCCGTGAGCGAACAAAACCATTAGAAAAATCGCCATTTTTTGACCAAAAACCCACCCTCCGTGAGTGAACAAAAATTTTTTTAATAGAAAAAATTTTAATGGAAAAAAATTTTGATATATAAGTGATAATTAGTATAATGAAATCTAGAGCTAATTCTGTTTAATTTTAAACAAATTGCGTTTTAAAAACATAAATTTTGCAAATTAAATTAATATTTGCTTCCCAATTTTTGCAAATTAGGATTGTTTTAAATTTCGAAAAAAATATTTTTTATAAAATTTATATATAAATTTTTTTTAAAAAAAAAAAAATTAACCCCCCTCCGTGAGCGAACAAAATTTTTTTGTTCGCTCACGGAGGGGGGGGGGGGAGTTAGCAGAGCATGGAAGAGCACCTAGACTTCTATCTAAATATAAGCCTCCTGTTCCTATTATTACAATATCAAGTCTTATAAAAACAGTTCAGCAAAGCTTAATACATAGAGGGACTGTGCCTATACTTGGTGAGAAACTGGATTATAAGCAGGCGTTGACCAATGCTGTTGAAATGATCAGATCTAATACTGACCATAACTGCATCGTTGTAGTTGTTACAGAACTTATGGATTCTGCCAAACATTTTAATGAACAGATGGGAGTTCTTACCATTGAACAATAACTAATTATTTAGCGAGTAATTTTATATACATATGATATTAGTATATTATGGAAAAAATACAGGTCTCTGATTTCTTTTTTCTTGGATTCACACTTGGTGTCCGCTTTTTATTAATAGAAACTGTTGAATTAGTGCTTGCCTCAGAGACACTTATATTTGAGCCTTTTTTAGTAATTTTATTGAAATTTTTTAAAATACAATTGGAATTCTCGATTAAAACTCCTCTGCAAGATTCTTCGTAAAAAACTGAATTTTGTCGATAAGAGTGCATTTTGTTTGTAGGGAAGTGCTGCTCGCAGTTTTCTTTGTAAAGACTTGGGAGGAGCCCTATGACTTTTTTGTTGTCTTGCATTTCTGTTAATTTCAAAATGTCTGTTAAAAATTGATTCGATGTATTATTATTAGTTTATTAGTGCTTGATATCGTAAACTGGGTTATATTAGAATCTCACCTGCTCAAATACCTGAGGGTTCCACCCTTGAGGAATCTCAATTTGTCTTGGTGGATGTGCATGCATTAACTTTAATATTTTTAAGTTAGATTATAGCATTAGGTACGTTTTCACTTTGCTTCGTTGGGGCCGCTTGCCATCTTACCAGAGGTTAACTCCTCTACGCCTGAGGTTTGAGTCTAACGGAGAGTGAAGTGGTTGGGATACCGTGCGTCATACGCCAGACGAGGTTGCCTGAGCAGAAGTTCCCAAAAATGGAATTTCTACCCAACTGTTGGCGAAAGTAAAAAAATTTGTAGTCCAGGGCGTAACTCCTGGTCTCGCTAGGGAGCTGCCCGATACGCCTAAAAGGTTGCCCTTTTCATCTCCAACCCCTACTTTCCCTCGATGTAGAATCCAGTTCTGAAAGCTAACTAAGCTAGGCCCTAAACGAATTTGTGATTTGGTTTCCTAGCATAGCTATTCATTTCTGAGCTGTAAAAAACCTTGCCGGATATAATTAAAATATGTGCTCAAAGCTGAATGGTCGAGATACCTTGCCTGGGCTAAGACACCATATTTTAATTCTGGTTGATGTGCATACATCGCATATATTATCATAGGTATTTCTATTGATGGATTCTCACCACCACATAGAGAGCATCCTTCAAGTATCGCATGCGAGTCTAGTGAATACATACACTCAATAATAGAGCCCGTTGTTGAAAATTTAGAGCCAATTAAGTGGCGGACTGATGGCAAATCTAGATTTAAAAATACGGCATCAGACTCAGATAATTTTTCACCTATGCCAACTCCTCTAGTCCGAACCTCAAGGATTTTTTCCTTATCCCCACTCTATAAGCGAACAAAACCATTGAAAAAATCCATAATTTTTACCCAAAAACCACCCTCCGTTAGCAGCAAAAAAATATTTTAACATATAAGTGATAATTATTATAATGAAATCTCTAATAATTCTGTTTAATTTTTAAACCACTTGCATTTAAAATATATTTTTTAATATTTGTTTTCCAATTTTTAAAAAAAAAAAATTTTTGCTATAAAATTTTATAGGTAATTTTTTTTTTAAAATAAAAATTAAGGGGAATTTAGTAAACCATGTTGAAGTTACAACGCGAAGTCTAACAGTCCTTCACAAAGTGCATGCTAAATGCGTGATTTTAAGGTTTCCATAGGTATTGTCTGCTTCAATAATAGCACTAGCAACTTGGTCAGGGGTGTATGCATCTTGGCTGAACTTTGATTTAAAATAAAAAGTACCTTTATTTGTGCAGCAGCCTTCCAGAGGAATTGTTTCTTCTAGAACGATATTAGTTGAAAAAGCTTCTATTTTTTCATAAATATGAACTTCTACTTTGTCTTTTAATTTTTTGCGATTTGGTAGAATAAATTTTGACTTGAAATGGTATTCAATACTCGCATGAGTTGATCCTTTTGAGAATGTAAAAGAGCCTGGAAGTTGATGGGGAAGCCTAAGACTGAATGGAAATGTATAGGATCCTGGAGGAACATTGCAGTTCCAATGATAAATAGGATATCTCACATTAATAATAATCTGATGCCCATTGAAGTGCGCAGACTCTGATTTAAGATGTCAATGACTTCGGTCAGCATCTGGAGCGTCACTATATCGCTCTACCCAGTGAGTTTTTTCAACTCCTTTAAACTGAAGCATGAGTGTGCATGGAGGTAAAGTCTCTTGAAGCATCACATTTATCGCCCCTGTGGCTTCGGATCCTGTCTGAAGGCATCGGCTTTCTAATTGGATATGCATTCCTCCTTTAACGCTGCTTGTTCCCATTAATTAATATTCCTTATTACATATTTTAAAAATATCCATTTTTGCATTTATTCAACAATTAATCTTTATATAGAAATGTTTCTTACGAAGAAAATAATTTTAATAATTTGCTCATTTTTATTATTAATACGATATTTCAACATAAATGTTATGTAAACAACAAAAAGTCAATGGCTTATAAATATCGCAATTTTTATATTCCAATACTTCTGAGTCTTAATCAGTAAAATATAGTCTCTCTATATTCTTTAATTATTTCTAGTGTCATAAATTGTATTATATTCAAATTTCACCTGCTCAAACACCTGTGGCTGCCATCCTGGAGGAGGCTCAACTAATCTTGAAGGTTGAGAATATGCTGCATGAATCATCATGAGCATTTCTTTGAGGGCTCTTCTCCTGTCCCACAAAGGCAGCATCCACCAAGCATAGCATGAGTTTCCAAAGAATACATGCACTCAATCAGGGTACCTCTTGTAGAATAATGCATAATAATAAGATGAAGGACAGAAGGCAAGTCCAAGTTTATAAAAATTGCATTAGACTTAGTCAACTTCTCGCAAATTTTATACAAAATAAAAATGTGACTAATCCGACTCATAATTCTCCCATATCCTTAAGGCATATAAGAGGGCGGGATTCGGAATTTTGTGAATAAGTTGGCTTTTCTCCTTGGCTGGAAATCGGCATATCTAACAGAGGATGGGAAATCGGGCACGACCCCGAATCCTTTTTCTGTGCCCATTACCCTTTGCATGAGATGTGTAAAGTTATTATATGGATTCTGATTTCCTTGTCTATAGCAAGGGGTAGAAACCCTGTTGCAGTGTCTAGGGTTGTCCAAGGAAGCACTTGGATGCGTCACCCAGATGGCGACGTCACCATTTTTTGTTTATATCGACAGAGAAGGGCGTTAGCGACACCGATGCTTTAGACGATGAGCCTGAAGTCGGCAAAGTCGGGAATTAAACCCCGAAGACTCATTCTAATTTATTCTAATCTAATCTCACCTATTGCAAGTCCTCTTGCCCTGATATCAAGGATTTTTTCTGCACTAACATGCGTTGAAGTCACACATCGTTCTTCAAAAGGCGCAGGCTAGGTGTGATATATTAAATTTTCCGTTAGTATTATCTGCTTCGATTATGGCACTCGCAACTTGATTAGAAGTGTATGCATCTTGGCTGAATCTTGAACTTAAATAAAAGCTTCCTTTATCAGAACAATAACAGCTTTAAGGGGCAGTTATTTTCTAAAAGAATATTCCTTGGATTTTCTCAAAAATATAAATATCAGCCTTATCCTTTAATCTTTTGCCGCTTGGGAGTATAAATTTTGATTTAATTTTGTATTCAATACTTGCCCTTGCATACTGATGGTTGTTATAAGGTAGCACAAAGCAAAACGGAAAAGTATAACATCCAGCAGAAACATAAGAGTTTCATTGATAAATGGGGCATTTAAAATTTATGATAACGTAGTATCAATCAAAGTATTCTTCATCTTTGTGGCCAAATCTCCTTTCTCCATCTGGTTTATCTATAAAAGTTTTTTCTACTCAGCTGAAGGATGAGGCAACAAGGAGGCAATGCTTCATGAAGCATTGCATTTATTGATCCGCTGACTTCCGCTCCTGGCTGAAAGCAATGATTTTCAATATAGATATGGATGCCTCCTTTCACACTGCTCGTTCCCATGTTTTTTATAGGAATTTTCACCAAGAATGGTAAAAAATTCTATATATAACTTAAAGGAAGATAAAAATCATAAGTTTTACTAAAAGATTAATCTATTATTTTAATCTGTTCGAATATCATATGCTTGATTATATTCAAATCTCACTTGCTCGAATACCTGAGGCTGCCAGCCTGGAGGAGGTTCAACATATCTTGGAGGTGGTGCATACATGGCATATATCACCATAGGCATTTCTAATGAAGGATTATCCCCTCCACAGAGGCAGCACCCGTCAAGAATCGCATGAGAATCAAGGGAATACATGCATTCAATGATTGAGCCTCTTGTTGAATAATTATTGTCAATTAAATGGCGTACTGTAGGCAAGTCCAGATTTAAAAATATTCCATGGGAGTCAGACAGTTTTTCTCCCACTGCAAGTCCTCTCGCTCTGCTCTCAATAATCTTTTCTTTGACAAAGTGAGTGGAAGATCTAGCCTTAAGCCTAATACTTCTTCATAAAGTGCAGGCTAAATGCTCTATATTAAGTTTCCCATTTGTATTGTCTGCTTCAATTATAGCACTTGCAACTTGATCAGGAGTATATGCGTCTTGGCTGAACTTTGATCTAATAAAGCATGTTCCTTTATCACAGCAGCAACAGCAAACAATGTGGCTGTTTTTTTCTAATAGGATGTTAGTAGTAAAAGCTTGGATTTTTTCGTAAATGAAAATTTCTGCTTTATCTTTAAGTTTTTTGCCGTCTTGTAACATAAATCTCGATTTGATTTTATACTCAATGCTTGCACGAGTGCTTCCTTTGTGATATGAAAAAGAGCCTGGCAGCGTATCAGGCAGCCTAAAGCTAAACGGAAGGGTGAAGCATCCTTGGGGAATATATGTATTTCATTGGTAAATGGGGAATTTGAAGTTGATGACCTTGTGCTTGCCGTCAAAGTATTCGGTGTAAGACTCACTTCTTGTGCCGCCTTTACCATCTGAAACACTTCTTGAACGACTTTCTTCCCAATGTGTTTTCTCAATTCCTTTTAGTTGAAGAATAAGAGTGCATGGAGGCAAAGGCTCTTGAAGCATGACATTTATTGCTCCGATCACTTCTGAGCCTGGCTGAAGGCACCTATTTTCAATCTGTATATGCATTCCTCCTCTAACACTGGTGTTTCCCATTTTCTTTTTATAAACTGCTTTATGATAGGAATTAATAGGAACCTATTTTTGGAAATTTGTAACAATTATTAAGAAAAAATAATATTTAATTTTTTATTGTAATTATTGATTAACATGAAAAATTTATAGTTATGATTAGAAAACCTTATTTTTGTTCCAAAGTTTCCTTATATGCATTCATCGATTTACCATTCATTGAATAAATCCGATCAAATCTATTTCGGGCTAAAGACAAATCAAGTTAAAATAATTTGTAGAAGATCCAGGTCCCTTCGTTGCACTTTCAATAACAAAACGCTTGCAGAAATAGACTCTTCCTATTATACTCGAAGTTTAAAGGTCCTACACACAATAAAGTTTAATCTCTTTATATTAATTTTCCCATAGGTATTATCAGCTTCAACAAGAGCATTAAGAACTTGATCGGGGTGCATGAATTCTTAATTAAAAAGCTAAGTCTATTATTTCGAAATGCAATTTCCAATAAATAAATTTCTTTCATTATTAAATGAATTAATAATGAATTTCTGGGAATTTTTAATTGGCTGGTATTAATATATAATTTTATTTATTTATAGTTATTCATTAAGGTACATAATCTTAAATGAAAAATAATTCCGGATCAAGATGAAAAATGAACAATTCAAAATCGATAATTTAAGATATAATAGTTTTCCATTATAAATCATGATACTTGAAGTGGATATTATGAATTTTTATAATATAAGTATTATTTCTTTTAGCTCTCAAATAATCCTATAGGCTGGCTCAATAGCTAAATTCTATACTCTGAGTGTTATTTAATTTCAGCTTATCTTACGAATATTATGCTTTTCTGAGGTAGAAAAATGGTAAACTTTTATCTAGTTAAAAATTGCCTTCAGAAATAGGAGCAAAGCCAATAATATAGTGTCCTAATAAGTTTCCATAATTTTAAGCCCTTTTAGCCATTACCTACTGTGACTTACACTAAGGAATACAATTAGCAAGCATAATTGGACATTAGAGATATGGATTAAGTATTTGCCAAATTGATAATTGATCTCAAGTAAAAGCTAAATATTTATTTGTTCATTAGCATGCATTACCCATAATAAAGAGATTACAATGCTTATGCAAGAGGGTGCCTATATATCGCTATTATTCCTTATATGAATTACATTCCGTTTATGCACTATTATCGAAAGTAAATATTTCATCGTATATTTTTATTTTTCAAAGTGCTATCGGCAAACAATTCTATTAAACTTCAGCAGAATAATGTTTCCTTTGATCAAAATTTTCTTTGTTAAAAAAGTTTACTGACTGAAACTTTGTCGCCTTAAAGAAATTAAAAATTTTAAATTCGAAGTCAATTAATGATTTGCGGTTTTAATTACTTTCGTTGTCAGAATTGACAGAAACTATTAAATTATTTTGATGTTTATAAGAGCACCTCCACTTATTAATAAAGAGTTTATTTTTAAAATGGCCAGATTTTTTTATATTTTACTGGTGATGGCAATTCTGAACGAAGCTTCTAACCCCTCGCTCCATGAATCAACAAAAAAAGTTAAATTTTTAGTAAATTTGTTTTTTTTAAAACAATCCCAATTCGCAAAAATTGGAAAGCAAATATTTTTGTTTAATTGCAAAATTTATGCTTTAAAATGCAACCTGTTCAAAATAAAACAGAATTGGCTAGAGATTTAATTATACTAATTATCACTTATATATCAAATTAAAATTTTGTAATAAAATAATTTGTTGTTCGCTCTCATGTTTTTGAACAAAAATAGGGGTTTTCCAATGGTTTTGCTGGCTCACGGAAGGGGGGAGTAAGAAAGAACTACTGAAAACTTCAGAAGACTCAGGCTTTTGCGTTCGGAATCGCTATCTTACCAGGAATAGAGCCCAAATCAAAAACTCTGGCCTTCGTTTTGATATGGACTATGAGGTTGACTCAACCAGTATCCAGAAAATCCCTGGAGGTATTTCATTTCTCGTGAAAAGCATCTTTGAGGACGTTCCATTCCTCAAAGGGAGCATCGTGCTTTTAACTTCGGGCTCCCTTCATGTCAACTTTGACGAAATCCATCCTCTTTTCCCTCGATTCAGATCCCCTTACGATGATATTCTAAACAGTGAATCTCTCCACGAGGTACCAGATGACTCAGTAAAGGTAAAACCCAACCAAGTCATATGGACTTATGGTAAGCAAAAATACGAGCTTAATTTTTCTCCTATAACAATTCAAGGCTACTATGATGAAACCTTGACCTTAAAAGTAAACAGCCATTCTATGATGAACTTTGATAGATACAGAAGCAGAGATGCTGACTTAAAGCCTGCTTCTCAAGTTAAGGACACTTCAAGTCCTATAAAGATCTTAGATTCAGCTGGCGTTTACTTAGAAAAAGGAGGGGAGTTAGCTTATTTTGATGACCTGTGGAGTGAAACTTTCATCGACTTCGTTGACAATAAGAAAAGAGGCCCAAGCAGTGTGGCGATGGACTTTGCCTTTGTTGACGCTACTGATGTGTATGGACTTCCTGAGCATGCAGATCATATATCTTTGAAGGATACAGTTGATGATGAACCTTACAGAATTTATAATATCGACTATACAGAGCATGCTGTTGACACCAGACAGTCACTTTATGGGAACATTCCTTTCATGCTAACTCCCCCCCCCCCTCCGTGAGCGAACAAAACCATTAGAAAAATCACCATTTTTTGACCAAAAACCCCACCCTCCGTGAGCGAACAAAAATTTTTTTAATAGAAAAAATTTTAATGGAAAAAAATTTTGATATATAAGTGATAATTAGTATAATGAAATCTAGAGCTAATTCTGTTTAATTTTAAACAAATTGCGTTTTAAAACATAAATTTTGCAAATTAAATTAATATTTGCTTCCAATTTTTGCAAATTAGGATTTTTTTAAATTTCGAAAAAAATATTTTTTATAAAATTTATATATAAATTTTTTTTAAAAAAAAAAATTAACCCCCTCCGTGAGTGTGACAAAATTTTTTTTGTTCGCTCACGGAGGGGGGGGGGGAGTAAGCAGATCTTCTAAAAAAATAGCAGGAGGAGTCTTTTGGTTCAACCCTTCTGAGACTTATGTCGATATTTCTACTTCAAATAAAGAAAAATTAACTCATTGGATTTCTGAGTCAGGAGTAATTGATTTCTTCCTAATTGTCAGTGAAACTCCTATGAATGTTGTTGAAACTTACACAATGCTGACTGGACCTCCACAGCTGCCACCTCAGTTTGCATTAGGCTATCACCAATGTAGGTGGAATTATATCAGTCAAGAAGATTTATTGGACGTTTCAAGTGGCTTCGAAACCAATAATCTCCCCATGGATGTGATATGGCTTGACATTGAGTACACTCCTGAAAGGCAATATTTCATGTGGGATCATAACACCTTCCCTGACCCTATAGGCATGCAGAATACACTTGACACACAAAACAGAAAACTTGTCACTATTATTGACCCACATATAAAAAGAAGTGATAAATATTCTGTCCATTGTGAAGCTGAAGACCTTGATCTCTATGTGAAAAATGAGGATGGGGAAGATTTCGTAGGATTGTGCTGGCCTGGCAGATCATCATGGCTTGATTTTACTAAAAAAGATGCACAAGAATATTGGGCAGAGCACTACAGTTTAGAACGATTCCCAGGATCTACAAATAACACTTATATTTGGAACGATATGAACGAGCCTTCTGTTTTTACAGGTCCAGAAGGGACTATGCCCAAGACAAGCTTGCATGGTGATGTAGAACATCGAGATGTCCATAACCTTTATGGCCTGCTAATGATGATGTCTACACACAGGGGCCTTTTGGAAAGGTCAGGCAATACAGAACGGCCATTTGTGCTCACTCGTTCCTTCTTTGCAGGAGTCCAGAAGTATGGAGCCATTTGGACTGGTGATAATACTGCTAAATGGGAGTACTTAGAATACTCAATTCCAATGTGTCTTAGCGTTGCCTTACTCCCCCTCCCTCCGTGAGTGGACAAAACCATTGGAAAAATCCCTATTTTTTGCCCAAAAACCCACCCTCTTTAATTGAACAAAAATTTTTGATATATAAGTGACAATTAGTATAATGAAATCTAGAGCTAATTCTATTTAATTTTTAAACAAATTGCGTTTTAAAACATAAATTTTTTATAAATTAAATTAATATTTGCTTCCCAATTTTTGCAAATTAGGATTTTTTTAAAATTTCGAAAAAAAAAATTTTCAACAAAATTTATATATAAAAAATTTTTAAAACAAAAATTAACCCCTCTGTGAGTGAACAAAATTGTTTTATTCACTCACAGAGGAGGGGAGTTAGGAGGAGTCAGTATGTGTGGAGCAGACATTGGAGGGTTTTTTGGAGACCCAGAGCCTGAACTCTTGGTGAGATGGTATCAATTAGCAGCTTTTCTCCCATTTTTCAGAGGACATTCAAGCATTGAATCCAAAAGAAGAGAACCATGGCTGAGCGGTGAGCCTTATCTTAGCCAAATCAGACAATCCTTAAGGCTTAGATATGCTATGCTTCCTTACTGGTATACTCTTTTCTTCCAATACCACAGAAATGGGACTCCAGTAATTCGTCCTATGTTTTTAGAATTCCCAATGGACAAGAAGACTGCTAAAATTGATAATCAATTTTTGTTAGGACCTTCTATTATGGTAGCAGCTGTCATACAAGCAGGCCAAGAGAAAGTCGAAATTTACTTGCCTGAAGGAAAATGGTACGACTATCATACATATTCCCAAGTTGACTATGGAGAAATCTACTATGAAGTCCAGGAGAACTGGGTTCCTGCTTTCCTTAGAGGTGGGCATATAGTTCCTAGGCAAGATAGAGAAAGAAATAGTAGCGTGCTTAAATATTTGGATCCTTTTACCTTAATTGTAGCACTTGATGAAAATGAAGAAGCAGCTGGAAACTTGTATATTGATGACACCAAAACACATAACTACCAATCAGGTGAATTTTTGTATGCTGAAATGAAGTTCAAGGACCAGAAGCTGAAATACGAAGTTGCAAACGCAATGGAGTTAGAAAATCAGATTGAAAAAATAGTTATCGTTGGCATGCAGAAAACACCTCAGCATGTATTAATTGAAAATAAGCATGGTGCAACAGCTGCTGAATTTAGTATGAAAGAAAATGCTGTAGTTATCAAACTCTCAGAAGTCCAAGTAAATGAGCATTGGGTTCTAACTATTAATTAATATCGCATTCGCATAGATAAGTTTAAGATATATCCCTTTTAGCATTTAGGGTTTAGCTGTTGAGAGAATAATTATTACTCCCCCCCCCCCCTCCGTGAGCGAACAAAACCATTAGAAAAATCGCCATTTTTTGACCAAAAACCCACCCTCCGTGAGTGAACAAAATTTTTTTAATAGAAAAAATTTTAATGGAAAAAAATTTTGATATATAAGTGATAATTAGTATAATGAAATCTAGAGCTAATTCTGTTTAATTTTAAACAAATTGCGTTTTAAAACATAAATTTTGCAAATTAAATTAATATTTGCTTCCCAATTTTTGCAAATTAGGATTTTTTTTTAAATTTCGAAAAAAAATATTTTTTATAAAATTTATATATAAATTGTTTTTTAAAAAAAAAAAAATTAACCCCCCTCCGTGAGCGAACAAAATTTTTTTGTTCGCTCACGGAGGGGGGGGGGGGGGAGTTAGAAAAGTTAATATTTTATTCATAATAGTAGCTTGAATTTATGTTTATTTACCAAGAATAGCCCACTGAGAGCATTTTTGGTTGGCCAGACAGCCAAATTCGTTAGCATGCCATATTTTCTGGCTAACCAATTTTAAGAATGGCGAACCAAAAAATGCTCCTTACTCCCCCCCCCCCCTCCGTGAGCGAACAAAACCATTAGAAAAATCGCCATTTTTTGACCAAAAACCCACCCTCCGTGAGTGAAACAAAAATTTTTTTAATAGAAAAAAATTTTAATGGAAAAAAATTTTGATATATAAGTGATAATTAGTATAATGAAATCTAGAGCTAATTCTGTTTAATTTTAAACAAATTGCGTTTTAAAACATAAATTTTGCAAATTAAATTAATATTTTGCTTCCCAATTTTTGCAAATTAGGATTTTTTTAAATTTCGAAAAAAATATTTTTTATAAAATTTATATATAAATTTTTTTAAAAAAAAAAATTAAACCCCCCTCCGTGAGCGAACAAAATTTTTTTGTTCGCTCACGGAGGGGGGGGGGGAGTTAGTGGGCTATTCTTGGCAAACAGGTATATGATTAAAGGCTATAAAAATTGGAAGGATCATTCTGGATAGATTCAGCTGGGAATAAATAAATCAGAATTTCTATTGATGGCTTTTCACCTAAGCATGTGCATCATCCATTCATATCAGCATGATACTCTATTATATAAGAGCACTCAATCATTGCGCTTTTTGTTGAATAAATCATACCAGTTTTGTGTTTGATCGATGAGAGATTCAAGTCCATAATGATACCATAGGGCCCAGCTAAAGATTTTCCAAAATCCAGGCCACCTTCTCTTGTTTCAGTAATTCTTTGCTTAATAAAAGTACTTGACTTGCCTGCTTTTAGCCTAAGAACTCTTCATAAAGTACAAACTAAGCTTGATATATCGATTTTACTCTGAGAATTGTCAGCTCCTACTACGGTGCTGACTATTTCATCTGGATTATATATTTTTTTATCTATTTTCAAGTTCAGAGTGCATTTTCCTTGGCTTATACAGCATCACTTTTTTAAGCCGAAAGATTTATTGATTTCTTGTTTTTTCTTACAAATTTCAGCTTTTTCATTTATATACATTTCTGTTTTGTCAAATAATTTTCTTCCATTTGTTATAATTAACTTTGATTTAATTGTGTATTCTCTTCAGAAGTCAATTTAGCTTAAAATTAATTCTGAATTAAGATTTAAAATATTTATAAATTCGTCAATAAAATTGTATTTATAATATTTTAAATTAAAATTGATATTATTTTAAATAAATTAATTATAAATTTAATTGGTAAATAAATATGAATATACTATATAATATTGCATATAAAAACGTAGGATATTCTATCTTTGCCCAGGTAGTTTCTTTTCTGTATTTGAATGACCCTGGAAGATTATCTGGCAGTTTGAAGATAAAAGGAATATTGTAATCCCCAGCAGACAAGGACGATTTCCATTCATATAAAAGGTGCTTAATGCTAGCGATAGTTTTTTTATCATGATAGTTTTGAATATATTCTTCTTCTGGATCTGATTCTGGATCAACAGTGTGGCTTGCAGAAGATTCTTCCCAATAAGTCTCTTCAATCCCTTTAAAACTGAGAAAAAGAGAGCATCGAGGAAGCGTATCATGAAGATAAAAGTGAACGCTGCCAGTAACATCTCCTCCACTATTACAATCCATCTTTTCAAGCTCGATATGCATTGAACCTTTTATTGCTCTTGCTTGAGAACTCCCCATATTTGCATAAAGTTAACGTAAAGGTTTTATCGCTTACTAATAAATTTTACCAATTAATATGTTGAATGCTAAAGCAAAGTCTTATTATTCCATTTAATTTCACAACTTAGTAATTATACCTATAAAACTTTATATTAGACCTATATATTACTCCAAAATAAATGGAATGATTTATTATTATTCGCATTGTGTATTGAGAAAAATTATCACTTAATCTCATTATTTAGATGCTCTATAATTTGTGTGAGGACTATATCAGATTTTAAGTTTTAAGAGACTTCACTTGAAATAATTAAATTACTTAAAAGCAAGCTTGCTATAGTTTTCATCTATAAGGCATGAGAATTGCTATCTATCTTGATTATACGTATTAAATTTCGCTATAAAATCATTTAATAGCTATTCGTTATTGGTCAAATAAGAAATCTGGCGATTTTGTTTGCTACTCCATAAATAGCATACAAGCAACTATAGGCCAACATCATAAAGAATTCAATTTCACCATCATTGATTTGAATAACCATAGTAGAAATGGTATTTATGACTCTATAATTACTCAATTTCGACCAAGCTGAGCTTGCATTTACTAAGCAATAAGGTATAAGCTAGACTTAATTTTCTTAGTTTATTTTAGCGATTATATAATATACTGAGAAGAAAAATTCTGAGATATAATATATCATATGAAATAATTCTTATCAAATACTCAGGTAATTGCAATATCATACTTTTATTTCTGCAAATTTTAATTATAAATAACGATTAATACTTGGCACGCCATTTATAAATGAGTGGATCATAAAATATCAAAATTCTGATACATTTTTATTGTAAAATCCAATATCTTTCTATGAAGCTTCCAATGCCAAAAGATATTTTGTTATCTACTCAATCAATCACAGAACTTACATGCAACATTTGCAATTTATCATTCATTTCTCCTTGTGATTTTAAACTTCACAAGCTTGGGACCTTAGAGCAAGTCTCAAGTAAAGCCAAAGTTGAAGAAACTGAACCAATTCCTTTGTTGTCTCATCGACATAAATTTGAATGTGATAAATGCTTAAAGATTTTTTCTTCAGAAAAAGGACTACACCAACATGAAGGGAAAATTCACAATTTTAGTAAGAGGTCATTCAAATGCCCTATTTGTGACAAGAAATTTAGAGACAATTCAGCCCTGAAATTTCATACTAGGCAAGTGCACGAAAAGAGCACCCGAGTTAGCTGCAATGAATGTAAACAAACGTTTTACAGCAAATACGTTCTTGAGAAGCATTCTCAAAGATGTCCGGCCCAAGAAATTGAAATTAGCAGTTAAGACTGGATATAACTAATTTAATAAGTTTAAAGTAATAAATAGGATTAAACTTTCTCAAACTTTTACTCTTAAATTTTAAGGTTAAAATAAAAATTACTATAATAGATAAATTGAGATTAATAGTTATTTGTAGTATAGCAAGCAGCTTTCAAATTAAATGCAATTATGGAGCTCTCTTTAGGTTTGAGTTATTATTTTACTTCGCTCATATATTAAAATAATTTCTCCTGCATCCCCTATCGCCAGTTGTAGAGGTAAAAAGCTCTCTTTAATCTTTAAATTGGCTTTTTTGATATAAAATGAGTACTTTCTTATGAACTTATAATTTCATTTTATCCAAGCTCCTCATTAAGAGATGCTAACTCCCCCCCCCCCCCTCCGTGAGCGAACAAAACCATTAGAAAAATCGCCATTTTTTGACCAAAAACCCACCCTCCGTGAGTGAACAAAAATTTTTTTAATAGAAAAAATTTTTAATGGAAAAAAATTTTGATATATAAGTGATAATTAGTATAATGAAATCTAGAGCTAATTCTGTTTAATTTTAAACAAATTGCGTTTTAAAACATAAATTTTGCAAATTAAAATTAATATTTGCTTCCCAATTTTTGCAAATTAGGATTTTTTTTAAATTTCGAAAAAAATATTTTTTATTAAAAATTTATATATAAATTTTTTTTAAAAAAAAAAATTAACCCCCCTCCGTGAGCGAACAAAATTTTTTTTGTTCGCTCACGGAGGGGGGGGGGGGAGTAAGCAATGAACTTGAAGCAAAATGAGATGGTAAATTAAATGAACTGATCATTATGCTTTTGTATCTGCTCCAAGCTACTTCTCCTTTAATCCAGCTGATTCATATTGAGTTTCACAAACTAATGTATTTATTTTATATATAAAGTTGGCTTAAAAGTTGATTTCTATGTATTATTTAAATCAATCTTGTATACTTCCGTCAATGATGATGCTAAGACGTTAAATTGAAAGACACAAAGGTCAGAAAATCTTAAAATGCAAATATTTTTATCTTGAATAACTGGCGGTGATTGGCTTCACCAATTTAGTTTATCTTCAATAGATACCAAGGAGCCTGCTGTGTCGTCATCTCCTATCAAGCAAATTTTTTTGCTTTGAAAAATGATGATCCCTTTTTCAGTTGAAGCGAGTGTGCAGCCTTGATCACTAACTCCCTCTCCATGAGCGAACAAAAACATTTTGTTCGCTTACGAGGGAGTTTAAATTTGTTTTTTAAAAATTTTATATATAAATCTATAGTATAATACATAAAATGGCGTATGGCGACCGACCCACCCTCTCAGTGGTGGTTACCCATGTATATCCGGGCATGGTTTTTGGAGCCAGGAGTTAGCCCAACAACGTCTGGGACCTCGAAGCGAGAGGCCTAAGCGCGAAAGCCGCTGCTTTTGCGACCAGACCCATGGGCAGTTACTCGTGACTTCTTTTTGCCAGCAGCGCTCAGCCCAGTGAGTGCCCGAAATGAGGCAGGGCGACTTACCTGCCTAAACTGCTTTTGTGGCTCGCTCCGAATGGCGAAAGCTGTTGAGTTCTTTCTCGGGATGACCGGAAAAGAGGGGAAGGCGAGTTAGACAACTAAGCGGGGGGGTCTCTCCAGTTGAAAAGGTGCCCTTCAATGGGCAGATCTGGCGGACGACGCGGCAGTGTTGGCGTAAACTTAGGCGACGATCCAAGTTGGAAATGGAGGCGGTCAGCAAAGCTGTTATAAGACGGCCCTTGACAATACCTCTACCGAGAAACCGGGCTTTCGGCCCGGGCTTGGTGAACGCTCTGCCACCACACGGGAAACCGTGGAATGCTTCCTCGGACGTAGTAGGGACCTTAAATACCCAGCGTAATCTTAATCTTAATCTTAATATATAAATCTATAGTAATTTTTTTAAAAAATAATATTAAAGCAAATATTAATTTAGTTTGCAAAATTTATTTCAAAATGTTAAATTCCAACAGAAATTAGCTAGATATTTCATTATATTAATTATCATTACATATCAAAATATTATTTTAATAAAAAATTTTGCTCATGGTGTGTGGATTTTTACCAAAAATATAATTTTCCAATTGCTTTGTCCGCTTACGGAGGCGGGTAGTAAGAGGAAATTCCAATTTTATATTTTCAACATAAAAATTTTCAAGACTGATCTTTTCAATGCTGAACTCCTTATTTCCACCAGCTACATAAATATTGCTCTTATGATAGCATAAACCAGGAAATTTTCTTGATAAATGCAGATCCCCTAGCATTTCTCAACTTTTAGATTTTATGTCATATCGCTCAAACGCAGTAATCTCTCCTATTCCTATTCCTCCGAAAACATATATAAAATTATCAATAAATAAGCCTGAGTGATAATATCTTGCCGTGATCAGGTCAGCTTGATTGATAAATTCACGTGTTTTTAGATTGACTTCATAAACTGTTTTCACAGCTTGGCCAAGAATTGAAGATCCTCCAGTGACAAGGACTGACCCTGGAAATCCTACAATTGCTGAAAAAGCTTTGCTTTTCAAGCCCTGAATTGTAAAGGTTTCTAGACTTTGTTTAGAAACATCATAAATTCTCAATTTATCTTGCCTAATATGATATAACTTTGTAGGGCCTATATTCGGCCCTTCGTACTTTACCTCAAGTAAAACATCCAAGCTATTTTCGAACTCTGGCAGCTTCATTTCTACATTTACAAAACTCTGCCCACTTTTCATGAACTTGCTGAACTCTTTTAGCTCAATTTGATCAATTTTTTGTATTATAGAATTCAGCTTTTCCAGTGTTTCTTGCTTTTTCCCTTCAATTTTCATCAGAATTTCCTTCAGCTTGGATTGAAGGTGCTCTATCTTTGCCATGATTTCTAGTTTAAATTTGTCTGTTGTTTCTGTGATTTTTTTAATTTCTTCTTCTACTTTGGAAATAATTAGTTGCTTTTTTTGGCTATTATTTGGGTCTTCAGAATTAGTAATATCAGGCTTATCTTCAATTATAATTTTTCTGCTAAAATGTGGGATTTGGGTTAAAGCTGATTTGTGGTTTTCGAAGCATTCTTCGCAACATATAATCCCTGAGCAGTAGCATTTAATTACAGCACCCTTTGGACAGATACAGCAATTCATATTTTTATAAGAAAATACTATAAATTAATTATTTCAGATTACATCACCTCACAAAACTCACAGGCTGTGCCATTGTTCTCTCTTTCAAAGTTCATGAAATTAGTCCTCAGCCTCTTTATGCTCCCTGATTCTTCTTTTAATTTCGCGAGAATTCTTTGTCGGTGTCCTAATTTCTCGATTCCTATTTCATGCTCTAGCACATATTCAGTGATAGGATAGTTGGAATTCATTAGTAGCAAAATTTGTTCGAAATTGTCAAACCCTGAATTGTAGAAGTCTCGATAGTGCTCAGACATGCCAAGTGACTCAAGCCATTCTTGGAGAGTAGGGAGTAAGTGAACTCCAGGCGCTGAAATAGGGTTTATGCATCATGCATTTGTAGTTTTTTCGTGGGCTGAAGAAGGGGTTTGCTTTTTCATACTGTCTTCTTCTAGTAAAGCTAGTAGACGATAACGGTATCCTGGCTTCGAGATGCCGATTGTAGTCAGGATATCTACTGTTAAAGGCATTTCTGACTGCATTTGGTCAAGCAAAATTTCAAGATCATCAAAACCATTTTTTACCAAAAACTCAAAAGTTTGTTCCAGTTTTTTTGAGCAAAGCCATTGGAATAGTGAATTTTTTGACAAATCAATTCCAAAAGAAAACGTTCGATATGTATTTGTGCTGGGTCGCTTTGCTATTGTTTTTTCACATTCAGGCTCAAGCATAGATTCTTTGATGCTTAGATCTTCACTTCCTGAATCTTCACTATCACTTCCTACGTGCTCTGTTTCTTGGTCAACAAAATTACTAAAACTGATGTTCTCTTTGTCATCTTTTCTATTCGGGGTATGAGGGCTGAGATCAAAAATTGGTTCTGATAAAATCTTTTTCATTTCTTCAGAAGTGGCAAGCTCAATTGCGTTTTTCCCTCCTCTGTCTTTTAGAAGAGCTGATGCATCGCTATTTATCAAGATTTCTGCTACTTGAATGTGCCCTTTTTCAGAGGCATAATGGAGAGGGGTTTTCCCAAATACAAAATTTGGGATATTGGGGTTTGCTTAGTGCATACTCATTAAAATGGAGGTGAATCAACCTACCCTCTTAATTTATGTAGCTGAAATCTGAAAAGGTGCTGGGGACCTTGAAGAACGAATCTTTACTCCAATGCCAACTTTTACCTTACTCCCCCGAACAAAAAATTCTTGTTCGCTTACGGAGGGAGATTATTTTTTTTCTAAAAAATCCTAATTCGCAAAAATTGGAAAGCAAATATTATTTTAATTTTTTTAATTTATGTTTTAAAACGCAATTTGTAAAATTAAAAAGAATTAGCTCGAGATTCATAATAATAGTTATCAATTTTATATCAAAATTTTTTCCATAAAAATTTTTTCTATTAAAAATTTTTGTTCACTCACGGAGGGGGTAGTTAGAGAAAGATGGGTTCATATTTGAAAAGGGGTTTCCCAAAGGTGTCGATGGGACTACTCCCCAGCGTGAAACCAGAATTACGCCCTAGGCTGTGGATTTCCATCTCAGCTGAGAGTTGACAAGAAAATTCAACCCGTTTGAATTTTCAATGGTGAACAACCCTCTTAGCGTACGGCACGGTGATTCAAACTTTCCATAAATAAAATGGCATTCGGTTCGAGCGAAATTAGCTCTGCTAATTTTCTCTCCCTCAAGCAATTTTATTTATGGGGTTGGGCTTTCTTCTGAGAACTTCTGTATAGCAATAGCAGTTTAACTCTGGCAGATAAGCTGAGAGGCACTGCTCCAAGTACATCAAGAGGCTCGAAGTTTTACCTCTCAGCACACCCGAGGAAGGTGGCCCTTAGGCGGAACACGCACAGGAGTTGAGTCAAGGAGTGCGAGGCAACGCAGCCCGTCGAAGCCGGAACGTCGTATTTACCCGTGCCATGGTGTAGCGAAGTGGGTCGATCCAGAGGTCCATGGGCTCGACATGTGGATAAATATGGTGGCAGCTCTGGAAACGGCTACCCCGTAGTGGAGTTAAACGTTATAGATAATATAAGATAAGATAAGATTCAAATTTTCCGACTATCAGGGAGCATGCACAGTCCCTAGTTTATAGGAACAAGACTTGAAGGTCGTGAGACAATTGTCGGCGAAGCAGGAGAGTGAAGTGTTATGGAAGTGAATAAGGATCTTTAGCTCCCTACAGTGAGCTTTCCTATAATTTAACAAAGTTTAAGTATGGGTTTGCTTCGTGCTTAATTAGAAGCTTTGTCATATTGATGTGACCTTTGAATGAAGCAAGATGCAAAGGAGTGTCACCGTCGTTTTGCTGTATGTTTGGGTCAGCTTTATATTCTAAAAGAAGCTTGACAATTTCTAACAAATTATTGTCAGCAGCTTGGTGAAGTGGGGTTTCGCCAAGTCGGTTTTGAATATTTGGCTTTGCTCCTCGTTTTAAAAGGAACTCAGTTGCTTCGAGATGTCCACAGATAACTGCACGATATAGAGGCGCCCAGCCGAGTTTGCTGTCTAACTCATTGAGCCCTTCTGGGTATTTGTCAAGCGCTTCTGAAAGAGATGGGATATCGCCAAGTCTGCAAGCTTTTTGAATTTCATCTGAATTCATTTAATTTATTTAATTCATATGGAGATATCATATGCAAACTATCTGATTTCACGTCTTTCGATCTTCAAAGATCCTTTTTCATCTACAGAAATCCAAACTGAAATGCTCTGTTACCCAATTTCATACCTAGCAGAAGACCAACTGAAAGGGCTGGAGTGTGGGCTCCTCCAAGACATCGAAGATCACCAATTGATTTTCGATTCTCTACAAAAAGATCTGCCAAAAAGTGAAAAACTGAGCTACGAGCACCACTTTATTGCGGATGGTGCTGCTCATCTTCTTGCGAACTCTCATAGAGAAAACTTTGTTTTCCTGCTCGGAACTCCCAAAATCGGGAAAAGCTCTCTGCTAACTCTCCCAGTGAGCGAGTAGCAATTGGAATAATCCTACATTTTTGGAAATTAGTCTTCTCCTAGCGAATAAAAGTTCTTTTATATAAATTATTTAGATATATAAGTATATTATGGCTAAATCTTTAATATTTTTATTAAATAAATAATAAACTTATAAATTAAATATATTTTTACTTTTAAAATTTTGCAAGCTTAATCCCCTGCTTATTAACGAAAAAACATTTTTGTTCGCTCATGGAAGGGATTTTTTTTAAAAAAATTATATAAATTTTATAGTAAATTTATTTCGAATTTAAACTAGTCCCAATTCTCAAATATTGGTAAGTAAATATTTATTTAATTTGTATAATTTATGTTTAAAATGCAATTTGTCCAAAATTAAACAGAATTAGCTTACTCCCCCCCCCCCCTCCGTGAGCGAACAAAAAAATTTTGTTCGCTCACGGAGGGGGGTTAATTTTTTTTTTTTAAAAAAAATTTATATATAAATTTTATAAAAAATATTTTTTTCGAAATTTAAAAAAATCCTAATTTGCAAAAATTGGGAAGAATATTAATTTAATTTGCAAAATTTATGTTTTAAAACGCAATTTGTTTAAAATTAAACAGAATTAGCTCTAGATTTCATTATACTAATTATCACTTATATATCAAAATTTTTTTCCATTAAAATTTTTTCTATTAAAAAAATTTTTGTTCACTCACGGAGGGTGGGTTTTTGGTCAAAAAATGGCGATTTTTCTAATGGTTTTGTTCGCTCACGGAGGGGGGGGGGGGGAGTTAGGGATTTCATTATACTTATTCTCACTTATATATCAAAAATTTTATCATAAAAAATTTTTTGTTCGCTTACGGAGGCCAAAAAATAGGTATTTTTCCAATGATTTTGTTCGTTCACTGAGGGGGAGTTAGAAAAATGTTTAAAACTAACTAATTACCTATATGAGCGAGCACAAAAAAATTCGCTTGCTGAAAGAAGGTATAAGGAAAATTGCTTTGCTAGCAGCTCAAAATTTGAAAAGCAACTCTAATAGCCCAGTCCCTTTACTAGTAAACTTAAAGAAAGTCATGGAATATGAAGTATCATCAATGGTTCAGTTTATGGAAGCATGCTACAGCCAACTCGAAGAATTCGAAGCTTTTCTCAGACAAAAATTTTTTCATGGAAAAATTATTTTACTGTTAGATGGATTAGACGAAGTCAAAGGGCAGAAGAAAAAAGTATGCGAATACGTCTTCAAGGTCATAGAAATGTATTCATCTTTATCCCTATGTGTGATTACTTCGAGGTTCAAAGGATATATTGAAACAAAAGGAGCAGTTGTTGCAAGAATGGAGCTGATTCCTCTTAAATTGCAGATTTCTATGGCGCAGTATATGCTTTCTGAGCTGCAGTTTGAGAGGTTTGTATCAATTGTGACTGAAGGGTCAAATTTTTATAGTGAGTTTATGAGCACACCTTTTTTCCTATCTCTTTTCTTACTCCCACCTATGCTAGCGAAAATATATTTTGTTGCTTACGAGGGAGTTAATTTTTTTTAAGAATTTTATATGTAAATTTAAAATAATTAGGAAAAAACTGGAAGCAAAAATTAATTTAATTTTTAAAATTTATATTTTTGAATTAAAGTGTTTAGATTTTTTATAAATTATATCGAGATTCATTATAATAATTATCACTTATATATCAAAATACTTTTTCGTAAAATTTTTTTGTTTGCTCGTCATGGAGAATGGGTTTTTTGTCCAAAAAATAGGGAGGAGAGTTAGACCTTTTTAGATGGGGAGAAATAGGTGCAAGTGAAAATATTTCGAGAGGAATTTTATATAGCATAGGTCTGAGGAAACTATTGGGAAAATCTGTCACTCCAGATATATTTAGGTTTCTTGAGCTATTGGCAACTGATATTTTGGCAAAAGATATAAGGGAGTTTTCGTTCCTCGACGTACAAAAATTAGGCTTTGGTGATTGTTGAAATGCTATCAAGCAGATGCCTATTTTTATAAGGGTAGAAAACGATATTATAGAAAAGCTTTCTACAGGGCCTTTGAGTGATGAAGAATATTATAGAGACTCAATAGATGCAGAGTGCGGCATTGGAGAGGTAAAAGACACACCTCTTTTTCAAGCTCTTACCTCCCTAGGCTAAAGAGCAAAATTATTTCCCTATGATCAGTGGACAATTTTATTGGAAAATAATTTTCTGAAGTTTAAAAAAATTAATGAAAAATCTAATTAATTTATTTCATTTTTTGTTTCAATAAATACAAACTGTTTAAATATAACTGGTTTGACATCTTATTATTGCATGTTAATACTTACATATAATTTATATTAAAAAAGTTACTGCTTATTAGCGATGCTTAATTTTCTCAAAATAAATAGTTTTCAAGAGTGTTTGCTTGCTAAATAAGGAAGAAGTTAAAGGAAGCACAGCCAGACTTTCATCTATCCAAAAATCAAGCTTAATCAAAGATAGGATTTTTTCTATGCAAAGTTCAAAAGAAAGCTTGGAAAGAGAATTAAATTGTGAAGCTCTTGAGTATTTTAGATTTCTCAGCCTTCGATTTGCTGAAATTCTCTCTGCTCATAATTTGATTAACCAGATTGAAGATCTTATTTCTCAGCTTGCTGGAGCTTTTTTAATGGAAAGTTCAGCTTTTCAAAAAGCATTCAATCAATGTCTTCCTAAAAACTATTTATTTTCAAGAAAATACCGAGAAGTAGTCACCTTATTTGCTTCACTCTGTAATGAAAATATTTTTGAAAACTTCATTAAATATTTACTAGCTGAAAACACTCTTGAATTTTGCCATATAGCAGAGCGCCTTTTAAAAGAAAGGAACCAAACCCACAAATTCAAGCATTTAATAAACAAGCTGAAACAGTCAAAATGCGAGCTAACAAAAAAACAGTTCGTTAGGAACTTTTCTCATCCGTCGTCAGTTGTGAGAAGAATTTGTAGGTCAGAAGCAATTGATAACGGGATTTTTGAAATGGAAATGCAGACTTTAATCAGTCGAAATTTCGAAGCTTCATTAAGGCTTTCACATTGGCTAGCACTTAAACAAATTTCTGCTGTATGTAATGATTCAAGCGTAAGGGTCACAAGAATTTTATTAAATAGAGTTGTAGATATTGCTGCTGATATGATCCAGCAGGCAAACAAGTCGCAATCTTATAAATCAATAGTTCTCAAAGTGCATCTTACACTTCTCTTACTCTCCCTCTGTGAGCGAAAAAAAAAAATTTATTCGCTAACAAGGGGAGTAATTTTTTTTAAAAAATTATATAGATTAGGCATGACATTAGGTCATCCTGAGCTATATATTATAGTAAATGTTTTGTTTTTAATTTGTAAAGTTTATGTTTTAAAATGCAAGCTGCTCGAAATTAATTATACTAATTATCACTTATATATCAAAATTTCTTTCATAAAGCACTTTTCGCTCGCTCACGGTAGTGGATTTTTGACCAATAAATAGGGATTTTTCTAATAGTTTTGCTCTATTACGGAGAGAGTGGGCGAGTTAGCAAGTTTTGAAAAAGTTGATAAAAGTCCTTCAGGCAAAAACTCTTCAAGCTCTTGTACAACTCCTCCTTCTAATGTCAGCATTGCTCCCAGCGCACAAGAGCTATTTGATAAAAACACAGAAGAGTCAACAATAAGGATAAGCTTTGACAGGATGAAAATTCCAAGAAGAGACTCAGTCAATCTGGATAGGATGGGGTCAACCAATAAAGTGATATCAACTTTGCTCGAAGCACTGAGAGTTTGTGAATCAATTGATGTCAATTTAACAGTAAGATCTTTAATTTTACTCGGCTGCTCTATGAGTCATATGCACTCAGCTCTTGCAGGTAGATTTTTCAATCTTGGAGACAGATGCAGCAAACTTGACATTTTGCAAGTACTTACTCCCCCCTCCGTGGGCCAATAAACCATTGGAAAATCCCTATTTTTTGCCAAAAAACCCGCGAACATAAATTTTTTATGAAAAAAAAATTGATAAATAAGTGATAATTAATATAATGAAATCTCTAGTTAATTCTGCTTAGTTTTAAACAGCTTGCATTTTAGAACATAAATTTTACAAATTAAATAATTTTTTCCTTTCCTATTTTTGCGAATTGGGATTTTTTTTTGTAAATTTGAAAAAAAAATTACTATTTAAAAAAAAAATCGCTCACGGAGGGGAGAGTTAGAGATTTAGGGTTCGTAACCCAGCATACAGTGGATATTCCATTGCTTTGTATTGACTATTCAAAAGAAACCAAGGAAAAAGCCAAAGAGATTTTACGACTTCTAAATGCAGGGAAACTAAAAAAATATGCTATGAATGTGCTGATGAAAGATGAGTCACAGCCTGTTAAATCAATACTTGCATTACGAGCTCTAGGATTCGCTAGTTCTTTTGAGCTTGACGAAGAAGTTGTTCACTTTCTTGTTCAATTTATTGACCACTATGATCTGCTCTTCCGACTTGAAGCCTTAAAAAGTCTTTATAATTTAATTTCAGCAACTCAAGGCATCAATACTCAAGACACGCAAATCCGCAAAATACTAGCTGCAGCTCCTCATGTTATTAGAGACCGGCTAAAGCTACCAAAATACTCAAGCACAATGAGGATAGCAAGCTTGAAATGCTTGATAGCTTTATGAATTTTGCTTGATAAAGGTAGAGATTAGATTAAGATTAATTCTAGAGGGTCAATGGGGTTTATTTCAGCCCCAAGAGCTAGCTTATCTCAGGTGGCGCCAGACTCTAACTCAAATAAAGCATTATTTCTGTTGAAGTCACCGAAAAATTATGACGTCAGACAGTCTGTAGGGGAGACTCACCCGGTCTTGGCCCTTGACTAACGATTAAGGACTGCCTACCACTTCCAGGGCTTGACGTATTGTCGAATCGCCCAAAATCTCCTTCTTGGCCTGCCTTAGCCCTATTGCAGACTAAAGATAGCCTCCCAAGAAGTACAGAAGGATGCTATGCCTTTGCCTCTCGTCTGTGGGTTGAGGAAAAAAGGTTTAACAACAAAAAATCCGCCCGAGAGCTATCACCGATAGGATCCATCTTCCATGGGCATTAACATTAACATTAACCTTATTATTAAGAGGCTCGTCGTAATAGTTAGGGTCACCCCCGGTCTACCTTCACCCTTCGCGCTTCGCCGGTTGCTCACCACCAATCGATCACAACTTCAATATGTTGCTTCTACTGGACGAGGATGTGCACTCGCTACCCGTAGTTGGATGAGTTACGCCATCCAGCAACAGAGGTTGCCCATTCCGAAAATTTGAAAATCAAATTTTCTGGTAGGACTGTCGGCCAAAATGGAAATCCAAGCCTGGGACGTAACGCCCAGTTTCACACTAGGGAGTTGCCCAATTGATCAGGTGGTACCTTCCTGATGCTGCTGAGCTTCCCCTTTCTAACCTTGGAAACCATTTCCCCAGAGGCAAAAACCCTGGTGTCAGAATGAGCTGCAGTCGGCCTAGTCCGACGTTGCGCTCTCTGTGCCAAGGAAAAACCTAGCCGGATACACATTCCGAGCGCTAATTTCCCTTCCAGAAGGTCCCCCGCGAACGCAGGCTACAGGTGTTGAGAAAAAGGGCTGGATCCCCGTCGCCATTTTAATGTATATATCCCATCTTCCATGGGCATGGATCAACTTACAGGACACCGAGGACCTAGCTCTGCTACCCCTTTTAATAATTCAAAGGTAGAGAAGACAATCATATCTGCGAAATGAACCATATTTTAGTCAAAGAACAGTTAGGGACAAGTTTTCTCGTAGGGAGCTTAGAAAGCATAATGCCTATTCTTTACGAGTTTTTAAGCAGCGACATTCAAGAAGAAATTGATGCCGGATGACAATGTCTCATTGAGATTGACCCTTTTTCAAACAACTCAAATTTCCCTGAGGTGATTAAATTTGTGAAAAATGTTTTACTGGACAGCAGGATCAAAACAAGAAAATATGCTTTGAAATTGTTGGTAAAAACCATACCTTCCCTCGAGTTAAAAGACGAAACTATGAAAATTTTAATCGACCTTATCCCTATTTTCACTTCAAAAGAAATTGAGCTGGTAGCCAAAATAATTTTTAACTGAAGCGAAATATCATCACTGAAGTCAATTTTTCCACCCCTTAGCTCAGCTATTTTGCCTGAGTTTGCAACCTTTAACTTAAAATATTATAAGGATGGGATTTCATACCCCTTGCTTCGCTCTACCCTCTTTGCTTGTGTGGCTTGAAGGTATGCTTTGCTCCCTCTGGATGAGGGCTTGCACTCGCAACCCAGAAGTAAAGACGCTGGGTCATCGTACTGTAAGTCATCAGGGTTAACCTTTCCGAGAATTCAAAAAAAAATTATGGTCAGGGTATCACCCGAATGGAGCTCCTTGTATTGTGCTAGGAAATTGCCGGATTGCCCAAGAGAATGCTCTCTACCTTGCTGGCTATCCCTTTCTAAATTTTAAGTTCCATAATCCTTCAAGGCTAAACTTAGCTTGGATGAAAGCCTGAGGTTGATCAATCCGACACTTCACTCCTTCAGACCAAATAAAACCATCCGGCACTCTCACCGCACGACACTCTCCCTTCCAGAAGATCCCCAAACTCTTGTCTGACTACAGATGCTAAGAGAACAGGTCAGCTCGCCACTCCCTTTTTTTATGTGTGAGTTTGCAACTCACTTTTCAAATATTTTCCACTTAATTGATACTCTCGGCAAAGTTATCGATCAGGAATATGGGTACATTTCCGAAATTCCTCAGACAGGATCCTCATCAGAATTTAAACAGCTAAATCATCAGAATAAATCAATAATGAACCACATCACAGAAAACCTTCAAAGCACACTAAAATCTTCAATTCCTAAAAGAAACGAATTCCTTGATATAAGTGGAGAGCCATCATTTTTCAAGGACGATTCTCTGCAAGACATGTCAATCATAGAAATTGACGACTCCGAAAACAAGACTTCTCTTGACAGTGGATCAGGTGATTCTGATGAAAAATTACCTTCCGTTGTTTTATGTTACACTATTCTCAAGTCTGGGATTAAAAGTGAAGCAATTAACCATATAGTTTTGAAATATCTGAAAAAGTACGATAATATCGATGAATTCTGTGTAGCTGCAGAAGCATGAGCAATAATAAATGGCAGCAAAGAGTTCTATCAGCCTCAGGTAGAAGTTGCTTTAAATAATCTTATTGACGATTATCCTGAAAAAATTGCAAAAGCTGTGATTGACTTGAAATTTAAATCTGACAGTATTTGCAATAAGCTGATCGTAAATTTGAGCTCTGGGACTCTTAAGCTTGATTATACATATAAAGCTATTCTTATTAGTATGCAGCTGAATTCTTCTGCGCCGTTGGAAGAGTTATGCAGACTTGCAATAAACTATACTAATAATGATCCACAGCTGCTTTTGTTTATTCATAACCAAGTAAGTAACACAATTGAGCAATTCACAATTAATTGCGATTCTCAGCTGAAGTCTCTAATTATTTGTTTGAGCAATAACCATTGTGGACTTTTAGTACAGCCAATTTGGCAGTATTGGACAAATCGGCTGAGTGAAAATCCTGGGTATGTTCTCCCTGAAGATATTCAAATTGTGCTTGAAAATTCTGAAGATATGGACTCAAAGTTCTTATTGAGATGGGCCAGGACTTTAGGAATTTTAAAAGTTGAATTTGTGGGAAATGAATCGATCATAAGCATGCCAACAAGAAAAATGTGAAATATATAACTCATTTTAAATAGAATTTTATAATGCCAGCATTAAATTAATTATTTTTACCAAAGGAAAATTAATATAATTTATTAGTATTTCAATTAAGCTTCCACATTAATTTAAGAAATTTAGCTATAATAATAAATAATGAAAATTTGCAAGCTGATCTGTTTTAAATAAGCAACACAAATAATTTACCTCAATCTTATTTGCGCATTGTAATTTATTCTCCTTACTGCTATAAATGCATAAAATTAAGACAGTTAATTGTAAAATGGATAAAAAAGGACATGAGTTGGATTTTAAAGTAAGATATCCACAACTAGAAAATTTCCCAGGGGAACTGAAAGCAGGTCTTAAAAGATACCATGTCCACAAAAATGATTCTTCGCGAGAGCTCTTCTTCAACGTTAACAAACTCACAAGCAAGTACTTGATTCTCCCAACAGTTCCAAATCGCCCAAGAAGGAACAGGTCACAGCTCGACTATGTTTCTCAAAACATATCTATTGACGCAAAGCCTAACTCCCTCCTCCGTAAGCGAACAGAACAATTAGAAAAATCCCTATTTTTTGCCTAAAAACCCACCCTCCGTGAGCGAACAAAAATTTTGTATGAAAAAAATTTGATATAAAATGATAATTATTATAAACGAAATCTTAGCTAATTCTGATTAATTTTAAACAGTTTGCGTTTTTAAAATATAAATTTCGCAAATTAAATTAATTTTTGCTTTCTCAATTTTTACAAATTGGAATTTTTTTAAATTTTGAAATTTATATTTAAATTTAAAAAAAAACAAAATTAACCCCCCTCCGTGAGCGGGGAGTAAGCAAGAGGAATTAAGCACTCTTAAGCAGCAATTAAAAACCAAAGATCAAGAAATTGCTCATCTCAGATATATGGTTAGGTCAAACCAAGGCTTCAAAAGTGTGGAGCCAGAACAAAAGCATCAGTCCAATAAGCTGTCGAACTATGACCCGAGCAGTTCGTTTCTGCCCTATTCGAAGTCAAATGATATAAAACGGTCTACAAGTTCGCATCAAGATCTTTTTAGAGATCAGAGACTGACTCCTTTAAGAAATCGATTTATACCAACAGAAAGGAACTCGAATCCTTTACTTGAGTTCGCGAATCACCCCGTATTTAAGCAGCCGTTTTATTCCAAGAAAAATCCGAAAATCGTGCTTAATGACCCGATCACCGGCCTTAACAAACCATCCGGGTTGTCCCTATCACCAGACAAGCCAAATAATCACAGCCTGACGCCTGATATAAGGAAATCAGCTGATTACTATAGCAATTACATAGGAGAGTCGTTCTCCAGGCCGAATTTAAACGCAGAAAGGCTCAATAAATCATTTGTATAATTCATAATAGCTATTAAAATTAGGAAAAGCTGTTAAATTACATATACAGAGGGGATTCATCAATATTATAATTTCTGATAACCCAGTTTACATTTTCAATTGAAGCCGAAATCGCGTTTACTATAATCTTTTTCACATCACTCAGAAATTGCATATCAATGTGCTGCATCCCTGAAGCTCAAACATTCATCTTATCCTCCATAGGAAGCTGCCTTGCTGACTCGTAGACTTCTAACAAATCTCCTTCTTCTAAATCAGCAATATCTTTGAGACCAGCTACAATTCCTTTGATGATTTGAAAAAGCTGAGTGCCGTCAAGAGCGATATTTGCATAGGATTGAAAATATTCTTTTGCCTTTTCCATTGATGGGAAATGGACTTGCCCAATGTTTCGGCCCTCAAGTACTTCGTCGAGATCTCTGAGTATGCTGAAAATGTATCGTTCAAGCCTTTCCATGTGTTGGTTATAAAGTGTTTCAGCTAAAACACTGTCCTTTCTTAAACAATTGCAATATGAATCTACTGAGAAAATTGTTCCTAATTTGATGTCAACATATTCAGGATCTCCTAAGTTTTCACCATAGAGACCTGTAGGAATTACTTCTATGCAAAGTGTGTTAGGATTCCCCTGATTATTTCAAATCAGAGGGATTCTGTCAGAATTATTCAAAAATAGATCTAGGGCAAGGATAACACCTAAGTCCCGAAGTCTAGAATAGCCTTTAATTTTGTCGTAGCCAAAGCATAAAGCTGATCGTTTCGGACCTAGCATCAATAAAGAAAGAGTTGGGTAATACTCTGACACAATCAAAAAAGGACGGTCAAGTTCATGTGTTAGCTGATTGTCAATGTATAAATCATGATATGTCTTAGACCTCAAAGAGTGCATCATCTTTTTGAATTCTTTATCTTTGTATTGAACGATCCGTGCAAGAGGCACTTGAATTGCTAATTTTTGGTATAGAAGGGTGGTAAAATAATCTTGTGCAACGTTAGGGGAGCCTTTAACGGTTAAAGCTCTATTGTCTTCAAATTGGCATAGAAAAATCCCTGTTACTCCTCCCTGTGTACAATCAACTCCAATCAGTTCTTTTCAAGAAAAATCATAAATTTCAGCAGGCAGAGATTTCAAGTTAAATTTAAACTCATTCTTCCCCAGCTTGGCCTTATGATATTTCTCCACTAGCTTCCTTGAAACTTTGTCTTGAAAATCATTTGGGTGCTCGCTAATATAAGGAATTTCCATTATTTACTAAGAAATTCTCAAAATAAACGGTGTATAACTATTTTATAAAAGAAATTATTTAATTAATTAGACTTTTAATTAGAATTAAATAATTGTTTTGATAGTTTGTACACTTATCCATTTGTTTTGTAAAGCGTTCGCTCAAGAAATTGTATTTGCTGAACTGTGATGCTCATTTCATCTTGCAGTTCTTGCTCTTTACTGTAAAGTTCTTTTAGCTGGCTTTCTTTTTCTTCACTGTCGATGTCCATGTTAGGGTCATCGTCAGGCTGCCCAACAATGCCGCCCATGGTCTTTGACTTTTGCTCAATAATTAAGGCTTCTTCTGGTGAAAGAGTTCCGACTATTATACTGTGAAATCGATTTTTAGCAGAATTCGGAGTTCGGCCTTCAATGTATTTGGATACTTCATATCAATTCATCCCAATATCCAAAACTATGTTCTTAAGAAGAACGTCTTCTGCCTCAGTTCATGGGCTCTTCTTAATGCTGGGATTCAGCTTATTTCTCCATCGAGATTGCACTTGGACTGAAGTTTTATGTGGGAATTTTCGAGCGATTTTTTCTCAGTCAAAATTCATTTTGATGGCGTATTTGGAAAGCCTTTTGTCGTCGTCCTTTGTTCATATAGCTTTGCCGTGTTTTTCCTTTTCATGGATGGATTCGTGTTGTGGTTCTCGAATGATTCTCACTGGCTCTTCGGCACAGCAAGTATCTCAGCAACTTCGTGGAGCCTCTGGAGTTCTCCAGTATCCACCTGCAACGTTAATTGCTCCTGACCAGCTCATATTATTTCAATGGTTTAATTTTATATCTATTTTTTATGTCAGACTAAAACTAAATTAACAAATGCAAATTTTTTATATTTCAAAAAGTTTCTGTTGAAAGCAATTATAAAGATTTAACTTGTTTTTTCAGTAATCTGATTGACAGATAAATGGCTTGAAATGCAGTAAATGACAGAATTTTGAATTAATTTTTTTTTATGCTTCATTAGACTTGATTAAAGGATTTTTCCTACAATTAGCCTTTATACTTGAGATTTATCGCAATATATATTTTTGAGCCAATTTTAATGCATTCAATTAGCAGATTTTTCTTTCTTACTGAAGTGGCCATAAAATCCTTATTGTTTTCAAAGTCACAGTTAAAAACCAAAAAATCGCTGCAGTTCTCTAAAATATATAAATGACTATATTTATATAGATATGTATGATAACAGCGAGGACAGCTCTCCTGATCAAAGGTCAAACTCATTAGCCATGCAAAAACCACAGAGAAAGAATCCTATAGCAGATGCAGCAGATCTCGCAAATCGAATCCGTCTTCTTAAATTTGAACATAGCCGAGCTTTAAAAAGAATTGAAGAAACCAAAGATCGAATCGCTGAAGTCATAAATTCCCGCACAAGAAATGCCCAAGACAAGCAGATTAGGGAACAGTGAAAGCAGCAGCAACTCAAACAGGAAGAGGAGCTCAGGGAGAAAAATAGACAACTAAGGCAGTTAAAAGAAGACAAAATGTATCAAATGCAATATGAATTATTCAATGTAAAGCAAAGAGTAGGTAATCGGATGCGAAATGCAAAAGAATTCATTAAACGGACAATTCAGCAAAAATCATTAGATACACGAAGAGAAAACAAGAAAAAGAGAGAATCGATTCTGCTTGGAAGTAAGCAAGCCAATATGAGAACGAAATTTTTAGAAGAGCATAAAACTCAGAAAGCAAAAAGCTTCTATAGGGTTTCTCCGAGATAGCCCTGTAAGGGTTGTGGACTCTGGACGGAATCCGTTGGTTTGTGGAGCCAACAAGTGATTTGGTCCGACTAGTAGACGCATGATCGTCAGCGTAAAATTACAGAATGGTTTTAAAAAAGAGACATAAGGACTTAGATGATGTGAGAAGCATCACCGTAATTAATAGATAGATAGATATATTTGGTCCGACTAACGAACTGAGTTGGTCGGACCAACTGCCTTAGGGCTATCTAGGGGAAAACACCATATGAGCATAGGATTGACTATGAAGATAATCACAGATTTGATCTCGAAAAGCATATTCAGGATTTGGAAACTCAGGAAAGAATTTTGCTTGAAAGGGTGCAGAGAGCTCAGGAAATACAAAGAGAGGCACTTGAAGAATTTGAACAATCATAAAATTTGATAAATTTGTTTATTTTTAAATAAAATTTTCTTTACTCCCTCAGTAAAGGCTAAAATTTTTTACTTACTCCCCCCCCCCCCCCTCCGTGAGCGAACAAAAACCATTAGAAAAATCACCATTTTTTTGACCAAAAACCCACCCTCCGTGTGAGCGAACAAAAATTTTTTTAATAGAAAAAATTTTAATGGAAAAAAATTTTGATATATAAGTGATAATTAGTATAATGAAATCTAGAGCTAATTCTGTTTAATTTTAAACAAATTGCGTTTTAAAACATAAATTTTGCAAATTAAATTAATATTTGCTTCCCAATTTTTGCAAATTAGGATTTTTTTAAATTTCGAAAAAAATATTTTTTATAAAATTTATATATAAATTTTTTTTAAAAAAAAAAATTAACCCCCCTCCGTGAGTGAACAAAATTTTTTTGTTCGCTCACGGAGGGGGGGGGGGGAGTTAGCATTTTACTATTCTAATATATAAAAAATTTATAAGAAAAAAATTATTACTTTATTTAATAGGAAGAGATTTGGATTTGTTTAATAATATTGAAATAATTAAATCTTAATAGAAGAGGTTGGGAATGAGACATTATTATTAGTCTTTTAAGGGATGAGACATAAAACGATAGCACTGATTTCATTAAAATATTTAGCACTACTTAAATCTTAAATGAGAAAAATTAATAAAATATGAGGCCAATACTCATCAGCTGCCATACAAGACCAGTGATTGCCGTAAAATTCAACAAAGACGGCGATCTTTTCTTCACAGGAAGCTTTGATGGGAAAGTCTCAGTATTTTGGTCAGAGCCAGTTGAAAGATTAGGGACATTTGCTTGTGATGGTGCAATAAAGGCATTTACAGTCTCAGACGATTCCAAATATATTGTTATCGGCACAGCCATCAACGGAATCTTTATTTTTGAAGTGGAAACCGGACTAAAGGTCAAAACACTTGAATTCTCCAACAAAATCCATGTAAGAGACGTCGATTTCTCAATGGGCAGTCAAGAATTCTTTATGATCAGCTATGAAAGTGACGTGAAAAAGCAGTCAGTGGTTTACTCATACGACTTTGAGACTGTTCTTAACAGAGAACAGCCAGCTAGAAGAGAAATCCGTAGAAGGGATATAGATCATTATTACAGAGGAGCCTGGGGATACCTAAATAAAACCATTGTTCTTGGAACACAAAATGGGTGCATTGATGTCGTTGACACAAAAACCAAAGAACTCTTATTAAGCTATCGCCCTCATACAAACCAAATAACAAGTTTGGCTTTTTCTCCTGACTACAGCATGCTCATTACTGCCTCAAGAGACTGTTTTGCCAAGATTCTAGACCCAGAAACTCTTAAAGAAAAAAGAGTTTTTAACGCCCAAAGACCATTGAACTCTGCTATTATTTCACCATTAATGCTTAATGAAGGGAACCCTAAATACCATTGCTTAGTAGCTGGAGGCCAAGAAGCAAGAGATGTGACAACCACTGCAACAGACCAAGGAGGATTTGAAATAACATTTTACAATATGATCTTTGAAAGAGAAGTCGGCAGTGTAAGAGGCCATTTCGGTCCTGTGCACTCAGTCGCAGTACACCCAAGAGGCCACATGTTTGTGACTGGCTCAGAAGATGGTACAGCTAGAGTACACATGCTTGATCAAGATTACTTCACCCCAGCATATGATTAACAAAGTAAACATAACAAAGTTCTTAATATCTATGATCCAGAAGTAAAGGTTTTAATGATCCATTTTATCTTTCAACAAAATATTTTTTAATTATAGTCTATTTTGTTGATAATTTATTAAAAACTTAATTGGATATGACTACTCTGGCAAGGAAGCAGAATTTGTCAAATGACTACCAAGAGAACGAGAAAACTCAGCATAACTGCTATGAGTGGGATGAAAACACACAAGGAAAAAACTCAGAAGAAGCATTTAACAGTCCAAACGATGGAAGAATCAGGCATAATTGTAGGAGAAATACGTTCACAACGCCAGAAAATTCTAATGAAAATATCATTGTCACAACCAAGCCTACACATAGACGTACAATTAGTGGCTCACATGATTATTATTGTGATTTATTCAGCTTCTCAACAAATCAGTCTCCTCCTTCAAGTGAAATGGAAAATAAATACAAGAAAGTCATAGCATGGATCTCAAATAATGAGTACTTATCTGTAAATGAATCAAATGAATTTAAATGAGAAGCTGAAGAAATGAGGGGGAATGATGAAAAACAAACGAACTCTTGTAAAAAAGAGGTTAAAACAGTGCTTGAGCTTGGTGACTTTGAGGAAATGATAAAAGTCATCAATGAGAGAGAAAATACGATGAAGCATTATTTGCTAAATTCACTTTTAATTTGAAACGAAATATATGCTTCAATTTGAAAGGGGTTAATTTTTTGAACAAAATAGTTTTTTATAGTAAATAAATACAAAATTTTAACATAAGATGAATAAAAAGATTTTAAATTTTATTTGTGTAGTATTCTATTTATTCCCCATTTAATATAGAGCAAGAAATATAAAAATTTTCGATTTATATAAAATTAGCCTTATATTAAATTTGTGCCAAATTGAAGGCATAGCTATTATTATTTTAGCTAATTTTATTTCAATTTAATAGCTAATATCCTTAAAATCCAAAATTACCATCATTTTTGATCCAGCTTAAAGGGGGATAAGCAAAAAGAAAGAAATCAAGGAGTTTGCAATAAAACAAATTAAGCGAGCTGACAGTCCAGCCAGCGATGCTGATAAAAAGCAACAAAAAGGATTGTTAAACATAGAAAACAATGATAATAAACTACAAAAAAAGAAAGAAAAATTCACACATATGTCTGAACAAGTAAAAAGAGACCCTATTGAAAAAAATAAAGATCATTCTTCAACTGGATTTTTCCGAAAAAGCAATGACAATAAATCTGAAATTAAAAATTTCCTGCATAAATTGAGTGTAAATAAAGGGAGCGAAAGCAATGCAATTCTGATTTCATCACGAAAAATAAATCTCGGAAAAAAGGATAAAAAGGGTGATAATGAAAAACCTGAAAAGCTAGAAAAGCCAGACAAGCCTCGAATTGTTCCCAAAAAGGAAGCTCGAACAGGAACAATTCACCATAGTCCTCTGCAAAAAAGAGGAAACATTGAAAAAATAGCAAAGCTCATTCGCTAGAGAATGTATTTACTATTCTTTCCTTAGTATTTATGGCATGTTTATAATTTGGACAATAATTAATCTTTATTTATTATTTCCTTTTTATTATTTCTCTAATAGTGATTACTGCTCTTTCTGATTCTTTAGTTAAAGCTTGCTTATTCATTGTATTTTCTAAATCAGAAGCCAAATGTGGGTTTTCTCTGACAACATCAGCAATCTTATCTATCGTATCATTTCTTCTTACAGGAGTTACCACGTTTCTTCTAATATCAGTAATATAACGGAACCCAGGAGTAAGCTGGCCATGGCATGTCATTATTGCGTTTTTTATTTCTGGGTTTAAATTGATCTCTTCGAAGCTTTTATTGGCGTCATCCCATGCTAATTCTTCGATATAATCGAATAAGAGTTTTGAAAAGTGCTCAGAAGCATCCCTAGGAAGCTCAGAGGAAAGAAAGTCCATGCTGTGGTAAAGAATTGAGTTATTTATGTGAAGCGAGCTTAAATAGTGAATTCTATCATCTTCAGAGGAGTACAGGTAAAACGGCTCTTCAGGCGATGTAAATTTGCGGCAAATTTGGATTCCTCCTTTGATGTCACATGAAATATCACAAATCCCTAACAGTCTTCCATTTAAAGTTTTTATATCATCAACTGTGAGCATCTTTGGATATTTTGAGTCCCAATAGATCGCATGGACTAGGCATGATAGTTTGGCAGCATATTTTTTAAACACACTTTTATACATCTCAGGGTTTTCTTGATACTCTGCTCTGTCAAATCCATCGTCAGAGAACCTTCTATAAATATACCTAATAGGGAAACGCACAATGTAAATTTTAAACCTCGATTGTTCATTTGGTGTAAAATTTTCTAATTGTTCTGGCTCTATAAACTCATGAGGAAGCTTAGTGAGAATATTCAAAGCCCCACTTGCGCATCTGCCATTCCCAGTTACTCCGAAAATCATCGGAACAACAGAAGGGTGGAAGCCATCGTGGGAAATAATTTCTCCAATGTGCTCTATACTTTCATAAATATCTGCCAAACTTCTGTACATATATGCGAACCCTTGAAGTAAAAATGGAGTTGAGATGTGCTTCATGAGCAAATACTTCCCCAAGCCTTGCAAAAAATCGACCATCCCAGCTGATCCCGCAAAGGTGCCAAATGCAACAAGTCTGTTGTGTGGAGGCTCTAAAGACTTTATGCACTCATAGTCAATCAGGCGAATTTGCTTTTCAAGAAATGCATCAAGGAGTGGCATATTGTAAGGCTGGCCTTTTAAGGTATGTGAGAAAAGCATATAGGTGCGATTTGGGATCAGCTCATCGGTGGGAATTTCTTTGACACCGATAATCAGCTTTGCTGGGGTTAAATCTTCTGTGAGCTCTGCTCCTGCTTCTGCAAACTCAATATCTGAAAAGCATCTGTTTGTTGAAGGCTGGACAAGGACTCTGATTCCTTCGTTTATAAGACGTTTGACATCCTGAGGAGTTATGGCAACTCTTCTTTCCCAGTATGTTTTTGTTTCTCTTCTTATTCCAATTACACCTTGTTGTCCTTCCATCTTTGGCAAATAAATGTGTGATTAAATAAGGATAATGAAACTTTCACTCCTCCCTTTTAAATTGGAACAAAAATCCTGCACCAATAAAAGGATGGTTAATTTTTTGTTAAACAAAATTGTATATTAAATTTTTCTTACATAAAAATATTGATAAATTTTTTAAAAATTAACAAAAAGTAATTGAAGAAAATAGTCTATTCAGTGTGAAAACTGTTTAAATAATATTCTGCACTTTTCCATCAAAACTAATTTTATAAAAATTAGTATGTTTGGCCAATAAAAATTTCCTATGAAAAAAATTGTTCTAATTTAAAGGGCTTTTAAAGTATACAGAAAATAGAAATTTACCGATATTTTGTTCCAATATTAAAGGGGGAGAATCAGTATGATATAAAGCATTATAGCATGCAACCTCCTAAATAATATCTAAATTCTTGCACAATTTTGTTATAGAATTAAAACACTTATTGAATCTTTTAATTAAATTTTTTTTTGAGCCAATTTCATTAACTGCTTTTAAATATTTCATTGATTTTATGCTAAAGTTTCAATTATTTAAAAACTTTGTGTAAGAGCAGCTTCTCTTATAGAATAGAAGACTTATACTGCGGACATCAATATGGAAGTTTTAAAAAATTACTCTGCCTACAACTTATGCATCTAATATAATTTATCTTTTTCTAAATTCCCCAATCCGTAACTGAACAAAACAATTGGAAATCTCCCTATTTTCGAGTAAAAAGCCAACATACATGAGTTAACAAAAAATTGTTTATGAAAACATATTTGATATATAAATGATAATTATTATAATGAAATCTCTAGCTTAGTCTTAGTTAAATTTTATAGAGTAGCTCCCGTCAGGTCCGAAGGTCCTTTTCTTCCGCCTTTTGGACGCCTCGCTTGCTTTCCTTGCCCTGCTTCCAGTGTGCACCTAAGTGCCACAGGCTACCACTCAGCTCCTTCCGGTCATGGGGCTTGGTCATGCTATCCCGGAAGTAGGCGAACTGGGTCACCGTGCTTCACGTCGCCAGACTAGGGTTAGAGCTAAGGATTAACTCCTTACTCCCCCCCCCCCCTCCGTGAGCGAACAAAAAAATTTTGTTCGCTCACGGAGGGGGGTTAATTTTTTTTTTTTAAAAAAAATTTATATATAAATTTTATAAAAAATATTTTTTTCGAAATTTAAAAAAATCCTAATTTGCAAAATTTGGGAAGCAAATATTAATTTAATTTGCAAAATTTATGTTTTAAAACGCAATTTGTTTAAAATTAAACAGAATTAGCTCTAGATTTCATTATACTAATTATCACTTATATATCAAAATTTTTTTCCATTAAAATTTTTTCTATTAAAAAATTTTTGTTCACTCACGGAGGGTGGGTTTTTGGTCAAAAAAATGGCGATTTTTCTAATGGTTTTGTTCGCTCACGGAGGGGGGGGAGTTAGCTCTTGTCGGCTCCTGCCATGCCCTCCAAATTGGCACTAGCGGTCCCTAGAGGAAAACCCTTTTTGCCCCGTGTCCTATCGGGAAAACCCTTTTTGCCCCGTGTCCTATCGGGAAAACCCTAGGATCGTCGTTGCTGGACTGGGAGGGAAACCTAGCTGGACACAAACTACCAGTACCCATTCCAGACCTTTCCCTGGGCGGATTGACTTCAGGCCGCAGCAAGGTCCCCAATCTCGCCGCAGTTCTGGGAGAGGATGGGTCGGTGTCGTCGCCATTTTATTTGTGTATGAAATCTCTAGCTATTTCTATTTAATTTTAAACAACTTGCATTTTAAAACATAAATTCTAGAAATTAAATTAATTTTTACTTCTCAATTTTTGCGAATTGGGATCATCTTAAATTTCTATAAATTTTATATATAAATTTTTAACAAAAATATTAGCCCACTCCTATTAAATTGGAGGATAAGTCATTGATATATAAACATACCGAGCAATTCATTTTTGTTGGACATTTGCTCCGTGTCACTTGATAGGACATTTTGGTAGTGTGACATTCCTCGGATATTTTTGGCCAAAATGTTTTCCTTGTAATAAATTTGATAGAATTTAACGAATTTTTGCTCAAGAAAATATTATGACCAAAAATCCGAAACGAGGAAAAAAATTCCTATAAAACGGCTGGCTCTTCGTGCGACACATACATAAAAATGGCGTGGCAAATCATCCTGTCCTCTTAATATCTGTAGCCAGACGAGAGAGCCTGGGGGTCTTTTGGAAGGGAGAGCAGCATTCGGTATGTGCATCCGGCGGGGTTTTACTTGCTCTGGTGGAGCGCTAGCCAGCTCACATCTAGGGCAAGGTTTTACCCCGAGGAGGATAGAACTTGGAATTTGGAAAGGGTAGCCTAAATGGACAGAGAGCCTTCGCTTAGCTAATCGGACATTTTCCCAGCGGGATACCAGGAGTTGTGCCCTGAGCTACAAGTTTCACCTGGGCCTGGGCAGATAACCTGACAAAAAAATTTGCTTTCGAATTTTAGGAAAAGGCAACCTCGTTGACGTACGGCACGGCGACCCAGCGTCTTTACCTCTGGGTAGCAAAGGCAACACAAGCCTTAGGCTATGAATCAGACTGGCAAAAAGGGTGGGTGCGAAGCAAGTGTCGTGCAAAGCCTTTTCAAGGTTGCCTGGAGCTTCTATATAATAAATTAATAAATAAATGATTGAATGGCTCTTTGTGTAACACTTCCTCAGAAATTTTTGGTCAAAATTTTTCCTCGCGAAGCAAAAAAATTTATCATCTGCTGCTTTAATTTCTTAATGGTTCTGGCGAGCCAAAAAGAAGATTCACGTGAAATTTCAGGATTTTCGCATATGAAATCCCTTTTTGGGCTCGTCAAAACCTTCAAAAAATTAATGCAAAGCATAATAAAAATTTTATCAAATGCCTCACAAGGATCAAAACCCCCTGAAAATTCCACATGATGAAATTTTCGGATCAAAAGGCATTCACCAAAATTACTTATATTCAATTAATAAATTGATATAGAATTTTAAAAATTACTCTAAAGACACAGTGTATACTAGAAAGCTTATTCTTCTAAAAAAATCGATATATATATTTATTTATCAAGTAAAACTCTATATCCACACCAATTCCAAAGGGTATCTCTTTTTTCTTCTTCTATATAGCTCATAAGCGTTTCGCATGGTCCATCTCTCTCTCCTTTAATCTCCTGTGCATTAATAAATTCTTGCATCGCCTGATCTCATTCCCCAATAAAATAATGATTTAAAGCTTTTTCAAAGGCGTTTATAAATCTTTTACTGACTCCAGCTTTCATCAATTTCAGGTCTTCATCGTCATCTCACAAATTGCAAACTGAATAATCTCCATTTTTGCATTGAAATAACAATTTTTCTCTCGAGATCCTTGCTAGAACTCTTTCATGCTTCAGTTCTTCTTGAGTGCCCGATTTTTCTGCTACTGGTGTAAGATTACACAAATTCAAATCACATGTAAAGAGCTCAATAGGCTCTTTGCTGCCTTTGACAGTAACTCTATCAATTTTTCGGAATTTAGATTTCGTTACATTTGAAAAAAGATTGTACAAAGCATCACTTATGAGTAAAGGAACATGGCTCCATGTCAAATGACAGTGATTTTTGACAGTATACATTTCACTGAAATACATTGGTCGAAAATTTTAATAGTGTGACATTTGATCGAAAATTAACTTTTTTTTTCGGTCAAATGACTCAGTATTAAAAAGTTTCAACCAATTTTCGGCCAAAAATACTTCGGTGAAATGGACACTATCAAAAAGCCAATGTCATTGGTCCTGCACCCAAGGAACACCAAACTGCTTTGTAGCAGCTTCAAGCCTGGAAGCTAAGTTTACATTCGGTGATAAATAAGAAGCATCAATTTTAAACTCACTTCCAATAGCCCCTTCTATAGCCCATCCTTGGTGCATACCAAATCCCATTTTGACAGCATACCCTGGCATTCTTTCAAGCAGGCCAGGATTTTGCTTATATTTCAATATCCTTTCACTTTTATTGATTTCAGCAATGATTTTAACAAAACTTATTACAGCCATATCAGCTATTTCTTTAACCATGATATTTCTATGCAGAATTTTGCCTTCAGGATTTTTCGGGTCATCTTTTATAGCCTCTTCAGGAAATTTCCAACAAAGTAAAAAGGCATCTCCAATGTTTTTATTAGCAGTCCCTGAGTATTTATCGACTAAGCTATGAACTATATAAGCAATTTCATTAACGAAATTCAAAACATTTTCTTGGAGAACTTCTGTAGTATCAGTGAAATTTCTGATATCACAAAACCCAAATATGCAAATTGTGTATTTTCCAGGAATCATAGGATCGACTTCTCCCCCTCCTTTTTTTATATTTAAAGCAATAATCTCTGATCCAGCTTCTCCAAACCCTAGTGCAAGGAGCAGCCCAATTTTCGTTATGGTTTCTTCTAAAAATGCAGTTTCCATTGACTCAATTTTTTTCTTCTTCTTTATTCCAGTAATTTCATTGATGACTGCATCCCTTTCTTCTTTTTGTGCAGCGGAAAGTGGATTTTCTGCTATCCTTGATATCTTTTCTATCATATTTTCTAAAGGAGTCAAAAGGATTTTCTGAAAATCATTTGATAGAAAGGCTATAGCGGCCATGATGATTAAGCATAAATAAATGGTTTGCAAGACATTAAGTTTTGCTTCCAACTGAGATTTGCCTCTCAAATCAAAGACTGCAAAGCATGAATAATAGTAAAAATGTGTGGTATTATATACATAAGCATAAGCTTTTTCTGAATTTCTTAGTTTTTTAGGGTCGATACTTGTTGCTCATTTTTTCCTGTGTTTCACCTCTAAATAAATTAATGGATAAACACTGTCTTTGTGCTTTTTAATATAATTATTCCAAGCGATTAAAAATGATTCATGATTGTGCCCGACTTTATCAAGGACATCAAGTCCATATTGGTAGGATGAATTTTGGTCTTCATAAAGCGATGATTTAAAAACTGGCATAACAACTATGATGATTAAGACCAAAAAAATAACTCTTTTAATGGTGATTTCTTTTAGTGCCTTTCCGATGTTACTTTTTTCAATTTCCACATTCTCATTTGCATTATTTGCCTCTATTGCATCTTGATTCTCATCTGGAAGAATTTCTGCTAGTGTTGTCATTATTGCTGAATTTTCTTGATTTTTGTCTGAAACTGCAGAAGAAAAAGACCGGGAAGCAGAACCTGGCCCATCACTTAAACTATCTGGAGGAGAAGATTCACCAATTGGTGGGAGTGTAATTAAATTTTCTTTAACAAATTTTTCATTCTGCCGTCTGAGTTCAGGCCTTTTTCTTCGGGCTGCATTTTTGATAGCTTTGGCTATTTTAAATAGCGTTGCAACTCTTATGAGTCGAATAACTCTGACGATTCTTATAATTCTTGCACCTTTTCCAGCTTGGCGAGCGGTTGCAGTTTTATCTGCTTGATTAGATATACATAAAAATGGTGACGACAGACCACCCGACCTCTCGACCCTATTTCTTCAACACTTGCAAGCAACTGCCCAGTGTCGAGGATTTGCCTAACGAGAAGCTGGGAGTTCGACCCAGGTATTTGGCCCTCAGACTCCAGGAGCCATGGAAGTCAAGACTGGTGCGCGAATACCTCGTTTACGGCAACAGGGAAGGTGTCCGCCGGGATTCCTCAGGGATGATGAGCGTGCAGGGGTGCAAATCCCCGGCCCTTGCGAAAGCGAATGGCATAATCTAATCTAATCTAATCTAATCTAATCTGCTTGATTAGGCTTGCCATCGTCACTTATCCCAAGCATCGAATTTCAAATTCAGCCAACATCGAAGGCCATCGTTATTGTTGCAATAATATCAAGCCAAAAATAAAAACTGTTAAAATAGTTGTCTCTTGAAATAGAGGATAGTATAATTTCAACACCAAAGAAAGATAGGCAAATAGTAGTCATTGTGTAAAAATCTTCATCTACGCTCATTGGTGTTGCCCAAAGTCTGATGTCATCAGCAAATAGGGCTCATAATGTAAGCATCATCATAAAAGTTTGCACAACTCAATGGTCTAACGCTTTTGATAGGCACACTTTTCATCTTGGCTTTGATTTTTCGTTGCTTTTTGGAGATAATGTAAAGGCTTTATTATGATTATCACTGGTATCGATTATTGTATTGCGAAAACGTGTTTGATTTCTTTCAAATTCAATGAGACCATTCATGCCGAGCTTAGATTAATTATCCATGAAACTGCTGAGAAAATTTTAACTTAATTACTTTATATATCAAAATATATTATTAAAATAAACATATATAAAATAAATCTAATCGCTCTTAAAGAGTAATTTTCAAAAATACTAACTTAGGGGTAAGAAATAAAAGTAATGCCGCAAAAATTGCTATGTAGGTATAATTTTGTTTGTATAAGGCAAACTTGCACTGATTCTATATAAGATATAGGGTGTTAAGTTATCGATAAGTTTGAATATAAAGAATCTAATTTCATTTTCTATGAAAGTAAGTCCATAGATCTTTTGAAAAACTAAAAGATTATTAAAGCTACCTTAATTTTAAATAACGATAATTATCTTATTCAGGTTCAATCTTTCTACTCAGCCGAGCGTTAGATACAACCGTATCACCTTCTGTAGCGAACATGTTGAATATCTGCTCCAGAGTAGTTTGGCTTAAAGAGTATTCACTGATATTTAACTTATCCTTATGACTCTCAATAAGCCCGAAGATATCACCAATACTTATATTATTCCCTTTTTCAACTCTAAATTTGAAAGAGGTCCCATAATGCTCAATGAGGCTCAGATCCGAAAAGTGGTGTTTGAGTCATTTATATATAGCTGAACCATAATTTTCTATAATTACCCATTCAACTAGTGTTTTGACGTCAATAAACTTCTTCTCGTTTAACTCTTCTCTTATATGAGATCCTGAGCCTCCTTTGCAAATTTCATCAATAAGTTGCTGACTTTTAAGAGCTGTCAGCGCGCTGAGTAAGTTTTCTTCGAAAACATTTTCGCCTGGTGCGGCTTTGTAGACTTTATGAATCATGCGAGTGATTTCGTCTTCGCTTGGGTATTTTACTTTCAAGAAAAATTCATAGCCTGAGCCGAATTTATTCTTGATATGGGTAGCAGTGCCATAGCAGCGTAACCTGCCGGCAACCATGATTGCCATGCTATTGCATAGAGCTTCAGCTTCGTCCATAGAGTGGGTAGTTAGGATGATACTCACTTTCTGTGATTTGATGTTGTTAATCACTTTCCACATATTTTTGCGTGCTTCAGGGTCCATCCCTGCACTTGGTTCATCTAAGAAGACAACTGGAGGATTGCCTATGCAAGCAATAGCTACTGAGAGTTTTCTTTTGTTACCACCACTTAAGTTCCCAGATCTGACTTTTGCATATTTTTCTAGACCCATATCACTGAGCTGCTGTGCTACAAATTTAGGTATTAGTTTCTTAGGAATGCCTTTGATTTTGGCATAAAGTCTTAAGTGTTCAGTAGGGGTAAGTAATTCAGTCAAAGCATCAAATTGAGGGCAGTAGCCAATGTTATACCTAGCCTCTGATAAGTTGGTAACTACATTAATACCGTTGATATATGTTATGTTAGATTGTATTTAGGATTGGTATAATTATTGTGATCTAATTTCTTAAATATGCAGGGAACTGAAAATCAAAAAGATATTTTTTCTGAATACTTAATACAGCCCTGTACAGTTTATGCATGGCCTTGAGTAGGACCATACTCTCCAGTCAAGATTCTAAATGTCGAGGTTTTTCCTGCTCCATTCACTCCAAGCAATGCAAATGCTTCTTGGAATGGGACAATGAACGAAATTTCTTGAATTGCAGTTTTCACTTCACTCTTGCTCCACCTGCTCCCATAAATTTTTCTGATGCCTGAAACTTTTACAGCTATAGTTTATGCACTATAATAGATTGCTATGGTCATTAGCATTACTAGAAAAAAAAGGTTCAGGGTACTTTTATTATACATTTTAAGCCAGATAGAAATCCCAAAACCATAAATGGAAATTTGTTATTTTCAAAAAATTAACAAGTACAAAATTATTTTAAAAATTAGCGTGTATAGTCAATCTATTATAATGCAAGAGCTATACATCTTTCGGGCTTGTATTTGTACAGACTTCTTTCATTCTTTCAACATCATCATCTGGCTTGTATTCATTTTCTCCTGGATCTCTTACTGACCCCATATTTCTGATATATTGGGTATGGCCAAGCCATTCTATCAATACTAGAGCCAGAATCCCACCTCCTGCATGAAGCATCAAAAAGAAAGCATCTGCTCCTGCAACATCCCATGCTAAAGGTGCTTGAACTTTTTCGCTATTCAGTGATGCATAAGCATCCCTATTCGATATATTCATTATACCAAACGAAAAACAAAAAATTGGTGAAATGCCCCTTAAAGGCCACTGAAGAACATTTGCCACACTTAAGGTCCCTTTATTGTTGATTCTCAATATCCAAATCATAATGGCAGAAACTCCTCCTGATATCAAGCTGAAAATGAAGACATAGAATTGTGCCAGAGAGTAGCTTTTGAATAGAAAGCTGCAAGCATAAGTGTGAGGACAAATCGCAAGGCCAAATAACAAGAAAATCACTCATGTGGCTTGATAAAGCTCATTATTTTCAGTCAAACTTTTTAGTCCAAATGCTTCTATCATGAGCACTGACAATATACAAGGGCCCATGTACTTTAGCAAATCCCAGGTATAAGAAGAAAGCCAATAAGCTGATATAGAAACTCCACTCACCAGATGCTGATGCTTCACGTTATTTTCTTTTTCTTTTACTATAAAAGTCACTAGCCCTGTAGGGATAAATGCCATCCCAATTCCAAAAATCATAGAGACATAAAATGTCGCTGCGTTTCTTGATAAGCCGGCCTGCCTATGAGTCAATGGCAGTGGCCAATTGCGCATTTTTATGCTAACAGGTTCTCCAATTGCAGTCTGCACGATTGCTTCTCCGATAACATTTGCAAAAGTTGGAGAGGATTGCATAGCTGTCGTGTTATGGAAAATGGCGACTGAAAATTGCTTTGTTGCGTTGTTTGCTTCATAGAAATAAAAAGAGCCCATTCTGTATGGCTTATGATGTCTTTGGGTGTATACAAATTTATCGAAATCTTGAATTGTTGGAGTATCAGCAGATTCTGTATTTGTCAAGGTTGATGTAGAATGTTGGCTTGCCATGCTATGAAGTATAATGTCTTTGGCAGTAGCTGAAGTGACAGGATCACTTACAGAGTCGCCCCATAGCATATTTTGAGGAGTGTCATATTTGCTAACTGACAGACTTAGCGACTTTTGACTTTCCCAGAGACTAACTTTGGTAAGCAAAATCAATCCTCCCATAATTAGTAGTATTGGCAAAAATATTTCAAGGATAAACCCTTTGAGGTCTCTCCAAGAATAGAGAATCCTTTTTTGAAGCAATGCCAGATAATGAGAAAAGAAAAGGAAATGTTTAACTCTGTCTTGAGAAATGTTAAAGTTTTTGGCCTCTTGGGATTCAAGTTCAAACTCAGAGCCTTCCCAAGTTTTTAATGCAATATCTTCTTTTCTCTCCTCATTAAATTCATCAAATTTTTTGCTATTTCTTTTTTCCAAAACGCTTTCATCATCCCCTCTTGCAACTCTTAGAAAAACTTCTTCCAGCGTGGTCACTGAAATACCGTAGTTTTCTATTTTCAACTCAGAAGTTCTTTTGTCAATTTCTTTGAAAAGCTCATTAAATATAGAGGATGCAGATAAGGGTAATTGGTAGACTGTTTCTGAAGAAACTTCGCTTAGGACTTCGACATCTGGGATGTATTTTTTGATTATATCAGTAATACGATCAGAGCAGTCCTTATCACTAGCTTCAATCCTCCTTACAATGGTGAGATTATAGCCTACTCCAAATCTTTTCTTCAAAAACAAAGGACTTCCCAAGCAGTGGACTTTCCCTTCCGCCATTATTGCAATTCTATCTGCAAGAATATCGGCCTCTTCCATATAATGAGTTGTCAAAATGATAATTCTACCGTTTTTATCGTTTCTCAGCATATCCCAAACCCTTCTTCTTGCTGACAAATCCATCCCAGAAGTGGGCTCATCAAGCATCACAATCTTTGATCCTCCTATGAGAGCGATTGCCAGTGAAAGTTTTCGTTTTTGGCCACCAGACAGATTCCCTGCCTTAGTGTCTTTTTTATCTTCTAAGTCGACTTCTTTTAGCTTTTCATCAATAGCTTCTTTGATTTCTTGTTTATTGGTCATCCCTTTGAATCTGCTAAATAGGTAAAGGTGCTCATATACTGTTAGATTTTTAAATAGAATGTCATGTTGTGGACAAACACCCAAGTTTTTTCTTATAGCAGACATCTCAGAGTTGAAATCATACCCATCTACAGTCATGCTGCCAGCTGTTGGCTTAAGGAGTCCAGTTAGCATTGATAAAGTGGTAGTTTTTCCTGCTCCATTGTGGCCTAGAAGTGCGAAAATTTGTCCCCTGAACATTTCCAGATCTAGCCCATCTACTGCAATTTTATTTCCAAAATGCTTTCTCAGCCCTCTTACAACCATAGCTTGCCCTGTTTCTATTTGCTTAAGCAGCAAGGGCTCTTCTTTTTCGATTTTATCATTTCTCTCTAACTCTCTCCTCCTTTGTTCTTCTTCTTCCTTCATGCTTGCAAGTGCTTCCTCACTTAATCCAGAATCTGTTCCTTGCTTTCCAAGCCAAAAGCTTTTGGTGAAAGGGAAATACCACTTAAGTGAAACTCCATATTGTGATGGAATGACCTTATCGAAATAAAGTGCAAGTGTAAAATAAATTGCTGAGTCAACCAATAGCATAATAAATGAAGTCATGACTGTATAATTTTGAAAGTTGTCTCCCCAGTTGCTGAAATCACTGCCGATTTCATTCGCTTGAAGGTTCAATAAAGTGTAAAATCCATTCACCATGGCTACAGTATTAAATATTGACAAAGCTGTTTTTGTGCCCTGAGAAGTTGTGCTAGTTACTGCAAATATTGTGAAAAAGGTCATAAAGTAAATTAATATCCCAACCAAAATTGCAGTTTTGGCTCTTGAGAAAAATGAAACAATTAAAAAAGCAAACGCAATACATGAAATTCCGTAAAAGAAAAACAGTAAGAAAACCAAAAACTTGTCTGAAGCCATGAATAGTGCCCAACCAATAAGAGTTGAGAGTCCACTAATCACAAGGAAAATAAGTATATACATAATGATCCACGAAAGAAAGTAAGCAGTGTCTCTAAGTCCCATCATTTTCATAGCTTCCTTCACTTTTGTTTCTTTTTCAGTGGCCATCCTATTGATCAGTCTTGATATTGGAACTAAAGACGTTATAAACATTAAAAGCCCTAAAGTTCCAGCAAAGGCATTGGTGAAATTGTCTTCTATATATTTCATTCCATGAAAAGGGACAAAACCAAACTGCACATAACCTTCAGGTTGTTCTTTGGTTAAAAAGAAGTTATAAATCATATTTTGGATGCTCAAAAAGCCACTCTCGATGAAATCTTTCTGATAGACAGTCATAACACTTTTTTGATAAGTATTAACAGGTGGGAAAATACTTGTCTGAAAGATATCATACCAAGATCCATACACAGTTTGATCAGTAGGATCAGTGTCTGTGTAATTATATCGAATCGAGAATGTAGCATTTGGATAAGTCATTTTAACTCCAATTGCAAAGCAAATTTTCGTATGTCCTTTATCGTCATAGTCTTCATCGGTGACATAGTCGTCAAGCTTTCCCATAGACTTGAATATTAGAGGTTCCTTGTAAGTTCCATTACCATTGTCCAAGTATTGAGCGATTTGGGTCTTCAAATAGGCAGTTAATAATTGGGAGTTAGTATCATTAGTCTCTTGTGCAATCGCCCAAGTCCAACCATAAGGAATAAGCAGCTGACACCATTCAAAGGGGTGGGTTTGCTTGTTAGCTAGGTTATATAGCCCTTCTCCAGTTGAATTTTTAGGGCCTACTATCTGAAGATGGTTGAGGTATGATTTGGCGCTAATATGTTCAACAGGGCTAGATAGCCTGAGTATCACCATAAAGAAAATGAGGATTACAGGGAAAAGGATCTCACAAATAGATCCACAAAGCTCTCGCTTCCACAAAAGCCAGTTTTTAAAGAGCAAAGCACGCAGATGACCTGCCAATGTCATATTTATTCAACAAATTTATCTTCGAAAACTTCTGCATAAACTTGGGGAAAAAATTATTTTAGCATCTTGGAGAAGTAAGTTTTAGCTCTGCTTATGCAAATTTCGATGATTAGTGGATTCTTGCAAATAATAACTATTTTCAATTTTTTTTAAAATTATTGTTTTACTGAAAGTGCTTAGATCTGGAAATTATTGATATGTTGAAATAAGTTTTATCTGAGAAAAGAAATTGAAGCTATTTTTTGAGCAATAGCGACGGTTTTTGAAGGCCTTGATATGGCCTGGAGAGGAAATGTAAATGGTGAACTTAAAAATAAAAGCTTTTAGAAAACTTCTAAAGAATAGATATATAAGAGTTGACTTTATTTTAAGCATCACAGTCTCTAATTCATACCAAAAAATTTTAGATTTACTTTTAAAAGTCTGTTTTTATATCTTCGATTCATAATTCAAGCAGTAAATAATAAAATATTAATTATTATATTATATATTTCTTAAGTAAACTAATAATTAGCAAAAATACCTTGAATTGATTAATGACTGTTCACTTCTAAAACAAAAATCAATTATCTTCATAACGCGGGTAACAAAAATAATCATTTGAATTTTAGTAAATTTAAAATATGATCTCATAATAGACTCTGGTTCTAAGCTTATTCTGATTCTAATAATTTAAGCATTTAAAATTTCTTTATAAAAATGCTAATGTGGCTTTAAATATTAGCACCAATATAACATAACATTATAAGAGACTTATAGCAAATTTCATTAGTTGTTACAAGCAAGAAAAACTCTAATTATTAGTTTTTTCAATTAAATGTTTAAGTAGAGAAACTCTTAGTTGAAATGGTAAATTATTTTAGATAGAAAGTTAAAGAAATTGGAATTATAATTTTTTTGCTAGAAAAGATAATTATATCCCATTATCTAATATATTTCCAATAATTATTGCTTAAAGAGAGGTAGATTTTAAATGATGCACTAAAGTTTTCTTATTATAATACTGCTGCCATTTTTATGCTATAAAGGATGATAATTGATATTTTAGTATTAAAATTATATTCATTGGTCTAATTCTTAGCATCAGAAAATTAAGGCAATATATTTAAAAACTTATTTAAAAATAGTATAAAGCTAATCCTCTTTGTATATAAAAATTGAAGCATAGTAAACCTCGATATATAATAAATAGATTCAAACTTTGAAGTTTTTATAATTTCCCTTCGATAAATATTTCAAACAAATTTATATAAAGCTAATTCACTTTTATAGTTAGCTCAGCATTTGATAAAACTACTAGCTAATATCTGCTTAAATGTCTAGCACTGACTCATTCTTCATTATGCTATAGATATTAAAACAGTTTAAAAACACCAAATTTATAGTTTTCCATTTAATAAATAACTAATAAGATAATATTATGCTGGTTGTACTCTTCTACTTAACCGAGCATTCGATACAACTGTTTCTGTAGCGAACATGTTGAATATCTGCTCAAGCGTTGTTTGGCTTAAAGAATATTCGCTGATATTCAAATTATCTTTCATATGCTCTATAAGTCCAAAGATCTCACCAATGCTCTTATTGTCTCCTTTCTCCACTCTAAATTTAAACGAAGTTCCATAATGCTCAATTAAGCTGACTTCATGAAACTGCTCTTTAAGCCAATTATAAATAGTTGCTCCATATATTTCTAATATGACCCACTCAACTAAAGTCTTTAAGTCAACGCACTGCTTTTCATTTAATTCTTCTCTTATATGAGACCCTGAGCCTTGCTTGGAAACCTCATCATAAAGCTGTGCACAGTTTAGCTCAGTCAGAGCTCTCAGTACGTTAACATCGTCTACAACATCGCCTGGGAGTATATTTTGAACCCTCCGAACATCGCGGGCTATTTCATCTTCATTTGGATACTTGGCTTTCAAGAAAAACTCATAACCTGAGCCGAATTTATTCTTGATATGAGTTGCAGTGCCATGGCAGCGTAGCCTTCCAGCGACCATGATCCCAATAGTATTGCAGAGAGCTTCAGCTTCATCCATAGAGTGAGTAGTCAGAATTATACTAACCTTTTGAGATTTGATGCTATTGATAACTTTCCACATGTTTTTGCGAGCTTCAGGGTCCATTCCTGCACTTGGCTCATCTAAGAAAACAACTGGAGGATTTCCAATGCAAGCAATTGCTACTGAAAGTTTTCTTTTATTACCACCACTTAATTTTCCAGCTCTGACAGTGGCATATTTTTCCAAGCCCATATCTTTTAATTGCTTTTCTACAAATTTAGGCACTAAGTGCTTACTCCCCCTCCGTAAGTGAACAAAAAAATTTTTTTTACTCATGGAGGGGTTTTTGAGATTTTAAAAAAAATCTTAGTTTGCAAAAATTGGAAAGCAAATATTAATTTAATTTAAAAAGTTTATGTTTTAAAAACGCAATTTATTTAAAATTAAAAAGATTTAGCTCGAGATTTCATGATAATAGTTATCACTTATATATCAAATTTTGTTCCCATAAAAAACAATTCTATTGAAAAAATTTTTGTTCACTCACTGAGGGGGGTTTTTTTGGGCAAAAAATAGGGATTTTTCAATGGTTTTTTGTTCTCACGGAGGGGGGGAGTTAGGAATCCCTTTAATCTTAGCATAAAGCCTCAAGTGCTCAGTAGGAGTAAGCAATTCAGTTAAAGCATCAAACTGAGGGCAATAGCCAATATTGTATCTTGCTTCTGATAAATGAGTTATAACGTTGCAGCCATTTATATAAGCTTCGCCTTTTGTTGGGCCATACTCTCCAGTTAAAATTCTAAATGTCGAAGTCTTCCCTGCTCCATTAACACCCAGTAATGCAAAAGCTTCTTGGAATGGGACAATAAATGAAATCTCTTCAATTGCAACCTTTACTTGAGACTTACCAAACATCGTTCCGTACACTTTTCTGACTCCAGAAACCTTCACTGCGACTTCTTTTGGATCAGTTTTGGCAGCCACCTCTTTAGCGTTTTCCACATCATCGTCAGGCCTGTATTCGCTTTCGCCTGGATCTCTTGCTGACCCAATATTTCTGATCCACTGAACATTTCCAAGCCACTCAATTAAAAATATCAAAATAATTCCAATTACTGTATGGAAGCCAAGGAAAAAGACATCAGCGCCTGCGATATCCCAAGCCAATGGTGCTTGAACTTTTTCTCCATAGGCTGATGCATAAGCTTCTCTATTAGAGACATTCATAATTCCAAAAGAAAAGCAAAACATTGGAGACGCTAGTCTAAAAATGTACTGGAGCCCATCAGCGACATTTCTTGTATTGTCGTTATCGTTATTACTAGTAGGCTGCTGCCATATTGTTAACGCAGTTACCACGACCCGTGAGGGTTCACCAGTTTTGCACCGTCCCGGTTCCACCTTGTTCGACTGGGAAAAAGATTTGCTGGGCAGTTGTTCAGCTCGGACTCCTTCGCCTTCTTGAGACCCTGCTGCCATGGAAATCAGAAGTGAGATATTTCTTGTATCGTCAGAAATCAGCCTCAAAGTCCACACAACGGTAGCTGCGACAGCTCCCATGATCAAGTTATAAATGAAAATATAAAACTGGGCTATTGAGTAATTCTTGAATAAAAAGCTTGAAGCATACGTATGTGGGCAAATCGCCACCCCGAATAGCATAAATAGTATTCAGGTCGCTGTGTAAATTTCGTTATTTTCAGTCAAGCTTTTAAGATCAAAGGCTTGAATCATTAAAACAGATAAAATTCCAGGTATCATAAATTTCAGCAAATCCCATGTATAAGATGAGAGTCAGTAGGCAGGAATGGAGACCCCACTTACCAGATGCTGGTGCTTTACATTATTTTCTCTTTCTTTCACTATAAAAGTTACAAGCCCTGTCGGAATAAATGCCATTCCAATAGCAAAAATCATCGAAACATAAAAGGTTCCTGCATTTCTGGCTAAATTCTCTTGTTTTTTAGTCAAAGGTAAAGGCCAGTTGTACATTGAAATTTTTAAATCCTGTCCAAGAGCGTATTGAGCTACTGCTTGCCCTAGCATATTTGCGTATGTAGGAGCAGCTTGGATTGCAGTCGTGTTATGGAAAATGGCTACTGCGAACTGTTTACTCCCCCCCCATCCTTGAGCGACCGATTGACTGTAAAAAATCCTAAAAATTTGGGAAAATTAAACCCATCCTTGATTGAACGGCTCGCCATCGTTCTATCAAGGATGGAGGTTAAAAAAAAAATTTATGTATAAAATAAAAAATATATATTTTTTATAAACTTTTAAAGAGAGTTAAGAGTATTTAATAATTATTTTTGGGGAGAAGTTAGTAATATTATCAGTTTGGTAGAAGTAATAAGACCCCATTCTATAAGGATGATGATCTCTTTCATCATATATGTCTTGATCAAAGCTACTAATAGTTGAAGAAGATAAATCCTCATTTGTTAATTTTGATGTCGGATATTGGCGATTCATGTTATGAGAAATAATTTCTTTTGCATTAGATGATATAACTGGATCAGATACATCATAGTTCCATAAAACCTCCTGAGGAGTGCTATATTTATCTACAGTCAATTTCCAAGATTTTTGATCTTCAAATACACTAACTTTGGTAAGGAGCGCAAGACCTCCAATAACCAGAAGCAGAGGCAAAAATATTTCTAAAACAAACCCTTTCAAGTCTCTCCATGAATATACTACACGCTTTTGAATTAACGCAAGGAAATGAGAAAAGAAGAGAATCCCTTTAAGACGATCTTCAGCGATATTAAATTTTCGAGCATCTGCAAGATCAGTTTCAAATTGTGAACCGTCAAAAGTGTGCTCAACACTGCTTTCGTCTCTTTTAATGCTTTTTCTTTTTTCTAAAACACTTTCATCGTCGCCTCTGGCAACTCTTATAAAGACTTCTTCAAGGGTAGTTACAGATATCCCATAGTTTTCAATTTTCAGGTCTGCTGTTCTTCTATCAATTTCTTGGAATAGCTGATTAAAGATAATTGATGCAGCAAGAGGAAGCTGGTATGATGTTTCTGCTGAAACTTCAGTCAGAATTTCAGCGTCTGGGACATATTTTTTAATAAGGTCGGTGACCTGATTAGAGTATTCTTTTCCACTTGCTTCGATTCTTCTATTAATAGTAAGGTTATAGCCAACTCCGAACCTTTTCTTTAAAAACAAAGGACTTCCTAACTCCCAGCCCTCCGTGAGTGAACAAAATTAATTTTTTTTTTAAAAAAAAATTATATATATTTTATAGAAAATATTTTTTTTTCGAAATTTTAAAAATATCCTAATTTGCAAAAATATGGGAAGCAAACATTAATTTAATTTATAAAATTTATGTTTTAAAACGCAATTTGTTTTAAATTAAACGGAATTAGCTTGAGATTTAATTATACTAATTATCTCTTATATATCAATTTTTTTTTCATAAAAAATTTTTGTTCCCTTACGGAGAGTGGGTTCTTAGGCAAAACAAAGGGATTTTTCTAATGGCTTTGTTCATTCACGAGGGGGGAGTAAGCAGTGTACTTTTCCTTCAGCCATGATTGCAATTCTATCTGCAAGAATATCAGCTTCTTCCATATAATGGGTTGTCAAAATAATGATCCTGTCTTTCTTATCATTTCTCAACATATCCCACATCCTTCTTCTTGCAGTCAAATCCATCCCAGAAGTGGGCTCATCAAGCATCACTATCTTTGAGCCTCCAATTAAAGCGATGGATAAAGAAAGCTTCCTTTTTTGACCTCCTGACAGATTTCCTGCCTTCGTATTTTTTTTGTCTTGAAGCTCGACTTCTGTTAGTTTTTCGTCAATGGCTCTCTTGATTTCTTCTTTATCAGTCATTCCTTTAAATCTGCTGAACATTAAAAGATGCTCATAAACTGTCAGGTTTTTGAATAGGACGTCATGCTGAGGACAAACACCAAGGTTTTTTCTGATTTCGCCCATCTCTGTATTGAAATTAAACCCATTGACTGTCATAGTTCCAGAAGTTGGCTTTAAAAGTCCAGTCAACATCGATAACGTTGTAGTTTTGCCTGCTCCATTATGTCCAAGTAAAGCAAATATCTGTCCTTTAATACATAAAAATGGTGACGACATACCATTTATGCATGCCGGGCTAGGGTTTCTCCGGGCCTCAGGGAGCTAATCCTCTGGACTTGGGGTTTTTCCTCCAGGACAATCATTGGAAAGCGCAAGGTCGGCCATTTTCTGTGTGGCAATATGACCCACAGACCCTGAAGACGGTATTTGCCTAACGAGAAACTGGGAGTTTCGACCCATGTGATTGGCTCTCAGACTCCAGGAGCCATGGAAGTCAATACTCATGTGTGCGAATCCTTTGTTTGCGGCAACAAGAAAGGGTGTCCGCCGAGGTCTCACCATAGGCGATGAGCGTGAAGTGGTGCAAATCCCCGGCCCTGCTATTGCGAACGGCTTAGTTAATTTTAATCTTAATCTGTCCTTTAAACATATCCAAATCTAAGCCATCCACAGCAACTTTTCCCCCAAAGTGTTTCCTTAGTCCTCTGACAACCATAGCTTGCCCTGTTTCAATTTGTTTCAGAAGCACATTTTCTGCTTCTTCGATTTTATCATTATTTTTTAGCTCTCTTCTTCTTTTTTCTTCTTCCTCCTTGATTCCAGCTAGTTCTTGCTCACTAAATTCTGAGTCATTTGTCTGATGTCCCATCCAAAACGACTTGGTAAAAGGAAAGTACCACTTCAAGGCGACTCCATATTCTGAGGGAATTACTTTATCAAAATAAAAAGCAAGAAGGAAATACACAATAGTATCGATAGTAAGCATAATCAGTGCAGTAGCAACTGTATAATTTTCATAAACATCCCCAGCTGATGAGAAATCAACTTCAACTTGATTGGCTTGGAGATTAATCTTACTTACTTATTTACTTAAGGTGTATGACTTCTTCAGCAGGATGATTTAGGCATGCATAAGCCCATCCTTTTAACCCCTAATCTGGTGACGTCACCAAGCCATCTTGGACCGGCCAGCCCGATCAACCTTCTATAAGGCTTCGCCTCCAGCTAGGCCAGAAGTTCCGCACCGGCAGCATTGCCTCGCCCGAACTTGACTACTGCGCGTGCTCTGCCTAAGGGTCACCCTCCTCGGGTGTGCCAAGCAGCAAAAACAAATGTCCATAATATCCTGGACCAATTAAATACCCTGTGCTGTATTCCATATTGGTGCTGCGGATAAAAGTCCACGTGGAAAACTGAATCCTATAATAATAAAAGCGAAGGAAGGAAGGAATAGTTCTCGGAGAGAACTAATTCCGCACTGAGCCATTTTATTATTATGGTTGGAGATTAATCAAAGTAGAAAATCCTGTTGCCATCGCTACTGTATTGAAAATCGATAAACCAACTTTTGTTCCTCGAGGGGTAGTACTGGTGACTGCAAAAAGAGTGAAATAGGTAATGAAAAACATCAAAACTCCGACTAAAATAGCTGTTTTGGCTTTAGAAAAAAAGGAAGAAATCAAAAAGCAAAACCCTATACATGATAAGCCGTACAAGAAAAACATCAGAAAGACTAAGAATTTATTGGAGTAATTGAATAACTCTCAGCCAATAAAAGTTGAAAGGATGCTGATGATTCCGAAAATTATGATGTACATAATGATTCAAGAATATACATTAAAATGGTCCTGCCCTTTTGGCGCAACAGTCCAGATCTTATGCCCACGGCGAACTGGGACTCTGAGTCAAGAATCAAGTGCAGCCTCAGTGGCTGCTTTCTTGTGGTTGGAAATGGAGGTGCCCGACAATGTCTTTTGGAACCGAGGACTCATGGACATCCTTCTACCGAGAAATTGGGGGGTTCGCCCAGGCCACAGGGAGCAGTTTTTTTCCTGTAGCTGTCAAAGGAAGGCACTTCGACATTCGACAGACTCCCATTGACTGATCCATGGAATCAAGCTACTCCAATTGTCCGTAGCAGTGCCACGAAAATCCATAAGCCACCCACTCAAGATTGAAAAGGCAAGAAGGACAGAAGGTACCAGAAGTAGCATCCATTTTGGGGCGATAGAACCTCTAGGCTGGAGTCGAAAAACGTTAGAACCTCGTATGGGAGGTCTTTGGTGATTGCGTCACCAATATGGCTAACACCTATTTTTAATAGCCTAACCGAGCATGATGATCCAAGAAAGGAAGTAAGGGGTATCAGTAAGTCCCATCATTTTCATAGCTTCTTTGACCTTTGTTTCTTTTTCTGTTGTCATCTTATTAATGAGTCTTGAAACAGGCACAAGTGACGTAATGAACATAAAAAATCCCAATGTCCCAGCAAACCCACTCATAAAGCTATCTTCGATATATTTCATTCCATGCATAGGAACAAATCCAAACTGTAAGTAAGCTTCAGGCTCTTTCTGACTTAAATAGAAGTTATAGACCATATTCTGGAGGTCTAAGAACCCACTATTTGCAAAGTCATGCTGATAGGTTGTTATTACACTCTTTTGGTATTTATTGACCGCTGTAAAATAGCTTGTTAGAAAAATATCCCAAGAATCGCCATAGACACTTTGATTATCTGGATCTGTATCGGTATAGTTGTATCGAATCCATATTGTTGAGTTAGGATACTTCATCTTTATTCCGACATTACGTTAAGATTTATAAGTTTAACGTCTTTTACGGGTTGCCCAAATCCAGATCTTCCCGCTGCGGTTTCGTCACACCGGGCCCACAGACCACTGGGCTGATCTGCTTTGTTGCACCAGGGTGTGCCTCCGCGCAGTGTTGCCGACTAAGACGGCCATGAGCGTGCGATATGGGTTGCCTGCTGGAAAATTCAAAAATGGATCTGGCCTACTCCCGGAAAAAAAGGAAAAGCACAGAGCCCGTGTCGTAGCTCTCAGTTTCACGCTATGAAGTTGCCCGATTGGTCCTAATGACTTTTCTGGGCTTCCACTTTCCAGCTACTGTGCCCTCCTTCCCCATGAGGTAAAATCCATACCTGAGAACAAACTTGGGCTAGACTCCGCATACTGCTGAAATTGCTTACCTCGCATTGCTGTCAATCTCTTATATGGCCAAACCTTGCCGGATATAATTAAAATAGGGCTCGAGACTGCCTGGCCGGAAGGCCAGGCCCAAGTTGAGACGCCATATTTAATTCCATCTTTATTCCGACAGCAAAACAAATTTTTGTATGACCTTTATCATCGTAGTCTGAATCTGTTATGTAGTCTTCTAATTTATCCATTGTAGAGAAAATCATTGGTGTGATTTGGCGATCTGTATGATTTTCCATCTTGAGCCAAACATTTTCAGTTAAGTACGTTTTGAGTGCTTGGGAATTGAGATCACCTGTTTCATCCACAATTGCCCAGGTCCAGCCATACTTGATAACTTGTTCGCACCACTTAAAAGGGGTGTAACCAAGGTTATACGTCTCGTTATACAGCCCTTTGTTGTATGAGTTTATAGGGCCGACAATTTGCAAGTCTTTTTCTAGATATGATTTAGCACTTTTGTGCTCTGATGGTAAAGCTAATCTTAAGAGAACCATGAACACAATAAGAAGAACTGGGAACAAAATTTCACACATTGACCCGAAAAGTTCTCGCCTCCATAAAAGCCAGTTTTTAAACAGCAACGCTCGTAGGTGACCGACTACTGTCATATTTATTCGACAAATTATCTGGTGAGATATATGGATTTATGCTGGAGAAATAATAAAACAAGGAAAAATTGCCTTTGAACAGATTATTGAAGAAAAGGGTTTAGACAATTATTGATAAGCCAGAGGCAAGACTTCAAGTGGCCATTCAAAATATTTTGAATTAGATAATTATTCGTACAAATTTTTATGGCTCTCAGAGAGCTCTATTTTAACAATAAAAATTTAAAATAATAAATTATCTTATTCATTTGAAGGATAAATATCTGTGACTAATTGCTTGTGCCGCCTTAGTCGGCAACACTGCCCCGGAAGCATATTGTGTGATCAAGGCAAGTCGACCCAGAGGCTTGCGGGCTCTATGCAGAACAAGGCAGCGGCAAGCTCTGGGATGGGCAACCCCTAAAGGGCGTTAAACGTATAAATTTAATAGAATAGACTAATTGCTTGTGGAAATTTTTGAATAATTTCATCCTCGTATTAAAATATAATTAATTTTCGACATTAATATCATAACGAAATAATATAAAAGCATCTGAGTGCTAAGAATAATTGATCTGGTTGGCATAGAAATTATTGCATTTTGGTAATAAATAAAATGATAATAATAATCTCCAATACTTTTTAGGTTTTTATTAATCATGCGTTACGAATTTTGTGGAAAAGCAGCACAGCTTTGAATGCAAATTAATGAGGATGCTTAAGGATAAACAAAAGAAATTAAATCAAATTTTGGCCAAAACTTGCAATTATCTATATATGAAACAGATTTTTAATTTAGCCTTATTTTGAAAAGGCTTAAAAGTAGAAAAAAAGAAGCACAGATAAAGCTTAATTTTATCCTCAATTTCTCATAATTTCTCTCAGACTCCTAATAGTTTTCTTCTTTCTCCAAATAAAATTAAGATGGATACAGAATATGACTATTTATATAAAATTGTACTTATAGGGGACTCAGGAGTTGGTAAGTCAAACATTCTTCTTCGCTTTACCCGAAATGAATTTAACAAGTTAAGCTTACTTAAGTTAATGTTTCGGGCGATGAGCGGAGTCAACCACAAAGCATCACCTAGTCTTGACCTCAAAAAGCAAGTATCCACATACCTTAGAGTGCAAATGATGAAAATGGAAGGCTGCTCTTTTGGATTTCCTATCTAACCCACTTGCCAGAGGGATTAGCTCCCTTGGGCAAAGCCGCCATCCGAAGAGTACTTCGATGGTCTGTATAAGTAAAGACCATGTGATAGGCAAAACCCTGATCTGGCCTATCTGGCAAGGACAGGAAACCTCTAGGGAAGAAAAACTTCCCTCTTCGGCAAGGCTTTCCCAAACCTGAAGGCCTACTCATAAAAGAACAGAGGCCATGTTTCAGCTTCATCAGGATGGATCAAACCTGCTCCATAGGAAGTGTATCCTGAAGTCCAATTTCTATCAACGCCACCATTTTATTTCTGAACTACCAAGGAATCCAAGTCGACAATAGGTGTTGAATTTTCTCAAAAGAATCTAAAAATAGGTGAAAAAACTATAAGGATTCAGATTTGGGACACAGCTGGGCAGGATAGATTCCGAGCTATTACATCAACTTATTACAGAGGTGCAATAGGTGCCTTACTTGTATATGATATTTGTAATCACAACAGCTTTGATCACATTGACAGGTGGTTAAAAGAATTAAGAGATCATGTGGATCCAGAGAGTGTTATTGTGATGCTCGTAGGAAATAAATGCGACTTAGAGGAAAAACGAGCAGTTAGGCCAGAAGATGCCCTTAGCTTTTCACAGCGAAACAGTATGGCCTTTATGGAGACATCAGCACTAGAATCAACCAATATCGAGCAAGCTTTTGAAAAACTTGTCAGCTTAATATACGAAGAAACTATCAAAAATCCAGCCAGCTCTAGAAAAAGCGAGAATTCCATTGTAGGCCCTACAAAGAAAATAGAAAATAATACCGAAGCAAGAATCAGCATCCAAAAATCCCAGAAAACTAAAACTAGCTGCTGTTAAAATAATAATTTCTTCACATAAAATGGAAAACTTTTCATCTAAAAAAGTTGATGCGACTTTAGAAGAAGACAAATTTAACGTGTTTTACAAGGATTTTTATGAAGTAAAGCTTAAGCCTTATATCAAAAAGGTAAAGTACAATAATTTTAACTGTTCAGTTAGCTGCATCAATGATAAAGAAGTCAATCAAGAGTGCTTAGCTAATTGTGGAGTAAAAGAAAAGAATTTTTTTCAGCATATAGAAGATCTACTTTTACCCAGGATAGCACACTATGAGAAGTGCTTTGATGCTTGTGAAGGCAAGGAGGATAATGCAAAATGCGTGGAAAAATGCTGTAGTGAGACTCTGGAATTATTAAAACAAATTGACGTACATAAAGAAATGGGACAATTTATTAACTAAAATCTACTCATCCAAAATGAAGTAAATATGGGAAAATCTTCTTTAGCAAGAAGAATTTAGACAGGAAATAAATTTATAAAATCAATAATTCATCAATCTCACTGCTTCATCTTTAAATAGGAATATAAAATTCTGTTCCAATTTAAAGGGGTTAGTTAATTTGTTTTTTTAAAAAAAAATTCTCCAAAGAATTTTAAAAATTATAAATCGAGCACAATATTTTTGAATTTTTAATTTATTTATAAAGATTTAATTATAAAATTAATCGATTCATTGTTCAAAACTTATTTTATAAAATTTTCCTATTAAAATAAAACTTGCTCTAATTTAAAGGTGGGTTAAAGTATCAAAAAAATGTAATTTTACCAATTTCAAGGGTGGGAGTCAGAAATTTTTATCCTAAAACCAAAACTTTATTAGAAAAGCCTCAAAATTATTATTTTAGATCTCCAAAAGATTGAATAGGCTCTTGATCGCAAAAGTTTAAGTATTTTTTATTGGCGGAAGATCTAAGGAAGATTTTGTATTCTGAAAGATTAAGCTATGGGAATTCCTTTTATGTCTTATAGGGTTTTTAAAGGAAGTATTTATGGTATTGCAACCTTCATCTCGAGTTAAGCTCAGGTCCAGACTGCGTTCAGTTTTACACTCTTTGTCTTCTCCAATTCAGTTTACGAGGGTTCCTAAATTTCTATATAGATCCTCTCGCTTCTTTTTAATTGAGTTAGGATTTTCACCTGTTTTTAATAACGTTCTGCAGAGTGCTAAGACCAAAACAGCTGTCAACTCCAATTGTCTCTTTGCCAAATCATTATTCTGAGATATTTTATTAATATCTTCCTGTTTTCCCATCACTTTTAATATATCAAAAATCTCTATTTTGTCTGCTTTTCTGTTTATTTCTTGATAAACTTGTTCAAGTGTCCTTGCAATCATACTTACATCTTGATTATCTCTTTTAATAGACTCAAACCTGCTTATCACACTTTGCATGGAGCTTTCCAAAGCTTTCTGTGAATTGTAAATGGCAAGAATCTGTGATTGAGTTTGAGAATGCTTACTCCCCCCCCCCCCCCCTCCGTGAGCGAACAAAACCATTAGAAAAATCGCCATTTTTTGACCAAAAACCCACCCTCCGTGAGTGAACAAAAATTTTTTTAATAGAAAAAAATTTAATGGAAAAAAATTTTGATATATAAGTGATAATTAGTATAATGAAATCTAGAGCTAATTCTGTTTAATTTTAAACAAATTGCGTTTTAAAACATAAATTTTGCAAATTAAATTAATATTTGCTTCCCAATTTTTGCAAATTAGATTTTTTTTTAAATTTCGAAAAAAATATTTTTTTATAAAATTTATATATAAATTTTTTTTTAAAAAAAAAAATTAACCCCCCTCCGTGAGCGAACAAAATTTTTTTGTTCGCTCACGGAGGGGGGGGGGGGTTAGTGTTATTCATATTTAATTGCTCTAAAAACATAGATTTTGTGACGAAGCTAGGAAGCTGCTGCTTTACAGCTTCTAAATCATCTTTCGATGATTTTTCTAGCAAAATTTCATCAAATCGTTCCAGCACAAAGCTGAACTTGGTAACTGAAGTTTGAGCTGCTTCCGAATGAGATCTCATTTCAGAAACGTAGGAGCTTATATCAGTTCTCAGTTCTTTCATTTCTGATTTATTTATTTTGTCTTCAACGTTTTTCTTGATTTCGCTGATGTCTTGAGCCCATGGTGAACTTTCAATATATACAAGTTGCCCGATGATGGTGCTCAATGCGCCATCATCGGGCAACTACAGTTCAGGGTCCACACTGGAAATGGGTTCCACGTGTGGAGCCCTTTTTGGCACGTGAAAGTGAGAATTCTCCACGAGTCAAAAAGGGCTCCACACGTGGAGCCCATTTCCAGTGTGGACCCTTTACCGTAGGTGTCCGATGATGGCACATTGAGCGCCATCATCGGGAATTTCCTATATTCTTTAAGCGAAAAAACCTTTGACTCTGTTCTCTCTCGAACTAATTCAAATGTATTTTTAACATAATCTATTTTAGAATTCGTCAATTCAATGTTTTCTTTCAAAAATTCTTCACATTTCTTGATTTTCTCAACAGTATCTTTATTCTCGTTTTCTAGTTTTTCGAATTTTTGATTAATTTCTTTAATTAGTTCCATGGCTTGCTCCTTTGTTTCGAAGATTTTCATAGTATTTTCTACTTTATTGATCTTTGCACGAGATTCTTCAAGTTCAGATTTCAATGCAAAATTTTCAAATTTCGCTTTTTCTTCTTCAAAAATCAGCAAGGGAGTCATTGTGTCTACGTATTTTTTTAAATCTTGAAGCTCTTTTGAAAATGCCCTTGCGTAAAGAGCAGTTTTTATGTCTTTGATGTTTTCTTTGTTATCAAGATCAGCATATGTGAGGACGTTAACTTCGTTTCTCATCTCGTTAATTAAAATATTAAACCTTGCGAACTCGCCTGAAATGCTTCTATTTATGTCATTCATGTAGCTTTTATAGTCAAAAAACGATTTTTTGACTGAATTTACTTCTTCAGAATTTTCTGCTTTGGATTTTAAACAAATAATTTCTGTTATAGTATAATTTTTGTCATTGGGGAGATTCATTGATTCTTTTATTGCTGATATTTCTTCAATAAAAGCATTGAATGGTTTGAGTGTTTCTTTAAGTTGGTCAATTTGGAGTTGTAGAGAGATTGGCTCTTCTGGAAAAGATTGCTCCATGTATTTATTTTATTTACATTATTAATCAGATGAAATAATTGAGTTTACAAATTTTAAGAACCTTGCGCTATAAGCTTCACTGTTGATTGATGAAATATCCTCCTTTTCAACGTTTGGTTTGATAATACTTTTGCTTATCGTTTCGATTTTTTTAAGGCTGTTATAGCTTCCTCCCTTTAAATTGGAAGAAAGCATAAGTATTTTGGTGACATGAAAATTTATAGGTAAAAATGATAATTTTTATAGACCTAGCTTAATGGACAAAGTGCAAATAGAATATTATTTGAACAGTTTCCACAATGAATCGATTAATTTTTTAATAATAAATTTAAATTCAATATTTTGGATTCATTTTATATGAAAAAAAAGTATAATATAATTTTTGAACTCCATTTTTAAATTAGAAAATATTCACTCCAATTATTCAGGGGGAATAAGTTTGCAAATAATCAATGATCCCAACGACATATGCATTTTCTTTATCTTTGTCAGAAGATTTTAAGTAATGCTTACTATTGCTAGGAGTTGGAGTGCCAATCCCAAGCAGCAAGGAGTAGTCCATAATATTTAGCTTTGAAAATAACTTTGAGTCTTCATATATCTTTTGCTTCAAAGCTAAGCTATCACTGTAGCTTACATATAAATTCTTTTGGGTTCTTAAGAAATCAAGATCTTTATAAATGAGATCATTAGTGAGGTCAGCTAATGAGTCTGCTTGCTGTCCATGAATGGATTCTCTGTCAAGTTTGCTTCCTTTCATATCGAAAATTGCTTTTAAATTCATAGGTGGGAAAATATTTTGCATAATGATCAATTGAAGATGACTGTTTTGAAATTTCAATGAAAAAAACCCTAACAATCTTGCTATAATAGAATTTGGGTGATTTTCTATATGATGGTGATAATTTTTCAACAAAACTTCCAGCAAAACTTTTTTTTCTTCTCTCGTAATAGTTTTTATTATATATTTTTTGTCATGTGTAAAATAAAAAAATGCTGAGCTTCTCCCACCTTTGTTCCCTGTGTTTTTCTTGATCATTGAAATATTGAATATGGGATGGAATGATGAAATCATATCATGATCATTTATTCCTTCTAAATTTCGCAAATGTCTGAACACCAGTGGGGCATATTCTACGATTTTGCAATGAAATCTCATAACTATATATATAGCGCTTTCCCGAGGATGGCGCGGAATGGCGCCATCCTCGGGAAAGTCAACTAAGCATCCACACGGGAACTGGGAGTTCCACGTGTGGATGCCATTTTTGACATGTGGGATCCAAACTTTCACATGTCAAAATGGCATCCACACGTGGAACTCCCAGTTCCCGTGTGGATGCCTTCCTGGCTTTCCCGAGGATGGCGCCATTCCGCGCCATCCTCGGGAAAGCGCTATATTTTTTTACAATAATTAATTAATGTGCCATCTAGTTCAATTTTTGATAAATCCTCTTGTAGCATTTCGAATTCATAGACTTGCTTATAAAAATCAACGCTGCATTTATATTACCTTCAAAACTTAAAATCTTTTTCCTCCTGCATATAATCCTTTTCCTGAGAGCTTTTCAAAAAAATCAAACAAACTGACACAAGTGAAGTCAAAACGGCATCAGCATAAACTGACTGGAACATATGGGTGTAAGAGGATTCATAGACACTGGAAATTCTAACATCAGCAAGGGATGTCCCAATTTCATTTGTGGCTTCGTTTAAAATAGTTGTAATTGTGTTTTTAAAAATTTTTGGGTTTCGGAGGCCAAGTCTTTTCCTTATCCAACGGACAAAAGCTGGGTCTGAAAGTCTTACTGAGTTTATTGCTAAGCCAGAAATGCTTGAAAATGTCAGCGAAATGTAGCTTAGCCAAGGTGCTGTGACGCCTTGGTCATCTTGAATTATCGTGCTTAAACTCATAGGAATCCAAAATAAACAGTAAACTTGTAAAAACAGTGCATGTTTCCCAAGAAGAGTTTTCAAGGTTTCTGATCGAGACTGTCTAATGTAAATAAAAGAAAAAACAACTCCTAGAATGCTAAAAGGATAATAAATTATAAAGGGGATAAACATCAGCTTCCTATATAGAAATTACGCCGCTCAGGTACCTGATTTTATAAAGCAGGCTTCATTTGCAGATTTTCCTGCTGAACTTGAAATCCCTACAAGGAGGACTATTAAAAATCCAAAAAAACAGCTTGTGATATGATACAGTGGCGATCTTTTTTTGTAATTCCTATTTGTAGGACTATTTATTGTCAAAAGCACCTCAATGCTGAGACTCAAGCTATAATTTCAGCTTATAAAAAAACAGCAGATAGTAAACATCCCTGCTATTTCGCAAGTAAAGTCTGAGAGGCTTTCTCCGGTTATTCAATAATGGACAGCGCTATAGGTAATTTGCAAGTCAATCACATGCTGCATGAAGCACTGTCAGAAAATAATCATCCCTGGGTGTTTTCTCAATCCTTTAATTTTTGCATAAGCAATAAGAACTAGCAATCCAGTTATGAAAGAAATAAGTCCAAAGGTAGAGTATACTAAAAATTTGTACTGCGTAATGTTCATATTTATAATTAATTTCTTAAGGAAATTTACAAAGAAAATGCTTATTATATCCAAGTCTTGTCCAAAGAATAGGATCAGTTTTAATTATAAAAATGCTTCTGGTTTGTTTATGAAGAATAATTTATATAGCCAAAACCTTTATGGCTCGGGCTTCCTGGTCTTCTCATGGGATGAATGGGGCTAGTTTAGCCAAATAAATTTGGTTTGGCTAGCTTACGAAGTGACTAAACCACTTGCTATAGGGTTTCTGCCATTGGAGGAATCGGCCAAACCAGCATTAGTTGGCGAAACCAACTCCCCTCATTCCCGTCAGAAGATCGGAAAAGCCAGACCCATAAAGTGGTTCAGGTTATAAATTACAAAAAGAGAATGGGACAAACTTTATTCCTTCGCCAGCATAAAATTTATTTTGAAATTCAACCCAATGGAGTCTTAAAGTGTGCAAAAAGCACTCAATTGAAGCCATCATTAGCAAAACTATAAAAGTTGCAAGGACAAAAGCAAAAAATCCAATAGCAACCAGAAAAGGATCCCCAACTTTAATCGGATCGAATACGCACATAGTAAGAAAAGTTTTTGATAGTTCAAAATGAGCAAGAGATAATGCCCAAAGCCTTAGATATGATGCTGAATTGCTCACTACGCCTACCGTCGTTTCTATAGTAAAAATTAGTTGTTTGGTGAATTCTTCAAAAAAATCAAAATCTTCAATTTGATTGATCTCTTCATAGTGAATTCTTTTGGAGCGGATATACCTCAGGTATAAAGGCTTAGGTAAAAGCATAATAGGAAGACATAGTAAGGCAATTAAAAATAAGCAAGCTTGCAAGGATTCTTGGCTTTCTCTATTGCCCCATAGAGGTTTTTGTCCGTGAAGTCCACCGAAATCAAGGAAAATCCCTAAAAATGTATAGGGGTTTTCTCTATATGGGCCCGATAAGGGCCGTGGAATCCCTCTGTTGCTCAAACCAACTCAGTGCGTTGGTTTGACCAATTCACTGGTTGGTTCAACCAGCAGAGGGATTCCATGGAGAACCCACGGCCCTTATCGGGTCATATAGGGAAAACCCCTATGTTTATCAAGCTAGGTGCATTGTCATCATAGTTATAGTTTCAATCTTGGTTTCATTTAATAAAAATCATGCAGACCAAATATCCAAAAAGGCTAAGCATAAATATAAATTGAGGCATGACCTCATAATAAAAATCAATCCTCTTCTTAAATGCTATAGAATTTAATCCTTTATACATTATTCCAATAGTCATATGGAGAACACCAAAAATTATTGAGATTTTCATTTTAAAAGAATTCAAAAATGATAATTCGTTATCAGCTTTTGACCATATCGGATCCAATCCAAATGGATAAGCAGAATCTTGCTCATATTCTCCTGATGAGTTTTTCTGTCACTTTGAACCGAATAAATTCAAAGGAATTCCAAAGAATTCATTGTATATAAATCCGGAGTACATCGAAAATACTCCCATAGTTAAAATAAGATATCGGTAAGGAGCTGCCGCGCTCAAAATACCATTCGAAATTTTCAATTTTGAATGCTTTAAACATAGATAAGCACCTATCAAAGTTAAAATTAGTCCATGGCCTATATCTCCAAGCATGATTCCAAAAAGAAATGGAAAAGTTATGCAAGTAATCGGAGTCGGGTTTATTTCTCTATATGAAGGGATTCCATAAGTATCAATCAACCCTTGTATAGGGGCTGTAAAATCATTTAGTTTGAAAAAAGAAGGAGGAGTTAAATATCGAGGGATTTCAAAAACTTCTTTTAAATCTGCCCTGCCTTCGCCGTATTCATTGATAATGACTCTTATATAGTCTATTTTGCTTTTAGGGCACCAGCAGTTGCCTTGCCATAGTGTATTGCTTGTATCAAACATATTAAGCGTTTTAAAAATTTCTTTTTCTTTGAGAATGAACGATTGGTATTCATATATCATAGAGTAAGCGCCATTGTCAAGTTTTGGCTTACAAAATCTTTGAAGAAGGTCTCTCAAATTCTCTTTTGTCTTTTCTGCGATGGATTTGTTGTTGATGATTTCAAGGTGTAAATAGTTTAGCAAATCGTCCATTTCGTTAGGGTTACCAGGAATTTCAATGCGTAGGCTGCTCATAGCGTCACATATTCTCCTCACTCCCCCCCCTTTAAATTGGAACAAAATATAGGTAAAATTTCCACTTTTTTGGTAAATTAACCCCCTTTAAATTGGAACAAAATTTAATTTTATAATAAAAAATTATATATAATTTTTATCTAAAAGTTTTGATATAAGTTAAATGTTTCTTCTTAACTAAAATTAAAAATTTAGTTATATCTTGCTCTTCTTTAAAGAAGAAAGTATAAAGAGTATCTTATTTAAATAAACTTATAATCCTTAATTGCTAAATTTAAAAAAAAAATTAATTTTTTTTTTAAAAATTTTTCATTTTTTTTGATAAAAATGATATTTTTTTTCGGATAGTTTGATATAAATTCAATAGGAATTCTTTATAAAATTTCAAAATTTACTTATTTCTTGCTTTATTTTAAAGAATAGAGTATAAATAACATCTTATTTAAACAAAATTAGCACTTTGATGATAAATTTTCTAAAATTTTGTTTTTTAATTTGTTTTTTTCAATAAAAATAATAATTTTTGTGCAAATAATTTTGATGCCAATTAATAGTGGCGTATTAATTAATAATGAAAATTTAGTTATATCTTGCTTTGTTTTAAAGGATAAAGAGTAAATAGCATTTTATTAAACAAATTTATTAATCTAACTCGATAAGTTTTTGAAATTTTATTTTTTTTAAATTTTTATATATAAATTGTTTTATATATAAATTTTTTTTTATAAAAATTTTATATTGATATTTTTTTAAAAAAAAAAATTAACCCCCCTTTAAATTGCAACAATATTTTTAGTTCCAATTTAAAGAGGGGGGGGAGTCAGAGAATTTGCAACTGCACCTTCTTCATTTCCCATGAAGACTATGAAAAATATAGCCTGATCTAATTTCTCATCAGTTTTGGGGTCTAAAATTTCATCTTTTAAATCATAAATAAAAGTTAAACAGTTTCCTCTTGTAACTCGAAAAGCCATCCTCTTTCTCCTACTATCTGTCAAAGAGCAATAGCATTTTGTTTGCTATCTGTGGGAGTTCATTTTTATTATATATATAAATGTTATAGTAAATTTTTTTTGAATTTAAAAAATTCTTAATTTTCTGTGAAATTTATATTTTAAAATGCAAGCTGTTGAAAATTAAAAGAATTAGCCAAAGAGATTTCATGATAAATAAATATCACTTATATATCAAATTTTTTTTAATAAAAAATATTTATATTAAAACAATTTTTTTTTACTTACTCACGGAGTGGTTTTTGGACAAAAAATAGGGACTTTTCCAATGGTTTTGTTCCTACAGAGGGGATTAGTTAACATTTCTGATTCATTTTTATTTATTACCCCAGCAAACTTTGCAAACAAAGATAAATTTTCTTCAACCCCTTGGAATCCAAAAATTTCTTTTGCTTTTTCCAGCACAGTTTTCTTTTCAATTAAAGAATTAGCCATCCTTAAAAGCTGCTCATAGCTTCGAAGCTGAGTTAAGATTTGATTTTCAATTAAAGCGAGTTCTTCTTCAACCCTTTCAAAAAACGCTTGTTCCGGCATTTTAAAGATTTCCAGTTCCAAATCTATGTCTTCTAGCAGCATTTCGGGTATTGCAGGGTCTAAAAGCGGAATTTTGAAACGATGAATTTCTTGAATAATAAAGGAAATTCTCCTTAATGCTTCTTCAGATCTTCTTATATAAGCTGAAAAAGTTCTATTAACTATACTACGCTTATTGTTCAAGTCTATGAATTGAAGAGCAGATAATTTCCCAAGCTCAGTTAAGAGTTTTCATGCCACGTCAGAATGGGTGATTAGAGCATAGTATCCCATTTCTTCAGGTCTGAGCAGCCCCATTAAATTTTATTAAAAAATTTATGCGTGAAGCATTTTTTAATGATAATAATTACTTTTATTATCTTTATATTGCTACTTAAAGCTAATCAACCTTCATTGACTTAAGTCAAAATTAAATATTTCTGCATTGAGTTTGTTATTAATATAGATTCCTCGTTTATTTTATGGCAATACATACAAGGTCAGAAACTAATCTTTTAGCTCTAATTTGTCTCAAGACGCATTCATCTCCAATTTGCTATTCATAGATTGGTCCATTTCGAATTCAATCAAATCCAGTCTATTGATTTTATATCCCTCTCTGAAAATTCATAAATGCTATATTGAAAGAGTTAACCAGCTCTACGCATCGGAAAAAAGCGATTAATTGCTTTTCTTCCGAATCAAATTTAATATATAGAGTCGCAATCATCAGCTACCTCTCATAAGCAGTAGATTTTTCTATTGAATATATTTGATACTCTACAACAAGGCTCTCAAGATGATTCTAAATGAAATCTTAAATTCTTACTGATTATAACAGTTAACTCATTCTCTCTACTTCTTCAAATTTGGGTCTTCTCAAAAAGATTGATATTTTATCTGACAGCTGCTAGGGATTTAATAATCAATTATCAGAATTATTTGCTTATGTATTTAGACATTTTTTATAAGGAGTTAGTTGAGATTATACGTTTTAGCCTATTTTGGGATTTTGGCTCCATTTTGTATTTTCCATTAACGCTTGTCGAGTTTATTTATTTAATTGGTATAAAATCTGGCGAGCTATTTAATCAAAATATAACTCACAATGCTAAAAGTGATAATAATTTAATTTAAAATGTCAAGCAAGACCAGAAGAAAATCAGAAACTCAATATAAAAATAAGCTTAAAAGAAGAAAAACCGAAATAACCTTAACAAATGTAGTGAATACCCCAAGAGTGTCGATTTCATCTGAAGCTTGTTTAAAGACTCCTTCAACTCCTAACCTCTATAAAATAACTGGGCCAAATGGAATAAATTCCTCCCAAAGCCAAAACACGCTTCCAAAAGTTCGATTTCAGCGGGAACTTTCAACAGAAAAATCGAAATATCCAGCTTTTCAGCGATATCTGGAGCATAAATATGGGAAAAAGGTTAAAAATTTAAGTCCCCCAGAAAAGCCGCTTCCAATTAAGCGCCCAAGAAGTGTAAAGCTTTTGAAGAACAATTTATATGATTTATTAGAATTAACTCCAAGCTGCACAGAAAGCGATATAAGGCAAAGTTATAAAAGACTAGCTATAAAGTGTCATCCTGATAAAGGTGGTGATCCCAAGCATTTTAGATGCTTGAAGCAAGCTTATGATATATTAGGGAATGTAGATTTGAAAGAAATTTATGATAATGAAGGATTAGATGGAGTTAATGCTCTGCAAGAAGTTGAAATGGATGAATTATTAGAGTGCTTAAAAAGTTCATAATACTTTTTAAAATAGACAAAATTATTTAATAAAAGTTTATTTGGTAATTTTTTTAATATATTAATGATTTTTATAAAATATTTAAGCTAATCGCTAAAGGGCTTTTGCTATTAATTACCACATTATATAAAAATGAATTGAATTATTATATAAAGCTATAAGTAATTAAAGGCTTATGTTTGATTCTAGGTGAATGCGAATATATTAAATGGGTACGATAAAATTCTATTTATTTACTATTAATCTTTTTTTAAAAATTATCATAATATAAACATTGCATATAATTATTTTATCAAATAGCATTATCTCTAGCTATCACTTATATATCAAATTTTTTTCATAAAAAATTATATTTAAAAAAATTTTTTGTTTGCTCACGGAGGGTAGGCTCTTGGGCAAAAAAAGGATTTTCCATGGTTTTGTTCAATCATGGAGAGGGAGTAAGCTAGTCAACTATTAATCACTATAATAGTTAATTTATAATACCCCCTTAATTTTTATTTTTGAATTTAGTCAAAAGTAAGTTAATGAAGATTTAAATTACTTTAATCATCTTCTTCCCATCCTGCGGAGGCTGATCCATCCAGATCGATATCAGTGCAATGTGTGATTGCGTACAGCAGCTTGTTCTTCATTGTTTCTTTAGTAGTGTAAGGAGGCAAATCTATCGTAAAGAAGCAAGTGTGTGTGACTGGCATATAGTTATTAACTGGTCCAGGAGGATTATATCTTGTAATAGTCATGTGCTTCCAGTCTCTCCCAGATGGTAGCTTCGATCTTCCCCATACGAATTTCAAGTACAAAGCTCTTTCCTTAGGTATCATTTCAGTAAGGGCTTCCCAGAACCAGACAATGTGCTGATCAGTTGCACTGCAGTTGCTATAGTCAGTATTGGCTTTGAGAATATCGATATCAATATTGGCAGCTCCACAGACTAAAATTTCTAGCTGTTTCCAGCTGAACAAGTTCAAATAATCAATTGGCACGACTGCGCTCATGCCCTTTCTAATAGCTTCATAAGCTTTAGGATTCTCAGCAAGTCTGTATTTTTCTACCAAATCTGCATACTGCCCTGCATTTTCATAGGTGACAGTAATATCTTTGCCATTTTCGATAAGGTCAACTTCACGACCTGAAGAATCTTTGGTAGTGAACTTCACATCGTATGCATAATTGAAGTTTTCTGGTGTCAATTGGTTGGCTTCAAGGTTCCTTAAGATTTCCAAAATCTGTACACAGCAGACATCAACTCCTCTAAGGTCTTTAATAGAGACTGGATCCATCAAAAGCCTCTTCCAAAACATTGGTGGGAATGACAATCCTAAGTTGTTCTGAGTTCTTATAGCAGCTCCCATCACTTTTCCGAGGAAGACGTAGAGTTCTAAGTCCTGCTTGCTTTCTGCTGCAGGGTTGATGATCCAGGATTCTCTGTTTTCTCCAATGTTATGCACATTGTTAGGACAAGGTACAAGAAGTCTCAAATAAGATGACTGCAGCTCATCTACCATGTTGCTGATAGATTCGTTATAAGGACCACCGGCATCAGTAGCAGCTTCACCTCTATAGCTGACTCTATAGAACCTTTCAGAGTTTCTGAATTCTCTATTCTGCTTGCTGATCAAGGCTCTGTAGATCTGACCAAATATTGAGAACTGTCCTAGGGTGTCGACTTCTTTTCTGTCCCTATGTCTTGCTGCTTTAGGTCTATCTATGGTTATTTCAGTCCTTACATCCACATTAGTCTTTGAGATGCAGTCCTTGAGCAGAGTGTTCTTGATCTTGAAGAAAATATAGCTTTTAGAGCCTGCGAATACCCTTTGCAGTTCAGAAATGCCTTGCTGAGGATCAATATGCAAGTTGAATAAGTAAAGAGATGCCTCAACTCGTTTATTGAAGTTAAGCAAAATCTGATATAGTCCTCTGATGTCGTCTTTGCTGAGTTTTTCCAGCTCTGGGTAGTAAATCAGTTCTGCTTCAGTTGGGTCGATTTCTTCGTTAGTAAGGGCTAGCACGTCTTTGCCTTTAGACTGGGTGAACTCATCAAGATAAATCACTAGCTGTTCAGCTGCTCCAGTGCAAAACAGTCGCTTAAACTTAGCTGAATAGGTGTCTCTCCACTCGGTCTTGATCTCTTCAGTTGCAAAGCTGAGCAGTGACTCAATCACTTTCATATTTCTGCCTTTGAAGTCTGGGATCACCTTGAACTTGTAGCCCCAAAGGGTCGAATCGCTGCCACTTGCAATATTCAGAAGGTCCACATGTGCTGGAATTGAAGGTCTTTCTGAAAGAGTCACAGCTTGTTGAGGAGCTGTTAAGACAGCAACAAACTTAAGTGGTTCAGATTCTTCAGTGAACTCTGTGCCCAGATTTTTAGTAGCTATTTGTTCTCCATTCTTATAGAAAGTAAATGTGCAGGCGTCGAAGTTAGCATGGACTCCAATGACATCATGTAAGCCAAAGCCGTCAGTGTCACTGTATAAAATCATGTTGGTCTCAGCTTCAAGGTTCTTGTTTTCAACTGATGACTTCATAGCCAAGCCAATCCCAATTCTTCCTTCGCTGTTTACAGTTGCTTCTATATAATGATTTCCTGCTCTAAGATCAACGCTGCTTTCATATATAGAGTTCCCTTCGTCAACCTTAGTGATTGTTAGTTTTCCATCAGATCTATTAGCTGAGTCTTTAGCACCAAGCCAGAAGTGGCTCTTGTTAAATCCAGAGTTTACAGGGAACCAGGCATAGACGGTGTCTCCATTCACTTTAAGTTTTTTCTTGTCAATTGTAGCTTCTCCAAAGCCAAGCTTTTCTACACTTTTGATAGACACCAATTGGTTGGATCCACCAAAGCAGATAGCAGGGATGACACTTTGAGAAAGTCCAGTGAATTTGTAAATTTCTTCTTCGTTCTTACTCCCCCCCCCTTCCGTGAGTGAACAAAAATTTTTTTTAATAGAAAAAATTGTTATGGAAAAAAATTTTGATATATAAGTGATAATTATTATAATAAAATCTCAAGCTAATTCTGTTTAATTTTAAACAAATTGCGTTTTTTAAAACATAAATTTTTTATAAATTAAATTAATTTTTGCTTTCCAATTTTTATAGAAGTGAAATTTTTTAAAATTTCGAAAAAAAATTTTTATAAAAAATTTATATATAATTTTTTTAAAAAAAAAAAAATTAACCCCCCTCCGTGAGTGAACAAAATTTTTTTGTTCACTCACGGGAGGGGGGGAATTAAAGAAAGTTAGCTCTTTGGAATCTGCATCAATCAACATGACTACAGTATCGTTGGTTCCATATCCAGCTCCTGAGGTATTTGAGCCTTTCTTATGGAATTCTCCACTCTTCTTCCAAGTCCAGACTTCTCTTGAACAGTCGCTGCCAATATACTCGCTTAAATTGTAGTCAGTACCATCTGATTTTATGACTCCAATGTACAGATAAGCTGAATCTCCGTCGTTGTCTATGTGCAAAGAAATCTTGATCTTTCCTGAACTGTAGCTTTCATTGAAAATTGCAGTTCCCCAGCCTGAAGAGGTGGTTCTGGTGACTGTCTTGTTGTTGTTTGATAAGGCAATATCAGGACCCTTTGGCATGTCAGCCCAGTTTGATGATGAAGACTCAACACCAATGACTGTTTTTTCGATAGAGGATTTACCTTCTTCGTCATAGCTGAAGAAAATGGTGTCTCTTGGCTCCACTTTGCTTTGAGAGTCGAACTCAATGTTCAAAAAGGCTGCACCTGGGATTTGAATTCTTTCGCACTTAGTTTGTCTATTGTAAGGATGGGAAGACTCCCTGACCTGCTCGGCACTTGCATTGATCTTGCCTTTGAAAGTTTCGAAAATGAACATCTCCAAAGCTTCATCTTTGTCAGTCAGTCCTTTCATATCAGAAATCAGCTCATTGAGCTCAATAAACCATGGCTCCTGTGGGCCAGAATAGCCAAGACCGATAGCTTTCACTAATAACAGAACTAGTGTTTGTAGTAAAGGATGGCTGGCTTTTGTAGACTTATTTGCATTGTAGAGCTCGTTGGCTTCAGAGAAAAGAATCTTGAAAATTGACTGGAGGGTTGGGCTGGAGTTTTTCATAAACGATTTCAGTATGTTTAAAGATCTAGATTTAGACTCAATGTCAGGGGAAGCCAGCATGAATAAGAAGAGGGTCTGTAAGAATCGTGTGGAGTTAAGCAAATTAAGCTCATTGTCAGTTCCTACAAGCAGAGAGAATTTTTCTAGCAGCCAAAGAGCGACGTCTGGCTTCATATCAGGCTTTTCTCCTGAGCCTACTGGAATAACGTCAAACTTGTAGCCCCAGTAGTGTACTGAGCCATCACTATGGAAATAGGTGTAAACAGTGTCTCCTTCAACGTCAAATGGCTGCCAGTTGCTTTCACCTTGACCTGACAAGCACTTGATTTCTCCTTGCCTGCCAGAGTTTTGGTAAAATCTCAGTGGATCGCAGCCAGATTCTGTATAGCATTGAGGGTCGAACTCAATTCTCAAGCCTTTTGCACCTGGGATTGTGATCACATCATCAACGTCCATGCTGTCATTATAAGGATGCAAACTTTCAATAGTAATTGTCTTCAATGCAACTGCAGAAGTCTTTGCAATTAAGCAAGACAGCAAAATTGCTATGCACTCAGTAGCAGCTTGAACACGGAAATCTTGCTTATCTAAACTGCTGAGAAGCTGTGTGAATGGGCCTTCCAAAAGATCAAGCTCTGTGTCAACAAATGACAGAAGTTTTCCAAGATTTAGGCTGTTTGAAGCTTGGACAATGATATTAGGATTTTTCTTGAGCACACTTACCAATAGTTTCCTTGATGTAGAAACTCTGCGGTTTTCTTCAATATCATATAAGTAGTTATAAAGTTCCATAATGGTATAGCCATCATACGACTTTTCTTCTTCTTTCTTATTTACTTTTGCTTCTGAAGTTTGGTACTGGTCTACAAGCCCGAAAGAATTTCCTTTGACTGATAAGTTTCTCAATGGGAACACATTGCAGTTCATTATGGTGTCACTGTCCTTGATGCCGACCAATATGTAGTGGCCTTTTTCTTGCTTTCCAGCAATATTAATAGCTTTCCCTTCTTTATCGGTAACAAGTCTGAACCCATGAGGCAAGATAACAGAGTAAATTGAGCTGACCTTGATAAATGCAATATCTTTAATTGGGATATTTTTCTTGTCAGGAGCTGTAATTTTGATGTAGACGTTGTTTTTCCTTTCATCTTCTATGCTTAGATCGCCGATGTCAGCGTAGTCTCCAGGATTTTCTGCAACAGAGAAGCCAGTGCAGCACTTTCCAGTCAAAAAGTTTTCTTTCTTCATAGCCAGCCACTGCCTGTGAGCCATTTCAAACTCAATTGGGCTGCCGTTTTCGTAGACTTGGACGACTGAGTAGTCTTTAGGAATCAGGTCTTTTGACTTAAAGATCTTTATGTCAGTGATGGTAGCTTGCTCTAACTCCCCCCCCCCCTCCGTGAGCGAACAAAACCATTAGAAAAATCGCCATTTTTTGACCAAAAACCCACCCTCCGTGAGTGAACAAAAATATTTTTAATAGAAAAAATTTTAATAGAAAAAAATTTTGCTATATAAGTGATAATTAGTATAATGAAATCTAGAGCTAATTCTGTTTAATTTTAAACAAATTGCGTTTTTAAAAACAAATTTTGCAAATTAAATTAGTATTTGCTTCCCAATTTTTGCAAATTAGGATTTTTTTTAAATTTCGAAAAAAATATGTTTTATAAAATTTATATATATAAATTGTTTTTTAAAAAAAAAAAAATTAACCCCCCTCCGTGAGTGAACAAAATTTTTTTGTTCGCTCACGGAGGGGGGGGGGGAGTAAGGACAATTGAGAGCTGGATATACTGTCGTCTGGGACTGAAGTCAAAGTATGCTTTACAATTGATGATAGGCTATCATTGGAACTTAAAAGTTGAGTTACTTCTTCATCAGAAAGTCCCAAAAGTTTTAATCTAAGTCTGTCTAAGTTTTGTGGCTTACTCCTCCCCCTTTAAATTGGAAAAAATCATTGGTAAAATTTGCTTTTTTTGAGTACTTTAAACACCCTTTAATTTTTCAATAGGAAAAATTTTTAACTATGATAATACTAATTTTTATAAAATAGTTTTGATCTAATTTAATAAACAAAATGCAAGTAGAATGCTATTTAAACAGTTCAAGCTGAATAGATTATTTTTTTATTTAATTCTTCATATAAATAAGTTTAAAATTTTTTTTTGGATATTAAAATTTTGTATAGAGAAAAATTTAAATTTAAATCTGTTTAAAATAAATTAAAGCCCTTTAAATTGGAACAGGATTTTTTGTTCCAATTTAAAGCGGGGGAGATAGTCTTAATTCTAACATATCTTTCACCACCTTCTAAGTCTTTAGCTTTTTCTATCTTAGCTTGTAAGCCACCTTCATATTTTCCTTCATAGACTTCAAATGCAAGTAAACTTATTGAAGCACCTTGCTTAAGGTAAACCCCGTAGTCGCTAATCTTGAAGCCGTTAAATACACCACCTGTCGTAATTTCTCTTCTTTCATGGCTGATTTCGTTTACAACTGTGATTTCTCCTGAAGAGCTTGCGTGAATCCTAACAAATAGCTGTTCTGAATGGCTAAATTCATGCTGGCTCACTTTGTTAATAGTAAAGTGAGAGCTGCCTGCTTCTGATTTCCACCCAATCTTAAGCTTTCCGATTTTCAGTCCTCCGACTAAGCTGTCATTTTTAACCTTTCCTTCTAAAACAGCCAAAATTGTGACCATAGAGCACTGTGAGTTGACTCCGTGGAAAATAGAATTGTCTAACTTTATCCCTCTGTGAGTGATCAAAACCATTGAAAAAATCCCAAAAAAAACGCATCCTCCGTGAGCAATATTTTTATGAAAAGAAATTTGATACATAAGCTATAATTTTTTTATAATGAGATCTCGAACAATTCTGTTTAATTTTAAACAGCTTGCATTTAAAGCATAAATTTTACAAATTAAAATAATTTTTACTCTAAATTTTTGCGAATTGGGGTTATTGTTGAGATTTTGAAAAAAAATCTATTAAAATTTATATATAATAAAAATTAACCTGTGAGCGAGCAAATTTTTTTTTCGCTCACGAAGTGGGGAGTAAGGTGTTTAATAGTTCTTTTCTGTCTGCTGTATTTTCAGGATTATTTATCACGAAATGGTAAAGGCCGTTCTGGTAGAGCTCAGACTTGCCTGAGATATCTCTGGCTTTGAAGGAATTATCTTCTAAGGCTCCAAGTTTATAAAGTTGGACAGTTTGCTTTTCAGGCTTGACTGGTTCTTGCCAACTAATCACAGCATCTCTTTCTTTGATACCTTGCTCGAAGCATTTGACAATTTTTACAGCTGGGACATCAAGAGAAAGCAGTTCAGTTGCTAACAGTTGGTCAGCTTCTGCATACTGGGCGATTTTGGCTTGAGCTTCTTGTTCAGTCATTTGGACTTCTTCTTTAGCTTGTGGGTTCGCATGAAGTTTTTTGGCGAGTTCATTGATAATCTTGGAATAAACATTCTTGCTTGTAAACGAGAACGGCTTGCTACGATCTAGAATTCTCCTAATAATGCTTTCTCCCTCAGATTCTTGGACACTTTCTTTGGATTCAAGTATGTCTAGTATTGCGACCATAAAAGCGACATCTAGTTTGGCATATAAGATTCTCACATTTGCAATGGTCTCACTAGGAGCGAATATTAAATTTTCTCTGCTATCTTGAAGATTTTCCCAGAAAGAGACAATGACTTCACTGAGACTGTCTTTTTCTTCTGCAGTTAAATGATCATAGATCCTTGTATTGATTTGAGCCTCAAGTCCTTCAATTTTTTCTAGTGGCTCAGTTGCCATTGAGTCTTCGTTTACAGAGTAAAAGTTTGCGTTAGGGTGGTTGATTTCTCTGATAACTCCTCTAGGGATAGAAGAATTGCTAAGTCTTACCTGTGACAGGGTAATTGGGACTATTCCATAACCATCAAAGTTCTTTGAAGATGCTGATAACAAATAAATGGCTCCTGTATGGCGGGCTTCAAGCGGCTTGTTCTGGCTAATATTTGCTTTGCCATCTTGCAAGGTTTGTATTAAAGTTTCCACAAGCTCAACTCTCCACCTATCTACCTGGGCTAGAGAAAGAAGCAAGCTTTCTGCTTCATAAGCCCATCTCAAGGAAATTTCTTTAAGATTTTCGTGCTCATACCAGGTCACTCCGTTGCCAATCTTGCTTAACAGATAAGAAATAAGGTCAACTTTGGTGTCAGGGAGGTCTTGTAAAGATTCCCAATAAGGCACCAAGGTCTGTGGAGAATGCTGGGTTGGGATGATGTGCCTTAGGATTCTGGCTCCAAAAGTAACTATTTTAGAGGATGGGACTGCGAAGGTAAGCTGGAGAAGAGTCTTGAAATATGATTCACGGGCTAGAAGCTTAGGCAAGCATTGGGAACCCAAAGATCCATATAAGCTCCAAAGCAGTGAACCTAAATAATCAATTTGACTAGCAATTGCTTGGGAAGCTGTCTTACAAGTATGTGGCAAGTCTCCATAATATGACAAAGAGTCTTGGATTTCGTTATAAAATGAAGCGAATTTCTCATGGTCTCTATTGATTGCGTTAACAGTGACGTAGAAATCTAATAAGCCAGCTTCATCTTTGAACTCAGCTGGGGTGTTTTCTGGGATCTTATCTGCAGCAAGGATGCCAGGCTGCTCTGCTGTTCTGAATAGTTCGATGTAAGTCCTAAAGGATGCTCCTTCTGTTGGCTTTAATTTTCTCTCGAAGTTATCTATAACTCCATTGACATTTGTTAAGTCATAAGCGGCTGCTGCTTCATAATAGTCGTATGGCAGTTCTTGCCAGAGTTTAGAGCCATTCATGTATTCCTGGACATCTGCTGGGAATTGATCACTAAGTCCTTTAAGCACATGTAAGTACCTGAAGAAGTCATATTCTCCTCTGTTATTTTTATTTTCCTCGTAGCTTTCTAAGGTTTCTGCAATGGATCTTTCTAGTCTGTTTAAATCTTCTGGGGTCAAAATCCCTTTCATTGCAGGGTCAGCCTTTTCTATGAACTCATTGATGATGTCTTTGAGGACACAGCTGGAAAACTTCTCAGTCTCATGTCTGAACTGTCTAAGCCACTCTTGGACAGGGTTTCTTTTCAGTTCAGCTGGGATCACGTTTTTACCAATCCAACTGTCACCTCTGGCTAGCTGAGCAACTATCAAAGGACTTTCATCAGGGGCTGTGAATAGTTTATCATATTTTAGCTCGCTGAAAATAGTTTGCATAAACAGTTCTTGAATTAGTAGCTTTTTGGTTTCGTTTGTCTCTATCCACGATCCTGCAATTGAGTATAGCAGCTGCTTGAATAAGGCCCAGGACCCTTTGCTTAGTCTTGTTCTGAGCTCATCTCTTTTCTTTTTTTCTTCTTCTGGTTCTGGATCTAATAAGGTATCATACTCTGTAAAGGTAAACTCTAAAGTATCAGAAACTCCTGTCAGATATAGAGGTTTCCTCTATATAGCGCTGAAAGCGCAGACATTTTCCCAGGAGCTTTCCAAGTTCGTCGGACCAAATCGCTTTTTGGTCCGACCAAGGCATTGATTTGGTGCAACCAACCGATAAATTCCGATCAGAATTTATCGGCCTTACAGCGCCAAACATAGGAAGCTTCTATATTTGTTATTTGGTTTCTCGTCATCTCTTTTAACTAAAATGAATTTTGTCTCTCCTCTGAATGTAAATTCTCCGCAAGCGTCTTCATATCCTTCTAAATTTCTTTCAGATGACAGTACGGCTTCAGTAATAGGCTTTGAGCTTCCTGCCTTATCGATGACCAAATAAACTTTTGGCTCATCTGGCCTTTCTTCGAGCAGTATTTTAGTAGCGTTTTCTGGCACATCCGGCTCAGGAAGGACACCAAATCTAGTAATGCAAAGCTCTTTCTTGAATGGGCGGTGAATTTCGTCTTCTCCTATGTAGCCTTTGGCCCATTTTAGGAGATGAGTAATTGTGGTTGGGAATTGTTGCTCCAATATCAAGTGGCCGTCCGTTCCTTTTAATGGGCAGCTCATTGCTTCGAGGACAGTCTTACTTACTTTATTAACTGATATTTAAGGTGCCTGGTGTCGCATCATTTCTTATGAAGCAGCCATGGCCGAACAGGTGACGTCATGGGCCATATTTTATTTCAGACAGTTTAGAGAATGGCCGACATCCACTACTGAGCTTCTAGCCCCTCGCGTTGGCCTCACGTATGACTCAGCTCCAGAGTGTATTCCACTTAAAGGTCGCCCCTCAGGTGTGCTGGATGGATTAAACCCAAGCCTTCGCTACCCTTTTGACAACCAGGAGGCTGTGCAATTTCTCCTCTGTCCATTTTATGATTATGCTTCTATGCAGTCAAATAATGGGTATAGTCCGTTTGCTTCAGCTTCTTTGGTCTTGGCTTTGACAGTTCTTTTTGTAAAGTGCCATAGACTTGGAAGAAAGAATGCTGGACACAGTGAAGCAGTGTCGGGTCTGTTCCTTCTAGGCCAACCCAATAATGGTTTTTCTCACTTTTGATTTTCAATGAGTCACTAAAAGCTTTAACTAAGGCAGATTCTTGCTTATTGCTAGAGCCGATTAGGTTAGCAAACGAGAGGAATCCAAGAGTTCTAGCAATCCCTTTAGTTCTTCTTTTGTCAATAAGACTTACTATGGCTTCAACTGGGACTGAGGATTCCAAAAACTTGGTGACAAGATCAGCGACCTTCAAGAATTCTTTGACATCTTCGTTTTCTGGCTCTTTAGTTTTGGAAGCAAGACTTAGAAGTCCTTTAAGCTTAGATGCTGACTTGACAGCTTCTTTGACAGTTTTCCATTTGCTGCCAGATTTAAGCTTGCCTGAGTCTTGGCTCTGTATTCTTGCTACATTAGAAAGTAAATTTTTCATGACTTTGCTGACCCCAAGCTCATTCAAGCTTAGCTTATAGTCAGTTCCTAGTAACAAAGCGCATTTCGTCACAATATCTTTATTAATGTCGCTATAAGTAATATCTGGTTTGCCGCCATCCATAAGTTTTTGTTTCTGTTTCTGTGCCCAACCTCTAATAAGGCTGCTCTGCTTCACAATATATTTCATAGTAGCGCCTATGTCACTTGGAGCGTCAAAAATCTTATTCACAGTGTCAACTGCTTCAAAGAAGGCTGTATAAACAGCAAAAATCGCCCTTTCAGCTTGATCCATTTCTGCTCCTCCTATATTAGCGGCAGGTCCTACCACTCCTGACTTTTTCTTTAAATTAGCCCAAGCACTGGTAACTCTTTCGCTCCCTTCTATAAGTTCTTGCAAGAATGGGACACTAGAATACTTGGTCTGAGTTTCATGTTTCCCATACCCAGCTACATAGTCTCCTAAGGAAGTTGTGGTTGATAAGCTTTGTACTATTCTTTTCTTGATCGCTTCAGAATACACTGATGCTGTTAAAGCTTTTTTGGCTTTTTCAGTAAGACTGGCATTGGTGGTCATAATGAAGAGATGCTCGTTCAAAGGAGTTGGCTCTTTGACAAGGGTTAAAACACTGTCGTGGATTCCGTATTTTAAGAGAGGGTTGTTTAGCAATTTAGATGCTTCTTCGTCATCTGGGGTTAAATCCCACTGCCCTGAAATCAAGTTCGAGCTTATATAGCCGAGCAATGTAGAAGCGGCATCTTTGGTGGTGTCTGGCCATTGTTTGGTGAAGTAGCTTGCTTCAACTTCAGCCTTGATTTCGATTTTCCAACCCCAGTAGTTGACTGACCCATCAGAGTGGAAAGTGAAAAACAAGAGAGGGTTTTGAACTTCTACAGGCTGTTTAGGGAAATTTTCTCCTTCCCATCTAGCGAATTTGCTGCTTCTGTTCTGATCGAGCCAAAGTTCTAAGTAGTCACACCCGTTTTCTGTTTTACATTGAGGGTCGAACGTCAATAGATATTTCAGAGCCCTTGGGACTTTTACGAGATATTCTGTGTTTAGGCCGTCTGCATAGTTATGGGTCGACTCATAAATCTGTGGGATCCAGGCTGAACCTGTAGTCAATACTGATGGCTTAGGGAGGAATTTTCCAACACTTTGAATTAGGCCCTGCAAGCTTGATAAAACCTTCGCTAGGATGCTTAAATCCATCTTGCTGAGCATTAAGGAGTATAGAAGACCTTCCAGTAAATGCTGGAGAATAGTATCATTCATTTTGCTGCATAAATCGTCAGGGACGTCACCATCAGGATAAAGTGCTAAAATTTCTTTAATTACGCTGTCAGCGTTTTGGAAAAGCAAGACTGCGTAAGACAGCAAAATTTCTTGCCAGGCGCCTTCAAAGTTGGATCTTGCAGCTTGAGCAATCAAAACAGTCTGACTAGTTTCAAGCAATCTAATTAAGCCAGTTTCTGGGGCTTCGCCATGTACAACAGATTTAGAAGTTTTGGTTCCGAATTCAATGAGAAGCTCAAAGTAATGCTGGATCACTTTGCTGTGGTCGTCGCTAACAAGTTGAAGAGCTGGGAACAGTTTTTCAGGCTGAGCCATTTCTAAGAAAATTCTGTCTTGGAGCTGTTTAAAGACTCCTTCTATTTCTTTTCCACTTTTCTTATCCTCAAGTCTTTCAATTAAATATGACAATTTTTCTTGTGGTTCGCTGTAAAAGCAGTCAAAGCATAAACTAATGGTAAGAGTTGCTTCCTCACTAGCTTTGGTATTTGGAAGAATTGTCAAAATCTCAGTTGTGTGCTCCATAACTCGATTTCTTAGCAAAGAGTCAAGACCGTGGTTCTGATGGTGTCGTGATGCTAATAAATGAGCTCGTATTAACTGCTGAGTTGAAATAAGGGCTAGGTGGCAGTTTTCTTCACTCAATATATGAAATTCGCCACCTTTTATTATGTTGAGCAATGCGACAAAAATACTATCAAGTTGGTCGACAGTCAAGTATTGGAGATCTAAAGAAATTCCTCTTTTCTTAGGAATCACAATTTTTTTGCCTTTGCTTTGTAGGAGTTCCAAGGTTGGGGTGTTGACACAAGCAAGCTTGCTTACCCCTCCCTACCCTGAGCGAACAAATCCATTCGGAAAAAAGTATTTTATGAAAAAAAATATTTTGATATTTAAGTATAAAATTTTAAATGAAATCTCTAGCTAATTCTGTTTATTTTTAAACAGCTTGTATTATTTAGCATAAATTTTATAAAATAAATTAATTTTTATGAATTGTTTTTTTAAATTTCCACAAAATTCCATAAATTTTAGCTCGCCTCATAAGCGAACAAAATTTTTTTGTTCGCTCATGAAAGGGGAGTTAAAATAAAGCTCGAAATTTCTGCAGTGTTGGTAGTAAAAAAATCTTCTGAAGGACTATCACCATCTATCAGCTGATATAAGCGTGTTGCTTTGAATTCTTCTGTATCAACTGGCTTGTCATTTCCAAGTAAGCTAATAACGTCTTCAGGGAATTCTTCAGGAGCAATATTTTTTACCTTCGTGCTTCCAGCTTGTGTAGTGTAAATCCTGACGCAGTCTGGTAAAGGTCCATGGTTTCCTCTTGGCTCTCTGATCCCATTTTTGTAAAAAGTGACTGTTTTTTCATCCATGTTGAGGAGCATCCCAATTCTATCTCCTTGTTTGAATGGCTCCCATTTATAAATTTCATTGCTTCTGTTCCAAATTGAAGACTGGCATTGATACAGGAAGGAGCTGAAGTTGGAATCTGACCAACTTGACATTGAAGAGTATTTCGTATCCGCAACTCCCCAAAGGAAATTTTCAGTCGAAAGAGTTTCCATTATCATTTCATAATAATGGACACCTGAAGTAATTTCATCATTTCCTAGCGTAGTAGACCACCCACTTGTGCCAGATACTGAGCAATCATCATCTCCTATTACACTATTAGGCCCAACTTTGGTTTTGCACCATTTTGGAACATCTTCACGTGTCGCCACACCTAAGTTCTTGAGCGATTTCAAATGAGGGTAAATAATTTCTAATATCGGTCTTAAGTTATCATTCTTTGGCATCATTAAAAATCTCAAAGCAAGCACCAAGGTAGATGTCAAGCTGCCTGTGGTAATTGCCAAGGCAAAAAGAGGCGATAAGCTTGCCAATTTGTCTTCTTCAGTCACATTATCCACTTCTCCTTTCAGAATCGAGTCAAAGAACTGCGCAATGTTGTCAAGACTTTTAGAAATAGTCGGGTCTGAAGTCTGCAGTGCCATTGGAGGCATTTCTGCAAGGGTTTCTGAGGCTTCTCTTGCCACAAGCTGGTAGATTTCTGGGTTGATGCCTCCTACGCATTTCACAAGATATAAAAGTGTTCCTAACCCAAAGCGAACAGCTGCTTTGGCTACTGGTGGAAGTGCACCTTTGGTGGCTGTCAATTTGGTTTCTTCATGCTTGGAACGGAGCTTCCTAGTCTGTTCAAGCCTCAGAAGTGCTTCAAAAATGCGAGAAATGGCTTGGAGTTTGACAATGATCTCTTTTGAGCAGGGATCTTCGCCTTTTTTGCGTAAAATGTCATCAATTAAGTTTTTGATAGCATCTCCATGCTTTTCATGATGACGCTCTGTGACGCCAACGCTGTAGATCATTGACTCTTCTTGCTCAGTGCTTACATCTTCTTCTTTGGGCTTGACTTTGTCGAAGCCTGGGACCATGTAGTCTTCAAGATCAGAACGACAGAGAAGCTTGCCAGTGTTGAAGATAAGTGAAGGGTCGCCGAGGATTTCTAAGTCCTGCTTCATTGATTTTGACAAAGCATCAAGGTCTAAGCCTTCAACTCTTGACACGATTTCACTTGACGAGTTTCCCATTTATTTATTATAGCCAACCATCTTTTCAGATAACCTTATCGTCTCATAAAGTCCAAATGGATAGTTTACTTAAAATCTCTCAAATAATTTAATAAGTCTAAGGCTATGATAAAAATCACAATTTATTTTTAATAAAGATAAAAAAGGACCATGCTAGATGGCAATTGTCAGATCAGATTAGAAATCGATAGAAACAATGATGGAAGCAGTAATTAGAAACGCTGCCAAAATACTTGAAAACTTAAATATCGTTTATATATGAATTTTGAAATAGCATAGCATTAGAAAAATAGGTATGCTATATAACTGTAACCTTATCTAATGCTTAACTATCAAATATTTTGCTAAAAAGCTCATTTCAGTAAATCTCGACAATTATTTCTAGTTTTAATGAAAGGATTGATTTTTTGGTCGCCTGATAAACTTTTAAGATAGCTCTTTAGATATAACCAATTAAATGAGAGAAAATTAGCGTAGATCTGCTACTATATCTAAAAATCCATTAAGGTAGCAGGTTGAAATTACCCAACTCTTGCTATTTCTAATATGCTGAAGTTAAAAAATTAAAGAATTACTGACTCCCCCTTCCGTGAGTGAACAAAAAATTTTGTTCACTCACGGAGGGGGGTTAATTTTTTTAAAAAAATTTATACATAAATTTTATAAAAATTTTTTTTTTTTCGAAATTTAAAAAAAATCCTAATTCGCAAAAATTGGAAAGCAAATATTAATTTAATTTATAAAATTTATGTCTTAAAAAGCGATTTGTTTAAAATTAACATAATTAGCTCTAGATTTCATTATACTAATTATCATTATAATATCAAAAAAATTTTCCATAAAAAATTTTTGTTCACGCATGGAGGGTGGGTTTTTGGGCAAAAAATAGAGATTTTTCTAATGGTTTTTTTCACTCACGGAGGGGGGGGAGTGTGGGATTAACGAGCTGATTATTTTATTCTCATGAATTCATTATTTTAGTTCTCTATAAAAATATATATTTTTGTTAAATAATAAGGTTTTATAATGATTATTTGTTTAGTTCTAAGTTAGAGTATAAATTATCAATATCTATTGAACTAGAAGTCTCTTATAAACTCATTACGATCTGAAAATAGTTAATTTATATTGTATTAATTATAAATTTCTTATTTCTATTTGTATAAATTTAATAAAAATATGATTATTTTTATTTTACTTCAGGTCATTCTTGGCTCCCTTGTCCCTGATTCATTTGATTCTGATTTCAAAGACAATTTGATCTCCTACGTCAACAAAAACTCTAAAAAAGTCATACTTCAAGATCTACCCGATGGATCATTAAGATTTGTTGCTGTAAGTCCTATCAAAAGAGGTGACCCAGTGCTGGTGATGAATGGGTATTAGGATTAGGATTATTAAAGACATGTGCTAGTCATATTGTTAGCGCAGTCACCAAGACAGATTCGTCAGCTTTGCGACAATTGTCCAGTAGGTTTAGCCGTAGCCGGTGCAGTTGTCTCACCCTTGTCTTGTGGCTTTAGTCTTGAGTGGGCGGTTTATGATTTCTAATTATTCCAGGGATTAGTTTCTGGAGTCTATTGAATGCTAAAATTTCTTACTTTAACAGATAAGGGAAAAGATTGCTCCCCTAGCCAAAACCCAGGTTTCTCGCAAGTATGCCCGAGATTCTAAAGATATTACTGAGCACCTCCATTTCCAACAACAGGAAAGCAGCTAAAAACCTAAATATATACAGATTTGCTAGTCCTACACTTACTTCTCGGCTTGGAGTCCATTCCGGTTCGCCGTTGCCTTAAGGTTTGGACTGATTTGCCAAGAGGGCTGACTGGCACATATCGCCATTTGGTGTATATTATGTATGTTGATGAATGGGGAATACATAATTTCGACCTTTGAATCATTTTCCTTGATGCCTTACGTTTCTAGCAAGAAACCTGAAGTTATCCTTATGGCCCGCATTCTCTATGAGAAATTCATGGCTCCTAAAACTTCATTTACCAGCCTATATGTCGGCCTATATCCTACAGATTTTCATTTATATCAGCTATGAAATAAAAACGATACTGACGAATTCAAAACCTATAGAAATTTCAATACAAGGTCAGAAGCCATGGTCGATATGAATACTACTTATGACGTCTATATAGAAAGCATAAAGGATGCCAAAATCGAGATCCCAGAAGACATGAAAAAATGGGAGAGCTGGGTATGGGCGTACTGCATAATGACCAAATACTCACTTAAAATCCCTAAAAATATTTGGAAACAGCTGAAAAACTACGAAGTTGGCCCTACAGATCATGTGGTGGATGGATTAGTTATTATACCTTTGATTGAGAGGCCACCTCATTCTCCATTGCCTTTAATATACAGAAATGATACTGAGTTCAACCCTTTAGTGACTGATAAAGGGAGTGTTTACTTATTAGCAGATAGAAATCAGTCAGTAGGATCAGAATTAGTTTACTCTCACAGATTAATACCAAATATAGGGACTTTAAATTTCTATGGGACTGTAATAGAAAAAAACTTAGATGATAGCTTTCCTTTAACGGTCTATAAAGCTGACGAGTGCTATGGGACAAGGATTGGGCTTTCTCAATGTGAATACAACTTAGTGCCTATTGATTTTGATAAAGGGATGTTTAGATTTTTTGTAGACCAAGCTAAAGATAGAATTGAAGGATATAGAAGATATAGAGAGGTTTTGAGTGCTGTCATTTTCAAAAATGAGCTAAGGACCTTGAGAAGAGAACTGGAAAAAGAGAAAGAAGAGAGAAATCAGTTGAAGCTGAAATATTATATAGCTGAGCATGTTACGTACAGAGAGCACTTAAAAGTATTAGAACGCAGCTTTATGAAAGAACTATTGGATTATTAGTTAGTTCTAATTATTTTAATTGATTTCCTCTTAATAGTTCGCTTTATTGTCGTTGTCACTGTTTCTCTTGCTTTAGGGCTGTTTTCTTCTTTGTCTAAAGCTCTTAGAGTCTGAAGCCCAGCTAAGCTTTCACTTCCCCATGCCCAGTTAAAAGTCTCTAAGCCTGTATCAACTTCAAATTGTTCTAGCTGAGGAATATGAAAAACGCCATAGCCCATTTTCCCTACTCCATATCTTAAAACAACCCTACAAATCGCATGAAAACTAATATCGTCAGAACTGCTTATTTCTCTAGCTTTCTTATATAAAAAGTCAATTTTATCTTGAGGCAAACTAGGGTCAAGCTGAAGAATTATTTCTTTGAATTGAATTTTATTGAATGCGGATCCTTTTTGCTGGATAACTGTACTTAGATATGCTGCATCTTTTGTTTGTTTAGCATGGAACACTTCAATTAAAACAGTGAGAAATTGTGAGCCCGTAATTAAAAAACTACTGTCATTTATCATTGCTTGGTAAACAGAAAAATCAAATTTTTCAATAAATTCTGTTTCTGTTATAAACCCATTTTTATTCTTATCGATCGATATAAACATTTTTTGCATTTCTTCATCAAATGCCCATAACTGGGTTTTCGCCTTAATTCCTTGAATAAAATGCTGCATATCAACTTTCCCATCCTCATTTATTTCATTAAATAAAGCTCTAGGCTCTATATTCATATTTTTGAATTGATGAAGAAACCTAAATAGAGCGATTTCTTCAGAAAATTCTGGCTTGAGCAATTTTAGGGTCAAAATTCCGCTTTTTTTATCATCAGAAAACAGCTTGACAATAAAATCAATTAAATCAGGTAAAAATATTTCCCCTCCAGAGTACTCTCTATATTCAAAATTTTCGAGCCTTGGCTTAGCTGCATTAATCAACTCATTTAAATCATGCTTGATTTTTGTCAAAAATAAGCCTAATTGATAAGGGATTGGGTCTTTATGATATATCTGCAGCATTCTGCATATGAAAGATCCATAGAAATGCTTTTCATGGTACAAAAAGTTGAGCGTCTGCATAATATTTGCTATATGTTTCACTGCAACTTGCTTAATTGTGTATTTTTTATTCAAATACTGATAAAAATAGTCAGGGATTGTGCTTAGTTTTATTTTTTTCTCAAAATCATTTACGTCCTTTTGGTATTTAGCTTCCATAAACTCCTCAAAGAAATCGAATAATAGAGGAAGGTCTATAGAAATCTCTTTGGCTTCATATTGGTGCAGTTCCAGCTTGGAATTTCGTTTAGGGATCTCGTCAGTAAGAATTTGTTTAGCTGTTTGAATATTTTCTTTGAAATCTATAGACTTTTCTGGTGAAAAATAGCTTGCCATACTAAGTCTTGGAGAAAATGAAAATCTTAAAGATTCTCGAGGAGATGGAGAAAGGAGATCAAAAGAAAGAGCTGGTACTTCGGTGAATTTTTTCCATTTAAGGAATGATAAGAGTATTCTGAGACGGCCAAGGAATATTCCTCTTATAAGTAGATGCTTTAGTAAAAGCTTCCTTATTTTTTCTTTTGACTTATTTAATTCTGTATTTAACTCTTCTTCAGCGCGCTTTGAATTATTTAATTCTTCAACTTTCTTGTGCAATAGATCAGTGAGATTATTTACAATTCCTTCTTTTCCGCCATGCTCAAATCCTTCTATTTTAGCTTGGAGTATTTCATAGTCATTATTGTTTTCTTCTAATTTCTTTATTTTTTCTTCGAGGATGTCTTTGGTTTTCAATGTCTCTTCTTTTTCTTTGAGGTCATATTTTAATTCATAATTATTTTGCTGCGCTTCAGCAAGTGATTTATTTGAAATTTCTAGTTCAAGTCTTAATGTGTGGATGATTTTAGACAACTTGCTATTTTCTTCTCCAAGTTTCTCAATATGTTTATTTTTTGCATCAATTTCTTTTGCGTTTTCTTTTAATGAATTAAAGTTTAGTTTTGGAATTTCTGGCTTTTCTTGAGCAGTTTCATACTGCAAGATGAGTTTTTCATTAAGTTTTTCTAGTTTTTCTATTAATTCTAATAAAGGGTCTTCCAATTTGATATCCTGAATCTCATCCAAGCTGATATTAATAGTTTTTGAAATATTTTCTGTAAGATTATCAACAGAATTTAGAAGTATCCTCATATCTTTATCTTCATTTGCAGGCTTTTTGCTTGATCTCACCTTTTGCTTGGTTTGCTTACTCCCTTCGAGAGCCAACAAAAAATTTTGCTCACTCATGGAAGGGGTTAATTTTTCATAAAAATTTATATATAGTAAAAATTTTTTTTCGAAATATAAAAAATCATAATTCGAAATAAAAAATAACTCCGAGGCGACATCTCCTGATGGAGCTTTGGACCGGCGAGAGAGGTGGCGAAATGTGCCTTTAGGCTCAAGTAGACTGTCTCAATGGGAAGCTTGCCGAAGCAGGGTGTTTTGTTTCTCCCCGAAGATTTTCCCTATCCCTGCCAGATGGGCTAGACAGGTTTTGCCTACCACATGGTCTTTCCTCATCGGGACCATCGGGGCGCTCGTCTACTCAGGGTGCCTAACCTCCTGAACAGGTGGTTCAGGTAGGAAATCCAAAATGGCGTCAAGGCATTTTTGGAATTGAGGCAGGCGTATGATCAGTGCCTACGGGAGCGCTTATGGCCGGATACTTAATAATCTAATCTAATTCGAAATAATTTTAAAGCAAATATTATTTGTGAAATTTATGTTTTATAACCCAAAATGTAAAAACATTCAACAGGGCTAAATATTTCATTAAAAAATAATTATTAATTATTTTTTCATGAAAATTTTTATATTAATATTTTTTTGTTCGCTACTGAGAGTGGGCTTTCACCCAAAAATAGGGATTTTTCCAATGTTTTGCTTACTCATGGAGAGGGGGAGTTAGGCTTTTTAATAGTATGCATATTTGCAATCACTTCATCTTCTTCTCCTTCTTTTTGTTTTGCTTCAATATTATAAGCCAGAATTAAATTGCACTTTTCGGATTCTAATAATGAAACTATTTGATCATTGTTATCTTCGTCTTTATATAAATCATTATGAATATTCTCAAAATCTACTGCAAACTTTCCCTCAAAATCTTCAATCTTGTCTTTCAGCTGCTCAAAAATAGTTTTGCTAACTTTCAAACATTCATTTATTCTCGGATCAATTCTTTCCTGATTTTTAGGCTGAAATTTATCAAAATTCTTTTTTAACTGGCTTATTTTTACTCTTATTTCTATCATCGGCTCAGAATCTTTAATATTTTCTACATCTTTTACTAAATCTGGGTATTTCATCTTAATTATCCCAAGCATTTCATCAAAAACTTCAATATTTTTAACTGGAATTTCTGGCTCAATGTCAAATTTCCGCGGATTTTTGACAGTGTGCATTTCATCGAAATCCATTTGGTCGAAAATTTTTGATAGTGCGGATATTTGGCCGAAAATTAACAGTATTTTTCGGTCAAATGTCCCACTATCAAAAATTTTGGATCAATTTTCGTCCAAAAATTTTTCGGTGAAATGGACACTATCAAAAAGGCAAATCATTTGATCTGCACCCGGAATTTCTTGCTTATCTAATATCTCCATTTTTTTCGTTTCCATACCTTCAAGTGTGTTTTGATGCTTTCTTAAATCATCAATCAGGTTAAAAATTGTTGCAAAATGCTCTCCTTCAGAAGGTTCAGCGTATGTTACGCTTAGAAAAGTCCTTCTTTTAATCACTTTTTTCTCATCAGAAGGAATTGTGAAAATAGTCGTGATCTTTTTAAGAGTATTTTCTGATTTATCCTCAGAATTAACCAGCAGTGTAATAATGTTTTGCAAGGCTTGGGAAACTTCTTTGAGACATTCATCATTATTTAATATATCCCAGATAAATTGAAGCTGGTTTTTTAAGCAGTCAATAAGTTCATCTTCAGGGGTTTGTGAAGGAGATCTTCTTATGCTTCTGCTCACTCTTATATAAGGCTCAACTTTAAGATGAAAATCTTCTTGTGATATAGACTGTGGAAGTGTTAGTTTTTGATATGCGGTTGTTGTGATAGACTCTACAAGGTCCAATATTCCATTCCAATCATCACCTATTGCTGGCTTAGGCTTTGGACTTAATGCAGGGCTCCTGCATGGACTTGGAGTCCTTGGGCTTAATAATTCAGGACTATGCACATAGTCAATCTCTTTAATCTCAATAGGATGCACTTCGCTTATATTAATTTCGGGCTCATAATGTGGTACTGCATTATACATTTTTCCATGGAGATTTGCATGTTTTGATATTAATTCAAGCATCATGCTAAGCTTCAGCATGTCTGAATCATGAACTTTTTCTAATTCAAGCCTTTGTTTTTTAAGTCCGTTAGTATCTTCAATTAAGTCTCTAATTAATGATGATATACTCATCTCCTCTGAGAGGCTCGGTATGGAGATTGAATGCTGAAACTTTCCTGTTGGTTTGACATTTCAATTTGGTCAAACTAACTGGAGAGAGACTCATTTGCAGCTCTCCAGTTGGCTTGACAATCCGAGTTGGCCAAACCAACTAAATAGTTTTCAGCCTTCAATCTCCAGCCAACACTGGACTACTCTTAGAAGATAGGTATATATGAACTTTGTTTAGCATATTTTCAGTAGTATCTTCACATTTTTCTAGCGTAGGCGCTACTTTATTGAGTATGTTGCCAGCTAGCTCACTACCTTTAATACCACTAATTAATTCTTTTTTTAGAGATTCATGCTGTGACAGTAATGAGTATGAATTCTCTAACCCCTCTACGTGAGCGAACAAAATCATTGGGAAAAATCCCTATTTTTGATTAAACCTCAGGAGCGAACAAAAATTTTTTTAATCATGAAAAAAATATTTCGATATATATGTGATACTTATTATAACGAAATCTCTAACTAATTCTATTTAATTTAAAATAATTTGCGTTATAAAACATAAATTTTGCAATTTAAATTTTACTTATTTTAAAAAAAATTCAATATAAATTTTTATATTACAAAAAATTAACACCCTCCATTAGTTGTTCACTTACGCGGGGTGAAGTAAGCATTCTTCAAGCATTTCTCATTTCTGATGCAACGTTTTTTCTTTTGTAATTTCCCTAGCTGATTTATCTAATTTTATACGATAATTTGTTAGTGTTTCGTAGGTTCTATATAGCTGCCTATTTGACCCCGAAAATACATCGATCATAAGACGCAAAGTAGAATCTGAGCCTTTTAAAGCTTCTGAAAAACATTTGATAACCTCTGGCATCGTTGTGCATTCTGGGACATGGTCTATCAGTAAAGTATGAATCGCACAAAAAGAAGCCAAATTTTGTGACATCTGTTCAGAAAATGATTTAAATAAATCATTCTTTATGAAAATATCTGAATTTGAGGATATTTGTCCTGAAATTAAGCTGAGTTTTGATAAATCGTTAGAAAAAGATATAATTTTTTCAGATATTTCTTGGTCTTTTAAATTCAGAGAATTAGATAGTGAATTTAAGCATTGTAATAAGCCCCCGTTTACAGAAATGAGGTCTTGCACACACGTTTCTCCACTATAAGGCTGCTTAAATGACAAAGATAAGTTATAGAAAACGTTATCCAGCTCGCTTAAGTATGATAATATTTTACCAATGCTTCTGAAAGATTTAGGACCATTGTTATCAATTTGCGGTTTTCCTTTGAACTTTTCGATATTTCTGATTGAATTCTCGTATTCTCTTAAGTGACTTTGGAGTTTAGATGTAATAGAATTTAATTCGCTTTCTAGTAAAATGCTTTTTTCTTTTTCATTTAAGGCTGCTTTTATTAATAGTTCTAAGTTTTGTAGGTAAACTTTGCTTACTTACTTAGTTACTTACTCCCCCCCCCCCCCCTCGTGAGCGAACAAAACCATTAGAAAAATCGCCATTTTTTGACCAAAAACCCTCCGTGAGTGAACAAAAATTTTTTTAATAGAAAAAATTTTAATGGAAAAAAATTTTGATATATAAGTGATAATTAGTATAATGAAATCTAGAGCTAATTCTGTTTAATTTTAAACAAATTGCGTTTTTAAAACATAAATTTTGCAAATTAAATTAATATTTGCTTCCCAATTTTTGCAAATTAGGATTTTTTTAAATTTCGAAAAAAATATTTTTTATAAAAATTTATATATAAATTTTTTTTAAAAAAAAAAATTAACCCCCCTCCGTGAGCGAACAAAATTTTTTTGTTCGCTCACGGAGGGGGGGGGAGTTAGGTATTTAAAGCGTCTTCCCTCTTCAGCAGGATGATTTAGGCATGCATAAGCCCATCTTTTTCTCCCAGTTTGGTGACGTCAGCAGCCATCCTGATCTTGCAGGCATTCCAGAAGACGCATCTCGCCAAGCCAGAAGGTCCGCACTGGCCTCGTTACCTCGGCCGAACTTGACTTCTGCGCGTGTTCCGCCTAAGGGTCACCCTCCTCGGGTGTGTCAATCAGAAAACCCATATACCTCCTAACACCCCTGGACTAAAGAAATACCCTATGCGGTATTCCATATTGGTGTTGCGGATAAAAATCCAAGTGGAAAACTGAACCCCATAATAATAAAAGCGAAGGAAGGAATAGTTCTCGGAGAGAACTAATTCCGATCGTAGCCATTTTATTATTATATAGGTAAACTTTGCAAAATTCTTTATCGTTAGCTGGATTTGTGGCTTGAATAGGCTCAATTTCAAATTTTTGTAATGCAAGGTCATATAAGTTAGTAGGCAAAATACTTTCTCTTGTAATTTTTGGGTTTTTTTGCGATTTGCCATATGTATTGCTATCAAGTACCTTGGTGATTTCCTCGTATTTTGATTGGTTGAGGATTTTAAGTTCTGAAAGAACAAATTTTAAATTTTGATTGAGGATGACGTTTTCATTTTCAAGAGCCTGGGCTGATTTTAATAAACTTTTTGACGATCCTGCTGCAAGTGTATCATAAATTGTAGGAGGAAAGCTATAGCCTAATAAGCTTTGGGCTATAAATGAAAGTGCTGATACTTTTTCAGACATTTATTGAAATTGAGATCTAAGGCAGGGTTGAATAATATCAAACCATAATGATTAAGGTTTTAACTCCCCCCCCTCCGTGAGTGAAACAAAAAAATTTTGTTCACTCACGGAGGGTTTTTTTTTTTAAAAAATTTATATATAAATTTTCTCAAAAATTTTTTTTTTGAAATTTAAAAAATCCTAATTTGCAAAAATTTGAAAGCAAATATTAATTTAATTTATAAAATTTATGTTTTAAAATGCAATTCATTTAAAATTAAACAGAATTAGCTCTAGATTTCATTATATTAATTATCATTTATATATCAAAATTTTTTTCCATAAAAATTTTTCTATTAAAAAAATTTTTGTTCACTCACGGAGGGTGGGTTTTTGGGCAAAAAATGGCGATTTTTCTAATGGTTTTGTTCACTCACGGAGGGGGAGGGGGAGTAAGAATTAAAAAGTAAAATAAATAATTTCAAATTTAAAAGACCTTTGAGCATAAAGATTATGCTTTATATTTTCTCATCAATTTCTTTAATATTTGCTTGAGAAGCATACGATATGACGTGAAAATATGAGCAATTAATTAGATGCTAATCTTTAGTCATATTTCAGAGAAATTATATATAGTCCTTTCCCGGCTATATTATAGTTTGCATCAAAATTTTCCCAGCTAAGTCGATTTATGCTCTTTTGTCATTGATTTATCTAGAAAAATTGTCAAGATAAGTCAAGTCTGCCATATAATAAATATTTTTATAGAAGCAATTCAAACTTTTCAATAAATATAATATTGCTATTTGCAGATTTTTGAGCTTTACCACCTAAGTGTGGAATTTTTTTTCCGCGTGTGAAAAGGTGTTTTTCACGTGTGGAGCCCTTTTGATTTCACATGTGGAATCCCTCTTTTCACACGCGGAAAAAATTCCACACTTAGGTGGTAAAGTTCAAAAATCTGCAAATAACGATATTTAAAATTAGACTTAATTAATTCAAATGCTTCTAAAAGGATATAAATCCTAAAGATAGGACTAGATCTCGATTTGCACTTAAATTTTATATTTCTAACTAAAAATAATGGCAAAACTTGAGTATCAATAGCTTTTTTGTAATATATTAAAATTCGCTTCTTATTAGCATATTTATTGTTTAAAACTAGAACACATCCCAAAAAATTAAATGTTTTTGGCCCTATTTAAGTAATAAAAAAAGGATTGGATATTTTCGAGAAGCGCAGACCTCTCATATTGATAGCAAATAAACGCATTTAGTCTCTTTTAAACTTTAAAAATCACTAAAATGGAAAGAAGTAAATTAAATTATTTTGCTATAGGCGGTGAAATTCCCAAAATAAATTTAAATTGTAACAAGTTTAGAATTAATTAAATTGCTTCTTGAATCTGGATTCAGACTTTATTTACTCACAAAATTGTCTACTGCTAATAAAATTGCTCTTGGGTTGCTTCGCTTTATTAAGCTCTCTTTCTTAGGTAGGTCATCGAAATCCCATCGGATATTTGATGACGTGTGAGATAAAGGCAAGTCCCGGGAAAAGTCAAAATTGTAATGCATAGAAGCTTGATCAATTGTTTTCTTCAGATCAGACTTCATTATGCCCATCCAGTCCTCAATTACTCTATCTGTATTTGAATCTTCGACAGTGTTCATATTTTTTACAGCATTTTTGCATCCTACTAAATTATGCCAAACAAAATTAAAATTTTTGATATGATTAAAAAATAGAAATAAATATTAAGTTTTTAAGTTTATTAAAATAAATTTAGCATTCAATAATTTTTCCATTCTTTACTTATGAATTTTAAAGAAAAAAATTTTGGCCTTAGTTAATAAAGAAATTATTCGACCATTTTATTAGTAATTTCTTTCTATTCATTTCTGTTGCAAAGCAAATAATCTCCATGAATGGCAAATTTGAAACTTTTAATCTAACAGTTAGGCATAACACAGGTATGACGTTAGATCTTCCTGGGCTATAGGAGAATAATAATATGGGTTGCCGCTTTCTCAAGAGCCATCAATAGAGATTTAGTATCTCATCTTTTCTTAAGAGAACAGAAATTAAAGAAAAAAAATTGGCAAGAAAAATTTTAACATTATAGCATGCTTGAGTGCGATTAAACAAATCGAAATTATATATGTAGAATCAGATAATCATATCCTTATAAATAAATTTTCTTATAATGGGAAAATTATAATTGCTTATATTAGTGTTGCATAAAGGCATATGAGCATGCAAAAGTGCTATAATAATTCTGGGAATATAGTTTACGTTCTACGTTTATTATTAAGTCCCAATATAGATAATTTAGGCAGCATTAAGCATAATTTTCTTAAAAATAAGTAGTTAAGATGGCATGAATTTTAAATGAATTTCATTTAAAATCATTATTTAAATTGAATTTAATTATGCCTAAATTGGTATTGGGACAGAATAAAACGCTCTTAGTTGTATCTGGATTGCTTAAAAATTAAAGTGAATTAAGCTATACAAAATGCTCTTCAGGTGTTTTGATGTTTGATTTCATTATAACCAAAAAATTCAATAGCTTTGAAGTCAATTCAATTGCTAACTCCCCCCCCCCCCCCCCTCCGTGAGCGAACAAAAAAAATTTTGTTCGCTCACGGAGGGGGGTTAATTTTTTTTTTTTAAAAAAAATTTTATATATAAATTTTATAAAAAATATTTTTTTCGAAATTTAAAAAAATCCTAATTTGCAAAAATTGGGAAGCAAATATTAATTTAATTTGCAAAATTTATGTTTTAAAACGCAATTTGTTTAAAATTAAACAGAATTAGCTCTAGATTTCATTATACTAATTATCACTTATATATCAAAATTTTTTTCCATTAAAATTTTTTCTATTAAAAAAAATTTTTGTTCACTCACGGAGGGTGGGGTTTTTTGGTCAAAAAATGGCGATTTTTCTAATGGTTTTGTTCGCTCACGGGGGGGGGGGGGGAGTAAGAGAGATTATTTTTATTAGTAGGTAAGGGCTAGCGTGAAAATAAATTTCTACTATAAAAGTGGTTTAAATTCTATTTAGCTAGAATGATAAAAATTCACTCTCCTTTATCCTGTGCAAAATGCCATGGTTCAAAAATTTCCATAGTTTAGAGCATAGAATTCATTGACTTTTAAATTATATGGCATTTACATATATTAGGAAATCAGCACTCTTTAACTATTTAAGGTATTAGTGAGTTAATCAACTATTGGAAATAAGTTTTAAAATCATTTTAATATTTAACCTTTGAGTTTCACAGAATTTCAGACTGAAAAAATTGTAATTACTGAGGTTACTTTTGAGAAGGTCGCTTATAACGATGACCCCCCCTCAATCTTTATGTCTACTGCAACAAAAATTTTTCGAAAAAATCTTCATGCCTATTGCAACACAACATTTTTAAAAAAAAAAAATTAATGCATTTTTCTCTAGGTGAGTTTCTAAAAAAGACATAAAATAGCGCTGCTTTAGGCGTGCCAATGACCTTCTCATCGAGATTTGGACGGCTATTGTCATCACTCGCCATTTTATTAAACTTATCTAGCTAAAAAGTACGGAAAAATTTAAGATGCGCATCGAAAATTTGTTGCAAGAGGATTAGGATTATTACAGACAGGCGCTAGCCATATTGGTGACGCAGTCACCAAATACTTCCTGTACGGAAGGTTCTACCGCTTTTCGACTCTAGCCCAGAGGTCTATCCCTCTTACGAGAGTGCCCTTCGGTACCTTCTGTCTCCTCCTTACCTTGCGGCTTCAGTCTTGAGTGGGCGCTTATGGATTTCTGCGGCCCTACTACAGGCGATTGGAGTAGCTTGATTCCAAGGATCCTTGGAGTCTATCGGGTGTCGAAGTGCCTTTCTTCAACAGATTACAGGAAAAAAAACTATTCCTCTGTGGCCTGGGCCGAAACCCCCAATTTCTCAGTAGAGGAATGCCCATGGGTCCTCGGATCCAAAGGGACGTTGTTGAGCACCTCCATTTCCAGAAAGCAACCAAAATCTACACTTCTTAAGCCTGCGTCTTAATTCTCAGCTCGGAGTCCATCCCAGTTCGCTGTAGCCATAAGGTCTGGACTGCTGCGCCAAGAGGGTAGGTTGACACGTGTTGCCATTTTAATGTATATAATTTGTTGCAAGAGACATGAAAATTTTTTTTTATATAAAATTTTATATTAAAAAATTGCATTTTTGTTGCAATAGACATGAAGATTGAGGGGGGGTCATCGTTATAATCGGTTTAATTATTCTGATGAAATATAAAAATTGAGAGAATTTAGTCAGGAATTTGCAATAAATTAATCGAGAAAAGCACTTTTTCTAGCTAAAATATATCCTATGCATTTAATTATATAAAATACATTCTAATATCTAATTTATTTTAGTATTCCAAAACTTATAATAGCAGAAATATTATTTTATTCAGAGAATAAATATTATTGAAATTTATATTCTTTTATATAAAAATGTGAATTTTAGCTATCGCAAATAAACATATAATAAATTAATATCACTTGCTATTTATTTTACTGAAAATGTAAATAATTATTTTAGAATGTACTTAGATAAGAATGATATCTATATTCAGTTATCTTTAGTATCTTCAGTATCGCTTACCTTAATCCAAGTCCTATTGCAAAATGATCTAGAAAATTCAAGTGCATCATACATAGAATGGCTTCAAAGAGGCCGATCTCTCGAAATGGATCTTACATTCCAAATTCTGGGGATAGCTACTGAGATTATCTTTGTCATGGGGAGCATCATTATTTACCTCTCATATGATCGGAAAATTGGTGCCGTCTCTACCTGTGCTGGCATATTTGGAGGAGCATTTTCTGCCTTATTAAAGCTGATTTTTACCCAGCCTCGACCATACTGAAAATATTCTGAAATTCATGCATTAGACTGCACCAAAGATTGAGGAACTCCATCAGGACACTCCTTATCAGCTGGATGTGTAATTTTATATATTGGAATGCTATGATTGCAGTCTAAGAGACACACATCTATATTAAAATGGCTTTCTATCATTTTAGCTTCTTTTATCACAGGACTAAACAGAAATTTTATGGGCGCTCATTTTTATTTTCAAGTAGTTTTAGGATTTTCTTATGCCATGCTCATAGTATCGATTTTGATCCACCCTAAAATTGAGAAAATTCTTTTCAAGCTTAACAATAGAAGAATAATAATTATTAATGCGACTGCAATATTCCTGGTATTTGGAGCATTAATGCTTTATTTATTCAGAAATCCATATTGGGATGATGAATGGAAAAAAAATTATGAAAATAAATGCGATGGAAATTTAGATTCAAAAATTGCATCACAGATAGATTTAGAAACTGCAAGCTTATTCAATGCAATTCCTGGATTTGTGTGAGGATTTTATAAGAGCAAGGACTTAACAGTGCCAAAACTGACATGAAAAAATATAGGAACTGTTGTTGGGATGGTAGCTATTTTGAGCGGAATTTTGTATGGGATAGAGTCTTTATTAGTATACTTGATAACTGGCCCTGAAATTGTGGCTCCTTTATCTTTCTTGATGTATGGATCAGGAGTTTGTGTAGGCTATTTGATGCCGAAGATAATCTCTAAAATAATCAAAGCAGACAACCCAAGTATGGAAAAACTTACAGAAAGTGATGATTTAATTGAAGATATTAGTATATAACAAATTAGGATAGAATATAGTATAATTACATGTGAATAAGTGATAATTTTTTATTTGATTTTATAAGAAAAATTGAATTTTTAAAGATTAAAATTAAATAAAATGATCTTTGCTTTTAGGAAATTGGAAAATATATTTCTCAAGCAGAGCTTATGGCATAATCAATTATTAATAAAATTTTCAGCTTTTTGCGAAATTAATCTAATTATTATTAACTAAATTATTCAAACCTTACCGCTTATAAAATATAATGAACAACGCTGATATGGTTGGAACTAAGTTTATTATTTCAGAAAAAGAAAAGGCTCTTAGAGATAAATTTTTTCGTTCTCAAGCCTCGTCAACTCCTACAACAAAACCGATTCAAAAACCTGCTCCTGAAATAAATCAAAAATATCATGATTTTCTAGATGAAATGCAAACAACTCTTAAACAGCAAGCAACAGGAGCTTTTACAGGCGAATTGCTGCAAAAGCAAGCTTTAATTATGCAGCAGCAGGTTCAAATCCTCAAGGCAGGCCAATCAGATCACAAAAAAATAATCCAGGCTATAACTCATAAACCAAATCCAGTTTTATCTAACTCCCTCCTCCTCCGTGAGTGAACAAAAAAATTTTGTTCACTCACGGAGGGGGGTTTATTTTTTTTTTTAAAAAAACATTTATATATAAATTTTATAAAAAATTTTAATTTCGAAATTTAAAAAAAATCCTAATTCGCAAAAATTGGAAAGCAAATATTAATTCAATTTGCAAAATTTATGTTTTAAAAAGCAATTTGTTTAAAATTAAACAGAATTAGCTCTATATTTCATTATATTAATTATCATTTATATATTAAAACTTTTTTCCATATAAAAATTTTTGTTCACTCACGGAGGGTGGGTTTTTGGGCAAAAAATAGCGATTTTTCTAATGGCTTTGTTCACTCACGGAGGGGGGGGGAGTAAAGAAATTTTAGCTGAGCTGATAGAACCTCTAAACAGACAACTTCAAGAAGTAAAAAGGCTTTATCAAGAAGACCAGGTAACAACCAAAAATTTATTCAGTCAAGTAAATGAAATTAAAAGTGTCTTAGAAAATGATGAGAAAATTATTGAGCCTAAAGAGTCTGTCATCATTACTAAAAAGTCAATAGAAAATATCAAGCAAGAAAAAACAAGACCTGGGACTATACAAAAAGCACAGCCAAAAGGCAAAGAGGAAAAAGTTAAAAATGAGTTAGAAATTATAAACAAAGACACAAAAGAAGTCGAAAAAGAAATAGATGGAAGACTTGATAGAATTTTAGAAAAAGTAGAGAAAATAAAAAATATACCGATGAAGCTGGATAGTGAAGTAATGCCTATTGATGTTAAGCAAATTTTAGGAGAAATGAATTATGATGTGCTGCTGGAAGAGTTAAATATGTATAGAACAGTTAAAAATGATTTAATTCGGGAATATCAGTCATGTGCTTTGCTATACCCAAGGAAAAAACCGGAAAAAGCGAAACCTGAAGAAGCTAAGAAAAGGAAAAATGAGAAAACTATTGCCAGAAAAGTGCAAGTTCCGAGCTATAAAACAAATAATAGTTCGCTGAAGCCAAAATCACTCCAAAATATTCGTACGAAGCCTAAGGTTATAGAAAGCATGACAAAAAAGAAAAGCATCCCTAAGTCTAAAAATATTCTTCTTGTAAAAGCCGAAAAGTCAGAATCAGAATCCCCAGAACCTACTGATAGATCTCTTCAAGAAACCTCTGAGCCTATCATTCCTTCCCCAAAGCCTCTTCCTAAGCCTGAAACTGTTTCCTTTCCAACCCAAACCTCTCCTCACCAATCTCTCGAATTTCTCAAAATACAGCATGAAAACCCCAATCCTTTCGAAACTCGCCCTGGCACAACAACTGGCAAACTTACTGAAGAAAACCTTTCAAGCTACATTTCTCCTCCTTATCTTCCTCAATTTCAAACCTCTGCACCTCTACGGGGAAATCTCGAAGAACAAACCATTGATGCCATTACGGGTGCAAGTCCAATGATAGTGCCTTTTTGATAGTGTCCATTTCGCCGAAGTACTTTTGGCCGAAAATATTTAAATAATGCACCCATTTTGTCGAAATTTAACATTTTTTTCGGTCAAATGTCTCACTATTTGAACAAATTTTGCTCTATGAGATGACGCACTATCAAATTTCCGCCGTCATTTGACATTGAGCCACCATTACAGCTTATGTGCTTAATCAAACTTTAGGCACCACCCAACGCTTAAAATTAACTTTACAAGAAAATCCTTCATCTTTATTGGGTGTGGAAGAAATAAGTGAGCTTGTAAAGCAAGGCTTGCATTTCGATCCAAATACGATAAGTAACATAGGGAGAGAAATTATTTTAGAAAAAGTGAGAGAGCTGAGAGAAGAAAAGGAGAGGAAAAATAAAGAAAACATGAGCAGGATTGAAGAAAATAGTAAAAATGAAGAGGAGTTAAATGCAAAAAGTGATAATTTGGAAGCAAGCATCAAGAAAGAAGAGTCTAAGAGTGAGTATATAGAAGAAAATAGCAAAAAGGAAGAAGATTCTAAAGTGAAAAGTGACTATACAAGTGATTTTGAGCCAGATGAAAAGTCAGAACATGAAGAAAGCCCGAAATTCAATGGAATTCAGATCCCAGCAGAAGAAATTGATCCTTTCCTCTTTAAGTCACCTAAAATAGAAACTTCGCCAAGATTCCTTACTAAGCAGCCATCAGCTCAATCGTCAGGACGTCCAAGCACCCAATCCCAGGACGACTTGGTTTCTCTTTTAAATCCTCGTCTACTAGGCATGATGAGTGCAGCATCGATCCAGCACTATATTTCTTCATTAATCCAAGCTGGCCATTTATCAAGAAACCAAACTCCCAGCTTCTTATCAAGGACAGAAACTCCATCCACTCAAATTTTCTCAAACATCCCAAGAAACCGTACAAGTGCTCCAAATGATATTTCTACAGTCCCTCAAAGCCTTGCAAGGATTTCAGAAACTCCAAAGCTCCCTGATGAAGTCAGCGATTTTTTCAAAACTCAAGTCGGCCAGCAATTCCAAAAAATAATTGTAGAAAACTCTTCCCTGTCAGCCCATCAAATTATGGAAAAATGGTCATCTCAGCACATTTCTACGCCTCAAACCTACCAAAACTTCAATATCTTGAGGAGAATCCCAAATAATATAAATATAGATGCTGAAGAAATAGCACTCAAAAAGGAGGCTGAAATCCCAAGGAGAAAAATTGATATTTCCTACCTAGAAGACCACAAAACAGATAGCGCTAGGTCTGATCTTTTTACGCTGTCAGAATCAGATGAGTCTTTAAGGTCTTCTTTAAGTTCAGAAAAATCAGTAGCAATGCAGCCAGAGTTTATAGCAGGTTTTAAAGAATTTTTGGTAAAATCTCAGCTAAAAGAACTATCTTCAAGTTCTTCTCTTTCTGAAGGAGAAGTAAGAATGAGCTTGGGCGATACTTTATCGTCAGGAGAAATTCCTAGAGGGTCTTGGAGCGATGCAAAAAAATTCAAAGATTCACTGTCAGGAATTTTTTCACCAAAAGAAAGCAGCCAAGGGCAAGTTTAAAATGTAAGCCCATTAGATTTAATATTTGGTTCATACAAATGTGCTATTAATAGTTTTTATATGATTTTAATTTATTAAAATCCTGAAAGTCTATGTCCAGCATCAGACATTTTCTATTTAACTCGTTAAATTTTTATAAATAGTCAATTATCTTTGAAGCTAATTCAACATATCAGTTTCATTATTAATATATTAGGTTTTCTGAAATAAAGACTTCAATAAATTTATTTATTATGAAGGTATTAATAGTTAAAATAATTTTCTTTGTATAGTGAATTTCCTAGTGAAGGATTATAACTTCTACTAGGCATCCTATCTGTTTTTATCCTTTTAGATGTACCATCAAAGGAGTCTGAATAGTCTCCAAAAGGAATTTGTGGCATTATTTCTTCAGTTTTCAGGGGTTTTATAGGTGAAGACTTTTGTGATTCTCTTCTAGACAGATGAGAAATTAAAGGATTGTTTAGAAATTCATCAGCAAGCTGTATAACTTCTGAGGAAAAATCCTGCTCTGGCAGCTTTTTCTTGATTTTTGGGCCTGGAGATTGATTTTCATCAGTTTCTGTATACGTAAAAGTATCCTCAAAAAGAGGCTTTTTGTTAGGAAAATTCGTGTCTTCTCTGCTTGTTATGCTTTCTAAGGTGGGTGATGGATTTCTTTGGATTTCCTCATCAGAAATTCATTGAAACTCACTTAAAAGTTTTTTATCGGGGTTGAAAAATTTCTGAATGTCTTTTTTCACGTCACATCTGATTTTCGAGTCCACATTTTGGAGATATTTTGGGACCTTTCTATGAGGAGTTCCTTTAGGCTGCTGCATTGTGCTTGGCTTAATGGTTTTTAACGGGCTTCTATTCGAATTTTCTTTAGATCTGCTACTGTCTTTTCCTTTCGGCTTAGAAAAGACTTCATCCAAGCATCGGAATTTTGGTGTAGACTCCATCAAAATAGGCCCAGGGATTTCTTTATTCACTGAGGACCTTGGTGGTCTTTTATTTTTTAAATTATTGACGCTCGATGACCTTTTGAATTCTTTTTCTGCAGGATCGTTATTGTAGTTATCAATTTCTTCAATCATCCCTTTCAGCTGTGCTTTGATGCCTGGCATTTGTGCAGCTAATGGCAGTGGAGATCCATGTGAAATTGTTTCAAGCTCACTAACTGATACAAATCCAGAATATCGGTTTTGTATCGCACTAATTCCAATTACCATCAAAAGTTCACAGCATCTCGCCCACTGAGACCTTGGGTACAAATACAAGAAATCCTTAATTGCAAGATTCCCGCTTACTCCCCCCCCCCCTCCGTGAGCGAACAAAAAAAATTTTGTTCGCTCACGGAGGGGGTATTTTTTTTTTTTTTAAAAAAAAATTTATATATAAATTTTATAAAAAAATATTTTTTTCGAAATTTAAAAAAATCCTAATTTGCAAAAATTGGGAAAGCAAATATTAATTTAATTTGCAAAATTTATGTTTTAAAACGCAATTTGTTTAAAAATTAAACAGAATTAGCTCTAGATTTCATTATACTAATTATCACTTATATATCAAAATTTTTTTTCCATTAAAATTTTTTCTATTAAAAAAATTTTTGTTCACTCACGGAGGGTGGGTTTTTGGTCAAAAAATGGCGATTTTTCTAATGGTTTTGTTCGCTCACGGAGGGGGGGGGGGGAGTTAGAGACTCTAACATTTTTTAAATTATCCTGAATTATCCTATTAAAGAGCTAAGACTCCGAATACCAAAGAAATTGCAGTTAAAATCATCCCTGCCTCCTTCACATAGGAGTTCTGTAAGTCAAGCCAATACTGAGACGTTATAGTATTTTTGATGCAGTCAGGGTTGTACTGAAGCTGAGGACCTTGGAGATACGTTGTATAGTTAGTGGAATATTGATAGTAAAGCTGGTGATAGCCGTCTATTTTGAGGAAGCAGAACTCCCCATGTCTGGAATTAGTGTTACACTTTGAATTTACCTTGTGAAGACGTTTTAGTAGTGAAATGGAATTTTGCCAAGGCGCATCTCCTTCAAACACTGGACAGTAAGCAAGAGACCATTCGTTATATCCACATTGGCAATTTTTTGAGTATTTCCCTGTGGTATCTACACATTTGGAGCCAGGGGTGCATGGTTCTTCAAGCTTGGACGCAGAAACAGGTGCTCTCATGCAAGCTCCTCTTGGTGGGGAAGTAGAAGTGACGTTGGCGAAGCCAAAATAGCAGGAGTATGACTTTCCTGTGCTGGTTTGCACATCGTCTACGATGCTTTCTTCTGATAAAGAGAAGTATGGGATGCATTGTCCAAGGTTGCAGGTTAAGTTGTTTCTGCACTCATACCAGTGGTCGCAGTCTCCACCTTCTTCTACTTGATATTTGCAGGTATTCGCAGTCATATTGCAATATAAACCTGGATTGCAATCGTAAGTATTTGTACATTCTTGATCATAGACGTTGCCGACACATTCTTTATCACTGCAGCTTCCACTGATACATTGCTCATCTTTTTCACAATAGTCTCCTGGATACCTGGTATTTTGATCAGGAACATCACAAGTGGCATTTTTCTGAGAATCTACCATACAGGTCTGGTTATGCTGAGCACATTCATTTATATAGTAAATTTCTGAGATCTTATAGGTATCAATATTTTTTTCGTAAAACCCGCATTGTCCAGAGCTCCAGTCTTTGGTAGGAGTATTGCAAAAGTAAGCTGGGCACTGGGGATTCTGAAAAGTGGTAGACGCTTCTAAAACATTCCAATAGCTTTGTGTAAAAATGCTTTGAGAGCACTCGTCGTTGCCTTGTATAAGAGGATAATAGTTATAGAAATACTGCCAATAGTCTATTGCCCAGCTGTACCAGAGTTTTTGAGAAGCGGCTGGCAGCTTAGCAAAGCATTGGTAACTCCATGGGCGATGTGCATTGCAGTTTTCGTTGGCATTGTTCAAAGCTTGCCAATTTTTAATCATAGAGACTACAATAGGATCTCCTTCAAATAAAGAGCAATAAGAACTTCCAGCTTCATTGTAAGCACAGGTGCAGGTTTTGTTATATTTTCCATCACTAGATGTACAAGGAGACTCAGGAGTGCATGCAACTGGAAGTTTACCGGTACTTGTTGGAGCCTTTGTGCAATTGTAAGTGCTGCCAGTATAAACTGCATAGCCAGTGTTGCAGACTAAATTAAAGCCTGTCTTTGAGTCAACAAGATCCTCAACAACTGGCTGATTAAGTTCAAGGGAAAACAACTCAATGCATTTATTGTTGACGCAGAGTAAATTATTAAGACAGCTTTCGTCAATATCACACTGAGAGCCTTCAGTCTTCTGAGGTTGGCATTTTGGTGGGTTTGTTATTGTGTCACAGTGAAGCCCTGGGTTGCAATCCCATTGATTTTTGCATACAACCTGATTTGCCAGACCTACGCAAACGTTATCAATACAGTTGCTACTAGTGCAATCACTGTCAGTGTTGCACCATTCTCCAGGATAATTCACCGCTGGATTTTTTAATTCACAAGACTGATTTTCTTCAATTGGGGTTGTAGGACAGTAATATTCTGGGTAACATGGGGTCATTTTATATTTTCCTGCCCCTTCGATAGCTGAATAAGACAGACACTGCTGTTTGGTGTATGAAGGAGTGCAATCATAAGAAGGACACTGCGCAGCTGACACTGCAGACAAAAGGAATGCTGATATCCACATTTACTATTCTATGAAGCTATTATGTTTTATTTAAATATTTTATTTTAAATCCTTATAAATCCTACATATTTCAAGCTGTAGGAGATTTTATTTTTTATAAAAAATTTTTAAATAATCTGTTAGGAGAATTTGAATTTTTGGTGAAAATCCATGTTAATGTGCCGTAAATATTCTCGAATTAGCAAAAAATATGTCGGTCTTAGGAGGAATGCACCACACGTTAATAGGGAGACTCGCGTCAAGTGGAGAACTTGAGCAGAAAAATGAGATTTTCGATATCTTCAACAGGGCTCGTCCGCTACCTATGGATTTGCTTTCGTTTTTAGGGCATCTCCAGGACCGCCTTTGTTGTTCAGACGTTGTTTTTACGTTGGGATTCGTGTTGCTAGACAAAATTCTAAAGTCTTACCCAGCTTTTTCCCTCACAAATAGGAATATACATAGAATCGTATTCACCTCGGTGTCACTCGCTTTCAAATTTTCAGAAGATATAACCTTTTCAAACGCCGCTTTGGCGAAAATAGGGTTGGTGACTACAGAGGAGTTACTTAGACTAGAAGCTTCATTTCTCGCGGCAAGTGATTGGTGCATTTGGAGCGATGAAATCTCAAAAAACTTAGAAGAATATCTGGACGTTTTTTCAAAATTCGAGACCAAAAAAGAAGCGTCAAACTACGACAGCGACGAGTCGTCCACTGAAGAAACATCAGGAAGCTTTGAAGACTTGAGCGATTTTTCAGAGCTCAGCGCTTTCTTTACATCTGAAAATTCTTTATTGTAATTATTGATTATTGTTAACCTTAGAATAAAAACATTTTTTAAAATGAACTAATATGAAGATAATGAAAATTTTTGCATGATGGAAAATTATAAATGGCAATTTAAATTAATGGAAGCTTATGAGAAGTAATAATGGTAAAATTTTTCTTCGATTTTGAATAATTTTATTAATTTTATTTTATCAACTAATTTTGATAGAGCATTATGGTAGAATTAAATTAAAATAATTATGAAATGCTAAAGGGAATTATTGGAAACAGATATGAAACATCTTTATTTTTACTAATAAAAAATAATGCAGTCACAGTGGATTGAAGCGAAAATTTCGGATACTTGGGATCATGATCAAGCTACGAAACGTCATAAAGATCGATTAAATGAAATCAAAAACAAATCTTCTAATCGAATAGACAACTCCCCGCCTACAACTCGTCAAATTATGCAGCATAAAGCGAAATCTCAGTCATCATTAGATCTCAAAAAATGCAGGGAAATTGATAGAGAAAACGAAAAAATTATGACGAGAATTAGCCAAATTATCACTGATAAACGGTATAATTTCTCATTTAACCCTGCGGCTGGGCCTAATACGCTAAATAGTGTAAAAAGAAAACGAGAAGCTGAAAAAATTGCAGTTGAGAATGAAAAATTAATTAAAAAGATCCAGGATTTGCAGTCAAACCTAAATAAAAAGAAACTCTTAGGTGACTACCAGAACTTTGTCAAATACAGTCAGCAAATGTCGAAGTATTGAAACAAAAAGAAAAGTTACCCCAAATTTGAGGGAAAACCAAATCGGTTACCACCTTTAGAAAACCTCGATAAAAATACACATAATTATTCTCCTGATGTCAAAAAAGGACTAAAAAGATATGCAAGCGAGAAATCATTTAAATTGAGACAGAGTGAAGCAACCCCGAAAGGTGTGAAATCCGAAATCCAATCGGCTAATAGAGAGCAGGAAATTATAAAAGAAATTGATAAAGAAAACTTAAAAGAATCTGATAAAAATAAAGAAAACGAGCAGGTGATTGCAAATAGTGATGAAAAACAAGAAGAAGGTAACGGTTTGGTTTAAAGGTTAATTCATTGATTTTTAAATCTTGGAAATTTAATATAAAAAATTGCCTATAAATGCAAATAAAAGAAGATCATTTATATATAAATAGGCATAAGAGCGCATTATTAGAAGACTGTGCCGGTTTGTCTATTTAGTGCCAAAGTATTTATTTTATTTGAATAGAGTTAATAAATTGCATGGGTTGATTCTCTTACTCCCCATCTTTAAATAAGAATCAAAATTCCTGCTCAGGTTAATTTTTTAATTTATTTTTATGAAGAAATAATTTTAAAATTTTATTTTATTTTCATTTTGTTTATTAAAATTAGGTCAAATTAATATTATAAAAATTCGTATTTTTATCTTTAAAATCTTCCTACTGAAAAAAAAATTCTGCTCCAATTTAAAGGGGGAGTCAACAATTCTTGATACTCTTGCGATTTTTGAAACTCAGGGTAAACAGTTTCATTGAACTGCTTACTCCCCCCCCCCCTCCGTGAGCGAACAAAACCATTAGAAAAATCGCCATTTTTTGACCAAAAACCCACCCTCCGTGAGTGAACAAAAAATTTTTTTAATAGAAAAAATTTTAATGGAAAAAAATTTTGATATATAAGTGATAATTAGTATAATGAAATCTAGAGCTAATTCTGTTTAATTTTAAACAAATTGCGTTTTAAAAACATAAATTTTGCAAATTAAATTAATATTTGCTTCCCAATTTTTGCAAATTAGGATTTTTTTAAATTTCGAAAAAAATATTTTTTATAAAATTTATATATAAATTTTTTTTAAAAAAAAAAATTAACCCCCCTCCGTGAGCGAACAAAATTTTTTTGTTCGCTCACGGAGGGGGGGGGAGTTAAAAATATTGTTTTCAACGTCATTAAACATTGATGCACTAATATCAGGATTCATATCTCCACAAAGACTTTGATTAGACAAATCCAAAGTCATGCTTTCAGCGAAATTATTTTTCCCTGCTAAAAAGTTGCTATATATATCATAAGCTTTTTCTGGATTTGGATCAAGCTTAAACAGATGAATTTCTACAAGGATTTTCAAATAATATTCCCAATGCTTATTTTTTGATTTTTTTGCAAAGGAGACAAAGTAATTAAAAGCTAGCTGATCTTCTAATAAAACTCTTGGGCTTTTAAGGACTTCCAAAGGAACAATACTAAGTCGTTTTGTGCTTCTCTGTAGAAAAAAAAAGGTGTTAATTAGCATGCAAAGATTTTTTGAAGGGATAATATAAAAGTGGAAAAATAAAGGACTTACAAAAGGTGCAGTTAGCCCCATTGACCATATGACTAAAATTAGATATAGGGGTTTCCCCTACATAGCTCTGCAAGGGCTGTAGATTCTGGGGGGAATCCTTAGGCTGGTGAACCAACAAATGAGTTGGTCCGACTAGCGTACTGAGTTGGTCGGACCAGCTGAAAGATTCCGCTCAGAATCCACAGCCCTTGCAGAGCTATCTAGGGGAAACCCCTATATAGCTCAGCTTTCAAATTGCAGTAATAAGGAATTTTCCTAATTTTTAATAAAAAAATCAAATAGCAGGCATCTTCAAAAAGAATCAAAAAGTTTCAAGATATATCAAAAATCATATTCAGCGCTCCACCAGTTTTGGTTATCATTTGATATAAAGCAAAAGCTATATAAAATGCTGAAATCGGCAACGAATAAGCTAAAATAATTTTTATATTCCACTGATTTCCAAGCCTTTTTTTACTATTTAAATAATCTAAATAGCTACAGTAGTTGCCATTCCTGATCCTGTTTAATAAAACCAGTCTATACATTCTCAGCACATTTGAGATGAAGTAAGCATTATGAGAAATTTCATAGATGACAAAAATTCAGGTGCAGACCTTTAAATTATAATACAAGCCCAAAATCTCAATAAATCCTAAAGAAATTGAACCAATGTTTTCAGTGCCATTGACTATTATAGAGAAAAGCAAAATTCCTGCAGACCTTGAATATATTTCTTGAAAGTCTCTACGATGAAATATATATCACAAACAAAAACTATATATCCCAAAAATAGTAATAAAGATGCTTAATCATACAAGGTAAAGCCATGTTCCTGTCATTAATTAATTAATATTTACAAAGAATTTAATAAAGAGAGTTTGTTTCTTCTAAAAGTGATTGGTATTCAGGCGAATTTTTGAATTCGGGATAAATAGTTTTTTCTAGATGCTTTAAAATAAAAAATTCTATTTCATTAAAAACACTATTTGTTATGTCTTTTGGATATTTTACAAGGTGTCTTTCAGCATTTCTTGACACAAATTCTGGAATAATATCATTATTTCGTAAAAAGTCATTATAAATCTCTTGCCCTTTTTCAATTGATGGATTTAGCTTAAATAAGCTAATATTGATAAGAAAATCCAAATAATACTCTCATGTTTTATTGCTCGAATTTTGGGTAAAAGCCTTAAAAGACTTATAAGCAGTAAAATCTTCAATGAGAATTCTTGGGTCTTCTAAAGTTTGCAATGGCAAAATCATGCTCATTTTAGAATGCCTGCCAAGTGTTACTAAAATCCCTACTAATAAAGTGATATTTCTAGAAGGCACAATATAAAAATGATATTCTAAATTCGTTGTGAATGGTGCTAGTAAGCCTAATGCCCATATAAAAATTATCATATACAACTCATATTTCAAATTCGAACAATACTTCACTTTGCGGATTTTTAATAGAAAAATTAAATAAGTGGTTTCTTCAAAAAATATCAAAAAGTCAAAGAGGATATTATAAATCATGTTCATGTCTCCTTTATCACTTGAAAGCAATTGATAAAGAGCAAATCCCACAAAAATCGAGGAAAAAAAAATTGTGTAAATTATTATGAACTTCGCGCTTCATTTATGGTCAAGCCTAACCTTCCTTCTCAAATATTCTCCATGGCTTTCATATTCACCATTTCTTATTTTGTTCAGCACATTCAGTCTGTAAATTCTCATGACGTTTGATATAAAATGTGCATGATGAGCTAACTCATAGACAATGAATACAATTAATACAGCTTTTATTTCATAATAAAACCCGAGTTTATCAACGAAACCTAATGAAATTGAGCCAATCATCTCTATACAGCTTGCACACATCGTCAAATATAAATTAGGTAATGATCATGCGAAGATTTCTTGAAAGTATTTTTTATGATGTATATACAAGGCACAAATCAGATAAAAGCCTATTAAAATTAATAGCAAAAATGCTCATAAAAGTCCGAGGTAAGTGGTTTCCATATTATATTTGCTTAGACAAAAGTTCCTTACTCCCCCCCTCCTTGAGTGAACAAAAAAATTTTGTTCACTCACGAGGGGTTAATTTTTTTTTTAAAAAAATTATTATATATAAATTTTATAAAAATATTTTTTTTTCGAAATTTAAAAAAAATCCTAATTCGCAAAAATTGGAAAGCAAATATTAAATTAATTTATAAAAGTTTATGTTTTAAAAAGCAATTTGTTTAAAATTAAACAAAATTAACTCGAGATTTCATTATACTAATTATCATTTATATATCAATTTTTTTTTCATAAAAAAATTTTTTCTATTAAAAAAATTTTTGTTCATTCATGGAGGGTGGGTTTTTGGGCAAAAAATAGCGATTTTTACAATGGTTTTGTTCACTCACGGAGGGGGGGAGTTAGGTATTTTTAATTATAATGTGGATTTGATTACTTTTTTTTCAACAAGTTCAAGCTGATGAATTTATAACAACAGGCTTGGGCACAGAAGTTTATATAACTTATTCCCTAGTGAGTTTGCTTCTGATTTCTATCTCTGGGCTTATGTCGGGCCTTACTGTAGGTCTAATGTCAATAGATGAGTTAGATCTAGAAATGAAATTAGCATCAGGAACCCCTACGGAGCAAAAGCAAGCCCGAAAAGTCCTCACTCCCCCCCCCCCCCCTCCGTGAGCGAACAAAAAAATTTTGTTCGCTCACGGAGGGGGGTTAAATTTTTTTTTTTAAAAAAAAATTTATATATAAATTTTATAAAAAATATTTTTTTTTCGAAATTTAAAAAAATCCTAATTTGCAAAAATTGGGAAGCAAATATTAATTTAATTTGCAAAATTTATGTTTTAAAACGCAATTTGTTTAAAATTAAACAGAATTAGCTCTAGATTTCATTATACTAATTATCACTTATATATCAAAATTTTTTTCCATTAAAATTTTTTCTATTAAAAAAATTTTTGTTCACTCACGGAGGGTGGGTTTTGGTCAAAAAATGGCGATTTTTCTAATGGTTTTGTTCGCTCACGGAGGGGGGGGGGGGAGTCAGTCAGTATTATAAATCATCATCATTTAGTTTTAGTAACTCTGTTATTATCAAACGCTGCTGCTATGGAAGCCCTCCCAATTCTATTAGACACAATGTTTAGCAAAATTATTTCCATCATTTTGAGTGTGACTTTTGTTATGATTTTTGGTGAAATTCTTCCCCAAGCTGTTTTCACTGGCCCTGATCAACTTAACATTGCCTGCAAGCTAATCCCTGTAGTTAAAATAATCACTGTTATATTATTCCCGTTTAGTTACCCAATAGCTAAATTATTGGATAGATGCTTTGGAGCAAACCATGGAGGAAGAAGATTACAAAATAAAGACATTAAAGCCCTTGTAGCGCTGCATGAAAATGATGTAATTGAAGAGTCTGGGGCAACCTCAGTAACTGGGTTGGTCTCTGGCCAAATAAAAATGATTCATGGCGCTATTGATTTACGAGAAGAAGTTGTAAAAAATCATATGATACCAATTGAAAAAGTTTTTTTCCTATATGAAGATACAGTATTGGATGAAATTACTATCAATCGTATACTGAAACAAGGATATTCCCGAATACCTGTATACTCCTCAGAAAATAAGCAGAAAATAAAAAATGTGATGCATGTGAAAACTTTACTGTGTGCTGAGCATGGAAAAACTATACAGGAATCAGGAATAAAGCTGAGAGCTCCTTTAAGTGTGTCGCAAAATACAACTATGTATGAACTATTGGGGAAATTTAGAGAAGGGAAAATGCATATGGCTATTGTGAGTGACGAAAAAGAGGTTAAAGGGATTATTACGATGGAAGATGTGCTGGAACAGATTTTGAAGACTGATATTTTAGATGAAGACGACTATGATAAGCTTACAAGCTTTCTTGCTGGAAATCTTGTGCAAAACAAACTTTCAAGCCCACAAACAAGAACCACAAGACAGAGAAAAAGATTATCAGCTCTGCATCCGAGATTTGATGAATTTTCTATGAGCACAATTTCGATGGCTTAGACAGTGTTTATAGGGTAAAATAATATAACTTCATGTTGAAATTTGCCATATGATGAAATATAATATAAATAATAAGATTCATTAAACAAATATATAATTTTATTATCAGTGTTGAGTTAAAAAGAGAATTTAATTTAATTCTGCATTTTTTGGAGCAGCTCAATACGGTCTCGGCTTAATTCGTCGTTAATAAAATTGATATCTTTTTCTGAATAAATAAAATGGCATTCGGTTCGAGAGAAATTAGCTTTGCTAATTTTCTCTCCCTCATGGAATTTTATTTATGGGGTTGGGTTTTCTCTCGAGAACTTCTGCACAGCAATAACTGTTTAACTTTGGGGATAACCAAAGGAACAGCTCCTCAGTGCGTTCAAGATTTCGTAGTTTTACCCCTCAGCGCATTCCAACGGGAGGATGACCCTTAGGCGGGACACGAGCAGGAGCTGAGTCGAGACAGAGCGACGGCAACGCGCCTGGTGAGATGTGCGGCGGCTGGAGGCGAAGCGTCGATAGAAGGCTTGGCCGGTTGGGCTGACCACCGCGATTCCAAGATGGCTCCGTGACGTCACCAGTTTAGCTAAAAGGTCCATTTTTTTGGGTCTGCGGCACTAGACACCTTAAACACTGAATAATTAAGTTAAGTTAAGATATCTTTTTCTGAAAGGGTCCATTCTTCCCCACGGTAAACTTCACTTAATTGAAATTCTTGCAAAAAATTATAAGCCCTATTAAAGTCCTGCAAAGCTGCTTCTTCTTGTCTGAGATTATTAAATACTCGAGCTCTATTGCAGAAATGCAAAGGATTATTTGGTTCAAGTTTGATTAACTCATCATAGCATTTCATTGCTTCTTGATATTTCTCTAAAATATAAAGAGCGTTGCCTTTATCTTTATAAAATTTGGCCTCTTCTGGATTGATTTTGATTGCTTCATCATAGCTTTTTACAGCTTCTGGGTATTTTCCTAATTCATTTAAAGCACATCCTTTAGTATGGTGAAAATCAGCACTGTTTGGATTGAGTTTGATTGCTTCGTCATAGCATTCGATTGCTTCTATATATCTTCCTAAATTATAAAAAGCCTTGCCTTTATCATTGTAATATTTAAACTTGTTTGGATTACGTTTGATTTTTTCGTCTAATTCTTCGATTACTTCTAGATTTTCTCCTAAAGCTCTTAGAGCAATATCCTTGGCATTATATTCATCTAGATAATAAGGATCGAGCTTAAAATTCTGGTTATTGAATTTTATTGCTTCAATCTTTTTACCTACTCTTCTGATTGAGACGTGCGTATTATAGTATGCAGCATCAATATTAACTTTTTGATCTAAATTAAAAAAATAATATTCTCTAGTTGAATGAGAAATAACTGAAATCCATATTCCTCCTTTATTATATGAGCAATAAACTTGACCAGGTTCATGATAGATTGCTGATTTTCCGATTTGTCTCCAATTCGAGTAACTTCCAATTTCGCTTTCATAGATTGATCCAGGGCATTCTATCAAATATAGCCTCTCTGCATTTATTAGGATCTTTACTTTATGCTCTTCAAACTTATAAGGAATTGTCGAGAAAGAGTCAATATCAATTGAGTATAACAAAAGATTTCTATTTTTATATCCAGAAATCAAAATATTTCCATTAAATATTATACTATTACAACTATGATCAGCTTGTGGCATTGGAGTTAATTGTTTTCATCGATTTCAATCCATATCAAATTTGCTAGATAGAGTTAAATTGCCTTCATTAAATCCTCCAAAGAAATAAGCGCTGTTGCTGAAATAGATGCAAGATGAGCCATAGCAATGAGTTCCTGATGGCAGCACTTCAACTCCACCATTCACATCAATTAAAACTGTAATTCCAGGAAGGCGATTACTACCAAAACAGAAAAGCTTGCCATTTGGAAGCTGAGTTATGCAAGTTGTCATGTCTAGCGGTTCTGGAATCTGCAAATTTTTGGCTTCTTCTTGGGTTTCAGTTTCAGTGCTATAAATATGTAAATTAATTCTGCTGTTTTGATCCACTGTAATATTATAAAGAGATGTTTTTTGTTGATAAGCTTTAAGATAATCTTGATACGCTTGCATTAGTGGTGGATCATAAAGACTTGAATTGGCCTTAATTTCTAAGCAAGTTCTTCTGAAATCTATCTCTAATTCTGGATTGTTTGGTTTACTCAAAATCTCAGCTGTTTTATATCTTAAGGCGTCTATAGCGTTTAAAGCGCTTTCTGCTTCCTTGGATTTATTGTTGAGATCATTAAAAACAGTGGTTATTTGATGATTAAGCAAGCTTATATCGTTTTCTAGGCTTTTTCGTATTGGCTTGTTTACGTTTTCAAGGCTCTCAATGTTCTCATTTATTATCGAGGAAATTGAATCCTCAACTTCAAAAGCTTTTATTATTTTCTCTTCAGGAAACAGTGCCATCCTTTATATGATTGCCGATTGAAATTATGAGTTAAAAAGAGCATAATGATATTTTATAACTTAAGATAAAAAAATTTATTATTTCAAGCAATTTAGAGATCAGATACTTCATATGGGCGCATAATAACTAGTCATTTGAGAAGCTATCATAAAGTCTCTTTTTTAAATTGATTACGTATTATCCCTTCATTTTAACTAAAAAATAAATCTCAGCCAATTATAAAAATGCTGGCAAAAGTTCTGTGTCGCAGCTTCACAGCTCACAAACCTCCTGTAAGGATTGCAGTCACAGGCGGCTCTGGTCAGATTAGTTACAGTCTATTATTCCGCTTACTACTCCCTCTCCTCATTCAGCTGAGCCTTTAGAAAATCCCGATTTTTGACAGTAGAGGTAACAATATAAAAATATTTGATGTATGTAAATGATAAATATTATAACGAAATCTCCAGCTAATTTCATAAGATTTTAAATAGCTTACGTTCTAAACATAAATTTTTAAATTAATTAATTTCTTTTACTTTCAAATTGGGAAAAATTTAAATTCTATATATCCTTAGCGAACAAACAAATTTTTGGTCGCTCATTGAGGGAGAAGTTAGCAAGTGGTGCATTACTTGGTCCTCACCAACCTATCATCCTCCAAATCCACGATCTCCCTATGATGCAGCAAGCTCTTAGAGGTGTCGTAATGGAGCTTCACGATTGTGCTTTCCCTCTTCTCCACGACGTTATTGCAACTGATGTCCAAAGCACCGTCTTTACTGACGTAGACTATGCCTTCTTAGTCGGATCCAAGCCAAGAGGCCCAGGAATGGAAAGAGGCGACTTGCTCAAGCAAAACGGAGAAATTTTCGTCAAGGTAGGAGAAGACCTAAATAAGTATGCTAAAAAGACCTGCAGAGTGATTACAGTCGGAAACCCAGCCAACACCAACTGTTTAATTGCCCAGTCCCATGCTCCTGACATTCCTAAACAAAACTTTTCAGCAATGACTAGACTTGACCATAACAGAGCTCTGAGCCAGCTTGCTCTTAAAGCAGAAGTTCCAGTGACTTCGGTCAGCCACGTCTGCATTTGGGGAAACCACTCTTCAACTATGTTCCCTGATGCAAGCCACGTAAAGGTTTCCGGAAATGCAGGACATGCTAAATTTACTCACTCCCCCCCCCCCTCCTCCGTGAGCGAACAAAACCATTAGAAAAATCGCCATTTTTTGACCAAAAACCCACCCTCCGTGAGTGAACAAAAATTTTTTTTTAATAGAAAAAATTTTAATGGAAAAAAATTTTGATATATAAGTGATAATTAGTATAATGAAATCTAGAGCTAATTCTGTTTAATTTTAAACAAATTGCGTTTTTAAAACATAAATTTTGCAAATTAAATTAATATTTGCTTCCCAATTTTTGCAAATTAGGATTTTTTTAAAATTTCGAAAAAAATATTTTTTTATAAAATTTATATATAAATTTTTTTTAAAAAAAAAAATTAACCCCCCTCCGTGAGCGAACAAAATTTTTTTGTTCGCTCACGGAGGGGGGGGGGGGAGTCAGGAGTTTATAGAGAATGAGTTCATCCCAACTGTACAACAGAGAGGAGCAGCTATTATTGCAGCTAGAAAGTTATCAAGTGCGGCATCAGCGGCGAATGCAGCGATTGATCACATGAGAGACTGGACCTTTGGAACTCATGGAGGATGGGTCAGTATGGCAGTTCCTAGCGAGCTGTACCATGGAGCTTATGGAGTCCCTGATGGGCTGATTTTCTCATATCCACTTACAATTGACGGTTCTGGACATTATCATTTAGTGAGAGACTTGCCCACAAACAGCTTTGTGACTGAAAAACTTAGACTCACTATTGACGAGCTGCAAAAGGAGAAACAAGAAGTCCAGCATTTACTTAAAAAATAAATAGAATTATTGAAATCTGGCATAAATTGGCTAAGATGTTTTTAATTAAAATACCATTAGGAAACACTCATAAGATAATCGAGGTAGCTGCTCGAAATAAGTAAATGGGAAATACAAAGTAAAAGTAGCAATGGAATAAAAGAAATGCCATTCGCTTTGATTATTAACCTTTCATGTAAAATAACACTAATTTTAATTAAAACTTAAACCCAGCATGAACTTAATATAATGGGTCAAAATTTATGAAAAGAAGAAAAGTAGAATATTTGAATTTTTTAAACAAAGAAAAATGACGATTCGTATTAAATTATGTCAATTATCTCTCTGTTAATAAATATAATTATAAGAATAAAAACTCATTTGGGTAAACAACCTCTATTTTATATATTAGCTTTAAATATATAAAAAATCTATCTAATAAACCTAAATTTAAAAAATATTCATCAAAAAGTTACAAAATTTTTTTATTATAAAATTTGCACAATATTTTTTATCCAAAAATTTTGTAAACTCAAGGATAGAATTTTTCATCTCGAGTAAAATAAATTTATTAAAAATGGGGGATGCCATCCCAGATCATATATGCCACGATCACGCTCAAAACTTCTACGACTGCTCTTGCTGCTTGCAAAATTATGCTCAATTCAACTCCCAGCTAATCTACAATAAAAAGCTTATGAAAATAAAATGCGATGAGCAGCTAGAAATAAAAAAATATTTAGCCAAAATTCACTCACTAGAAACCAAGCTTCGTACTTCTGCAGAAGAAAAAACACAAGGCTATTTATGCCCTACAAGAAAAGTCAAAAACCAGAGACTTGTAGACTATTTAAAAGAGCTTCCTCTTCCTCACGTGTTTTTTAATATCTGCAAAGACCAAGAACTTGCTATGGCATTTTTACTTAGGTCTGGGATTTTTCCAGAGTCCAGGAAATGCAAAAGCTGCATTGATGAAAATGGCTACTACAAAGAAATGAATTTTGAGTATAATGGGTATATGGGGTATTTATTTAGATGCGAAAAATGTGGTGTGAAATATAACGTAAAAGAGGGGACTTATTGGGAAAAATGTTCATTTACTATAGAAAAAATCGTCCTTTTTATGTTTCTGTGGGTATGCTATATGAAAGACAATGAAGTCGCGCAGCTGCTGGATGTAACTCCTTCTTGCATCTCCAAGCTATCAAGAAAGCTGAGGAAACTCGTGGTAAGTGACTTTCTCTCATCATTCACACCATTTACAGGCGTAGTCGAAATAGGAACCATAAACTTTGTCCGCAGAAAAATAGAAATTGGGAAAGGAAAAACTCCTCAAAAATGAATTATGATTCTCTTCGAAAGAGGCAGCAAAAACTGCTATATAGAATGTTTGCCAAGAAGAAGCCCAGAATATATTGTCCCTATAATCCAAAAGCGCTGCGAAGTAGGGACTGTTGTGATTACTGATAAGCTGGGCTGTTACGGAAGACTAGAAGACTATGGATTCCCACACTATCAGCTTGACAAATCAAGAGGATTCGAAGACCCTGACAATAAATTCATCCACCATAATAACCTCAATAATATTTGACTTTGGACGAAATATGATATAAAAAATAGATACAGGACAGCTCCATTTTTGCAAGAACTTTTATTTGAATGGGTATGGAGAAGAGCACATAGGATGAATATGGCCAGGTCAGAGTTTCCAATGGAGAGCATGGCGATTTTTCAAAGCCTGATTGAACTGATCAAGAAAAAGCAAGCTCAAAAAGAAATTTTATTAGATTAACTATAGTGTTTAAATTAGCACAGGGTATGCAATGATCCACACATAAAAATGTCGATTTTTTTATAATTTAATATTTGAATATCGTATTTACAAGCTTATAGCAGAGGCTTAATGTGATTAATTATCTTTGTGATTTTCTATGATAATATATATAAGAAAAGATTTAAGCTTGGCGAGATAATTAATATGGTAAAGAGTTTAGTCCTTCTTCTCTTTACATTACTCAGCCTAGCATGTGCCATCAACAATAAATTCCTTGCAGATAAAATTCTTTCAGCTGATGGAAACCCGTATGTGGTTACTAAAGTTACTACTTCCACATATGGGATTGTTGCATTAGCTCAACTCTCCTTAACCAGTTATCAAGCAGCTTCGGAACAAGTCATCCAGAGCCTCACAATCTCAATTCAATTCGACACTAATACTCGAGTTAGAGTCAAAATCACTGATACTGATAATGAAAGGTGGGAAGTTCCTATATCAATCCCCTCTTATACTCCATCAGGGCAAAATCTTCAATACACGATTTCTCCTATAGTGGAAGGCCCTCTCTCTATACAAATTACAAGAAATTTAGACAAAAAGGTTGTCTTTAACTTAAAAACACTGCATATACATTAAAATGGCATGGCGAGCCAACCCATCCTATTATGTGTTGCAATAATTGCTTATTGGGCTCAATCAAACTAACACATAATAGCACCTTTAGTTTGGGTAATCCATGAATCTTGTGGAAGAGAGGTTGGCTTCGATAATATGCATCCGGCCAGATTTGAGTTTGTTCGGTAAAGCGCGGTGTCTGGGTCCCGACGGCGTGCTCACATCCAGGCCAGGTTTTAGCTCGAAGAAAGATGGAACTCGGAGTTGGAAATAGAAAACTAGCAAAATCATTGGGCAAACTGTGCAATTTCCTAAGCTATATCGGAGTAGTGCTTTTTGCTAAAGTTTCACCTTGGCTCCCATCCCTGTCAGAAAACTCGATTTTTTATTTTCTGGAAAGGCACTGGGGCCCATCCTGCTGCGCTCCAGCTAGTGTGCGGGCCCATTTCTGAGAAGTATAGCTATAGTCAGACGGCAGGTAGTTGCGAATCAATGCAGAGATAAATGCAATTTGAGATATCACAGGGAGCTTTTCAATAATCTTATCTAAGAACTAAGACTTAAACCCAGCTCAGCCATTCTTCTATAATAATCAAGATATAGGATTTTCTAATTATGTAGGATATCCTATAAGTGTTATAGGGCTCGGCGAAAGAGTTTCAACTTTTGTGCTGGCTCAAGGAACTTATACTCTATATTCACGTGACAGAGGTTCACCTATCGATACCGGAAGTACGCCGGACTCAAATATGTATAGTTCTCAGCCATTTTACCTTGCAATTGACGATGACCTCGCTGCTCATGGAGCTTTATTGCTGAACTCCAATGCGATGTCAGCAACAGTTGGGGAAAATTATGTTGAGTTTAGAACTACTGGAGGAATTATTGATTTCTATGTATTCGTTGGCCCAGAGCCAGAAGCCGTGATAAATCAGTATCATGACCTCATTGGCTATCCCGTTTTAACTCCTTGGTGGGGCTTAGGATGGCACCAATGCCGATACGGATTCCAAAACATTTCGGTTGTTGAAGAAGTTACCAATGATTACACTTACTATGACATTCCTCTAGATGTCATGGAACAGAAGCAAAATGGTGACGTTGACATGAGGTGCACTCCCAATGGAGCAGGTCAGACCCTTCCTGATGAAGCTGAAAATAGAGCCTTTGTCTAGACCTTCAGGTTTGGGGAAACCTTACCGAGAGGTAAGTAAGTTTTGTTTCTCCTCCAAGGTTTCCTGTCCCTCCCAGATGGGCTAGACAGGCTTTTATCTCTCACGCAGTTTTCTTCTATTCGGACTATTGGGTAACCCTGCAGAGGCTCTAACCTATGGAGCTGATCCTTAGGTTAGGCAAGTTTCGCCAGAAAATTCAAGAGGGTGGAATTTTGGTTGGGCCTTACACCATTTGCATTAAGGAGTATATGTACCCAGAATAGGCTACCTTTCCTGGAGTCAAGGTAGTCCTCTTGTATGTTTCAGCTTATGTCTATATAAAAGTTTTAACTTTAACATTAGATGTCATGTGGATTGATATCGACTATATGAACGAATTCCAAGATTTCACATTAAATCCTGTAACCTACCCTCAAGCAAACTTCACAAAATGGATAAACCAGCTCCACTCATCGAACAAGCATTTTGTTCCTATTACAGACGCAGGAATTGGTGTAAATCCATCATATCAAGCCTATTTGGATGGATTGAAGCAAAATGTTTATATTCAAAGCGCTTACGTTTCTGGGCCCACTCAAGGTGTAGTTTGGCCAGGAACTTCAGTATTTGTTGACTTTTTCCACCCAAATTCTACCAATTTTTGGTTTAACCAGATCCTGAAATTTGAAAAATTGACCTCTTTTTCAGGAATTTGGATTGATATGAACGAAGCCAGTAATTTTATTAACGGAGAAGTTGGGCATTCCCCCTCAATTATTACCAACCTAACTATGCCTTATACTCCAGGGGAAGATGTCAATATGAGATCATTAGATGTAGCTTCTAAGCACTATGGAGGTTTACTTGAATATGATGTCCACAGCTTATTCGGGTTTACAGAAACAATAGCCACTTATAGATATTTTGAAGTCTATAATCTGAGGCCTTTTATTATCACTAGAAGCAGCTTTGTAGGAACTGGAAGATATGCAGGCAAATGGTCAGGGGACAATAAATCATTATGGCCATTCTTGGAATACTCTATTACTGGGATTTATAATTTTGGTATGTTTGGTATACCGTTTTCTGGAGCAGATATTTGTGGATTTCAGCTTAATACGACTGAAGAAATGTGCGCGAGATGGACTCAGCTTGGAACTTTGTACCCATTTTCGAGGAATCACAACGGGATTGATAGTATTGACCAATATCCGTGGTCATTTGGTTCAGATCTATTAGAAACTTCAAAGTTGGCGATCAGGAATAAATATTGGCTGATGCTTTATTTTTCTACTGAAATGTTCAAAGTAAGCCAAAATGGAGGAATTTTCTTTAAACCAGCATTTTTTGAGTATCCTGATGATGCTAACTTATTAAATAATAGCTCAGAGCATTTCATGCTTGGAAAAGGACTTATTGTGCATCCTTGCTTATGGGAAGGAATTGATGGTAGAGTTTCATATTTCCCAGACGATATTTGGTATAATCTTTATAATGGGAATAAAACTATATTAGATGCGCAAAATTCGGTGTATCTAGATATGACACTTCCAGGAGATATTCCTATTCATGTCAGAGGTGGGCATATAATTCCTACTTTGGACACTTCTAAGACTGTTCTTGATGTCGAAACACTTAGAAAATCTCCTATTACTCTTATTGTTGCTCTAGATCAAAATGGAAAAGCTCAAGGAGATGTTGTTTTCGATGATGGTGTTTCATTGGACACATTAAGTAGAGGCCATTACACTCAAATTCACTATAATTACTGGAACAAAAACGCAACGACAACAGTTTTAACTATTCAAACAGTTCATAGGGGATATAAGATGATTCAAGGGGAATTTCCATATATTTCGAGTATTGTAATATATGGCATCAATAGAAAACCTCAGAGTGTCATATTTTATAGCGGAGGGACTTACACTCCATTATCTGCATCTATAAGTCTAGATGTTGGAGACTCAGTTTGCACTATCTGGTTTTCTTCCCAAATATCTCCAGACCGTTATGATGGCTTTATCTTTAATTTCGGTTCTCAATAAACCATAATTAATCGCAGTTAAAATTAAATAATCTTTCTTACTTTATTTATTAGAATAAAAATCCATATTAGTATAATAATTAAACATTAATTTCAAACTCTCTACAATTTTTCGAATCTCCTTTTTTTTGTCGTCTCTGCTGTACTTTCTATAATTTCATCCACAATGGAATTATAGTCAACCTCATCTTCGCTTACTTCAATTTTAATTTCTGTATAGCTTAAATCGCTATAATTGGAATTGATTTCGTATAAATCTACATTTATAAAATTCTGGAATTTTTCAATTCATCGGATATATCTGTCAAGGCTTCATTCAGGCTCATCTTCAAGATGTAATAAGATTTCTTCAGTATTGTCATTCAATAAATCCCCCCTCCGTGGGCAAACAAAAAATTTCGCTCATGGAGGGTTGTTTTTTTTATTAACAAATTTATATATAAATTTTATTGCAGAAAAAGGAAAACAAAAATTAATCTAATTTGTAAATTTTATTTTAAACGCTAAAAATTAAACAGAATTAGTTATAGATTTAATTATACTAATTACCACTTATTTTTTCATGCAAAATTTTTTGTTCTCTAGCGAAGGTGGGTTTTTCTCAAAAAATAGAGATTTTTCCAATGATTTTGTTCACTCACGGTGGAGGAGTAAGCATTTAGCTGCGTATGCAGAAAATAGTAAGCTTTCTCTTAGTCTTGAATCTGATATTTGCCATGCAAATCTCCTCAAATAAATTTCCCAAAGTGCAATCTCTATATCAGAAAGGCATAATAACTGATGAATATTTGCAACGATTGAAAAAACAGCTTCAAAGGAAAAGCTTATTACTGAGCTTCCTATCCTTGACAGCTTGACTAAAAAAAGATACGTTTTATGGCTCAAGCCTGTACTTGAAATCGAGTATTTTTGCCTCAAATAATCTTCAGAAAGCATTCTAGGAGAAGATTGTTGATAAAAATAAATGAAACTTGAGCATGTTTCTTGCCCTTCTGAGTCATAATCAATCTCCATTTTATTATAAGCAAATTTTATTGATAATTTGAATGGAAATTATAAGAAATGAAATTCTTGATTCAGAAAACCAAGGAAATGTTTAATGCACATTTAGCATAACATTTTATATTTATTTAATAATTCTCTCATTCTAGAGAGTAAAAATCTAATCAATTATTTTTCCAACATAATAAGGCTATCTATCTCTGTAAAATTGCTAACTCCTCCTCCATGAGCGAACAAAAAAAATTTTGTTGTAAAAAAATTTGTTTCGAAATTTAAAAAATCCTAATTCGCAAAAATTGAAAAGCAGATATTTATTTAATTTGTAAATTTTATGTTTTTAAAATGAAAGTTGTCCAAAATTAAATAGAATTAGCTAGAGATTTCAATATAATAGCAATCACTTATATTTTCATAACAAAAAAATTTATCGCTACGAGGGTGGGTTTTTAGGCAAAATATAGGGATTTTCCAATGATTTATTCGCTCATGAAGGAGTAAGATATTATTTTTTATGTGTGTAATTAATTTAATATAAAATATCTTCGAAATTTTAAAATTGTCTTTACTCCAGAATTTTACAATTAAAATTTAAGAATAAAATATTATCTGGCATAGAAATGATTAGAAGACTGACTTTTCTTAGAACTCAAAGATGTGAATTGCTTCGATTTTTCTCGTCAAGTAAAGATACTGAGAGCTTAAAAAAGCAATTTGTAAAGCTTGCTGAAGAAATGAACTTGAATATCGCAACAGATACTAAAAGTAATGACGAAATCAAAATGAAAGATCAAATTAAGATGACCGAAGACCTTAAGGCGCAATTTAAAGGTATAAAAGAAGATCTCTCTAACTACCCCCTCCCGTGAGCAGACAAAATCACTGGAAAAAATCCCTATTTTTTGCCAAAAACTCTTCGTGAGCAATAAAAAAATTTTTTATAAAAATATTTTGATATATAAGTGGCAATTATTATAATGAAATCTCTAGCCAATTTCTGTTTAATTTTTAAACAGCTTGTATTTTAAAACATAAATTTTACAATTAAATAATTTTTTCCAATTTTTGCAAGTTGGGATTTTTTAGTTTCGAAAAACAGAATTCTTTTGTTCACTCGTGGATGGAGGCAGTAAGCAAACAGGGCAAGCCAAAACAGCCCAAGAAAGGTTAAAAGAATCTTTCCAAAATTTCAGTATGCCTAAATTTTCAATGCCAGATTTTTCAAAGTGAAAAAACCCTATACAGCCTGACAAAATATCCGAAATACAGCCAGAAAAGGAAGAAGCTAAACCAAATGAAAACTTAAGCCAAAGCACACAAGAGGCATCAGGATCTGAAAATATTAAAAAAGATGAAGAAATTCCAAAGCCAGCTAAAACTCCTTATTATGAAAAGTACCCTAAACTGAAATTCTTACACATAACAACCATATACATAAAATGGCGACCCGTCCTTCCGTGGCGGGTGTCCTTATGTATACCGGACATGGTTTTTGGATGCGGAGAGCTACTCAAGGGAAGAGTTAGCCTCGAGGCGAGAGGCCCAGCCCAATTTCCGCTGATTTTGGGACTCGACCCGGGCAGCAGTTTTTCGCATTCTTTTTACCAGTAGCGCCGAGGCCCAGACTCGGTGTCCGAAAGAGGCAGGGTGAGTTACCTGCCTAGGCTACTTGGTGGCTTAGCCCCGAATCCCGTAAGGGGTTGAGTTCTTTCTTGGAGATGATCCGGGAAAGAGGGGAGGCGAAGCTAGACTTGGGGATCTCAAGGGCACAAGTCTCTCCAGTTAAAAGGGTCCTCTCACGAGGGCGATCTGGCCAACCGGAGGTAAAGACTGGCGTAATTCGGGGCGGAAGGCTGAGCTGGAAATGGTGGTGCCCAGCGACAGTCGGCTGACGACTCAATAGGGCAACCCACTACCGAGAAACCAGGGTTTCGGCCTGGGCTCAGAGAACCAGTGATGGAAGCCATCCTTTTCGCTCGTGCCAGCACGGCTCCTCAAGGAGCGCGGAGGAATGCCACGCATGGAAGTAGGGACTATAAATACGCATCTTAAACCTAACCTAACCTAACCTACACATAACAACCAGTTACATAAAAGATGCAATAAAAGAAACATTTCCGGACCAAGAATACAAAATAAATTTAATGAAAGAAAATGCTAGGATCCAAAAAGAAAAAGAAGAAGAGCTGAAGAAATGGCTAGAAGAACACCCAGGCGACGAAAATATTCCAGAATGGAAAAAAGGTGCTCTTTCAGTTGCCCAGAAAAAAAGGACAAAGTGAGAAAAAATAAAGGACAGTGTAATTGGATCGAAAATTGGGTCAAAAGTATCAGAATCGACACAAACGATACTAAAGCAGGACTCTGTTAAAAAAGCAAAGGAAAATATTCAGGATATTAAAGAAGGAATACAATCCATAGGACTTGATATAAAAGATTCCATCCAAATGTCAGACAGTCGGCTTGTTCAATCTGGTAGAGAACTTCTTAGCCAAGCAGCAGTAGAATCAGCCCAAGCCAAGGCTGTAAAGGTATTCCGAGCATATGACCCAGATTTTGACATCTACCAGCTAGAAAATGATCTCGAACACATAGTTGTTGATTTCTATCAACAATTCCTTGACCTCAACAAAGAATATGTGCAAAAAATCACAGAAGGTCCTGCACGCGAATTCTTGATGAAAATTCTTGCTAATAAATCAGAAGGGTTAGACTATAAGCAAGAAGTTTACGAGGTTACAAGGCCAGTATTTTTAGGGGTAAATCTTGAGGAAAAACAAAACCCAAGACTTAGCTTTAGCTGTACAGTAAAATATTCTGGAGGCAATAATTCACAAGATAAAGAAGCGAGAATTTCAAGAGTGAAAAGCCACAAAGTAAACTATTTCTTTATGATTTCAAGACACCCTGAGCCTGATTTTGAAACTTATGGGCATCCGTGGCAATTTCTTGTATTTCAGCCTTCAGATGACCAGCTGAGACTTGGTGGTTAATTATATAAAATTGCTTTCATGATATAAGTTATTTTTTATCTATATAAGTCCCCATATTTTTACTTAAATCTTCATGTTTATTTAGGCGGTAATAATAAAAATGCATATCAAGCAGATCATCATCAAAGGTTTCAAGACCTACCGAGAACAAGTCGTGGTTGGCCCTCTCTCTGCAAAAGATAATGTCTTCGTTGGGCTCAATGGTCACGGCAAGTCTAACTTCTTCAACGCCATCATGTTTGTATTTTCCGACAAGTTCTCTAATATCCGCAACGAAGACAAAATTCGCTTAATCCACGAAGGAGCAGCAGAAGCAGTAAATACAGCCTCAGTTGAAATAATCCTTGATAACTCTGATGGGAGATTGCCAGTCGATAAAACCACTGTTTCGATCAAGCGTATCCTAAAGTCAAATAAAGACGAATATTTCATAGATGCTAAGCACGTCACTAAAGGAGATGTCAGCAATTTGTTGGAAAGTGCAGGATTTTCTAAAGCGAACCCTTATTATGTTGTCCAGCAAGGGCGCGTTGCAAGCTTGGCCGCCATGAACGAAACCCAGTGTTTAGAGCTGCTTAAAGAAGTAGCTGGAACTATTGTGTATGACGAAAGAAAAGGAGAAAGCGAAAAACTACTTGAAGAAACCAAGAGGAAAAGAGACAAAATCAAAGAAATCATGGGAAGGATTGAAGACAGGATGAGAGAGCTGGAGTCTGAGAGTGATGAGCTTAAAAGATACCAACAAATTGAAAAAACGAGAAGGGCACTGGAGTATATTTTATATAAAAACCACGTACTAAAATCACAAGAACAAATCGAAGCTATCGACCTATCACAAAATGACTTACTTGACAAAATAAATAACCTCAAATTAAATAAAAATACTTTACAAGAGCAACTTGATACGTATGAAGCAGAGCTAGCTAATAAAGCAGGCATGGTTCAAAAAAACCAATTGTCACTGCAGTCTTTAGAAGAAACAACGTCTAATTTTCATAACCAAAAAATCCAGCTTGAAAATCAAATTCATTCGCTAAAAGAAAGGCATAGCAATATTGGGCTGGAGCACCAGAAAATTGAAAAAGAACTAAAATTTATTGCAGAAGAGAGGAAAAAAGTAGAAAAAATAGTCCAAGAATTAAGGCCCAGGTTTGAAGAGCTAAAAGAAGAAGAGCAAAAATTAATGGGGAACTTGCAGTTTAAACAGAGAAGAAAAGACCAATTATTCGCAAAACAAGGGTCAGTTATAAGATTTAAATCAATTGAAGACAGAAATAAATTTTTAAGCAGCGAAATTCAAGCATTGGAGGAGCATAGAAACGAAATCAAAGAACAAGAAGCAGCCATTGAAAGGGTGCTAAAAAATGATAGAAAAAGGGTCAAAGATATTGAAGGCAACTTACCAATGATTGAAGAACAAATTCAAGAAGAAAAGGACAAAATGTCAAAATACGTGGATGAGTTAGGAAATATCAAGCAATCCCGAGCAAAAAATGCAGTTGAAATAAACAAATTGAGAGGAGAAGAAGAAGCTCTGAATAGTCAAAAAGAGCAAACTGAATTGAAAATTGCACAAGCCTCACACCGCTTACAAATTCTTCTTCCAGGTCAGTTGTTTTCTACTTTAGAAAAATTAAAAACCGAATGCGCAAACTTGCCAGGGTATTTTGGAATCTTACTTGACCACATCACTTTTTCCCAAAAATTCCAAACATGTGCAGACATCGCAAGCAAGCTTAAATGCTTCGCGATAATTGTGGATACCTTTGAAACAGCCAAACAAGTTTTAGACATCAATGCAAGAATTGGTGGAGAACGAATCAACATTTACCCTGCAGAATGGCTACATGAACTAAACATAAAAGATCGCGTTTACCCTTCTGGCTCTGACTCTATCCCCCTTGTAAAACAAATAAAAATCAAAGAAGGAGCTCCATTAGATTTGATGCCAATAATAAAATATATATTCGGTAAAACCTTGCTAGTCAGAAATCAAGACGTCGCTAACCGTTATGCAAAGGAATATAGACTGCATTGCGTGACGCCTGATGGACAAATGGTTTATTCAGGCGCGTATATGGTGAGGGCTGGCTTCCATGATATTAAAAAAGAAAGAATTAGGGTATATGCAGACTTAAGCAAGCTAAAAGATGAGTTAAATGAAATCAGCCAAACTTTATACCAAATAAGGCTACAAAAGGATCAAAATCAGTCGCATGATACTGAACTGCAAAGGCAGACTCAGAATATTACTGCGCTTAAAGATGCAGCTAATAATAAGCTACAGGCCTTGAAAAATACTGAGCAATCGCTGGAGCAGGAAAAACTGGATCTTGCAAGGAAAATTTCTGAAAAAGAAAAGCTCGCAGAAATGTATGCAAAAGAAATAGCGATGCTTAATGAAAACATACTGAATGCCCAAAATGATAGAGAAAAAAAGGAGGTGGGAGACCTAAGCAATGCAGAAATTAAAGAATTAGAAAGTCTACTTCATGATATAGAAAACCTAGAAAAAGAAACCATGAATATTTCTAACCAAAGACTGGAAATCCAAAATCAGCTAGAGCAAGCTGAGCTAAAATTGACACAATTTATCCCAGAAAAAGAAAGAAAATTCAAAGAAAAACTGGAAGATTGCAATATATCGCAACAAGCCAGAGACAGAAAAGAACTTGAAGATGACCTTGCACATGTAAACAGACTTCTCGAAAGTTCTGAAGAGCAAGCCAAACAGGCTGCCCAAGAGCTTAAAACCTGCATCGCTCAATCCAGAGAACTCAGTGAGAACGCTAAAAAACTAAAAGACCAGCAGCAGCGCATCATGACAGAAGTCGCCGAAATGCAAATAAAAGCTGACAAAGCAAGCCTCAAGCATGCTCATTTACTTGAAATAAAAGAAGACTACCTCAAAAAAATGGGCTCACTAGGCTCTTTGCCAGCAGAAGAGCACGAGAAGTACCGCAACGAAAACCCTAAAGAGCTAATGCGGTGCTTAGAAGAAAACTCCCGAGAAATTCAAAAATATATGCATGTGAACAAACGAGCACTGGAACAATATACAAGGTTTACTGACAAAATCCAAGCTTTAAAAGAAAGAATTGCAGATTTAGACTCTTCTGATAATGCAATTAAAGAGCTACTGACCCATCTGGATGGTGTTAAAGATGAGGCTATTATAAGAACATTTAGAAGCGTCGCTAAAAATTTTGGTGAAGTTTTCCACGAAATTGTCCCTCAAGGGAAAGGGAAGCTGAAGATGATAAAGGGGGAAGGAGAAGGGGTGGATAAATACATAGGGGTAAGTATTTCTGTAAGCTTCTCCAGAAATGATGAATCTGTATATAAAATGCAGCAGTTGTCTGGAGGCCAAAAAACTGCTGTAGCTATTGCCCTGATTATTGCTATTCAAAGAGCTGATCCTGCACCATTTTACCTCTTTGACGAGCTTGATGCTGCTTTAGATACTCAGCTGCGAAACTCTTTAGCTGCATTAATAAATAGGTCAGCTGATAAAGCGCAGTTTATCATGACTACTTTTAAGCCAGAACTCTGCAAAAATGCAGCAAAAATTTTTGAAGTGAAGTTCAAAAATAAAGCAAGTACTATCAGACAAATAGATAAGCCTAAAGCTTTAGAAATCATCCAGCAGGCAGCACAAGAGCCAAGGCCAAGCAATGCTCAATAATACTTAATTGATAAATTTAATTATAGTTTTCAGATATAAATTGGCATATTATTATTTATATACACACTTTGATTCAACGACTGAGGATTAGCATACTTCTAATTTTGGCTGTTATAATAATATGAAAGGAAGTGAGAAGTTATATTCAAAAGATAAAGGAATCAAAAAGAATCTCACAATCGAAAGTGAAAGCGTTGATAAGGCAGAAAAGACAACAAACGAATCAATTGATTTAAGCAAGTAATCTCCATATAGACGTTTCGCTCAATCGGAAAATAAAGAAACTGAGCCAAGGAAAAAATCACCACCAAGAGTTAGCCCAGCACCAAAAGTGTTCCCGAATTTAATTAAACCGATAAATGAAAAAGCGTGGGAAGATAGCTCAAAAAGCAGCGCAAAGCAAGATACTTCTCAAGATGTCTCAAATGTGTCACAGCAGCCTTTAAAGACTTTATCAAATTCCCCAAGGCTTTCGAATCTTTCACCGAAACAGACAGAAAAAATTGAAATCAGCCAAAAACAGATCCCAGCTGTAAAGCAGAAGGTTATAAAAAGAAGACACTCGAAGTCAATTGGAGGTGAGCTGAAAAAACCGATAGAAGAGATCAAAATTAACTGAGAAAAAGATATGGAAAAATTAACCAAAGAAGAAATGTCCATTAAAAAGTCGCTAAATCAGCTTGACATGAAGTTTAAAGCAATAAAATCAAAATCCACCAAAAGCCAGTCTCCATTGAAAATCGGTAAAGAAGATAAAGAACAAAAAGAAATCCAAAAATCGCTATTACAGATTGATGCGCTGCTAAAAAGGATTTCTAATAAATACAAAGAAAAGCCTAATAAAAAGGTATCGCCTTCTCGAATCCTAAGAAAAGCTTAATTGATTATATACTTAAAATTAATCTCTATTTGAAAGCTGCTGGTAAACTTTTTCAAGTTTGGATAGCTTTTTCTTCTTTTTGTCTAGCTTGGAATCTTTTTGATATTTTTTATTAAACTTTGAGTCTTCTGCTTCTTTTTCTTTAATTTCTCTTAATCCCCCTCTGTGAGCAAAACAAAAAAATTTTGGGTTAATATTTTTTAAAAAATTTATATAAATTTTTCGTAAAATTCCAATTCGCAAAAACTGGAAAGCAAGAATTAATTTAAATATTTTGTTTTAAAATTCAAGCAGAATTAGCTAGAGGTTTCATTATTAATTAACATTTATATATCAAAATATTTTTCATAAAAATTATTTGTTTTCTCACAGGGTAGGTTTTAACCAAAGAATAGGGAATTTTTCTAAAGAATTTTTCGCTAACGGAGGGGGGTTAGTTTTTTCTTAATGCTTTGATCCATAGCTAAAGATTTTGCAGTCGCTTTTGGGGATATTTCAGAATTAGATCGAGGTGTATGAGGAGACTGCGATCTTCTGTCTTTCGGAGCTTGTGGCTGTTCAAAGTCTTGAGATAAATTTCTCTTTTTAGCTGGAAAATCTTCTTGAGGAGCTGAATCTTCTAAGTCTTTTAATGTTTTAGATAAAGGCGATAAAGGAGGCTTTGGTTTATTTATTTTCAGTTCATCTGGAGTTTTAAATCTTGGGGAATCAGGACCGTTGCTTTGGGAATCTATATTTGATATTTTACTTGATAAATTCTTTACTTCTATCTGTAATTCTTGCTGGGATCTCAAATATTTCTTAACAAGCTCAGCAATTTTTTCAACTGTTGTATTTACCTTTGTAGTTATTTTTAGTTCAATTTCTTCTATATCGAAATGCCCTCGCTCAATTTTTTTTAAATCCTGACAATTGTTTTCAATGATTTTCCCAAGATCTTTAATAGATTTTTCACAGTCGTTTATTTTAATAGCACATTCTTCAACTAATTTTATACAATTTTTTTCCGATTTTCATAGAGAAATTTAACATTAAGCTATTATTGAAAAGCTCCCAAGGTACCCGCATGTGCGCATCTCAACCTTGATTTGTGTTAGATCACCTGCTGCCACCATCTAGGGGTAAACTATTAGTCGCCTTAGGCTCGCGTCGAACGGCAAGTGAAGTGGGCTGGGCCACCACTAGACTTGGGTTGCCCTTCCAGAAAATTCGAAAAACGAATTTCTTATTAAGTTTTCGAATAGCTCATTGCCCAGGACGCAATGTCTGGTATCACGCTAGGAAGTTTCCAGTTGACTAGATATACTTTGCTGGGCTTTTTTTCTAACACCGAACATATCTCCACCAAGAGTAAACCTTGATTCGGGAATGGGCTGCGTTCGGCCTAATACGACATTCCGCATCACCCAAACTACGTAAAATCTGGCCGGATGCACATCACCGAGCGCCATCCTCTCTTCCGCAAGGTCCCAGCTACAGGTTTTAAAAGAGTGGACTGGTTCGTCACGCCATTTAATGTATATGACTTTCATAGAGACTCTGCAAGATTTTTTATTTCATGTTCTTTCTTGTCAAACTCTTTATCTATAAATCGTTTAAAGCTATCAAAACTTCCACTAGATTCGAGATCATGGACCCCAAAACTTGAAGTTCCTTTCGACTCTTCAAAAAGATCTGATTTTATACAATCCATAGCTTGCTCTATAATCCCTTTCATTTCTTTATGCCTTTCGTCATTTTCCTCTTTAACTTTCATAATAATTTTTAGTAATTTTTCTTCTGAATTTTTGATTTTTTCATTGCTTTTCTCACTTGTAAGAAAATCTTCCAGCTCTTCAATTCTTTTTTCCAGCTCTTGCATTTTACCTGAATCCACATGCAAATTGCTTCTAATATCGCTTAGCTTTGTGCTATGGTATCCTTCATTATTAGCAATCACTTCAACTCTTTTTTTCAATGTATTCAGATCATCTTCTTGATTTTCTGCATAATTCTGCTGGAGCTTCACAAGTCTTGTTAAATTAATTATTTTTTCTTCGTTAATTTTCAAAGCACCTTGTAAAGCTTCAATTTGGTCGTTTACTGTTTGGGAAGATATAGAATTCTGAGACACTTTGTCAATCTGTGATTCTAAATGGGTTATATATGCTTTTTTATCTGTAGAATTTTCAGTGTTTTTTGGTGTGCTTTCGATTGATTTGTGCCGCTCTCGATATTTATCCCAATATTTAGAAACAGTCGACATGAAATTAATAAAGAATGGAAGTTCTTGTAAAAGAAGAAAATAATAAGGTTTATGGGATAGTTATGGAAATAGAGCTTATGCTACAGCTTAGAAGAGAGCTTAAAATTGTACCTACACCTATAGGAACTGTTGCACATGCTTCTAGCCAAAATAAATGTTTAGGGCCTCCTTTTATTTTGAACTGCTATCAATTGAGATTTTTATGGGAAAAAGGAATAATAAGCATTAATGAGCCAATTGTTGATGAAATTATATATGAAGTTTTTAAATATTTCGCTGAAAAAAGGTGGGTTGTTAAAGAAGGACACAAGTTTGGCTGCGAATTTTTGGTATATGAGGGAGACCCAATTTCAAATCATAGCAAATATACGGTAGCTATACAAAATGATATTCCTGCGCAAAAATTGGTGGAGCTCTGTAGGATTTCGAATTATTCTAACAAAATACTACTGGTTGCATATTTTAATGAAAATGGGCTAAATTTTAAGAAAATTGAATGGCTGGCTGGAAAAGCGTAATTTTTATTTTAGAAGAGAAAAACCAATACCAAGAATAAAAAACTCAAAATAATTGTTATTCATTAACCATTAAGCTTTGAGCCTCAGCTGAAGTTTCGATTTCTAAAGGCACAGCTATACAGTCTCTTTCTATTCTTTCATTCCGAACGTTTTCTCTTTCCTCTTCAATAGTCCCATCCTGAATTTCTTCAACGGCTTCGCAGCTTTCTTCCATAAAAATAGAATTCCGAGGCATCCATCGATTTTTTCGATCATCAACCCATTTATGTTCAGGGCAAACAGATTGACAAATTCCATGCAGCCATCTATCAATTGACTTATAATGATATTTTATGTCATAGTAATTTGTACTAACAAATTTGTAAGTGTCAAAAATCTGTACCCTACCTTTCCACCATCTGGCACCAATGGTCTGTTCTCCAGTTTCTCCTCCTAACTCCCCCTCCGTGAGCATATAAAAAATTTTTATTCGCTTACGGAGGGGTTTATTTTTTTTTTAAAAAAAATTTATATAGAAATTTAAAGAAATTTTTTACAATTTTAAAAAAAAAACTCCAATTGAAAAATTGAGAATCAAAAATTAATTTAATTTGCGAAATTTATATATTTTAAAACGCAAGCTGTTCAAAATTAATCAGAAATAGCTAGAGATTTCGTTATAATAATTATCATTTATATATTTTTCATAAAAAATTGTTTATTCGCTCACGGAGGGTGTGCTTTTGGGCAAAAAAAATAGGGATTTTTCCAATGGTGTTGTATCTCACGTAGAGGAGGAGTAAGAAAATCTCTACATGGACCATATCATGTATTTGCTTTTTCATTTTGGGACTATAATAAGTCCCAGACAAAAATACCAAATCACCTGGCTTCATGTCTTCGTAGTTTACATAGTCTAAGGTATCAGACTGATAGGCTTGGTTCCATCTGCATAGGGTAAATCCAAATTCTGAGCTCAAATCAAAAACTACTTGCCTTACAAGTCCACAGCAATCTAAAAATAAAGGACTGTTATAAGCGTCTGTCCCTGGCTCATGATATCGTTGGGCATAAGGAGTCCCAATATAATGCTTTGCTCTATCAATAAATTTTTGTCTTAATTGATTTCTGAACTCTGGGTCTTCACGATTATAATTATTATTTTTAATTGTAAAACTTCGGTTTTTAATTTCTCTTTTTTTCGCTTGCAAAAATTTGGAAAAAGAGTCTTGAAGCGACTCTGTATTATCCATGCAGACAATGAGATTTTCTTTTTCTTCCATTTTTAAATTATGAAAATGTGTTATTTATTGTCTTTTTTGTTTTTTCTTTTCTTTTAAAACTTTTAATTTTTTGAAATCGTCTTGGCTTATAGGCGGCTCGATTTTTTTGGCAAAAAGGTCGTCCCAATTAATGTCTCTGAAAAAACTATGTTGCTTTACTTGCTGAATACTGGGACGCTCCTCTGGGTTTTTATTCATTACTAAATTAATTAAATCTTTGGCATCTGGGTCTATCCCTTCAGGGAATTTTATTCTTGATTTAGATATCCGTTGATATAAAACAGTAATATTTTCTGTATAAAAAGGAGGCTGCCCTACAAGCATTTCATATAAATTAGCACCTATACAATAAACATCAGCTGGCTTCCAAGCACCTGTTTGAGCCAGAAGCTCAGGTGGCAGATAAGCTGGAGATCCACAAAATGACATAGCAGGGTTGCTCTCAGTAACATTTTCCTTGGCCAAGCCAAAATCTGCTAATCTTATATGGCCAAATTCATCGACTAGGATATTCTGAGGCTTTAAATCACGATATACAATGTCCATAGAGTGCAAGTGCTCTATAGCTAATATAGTTTCTGCTATGTAAAATTTAGAAATTTCAGTGCTTAAGTAATGAGCATGCTCTAATATAAGAGACAGATCTCCATTTGGACAGTATTCTAAAGTCATAAATAAATGTCTATTAGTTTGGAATGCCCAGTATATAGGTATAATGAATGGATGCCTGATGGATTTTAATATCTTGCACTCTGCAATTGCATATTTTAGTTGCTTTTGAGATTTTAGCATGGTTTTGTTCAAGACTTTCAAAGCATAAATCTCTTGGTTGTCTTTTTTGATGACTTTATAAACATGCCCAAAGCTTCCTGAGCCGATTTCTTCGACAACGTCAAAGCTGTCTTCATTGATATGTCTTCCTTCATTATATTCAACGGCTTCTTCTTCAAAGCTTTCTCGATGCTCAAAGCTTGCCATCTGTATAGGAATTCGGTTTTCTTCTTGATTCTCAAGCCATTCTCTATTCTCTGGACGATGGATATATAGATGGAAGAAATTTATGCACTCATATAGCCGAGTTATTCACTCTGCCGATTTATCTTTCGAATTTGTATAATATTTCAATGTGATGTCACGAGTGCTCACAACAAAATAAAATTTATCTTCGGACATAGTAGATGTAACACTTTTAACTTCTTGTATATCCACAAATGGTATAGAGATGTCAGGCTGTATGCCTTCTAAATATGCATTTTTATTGTTATAGTGGATAAAAGTGCCATTTTGTGTATCAATTACTAGAAATACAAGCTTGTCATTAATTTGCCAGGATGAAATAGAGTAGACTTCACCGTTGAATCCTGCAGGTCTTTCGTGATTTTTTTGGCCGTATTTTTCTAATAGTTCTTCACCGATGTACTTGGGTATCAATTCAGCAATGTCAATATTTGTGGCTAGTTCCAATGCAGTTTTTCCGTAAGGATCTTCAAGCTTGGTAGTAGCTCTTTTGTCAAGCAGGAGTCTGACTATTTCTGTATGCCCCATTAATGAAGATAAATGAAGGCCAGTTCCTCGTTCTGCAGTCATTTTATTTATCTGTATATAAGGTTGGTTCAACAGTAGCTCAACGCAGTCTTTATGACCTTGGTAGCAAGCTATTTGTAAAGGAGTTCAATGATCGTCAGTCTCAATATTACAATTAACTCCGAGCTCAATTAATTCTTTTACTATATTAGCATGGCCCATATAGCAAGCGAAATGAATGCAACTTCATTTTCCATTATGAGGCGAATTTAAAAACTCAGTAACATCTTCCACAAGTACTCGCATATTTCTCTTTCTCATATAATCTTTCAGCACTGAAAATAAATCTCGGACTTTTCCTTCTTGGCATGCAAGAACACACTGAGTTAGTCATGGCTCATACTCTACGCTTGGGCTTTCAATCTCTTCATGCTCTATAATTTTTTCTACACTAGAAGGGGTAAGGGAGCCTCTTTCTTGAACATGAGCTACTGGAGCAGGATTAAAAACTGGCTGAGCAGTCCGACTTCTCACTGCTTTTCTATCATCTTGTGTTGGCTGAGGAGCGATAGGATTTTCTGTTTCTTTCTAAGTAACATTTACAGCTTCTAAGAAGATTTCAGTTCCATTATGTACATTGAATAGAGAAATTTTTGATGAAGTTGGAAGTAAAACCTAAATGGGAAATACTTTTGCTCCTGAGCTGATCAAGCTTAATTTCTGAAGGTGAGGAGGGACAAGAGTTAATCTAGCGACTTCATCTTTGAGATCTTTGACTTTGGTATTAGGCTCCACATTAAGTTCAAATACTCGATCTCCGAATTTGATAGTGATTTTCATTACAATCAATTATTAATTTTGCTATTTTCGATTTTCTAATGAATAAAAAAATACTAACTTGTTTAAGTATAAATTTAATATAAATCCTTCCTAATCACAATTTCGCCTTTAAATCACTATACACGAACATATATCATTTTTCATTCCATCTCTTTTACTCAGTGCTTCTAGACTGTTCTGATACTGTAAAAGCTGTGACGCAAACCCATTGTTTGGCTGTGCTTCTGGGTGCTTCTTTTTCACGATCTCCAGCCCTTGTGTAAATCCAATATTTTTCGTCTTCATTAAATATGCAATTAAAATTGTGGGAGCTCTTGAAATTCCAGTATCACAATGAATAAGAATTTTGCCTTTTTGCTTCAGGCAGTTTGTTATAAAATCATTGCACTCTTCGAAATATTGATGAATATTGCATGATGCAAGATCGTAAATGTTAATTTGTTTGTAAGTGTAGTTATTTGGGAAACGCTGCGCTAAACCTTCGCCTACAATTAAAATGTGAGTTATTTCATGATGCTGAAGCAAAACTATATTTGAGGCTGCATCGTAGTTTCCAATGAAAATTCCAGGTAACACCTTATTGATTGTATACATTTATGTCAATTTTATTAGGACTTTTAAAAAATTAAGCACGCTTTGGATTTTTTAGCATCTTTGGCTTTTTGTTGGATTTTTTCAGCAGCCTGATTTTCTGTTGCGGCAAGCCGAGATTCAGCGTTTCTTGCTAACTGGCCACCCAGCTCATTTTCAATTTTTTTCATGGCTTCTTCTGCGATATTTATTTGCATTTCTGGACTCACGCCTTGTCCATAGCTTTGTTTAAAGTTATGGTCACTCATTTTCCTTACAGTTGTCTGCTTTACTGTATAATTTTGATCTTCAAACTCCACCTGCTTTTTCCAAACTTCTTCTTTTACTTCTCTTCAGAGCTTTGGATTTGCTTGGGCAATTTCATATAATTTTCCGGTGAAATCGATATTTGCTCGTTTATCCCTTAAATATTTTTTCTTTTCTTCTTCGAGTTTTAATTTTCTTTGCCTTATGCTCTCCAGCCTTTCTTTTTCCATTTCTTGAACTCTTTGCTTCCACTCATTAACTCTAATCACATCTAAAGCGACATCTTCGCCTAAGTTCTTTTTGGTTCTAATAATAGCTGCATATTCGTTGAGTTTTTCAAGTTCAATTTCCATTGCTCTTTTGAACGCAAAAAAATCGTCTTCAAGCTGGTCTATTTGGATTTTCATTAATTTTATAGCTGTGTCTTTAACTTCTCGCTCGTGCTCTATAAGCTCGCTTATACTGTGCTGAGATTTGACAACGATTTGGTCCAAATCATAGTTTTCTTCCATGTCTTCTAGCACATCTCTAATATAGTCTTTTACAAGCAGCCCGTCTAAGTTTACGATATAGCCCATAAACCCTATATAGATTTGTTTATCGAGCAAAATGTAATGGAAAGTTGAACAACCAAGTCAGACTCTATCAAAGGGACGAGCTGGAACTCAATACCAGGAAGGGTTAAAAAGTTACATATCAAAAATGGAGCAAAGTTGACAAGCAAGCAGGCAAGTTTTTAAAATAGCTTTGTATAAAAATTAATTTTGAATTAAAGATACTTTTAGACTGACACTTATGAGTATCTAACCTATTTTTTCTTTATTTTCTATCAAATTAAAATTATTATGAATTATAAAAATTAGATATCGATAAGTTAATTTCATAGTATAATTCCAGAGTCGCTTCGACCTTTAAGTGCTAGTCAAGCCGAATTAAAATCTTCGCCTTATTCAAAAGCCACATTAGATGTGCATTAGAAAATTGAAATAGATTTTAAAAATTAAAGACTTATAATTTAAGTTGTAATTCGCGAAGGATAAATTTAAAAAAAACAAAATAATAATTGTTTATGATAAAATGATCTATAAAGCCAAAGATTGTATTGAACGCTGATTGCTCCATATGAGGTTTTAATTGCTCATTAAAAATTGAAATGGACTTAAAAATTAAAAAAACTTATAAGTCGAGTTTCTTTTTTGCTGAAGGATAGATTTTTAAATGAACAATTCAATTTGTTTATGAGCAACTGATTTATAAAAGCTAAAATTTGTATTGAAAGCTGATGGCTCTTTTAAAAGTATTAATGGCTCATAATAATTTATAATCTTGACATGATTTTTCTTATATATAATTATTTTTTAAATTTAATAATTTTTCAAATATATTAAAACATAAAATTTTAAAAATGTATACAATTATTTCTGATAAAAATTAAATTTTATTATAATAAAGCCATTTTTAAAAATTGGCCAACTTTGCTCACATTTGCCAATAATTTTTGACATCCAGCTAGTCCCTTTGATGGGGTCTGATTTGGTTGGTTAACTATCATTCCATTTTGTTTGATAACGAAATCTATAGAGGGGTATTAGTTATATTTTTGAACTTTAGGATACGAAATCTGTAAGTAGGATCGTAAGAAACTGGATTATTATACAAAGACAAGTTTTTCAGCTTCGGCAAATGAGAAACCGCTACGATAACATCATCTAAATTTCCTATCGAATTTGTATGAGCTTGAAGCTCTCCAATTTGTGTATCTATTAAGGCTAGATGATTTATATCAGGAATTTGGTTTTGTTCAATTCTTAGCTCTTTTAAATAAAGCATTCCCTCAAGTCCTTCTATAGCAGATATCTGGTTTCCATACAAGTAAAGCAACTTCATGCTTCTTAAATGGCTGATTCGCTCTATCCGAGATATTTGGTTCATGCTGAGATCTAGGGCGTTTAAATTGCGATTTCCTTCTAAATTTTCAATTTTTGTAATTCTGTTGCGTGATAAACGTAAAACTTGTAAAGCAGAAAGATTATCTAGGCCTTCTATGGTAGTAAGAAGATTTGTAGACAAATCAAGGTAGAGAAGTGAGGGAAATAATTCGAGATGAGGGGGAATTGTACGAATCATATTAAATGAGAGATCAAGATGGACTAATTGCTTACTCCCCCCATCAGTGAGCGAACAAAACCATTGGAAATTCGCTATTTTTTGGGTGAGGGAATAAAAATTATTTAATCTATGAAGAAAATATAATTGGGAATCGCCATAACGAAATCTCTTGCTAATTCTGTTTAATTTTAAACAGCTTGCTAAACTTTACAAATTAAATTAATATTTGCATTCTAATTTTTTGCAAATTAGGATTGTTTTAAATTTTAAAAAAAATTCTATAAAATTATAAAAAAAAAAATTAAATTCCATCATGAGTGAACAAAATATTTTGTTCACTAAAGGAGGAGGGGAGTTAGGGTTTGAGATTAGATTTGAGAGACCTTCTAAAGAAGAAATTTGTTTACTTTGGATTACAATTGCACTACCTTCCCTCCTGTCTTCAAAGCCTTTATCAACTACTTCTTTAGTTAATTTTGGCATTTTATGCAAATTAATTCAAAGTTAAATAAAAATAATTTTATATTTTTATACATCCTGGTATTCAAATGCTTTATTTTAGTTGGTTTAAGCATTAAAAATTAATAAAAGACAATTTAATTAATTTTATTTATATAGATTACATAAGTATTACCATAAATGCTTCATAGAGTCATACAAATTTTAAAATTGATTATTTACAAATTTTATATTGCAATTTAAAGTCTACTTCTAACTTATGCATTCTATGCTGGGAAAATTTGAAATATTAATTCTATATAAGGAATAGTTCAGCAGATCCCATTTTTTATAAATGTATTATATGAAAAATTCCCGCAAATAATAAAACCATTTTTAAGCTTATAAAATTATTTAACAGCATGTCTTTATAATCTATAATATAAGATGGGCAAAAAATTAAAAATAACCAGAGTTACGTCAAATCCTCAAAGGGCAATAGTTAGAAGCACGGTGCGAGAAGATGTGGAAGAGAGCCAAAATTCTAAACCCAAGGAATTTAATCGTATTAAATACCGCCAAACCACGTTAGATGGTAAATTTGTGAAAGAGAAACCTTCAAAGCCAAAAACAAAAAAAAGCTATGAAATAGACCTAAGCGAAAATGAGCAGATAATTATTGAATTAGAGACAGATAGTAAAAAGAAATGTTGCAAGTGTAATGAGCCTGCAGTTATGAGAACGATCAGGCATGGTCAAAATTCAGGAAGAAGATTCTGGGGCTGTAAAAATTATGGGGACAAGAATTTTTGTGGCTTCTTTGAGTTTGAAGAAGAATTCCTGGAATAGATACCTTCAAGCTCTTTAGTTCATTTTAATAAAAATAAACCTGCAAAGCAATTTATATTGTTATAAAATTAGATTATAAGGATTAATAAAAATTAATTTAAATTAAAATTCTTCATTTTTATTACAATGTCTACAATTATCTAAATACTTTCTTAAATATGATTATATCTGTTTATCTCTCTTCTGAACAAATCTCTTAACGTCTGCATGTCGATATCAGTATCTCTATCAAAAATAAAATCAGCAGGCGTTTCTGCCAGCCTCTCCAAATTTGGATCTCTAATCATAGCAAAATAAGGATGCTGCAAGGCTTGATCAAGAGTAATTCTTCTATGAGGAGAAAATGTTAAAAGCCTTTGCAGCAAATCAATTTCTTCTGCAGTGCATGCTGGGAAATATTCTCTCAAGTCTTTAGAGGGGATGAAAGGAAATGATTGTACATATCTAATTGCTTTTTCGTCTGAAATAAATCTTAAATCCTCTGCTGAAGGAGTTCCGATTATTTGAAAAATCACATTTAATTGGTCGCTCTCAGAACAGGGATACCCTGCTCTCATGTTGGCTGTATTTAAATCTGGGGAAAGAGGAAAGCAACTTTTTCCTGGGAATAATGGGCATCTTTCTATGAATTCCTGATTATTTTCTCTTATCATTTGCAGCATTTCTGCGAAAACGCAACCTAAGCTCCAAACGTCCATTTCTTTTCCATATTCTTTTTCAAGCAAAATCACTTCAGGAGCTCTATACCAGCGTGTAACGACATGGCCTGTTAAAATCCTTTTAAATCCTTTTTGAAACCCTCTAGCGTTCATATCTCTTTCTTCATTCATATTATTTTCAGCTTGACTTTCGAAATTCTGATTCAAGCTTCTATATGATCTTGATAGTCCAAAATCACATATTTTGAGGGTGCAATTGGAATTAATTAGAATATTTGCAGGCTTAATATCACGATGCAGCACATTTGCAGAGTGCATATAGCGCATTCCACAGACAGCTTGGTACATGAGGTGCTTTATATGGTTATGTTCGAGATATGTAGGAGATTTTGAGAGTTTTTTAAGGTCGGCTTCGGCATGCTCCATGACGATGTATACATTATTGAACTCTTGAGATGCGCTTGGGGTAAAAATATTGACGATTTTGATGATATTGATGTGATTAAGAGTTCTCATGATAGAAATCTCTCTAAGCATGTGCTTTGCCTCTATAACATCATCGAAAAGAGCTTTGACATTTTTGATGGCAACTCTTTGGTTAGTTTGAAGATCGATAGCTTCACAAACTGAGCCATAGGTTCCTTTTCCAATACGCCGAACAAGTCGGTATCGTGGCCCAACCTCCCAGTTTGGAAGCTTAGTATTGATCATTTTAATTATATAGCTGACATTTTCAGCATTGATTTGTGACTGATTTTTTTTAAAATGTACTCTTTATAAATTATATAAAACATTTTCTTATTTCTGAGATTTTGAATACTCTTTATTGTGGCTCTTATTCTTTCTAAATAATTGAATTATTGCTAAAATGGCATCAAATCATATTCAAGCTCAACTAGATTCTCTTAACCTGCCCCAAAAAACTGTTGATTCAATTTCCCAACATATTTCTGACATCTTAGTCTCAGTTTTCACAGCTTTTAAAGCAAAAGCCCTCTTCAAGCCACCTTCAGTTCCAAAGAAACTGAAACACCTTTCAAATTCACGTCAAACTCCCTCCCCTACTCTCAACGAAAAAATAAATAAGCTTGATTCTTCATTAGAAGAAATTGAGAAAACTAAAGCAGCTAAAAAACTTGCAAAAAAACTAGCTAAAGAAATGCAAGAGAGAGAAAAACGAAGGCTCGAAAGAGAAAAAGAAATGCTTGTTAAAGAAGAACAAGAAAGGCTAGAATACGAAAGGCTTAAAGAGCTAGCTTTGAAGCAGGAAGAAGAAAAAAAAGCACAAAGGCTAAAGGAGTTAAAAGAAAAATCAGATGCAAGAAAAAGAGAAATCGCAACAATGAAAGAAATAGGAGAAACTGAATATAAAAAAGTTATATCAGAAAAACCATTATTTAAAAAGATCCAAGATAATTATCAGCAATCTGTCCTTATGCCAGAGCTAGAAAAGAAAAAAGCAGAACTAGCAAAAAAACGAAATTTATTTAAGCCTCTAGACCATTATGATTTAGTTGAGCATTCACGACATCATGATGAAATTATGCAAGAGTTTGATGAGCGCAGAAAGCAAAATCTGAAAAATAGGTCTTTAGAGCATAAAATGAATGCAGCGTCTTTAAGCTTGAAATCAAGATTTACTGATACAATTTTAGAAGAAGAAAAAAAGAAAAAAGAAGAATTTGAGAAAGAAGGAATAAATAAAAAAATTTTGTATGATAAAAAGCTTCAATATGCAGAGCTGGTTAAGGAAATGTTTCAGCCTTCTATTGACCCTTATAAGAAGCATGAAATGCAGCTTATTGTGGAAAGGCTAAAGCATAATGCAATAGTAAGGTCTACTATTTATACCAAATCATCTAGGAGTGTATCTGAGCGAAGATCAGATAGTTCTAGAGAAAAAGAGACAAAATCTGTTTTGGGTAAAAAATGAAAAGAAAATCCTATGATTCCTAAACCAAAACCCAAAAGGGAGCCCATTTTTGTGGATTATTTAGGAGAGAGAAGGAAACTAAGGGGAAGCGAGCCGAGATCAGAAATACAAAAAATTGATTGAGAAGATGACCTTTATGATGAAAATTTAACAGAAGAAGAAAAGGCTGAAAAATTAAAAGCAAAAGCAGCCATGATGGAAAAAATAGCCAAGAGGAACGAGACTAAGATAAATGGAGCAAATAGTCTGGAAGTGGCAGACCAAGTAGATGAAATGTATATCAACTCAATCAAAGCAAAATTGGCTGTTTTAGAAAAAGTTTAAAATGAGATTATTAATTATCATTAATTCTATTTATATTGATTCTTGTACTTTTAATCATGTCAACTGCTAGAGAGTTAATTTGTTTATTTTCTTTCAAACATTTAATAATGTTTTTCGACTCTTTTATAATGATGCTTGTTAGGAGATTCCGTCTTTCATAATTTTTGGCAATATCACTAAAGCAATTTGCCAAATAAGCTTCTCCAGAATTAATTAATCTTTCATGAATTTCATCGACCACAGCCCTGGGATAAACATCAAAGTCTAAGTACGCAGCTTGATGGATTCCCCTTCCACAATTTAAATATGGCGTCTCAGCGTTTAGTGGCTGGCTACGCTGACTTCCTTCGAGCACATATCGGCTAGGCTTTGCCTGATCAGAGAAGAAATAAACAATTCCAGTGCTGTGTGGAGTCTAGCCCTAGTCCAATTTCAGGGTTGGATTTTACTTCAAGGAGAGAGGAGATTCGGAAGTTGGAAAGGGGAGGCAGCGCCAGCTCTGAAGGCAATGCCTAGACCTATCGGGCAAAATCTCCAGCATGAAACTAAGTGTTACGCCCTAGGCTAGGAGTTTCCCTTTTTGCAATAGTCAACGAGAAAGCCCATTTTTGGGTCTTTTGTGTGGACAACTTTGTACCCCCCCTCAGCTTCAAGCAAGGCCACAGAAGTCCGAAGATTGTCCACTCACCACTGAAGCCGAAAGGCAAGGAGGAGACACTGTCGTCCCTGGTGGAAGACATAGTCGCAAAGCCGCTGATCCTCCTATTGTAGATCCTTGCTGACTGCATAAAACTACTGTTAATATAACTTTAAGTTTAGCTGGATTTCCCCCTTTTCAAGATCAGAACATCTTAAGCCTTTCTTCAGAAAAAGCAGATTTTGCATCACTTCACATGATTTCTTTTTGATTAGTAAGGATGCATTTCTGGCACACTGGTCTTTTCTTTACATGGCACCGATATATTAGTTCATAAGATTTTTCGTGACATATATGGCATCTCATATAAATTGCTTGAAAATATTCTTCTCTTACTAGACTTTTTAATTGGCATTTTTCCCCAAAATCTCTATACATAAAAAAACATCAAATTTCATCGCTCCAGCAAATCTCATAAAACTCTTTATTTACTAAAGAAATCGCTCAAAGCACTTCTTTATAATTCAAAAATTTAAATACCTCTAGCCAAGGTCTTCTAAGATTTGTACGAATTTTACCTTGTAGAGCTTTATTTATCGTCATCTGCTCTAGATGTGTTGAGTTTAAGCTGGAATTTCAATTTTGAATTCATTGAATTATTTCAGTGTCATAGATCTCTTGAGGTATCGTCAAAGGTATCAGCATTTTGAAATCGACAGGATTTACACATTTTACATGGAAAGTCCTGGTTTCTATTTGAAAAATTAATTTTACTCCTATTTGTATCATAATGTCATCGTTGATTGCTTCATTGCATTGATAGCAATATTCACATGTATCATTTTCTTCTCGCTTTATGAGAGAGATGCCTTGGATTATGCTTCGGGTTTGCCTGAATTTTTCTATACTCAAATAAGCCATTGCATTCAAAAGCCTAATTGAAAGATTAAATACAAAATTGGCATTTTTATAGAGAGCATTAGCTCTGTTGAGAAAAAAAATTAAATATAAAGTTCGATGGGAATGGCATTGAGAAATTAGAAATTGAAAGTGATGGAAGGATCTATTGCATTTGGTTCATACTAAGTGCAACGAATTTAAAAAGAATTACTGCACCATTATTAAATTAAATAATAAAAAATTATGAGGAATGTGTGAAATTATGATATATGATTCAATATTTCACTATATTTCATTAATCATCAGAATTTTTGAAAATATTTTGTATGATATATCAAATATCTTTGATAGAGCCAGATTCAAAGTCAAACCATGAAATTTTTAAGTTGCAAATAAAATTCCATAATAAAATCGTTTATTAGTTTATTTAAGGCTCACTTTCTTTAACAAAGTGAATTCCATTTCTATTTTCAAAAAATTGGAAAATCTGCAAATGTTGAGCATTTGCCAGTTTTTTGCTGATGAAAACCTTTAATTGGATATTGCCAATGTATGCATGTCTTAAAATCAGCATATTTCAAATTAGAAGAAGTCTTAAAAATAGATGGGATTTTCATTCTCTGCAATATAAAACGTAACTTCTATTGGACTGAGCTTTTATTTTTAATCAGTAAATATATCAATTCTTATGCTGCCTTGCTTCTCCATCTTTTTTCATGCTTATCTTTTTATCTAAATGATCAAACCATATGTTGGCTCTCTCAAAATTTTTCTTTGATCTTTATTAGCTTTTGGTTATATATTCTCATCGCGATTCTCAAGCTTATCAGATGTTGCATCAGCATGAAAATCACTTTATATTAAATTAAACTAATTTTCAAACACTCTATGTAATAGCTCATATTTATTCATATCTGGGGATTCTTTGGATTTATAAGAATATATTATCATCATAGCGTTGCATTTTAGAAAAATAATAACAACTCATTTTTAGTTTTCAGATAAAAATATTAATTTTTTTAATTAAATAGAAACAATAGCAGGCGCTTAAAAAATGCATTATTTAAAATTCTGAAAAAAAAATTCATTGAATCCGAAGTATTAACAGAAAATAAAATATAGCACTTTTAAAATCTTTAATAAAAAATGAACGACGAGCGTGGAGACAGTTTAATTAACTCTTTTGATTTCTCAGCTATTGAAGAAATGGATCCAAGTCTCAGTGAAGGCCACCGCGTCGCATATGACCGTGAAGTTCCATTTGAACTGAGAATTCAAGACTCTGGAAGTGGCCCTCAAGAAGTAGGAACCTTAGAAGCCATAAAAGTAAAAGTTCTCATTCTAGGAGATAATGCTAATCCTCAGCACGTGAAAATCGAATTAACTAGTGAAAACGACCTTTTCTTCCATTATATTCACTCTTTAGATGACGCTGCTTTTCATCAGCTCCAAGAAACCCAGAAATTGATGATAGAATTTTCAGAACTGCCCACAATTCTTATCAGGATGCTAAATTCATGCATAAAGGAGCCTCACAACTTCTTAGCTGTCTTTATTATGCATAGAGACGGAAGAGCAAGGCTTGATTTCATTCAAAATATGGAATACAAGTTTATTGAGCTGCTATCGTTAGATTTCATGGCAAGCACCGAAGAAATGGTTCGACAGCAGATCACTTATCGCTATAATGCAGTCAAAAGCAAGCTTGCAATCATGCAAGCAAGACTTCAAGATATTAATTCAGTCATTAAAGTCAAAAATCCATCATTATTACTTCAGCTGCAAAAACAGTCAAGAAAATAAGGATAATTAAAATTATTTAAGATTTTAAATGCGACGCATTTAATGTACTGCACAGTTTTTAGTCGGGATTTCTGATTGAATTTCACAAATTAATGAGCTTATACTAGAAAGTTCGTTTTTAATAGCAGCGATACTTTCGGTAATATCTTTGTCATCATTATATTCTGTCTGTTGCTTTGAACCTAAAAGCAACCCTAAGCTAACGCTTTTCCCTGTAAGAATACTTTCAGCAATGTTTTTTAATAGAGTAATCTCTTTATGGATAAAAGAAATTTCCTTTGAATGAGTCTCAATTTCATTTTTTATACTAAGCTGAGTGACATCTTCTTTTTTAGTAGTAAATAGCTGTTTTTTCAGTAACTCATTTTCAATGATAAGTGCTTCTTGTGTAGTTTCCAAAGTTTTTAGCTCTGCTAAAAACAAATTGTAATCGCTTGGAGAAATTTTTGTTTCCTGCAGGGCTTTCAGCTGCTTTGCTAAAAAATGGCTTTGCATCTTTAATTCTTTATTTTTTTCATTTAATTCTTCTTCATTAAGATGCTGAGGAGTGTTTTCTAATTCCATGTTAATTTTTTCTAGAGCTTTTATTTCTTCTTCCAGAACTCTCCTTGACTCTAAATTGCTCGATAAATAGTCTAAAAGATGCTTATTTTCTGCCTGGATTTTTTCTTCAGCTGAATCTTCTAGTATTTTAAGCCTCTTCCTAAGCTCGCGATTTTTCTTTTCCGCGGAGATTAAAATTTTTTTCTTGTCTTCTGAGTATGATTTTATAGGTGAATATCGTCTATCATGATCAAAAGTCCTTAACGAATGGGCACTTATGTCTCTTTTGAACTTGTCTATTAAATTATCAATTTTTTCTATTCGATGTAAGCGGGATTGGCAAGATGGGACTGGGCTCTGCTGAGAAAAGGTTTTCACGTCAGAGTCATCCGTTGATAATAATTCAAAGCATGTAACTTCTTTCGGAATTTCATTAGGCAAAGAAGGTTTAAATGCATTTGAACTGTGGCATCTTGTTCTCACTGGTGTTGAATCTGGGCTTCTATATTTATTTGCAGATTTTGCAATTGAGCTAGCCGATATTTTTGTATTTTCAGGAGAGTTATAAAAAAGTTCTTGCGAGGACAGCAAATTTCTTTTCGATGATTGGTACGACATATTATCAAAATATTCCTTTTAATATCCTGATTCCATATTATTGTTGATATAAATAAAATGAGGCTTTTTGGCAAGAAAAAGAAGCAAAACATGAAACCTGAAGAGGTTTTGAAAACCATGGAATCTCTCAGAAAAACAATAGAAGATATAGAAAAGCGCTCCACACTACTCCAAAACAAAGCGCAAATGGAACTGCAAAACGCCTTGCAAAGGAAAAAGCAAGGCGACCGTGCAGGTGCGTTAATTTCTTTGAAGCGCAAAAAAATGTATGAAACTGAGGCTTCTAAACTTGAGGGATCTCGAATGAACATCGAACAACAGCTATTTGCCATAGAAGGCGCAAGCATGAATAAAAACATTTTTGATTCTTTGAAAACAGGAAACCAGGCTCTAAAACAAGTTCATGGGGAAATTAAAATAGAAGATGTGGATAAGCTGAAAGATGAGATGGAAGAACAGCAAGATTTAGTGCAAGAGCTAAACGAAGCTATTTCGCAGCCTATTGGATTTATGTCGACTGTTGATGAAGATGATTTGCTTAAAGAACTAGACGAAATTGAAGCCCAAGAGTATGAAAGAGACCTGATTGAAGCTGAGCCCAGCCAAAAAGCAATGGTGAGGCCAGTGGTAGAGCAACCGAGCCTAGAGCTACCAGGAAAAGAGCAACCACAGGTTTTAAGCAACTTTGCTGGCCCACAACCTCAGCAACCCGTGAAAGCAGCTCAAAATAACGAATTGGACGAACTTTTTAACTCAATGCAAATGTAAGAGAATTAATAGAAGCTTAAAATTTGAATATTCTGTCGATTTTCTTATCTAATATAGATATTTTATCTTAAGTATACAATACGATCTGATAACACCAGGCACTAATTATTTCTTTATGGTTTAATTCTAATAAGCCAATTTATTTAAATATTTCACCAAATCGTTATACATCCCTAGTCTTAAAATCATATTTTTTCTATTTCATGCAAAAATAACGCCTTATTTACTGGAGTTTTGACGACAATGTATTTTAAGTTATAATAAAATTATCAAATAATTGTATTAGTTATAGCGCCTTAAGCTGAACGCAATCAAATCTAAATTTGAATGAAGAGTCCAGATCTCCGGTAATCCAAATTTCTTCTTTATTTTCCTTGGCGACTGCTTCTGTGACCATTTCTCTTTTTTCCATCCCGACATCTACGCAATTGTCTAGACGGACTGTAAAGATACTCGGTAGAAATGAGTTGCTATGATTTTGACTCGCACCTACTTGAACGAATAAAACTATCAGAAAAATCCCTATATATTTGGTAAAAAACTCATATAGTGAGCAAAAAATTCTTCTGAAAAAATATTTTAATTATTAAGTAATAATTATTATTATGAAATCTCTGTTTAAACAGATCCAATTTTAAATATTTGATTTAAAATTATTTCAAATTTAGGATTTTTTAATTTGGAAAAAAAATACTATAAATAGCCCCCCTCTGTGAGAGAACGCAATGTTTTGTCCGCTCACAGAGGGGGAGTGAGGAAACCAAGGCTCGAGCCCCAGGTCTTGAATCATATAGCAATTCATATATTTCTTGATCAGAAGCCATTTTTCAACGCATTCTGGTGAATGGAATCCCTTGCAGCACATGAAGTCGAATTTGTCGCAAAGGACTTCTGGGTTAAGATCGGCAAATAAGAACTCGACATAGTAATAAAATGACTCTCTAACGCCGATATGAGAGAAAAATTCAATACAAAATGTCGAATTAAAACTTTTTTCTAATCCTCCCAAAGAAAATTTTAATAAAAATAATAAAATAAAAATTAAAAATAAGAAAAAAGCTTTTTATAGGAACCAGAGCAAGTATCGACCTCGAATGCGTTTCTTAAGTTTTCCATCTGTCTTTGGGCCTTTCTCGGTACACGATAAAGGCTCAAGCACCGTCATGTATTTTTCATAGCAGCCTGCTAGGGCTTGCCAGACTCTCAATGCATTGTATGGATTTCCCCTAATTCTGTTCAATGTCTTGGATGGGAGCACATTTTTTCTTATCTGGCGAATTGCCCTTTTGAAGCCCCTGATAAGTTTGCACCTAAGGTACTCCTTCTTAGGAGGTGAAGTCTTGAACTCCCCGCAAGTATAGAACAATTTGCGTATGTGGGCATCTTTTTTGCTTTTGCGACCTGGATGATGACTAGCTCCGACCTTCACGTGAAGGAGTAGAGGGTCAATCGATAGAATTCTTTTCATTTTATTATTATAAGCATAATCTTTGCTTGCAAATTAGACTTATTGAATTGAATTTTCGACCATTAGTATTTATGTAAGGAAGGCAAGCAGAATGGAGGTCTGAATATGGAAATTCATATCTATTTTGAATTTATATGCAGATATAAAAAGATTTCTTAGTTCTGAGATGTTTAAAATTACAGCAAAGAATAGAAGGAATATAAATTTTATGCCAGCTTCATTTTTGATTATATATGGATAAACAATTATTTCTTAGAATTTTTAGTATTTTTTGAAATTTTTTTATGTAATATTTTGATAATTTACCAAATTAATAAAGATAAAATTACAAGAAGGCTGACTTTTGATTGCGATAAATTGAGAAAATATATAGACTATCAGAAGCCTTGACTAGAAATCTAAATTTTAAGTGTAAAACTAAGTAATAGACATATTTATCAGTATTTTCTTTAGAATTCGAAGAGAAGAATTATTTATTAGATGGATAAATAGGAAGATATTTTCTTCTCAAAGAATAAATTCCAAAATATAAAAATAAAGACAAAATAATGGCAAAAAAAAGACTCTAATAATCTAAGTCTAAATTATTTTACGAGAGAATTTCTAAAAATTTATAATATTTTGAAGAAGTTATCAGTATTGCATACGGCTTATTCCATAAATTTAAATTAAACCTTAAGTCTTCTTAAAGCAAAGCTTTTCTGAATCATCCCAAAAATCTAGTTCCTATTATTTTCTTATATATTAAAGCGGCTATAAAATTATATTTAATTAAGCAAAATTAATATTTATCTAAACTGATTTTTGTTCATTATATCTTGGCATATAATATTTGGTTACTCCTATCTTAAACATCAGTGTCACTAGTAGAGTAGTAGATCCTATTAAAATGCAAATCACAAGTTGCTCTATGCTCAAAGGCTCTGTGTTCATAAAATCTCCACCTTTCTGTACCAACAATATTTGACATACAAATTCAATAGACAAAATCGTTAAAAATTGCCAATTATTGAAAATCCCTGCGAAGACATTGTACTCCTCTGGTCTAATTTTTCTACAGTTAATCTGATTGAATAGCTGTAGCATTACAAAAATATTGAAACAAAGAGTATAGTGCTCAGATTCTTCTTCAGGCCAATCAGAGTCCCATCCAGCGTCAACGCCAAAAATAGCTGGACCCCAGAAAAGCACAACGACTACTACAGTCACTTGATAAACTGACTGAATAATTATATTTGCAATAATTCAAGGTGACAGAATGTACTCATTTTTCCCATATGGAGCTGAGTCAAGTACTTTATTATCAGGATCTTGTGTCGCTAAGGCTAAGGCTGCCAAAGAATCCATCATTAAATTAACCCAGAGCATTTGTACTGCAGTTAAAGGAGAACTTTCTACAGTAATAGCTCCTATCAAGCAGAGCATCAAAGCGACAGTATTTACAGTCAATTGAAATTGCAAATACCGCCTAATATTGAAATAAATATTTCTACCCCACTTAATTGCTGTGACAATACTTTGGATATTATCATCCAGCAAAATGATATCAGACGCCTCCTTAGCCATAGGAGTTGCAGTCATCATAGCTATTCCAATATCTGCTCTCTGCAAGGCGGCTGCATCATTAGTCCCATCTCCAGTGACAGCTACAATTCTCCCAAGTCCTCTCATGCCAATAGTTAAAAGCAACTTATCCTGTGGACTGCATCTAGCCAAAATCCTCAAATGCTCTTCAATTTTCTTGAATTCTTGCTCATTGCCTATTGCGTAGCTAATTTCGTCCTTTCCTTCTTTTACTATGAGTCCTCCAGTTCTTCTATCAAAATCAGAATTATTAAAAGGGCGTGATCTGACGTGAACTCCTGGTGACTCGTGAGTTGGTCCGGGCCCAGGAAAGGGGAGCCACATAGCGATAGTTCTCCGGGGTGGATTTTTGATCTAGGGGCTGATTTTAGATCTTTTTTCCTTACCTGCAGAGTCCCTACCGGCGCAAAGTTCCTATACTACTCTATGGGAGAAATTTTCGAACCGCAATAAGGCTCTAACAGGCCATAAAGGGGCAAGAGACAATTCAACTATACTCTGAGCCCTGTCAGAGGCTAAGGAAGTCTTTTGCTGAATTTTGTGATCAAGGAAGATGATGCCGATCGGTAGGGATATCTCCCCGCTAGACCTAAATGCCACCATTTTTTGGTGACGTCAGAAGCAAAAAGGTGGTGTGAGGATAGCGCTTAACACCAACGCAAAGCTATCCATTGGACGGAGAGGGGCTGAAATAAACCCCTACGATCCGCTATAATTTTAACTAATCTAATCTAATATATCAAAATCTTTGCCTAATATAATTGTGTCATTTTCAGGCTTATAGTCATAGTCTGAAGGAAGGATGCTGCAATGTTTCCCTATTCTTGAGGCTATATCTGGGTTATCCCCAGTAATAATTCTGACAGTCACTCCAGTTTTTCTTAAAGTTTCTATGGCTTCTTTTGCTTCTGGCCTCACAGGGTCTTCTATACCAAAAATAGCAACAAGTATCATACCGTTAGCGGCGTTATCCATTTCATCTTTATTAGGATTGTCATTAAGTCCTAGCTCCTTTACAGAGCCAGCTTTATAAGCGACAGCAATAGTTCTCAACGATTTTTGTGACCACAACATTAATTTCTCCTTAACTTTTTCTTTCTCTTCTGAAGTAATTTCTATGATACTTCCATCAGAGTTTAGCATGTGTGAGCAGCGTCTCATAATCCTTTCTGGGGCTCCTTTTACATATAAAGCTGATTCTTCCGGGTTATCTACGTTAAAAGTGCTCATCATTTTTACGAGTGAATTAAAAGGTACCTGCATGACTTGCGTTTTCATGTTTCTATATTGATGATAATTCAGCCCCCAATGCATTAGAAACATAAGCAAAGCGCACTCAGTTCTGTTTCCAGCCTTTTCGATATTCCCATCTACAGAGTGGACATCGGCCGTAGTGTTTCTTGAGACAGCAATTGCCAAGATTTTGATGACCTCAGGATCGACTTCAGGGACTCTTGTATTGGTCTTTTTCAGCCCAATCAGAACTTTAACAACCTTCATCTCATTTTTGGTTAAAGTGCCTGTTTTGTCAATCAGCAGCTCTTGGCAGCCTCCCATGGTCTCACATGCTTTTAGATGTTTGACGAAGATATTTTCTTCTTTCATTTTTCTCATAGAGAATGCTAAGCTTAATGTGACAGCTAGTGGAAGGCCTTCTGGAATTACTACAACTAATATAGTAATTGCGAAAATAAAAGCAGTGAACATTTTTTCTGTGCTTTCAGAATCCCAGGTTCCAGCTTCAATTATGTCTGAAAGGATAAATGCTGATAAAGCAATAAAAATCATAATTGCTGCAATAGCTCCAACAATCCCGATGTGGACGCCAATTTGGGCTAATTTGTCTTCTAGTGGGGTAGCCTCATCTGAATACTGTTGTAGAATAAGTTTGTGATGTTTGCCAAGGGTGGAATTTTTGCCTACACAACAAACAATCATTTCTCCAGTCCCTTCAACTACAGACGATCCAGATATGATAAATGGGTCGTCAGCTCCTTTTTCAATTGTCTTGCTCTCTCCAGTCAGTGCACTTTCGTCTACAGTAACTCCATAAGATCTCACTAAAATCCCATCAGCAGGGGCAATGTCTCCTGGGTTTAAGTACATTAAATCCCCAACAACCAAATCATTAACCCAGGTTTCTTCTAATTCGTCATTTCTTACGACATTTACATAATGCCTTTTGGTGTCTGAATTTAGCCTTCTGAATTGTAGCTCTTTAAAATAGTCTTGAACAGTGAAAACAGTGATAACTATGAAAATTGATATAAAAATGGCACAGCCTTCATATCACCCTTCACTTGAATCTTCAACCAAGCCTATTGCGAGGGATACTATACCTGCAAATAGTAAAAGCTGTATAACGAAATTTTTAAATTGGTCACATATGATTTTTCATATAGATGTAGGTGGCTGCATATATGGTTTGTTATCCCCAAAGCTGAATAGTAATTACGTTTTTTGACGACATTGTATGTCATATTCAGTGCATATTAAACCAGATTTCTCACTTGTGCATAATGCATTGCATAGCCAGTCAATACCGCCGAGCCTATTGAGATTTTTTAAGCTTTGACCGTCGTGGATTGCATGAGTATCGAAAAGTGTGCTGAGTAATTGTTACATTAGTTCGTCTGGAGTTGTTCCAAAGTTATTAGCAAGTAGATTATCTTCCTCCATTATCCGTTTTACAATAATAAATAAAGTACTTTAAGTGAAATACATGAGAACTTTGAATAAAATTTGTGGCTTAGGAGTCAGCCGCTTTTTATAAGCAGTTAGTATCCAATCCTTAGATAAAAAGTAAAAAAATCAGATTTATAGTGTCGTATTAATATGATATTTATTTTTAAATTTAAAATTTTATGATATTATATAATTTCTGGTAAAATTCGCTTTTAAATCAAATCACTGATTGAATTATAAGTTTTACCAGATTATAATGACTAATTTTAGAAGAAACGAGAATAAAAGTGTATATTGCAAATTTGTGGTGAAATATATCAGAAGTTGGAAGAAATTTAAGTGCTTTGCATATAGTTTATTAGTAAATATTATAAAGAGACTTCTAGATTTTCAAAAATAGATTAAATAATATGATAAAATTTTAGCATAATAAGTATGGATTGGGTTTCATTAAATTTATGCATTAAGCAAAAATGCCAGGCGTCATAATTCGATATTATGCTTCTATTTTTACTATTTTTTCTTAGTCAAGCTTTCAAATAAAATTATCAATATGAAGCTTATCTCCTATATTAGAAGAAATCTAATATTTCTCGTTAATTCTATTTATGCATGCTGCTCTCTATAGTTATTTAAATGGAACATAAGCGTAGGCCGCACTCATCATATTCAGCAGCATCTCATAAAAGCTCACAAAACCACGAATCTAACGCAGATCAACTCCAACGCCAACTAGAAGTTTTTACATTTCAACTCGAAAAAGAAAAACGCCAATCATCTGTTCTTGATGGCCGTATACGCATCACTGCTGAAGATTTATCAAAGCCTGGCCTTCCAGTCCGTTCGTCCACTCCAATGCCAATGTCCTCAGTAGGTATAACTCGTGAAATAAAAAAACTCGAAAAACAATTGCAGTTAGAGACAAAATATCTGAATGAAACCCAAACTGAAAATGAAAATCTAAAAGGAGAAATCAACGTTCTAAGGCGTGAAAGAATCTTATACAAAGATATGTTTAAAAGGCTTCAAAACGATATTTCATTTTCCTCTGTAAAAGCTGGAGAGCTGCATGAAGAAGTTGGAGAGAATTCATTTTACCAAGAAGCAGTTCAAAAAAGAGCTATAAGAATTCGTGCTCAGAGTGCCAATATAAAGAGCAAGTACATTAGCAGGATGGAAGAGCTCAGCGAAGCCATCAAGGAGAAAAAAAATCAGAAAAAAGATTATGAAATGGAACTAGAAGAGAGACTCAAGCAAAGCGCAAATATCGCGAACGATATGGCAGTGTCTAATGCAGTGCTAAAAAAGACAGAAAATATTTGAAAAGAGAAATGCAAAGAAAAGAGAAAAGCCCTTGATCAGTATTTAAGAAGAATTAAAACAATGAAAAGTGGATTTTTTGAAATTCGGTTAGCAACAGGATATGATAGCTACGACGACGTAGTCACTGTTTTTATTAAAAGTGAAGAGCAGCAGCACGAAATGCTTTCGAACTTGACAAATCTTAACTCAGAAATCGAGTTTCTTGAAGAAGTCTGTAACAGGCTTAATAAAGAAATTCAGTCAAACAACGAGAATAAAACAGGGCATGAGCAGATTTTGAAGGATCAAATGTTAAGGGTCCAGAACGAAAACAAAAATCTGCAAGAAAGAAGCAAAATTGAATATGAAAAATCAATATGCATAGAAAGCTCAGTGTTAGCATTATCCACATATATTAAAATGATCCATGAGCTCTTAGTTTCAGCGAGCTTAAACACAAGACTAGAGAAGCCACCCAATATCAAGGATGAGACTGACATAGAAAATATTCAGGATCACTTAGGTTTACTAGAAGATTTAATCACCCAGCTTACAGTCTGCAATTCTTTTCTTCGCGAAGAAGCATCCCCTGCCTTAAAAGCGGTCCCAGTCCATTCTTTACCTCCTAAGGAATTCGATATCCCACCTGTTTCTTTGCTAGCTAACCAATTTGCTTATCTTGAAGAAAAAGAAGAGACAACCCAAGAAGAATTTTCAACCCCATTGAAACGTAAAGACTTCATTAATAAAGCCCTCAAAATCATGAAGGAAGAAATCGACTGGTCAAGTTATTCGCCAAAACCAGTATCCGCAGAAGGAAAAAATAAACCTAAATTACATGTATAAACTTAGTATAAATTATTATTTATAACGGAACTAGAAATGTCTGCTAATTGGGAATCTTACAATTATGACCCTGCTAAAGTGTTGGAAATCCAAGCAAGTTATCTTAGATTTTTGGCTTCTTTATATCCGACTGGATCGCCCGCAAATGCCTCAAACCCTATTCAAGATCCTTTATTACAATCATTAAATAACCCGATATTATCTCCGAATTTAGAGCTGCAAAGCATCAGATCGCCATTAGGACAAACATTTAGAAGTATGTCGCCCCCTTTAAGCAGCAGAAGGGAAGCCAAAGAAAGCCCAGAAAGACAAGAAAGGCCAAAAAATCCATATGATGATGTGCCTGTTAAACAGGTACAAAAAACTTTTGAAGAATTATTAGAAGAGCAGCTTAATAAAGAGAACGGTAAGAAGGTAATCAATAGCAGAATCCCTGCTAAAAAAGTAGAAGAAGTGCCAAAAAAAGTAGGAGAAGTACCGAAAAAAGAAAATCCAAAAAGAAAATTGTCAGGAGGGATAATCCAGCAAGTACCAAAAAGGACTTTGGAGCTGAAATTATCAAATATTGTGAGGACTAGTGAGACTACAGAAGAAACACAAAGAGAAAATAAAAACAGTGCAAAAAATAGAGAAAAATCGCCCCCATTTCTGAAGAGAGGCCAAGGACAGTTGTGCAGCCAAATTCGAGCTGTTTCCTCACCTAAAATTAGGCCATTGCAATCAGCTCGCATTCTGCAGCGATCTTCATCAATTGGAGATAAATTATCTTCAAAAAATACAACTCCAGTGAAAAAAGTCAGAAAATTAGAAGCACTTAATACAGAAAGAGCTGAGAAAACTGAATTGGCTATACAAATTGAAAAATTTAAAAGAGAAAGCTTGAAATTAAAATCCATTGCAGATGAATTAGAAAAAAGAAAGAAAAAGCTTGAAGAGGAGGAAAAAGCTTTTCACATCATGAAGAAAAAAGAAATGGATGAATTTGAAAGTTGAAAAAAAGAAGAAACTAAAAAAATCCATATGAATGGCAAAAAAATTAATAGCAAAGAAGACGAGGTTGAAGCATTAAAAAGAGCTATTCAAAGGCTGCAAGATATAGCAAAAACCAAAGATGCAAAATACGAAGAAACTATAGATAAGCTCAAAAAGCATATTGATGAGCTTAATAAAAAAGTAAAGTTTTATGAAAATAAACCAGAAAAAGAAATAAGTGAAGATATTTATAAAATCAGCCCACAGAAAAAGCCTCTGAATCAAGAAATTTTTGAAGGAAATCATAAAAGACAAGATAGCCTTCCTAAGATTGTAAGTGAGTCTAAAACAGATGATGGAAAAATTCAACGTGTTTATTCTGATGGCAAAAAAGAAATTTTATTCACAAATGGCGTCAGAAGGGAAATTTTTCCGAATGGCTATAGTGTGGTTTACTATTCAAATAATGATATAAAGCAAAATTTTCCTGATGGAAAAATTATATATTTTTATTCTGAAGCACAAACCACACAAACAACTATGCCAGATGGGCTCCAAATTTATAAGTTTTCCAATGGGCAAATAGAGAAACATTTTCCAGATGGCACCAGAGAAATAACTTTTCCAGATGGGACTATAAAATGTGTATTCGCTGATGGAGAAGAAGAAACAGTCTTTACTGATGGGACAATTCAGAAAAAAGATGCTCAAGGTGTTAAATATATGGAATTTCCGCAAGATGAAAAAAATAAAATGCCAAGAGAGAGTGATTTAGCGATTGATGAGTAATTTTATTTTTGTAAATTTTTCTAATACAGATTCTTTCCTTTAATCTTCATAATTTCTTTTTATAGTTAATTCGATTTATATTTACATTTATTTATCTTATAATAGGTTTATAATTTTCTTTCATCCATCCCATGGCTGCTGATTTAATATAAAAAAAATGAACTCACAGAAAGGATTGAAAAAACCTTTAAGTCTAGAATATTGGATTATTCAAGTATAAAATAATGCTTCTAATTATCAATTTTATTTTTAAATATCATTTTCATTACTCGAATTCCCTGAAAAGCTTGCTTTCCTATTTCTAGCTTCAATTGCTTTCGCAAATAGCCCGTTTGATCTGATACTAATATTATTATCATTTTCAGTCAATGCGTTCTTCAATGATTCACATTCATCATTCAGGGCGTTCACAGCTGATTTCATGCTATCTATTTTCTTTTGCAGTGAAAACGAATATCCCTTGAGCATTTTAATTAGGTGAGCATCTTCTTCTTTTTCACGTAGCAAGTTTTCTATTATAGCTTTTTCTTCTTTAGGCTGAGTGCATTCGTTTTCATAATTTTCTTCTATTATATCAGCAAGAGGCGATGATATAATTCTTTCAAAGCAAGATTGGGAGCGAGCTACTATAGGTACTTCAAACATTTATTTTTTTAATTATTAAGCAGTTTTTTGAAAAAGAAAGCGAGAGAAAGTTTATAATGGGTGATTATATTTAGCCACATTGATTTTAAGCAAGAGAATTATATGTGAATTTAAATCCATATTTTTGGGTATGGTCTTTATTTAGAAACGTGTCAGAATACGAAGTATATAAGAATTTATAGACTGAGTAAAGAATTTTTGAATTATAATTCGAAAGAAAGCCCAATCTGGCTGTACCAAAAATATTTTATTTTTATTTGCAGATAATTGCTACTCCCATTTTAACTTTAGCTTGTATCCAGTCATGTTCATATTATTAAATATATTTATTTTTCAATTTTTTGAAAAATTTATTGTAATAGACTTGCTGAGTTAGAAATTAAATTCATTTCCTATCCTATTAATTTCTAAAACAACTTAACTTTCAATGCGATTAAATTATTTTTCTTTCATATTTTCTATATATAATTTTAATTTATGGGTTTTTGCAAATTTAAAATTTACTTCCAATATTTTTCAAATTAAATTTATATCCAAAATTGACTTATTCTAAAAATTCCATATAATGAGTTTTGCTCCAGCTAAAAAATCTCTCTCGTATCGCCCTCCTTCCAATTCCTCTTCATCTCAAAAAAAATCTGCTCCTCGCCCTATTCAGCAACGTCCTGCAGACCCACTTCTTCAGCGTCTTACTCTTCTTGAAGATGTGGTTGCTAACCTACAGCTTCAGCACGACACATTTATCCCTCTCTTACAACTAATAGGTCAAGTAGACAATGTTTTAGAACTCGAAAGTGAAGCCAAGACCCTAGTTTCTGCTATTTCTGACTTAGAAAGCCATTGCAGTGAGCAGCAGAAGCTTGTTAAAGAAATCAATGCTCAATCTCAAAGCATTCAAATCCCAACGTCTCTTGCTGATGGAGAAGGGGCTGGAGTCCGTCCACTCTCAGAAATGCAGAAAACATTAACTGACATTGAAACTCATTCAAATTCTATAGCAGCAAAACAAAAAGTTACCTTGAAAAAACAAGAAGTTTCTAGCAGGGAAGAGATGCTGAGAACTATGCAGGAGCTGGAAAATGAAGTCCAAGAAGTCAAAAAAGAAGTTGTTGAGCTGCATGGAGAGTTTATTAAAGGAAATTTCAAAGAAATTGGAAATTTAGAAGAAAGGGCCAGCAATGCAAGATCAAGAGTTAAAGATGATATTGGGCAAGTAGAAACTGCGTTAGAAGACCATGCACTTTATGGAGGAAAAGGAGGAGATAACTGGCTATTAGAAGAATTAAACCATAGGGTTGATGACTCTATTTCTGAGCTCAATGAATATTTGGATTATAAACATAGACAGCTTGAAGTTTTTTTCAAACAAGAATTATTATCGCTAAAAAATCAGCATGAAAAGCTATCTTCAGATTTAGCAAGCATTGAAGCTTATAGAAACGTAGCAGATCCAGCCAAAGAACTTACAGCACTTAATGAAAAAATAAAAAATCTGCTCCAAGCAATTGAAAAATTTTCAGACAATTTTGTGATGATGAATGACGTGACGATATCACTAAACCAAAGCTTAGTCGATCTTAATGATAAAGCAAGAAGGTATATTAAAACTTATAGAACTACGGACCAATCAAAACAAAATGAGCTTTTCGGAACTGCCAAAGTTGATTTTGATCAATGGCTCAAAGGATCTTGGTATCAAGTTGAAGCTTTAACTCCCCCCCCTCCGTGAGTGAACAAAAAAATTTTGTTCACTCACGGAGGTTTTTTTTTTTTTAAAAAAATTTATATATAAATTTTATAAAAAATTTTTTTTTTCGAATTTAAAAAAATCCTAATTCGCAAAAATTGGAAAGCAAATATTAATTTAATTTATAAAATTTATGTTTTAAAACGCAATTTGTTTAAAATTAAACAGAATTAGCTTTAGATTTCATTATGCTAATTATCACTTATATATCAAAATTTTTTTCCATAAAAAATTTTTCTATTAAAAACATTTTTGTTCACTCACGGAGGGTGGGTTTTGGGCAAAAAATGCCGATTTTTCTAATGGTTTTGTTCACTCACTGAGGGGGGGGGAGTAAGAGAAAATATTGAAAACCTCGACGTCAATATAAATTCAAATTTCTTTAAACTGACTGAATTCTTCCAGCGGCAAGATAAAGTAAAAGGCGATGCTGAAGGCCCAGGTAAGCCGAGAATTGAAGACTTAAAGCCTAAAGCAAACTCCACAAAATCAAAATTCGAAGAAAAACAAGAAAGTTTGCACATAGAGCTGGACAACCTCAAGAAAAGACTATTTGGCCTCTGGAAAGCCATAAATAAAGAAACCAACTTTAACATTGTCTTTACTTCCAAGATAATTAAATATGGTATATCGGACAGGGCGTAGCCTCCTGGCTATGCAGCCTCGAGTGCATATTTAATTATATCTGGCAGCAGCATCAATACCAAGAGTTTGTTGGCTACAGTCGGCCAGAAAATCCATTTGTTTTGAATTTTTGTACCAAAATTCACTTTTCTAAGCCAAAAACTAAAAATAGTTGTCGAAATCCTAACTCCGAGCTGAGGGCACATTCAAATAACCCAAAGCAGTTGCAGACACGAAGTGAGGGTAAGCCGAGCAGGAGAGAAAGACCTGATAGTTGGTATAGCATTGAAATTTAAATGGATACTAGTATCTTAAACTAATTAATCGTATCGCCTTTCCTTCCAAGAACGCAAGTGACCAAGAAATATTTAGGAACGCAAGAGATGATTTAATCTCAGACTCAATCAATAGTTAATTTAAAGATTTAATCCATTAAATTATGCCTCCTGCAATTTGATTTCTTATGAAGAAGCCTTGCATAGATGTTAGAGACTGGAGTGGAGCCTTTTGCAATTCCGCCAAAAATTAACGCTTCTCTGACAGTAAACATGATAAGTCCAGTTAATGCACATATATCGGTGTATTTTTGAGGGTTCAGGTTTTGCTGGTTTCCAACAACAAGATTTTCAAGCAAATCGAGGTTTTCTTGGGAAAAATCAAAAGTTTGGATTTTTTCGATAATTACAGTATTGATAGGTTGTCCTTCGTGAGCATCTTTGTTCTTGATGTCGAGGAAAAAGGCTCGGCATTGTTCCCATGCAGCTGTATCGTCTTCTGGGAGAGTTTGCTTCATTAGTTGGAAGAAAACTCGGAAAGCCCAAATTACTTGTTTATCTGGGATTGTGTCGAAGTAGAATTTTCCATCTTCCATTGTAGTCAGAAGGCTTAAGGCACTGATTGAGCCTGGAGATAAAATGTAAGCGCTAGCTTCTGTAAGCTCTTCTTCTTTATAATCAGTTTTCAATTGAGATATAAGGGCTTCGATTTCTTCAAGAGTGTTTGGAATTGGTTCTTCACTTTTGCATGATTCTTCGCCTTGGCATTCATCGCCGCTTGGAACTGCTTTCACTTCTTCAACAGCAACTTCTTTTTTCTCTTCTTCAATTTTTGGGTGCTTTTTTTCTGGCTGTTTTTTCTTTTCTTCTAGCTTTTTCTTAATTTCTTCAGGATTTCTCTTTGGCTCTGCTCTACTTTTCTTTTCTTCCTCTGCCTTTTTCTTTGCTTCTTCAAATTTCTTTTTATCTTCTTCAGATTTCTTTTTGTTTTCTTCAGCTTTTTTCTTTTCCTCAGCCTTTTTAAGTTCTAATGCTTTTTTTGCTTCAGCTTTTTTACTTTCTTCTTGTTGTTTCCCCCCCCCCCCTCCGTGAGCGAACAAAAAAAATTTTGTTCACTCACGGAGGGGGGTTAATTTTTTTAAAAAAATTTATATATAAAATTTTTATAAAAAATATTTTTTTCGAAATTTAAAAAAATCCTAATTTGCAAAAATTGGGAAGCAAATATTAATTTAATTTGCAAAATTTATGTTTTAAAACGCAATTTGTTTAAAATTAAACAGAATTAGCTCTAGATTTCATTATACTAATTATCACTTATATATCAAAAATTTTTTTCCATTAAAATTTTTTCTATTAAAAAAATTTTTGTTCGCTCACGGAGGGTGGGTTTTTGGTCAAAAAATGGTGATTTTTCTAATGGTTTTGTTCGCTCACGGAGGGGGGGGGGAGTTAGCAGCTTCAGCTTTTTTCTTATTTTCAGCTTCTTGCTGTTTAAATTTGGCCTCCTCTTCTTTTTTCTTTTTCTCCTCATCTGCAATTCGCTTTTTCTCAGCCTCAAGTAGCCTTTTCTTTTCTTTGGCTTCCTCGTCTTTTTTCTTTTTTTCTTCAGCATTTCTAGCCTGTTCTTTCTTTTTCTCTTCCATCAATTGCTTTTTCTTTAAATCATCTTCTTCACGTTTTTTCTTTAAATCATCATCGCGTAACTTTTTGGCTTCTTCTTTCTTTTTTCGGTCTTCCTCAAACTTCTTTTTGCTTTCTTCATTGCCAGTTGATGGACGTGGAGCTAATTGAACTGTTCTTCCGATACTGGCCCTAGTTGTGCTTGGTCTTTTTGGTTCTTTTTCAGCAAGATTATCAAGATTTATGCTAAGACCTGGTTTAAGCTTTGCTGGTTTTTCATTATGTTCAGCAGATAATTTTTGGAGCAATTCTTCAATTAATAAGCGCTGGCTTTTCACAGTTGAATGAAGATCTTGTAGCTTTTCATCGATCATGTGCTCAATTCCTGCTTGTATCTCTGTCCACTCCATTTTTTATAATTAATCATAACGTATATCATCCCGAAATTTTAAGGGAAATAAAATTTAAATTAAAATCACTTAATATAGATTTGAGAAAATGGTTAATCAAGTATCAATTTAAATTAGAATTTAAAAAATAAAATGGAAGAAATACATGAGCTTTTGATTAAAATTTGTTTGAAATGAATTATATGAGAAAGATGGTAATTTTAACATTTAAAACTTATGAAGCGCCAGAATTTATTTTCTTAATAGTTTCGAATAAAAATTATTTAAAAATCACTTTGAAATTATGCTTGCTCAAATCCTTAATGAATAAATTCTCCACAAGACGAGTTTCCTTACTTCCCAATATGTGACGTCACAGAAAATTTTAAATCTCGACGATAATAATACCATCCATACATGGTTATAGAGAGCCGTCAAAGACCCAGCCGCATACAAGCAATTTTATTAATCCTTTTTGCATTATGCCCATTGCCATGTATAGCATTCGGTCTCTACTATTATCACAATGCATGGCTGACTATAATTCTCTTCCACATTGTGCTGGCTTCTCTTCCTCTAGCTTATAAGGTATTATTTACTGATGCCCATCTCCTTGATTATACAGCAGGCGAGCTAAAAGATCCATTAAGAGAGTTACTGTACGGGCTTTGTGCCTCCACAGCGATTGTTTTATTTGTAATGGGTCCCGTCACCTTTGTGTTCTTAAAATATAAGCCTTTCTTCCTCTGGATTATGGGGCTGGAAGGGATGGTTTGCAATGATTTTGCTATGGATTGTGAAAACATTTTAAATCCTTTGCTCTTTGCTGTGTATTTTTCTATCGTCAATCCGGGAATTGAAGAATGCTTCTGAAGGGTGTTTTTGGTAAAAAGTTTACCAGCAGACTATAAGTGGATTATCTCAGCCCTGTATGCGAATTATCACTTTGTAAGAGTTATTTAGTTCGTTTGCATAAGATTTGTGGGAATTTATCAGTCGATTTTAGGATTTACCGTAACTTTTGCAGTTGGCATATTAATGCAAGAACTGAAAGAAAGATACGGACTATTAACTGTTGTCTGTGGGCACATGGCGTTTGATTTGTGTGCTATGGTAAGAGATATGTAGATGGTTTGGGGTCTTATATTATACTAAGGCTTTTATAAAATAGATTTAAATAATGTGTTGGATTTAAACATTAGGGACTCCTTCTGCACGTTCTAAGTTGACGTAGTTTATGGAATTCACGAATTTTGAATGGGTTCGGACAGTCTTTCTGTAGCAGCGATCTAAACATCCTTTTTCTTCATCATTAAGGGATTTATCATATAGAGAGGTGATGCATTCATCAAAGCAGGCAGACATCATTTTATTATAGCTTCTGATTTCAGAAATGATATATTGGCCTGGATCTCCTCCTTGTCCTACGAACTTCAATACTGATTGCATATTTATATTAAATAACCATTTAGGAACGCATTTTATTAGGGTTTCTATTGAGAATCATATAAAATTAAGATCAAAAGTTTTAGATTGGTTCTGGATTAATTATAAGACAATATTCTTACTTCTTCAGGAGGCTTCCAGCTACGATCGTTATTTCTCTAATTGTATAGTCTGTAACAAGCCGATTAACTACATATGGATCATTTTGAGCATAGTCTTTAATCATTTTTTCCTCTCCCTCGAATAAAAGTACTCCAGTGTCGATTGGATTTTGCAAAGCTCCTATCAAAACTAAACCTCTTGGCTCATATGCTCTTGCATGAGCGATATGAGCATCTCTGTAAGGAGCTCTTTTGTCAACCATTCCTTCTACATACTTGTATGTCAACAAAAAGTGCTTGAATCTTCTAGCTTGAAATCCTAACATTTATATTGAGTTTTTCGAAATGAAATACAACCACTATTTTTTTAATCATTTTGTAACATGAAATTAAACAATTGTTTATTTGAGTTAAAATCAGCACTATTATTAAATTTTGTAAATTGAAACAGCATTAATTATAAAATATTTTAAAATTGTTATTTTTTTTTCAAAAATTAAAAATAAATCAAATTCAAGCTAAACTATAATCTGCCTCTCATTTAATAGGAATTCTTAAAATATTAACTCACCCCTCCATTAGTGAACAAAAAAATTTTGCTCAAGGAGGTTAATTTTATTTTTTAAAAAAATCAAAATTCGACAAAATTGGAAAGCAGATATTATTTTATTTGTAAAATTTATGCTTTAAAATGCAAGATGTTTAAATTTAAACAGAATTTTACAAGAGATTTCTTTATATTAATTATTACTTATATATTTTTTTTTCTTAAAAATTTTTGTTCGCTCACGGAGGGTGGGCTTTTGGGCAAAAAATAAGGATTTTTCCAATGGTTTTGTTCGCTCAAGGAAGGAAGGAAGGAAGGAAGGAAGAAGTAAACTTGCTTTCTCAATTTTGATCCAAAATGGTTTTTTTAAAAATATGTACCGACGAGTTGAAAATCGAGACGATGCTATGAAAAATTTCTACACAATCATTGAACAGCTTGGTGAAGGGACTTTCGGAAAAGTCTGAAGAGCTGTAAATAAATCAACTGGTGAGGAGTTTGCTATTAAGTCTATTGATAAATCCAAGCTTGGCCAAGATGAAATTACAAATCTGCAGCTTGAAATTGACATAATCTCTCAAGTGGACCACCCAAATATTGTTCGCACTTACGAAGTCTTTGACGAGCCTAGATATTTGAATTTTGTCATGGAAATTATGAGCGGTGGCGAACTATTCGAAAAAATCGTTGAAAAAGATCATTACAGCGAAAAAGAAGCTGCAGATACCATTCGTCCAGTTGTAGAAGCAATTAAATACTGCCACGATATGGGAATTGTTCATAGAGATTTAAAACCAGAAAATCTCTTGCTTTCATCAGCAGATGAAGGTGGAATCTTAAAAATCACAGATTTTGGCTTGGCACGATTTTACGATGACGATTTAATGACGACTGCTTGCGGAACCCCTGGCTATGTTGCCCCAGAAATAATTGAAGCCCGAGGTTATGGTCTAGAAGTCGACTATTGGAGCGTGGGGGTCATTTTGTATATAATGCTGTGTGGATTTCCCCCTTTTTTTGAAGATAATAATGAGAAGTTGTTTGACATGATTAAAAGAGGACAATATGAATTCACATCGCCTTATTGGGATGATATTTCTAGCATGGCAAAAGATTTAATTTCAAACTTGCTACAAGTTAATCCTAGACAACGATTTAATGCAGAAGAAGTTTTAAGACATCCATGGATGACTGGAGAAAACACACCTCGCACGAATATGCCTGAGGTTAGTATGAAGATAAGAGAATTTAATACAAGGAGAAGATTCAGAAAAGTTGGAAATGCAGCGGTTGCATCAGTGAAACTAATTCATATTGCTCATGAGAAGCATCGAGAAGAGTATGCAAATTATTAAAGAATTTTATTAGAAATTAGAAAATAAAAACAATAAGACAATGCTTCTCTTGCATTCATATGCATTTTCTGATACTCTATTTTTTTGTTATTTCCCTCTTTATTCATATCTTATAAACTCCAATTTCTTGATTTTTTTTTTAAAAACTTCTTCCAATAAAACTCACAAAATTTTGATACTTTTTGATACAATTGTCCTCTATTCTACTAAGAATTCAATTTATTTTATCAATATTATTTTCTTCTTTTGTTACTGTTAAACTCATTCGTTAATAGTAAAATGCAGTCAAATAATTCAAGAGGTAAACTTTTCACCTTTAGCGGCCACTACTCAGATAAAAGCAATAAGCTTCCTCAACGTGAAGTTGCAAGCCCTTTAAATATTTCTACCCCAAAACCTTCATCAAAAAGACCATCTTCAGCTGCAAATGCCCATACAGCAGAAAACATTATTGAGTTAATAAGAAAACTAAATGCACAGCCTGTGACTAATGAAAATGAGCCAAAAACAATGACATCTGGAGAATACAGAAAATTTCTGGAATCACAAGCTAAAAACTTACTCCCCCCCCCCATCCTCGATCGAACGATTGACTGTAAAAATTCCTAAAAATTGGGGAAATTAACCCCATCCTTGATCGAACGATTTTCATATCATGCACATTTTATATATATAAAAAATATTAGTTATCAAACGCTTTGGAAGATGTGCCTAATGAAGTTTGTTTTCAGAGCTTTGAGACGACAGAAAGCTGCGAAATCAACCATCCGAAGTGATTTAGACATCAACCTAGGCTTAAAAGCTCAATAATCTAATAAAATAGAGATTCTTTAAAATTTTAAAAAAATATTTAATTTAAATTAAAATTTATACAGTTTAAAAGGGTAACTAATAAATCAAAATATTAAAAATTGGTATTTTTTATGAAATTAATTCAATTTTTTGCTGTAAAAATAATTATTAAATACTCTTAACCCTCTTATTTAAAGTAAATAAAAAAAAAATCTATATATATCTTTTTCATTTTATATATAAATTTTTTTTCCCAAAAAAAATGTTTTTTAACCCCCATCCTTGATCGAACGATGGCGAGTCGTTCGATCAAGGATGAGGGGAGTTAGGAAAAAATACACAAAACTCTGCATCGAGCATTCCTGTAAGGAGGGCCAGTTTAACGAGAACTACTCCTCCTACAGCATTAATTAAGCAAGACGACAAAAACGTAATTAGACACAATACTGTATTATTATCCGGAAAACCACCTTCAGGCAGAAAAATTCCTGCAAGGCAAGAAATTAAGCTTGAATTACCTCCTAGATCTCCATTAGGCCCTAAGACAATTTCAGCTATTTTATCGGCAAAAGAAAACTCTTTACCAATTACTAGCCCAACTGATCAAAAGCATAATGGAAAGATTGAAGACTATAAAGTCGACAAACAAATAGGCCAAGGAGCCTATGCAATTGTAAAATATGCTGTTCATACCCCCACAAATAGAAAAGTTGCATTCAAAACTTATGAAAAAATAAAATTATTAGACTCAAATAGAAAGAGAAATGTTATGAGAGAGATTGATATTTTAGCGATGCTAGATCATCCTAATATTGTAAAATTATATGAAACAATTGATACTACAAGACAGTTACATATTGTCATGGAATATGTATCTGGGTGCTCTTTGCATGGATATCTTAAGAGAAAGCCTAATAGAAGATTAGAAGAAAATGAAGCGAAAAGAATAATCAAACAAATTTTGTATGCGATGGAATATTGCCATGGCAAAAATGTGGCACATAGAGATATAAAACTAGAAAATTTGTTGCTAGACGAAAAAAATGATGTAAAAATCATTGATTTTGGTTTTGCAACTTGCTTTCCAAGCGAGAAAAAAGTCAAAATTTTCTGTGGAACTCCAAGCTATATGGCTCCAGAAATAGTCGCAAGAAAAGAATATGCTGGACCTCCGGTTGATATCTGGGCTATTGGTATTTTAATATTTGTTCTTTTATGTGGACATTATCCATTCAAAGGAAACGGTGACAAAGATCTCTACCGAAAAATACAGCAAGGCCAGTTTATTGTTCCTCAGCATGTTTCTTCTATGGCTAAAAGCTTGATTACCCGGATTCTAAAAGTTGATCCAGCTAAGCGACCTAAAGTGTCAGAAATCTTGCAAGATCCTTGATTTGCAAGCCAAAATAGCTTTACAATGTCAACAGAAGATTCCCTTCTTGCATCGACAAACAATCATGCCTGCTCTATCAATGGTGATATATTAGATTTTGACATAACCTGCAGCACAGTAATTTCTATTCAGAAAAAAATTGGGGATTCCCAATCGCCATCCCATGCTTTCCCTGCTAAAGAAACCCTTGCCAGTTTTCCTCATTCTCATAACTAAATTTCTTGCTTGTATGTATATAATTTTCCTATCAAACCTAAAATTTCCTATTGACACTAAAATTGCATTGTAAACCTCTCATAATCCATATTTTAAAGGATGGTCATCAACACTGAGACATGCTCTTTCAGCGAAATGAAAGTTTGGCCAGGACGTGGAAGCCGCTTTGTGACAAAGGACGGGAAAATCCACATGTTTATTGGGTCAAAAGTGAGATGTCTTTTCCATCAAAGAGTGAAGCCTGTAAAGCTTACATGGACACAGACTTGGAGACGTGAAAATAAGAAAGGAAGAGTTGAGACTATCAAGAAAAGAAGAGTCCGCAAGGTTGGAAAGATCCAAAAGGCCTATGTTGGAGCCACTTTGGATGATATTAAGAGAACCAGAGAAGAAAAACCAGAATTGAGACAGGCTAAAAGAGAGCAGGCTATTAGAGAAATCAAGGAAAGACAAAAGAAGCAGCAAGCACAACACCAGAAGTTCGAAAAACAGCCTAAACAAGCGGCTCCTAAGGTGATTAAGACAAAGGGAAAAAGAAAGGGACCTTCATAAGCTAACTTTTTAACACCCATAAATTGAAATAACAAATAATAAGAAATGTTGGAAGAGGCTAAAATAAATCACTGATAAGTATGCTAATGCAAGCTTAGATCTTACTAATAGTATGTAAAAACTATGTAATATATTATACAACCCTAATCCATAATAATTAAACTGCTTATAAAAGTGTTTAATTCAAAGAAATATTTTGATTCATCTAAATATGAAAAATGCAAGCAAAATTTTTTTTTGAATTTCGTTATCTTTAAAAGTCATCACCCCGACTAAACCCCCAAGAAAATTTTTTATATTTATTTTTTAATAAAAAATCATTTTAATTTGTTTAAAATTATTATATATAAATGGATTAAGGACCTCTTTGCAAGTTGGTCTGATGATAAAAGTATGCTCCATTTGAGATACATAGCTTCCACGAACATCACAAAGTGGAGGATAAGGAACCACGATTCCTGCATTCACAAGATTTCTCAGTGGCAAAATATGTTTTGTCTCTCCATCCCTCTGCAATTGGCGTCTGCTCCAAGGCAAGGTTCCATATTTCTTTTCAATATGTCTTAGCAAACCTCTGGCTTTATTGTCACGCAGTGGAATAGGTTTGCCAAAAAGATCAAAATCTATCATGTAATGTGAGCATTCTAAATCATCATGGACTAAGCCTTTTCCAGTGCTTCCGAAAGTCTCAATTGCATACAACTCCCCTTCTTCCATCTTAGTCTGATCATTATTTTTCACAATTTGGACGCTTTTTCCTCCGTGAATGTGGAATGGTCCAATGCTGTGCCCATTAAGGTTACGGATTGCCTTTATTGGGTAAGTTCTTCCATCAAGCTCAATTTCGTAGCTTTCTAAGGCTTCTTGGATTGCACCTCCGATCTCTGAAAATCTAGCGTCGACACCAGCATGCTTTACACCTTCATTTGTGGCATCTTGTGTGGCGTGGACTAAGTTGTCGAATTTTGGATTAAAAGCGACAGTAAAGGCACAGTCAATGATTCTTCCACCAACATGTGTCCCGAAATCGACTTTGCATACATCGTCGTAGCCTAAAGTAACTTTATCACCAGGATTAGGTGTGAAATGGGCAGCTACATAGTTTAAGCTGCAGCCTGTTGGAAAACCAACGCCAGCCTCAATTCCATCCCCTTCCAATAAAACTCTTGAATAATTTTCAAGCTCTTCACAAAAATCATGCAGATCAAGGCCAGGCTTCAGCACGCTCTGTGCCCATCTTCTAATCTGTCTATGAGCTTCCGCACCCTTTCTTAGAGCTTCGTAGTCATAAGAATGCAGTCTTTCTAATTCGCGCTTTTCTTCGCTTGTAGCTCTATAGGCATTATCACCTGAGTATTCACATATTTCGCCTATAGGGAAGTTATTGTTGGGAAATTGCTGACTAATCGGAATTGATGGTGGATTGGTTTGCATGTAATTAGGATTATCATTCCAGTTTTTTAGGAGACGTATGTGAGAGTTATCTTGGAAGCGATTTACTGTGGCAACTACTGGGGCTGCTGATTCTTTGGCAGGCTTTTTACGATTTCTTTTCTTTTTCTTTTTAGCTGGGGCAGCATCTTTAGATTCTTCAGGATTTGGGTCTTTGGATTCTTCTGTGGATGCAGGATCTGGTTGCTCTTGAACTGCTGGAGAAGTATTTTCAGGTTCGGCTAAGGATTTTTCTGCTTCTACCTCTGAAAGAGTTTTGGCTGAATCATGTTGATTCTCACTTTCCATTTTGTTAATTGTATGATTTAAGGATGGAGATACGGAGATGGCTTTTATTTGAAAAAAATATAATTAACCTTATTAAAAATAAGGATTGCTATTTAGGCTATAATTTTTAAATATTTTGATCTAGATCCATATTATATTTTGAGTTAACCTTTATTACAACGAACTTTAAATTTTGCTTGGTCAATATAAGCATTAAGCTAGAAAGCTTAAAGCTGGTATTCTTCTTACACAGCACAAATTAAATTTATCATGTTTGAATAATATAATTCCATTTATTTTCTTAATTGTCGGATTTATACTTCTTTAGCGTCCCTTGGCTTATTCTTTCCTGAAGCTCATTTACTCCTCCAATATACAGTCCTTCTACAAAGACATAAGGAAACCCTTCTTTGTGTGTATAATTTTTAAGGTCTTCTTTTATTTTATTAGTCCTCTTACTCACCTCAATTACTTTGAAATTTACACCTTCAGAATATAGTTTCATTTTGGCATCTAATGAAGTTGAGCATCCAGTTTTACTGAAAATCAAAACGCTATTGTTTGAAATTTCTTTTGCAATTGAAAAATCGCCTTCTGTGTTCTCCACTGCAGAACAACAATAAGCACCCATTTTGCTTATCAAAATTATTTGATTTTCGTCTCCATAGTTTTTATAAAATGATCTTATTAAGCAATTTTAAATAATTTTCTAAATTTTTGTAATATGAACCTTTTTTTAATTATAATCAATATGATGAACTATAAAAGAATCAGTTTATTATTGCTATGGCTTACCTTAGCAGTTAATGGCTTTCCTCTATATGATGGCATTGAACTAGGTTGGTCTTACCCAACTAATGAAACAGTTTCTTTTAACCTTTCAGTTCCTGTAAGCCTCATTGAGCAAAATGCTATTTCATTTCTATTTCTAGCTATTAGACCTACGAATCAGGCTACAAATTCAAGCTACATGGACGTAGTATTGGTAAATTTTACGAATGATTCAATTGAAGATGAGTTTCCAAACGAAAGAGGGTTTCCTCAGCTGGACAAAGAATTAAATGGGACTGACGATTTATTCGATAAATCTGCAGAAATTGCAGGAGAAAATAAATATTTCACCTGGAGTCGAAACTTTTTTTCAAACGATACAAAAGACATCAGCTTGATTCCTGGGCAATTATATGCACTTTTATGGGTTTATGGAAATATTAGTGCAAATTGAACATTCACGATAACTAAATCTGGATCTCAGCCTATAACGTTTCATAATAGTAGAATTCTTTATGGCGAAGATAAAGGCCCTATGGGCGATCATCACGGAGGTAATCAAGGTGATCAAGGTGATCATGGTGATCATAGAGGAGATGGAGATAAAAATAATAATGATACAGATCAAGCAAATGGTAGTGGTTTTCAAGATAATGATGACTATGACTTTGACGATGATGGCTACCAAGGCAATAGTGATGATGATTCTGATAATGATTATGATTATGATGAATCTGGAAATAAAACCTTGAGAGTAAATCCACTTCTATCCGGATCAATTGAAAGATTTCTAATGCCAATATGGATTCTATCAATATTTTTAGTTTAATTATTTTTCAATTGCCATAAAATTTAAATTGTCTAAGCATAAGGAGATCGAATTAGGAATAATGAGTGATTTAGTTTATAGGTAAACTCTGCTGCTTTTATTATATTTAATTTTATTAAAGAATTTGTTGAAATCAAATAAATTAATGGATCATCTCTTATTAAAATAATTTAAGAATACATTAAGTTTATTTTTTATTGATGACTACTATAGCTTTAGATATTAAGCCTGCATTGATTATTAATGCTTTTCACAAAAATATGCAAGCATTTATTTCATTTAATATTTATGGTAGTATTTCAATGTATGTCAAATAAATGAAACTGCAAGATTCCATGACTACGAGTAAGCATTAAGAAAAGGGGAAAAGAAAGTAATTAGGAGCTATAGGATATTAAAGCAGCTTATAATAAAACCAACTCTTGCTTGTGCATTATCAGAAGTGTATCAGATTCTTAATTTATAGTATTTTACTGTTTACAGATTAATCACTAACTAAAATTATAGCTTTATGACAAATCAAAGACATAAAATATTATTTATTCAGTATTTTTACTATCAAGACATCTTGCATGAATATACTTTGTCAAATTTATATTTTTACATGTAAAATTTAAAGAAGCCAACTTAAGCATTCTCCTTTTCAATTAAAATTTGAAACAAACTTGGTGGAGGCTATTGAAATAATAAAAAAGCAATTTTTTTTAAATTAAAATAATCATATGCTTAATTTTTGTGACTCAAACCTCACTGCATAATTACAGGCCAAAGCAAGGCCGTTCTCATAATCTTACTTGGACTATTTCTAAAATTATTATACTCACAGATTTGCTTATCTTTTTATTAGTTTGAATTTTGCCATACTATAAAAGCTTAGATAGAAACCTCTATATCATAGTTCTGAGTTCAAATGACTTTATCTTAATTATGGAGCGATAAAAGGAGCATTTTCCTGTGTTTATGCTATGGAATTTAAAGAATAAATATTATAAATGAGGTTTTTTAAATAGATCTAAAGATTTGATCATAGATGCTACTTTCTAAAAGCTCAAAGTAAGTTTATGTATAGCCCTGAATCATTTTTGATCCTTCAAGCTAGTCGATTTTACGCTTTTGGCCAATATATTAATGATAGAAAACGTAACCATCAAATGGGCTAAGGCCAAATTTCTTTGGAAACTTACCAAACCCAAATGATTGTTATACTTTTGGTGGATTAAAGTCCAAAAGCTTTTAAGATAATCCATAAGGTGCTCGAGTTATAAAATTAATTTAAATATAATAAAGATTATAATAAACTAATATTCAATAGCAGCTTTAAACAACAAGCCTCCTAATCCCAAATTATTATCGACGATAATGTGCAAGTAATTATCTCCTTGAACAGTTTTTGAAAGCATATCAATTTCAGTTAAAAAGTGGGAGGTTTCGGATTTCATCGCTACTAGCCTTCCATTAAGGAATATGGTAAAATTGTCATCACCGGAAATTGTAATGTAAGATTTAGTAGGAATTCCAGGAACAGTAAAGAACCTCATAAATAGCGCAACTCCAGGTGTTACATTATCCGTCTTATCTCAAATTCAATTTGATCCATACATAGTTGGTCAATCTAGAGAAATCTCTGCAGGTATCACTGCTTCAACTTTTTGGCCGGATTGAAATGTATATACAGCCCCATCACTAACGAAACTCAAAGTTGTTGCAGATATTTGTTGGCATAACAAGAAACATAAAACTAGAAAAGATAAGAGTTTAGACATTTATTATATGAATTGAGCCTATTTTTTAAAGTGAAGCCATCTTTGTGAGCAAAAATGTAAGTGCTTCTAATTTAATCAAAAAATCAAATTTTATCGATACTTTGCCAATTTCTTAAATAATTCTAGTTATATAAGAAAAAAGGAGTATTAGGATTAAAATTTCTTAAATCTTGATCATTTATTCCTTGAGACTTTTCTAGGGCCAAATGAAGTTATTTACTATATAACTTCGAATTTTGTGATGCTAGTCTCGTAGAGCTTGATATTAATTATACAAAACGGTCTTTCTAGATGCAATCTTTTCGAGTTTATTTAATTCTGGGTGTCAAGCTTACTCAAAATTACTCTTTGCAAGAGAACTGTCGCTTATATAGCATCTGATAAAACAAAATATTCCTTCTAGATTAGCTAATTTTAAGTAATTATCAATATAACATATTTAATTATTTTAAGAAAATATTTTATATATCCTCAAAAATAATTAAAGCATAGAATTTATTTTGGTTCAAAAATATTTGCTCCCTTTATTTAATTTGTAATTTTGCAAATGCATAAAAATGGATGTTTCATTCCTTCTTTAAGATTGTAATAAGTTTATTATGGTTATGTTTTATAAAATTTAATAAAGTTATAAAATAAAAAGAAGATATAATTTAGATTACCATCAATTTATTGGAATCATTATTGATATAAAATTTGCTATTTTTATGCTTAAAAGTGATATTTTAAATAATAAATAAATTTCAAATTAAGTTCCATTTTCCCTTAGAATGATAATTCATTTTATCTAAAATTATTATTGCTTATAAAAGCCTAATATCAAAAGTTGACGAAATTAAAATTAAATATTTATAAGGCAAATTTAAGCCAATCAGTTAATTATAAGTGATGGCCAGTTTAAAGAGAAGCCCAGCAGGGTTGTCATAAACACCTGAGCCTGCTTGAGCCCAGTTAAGGACTACAACTTGAACCACGTTTCTCCCTTGAATTGTTCTGCTGAGTAAATCAAAGGTCACTGTTTTTCTTCCTCCGTATGCTAAATCTTGGCTAGCCCCAATAAAGTTTCCATTGAGAAAGATTGCATAGCTGTTGTCAGCTGAAAAAGTGAGGAAAGATGAAGTTGGGAATCCAGCAACATTGAATTCCTTTTGGAATGCATAAGACTCTTCTGCAGAGGTTTATTAATTACTCTAAAATTTTTGATCATCAAGATATGCTAAAGAAGAAAATTTTAGCAGACTAGCAAAAATTTTAGAAAATTAAAGGAAGAGTATTGTGTGGCTGTCAAAAAGTGCAGGGCGAATAGCATGAAGCCTTCTGCAGTTGGATTTTCTATCAAATAGCTTTTCCAAATCCATTTGGCGCCTGGTACTGAAGCCCAGAGCGAATGTACCCAAGTTCCAACGGCGTTGCCAATATAGTTACGACCTTCAACAGTCCATGACTCATCGCTGACGACTTCAAGGTACCCAGCTGATGCTGGTGATAGAAAAGCAAGAAGAGCCACCAAAACAAAATATTGACGCATATTTATTATTAAAGGATGATGTCGACGATTAAAAATGGATTCTAATGATATTTATGCATTTAAGGAGAAAGTCTTAGGAGTTTTGATAAGCATTTCAGCTTATTTGAACATAATTAATAATAATTACTTGATTAATTATTCTTATTCGAATTAATCTTTTGAATAATTTGACAATTTAAAAGTTTCCTCTTGAATTAATGGTAGGGGAGATGAGTTAAATTCAAAATTTATTTTGAAAGGAATTAGAAGAATTATTTTTTGTTCTATGTTTTTAATTAATTAACTATTTCTTATTTTTGTTTCTCCAAATACGCAGGCAAAAAATTTTGCTTTTCTCTTATATTATTTGTCTTTTGATATCTATGCTAATTTTTATTTTATAAAAACTCTTAGAACTAAAATTTTGATCTAAGAGGAATATTAAAAGTTTAATGCTCTGTGATAGTGAGAATTTATCATTTAAGGCATCTAATTTTAAATTTCTAAGACGCATACATGGCTTATTAACCGTTTAAATTTTTATATTTTTGCTTTTCAAAATCCCATATATTTTAGAATTTTATGTTTGCGCAGGACTCATTGCAAAGTGGTTCTCAATATCACATTGCTCATTAGTAGTAATATTATTCACTTATAATTTATTTGATAAATTCTTTTTAACGCACTAATTTATCTTGAAACTAATCAGCCAAGTTTATATCTCTATCGCCTTTACATAATTTAGCATAGACATTAATTCCTCATCTTTTAAAAATTAATAATTTTCTTTAAAATAGAAGCTAATAATTTTTACTTTCTCTTTAATTTTGGATTATTCACTACTATTTTTTATTCTCTTATATTCTATTCCTGATTAACTTAGCTTATTTCCCAATTTTAATAAATTAAAACTTAATACGCTCTTGGAGTCTCAAAATGATATTTATCTATAAATCTGTTTCAATTTTTATTTGATTTTTGTTTTATCTTAATTAGCCTATATCCAAGTATTTTATTTACTTCAAATTCTTATGAAATCTATTCTCAATCAAGATTAGATATTTTGCATAGCCTACTTTATATGATTATAGACTACTGTTTTGAAGTCGCCAGTGCCCTTGAACACATTACCATTAGCAAGAACAAGAAGCGCTTTCGTATATTAGCTTAAAATTCTCCATTTTAAATAATTATCCTAATAAAAACCTAATATCAAATTGTTGAGTTAATTACTCAATCGAGCAGTATTAATAGAATTGTCGAATTTAGAATTGAGCCAATTATTTAATTAAAATTGACTGTCAATTTAAAGAGTAGCCCTGCAGGGTTGGAATAAGAATTTCCTCCTCCTTGAGCGTAATTAGTAACAATAACTTGCACAACGTTTCTGCCTTGAATTGTTTTACTTAGTAAATCAAATGTTTTTGCTCTGCCAAAGCTTCCATCTTGCGTAGCTGCAACAAAATTTCCATTGAGAATAATTGCAAAGTTATTGTCAGCTGCAACGGTAAGGAGAGAAGAAGTTGGAAATCCAAAGATATCGAATTCCTTTACGAACATATATGACTCTTCACCACCTGGATTTTCTATTAAAGTGCTTTTCCAAATCCATTTTGCGCCAGGAATTGAAGTCCATGCTGAATGAACCCAAGTTCCAACTGATTTTCCAATATAACGAGAGCCTTCAACAGTTCATGACTCATCGCTAACAATATCAACGCTTCCAGCTGAAACTGGAACAGCTGATGAATGAAGTAAAGCGAAAAGAGCTAATAGTGCCCAAATCTGATTCATATTTATTATCAATTAATAGCGAATGAATTAATCACATTATATGGTTAAACAGAATAAAGTATATTTTTAATGTAATTGTCGACAATAATTAAGATAAATAGAAATCTTTTAAACTAAAGCTTAATTGAAGTATAGGTATAAAAAAAATTAACTTTCTTCAATTCTTGTAATCTCAGAATATTTCTTATTAGTTTATTCAAGTTTTGGGAATATTAAATTGCAAGTGCATAAAATTTATTGCAGAATTAGTTTGTTGGTCAAAGATGGCCTTAAAAATTCAAATTTTTACTTAAATTTATATGAAAATGACCGCGTAATCGATTAAATAATATATTTAGATATTATTATATATTAAGCCACGTTAATTTCAACTTAAATAGAAGTCCACCAGGGTTGGTATAAATATCTTTATTTTCTCTAGCATAATTCGTGACAACAACTTGAACCACATTTCTTCCTTGAACTGTTCTACTAATTAAACCATAGGTTTGAGCCATCCCTTCATTTCAGAATTGAGTTGCTACTATAAAGTTCCCATTGAAAATAAGTGTATAGCTATTGTCGCCAGCAATGGAAAGTAAAGACTGAGTGGGGGATCCATTAACATTAAATTCTTTTTGGAACATATATGACTCTCCAGATTCCGGATATTCAACAAAGACGCTTTTTCATATCCATTTTGCACCAGGAATTGTTGTTCATTGGGGGGTGTCTCCAAGCCGCAACTGCTTTACCCATATAATTTGTACCTTGAACATTCCAGGATTCATCACTTACAATTTCTGCGCTTTTATAAGATACTGAGCAAGATAGAAAAGCAAAGCTTATCAATAAGACAAGATGCTTAGACATCTCTATATAATTAAAAATATAGACAATCTGATTTTGCAATAAATATTAACTTTTAATGTTGCTCAATTTAGGATCAATAATTTATATTTTTGTATACTTGTTAAATTTAATATATATACGTATAAATATATTTTACTTGCCATCTATTTCTGCGACAAGAGCAACTTCATCAGCAGCTTTTTCATTTTCCTTTCTAGCAAGATCAAGTATCAGGGTTTTTATTTTATTTAATTCCTCTCTCAACTTGCTATTTTCGTCTCTCAAAGCCTTGAGTTGTTGCTCTTGACTGTATTTCTCACAAAATATAATTGGCCCAGTATGAGTTGTACGGATTTCCCACAATTTTCCTTGCTTTTTCTTTAATTTTAATTTTTTTCTTATTAAAGTTTTGGACTCAATCTTTACATCAGTCCTATCAAGCTCTTCAAGTCATAAATTGGTAAGAATTTGAGTTCTTGAGTCCTTGATTTTAATCATACAAGGATTATTCATTATAGAAAGCTTAGAAAGCCTATGCAATTTCTTTAATGTTCTAATTACAAGGCTGAAAACAAGCAAAGAATTTCCATTTAGATTTAGCTCTGTCAGCCTTTTACATTCAGCTAGCGGAGAAATGTCTTTGATTTTGTTTTTGGATGCCTTAAAAACTCTCAGTTTTTGCAAATTATAAAATTTAATGTGAATACTTTTCTCGAAAACTGAAATCTACCCATTTTTTCTACTCGATATAGTTAATAATTCGTGAATTTAGGTGAGAGGCTAATATAATTTTTGCTACTTAAAGGCTCAACATCAGTGACACTATTTTTGCTGACATTTAAATATACAAGATTTTTGCACTCCCCAATGCCTTTTAAACTCGTTAAGTAGTTTTCTGACAAGTCAAGATTTTCCAAATTAGTAAGCTTGCTTATATCAAATCTATCATTTGAACCAAATACGCTTAAACCTCTCTTGCTTAAATTCAATTCTCTTAAATCCGAAAGAAAAGAAGTTTTAGCAATCCTCAGAATTCTTTCTTCAGACAACTTTCCTATCTCGCTCAAAGGATTTTCTGGGATTTTAATTGATGTTAAAATCACATCTAAATCTCTTGAAGATTGCCATGATGGAATTCCAATGCAATCTTCAGACGAACTCGGGTAACTATCAAAGGATGGCGCTGAACTTTTGGTGTCAGGGTCTTTTAAATAGCTGACGTGGACTTTGTCCATATGAATTTCAAGCTCTCTTCTTGTGTCAAAAGACTGCTCATCAAATGGACAGCAAAAGCTTTTATTCATGAAATTATTACAAGAAAAATATATTTAGTGGATTAAATATGGAGCTGCATTTTACTAGATATTCTAATTGATTGTATACAAAAAATTTACTAAGTGATTTAGAAAGTAAAAATTAAAATTAGTATAAAAAAATAAGAAAGCAAATAAACTTATCTCTAAATTAAACTTAAAAGCAATAATAATGATTTTTTTTTAAAAAATAAGCCTATTATTCTTTTAGCTTAAGATTGATATATCTGAAGTTCGGTATAGAAATTGCCCGAGGATGGCGCTATTTTGCGCCATCCTCGGGCAATTTCTATATCAAAAATTTCTTCCATTGGGAGACAAACCTTAAAAAAAAGAGAGATTTAATCGAAATCTTTTTCATTACTTTTTTGTAAATTGAAGAGATGCCCCATTAATGCAATATCGAATTCCTGTTGCAGTAGGTCCATCATCAAAAACATGACCCAAGTGGGCATCGCAGTTTTGACATCTCACCTCTGTTCTTTGCATCCCATGAGTACTGTCATGAAGATTTTTAATTTGGTTAGCGTCCATCGGAGCATCAAAAGCAGGCCAGCCACATCCTGAGTTAAACTTTGATTGAGAGGAAAAAAGTTGTACCCCGCAAACGACACAATTGTAAATTCCAGATTCATGATGATCGGTGTATTCTGATGTGAATGGGTATTCCGTGAAGCTTTCTTGAGTCACTTTATATTGCAGAGGAGTTAAACGCTTTCTTAGACTTTCTTTGTCTTCCATTGCTATAGGAGATTTATTGTCAGATGAGAAGGACCTAAGGAAAATATGTCTTAATCTGCTTATCATAAAATTTATTAATTTTCTGGAATTTAATTGTTTTTTTGTTGGAGAAGAGTAATTAAATATTTTAATGCTGGGCAAGACTGTCAGGCAAATATTAGCAATTCTTTAATTAATTTTAAAAATTCATTCACAATAATTCCATATAAATTAGGAGAAATTATATTAAATTCATTAAGCATCTATTTTCTTGGATATAATTATCTTTTCGATAGCTTTTCTATTCAAGTCAAATTCATAAATAGACCTATCTTCATATATCATTGATGAGTGTGCCCCAGTGCTTAAGACTAAAACAGGTGTTTGATTTTTTGGTAATTCGCATTTTTTCATAAATATCGATCAGTTGAACGGGTCTTCAACATTGCTCTCAAAAACTCATCCTTGTGAAATTGCAATATAAGCTCTATCAATTATTGTAAAAATCACTTTTGAATTAAAGTAATTCTGCCACTTGTACTTAAATCTCAAAATATTTGTGTGATTATCTAAAATAGGATCATAAATAAAAGCCTGTTCAATTGATCCTGTATACAAAATTTTATTTCTGAAAACTGTGCAATTTAAATCATAGCAACCAGAAGTTTGCAGCTTATTTGGAGCTAAAAATTTTCATCTTTGTGTCTGCAAATCATATTTTTCACAGTAGCTCTTCACCCTATGTCCTCTTCCAATTAAATAGATGCAACCGTCTAAATACGAAATTCCAGAGTCTTTGGAATGCATACCTTTGCGTACAATTTCAATATTTTTGGAATTATGCATGATAAATGCTATTTTTGGGTATAACGTGTAGCTATGATTTCTAAAGGCAAACAAAACATTATTAGGAAGAATGCATAAGCTGAATTCCATGTGTTTTTGTATGCCCATTCGGTTTTTTATTTTCGTGATAGATTTGTATGAGTTCAAAAGTATATTTTTCGCTTGGTGATGGTCAATTTTTAAATCTTGTAAATTTATATAATCAGCTGCACATACTTCTTAATGTGCAAAACATGTGGGAAATTTCACGACATATCAAAAAAAAAATTTTACATGTGAAGTCTTACATAAATGCAGGCTTCACATGCGGAATAATTTTTGACATGTGAGGAAATTTCCCACATGTCTCGGACATTAAGAAATATGTGCAACGGATAATATTATCATTTTTGGATGAATTTAATAATGGGTGAAAGTTATAAGGGCTGAAATTATAGTTTTTTTCGTTTTCAAAACTTATACATTCTTTCTCTAAATTCAATAAATTGAGAGATTCTAACTCCTCTCCTCTCCGTGAGCGAACAGAAAAATCTTGTTCGCTCATAGAGTGGGTTTAATTTTATTTTTAAAAAAATTGTTTTTTTCGAAATTTAAAAAAAACCCTAATTCGCAAAAATTGAAAAGCAAATATTTATTTAATTTGTAAATTTTATGTTTTAAAACGCAATTTTGTTTAAAATTAAATAGATTAGCTCGAGATTTTCATTATCCTAATTATCACTTATACATCAAATTTTTTCCATAAAAAATTTTCTATTAAAATAATTTTTGTTCGCTCACGGAGGGTGGGTTTTTGGGCAAAAAATTAGGGATTTTCTAATGGTTTTTATTCACTCACGGAGGGGGGAGTAAGTATTGCGATTTTAGATGATCTAAATGTGACAGATTATAATTTAGTGTATTTGCTATTTGCATAATGTCACTCTTAGCTTTGTTTATAAGTGTTGATTTTTGAGAGCAAATTCATTCAATTTTGGAATTTATTTCTTCAAAATTTTCGCGTTGAGTTTTCATAAAATTTTCTTCTTTATAATATGCTAATTCTTTTAAATTATAAAATTTCAGCTTAATTTATAATTTTTCAAACTACAATTTCCCAAGGTATAAATTAAATTAAATATAAAAATCATATTTCAATCCTATTTAAAATATTTATTATCACTCAATTTAAATCAAGAATTTTTGTTTACTTGAGTAAGTGATGGTTGGAAGATGTTTCATTCAAGTGGCATAATAAATGACTAAAGCAAATAGGCAAAACTTTTGAGCTACAAGTACATCAGCAATCAATCTTATTTGAGCACCCTAAATAAAAGCACCCCATTTATATATTACCAATAAAATATTAAACTAGGATTTTAATTAAATTTAGCTGGGCTTTATAAATAAATTACTTGGCAAACGCAATATTTTCAGACTTATATATTAACAATCATATCTGAAAATAAATAACTATTTTATAATTAAGCGCTTTAAATAAGCTTTCTGATAGTTAGAAAAGCTTAAATTTTATGGCATTTTATAACATTTCTATTAATTTTTATCGTCATATTTATATTATAATTATGAGTCAATCTACAACGTTGGATTTTTTAAGACCCAAATTAGCAATTTTAATTCAAATAAAGAAGCGACAATTGCAAAGAGCCTATCTCAAATGATATAACGAAGCCTTAAGAAAAGTTATGGCAGAGAAGCACGGTAAATTAAAAGCATATACATTGAAATTGTTAAACAAACGAAGTCCAGTTAGACCCTCAAAAGTAGGATTAAAATCCGTTAAATTCCCTGAAGCTCTGGAAAGTGAAGAAATTGATGCACCAGCTCTAATCTATACAGATCGACTAAAAATATCCCCAACAGAAAAGCAATTACTAATAAATACTTTTGACATATCTAAAGAAAATAAGCATGACTCTGCCCTAAGTACGAAAGCGAGCACCCCTGATAATAAGCATTACATAAAGCGTAACAGCAGTGCTCCTTCAAAATCTCCTAAAAATTTATTTGACAAAATCCGTAACGATTTACAGCAAAAAGCTAGTAGACCTGATACGCCTACTGATCAAAAACCAATAGAAATTGGTGAAAGACTTTTTAGGCACGCTGAAATTATTAATAAAAAGAAAGAAATTTTAAGAAATAGCAACAAAATCAACTATCCTTTCTCACCAAAAATATCAGACAGCACAAATAAATGATTAGATTATGCAGTTCGCCTAGCAGGGCCGGGGATTTCCACCCCTACACATTCATCCCTCCCAAGGAAGCTCGATAGACACCTTCTGTTGCCGCAAGCAGGAGATTCGCGTACCGATCTTGACTTTCATGGCTCCTGGAGTCTAAGGGCCAACCACCGGGCCGAAACTCCGTTTCTCTTAGGCAAATACCGTTTTCAGGGCCTGTAGGGTCATATCCTCAAGCGTCGCCGACCTTGCCCTTTACAATGGTTGCTCCAGAGGAAAAACTCTAAGCCCCAAGGATTACTCCCTGAGGCCTGAGGAAAGCCTAGCCCAACATACATAAAGGATTAACAACCCCTTTCCACCTAAATCTCCATCACTGTGCCGTTGCCTGCAGGCGTTGAAGAAATAGGGTCAAGAGGTCGGGGTGGTTCGTCTTCACCATTTTTATGCATATACAAATAAATGACTAATTAAGCGAGAATACAGAATTAATAAACCGAAAGAAGACCCAATAGCAATTGTATCTTGTGCGGAGGCAATGAGTGATCGAGTGAGTCGGCTTGGATTTTTAAGGACAATGAATCCGAATTTTAATTTAATTGAACAGAATGAAGATTTAGTAGAAAATTATCCACCTTCAAGCTATGATGAGAGGTATATTTAACACAGAACCAATGTAAACGTAATTAATATGAATTTTAGTTATAAAAGCACTAACTGATGTATTTAATCAGCTTATAATTCAATTCTGAAAATTTAAATGAAAATAATAAAATATTCGAAGAAATAAAGAGTTAATTTAATCTATTGAGAAAATGCTCGTTATTTCTCGACGGAAAAGAGGGTTTTCTTGCAATTTTTAAAGCCATTCAACCGAAGGCAATGGCAGTGTTCGTGGGTCGGGCGGTGATAAAGTTGTGTATTTATGCGTCCTTTTTGGGTATATATGCTTTCGTGAATCTCTGCTTTTGAAGTTTTGACTGTAATGACTCTGATCTTGGGTTCTCATTCTTTGCATCATCTCAATTTTGAATTATAAGAATATGCCAATATGTCATTTTTTTATTCAACTTTATAACTTTTACAAAAAATAATTCAATAAGATTGCATTTTGAAATGTTGAATGTATTAATCCATTTAAATAAATATTGTTAAAATAAAATCAAAGGTTGCCTTTATCACTAATTTGAAATTTAATAGAAAATTGAATTTAATATAATTAACAAACTAAAACTGGTTTTATAATGATCAATAATTTCTAGAGATGATAATCATAATTTTACAACACAATTGAGCCTTTATGTAAACCAAGGCCCCGAATTCTTTAATAAAATTTAACTAAACCTAATCCTTGATAAAACGATTTCATTGAAAATTGGAAATTAAAACTTATCATATATCAAAATTTTTCATATAGTCAAGAATGGAACGTATTCCCCTATGTGACCTTTAACCTAATATTTATTTGCAAATATATTATTACTCTATGTCTAGTTGCTAGCCCATAAAAGCATTTTACATTGAAAAATTATTAATAATAATAATAATAATAATAATAATAATTAATGAAAAAAACTATCTGCATTTTTTTACAAATTTTTTTCATCATCATTATTGAACAATGGTGAGTCGTTCGATCAAGAATGTAGGGGTTTTAAATAATCAAAATTTAAGATGAATCAACGAGACTTAAAGTTATAATTTGATTTAAATATGAAAAACAATCTTTTGAGCATTTTCTTATAATAGCACTGATTATTTTATAGTTGTCTAAAATCAAGTCATTAAATTTTTTATTCTGTGATAAATCAAAATAATTAAGGAAATAGATTTTATTTTTACTATCAATTAATTTAGCAAATCTCATGAATGCATTTAGATTCATTACCAATTTAGCCAAAAGTATAAATTGCTGCTTTTTAAACTTATAATCTAAGTATAAATTAAAGCTCAAAATTAAAAGAGGAAAATATTAGGATGGTAACAATTCACCCTCTTCACACTGCTTTCAAAAGCACATTAGCGAATATAATGAAAGCTTCAAGATGCTCAATTAACGTCTTAAACTTTCAAGAAAATCTTCAAATAATCACAGATTTGGACTCTGTATGTATGGATCCTCATCTGATAGCCTTCAGTTCAAGCTCAATATTAAACATAGGAGGCTCATGCAATTTATATTCACTTAATGATAATTCAAAGCATCATTTAAGTGTCCTTACAAAGTCAAATCTTGAACCTTTTATATCATCAACGATAACTGGGCAAGTGATATTCAAGCATGATTTAGCGTATTCATTTCTTTATTTGATTCAAGTCAGTGATGTTAATTTGGGAAAAGAAGGAAAACCTCTTCTTTTAAAGTAAATTCTAATATAACTTTAAACTGAAAAGCTTGATTTTATTTTGTTATAATTAAAATAATTCCAATACTCAAATTTGTATTTTCATACGAAGCCATGTCAAATGGAGAATTTTAATAAAAATCCATTTCTCATTATACTATCCATCACCCTAATTGCGGCCATAAATTTAAATCATCTGAAAGAATTTTAAAATCAGAAAATTAATTACCTCAGAAGTCCTTTATAAATGAAATGAATAATTAATTTCATGAATTTCTAAGAAAAAGGCCTAACTCCCCCGCCCTCCGTGAGTGATAAAAAATCCTAACTCGCAAAAATTTGAAAACAAATATTAATTTTATTTATTTCTAAAAAGCAATTTGTTTAAAATTAAACACAGAATTAGCTCTAGATTTCATTATACTAGTAATCACTTATATATCAAAATCTTTTTCAATAAAAATTTTTCTATTAAAAAAAATTTTTGTTCACTCACGGAGGGTGGGTTTTTGGGCAAAAAATAGCGATTTTTCTAATGGTTTTGTTCACTCACAGAGGGGGAGTAAGCTTTTAGGCGTATAAAAGCAATGAAGAAAAGCCAACAATTAAAATAAATACTTTAGTTTTTAAAAGATAATTATCCGTTTATATCGAAATTTAAGCTTTTTCTAATTTAAACTTTCTAAAAATGGATGGTCGCTCTAAATTAGGAGAATAATAATAGAGATGTCAAGCAAAAAATCCCATTCCCAGCTCAATGTAAAATTTCTTTCACTGAATCTGTTTCTTAGGCCACCTTTTATCCACACAAATGAAAGTGACTATAAAGATGCACGACTTCAGTATTTCATTCAAAATATAATTCAAGAATACGACATTATATGTCTTCAAGAAACATACTCTGCATACACTTTAAGACAAAACCGCTTAATAGAGGAAGCAGAAACAAAACAATTTTTATACTCAGCTGTAAGTCCAAAGCCTAAATTTTGGTCAACCCAATTTGTTGACTGTGGCTTAGTAATTCTAAGCAAGTATCGCATCGTTGAAGTCGAGTTTTTACCTTTTACATATTCCCTTCTTCCAGACAAACTTTCATACAAAGGCTCTTTATATGCCAAAATTTTAATTAATGGAAAATATATCCATGTTTTCACTTCACATTTGCAATCAAAGCACCCCACTGAAGACAGTGCTCAATATTTAGCCTATAGGCTTGTAAGAAGATCACAATTGATAGAATTAAGAAATTATATTGACACTAAAATTGGAAACACTAATGAAGCAGCAATTATTGCTGGAGATTTAAATATAGATGGTAGAGAAGAACTAAAACCTCCAGCATTTCCTGTGATTTTTATTTAGGACATTGAGTGCAAAGATGATTATGAGAATTTCATAAATATTTTATCAAAACATGGAAAAGCAGCCTTAGTTGATATCTTAAGAAAAAAATACGGGCACTCTCCGGCAACATTTGGAAGAGGAGATGAGAATGGAAACCCACTTGAAAAAGTACTGACTGCGCCTGATCAAACACTATGGGACGAATCATTGGACTATATTCTAATGATTAATGAAAACACCAGCGGCGTCACTATAAATTGGAGCGATACCCATGTAGAGCCTTTTTATATATCGGGGCAACCTTTTACTCAAATAAGTGACCATGCTGGAGTTCAAACATCTTTTAGATGCTAAAAAATGTTTATATAGAAAATAGTTACAAATTTAGATCTATTATAATAAATATAATTAAAATTAAGAGTATTGTACTTTACCCTTCAAATGAAGTTATTTATATAATTTAATTATTATTGCAGCTGACAGCTTGTACCAATTTGCTCTGCATATCCATCGGATATTAAAGATTTAATTTCAAAAACTTCTCTTCTTGCTTGATTAATAAAAATATTTTGTGAATTTACAGATAAAATGCTTTGTGAGCTTGTGCTTAATAATAAATTTATTGATAATTTGTCATTTGATATTATTGCTTTGATTATTTTTTTAATTTCAGTAATTTCATCAGTTAAAATTTTTATTTCAGTTTCTATTTGCTTTACTCAGTGAGCATAATTATCTGTAGATTGTTGTGCACTACGAGGAGTCATATCGAGAATTAAACTCTCATCGTGAGAAACCAAAAACTGATCAATTTTATCTATATCAATATTCTTCGAAATTTCTTCAATCTTTTCAGTTATAGCAGTTTGGTCAAAAGATTTATTTAAAGGAGGCTTTGAAATCGAATTTTCTCGTGGCCTTGCTTTAGGTTTTAGCTTTGATTTTTCTTCTTCTATTTCTTTTTGTTTTATTTTATGCTTCTCTTCTTCAATTGCTTTAATTTTCATCCTTTCTTCTTCCATTTCTTTTACTTGCTTATTAAGATTTTCTATAATCTCGTCTTTCTCTTTTACGACTTTTTCGAATTCTGAAATATTTTCTTTAAAGAGTGCTCTAAATTGCAATTCTCTTTCTTTAACCATAATCCCTAATTTCTCAATAATGGAATCCTTCTTGTTCTTACTTACTTACTTAGGTATTTAAGGTGTTTTGATTTCTTCAGCAGGATGATTTAGGCACGCTTAAGCCCATCCTTTTAACTCCCACCGGTGACGTCACCAAGCAATCTTGGACCGGTTAGCCCGACCAAGCCATTCTATAAAGTGCCATCCCCAACGGGCCAGAAATCCCGCACCGGCAGCGTTGCCTCGCCCGAACTCGACTCCTGCGCGTGTTTCCGCCTAAGGGTCACCCTCCTCGGGTGTGTCAAGCAGCAAACCCAGGTGGAGCTTAATATCTTGGACCAAAGAAATACCCTATGCGGTATTCCATATTGGTGTTGCTGATAAAAGGCCACGTGGAAAACTGAACCCCATAATAATAAAAGCGAGGGAAGGAATAGTTCTCGGAGAGAACTAATTCCGCACTGAGCCATTTTATTATTATGAATCCTTCTTGTTCACATCTTCTTTTAGCTGATTTATAGTTGTTATGTATTCATTTAATTTGGTTTCATATTCTTTATATTGATGCTTGAATTTTTCTTTTTCGACTTCCAGTTTTAGAGCATCATTTTTATAGCTGAGGTATCCTAATGTTTGAGAAGTTATAGGCAGTTTAGGAGATTGCCTTTTAGGTGACAGTATTTCTTTAGGACTCATCACATTAGGCGTTGGGATATTTGTATCTAAGCTGCTAAAATTTCTGAAAAAAGATTTCGGACTTTCAATGCTCTTTTTTTCTGAGATTGGCTCATACCCAACTAAATGCGAGGTGGAAGCAATAGCTGATTTATGATAGTCAACTCTTCTTTTGAACCTATATGATTCCATAAATAATTATTTTCTTATAATAATGGCAAGAATTGACCCAAAGCATGGTGGACTTGTATGGGATTCTGATCTCGTCGAACGCAATATAAATCTCGAATTTAATCCAGTTGTTAGCACACTTCCACTTGAAGAAAAAGTTCGTAGGTCGCTCTCTGTAGGAGTTGAATGCATTTTCCCAGAAGAGCTGGAAGAACTGTTCAGAAGTAAAACACATCCGGTGTGCTATGATGGGTTTGAGCCTTCAGGACGTATGCATATAGCTCAAGGGCTTCTTAAAGCTATCAACGTCAATAAGCTGACAAGCTCAGGCTGCATTTTCATTTTCTGGGTCGCTGATTGGTTTGCAATGCTCAACAACAAAATGGGTGGAGACCTTACCCTATTAAATTATAGAAAACTCCAAATAAGTTATTTCATATACTATTCTATTTTTAAGCAAAATAGTTTTCTCAATGAATTTACAAAATCCGCCTTGTAGGCAAATACATGATCGAAACTTGGCGAGCAGCAGGCATGGACATGCGAAATGTCAAATTCCTCTGGTGTTCAGAAGAAATCAATAAAAAACCTAATGAATATTGGGAAAGGGTCATGGATATCGCTATGCGTAACAACATCACAAGACTTAAAAGATGCGGCCAAATCATGGGAAGAGAAGAAAGTGGCAAAATGCCTGCTGCCCAAATTTTGTACCCAATCATGCAATGCTCAGACATTTTCTTCTTAAAAGCTGACATTTGCCAGCTCGGTCTTGACCAAAGAAAAGTCAACGTATTAGCAAGAGAATATTGCGACCAAATCAAGCAGGCCAAAAAGCCAGTCATTCTTTCACACCCAATGCTTATGGGTCTGAAAAAAGACCAAGAAAAGATGAGCAAAAGTGACCCAGGCTCAGCTATTTTTATGCAAGATTCTCAAGAAGACGTAGTTACCAAAATAAATAAGGCATACTGTGAGCCAGGCGACATTGAGAAAAATCCAGTACTGAACTATACCAAGCATATCATATTTGGCTCACGGGGAGAATTACTTATCAAAAGAGCTCCAGAGAATGGTGGAGATACCCTTTACAACTCATATGAAGCTTTAGAAGCTGACTTCGCTGCAGGGAGAATTCACCCAGGTGACTTAAAGCCAGCAGTTTCAGGTGCCATTAACAGTCTATTAGACCCTATTAGAAGACATTTCCAGACAGACCCATATGCTAGATCTCTCTACGAGCAAGTAGCTGCTTTACAAGTTACTAGATAATTAACTCATCAAATATTAAATTAATGGTGCCCTCCAGATATCAGATTATCTGCATATTTCGTTTCCGCACAAGAGGATTTATAAAATGTTTTCTGGGTGGCAGTTGGCAATTTTCTAGCTTTTTCGAAATCAAAAAACCCATAGCCTTGGCCATAAGTCAAGGGTCGGATATAAACTTCGTGTGGAGCTATGTTGCTACGTATATGTTTTCTCCTCTTGAAGGTTAAATCGTCGAAGCTTGACAGCTGTTTAGCTCTTCTGGCCCTTGCTTCAAGATCGCCCAAAATGTTATTTAAAGCTGATATGAATTCTTGCCAAGAAATTCTGCCATCTCTATTTGCATCGAATTCTTCCATAAAGAAGGCGACTTCTTCTTCTAAAGGGTCCATCCCATAGGTTTCTCTCAGTAATGTTCTTACTTCATCGATATCTATATAACCGCTTTTATCTTTGTCGATTCTGTCAAAGGCTGCTTTAAATTCTTCAGGTGTGAAAATGTTCAGACCAATTGCGTTAATCAGATGGGTTTGGAAAGAGTTTTGAGGGCCAAGTGCAGTTATTCCAAAGAAAGACATATTTAAAATTACTTATACGAAACCATTAAGTGCTTTTTTCTTTAGCTGCCCTTGCTGCTAGCTTAGCCTCGATTTCTTTGTTTTCTTGAATTATTCTATCTAATCTCTCTTTATCCATGCTATGTTTTTGTTTAATGTATTCATAGAGAGGTAGCAAGCTTTTCTGGAGTAATCTTGATATGGATAAATTAAATAAGCTTGCATTATAAACTGCCCCCAGTGCGTTAACATTTCTTTTAGTGCTTTCATAAGCTTGCTGTTCTTCTCTTAAGATGTTTCTCTGTACTTCTAATAAATAATCAAAGCTTATATTTAGATTACTTAATTTAACTCAACTCAAGTTGGACCTCAAGATGGGCAGGATAATAAGGTCCCTTTTTCTTTGGTTTGATCACTCCCCTTAATTGCGGGTAAGCTCTTTACAAAGTCACCCCTTCTATCTTCAGTGTTGTCTTTAAGGGGCAGAAGCAGGCTTGAAATAAATTATCAAAGCAGTCGTGCATTATCATCAGTTCAGGCTGCTTCAGAAGCTTAAGTGGGCTCACAATTTCTACTTGTATGGATTTTGCCTTATTGTTGATGGTCTGAAAAGCAATTAAATCAATTTTTTCAAGCTGAGTTAAAAAATACGTTATGTTGGTCTCGAGAAAAGCATGAAATTATCAGCCCTACAAATTCCCTTCCAAGCGACTGTAAAGCATGCTGGGTACGGATATCAACATGAGATGGAAAAACTGTGATATTTGGGTGTGAATGAAACCAACCTTTCACTGTAGAAGCTTGCTGTATACTTCTGCTTAACTCTTCAGCATGGTCCATGGCCTCAGACAGTTGAATATCATCTACTTCTACTCTATCTTTTTCTTTGCAATTTCTTTGTAGACTTTTGGAGCCCCAAATCCTGACAACTCCTTCATCATAATCTCCGAATAAGATTCCCAGAACTTCTTCTTGGCTAGTAATAAAGCTATGCCCTAATAATCCTCTGAAGCAGTCTGAGCTTAATTCCACTTTTTCCACTGACATTTATTATCAAATGGAAAACCGCCGGTACAATCAAAGAAGAGGAGAGAGCGAATGGGCTGTTTTAATTAACGCCCAAGCTGCGACTAACAAGATGATTGATTAGATTAGATTAAAATTATAGCGGGTCGTCGGGGTTTATTTCAGCCCCTCTTCGTCCAACTGATAGCTTCGCGTTGGCGCTAAGCGCGATCCTCTCACACCACCTTTTTCCCTGTCGACGTCACCAAAAAATGGGGACGCCACAGGTCTTCAGGGAGAAGCCTTTTCTTGGTCCCAAAGTTCAGCAAAAGACTCCCTTAACCTCTGACAGGACTCAGAGCATGGGTGAATAGTCTTTTTGCCTCCTCCATGGCCTGTCAGAACCCTATTGCAGGCTCAAGATTGCTTCCATGGAGTAGTATCGGGACTTCGTGCTGGTAGGGACTTCTGTAGGTAAGGAAAAAAGATCTAAGGTTATCCTTAGACCAAAAACCCACCCTGGAGAACTATCGCCATGTGGCTCATCTTTCCTGGTCCGGATCAACTCAAGGGCTGTCAGGAGTCCACGTCAGATCACGCCATTTTAATAGCTCAAGATGATTGAAGAAGAAGAAAAAGAAATGACCAGAATGAAGAAAAAATTTTATAAAGAAGAGCTAGATCGGCAATTACAAGAAAAAGCAAATTCGAAATTTAAATCTTTAGACGAGCTTGATAGCCAGAAGAAATTTTTACAAGCCCAACAGGAAGCGATTAAACACTGGGACCAATCTTTGAAAAAGGAAACGAAAAATACTCAAGAGATTTTGTCAAAAGAGTATGAAAATCAAGCTCTGGAAAGAAGCGCAAAGGCAAGATACGAAAGAGAACTAGCTATCAAAGAAGAGCAGGAAAAAATCAGAAAAATGCAAGAAGAGATGGAAAATGAAAGAAAAAAACAAAATGAGTGGAAAAACGAAATAGTAAAAAAAGAACAAGAAGTCTTGAAAGAGCTAGAACTGAAAAAGAGAAAACAGCAAGAACAAGAAGAGCTGGCGAGGCTTAAAGATAAAGAAATAATTGAGAACAGGATAAAAGAGATGGAAGCACTGGAGTATGAATTTCAAAATTTCTATAATAAGAGATTAGTCGCACGAGAGCAAAGGATGAAAAACTACACACCAGTGCTTCATGAAAATAACATCCTTTCAAATTTGATGAAAAGAAATGAAGAAATCGATCAAACCGCAAAAGAAAGGCAAACCTTAAAAGAACAGGCTGAAAGACAACAAAGAGAAAGCGCTTTAAATAAACTAAAATCTGATCTCGAGCTGCAGATAGAGGAAAGCTTAAAGAAGCAAGAAATAGAGCGAGAAGATAAAGCAATAATACAGAAGAAAATAAATTACGCATCTCAAATCCTGGAAAATGAAAGGATAAGTCTAGTTGAAAGAAGAGCCAAAGAAAAGGAAGATTTAAGAAAGAGCTTACCTATTTTAAAAAAATATAAATTATTGATTTTTAATTTAAAAATTAATTCAAAAAATTAGCCAATTAAGTGTGAAAGCTGTTTAATAATATTCTATTTGCACTTTTACCATTAGATTATGCCAAAAAATATTATCTATAAAAATCCGTATTGAATAAGAATTTTTTTACAGTTTAAAGGGTTTTAAGGTACCCATAAATGCAAATTTGTTTTGCTCAAATTTAAAAGGGGGGAATTAGAGTTACAGCTAAAAGATCAGCAAAATAGGCTGAATTCATATGAAAGGATGAACGAGAGAGAAAAAGAAATGCACAAGAATATCTTGTCTCATATAGAAGAGCAAGCGAAAATTGCATTCCCAGGTATTCCAGGATCCCACTCTGCAGAGCCTTCGCTAAAAGAATACTCAAAAATTTATTTAAGAGGAGATAATTCTAACACTCCAACAATCAGAAATTATTCTCTCTCAAATACAGTTGAAGGAACTCCAGACATTTCATCACCAGCAAAAACAACAATTGCAAATTCATTGGAAAGGAAAAGCATTAACTTTTTTGTTGATCCCAATAAGCATGATCCAATAGTAAACCCAATAGGATCAAAAATCCCAAATGCAATTCAAGGACAGAGAATTGCGAGACCAAACGGATCTTTATCGAAACTAGCTCAAGCTGGAGGCTCAATTTTTAATTAAGCATTTGTTAGGTATTTTCACTATCATACAATATAAAAATTTTTAATTATCCAGCCGCTTTTCCTTATTCGGCACATTAAATGCCGCTTGGTGTGTGCTGAAAACTAGGAGAAAAAGTATTCTTGTATATATTCGTTAAAATCTGATTGATTAAATTAATGGGTAAAGCTGATAACTATTTTAAAAATTTTATTAATTGATTGACGATGTCATCAGATTTTCAGCATTTAAAAAAGTTTGTATGCCATTTAAAGAGACTAAAACTTGATGCTTCTAGAATTTTTTTAGAAATAAAAAATCTTATATATATATGTATCAAAAATATTCAGCTTCTAGAAAGAGAATAATTTGTAATTAAACTATGGGAAATTGTGCAGGTCGTAAAAAATCAGTCACCGTAAAAACTATCCCTGCTTCTGCCTCCAACACCTATAAAAAGAGCGAAACTAAGTTATCCAGCTCTATTGCCAAAACAACTCCTCAAACAGAGGAATTTAAAAACGAAACCAATACGAATTCAGTTTCTAATGCCCGAAAAATGATCAAAAAAAAGGCACCTGTAGCTGATCATAGGAAAAAGAACTTACTTTAACCCTCAACTAATAATGAACTTTTATTTGCTAATTATGATTGTGGTAGAAATTATAATTATTTTTCCAAGATTTTATTTTATGAAAAAGAATAATATGATGCTTTATCTTAAGTGCTCTGAAGGCTTGCAAATCATTTAATATAATTTTATACTTATGATATTTTATTTGAAAAAAATTACCTCATTAAAAATCGGTTGCTATTAATGAGGGATAGGATTAGAAGACGTTGACGCTCCTAACGCAATAGTCACTGAAAAAATAAAATCTGAAAGAGAAATTGAAGATCTCCGTAAATCGCTTGCAGCAAGTTCTTTATTCAGCAGCTTGCCTGAAGAAAACCTTCGGCTTATTATTGACCAAATGAAATACTACACTTTAGGAGCTCGAGAAGTTGTGTTTAACCAAGGACAGCCTGGAAATAACTTCTTTATAGTCGCTTCTGGAAGAGTTGAAATCATAGTGAATGGAGAAACAAAAGGATTTCTTTCCAAAGGAAAAGGTTTTGGAGAGCTTGCACTTCTGCACGATTCTTTAAGAACAGCCACAATCATGACTCTTGATAAAGCAACCTTGTGGGGAATAAGATTTAGATTTAGCTTAAAGGGCTTAAGGTCTTCCAGATTTGATGCCTCCACACACTTGCGACCACCGTAGCTTGCTTGCTGGAGGTGTCCAGTTGCCTTGCCTCAAGAGCAGTTTACTCCCAAAATCGGGGGTTTGCACCCATATCCAAGCCTCGATGAGTTAGAAAGACTCATCTTAATTCACATTTTGCAGGTGCTATGAAGGCAAAAAAAGAACCACAACCCTCGAGAACCGGCAGGGAAAGAACCCGTGCCAAAAACCATCTGATAGCTAATACCTGGACTGGAATGGCTATAAGTTGACTCCAAAAATTTAGCCCATGCAGCGTTCTAGACAAGCTAAGGTTAAAATTAAATGGTCTGAATCTTGGTTTAGGCTATAAAGCCAATTTATCGCCGAAAACGGTGTGTCGTCAAGGACATATTTTTTTTACAATACCACCATTTAATTATTTGTGGAGAGAATGGGAGACAGGCTTTTAGAAGTGCGGTGGAAAGCGTTAGCAACCAGAAATATATTGAAAACAAAAATTTCATTGACCATGTACCTATTTTAAGCATGCTTACCCCAGCTCAAAAAGATGCACTTTTAGCTGTTATGGTCTCACAGGATTTCGAGGCAGGGCAGAAAATCGTGTCAGAAGGTGACCCTGGAGATTTGTTTTATGTAATTAAAGATGGAGTTGTCAGCTGTACAGTGAAAGGAAACGAAATAAGACAGCTTGGAAAAGGAGACTTCTTTGGGGAACAAGCTTTGCTTTATAATACCACAAGAACAGCTACTGTTACAGCGATAAGCAAGGTTTCAATCTTTTCTCTAGGTAGAGAAGATTTAACACGAGTCTTAGGTGACCAGCTTCAGCAAATTATATATAGAAATACCCAAAGAATATCCATTGAAAAGTCCCAAACATTAAAAGTATTAACAAAATCTCAAGCAGAAACAGTTATCGATAAAATGAAAGTCACTTCATATCATGATGGGCAAATAATGATTGATAAAAACAGCCCCAAGCTGCAAATGATTTGGATAGTTCTGAAAGGAAACTTGGTTTCATTACATACGACTATAGGTGTTTTCCAATGCATTGGAGATATGGATTTTTTGCAGCCAAATATAACTAAATATGAAGCAAGCTATGCTGCTGTAGGAGACACAGATGTGGCAGAAATATCTTGGATGGATTTAGAAGCATGCATTGGAGGAAGATTAGCGAATGTTTCGCAACAAAATCAAGTTTTAGGCATTTTGAGGAGAGTGCAACTACTGAGAGCGTTAAGTGTGAGCAAATTGGAGCAGCTCGCGTCGGCACTTAGAGTTAGGGATTTTATGGACCAAGAGCCAGTGTTCATGCAAGGTGATCCGGGTGATGCTTTTTATATTGTAAAAGAAGGGCAAGTTGAGATCTATAAAGATGGAGTTTCCATCAGAACTATTATTAAGCACGATTTCTTTGGTGAAAGATCTATCATTTTGCAAGAAAATCGTACAGCTACCGCGATTTCAAAAGGCCCTACAAGCTGCTGGATTTTAGATAAACAACAATTTTTAAATCTGATTGATGAAAACATAAGGAACCAAATTTTAAAGAGAATGGAGCTCCAAAATGACAGTGTTCACCTGAATGATTTATCTATCATAAAAACTCTAGGTAAAGGTATGTTTGGAAATGTATTTTTGGCTGTCCACAAAAAAATAAAAACTCCTTATGCGCTTAAAACAGTCCACAGAAGCAAAATTCATGCTTTTCAGATCCATGACAATTTAGTCCTAGAAAGGAAAATTTTGCTGGAACTTGATCATCCTTTAATCATGAAACTTGTAAAAACCTTTAAAGATCCAGACAGGATTTATTTTTTAACTGAATTCGTCCGTGGGCAAGATCTTTTTGATGTGCTGAGAGTTTTAAATCTTCTAACAAATGAGTGGTCGAAATTCTATGCAGGCTGTATTTTCTTAATGCTTGAGCATCTGCATGAGCGAAATATAATTTATCGTGATTTAAAACCAGAAAATATTATGGTTGACGAATATGGGTATCCTAAACTAATTGATTTTGGTACAGCTAAACAAATTGATGGAAGAACTTATACAGTTGTTGGGACTCCTCATTATATGGCGCCTGAAGTTATCATTGGAAAAGGATATGGCTTGGCTGCTGATTATTGGAGTGTAGGGATTATGATTTTCGAGTTTTTCTGTGGAATTGTGCCTTTTGGAGAAGATGAAGAAGATCCTTATAAGATTTATGAAAAAGTAATTGAAAGAAGGCTAATTTATCCACCTTATGTAGGACAAAATATGAAGGCTGCGCCATTTATCGAAATGCTGCTATCTAAAAATCCTTCAATGAGAGGAACAGTTGAAACAGTTAACTATCACCACTGATTAGCAGAAAATCCTTATTTTTAGAAATAAAACTTTTTATCAGCAAAAATCTTTTTTAATATAAATTTGCTATACTTTAATAAATGCATAATGATTACAATAATAATGAAATCGCGTATTGTAAAACATAAATTTTATAAATTAAAAAGATTTTTGTTTCAAATATTCATCCAAAAAAACAATTTGGCTAAAAAATCTAACTGTCTTCAAAGCAGGGGATGTAAGGAGCATAAATGGTTCCAAGGAATGGATTGGGATGGATTGCTAGGGAAACAGTTAAAGCCTCCTTATGTGCCTAAGCTTGAAAGTCTTGCTGGAGAAATTGAGCATGGACTGAAAAGAAACAAGGATGTTACAGAGCTTATTATGGTAATTATTACTTACTCCCCCCCCCCTCCGTGAGTGAGCAAAAAAATTTTGTTCACTAACGGAGGGGGGTTAATTTTTTTTTTTTAAAAAAATTTTATATATAAATTTTATAAAAAATATTTTTTTTTCGAAATTTAAAAAAATCCTAATTCGCAAAAATTGGAAAGCAAATATTAATTTAATTTATAAAATTTATGTTTTAAAAAGCAATTCGTTTGAAATTAAACAGAATTAGCTCTAGATTTCATTATACTAATTATCATTTATATATCTAAAATTTTTTTCAATAAAAATTTTTGTTCACTCACGGAGGGTGGGTTTTTTGGCAAAAAATAGGATTTTTTCTAATGGTTTTGTTCACTCACGGAGGGGGGGAGTTAGAAAGAAGAAATTAACGATCTCACTGAGATTCCAAAGAAAAGAGGAAAAGCCCCTCCTGAAGATTGGGATCATGATTTTTAAGATGTAAATACAGTATAAAAATATAAAATCAATAATATTTAACCCACAAAATATGGATTTTCCAATTAAATAATAAATGAAACTACTTAAAAAATTAGGATATAAAATATTTAAAATTAACTTGGAGTTAGTGTAAATAATCTTTCCAATTAAAAAATCTAATTCAATATTTAAAATTTATTTTTTCTGCAAATTTTTTTATAACTCCACCCTCCTTGAGCGAACAAAATGTCTGCTCAAGGAGAGGTACTAATTTTTTTTAAAAAATTATTATAAATTTTATAGTATTTTTTTTTCAAAAAAAACTTTTTCGCTAAAATTAGAAACAAAAAATTATTGAATTTGTAATTTTTATGTTTTTTAGATTAAAATTCAACAAAATTATTATATTAATTATCACTTATATAAATTCGCTACCAAAAAATAGGGACTTTTCTAATGGTTTGTTCTCATAGGAGCGGGAGGAGTAAGAAGTTTCTTAAATATAATATAGTTTAGTATTAAGTTTTAGTTAGTTATAAATAAAGCGATATTTTCTCTAATACATTTTCTTAAAATTACAAGTCTTTTTTTTTCTTTATTGGAGATATATTAAAACAATGGGTATTTGCAACCCTAAAAGCACGATTAAAAAAATAGAGACCTTTGCAGCAGCAGATCCTCCAATGGAATTGGTTTCTGGCTGCAGATTTGATAGTAATTTTTATTTAGACATTCATAAATATTACAATTTGATACGTGTAATCGGATATGGACAATTTGGAACCGTCAGAGAAGCTACCAAAATTATCGACACGCTAAATCCCACCACACAGGCAGAGCAAGTTCGTTATGCAATCAAATCAATAAGTAAAGAAAAAGCTAAAGGAGAACTTAAATTTCTAAAGCGAGAATTAGAAATTCTTCAAATCGTAGATCACCCTAATGTTATAAAAATGTTCGAAGTCTTTGAAGATACTCAATTCATTCATATTGTTATGGAACTCTGCACAGGAGGCGACTTATTTGACCATTTAATTGAAAAACAAAGCCTGACTGAGCAAGAAGTTTCCAATTTCATCAGAAAAATTATTCTTGGAACAAAACATTTGCATAGTCTAAAAATATGCCATCGCGATTTAAAGCCAGAGAATTTTATGCTGACGGATAAAAGCCCAAATGCTGAACTGAAAATTATAGATTTTGGAATGTCAGCACAATATGGAGTAGGTGAAATGAAGACTGTTGCTGGAACTCCTTATTTTTTAGCTCCTGAGGTATATTCTAAAAAATATGGAAAAGAATGTGATTATTGATCTATAGGAGTAATCATGTATTTTTTGCTTTCTGGAAAATATCCTTTTGAAGGAAAATCCCTGGCTGATGTACTTATCAAAACTCGAAAAGGTGAGTTCAATTTTATGGATGTAAAATGAAATAATATTTCCGATGATGCAAAAGACTTAATTTCAAGGCTGCTTGTAGTTGACCCAGATAAAAGAATAAATCTTAAGCTAGCTTTAAATCACAAATGATTCAGATCATCAAGTGGCCAAAGAGAAAATTCTTTGTGTTTAGATGTTTTGCACTCAATTATTAATTATAAAGCTCAGGGAAAGCTATGAAAAGAAACAATGAAAATTTTTGCAAAGATGTTGACAGAAGACCAAATCAAAGACCTCCGTGAAGCTTTTTGCAGGATAGACACTCATAAGAATGGTTTTATTACTGCTGCTGACATCAGAGAAGCAATGAAATCTCAGAACTATCAAATGGCTGCAGGGAAATTTCAAAAATTAATAGAAAGCATAGACTATATTGGTCAAGGCAAGCTAAACTATGAACAGTTTATTATGGCGGCTTTAGATAAAAAACAGTTCATAAATGAAGAAAATATGTGAAATATTTTCAAGCTTTTTGATCATGTAAGCTATATATAGGACAATGATGGCAATATAAGAATAAATGAATTAAAAAGAATTCTAGGAGAAGCTGGGTGCTGTGTCTCTGAATTAGAATACGGTGAACTTATATATGAATTTAAATTGAAAGCAGGAGATGAAATGAGCTTTGAAAAATTCAAAGAAATTATGATGTGTAAGATATATACAGGCTTTTCTCCAGAAGCAACTCCAGAGCTTGGCCCTCCTTCTAGAGAAGAGGACGAAAGGAGAGAAAGGGTAGCAATGAGAAGATTGTCTCAAAAAAGATTTAGTGTAAGAAGATCAACTAATGATATGCCAGAAAATAGAAAACCATCAGAGAGTGAAATTAATTATTTGGAATAATAAAAAATTTGTTTATAAATTGCATTATACTATGCTCTGCAGATTTTATTTGTGATTTATAAGATTAATTAATCTAGAAATCCAAACTTTCAAAAAAGTATAATTGTAATTTTATGATTATTTTATTATTAAAATCTTTTTATTTATTTCTAAGTTTTAAAAATGCCCCCCTGACTTTCAAATCTTTTGCTATTTAATTTTAGTTTTGAAAGATGAAGGCACTTGAAAATTACAATATTCTTGGGATAATTCTTTCATATCTGGACCCACTTGAAATGTTTTCCTCTATTCAACTTGTAAACCATGCATTTAATCATGTATCAAAAACGCATAGACTTATCGAGAAATCTTTCTCAAACATGCTTGCAGATATATTTTGGGTAGAAACTCCACTGGAAAATCCAGGAATTAAAATATTTGCAGGTCTTTGTAATAAATTTTATAAAGGCAACCGTGTGATTTGAAGGCTCAAACAGTGTAGTTTTTGTGGAAGATTTATTAAAGTATCTAAATACCCTAAATCAAATGCTTTTATGATGCAGATTACTGCTGATGAAGAGATCCCTCATAAAACTCACAAAAGAATAAGACTATGGGCCCATGGGTCCTCCTTTACACTTTTCGTCGGCAAAATGAAAAACCACAGATGTATGAACATAAAATGAGAATCATGCCCAGTAACAGAAAATAGCCAAGACTGCAGTGAGTGATTTTATAAAACTGCTTCATATAGATACACATATCGCATAACTACTTGGCAATATCGAATGAAAGACATAGCTTATAATTATCCCGAAAAATGCTTAAAAAAGTTTTTATGATTTAAAGCTTACTGTGAAAAGGAATATAATCAGTCTTTATTTTCAAATTTTCAGCTCTGGACTGATAAAGAATCAAAGTATACAACAGTGCATATTGGAGAATATATATCACTCACGTATTGCCAAATTAATTGAGCGGATGAGTTTTGAGATATTTTGAACGAAAAATGTTATGAGTTTGATAAAACTATTGATGAATATAGTATTAATGGCAGAAAAAAATTGAGCTTTTTGATAATAAAATTCATCCAGTATTTAATTAAAGCAGGAATTTTTGTAAGAGCAGAAGAAAATTTTGGGAGAGTTTCAATCAATGAAGAGTCTTGCGAAAACATCGAATCATTTCATTTTGCGAAATATAGACACAATTTTGTTATTACAATGGCCAAAGATTTGGAAGGACAAAGAGGATATCCGATGGTATTGTAAAGTAATCTTTGAATCTCCTTTTTACTAAAATTATATTTTAATAGTAAAACTAAATTAAATTTTAAGATTTATTCATTCGAAATTAAAATTTCTTTGGATTTTTAATAAATATTTAAAATTTTAATAAATTGGATTGCGACAAAGGTTTTTTAAATGATGAAAATTAAGTATTCTAGCAATATTTCCAATTAGAATCACTGAATTAATAGTATATTAGAATCTCATCTTTTTTAATCTTTTTTTTTGAAATCAAATATATGATTTGAATTTCGAATCAGTTACACAAAATGTTTATTTCTGTCAGAACCTTATTAAATTCTTCCATTTTAATTATATTTTATCATGCCCTTATACCAAAAAATAAAAACATTTTTGCAAATCTTGTCCCAATTTAGAAAAGAAATAAGTATCGATCTCGAACTAATTTACTTTTCAAGCAATAGATTTAGCATATTATGTATAAAATTTCCATTGATATATGAGCCTCTTCATAAGTATTTGCTCTTATATTTTCTTATTATGCGTCACTATAGCTCCTTAAACCATAATAGTTATTCAAATTGCTTATCAAAATATTAAAACTATGGGAATGTGCATGCATGTCCCAAAGCAAAAAAGCGGAAGCATAATTCAAACAACTCCTCAAATTCAGCCAAGCCGCAAAATTATATCTGCTCAAGAAGAGAGAGTTAATTAGGGCGCGAATACGGGGGATATATTCAGGCCCTAATCAGTCAAGCTCAGCTTCCCGCTTCATGTAGCGCTAGGCACTAAAACTACCCACGCCCTTTTAATTCTGCACCACATAAAATAATCACGTCATATGCCGAACGAGGAGACTCATCAGAACCTGCTTGAAAAAAATCAACAAAGGATCTCTTAGTGCTCAGGATATGTGGTGAGGGAAACCCAATCAGTCCAAGCCAGCACCCTATCCGGAGACTTCCTCCACTGCAAGTCCATAGCCCCTCCAAATGCCAGCACAATTCACTGACCCTTGAAGCTCCGGACCTTCTTTCGCCGCCATCTCTAATGGTGAAAAGTCTACTCAAGATGAAGAAAAAGAGCTTACTGAAAATTTACGAAAACAGACAAAGTCAAGAATTCATATTAAAAAGAAAGCAGGTGTAACTACGTCTAAGTTTGAGATTGAAGACATTGTGGATGCACCAAATGCGTAATTAAATATGGCGTCTCAGCTTGAGCATGGCCAGGAGGTCATGCAATCTTCAAACAAATATTTAATTGTATCCGGCAAGTTTTAACAAGCTGGAGATAGGCAGCTATGCTAGAAAAGCAATTCCTGTTGTGTTAGGGCCAAGCCCTTGCCCATTTTCTGGTTTGGGTTTTACCTCAAGGACGAAGGAGACTTGAAGTTGGAAAGGAGTCGCCCAGCAAAGTCCTTACTCCCCCCCCTCGAAGTTCGACCAAGATTTTTTGGGTCGAACTTCGAGGGGGTTAAGAAAAATTTTTTTAAAAAAATTATATCGAATTTTTTTTATTATTTAAAAAAAACTCTTAAAACATTAATTTTAAATTAAAAATTTTAAAAAACATTTGAGAAAAATTTTTATAGTGGTGAAGGGGTCAAGTTTTCGAGCTCTAATTTCAGAATTGAAAATTCAGTTAACTCTCTCCTTAATTAATCTACTGCCCTTAAAACAATTGGTCTTTTGAACTAATTCATAAGATCGAAAAAAATAATATTTTCCTAGTAAAATTATATAGGTCTTGGTCGAACTTTGAGGGGGGTTTATTTTTCCAAAAAAATAGGAATTTTCCCTATATCTTGGTCGAACTTCGAGGGGGGGGGGAGTTAGGATCTATCGGGCCATTCATCACTATGAAACCAGGAGTTACGGCCTGGGCTACAAGTTTTCCTTTTTGCCGACAGTCGGTCAGAAGATCAATTTTTTGGATTTTTTGGTGCAGGCAACCTCGACGCTGCAGCCTGAAGAAAGACCCCCGGAGCCTGTAGTCTGCCCACTCAAAATTGGAGTTGCTACGAAGTAGCAAGGAGGAGGTGACGGCCAGGCAATCCGCCTTTCAGGATATTCGAAAGTAGACGTTACCGTAAAGCGGATGAATCCCTTGGTGGTATCCTCGGTAACCGAGTTAACAAAGTGGACTCTAAACACCCTAATTAAGTGAGTAAGTAACGATGCACCGAATGCTATAATTACGGATCGCCCCAAAAGTCCATGAGACGTTGAAATAATCCAAAATTCATTGGATCATCATTTTATATTTATAGTTAGTTGATAATATTCTGAAATGATCCTGCATGCAAAGAATTTTCAGACTACCTCTAATTAATTTTCGCGATGTAGAATTTTTTTGACATGCAAAAATATGGCTGAGAGAAGCCCAATCAGGATAGTAGTCTCACTCCAGAGCAGCGCGATATGGTTGTGGAGCAGACGAAGCATTATTCAGTGTCCAAGAATGGAATAGTTTTCGAGCAGGGACAGCCAGGGACAAATTTTTTTGTGCTTGCTACAGGAATACTAGAAGTTATCATCGATAATAATCAAGTAAATACTTTGAAATCAGGAGACAGCTTTGGAGAACTAGCTCTTCTCCACGACGCAGCAAGAAGTGCCACTATAAAGGCTCTTGAAAACAGTACTCTGTGAGGCATCACAAGAAAAACATTTAGGACAGCCTTAGAAGCAATGAACTCAACTGCAAATCAAGAAAACATGCAGTTTATAAACAGTGTCCCATTATTCCAAATTCTAACCCCTGGGCAAAAAGAAGCACTAGTAAGCTCTTTAAATACACAAAAATTTGAAGTTAGGCAGAGAATTGTAAATGAAGGAGATCCTGGGGATTTGTTTTACTTAATAATTGAAGGCTCTGTTTCTGTTACTAAAGAAGGCAGAGAACTAAGGATATCTGGCAGAGGAGACTACTTTGGTGAGCAATCACTGCTTTATAACTGCTTAAGGACTGCAAGTATAACAGCAATAACCCCTGTGAAATGTGTCGCTATAAATAGAGAAAAACTAAAAAATGCCTTAGGTGAGCAACTGCAAAGTATTCTTTACATTAATTCCCAAAGAATCGCCCTCGAAAAAAGTGAAGTTTTTTCTAAATTAAATAAAGACCAAATTGAGGAAATAATAAAGCAAACGCATATTTTATCACACCCACTTAATGATATTGCAATTCCTTCTAATACAGAAAAAGGAAGATTTCTATGAATAATCCTGCAAGGAGAGCTATCAGACGGCCAAAGCAATTTTCATCCTTTTGACTGCATAGGAGATCAGGAACTACTTAACCCAAATGAAGGATTCTTTGAAAATGATGTGATTGCCCAAGAAGACGTAATTTTAGGAAAATTGTCGAAAATGGAAATTGAAACGATTTTAGGGACTAGCATACAAAAGGCAGCAACACAAAACGAAGCCATGCAGGTGCTGAAAGGGGTGTCAATACTGAAGAATTTATCGGTCGAAAAATTGAGAAGCTTAATAGATGTGCTTAAAGTAGTGGATTATTTCGATGGAGAAATTATTGTCAGGCAAAATGATCCTGGGGACTCTTTTTTCATTGTGAAAGATGGGATAGTTGAAATCTATAAAGATGACCACATTGTGAGAACTATTGCGAAGTATGATTATTTTGGAGAAAGATCAGCTCTTTTCAATGAAGTAAGATCAGCTACTGTAAAAGCAAAAGGCAATGTTGCCTGCTGGGTCTTGCATCAAACAGAATTTTTGAATTTAATCGATAGCAAAGTGCGGACTTTATTAACCAAAAGAATTCAGCTCCAAGACTCAAAGATAAAATTCACTGATTTAAGAGTAATCCGAACAATCGGCAAAGGTATGTTTGGGATCGTGTTTCTGGTTATGCATAAAAATAACAGAAATGTATTTGCCTTGAAAACCGTAGAAAGGAAAAAAATTGACCGCTTTTCTATACATGCAAACTTAGTTCTTGAAAGGAAAATTCTTTTACAATTAGATCACATTATGATTGTAAAGTTAGTGAGAACTTTCAAAGATGAAAAGAGGCTTTATTTTCTGACTGAATTCGTAAGAGGAATGGACCTTTTTGATGTTTTACGCAAACAGTTTTTATTAAATGAATTAGATGCAAGATTTTACACTGCTTGCTTAATTACTATTCTTATATATCTTCATGAGAGAGATATAATCTACAGAGACTTAAAGCCTGAGAATGTGATTATTGATGAAGATGGGTATCCAAAACTCATTGACTTTGGGACTGCTAAATTTATTAGTGGGAGAACTTATTCACTCGTAGGAACTCCTCACTATATGGCACCTGAAGTGATTATCTGCAAAGGATATACAGTTGCAGCTGATTATTGGAGCTTAGGCATTATGCTTTATGAGTTCCAGTGCGGAAGGCTTCCTTTTGGAGAAGAAGATAACGATCCAACTGCAGTTTATGAAAAAATTTTAGAGCATGATTTGATGTTTCCTGATTGGTTTGATAAGAAATCAAGCTCAAAGAATTTTATAAAACAGCTGCTTACTTCCCACCCTCATAAGAATCATACATGTAGATTTTGATTAAAATAGCAAAATATTTTGAAATACAATTATTATCATGAAGCTCTCATTTGAAAATAAATTTTTAGTTTAGTTTCAATATTCAATTACAGGAAGAGCTAGCATAAATCCTGCAATGAGAAATTCAGGAACTTCTGAAAAATTGAAAAATAATCCATGGCTAAGCTCAATAAACTGGGATAGGTTATCAAATAAACAAATAAAAGCTCCTTTTATACCTACTCTTTTTGATTTAGGATTAGATGATTTTTATAATCCTGATGAAACCGCAGATGAAGTAATAAGTAGAGAAGAAGCTCTAGATGCTTCACTTTCACTTACTCCCCCCCTCCGTGAGTGAACAAAAAAATTTTGTTCACTCAATGAGGGGCTAATTTTTTTTTTTAAAAACAATTTATATATAAATTTTATAAAAAACTTTTTTCGAATTTAAAAAAATCCTAATTCGCAAAAATTGGAAAGCAAATATTAATTAATTTGCAAAATTTATTTTTAAAAAGCAATTCGTTTAAAATTCAACAGAATTAGCTCTAGATTTCATTATACTAATTATTCATTTATATATCAAAATTTTTTTTCCATAAAAAATTTCTCTATTAAAAAAAAAATTTTTTTTTTGTTCGCTCACGGAGGGTTTTTCGGCAAAAAATAGGGATTTTTCTAATGGTTTTGCTCACTCACGGAGGGGGGAGTTAGGGTAAAGCATAAACCTCCTCCATCGACAAATTGGGATGAGGACTTTTAAATGTAATTTTCTTTACTAAATGCTGATTTTAATTTATTTCATCAATTACTTAAAATTTTAAAAGTCCCCATTTTATTCGCAATAGCCTTTAATGACCCATTTTTATAATAAATTCTAAATATGCAACGTGACAACACTCCAAACCGTCAAAGATCTTCTTCTAAAGACCAGCATCTTGAAATGCCCCTGTATTCTCGTCAAGTGAACTATTACAACTCAGTCAAGTCCATCCTGGCTGATGTTCACTCTTACTACCTTACTGTAATCCAAAATAAAAACAAGCTCTTACGTCAAAGAGGTTTAACCTTTGACAAGCAAGAAGAAGCCACCCATAAGAAATTCGAGCAAGAAAAATCAAAACAGCTTCACGATCAGCATATCTTTTTCCACAAAGTAGTCAACGAGTATATCAAAGACCAAACTTCATGGAAAAATTTATATGAGCAGCTCCAAAACGACTATCAAGCATTGATCAGCTCTCATGAAATGCTTAAAGCTGAGCATGAAATGAACTTAAAATCGTTTAAAAAGAGCGAGTCGAGCACTGAAGAATCAAGTGGGAACGTTAGTGTTAGAGAGTCTTTTAACAACAAAGAATTAGATGCAAGCTACATAAGCTTTACTTGCTCAGAAAATTCTCCCCTAGTTCAGTCGCCTGTAAGCCAAGGAAAGCTTGAATCCAAATTTGGGACTCCGCAGTTCGTAAGAATCGAGACACAGGAGAGCATGGCAGAAAAGATAAAAATGTATAATCAGCTTGACTCTATTGAAAGGAATAGGACGAAAGTTTTGAATCAATCGTTTGATTTCGCTGGAAGGTGTTTGTTTCCAGCTCAGAGTGAAAATGGTAGAATGTCATTGAATTACTAATTATTAAGGTAATTGTTTTATTTTAAGTAAGTCTATTTCTTAAGACATTAAAATTTATCTGTCTTTCAGTTTATCTTGTTTTTCTTTCAAAGTTAAAAACAAATATAAAAATATTTTCTATTTTCTATGATAGAATGCATTTTTCCCATTAATATAATGAGAAAAATATTTCCTTAATATCAAGTAATAAAGGCAGATTTCTTATAACTGTTTCCTTAAATAAAAGGGGTTTCATGTTTTGACCATAGGACTTAGAATACTGGAAAATGTTCCTACCCACTTCTTTCTCTGCTTTTTTCTTTCTTTTTCTTTTTTACGAATAATGCACAAACTTTTTTTATCAAATATATTTTATAAATTCGATCAAAAATCAAGAATGGCACACAAAACCCAAGATGAAGATTACAGGGATATAGTTCTCCAAGGTACAGCGCCTGTATCAATTTCAAATTTTGCTACAAACAAAATTAACACCTGAGATTTCAACCCTCTTAGCCTTTGTAATAATCTGATACTACTGCAGTTTAAAAAATTATCAAATGTTTGATTTTTATTTGTTTCAATAGTAGAGCTCTCGATAAATACTCATTACTGGTGCACAATATTTTTATTTAGCTTGGTAATTTTGATCAATCTTTTAAGGGAAAGTTCAAGGTATTATTGAACTTATAAAAATGACTTAAGACTGAACAAAAGGCAAGTTCCTGTCTGAAATGGAACGGATTTTATTGATAAATCCTGAGAAGATCTTTTGGTGGGCGAAATCATATTGCTTCATGATAATGACATTGCTCCTGCTGATATACTGGTTTTAGCTTGTGGAAATCAGGAATGCGAATGCTATGTGGATACTTTTGAGGTGCTTGGGGAGCGTAATTTGAGAGTAAAAGAGTCAATTAAAAGTATTCAAGGAATTATTAATTCCAATGAAGTCGTAAAAGCTTCACAATGTTTAAAAAAACTAAATGAGATCGTCAAAGTTTCTCACCCTAAAAAAAATTTCAAAAAATTCCAAGGCAAAATAAATATCAGGTCTCCAAAGCCTGAGCTTATTTCTTATAAAAATTACATAATGAGAGGAGAAATGATTGTGAATTCTGGCTGAATTTTTGCATTTGTTATATATACAGGCATAGAAACAAAAGTATATATAAATTCTCAGCCCAACATGAAATTGTCATATTTTGACAAAAGAATAAACTCAATTGTGCTGGCGATGCTAGTTGTTATTGCAATTTTAATAAGTGTGGAGGTTATTTTAGGAGCAGTGTTTGAATCTAAGCGGCCAGCAGCCGATAGCACAAATTGGTTGATATTAAATTCTATTTTTCTTGTCCATGAAATGATCCCAACAAGCTTATTCTTGTGTATAGAGATTGCAAGAACCCTTCAAGCAATATTGATTGCTAAGAAATATCCTGGAATAAAATTTAGCAAAGGATTTATGACAGAAGACTTAGGACAGATCGAATATGTTTTATTAGACAAAACTGGAACTCTGACAAAAAATGAACTTGAAGTCAAAGTATGTATTATTGGTGACGAATACTATTGAAATGACTCAGCTGATGAAACAAACGATATTGAGTTAAGTTAAAATTTTCAGGCCATAAGCGCATAGACCACTAGCCTGCCTATCTCGCTTAAACCCACCTAGCCCACCTAACCTAAAGATTAGTTATTTAGGTTAGAACCACCTCTTGAGGATGCCCCGCTAGTCCCGATAAGCAAAGACTAATAAGTGGGAGGTTAAGCAGTCTAGCTATCTGGCATAGACAGGGAAGCCTTATGGAAGAAACAAAGCTGATATCTTCGGCAGGCTTCTTAAATCCGAAGAAGCGACAGAGGCACTATTTTAAGCTTCATATGGAGAGGTCCTACCTGCTCTAAAGCGATTGTGCCTTGAATTCAGCTCTCTTCAGCATAACCATTTTATTTCTTAAACGACATTGAGGAATGTGAATCTCCCAGAAGTGAAGCTAATTGAAACTCGCTTAACCCTACAACAAAATCTGATCGGCTGCATTTTTCTAGCTTAAAGCATGAAGTCATTAAATATTCATCAATCAATGATAATATAAAATATTTCTTATGATGCATGTCCCTCTGCAATCATGCTTATCCAGACTCAGAAACTGACTTCACAGCAATTTGTGAGTATGATAAAGTGCTAGCAAAATGTGCCCAAAAACTTGGATTAAATATGATTATAAGAACTCAATCCACTACTGTAATAGATATTAACGGAGTTCCAAGCACTTTTAAAATACTTGGAGATTTGCCGTATTCTCCTGACCAAAAAAGAACTATGATTTTGGTTTCATGTCCAAATTTTTCTGGATCAATTCTTTTCGCTAAAGGAGATAAAGCTGAGATGCTTGATTTGTTTGATATAAGTGGCGAATCAAAATTCTTGATTGAAGAATATACATTATCAAGAAAGTTAATTGGTATGAGAACAGTGGTTTTTGGGTATAAAGTTTTGTCAAATTCGAAAACTGAAGAATTTATTACTGATTATAAAAACGCAAGGCTATCACCAATCAATAAAACTGGCAAAATTGAAAGCGTGTTCGAAAAGTATCAGAACAATTTAAGCTACCTTGGAATTGTAGGGATAGAAGATGCTTTAACAGAAGGTGCTCAGGAAGCTATTAAGACCTTAGAAAAAGCAGGCCTTAAGTTTTGGTTACTTTCAGGCGATGACGAAGAAAGTTCATTACGTGCAGGGGTTGGGTCTTCAATGTTCGAAGAGAATGTCCGAATCATAAGGATGGCAGATTTCAAGTCAGAGCAAGACTGCATAGAATGCATGGTAGATCACATCCAAAGCTGTATATATCATGATGAAGCAATACCAAATGAGCACAATGAAGTCTCCCTAGTAGATTCAGAGCACGATACTTATAATGTCAAATGCAAAATTAGATCAGAGCCAATGTTCTTTTCTAGCAAAGACGACCTCAAACTATTTCATAGCACAAGCGACCACCCAATAAAAATTAAAGAGCCAGACCATGCAAATCCTGAATTCAAAAGAATAATGCTGCCGCTAGTTACTAACAAAATCAAGCCAAAAGTGTCTCTCTCAAAGTCATTCAACCATCAAGCAGTCTATTATGTCCTTTCTATACATGGAGAGACTTTAGATTTTGCGCTTAAGTCTCATGATAGTCGAAAATATTTTATCTCATTATTATTCGCTGCAAAATCAGTGCTCTTTCATTCTCTTTTACCACAGCAGAAGAGAAAAATTGTAAAATTGCTGAAAAGCAGTTCGTCTTTTTCCTGTCGCTGTTGAAGGGAGGCACTTCAACACCGATCGACTCCAAGGAGCTGATCTTTGGAATCTAATCACTCGTAGGAGGCTAGCAGAAACCCAGAAGCTGCCAACTCAAGACAAAACTCGCAAGGAAAGGAGGAGGCAGAAGATACTGGAAGTGGCATCGTCTTCTTGGAAAAGACCCTCTGGGCTGAAGTCGAAAAGAGAATGAACTTTCTGTATCAAAGGTCTTTGATGACTGTGCCACCAATATGACTAAGGCCTGACTTTAATAGCCTAACCTAACCTGCTGAAAAGCAGTTTTCAATTTAAGCCTACTGTTTTGACAGTTGGGGATGGAAGTGATGACATAGGGATGTTGCAAGAAGCCCATGTAGGAATTTCACTTCTTAGAAGCAACTGCCCAGATGCGGAAAATTCCAGTGACGTGGTTATAACAGATTTTTGACAGCTGAGAGATCTGGTTTTGTATGAAGGATACAATAATTATTTTAGGTTCTCTGCCATGATTTTACTTGGCTTTTATTCAAAATCCCTGATGACGTTCATCAAATTTTTTTATAACGTTTTGTACAATTACTCTGCTATTCAATTATTTTCGTATGATTTAGAGTTGATATATGAGCTTTTAATCACAACAATCCCTATAATTGCTATTGGCCTATATGAAAAGAGGAGATCATTTAGAGAAATTATAGAAAAGCCTCAACTTTACTGTAGTGGAATTTATAGAACAGCTTTTACTTGGAAAAAGTTGTTATTAGTCACATCTGCTGGCTTATTTCAGGGTTTCATAATTATTGCTTTAGTTTGCGCAGCAACTGGGGAAATTATGACAAAAGAAGGCTACACCTGCAGTTTAGATTTACTTGGCTTTACTTTATTTATTATTATGTCAGTCACATTTTTTTTAATAGCTTTCTTATACACAAGCACGTGGAATAAATACACAATTGGCTGCCCTGCAATAGTAATTGTTTTATCCTCAATCTTTATATTGTTTCTTACATATGGCATAATTCCCAATGATAGTTTGATAGGAATTTCAGAGATGGTTGGCTTATCACCATTAGTATGGATGCTGATGATTTTTATCCCCCTGATAATGAACATAATATCGGACGTTGCTCGGATTACCATTTTTGATTACTTGAAGAATAATTCTGAAAAATATAAAGATTCGAAAGATTTGAGCATAGAGCCTTCAGTTGAATCAAGATTGAAATATTATAACACCTGCTTACTCTCCCACTCTGTGAGAACAAAAAATTCTGCAATTAACGGAGTATTTTTTTTAATTTATATAGTAAATTTTGCGTATTCGTAATATTGAAAAGTAAAAATTAATTTTTATTAATAAAATTTTATGTTTAGAATGCAAGCTGTTCAAAATTTAACAGGATTAGCAGAGATTTTTTTGTTTATATAAAAATTTTAAATTAAGAATTTTTCTAATGGATATTCGGCTCTATGTCAAACAATCGGTAATTTTGATAGTGCGAACGAAGCACATTTGATTGAAATTTTGCAAGTCATATAAAATTCGGTCGAAAATAACGGGTTTTGCAGCTAAGTGTCTCACTATCAAAAAATTGTACTAATTTTTAACCAAATGCACTTTGGTGAAATATACACTATCAAAATACACAGTCATCGGACCTGAACCCTTTTTTGATCGTTCACGGTGGGGAGTTAGGAGATGTTTATGTAAATTCATATGAATGAAAAGAAAAGAGTATGGAAAATACCTTTGATTTTAATAAGTTTATGCTGAAGTTTTCTTCTAAGTTCAGAGAAAAAAGCTATCAGGAAACTGTGAGCGAAACAAATTTGGCATTTTATAGGACTTTAATGATTTTAAAGATGCTTGCAATGGTATCTTTTGTTTTGTATAGGATCTACCAACTTATAGATGATATTAATCCATCGTGGGATTGATTATATATTATAATACCTGAAGCCATCATCTTATTAGTTTGCTTTACTGACTATTTCAAGAAGTATATGAAATGCATCATAATGCTTGACTATTTAATTTTCAATTTCCAAGTCCTTTCAATTGGTTCATCAACTTATATAGGATCGTCAGCTCCAATTGTTTTAGTCTTTTTCATGTTAGGATTCAGCCAATTCTGAATGGAAATGCAAATTTGCAGTTTAATTTATATTTCGACATCATTTACTTGCATTACATTTTATTTCAATAATCAAGGGTTTGATCAATTCTCATGAATAACAGTCTCTATTGAATATATGATTTTTATGATTGGGATTTTCTTCACTTCCTCTCTAGTCAGCTACAATTTAGACAAAACCAAAAGATCAGAGTACATTGTCACTGAAAATGTTCAAATTGAGGTCAATAAGCCACTTACTCCCCCCCTTCGTTAGTAAACAGAACCATTGGAAAAATCCCAATTTTTGCCCAAAAAAAAAATTTTATGAGAAAGTGATAATTAGTAAAATGAAATCTGTAGCTAATTCTACTTAATTTTAAACAATTTGCATTTTAAAACATAAATTTAACAAATTAAATAAATATTTGCTTTACAATTTTGCGAATTGGGATGTTTTTAAATTTCGAAAAAAAATTTACTTCAAAAATTATATGTAAATTTTTTTAAAAAGCATTAGCCCCACAGCGAATAAACAAAATTTTTTTGTTTGCTCACGGAGGTAGGGAGTTAGCATACTCAATTTGCTATTACCTACAAGTGTCTCTAAAAGAGTGAAAAACGGTGACAGGTCTATTGCAGAAGATCAAGGCATCGTGAGTGTAATTTTTTGCGATATGAACAACTTTGATTCAATTGTGGCAAATTACTCGCCTCAAGAACTAACTGCTTTTCTTGATGAGGTTTTTGGTAAATTTGATAAATTGTGTGAGCAATCAGGTGTATACTTATTTACCAAGAATAGCCCACTAAGGAACATTTTTTGGTTGGTTGGACAATAGCTGGCTTGCCAAATTCGTTGGCATGCCATATTTTCTGGCTAACCAAATTTAAGAATGGCGAACCAAACAATACTCCTTAGTGGGTTATTCTTGGCAAACAGGCATATCTAAAATAGAAACTGTTGGGAAAACCTATATGGCTTGTGCAGGACTTGGTATTTTCGAATCAGAAATAGACCCGAACTTGACTTATGTGTCCCATTCCAGAAGAGCTATAGAGTTTGGCTTTCTTGTTATTAAAGCAGCAAAAACAATTTTATTAAAAAACGGAGATGAATTGACCTTCAAAATTGGAATCAATAGTGGCTTACTTAGTTAGTTATTTAGTATTTAAGTTATCCAGTGCCTGCTCTCAATAGATAGGGACTAAGCCAACTGGTGACATCACTGGTGAAATTGCACCAAAATGGAGGTCAGCCCAACCAAAATCGGGCAGTCCAAGCGGTAACCCCAGGTCCGCACTTCTTACCGGCGCGTTGCCGTCGCTCTTGTCAGACTTAACTCCAGTGCGTGTTCAGCCTAAGGGTCATCCTCTTGGGGATGTGCTAAGTGGCAAAAACCCTAGTTCTTGTGCACTGAGGAGCAGTTTCTCTGGTTATACCCAAAGTTAAATTGCTGTTGCTGCACAGAAGTACTCAAGTAAAACCAACCCCATAAATAAATTCCATGAGGGAGAGAAAATTAGCAGGTCTAATTTCTCTCGGACCAAATGCCATTTTATTTATGGAATCAATAGTGGCAGAGTTGTAGCGGGCGTTGTAGGGAATCATAAGCCACAATTTTCTTTAATTGGTGATACTGTTAACACGTCAAGCAGAATGTGCTCTACAAGCACAGAACCTAATGCAATTCAAATATCATCCTCAACTTACTCACTTCTAGAAGACTCAGATAAGCAAGGACTCAGTTTCGACCGAAAAACGGTATGAGTAAAAGGAAAAGGGGATATGGACACTTTTATTGTAAGTATTGATCCTAATGCTGATGGATCTCCAGCAATGGATACGTTGCAAGTTGCTGGCAACTTTGGGCTCCTTCCAACGTATTCAATGAATGGACAGCTATCAAGCACAAGAGTTGCTGAGCCAAGTTCTGCAAGTCATATAGAAAAAAGAAGAACCTTAATTGCATCTTTAGATATTCATGAAGCAAAAGAGCTTTTCCATAGAGCAAATACTGAGACCATTGAAAATATGAAAATTTTTTCTTTAAGATGCAGAGAGTCCCAAAAGGAGCGCCAGTTTAGGTTGGAAACTATTGAAAGTAAATTATATTTGTATTACGCAGCACTTTATATTGCAGCTATTGTCTCATTTGTTGCACTCATATCTCAAAGTATTGAACTGGGCTTGAGCTCTGATGAAAAAAATATCCCTGCCCAAATGTGTATATCAGGTATCGATATTGGGCAATTTTTGCTATTAATATTTTCGCTAAAATATTACTATAAAAGAAGAAGATTTGCATGGACTATGCAGTGTGTATATATTATTGCACTTTGTTTGCATCATGCTATAAGCCTTTATGGAGATGAAGCCTATTTGAATATTGAGCCTATAATAGGGATGTATTGAATTTTGCTAATGACTCATTGTTCAGAATTATTTTTTCATTGAATTTTATTGATTTCTACTATTTTCGTTGTCCCATGAATGATTTCACTTTTTATGATTGAAGATGAGTTCAAAAAAATTCTCTTAGTGTTTGTAGCATGATATATTGTAATTCTGCTATACACTTTACATCATAAAGAAAAATCTCTCAGAATTAGCTATCTTCTGATATCAACTGGAAAAAGCGAAATTGAAAAGACTGAAAAATTGTTGAAAAATATGATGCCTCCACATGTGTACCAAAATTTAAAAGATGAGAAAAATATTACAGAACTCATTAAAGATGTGACTTTAATATACGCGGACATTGTTGGCTTTACTGCTTGGTCTGCTCGTCATGCACCTGAAGAAATCGTTAGAAGGCTTTCAGACCTCTTTGCGAGCTTTGACAAACTCTGTGAAGACTACCACGTTTATAAAGTCCACACAATTGGAGATTGTTATGTGGCTATGGGATATAGAGAAGATAATAGAGACCCTCCAAAAGAATGTCAAAACATGGTAAAATTTGCAAGCTCTATGATAGAAGTAATAGAAAGTGTCAATGAAAAATATGGGAGCGAGCTAAATATGAGAATTGGAATGCATACAGGTGATGTTATCGGGACTATGTTTGGGACAAACATTGTAAGGTATGATATTTATGGTTCAGATGTTTTAATTGCTAATAAAATGGAAAGCAATGGAGAAGCTGGAAAAATAGTGATGAGTGAAGTAACGAAAGACTTATTAGAAACTCATAAGCCAGGAAGATATCAATTCTCGCCCCATAAAGAAATTTCTTTGCAATCGCTTGATAGAACTATTCAAGCTTATATCTTAATAGATTTTTTTGATGACTTAGAGAGAGGCTCTAGTATTGATAAGTAAGCAGGTCTATAAACATCAATGGCATTTATATTGATATATAACTCCCAGATTTATACAAGCTAATTTTTTACAGATAAATTTACGATCTTGTGTTAATTATTTAACTATTTTTAAGCTTCTCTATTTATCTATTAAGATTTTAGTACTACAAGAGAATTAGAGTCTTTTTAGATTCTATTTTTCTTTAGGCTTTAGATCTCTAATATCTCATATCTGATACTTAATTTTATTAAATAAATCATAGCTTGGATTAAATTTGCTAGAACAAATAAAATTATAGTAACTTGTGTCTTCTATTCACCTTCAGCGCCATGAAAATCAAAAACCCTTTTTGCTGATTATGCCAATAAAGAGGCATTTAAAGATACTTTTATAATATGGAAAAGTATTGAACAAAAAATTAAGACTTATATTTTTCATGTAATATGTAGTTCTCTTATTTTTGAGTAATTAACTCTGTTTAAAACCTAGATTTTTTTATTTAGAATTGTGGATTTAATAATTAATATTTTTATCAAGTTGGGATATGTTTATATTTGTTTTTTCTTTGAGATCTTTAATTATTGAATGTAATATAAGCTAAGGTTCAAATATTTGCAATGAGCTTATATCATAATTTGCAAATTGATAATTATTTTTTGTATTTTTTGAAATAATACAATATTTAATTTGTAGTCTTTTTAGCGTAAAAATTAAAATGGCAAAGCCAATTTATTCTTTATCATTATTTTATGGAAAGTGCGCAAAAAATTATTAAAATTCCGATATGAATAATTTTATTTATCTTAGTATAATAGTGAACAAAAAATTATTGGGATCTTAGTGGTTTTTTTTCCAGAAATTTAGGAACTTCCTTTATCCCATTGGCTACCATGAAGCACAATTCCATCGCTGCCTTTCATTGCTTCTCCTTGATGCCTTTTTACCAGTATTCTAGCATTGGCTTCATAAAATCCTTATTCTAATAGTTCAGCTTCAATAAAATTTCTTCTTCTTTGCCTTCCAAATTAACTTTCTTTTCCAGCTTCATCAGGAATTTTTGTTGGAGTTGCGGCTATAAGTTCGGTCGGTCCTTCTGTGGAAATTTTTCTGGGTTTGCTCTTGAAATTTCTGATAGAATTTCAGTTGAAATATCTATTGAGATCTCAATTAAGGTTTTAGTCAAAATTTCTATTAGGCTTCAGTTTAGATTTCCATTAGAGGAATCCTCTTCCGGTGTTTTATGATGTTTTAGGGTTTTGTTGAGCTTTATATCATATTCTCTGCCATTTTTGCTATTTTTCTTTTTTTTCGTTTTCTATTTTTTACCCTTTTTGTCTTTTTGCCTATTTCACTTTTGCATATCTGCTGCTTCTTCAGGTTCTTTGTCTAATTATCCCTTTTATCTTATCCAATTTACATGGAATTTTTCTAACAGATTTTGTTGCCAATATTAACTTCATCAACCAAGACCTTACATTTCTGTTTCAAAGGCCAGATCTTTAGAGAATCAGTAAGCTTTTTATATTCTTCATTGCCTTCTGCAAACCTTTCTTTAAATCAAAATCTTCTTCATATAATCATTTTCTAATTATTTTATTAGCATTGTCCCAGACTTCCTCATCCAGAATAAGCTATCATCATCTGAACACTCGTTTCAATAAGATTTCTACTCACTGGTGAATTTTGGGCTATAAGCCAAGGTCACCTTGTGACTGCATTTTCTCTTAGAAATTTAAGCTAGATCCTTAAATTAAATAAGCCATTATGATTCTATAATTATGTTTCGTGGAAGATGTTTCAAAGATGGCTGTGCAAACAAGCATTATGAAAAATTGAATGCGAAGGCATAGCAAAAAGCAAAGTTTTGAGCCCTTATCAAAAAGAATCTTCTGAAGCTTATTGATGCCTAATTCTTGCTTTAAGCCAACAGAAGAGATTAAGTAGCCAACTATCGATAAGCTAATAGCCTTCAAAAAGATAAAGCTTAACATAACTTTTCATAATTTTTTTTTGCTTATATTTTTTCGCTAAATAATTAGTGACTTTGAAGATAAAAGATGAGCAAAGATCTCCTAAGACACTAATTTGGAATATTTGCTTTATAAATTTTATTAAAAATGTGTTACAGCATAGAGTTCCAGGAGAAGTGCAATAGCACGTATAATAGGCTTCGTGCTTGCATCCTGGCTCGAAACATTGAATTAGCTCCATACAATTATTATGGTGTTATTTATTAAAGCAAAATCGTAATTATAAGCAAAATTATTATAGAAGAATTACAATTTTTTGCCTTAGTAAAAATGCTAAAAAGTTAGTGATTTATCTTCTTTCAGACGAAATTATTTTACTTGGAATAATTGGCGGCTTCAGCGCTTTAAAAATGCATAGTAAAAAATAGAGGAGTGGCAAATATTAAATTATGGTATGTTAGGGTGTTAGGGTGTTAGGGTGTTAGGGTGTTAGGGTGTTAGGGTGTTAGGGTGTTAGGGTGTTAGGGTGTTAGGGTGTTAGGGTGTTAGGGTGTTAGGGTGTTAGGGTGTTAGGGTGTTAGGGTGTTAGGGTGTTAGGGTGTTAGGGTGTTAGGGTGTTAGGGTGTTAGGGTGTTAGGGTGTTAGGGTGTTAGGGTGTTAGGGTGTTAGGGTGTTAGGGTGTTAGGGTGTTAGGGTGTTAGGGTGTTAGGGTGTTAGGGTGTTAGGGTGTTAGGGTGTTAGGGTGTTAGGGTGTTAGGGTGTTAGGGTGTTAGGGTGTTAGGGTGTTAGGGTGTTAGGGTGTTAGGGTGTTAGGGTGTTAGGGTGTTAGGGTGTTAGGGTGTTAGGGTGTTAGGGTGTTAGGGTGTTAGGGTGTTAGGGTGTTAGGGTGTTAGGGTGTTAGGGTGTTAGGGTGTTAGGGTGTTAGGGTGTTAGGGTGTTAGGGTGTTAGGGTGTTAGGGTGTTAGGGTGTTAGGGTGTTAGGGTGTTAGGGTGTTAGGGTGTTAGGGTGTTAGGGTGTTAGGGTGTTAGGGTGTTAGGGTGTTAGGGTGTTAGGGTGTTAGGGTGTTAGGGTGTTAGGGTGTTAGGGTGTTAGGGTGTTAGGGTGTTAGGGTGTTAGGGTGTTAGGGTGTTAGGGTGTTAGGGTGTTAGGGTGTTAGGGTGTTAGGGTGTTAGGGTGTTAGGGTGTTAGGGTGTTAGGGTGTTAGGGTGTTAGGGTGTTAGGGTGTTAGGGTGTTAGGGTGTTAGGGTGTTAGGGTGTTAGGGTGTTAGGGTGTTAGGGTGTTAGGGTGTTAGGGTGTTAGGGTGTTAGGGTGTTAGGGTGTTAGGGTGTTAGGGTGTTAGGGTGTTAGGGTGTTAGGGTGTTAGGGTGTTAGGGTGTTAGGGTGTTAGGGTGTTAGGGTGTTAGGGTGTTAGGGTGTTAGGGTGTTAGGGTGTTAGGGTGTTAGGGTGTTAGGGTGTTAGGGTGTTAGGGTGTTAGGGTGTTAGGGTGTTAGGGTGTTAGGGTGTTAGGGTGTTAGGGTGTTAGGGTGTTAGGGTGTTAGGGTGTTAGGGTGTTAGGGTGTTAGGGTGTTAGGGTGTTAGGGTGTTAGGGTGTTAGGGTGTTAGGGTGTTAGGGTGTTAGGGTGTTAGGGTGTTAGGGTGTTAGGGTGTTAGGGTGTTAGGGTGTTAGGGTGTTAGGGTGTTAGGGTGTTAGGGTGTTAGGGTGTTAGGGTGTTAGGGTGTTAGGGTGTTAGGGTGTTAGGGTGTTAGGGTGTTAGGGTGTTAGGGTGTTAGGGTGTTAGGGTGTTAGGGTGTTAGGGTGTTAGGGTGTTAGGGTGTTAGGGTGTTAGGGTGTTAGGGTGTTAGGGTGTTAGGGTGTTAGGGTGTTAGGGTGTTAGGGTGTTAGGGTGTTAGGGTGTTAGGGTGTTAGGGTGTTAGGGTGTTAGGGTGTTAGGGTGTTAGGGTGTTAGGGTGTTAGGGTGTTAGGGTGTTAGGGTGTTAGGGTGTTAGGGTGTTAGGGTGTTAGGGTGTTAGGGTGTTAGGGTGTTAGGGTGTTAGGGTGTTAGGGTGTTAGGGTGTTAGGGTGTTAGGGTGTTAGGGTGTTAGGGTGTTAGGGTGTTAGGGTGTTAGGGTGTTAGGGTGTTAGGGTGTTAGGGTGTTAGGGTGTTAGGGTGTTAGGGTGTTAGGGTGTTAGGGTGTTAGGGTGTTAGGGTGTTAGGGTGTTAGGGTGTTAGGGTGTTAGGGTGTTAGGGTGTTAGGGTGTTAGGGTGTTAGGGTGTTAGGGTGTTAGGGTGTTAGGGTGTTAGGGTGTTAGGGTGTTAGGGTGTTAGGGTGTTAGGGTGTTAGGGTGTTAGGGTGTTAGGGTGTTAGGGTGTTAGGGTGTTAGGGTGTTAGGGTGTTAGGGTGTTAGGGTGTTAGGGTGTTAGGGTGTTAGGGTGTTAGGGTGTTAGGGTGTTAGGGTGTTAGGGTGTTAGGGTGTTAGGGTGTTAGGGTGTTAGGGTGTTAGGGTGTTAGGGTGTTAGGGTGTTAGGGTGTTAGGGTGTTAGGGTGTTAGGGTGTTAGGGTGTTAGGGTGTTAGGGTGTTAGGGTGTTAGGGTGTTAGGGTGTTAGGGTGTTAGGGTGTTAGGGTGTTAGGGTGTTAGGGTGTTAGGGTGTTAGGGTGTTAGGGTGTTAGGGTGTTAGGGTGTTAGGGTGTTAGGGTGTTAGGGTGTTAGGGTGTTAGGGTGTTAGGGTGTTAGGGTGTTAGGGTGTTAGGGTGTTAGGGTGTTAGGGTGTTAGGGTGTTAGGGTGTTAGGGTGTTAGGGTGTTAGGGTGTTAGGGTGTTAGGGTGTTAGGGTGTTAGGGTGTTAGGGTGTTAGGGTGTTAGGGTGTTAGGGTGTTAGGGTGTTAGGGTGTTAGGGTGTTAGGGTGTTAGGGTGTTAGGGTGTTAGGGTGTTAGGGTGTTAGGGTGTTAGGGTGTTAGGGTGTTAGGGTGTTAGGGTGTTAGGGTGTTAGGGTGTTAGGGTGTTAGGGTGTTAGGGTGTTAGGGTGTTAGGGTGTTAGGGTGTTAGGGTGTTAGGGTGTTAGGGTGTTAGGGTGTTAGGGTGTTAGGGTGTTAGGGTGTTAGGGTGTTAGGGTGTTAGGGTGTTAGGGTGTTAGGGTGTTAGGGTGTTAGGGTGTTAGGGTGTTAGGGTGTTAGGGTGTTAGGGTGTTAGGGTGTTAGGGTGTTAGGGTGTTAGGGTGTTAGGGTGTTAGGGTGTTAGGGTGTTAGGGTGTTAGGGTGTTAGGGTGTTAGGGTGTTAGGGTGTTAGGGTGTTAGGGTGTTAGGGTGTTAGGGTGTTAGGGTGTTAGGGTGTTAGGGTGTTAGGGTGTTAGGGTGTTAGGGTGTTAGGGTGTTAGGGTGTTAGGGTGTTAGGGTGTTAGGGTGTTAGGGTGTTAGGGTGTTAGGGTGTTAGGGTGTTAGGGTGTTAGGGTGTTAGGGTGTTAGGGTGTTAGGGTGTTAGGGTGTTAGGGTGTTAGGGTGTTAGGGTGTTAGGGTGTTAGGGTGTTAGGGTGTTAGGGTGTTAGGGTGTTAGGGTGTTAGGGTGTTAGGGTGTTAGGGTGTTAGGGTGTTAGGGTGTTAGGGTGTTAGGGTGTTAGGGTGTTAGGGTGTTAGGGTGTTAGGGTGTTAGGGTGTGGTAGGGTGTTAGGGTGTTAGGGTGTTAGGGTGTTAGGGTGTTAGGGTGTTAGGGTGTTAGGGTGTTAGGGTGTTAGGGTGTTAGGGTGTTAGGGTGTTAGGGTGTTAGGGGGGTGTTAGGGGTTAGGGTGTTAGGGTGTTAGGGTGTTAGGGTGTTAGGGTGTTAGGGTGTTAGGGGTTAGGGTGTTAGGGTGTTAGGGTGTTAGGGTGTTAGGGGTAGGGTGTTAGGGTGTTAGGGTGTTAGGGTGTTAGGGGTGTAGGGTGTTAGGGTGTTAGGGGTGTTAGGGTGTTAGGGTGTTAGGGTGTTAGGGTGTTAGGGTGTTAGGGTGTTAGGGTGTTAGGGTGTTAGGGTGTTAGGGTGTTAGGGTGTTAGGGTTTAGGGTGTTAGGGTGTTAGGGTGTTAGGGTGTTAGGGTGTTAGGGTGTTAGGGTGTTAGGGTGTTAGGGTGTT